GACCCCAAAAAGAACGTTGGCGCGCTGGCGAGCGATAACGTTATATCCCGCATGACGAACCGCGCACGGTGGAAACGACTCGGACCCTGAAATACAGATGTCCTCGAATGATTGCCGCTGCCAACTCGGCCGTTACGCCTGCCTGGCTCGGCAACGTCCCGGCAGAGATCTCTCCGAAATAAAATGTGTCCGGTTTGGATGCATACCCGCTCACGGCTGGTTACCGCTGGTTGCAATCGGGTCTGGCCGCAGTCGCACGGGACCGCCTTTTCGTTGTTGAAGACGTCTCGAATCCGTGTTGGCGTCAAATGTTCAAAACTGACCTGTTGTTGATTCCCCGGGATGCACGGTCCGCAGGCTGCACCTGGTTACCCCTGACCTATAGTGACACCAATTAAGGGCTAAGGGCTGATCTTTTTTTCGCCCGGGTACCTGCCAAGCATCTGACATGGGATCGATCAAATCTCCTTGCCGCTTGGGATGGGCTCGGGCTCCGCCCGCCGGTGCCCAGTGTCGACCAGACCAGTGCGCGATGTCACCGTTGCCGGCGAAGTCTCAAGGAACTTGTCTCACCAGACCCAAGGAGGAAAGAAAGGAAATAAGGCAAACTCGGGGCCAAGCAGCGGAAGCTCGGTGGTTCGGGGCAGAGAGCAAAACCATTCGGCCTGCCCGAGCGCGAAGCAAGCCGTGAGACCTCGTCATACTCGGCGCACGTGCTGGTGCGTTTTGGTAGGAATTCAAGAGACATCCTTCGCCAAGTCGATCATCACAGGGCGTTCAGCTTCTGCCCGTAATTTGTGCGCGTGCTGGGACGATCTTCCGCCCCTCATAAATGAGCCGGGAGCACGCACGGCCTTGACATGGGATGAACCGAACCCCCGCCGCACTCATGCGTGTGATGGCGAGACCACCATGCCATGGCGGCGTGTAACAGCCAATACCGAGACACCTCGGGCGAATTCTATCAGGCTTGAAGATTCGCTGTGGGGGGATGGTCCCCCAAATTGACCACACCACAAGAGTTCCAAGGTCTTGATCGCCAAAGGGGGGGATGAAAATAGCTCAACACCCGTTTTTTGACGCAAGGTTCTCGGCATAACGTCATGCGATGCCGCGGTGTCCAGTACCCCCATTTGTCCTAGATCTCGCCTGGCCGTCCTCGGAAGTTTTTCGATTGTGCGGGAATCGGTTCGAAGTTGGAGCAGCCGGATGCTGGACCCGGGGGCTTCCTTCGGTCGACGTCAACACTGGAACACTCGCTTAGCGCCCAAACGGCACACGCCGCGACTCGCATTAACGTTGGGGATTGTCAGGGTCAACGACCAAGTCGGACGGGATGGGATCGACACGGCACTCATAAGCGTCAAGAGGTTTGCTGCTGCTCTGTAACTACAGATTACAGACATACATATGTACATCGGGTTATTTTCTGGCTGCGTCGTGCCAAGGAACGCCTCTCCCAGGTTGGGGTTGAGCGGCTGGGATTTTGAGTGGCCGGCCCGGGCACCGATCAGGCAAAAGGTCGCCGAAAGAGACGGCGAGATGCTAGAGGCGCCCTAAAACGACAAAGGGGTCGGTGGCTGAATGAGCACATTCGTACATCCTAACGAGGTTTTGTGCAAAGGGGCACAAGGCAAGCGCGCCGAATGCCCATGGTAAGAAAGTTGTCTCCGGTTTCCGTAGGGCTGGCGTTGCTTCTGATGATGCATTCAGTAACGGACCTCAATTTCCTTAACAGCCTGGATCCATACGTTCGTTCCCCTGACGCTGCCCCCCACCACGGCTTATTGCACATCAATACCACTGTTGAAGCCTTCGGGTTGGCGAGGTACTGCTGCGGCGAAGCTGCTTGATGCCCGTACCCGCCGCTCTTCTTCTCCGGGTCCGATGCTGTGTGCCAGGGGTTTGTGATGCACGACGCTGCCTACCGCAACGGCCGAGCACGCTGGAAACGCGAGAGAAAAGGGGGTAGGGGGTTCAACTGGCCCTATGATCCAATGAGGTCAGTGAGCGGTGTCGACGACAAAACGGAGACTTGACGTTGTGGGCGATCATGCAGCTGTCACGGGTCCCTTCCGGTTTGCCGCCACTTCCTTTGTGTCTCAGCGGTTGGGAGCCACTTTCACAGCAGATCCCTCTGCAGCTCCTGTTGTCGAAAGAGATGGTTTGTTCACTCATGCTGTGTGTTGGTTCAAGCTAAAAGGCGAGACGATGGGCCATGTCGTCGTCCCGAATTACCATATCGACAGGGCAATGTGTGTAAGGCGCGTTGTAGCGAGAAGGCCCGGGTGGGCATGGGCCCTCAAACCCTTGGCTTGTGCGGCCATGAGGTGCCGTCGCTTGGTCTCTGCTTGGCGCCAGCTTCCTGAACCGACACAATGGGAAAACGTTGATCTGTTTTTGTGGCGAATGGGAAGGTGGGAACGCCTGCGGCCGAATCCTCTTCAAGCCAATCACTATCCGCATTGGGATTTGGGTGCGAAGAAGAAATGAATTCTGTAACAATCCGGGGGATACCGAGCCCGCGGTTTGTGCTCTCGACACGGCGGTTATCTGCATGGCCGCTGCGGTAGTCGATCGATTCTCCAACCGGAGACATCGCGGCCGAAGAAGGAATCGCCCAACCGAAGCCTTTTCGAGGTGCTGAACACTACATGCCACACGGCGACAAAGCATGCTTGGGAAGGAAGACGGTGATGGGCGAGCGGGCTTAATCTGGAGGTATGTACCAGATCCGTGTCACAGGGGTCAACACGGCACTTCCCTTCTTGGGCTGATCTCATCGCGAGACCACCGTGTTGAAAGCGCAGTTTACAAACTGTGTGGCGCTTCCACGCGGCAGCAGTCCCTTCCTGCGCCAGGGGTACTTGCACCACTGGCTCGCCGAAAAGAGTCTAGCTCAGCGGTCCTTTCCATTCCAGGACGTTGTCTGGGCAAAGCCCGAGCTCCCAACATGGAGCTTTTCGGCCTTCAACATGGCAGGAGCAAGCACCGAAAACTCGCGCTCATTCCAAGTTTAGCATCGCTGCGGATGGAAGTCGCCTCCGGGTTGAATCCATCCTGCGTGACTTCCCCTTTGATATTCAACTTGGAGGCAGCAATGGAAGCCCCGGAGAAAGTGATCCAACATCTGGAGGTTCCCAACTCGTATGGACGTCGTAGCCACCTCGCTTCGATCAACGGCCTCCAAGCTTTCCGTTGGGCATAGGCCCTGGATAATCATCACCCTCCAATTCGGGGTGCGGTTTTTGACACTAAAACTCTACAAGCGACGTTGGTTTTCTTTGTCTCGGTTGGCTTCCAACGGCGCAAGTTCCCTACCTTTCGTATCTACCTTCTCGGTTCACTTTTTCCCGCTTCTTCAGCTTGCTCGTCACAGATGAGACAAGCTGCATGCTTCACAACACGCAGTAAAAGAGCCTCCAATATCGGTTACAGCACCACTGGTGCGTTGCAGCGCCGAATTGGAACCCCCTGTTCCGAACTCTCTATCACGACTCCCTCGGTCGGCTAGTTCTACACAACATCAGTGGTTGTCCTTGGCTCCTTGGGCATCCAACCGACCCCGCTCCCAAGCTTCTGGTCGAGTCCCGGCCCGCTGGCGGTGGGTAGCCCATGATTGCGTGCCCTGGTTGCCGGCGCCAATGCTACAGGTACGGGTAGGTAGGTACCTGTCTTCTGGCCCTGCCTGGTAGCTACCTAGGTAGTTATGGTATGTATGAATGTACTTGACACTTGAGACGGCTCACGGACACATCATCGGACACATCATCCGACGTGCGAGCCACGCGCATCAACGAAATTGTGCTGCGCTCCGCTTTCACATCACAAGCGTTGCTTGACGCATTCGATGGGGCGCACGAAACGGTCCCGCGGAGTGGCCCAGCGCCCAATAGACCAACGACTTCCCCAGTTCCGTCTGCAGACTGCCCCATCGTTCCCCGAGTTCCACTATCTGCAACGGCACTGGCGCACCCTCGCAGCCATATTACCCGTGCAGACAGGGAGGCGCCCAGGTCAAAAACGCGCCGTCACTGTCAGCCCCCCTTGGCCACGGGGGGCCCAACTGAGGCTTGACAGCCCTCACAGGCTGTAACTAACCGGCTGCCCCCGGGCGCAGTCTGTGCTCTCCAATACACAGTTCCCGATTACAGATTACCATACCCCGGAACAGACTGGGAAGGGGGGGTTTGACGATGACCGGGGCCCTTGCTGGCATTGCCAAACAGCACCCTTCGATTTTCGGGGCCGTCCATGGATGGCGTGGATGGCCACACTTGCCAGGGTGCCCTGACTTAGTGTACGGCTATCCTTGCTCCATCTGGGGCTCCATCTCAATTGCACCGTTGCCTTAAACTCGCACAAAAACCACCGAGTGCCACTGACACCAAATCTCTGTCTCCCGAGTCTCGACCAAGCTACCTGACTCTGCCTAGATAACGATTGCGAGCTGAGCTCACGAGGACCGACACAAACGCAAGACGACGTTCCCGGCAGCTACCCAACCGTCCGGTTGCCCTTCCGCTTCCCTCGGCTCACACCCACACCCCCATGTCACGGGAGACTGACTGGTGACGGGACCGCCCTGCAGCTCCCCGAGAGCTTCTCCATCGTACGGACGCCGCTACATGTTGTGCCACTGGCCGGATCCCCAAGATCACTAAAAGGGTTCACATTGCAGCATCTTGTCCGACCTAGGCGTCTTGTACAGTGACCCGCTTCTTCGCCCGCCACCACCCGGCCCACCCCATTCGGCCAGATCCAGCTCCCGCTCGTTCTCAAAAGGGCTGTGAGTTAGCGCGAACCACTCGAGTCTTAGCATCTTGCAGCGCACAACGAGCGCTACAGCTACCGCTTACCCGGAGGCCATCTTCGAACCCCCATGCAAGGACCCCATTTCCCGCCAACGACTTCCGCTGCGGACGGAGCCTTAGTTTTTCACCCACACGCCGAGACGTAGGAGATCCCCATAGTCCTCCATCGGCTTACTTCGTCCCACTGCCCGTCGCATCGGGTAATGTCGGTCGCTGCCTCTGCGCTCGGGGCACGGCTTGGAAGTTCGTCTTCCCTGGTGGGGATTTGGTTGAGACCGGCTTGTGGAGTGCGGCCCCGCCCTCGTTGTCCGGCAGACGTTCGGAACCTTCGGTCTTCTCGCCGGCCCTAGCGGCACATCCTCCATGCGGCCATCCGGCCATCGACGCGACGATTCTTGGACGTCTTTCGGCCAGCGCCGAGGAATATCGGACACGGCACGCTTCGGCCTTGACCTGACGCGGACCAGAACCGGCTCCGGAGGCGCTGTTGGGCGAGGAAGCTACCCGTCTCCCCCCATGTCGGGGTCTCCGCCGCTTCCCCCCAAAACTAGCCCCGAGGTTGCCGAACGGAGCCAGGGGACGTATCAGGCGACCACACAAGATGTGTACTCTGGCATCCCGACAACAACACAGAACGAGGAGAGGACACAGACGGGGGCCGCGGGTGGACCCCGCGCATTCTTTTCAGATGCACCAGAACGAGCACCCTACACTTTTCCTCGACTCGATGCGCCAGGAACAAGGCCGCCACCGCTTTACCCACAACCGCTCGGCCAGGGCACCACTCAGTCAACAGCATACCTGCCTGGCCCCGGAACTGGGGCGGCCGGGAACCACCCCGGGGCTTTGCCCCCTCCGCAGACATACCCCTCAGGGGCGCATCATCCCACCCCCGACGCCCTGCACGATACACCGCCAAAGACGCAAAGAAAGACAAAAGGACATGTGGCATCCGCATGCGTGCCTTGCAAAAAGGCACACCTCCGGTTTGTCATCCATGTTTTTGACTTCATCATCGGGCCTGAAACGTGAAAGTGCTGACGGTTGGTAGATGCGACGGTATGTACCTGGGCTCGTCCTTCGCCGATATTAAACTTGAACCAAACAAAGGAACAACCGGGCTAGGCGGGCGGCACTGGCGCTGCGGCTCCGTCGTAGGGGTTTGCGGAATTAATTGACATCATATTGTCGAGCAATTCCGGGACCGTTTAGGCGCGGCATTCAGCAGTGCCAAGCACCAGCGTGCAACGCCATTCAAGCTGAGACGGCCCATTGATTTGAGTGTCGTCGCACCGGTAATGGGGTCATCAGGCTGCAGGAACGGGAGGGGATGGTTCTCAAGCGGGCGCTATCTCTTGTCCGTGCTTGGGTCCAGATGCGCGGGGCGATTGGTTCGGGGTCGGTGCTGCCCTTCCTCCCTGGGCTACCATCACTCCATGCCAGAACGGTTCGCTACTGCAAGGCGGATGTCTGATCCTACGGCAAGCCGGCCCGTTGCCCTTGAAATATGGTGGGATTTCCCGCTGATCAACGGCTCGAGCAGCCTTGTCGGCCCCTCCTCTTTTAGCCATTACGATGCATCACCAAGTGGCTGGGGGGGAGGGGGGGTCTGAAGGCTCACCGATCTCCGTGCTCGTTGACGGATGAGGCCCCGGGCTATCTTGGAGAAGCGAGCCATCTTTCTGGTCGCCCCCTAGCGCGTCCCCTCGTTCGGTTCTAGGCAGGCTATTCTCGTGGCTGGTGTGCTAACAAAGCGATAGCCCAGCGCCCCTGCTCGAGGTGTATGAGCACCAACAAAGAGGGAGCATGTATCGACGTGCAGCACAAGAAGCGCGGGAGACCTCGCTTACGAGATGACAACCAAGCGAAATACGAGGGCGCAAGGTTCGGAAGTGCCGTGGATGCAATGAGAAGGCCATTGTCATCGGCCTATGGTCCGGGGCCGCCGCTGGGTATGGTTTACGATGACCCTCTTCGCCGCACTCAATCGTACCGCGTGCTGAAATCTCAGCCAGCTGAATCAATCGTGCCGCGGTTCCCAGAGCGAGGGTTGGCGTCCGATGCGAACATTTACCCAGCTCCGTTGTCAATCGCTACAGCCAGAGCCCCCGAAGAGCCGGTCGCGTACTTGACCATCGGCCTCGAGTTTTCAAGAGCATCGACTGCTTTCCTGGGTGCGATCGGCCGGGCTTCGGTAACGGGGCTCGAGATCACGAATGTGTTAGCAGCCGAGGAGCGCCCCAGGGCTTCTCGACTCCAGCAGCAGGCACAGGAGGAGCAAACCAGGAAAGACCCGGCTTATCTCCCGCCGATATTCAACGACCGGAGCGATGCCGTGATGCAGAGCCTTGGCTTTAGCCCCGAAGAGGTGTCGAGATACCCACTTCATTGGCTGGACACCTTCACCTTTTTGGGCGACGATGGACAAGCGAGACAGATTCCGGTGCGCGCTGGGTTAGCCACTCGGGACTCGATATATTTCGTCGTTTTGTTGCTGAACCGGGCATCTCGACCTTCATACCCAACACCATCGCCGAGCCTAAGAGACATGGGTGGGTCATTCGAGCCAGGGCTGCAACATTACTCCCAACCCACGCCACTGTCAGCAACCTTCGACCCGCGGCAATCGAGGTTAAGTGATCCTGGATACGACTCCAGGCCGCCCGGGCAACATGGTGGGCCGCTTCACATGCTGCCGGCCCGAAGCCCAAGTCTCTCATCGGCGTATGGCATCTCACCGAGCAGGCCCGACTACCCGATCACTCCGAGAGCGTACCAAACTCCGAGAACTGATGTGCACTCGACAGGCCGCCCATCCCAGCCGGCAGATTATCAACTTCTGCCCCTCCCGAGGATTAGGAGCCCACCCATGGGCACCCCGCAACAACCTGAACCGCCTCAGACGCAGCAGGCGCAAACGCAGCCCCAGCCCCAGTTGCAGCCGCCGCCGCCGCCGCCGCCGCCACCATATCAAACCCGAGAAGAACGGTCCCGGATAGGCATCGGTGGCCTGCTTGAGCAGCCGGGGCGGACGAAGAGCCCATGACGAGAACAAAAGGGGGGATGAGTCGCGTGAATCGAGGTTGTTTGTGATGACTCGCTTTTGTGGGTTGGAAAAGAGGACGGAAAACTAGCGAAGGCGAGAGGATATCGGTTCTGTGGACCTTATTTTCGGGCAACTTGTCGTTCGCGGGATCGCATTTTTGTTTGGGATGATACCACTGTATATCTTTGCACATAACTCTTGTGTTCAGTGCATTCGGCGCGCAATTTTGTGTCTCGGAAAGCCGGTGGGCGGTGGGCGGTGGGCGGTAGGGGAGCGGGGAGCAAGGAGCATCTTTTGGCGTTTGTTCGGCTCGGACCTTTTTTCTTCGTTTATTCTTTTTTGGACTTCTTCAGCTTGCTTTTTCTACTCTTTATTCGGCTTGTTCGGCTTCCTCAACTTCTTTTTCGACTTCTTCAACCTCTTCTTCGGTCTATACTTCATCTTTTTCTCTTCCTTCTTTTTTCCCTTCACTTGCTCTTCTTTTCCGAGCTGCCGGGCCCCTTTGAATGGGGCACATTTTCCGGTGGTTCGTCGTTATTTTCAGGTGTTGTTGCCGTCGTCTTTTCTTGAGCGGCGAACGCAGGCTGGATTACATGCTGGCATGCGTGAAGAGAACTCAGCCTGAGGCGGAATACCAGGAGTATTTCTGGCGCTTCGGCCTCATTTCCTCGGTCTCTGTTCGTCGCAGTCCATGTCGCGGTGCCTTTCGTCCCCAAACAAAGTACCAAGGAGATTCCACGGCCTTTCATGATACGGAGTTGTCGGAGGGGGTTTCTTGGTCGTTGTTGGCTACTGATGGATATGTTCCAGCCCCGCTTTCGCATGCGGCCTGCCGGAGAGGCCAAGTAGATGGATTCGGTCGGAGATGGGGCAGTTCGTGCGTCATGTGCTGATGGCTGCGACGCTGATCTCGGTTTCGAGCGGATGGAAAGCTGTTCATTCTGGCGCGAGGTGCAACGGCAACCGTCGGACGGAAGGGTTGAAAATTAGAAGTAAGGGAAATAGGATGATACCCCTGGATGGGTGGACGTTGACTTAGGGTTTTACTCGGAGTTTCTGACCAACCGGAGCCGCAGTGGCGGGTGCAAGAGCCGGAAGTCGGAATCGGGCAGGATGATGATCTTGGCCCTGGGGGAAAGGTTTAATCAATGTATGTACATACAAGGACGGACAGAGGAAGAGATTAAGGCGGTGACTGGCGTTGCCGGCCTGGTACAGAGGCCTCGATCCGAGCAGGGGGTGGAAGGGGCCGAGCCAGCGGGATAACGAAAACAAGCGACCGCCTCTCCCTACGAGGTACTAGACGGGCACTCAGCCGCCAACGCAACACTGCGTAAGAAGACACACAAACGAACCGGATAGTTAACTAGCTCACAACGAACCAGTTGTCCGTCCTACCTTCCCACCTTTTGACTTTCGCCTGTGCCTGCCTTTAGCAAACCGTATCATCTGCGTTCCAGCCAGGGTTCCTTCGGTTACGTCTTCCGTTCCGCCCGGCGGAGATTTGCGTAACATTGGGCGTCCCGGGGAATGGCCTGGCCTGGCCTGGCCCTGCTGGAGTTACGTCGGATCGTCTGACATGGGAGTTGGCTTCGGCTGTTGCTTGCCCCCCCGCTCTCCCTCCTCCACGCACGTTGGGAGCTCATGGGTAGGTGTGCTGTGTCCATAACTTTTATGCATTTCTGTGGCGGTCGGGTTGTGAACACAACGGCTGGATCGGGGTTGGGACTGTTTGCTGGCGATTATGTATTTATTGGCAGGGGAGGGATAGCACAGGCGTGTAGAAGGTGATGGAATGTACATAGGTGCTAACTAGCAAATAGATCAAGTCTTTGGGGTGTTGCAGAAAGCCTGCGCTTTTGGTGTCCTGGTCTGCTGCCACTTTACTCTTTTATTGAAAGCTGTTCAGCATATTGCCAAGGGTGAGAGAATCTGCATCCTGCTCTTCTAAGAGTAATAATATGTTGAATGGTAGCCTGGTTGTGATAATTGGTCGAGGCAGTAATGAGAATATTCCAAATCGGGAAGGTTGTACTGTGTATGGCTGACACGATGAGGAAGTCACATCCAGGCCCTAACCGACTAGCGTGATCTTCCAACAGATTGCTTGATTCAAGCCGTTGTATTATTTTACTATTTTATCCAATATATATAACCTTCTCCCCAGTCTATATTTGAACTCTTTCCCGCTTGACTTGATATTATCTTTTCCTCAATTTTCCCGTTCACTCTTCCGCTTTTTTCCCTTTTCTCTCCTCTTTCCCCTGGTTTTCTCGCTGCCCCCCAACCCCAACCCCAAAAGCCTGCTACGTAGTTATACAGGCAGCAGCATGTACCAAGCTGGTATATCGGGGCTGGCCAAGCACACATCAATCCCCCCAGCTTCCAACCCGCCCCCGCCCTCCCCCCCCCTTACAACTTACAACCCCAACCCACCTACCCCCTCCACACCATCCCAACCCCCGCCTCCTCATCCCGCCTAATATCCAACCCAATCCCCGCCCCCCGCGCCAGCCCCCGAATCTCCTCCCTCGCCGCCCGCTCCTCCTCACACACCTCGTCGTCCTCCCCCCTCAGCACCAGCACCACGCTCCTCAGCCGCGGCGTGCGCGCCCGCACGTCGGCGCCGGCGCCGGCGGCCAGCCACGCGCGCACGGCCAGGACGTGGCCCGTCACGTCCCACGGCTCCTCCGTGTCGATGTCGGCGTACAGGTCGTCCGTCAGCGTGAGCGCTTCGAGGTTGGGCGGCAGGCTGTGGGACAGGCCGGTGGTGGTGGTGGTGTGTGGGATGGGGAGGGGGAAGCCGGTGAAGAAGACGAGCGGGATGGTGAGGGTTGTGAGGTGGGGGAAGGTGGACAGGGGGTGCATGGACCCCTGGACGTGGAGGGGGAAGGGGATGTAGGGTCGGGGGGAGAAGAGGCTGAAGGCGAAGATGTCGAGCGTGGTGAGGGTGTCGCGGAGGGGGAGGAGGGCGGGGAGGAGGAGGTCCAGGTTGACGGTGGGGGTGTTGAATTGGTCCTCGGTGTCCGGGTCGTAGCGCCAGTTCCAGTGCAGGGTGTGGAGGCGCGGCGCGGCGGCGAGGACCTGGCCGAGGTGGGCTTCTCGGATGTGATGGAGGCGGAGGGTGCGGAGCCCGAGGGCGGAAGGCGGCTGGGAGGTGGGCCACGGGAATTCGGGCTCTGGTGGGTCCGGCATCGAGATGGACATGTCCTTGATGGATGGGAGGTAGAAAAGCGGGAGGATACATTCCGTGTTCCGAGTCTCCGGGGCCAGCCGCAGGCCGGGATACCGTTCGAGATCGACGGTGTGGAGTTGGTGTAAACTGGTGCTACTGAATCCGGGTATAGGTTGCCCGGAGTGAGAATCGCAAAGCATACTTCGCAAGACGAGAGCCACAAGGTCACACTTCTGGTAAAACTTGTTGCTGAGACGTAAGTCCTGGAGGCGCGGTAACTGTGATAATAGGACGGCGAGGTGGGCGTCAATGGTGCCCGCACGTAGTTCCGCCGCCCAAATGTCGCGATAGGGTAACTGAGTCCTCTCCACGAAGGATAAGGCCTCTCGCAAATCTGCCTGACGCACGGGAAGCTCTAAGCCATCCCCCTGGGCTCTACCTCCGGTGCCCGAGAGACTTCGTATGCGGGGGGCAAGGTCCGGCCGACGCAATATGGTGCGTATAAGTAAGGTGATGGGGTGCCACGTCGAGTATTTTTGTTGGTCATAGGAGAGCTTGATCCTAGAGTAGAGAGGTGCCTCGGCAAGATGGCGCAATTGCGGATGGACCAAACAAACATTGCGAAGATCACCTTGGGACAGGTACCCTAGGATCAACCAAAGCACATCCTCGTTGCAGTCGAGAAGGTGTGTGGTCGGCTGAGTCAACCGGTGATTGGTCAGTCAACGACTAATTGTTTATCTCCTCTAGCGACTTACCATTGTGGATGTAGGAATTGAAATGATGAAGTGTTGGGAGTAATCGCCGGGTTGATGATTGGGGTTGATGATTGGGGTTGATGATTGGGGTTGATGATTGGGGTTGATGATTGGGGTTGATGATTGGAGTCGTGACGGAAAGGTTGGGGGTTTGGCTCACTTCGGCCGTGCGTTATTAAGGTTTGGACGGAGTGGTATTGCATGACCAATGAGGAACAAACTCGGGACGAGTGGTTGGCTTCTAACCAATTTATATTCCAAGAGCACGAAACAATCACACGGAGCCCCGTACTATCTATTGCTATTTTGCCCTGTTTTAAACACGCCGATTTTGGGGGGCCATCTCTCCCCTGACAGTAACAGCAACGCTACAAATGTCCATTGCACACCACTGCCATCACAACATCTAAGCATATCCGACCCTCAAGCGAGGAGCACACCCTTGAAATCAGCATTCCGAATCGTTGTCGCTGGAGCTAGCCGGCTCAGACGTCTCCGGGATTCCACTGCGGGACATGGCTGTCCCGTTGCCAACACGGGGCAGTCGTCGCCTAGCGGGTCTAATGGGAAGCGTGTCCCTCGTCCTACTAGGGGCTGTCGGATCGGATGGTCCACTGGCCGAAGGGCCGTTGGTCGGGGTTGGATGTGCCGTGGAAGCCGGTAGTGAGAAGGCGGAGGAGCCTGATGATACCGCTGTCGAAACGGGGGACGGATTCGACGCGAACATGCGGTCTAGCTCCTCGCCGAGCTTGTCTCGCTTCGCCACGGGTTCGTCGGTCGTCTCGTCGTCATGTGGCCGCTTCACCCCATGAAGGGCATTGTTGAGAGTATCGTTGTCCATGTCGGTAGCCTCGATCAAGCCCCTTAGTAGGTCCTCGGGGGGTAGTCGGTCGTTTTGCGACGGTTGTGATGACGGCTGCGATGAAAGGAACGAAGACAGAGAATTGGCGGTTGCTTGTCGGGCCAACGACGGCTCGGGGCCTCGTGAAGGTGAAGGACGTACTGATGGTGAACGGGAACGCCTTCCCATGCTCCGTCCTCTAATAAATGCTGTGAGAAACCGCCGGTGCTAATATATAGGTACCCTTGGAAGGAAAGCACCTACCTTTGGCTCAACGAATCGAGGTTGACTTGGACTGACGAACGTCCCTCACTCGCAGCCGGTTCCGGGCTCGAAAGCCCGGATATATCGCGGGGGGAACCGTTGGTCATGGCTTGTCGGTTGGGTGGTGAGTCAAAACTGTTGCGTATCACGACTTGTGCTTGGCCCATATGAAAGGTCAACGCAGCTGCGAGATGCAACTGACCGTGGTGTGGCCGGTGTCACATATTTAAAGAAAACGGTCTGAACCAAAGTCGAAACAGTCACTCGACTGGAGGATCAGGGCGAAAATGACTTTTTTTTTCCCGCCCAGGACTTCAGAGTGCCCCGCTTGAGAGCCCTCCCATACGCCTGGGGAACATGACAGGGCTGCAGGATGCGTGGGTGGACGGGAATATGCAAGCAAGGGCGGGAGCGGCGCGTCGCTTGAGCGCAGGATGCAACTCTAACGCAACCCATCCCATACCAACGCTCGGCACTAGCGACTTGCTCGGCCCCACCACCTGACCTGACCGCCGTTGACCGAGTAAACCCAACGGTTGGCCTACTTGCACAGTACACCTGTCGGGACAGCGACAGGAGGCGGGGAAAGGCACAGTCCGGCATCTGGTCCCCGTAGCCGCGCGGAAAAGCTCAGCCCCCTGTGAAAAGAGAGGGTGGCTTGGATCCTTTGCCAGTAACTAACTGGAAGCCTGGACCTGAAAGCTTCAAACCGGGCCTGTTGCGAATTTCGGAATTGTGGCCGAATATTCCGGCGTGGGGTTATGGGAAGGATTGAGGGCGCCCGATATGCTTTGTGGATTGGGAATAGTCGTCGGAGGAGGGGGGTTGAGCTGGGCCATTGAGCTATGTGCTGTGCCGCGTGTGGCGTGAATGGAGAAGGGAAGGACTGGACGTTGCTGACTATCGCGAGTCGCTTTCGCTTCTCGTAGCTTGCCCAGGCCGGTTGTGGCGCTGCAGTCCGCCGGGGCCGGACAGAAACTGATCGATTTCCGTGCCACTCGAACTCGACCACGAACCGAGCCTGAACATAGTAAGCAAGTTCGGGAAGGAGAAGGGGAAGGGGGCCGCGAAGTCGGGCTGAAGTGATTTTGTTGGTTGGAGAACTCGGGCCACATCGCAGCAGGCAGCCAAGGCCGAGCCAGCTAACTAGTCCATATTAGGCTTAGACGCCGGTTGTCTGTGCTGAATGACGGCCCGTCAGCATTGACCACCTCCCTGCCAGGGCTGACTTCACCCGCAACAACTGATGAGGCTCAGTCAGAAGGAAGTCGCGATCTACCCATGGATGATGGATGGATGCCTGACTCACCCACATTGATTTTTTCAATCAAGTCGTCCTTGCCCGGGCGAGCTGAAATGAGCCACAGAGCGGCCGCACGTCAGCGCGGGGTACCTCTGAAAAGTGCCCAAACTCGCCAGTTTTAACCCCCCGCATCTCTCAATCCCCGTCACACACTACTAGTACACTGTACGTACAAAGGCGGAACGGCACAATGAGTGATGCAATGGACTCGGATGCGCCCCGTGGCGCTAAGCGAAAAGCCGATGCCCTTGACGACACGGCTATTCCCCGACGGATCAAGGTATGCTATGCCGATAGTCTTTCCCACCTAAGTGTCACCGCGTCCCAGGTGCTGCATCCTGCCTCGGATTGCTAAGTCCGAGTTGTTATTCAGGCGCTTGATCAAGATGTCGTCAACAAGATCGCCGCCGGGGAAATCATTGTTGCTCCGGTCCATGCCTTGAAAGAATTGATTGAGAACGCCGTGGATGCGGGCTCGACGTCCCTCGAAGTCCTGGTGAAGGATGGGGGCCTGAAGTTGCTGCAGATCACCGACAACGGCTCCGGCATTGATGTGTGACCACCCCTTGCTCCCGTTCACCAACCATGCCTGCCAGACCACTCACCAAGTAAATAGAAAGAAGACTTGCCAATCCTGTGTGAGCGCTTCACCACGTCCAAGCTGCAGAAGTTTGAAGACCTCCAGTCCATCGCCACCTATGGGTTCCGAGGTGAGGCCCTGGCAAGCATCAGCCACATAGCCCACCTCACAGTCACCACGAAGACCCCCGAATCGAACTGTGCGTGGCGGGCCTACTATGACAGCGGGAAACTGGTGCCGGCCAAGCCAGGCCAGTCGCCTGACCCGAAACCTGTTGCCGGCCGGCAAGGCACTCAGATCACAGTCGAGGATCTGTTCTACAATGTCCCCACCCGCCGGCGAGCCTTCCGGTCTCCCGCGGACGAGTACAACAAGATTATCGACATGGTTGGTCGGTACGCCGTCCACTGCTCCAACGTCGCCTTTTCCTGCAAGAAGCACGGCGAGTCGTCGACAAGCATTGCCGTCCAAGCCACTGCTTCAGGCCTCGACAGGATACGGCAGATTTACGGGGGCAGTGTTGCCAACGAACTCACCGAATTCTCCACGTCCGACGACCGTTGGGCGTTCAAGGCCAAGGGGCTAGCAACCAACGCCAACTACAGTACCAAGAAAACCACCATTCTATTATTCATCAACCACCGGTGTGTTGAGTCATCCAACATCCGGAAAGCCATCGAACAGACGTACTCGGCCTTTCTCCCCAAAAATGGCCACCCTTTCGTGTACCTCAACCTAGAGATCGATCCTCACCGGGTGGATGTCAATGTCCACCCTACCAAGCGGGAGGTGAACTTCCTAAATGAAGATGAAATCATCCAAGCCATCTGCGAGCATATCCGCTCGAAGCTGGCTGCAGTAGATGCCAGTCGGACGTTCCTCACGCAGAGCCTGCTCCCGGGCGGCACATGGTCTGGCCCTGCCCCCAGCCCCCACGACTCAGCAGCAGCGGCGGCCGCCCCCTCTAAGACAAGTGGCGGCCCCGCTCGCAAGACCCCAGTCCGGAACGAAAACAACCTCGTTCGGACCGACACCAACCTACGCAAGATCACTAGCATGCTGCCTCCCGCCGCCGCCGCCTCTGGTAGCGGTAGCGGTAGCGGTAGCGGCGGCGGTGGTCCGTTTCCCGACGCCCCAGCAGATACTGACATGATCGAGTACGAGACGGTCGATCGCGAGGCTACGGCCTGCCGCCTGATCAGCATCCGCGAGCTGCGCGCTGCGGTGCGAGAAGACATGCACCACGAGCTGACCGAGATCTTTGCCAACCACACTTTCGTCGGCGTCGTCGACGAGCGCCGCCGCCTCGCTGCCATCCAGGGCGGCGTCAAGCTGTTCTTGGTCGACTACGGCCGTGTGTGCTTTGAGTACTTCTACCAGCTGGGCCTGACCGACTTTGGTAACTTTGGCGTCATACGCTTCAGTCCGCCGCTAGATTTGAAGGAGCTGCTCACCTTGGCTGCGCAGCAGGAGAAGGATGCCGCCGCTGCGGAAGACGGTGGGAGTGATGAAGAATTTGACGTGTCTGATATCGTCGAACTAGTCGGCGAGCAGCTCATAGAGCGGCGCGAGATGCTGCTCGAGTATTTCTCGCTCGAGATTTCCCCCACCGGCGAGCTGCTCAGCATCCCGCTACTCGTCAAGGGATACAACCCCGCCCTCGTCAAACTCCCACGCTTTCTCCTGCGACTGGGCCCACACGTCAACTGGGGCGAGGAGAAGTCATGCTTTGACGATTTCCTCAAAGAGCTCGCTTCCTTCTACGTGCCTGAGCAGCTCCCCGCCACGCCCGGGAACGAAGAGGGCGCTGCTGCAGAGGAGGCGGACGTCGACGAGGAGATCAAAACCCGCCGGAGCCATGTGCGCAGGGCGCTCGAGCACGTGCTGTTTCCGGCCTTCAAGTCGAGGCTGGTGGCTACCAAGTCGCTGATGCAGGGGGGGATATTGGAGGTTGCCAACCTGAAGGGGCTGTACCGCGTGTTTGAGCGGTGTTAAGGTGTACTTGCTTAGATGTGATGGATTTAATGTAGCAACATGGACGTGTTGCTGGCTAATGGGTTAGATATCCCGTGGGGTGGACACACACAAAGACTCAGTAAGGGGCTGTTAGGTAGTTGCAGCCCCGAATAAGAAAGTCAAACTTGTAATGATACTGTGTTCTGTTGGCCTGAATTATTGTCTTCGTATTCACCTCCAAGTATGACTGAGTGATAGTACTCCCTCCCCAATATCTTCTTTATATCACTTAGGATAGGGCCAAGTACCGCTGACGTTCTATCACAGCCCATCTCAAGCTGTCCATGACACATCACTTAACGTGGAAAAGGGGCATCATCTCAATGTATCCTACACTTAACACTTAATTGCCCCTAACGATCACATATCCCCAAATTATCAAGGATGCACTAAACATAGTCCACCCAGCCCACACACCCAACCCCCCCTCCCCCTTCCCGCGCAATCCCCTCAATTTCTCTAATAACAACAACAAGGCAGAATGTTACAACACCCCAACCACACTTCAACTCAACTACTCAACTCGACTCAAAACGACCAGGCACATAACCATGCAATAGAGTAGCAGCGTGACAAGATCGTCATAAACACATAACAAAACACCGTTACGACCGGTACCATACCATACCATATACACACACAGAGACACGCCAACCGACCGTTTTGCACCCGACCAAACCGGTTCCAACCACCCGAAGACGTCCCATAAACCGCCACCGCCAGCCAGTCCAGTCCAGTCCAGTCCAGTCCAGTCCAGTTCAGTGAAAAAAAATACCCGATCCGTTTTTTAGGCCCGTTTTCTCGCACCCCCCACCTAAACCACCTAACCACCTAACCACCAAAACCCGCAGTTTCCTCCTCCCTGCCCTGTCACATAGCTTGACCCAAGTAGGTAAAATAAATACTGGCTGACTGGCCTACGCTCTGGTAGGCAGGCGCGTCGGACGGTGAATAAAACACGGGCTGCTCTCCGCATGGCCTCGGCCTTTCACCCAGCCCCCAACCCCCAACCCCAACCCAACCCAACCCCAGCCCGACCGGCCGTGGCCTAATAACAAGAAAGGTATTTTGCGAATAAAACGGACCGGGAGCTACTTCATTACCAACCCCACTCACCCGTCCATCATTTGGTCCGTTCGTCTGTCCGTGGGTCCGTCCGTCAAAGCCGGACTTAATTGTGTGGGTTCATTGATATCAACCACTCGCTCAGGGACCTCTGTACCCGCCGGGAGGAGGCATCATGCCGCGCCGGTCGAGGCCGTTCATGCGCTCCAGCCCGTCAAACATACCCGGCGGTCCACCGTACCCGCCGATACCGCTATGACCACCAAGTCCGGGGCCAGGTCCTGCGTTACGCGGCTGGGGCCCATCCGGACCCTGGAAGCCACCTCCGCCCCCCATCCCGGGAGGGGGCATGAAACCCGGCGGGGGCGGGCCGCCATAGAATCCCGGTGGCGGCTGCATCGGACGCGGGGGACCGGAAGATGGGCCACCCATGCCATCCGGTGGCGGAGGGCCGCCGCCATGAGGAGGGGGCCCTGGGGGAAAGCTACCCGGACCGCCGTGGCCGTGCGTATGCGGGAAGTTGGGCGGGAACATGCCCGGCATGGGCACGTTGCGGGGTCCGTTGTTCATCAGCCCCGGGGGCGGGATCATGGGCCGCTGTGGGGGCATCTGGCCGGCGGCAGCTGCTGCGGCTGCGACGGCGGGGTTGACTCCGCCCATGTGGAAGGGGTGCATCTGGTGATCGAGGCCCGGGGGAGGGGGGGGACGCTGCAGAATCTGCGTCGGCTGCGGGGGCGGGCGGCCGTCGACCTCTCCTGGGTGGAACTGGCTCTCGTCGAGGAAGCCCGGCGGGCCGCGCATCTGCTGGCGCTGGGAGGAGCTCCGCTCACGGGGGTATTCTTGCTCGCGGTCCGGCATGTTGGCGAGCGGTACCTGCTTGGTCGGCTGCGGCATGCGGAGCAGAAGCTGCTCGTTGCGTGGTGGCTCAGGCGTCTCGCGGCGGCCTTGCATGAGGCCCACCAAAAATTCTCGGTTTCGGTTGACGGCCGTCATATTTTGTTGCTCTGCGCGCGCGAGTTGTTGGTTGGGAAGATGGTGGCGCTGGGCGAGGAGATCTTGCAAGGCTTGCTCCGGCCGGGAAACAGGTGGTGGCATTGGGAGCCCAACCGGTCGAGGGGAGATAATATCGTGGAGTGAGTGTTGCGAGCTACGTATGCGTGGATCTTCGCGCCTATCGTTATTGCCGTACTGCTGGAATGGTTCCGGGGAAGTGACAGCGCTCTTCTGCTGCATCTCTTGGAAGGGGGATGTTTCGGGATATCTGCCGGGGGTTGTCTGCGATGGTGGCGCGCTCGATTCCAAGGCCGGCCCGAGCCCCGACATGTGGAGCTTAGAAATAAGCAGGGCAAAGGCTTCCTTCTCGGCCTCGCTCTGGTGAGCCGGGCCAGGTCGGTCGCCTGGCTGGACTGCTGGTGCAGGGGTAGGCGGTTCGGTCTTCGCTCGGCTATCCTCTTGAGGGTTTAGGAACGCCATGAACCTCGAAGACTTGCCGGTCCTTGGTTTAGCCGCATCCTTCACCTCGGCAATGGGCGTCCCGCCATCGAGACCAGAACTCCCGTAGGCGGCAAAGAACTTGTCTGGGGCCTGCTCGGTGGCAGGCGCCGAGACAACCTTGTGCTCGACTTCCACAGTTGCGGCAGCTGCGGTAACCGGTGGTTGATCCAAGAGCATGCTGGGCTTCTCGTCTTGTTTCGGGGCACCGCCTCCTCTGCCCGCTTTCATGGTCTCCATGAACTTTTTAAAGTCCTCTTCCGTGTGGCCCTGGGCCTTGTCCTCGAGGGGCTCGTCTAGCCACTCGGGGTCGTTCTCGACACGGGCATGGCGATCGCGATCCCACCTTCGCTCAAAGTTTCGGTCATTACGGTCGCCATACCTGTCGTTGGTTTTGTTGTTGTCTTCCGGGTCCCGGTCGCGCCAGCTCTTGGCCTTCTCGATGCGCTCCCGCTGGGACTTGGGAGGGGCATCAGAGCTGCCACCCGCCGCATTCTCCCTGAACCAGGATTCCGACTTGCCACGACCTAGTCCATTCTTGCGCGGGGTTTCGGAGTCATCGCCTTCTTGGTCCCGCGAACGACGCTCGAATTCGCGGTTGCGGCGGAGATCTCCGCCCTCCCGGTCGTCTCGGTCCCGCAGCCGACGGGTGTCGTCCCGCTGGCCGAAGCGGTCATTGCCGACGCCGCCCATGCGGCCGTGGAAGCGCTCGGCGCCCTCGTGGCCAAAACTCTTGCGCGGCGGCACGGTGTTCCATCCTTCGCCGTCTTGGCCTTGGCCGGGCTGCCGCCGGGAGGCATTGTTTCGGCTATCCGAGTCGTTGGCGCGGTCGCGGAAGGCGAAGCGGTCGGTACGATCCTGTCGCTCCTGGCCCCGGAATCCCTTCTCGACGTCACTATTTCGAACACCGCGCATTGAAGTTGCAGATGCAGATGCGAAGCTGGTCCGCGGCGGACCAAGGATGAATTCATCGGGGTCTGTGTGGTGTTGATGGTCAGCGAAGGCAAACGGACATGAGAACCAGACAACCGCCAGGAGTCATTCGGCTGTCTCGCGGCGGTGAGGGGGGTGCGTACTGGATGCATTTCTAGACCCATTGCGGTCGTGGGGTGGGCGCCTGTTCTCTTGGTTCAGGAGCGCACCGCCTTCTCCAGGCTTCTGGCCGTTGGCTGTCTTTTGCTGGGTGCGGAATGTCTCTGGAGGGGGCCTGGAGAAGAACAAAGTCAGATACCGGCCACGCAGGAGGGGAGCATGTGTGTATGCCAGGGAAAGGAGAGGGGAAAAAAAAACATACCCCATCCACTCCTCAGGAGGGGGCAGATTCGGAGGTTTGACGCATAGCGGCGACTCGCGTAAATGTAGCAGAAACTCTGCCGAGTACCGTTCAGCCATGTCAATATATTATTATGCAACGACCATCAGCTCAAGACTGAGAGGCGGCCTGCATGCGATGGGCCAGGTAGTTTGTCCCCGGTGGGTGGGCGTTGAGTTAAGCTTGCGGTGTCTCGATGAGATGCGGTCAGAAGGTGCGGGAGTGTGGCTTGCGCTGCTTTTGAATCCAAGTCGCTCTCTCTCGGATGGGAACGCAACAAAAATGGTGGAATGAGTCGGCGGCGGATGGAGAAAACGGGTTAAAAATACGGCATGTGTTTATCCTTTCGCTGGGTGCAAGAAATGCGCGATTTGTAGGTGTAGCGGTCGCTGAGTATTGATGCGTTGTCCATGAATTGGTTGTGGAAGCTTTGATGGTTGTGGTCGGTTTTGGGCTGCCGTCTTGTTTGCCGCCTGTGGCAGGTCGCAGTCGATCAAATCAATATTAAAACCGGCCCTAGCCTCAAATGATCGCTCCTACCAGGATTTAGGTGGCGGCGTTGGCTTGGACCAGGGACCAGGGCAAGGGTGTTTTAGCATCATCGGAGTGGCGGGGTTCCTGCTTTCAGTCATGTGTTTTGCGACTTCCATTCTTTCGATGAAGATATGAATTATGAGTTACCACGTTACCTAGGTGAACGGTTCAAGTCAAGAATGATACCCACAGTGAATTAACGTTTGCAGCGCTTCCGAATGCAGCCTAATGTTATATACCCTTGCCAGCTGTATTTTCTTTTTCGTCTCTTCTTGAAACTTGCCTCATTCTGTCTCAGACAACCAAACCGCTCCCAGCTTCTCACCGATTTGGATGTCCCGAGTTAGGAAAGATGTCTCGGCAGACCACATAGTAGGGCAAGCATGATCAGAGAGAAAATCCCCGCTAGATTGGCTCTTTTCGCTGCTATATCAATAAGGTAGGTAAGGCCTCAAATATCAACACATTTAATTTAATTTAATGGAACTTGAAGGATGGATGCTACACATGCCCAACGCCCAACGACCCCTTACTCCAAACCCTAACCCTATCCTGATCACACGTCTCCCATATCCTCCTGCGCAACGCCCCGTGGACAGCTGCCTCGCCAGCATCCGTGCAACCGGCCTGTCTCGCGTCGAGCCAATTCACAATCCCAAACCTCGTCGTCAGCGTGGTGCTCCCCCCCTCGATGCGGGTAGCCCGGTACAGCAAGCGCAGCACCTGGCTCCGGAGCGGCAGCCTCATGTACGGGTTCGCCGCCAGTGCCAGGATCCGCTCGAATACGGGGCCCTTCGCCCGCTTCTTGTGGAACAGCTCGAAATCGTGTGGCGTGCGGAGCCCGTCGATCAGGTATTCCAGGAGCCAGTTGACCTGTGCGTAGTATGTGTCCCCGACCGTTGGCTCCTCGGAGAGGATCTCGTCCACAAGCGGGAGCCTGTCCAGGCTCCAGACTGGCCCACGCGTGAGGAAGATGTTGACCTTGGAATAGAGGCTCGAGAGGGGGTCTCGCAGGACGTTGAGCGCGTGGCAGGCAAATGATGCTATTGTGCTCGGCAGGGGCCCGTCGTTGATATTGTCCCTTGCCGTCTCGGCGAGTTCCGAGAGGAGCAGCCAGATCTGCTCCTTCTCTTCGTACTCGGACTGCTTGATTTTTGCCGCAGCCTTGAGGATGTTGACGAGTGCTTCTTTCCGTATGCTGGCGTGCTCCGAGACGAGTAGGGCGATGAGCGATGTGAGGTAGCCGTCATCGACAAGCTCATCCACTGTCTTGGACGCCCATTTCACCAGAGCCGCGTTGTCTGCCTCCAAGCCGTCCGGGACGTGTAGCGTGTCCTCTAAGGTCTCAGCATCCATTTGAGGCTCCGACTTTTCCTCCCCCTGGCTGGCCGCCGTGCTCTTGGGTTTCTTGGCTTTGGTCTCTGTGCCTCGGGGCCTTGGGTTGTGCTCGAACTCCAGGCCCTTCGGGACACCAGCCTTGGCGAGCTTGCCCTTGCTATCAGCAAGGTGGGTCACCATGTTCGAGAATATTGCGTCGAGTAACGGTCTGCTCTCCCCAGCCGTCGCCGAGAGCCCTAAGAATTTTGGCAGGAAGCGGCCAAGGGCCTTGATAGTGGCTTGTCCCCCCTCCTTTGCTGCAATAAACGGCAATTGCTCCAGCATAGCCATTGCGATAGGACTTGCGACTGCTCCCGCAAGGTCTTTTTGTGTGCTTTCGGTTGTGTTTTGTATTACCTCTTGCATCTTCTCGACGTACTTGACTGGGGTGTTCGCACACCGCGTCAGGCAGTTATCCAAGAAGGGCCACAGCTGCGTGACTGAATCTGGTGATGACTGGCGCAGCGACTGTAGCGCTTCGAGCAGGACAAGCAGCCCGGGGTGTTTGTCACCGGTGGGCACCAGCTGTTGCTCCACAGCGACAAAGTTGAGAACGCTCCGTATTGCCTCTAGCGCCACTCCGTCCGGAGCATCGACGTAAACTTTCAACAGCAGTGTGAATGGAGAAAGCGACATTCCCTCGGAAGCGGAAAACCAGCGCATGCCGGGCGAATATCCGGCAATGGCAAGCAAGTTTTCCAGCTCCTTCAGACTCAGAGCAAAATCGCGGGGGTCGTCGAGTTCTTGCTTGGACAAGCGGCTTAGAGCCGTTTCTAGGAAAGGAGAAACGTCAAATTTGGCCATGAGAGCGACCTGCGGCAGCACCTCGTAGCAGAGGCGCAACAACCGGCTGCCCGCCTCGCGATGCAGAAGATCGCCCTCAGGTATGGATCGGTACGAGTTGATCATTTCTTTGATACCAGGACTCCGCTGGCAGAAATCATCCACCAACCTGCGTGCGGCTTCCGCCCAGACAGACTTGTTGGAGTGGGCGGCATCATGGTGCATCTTGATCGCGGCATCCAACTTCTCGATCGCGACCACCAAGATTCGAGTGGCGAAGAACGAAATCATGTTCGACTTGTTGGCCAGACTCCGAGTTAGTGCTTTTTGATTCAGCGGGAGAGGTAGGATGTTGTCCATGACGATTGAAGTTGGCGGAGGCAGTTCACGGAAGGTTTCCGCGCGGCAGAAGTAGTCGGGGACGGGGAGAGTGACTGTGTTGAAGAGAAAAGCGGCATAGCCAATCCACGTGGCCGAAAGCTTGGGTTCGAATGTGAAGGACTTGTTGGTGAGGAAGTAGTGGGCGACCAGCTCGGGAGCGACCTTGAAGATGGAAGTGATGAGCTCGCTCTGTTTGACGTTCGACCACGGACGTAGGTTCGGCAAGAAGTTTGACAAGGTGTAATTTCGAACAGGAACCTCTGTTTTGAATTTGTTCATCCAAACGATGGCTTCTAGTCCCAAGTCGTCGAGCTCGGCGGTCGGGATAACGGTGTCCGGGTCGATCTCTCGAGGGTAAAAGCCGGAATCATGTCTCAGCACACCACAGGCCGGGTCGGTGCACGCCGTCGTGAGGAATTCGTGGGCGATATCGGGAATGGAAGTCTCGTCTTCAGAGGGTGTGCCTAAACGGTATTGGTAGAGCGCTGCGAGACGGGTGAGTGTCGACGTGTTCAACAGGTTCGCCTTGGCCTCGCGTAGGAGCTTGTCGTCCAACAGGACGTGGCTCCGTAGCCCCTCTAAAAGCTCCCGCACGAGGTAGGGCGGGTCCTGCTTGACATCACGAGTTAGGGCCGAAACGATGTCCCTCTGGGACAGCAGCTCCTTCTTCGCTTCCGGGTGGAGAAACTTGAGGGCGCCGAGGAAGAAGAGGATGGCATTGGTGCGAGCCGATGGCCGTTTGGTATCCTCGGCCTCCTCCCCGATGTGAACAATGCCCATGTTCCGTGCCAACGACTTCAACATGGACGCCCTGGCGCGGAAGAGGGGTCTTGCGATGGCCCCTCCGTCGAAGCTAACAGCCTCTTTCAACATCCTCAAGGTTGGCGAGATTATGAAGGCTTTTCCCTTGTCGGCAGCCAAGTTGCGCGCTATCAACTCTTGCTGTCGTTTCTGTAGCAGGGTTCTACATATGGCTAGCCCCAGGGGTACCGTCTCGAGGGATTGCGAGAGCAGCTTCAGGAGCAGAGCAAGAACGACTGGCAGGGCGGACATGATGTTGTCGTTGTTGATTTGGGCGGCATAACTCCATGTCTGCATCATGTCCGGCAGGCAAACGGTGTTTTCGTCGTCGTCATCGGCGGGCCTCGCGAATTGGAGGTAGTCCCGTAGTATCTGGGGCCGGTCGCCATGGTCGCTGTCTGGGTCTAGCAAGTCGTCGAGGAAGAGTTTGAAGGATTGAAGACCTGTGGTGGGCGAGAGTTAGACGTGTCTTTTCAAATAAACAGCACTGCCTAGGGCATGACCATAAACAACAGGCTCACGAACCATGCCGGGCCCGTACCGGATCTTGACTAAAGGACAGTAGTTGTTGCAATTGTCGGCTCGCATGGATCTCTTCTGATGTTGGTGCTTCATGTACGACTTTTTGCCTTTTCCTTGACGCAGCAGCGCCGTCCGGGCCACGAGTAAATCGTTTCCCCATCTTATGCTGCGCAATGGTTTATTTTAATTTTTTCGCATGTCGGTACCTTCACATTTTGTTTGGGGACGCGGGAGAGCGCGCATGGAATTTCAATATTTTGCAGTAATTTACCGCCTTCGAGTTAATCGCAGCGCAGCGGGGCGATAAGCTCCAAACGATCCCACGCTCCGTCACCCCACCCCAGCTCCTGCTCGGCTCTCGTTCCTTCTGTGTAACGATAGGTAGTTACGGAAACTCCCTTATTCGTACTACTTGGGGGTTAGGGTCCGATCTGACCAACCGACGTTCCTGCGGGAATGACTGTCTTACTTGGTAACGACGCCCTGCTTACTACATTTTTCACCGTTCATCCTTTGTTGCCACCAGAACTGGAACTGGCATTGGAATTGGCTCTTACTTTTAACTTATATATCTTATTATCAAGGCCGGGCAAAGCGTTCATTTTCTAACCTTAGAAAGAAGACTCGGATGTGCAACGCTTGTCATTGGCTGAATTGGATTAATTTGTTGACTCAGTGTCTCAGAACCAGGATTAGATCGACTGGTGTTTCTTGGTGTTGCACACGAAAGAGTCATCCTGCATCACGAGCCATCTGTTGTTGGTCAACCTCCCATTCGACGGCCCACGAACACGCTGAAAATGCCTTCTAGCTCCGGAAGCCAGCCAATCCCAGCTAAGAGCAGCTCTTCGGCGGGCCATCATGACATCCAATCAGCCTTTGCGTCGTCGTTCCGGTCAGCCTCGCCTCTGGCACAGGAGATGTTAGCCCGTGACCTCGCGGAGTGCTCGGACGAAGATGAAGAGGTGCCCTTCGACTCGGAGGCGGTCGAAGAGGGAGAGGACGGGGACGAGGACGAGGACGTCGATGCCCTCCCCGGGCCGACCCTCTACCGCCGGCCAAGCGGTATCGCCTTCGGCACCATACGCCCCGCTTTTGGCACGGGTGCCATCGATGAGCCGGCTCTGCTCACCCGCTCGGAACGGACCCGTAGCCGTGACGCGGAGCGCTCTCTCCTTCGGGACAACCACATCCTTCCTCCCAAACACCAACATCACCATACCCCAAAGAAAGGTCTTGCCGGACAAGTCTCGGGTCTTTACAAGCGCCTCTTCAGCACGAAAGTGCGCCTCCCAGCCGGTGACGAGGAAGCCCACAGCCCGGGACAGTCACCCCCGCGGATCGTCATCATCCCCGACGAGACCGCCCCCCTCCTCGCCTCCCGCAGCCGCTCCTCTGCCGGCAAGCCATCCCCAGGAGGAGGAGGAGGAGGAGGAGGAGGAGGAGACGCCGGGGGCGAGAGCCTCAACGAGCAATGGGACGCAGCCGTAGCAGCCGGACAGATCAAGACGACGTGGCAGCGCGAGGCCAAGACGATCGCCGTCTACTCGCGGTCGCTGGTGGTGACCTTCCTGCTGCAGTACTCGCTCAACGTGGCGTCCATCTTCGCGGTCGGGCGGCTGGGCACGCTGGAGCTGGGCGCGGTGTCGCTGGCGACCATGACGGCCAACATCACCTGCTACGCGCCGGTGCAGGGGCTCGCGACCAGCCTCGACACGCTGTGCGCGCAGGCCTTCGGCTCCGGCCACAAGCAGCTCGTCGGCCTGCAGCTGCAGCGCATGACCTACTTCCTCCTGCTGCTGCTGCTGCCCGTCGCCGCCGTCTGGCTGCACGCCGAGCCCATCCTGGCCTCCATGATCGACAGGGACAGCGCTGCGTTGGCTGCCAGCTACCTGCGCATCGCCCTGCTCGGCACGCCCGCCTACGCGGCCTTCGAGGGCGGCAAGCGCTTCGTGCAGGCGCAGGGCCTGTTCCACGCCACCACGTACGTCCTCCTGGTGGCCGCGCCGACCAACGCGTTCTTGAACTGGTTGTTTGTGTGGAGGTTTGGCTGGGGCTTCGTCGGTGCCCCGATGGCCGTCGCTATCACCCAGAACATGCTGCCCGCGCTGCTTTTCTTGTACGTGTGGAAGATTGACGGCTCCCAGGCCTGGGGTGGGTTCAGGAAGAGTGCGCTGAAGAACTGGGGGCCGATGATCAGATTGGCCTTGCCGGGCATGATCATGGTTGTGGCCGAGTGGTTCGCCTTTGAGATCTTGACCCTCGCGTCCGGGAGGATGGGCGTCGAGTTTCTCGCAGCGCAGAGCGTCCTAGTGACGGTGACCAGCACGACGTTCCAGATCCCTTTCCCGCTCTCCATCGCTGGCTCGACCCGGTTGGCTAACCTCATTGGGGCCAAGCTGGTCGACGCGGCCAAGACGTCGGCCAAAGTGGTGAGTTTGTTGGCGGTCAGGCCCCCTTGACGATACCTCTTTCACTAACCCCGGGGACAACAGACTATCGTTGGCGGAGCACTGGTGGGGTTGTTCAATGTAATTCTCCTGTCGGTGTTCAGGTACCACATACCGTTGCTATTCACGCATGACAGCAAGGTCATCGAGCTCGTGGCCCGGACGCTCCCCATCTGTGCCATTATGCAGCTCTTCGACAGCATGGCGGCCGTCTCTCACGCGCTGTTGCGAGGCATCGGCCGTCAAGAGTTCGGAGGGTATGCCAACCTCATCTGCTACTACGCGGTGGCGCTGCCCATATCGTTCGGGTTGGGATTCGGCCTCGATTGGAAACTCAGCGGGCTCTGGATTGGCGTCACGATTGGGCTCTTCATGTGGGTTCCCGTTCTCTTTCACTCGCCGAGTGCGACTCTGCTAAGTGCTAACACACAATAGCGTCTCGGTGGCCGAGTATTGGTTCACATTTCGCGTTGACTGGCACCAGGCAGCCAGGGAAGCTGAGAGCAGGAATGCTTCAGGGTAACTGGGTGCCCATCTCTTTTTTTGGGATCAGGTGAGGGATATACCACATGCATGCATGATATTAACCGATTTGGATCTGCATTACACAAACATTCGTACCGTTGGTAGCATTTGTTGGATACCCCATCAGGATAGCGGGATGATTGAAACAAGCAAAAGTCATGAATTTGGAAAGATAAATGCATGGGAAATGGTCAAATGGATTTAACGAATGATAAGCTCGAAGGAATTCTAACTAAACTTCTGGTCCGATTTTATGCCCCGAAGCCGATGACTGGGCGGGCTTGGGGGCTGAATGGTTGGCTTCCTGGTGCTTTTGTTCGAAGCTGAAAGTGACTGTGCCTCTTACTACAACTGTATCCCTCAGAATATACAGTACTCCTTGCAACTCTGCAACTTGGTCTCCTCCGAGGCTGACAGCCTCCCTCTTGCACAGTACTCAGCAGCGCTTAGTCAGCGGCACATTCAACATTCCGTCTCCAACCCTCCCCTTGGCGAGGGGCAGAGAGCGCGGGCCTCGCCCGACAGTTTGGCAACAAAGTGGGGTTCCCGTCCGAGGGGGTGTGCAAGGCAGGGGTTTGCCGTTGCCGGCCGCCTTTTGTCGGGCAGCAGCAGCACGCGCTGAGAAGCGGAAATATTTCAGTATTTAAAGTCAGGGCCATCGCACGCTATAACTTCCAGGTTCCAAAGGGAGCACTTCTCCACCAAACCCCAACCAACAACGCATTCTCATTCCGCCCTCCACAAGAACCTAACACCATGTCTACCACTACCACCACGACAACGGCCGAGCCGATCACGGCCGACTCCATCCTCCGCCTCTTCCCGGACATCGATACGAGCGGGGCAGCTCTCGAAGGTCACGATGAGGAACAGATCCGTCTTATGGACGAGGTCTGCATCGTCCTGGACGAGAATGACCTGCCAATCGGGACTGCGAGCAAGAAGCTATGTAAGTGTCACAGTTCCTGTTACGCGACACCGAAACCAAGCGGGGGGGGGGGTTGGATTGTGGGCGAGTGGGTTGCAGCAAACAAGAGCAAATAAGTAAATACATGCAGGAAGACATGTTGTGCTAATAAGGTATGCGACTCGTTACCTAGGCCACCTTATGACAAACATCGACAAGGGCCTCCTGCACAGAGCCTTCTCCGTCTTCCTCTTCAACGACAAGAACGAGCTGCTCCTGCAGCAGCGCGCCTCGGAAAAGATTACCTTCCCTGACATGTGGACCAACACCTGCTGCTCGCACCCGCTGCACATGGCCAGCGAGACCGGCTCCAACCTCGAAGACGCCGTCCGTGGCGTCAAGAATGCTGCCCAGCGCAAGCTGGACCACGAGCTCGGTATCAAGAAGGAGCAGGTGCCGCTGGAGGATTTCCGCTTCCTGACCCGCATCCACTACAAGGCGCCAAGCGATGGCAAATGGGGCGAGCACGAGAGTGAGCACCCCCATCCCGCGCTCCCTCCCGCGCTCCCGCACTCCCGCGCAGGGCGACGTGCATGCTAACAATCTGTTTTCCCAGTCGACTACATCCTCTTCATCAAGGCCAACGTCGATCTCGACCCCAGCGAGAACGAGGTGCAGGCCACCCAATACGTCTCGGCCGACCGCCTGAAGGAAATGTTCCAAGACCCGACCCTCAAGTTCACTCCCTGGTTCAAGCTCATCTGCAACTCGTTGCTCTTTGACTGGTGGAAGCACCTCGACTCGGGCCTCGAGGCGTACATGAACGAGCAGGAAATCCGCCGGATGTAATCGACCAATATATCAAGAAGCTGCGGGTGACAGTTCTCGTTCCTGTTGCAAAGCCGTATCGCGCGGGATGCGGGCAGCTTTGAGGAGTTGACCAGCGCCAGTCGTTCTGTTTTATTTTTAAGCCTAAGATATCCGCTCCGTTTTACGGTAGCAAGTAAGAAGCCCGCGCAGAGAGCCCCGTGCTTCCCTCTTTCAGCGCCCTGCGTTGCGCCGGCAGGACTATTGGACAGTGGACAAGGCATGGTTGCAGGTTAGAGATTGGGGGAAAGTACATAACTAATACGACCCGGAGTTCATGCAATTCTCATGGCGACACCTATTCCGGGAGCGTACGATGTGACAAACAAGCACACTTGAAACAACTCCAGCGGCCGATAGGAGGCCAGCAGCATGCCGCCAACTGCTCTCCCCGCTCGTCTCAGCTTCCCTTTCCCAACGCCACTCTCGCCGGACTAGGATACCCTCAACAAACGTCACCTGACCGCCTTGCATGGCCCCATGTCTCTTGAGGCGATCGCTGAATGGATCCGATCGGGCGTTCTGGCCGCCGCTGATCGTGATTGGAAGCAGACAAGCGTGGTGCTTGCAGGGCGAGCAAGTCCGCCCCACACCGCCGACCACCTCTCTCGGATAACCAGTCGTCCCAGTCACCCAGTGAGCCAGGCGCCCAGGCTGGCTCGAGGTTGGGCACGTGTAGCGGCATACCGACCGAGCAGCTGGCCGTACTGGTCTTCCCTTGCTTCTTCCGTGCTGGCTCCCTGGAATCCGGGACTCGGCTACCCCCACTTCGGGGACGGCCGGCCGATTGCTGTCGCTTGCTTGTGACCCCCCCTCGGACACCCCCCTGCGGGTGGCCGGTGTAAGCCAATCGATACCGCCGCCTTTGACGCCCCGTCGCTCCCGGTATCCCTGTCGGGCCATTTCCTGACCAAGACATTGGGGTTCCTTGTTAGACAATTGGCGAGACGGCGCGGGTTGACATGTGTGCGTGTGAGTGTGAGTGCAATCAGAGCACTTCCGCCGCTTCTGTGCTGGCCGAGGATGCCACGATAGCATTCCATCCCGCCCAGGCCCGTTACGCCTGTCTCATTCTGTCCAACATGTCTCGGAAATTATTAGCCCACCAAGCTGCCTACTTATCCCTCTCTGCCCGCTCTCCGTCCTCTGCTGTCCCTTCAGTCTCTGAACAGCACCTCTTGGCTCAACTGAGAATAGCACACCGCGTTGAAGTTCACTTACACACTCCCCATCCAGGGGGCATTCTTCCTACAGGGCACCTTTGCCTACTTGCCACCACCCAGCCGTCTACACCCCGCCCCGCTCGTACACTAGCATCCATTCGGCCTGCGTGTTCGTGTGTGTGTGTGTGTGTTGTGTGCGTGTTTGCGTGTCTGTGTGACGACGTCAAAAATCTCCCATATCAACCACCAGCTTCGACCGACTGCGGTCACCACTCTCCTCACCCATAGCCCACCACAACTACCCATTCGCAGAGGGAATCTACGGCAGAAGAACCACATTGATGTCGGCTGACATTCGAACCGCCCTCAATTGCCTGCGCCACCCGTCTAGATTCATGCCCATCTCCAGAACCCAGCTTTCGAGAGTCCACACGGGCGACAGTATCCAGAATATATCAGAAAATAAACCAAAGTATGTCTGTCCAAGCCTTACACCAGCTAGAAAACAACCGTCCCTAACCTCCCTTATCAGACCCTCAAGTAATCACCCCACCACCACCACCCCATCATCACCATCATCATGGCGCCGTCCGTAAGCAGTACCAGCTCCAGTAGTAGCAGTACCAATACCGCCTCCGACCCGGACACCCCCTCCATCTCCCGCTCGAGTACCAGCTCCAGCTCCGGCACCAGCAGCAGCTCCAACACGCCCCCCCTCTCCCCCACCAGCTCCGTCTCCAGTACTAGTACTAGTACTAGCACCAAGGCCGGCACCGCCGCCGCCGCCGCCGCCAAGCTCGCCGCCAAGCGCTCGCTGGTGCCCGCCCGCTGGACCGACTGCTCGGTGCGCACCCTCGGCATGGCCGAGTGCCGGGACGCGGCGCTGACGCTGGCGCACGCGTTTGCCGCGGACGAGTATGCGCAGTACGTGGTGGCGGATGATGGGGTGGGTGCGGGTGTGGGTGTGGGGGATGATGATGATTGTAAAAGGGGTGGTGGTGGTGGTGTGGGGGGAAGGAGGAGGAGGAGTAGTAGAGGAGGGTTGACGGCCGAGGAGGACAGGTGGCGGCTGCATGTCGATATCCTGACCTACACGGTCGCCTCGCACTGCATGAGCGGGCTGGTCACGGCTGTGGGCGCTGAGTGCGATTGCGTTGCGCTCTGGTATGGTTTCCCCCCGCCTGTTCTCTTTCTTTTCTTCAGGCATCGTCAAGATTGCCGGTAGTAAGTTTGTTCTTGCCAGCCACCAGGACTGACAAGCGCCAGGGTCCCGCCCGGCAAGTATCTCGACGGATGGTGGACGCAGCTCCGTAGCGGCATGTGGCGGCTGTACTTCCAGCTCTCGCCCGAGGGCAAGAAGCGTTACTTCGACGAGATCCTGCCGCGCCTGAACGACGCCAAGGCCCAAGTCCTCGGCGACCGCGACGATGATGCCTGGTTCCTGGCCTATCTGGGCACCAGGCCCAACTCGCAGGGCCGCGGGTACGCGGCGAAGCTGCTGCGCGATATGGTGGCGCGGGTGAGTTACCCCCCTTTTCCTCCTCCATTCCGCTCTCTATCACACATATCCCCTACCCCCCCCCCCACGGCCCCCGCAAGAGTCCCGACCTGCTGATGAGCACCATCCCACAGGCCGATGCCGAGAAGCGGCCTATGTATCTCGAGTCGAGCTCGCAGTCCAACAACGCCTACTACGAAAAGTTTGGCTTCGAGGTCCAGCGGGATGTCTTCCTCGAGCGCGGGCCCGTCCCGATCCGCCTGTCCATCATGGTTCGTGAACCCCGCGTGCCTGGCTACGAGGCCGCTTGTGCCAGGCCGAGTTCACTGGTCAAGAAGTTTGTTGTTGGTGCCAAGAAGTTGATGGGCTGAGTGGGGGATGATTGCTCAAGGGGGGCTCGATTTGTCGAGATTTGGTGATTTGTTAGTGCTTTTTTTTATTTTTATTTTTCTTCTTGTTTCTGTTTTTGCGTCGGTCCCTCAACTGGACCCGTACCCGTTAACTGGTTGCCGCATTCAACATGCGTGCTTTTGCTTCAGCAGGATCTAGCGGTCATTGGAACCCCATCCTCGACGGCGTCCGGGTTACCCTACGGTGGGATCCAGTTCGATCATGGCATCTTTTCGTAGCATATTGGCCGTAGTCACTCATTCGGCCGGGGCCACCACCCTCGTACGTCCTGAGGAGAAACAAATCTTTAGCCCTGTGGACCTGTATCCTCAACATGAACAAAACCCGATAACTAGCAAGGCGTGCCCAAACTGCCGGCGCCACGGTATCCCTCACGATGCAGCGCTCCTCCAGGTCCCATTTCCTCCCAGTGCCTTCTCCCGGCAGCCCGAACCCTCCCCCGGCTGGTGGCTCAGATATCCAGGATGGCCCACGTGAAGTCGTCGTCCGTGGTGTAGATGACGCCGGCGTCCAATAAACCCTGCACCGCAAGCGAGACGGTCGACGAGTCCATCCTTGTCCCGGCCTCGATCTGGCTGATGTTGGTATCGTGGCCGGGCGAGTTCGCCATAAAGTTGAAGACGGTCCGCGCGTCCGCCGAGCACGACGCCAGCCGCGCGTCGGACGCGGCGGCGCCGCTGCCGCCGCCGGCCCCATACCCACCATCCACAAACATGCTGTCGCCGTCGGCGTCCGTCCCGCCGGCGGATGCGCCCTTGGTCAGCATCAGGTGCACGTAGGTGGCCTCGAGCAGGTGGTAGTTGACCTCGTTGAAGTCCTGGATGGCGCGGACGTAGTGGGCGGCGATGTGTTGCTTGCCGTTGAAAGTCGTCAGGCGGCCGAAGACGCGCACGTACGTGTCCGGGGCGAACTGTACGGACGACTCGGGCTTGTCTGGGTCGACCCACTTCCTGGCGTCGATGAGCCCCGTGCCGTCGTCGATGCGGTATGTGGTGTTGATCGACTGGTTCGCCACCGACCGCACCTGCCCAACCAGTGTCACCTGTTTGGCCGGCAGGCCGTCGATGGTTACATCGGAGTCCGGGTAGGGTGGCTTGGAGTCGATGAGCTGTTTAATGGTTATCGGGCGGAGGGTGTCGTCTGCGAAGTTCTGATTTGGGGGACAGACGGGCGGTTAGAACTGGGAGGGTATTTAACAAAGACGAAAGGAGGAAAGATGCCTTACCCTTCCGCTGCCGCTCTGGCTTCCTTGCTGCGACCCACCCATGAAACCGCCGCCATCATCGCCGCCGCCTTGGGAGCCGTAGCCCGTTCGTTGGTAGCCACCGTACGAGCCTGTGAATCGTTAGCCTGGTTTTCAGGATCAAAATTGGACTGCTGGGGTGGCATACTCATAATGTGCAATTTTCGGCGAGGATGGGTCAGATAGATGGTTGTCTTGGAATTCGGGTGATGTTGTCGTTGCAGGCTGCGGGGTGAAAGATTGTATGCCGAAGACGCGTTACGACGCGCCTGGGCAGCAACAAGAAGCAAGCACTCAACGCGTGCCCCGCAGGCAGCAGGGACCAGTGGGACCGTGCAGCCGTTCGTCTGAGAAGGGACTGATAGCCATGTCTGATTGGCTAGTTGATGGATAAAAGGTGGGTCTGTAATCGGTCACCAACAACATCTCAAAGAAAGAGCGACGGCGTCATGAGAATAAGAACAACCAACCATGATCGAGCAACTTAATATTCCATATTAGATCTCAGACTGTATTCCAAACTAAACCATACTATTACCATTGGGTAGAATCCCTCATAATGCCAGCGTCAACAGTACCCCCTCCCGACGAAGAAGACAGCCCGCCATCATGCTGCGACTGCTGCGCGCCGATAACCTCTCTCGCCCGGCCCGTTGACGTTTCTGAACTGAGCGAGTAAGGCATACCATACCATATCTTAGATAGGATAACATATCATCCCATCATTATATCAATCCAATCCTTAACCAGCCATCCTCCTCCCAGCCGCGGCCTCGTCCAAAACGCCTTCTGCCTCCCGCCCATCTTCGGCCCCCTCCTCTTCGACAACGAGCAGAGCGACTGCCGCGACCATTGCGCCAACGAACGAAGTAAACCAACCCTCACCCCCCCACCTCCCTTTCCACCTCCCTTTCCCCCTCCCTTTCCCCCTCCCTTTCCATCTCCCTTTCCATCTCCCTTTCCATCTCCCTTTCCCTCCCACCCCATAACAAATAAAAACCGTAGATTTCCATCCCGATTCTAACAAGGCCTCCGTAACCCACCTGCAGCTTTCCTCTCCTACCTGCGGCTCTCCATGTACATGTCCATCGTGGCGGTGGCCATCGTGCTGTCGTTCCACCTGCGCAAGACGGCGTCGGACATCGAGCTGCGCATGGCCAAGCCGCTGGGCGCCATCTTTTGGGTGCTGTCGGTGAGCTGTCTAGGGGTGGGCATCGCGAATTATACGAGTATGTACTGCTCTCTCTCTCTCTCTCTCTCTCTCTCGCGCGCGCGCGTGCTCTTGTTAGGTGCGTTAGGTTGTGTGCGGACGGTTCTGACGCTAGCCGTCGTAGAAACGGTCAATAAGTATAGTCGGCGGGCGGCGATCGTGCAGAGTGGGTGGAAGACGCAGACCGTGAGTAGCTCCCTCCCCTTATCCTTTTCCCCTCCCTTTTTTCCACCCACCTTTTAGTAACTTGGGTTATCCCCATTAACTGACATTTGCAGGTCATGGGTGCGATAGCAATGTGTATTTTCGGGTCGTGTGTGACGTTGTTGGTGGTTAACAAGTTGAATGAGAGCGCAGATGAATGAGACTATCCGGGCAACCCAAGACGTTCGGCGCATTTTGATATTGGGGTAAATATTTAAGCATCCATCCGGCAGATGAAAAATAATAATACACCCTCACTAAACCAATACATGTCGCTCCAGTGCGACGGTCACACCTCGATACAAAAGCTTGTACAGTATCCGACCTCCAATGATCGCCCCCGTAACCTAGAGCGTGCCAATTCGTTTAATCATCCTTCATACAGAACAAGTCCTTCATAGACTTCTTCGCTAGGAGGTCTTCAGGTGCCAATGCTTGGCAACCCCCAACCACGCGTCGAAACTCGTCCGTGTAGCTCGCCGCGGCCGCATCCAAGTCCGACAGTGTTGTATCGCTCCCATCCCAGAGCAGAAGCGCCATCTCGTCGAACGGCAATAGCCCGCCGCTTGGAAGGCTCTCGAAAAGCGTGTCCCCGGGGACGGGCAGTTCAGTATCCTCAAGCGTTTCCTTTCCAAGCTCTCTCTCGTATTCCTCGGGGGCCCTGTAGAGCTCGCTGTGGACAGTGGCCAAATTCCTCGCTGTCACCTCGCTGGGGTAGAGCGTCCAGTACCCGCGGGCACGGGAGAGCTTCAGGGCGTGTTCCAGCCATGAAGGGTACCTCTTATTGATGAGTTTGCTGGCGAAGAAAGCGGGCGGCGGCTGAGTTTTGTGCTCGTATTCAACCAGGTGGGAAACAAGTCCGTGTAACTCGATCCATTTTTGCCCCGTGAACAGCGCCGCGTTGCTGTCTGGTGCTTGCCATAAGAAGGGGGTTGCCCCCTTTCCAGAAGGAGGCGCAAACGGCTGCGAGCCATCCAGTTGAGTAGAGGGAAGGTCAAGGCTGATACCAAGTAACCGAGAGTCCCATTCCTGCGTAAGGGCGGCTCCTGAGTACAGATAGTGTAGCACGGAATATTTCAAGTCTAACAAGCGGGCCAAAATGAGCAAAACGTCCATACATGACGGTTCAAACCGGGTCGGGTTCTCACTTACAGTGGAAAAACCGAGGTGACAGTTGGGCCTGAGGCGAGAGGACAAGTACGTGCGAGTATTTCGGGTTGCTCGGCCAGAACGACTCGAGAAAACGCACCGAACTCTCCTCCTCGGTTAGCCTACTGCGCGGTATGCGGTGTCTAAGCGTGAGCTGGCGGGGGTGGGATGGGAGACGGGAGCGGCCTGGTGGCCACTGAAACGTCTTCAGAAATTCAACCGTGCCGGGGTCCACGTCGTGCGGCAGTTCGATAGTCAAATGAGGTGCCGAGCCCGCCGAGAAGTCGGCTTCTGACAATGACTTGAGCAGATGGATAAGACCCCCTGAACTTGCGGAGGGCGCATGGATCACGATGTCAATGCTGGTTTTATCCCAGGCTGCTCTCCGCGTTAGCACGACCTTCATATAACCGTGTTCTGACGACCGTACCTGCCAACGACGAGGCATCTAGCTTCGTTATCCAAGCCAGCCGTGAATGTGCGTTTTTAGGCAGTTCAATCAGAGGCATGCCCAAAACTGGCGCCTGTTTCCTAACGCCGGCTAGGAAATAGTCTTCCTCCACACCAGAACCATCAATGACCACGGCCTGCGGGTGCATATACATGTTGATGTGGCCTACGAAGCTGTCAGATTCTGGCGACGGGTCTCTTGACCATTCTACTTACGGAGCGCACGAGCCGAGCTTTGTCTGAGACGCTCGGGAGCCGACGCTTGGGCGAAATCCGGGCGAGCATCTGGCATCAAGTCAGCGCACGAATGTTCCTAGGATGATGTTGTCACGAGGGCTGCGCATACCATGGAAAATAACCTTGCAAGACTCGTCAATGCCATTGACAGCGCGCAACTGTTCCATGTCAATCCCACTCCCGCCAAGGAGGGCAAAGTGCACATAATTCCTCAGCTCATCCCCCATCTGGCAGGCCATCGGCAACAGAAGGGCGGCACTCTTCAGATTGGCGGCAGCAAACAGGACGTTTTTATTCACCGTGGAGGTGCCCGAGGTGGTGTATATCGCCTGAAGCGAAGGTAGAAGCTTTAGGTAAATGATAGGCCCGCTATAAGGGGTCTGGGGGGGCACTGGCGCCGTCGGAGGGGCGTTCGATGGTGGAGGGCTCTGCCGCTGGGGCTTCTGGTCGTACAGCTTCGGCATCCCCCCCGGCCTCCGTCCCGACCCCGGCCCCGGCGCATGAGGCTGATCGGCTTCGGGCCGGCCACGATATACGGGGTGGCGTCGATCTCGAATGGGAAGATCGGTGGGGAGGTTGCTGATAAACAGGTAGACGAAGACGCCCAGCGCAAAGACCATCGCAAGCCGTTTCAGGAACTTGCTTCTCGGGGCTCCGGTGGCGGCGCTCCATCGCGGACGGATCGAGGGAAGCTTAGCTGGTTTGTGGTCGTCGTCCTTTTTTACCAGCTCCTCGTTGGTGAGGAACATGTTTCCCATCTTGTGCCGTTTGCCCAGTGCTGCCTGCCAAGAGGCGCTTTCTTCCGATCCCTCGGGCCAAAAAGAGAGAAAAAAAAGACGGAACGACCTGAGACTCGTTGATGCGCCAATGGCACTTCACTTGTCAATGAAATTATCAGCCGGTCGTCATCGGAAGAGGCTGACGGCAGGCGCTGTCTGCATTTGTCTCGGATTTATCCGCGCCAGGGTGACGCGATCGTGGAATCCGGGTGCCGGGTTATGAGTTGAAGCTCAAGTCGAGGTTGAGAGTTTTGGGGTTAAGATCAACGTGTCTCGCGACCATTTCCTGCGACAGACTGCCAGTGAGTGCCGATCCATCCTGCAGGGATCAGTCCCAGCGGGCAGCGGCAGGGCCTCAGTCCCGCATCAACCCCTGCAGCCTTGGTTTGTTCGCTGCGGGAAAGGTGGGGGACGGGAGCGGAAGAAGAGGGGCAATCCTTATCGCTTCTTTTTTATTTTTTTTCGAGAGTTTTCATCGACACGGCAACGGGATCAAAAAAAAAAAAAAAAGGAACCCCCACTAGAGGACTGTGACGGGAGTATCAGAACTGCCTTCAGAACTAAGGTACCTGGTGTCTAACTACGATATTAAAAACATGGGCAAATCCCGCCGGAACAGAGCTCGGGGAAACCGCAGCGACCCGATCGCGAAGCCTGTGAAACCACCATCTGATCCAGAGCTCGCCAAGCTCCGGGAGAGCAAGATCTTGCCCGTGCTCAAAGACTTGCAAAGCCCAGAAGCCAAGTCCAGGACAGCAGCTGCCGGCGCCATCGCCAACATCGTACAAGATACCAAGTGCAGGAAGCTACTCCTGCGGGAGCAGGTCGTTCACATCGTTCTCACTGAGACGCTTACCGACAACAGCATCGATAGCCGGACCGCCGGTTGGGAGATTCTCAAAGTGCTGGCCCAGGAGGAGGAGGCGGATTTCTGTGTGCATCTTTACAGGCTCGATGTTCTCACAGCGATCGAACATGCTGCCAAAGCGGTAAGTGTCGTTTATTTTTCAGGTCGGCATTTCAGGGGCTGACTTGGGATCACTAGATCCTCGAAACGCTCACTGCAACGGAGCCCCCATTTTCAAAGCTTCTGAAGGCTCAGCAACGGCTAGTATGGGATATCACGAGTTCCCTACTCACACTTATCGGCCTTCTGGCATTGGCCCGGGAAGAGATCCTGGAAGCCATCGTCAAAAACCAGACGGTCCTGCGCCTCCTCTTCCGCCTGGCTTCCACCGACATCGCCCCTCAGGAGATGTTTGAGGAGGCCCTCTCATGTCTCACAGCATTGTCAGAGGACAGCCTCGAACTTGGCCAAGCCATGACCAACGATCAAGAAACCCAGTGTTACGACGTCCTCCTGAAACTGGCGACCACCGGAACTGGTCCGAGGGCGGTATTGTCCTGTGGTGTCCTACACAATGTTTTCTCGTCATTACAATGGCTGGATCACAGCCCCGGCAAAGACGGAGCCTGCGATGCCGTCCTTATCCCTAGTCTGGCGCGGGTGCTAGAACAGGTCACCCCAAGCAGTACACTTGCCAATGGAAGTTCGAGCCATGCCGAGATTACACAGATCGCCCTTGAAATACTAGCCTCTATTGGGACTGATTTCCAGGAGACGCTCGTGAAGGGTAACCGTGCGCCGTTAGATCCTGCCAAGGCCAACGAGGAGTGGAATGGTTTTGACGACGCTGGCGCCGACGCCATGGATGTTGACCAAGGCTCGGACGCCGGAGTCGATGAGGACGAGGCAGAGGAAGAGGACGGCGAGGACGGCGAAGAAGATGAGGACGACGACTCGATCACGTCGGACATGGAAGCCGACATGGGCCGCGTTGCAGGAGAAGAGGGTTCAGGGGCAGGGGACATCAACGACCTCCCAACACTCCGCGAGCTCATCCAACGAGCCGTCCCGCAACTCATCCGCCTGACCAACATCCCCGTCAACAGCGAAGAGACGCTCGCCATCCAGTCCCACTCCCTCTCCGCGCTCAACAACATCGCCTGGACCATCTCCTGCCTCGAGTTTGCCGACGGCGAAAACGCACACATCCTCGGCGCGTGGGTCCCGACAGCCAAGAAGCTCTGGCGCAAGGCGATAGCGCCCATCCTCGACGCCGACAGCGCCGACCTGAAGCTGGCCACCCAAGTAACCGGCCTGGCCTGGGCCGTCGCGCGCACCCTCAACGGCGAGACGCCGTCGGACGGCAACCAACACCGCAAGTTCATCTCGCTCTACCACGCCGCCTCCAAAAACCCAACCGAACAACCACAACAACAGCAACCCGGCCAGGACGACAGCAGCGAAGCACAAGACGACCCCTTCCAGGGCCTCGGCGTCAAGTGCATCGGCGTGCTCGGGTCGCTAGCGCGCGACCCCGCCCCCGTCGAGGTCAACCGCGAGGTGGGCGTCTTTCTCATGACGCTGCTGGGCAGCGACGCGGCGCCGCCGGCCGACATCGTCGAAGCGCTGAACCAGCTGTTCGACATGTACGGGGACGAGCAGGCGCCGTGCGACAGGGAGGTGTTCTGGAAGGACGGCTTCCTAACGCACCTCGAGGAGTTTGTGCCGCGGATGAAGGTGCTGGTCAAGGGGGTGGACAAGAGGGCGCAGGCCGAGCTCAGGACGCGGGCGGACGAGGCGCTGCTCAACCTGGGGCGGTTCGTGCAGTACAAGAAGAAACATGCGCCAAAATGATCCGGGGAATGCCGCGTCATTCAGGGGCTGGTTGGATGGACAGGGCAGTTGGGGAGGTGCGAGGCTGAGTGAGGTATGTCACAGATCTCAGGAGACCGGTTACTCACCTCGGAGCCTCAATCAGCAACGTTGATGGCTGTAATGAGAATGAAAGTCAATAAGTGTCATGTCACGAGCGAATCAGCAGCACGGACCGTTTGATATTGGTGACTGCACATTTAATCAAGTTGCGCTTAGAGCCTTGCGCTCAAGGGCAGTGCGCCCAAAGAAAAAGCCTTGTTTATCTCGGTCAGGTTCGAATCAAACGCTCTCTCCTCTTGAGATCGACTCACACAAGTAACATCCGTTTTTCCCATGCACCGTCCCCCCGCCGTGGTCGTTTCAATAGAACGCTTCAGCCGATCGGCTTCAACTTCTTCTTCTTCTTCTTCTCGGGCCCCTCCTCCTTGCCGCCCTTCTGGAACTGGCGCCAGCTGCTGATGCGCTGGTCGCGGGTGGCCTCCCAGTCCTCCTCGTGCTGGCGCTTCTTGCGGCGCTGCTCCGTCTCCTCGTCCTGGCGGCGCTGCTCGCGGCCCTCCTCCTGCATCTGCGCCTTCATCTGCCGCCGCCGCCGCTGCTCGTTCTCGATCAGCACGAACTTGGTCTTGTCCGCCCACTTGCGCTCGAACTCGGCCGTCTTGAGCTCCGGGCTGTCCACCGTCCACTTGTTCTCCCGCATCAGCAGCATCCGCGCGTCCGCGATCGCCTCGTCCAGCACCGCCCGGTGCTTCTCGTCCATCAGCTCGGTCTGGGCCTTCTTGAGCCGGTCGAAGGCGTCCGGTGCCAGGGGGTTTTTGGTCTTGTCGGGATGGATTAGGAGCGACTTTTTGCGGTAGGTCACTTTGATGTCTGATTCGGGCACGCCGGGTTTGAGGCCGAGGACGGCGTAGCTAAGGGGGATGTTAGTCGGTGGTGACCATCGTCGAGTTGGGTTGCTTTGAGTGGGGAGCCCTTACGCATCGAGCCTGAAGGCTTTCAAAATGCGGTCAATCTCGGCATCCTGTTCACCGTGTTGTCAGTAAAGTGATGCGGGCATCCGGGCATCAAATGCGTGGTGAACACACCTTCTCCCACTCCTTCGCTTCTGATTCCAGCACCTCCAGCGCATCCCGGTTGTCGACGGGGGTGTCGTCTGTTGCATCTTTCGTAGCCATCTTGACACCGTCAATGATCGTTACTGCGATCGCAATATCGCCGTAATTCCAGTCGGTGGCTCGCCAAGTTTGAGAGTGGGGGTTTGCTTTCTCGAAGTCCCCGTAGGTTGGTCTTCGCCGCTATTGTTTATCGAGGGGACTTGAATGGTTCATGGAAGCCGCCGGCTGATGCACGGCGCTGTTGTCGGTTGTGATAAGGGACGCGATAAGCCACCAGGGATCTGGCCCCGCTAAAATTTGGCGGGCTGGCGGGCATCTCGAAAATTTACACGGTTTTGGCAGCCCGCTTCCAGCACGGTTAGCTCTGTGTTCTGCCCCATCGACAGCTTCCGAGTGTCTTTGCCAACTTCAACACTGCGCCCCGGTGCAGTCCCAACACACTCCACCATGAAAAGAAGAGCGGCCTCCCCGGCCATGTCCGACTACGAAGTCGACATTGCCGGCTCTCTGTTCGCCAATGACGCCGACAGCGACAACGAAGTTCAAGTTCAGAAGCAGCCCGCCGACCTCGACTTCGGCGATCTCCTAGACAATGGCGACTCCGACGATGGCGGCGATGCCGCCTTTATCGCGAAGCAACAGCGAAGCTCCAACAGGAAAACCGGCAACCTACAGAGCAAGAGCGCAAAGAAGGGCGGCGGTTTCCAGGCTATGGGTGAGTGCCGTGGTTCTGACATGCCTGGTGGACTGTCGCACATCAGTGACTCTAACTAACGAACCTCGCGCCGACAGGTCTCAATTCGAATCTCTTGAGAGCTATCACTCGGAAAGGCTTCTCCGTGCCCACCCCTATCCAGCGCAAGACGATCCCCCTAGTCCTCGAACGGCGCGATGTCGTGGGCATGGCCAGAACCGGTTCCGGCAAGACCGCCGCTTTCGTCATCCCAATGATTGAGCGACTAAAGGCCCACAGCGCCCGAGTTGGCGCCAGAGCTATCATCATGTCCCCCTCCCGCGAGTTGGCCCTGCAAACGCTCAAGGTCGTGAAGGAGCTAGGCAAGGGAACGGACCTCAAGACGGTCTTGCTGGTTGGTGGTGACAGTCTGGAGGAACAGTTCGGCTTGATGGCTGCCAACCCGGATATCGTCATTGCCACACCGGGTCGATTTCTGCACTTGAAGGTTGAGATGTCTCTGAACCTCTCGTCCGTTCGATACGTTGTCTTTGACGAGGCCGATCGCCTGTTCGAAATGGGTTTCGCCGCTCAGCTTACCGAGATTTTGCACGCGCTGCCGCCATCTAGGCAGACTCTCCTCTTCTCCGCCACTCTCCCGTCGTCCTTAGTCGAGTTCGCCAGAGCCGGTTTGCAGGAACCGAGCCTTGTCAGGTTAGACGCCGAGACCAAAGTGTCACCCGATCTTGAAAGCGCCTTCTTCTCGGTCAAAGGCGGCGAAAAGGAGGGCGCCCTTCTCCACATCCTTCACGATGTTATCAAGATGCCCCTGGGACTTCCGGAAGGCGTTGAGGAAGAGAGCGATGAGCTACAAGCAAAGAAACGGAAACGCGACTCGGAGAGGCGGAATAGGAAAGAAAAGCCGACCGAGCATTCGACCATTATCTTCACGGCCACTAAGCATCACGTCGAATACATCGCGCACTTACTACGCTATGCAGGGTTTTCAGTATCATACATCTACGGTTCGCTCGACCAAACCGCCCGGAAAATCCAAGTCGACAACTTTAGGAGGGGGAGAACCAACATCTTGGTTGTCACGGATGTTGCAGCCCGTGGTATCGATATCCCAGTGCTCGCAAATGTGATCAACTACGATTTCCCTCCTCAGCCCAAGATCTTCGTCCATCGTGTGGGCAGAACAGCCCGTGCTGGCCAGCGCGGTTGGGCCTATGCTCTTGTGAGAGAGTCGGATCTCCCATATCTCATCGACCTCCAACTTTTCCTTGGCAGGAAATTGACAGTCGGCCAGGAAGTGAAAGAGCCATCTTTTGCCCAGGACGTTGTTGTTGGCACTTTGATGAGAGCCGACCTCGAAAACAACATAGAATGGGTGAAGAAGGTGCTTGGTGACTCTGACGATATCAACGGGCTCAAGGGGGTCACGATCAAAGCCGAAAAGCTCTACATGAAGACCCGAAACTCAGCGTCCAGCTCGAGCGCCAAGCGTGCTCGTGAAGTTATTGCGTCCAGGAGCTGGACTCAACTACACCCCCTATTCGGAGCGTCGGCCGCAAACGCCGAAGAAGCCCGAGACTGCCTGCTCTCCAAGATCAGCGGGTTCAAACCCCAAGAGACCGTCTTCGAGATTGGGCCCCAGGGAAAATCGGCCAAGAACAAGGCCGCTGAAGTGATGCGCAGCTTCAGGGCACGAGTCGGCCCGCGGAGGTCGAGCAAGAAGGACGAAGACACAGAGATGGTGGACGCTGACGAGGATGAATCGCCACCTCAAGAAAATGGCGGCGGTCTTGAGGAGTCCGAAGAAGACCAACCCGGCGGGGACGCTAAAGAAGAAGAGGTCTGGGAGGACGAGGAATCCGACTCGGAACTCGAGGTGATGGTAACAAGCAGCGGCAAATCCACCAAGGGGCAAACCTCGTTCCAAGACCCCGAAATCTTCATGTCCTACACCCCACGCACCACCAGCGCGGCCGAGGAGCGCGCGTACGGCGTCAACTCGGGCGGCACCACGCAATTCGTCGAAGCCGCGCGCGACGCGGCCATGGACCTGGCCAACGACGACGGCGCCAAGGCCTTCGGCCTGCCGACGCGCTCCAAGCTGCGCTGGGACAAGCGGCACAGCAAGTACGTGTCGCGCGCCAACGACGACGACGGCTCGCGCGGCGCCAAGATGATCCGCGGCGAGTCCGGCGTCAAGATCGCCGCCTCCTTCCAGAGCGGCCGCTTCGACAAGTGGCGCCGCGCCAACCGCCTGGGCCGGCTGCCGGGGGTCGGCGAGGCCGAGAAATCCAACCTCGTCCGCAACTTCAACGGCGGCGGCGGCCCCGGCGGCGGGCCCGGCGGGGGTGGAGGCCAGCACTACAAGCACCGGCAGGAGAAGGCGCCCAAGGACGCCGACAAGTTCCGCGACGACTACCACGTGCGCAAGAAGCGGGTGGCCGAGGCGCGCGAGAAGCGCGTCGGCAAGTACAAGGACGGCGAGGGCAGCCGGCGCGAGCTCAAGAGCGCGACGGATATCCGCAAGGCGAGGCAGGTGCAGGAGCAGAAGAGGGAGAAGAACGCGCGGCCGGCCAAGAGGGCGAAGAGGTGATCGGTCGGATGGGTTGGTGTGTGGGTGGTTGGTTGTTTGTATATAGGGTGTGGCGTGTGCTGTGTTTAGCTTGGGAGGGTGGAATGAGATTTTGGAATGGAGTCTATTCGAAAGTCTATTTTTTGATGTTACTGCATGATTCCTGCTCATATACCTATGATAAAGAACCGCTCCGTTAAACAAAGTGTAAAACATATTCCAGCGTGTATTTGCAATATGCGAAACAGACATGCTTTCCCTTCTATCCCACGATCACAAAGCAAATACAACTTCAAGCCGAGTTCTGACCAGCGAGCAAACAGACATTATATGCATCCATCATGAGCTAGTAGATACAAAAAAGCCTCTGTCTGGGCCAGAGCAAGCAAAACCCCCTTTGCCCCTTCCCTCCCCTGACCCATCCCGATTCATTTGCCCTCGCCAGCAGCCATATACCCAAAAGAAACAGGTTACGGTACCACACTGCCCATATGCCAACATACCCCAACCACATCACATTTCAATCATAAACGTCATGACTTTCTCTCTCATGCCCTACCCTCCACCCAATCCCTTCCCATCCAACCCAACCCATCGATCCATGATACCATACCCAGGCAACCCACCCCCCCTCAACAACACCAACGTACTGACTGGGAGCTCCGCCCAATCCCAAACCGGGGCAAGCAACGGAAGCAGGATCCAGATCCAAAGTAAAAAAAAGTAAAAAGATCAACGAACGTAAATCTTCCCAAAAAAAAAAAAAAGACAAGAGAGGAGGAGACCAAACCAACACAAAAAAAAACAAGCGAGTGGAACGCACAACTACTGCATACCAGCAGACATCATGATATCGTCGGGCGCGCCCGGCTCCACATAATTCACCCACTCATGGACACGATGCGCACCGCGTCCCATGCCACCGAGACCCGCCAGGACGGACGACCGCGGGAAGTCATAGCTGGTGTCATACTTGGAGTCATACTTGGTGTGCTCGCGGTGGGCTTGGGGCGGGCGCCTCCTGACGTGGGGCGCGCGGTGCGAGCCGCCGTTGATGGGGTCCATGCCGGCCGCCGCCGCCGCCGCCGCCGCCGCCATGTCGTGCATGGCCGGGTGGTGGCCGTGGTGCATCATGGGCATCCCCGGCATCCCCATGCCGCCGGCCATGCCGGGAGGGGGAGGGTGGGAGTGCGGGTGGCCGTGGGGGTGGCCGTGCGGGAGGGGAGGGCCGAACCAATCTGCGGGGGGAGGCATCCCGCCGCCGTGTACGCCGCCACCGGGCATACCGTTGGGCATACCGCCGGGCATACCGCCGGGTATACCGCCGGGCATACCGCCGGACATACCGCCGGACATCCCGCCAGGCATACCACCACCAGGCATACCACCACCGGGCATGCCGGCACCAGGTCCGTAGATGTCCTCGTCCATGGTGTGGTGTCTGCGGAGGGATGGTGCTGGCGGCGGGCCGCCATGGGCGACGGACGGTGCCATGGGTGCCATGGGCATGCTTGCGCCAATGTGGGTGGCAGCGCGGGAAGGCGGTGGCGGGGCGCGGGCGGGACTCAACGGACCCAGGGCGCCAACTGCACCGGCTGGGCCGACAGCGCCAGCAGGGGCAGCGGTGGGGTTTTGTCTGCTCTCCTTTTTGAATCTGCCAGCGAGGCGCTGCTCGAGCGAAGATGCCCGGCGCCTGTCGGGTGAATGAGCACGCCGCCGCTCGGGAGACGGAGCGCGTCGCCTCTCTTCGGGGGCCGCCACGGGCCTTTCGGGGGACGGGTATCGTGTCGGAGGCTGCCACTGTTCAGGCGACGTAGGGCGTGATTCCGACGGGAAAGTGTGCCGTCTGTCGCGGGATCGAGCTCGCTGCTCCTGGGGGAAAGCTTGCCAGGGGTCAGGGGAGCGAGGCCGGCGCCGTTCGGCTGGATAATTCTCCGACATGTAATGGTCAAACCTCTCTGGGGAGGCGTAGCGCATCTCCCGGCCCCGGCGCGCCGCGGAGCCATATTCAAAGCCGGTCGCCGCGCGATCGAAACCTGGACGGGAAGGTGGTTCGAATGCTGAGCGAGGAGGAGGCGGCGCGGCCGGGACATGGGCTTGTGGGGGTGACGGGGCGACGACAGTTGCGGCTCGGCGGTGATAGTCCTCGTCCGCGAACGGGGTAGCGTAGTCGCGCATTTCCGGACGCCGGCGACGATCACGAGGTTCAGGGGCCTCGAAATCGTAGTCCTCCCTTCTGCGGCCAAGCTCAGCGTGGCTACCGTGATGGCCAAACTCATCGAAAGAATGCATTCTTCGCGCAAGATGGTCATCACGATGATGTTGTTCATGCAACCGGCGTATGTGCGCATCGTCTTCGTAACTTGACGGTCGGGCTCGAGTAAGAGAGGAGTGAGGAGGCGCAAAATCAGACCGAAAGTCGCGAGGTGAAGGTGAAGGTGGCCGGGACGCGAAGGGATTGCCTCGCGGATTCGGCGTATCGACCTCAAACGGGTCGTCTGTGAGAAATGGGCATTCACAACTCTTCCACTTCCCTCCACATTGCGGGCAGAATTCGGCACCACACCGACTAGAGAAGAAGAAATACGTCGTCAGTCAATGCTGAAAGGGTAAATCCGTAACGGAATGCAATCCTTACCAGGCGATATGACTACCGCTGTCCTTGACCTCCACCATGGTTTTGCAGCGGTAGCAGCGTTGCCACGGTTCCCGTTTCGTCACCTGCTCGATGGCGAACAGCGCGGCGTTATCATCACTCGGGCATTCCGGCTCGTGATGCCACCGGGCGTTGCAAGAGGCGCAAACCTTGGTCCTGCAACGGCTACACCTGCCCTGCCAGCGCGCGCCTTCGAGGCGCATATCCTCACGCTTCAACAACGCACCGCACCGCCGCGACGGACAAGTCGTGGGGGTTCTGCCAGCGTGCTGCTTGAACTGCTGATTCCACTCCTTCTTGAAGCTGGCATCGAACAGCTTGTCAACGGATTCGGCGGGGATATTGTCATCAGTGCAGCAGCGCGGTGGCATGTGGTGTTGCGGATCGGTGAGGGAGAGCTTGAAGACCTTGCGCAGACAGGTATGGCACATGCGGTGGCAGCACTTGAGCTTCGCTGTCCGGCTCACAGGGGTGGCACTATCCCTGCATCGCACGCACACGGTAGTACTAAAAGTCTCCAAGTCAGAATGGCACACGGCGCCGGTTGGTCGCGGAACACAAGCACTGACCGCTCGGCTGGTTTCTCCGGGTGCGAAGCGCGGGCAGGAGGAGGTGCGGCGAAATCGGCGCCAAAGAAGGTCGACCGCTTCGCATCGGAGCCTAGACTATACGACGATGCGGCATGAACCCTCTTGTTGTTGAAAGATGAGGCGGGCCTCGAAGACATATAAACGTCGGATTCATAGTGCCTCCTCGACGGCCTAGCGCTACAACCCGGCGGCGTCAGCACATTTGGAGCTCAAATTCGGGCAACTCTCCGCCCTATATTACCTCTTGGATCTCGACCGGGACCGGCGTGTTTCATCCAGGCTGGGGGGTCCGGAAACGGTGATATCCCTCGGTCGTCGATACGGGTCCTGTCTACTGGAAGCGGGGCGGGATAGCGATCTGTGCCTGGCCGACGGCGCGTACCTCGAGGCGCCGTCGCCTTCTTCTTCGTACATCTCCGGGCGGGACATCAATCGTTCGCGGCCGGCGTGAATAGACGGAGGCGCAGACGGAACGGGAGGGGCCATAGGGGCCGGGGGAAGTTTGCCGCGGGGCAGGATGACCTGTTCCGAGTCTGAGTCGGAGGTGGCGTCGGTGTCGTCGTCCGAGTCGGAAACAGAGGTTCTCGGGGAGCGGCGGGATTCGGGAGTCGACCGGTAGCGGTGAGCGGATCGGGGGCTCATGTCACGGCGGGCGATGGTCTGGCGACTCACGGGCCGCGAGGGGACGGAGGGGGACGCATCGTCCTCGTCGGCCGGCTCGATGATACAGGTTGGGCGCCGAGCAGCGGGCACGGGCACGGACGCGTTGGGCACCCGCATGCTCTTGGAGCGTCCCTTCATGGCGGGCGCGGGGGCCTTGGCCGGATGGGTCGTGTCCGAGTCCGTGTCAATAATGGCGGAATTCAGGGGTTGGGAACGACGTCGGGGTCGTTGCTTCCTGGGCGACGCTTTGGCGTCGTGGGCGTCGCTGGCGTCGTCGGACGACTCGACAAGGTCTCTGTCTATATCTCCATGACGGTTCGAACGAGGCGAGGCACGGGGGCGTGGCTCGCCGCTCCGTGACCAATCATTTGCGACCTGTGCCTTCGATTTGCCGGCGTGCTTCTTCCGTCGCGAGCTGCTGGGCCCGCCCTGCTGTCGGTCTACGTCGGCCATTCGTCTCTCGTTCCTCGTTCAGCCCCGCGGTTGCAGCAAGCAACACTTTCTTCCACTTTCTCGAGTCCAGTGCGGCGGCCCCGAGGATGGTCGCTGGGTCAGTCGGGCAGCCGCGGTGGGAGGAGCAGGCTCGAGATGGAGAATTGAAGAGTTCGGCCAGATGGTTGAGCGTGGTTGGCCGGGCAAGGGCGGGTCTACGGATGCCCCAATCGCGAAGGGTCGACGTGCATTGCCAGCACAACACGGGCTCTTCTCGAAACAGGCCACCCCGGCTCGCTCTCGATTTCCCTGAGAATTCTGCGAGCCTAATAAAAGCCCAACAAGGCCCCCGGGATTCTCGCGGAGGAAAAAAGAAAGAGAAAAAAATTAAAAATAACGCCAGTTGCTTTGGGCTCCGTCGAGATGAGAAGCGGCCCGAGGAGTGAGGGTGAAAATGGGTTGCGGGGGAAGGAGAGTTCAGATGAGGGGTGACGATGGGATGAGACGGGGATGCTAAGACGGCCCCTCGCGAGGTCCCCCCTTGCTGACTTTCTGAGGCCTAACCAAGGTAGCTCCACAAGCCCCGTGAGCCCGTGAACCCAGTGAGCCAGTCAACAACCGCGGTCTCAGATGGTGACGGTGACCGTCTAGTTTTGGAAGCGAGTGTCTCCCACTTTGAGAAAAGTGAGGGCAAAAGACCCAAAGTTAAGTTCGACACCACCCACAGTCCGGCTGATGGGTGCAATGAGTGACGCCAGCTAACGAGTGGCAGATCCAATCGAAATACGAAAGCGGGAGAAGGCGGGTTTTTGGTGTGATATGTCACGTGGGGCAGGGCAAGAAAACGACCACAACCCAAAGAGCCAAATGACTCAACGAACCAATTCTCTTCCCCTTCCTCCTTTTTGTCAGGGAGGGTTGCTTCTGGACGCCTCAAATTCTCAAACACACCTTTGAAGCCGGGCATGTTTCAACCCCCCTAAAAAACAAATCCTGAGGCGTTGTTGACCGGGCACTGCTGCCGGGGTCAGGACACGGCAGCCACAAGGCTGGTTCCACACCACAAAACCCTTCCCCGCAATCGGGCAGCGGGCCTTGCCGATTCGGACCCGCTTCAAACACCCGTTTGACACAGCGTCAACGGAACAGCCCGCTTAGCACATCCCGTCAGTGGTGTTGCGAGTGAGTGTGGGATGGCGCCGTCACGGTGTAGTGTAGCACGGCGAGCGTTGTGCATTCTGGGCAGCCAAGAAGAAAAAGGAAATAAAAAAGACACGGCACATCGGACGGTTAACATGCAGGTCCCGCTGCTTGCTGATGTCCGCCATCCGCTGCCCGCTGCCCGCTGACTGTCTGCTGTTCGTTTCCGTTCCCACTGCGGCGGCTCGGGAACCTGACCGCGGATCTCCCCGATGGATGGATGCCATCTGATGTTGGCCAGATCCACTCCACTTGTTGTTTGTGTGCCGCCGCATCAATCCATCAATCCGATCCGTGTTGGTCCGAATTCAAGATCCGGCTGCGGCCCCGGTTGTGACCCAGCCAGCTCCAACCGGCCGGGTCTTGTCGCCGAGCATCAACGGGCCGGGCCATAGTTACAAGGTTGCGAGCCGTCCGTCGGCCACTCTACATGAGATTGTGCTTCCACGGCCAGCTCGGTTGGCTCTGCGCGCCAAGGCAAGCCACTCCCAGCAGGTCGACAATGGGCCGCTGATAAAGTACACTAGGCAGTTAACTACTGTGTGGTAGTTATGCGCAACTGGCGGCCGCGGAAAATCCGGCTTGGACGTCTCTGCGTCGTCATGGATTGGCTGTCGTCCGAGGGTTTGACCGTGCCGGGGGATCCCAACTCGTGTTGTTGAGACAAAATAACGCATCGTGATGCGATTATTTGGACCCAAAGAACTCCAGAGGACCGACAACTCCACCATACCAATCTCGAGAACACGGTTAGCTGAAATTATACAACTCGCAACCAGCAAGCCAGCAAATGACGTGGGGGTTGAAGCGGGTGCAGAACACTCTTCACTCGGACTCGGTCCGATGCAATTTACTGAGAACGAACAACCCTGATCACCTTTTCTTGCCGTCGGACCACGGCAAAGTCAACAGAGAGACAATCGAGCCCCCTGACGCTTGGCGAGCCTTCTCACCGAACGGACCAAGAAGAAAAGTCCAAGCCACAACCCGTTTCCCATCCTCCGTCTTATCCCCAGGCCAAGAGGTTTCCTGCATCACGTCACCAAGAACCTGCAGGTTTAGCCTGTCGTCAGGATCTGTCGTCGTCTGTAAAGAAAATCCGATCTTGGTTCTCCTCGCTCTCCGCTTTCAACGGAGGGGCGGGCTCATCCGGGGGGTGCCATCTGATCTGATTCTGCGCGTCGTGGCGCAGAGTTCGATCGAGCTGACACTCTAACACCGGAGGCACGTCTCCTTCAGTTTGGAGCACGGCCTCATTAGTGAGTGAAGACGGGGCTCGTATAAACTACCACTACACTTGTCAATGCAGGCAGACTCGAAACAGTAGTCCGGATTACATTCCGCGTAACTCTATGGAGACGGGGCGAACGGGACAAAACAACCTACTGTGTGTAACTCTGGAGAAAGAAACAACTGCAAGCAAAGACTTGCCCACGTGCATCTCCATCGCGTTCCCCAAGCCAGGCGGGATCCGTCTCACCAGTTCGTCCTCGCCTAGCACGCCCAGTTCCCCCGCAAATCCACATCTCGCTCCTGCGTGCTTACATGCGTCTTCATCAGCTCGACATCCATGCCGGCATGCCCGCCGTCTGGAGAAGTCTCCTGAAGATCTCCACTGCCCGGCGGGGTGGCCTGGCAGGCGATACCTCTTGTCTCCTATGTGCATATGTAGAGACATGCACATGCAGCAGTTCCATTGTTACACAGTGGTTCCCCCGAAGGAACACGCACATATATGTACATACCTACATACAAGCATGTCCACTAGTGTATGTACATAGGCACAATCCGATGCCCCAGCAAGCAACCGAGCAAGCCGGTGGGAGCGGATGCCCGGCGCATTCCATGCAACACCTATGCAACATGCGACAACCCCGCCCTCTCTTTCCACCTATGCCTGCGGCAGCAGCAGCTCGCAAACCGCCGCCGTAGCCAACCAACCCCCTCCTCCCCGCCCCAAAAGGAAAAAAAAAAAAGTCACGAGGCGCCGAATCGGTCGTCAATCAAGGTAGGTTTCAAGAGACGGCGCCAGGAAAACCGCGCTCCCCAAATTCCGACCGAAGTGCACCCGTGAAATTGGAGAAAGTCTCCGATCAATTCCCCCTCGCAGCGAAACGTCGTCCATTCCGCTTGCCCCATGCGGCGCATCCATGCCCGGGGGACCTGGGCCTTGCATGTGGCCTACGGAAGACGGGCCCGGCGAAAAAGATGGGGGGGGGACGGGGGGGAGTGGGAGGAGGAGAGGGGGGAAAAGCGGCTGGGAGGGGCGTCCGCCTCTGGCCTCTGTGGCCTCTGGCGTCCGGGGGAGAAACACACAGGTTACCTACATACAAAAAAACTGGGGTATTCCGGGGCTCGTTCTGGGGAATGTGATAACCCCGCAACACCGACACCGTCGGGGTGGGTCCGTGAGGGATCGACATGCCAGCGTCGGGGCGAGCAAGAAGGAATAGATTGGACGTGATAAAAATAGGGGTCAAATGCCGCCGATGGTGGGTGTTATTGTAGTGTAGTGTATGTATCCTTGGGGATGCGACTGCGTAGATTTTTTGATCGAGACAAGAGAGATCCACTGATCGCAAGACTCAATTATCATAGTTACAGCCCAGTCGAAGAACCAACCACCAAAGAGAAGGCGGAGCGACTTCTCCATGTTCCTTCTCCCAGTACACTAAAACGTAATTCATGTGGCTTCACCAATCCTGGTACATGTTTCATGCTAAAAACCCGGGGATATATCCACCAAATGAGATAATGCCAGAAAAGAAGTCCAAAGAGAATCCAAAACGTAGTTGTCCTCAAAAGGTATTCCATCCCAACAACGCCTAACGGTGGTCGGTGTATTTGCCTGCCAGTTTTACCCCCTCCAAATATCCATCCGTGACGCTGAAAACCGAGCCCGAGGGGCCAAGGAGTGCAAAAAAGTTAAAATAAAAAGAGGAATGTGGCCCCGACCGCCGGTTGATGTCCAGGACGGGGCGCATGAAGAAAAGAAGGCGGGGAGCGGGGATGGGGGAGGTTGACGCGGAACATCGGGCCGTGATATCCGTATCCAAGGTCATCCGCAGCCTCGCTCCAACAAAAGGCCAGTTTTGACTCGCTCTGGGAAAAGCAGCGTGTAACCCCAGACCAAGCTTGCAGATCTCCCAGCAGCGTGCGCTCTGGCGGGCAACCCATTGTCCAGTCAGGGCTGGATGCCCAGTCCAAGGAACAGGGGAAGCTCCGACATAAAATCTGACGAGCTAACTTCCCCGTGCAGTAGCCTGCACGCCAGCGCCGACGATCGAGGCGGTGGTGGACTTTTCGCATCCATGTTGAAAACCCCGGACACTGTCGGGGGGGTGGCAACCGGCTCCTCGGGGAGCCATTAGCGATGCCGGCGTCGAGTGCTCCTTTCTAATGGTAACGGAGCCGGGTGTTTGTGTGTAAAAAGGTGCAGATGCAGGCCCTGGCGTGCTGGGCACGCGCACGAGACGTGCAGCGGCTCCATGCATTGGCAATAGGCGAGATCGGGTCGTGGGGTTCTTTTGCGATGCAGGAAACCACCATGTTTCCCAGAGGGCCGGAAGCGTGGTGAGGACGAGCTAGGCGAGATGCAAGCTCGGGGCAAATGCCCGGGGTGCCCTGTAAAAACGGATCAACCGCTCAGGAAGGTCCGGCGCCGGACTTCGGCTTCCTTTATTATCTCGGCCGAGAGGCTGAGACTGGGAGACAGGACGGCGAAGCGTTCAATCTCCATGACCACGTCGTTGATGATCTGGTCGATAGCCTCGCGGTGGGGTACAAGGCTCCAGAGGATCGAAGACAGCGACGGTGACATCGTGGCGCCCATGACGAGCAAGGTTTGCGACACGATGGAGAGGGCTCCTTGCCAAAGGTACGGCATGTGTCCGGCGTGACTGCGGCCAATTGGTTAGATTGGGGGGTGTCTTGACCAATAGGAGGGGTGGGAAAAGGACTTACTGCGCGGCAATGTGCTCCAATTGCCGGACGGAGGCTTCTAGGCACTTAGTGCAACTGTCCCGCACCGCGGGGTCCAATATGGCCTGCTCGTTGTCCAGAACAGCGAGGATGTACGGCCGGTAGATGATGGTCCGGCAGGCAAAGAATCGTAGCCTCAGCACCGTCTGTACCGGATCCGGGAGCATGGTGCGCGTAAAGGGAAATTGCAGGGGCACGGGCAGGCTCTCGTACCACTGCGTTAGTTGGAAGTCGAGTTCGGCGACGACCGGCTCGAGACTGGTCGTCGATGCCATCGAGTCCTTGGAGTAGATGAGTTGGCTGACCCGGTTCAAGAGCCGCCGCAGCGCGATCTCGGCCAAGAAATACCACAGCTCGTCCCGCCCAACCGCCTCTTGCTCGTCTCCCTCGAAGCCGCAGGGCAGGCCGACGTTCTCTTCGAACGCGACAACGCCCGAGTGGGGCAGATCCAGCTCGGCCAGCAAGTCGCTCTCGAAAAGGAGCGAATTCCAGTAGATTCTCTCGATCAACTCTCTCTGGTCGGTCGGGACTCGGTTCGGCGTCATGAGCAGGAGCTGCAGTTTCGTGCTCGTGGTGCAGAGCAGGTTCCATGCCTCCAGTGGTCTCACCAGGTAGAAGAGGTAAGCGGCGGCGAGCAGGTGGCATTGCGCGGCAAGCACGCTATTGGAGGTCATCATGCCGGGGAGCAACGACCAAGCAGCGGTGAAATACTGCAGGCCGGGCGGGTCCTCGTGCGGAACGATCCTTGATATGCTCCCCCGCAGACTCGCTTGCCCGAGAGACAAGACGAGGAGCACGATGCAACTCTCTGGCCCTTCTCGGAAACCGTTTGATAACGCGATCCGGTAGTGGCTCCGCCACGTGTATGGGTTGACGCAGGCGTACCAGATGTTGACCCGGTCAAAGTAGGCCTCGATGTAGGCATTGGTATTAGACAAGTCCACGCAGGGCGTCTTGGCGAGCGAGTGCAGCGGCTCGCGGGCCATCTCGAGCTGGAGCAGGATTTGAGGGTCGTACGGCCGCGAGACCAAGTCTCTGATGAGCGGCCATTGCAGTAGGTGCAGGGCCGCGTTTGTGTGCACCTTTGGCATGGTTGATATGTTGGTGGCCGTCGCGGACCAGGTGCCTATGCCGCCGCTAGGAATGATGGAGACGAACTCGTTGTTCGCGTTCCGTATCATGAGGTTGTCCCCGCTGAGTGCGGTGCCGTTGCTCATATTTGGTGAGTCGTGAGAAAGACTTATGCCGTTGCCGTGGCCCACCATATTCATCTGGAGGAGGTTCTCGATCCTGTTTAGGCGCTCTAGGATGAGCTTGTCGCCGGCGTCCAGCTTGATACCGGGCTCCCGGTAGATGCACTCGGCGCCCAGCTCCGTGCAGAGCTTGCATTTCGGTTTCGTGCCGTCGCATCGCGACTTTCTCGAGCGGCACACTTCGCACTACCGACGAGTTAGCACAGGGACGCGGCTCCATTGCGATTTTGCACATACGGCAATGGTCGCTCTCCGCCTCGGATAATCTACCGCTGCGTCTGTGTTCCTCCTCTTCAGCGGATTAATGCTCTCTTCGCTCGTGGACTTCGGGATGCCATTCGGGACCCCGTCTGGCCTGTTATCTGACGACTGTGACAGGTTCCGGGCTTTCTGGGCCGAGCCGAGTATGCCTTCCCGACTAAAGTTGGAAGCCGCCCGCGCTGCCTTCAGCGAGTTTGGCGACTTGAGCAGGCCCGCGCCATTGGAACCGGCGGCTAGTTGGGGCGACGGGATGTCGACGGTGAAATCCCGATTCGGCATTGGATACTGCCTAACCACGGTGGCGCTGGCAGCGGTCGTCATGGTGGCTGTGACCGAATGCGGTGAGTCGCCGTTGGAGGACGGCGACATGCTGAATTGGCCGGGTTGCGACACCGTGACGGATTTCCAAAGACCCGAGCTACCCACAACTGGGGAGGCGGGTGCTTGCTGCTGAGTTCCTTCCAATCGACGACCGGTCAGCGATAGCGGCTGCTCCAACATCGAGTTGACGATTATTCAAACGCCGTAAACTCCAACAAAATCACTGAAACCCGTGCTTCGCAGTCGAACTCGCATTATCGTGCCGCTGCCAACTAGGAATCGTGAAAGCCAGCGCCGGGTGACTGGTTTGGCGTGGTGGTTTGGTGGGTCAAGGTCAGATCGGGGCGGATGGCGTGGTTGGGGCAGGTATGTGCTGCGCGTAGGTAGACAGGTGGGAAGCTTCTCCGGGATCTTGGGAACGGAAGGTCGGGTGTGGAGGATTCATATGTATCTCATCCCGCACACGGGGTCAGCCTTTGCCGAGACGAACTGGGGACTCCAATCAGGGGGGGGGTAGGGCGGTCACTTCGTCCTGAGCATGTCCTCTGCAGTACCGCTTGTTCCCGGAGGCACCTTTAATCACAGCCAAGGCATGGGCCAGCGCGAGTCGAGTGTGGCGTTTGTACTGTCCTAACGCAAACGGCTGGCTTTTGCGGGGAGAAGCTGCTTGGTCCTGTTACGTGCGCCGAAAAGCCAGCCATAACGGAGGCGGGACGGCGGGGACTGGGGTGGCATGCGCTAGTGCCGACCGGGGGAGATTTGTGGTGGACAAGGGTGGGCTGGGGGTGAGGGGGACGAGCGCTGCTTCCAGGTTGTTGTGGAGTCGCACTCGAGGGACCCCTGTGGAGGGTTGCATGGAGTCTTCGAAAGAAGGCGCGTTGTGGGGTGCGTTAAATGTCGCTTTTCTCTGCTGCATCTTGGGGTCGCCCTGTCGAGCCCGTCGAGCGTGCTCCGAAGTGCCCAAGCTGAGCGACTAACGGTTAGCGTGCGAAAGCGGACGTGGTCCTCTCAGCGATGCCGGACTGAGGACCTTGCACCTTGCAGCTTGCACACTTCGCTCTCAGGGTTCTGGGAAGCTGCATGAAGCGATCCATGGGTTGTCGTGTCATCGCTGGCAAATGGGCGACGACGAGCCACGGCATTTCCACACACCGTCGACCAGCGCGACCTGGGACGAGGGTGGGTCGTCGGGTCCGGGTGTGGAGGAGACGGAAGCAAATGAAGGAGGCCTTGCCTGCCCACTTGCCAACCAGAAAAACGCGGGGGTGGGGTTTCTGATTCCAACCGCTCACTGGGCCGCCTCTCTCTGGGCGACCCTCAACCTCCGCATCTTCCCTTGGCTTCCAAATCTTGTCTTCCTTCGAGTTTCGACGGTTTCCACACTTCGCGATCAGGTTTCCCAACGCACGCTCTCCTGTGATGTATACAAGTCCGATGCATCTTGGATACCTAGGTATGTAACGCCGACATGGGCTCAGAGCGGCCGCGCGGATTGGTGCGCAACGGACGGGCAGTGACGGGCAGTGGCGGGCATGGAATTGCTGAGAGAGAGAGAGAACCCGAGACGGGACACAGGTCTTCTTGTCTGTTGCCCCCTATGAAGAAACGATACCGACAATCCATGCAAGGGTCCGAGCAATCCCCTCAAAGCTCAGCTCGGCAACCGCCGATCATCTCGCCCGGCAACGGTTGATGGTGATGAAGTGCGCGCTGAATCAAGGCCAAAACCTCGCCGCCGGGCAAAGGGAGCATTGGTTAGGTGGGTGGTGTGAGCGAGTACACACTTGTAGTACCTCCTTGTACACAGTCATGCGAAGGCACGGCTACCTAGTGTGACAGCTCAGGCTCTCAACGCTCTCAACGCTCTGGGCTGCCTGTGCTCGGTCTTCCATCCAGTGGGTGAAGCACTCAATTTCTCAGTACCTGGTATCCTTGTAACCGACACAGGAGGTACCAAGGAGTTGCCTTTTTGTCTCATTTCTTTCGACTTCACCGATCAGGACTGGTTCGCCAACTGGTCCACACCTCCGACAGACTTGTAACTCTTCCATACCTCGCAGACCTACTTCGTACCCGTACATAGTCGGCGCACGGAGTGAGTGGTTGACTTACGGAAATGATTCAGCTGCAGTCGAGCCGCTGACACAGCAAGCCACAGCCATCAACCCTGCACCTTCCCTCTCTTGCATTTCCCATTTCTTTTCTGGAGCACGCATCGTCTCGCCTCAGGCTCTCCACATGGAAACCATGCTCAATGGCAACAACAACAACAACACCAAAACCAAAAACTTTGGGAAGTAATGTTACTCATCAACAACGCACCCCAAGTGCTTGGACGAACGCAACCACCCTCAATTGAAATTTTGGCAAACTCTGCGGTTCTTGATTTAGCATAAATCCGGCAGCGGCCAGCACCGCTCTTCACAATCTCTTGGCTGTCGAACCACGTCAGTCCCACGCTCGGGCTCTCCGCGTTGTCGACCAAAAGCGTTCGTCGTGTCTGAGGAGAAACCTTCGAGAAGCTCCTTCCACCCCACATCGGGCGTGCTCTTTGTCCCAAGGCGGTCCAAGATCATCGCGCCAGCAGCAAGCGCGCAGACGGACTGCACCCACTTGGGACGAAGGTGGCCTCGTCTGGGCCGTGCCCACAGCATACCGAAGCCCATCCAACCAGACGGGAGACGAACTAATCATTTCTGCCGTGCCGCGCTACCTCTGCCGCTTCGTTGTCCGCAATTCACAGAGTCATGTGAAGACGGATGCTCATCAACTTCGCAGACCGCAAAGGACTGCCTCGCGGCAAGGGCGTTGATGCGACGAGTCCCATGAGCACAACGATCCACTTCGGACTCGCCACCATCCTCTAGACGCCAGCGAGCTGTGCCTGGCGCGGGCGTGTGCATGTCAAGCAAGCCGCGTCCTCTTCGAGGTAACGAGCCGAGAGGATTCGAGATCGGGGGTTTGAACAGGGCAGCAGGGCAGCAGGGCAGCAGGGCAACCGCGACGATGACGATGACAGGATCTTCTCCCGACCGCCACCCAAACTCAAGCACCCTCTGGCCAAAAAAACCGGTACACACAAACCGATTTTTGGTGGATCCGCCTGCAAGTCTCGTTCACCGAGGCACTACACTTGTACAAGCCGTCTACGGACCACCAAACAAGATAAATGAGCAATAATAGATAAGTGAAGAGAGCAGCACTCAAAGACTTTATTGCCTTTTATTCTGTCAAATTTGGGCTTGATTTGGCCGAGAAACATCGACTCAAGATAGCTGTAAGTCGTTTGTGTGTTCCCATTTTTTTGCCCAGAGCGTGTCAAGCCAGGCGTGCCAGGCTCGCCAGGGGTCCTCGAACATCGCCGTCCGAAATCACAATCTCGGCGCACAGACGTGTTGAGAGAGAGACTCCTTGCTGTTCCTGCACAGGATCCACCGGTCACTCCACTGTGCTCACCTCGGGTCGGTGCCCATGACCCGACCGTCTGCTTCAGTTCGCAGGCATGGCTGTGGCTTGCCAAAACGTTGACGGATGGTGCGGTCCGTTAGTGGTGTGGCTGGCCACTTCCGCTCCGGGACCCCTGCACTCCGCACATGCATGCGTCGCGCAGCCGAGCGCGTTCGTCGTTAGTGGCTTGGTACAGAGCAGTTCTCTTACTGGGCACCAAAAGAGGCTTCGGTCCGAATACTTGCGATTAAACCCTTGTCCATCACCACCATCTCAGCAGCGGACCGAAGCAAGAAGAATATCGGTTTACAGATCTGTACATACAAGCCCGAAGGAATCTGTCACCTCCGCGAATACCGGCTTCCGACTGCATACACAGTAGGTATGCCGAATCAAGAACCCGAGGAACGGCCAACCAAATGCGTTGATTACAAAAGCACTGCGGATGAGCAAACCACCCAGTGACGGTCTCCCACGGTCTGTCCAGCTGCTTTCCTAGCACACACACTGGTAGTAAACGACGGTTCTGGGAAGCCCGAGATTCATGGCCCTCGCCCAAGCTGTCCCGTCCCCCGTATTCACAGCCCGCACGTGGCTCGTCGCTCGCCACAACGCGGGGAGAGGGCCGCGGACTGCTCTTCACAGTTTCCCACCTTTCGGCAACCCGACCTCCTGGGATTTCGGCGCCTGGCCGTGTCCCGCGCCGTCCCCTGGATAGCCGAGCGGTCATGGGACTCCCAAATCCACCACGATATTAATTAATCGACACCCGCCACCATTCTGACTGGAGTGGCTCGGCCATCTAGGCCTCGTACGCCCAGGCTGAGGCGATACGGGAATCGATATTGCAGGCTCCTTTGTCTATCGGCGCGACGTTATTGTTAGCAGCCGCTGTCCCTTCCCGTGCGGCTCCTCGGTGGCCCTGCGCGGCACCCCACGGCTCAGGACCCCCCCCACCCGGTCCTTGGCCCGTCCACCGCCGAGTCCTCGTCCGCACGGGGGAGGTGCGGGTTCGAGTTAATCTCTATGAACCAGCCATGGTGTTGCCGCGCATAGGCCGGTGAGGAGGGCCAGACGGACGCGGTAGCCCTCGTGATTCATTAACCACCCGCGATGACGCCTGGTTTTGCTCTCCGCGGTTGTTGCTGGGTAGCATTAGAGGGCGGTTGTTCCATACACGCCAAGCCGCGGGGGATGTGCAACGGGATGCCTCTGCAGGAGACCCGGCCATTGCCGACGGACGTGGCTTTCATGAACCAGCTGGGTGTCAATGGCACAGAGCATCTCACACTCAGCCAATCCCACACACAACAACCCTAGGTAGCGAGCATGGTACGAAGGAAACTGCAGCAGCTCAGACACAGTTGACAAGTCTCTCACTTGGCCCGGCCCGAGCTTCGGTTTGGGTTACCCCTCCCGTCGGCCGCAAAGCGAGCATGTCAAGCACATCCTTCTAGAACCAATGTGTCTCTCGAGAGGACACTACACCAGAGTGTACAGCTGCAAGACGCCGCAGCCTCCCCGCACCAAGTCCCTTGTCGGTCACACGTCTCGACCTGGTCGTGCTGGGGCGACCGTCCAGGCTTGAGCCAGGATCCTTCCCGAATGTCCCTCGCCGCGTCCGCACAGGAGATATCACTTCCGTGGCGATGCGATAGCGAGCCAAGAGGTCCGTGAGGTGCGCAGGCGGTTTTGCGAGGCGTACTGTGTACACGTACAGATCCGGTTGGTGATAACCCGTTTTGGAGCCTCGTCCGGCGCCGTTTTCTTCCCTGATGCGGACGTCGTTGCGGAGTTGTCTGCAAAATACCTATTTTCAGGGCCCCGTCTTCACCGCGAAGCGCCGGCGAGGTCCACCAACCCCTCTCATCTCCAAGGCTAGCGTGCCCTTCTTTTTGCCCCCGCGCCTCGCTACGAGTGCCAATTTCGTACCCTTGGACCGGACGCATCTTGTCGTCAGAGGCGGTCTCTGTCATGCACAAGTCAGCCGATGAGCAGCATGTGCTCTCCATCGAGGAGACTTTCAATGCTTGCCCTGTCACGTCACCAACCAAAAAATGTGGTGTTGACATCCTGGGACCGATGTGTCCAAATCGGGCCTGCCGTTACACTAAAGGCTTGTGGCATGCGGCTAGTCTGGAACCTTGTTGGTTTCTCCTTTCTCTTACGTTAGCGCGTGCAAGACTGCAGCAGCCGGTGTTCTCGGTCGACTTGTCGCGAGGTGGCCGAGACTCCCCCCACCTGAAGACGGAGCCGAAGCAGGACACTCAGACCAACCGACACAGCAACGGCCGCTCGAGTACCAGCTCGGCAAGCCACCGTGAGGCACTACACAAATCTTGTCTCACTAAAGATTAATTCTTAGTCACAAACACCCAAAGTCCAAGTGTCTAACCAACTCCGTACCTCCGAAACCCTCCCGTTAACACCGAGTGGTCCCGGGCCGTCAGCACCGGATCGGAATGCTGCCGATCCACCCCCTCCTCGCTCCCCTCTCCCCGGTCAGGCTAACATTAGTGCGGTGGGTCACGAAAGAAAGAACGGGAGCGTCCCGCGGCTTTCATCTGATCTCTTGAACTCAAAATTCCTCGCGCCGACGCCACCCCATAACGCTATTCGACCAAGTGCCCACACTGTGTCGCCTCCCCCCCGGGCGGCGCCGCGACGCGAGGGTGATATTTCGTCCACCCGCAGGATGAGGAGAGGGGGGTTAGAGAGATGTCCGAATTTGGATCCGGGCGTCCGGGGCTCGGGCGAAGACGGGCAAACTGGCAAACCAAAGCTGGTGTCCGGACATGGAACTGCATTCGACCCCCCACTCCCCGAACCTTCAACCCCCCCATGACATGATTGGCAAGCCACCATCCGGTGTCATGGCGTTCACCATGCGTGCATGTGTGTCTGTGTGTCTGTGCTGCTGCTCGTGCGCAACACGGATCCCCCACTTGCCGCCTTTCGCGGGGGATCGGTCGAGGGGGTCGGGGGATCGGTCGAGGGGGTCGGGGGATCGGGGAGTCGGGGATCCGGGGGTGGTGGGGGGGGGGGGGGGGGTTGCTCGCTGGGTTGACCCACGCCCACGGTTGCCGACCGTTCGGGTCCCGCATTCCCCCCAGAACTATGTACCGGACCAACACCCCCCAAAATGGATTCACAGGCCGAAAGGGAGGGTCGGAGCCCGGGGGGGCGGCGGACCGGGCTTGTTGTGATGGGACGGGGAACGAGATGAGAGGAGAGAGAGTGCGGGGGACGGCGGGGGCGGGGGAGCGGGGGATCGATCGAGACGCGTTTGCGCCCGCTTGGCGAGATGGGATCGCCCCTCGTTCCCGGTTTCACATGTGGTGGAGGATGTGAGATGCGATGATGCACGCGATGCGATGCGATGGGAGGGCAATACCGGGTCAGGCACGCGCGCCGGGGGAGGGGGGGAGGTTGATCATTGGGGAGGCGAGGTCTTCCTTCCCCGCGGGGGAGGGTCTGTGCCAACGGAGTTTGAGGGGGCTTGTCTTGCTTCATATCATTGCTTGTTCACTCACTTTTGGTCAAGTACTCGTTAGTAATTAGGAAGGGCTGTGAAGGGCTGTGGTGTTGGGGTTTGAGTGAAGTGTCGCTTTTTTGTCACCTTTTTATCTACTTGTTCTGTTTTTGCGTCGTCTTTCACGGTGCTCAATCTCACGAAAGCAGCGTAGGTATGGCTAACCAACATGAGGATGAACCAACTTTTAGTGAGTTTGGATTTCTCTAAAGTAAAAAACAACTAAAGCCAAAGAGAAGAAGATCTAGGCCTCCCCTTTCCCGAGCGCCACCGCTCAGCTCTACTGCTTGAACGAGACAAAGTTAGGCATGCCCGCGACATCAACCTCGGCAACGACGTTGCCGATCTTGCCGGTGGCGGTGTCACGCTCGAAGATGACGACGCGGCCGTCGGCCTGCAGGGCCGAGGCGACGCGGCTGCCGTCGCTGTTGAAGGAGAAGTGGCGCGGGTTGGCGCCGCCGGCGGGGGCGGTCTGGACGTGGGTGAGCTCGCCGGACGTGGCGTCGATGGAGAAGGTGATGAGCGGGTCCGAGGGGACGACGGTGCCGTTGGCGACGGTGTACTCGAGCGCGTTCTCGTAGCGGGACGAGAGTGTCAGGAAGTTGCTGTTGGGCTGTGGTTTGTCACGTCAGCAAGTGCGACTGGATGCTTGTGTACTTGCGCAGGGCGCATGGGGAGTGGGTGATAACTTACAGCAAGGAAAATCTCGGCGGCAGCAACCGCTTCCGGGAGCGCGTCGGCCTCGCCGTGGGTGTTAGCGCTGTAAATCTGGGTGAAGGTGAGCCCGTCCTCGGCGTAGGTGACGGAGAAGCCCTGGAGGAGGTTGGCGAGCTCGCAGACGACGTAGAAGAAGGTGCTGTCGCCGGAGGTGAAGAAGGCGCCGTGGCGGGGGCCGGTGCCACGGGTAAGCACGTGGCTCTCCTATAACGACGGTTAGTATTTTCAGAGTCAAGAAAACCTAATGCAATCGCGCAGCGCGGGGCGTTACATACCGTTTCGGTGTACTCCAGAGTCTCCTTGTCCACCTTCAGGACACGGAGAAGGTCGGCACCGAGATCGGGGAAGACGAGGAAATCTCCAGTGGGATCCAGGATGGCCTCGTGCGGGCGGGCGATGTCCTGGGGGTTCTCGGTGGCGTCCTCAGGGATGGGGTACTTCAGGGACTTGATCAGGGTAATCGCCTTGGGGTCCTCAATGTTGAAGGTGTCGATACCTCCTGCACCGCTAAATTTCATGTGTTAGCCGTTTCTCGTCCTCTCCAAACATTGGACGGTTGGCCCAGCCGCGGAACGGGTGCCGGACCACACAAGGGTCCTCCAGCTCCAGGGGGGGCGGTTGGGCGCTGTTGGGAAAATGGGAAAACACTTACTAATCGGCAACAGCCAATCCACGGCCACCATTGCCGTAGACAACGGTGCTCACGGGCCCGCCGATGGTCTCACCGCCGCTGAGCTTGGTGAAGCTGAGATCGTCGTTGATCTGGAGGGCTGCGAGATCGCCGTGGTCGCCGCCCCAGGCCTCGTTGACGCAGTAGAGAACATCGTCGGCTTGGGTCAGCCACGAGGGGTAGGGACCGCAGGTCTCGGACTGGGCGACGTTCTCGAGCGTCGACCCTTCCAGCTTGAGGGTGATGAGCTCGCCGGAACCCTCACCGATGGGGTAGGTGGTGACCCAAAGGGTGTCCGATGTGCTTCCGCCGCCGCAAACCGGAGCGGCGGCCGCGAGCTGGATGCCGGCCCCGAGGGCAACGGCAACGCTGTGAGAAGTCCGCATGGCGTTTTTTAGGGAGATGTTAGTTTGGCGCTAGTCGGTGCTGCACTTTCGCAACCAAATATCGATCGTTGTTGTATGTTTTGTTTGCTGTCTGTGTGTCGCAGCTCGCGTGGACGGGTAGGTTTTGTTTTTGTTTTATTTTATTTTATTTTCTCGAGTAGGTCGCAGTCGAAAGAATGTCCAGGACTAGGTTTCTGGGATTTTAGGATGTTCTGAGGTGCGGCGGACAACACCCTTCTAATAAGCGCTTGAAGGAGTGTCGATCGTGCCACATGGCCCTGTGAGAGGTTGACAAACGGGCACAATGGGCGCTTCTCCCGGCCCGCACAGGTCAAAGGTGGCCCCCCTGGACAGGGGGCCTTTGCATTGTTCATTGCGCCTAATCAAGACCAGTTATTACAGCCGGCTCCAGTCCCGCATTGTTGCCATTGTGCCGTGGTCCCGCGTTGGCGGACTGTTTGGTGGCAGGGTGGCCAACAGTTGATGGAAAATCAACATCGGACAGCGACCCCTTGCAGCGGTCATCAATTAGGGAACGGGAGCTCCTGCGCCTGGTTCCGCATGGGATGAGATCGGACGGAGGCAGCACGGGGCGCAGCTGTCCATTGGGAGCGGGTGGAGGGCTTGGGAACCACTGAGAGCCAGTGGAAATCGCCCATCGCCGTTAGGCTGCTGGAGCCCTAATCTATCCGGCCCGGTCGAGGCGGGATCTAACCCCGATGAGGCCTTGGCTGGCTCGAAGCGATGAATTCCCACATGAACGAGGAAGCAGTGGGGGAGGGTTGATTTACGACGAAACGCGGTTGGGGGCAGGTACCGGGTTGGGGGAATTGTGTGGACGAGACCCGGCGACCCGCAAGAAGGCGCATGCACGCACAATGGCCATCTCGCGGGTGTTCCTTCCGTCTCGTCCAATCCTTTTGACTTCAGCTCAAAGAATGGGGGCAAAGAATGGAACCACGCCTTGCTAGTGGGGCTCATGGAGAGATCCTGCAAGGCGGCGCATGCAGGCACGCAGGGGCGCGGCAAGCCAAGCGCGCCGAGAAAGCGGGGAAGGTCTTTGGAAGGCCTCGCTGGGCCTGTTGTTTGTTCTTCCCCTGTGTGGTGTGTCTGGGTTTGAAACAAGCAGGCAGGCACACTTCGACCAAACAATCCGACGCTGCAACACTGGAACAACGCCGACAACACGGAACCGAACCCCAACGGCGGACCAGTTGGTTTCAAGTTTCAAGGTTCAAGTTGGTCGCAATTGTTTGCGTCATAACTCGCCGACACTTGAGGCCTTGCAGGTTGGGCCGTCCTTGCTGAGATTTGTGGCCTCAAAAGTTGCTTTTGGCTTCTTCAGACGGTGAGACGGTCCAGCTGAGACCGAGTTGAGACGGCCGAATCCCCGGTCAACATCCCGCAGTTGGTCCGAAAAAGCTGTCACGAGGAACACAGCCGACGGCCACCAACAAATCCTCCAACGCGCCCCAGCCCGGAATTTCGGGTCCTTCTTCCAGGGGTGTCCGACGAGCTCGCACTCCAGAACAAGAAAGATGGCACCGAGCTCATCCATCGTATGGCACTATCCCGTTCAGGTAAAGGCCTTCCGCGGGTGGCTGCAGCTCCGATGGAAATGGAAGTTTAAGCCCCAGAGAGGAACTCGAGGAGCCGAAACTGGCACGACGAACCGTGTCGGTCTCGCGAGGCAGGTTATGGTTGTCACGTGAAAGACGGGAATCATCCTCGCCCGAAGACGGAACACGGTTTCTCATTGATCCGAAGTTCAAAATTATGTCAGCTGGGTCTTGGCGTGAAGCGCACGGATGGCAGTTATGCCAAGCCTTTGGGTCACCGTTTTCGGTACCAGACGCAGCAGCTACGGATATCGTGCCCATTACCGGCTCACCTCGCCACCTGTTCACATCCCTCTTTTACCGTTCGCATAGCTCATACCCTGCGATTTCGTTGGAGTGGTCGTACTAAAAGTCTAACCGGGTGCATGCCCGAGACACAGAACCAGCGCAAGCCTGACAGAAAATATGTACCTATCGCAAACGGACTTCCAGGCTGTTCGTTAAGGCAGTTAGTTAGTTAGCCTCCATCTGTATCCCCTGCGGCACCTTCTCTTCAGTCAAGGTTCCCAGGTTCTTCTCTCGACATCGTGGCGTCAAACTCAACGTCAGCAACCCTGTTTGTTGCGGACCACTCCAGGCTCTCAAGTATGTCTGTGTATGTACATACATGTACCCGAGAGACGCCTCATCCAGCAATCCTTCAGTGTCTGAGCGCTCGCAAGCCTGCATCGTCAACAGTGGTTAGCTCGCCAGAAAACGGCTGCATCAACAAGCATCAACCACCATCAACCACCATCAACCACCCAAGCTAATGAGTTAGCGCCGGGACTTGGTCTGCTCGCGTTCCCCGCCGCCACTGAAGCGAGTGAAGTTCTCTCGTTCCGCAGCCTTCGCAATGTGCCAATCCACCACAACCACAAAATCACAATTTAACCGCCTTCTTTAGCCGTTCCCAGCCAGTCAGCGGACGGTTGGTGCGACCCACATTCTTCTCCCGCCATATCAGTGGCCTCTCCACGATCTGATCGCTCACTGATCAACAAGGCCGGGCCATGCAGTTGGCGACCGATCCGGACAAGGCTGGCTTTCTGCCCTCGGGGCCAGCGAGCCCGCCTCCACTCGTTCACGCGAGATGAGCCCCCGGGATGCACTCCTGTGTCGAACATTCGTGGAATGATCGGGTGGCACGGGTGGGTGGGTGACTCTTGTGCTTCGAGTAAGCCGGGCGCAAAAAACGGACGTCCTCCGGGAGAGACCGTTCGGGGGGGGGTCTGTGCCCGGCTCCAAGGTGCCATCCTGGTCGGGGACGGGGACCGGGGATAGGAAGCAGGGCAGGTTGCGGCGGACGTGTGTGGACGGGAGACCACGCGTCTCTTCGCCTTGTCAACGGTCAAGTCTTACGATGTGAGGGTAACTTGACCAGCAAAACAGGGCAGGCACGGCAACAGCCGAACAAGCATCATGAAATGATTGCATGGCCTTTTGCGGGGAAGGTAGTTATCTGTTAGCTAACTCGTGTACGATCCAAGCGCATTGCAGCGTCGCCTTCGCCCATCACCAAACTCCAGACATCCATACCCAAATGCCTCCCTCTCGCCCTCCCCCTACCCTCCCCTAATAGCACACGCCGTCGTATTGATAGTACCACACTACCTCAACCCAATCACCCCATCCAGACCACCACCGCCTCAACGCTCACCTCCCCAACCCCAAGCATGGGAGGCGAGCGGAGAGGAGAATGAGAGAGGGGGGACAAACCCAGCGTCACTGCCGTTAATTAAACAATTACCACAAGTCAGGAACCGACGTCAATGGATGCTACCGTGAACCCTGCCCGTCGACCAAGTACCGAATTGCACACATGCCGTCGTGACAGCCGAACTGGAGAGGAGAGGAGACGACCAGACGAGCAAGGGGGGGTTGGCGGTCACAAAAGGAGAAGCCTACATACCTAACGTGCCTACCTACCCAACTACCGCCATCACAGAACATTGGCTCGGCTTAAACTAACTCCTTCGTAACCAAACCGAGAGTTCCCAGTGCTTTTCCAAAGTAAGAGCGTCTTGCGATTTGGCCATGGGACGCAACGAGCCCCGCCAGGATTCCGTCAAAACGGTACACATACATCATAGAAGCGGACAAACAAGTCGGGGGAAACGGTGATGTGGCTTGTGCTGGTGAAGACGTCACATTCCAAGGTTTTGTTCAACCACACAAATAGTTAGAAGAGGAATATCTATGTAGACGACTTGGTTCATCATCCGACCTCGAAATGCAATACTCGTAGCCAACCCAACCCTCAAATACACAACGCAATGCACCGGCCACCGGCCACAAAGATGCCCAACCAACCGACCTCTACCATGCACTAACTAACACCCCCGGGGGAATCCGCCCAACCATGTAAAAGACCAAACGAAAGATAAAGTAAAGGGTATCAAGTAGTCGCAGTAATAGGTGATACTCAATCGCCGCCAGCCCCAAAATCCACGCTCTCTATCCAGCCCCTGACCGCCTCGCGCAGGGGACTTTCCCTCTCCCGATTTCCAATGCTCCCTTCTAACTCCTGCTCTCTCTCCCCAATAACGTCATGAATGATATCCTCCAACGCACCCAGCAAGACAGTCTTGCACTGTGACCGCGGCACCTCCTGCGGGGTCGTGGAACCCCCGGTCCCCAAAACTGGCAGCAGCCCTTGCGTCGTCGAAGAAGCACCGGAACACCTTATATCCGTAGACACGGACACCGTCCCTGAGCTGGCCGAGAGGCTATCCCTCCTCCCCGTCTCTCGCTCCCTCTCCCGCCGCTTGCTAGTCGACCTGGACGAGCTCGTCGAGCTAACTTTGCTCACAGTCGTCTCGGTGCTGGTCCCGGCGGAAGCGATGACGCGCTCTACAGCCTCAATCAGCACGTCATCAAAGGCGACGACGGGCTCTTCGATGAATTCTTCCTTGAGCTGCACGTCAAACACCGACGGCGGCGGGTTCGACGACGCGGTAGTTGAGGCCGTGAGTGGGGTCGGTACCACTGCAGCGTTGTTAGGCTGCAGCTGTTGCACGGATTGCGTGTGCGGCGTCAGCTTCATTAGGCGACGGTAACGTATACGTGTGATGGTGAACGTCGTTGTGTCTGCGACAATGGCCGAGGTGACGTCGATCCACTTTTCGGTAGCGATGTCCTCCGGCGATGGTGATGATGACAGCGGGAGTGGCGGAGTTGGTTCAGCGCGCATCGATTCTTTGACCTCCTCGATGATGTCGTGCTGAGCTGCCGGCAGTGCCTGGAGCACGAAGTCCGGGTGGTAGTGCTGCAGCCACCCGGCGACGTTGAGCGGGACGTCTCCGTCGGCGGCAAAGCGGAAGGATTGCTCGAAAGCGTCGAGACCAGTACCGAATCCCGAGGCGGAGAGATAGCCACTGCTTGACGGCGAGCTTACAGCGCTTTCGAACGACGTGATGAAGTCCGGCAACGGGACATCCACGTCGATGATTCCGTCATCTATATTAATCGACGTCTTGACGGGGGACTCAAAGGCGCTCGATGGGTCTGCTATCCTCTGTGCCTTTCGCGGGACTCCGGCTTGCTCACAGGGTGCCGGGCTGTCGGGGGAGGCACGCGGTGGCGGCGTGGGATCTCTCGGACCGATATTCTCGTCATCGCGGGCATCGCCAACCGCGCCTCCCGTGGGGGCTACTACCCCTACTTCCGGTGGTGCCGTCTTAGAGGATGCTGCAATTGAAGACTGCCGTGGCTTTACTGGTGACGCAGGGAACCCATTTTGCCCGTCACTAGGCACGGGGGACCTGCTCGTCGAATCCCTCCTCCGAGCACTCCAGAGGGTGCTGATAACACTCCATCTCGAGCTCTGCCTGCGTTCGCCGGCCGTTGAGCCCTGAGATCCTGGACTGTCATCCCTAGTGAGCCGCTTCAAATCATCCGCAGCGATGCTGTTGCTGCTGCTGGGGCGACCCTGGGCGAAAAGCTCGGCTCGATGAGCGGTAGAGAAGTGCGGGATACTAGTCTCCGGCAGAATGGTCGCAGTGGTGGCAGCGCTGCTCTTTCGGGTGTGCAGGTCGCTCCCACGAATCGGCAGGTGGGTGGTCCGGATCGAAGCAGCATCAGAAGCTCGCCTTTCATGCCTGCCTTCCATACTTAGGTGCGCTAGGGGGGGAGGGACGGCTCCTGAGCGCGCGTTGTGCGTCTGTAAGCTTAAATTGCGGGAATGTGACGGCATGCGGGTGCCTGTCCGGCGGTTTATTTTCCTGCGCAGCGACTCCTCTTTGAGGATGGGGACGACAAAAGATGGAGGAGACTGGGAAAGGGCGCCAAAAGACGCCGGAGTGCTTGGCCTATGTGCTTTGATGCCGGGAAGCTGCTGGGAGGCCGGTAGGAAAGCCGACAGCAAAAAGACCAGTCGCCGCGCGGCGATCTTGTCGTCGCTCAGGATCACCGTTCGAGACGGTACTAGAGTGTCTTCTTCTGAGCGACCTTTATGCTGCTGGAAAGGATGTCGCCGGCGATAGGCTGGCGGGCTTAATGCTTGGAGCCAGTCGGTATGGGTCGCGAGGAAACCCGTGAGTAGGTTGAAGAAAAAAAAGCCTTGCTCCTTTCCGCCAGCCCACTTCGCCATCCAGCGAGCTTCCTCCCGCCATATCGGCCACCGGTTCTGGCCAGTTGTCACGCGTGAAGCTCGAATGCCGGCAACGATTCTAGCCTTTGCGGCATCCATTTCAATGCTGATTTTCCGGTTGTCGAGTAGACAGTTGGGGAGCAGTGTAATGTGCTTGGCGTTTGTCTTGGGGATCTTGACCGACTGTCCCTCCTCGGTGCGCCGACCAGGTGCCGAGGAAGTCCTGGCCAGCTGGAGAGATAGAGCGGGAAGCGGGTCCGGGGATGCGAGATCAATTTGCCTGAGCATGGTAAACAGGGTGGTAGCAACCACAGTCTGTAGATGACTCAATGTGCGCATGATGATGTCCCAATGCTGGGTAATGGCATCGATCTGATCCTCCATGTCGTTGCCGTAACTCGACTCTAAGGACTCAGATCCGCCAAATCCTCCCTGGCCGACCATCGTCCAGCCGGAGCGCCGGGTGGAGCCGAAAGACGACGGGAATGAATCTTGTTCGGCATAAGAACTGGGCCCTTTGAAACCGGAACGTAACGTTGCTGGGACGGAATGCGACGAAGGAGGCAGAGTAATGATAAGGGCCACTGCGTACATGGGCGTCCTTTTCTGCCTCGGCTGGAACCGCTTCTTCTTGGCCTTCATGTCTTCGGCGGTTTGCGGGAACGGATAGCCTGCCGTTTCCTCGGAAAAGCCGCCCTGAAACGACGGCATCTCTTCTTCAACTGGGAGATTGACGGGAAACAACCTCGTTATCAGGACCTTCTTCCTGTCCTGATTCCGGTTTGGCCCCCCTGGCGCGGGAGGTGGAGGGAATGGTGGGGGGTTCTCGGAAGAAAAGGATTGGGAAAGCCGGCTCGCTCTCATAGTAGACCTTCCTAACGAGCCGCGGCCGTCCCCAAACATGGGGCCCGACTCGTTCGGGCGAACCTCTGAGGGCACAACATGGACCTTGGTCGATGTTCCCTTGTATGCCATGAGCTCCGAGTTGCCAAATATGCAGCTAGAAAAAGTAGCCAACTCCTCGCGGTATTCGCGCCACGCACGCTGGGATTCGCTTTCCACGGAGCCCTGGTTGCGGCTGTGGACCGAGGGCCTCCTGTCGAAAGCGCCCTGCCGAATCTTAGGGCTGCCAGGCTGGATAATGATGGGACGCTGCGAGTAGCTGACGCTGGGTTTCCGCGGGGAGGCAGGATTCCGGCGCGGCTCTTGGACAGAATAAGAGCCCGCAGTCGCCGAAGGGCGGTCTATGGAGGCGGGTGCAACAGGCGGGGCGGGTTGGCTGTCATACAGGAGAGAGGCTGCGACGGAGCTCAGGGCATCCTGCATAATGATGAGGCGGACATCGCGCACGTCAAGCTCGATGTCGGCGTTATAGTCGTAGGCGTTTGTCGTAGATCCGGTCGGGGTCGTGGCGCCGCTAGACAGAGGGTACAACTGACTGACGCGGTGCTCATACAGATCCTGGGGATCTGGAAAGAGCAGATGTCGCGTGTGGATATCTTCTTGAACCGACTCGAGCGGGAAAGGCCTGTGTGACGAGGGCTGGGGCGAGGGCATGGCCCCGGTCCCGGAGCCGGCGCCGAGGTTAAAGAGCTTCCCAAGCATCCCCAGAATTTGACGAAGTCGCGTGAAAGCGAGGAGTGGAAGCCTCCAGGAGTTGAGCGATGGTCCGTTTCAGCAATTCAGACAACAGCAAGGCGTCGGAGGATCATCGTCGCCGGTGGGGATGGCGGTGGCGCCATGCGAAGAGAGTAACTGTGAGACGAATAAAGCCGGAAGGGTGGTGAGAGGTGGGCAATATCGAGCGAGGCGTCAAATGGCATGACCTGCCGGCACGAAAAGGTGAAAGTCGTCGTGAGGTGAGAGGTCGCGTGAGGGGCCCAGTTCCAACGTCCACGAAGCGATCTGCTTCTCAACCCTCTTTCCTTCTCTCTCCCGACACTGGTCGAGCCGAGGTGAGAACGGCTAACAGGGGCAACCGAGAGATCAACGGCCACAGCGAGAACGGCTCATTCGACGAGATCGGGTCCCAACAAGGGTAATCTGAAGCTAGTGTTGTCTCAACCACCGCACAAGGCCAGACCAGAACAAACCAGACAGGGCCAAAAAAGGCGAGGGCCTGCGTTGTCAGGAGCGACAGCGGTTTGGCCGAGGGCGGGGGGGTTGGGAGTGGATATTTAGATGGTTATAAACAGCGTAATAAGGGTACGCCGTTCCTCCGTGTCTCCTCTTCTCGAGCGGTTTAAAACACGACGAGCGGCACCCACGGCAACCCACAATGACGAGTGGGTTTTGGTTGGAGGTGGAGAAGAGCGATACGCGAAGGAGGGGCTTGGCTGCGAGAAATCGTCGCGGGGGATTCCCAGGAGAGCAGGAGAGAGCGGCGATAGCAGCGAGAAGCGAGAAGCAGCGAGGGGAGTAACCTGGATGGGGCCGAGAAGAGCAGGAGGGGAAGGGATCACAAGGAAGGAACCTCCACTGGAAGGGACGCGAGTGGAGCAAGTGGAAAGCGCATTCGGCGGTGGAGTGGAGAGGAAGGAGGAGAGATGGAAGGGTGATGACGCTTTGCGCGGCTCTGGCGTCTGTCAGCTTCAAATCTGTCAAGGCGCGGAGGAGCATTCATCAATTGTTTAGCAGCCGAGCCACAGAGTCGCCCTTTGGCTTGTTGCGTTGCAGCTTTTGCGGGGGTCCCGGGTCCAGAATGGCGGTGACGACGAAAGCGGCGGTTGAGGTCCGCGTTGCGCGCCCAGCTGCGGCAGGTGCGCGGCATGTGGGTGACATGGGCCCCCGACATTGAGCGGGTGGGATCCGCCGGGGCCATCGACCTCGCCAAATCGAAGAGGCTCGCCCAGACTGCTTGCTGCACAAAAGCGGGCCCGTTGCTGCACCTCTTTCCCGCAATTTGCTGGTTGGGCAGGGCTGCACAGACTCGAAGAAGGCGCCTGGAACCCAAAAATACCATTCAATTCGCGGAACCTGGGATGGAATCTCTGAAGTGGCTTGGTGCTGGGGCATCTGTCACGTTAACCGACCGACTGATGACTGACAGCAGCAGCCGGGCAAACGCTGCACGACACACAACCCCCGCTTCCGTGGTCCAGTGACCTGTTGAAGCCGCCGACACAGGTCCACGACCTTGAAGGACGCAGCGTCGGACCGGTGGGTTTACACGATAACTATAACTAACTACGATGTACATAGGTAGTAGCGAACGTCCACTGCTCTCCAAAACACCCGACCACGATCCCCGGTTGTCAGCAGCCAGTGGAAAAACACACATCCGACCGAGTCAGTCGCATCCATGCAGCCGTTGACTTTGCTCCACTTGCCGAACCCTGAAGATTCAAAATTCATCAACTACGAATACTCGCAGTACATCTGTACCAACTCTCCAAAAAGCAACCACCAGAGAGTGGGAGAGTGCTTGACAAACAAGTCGTCCAAAGTGCTGCCGGCAGCCGCCAAGGAGATGGATGCCGGCTATTGTCATGGCTGACAGAGGTTGCCGCGGCCCGTCTCGTCTCTGATCGGTTGGCCTTCCGAGCCGTGACCCGTCCAGGGAAAATATCCACATGGTGGATGCCGCGTGGCTTTGAATTTAGCTTCATTCTTCTTCCTTTTCAGGTCGGGCCGTTTTGCAAGACGAGAAAGAACCTCGGGACGGCGACTTTCGTTGCTGCTCTAGGGATCTCCATTGACGGTTGTGGCTCGGCCAATCCTGGCCCCGATTTCCGTCGTTCCCTTGGATCAGGGATCGGACATCTGGACAGAGCCACGAGGCTGTCGGGATCCCGGGGCTGTTCCGACAGCCTGGCTCTCCAAGCAAGTTGGCTGGTTGGCTCGTTGGTCTTGCGACCAACGGCTTCACCGCCAGAAAGCCGCCATCCTCACGCTCCCTTGCCGGCAACTGATTGATGGCCTGGAGTGGCTGGACAAGACGTCGCCCAGGCTGGTGTAACCCAAAGGTTCATCAACTCAAGTCGCCCTGTCCTTGTCGTTGCTCATCCTTTTGCGGGTTGGAAGAAAGTGACGTCCTCGTCGCTGCCGCGACGTCGACGGCCTCCTAAAGCCTGCCCGCCTGGATTATAGCCTGTTTGTTTGTCGGCCCGCGACTCGAAACCAACGGCGGACATTGACTTGGTCAGTGACGGCATTCTCGCAACGGCCGCCGATTTTTCCCCTTTCTGTTCCCCTTCATTTGCAAGAGCTCTGCTTCGGTCCGCACAAAGGAAACGATCAACGCGACGGCATCGTCACCACCTTTTCTCTTCCTTCGTGGCATCAAAACGTCGAGTGAGAACGTACCGCCGCACACACATCAGTCCAAGTGCACCGCACACCTTTCTCACCTGCATTGGCTTCGTTTTGGACAGCCCGCCCCCTGTACTCGACAAGCCCAAATGCCACACAGCCAATTACGACGCTGAAGACAGCCTAATCTGGCCCAATAGGGAAACCAAGCCTGTGACCTCATCGCAAACCGCGGCCCAAGATAATCCCCCCCCCGTCATTTCTTGTGCCGCAGCCGTGCTGCCGCGAGGTGACAGGTCAAAAAGGGGGGCGGGACCCGATCGTTGCCAAACCATCCAATGTGGACACAATACATCACTACCTGGCTGGTGCGGTGTTGGTCGAGTTTCCAACGTTGACAAGAGTTGGCCCAGCTTTCGTGCTTGAAATTCACGGGTTGGCTGGTCTCCAGCCGATGGGTTCGATAAAGTTGCGTCAGGCATATTCCTGATGCGCGCATCTCCCAGGCCTGTGCGACCTTCCCCGTAACCTGGAAAATGCCGTATCTCTTACGTACAACAGCGGCAAGCGAAGGAACTTGTCACTGCAGATGCAGGTCGTGATCCCGGCCTCGCCCGCGAAATCCCAAGATTGAGCTTGCTCGCATCCTCAACAATGGCCCCGCCCCCACGTCGAACCCCCCGCCCTTGCCCCCATTCCCTCCCTGGCTCCGACGCCACGGTTCCGGGCCGCGACGGCCGAGCGAGCATGAAACAAACGACACAGCAACCGTCCTCCGACCATTTCCGCAAATAGAACCGCACAGCTTCCAGGTTGGGCCACCAGGCTCTCCCCGGGAAATACCCCCAGCACGGTGAGACACAGCACACTCTACGCAAGGCTGGATATCGGGAGGGTCATTCCACGCAGACGGAATGTGATCCGCACCTCGTGGCAGAGTGGGAAGCTGCCGCACCAGCGAGCCGAAACTCCCACCTGACGGGACATAGCTGCTGCGAAACCGCTCCTGCATAGTGTACTCGGGGTGATACGGCATTTGGGTCAGTCACACAGTCTAACTAATGCGGGCCTGCCATTGACGGCAATATGCCATGTATGTATGCCGTGCGTAGACGAAGCAGCGTGAGAGCTGAGCTTAGTAAAGGAACCATCCGGCAGTTGGTTGCATAGCCGATGTCGCATACGTCACGTCACGGTACCTGTGCCGCCTCAACGGGATGTTAATAAGGATCTATCTACTCTGCGTGAAACGCCTTGCCATATCTCCTTACTTCCCCTCAAGGGCGTATGCCCAACATAGGGAGAGGGAGAAAGAAAACCTACGTCAACTCCTCGAAACAACCACCACCTCGCCGAGACGAGCAATCGAAAGGAGCAAGTAAACTTAAACGCAACCCCAGGTCCCGACGAACTGCCCCCCTTCACACCTGCACCAAACCACTGCAGCACATGAGATGGCTACACATGCCCCGGCCGCACACCATCTGACAGCAAGACACGGCCGCCCTCTCAGGAATAATGCCCTCACCTTCCTCCCTCTTGCCGCTGCCATCACCACCATCGCCGCCACCACCAGCGCCCTCCACCGCCACCGCGCCGGAACGGACCGAGTCGGAGGACGAAGGGCAAATCGAGGACGGCGGCGGCGGCACCAGCTCCGGTTGCAGGGTCGCCGAGTGGATGCCATAGGCGTGCAGACACTCCCGGATGGTATGGGTTTGGGCCACGAAACTGGCCAGGTCTGGGGCCGAGACGATGACGTGTGCTGACGCGATTGCCTTGTGCTGGTCGAGCCGCCAGATGTCTGTTTGGTTTAGGGAAGGGGGAGGGTGTTAGTTGCTTTTCTTCTCGGGGAGGTAGGTAGGAGGTATCTCGTAAGTGGTTTTTGGGGGGGGCGGGCGGGGAGGGGAGGTGATTTTATGGTTGTGTGGTTGTGTGAGAGCAAAACGTACGCAGCTCATGCACGGAGACAACACCGGGAACCTTCTCGATATCCTCCCGCACGTCGCGCAGGCTGACCCCCACCGGCGCGCTCTGCAGCAGGATCTCGCCGCTGCGCCGGACCAGCGGCACGGCCGAGAGCAGTATCGTCAGCGCGATGGCCAGCCCCACCGCCGGGTCGGCGTAGAACCGGCCCCGGGCCCCCGGCGCCAGCCACATCACTGCCGCCGCTACGATCACCCCGGCGTTGTTGAGCGCGTCCCCTGCCACGTGCAGCAGCGCGCCTAGCATTCCTAGGTCCCGCCCCGGTGTTTGGATGGTGTGTTGCGTGTGGTGGTGGTTGGCATGGTTGCTGATTGCTGCGCCTTTGAGGGCGTCCTTGGAGGGGCACTCGTCCGGTGTGTGGTCTTGGTGGGGATGGGTGGTAGGGAACTGGGTCCCGGAGCTGGTTTCAGATTCGGAGTCTCGGTCGGGGTGGTTATGGTGGTGGTGATGATGCTCTGGCAGCGATGTGTGAGGTTCATTATCTGAAAACGGCTTGGTGATGGACTGACCGTGCAGAAAGGTGGCGGTGATGATGTTCAGACCGAGGCCCACACAGCCCATGATGAGCATCAGCTTCACCTCGCTGACCTCCTTAAGAGAGATGAAGCGTTCAATGGACTGGAGCAAGATGCTGATACCCAGGGCGAGGAGGAAGGCTCCGTTAAAGAAGGCCCCGAGCAGCCGGGCCCGCTGCCAACCGAAGGAGAAGTCCTGGCGAAACTCGGTCTTTTCGGACATCTAGCCGGTAATTAGTGATGGTGGGGGTGTGCCGGTTACGGACCGTCACGGGCATGGGAATTACCAGGATTGATATCAAGGTTACGACGAAGCCGACGAGATCGTTCAACTAATACAAGATCCGGTCAATACCGCCGACGAGAGCGTTAGTCATGGGTTATTGACTTGCGTAGTGGAAAGCATCAGCCAGGAGGGCCAAACTACCCGTCTTGAAAGCCACTGGATACTGTCAACACCCAACCGTCACCCCCTATGGAAACGGCCTGCGATATACCTCCCAGCTCTGCGACGAAGAAGGCGAATGATATGACGATAGCCGCCGAAATTTTCTGCTTGTCGGGGAGTTTGAAAGCCATGGGCAGGATTCGTTTTCGGTGTCGGCCACCGGCTTGACGATGTTGGCAAGGTTCCCTATCAAAGCGTCTTTCTCGGCTTCAAAGGAACCACGGTCCGATATTCAGACACCGAGGGGGTAGGTAGTCTCGGGGCAAGTCGCTAATTCTGTCGGATTGGTGAAGTCTGGACGTGAAGAGGAAGATGCGTGCCACGAAGAGTAACAGATAGTAACGAAAAGCAGCAGGAGGCGTGGCATACCCGCTATAGCGGAGATCAAGGAACGTTGCTTATGTCGTCGACTGCTCAGCGGACCTGGGCGATGAGATGGAGAGCCTTGAGGGTAAACGGCCATTACACAGGCATTGCACCGGGAGGATGGTGGCATGGAGGAGGGTACAGTAGTGTACCATAGCCGAGGACATAGCAAAGGAAGTCATCGGGAACAGGCATGACATCGAGCCGGGCTCAGGGGGGTGCAATATAACAGACACGTCTTGAATATGCAGGAGTCTCCTTGATGGCTAGCCAGTCACCATGATTGTCTTTTAGGGGGGTAGTGGTTTACTATTAGTTCATGCAATCATTGCTGGCTCGGACGGGTGTGTGTGTGGTGGTTCACGGCAAGGTGTGTGCTGTTGGTGCAGCAACGGGAAAGGGGGTTTCACGGAGCTTGGGGGACACCCCCCTCGTAATATTTCCTCGGTAGATAATGTGTAAAAATACACAACCCACCACAACCCAATAAGGCCTGGAGACGAGCACATTCAAGCCGAACGAAGCCGGCACTGGGTAGGCATAGGGGGCACTTGGGGTGGAGTGTGCGGCATGGCTATGATTCCGCGTGAAAATGTTCTAGGGTCACAATCACAAATTAAACCGCTCGAGTACCGAGCTAGGTACTATGAAAAATCCAATTCTATTGTCCGACGCTGTGCTGCACCAAACTCGACGTCGTCACCCGTCGGGGCCGAGAGATGGAGAGGATGGAGATGGAGATGGCGGGGATGCCTGCAGTCCACGGGTGAGAGAGCTCGGTGCCCATGAATTAATTGATTTGATTGATTTGATTGCTACCCAGGTTCTGCGTGTGGAACCATCGGTGCCCGGCTTGGCGGGCGGACAGACGGGCAGCCTGCGAGCCTGCGAGCCTGCATCAGAACCTGGAAGGCGGTGGAGATGCACCCCACTGATTCTGCCGGCATGAGCTCCCGCCTGAGCCTCCGAGCTCCATCCCCTGCAGTTTACAACGACAACCGCCAGAAAGCGCATTACACACACAACCTACACATGCCTTCCAACCCGGAAGTTGAAAGCGCTGCCACTTAGCGCTATGACCATTCAACGGCAGTACTCAATTGTTTGCGGGGACAGGGATTGATTGATGATCAATTCGAACATCTTCCCTCCATCTCCATGCCTCCTCCTCCACGAAATGCATCGTCGGCGTCGTTGTCGGCGGTGGCAGGGTTAGCGAAGGGTTCAAATAATAATTGGCCCTCCCACCTCCGCCACTTCAGCAGGTCCAGCCACGATCGCTCCCTCGAACATGCGTATTCAAACTCGCCCGGCGACACCGCCTCGAGCAACTCTACCATTCGCGAGCGCCCCTCGTCCCGCCTGTCGTCCCGGTTGCGCTCTGAGCGGCGATGGACCGTCACTGTCAACGAGTCGCTCGCTCGCGACGAGGTGCTGCTCAACTTGGACCAGATTGGCGATGATATCAAGCCCGGCAGCCTTGTAGCCATTGACGTGGTGAAGGCCGACTCGGAGAAACCGTCACAGAACAAGCACCAGGATCGCAAAGATTCGACCACTGCCGGTTGCGGAGAGAGGCGCTACATCTGTGTCGCCAAAGACATGCCGAAGGAACTAAAGGCGCGGTACGCTACCGTAGAGGTTTACGTCGCCAAACACGTCGCCGATGCCTTTGCCATGAGGAAGGGCACCCAAGTCACCCTCACACCAGTATGTTTGCGCAGCACCGCCCCGCCGCTCCTCGGTTGCGACTGCAGGTATACTAAAATAAAGGTAGATCGACGAGAACAACCCAGCCCTCGAGGCGTCTCACGTTGAGCTGTGCTTCAAAGACCAGTATCTGTCGAGAGCTGATATGTGGAGGATGGCTGTCGGAGAGCTGGCCGAGAGGACCGTCTACAAGGGCCAGATGGTCTTGTTCATGGGCACCGTCAAGGCCCAGGTGACCGCCGTCTATGTTGATGGCCGCAAGGCCCAATCGGCTTTCTTTGGCTGCCACACGAAACCCGTTTTTCGCAGTGAGTCCGCTCGCTATGTGCTCTTCATCCAGATGGCCCGCGAGATGTGGGACTTCGACCAGGATGGCTCTGGTGAGATCATGTTCAACAAGGTTGTCAACGGGTTTCTGCCTGCTCTGTTTAAGAAATGGGCTGCTATGAAAGTCAAACACCTCGTTACCATTGTCTTGTTCGCCCGCGTCGAATACGATACGGGCATCTCGACCGAGATAGCATCTGCCTCGGCACACCATGACTACTACACCGGCGTCCAGACCTCAGAGGATCACCGCCCTTACAAGGACTTTTATCGCGTTGTGGTCAGTGAGATGGGCAGCGGAGAATGGACTAGGATCCTACATCAGCTCAAACGCGAATTCAATTATTTCCGCAAGGATATCAGCACATACCATCAAAAGGCCATGGGACCAACCGCCTCAGGGGAGGACGCTGGCGACCAAGAGGTTCTGCTCAACAGAATCAAGGCCGAGGCCTCTCGGGCCATCCATGGTAATTTCCTCGAAGCCATCAACATGGCCTCGTCACTGTACGCCCACGATTACATTGACCGGGATTTGACGAGGACTGGCGTCTCCGTCGTTGTCATTAGTCCGAGCCCCGGCGTGTTCGACGTCGAGTATGATGCGTTGCGCCGGACGACTGAGGCCCTCGCTTGCAACGGCATCGGTATCGAATTGATATGCATACCCAATATTCCGCTACATTCCGTGCCCCTTTTTCGATATCGAAACCCCCGCCAACCTGGCCATGTGCAGCAGCGCAAAACCAAGGTTGATATCAGCCAGGGGAGCACACCAAAGCAGACGACGCTTACCTTTGGGAGCTACAGCAGCGTCGCGGGTTCCTACTCGCCGAGCAAAAGAATGGAGGGCCCGCGAGGTGGTGAGCCAGCCGGCCCTCTCTCCTCCCAGGACGAGTGGGTGTCTGCCATACCTCAGTGGCTCCACGTCTCATACTGGACCGGGGCCTCGGAAGAGGAATTAACGTACCAAGGCATCGCCCTGTCAGTCTCGGATTCCACACAGAAGCTATCCAGCGATGACTTCCCAATCCGTTGCCGCATGTACGATCTGCAGATGAGAAGTGTGATGGAAACAAATGAGATCGAGACCAAGCCACTGCACACGGATCCCTGTTACCCACTCAACGCAGTTCTCTCCAGCCAAGTCTCTAAACCGAACTTTGATCTCGACGGCGATGGCAATGTCATCGTCCAGAATGTGCGTGTCCCGGAGACCCTGTTCGACCACGTTTTTGGCTTTCAGAAGTTTGCCCCGGATAGACACAGTAAGCCGGGGGAGAAATCGATATGGAAGCAGCTGCAGGAGTACGATGACTGCAGAGCGCGTTTGCCCTCGCACAGAAGTGCCAACCAACCGAGACGTTGCCGTGATCATGAGGAGACCCCAAGACGGCAAGTCTTGGAGGACACGAGCCCGCTGGGGACATCCTTTACAGATCGCCGACCCTCGACAGCCGGCCAGCAGGCACTCCCCGAGCTTTCTCCTTATCACCGTCCAACGTCTCAGAGGCTGGAGATCCCACCAGCCAACCGCAAGAGCATGAGCGCGCAATCCAACAAGCCCGAACCCAAGACATCGTCGTCGCCTCTCAAGACCCCTAAATTCATGCGTCACATTAGCCTGGGTAACCGTGGTTTTGGTATTGCCGCCCCGAAAGTGGCCACGGCAGAGGTGAGCATGGAAAGCGCCGGCGCTTCGAAGACCTTGACCCCGTCTCGCAGTTCACAGGATCTACGGATAACGCCGTCAAAACCGGGCCAGCGGCCGTCGTCGTCTCGTAGGCTGACCGGAGGAACACCCACATCCGCACTTTCGCAGCCAGTCCTGTCGCCGTTTTCTTTCGCACCGGGTCCCCAGTTCCCCACAGACTCAGCGAGCCGGCCCATCGTCATCAGAAACCAACAACTCGAGCCCGCTCCTAACATGTCTGGCTCCTCCATCCTTGCCACAACACTTCGGCCGGAGCCTGTCGGCCATGACCGCGACTTCCGGTATTCGAACGCCATCAGGGCGGAGGACGCCAAGAAGCTCTACAACTCCAAGTTGCTTGCCGGCGCCATCCCAGAACTGCCCTCTACGCTATCCCCGAAGACGGCTCTTTCGCCCTGGTTGACGGTGCTCAACCCGTCGAACCCGGATACCAACGACGTGGACATGGCCATGCTCTACAGCCGTTGGCAACACGTATTTCCCAGGCCTCAGGAAATGAGAATCATGAAATGGAAAGGCCTGTGCTCGCCGGCCGCCGTGCCTCTGACATCAGAATACTTCCCATCGAGAGCCCAGTTCGAGGCCCAATACGAGCGCCAGCCTTACAACGTATCTCAAGACTTTGACGAAGAGCTTCAGGAAGAGCCCAAGTCACGAGATGAACTTCTGCGTGAACTGGTCAGTCTCCGGTTCTCTCAAGGGTTCCAGATCGTCGTCGGGCCAGCCGTCGCGAGGGCATTTGGCCAAAAGCAGGTCAAGGTGGCCGATATCTTCTCGCGGAATCACATGATGGAGGACGGTATTAGCATTTTCATGTCCGTCGGTAACACGATCCATCAACTCTCGTGCGTTAACGGGACCGAGGTCGAGGTGAATATCTTTGTCCGAAAGCCGACCGACCCCTTTGGGTCGTCCTACAGCTCGCCGCCGCTGTACAAGCCGGCCATTCGGACTCTGCTGGATGGCGGTTATATGACGAGCGAGTTTGACCTCGTCGCTCCAAAGCCGGAGAGGAACTGGAACTACATTGACGCGTTTATCGCCGGCCACAACGACGAGCTGACGGAGCATCTTCGGTTCTGGCGGGCTCGCTTTGTCTTGATACCAATGACGGGACGTCGTTCGTCCATGCCGGGGACCGAGACTGGCGACAACGAGGAAGAAATCCGGATTGAGGGTATCAGGAAGCTAGCTCAGATGTGGCAGAAGCATCGCTATGTTCCTCCTAACGAACGGCGGCTCCAGGGTTCTGGTAGCACCCGCGCGAAGAAGGACACGAACCCCCTAGACATTGTCTACAAAACAGAGGACGCTTCCGTCGTAATTGCAGCCGAGTTGGAGACGCTGCCTCTCTTGGAGGGGCTCGACCGCAAAGGACAACTTGTGAGGAGCCGGGAGCCGTTCTCCAAGAAAAACCTCAACCTCGCGGCGCTCGCCGAGGCCATGCAGCAGCCGGTGGAGAATGGGGGTGTCCGGATGCAGAACCGCAGGTGGCATTTCAGGCTGCACTACAACTGCTTCATCGGCTCGGATATGACAAGTTGGCTGCTGGACAACTTTGACGATCTCGAAGATCGTGAAGAGGCCGAGGCCCTCGGCAAGCGGCTCATGGTTCCGGACGACAAGGAAAAGGAGGGGAAGAAGGACAACGGGCTGTTCGTGCATGTCGAAAAACGCCACCCGTTCAGGGATGGGCAGTACTTCTACCAGATCAGCAACGAGTTTGCCAAACCACATCCGCCCGGCTGGTTCAACGCCAAGCGGAGCCAGGGGTCGGTGCCGTCGACGCCGATGGGGGAGCAGCCGCCGCGAGACGGGCGACCAAGCTTCTCCCGGCCGACGTCAATTCACGAGGAGGACTCGCCAGAATCGGGGTCGACAACGCCAACAGCCCCGCAAGCGCCGAGCGGGAAGAAGCCAAAGGTGGTGCTGAGTAGGGTCATCAAATACGACGTGGACCACAGGAAGCGATCATACCGACCCGAACTGGTGGAGCTGCACTACGACAGGTTACACAACCCAGACAACTGCTACCATATCCGCATCGACTGGATGAACGTGACGGCGAAGCTTGTAGAGGATGTCATCGAGAACTGGGCGCGCGAAGCCGGACAGTACGGCCTCCGGCTCGTCGAGGTGCCCATCGCCGAGGCAAGTGCCATCAGCGAAATCAACCCGTTCCGGCGGCCGTACATGATCAAGCTTGCGGTGTCGCCTCCCGACCAGTCACCGGTCACCTACTACGACCCGACTTCCTTCACCCCGCAGGCGCACCCAGGGCGACAGTTCTACCAGAAAGCCATCCTCCGCCGATTTGACTTTGTGCTCGACATGGAGGCGGCGTCCAACTTCCCCAGCAACGTCGACGTGAACTACTCGTGGGGCAGGCCGGACTTCCGATACACGCAATACATCCACCGGTCGGGGTCCATCCTCGCCGAGATCACCGACGACGGCCATTTCCTGCTCCTCGCCAACCGGCTCTACAGCAGTCGCGCATTCGCGGCACGGGAGCGGGAAATGCAGAAGGAGCTCCGCGTCGAGCGGCAAGAGCAGCAGGGGCCCGCGATAGGCACACCGGGCCTCGGCGGCTCAATCCGCGTCATCACACCGGGATCGTACACTCCTTACGGCATATCAAGTAATCTACCACCGTACGACTCGTCCCCAGCCGGCTCCCCAGCCCTGCGACCAACCACCACCACCAGCACCAACACCAACACCACGAACTCCTCCCTCCTCTCCCCCGTCGTCCGCCCCGCCCTCTCCGCACCAACCACCACCACATCAAGCACCAGCGCCTCCGGCACGCCGGGGGCGCAGAACCAAACCCCGAACCAGAACCAGGCAGCAGGTCCCGGCAAACCCCCGTCGTCATCCACCACCACCACCACGGCAGCAGGCGCCTGCGCCAACGCCTGCATCGGCGGCGGCGGCGGTGGCGGTGGCGGCGGTGGCGGTGGCGGCGGTGGCGGTGGTGGCGGCCCCGGGTCGGGCTGGTCGACGTGGACGACGCGCGAGCCCGAGTGGATCAAGGAGGAGCTCGAGAGCTTCTGCCTCGACGCGCAGGCGCTGGAGGCGTTTTACCGCGAGCTGAAGACGGCGGCGCCGGCGTCGACGAGCGCGGGGGGGGCGGCGATGACGCCTGCTTTTGGGGCGGCGATGACGCCTGCTTTTGGGGCGGCGATGACGCCTGCTTTTGGGGCGGCTGTTGCTGTTTCGGGGGGTGGTAATTATGGGGGTGGGGGTGGTGGGGGTGGGATTGGGGCGGTGCCCGAGGGGAGTATCCCCGTGCTGGGGCTGCCGCCGGGGGTGTTGGCTGCTGCTGCTTCTGCGCCTGGTACTGCTACTGTTGCTGCTTCTTCTGTTGGCGGGGCTGCCTCTTCTGTTGGTGGTGGTGGTGGTGGTGGTGGTGGGGATGCTGGGAGTGTGAGGGCGGCGAGCCCGAGCCCGGCGTTCGTGTCGGCGAGTCAGCTGTTGAGGAGGGGGAGCGTGCAGTATGAGGGGGGCGGGCTGTTGGGGTTGGGGGGGGTTGTCGTTGAGGGGGGTGAGGGAGGGGGATGGGGGGAAGGATAGAGGGAGGGAGGGGGAACGGGAGAGGGAGAGGGAGAGGGAGCGGGAGAGAGAAAGGGAGAGGGAGAGGGAGAGAGAAAGGGAGAGGGAGAGGGAGAGGGAAAGGGAAAGGGAAAAAGAGAGGGGTTAATTTATATTGTTGGTTATTGGGTTGGGGATGGTTAGGGTGATTTCAAGGGTTAGGGATAACTATTGGCCGGGTGTGGCGCAGACAAGCATTCTTGGCAAAGGCTTGATTCCTCTCGGGCGCCGATCCCTGCTTGGCATCGCTCCTTCTCCATCGTGAAAGTATCCGAGCAAGGCAAGTGCTGCGCGTAATTTTCCGAGAACAGGAATCGAAGAGTCCTTATTTCCGGATTTCCATTGCTCCGAGTCCCATCCCCTTTTGCACTCTTCGAATTGGCTTGCTTGAAGGCAGACTAAGATCTTCTTTGCGGATTGTGCATCGGACTTGCAGCACGAGACTGCATCCCCGGAGTCCGGCCTGTCGAGGTTAGGTTTTATGAGTGGTTTAGTGAAGGGCGTTCTTTCCCGGAGTTCACTCTTTTGGGATTACGGGGCATCCGAATAATTCCACCTCATCTAACTTTGCTACATCACTGAGACTAGCTCGCGGCAGTGAGGCAACCAGGACTAGAGCTCACGAAGGCACACTACACGCTACACGCGTACGCACCTCACGTTTTAGCAAACCGACCAGACCAACAGGACCTATAGCGGAGTGGTAGGTCTTTTTTTTGCTTGGTATTGTATGTGATGATACTAACTATATGTAACTCATCCTAGAAAATTTAACACCTCGATACTAATTTCTGCTCGACTTAATCTATTCCAATACCGAGTTGTATTCGCGGTCATGGCATCATGTAGGGCACACCAGAGCCTATCCTTTACCCTTCACAGAATTCATTTTAACCTGGTGTGCTAAACAACTCAATAATAGACAACGCCTACCGCACCAGGATGCAAGCATCTAGAGAAGCCGGCCACAGCTCTCGCTGGAACTTCTTTTCTCACGGCCATACCAAGACCGAATCACCCCCGCGGACATGGCAGGCCAGCAACGAGCTCGAAGGCCAACCTCTTACGCCCACCGCCACTTCACATCCCCCGACCACATCCGGAAGCGAAGGAAAAGAAACAGCAGCCGCCCATCCGGAACATCACCCACCCAGTACGGAAACTGAAGCACTAGGCGCTGAGACACGGCACGCTACCATCACCCAAGGTGTTCTCCGCCGGCGAACCTCGAACAGGGACCGATCGTCAGACGCTACTGCGGAACATGTACAGCAGAGCGAGAAGCCAAAGAAGCAGAGTACTTTCTTCAAGCACCTCACGCCAAAGGAGCCGTTTACCGTCAGGAACCAGATCCAGCGGACCCTGTTCGGCTCATGGATCAACATCTTACTGCTCGCCGCGCCGGTGGGCATTGCCATCAACTACATCCACTCGGTCGACCGGATCGCTGTGTTTGTCGTCAACTTTATAGCTATCGTACCTTTGGCCGCTCTGCTTGGCTTTGCCACCGAGGAGATTGCGCTACGGACGGGCGAAACGCTGGGCGGACTGCTTAACGCGACATTTGGGTAATTTCTTGCTCTGGAATTTTAGGCGAAGCTATACTGACTTTATCAGCAATGCCGTCGAACTGATCGTGGCCATCATCGCCCTAGCGCACAACGAAGTCGTCATCGTACAGACCTCTCTCATCGGCAGTATCCTCTCCAACCTGCTCCTCGTAATGGGCATGTGCTTCTTCTTTGGCGGTCTGCGCCGCCAGGAGCAGCATTTCAACACCACCGTTGCCCAGACAGCTGCCAGCCTCCTTGCGCTGGCCGTCGCCGGCGTCATTGTCCCGACCGTATTCGACATGGCCAGCAAGACCCCCCAGTCCGACGTCGCCAAGCTCTCCCGCGGCACCTCTGTCATCCTCCTGATCGTCTACGGTGCCTACCTCCTCTTCCAGCTCAAAACTCACTCCGCCGTCTTTGCCGTGGAGTCGCAAAAAGTCGAGGCCAAACCTTTCAGGCGCCCAAGCCTCAAAGAAGGCGCCATCGCCCAGGGCTTCGTCGTACCAGCCGGCATGATTGGCGGTCATGGTCTGCCTTCAAGCAGCACCGATAACGAGAAGATGCGTAGCCTGCTCACCAACCCACCGCGCAAGAACCTCCAGAACGACAGCGGAAACGACGAAGACGAGGGCGAGGAGCCCCAGCTGCACTTTTACGTCGCCGTCGCCACCCTCGCGCTCTCCACGGTCATCATCGCCTTCTGCGCCGAGTTCATGGTCGATGGCATCAGCGCCATCACTGCCGATGGCACCGTCTCGGCCGAGTTCGTTGGCCTGATCCTGCTGCCCATCGTCGGGAATGCCGCCGAGCACGCCACCGCCGTGACCGTTGCCATCAAGGACAAGATGGACCTAGCCATCGGCGTCGCCGTCGGCTCCAGCATGCAGGTCGCCCTCTTCCTCATCCCCCTGCTTGTTATCATCGGCTGGGGCTTGGGCATGGACGAGATGGCCCTGAGCTTCGACCCCTTCCAGGTCGCCGTGTTGTTTGTCGCCGTCCTACTCGTCAACTACCTGATTGCCGACGGCAAGAGTCACTGGTTGGAGGGTATGCTGCTGATTTGCCTGTATTGTATCATTGCCGTTTGTGCGTGGTGTAAGTTTCTCCCTTTCTCTCGAGCCGTGTTAATTTGTGAAATGGGTGTGCTGATAATCATGTGCAGGGTATCCTGTGAAGGACCCCCACATGGGCGGGGAGGTCTAAGGAGCGTGGACACCGCTCTCAACGCCTATCTATAGTTTACGTTGGGAGAGGGATTCGGAAGAGGGATTCGGCGGGGGCCGAGTTGGGGGTTGTGCATATGGATAGTGTAATCATGGGAACAAGCAGGTGTCGAGTGCATTTCAAGCAGGGCATATAGGCCGAATGTGACAGCTACCACATCCCACTTTTCACTATTCATAAGAGCAAATATAAGACTTGCCTTACAATTTCTACGTCGAATTGATTACAATGCTAATACTCAAACCCCTATCTCTAAGTTGCTGTCTATCCCATTCCATTCCAATTCATCCCATCCAAAACCCGAAACCCAAACAATGCAATGTTACAAGGTATGTACATATACGAGCACTCAAACAGATCAAGTCACTCCCCTCGCCCAGTCACCCCCTCCCCAGCTTCCCCATCCACGATCAAACACAACAAGATACACCCAAACTAATACACCAAAACCAACACACCCCCCTGAACCCCCTCCACACCCAAACTAACCAAACCGTTCCCCCCAAAAGGCAATCATCATCACGTACTCCCCAAGATCCTCGAGTACGCGTCCTCCACCTCGCCCGCCAGCTCCAGCAGCGCCACGATGACGATCTGGTGCGTCAGGTTGGGCAGCCGGTCGCGGTTCAGCCCGATCCACTCGAGCGGCGGCGTCGCCTCGCCCATGTCGCGCAGCTGCGGCGTCTCGATCACGGGCGGCTCCAGCGCCGTGTACTCGTACCCGGACTGCGGCACCTTGACCTCGGCTGTGATCTTGTTGGTTCGTTCTTCGTCCTGTTGCTGTTTTTGTTGTTGTTGTTTTCTGTCTTTGTCTTCGTCGGGGGCCGCTGTTGTTGTTGTTGCTGCTGACGAGGCGGCGGCGCCAGACGCGGGGAGTACCCCGGTCACTTTGATGGCCGTCACGTTGGGCAGCTCCCTGCCCCAGGTCTGGGCGAGGGTTTTGGAGTGGTTGGCCCACATGCCGCGGATGTAGCTGATGCGGCTGTAGTTCCAGCCGACCTCGACCTTGCCCTCGAAGGCGCTCTTGAAGATGTACTCGATGTGCTTTGATTCCGGGCGCTGCCACGTCCGCATGACGGCCTCGACCTGCGGCACCTTGAGGATCGTCCCGCCGCGGGAGCCCGTAGCGCTCCGCACCACGTCCTCGACCGACAGCTCGCTGAGCGTCCTGGGCGCCCCGCTCTCCGCCCGGACACCTGCGAGTCCTATGCGCAGTTGGCCGAGCGTGAGGCCGAGGACGCTGTGGATGCGGCCGTCGTCCTGGACCGAGGCGGCGAAGCGGGCTTGGGCGTTGAGCGCTTCCATCTTGAAGACCTGGTGGTCTGAGAAGGAGCCGGGGAAGATGCCTAGATTAAGGGCTTTGAGGGTGACGACGACGTCCGTGTCGAGCGAGATGGGTGACTTGAGGGCCGTGTCGTCACCCGCCGACTTCGGGATACTCAGCCGCTGCATCACGCCTGGGGGAGCCGAAACCGACTTGCGCTGCATGTACCGTTCGATCTCCTTGAGCGAGACTTCGAAATTCGCCTTGCGCTCCTGCACCAATCGCTGAAAGGCTTGGTACAGCGAGATGGCTTGGGCTGCAGAGGTTGTTGTGCCGAACACCTGGACGGCCTCGCCGTCAAAGTTGGCCATGAGCCGGTCTCCGCCGCTGCGGCGGACGTTGTACATGAGGAAGCCCAGTGAGGTGATATCCGCAACGAGGAAGGCTTGGTAATCGAAAGCAGCCTTTACCCTGAACTGCCTGAACGCAATCGACGCCTGGATCAGAGGCGTCTCGCTGAGCGCTTGTTCTCGCTCCGGCCACACTATCGCTGTCCGCAGCTTGAAATCGTTGAGCGTGATAAACCCGCTCATCCTGCCGGTGCTTTCAATGCCGATCATGCTGAAACCGAGACACAGGTTCTGCTCCCAGTCGGATGTCTTCTTTGAAGAAACCCAGAAGTCATTGATGGAGAATGTCGACCTCCCCAGCGCCTGACCAAGGTCTACGACAATCTTGAGTGCTGAGATGGAGATACTGGCCGTCCAAGGGAACGCAGCTGTCGCGGCGACTTGTTGGTAACGCTGCACAAGATGCCCCTGGGAGGTTTCCGTGACAAGTTTTGCCACTGGTCCAGCTGAGGGGTCCACGACCTTGCGCGGTAGCCAGATCTCGCGGAAGAGCAGGAAGTCCTGGAGCTGCTTCGCGTTGACCGATACCTCCATAGGACTGACTTTAAGAATTGCCGACACACCGCTGGTGCCGCTGAGATGCTTGCTGTTCAAGAAAGACAGAACAATCGACTGCACCTTGAAGCTGCCTGTAGACTCTCTCGAGTAGACATGCTGCACCGACGCCTGCAGATTCGTGAAGGCCCCCGAGATGGCGAAGAAGTTGCCCTGCTCCATCGACCGAACAGTGTTGGCAGTGAAGTAGACATCCTCAAAACTAGCCGTGGCCGCTACCCGCGCAATAGGCTGGCAGCTTAGCGAGAATTCTTGCTTGCAGATGCGCAGCCCCAGGTTGAGCTTCATGCGGCCGAGAACAGCCGTGGGATCCGCAGTGAGGATGCTATCCTCCTCGGGGAGTTTCGGCTTGGCTGCAGCCTCTCGCGCTTGCGCAACCGGGTTGTTGTCTTTGCTGTCCCGGCTGCTCACCACCTTTTTGATGTTGTCGCTGATGTCCACAACGAGCGATACCACGGACGGATACAGTATGTTGCTCGAAGCATCGACCTTGACCTCTGCATGGAGCGAGGGGTCATCCTTGCCGTTGTCCGTAAACTCTAGCTTCCAGGCTAGGCCCGGCGATCTCAGGGTTGTGCTGCCCGTTGTCTCATCTGAGCCCAACTGCCCTTGTTTCCCAGCGCTGGATGGTCGTGCTGGTTTCGTGGCCGAGATTAGGTCCGCGGGGACCTTCTTACCCGTGAGATGCACCACGGCTCCTGCAAAGTCGGCGTCTACGAGCAGAGATTCGAGTCTCTTCCCACCAAGGATGTTCTTCCGTGGCGCCTCCGCCTCCTGTGGCTGATCGGTGGCAGTCGGTTCCGGGGATGTGACGCTCGGGTTCCAATTTTGGGACGCCTGCTGGATATTCTTGAAAGACAGACTGATGGAATCGTTCAGATGGGCTGCCGGTATAATGAAACCCGAGGTGAGCCGCACATCCAGCGGCTTTCCAACCGCCTGGAAAGCCAGGCGGCGGGCATCGGCAGTGGAAACGTAGGCGACGTTAAAGATTATCTCCGGCAGCAGCGCGGAATTGGGAGACCGGAGATTCTTGTCGGATGATGGGCTCGATATCTGGACTTGCAGGTCTTCGATGGTAAGTCTTGCCGAGTTTCTAGTCCGCGTGCCGAGCTCAATTCTCTGAAGTGAGAGCACAAGGTCCTCTTTGCCAGCGGCCGGCTTTTCGTCCGCCTTGTTCACCAACCAAGCCATTTGGATGTTGCAAATCTCGAAGCTGTATGTGATGGAAGACAGGAAGGTGTCGATAATATCGGTCTCCTCTCCCGTTTCTGCGTCGTTGATAGCAATGCGTGGCTTGGATTGTCTGAGTTTCCGCAGGTACCCGAGCTCTCGGGAAGTGTCGAGGTCCTTGATCTTATTGCCCATGTAGCCCAGGACATCCACGACGGTGGAGATGGTGTCAGGTGATAGGTTCACCTCAAAGGCGTCACTCTTGACGTGGAAAAACCTCTTGTCCTTGCCGTCCTCACCGGCGTGCGAGGAGGCCGAGATCAGAGCACCGAACGCAACGTTGCCGCATGACTTCATCGCCTCGGCTCTGCCCCTTTGTATCTCAAAGGTAATGCGGCGCAGGTTTACGTTGAACTCCGGGTATAATAATACCGGCCCATGCTGTTCCACCTGGTTTGAGAGTCCAAGGTGGACGCTGCCGAGTGCAAAAGAGATGTGCGCCATCGCCCCGGTCTCGGATTTCAACGGGCTATTCCCAAACACCTCAAGACCAGCAAGCGTTAGATGAATGGCGTAAGCCACAGCCGTCGGTTTCTTCTCCGTCGGGGCCACAAGTGCCTGCGGTTCTTCTCCCGTGACTTCCTTGAGATGCTCCTGGATTGCTTTGATTTGCTGTTGCAGCTCATCGACGACATTGGAGATCTCAGGGCGGTTCAGAGCCGATAGTAGGCTGTACACGGCGGAGGCATCTAGTTGTATCAACTCGACGGATGCAAAGACAGTCACGGAATGCTCGCCATGGCCCATGTGGCTTCTGACCCGTCCGTTGGTCGGTGGGATTTGCAGAAGCGAGATGCTTCTAGAGACATTGTTGACCTTGATTTGCATATCGTGAGAGTTCTCCTTGATGTCAAAATCAAAAATGATCTCTCGACCAAAGTTTGCTGCCATGGCTGCTCTGGAGACTGTCCCATGAACCGTGTACGTAAGGGATGGCAAAAGAGGCAGGCTGATGGTGTACTGGTCCATGAACAGCGCCACGTTGACTCTGAAGGCAGATAGACGATCCGCGAGCTTTTTGGAAGACGAGACAGGCCGAGGGGAAGAGGGGAGTTGGTCCTTCAGCCTGTGTAACTGGGCGATCTCGTCCCGGACCAGGAGGTCAAAAACCTCTGCCAGTGTGACTGGATCCTGCTTAACAACCAGGTTGAGATATTGATTGCTAGCCGCTGTCTTGATGGTGTGAGAGTCTGTTGTCTGGTTGGCTCGCAGCTCGTGTGAAACGAGGACACTGGGCTTTTTCAGAACCAGCTTCGCGAGCTTCTGGTGGTTGCTTCGGAGGCTTGAGGTAGCAGAATCGCAGTTGAGAATAAAGTTCGTGTCCGTGGTGTTGTTGGGCCCCTTTTGGACGAGTACCGACGTCTGAGCTCCGTGAATGAACGACGTCGAGTAAATGTTGACAGCCTCTAAAAGCAGCGACCCGTGACCGAGGGACAGGACAAGGTGTATCGTACCCTCTGAAGATTTCTTCGGTGTAGTCAAGGCTTTGGTTTCCTGAGACTCGATCGGGGATTGAACGGGTGCCCGAGATTGCATGTTCTTTGCCAGCCTTAGGATATTGTCTGCTAGCTCGCACAGCTCCCAGTTCAGATTGATGGCGGCATCCTCGCAGGAAACGTTTAGGGTGGTCAAAGGACCAGCCATCCCACCGAAGCTGTCCCTTTGCTTAGCTGTCGTGACGGGTTTGCTCTGGAGTCTTGCAGTAAGGTCCACGAGGGTGATCTCGTTCTGCTTCGGCCCGGGGTTAAGTGCGAGTTGAAACTGTTTGACCTTCACGATAGCAAGAGTCGGCTTGTCTTGGGACGCAGGCTTAGGGCCGTCAACCGACCACCCAAATACCACGCCGAGAAGCATACTCTCCTCGAGATTGTTCAAGTCCCAGCTCCTCCATTTTTCGAAGGACGAGATGACTTCTTGCCTCAATTCCGCCGCTGAATTGGGAACTTGGACAAGGGAGTCCAGCTTGATCTGGTCTCCTTCGGTTGGCCCCAGGACCGTCCAGATCTGTCGAAGACGCATGGCCAGTTTCCAAGAGTCAAAGGTCCGCAAATGTTGAGGTGCAGAACGGAGGATGGCAGAAGGACGGATAAAGAATGACGGGTCAGGAACTTCTTGGCCCGCGGCGACAAGGCGATGCACCAAACTTCGTACCATCATCTTCTCCTGTGACGATACTTTAGAGAAGACCTCGCCGAGGTCAGACACCAAGACGCCTGTGCGGTCAACCAACGACACCAGGTAGTCGATCTTTCCAGACGATGTACTGCCATGGATGCCACCAATTTCCGCATCGAAGTATGTGACGTCTTTGTTTCCCAGGGAAGCTAGCACGCTGTCAACCCGGACAAGGGCGTCGGCTTGAGAGCTATCCATGCCACGGAGCCTCTCAGAAGCCGAGACCTCTATCGAGTCAAGTCTCAAGTGAAATGAATCGCGAGACGCCTTTGACTGCGGCTTGAAAGCATCCTTCCAAGTAGCCTGAGACCGGGATGTGAAGGAAAGTTTTGTGAGAGAAACATCGTATTGGTCCTGCTCGTCGGCAGTCTGGTTCACGGAGTCTACTTCAGGAGAATTGATGAGCCGGAGGTTGAGGTGCGGCAGCTTGACTTGCAGGTCGTTGACCCGGCCCTTCATTTTCTGATCTTTTTGTGCATCGAAGATCCCTTTCATCGAGTCGATCTGCAGCGAGTCTAGAACGTCGTTTGGGTCCGTTTGTTGCAGGGACGAAAGCAAGTTTGCCACATATCGCAAAGACGTAGGGTTGCAGAACGCGGTCAGGCCTGCCGGCAGTTCGAGCAAGACGCTGGAATAGGCGAACTCTTCGTTGAAAAGGTTTGGGTCAACGTCCTCCAAGCCGAAGCTGATTGAATCGGGGCCAACCGATTCGCCGTCTTTTTCTTCTATGCTTTGCATCATGGCTTCCCCGTGACTCGGTTTGATGTTCTCAAGCGGGAAATAAGGTGCAAAATATTGGCTTGAGAAGGCAACAGTATTATGACCGGCATCCGGGTGCTCAGTCTGGTCTCCAGGCATACTGTAGAAGGCAGAATGGCGAGTGGATGGAGAAAGCTCCCGGCCTTGGGCGAGCGAGTTGCGTCCCTCGTCGAAGCGAGCACTCAAAGAAGAATGGTAGTTGTGGCGTTCAGGAAGTTTTTCTTTCCCACTCGATCGCCCCGGTTTGAAAGACTTCAGTACGCTGCTCTGTGAACTAGCGATGGATAAAAAGGACGATTTATGGCGAAGGCCCCGCGGTGGTCTCGAGCTGGTCTTCGAGCGCAGGGACGTCCCATCGTCCCTGGAATTCTCCGAGCGAACCGGCATGGGCATTGGTGGTACACTTTGGGCGGGGGGGTCGACGAGATCAGGGATGAAATCGTCATCCGCGAGGTTGGAGAGGATGAGGAACGGAGTCCTGTGTGTTCTCTGATCGTGCTTACGAACAAGGTCTTGCTGAAGCTTCCTTTCCGCCGAGAAGTCTGCCTTGCGCCCTATTATCGCAACCCGCACGCTGGTTTCCACCAGGGCGTCCGCGTCCACAGCATGTTGCGAGCGAGCCCTGTGTCTGGTAGCCAACTCTGCGTTCAAACAAGACAGGCTGATGTCCGGGATGCTGATGTTGGCTCTCCTAGAATAATGTGACCGCGCCCAGTCGTTATAGTTGACATCAATCGCCCCAGTTGAGAAGAGAAACGCGGCGTCTTCAACGTGTAGCCAGAGGCGGACCGAATGAACGAAGACGCGAAGGAAGGTGACGTCGTAAACGATGATCGAAGAAAACGGAACCAGTGCATTTTCATCGTCGTCAAATGTGAATGCGAAGGCCTTGCCTGCGCTGGTGAGGGTTGTCAAAAACTCGGTCGTGCATTCGCCGGTAACGGCGCCCAGTGATAGATCCCAGTTGCACATGTAGGTTGGCTCCGTCGGAGGAAGGCCGAAAAGGCGGTGGCCATAAACATTGATGCCATCCACGAACATTTGCGTGCTCGAAGTTGCGCTGATTGGGGTTTCTGCGCCGGCTTCAGTGTTACCCAAGGAGAGATTCAGCGGGGCCACCACGAGGTCTAGGTCCATATAGTAGTTGGTGAAACGCAGATCGAGGCACAGGCTTGCAGTGTCGATTTGTATGTGGCGGTTGGACGAATAAAGGTTGGCAGGGAGCAGGACCTTCGGATCGTCAGCCCTGATGCTGAGGATGACATCCAAGTCATTCGACTTCTTAGGCGGCGGCTTGTTAGCAAGCTCGGCATTCGGGTCCTTCTCCTTCAAACGCAACATGTCCTGGTATTCCTCCATTGTTCTGAAATGAAGGTCGTCGCCGAAGTAGTTGTCCTTTATCATGAGGCAGTACCGGATGGTAAAACCATGGAGGTTCGCCGTCGGTGACTGCCCACTAATGTTCAGAACCAGGGTGTCAGTGTTTGCGGGCGATGTGGTCGCATTATAATGGTAAGAACCCTGAATAGCAAGATTCTCAAGCCGCCCAACCTCCTTGCAGGTGAGAAACTGTGCCTCTGTGTTCCAGGGCGGCAGGTGAAGGTCGATCACCGCGGTGTCGGCACGGATGTCGAAGGGAATGCCATTCTCGCTTGGTCTGTACTGGTCAATTGGGATGCAGGTGTCGCATTTGAGAAGCGGGCTAGAGATGATGAGGTATGTGTTATCTTCCAAGTCGGTTGGATTGTTGACAATGTTCGCGTCGTTGAGGTTTAGGAAGAGCCGTACATCTTTGAGTTGGAGATTTAGATGGTATTTGAAGGGGGTGAAGACCAAGTAGTCGGTCAGTGGCCCGCTTGTCCAGTCATCGACGAGATCGATCAGAAGGAAGATATGATCTCGCAAGATGTAAAGCTCCAGATCGTCGCTATTGATATTGAAGTACCATTGACGGAGCGCGTTCCAGCACAGTGGCGTAGACAAATCGCAGGATATCCTCTGCCGGTTGGACCTCAGGAGAAGTTCGTGGTTGATGCTGGTTGTTACTTCGGTGCTGGGCAGGTCCACGTCGAGAGTGCTGGTGTACCCCGAGGCTCCTGCGGTCATATCCATGGAGTAGGACACAGTCGCGTTGGCAGGGACCTTCAGGTCAAGCCATCCGCAAGGTCGTTGGTGCAGGTCAGCGGGAGGATCCGACTTCTTAGATCGACGAGCCTTCCGCGTGTCATTGCCTCCTGGTTTTGGTGGAGTAGGCTCTTTGCCCTTCCACCTCCAGTTCTTCGATGCCTCCCTTACCGGGACGCGGATGGTCGTGGCTTTGGTGAGCTCAACATAGAACTTAAACTGCGTCGGCACCCGATACGCACCCGGAGCTAGAGGTTGGGCTGGTACTGCGTCCTTGCAGAGGCTGGGGACGAAGATGCGCTGGAGATCTGCTCGATGCCTGTCGGCCCAAGGGCCGTAGTTGATGGAGCCCCCGTTTACCGACAAGCTGATTGCCCAAGCAGGGGGTTCGGCGCCGTTGATATTGGGCACTTGCTGCAAAGTCTTCTCCTGTAACGATACAGCGTTCGACCCGACTTTGCTCACCACGTCCCAGAATATAGTCAAAGACGCCTCGGGGCTGTCCAAGAGCGTCGGAACAGCGGCATACTCGGAGGATGCCCATCGAGACTTTTGGTCCTCAGCATCGTCGGAGAGATATCGCGACAGCCCTTGCCATCGGCCAGCCCCGGGTACCTGGCTGGTAGCAGTCCCGATTTCTCTACCAGAGGGGGCAAGTGACTCGACAGATCTGTTCCAGAACGGGATCATGTTCCTGAGGCCTTCGCGGAGCCTGCGCCTCTGCCAATGGAGAAAGGACCGTCGAGGGCGGGAAAGCGATGCTTGGGCGGCTTGTTTGTCTCGGACGGCTCGGTCGGGTTGCTCTTCCTTGAAATCCATGTTGTCTTTCATTTCAATCACCGGGTCCTTGAATTTGAATCGGAAGTATTGACGATATGGATCGGGCGTCTCGGTCTTGGAAGCATCGATTTCACCTGACAAGGAGGTTGTTTTGACGATTAGAACAGCCTTGGTGTTTTCGTTGCCCATCACCATTGCTGCCTTGTCGCACGCCAGGTAAACGGGCAGAAGCTGCAGGAGTAACGGCAGACTAGCATTCCTGTCTGCGTCTCCGTCTCTACCATTTTCAGAGCCGGATGAGCCAGGGCTCAGCGCAGGATTCCTCTCGATGTTATTGCCGGCATTGTCATCCGCGGCGGCGCCCGATCCTTCCGCCCTGGCCGAAAATCGAGCGGGGGATGAAGACCTCGCGGGTCCCTGTTGCCGACCCGACTGTCTCCGCGGCAACTGAGTCGGCTCTGAGGCTGCTGGCCCTGAACCACCTTGACCCGGATCCGCATCGTGAAGGACCTCCGCCGAGTCGGTAAGACCGGAAAGAACGGAATCGTATGCGGGACTCCGGTTGTACACGAACCACTCCAGGCCCCTGAGAGACACCTTGACCCGGCATGGGAGCTTTGCAGGGGGCTCTTCCGTAGCAGCATCCGGGTGCTTCTCACAACCCCCCTTTCGTTTCCCCAGATCCACCTCCCGAACCCTACGCAGCCAATACGCCCAGGTGATGTGTCCGTTCTGCACTAAAATCGTCTCGTTATTGCCGTGGTATCGAAGACCCGTGAAGAAGATGCGGCCGGCGAGCAAGGATATTTGGAGGGCTTTGATGTCGATGTAGACGCCATATTGGTGCCATGTGTATGTTCTAATCCCCCACGAAACGATAGATGCGAATACCCGGTTAAAGTAAAGTAGGGAAAATACTGATCTGCTACCAGTCAGTTTAAAGATGGCTATGTGAGGTTGGAGGAGGACACTGACAGCACGCCACAAGCAATCAGGACCCCGAGGAATGGCCTAGAAGGTCGAATGTTAGAAATCAGGTAACTGCATCCGGGGTTGAATTAGGAACCCAGAGGTAAAATACGTACGGATGGAACTCGATCCCATCGCCCGAGAAAGGGTCGCCGTTCGACATGCTCACCGCGAGCTACAACACTGCTGCTGCGTTCTCCCCCCGAATTGAACCACAAAGAGGTGATTTGAGTTGCCCTCCATGCCCTCATTCGCGGTCGAGGGAAGGATATAAAAAGAAAAATGGAGATAGGGTAGAAAGGCGGTGGAATGAATTACTGCATAGTAAATGACGAAGCCAGAGGGGTGGATGCGAGCTCAATTCGTCTCCTTTCCGTTCGATTTGAAGTCGCGAACGGGCGCGCCTGGAGCTCGCGAGTCGCTGCAATTGCAATTGGCGGCGTGCATGGAAGCTCCAGAAGATCACCGAGAGGAAGCTGCAGGGGTCAACGCCCCACTAATATTAGGTTCTGCGTGCGCGGTCGAGTGGGACAAGGCCGGGGAACTCGTAGTGGGGCCCGGGCCCGGGCTGCGACTGGGCAGGCTTGCAGGCAATCGCCCGGCTCCTTCAGAGGCCGACCCCCTGTCCATCCCACGATGTTTGGAGCTTCCAGTCCGGGGTTGTTGGGGGTCGTCGTCATCTATTCCAACCCCGGAGTCTTGCACTCCTCACGACACACTCCACGCAGCCTAATGACGGCTTTTTGACCAAATCCACATCTTGGGGTTTTGATGCTCGTGACCCCCCCAACAAAATGAGGGGAGGCACAGGACAGAAGTTCGAGGCGGCAGCGACCGTAATTGCAGGCGTCGCGTCCCTCGTCGCGACGTTGATGTCTATCGTGTATGGAACAGTTGTTCCCTCAGTTGACCCCTCTATCGCACAAGTTTGCTGACATTCTGGCCCGTCTGTTGGAATAGCTCGATATGGCTGCAAACGTAAGAACGCTCCGACCCGACCCCAGTGGTTCGCCTACTTATCGCGACGACTACAGGAAGAACTACCGGAAACCTCTGCTCCAACGATATGTGGTTCGCATCCTGCTCATGTACGGCCACAGAACTTCATCTCTGTGTTAGCGGCGCTGACCCGCGTCTAGGATCCCCATATACTCGGTTGCTTCCTGGACTAGCATGGTCTCACGGACAGCGGCCGACTTTCTTAGTCCTATCCGAGATATCTACGAGGTACTGCCTGTTTTGACGCCGCGTTTGGCCGGGGACTGACTTGCCTAGGCCTTCACCATCTACACCTTCTTCCAGTTGTTGATCAATTACCTCGGTGGCGAGCGAGCCCTCATCATCATGACCCACGGTCGCGAGCCGGTTGACCATCTGTGGCCGCTCAACCATGCTCTTCCGCGCGTCGACATCTCCGATCCACACACCTTTCTTGCCATAAAGCGCGGTATCTTGCAATACGCGTGGCTAAAGCCGACCTTGTCGCTGGCGGCGATCATCATGAAGGCCACCGGCACATATCAGGAGGGCTATATCGGGCTTAATTCGGGCTATTTCTGGAGCGGCATAATCTACAACATCAGTGTCACCGTCAGTCTTTACTCGCTGGGGCTGTTCTGGGTTTGCATGCACAACGACTTGAAACCCTTCCGGCCGGTCCCCAAGTTCCTCTGCGTCAAGCTCGTCATCTTTGCGTCGTACTGGCAGGGCTTTTTCCTGTCTATTTTGGTCTGGCTAGGTGCCATTCCAGACCAAGTCGAAGGCTACACCCCCGACAACCTGGCCGCAGCCATCCAGGACTTCTTGATCTGCATCGAGATGCCGGCATTTGCCGTCGCCCATTGGTACGCCTTCTCGTGGCATGATTTTGCGGACAACCGGATCGCTTCAGCCCGGATGCCGGTACGGTATGCGGCAAGGGATGCTTTTGGAATCCGCGACCTCATTCAAGACTCCAAGGAAACATTTTCGGGGGATAAGTACGGATATCGGATTTTTGACTCGGGAGACAAAATTATGGCCCACGAGGCCTCCCGGTCACGGCTCGCTCGCATTAAGGACGGGATGCGGTATGAACGAGGAGGCAAGGGGAAATACTGGATACCAAGGCCGGATGAGATCAACCAAACGACACCACTCCTAGGAGCCAACGGCGAGCCAAGCAGGAGGAACGGATCGCTATCTCCACACACTAACAGCCACGAAGAGCCGATACTTGACCCCAGCGAAGAGCTTTTGTACGAGAGTGCGAGAAAACTCGAGTACGGAGACTGGAATGTGAGTGCCTAGGTGTTTATCGTCCCTAGCCCTGGTCAACTAATAGCACACCCATAGTACCCTGTCATCACAGCCAGTGAACCGGCGAGCGTGCGGTATATGTCGCCGCATCCCAGTCTCTATCAAAACACACCCACCGGGAGCTTTTATCAACGCGCCTCGTCGAGCTCCGTTCCAGCCCTAGATCCAGATGCCCCTCTAGAGAGGCGGAAAAAGCAGGCGCCCGAGGGAACCCAAGCCGGCGTCGGAGATAAGAAGGGCAAGAAGAAAGCGCTTGATGAAGCCCAAAATCCCGACTCGACGCATGAAGCGGGCATGGACCCCCTTGAGATCGCGTATGGTCCCACCATCGGGACACATGCAGAGATTACAAAGGACGACTTCAAAGTCGACACGGACAGCGGGCTGCACAAACCTCACCAGGATTCCACAAGGCCAGCCCGGCAGAGCCACGTCCCACAGGAAGATGATAAGCCGACAGGCGTGTCCCACGATATAGAGGAGGGGGAGGACAGCGAGATGGATCGCAGCCCTAGCCCGAAGTATGGCGTCGATGGAGAGGACGAGTTTCGAAATGTTTGGGGGAGGTGATAAATCACGATTCATCATCCGCTTCATTTTTTTTTATTCTGGGCGGCGGAGTTGTTGGGGCACGTCATCTAATACCCCGTCAGCCTCCAAGAGGCTATGCTTCTGTATGTATGTATATATGGATGGTTCGGGCATTGCACTGGAGTTGTTATGGGATCTGTAGTATTGTAAACGGGTCATCCGTCTTCTTTTATTTACATATTTGCTTGCGAGGTCTGTCTCTGCATGCAAACGAGAAAACACCTTCGCAAACTGCCACTACGCTTTCCGTCTTACCTTCTTCCTACCTATGTGCGTCATGGCGACTGGCTAGCGGCTGGATACCTAGCCGGTTGTCTCCCGATGACACAGTGGCGAGCCCTTTACCCCAGAGTCAAATGAGCTTTCTGCCATTGCGGTGTGTTTTGATGTTGTCATTCTGATCACCTGCTCCAATCAAAACAGTTCCCTATGGCTGTGGAGTGATTTGATGTCCCGGGCCCCCTTTTGATCACCTGTTTCAACCGGCCAGCGCCGGCGTCGAGTAAGAAAAGGACGGCGCTGCCACGCCGAATGGCTCATCGATCCTTGTGTGTGATTCGCCGCCGTCTTAATCAGCAACGGCCTGGACAAGCAGTTCGTAAAAAGAGGGGCCACTGCTCGACCTCATACGTCAACTAACATAAAAGAGGGCCCAAGCTCCATTCCTCAGAGAGAGCTTCACCAACCATGGATGCAGTCCAGCAGCTTTAAAAAGCGCCCCAGGTAACCCATTCCTGCTGTTATCGTCACAATCCTGCATACACAGATACTTTTGCGCCGAAAGAAGCTGGAAGTTTAAGGAGGTAAGTGCACTGTCCCACACAAAACTCTTCAACTGCCCCCGAGGTGCGGGGTTCTTTCCGTCCGGCTTGGTGAGGAGGGGCAAAACAGGGCTTGACCCTCGGCCACCCAGTTGAATCAGCCGGCGCACAACCTGGATGCAGGGGGTCCAATGGAGGGGCTGCTGATCGATATCGCATTGCCCCACCACTTCTTTACCCCTCCTCCCTCCCCCACTCTGTGCACATTTTCCTCCCTCGCAACCGCAATTTTAAAGGCTCGGAACAGCTGGCTTTTCCACTTCCACTGCCCTCCGCGCCTTTTTCATCACCAGCCTCCTCCTGTTTATTGCTATCGGTCTAGCGCTGATAGCTGATCCACCGAGCAGGACTGCGGGATCCCTGCCACATCTCTCGGGCTCGCCCAACTTTAGCCAACCCGACCTGACCTGGGGAAGAAAAATTTCTCTCCTCCTGGAGATTCTTCACCAGACTTCCATCAACTTTCTGTCGAACCCATTTTAGCAGGTATCGTTCAATACCGCCAAGATGGTCAAGTAAGTCATGCTTCAAGCTCCCCTTGTCCACATCGTCGATCGAGCTGTCTATCGTGCGTGCATCGCACCTTTTGCGATGCGCATCTTTGCGACGGGCTTCACTACCCCGCCCGGAGATAAGACAAGCATCCGGTGGCCATTGTTGAGAGCAGACAGAGTACAGTGTTGACCATGGTGCCTCAATAGCTTCACGATCGATGAGATCCGTCAATTGATGGGTAAGTCCGCGCAGTCTGACAGGCGCACGCCTCCGGATTCATTGCTTACTCGTTCGCAGACAAGCCCACGAACGTGCGCAACATGTCCGTCATTGCGCACGTCGACCACGGCAAGTCCACTCTGACCGACTCCCTGCTGGCCAAGGCCGGTATCATCTCGTCCGGCAAGGCCGGAGAGGCTCGGGCGACAGATACCCGAGCGGACGAACAAGAACGTGGCATCACCATCAAGTCCACGGCCATCTCCCTGTACGGCACCCTCCCCGATGAGGAGGATCTTAAGGACATTGTCGGCCAGGCTTCGGACGGTAGGTCATGTTCCGGCAGCGCCATTTCGGGAAATCGCCAGGAAGCTAATAGTTAATACAGGCAAGGACTTCCTTATCAACCTGATCGACTCGCCCGGTCACGTTGATTTCTCCTCCGAGGTTACTGCCGCCCTCCGTGTCACCGACGGTGCTCTTGTCGTCGTCGACACTGTTGAGGGTGTGTGCGTCCAGACCGAGACCGTGCTTCGGCAGGCTCTTGGTGAGCGCATCAAGCCCGTTGTCATCATCAACAAGGTCGACCGTGCGCTCCTCGAGCTCCAGGTCACCAAGGAGGACCTTTACCAGTCCTTCGCCCGTACTATCGAGTCGGTGAACGTCATCATCTCGACTTACTTCGACAAGACTCTCGGTGATGTCCAGGTCTACCCCGACCGCGGCACCGTCGCCTTCGGCTCCGGTCTCCACGGCTGGGCCTTCACCATCCGTCAGTTCGCGACCCGGTACGCCAAGAAGTTTGGCGTCGACCGCAACAAGATGATGGAGCGTCTCTGGGTGAGTGGTGCCACTTTTCTGTGCATCTGACCAGCTTGATCTAACAAAATGTAGGGCGACAGCTACTTTAACCCCACCACCAAGAAGTGGACCAAGTCTGGCACCCACGAGGGCAAGCAGCTCGAGCGTGCCTTCTGCCAGTTCATCCTGGACCCCATCTTCAAGATCTTCGCCGCTGTCATGAACTTCAAGAAGGAAGAAACCGCCAGCCTCCTCGAGAAGCTCAACCTCAAGCTTTCCGTCGACGACCGCGAGAAGGAGGGCAAGCAGCTCCTCAAGGTTGTCATGAAGACCTTCCTGCCGGCCGCTGACTGCCTGCTGGAGATGATGATTCTTCACCTCCCCTCGCCCGTCACGGCTCAGAAGTACCGTGCCGAGACCCTGTACGAGGGTGCGCCGGATGACGAGGCCTGCATCAGCATCCGCGACTGCAACCCCAAGGGCCCCCTCATGCTCTACGTCTCCAAGATGGTGCCCACCTCCGACAAGGGCCGTTTCTACGCCTTCGGTCGTGTTTTCTCCGGTACCGTCCGCTCTGGTCTCAAGGTCCGCATCCAGGGCCCCAACTACACCCCGGGCAAGAAGGAGGACCTGTTCATCAAGGCCATTCAGCGCACTGTCCTCATGATGGGCGGCAAGGTCGAGCCCATCGACGACATGCCCGCGGGTAACATTGTCGGCCTGGTCGGTATCGATCAGTTCCTGCTCAAGTCCGGTACCCTCACCACCAGCGACACCGCCCACAACATGAAGGTGATGAAGTTCTCCGTGTCGCCCGTCGTGCAGCGGTCCGTCCAGGTCAAGAACGCCCAGGACCTGCCCAAGCTTGTCGAAGGTCTCAAGCGTCTGTCCAAGTCGGACCCTTGCGTCCTGACCATGACCAACGAGTCCGGCGAGCACGTCGTCGCCGGCGCTGGTGAGCTCCATCTCGAGATTTGCTTGAAGGATCTCCAGGACGACCACGCTGGTGTTCCTCTTATCATCTCGGACCCCGTCGTCCAGTACCGTGAGACGGTCGGTGCTAAATCTAGCATGACTGCCCTCTCCAAGTCTCCCAACAAGCACAACCGTTTGTACATGGTTGCTGAGCCGATGGACGAGGAGGTTTCCAAGGCGATCGAGGACGGCAAGATCACCCCGCGTGATGACTTTAAGGCGCGCGCGCGTGTGCTTGCCGATGACTTCGGTTGGGACGTCACAGATGCTCGCAAGATCTGGGCCTTCGGTCCCGACACTAACGGCGCCAACTTGCTCGTTGACCAGACCAAGGCCGTTCAGTACCTCAACGAAATCAAGGATTCCGTCGTTTCCGGTTTCCAATGGGCTACCCGTGAGGGTCCCGTCGCCGAGGAGCCCATGCGCAGCATCCGCTTCAACATCCTCGATGTTACCCTGCACGCCGATGCCATCCACCGTGGTGGTGGTCAGGTCATCCCTACCGCTCGTCGCGTGCTCTACGCCGCCGCTCTCCTGGCCGAGCCCGCCCTTCTCGAGCCCGTCTTCTTGGTCGAAATCCAGGTGCCCGAGCAAGCCATGGGTGGTGTCTACGGTGTCCTTACCCGCCGGAGAGGTCACGTCTTCAACGAGGAGCAGCGCCCTGGCACTCCCCTCTTCACCATCAAGGCCTACCTCCCTGTCATGGAGTCTTTCGGCTTCAACGCCGATCTGCGCCAGGGCACCTCTGGCCAGGCCTTCCCCCAGTCCGTCTTCGACCACTGGCAGCTTCTTCCTGGTGGCTCTGCTCTGGATGCTACTTCCAAGGTTGGCGGGATTGTGCAGGAAATGCGCAAGCGCAAGGGTCTCAAGGTCGAGGTCCCGGGCGTCGACAACGTAAGTTCTCACTTTGGTCCTCTCAGTCAACCACAGCTGCTAATGCATTACCTAGTACTACGACAAGCTTTAAGCGGCGCCTACCGATCGGCGTGTAACTCGCTGCTTTACGCCCTCTGCGCCATAAGAGCCGAGTCGCCGAGGCTGTTTCCCGGTGGCTGACGGGCTCCAGGAGCATGAGAGCAAGCGAAACAGGAGGGGCGATGGTGGTGAAAAGCAACCCCACGGAGAGTCACTGGCACCCAAAGCTTTATCGCCGTCTTGATACCTACCTGTTTGTAGTAACGGAGATATGACTTATTATTACGTTGGCCGAATTGGCTAGCTTTCATTTTGGGTGGTATGAAATGAACTGATGAGTTGTGAATTGTGATGATCTTGCTACAAAGTGCTTTTCACGATACCATTCCGCTATCCGTTTCAAGCCCCCAAAGAGTACCTCCCTCCTCATTCAAAATAAACAATACCGGCACGTCTTCGGTAACGAGGTACCTTGGGGCAATCCACCCACCAAACAACCAACCAAACCAACCCAGCTTCATCATACATACTCGTACTATACACCACCCCCAAATCGTACATCTCCTGTTGTCATCCACAACAACATTATCATTTCCAAGAAGACTGACACCTAGCTAAGTCCAGCTCGTCAGGGCTCGTCAGGCTTGCTACCTATCTCAGCTCCATCACCCCGCCCTCCTCGGGCTGCGGCGGATGCGGTCCGCGCTGAGATGGAAGTGCCGGGGCCGGGGGCGGGGGTGGCGGTGGCGATGACGATGACGTGGGGACGGGAGGAGGGTGCTGCACGCCGAGCGAACGGAGGCGTTTGGAGAGGAGGCCCTCTGTCGCTGTTGCGCTTGGTTCTGAGGTGCCTGGGTTGGTGGTGGTGGTGTTGGGGTGATGGGGGCGGTGGTGCTGGTAGGGGTGGTGAGTGTGGTGTTGTTGGTGGTGGAGAGGGCGGTTGGGGTTGTTGTTGTTGTTGAAGGGGTGTGAGCTGCGGACGCCGCCGTAGCCGAGGTCGCCTTTGCTGAGCTTGTCGTAGGTTTGCGGTTGTGAAGAAGGGCCGGTCATCTCGAGGCCCGGCATTGCTGTGGGGGTGGTGGAGGTGCCTTGGTCGAGCTGGGTGTGGTCTCCTTTCCAGCCTGGGCGGGCCCCGGGCTGGGTTATGGGGTTGGCGCTGAAACGTCTGAATGGGTTGGGCTGTGGGTCCTGGGGAGGATGGTCTGGATCCTCGTTGGGGAAGGGGTGGTGGTGCTGCTGCTGGTAGAGGGGATGGTGCCCGTGTCCGGGGAAGCCCAGGCTGCGCCGACGGAAGGCCTGCTCTGCCGCCAGGGCGGCGCTAGAGGGTACACTGGTGCTGGTAGCGGCGTAACCACTCACCCCCGGCGGTGGGTGCATCACGCGTACCGGCTTGTAGGGGGAAAATCGGGGGTCCGGGTAAGTAACCTCGTTCCGGAGTTTCTCCTTGCCGTCGGGGACGCGGTTGGCGAAAACGACGCGGATGGACTTGTAGAGATAGTGGCGCCCCTTGGAAGGACAACAGATGTGCAGGTGAATGAGGTAGCGTAAGATCGGGCGGTCGGCTGGGGCGTCTTTGGGAACCTCTGCTTCAATGATGGGCCCCGCTGAGTAGCTGCGCTGGCGGATGAAGGTCTTGGTGCCGGGCTCCATGCCTGCTAAATCGTACGGTATGAGGAAGAGTTTGACGGCGGTCTTGTTTTGGTTTTTGATGATGATCTGTAGCTGACCCTTTTCCGGGATGCGGTAACCTCCACCAGGGGGCGCCTTTGGTGTTCTGGACGGCCGCTTGGACGTCGTTGTCCTAGAAGAGCCACCTTCGCCTTCCGAGAGCTCGGCTAGGCTTTCACGGGCCCGCGGCTTTTCTTCTCCCGTACCCTTAAGATCTTGGTACCGAGTTTGCAGTTTCCTCTTGGCCCGCTGCCCCTCTTCGGGATTTGGCAATCCGTTCTCGAGATCAATCTGGCCAACGTAGGGACTTGGCCCGTCTTCCACCTTACTCGCCCCAGAGGAGGTGCTGGCATAGTTGTAAAAGACGGCCGAGAACGGTAGGGTCACATGAGCTGGGCAGCGGAGGCTTGCTTTGCACTTTCCAAGGCCGAGAACCCCAATCTGGGCCGTGAACTCCAGGGGTCGAGAGGGTATCGTGGACATGCGGCCTCTGAGGATACTCTCTTCGTAGGACCCCACCATAGACGCATGGTGCAAGGGGGAGGCTTCCGAGCCAAACGACGGCCGCCGGGACCGGAAAAGCGCGGGCGTTTGTGGGGGAGTCCCGGTGAAAGAGGGATTTGGCGTCGAACTTAGGGATCGCCGGGGTTGATGCGCTTGGTACGGGTAAGTGCTCTCGCGGCGAAGAGGTGACTGCCTGTGGCCGGTTGGGTTGGCAAAGGGCGAGTGGCCAAAGTTTAGGGTATGGCGTCGAGGATTTCGAGGACTGTTCGCATCTATGTTGAAACTATCGAGAGGCAATGTGAAATCGAGGTCCTCGTTGCTTTCTGACTGAACGAGCGGACTGGTTGGCGGCTGATAAGCAAAGCTGGAAGAGAGTGAAGAGCTTAATGAAGCAGGGCCAGATTTGAAGGCCTCTTTCCTATAATCGGCCGCGCCCCGGGCAAAGTCAAAGGGTGTATAGTCCCTTGGAGGGGATGTGCTCATCCATCCAGCGCTAGCTGAGGGAAAGTGACTCTCGCTGTCGGGCAGGACGGTGTCCTCAGTGCCTCCGGAGCGTGGAGAAAGTTCTACCGGGGTGAAGTTGCCGCTGTGGAGGGCCGACCGTGGGCGCTCAATGTTCAACCCTTCCTGCGAAGGCGAGCCCATACTTTGCTGGCCCCGTGTCACATCTTGCTTCTCTGGGGTGATGGTGGGTGCAGGTAGCAAACCGGGCGAGGCCGGGCCCGTCAACCGAGGCGTTCTCGGTGGCGAAGCGGCCTTATTTTGACGGAACAAAGATTCCAGTTTCTCCTCAGACAGCCACGAAGACCCGATATCAGATTGTGGTTCCAAGTGTGCGAGACGGTTCGGGACCCAGGCCGGGCTCTCGCCGCGCTTCAACCGCTCGATGAGTTCGGCCCTGTTGCAAACCGCATGAGAGACGGCTTCTTGGGGTGTGGATGGCTTGGGCGGGCTGTCCGGGACAGGCCCTTCACATAGCTCGGTCCGGATGCTCTCCTCTGAGAGGCGACGAGACCACCTGGCCATTCCTGGTGGTGTTGGTATCGGGACCGGAGCGGATTCGGGGCATTGTGAGTCGGAATCCCCCGAATTCCTCCGACCCATATCGTCTTCATGAAGCATAGGCATTTTCGAGCTGTGATGTTACGGATGATGATGAGGAGGAGGAGGAGGAGGATGTGATGATGATGACATGGACTTCCTGGTCATGGAAAGGCGACAGTTCTACGCCTACCCATACCATCCATCCACACACGCCTTCCTTAAAACGGCGAGCAGACGACGTGATGGTAAAACCAGGGCGGTCAAATAAATGTGCGCTTGTGAGAGGCAGTGGGAAAGAAAGTTGGAACAGTTAAAGAGTCACACGAGACCCAACAACGGTTCTCGTTGGCGGGAAGGCGGCCCAGGCGCGGGAAGGCGTGAAGAGAAGGATGCTGGATCCCGGTCGGTATGGAGGCAAGTAGTTATTTTGGTTAACGCCAGATCCGACCTTGCTTTTGTATGAAAATCTCATGCCCACCAAGGTAATGATTTTATAATTTTATAGTTGGGCGGAGATTGGGCCACGAAACACGCAGGCAGTTTTGCCATTTCCTTGTTACTTGTAAAACTTTGTTGCAGAAGGCGGGAGACAGTCCCGGGTCAACTGGGTGAAAACGGATGGATTGGTCTGAAGCGACCCGTTGACAATGACTGCAACGTGGGTCATGGCATGGGGTTTTAGCGGAACGGGGGCCCATTTACCGCTCATACCCGCACTGTATGGGGTAAGAACCCCCCTAAAACGGCTCACCCAGCGCGTCTCGTGGCCGGAAGGCTGACGACTTTCGAGGTTCTGTCAACTAGGGGTGGGAAGCACTAATCCAGGGCGTCAACTTTATCCTGCCATCTTGGCTACTGGTCTATCTCAGTATTTCCATAGTAAACCTGTATGTATATACTGTAAGACAACACCCACAGAATGGACTGTCTGTTGCGCCCACCGCCAAGGGTTCGTCGGTTGGCCAATCTTGCCGGATTTGATCAAACGCTCGATCATGCGTCATTGCCACTCGGAACCAGCCGGAACTCCCGAGTGGGAAAAGCGCTCCTGTTTTAGTTGACCGTTCTTGATTCTGCCTGGGAGGAACAAAGCTAGGTATCCGTAACAATTTGCAACCTGGACGATGCATCCATCTTGTTTATAGTTACCTAGACACCTGGCTGGTCGGCGAGTTGTGTCTGAAAGCAAGCGAATGCAGAATGACGGAAACCCCAAAATATGCAGATGGAAGGGTCCAGTTAAGCGAGCCGGGATCATGGGTGACGAGCTGTGTGGGGGTCGGTTCTCACCGCTCTGGGCCTTGAGAGCGGGCAGGTGGGTCAACTGGCTTCTTTATCGGCTTTATCGCAACCAAAAAATAATTGCGCCTCTGCTGCCGAACCACATCGCGGCTGAGACAGAGAACACCCGACCCAGACACCATCTCGCAATTCAGCCATGCCTGCCAAGCGCCCCCGCGATGAAGATGCCGTCCATGGGGCTGGCCCATCTTCCACGACCGATGAGACCAGAAAACCGAAGAAGGCCAAACATGGATTCCGAGTTGGACCTGAGAACCTCCCCGACGGTGCCTGGCGTCGCAAAGGTATTGCCCCCCTGATTTAGACCGTTGCCGGCATAAACTAACCCACCCCCCACAGTGACCAAGATCAAGAAGGATCTCATCACCAAAGCCAAGGTGAAGAAGCAGTACGCCAAAATCAAGGCAGAACACCAGAAGCAGGCCCCAGCTCCAGCACCCGAAGACCACACCCAAGCCGAGGACGGCACCGAACCCACCACACACCCGAACCAAGAAGAAGACGGGACCGAGCCACCCCCAGTCCAGATCCACCCCGAGCGACAAGCCATGCTCGACGCGCCCACCTCCCGCCCGAAACCAGGCCATCAACATCAACATCAACAACAACAGCAACAACAACCCACAACCGAAACCGACCCCTCCTCCCCAACCCACCAACAACAACAACAACAACAGCCCCACGACCAAAAACCCCCCCGCCGCAAAGCCCACCGCCCGGATTACTACACCAAAGAGCTCGCCGCCGCCGAGCGCGCGAAGCAGCAGGCGGCCGAGCGGGCGGCCGAGGCAGCGGCGCGCGAGCAGGAGCGGCAGCGGCGCGTGGCCGAGCGCGAGCGGTACCGCAAGGCCATGGCCAAAGCCAAGACCCCCGGCCGGGACGGGCGGGTCAAGATTGGGCGGGAGAGTAAACTGTTGTTGGAGAGGGTGCAGCGGGTTGTGGGGAGGGGGTGAGGTTGATATGGGGTGGGGTTGGTATTTTTGGGGGGGATGTGTTTTGGTTGGCTTTATGATGTTGATGATGATACCCCTGGGGGGGCTGGTCGCTTGTTTTGAGTGAGGGTTGTCGGGTAGGAAGGAGCATGTTGGGACGTCGGGCTAGGGAGGTTGTGGGTTGGGGAAAAGGGGTTGTCTTTTCTTGTTGGGGGCAGAGCAACGGGCCACTTCGTTGAACCGGGTTCAAGGCAGGCATCGTACTTTCATATTGGGAGTTTGGTACATACTTTCGTTGAGGCTATTTAAACAGCCCAAGCAGAAGAAATCGACAGCCGGGGAATCATAACCGTACATAATACATAGGCAGACCGAGCTCAACCAGCACCTGAACTGAAACGTATTATCCACTTCCACCACCTCAGAACCACAAGCAAAGGCATCATCATCATATAAAACCAACCAGAACCAAACCAAACCAAAGGGTTTCTCGCCCATGCTGTACCAAAGCCACAACCTCATAGCCCCCGCCAAAAGCACAACACCAACCATGAGCGAAATCACCCAACTGCTCCCACCAACTCAACCACAACCGTTCCACGCCAACAAGAGAGTAAAACTAGCAACCAGGCAAGGGCAACAAACAAAAGGGGTGTCTCTCAGAAAGAACAAAACAGCTCGAAGGCTCAAGGTATATACAAATCACACAGTTGCAGCAAAAAAAAGAAAAAAAAAGTGCAACACGCAGCAATGTTTCGGTTCCCAACACCACAGCCACGCCGCCATCCCACCCCCATCTTTCCCTCACCCAGTTCCCATCACAAAACAAACGATCCTTTTTGATTTTCAGTTCCTCTTTTTTCTTTTCTATCCTACGACCCAGACCCAGCCCTAGTTGGCTGGGTGGACAGGAGGGGGCTGGCTCATGCCTCGCCAAAGATGACATGACTGTGCTCGATGAGGAACTGCACGGCCAGGTTCTTGGCGTGCATGTCGGTCATCTCCTTCTCCAGGCTGTGGTCGCGCATGATGGTGGGCGCAAAGACGACGGCAAGGTTCTTGGGGGACATCTGGAAGAAGGGGATGGGTTAGCTGCTGCTGCAAGGTACTGTACTGTACTGGGTGGGGGTTGGGTATTGGGTGTGTAAACATACCAGGTTCTCACGCTCCCGGCTCGCCACCCGGACCAGGTGGAACATGAGGAACTCGAGGCAGTCCCGGTGTTTGGGAGGGAGCATGTTCACCGTCTTTCTCAGGTGGCTACAGCGCTCAGTTTCATCTTGTACCGCTACACAGACATGTTGGTTAGCACCGTCTCTCATCTAGGCATGAACGAGGCAATAGAGAATGGGGAGGCGCTTACTATTTGACTCCAAAATCCGGTCATAGACTTCAAATGTGAGCAGCGGCGTCGGCAGCTTGCGGAAGTACTGCTTCAGCACGCTCGTGACGGCGGTGATGTCGAGCGCCGGGTCCGAGATATCGAAATCCTCCGTCTTCTCAAACCCTTCCCGGATCGTGTTGATCAGCGAATTGCCGCCTGTCTTGCGGTAGATGCCCTCGATGTCCATCCCCCGCAGCTCCACCTCCTCAATGCAACGCGTAATCACACTAGGGATCTGGCGGCGCTCGAAGTCGGCCCGCTCAACTAGGTCAGACCCGAACAGGGTGCTGGGCGCTTCGGCCGGAGCAGGCGTGCTGGAGACGTTTGTGGTCGAGGTCGACTTGGGCATGGCGCCCTGTTTCTTGCTGAAGAAGCCGAACCCCTGTCGCTGGCTCTCGGTCCCGACCCGGTTGATGGGCCCGGTGGGAGGGGCCATGGTAACGGGCGACTCGACCTGGGCGACCGTCATGTTATAAGGGAGGCCAATGCTATCGCCCGTCAGGTTTTGGTGTTGTTGTTGTTGCGCCCGAGCTTGTTCCTGTTGCTGGAAAGCGCCTGCTGCGCGGTTGATCCCCTTGGAAATGTTGTGTGCGACCTTGCTAGAACCCTTCTTCCAGTTGAATTTCTTCACCTGGCCCTTCCGAATGTTGACCACCGTGGGCCCCTCCAGGACGGGTTCATCCGCATCGGTACCGACCATGGTTGTCCCCGTTTGCAGGCTGACGGCATCCAGGTTGACCGACGCCGATGATACCCCCTTGGCGTGACCGTAGATGCCGAGACCGTTGGGTGGCATCCTTAGTTCGCCATTGTTGATTTGCGATTTGAATCTTTCCTGGATTTGGTGCGTCAAATCATTGTTCATATCGGCCAGCTGGGCGTTTTTGGACGAAAGCTGCGCAAACTCCAGTAGCGCCTGGTCTCGGTCCTCCACCGCTTGGGCCTTCTCCTCCAAGAGTTCATCCCGCTCGGCGTGAAGCTGCTCAATGGCCACCGTCATGTTTTGCTTGACCTTGTCAAGCTTCTGCACAAACTCTTTGATTGCCGATTCTTCCAGCTCCCGGGCGTCGATGGGTTCGTTGGTCTTCTTAGCCCGCTCCACATACCCGGCGAGCACCTCAATCTGCCGGATCATGATCTCGGTCTGGGTATCCAACACGGAGACAGTCTTCCTCTTCTCGACGAGTTTCTTATTCAAGCTCTTCAGGTCCTTTTCCGTGTTGAATTGCCGCTCGAGCTCCGCCACGCGCTGCTCCGAGCTCCTCAGCTGCCGTTTCAAAAGCGCAGGATCCTCCTGCCCGGCTCCGGATGCCGAAGCGGTGCTGCTGGTATCCTGGGAGCCATCTGGGTCCTCGGCAATCGGCGTGCGTGGCCAGCGGGGGGATGTAGTTCCCCTGGTTGTCTCACTCACGCTCCTGCTGTGACCAAGCCTGTTGTTGTTGCTGCTGTTACTGATTGTCTCTGCGCTGTTGTTTCTCCCGTGGCGGACAGCGTTCGAAACCCGGCGCAGGATCGAGGACGATCCTTCGTCGGTGCCCAGTATTCTAGCCATATCTTCATCCATCGTGAACTCCCCGCCCGAGCTCCAGCGCGGCAGCTTGGGCGACACCTTTGGTTCTGACGCCTCATTGACGGACGTCGCGGGTTCCTTGGCGCCCTGAGACGGAGGCTGAGGTGGCGCCCTGGGCTGCATGTACGTGTCGCTCAATTTTGTCTCGGGTACAGTCGGACGTGGCGGTAGAGCAGGGTTGTTGCCATTCACTGATTTCGTATTCGTCAGCCCGACCCCCTTTCCCTTAGCGTGTCCGGGCGTTATTCGCTCACCATTTCGTGACTGATTTTGAGCTACTTCCTTCCTAACGATGGGCGGCGCGACAGCTGCCTCGGGCCGGTCCGGCCGGTTGGAAGTTGCGGAGTCAAGCGAGGGGCGGACACCATCATCGTCCCTCCGCCGGGAGTCCTGCGAAGGTCTCGGCGGTGATGACTTGTCCACCGTCGCGGAGTGGCGGGGAGAGTCGGCGTTTGTAGCGTTAGAGAGAGCCTCCCGGTTTCGCGGGGGGGCCGGGGGTGCTTTGGCGGGAGTAGGCACATCCAGCGAGTTACTGGACACGGAGTTGCTCCTGGAATTACCAAGCCTCTTGGTCCTTGGGGCGTCTTGCAACCTGAACTCCTCATTGGGCTGCGTCTTCGCGTTGGGACCCTTTCCATCCTCGACACCAGGTGAGGCCTTGGGGTTTCCGTTCCTCTTGGAAAGCTTTCGCCCCGGTCGGTCCTGCTGAGGTGCCTCGTAATCCGAAGATGGCTGCCTCGACTTTTCTTGGAACGCGATGTGAGGCGTCGATGCCTGCGAATCAGTCTTCTTCTCTGTAGGCGGCTTCGCTGAGGTAAAATAGTCCCTGTCCTTAGTCCTCCTGTTCGACTCGGGAAAAGCATCCGACATGGACTGCGGGGTCAACGCCGGCCCGGGACTCGGGTCGAGCGCGACGGGGATGAAGAAGCCCCCGTCCGAGTCGCCATTGTCCATGTTCCCTGCGAAAATGGCCGAGTTTCGGTTGTGCCTGTAGGTCGAGCCGCCAGATGGCGCAAGGGAGGCTTCCTTGCCGGGTTCATGCCCCCGCTCTGGGGAACGATCAGGCCTCGAGCTGCTTCGGGAAGAGGACTCGTTTATCCCATAGGCGGCCCGAGGCCGCGGAGACAGTTCCGTTGGCGTATCGGAGTCGGGGGTCACCCGGTCCGTGTTGGAAAATGAGTTGTTCGGCGGAACGGCGTTCGGCGGCAACGCGGGCAGCGACTTGTCTGTGATCATCGGGGAGGCATCCTTCTCCCGTTGCTTCGCCTGCGCGGCCGCCTTTGATTTTTTGCGCCTTCTCGCCATCAGCGACTCGTGGCAGTTCATGCAGAATATACCGTGTGACGTCCTAGCGTAGCGCAGGTTTTCGATCTTCCTCTTGCAGTTCCTGCAGCGGAAGCACGTTGCGCAAAAGGCCTGGTCTCCGGTCAGGATGGCGAGGTCCTCAATCTTATTGTTGCAGGCGCTACAGCTGTAAGTGCAGTTATTGCATATCAGCGAGCCATCGCCGAGTAGAAGGAGGTTCGCGTCCGAGTCGAGCAAGGTGTTGCAGGTGTTGCAGCGGAAGCAGTCAAGATGCCATCGGTTGCCGGCTAGGGTTTGGTTAGTATGATACCACTACCTCGTCACGCACACAGGTATTGTAGTCTGTTTTTCGGGTGCAACATACCGAGTTCGAAGGCCTTCCCCTCCTCCAGAATCTAGAGCATCATGTCGTCAGAACTAGTCCACGGCAACTCCAAGTGCGTTGAAACCCACCTCGCCGCACCCTTTGCAGGGGAAGACATCGTCCGCATCCATGGCGCTATCCAGATAGTCGTCCATGGTTTCGGAGATGGTCAGGGGGGGCTTGGTTGTGGGAGTTATATCAGTGGAGGTTTACACCGGCGGGGAAGCGATAGTTTGAGGCCGGCACGGCATGAACGTAAGCGATAGTTTGAGGCCGGCACGGCATGAACGTTTAGCGATAGTGTCGGGAGTGGTCGAGAGGCCGGGAGTATCGCATCAGGGGAACACGTTTCTGCCCGGCGGTTTATGTCCTATTTCGGAGAGGGTGCGGAGGGCGGGGGGCACAAAGAGCGGTCCAGCGATCGTCGGGTCGGCAGGGCAAGCTTGGCCCGTCGTTCGTAGCGGTTCGTGGTTCGGTCTAGAGCAATCGTCGGTGATGGTGGTGGGACGGTGTCGAGTCAAGCTCAAGGTCACCGAAGTTCGGGGTTCTTGCCCTGCGAAAAAAAGGTGTTCGACTCGTCAAAGGGAGGGGGGGCAGCCAAGCAGAAAAGCAGGGCCACCTAAGGAGCAAAGAGGGCGTTTGCTTGGTGAGGGCGGGCGGGATGAGGATAAGCCCAGCGCTGCTGTGCGGCAATCTGCAAAGTACTGTTTGCGTCTCGTACTACGCACAGGGTTGATGATCGGGGGATGGCGGCGACGAGAGGGCCGCTGATGTGGGAAAGCACACTGGGTGACCTCGACCGATGCGGTGGGACCTGACCTGGCCTCGAGCTCGAGAATGCGGAAAATGCAAAAGACGCCAGGGCGCTGGATCGGCCGTGCATTTGGCTGGCTGGCTGGCTTCTCTTGTCCTGGAACGCTGTTTCTTCGCCAAAATGGGCGGTCCTTGCAGGGCCAGGTGCTCCGCTGTTCAACAGGCCAAGACCAGGGGTTCAGAGTGCGGTCAGGGGCAGCACAGGGGTGGGGCAGGAACCAATGGCAGCTTGTATGACCCAGAACAGCCACGAAAAGCTCCATTTCATGGCCGCGTCAGGAAAACCCTTGTGCCCTTGGAATTTCTATGGATCATGGATGGATGGGTCCAGAATGTCGAGGGCGCTTCATCCCATGTGCCTGTAATTCAGTCTCATTTTCCGAAATACCAATCCATTAAAAAAATAACCGGTACTTTGGCCTGACCGCTGTTGCGAATGGGCGCTTTGAAACATGGAAAGAAACCTGGAACACGAAACTGTTCTCGAAGCCAAACTGAAGCCCTCGGCGTGTGTCCAACGTTTCCATCTCACAACCAGCGAAGCACATCCTACCCACCATACTACGAGACATAATATTGTCTTGCCTAATCCGACCAGCCAGCCGGGTCCCAGAAAACAGCCCTTCAGACTCTCTACATAAGACGCGCACACCAACAAAACGTCGAGCCTGCTGTCGCTGACGCCGCGGACTGACAGGACTGGTGTTACACACCCGGACTGTCGGGAGGAGAGCGACCCAGTCTACTTCGTACTTCGTAGAGCGAAGATGAACCAAGGGCGACTGCATGGTGCGATTTCGGGCGGCGACGTGATGTGGCCCGGCTGATTGCTCTACCATTAATAACCCGCCTCCGTCGGGATCTTCCAAAGCCACGACTGGAAGCGGCGTTGATGGCAAGAATAGAATCCCGTGTGCCAGAGTAAGCGTCAATCGCCTAGCCACGCATGACTGAGCCCCGCCACCACGAGGTCAGGTATGTCAGTCGCGTATGTGCGTGTACTCGCCGATGGTGTAACTGACAGCAGTTGCTGCCGGCGGCTGTTGGAACCAACACCGTCATGCTCGTCTATCGTTGTTTCCGACACCTTCAACTCCCGTCTTCCCCATCCTCCACGATGCTTAAATTACCCTCGAACTAGGGAGGGCCGCGGCATCTGAAACTACCGCCCCCAGCACCACGCTGCATGTCAAGTCCATCAACTCGGTGGAGTGTCGTATACCTATATGTCCGGTACTAGCAGGTTACACCACCCCGCCTCTTCCAGAAACACCTCGCATGTTTCAAATCCGGCCACTTGATCGTCGAAACATCGATACCTAGTCACCACACCGGCTCGGAATCCGATGATGCTGTGTTTCCGCATCGCCAGCAACTGACGTCTAATCTGTATGAGGTGTACACAGCATCCAAGCACCCATGGCGGGTTTCATCCCTTCTTCTCAAATAAGATGCGCGGGGCGTGGTTCTTTCGGGAGAGATCTGCACTCGGCCTTGCAGAGATCCCCTGGTCCCGACATCCGTCGCTTGGCGTTTCAGATAGAAACCCCCCAGGCCATGTTCAATTCCAGGGGCTTCTTGAGGGAGAAACGCGAACGGAAACCCCACAAACTCGAAGGCTCCAGCATGATGAAGCCGCAACGGCAACCAGTTCGGTCGATCTTGTCGAGGTGGATCTTTAAACACCCGCGTCTCTTATTCTTGCCGTTTCTGCGCGCGCACAGACGGCGCATGGCATGGGTTGACGGGACAAGGTAGTTGTCAATGGCGGGATGGGGGTTCATCAATTCAGAGTCTCGGGAATATGTATGTATGTACATACATACATACATCGGCGGCCCGCCGCTGTGACGGGTGGACGGCTGCAGAATGTCACAGGCGAGGGGATTCCCACCCCCCCTGTCAAGAAATCAACAGCAAACATTTCGTGAGAAGATGAGCTTTTCGACAAGAGTAGAAAGAAGAGCCGAGAAGTCGTGTCCAAAACAACAACCTTTCCTCAAAGACTCGGAGTAATTCAGGGGCAGACCCCGAAATAGCTTCTCCAAGACCCTCAAAACAGCGTTGCAACGCTAATAACAATAAAAGAGGACGCCCCCCAATTACCGTCCCTGAGCAAACCGAACCCGAGGTTTAATTTTCCCCAGGCTTCTCTTTTCGAGTCTGCCTCCACCCGCGGCTACACAGGAAGAGTCTGGACTCATGGTCAAACCAGAATGGCTTGGAGAGGAATGCAAGACGCAGCAGCGTAATGAGATGACCACCCGCCCAACCCGCCCAAGGTTACAGCGCAGCGAGAATCACAGATCGATTGATCTCCAGGGTCCCTGCAATCCCGTCACGTCAGGGGGGCTGCAGGCAAGAGAACGAACTCCATGCCATGTCAACAATCCGGGGACGGCCCGCCTCAGTTTCGTCCGAACAACAGACATCACCACAAATTAATCTGCGGAGAATATGTAAATATATAGAACGGAGTGATTATGTTCAACGCTGGCCATCAGTAACTAATTTAAGTATGTATCTCGAGAAAAGCCCAGCCCGGCTCAGAGACTTCCTTCCATCGAGAAGAAACAAAAAGACAGATCAACCGCCCATCCCCCGCAGCGCAAAAACGAACACACAAGACGCCGCGCTCCATCCCCCCGCTTTTCCCGTCCCTCCAACCCCCTTATGCTGTGTGGTATTAGGTAGTACATACAAAAAGAGAAACCCATGCCATCGAAACGGGACGGGGAGAAGCCCATGATCCCCCGAACGAGCCGGCGCCTCCCACACCCAAGAAAGAAATACACAACAAATCGGCAACCCCCAATCCATCCTCACCACCACCACCACCACAACCACCCCCCTCAAGCAGTCAGCCCAACCACACCAGCACCAGCACCACCACTCCCAGCCTCCCTCTGCCGCTTAACAATATAATACGTAATCAAGCTCTTCGGATCCTCCTTGACGCCCCTAAGCGCCTCCCAGAAGCGGGCATCGCCCACGCGCGCATGCAGCGCGACGCACAGCAACACCGCATCCATGCGCACAGCCGACTCGAGGCTCTCGAGGCAGCGGCCGGCCAAGGACGCAAGCGCATCAAGCTCCGGGTCGCTGGGCACGAAGGCGGCGCCGCGGGCGTCGAGCATCTCGCGCAGCACGTGCAGGCCCATGCTGAGGGAGCGGCCCGTGGCGGGGGCGGGAGCGGGGGTGGAGGGGTGGGCGCCGTCGACGTCGGTGTTGGCGTCGACGTCCATGGCCGCCGACAGCATGCGGCAGAGCACGAGGACGATCTCGCTGGCGTCGCCGAGGTCGGCGAGGTCGGCGGCTAAGAGCTCCAGCCCGCTGACGATGTGGGTGCGGCCCTCGTAGGCCGCGCGGGCGCGCAGCAGGCTCTCGAGGCCGCGCGAGACGTGCGGCTGGAAGGAGGTCCGCGTGCGCTTGAGGAGGAGCTTGATGGTCGCGAGCACCTGGGCTTTGACGTCCTGGGTCTTCTCGGGCACGAGGTTGGTCAGGGGCGACTCGAGAAAGTCAAAGAGGCCCGTGACCAGGGCGTCGAACTTATCGTCGGTCAGGAGCGGGGCGCCAGTGGCGGGCTTGATGTCGCTGTCGCGGATGATGCCTTGCAGCTTGCGGAAGCCGTGGACGTCGAGGGACTTTTGTTGGACCTTGGAGATGCCGCTGTCTAGGAGGCGCAGGTTTTGCTTGACCTTCTCCGGGGAGGGGCCTGCTCCGTTGGCCTCGCCGTTTTGCTGCTGCTGCTGTTGTTGCCGCACAGCTTGCTGCAGAATCGCTGCGTCTTCGTTAACTGACCTGTCTTCCAGAACGGGCCCGAAGATGGGTTTCGGTGTTGCCTGCTGCTCCCGGGTCAACGGGTCCTCGTAAACCTCCAACGAACGCGAGGCGCTGGGCGGGGACGGTGCAGCAGGCTCGACGTCCCGAGGCGGAGTCGCCATGATAATTGGCCCCTCAAGAGCAGCCGCAACGGCCTGAGGCGGGCTATCCGGTGCATCCAGAGAAGGTTGAGGAAGTTTAGACGGCGTCTCGACCGGCCCTAGGTCGATTTCGATTTCATCCTCGACGGATTCTACGAGCCGCTGCTCTTCTTGTGGAGGCGACGCGTCACTTGTCACCATGGGCACAACTAGACTAAAATCTTCGTGTCTCTTGGACGGGCTGCTTGACGGCGGGATAACCATCGGCTGCACACTTCTAGATGGAGTGGCCCGGGGCGATTCGATGGCCTTTGGTGTCCCCGCCCTGGTAGGCGTCGGGAGATGAGGCTCAGCCGTAACCGGCCGGGCCGTCTTAGGGACCGTCCGCTTTGGTGATGAGGTTATCGACTTGGGTGTCACGGCTTTCGGTTTCGGTCTGCTCGGAGGGCTGGACTGTTCAGCTGAGGGCTGGTCGTGGCTTCTAACCGAATAAGGCCCCGCCGTTGCCGGCCGAGCCATCTCGGCCTTTCTCCTCCCAGGCCTCATAGGCGCACCAGAGATGCCCCCCGTAGAGCCTAGCATGGCCGACTCTGGTCTTGCGCGTACCGTAGAGGCCGCCGGAGGCTTTTGCGACGAGTTCGAGACGGACTTGGCGGGCGAGAAATGCGACATGGCTGAACCCGGCCGGGTTGGAAGAGTTTTAGTCGTCATGGCTCGTTTTTGCGCCATCATAGCCTCCCGCACACTTGGCTTCGAGGTACCCATTGTGCTCTTCGATAAACCCAGGCCAGGTCGCGCCCCCCCTTCCGGTTTCTTAGGCGATTTGGGGTTGTTCGGGTCGTTCTGCAGCAGCCTTGCAGCGGTCGCGTCGAGTCCGTTCATGATAGCCTCGGCTCTTGCAGGCCAGACGCCCGCGAACATCCAGTATGTCGCACGCATCTTCTCCCTCACACCAGGATTGGGATCCGCGAGCCCTTTCTTGATGCACTTCTCGATCAGGTCCAGGCCCCCCGTGTGTTCCACGTGGTTCTTGTGGTGAGCTTCCTTGGCTAGTAGCGTCCTCAGCCAGCCGCTAGCGTAGAGCCGCGGCTGGACGTTTTTGTCCTGGCACGCGCCCCAGACGTGTTGCATGATACGGTTACTATAAGTAGCCTTGGATATGATGGTGTCGACCGTGGTGTTGGCTTGAGCAGAGGCGATCTTCTTGGTTGAGGCGGTAAGCTTGATGAAGGTCTGCATGAGGATTTCCACCATGGGATCCATCGCAGGGCCGTAAGCCTTGGCAATATCCTGGATCAAGCTGCAGCCCTCCTTGGAAAGGCTGGTTCGGAGCGAAACAACAGCCTTGATCATGCCGTCGAAAAGCGCCCGGAGTTCCGCAAGAAATTGATCGTGGAAGTCGGTCACAGCATTCCCAGCGATAAGCCTCCGCAGCTTGGTCACACTCTCCTCCCGCTTTAGCCAGTTTTGCTCCGTCTCCTTGCCCTCGAAGTAGCCGTGCATATCCCGGAAGATCTCATCGAGTTCGCGCGATGTGTTGACGTAGGACGGTTCGACGGCCTCCGCTGGGGGGTTGTCTGGCAGTCCGGGGGTCACTGGGCGGTGGGCGAGAGAGGACACGCTCGCGGCAAGGGTCGGGCGGGAAGGCGCGACGTCTTCTTGACGATCGGTCTGCGAAGTCGGGGCGGAGCTCGTCGGATTGAGTTCTTTGACGATAGCCTGTTCGATGGCCGGGCGGACCTTGAAGTTCTTGAGTTGTTTTTTCAAATCCGACTTCGCGGGCCCAGGCGCGTTCCTATGTTTCTGTGAGCTTGTGCGATTTGCGGTAGCGGGGAACTGGCTCGTACTTGAACAGCTCGATGACGGTCGACTTGGCGACATCGCGCACCATGCCGTCAGCATCCTCGAGGAGGTCCATCATGGTGGGGACGTAGGCTCGGAATTGGAGGCCGTGTTCCTGGTGCATCTACACTCTTAGTTAGCGCGATTGTGTACGGGGCAGCGCTGTTCCTGGCCCGTACCTGGAGTAGCCAATGTAGACTGGCCTCCTTTGCCCTCGCGTTCTTGCCGATCATGGCGACGTTGCGCACTGAGCGCTCAACTTCGACCGGTGCCACCTTGTGGAGAGTGACCAAAGCTTGGGAAGCCAGCTGGCGGAACTTTTCTTTCTGGTCACCCAGCTTTTCGGTAATCAGGGGCAGTGCGCGAGTGCCCTCTTTTGACAGAGACCTGGGATCCTGCCTCACCAGCCGGGTGAAGAGGTGATTGAGCGCTGTGAAGCCGGCGTTGACGAGGAGGGCATGTTGGGAGCTAGAGGCCAGATGCAGAGCTTCGAATACCGGTACTATACAGGATTCGGGGACCATCTGCTGCTTGATGCTCGATTTCACAGCCGTGACCTGCTGGACCTTGGTATCGATGGATACATCGGTGCGCAGGAGCGCGATAAGGTCGGCGACCTGGTCGTCGGTGATTCTTTCTGACATTTTCTCCTCAGAAAGAGGATGCCGATGTTGTTGGCGTCAAAATGGTGGTTTCTAACGGAGAGGGGAAAGGGTCAGTTGGTTGGTTGGGTTTTTAATCAGGCTCTCGATCGCACGTTGTAGAAACGGGAAGAAAGAAAACAAAACCGAACGAGTGCGACAGTCGCACACACAAGGATGTCTGAATCGCCACAGACAGAATTGGGAGGGCCGTGTACTAACGATTGGTGAGGATTAGTGCGTATCCACGTGAGATACACAGTTACGTTTGGTCGAGGAAAGAAAAGGGATTGCGGTGGTTAATGGTGATGCTCGTCGTCGCAAATTAGCTCAGGCTCAGGTCAGTTCAAGACATTGGCGGCAGCTTGGTGATTATCAATTGCGGGACAACCCAACCCCTGTCGGAAAGCCGGGGACGGGAAGGTGGGGCCGCCCATCACCTTGACAACCCTCGCTCGCCTCGGCACCCTGGTGCCTGACTGCCCGGAGTCGATTTTGGGGACAAGCCAACCCCGCAACGCCATGGATGCTAACGAATGGTGCCCCGCGTTGCGAAGAAAGAGAAAGGAAGCCTAGCCATCTCCAAGACAACATACCTAACCTATAAATTAACGTTAGAAGGCAACAAAATACAAGTGGTTAAGAAGGGTCGGATTGTGTCAACCTGGAATTTCACCTTCTCCGACCTCGATTTCAACTCGCCCGATTGCAACAGTAGCTACGTGCCTAGCTACCTATCTATCACATGATACTGGTGACAGATCGAGTCCCTGTTTCACAACTCTTGTCGAATCTCTTCTTGTGGTTCCGAGCCGACTGCCTAGTTTATATCTCTCACCAAACTCTTACTTTGACGCAATGACTCTCAAGGAGCAAACAAGTGTCTCCGCTGGGCCCTCAGCCCTTCCCACTCCATCCCCCATTCCGCTGCCTGACCGGACTCGGGATACCGCGGAACCGGGTCCAGAACCGGAAACTGGGTCATCGACAGGGAGTCAATCATTCTCAAAGCCAAAGCTCCGCCTCAAGATTCAAGATCTCGATCATCCCGGCGCATTCAAGTTCCTCAACTCCGTCAACTCTGCCACTGTGCTCTCCTCCGCCGTAAACAACGTCCTGCGGCTCCTCTACAAATCACCCTCAGACAAACACACCACAGTCCCGCCCACCCGCTCCGTAACCCTCATCCTGCGAGACATGGGCGGCGTGGCATACACCACAGGGGTACCGTAACCCCTTTTTTCCCCTCTCTCTCCAACCCTCCCCCCCAAAACACCAACTTGATTCACTTAACTTACACACCGGGCCCCGTGCCCTCACCCCCACCCAAAAGACCGACCTCGACAGCGACCACAAGGAGATCCACTTCTCGCTCAACTACATCAACTCCATCAGCCCGGCCTCGCGGCTCACCCACGAGATCACGGGGGTGCTGACCCACGAGCTGGTGCACTGCTACCAGTGGGACGCCGAGGGCACGTGCCCGGGCGGCCTGATCGAGGGCGTGGCCGACTGGGTGCGGCTGAACTGCGACCTGAGCCCGCCGCATTGGAAGCGGGAGGTGGATGGCGGTATGTTATTGTCATCTTATATCTTTATCGTTGATCTTCATGTTTTGTTCTTTTGGTTTCAGGCGTGCTATCATTGCTATCTCCGTTCTATTTACCCTACCCCCTTGTTCCGTTGAGACAAACCGTATCATCAATATCTAACCACACCCGTCCGTGTCTTCTACCTAGACTGGGATAGGGGCTACCAACACACAGCCTACTTCCTGCAATACCTCGAGCAGCGGTTCGGGGACGGGACGATCCGCCGGCTCAACGACAAGCTGCGGCGGCACAAGTACAAGTGCGAAGCTTTCTGGCCCGAGCTGTTCGGCGAGTCGGTTGAGAAGCTGTATGTGGATTACGTGCAGAAGGAAAAGGAGCGCGACCAAGAGAGCTGCAAATGACCGTCGTAGCTGATGGCGATTTGGATGGGGGAGTATGTGGGCGAGCCAATTTAATTCACAAGCTTATGAAATGGCATCTATTCTGACTTGAGCTCACTATGCAAATACCTATACAAGGTCCCCTTCCTATGTCTGCAGTCAGAGATCCCTTCAAGGCCGTGATATAACGCGCCTCTGTCCGTGGCAGCAGCTGGCTACTTGGGAAAGCACAACTCTCCTATCCTGATGGCCCAAATGCTATGCTATCCCTTCGATACCCTGTCCCTTCCCGATATCCCAGTAACCAGTAACGCCAAAACCAATAAACGCCAGAAAGGTTGGTGGTATCGCACGTAGGCCAGCAAACCCAGAAAACAACAACCCGGGACAGCAGGAGGGCTTAGGCCCGCGCCGCACTCTCGCTCTCGCTGATTACGCTCCCCACCTCGGACCAGCTGCCCGGCGTGTGTACCGCGCCATCCGACTCGCTCATGACGTCATAATCACGGCCATCGGCGACTGAGACGGCATCATTGGCAACGTCCACACCGGACCCAACCATCGACACCGAATCCGTCGGCGTAAGCTGCCCGTGGCTGATGACCTCGGGATCGGAGAGCGGCGCCTGGGGGGTCTCGGGAAGGGGCGAGTAGAAGCCTGTGTTGGACGAGTTGTGGGCCCACGCCTGGATCGAGGCGTAGGCATCGGCGGCAGTGCGGTCGTCCTGTCCGGCGGTCATGTATTCGTCCTCGGCGAGCTCACGGCCAATGGTGGTGCTGCGGGAGGTGGCGGTGGGTGTGGTGGCCCGTGGGGACTCCGTGGCGTCGTCGTTGTCTTCTCCCACGGCTGTGGCGTACTCACTAGGGGCGTTGTGGGACTCAAAGTCGAAAAGGACTTCGCTGGCGACTGGGACAGCCAGGGGCTGGACCGGGATGGGCTGAACGTGGGCAACGGAAGGGGAAAGCACGCGAGGGGTGGCGCCGTAGATGTCCGACATGGCTTCGGCGCGGGCCGGAGGGAGAATGTCGGCACTGTCATCCAGCTCGATGCCGTGCTCGTCGCTGAAGGGGTCGCTCACCATGGCGGCGTTCAGACCCCGTACACCCTCGACGTTGCCCCGGCGGCGGAGGACGTTGGAAGATTCGGCGTCCCAAGCGTCCGCTCCGGTGTTATAAACGAAGGCGCCGCTATCGCCTGTACGGTCCGGTTGGAGGAAGTCGTCGAAGGTTGAGCCACGAGGTCGTTGCCGGACCTCTTGATGGTCTTGCTGTTGCTCCTCGTGGCGGAGGTTCCAGTACATCAACTCCTCCCGCTGCCTCCTCCTCGTTTCCTCGTCGGCATCGACCTCGTGACTCTGATAGAATCCATCGGCGTCTTCAGGGCGATTGAAGCGTGGCTCCCTGTTTGGATCGAAATTGTCGCCGAGGGAGTGGAGGGCGACTGCGATCCGTCGACGGAGGTCTTCGGTTGCGCGGCGGACTTCTGGAATTTCGTAGATGGCGATGGCAGCCGTCACAGCTACCGATGCGACGACGATGCCAACTGAGGCAAGGGCAGCATGGTTAACAGGGGGCATTCTAGGATTTTGAGGCATGGAGGCGGTTATGCAGTGGTAGGTCGGAGCTCAGGATGGTGGTCTGCTTTAAATGTCTTGATGGGTAATGCTCCTCGAAAGCGAAGAAATTAGGAAAACAAGCGACGCTGTTCGCCCAACATTGTTGAGGCGACAAGTCAACCCGTGTTGAGGCCGAGGATTGCGTGTTGTTCACGGGGCCTCGCCACTTCATCAAGCAGGTCGGGCGCCATGATTTGCAACCCATGCGGGGCAGGCAGGGGTTTGGGCATTGTGGAAACACGAATGACAAGTGACAGGAAGCGATCTTCACTCACCTTTGGCTGCGACCGGGACCGGCATTATTGACAGCGTCTTTGGTATACCGAAACCAAAGTTGCTGGTGGAGGTGGTCGGACAGGCGGGGAAGTGTGTTGAAGGAACACAGCGGTAAAGCACAAGAAAGCGTGGGTGCTTGTACCTTTTGTTCCAAGCGCCCTGACCAGGAGCTTACGTAGGCGACAGGCTGCGGGCAAGGCGGACCGTGGCGAGCCCCTCCTTTTGCAAGGGCACGGGGGGCGCCAATTCATCTCATGAAGGCAGTGCTAGGTACGGAAGCTGGGGTAAATGAGGCCTGCAGTTCTCTACCTGAATCGTGTGCGCCAAACTTAAATCCTAATCTAACCCCCACAGGTACGTTGCAAATCAAAAGATATCTGGGGAAACCCTCACATGTTGAGTCGGCTGTTGGAGGACGGAGAAAGGCTGATAGCACAAAAAGCAGCTCAATCTAGACTACCTACAGAGATAATGGTAAGCTATTTCCTCGATGGAGACGAGCTGAAACCCAGCTCAAGCCTTGTACTACTTTCTTTAGTCAAAGAAACGATGCCGCTGCATGGAGAACAAAGACAGATAGCTTCCATAGGGTTAGGGTAACCTAGGCTCGTTTGTTCGATGACGATGACGCCGCTGACAATACCGGTCTCCCTCAGTGCCAAGCTTTGCCACTCCCTGTCTTGGTGACGGAAGAGAACCGAGGAGAACGGAATGCCTCCAAAGGTTCCTCTGAAGACGAAGTGATGGTGGTTCACCTTCGTTTCTCCCACAACAAATACTACAATTGATGGCAAGTTAGATAGCTCATGAAGACTCGATGATGGATTATTATTATGCATATAACCAACAAAAAAGAGTGTCATCACCTCAACTTTTTCGCCCATGTGCCTCAATCAACAAATGACATCAACCGTTTGCAACAATCCAGAATCGAGAGATACAGCCGAGGTGACCATACTACCGATGCACTGGTGCATCTCACACATGTCCCCATGCTGGATTACCAGATTGCCCATGATGCTTGAAGGTAACTAGGTACGAATACCCATCTAGTATCCCCGAGACTCGGGCTATTGAACCGCCGTCTCAGAATCTCGGACATCGGCGTTTAATAACAACCGGAGTCCCAGCTGAAAACCCCTTTACGTGATCGGTGCTGTCAATGGACAAACGGGAGACAGCGAAGCGAGTCCGAAACCCGGTCCAACAGGAACGGCTCACACTGGAGCTTGGCCTCAACCCCACCCACACCTTCGGGTTCGATACGGGCGGAATACGCGGAACGACCTACATGTAATTGCATGTCGAAGAAAACCCGCCCGTTCCGCGGCCACCCACCATCCTGTGGAAGGCGCTATCCCTCGCTAAGCCAGCCAGCTGGAGGGATGCGGTTCCTGTATGTCCGTGCTGTCGTTTGTGGATGAGAAAACGAAGGAGTCCGAAGACGTCGGCGCTCGCTGTCACGTTCGAGAGGGACGAGCCAACCATGTCGCCACGCCGCGCCATTCCACCTCCACCCCAAACCTGCCCAACCAGAGAAAAACAAGCTTTCCGGGCGTTGCCGTCCTGCATGCCATCGCTTGCAGGGGGGTTGGTTCTGTCACCGTTTCAACAGCACCAGAACAACGGGCGAACACGGGAGAGCGAGCAATCTATTTAGAGGTTGCTTGAAATCCCTCATCGTTATAATCATGAAGTATTGTCCCGTCTCATGAAGCAATCTCGTCGAAGAACGCCCGATTCATGATCGCGAAAACCACTTGATAAATAAAAAAGAGAACTCCGGGTTTTGTCCATCCCCGCCTGAAAACACCGAATCGATAAGGGGAAAAAAAAGGAGATGAACCGGAGACAGCCAGGAGAGCGTGGGGAAGCAACTCGCTCGGCATCGCGAAGCCCGAGGGCGGGAGACCCTTACTTGTGTCCGGGTCCACCGGCTGATCCGACTCCACCACATCTGATTACCCAGGTTCGCAAGTTGCTTCCTTTCTCCGCCGCCAGCCGCCGTCCGATCCGTTCCATCCTGCGATCTAACCCTCCTTGGGGCTAAAATGACGTGCCGTACTCCGTTCCGGTAGGGTATATGCGCGAAAATAGGGGGCAGGGCCACATTGTAGATGTCTGGGGTCGTGGTTGTTCTCCTGCCCCGGGAGGGAGGTTCAAGGCCCGGTTACCTTCCCCTTCCTCTTTTGTGATGTTGAGGGGGCCGTTTAGTGCGACGTGGTGCTCGAGTTAGACGACGTCGACGAGGTTGATGACACAGACGACGAAGAGTCGGTGCGCTCGGCCTTGCGCCTCTCGCTGTGAACTCGTTAGCACCTCTGTTATGTTGTCGATGTAGTGAAGAGCAGTCTTACTGGGTAGCGCGGTCGAGCACAGTGCACTCCCACTTGGCGCCGCCGGCCTTGAGATGGAACTTGAGACCCTTACTCTCAAGGGTGGACTTGAGGGCTTCTTGGTGGGCAGGCATTTTGGAGAGGAGTGTTGTGTTGTTGGTTGAGTGGAGAGTGTATAGTTAATGGCCTGGGCCTGAAGGTTTGCAGGACAGAGCGGAAGTGAAGTTTGGAGTGTGATACAAAGAAGTGAATGGTGGAAGGAAGGTCGGGGTTTGGGAGAGGGAATGACGGGGAGGTTATATAGCGAGCCACGAAGCTCAGGGCACGGCACGCGCAAACCGGATCGTCCGCCGCAAAGTCCCAACCGTCGGTGTTACTAGAACGCGGGTGCGCTTTTCTGGAAGGGCAAGCCGGATGTGGGCCGGCCGCAAGTAGGGATGAACCTCATGCACCCGGGAGCCGCTGCCCGAATCGATAATGAGCCATTTCTGAGCACGCTGGATCCCACGCCCGCGCGAACCCCGGTATCCTTGACGTTGCAGTTTCCGTCAGAGCCCCAACCATTGGATCTCTGGAACACCAATCCCGCGCGGAATTCGTCTAAGGGGGAGTATCCCCCCTTGGAAAGGGTGGCATGGGCCTAAGTCGATAACATGGGCGAATCGCGAGGGCTTCCCCGGATAAAGCATCGTGCAGGTACCTGGATCAAGTCGCTCTCAGGCACTAGCCCGAGACTACCACGGATTCAGCAGCCTGGTTTCCACGCGAGACACGGCTCGGAGCAAGATGGATAAGATGGTTGGGCGGGAAGCCGCGTCGAGGTCGGAAAAGGCCGGACCGCACTTGCGTCTGTTCGCCGACCCAGTCCCATGACACCATCGTGTTCAGGACAGCAGCGCAAAAAAAGAGGTTCTACTTTTGACAACCAGAAACACTCCAAGTTTCCGAAGGTTCCAACCCTCGGGGTAACTGCATTGTTCCAGAACCTCCCACGCCAATGGGGAAGCATGCTCGGGGACGCCACAGAAGCCACGCTTCTCCGTTCCCACGCCGCGATGCTGTCCTCGTGCCTTGGGGCTGCTGCACGGTAACGCGGGCTGGATTGTGTCACCCATCTCATTCGCTACAGGGCTTGGCGTCGGTGAACGAAGTGGACAAACGTGCCGCATCCAGCTGCGAAGTCTTCGCGGGATCGACAGTCGACGGCACGTACAAGGAAATACGCAGGCAGTGTAACCGGAGATAATGGAGGGATTGAGTGATTTTTTTTTTTTTGAACTATGCGCATGTTTGTGTCAATAAGTGGTCTCATATTTTGTCTGTTGTGCTCCGTGGTTGTTGCTCGAAGTTGGCAAACTCCAAACGTAAGACTTGTGGTGTGTGCGTGATGAATTTCCCGAAACTGATGTGGGGCCCCAGATCGTTTTGGTTTTAGCGGCTTGTCATCTCAACCCCCAGGGCTGGGATCTAGTCCAATCGCGTGGTTGCTTCCTTCTCGGTTTGGTAATCGGCGGTGAAGCTTGTCCTCTTTGACTTTTGCCCAGACATTCACCACAACGATGTTCGAACTTCAAGTGCTTGCCCAGCCTTCAGACCCAGGTACGAAGACAGGCATGACCATCAACTCCCGGCTCTTTGTACGCCGTTATGATACTGCATACCTAGGTAGGTAGTTACGCGGCAAAGGCGTGCAGATCTTGGCGAGAACAATTCGTATCAGCCTGGAAAGGGAAACATTTTACTTTTCTGATTTGTGGGATGTGAACTTGCTCGGTCTCCCGCTCTGGTTCCTGCACCTCCATCCCGCCGCTACCCCTGCGTGAACGGTCCCACTCCTTGTTTGCTCGTTGGTGGGAGCATCAGCATCACCCTGACGGAGGCAGGATTGCAGAACACGTGTATCATGCTCTCGGGTTTCCGTTCTTCAAGCCTCACATTGGTACATTCTGCGAGTCATTCATTCAGGCACTTTCATCCCATTCTCACGATCAACTTCCCTGTCCCTTGCTGACAACCGAAGTTCAGCCTGCTTTCTCTTACCCCTCAAGATCGGCCCGAGAAAGAGCCCGTCGGTTTTGGATGGCAACCGGGGCAACCCTGATGTAAGTCACCACTTTGGGTTTTCGTCTCGCTTCAACGGATTCTCCGATAAATTGGGCGGGCTGGGCCATCATTTAGTCCCGCACGGGAGGTCGGGGCTCCTCCCGTCTTACCGTACGATTGGGTGTTCTGGAACGGGGCCGAGGACGGGAGGTGTTTCTATCCGGATTACTCTTCAAAGTATGAACAATGGAACCCCGTTCATGCATGCATCGACTGTGGTACAGGTTCCCCATTCCGGGGAAATTCTCCAGGTTTGACACCCACCCCACATGAGAGTGCCTACCGGGGCAGCCACATAAGCGAAGCCTGGTTCTGGCTTTGCTTCCCTTGGGCCACGCACGCAACACTGGACGAGATGTGGACAACGAAGTACGTGATATTAGGTAATTCGACGTTCTTTTTCCGCGCCTGGGGGCCGATGGTGGCGCGAGCCAAGAGATCGAGGAGAAACAAGTGGCTTGGCTCGAGGAAACAGTTGTTCGTGGACCCCCACTTGCAACCGTCGATGATCTGCGATGCTCGATTATTAGCCTTAAAATTGGCCGGCATGGCAAATGGCTTACTGCCGTACATACACAGTATGGTCACCTGAGGCCTATCGAGCCTATCAGCGCTGATGCCGGAATTCATTTGTTGGATAGGGGATTGTCATTTTGCCTTGTAGGTCGTGGGGTGACAAGCAAGTTGGGGGCACAGGACTGGCTGGCGGGCGTGAGGGAGGGAGTGAGATGTGGGACGAATCAAGGCCTGGGAGTTGTAATAGATCCTACTAGGTCTCTCGGTCGCTTTTGGTTTGGGAAATCCAGGACTCTCCCGCTCAGTTCATGAAGCCCGGTCCCTGACCGCAGCCCGGAAGTGCCGTGCAAAATATACCCATGGCTACCGCTTACACGATAGTTGTTGCTCGGAGAAGGTGCCGCCTGAAAGCGCCGGACTGAGCAAACAAACGTGCCCACAACCGGTTGAAAGATCATTACAATCGTCATCGTTAACAACCAGCCAGAATGCTATCGAACGTTGGCCGCAGTACTAGTACAGTCTATACATGGATATCATAGCTTCTCGATGATGGCCGCCGCATACTCGTGCGTCTTCGCCTTGCCGCCCAGGTCGCCAGTCAGAGCCTTGCCCTCGGCCAGCGTGTCAAACGCCGCCTTCTCGATCCGGTCCGCGTACTGGTTGAGGTCCATGTGCCTCAGCATCATCATGGAGCTGAGGAGAAGGGCGGTGGGGTTGGCGAGGCCCTGGCCGGCGATATCAGGGGCGGAGCCGTGGACGGCCTCGAAGATGGAGCACTCGTCACCGATGTTGCCGGAGGGCGTCAGACCCAGGCCACCAATCAGACCGGCGCACATGTCGGAGAGAATGTCGCCGTAGAGGTTGGGCATGACGAGGACCTTGTCGTTGTACGGGAGGGGGTCGGTCGTCATCTTCAGGCAGGTGTTGTCGAGAAGCTCGGCGTCGAACTCGATATCCGGGAACTCCTTGGCGACCCGGTTGCCGACGGAAAGGAAGAGGCCGTCGCTCATCTTCATGATGGTGGCCTTGTGCACAACGCGGACCTTCTTGCGACCAATGGCCCGGGCGTGCTGGAAGGCATACCGCAGGACACGCTCGCTGGCCTCGCGCGTGATGAGCTTGATGCTTTGGACGACGCCATCCACCACAACGTGCTCAATGCCGGAGTACTCGCCCTCGGTGTTTTCGCGGATCAGGACGGTGTCGACGTCGTCGTAGGGCGTCTTGTACCCGGCGACCGACCGGCAGGGACGAAGGTTGGCGAAGAGGTTGAAGGTACGGCGGAGGGTAAGGTTGAGAGAGACGTGTCCCTTGCCGATGGGAGTCTATAACCACCGTTAGAAAGGGCTTCCCGTCAGGACCAGCGATCCGGCGCACGTACGGCAAGGGGGCCCTTCAGGGCGATCTTGTTCCTCTTAATGCTCTCAATCGCGGCATCGGGAATTGCCGTCTTGCCATCCTTGAGGATAGGGTCGACGTTAATGGGCTCCCACTTGATGGGGGTCTGTCTTGTTGTGTCAGCGTCTCTGGGTCGTAGCCTGGCCGGCCTGGGCGGCGCCGGGCGAGCGGAAGCTTGGGACGGACCTTGGCGGCAGCGAAGATGTCCTTGACGGCGACGGCAATCTCGGGGCCAATGCCATCACCCTCGATCAAGCTGACAGTGTAGCGACCCTATAGACAGGTATTAGCCGCATTGCTCATATCGCGGAGCTGTTGTTCCCCCGCGATGTTTGAGTGATTTTCATATGCCAAGCCAACAACAATTGCGGCTGCGCACATGCACTCGGACCTGGGTTGCTGCCTACCTGCGCATCCTTCTTTCCGTTGAATTTGGCGACACGTTCTTGCGACGAGTACAGTCTCTGGTTCTAAAAGGCGCCGCTGTTAGTTTGGGGGATTATTCGTATTGCGCGGGGAGCTGGCGGGAGCTGTCTGGCGCACCTGCAGCGAGAGGGTAACGGCGGCGCGGGGAGCTGCACGCCAGGATTGGCGCTGCACCGGGGCAGCAATCGAGCGGAGGGCCAGCATTTTGACACTGTACTGTAAAGCTGGGTTCCGGTACAAGGTGGTATCGGAGGCTAGAGAGGGCGGAAAATTGGAAAGAACGTCGAGAGGCAACCACTTGGTAGGTCTGCAGAAGAAGGATGTTTTTTTGGCTGCGCGAGGAAAAACTGATCGAATTGCTGCAAATGGAACCAACCTGGAAACCCACAGTTGATGCAGGATTTGGCGACGGCACAACGGCAAGGCCCGTGCAGGGCAAGGATGCGGCTTCGGTTGCCGTCGGTGGCAACAAGACCGAGCCGACGGCCAGAGGGCGGCACTGGCGGGCGGGCCATTACGTAGCCTTGGAGGTGGGTGCCCGACAACAAGGGCCCACAACCTCGCCCGCTTCCAATTTCACCGCCCGAATAACACGGCAGAAACACCCTGCGTCCCAATTGTGCATACGGGCGGTGAAAGGCTGCTGAGACGTCCCTCGATCGGCTTGCCAAGACCCCGCTTGACCCCTGTCCCGTCCACCACCAGCGAGGTTCAGTGCGATAACTCGAGGACAGTTTGTGGGGGATGGCGATAGGAAGGAGAGGCGCATCCGAACGCGAATAATCGATTGAACCCAGCGGCTGGCACCGCACTCTTCACCATGGCCGACCTCGAGCGGACAGTCCTTGACTTTTACCAAATCTCGACACTCAACCCCGTCCAATGGCCGACAGAGAAGGATAACGAAAGCGATGCGTCTGGCGATGAATCGGTCAAGAAGAAGGCCAACAGGAGGAAGTCGAGATACCAAGCTCTGGAGAGGGCTGTGAGCACAAGAAGCAGCATCGTACCGGGATCTGAGAATTCGGGTAGCGGCGTGAGCAACTTGGTGCAGAAGGACGAGCCCGACCCCCTAGGCACGACCGAGAGCGTGGTGCGGACGCTAAAACACCTGGGGGTTCCGCTGCAGGATGACTTGCGGCTTCGTGAGTCTGACCTACCATACCAGAATTACATGGCTGGGCCGGCCAGGGCGATTGACACATAGTTGTGGACAGGCAACCGGTTCCTCCTCTCCTCGACCACCTTCTCGCCTGCGCTGTTCCTCTCCCAGATGCATGCGACAGCCGACACGCAATCCCTGATAAGCGGCCTCGATATTCTTTCCAAGTCAATCGATCAGAAGTCGGCATCCCTCAAGGTGCTGGTGGAATCCAACTTTGAGCGCTTCGTCCGCGCCAAAGCAACCATCGACAATGTCTACAAGGAGATGAAATACCGCGGCGCAGATCCTACACCACCACGTGCCAGGGCTCACTCTCGTCATGCGAGTAGGAGTAGCTTTCGAAGTACCAGCGGCCCTCCGCCCCTCATCAGCCCACACTCGCCGGCGACGGATCCGCGCAAGAAAAATGCGCTAATAAAAGAGAGCGAGTACGGCGTGCTAGGGGTGAAAGCGCCGTTGCTGGACGTTTCGGCAAAAGCGGAGGAAGTCTGGGGCCCTGCTCTGGGAGGGAGAGAAAAAGAGGAGCATCTCAAGACGGTTGCCTCCTCGCTCGACCAGTACAAGGAATACGTGGAGACGAGCGCGGCAATAGCGGATTGCATCAAGCGCAAGGACCACGAAACCCTGGTCGAGGAGTTCACAAAAGCAAGGAAGTTTGCGGACGAGGCAAAGCTGCTGGCCGAGGAGCTCAAATCGTCTCAACCTACCGATGACCAGTTGTACCGGGTTCTGTTGGCAGCACGCATGTGGCATGATGTCGACGAGCAAATCCAGGTTCTCAAACGAGACGTATGGCGAAGGCTCATATCTCCTTACAACATGGCCAAGGCGGAGACACCGGGGCAACGCGAGAACGACCAGCATATGGAGCTGATTACGCTTCTCTTGGAGCTAGGGGTTGAGGACAATCCTATTTGGGTCTGGCTGCTGAGCCGCTACGATTACCTGAAGAGCAAGATCCAATCCACGGCTGAGCGGTCCAAGGTGGAAATTGAGATCCTGCGACGGCGGCTGGCGAACGCCGAGAAGCCGAGTCCCGAGACGATCGCATCGCACATGCGGACGCTAGGGCGACAATCTATCGAGATGATGTCGAAAACATTTGACTCTTCCGACGTTATCGAGCTCTGGGAGATGAACATCAGCTTTCTGAGTAATCTCCTTTCACCCCAGGGTATCCTGGGCGAGGTCCTCGAGTTTTGGCAGACGGTCCAGGGCTTCATTGAGGGCAAGACGCAGAGGAGTATGCCACTTGGGTACCAGGGGGAATCTGAGAACCACCACAGGCTTTCCTTGCAAGGCACGACAGACCTTTCAAAGGGTACCGTGGAGTTGGTCAGTATGATACGCGACAACGTTCTTCTATTTTTCGCCGGCCCGCCGCCCGAGGATATCTCTCTACTATTTTCCCCAATGCCGCCCCAATCCCCGGGGACTCCGGCTGCCGCCTCTGTCTCTGGCTCTCTCACACCACGGGACCCCCGCTTCAACCTCGATCCGAACAATCCACCGCCCCCCTCACCGAAGAGAGGAGAGGCGTGGGAGAAGTTTGCGTTCTGGCCGCCGTGGTCAAACTCTCTGAGTGGCGTGCATTTCTTGTCCAAGATGCTGGCGCTCGTGGGGAGCGGGGCTTCAGATATGGCATCCATCACTCCGGTGGGCAACGGAGATGTCGCTGAAGTAGAGCGGGTCAAGACGCTAGTTGGTGTTTCCAGGGAGAGGTGCGTTACCGCGCTCTGCGCGGCATGGAACAGGGATGCGGAGAACATCAAGTACGTTGAGGACTGGAACCGGTCGCCAGACAGCAGGGACGTGACCAAGATGCCGGCCAGCTTTGCCGCATTCGAGGGCGCGCTTCTCAGCGGCATGCAGAAGATCCTCTACATCTCCGAAGCCATGTCAAGGCCAGGGGCTGGGGATATTGTCCTCCCTCCGCCGACGAAGCTGCTGCAGATGGTGCGGAGCCAATACGTGACCACTCTCTACAAGGCCCTTAGCGGGATGGTCGAGAACGCCGAGCGGTTCCCTAAGAAGGCAGACGATGAGTGGACAGTTGAGGTTGACGGGTACGCGCCAGTGAGCAACCCAACGATCACCCAGCTCTCGGCATCAACACTAGGCGGGGGTACGATAGATGCAGGCGATAGAGTAAGGCCCCTTACACCCCCTTCCCCTTCCCCCCCCCAATAAGCACCTCCCACTAACCCAACCCCCCCAACCTCAGAATGTCCGCATGCTCCTAACCCTCAGCAACCTCCAAGCGCTGCGGTCCACCGTCGTCCCCTCCCTCAACACCCAGTTCGAGAACGCCTTCTCCGTCAAACTCACCGACGAGACCAAAACAATCCGCGACGTGCTCAGCCAGATCGACGCCCGCCTCTTCCAGTCCTACACGCGGCCCGCCATCGACGCTCTGCGGCGCATCATCCGCGCCGGCGTCTCCGCCCCGGACTGGGCACCGCCGCCGGGCACCAAGCCCCGCTCCGTCCGGCCCTACGTCTACGAGGCGCTGCTCAACCTCGTCCTCGTGCACACGCAGGTGTCCACCACGGCGGCCTCGCTCACCAGCGAGGTGCTCTCCTACCTGCTCGAGCAGGGGTCGCGCGAGCTGCTGGACGCGTTCCGCGCCCGCGCGCGCTACGACCTCGAGGCGCTGATGCAGGCGACGCTGGACGTCGAGTTCGTGGCGCAGACGCTGGGCCACTACACGACGGACCGGGCGTCGGAGCTGCAGAGCGCCGTCTACCAGGAGCTCGACGGCCGCACCGACAACGACGCCCGCGCCCGCCTGCAGGCCGAGCTGCCCGAGATGCGCGCCGTGCTCAAGCGCCTGCGCGAGGCGAGCAAGGGGGAGTTTGCCTGCTTCCGGAAGCCCAAGCGGGCTGGCGCTGGGGGTGGGGGTGCGTCTTCCTCTGCGCCCGGGCCTGGCGCGCTGGAGAGGAGGGATACGGGGGGTAGCGTGGGCAGTGATCGGGATAGGTGATTCAGGTAGCTAGCCTCAGGCGGGTTACTTTGGTTTGGGTTCGTCATTTTCAGGCTTCTAGCACGCTTCATTTGAGGAGACTTTTGTGATTTGTAAAGGATTGTCGTTGGTAGTTTTCAGAAACCAGAAATAATCCGCTGGCGACCGCTCGGTTGTCCGAGTCCGCCGTGGGGTATTTTATCTATCATTTGAAAAGCAAATCCATTCTCTCCAGAGACCGTCCAGAGTGTCTTTTTTCCCGACAGTTTCTCAACCAACACTGCCCTCTCCGCTCATCAACAAAACACGAGGGGGGCGCATTATATCATTAGTGAAGCCATTGCTGCACTTTGGGGGTCTCCGACGTCGGAGAACCTCATAATCGTACATGGCGTATGCAGTCATAAGCCATGGGTCGTCGCGGTCTAAGATGCCGCGGTCGGTCCCACAGCCAGAATCGAAGTCGAAGAGGAAGAGCTTGGTGCTCTTAAGCTATTGACAACAAGGATCGACTCGATCAGGAATCCGAGCTGGGAAGAAGAAGTGTTGAGCAGAACAAGAGCTCGAATGAGCGGGAATCGGTGGGTGAAAAGGTAGGGCGTTCCTGCTTTGCCTTGACCTGGGCGACTGCGATGGGACTTGGTTAGATGATGACACAGAGACGTAGGGTCTACGATGATGGGAACTCACAGTCAAGGTTGATTGCCTCGAAATACTCTCTGATGGCCGGGGTTTCCTCCTCGGTAACCAGTTTCCCGTCAATCTCCCGGCGCGTGGTCCGGGGGAGGGCTTTCCGAATGCCTAGGAGCATGTGCAAAAGGTTCGCAATCACATAGCCTTGCTGCGCAAAACTGACCGGCTCCTTCTCGAGCGGCCAGAGATGTCGCAGGTTTTCCTGCTCCCATGCCTTGAAGGCCCAGCTGGATTTCTCAACGCAGTTCAGCAGGATCAGGACGGCAAAGTACATGTTGAAGTCGATCTTGACTTTGCTGTCTTGGAGAACGCGCTGCATTCCGGTGAGAAGGGCCTTGCTGGTAGCTGCGGCCTTCCTCTCGGCTGCGGCTGCGAGCTGAAGACAGATGGTATTGAAAAGCTCTCCGTCCGTGTCTTCCTTGATTGATTTAGCCGGGGTGTCCTCGGCCCAAGTTTTGGCGTTGATGGTCCATTGCCGCTCGCGGTCCAGGATCTCTACGAGACCCCACAGCTCAAGCGACTTCTTGAGCAACTCGTCATTCGTCTTGCTCGCGACGTCGACAGCAGTTTGTAGCGTGACTTGCATGAAGTGTGAGGGCTCTCGCTTGATCATGTCGGGCAGAATCTCACGCATGTAGGTCTCAACTCTGGCGGGCGCGTCCTGGTTGTCATTGTCGAGCATGACAATGGGATACGACGACGGCCTGTCGTCCACAATGGCCGCGTCGACAAGTTTTCCCTCGGGGTCTCGATCGGAATCACGCTGCAGCACCTGGAGCTGAAGGCGCGGGCCGCAATCCGGGAAATGGCAGGCCTCGATCAGAACACCGTGGCTACCGAGAGTCATGGTTTGCTTGATCGAGTTGACTCGGGCTTGGGCAAGTACTATTTGCACCCCGGCCGAGTACAGATCCAACTGCTCTGAAAACTTTGTGCGAACGCACCCCGAGCGCCAGACCCGGGGAGACAGGACCTTCCGGCAGGTGTCACAGGGCGAGCCTTGGGAGCAGGTCTTTCTGAGAACTCGGCAACGAATACAGGCGCCAATTTTCCGGACCTCCTGGACCTCCTTCCGCCTGGTCGCGTTGAACCGGGCCCTCGAGTGGCGGGACTTGGCACCGTTGGGGCCGCCATCCAAGCGGAAAACACCCTTACCAAGGGGGGCTGTTGTGGTCTGCATGGGGCTGTTGTTGTTTACGGTGGCCTGGAAAGTCTCGGTCGCATATGTGAGCTCACCCCAAGGCGGGGGCACATTCGGTGTCGCCATCGCGCTTGGTGTTGACATGGCATTTGGTGTCGGCATTGCGCTTGGAGTGGGCATCGCCGTATGGGCCGCAGGGGTGCTTGGGGTTGCTGGGCGCTCATCTGTTCCGTTCATGTCGGCCATCGGGAGGCTATTTACTACAGCAGCGGCGGTGGCAGCAGCATCGGCGCTAGCGGTCGCAGCGTCGGCGGCTGCTGCGGCCTCTTCGCCCAGTATCTCGGGGTCGAGGAATGCGGGATGCAAACGCGCAGCGGCGGCGGCGGCCATGGTTATGTTTGCCGAATCTGCCTGGCCATCTTCGGCGCGCAGGATTTCCTGGAGACGCTCTTCCGCCGTCGGTGCCCGGTTTGTCTCTTCTGGCTGGGGTTCGCCTACATGACCCGTCAACTCGACGCCTATGTATCGCCTTGCTACTAATTAATTACGTACCCTTCACAGGCTGAAATGTGCTGTTATCCTGGTGCAACGGCGGGTTCTCGATGATGAACTGCTCTTGCAGCTCAAAGCGGTCCGCGGGCTGCCCACCGGGTGACGAAGGCCCTTGTTGGGCCGCGCCATTGGGTTGGCCGCGGTCGTCATTCTTCTCGTTCAGGTCGATCTGTCGCGATACTTCGGCGAGGACTCCGAGGGCGGTCCAGTCGCGTTGTTGAATCATGGGCAAGTCGACCGAAGACACGTTGGCCTGGGCACGCGCCTGGGCCTGCTGGGTCTGCTGAAATCGCTGGGAGGCATGGCTCATGCCCGAAAGAGCTAAGAGGGCGCTGACTCGCTCCGACTCGGAAATGGCAGGACATTTCTTAGTCAAGTGGCCCGTCAAGCTGTCGAGTCGACCACGAGGGAAGTGCTCTCCGCATCTGCGAAAGAAAAGTGATTTGATTAGCGATCGGATTCAGCGACTCGCGGAAACGGAAACAAGCGGTGGGAATGGAGCCCGGTTACGGGGACAGAGGGAGTAACGGGGCAACGAGACAACGAGATAACGAAACAACACGGAAACAGCAAAAGAGGAAAACAACAAAAGGGCAAAAGACCAAAAGAGCGGTGGCTCACGCTTTACATGTGTGGGGATAGCGATTGCTTTGATCCTGCAGCTTCGGGCCCCGCTCGAAATACTGCAAGATGAGTGCATTCGGCCGTCTCCCCATTGTTGTGATCAGAATCCCGAGTGTCGCATCGACAGTTCGGGAGCTGTGCGGTGAGTATGTCTCTGTTGAGGTGCCGGGGGGGGAGGGGTCTGGAAATGTGAAAATACTGCCGGCTTAATTTGGCGGTCAGTCAATCATGTCGTCTCGTCGTCAGGGTCGTTCTGGCTATGCGGTGGGTCTGTCCTCCTCACGTGAGTGGTCGGAGTGGTCGGAGTTCAACGAACTTGAACTCGAAAGCGGCTCGAGAGCGGGTCCCGGGTGCCCGGCTGCCTGGTGCCTGGCACCTGTGCATCTGGGCATCCCAGCCATCGTGCTGTCAATTACCAGCCCGACGCGGGAAAAGTGGTCCTCTTTGTGTTGCATGTTTTCATAACTATTGTTCGCCGCTTACGAAGGAGAAAACGGTGAGAAACTGCACTCTGCCAACCGACGAAGGAACTCCCCTCGCAGCCTCGCCACTTCATTACACTCTTTTTCAATGATTACTGTGTATGTTAGATTACCTCCGGGTATCACCTGCAGTGGGCCAATATCTTTGGGCACATTCACTCGCACGAATCGTCGTCGCCCACCTTCAAATACTGGCGCGTGCTTTGTACCAATGCGGAATGTTGTCGGCTGAGCTTGATGAAGTGCCAGTGGCCAACATCCAACATTGGTTCAAACTCTCTGCGATCCATCGTCGCTGCAGCATGTGACAAACCAAGCCAAGCACCAACCAGCCAAGAGAATTAAGCTTTGATAAACTGGCTCGAGCGCCTCGGACTCCCGCCTCCCGGGTTCCTCTTCTACCAACTAAACCTCGAATTGGGTGGATTGTGTAACTTCGCACCAGGTCCAGCCTACGCTCAGAAGTGCAATCATCCTTGCGTACGCGTTTCGTCTGTTCCTTCGACACATCCCCATCCTTGCCAACTCGAGGCACCACCCGAAGCAACCGAGATCAGTCGACAACTTCTTTTATCTCTCCGCCGGTCTCTCTCCTTTTCGAAGGGCAACTCCAAACCAAACAGGCACAAAAACGCTGACCGCAGTGACGTAACTCCCTACCATGTCCAACATGGGATAAACGCTCCGCCCGCGGCACCATCGGCCCCACCAAAGGAAGCACCCCCAAGCCCGAACCTTGGATGCATTCGATTGTCTCTCTGTCCGATCATTACTCTCGCCGGCCCCGATGCTGGCACTGTTCTCGGCACATGAACCCCTGACATTTCCATTACATGTCCACGATGCTGCTCCTCCACCAAACCGGCAGCGTCAAGATCGGCGAAGTAATCCGTTACACCGTGACTTACACGCCCTCGGCCGACCACATCCTCCCGTCCCCCGAGTTCCTATACCTACGCATCAAGAACACTTGCGCAATTGCCCTCCGCGCCGCCTTTGTCCACGGACCCTACACTCTCGGAGTCGCCGCGTATCCATCGACATTTAAACCCTTCGAAAAGTTCGAGAATCCCCGTCGCTATGGCGTACCCGAATTCGAACCCATGCTCAAGGCTGGCGCTGTGTGGAATTGCCATTTGGTTGTGCCCGACAATATCCGCCAGAGTGCCGGCGAGGGCAGTAGCAAACATGGACACTTCGGGGGCGGGCCCGAGCATGATGGGGATACTGTAACGTGGGTGGTTGAGGTCTCCTCCCAAGTCGTCTTTTCCGCCTCGGCGTCGGTGCACTATGAAATATTGCTGGCGCGCGATGAGAAGTCGTTAAATCTCGGCTCCGTGGTGCCCGTCATAGGGAACCAGGCACAAGTTCCCCAGCCGGGCCGCGTCAGCGACTTCCAACAGAGCTCTAGCTCGTCGAAACACCACCCGGCTCAGTCGAAGGGCGTCTTCTCCAAAGCCATACACCTCAAGGTGGAGGACACCGCGGCTTTATGGAACACTCCACAGATTCCAGGCTGGGATGATAATGGATGGCTCCGAGCTAGGGAAACGGAGGATTCCCACCCTCCGATTGAACCCGGCGCGGAAAGTGGGAACTGCGACGAGGAAAGGCGGCAAACGAAGCAGAAGCAGAGAAAGGTTCATCTGGTTGTGCTCACCCACGGGTTGCACAGCAATCTCGGCGGCGATATGCTGTTCATCAAGGAGAGCATAGATGCGACCGTGAAGCAAGCGAGGATTGACGCAAAGGCACGCAAAGCAAGGGAGCGAGCGGCGAGGAAGAGCGCATGCACAGAAGCTGATACATCAGGTGATGCTTCCGAAAAAGGCAGCCAGACCACTCCTCCTACTCCTGGCCAGGGGATAGAAGCCAGCGGGGACACTTCGGACCAACAAGGAAATTCCGACGGGAAAGAAGACCTCGCCGATGACGATTACGAGGAGGGGGAGGAGGAGGAGGAGGAGGAGGAGGACGTCATTGTGCGCGGCTTCTCTGGAAATGCGGCAAAAACGGAAAAGGGTATCAAATGGCTGGGCAAACGGCTTGCCAGGTACATCTTATCCATGACCTACCCGGATCAGCCATGCTTGCCTACCGCCAAAGCCGCTTCGGATGCCATTACCCACTCGCTCAAAACAGGCGCACAGAAGAAAGCCATCGAGGAGGCACATAAGCATAGCTCCGTCCACCAGGCGACGTCTCCGGGGGGCAAGCGGCTGTACAAATTTACCAAGATCAGCTTCATCGCCCATTCTCTTGGTGGCTTGGTGCAAACGTACGCCGTTGCGTACATCCAAAAGCACTCGCCGCAGTTTTTTGACTTGATTGAACCCGTCAACTTCATTGCGCTGGCATCACCATTTTTAGGACTCAACCATGAGAATCCGCTCTACGTCAAGTTTGCGCTAGACTTTGGCCTGGTGGGAAGGACAGGTCAAGATCTCGGGTTGACCTGGAGAGCGCCAACCATCGCACGGAACGGATGGGGCGCGCTCATGGGGAACCTCGGAGAGCATGCCCACAAGCGCGTGTATGGGGAGCACCAGGCCGAGTCCAAGCCGCTCCTCCGGATCCTGCCCACGGGTCCGGCCCACAAGGCACTCAAGAAGTTCCGGAACAGAACAGTCTACTCCAACGTGGTCAATGACGGCATCGTGCCGCTTCGGACAAGCTGTCTTCTCTTCCTCGACTGGCAGGGGCTTGGGCGGGTCGAAAAGGCTCGGCGAGAGGCAGGTCTGGTGGAAACCGTCGTTGGGTTTGGCTGGGCCGAGCTGACAGGAGCCAACGTCACGACTCCCAGGCTCGCACCTTGGTCGCCGGAAGACAGAGATGATTCTGGCGGGACGGGAAAGACAACCCCCACCAGCCATGGAGACTCTCACCAGGTCCCTCAACCGCCGACCAACGCGATGCTAGAAGATGACCGGCAGAGTCTTAGGTCGATTACTAGCCCATACCGAGAATCACCCTCGGAATTCCAGCATCTTCAGAGCTCAAGCACGACCACGTCGAACCCTCTCTCTGGGTTTTTCAATTTCTTCCGCAGCGAGACGCCGAAACCGGTGCCCCCGGCGTCTCCCAAGGTAACTAAGATTTACCAGCGGAGCCAGACGCTCAAGCCAGACCAGTGGTCCGCTTTGGATTCCGCCTCCCAGTCTAGCTCTCGAGTGACGACCGGGAGCGAGCTCACGGACGAGCAAGAGAACATGTCGGCACCTCCAAGAACGACCATCTTCGAGTCCGCTGGCGACCTGCTCAACCCGAAACTACCCCCGATGGAATTTATCATCGACCCATCCAAACGTCCCCGGACCATCTTCCACGACCGCGTCTATCATCCGACCGACATCCCTTTACCGCCCATCAAGGAGCGCTCTTCCAGCCCATTGACCTTACGGCGGCGAACACCCACGATAAACTCGTCCAAAACCAGCCAAAGCGAGACCTCCTCGCCACCTTCTAACAAACCAGTCGAAGATAAAGACAGTGCCGCCTCCCAGCAGCCCGAAAAGCCCCAGCAGTCCCCAAAGTCCCAGCAATCCCAAAAGCCCCAACCGCCCCAAACCCCCAAACAAACGACCATCTCAGTCAACGACGAACCCCTACCAGCCCAGATCCCCTCCCTCAACACCCCGCCCGACGCCCCCGCGGAGCAGGTCATCGACCTCGACATCGACAGCTCGCAGATGCGGGTTGAGGAAAAGATCGCGCGCGCCTACCACCGCGGCCTGTCGTGGCGCAAGGTCCTGGTCAAGCTGGAGCCGGACGCGCACAACAACATCGTCGTGCGCCGCACCTTTGCCAACGCCTTCGGCTGGCCCGTCATCCAGCACCTCGTCGACGCCCACTTCTCCGACGCCGCCACCGCCCGCCGCCCCGACGCCGACGAGCCCGACGCCGAGCGCGCCAGGTCGGTCGGCCGGGCGCCTGGCGCGGACGGCCGCGAGACGAAGGGCACCGTGCGAGGTGTGGATGCGGCCGGGGAGGGGGTTAGTGTCAGCGGTGATGCGGCGAGAAAGGAAGAAGATGGCGAGGAGGACGGGAACGGCGAGGAGGGCGACACGGTGCCCGAGCTGCTGCCGCGGAGCCCGAAACGGTCGCCGTCGCTGGCGCCGAGCGCCGCCACCGCCGCCGCCGCCGCCAGCAGCAGTAGTAGTAGTAACATGCTGGGCGTGTACTCGTCGCCGTCGTCGTCGGTGTCGGATACGCAGGCGGCGGGCGGTGGCGGCGGCGGTCGCACGCCGACTACGCCGCGCCCGACGCTGGATCGGCTCGATTCGGTGACGTGGAGTGAGCGTGATTGGATGGATAGTGAGAATGAGAGTGATGAGGGAGGTGTGGCGGGTGGGAGGGGTGGGAGGAAGGAGGGTGGTGGTAATGGTGGTGGTGGTGGTAGTAGCAGTGGGGGAAGCAAGGGGAAAGGGGGCGGCGGGTTGGGCGTTCCCCTTGCCGGCGGCGAGCGGAGTTCGAGCCCGTTGAATTGGAACTGGACCGAGAAGATTGTCGGAAAGGGTGGGGCAGGGCGGTCGAAGTCGCCGGCTGGCAGTGGTGCTAGTTCTGCTGCGAAGAAGAAGAAGGACGTGTGAGAGTGTTCATATCGTGTGGCTTGTTTGGTACGGTCGGGATGTTGGCTGGCGCACGGTTTGTTTGCTGGGCTGGTTGTCGCCTCTTTGAGAAGATGGATAGAGTAAGATAGAGGTGTACACATCGAAGTTGGTTGTTATTTTATCTACTAATTGTTCAAAGCGAGATTCGTTAATACAGATTCAACCCCTTTTTACAAAATGCAGTTTGCTACTTTGCTCTCACACCAGCACCTCTTATTTTCTTTTCTCCACTCAAGTCCATCCTTCCTTCTTCCCCTACTTCCTTCTCGTTTCCTCTCATACCTCACTTTCTTCCCATGTGGTTGAATCCGCGAGCCTGTTGACAAGACCCAGCACCGCGAGCGTTAAACCAATCAACCAATCAAGGGCGTGTGGCTCAGTTGGTAGAGCGTTCGCTTAGCATACTTCGGTGTATGCGAAAGGTCCTGGGTTCGATTCCCAGCTCGTCCACAGATTATCTTTTGCCGTCCTGCCGGATCACTTTTTGTCGTCTCACCACGGAAGCCAGTGGCTCAGTTCAGCACCCGATGCCCATTACGCTCGGTCCTTTGTCTCGTTGGTGTTCTTCTTTTTCGGCGCCGCCCTTTTGCAGCCAACCGGCGAGGAGAAAGAGGGACGGCCCGGAGGCATCCGGTCACGCAATCGTGGTGTGGCCGACCACGGCAGCGATGCGGGGCGAGGTCAGTCTTGAATGGGACAGTGGGGGTACCCACCAACAAGAGAACCGGGGAACGCAGACAGGGTGCCGTTGGTGCTTGGACCAGGGTTACGTCAGGATCCTTTTCCCGTTCATGTGTGATTCGAGAAGTGTCCGGCCTCCTCTCGGACGTCGTCAATGATATTACGGGAAGCGGTTTGTTCGGGGTAGCATCCGTAAGGGAAACTCCTCAGGGCTCGGGAACGCGGGCTGTTGTGTTTCCCACCTCGCATCTGAAGCGCCTGAGAGAGAGAGTGAAAGTGAGTTGACCGTTGACCGCTACTTGGAACATCGTTCATCGGAGACAAACACCCCTTGTATTTGTTTGTCTCGCGGAACGGACCGTGCTTCGCTGTCAACGTTTTCTGTCCTCTGTTACTTGGCCACAGGGCAGGTTCCCGTTGTCAAAACTGCAAGCTTAGCTGGCGCATTAATTGCTTCGGTGTGCTCGGTGCTGGCTGCTCCTCCCCCAATTCTCTCCGGGTTGCGGGGCCCGCCAGATCAGTTCGGGGTTCTCAAGGTCGGAGGGGAAGGGTGTGGTGGGGATTCGGGGAGACATGCAGGCGCGATCGCAGCTGTCTCGTCCAATGAGCACGACTCCGTGTCCGGCGAAATTCTGCCTCTCAGGGTGCTCCTTCTGTCTCCCCTTGCGCACTGTGCATGTAAAAGCAGCCGTTGCCCCGCGGCGATCTCTCTTTTCCATTACATTCCAGGTTCTCGTCAGTTTGTCGAGTCGTCTCTTTTTCTTCTCTGTTGTTCTTCTTCTCTTTCCCACTTCTCCAGTCTCGTGTCCGCACCCCCCGGAGCATCACCGGCCGGACTCCAAGGGCATCACGGCTCACAGGTGGAGAGGTGTAGACGCTGCTTCCTTGTCGCCCCCCAGGGAGTGAGCGAGTGTTGAGCTGCCCTCCGAGATTGTTAACCACGTATGACAATTTCCATCTATTCGGCTTCCTCTCCCATCGATTGCACCCTCCGTGATCTGTTTGCTGCGGCCCGGTGAATCTGGTCTGGCCCCCGGATGACTCCCACCGTACTGTACTGCCTTTGTTCCCGCTTCAGCTGCTTCCCTAGACGTCTCAATTGTCCCGAATTCTTAAAGTTTTAAGGACCGAAAAAGAGCGACAACAAGCTAACGAAAACAACCCTCTCCTCAGCAGCAGCCGTATCCATTCCGCCGATTCCCCGTCATAGTTAAAACATCTCGTCATCATGCACATCCGGGAGATGCTGGCGGAAGCCGAGAGGACCGGCAACCCGTCCTTCTCGTTCGAATACTTCCCGCCCAAGACGGCCCAAGGTGTACAGAACCTCTACGACCGCATGGAGCGCATGTACAACTTCGGCCCCAAGTTTGTCGACATCACCTGGGGAGCTGGCGGTCGCATTGCCGAGTTGACGTGCGAGATGGTGGCCCAGGCGCAGACCTACCTGGGGCTCGAAGCGTGTATGCACCTTACATGCACCGACATGGGCGAGGACAAGGTCAACGATGCGCTTCGGAAGGCTTACAAGGCCGGCTGCACCAACATCCTGGCCCTCAGGGGGGACCCGCCACGCGAACATGAGAAGTGGGAGGCTACTGAGGGCGGCTTCCAGTATGCCCGGGACCTCGTGGCCCACATCCGCAAGACATACGGCAACCACTTCGACATTGGCGTGGCCGGCTACCCGGAGGGTTGTGACGACAACAAGGACGAGGAATCGCTGCTCGACCACTTGAAGGAGAAAGTCGATATGGGCGCTACGTTCATCGTCACCCAGATGTTCTACGATGCCGACAATTTCATCCGCTGGGTCGGAAAGGTCCGTGAGCGCGGCATTACCGTGCCCATCGTGCCTGGCATCATGCCCATCGCCACCTATGCCAGCTTCTTGCGTCGCGCGAACCATATGAATTGCAAGGTGCCCGAGGATTGGATGGCGAAGCTCGAATCGGTCAAGAATGACGATGTGGCAGTCCGTGATATCGGCAAGACGCTGGTTGCCGACATGTGCCGGAAGATCCTCACCGCTGGAATTCGTCACCTGCATTTCTACACCATGAACCTCGCTCAGGCAACCCGGATGGTCCTGGAAGAGTTGGACTGGATGCCGTCGCCAGACCGCCCGCTCAAGCAGGCGCTCCCTTGGAAGCAATCTCTGGGCTTTGGGCGTCGCGACGAGGACGTTCGACCTATTTTCTGGCGCAACCGCAACAAGTCGTACGTCGCGCGCACACAGGATTGGGATGAGTTCCCCAACGGCCGCTGGGGTGATTCGAGGTCCCCCGCCTTCGGCGAGCTGGATGCCTACGGCGTTGGCTTGACTGGCAGTAACGAACAAAACCGCAAGAAGTGGGGTGAGCCGACCTGCATTCAGGACATTGCCAACCTCTTTGTCCGCTACCTGAACAAGGAGATCGACTACCTTCCCTGGAGCGAGGCACCGGTGGCCGAGGAAGCCGACCTCATCAGGGACGACCTAATCGAGTTGAACAACCGTGGTCTTATCACTGTGAACTCACAGCCGGCCGTCAACGGCGTCAAATCAACCCACCCAATCCACGGCTGGGGGCCTGCGAACGGCTACGTCTATCAGAAGGCCTACCTCGAGATGCTTATCTCGCCCGAGCTCTTCCCGCAAATCAAGCGCCGTATCGAGGATCATCCTGATCTGACCTACCACGCGGTGACCAAGTCCGGCAACCTTCATACCAACGCGCAATTCGAGGGACCCAATGCTGTCACCTGGGGTGTGTTCCCTGGCAAGGAAATCGTCCAGCCCACCATCGTGGAGAGGATCAGTTTCCTCGCTTGGAAGGACGAGGCATTCCAGTTGGGCATGGAATGGGCTCGCTGCTACGAGACCGGCACGCCAAGCCGTTCCATCTTGGACGAGGTCATGAACACCTGGTACTTGGTGAATATTGGTAAGATGACCCGTAAAGCCTGATGCCTAGGATCACCAAAACTAACATACATGCAGTTAATAACGATTTCCACCGTGGCGAAACCATCTTCGAGGTCCTCAAGGGTCTCGAGGCCCCTGGTCTAGACAAGGTCCCAGAACCTCAAGCGAATGGCGCCACGAATGGCGCTACAAACGGCGCCCCCAACGGCGTCGAGGCATAAACGTAATGCCTCATGACTCGTCTTTCGGCCATGCTGGACCGCTCAACTTGGCCAGCCAACCGATGACGAATATTTCTTCAACACTTTGCATGGCCGCAATCCATTTCAACCTCCCAACTTGCACACACACAATCACTTTTAATATTCAACTATCCATCTATCCATCCGCAGCCTGGAGCGAGACGGGACCGGGCCGAGGGAATGACGCATTTAACGACGCACGCAACTTTCGGCATTATTTAACATACAGCATGCATATGGGAAGGCGTTTTCGAGTGGACGGGCGAGCAAAACAAAATGCGCATCACGGGGCATGGGCATTTCTTCCCCAGGTCGGGTCTTGATTTTTCAACAAAAAAGGAAAGGCAGGCGGTGTTGGAATAGGCTGGATGGATTTCAATCATCAACTGGTACACATAAGAGGACTGGGCCGGCAGGAAGGAGGTGGTTGGCGGTGGAGGAGTAGACGGTCCAACCCGGTTTTCATGCATCACCGAGATCTCAACGATACCCAGGGGAAACTTAGGCAGGATTTGGTTCAAGTACGTTTGGCTGCCTTCTTGTGTAGGGCGGCCAAACTTGCAACTTCAACAGTAGTTGATACGGAGAGACAATATGAGGACCTTGCAGTACGCAGAGGATGAGGTGCTAGGCGAGTGACATCCAACGTGAATTGGTAGCAATAGGTCGCAAACGATCTGTTCTGCTCGTCTATAGTCCCAGGCAACTGTGATTTATTTGTCACCTGGCACTGTACACAGTTGAAATGCACTCAATGTCAACCACCCAAGCAATGGCTGTTTTAGTTGTCATTCCGTTCCTCTACCAAGCCCGAGTGCAGACCCATCCCATACCCGCTCTGTTTTTTTGTAACCGTAACATGCAACTCCTGGGCGAAGCCCCTAACAACCGGGAAGCCCAGACTCCTCTCTCTCTGAGCATCAGACCAAGTATCTCACAAGTAAAAGATATCTATTACACAGCCAATGGCCCACTTCCCGTCACGCTCCTTGTTATAACCCCTTGGAACCCCACGCCCATGGCTATTCCCCCCCGGCCCCCAGCATGCCTCTGACCCAACCCAACCCGACTCACTCATCGACACCAGCACCAGCACCAGCACCAACAGCGGCGATCACACCACCGAACCGCACCGAGCCAAACCCCAGCCCCAGCCACACCCCACGGAGCCCGTCAACCACCACCCATTCAAGCTGGGCCCGAGACGCCCGGTAGGTAGGTATCACTAATACCCCCACTGCTCCTCGTCGGCCTCATAGTCCATCTGATCGCGCTGCTGCTGGTCGTTATGGTGGTGATGGCCGTGGTGATGATGCTGATCGTCGTCGCCCGACGGCCGCTCCAGCGTGATATGCACGTCCTTATCGCTGCTATCGACTCCTGCTGCTGCGGCCGCCGTCGCGGCGTCATGATCTCCGTCTTCGTCCCCGCTCTCGCGGTCGTGGTCGTGGTCGTGGTCGTGGTCGTTGGAGGGTGAGGTTGTGGTGGTGGTGGTTGTTTGCTCGTGTTTTCTGTCAGCGCTGGTGCCGTTCCGGCCTTGGGCGGCTGCGCCGAGGTGTCGGGAGGTTGAGGAGGGGGTTGGGCCGTTGGCGCCGGGGGTGGTGGGCACGGAGCCTGAGGCGCCGTTGGAGCCGGCCCAGGAGAGGTCGAGCTGGGAGGGGGCGTTGAGGCCGGGGATTTCTTTGTTGGCGAGGAGGACCGAGTTGAAGAATTTCTCGGCGGTTTTACGGTCTTTAAAAGTAATCTCGGCCGAGGTGGGGGTTGTTTGGATGTCGGTGAACTCACCGATGCCCTGGGGATTGTGTTAGTTACGGGGGTGGAAGGGCTAACGGGCTGCTAATGGGACTTACAAAGAGGTATTGCCGCAATGTCTCGTCCTTATCGGATGCGGTAAAATCCACTCCGGTGAGGATTACCTTCTTGGGGCGGTTATCGAGTGAATAGGCAGCGTATGCGGCGTGGACGTCGGCCCGGCCGCGGTAGTTGCCCCGGTGCGACCCGCGCGGCGGGTACGGCGATGCCGATCCTCGCCAGTTACCTCTACCCCGTCCGCCGTAACCACCTCTAGGGGGCCACGGTGAGGGGGCGTCGATGGCGTCGGGATCGAGACCCATTTGCCGTGCCTCGGCCTCGAGCGCCTCTAGCTGCGCTCGGAGGGCCTCGCTCTGGCTTATGGGCTTTTTGGATTCGCTTTCGCCGTCGTCGGATTTGATGCCGTTGTGGCCTCCGAGTTTGGCCTCCAGCTTCGCCTTCTCCTCCACCTGCTTCGCTATAAGCTCCTTCTGCCGCTTCTCGAGCTCCTCACGCTGGCGTTCCAGTTCCTCTCTCTTCTTGGTCTTCTCCTCGAACGCCTTTTGCTTCTCTTCTTGCTGCTTAGTGAACTCTTCCACGTCTACCTCGGATTTGGGGCCAGCATCGTGATCGTCAACCGTGGATAAGCCATTCGTGTGCCGTGGCTTCTTCGCACCTTGCGCACCTCCCGCGAAGGGTGTCGAGTTCGGTTGTTTCGACCCCTCATCTTTGTGCCAGAAGACCTTGACAAACCGGTTATCAAACATGACCTTCGGGGATTGGTAAGCTGCGTTGGCGGAGTTCCAGCTGTCGAATTTCACAATAGCCAGCCTCTTGTATGGTTGCATGGAAACTTCCAGGATATTTCCGAACTGGGAAAAGAAGTCCTTGACTTGGTCTTCGGTAAAATTATCCTCTGGGATGTTTTCCACCACTATTGTCGACTTTGTCCGATCGAAAACTGGTCCGTCTGCAGAGAATGGCGCTCTCTCGCCCCGTCTCTGACGGTTCTGATGCTTGCCACCCCTGTGTCTCGGTTGCTGGCCGAAGTCGGGCATCGGTGGCTGCCCCTGAAAAGGGCCCGGTGCGCCGAAGAGATCGGGCATGAGAGCATTGGAAGGGTCATACTCTGCGTGCTGGTTAGCGGCCTTCGCGCCCCGAACCATGGAGGTTTTCGTCATACCTTCTACTGGCGGAGGTTGTGGCAGCGCCTGCATACCGCCGAACGGGGCCCCAGGCAGAGGAGGATAACCCGGGTCGTTGCTATGCGCAAACATGCAGTTTGTCCCGCGCGGGCAATACCCCTTTTTCTCCCAATCGCGGCACTTCTTTCTCTTCTTGGGGGGGAATTGGCCTCGCAACATTTCGGGCATGGGATGGCTGGCGGCTAAGCTCAGTCCGAACATGGCATCCATCGCGCCCTTGGGGTCAAAATACCCAACTGTTGCCGGGCCGGGAGGACCTTGCGGTGGTAATTGTCCCGGCATAGGGTACGGGGCCATACCTGGCGCGCCGCCTCCGAAGGTATTCATATCCTCGGGTCGGGGCCCTCGACCTCCTCGCCTGGGCTGCTTGAATGCCCTCGCACCAAACCCAGGATCCCTCCCGTTCTGCGCCATTGGGTCGTCCCAGTCGGTATACCCTCGCTTTTTCGACCCATTTTGAAAGCGCGGCGGGTACGCCGGGGCTGCGCCCATCGAGTCGTCATCATAGTACAAATTCGGGGGGAATTGGCCGGTAGCGCTGGGGGCTGGCAGGGCAACATGCTTCGGAGGCGGGGGAGGGGCGCCCGGTAGGTAGGATCGGTAGGCAAGTGCTTCGAAGACGTCGTTTACAAAAACGGGCGAGTCTGTAACAAGGGGCCGGTCAGTTGGGAAGCTTGGAGGGGCACATAGCCGCTGTTGAGGAATCGCCCACCTTCTTTGAGGAAGTCGGGTATTTCCTCCTCGCAAAGCCTGCGCACGTCGTTGATGTCACCATCGTGGCGTAAGAGAGCTAGGACATAGTCGGCGAGCACATCGGGGTCGGCGTCAGATCTGATGCGAACAAAGTCCGGAGGTTAGCAGGACGGACTATTCTGTACAAGGCGCATGCATCACGAGAAAAGGCAAAAAAAGGGAAAAGACGGACGTATTCTCAAGTCGTGTAACGATCCATTTCTTCAAATGAGCAGTGTGCTCCTCCGGGAATAGCATTTCGGTTGATTCTTTTATCTGTCGATATTTCCATGGGATGTATTATGGTGGAAGGAGAGTTTTGCTTTCGAGGTCGAGAGTTTGGCTAGAATCGCACCGCTTTGTCAAATGTGTTCGGGCAATCAATGCGCGACCTCGACTTCCTCACGTAATTATTTGCAGGTCGCGTCATGAAGAGCAGGGGTGCGCCGACTTACATACACAGTACTTGTACAGATCTGTATATTACACCTTTCTTTGGTTATATTGTGACGAGCCGAGCACTGCTGGTGTAAATAACGTTACGTGATACACGATATAATTACCGCGCCACCCTTTCTCTTTCTTAGTATCCGATTCTACAAGTTTGACATGGACAACTACATACACAAGTACATACTAGTACATTTATACAACGTACAGCGGCCACTGCCACTGTTCTCAATCATACACACTCCCCTTACAACCCACATCCTATCACTGACCATCTTTCAACGCATTGACGATATCCTCCTCCGACAGGTCCTCCTTCCCCTTTTTCACCTGCGCCTGCGCCGGGTCTCCCGCATTCAAGAAGCCGGTCTCGGACCAGACCTGATTCGGACGGGGCGTCCTCTTCTTCTTCTCATCGGTCCTGACCAACCGGCCACCCTTCCACGTGGCTTCATCCTCCTCGCCCTCCCCTTCCCGCTTCTCCGCCGCGCCCTCCTCGCCGCCCTCTTCCTCGCCACCCTCTTCCGCACCCTCATCGGCCTCCAGCTCCGACACCTCCTCGAGACCCTTGCTCTTGGCCTCCCCAAAGATGCTCGCCTCGAGGCGCGAGCCGGAGCGGTGCATGGTGGTGACGGCGCGGACGGTCTTGGGGCAGCTCTCGTTGATGTACTGGAACTGGCGGCTGGCCTCGCGCGACCAGAGCATCATCTGCTCGAGGTCCATGTACTCCTTGGCGAGGACGAGCAGGGTGTGGGCGATGGGCCGCGGCCGGTGCGGGTTGGTGCCGGCGCGCCGCAGCTCCAGCGGCACCTGGTTCTTCACCTGGCCCTCGGCGCGCACCGCGTACCAGCCGGCCCACTGCGGCATCAGCACGTTCTCGCACACGGCGAAGGCCTCGCGCCACTTCTTCAGCCGCGCCAGCGCCTGCACGTGGTAGTTCCAGTTCTTGCTGTCCAGGTCGAACCCGCGCCGCCGGACCGTGGCCACCAGGGCGAGCAGGCCCTCCGGGTTCCTCTCCTCGAGGTACAGACGCTGCATGGTCTTGAGCGGGTCGCACAGGCGGAAGCGCTGCGCGTAGACGACCGGCTTGGAGGGGTCTTCCGGGTCGTCGTACTCGTCCGGGTTGAGGTGGGACGAGGCGGGCTGGTAGCGCTTGCTGGTACGCTTCAGGATGAGGGCCCACGTCTCGTGGACGCGGGCGTACTTCTTCTCGAAGAAGTCGGCGAGCATGATCTGGTGGAGGAGTTTGAGCGGGAGGGTCTCCTGGGACGAGCGCGCGGGGTAGCGAGTATTGTGGAGGTGGATGAGCTGCTGCACCGTGGCGTGCTCGCGCATCTGCGTCAGGATAAAGATCACCTTGGAATAGAGACTGATGACGGAACGGATGTCGTCCGGTGCGCCCTGGTCCTCTCGCTCCATGGCCTTGTAGAAATCGCGGAGAATCCTTTTCAGAAAGTGCTCGGCGCCGACGCCGCGCCGCTTGCTGGAGGGCAGTTGCTGCCATCTCCCCAGCGCGTCGATAACTTTGGTCATGCGCATGGCCGATTGCGGGAAGTTCATTTGGTTCATCAGCTCGTTGGTCTTGAGTGTCATGTGTGGTTCACCGCTGTTGATGAAGGCCGCCATCAGGAGCACGAAGTGGTCGGCCGTAGGCTCAAACACGCCTTCGCGGTTGGCGACTCGGAGCAGATGCATGGCGTGATGCGACTGACGGGCGTAGAGCAGGGCGAGGAGGAGATGACTGTATGTTTCCTGGTTATAAACGATTCCTTGCGACGACATAAACTCGAGCAGCCGATTGACCGTGCTCAAGTCCCGCCGCCTCGCGTTGTGTTGGAGGAGCGTATTCCAGAGCAAGGTATAACTGCCAGGTATCTCCCGTCTCTTGGTTGCGCTTATGCAGAGTTTCTCGGCCTCGGCGAAACGGTCATTCTGGCAGTATGCCTCAACCAACGACCTCGCCATCGCTATAGTTGGCTGCACGTTGCGGTCCTTCGCGAGCTGAAATAGCTCGAGCGTGAATTGTAAATCGCCGCGGAAGCCAGCCATGCCCATCATGGTTCCAAAAGTGTAATGGTCCGGTTCGAGTTCGTCGCAAATGTATGAGAAGAGCTCAATAGCGCCCTTGTAGTCTCCGGCCTTGGTGTAGGCGTTCATCAAGATGTTCCACTGCTTGATCACTGGTGCCTCGCCAGTCCTGTCGGCAGCATCCATCATGACCTGGCGGGCGGTTTCAGGATCACCCCTGACGGCATGGGCCTGCATGAGTGTGTGGATGAACCTTGGCTCATCCTCGGGTTTAAGGTCGAAGAGCTTGGTATATTCGTCGACCAGCCGCATGATGGACTTGATATCGCCGCGTCCACTATAGAAAGCCATGAACTTATGGTATGCCCTCTGGTCCAACTGGCCATAACCACGGTACCAGTCCTCGAGCAGCTGTTCCATTCCCACAACGTTGAATGGGAAAAAGACGTCAATCAGAACCCGCAGAACGGATTCGTCCACGCGCACGCCAGGAAGCGCCCTGTATTTTCTGTACAAATCAGTGGCAAGCCGCTTCCGGTCCTGCTCCGCGCTGGAAATGATGAAGCGCTCATAAGACCGCGGATCCTCGGCGCGGTGGAGCATAAAAACAACGTCGGACGCCCGGAACAACTCCAGCGAGTGTCTAACGAGATGCTTCAGAAAGGAGTCGACAAGGGCAGTGCGCTGAGACATGGTCTCGGGGTTGTTCTCGAGGAACTTGTACAGCTCCTTCACTTTGGCCTCAAAGTCTGCCGTCGCCGCCAGAGTCGGGAAGGCCCCCGGCAATGGTGTTTGAGGCTGTTCGACCCCTGAATCGGAATCCTGTGGTTCTGTTGGCTCGCCTGTTGGCCGGGACGATGTTTCGGACTCCTGCACAGTCGATGTTTCGGTCCCTGAGCCAACATGTCGTACTTGCGAGGAACTTTCGGCGGCTTGCGTATCCGTTTCTTGCGTATCCGTTACTTGCGCAGTCGTTGGTTCAGGGTCAGAACCGAGACTGGCGAGCTTCGTCGGCTCAGCCCCTTGCTCTATCCCCTGTCCTTCTGGAGACTCTCCAGTCTCTCCAGCCTCTCCAGTCTCTCCAGTCTCTCCCATCTCCCGAGTGGGCGGCGCGTACACCGGTTCCTCTTCACCCTTGATGCTCAAGTAGAGCTCCCAAGCCTCGAGAACGAGGTTCCACGACGACAGCTCGAATCCGTAGGCGGCGATATAATCTAATGCCCCACCAAAGCCACGCTGTTCCATGGCAGTCCTGAAAATCGCCATGGCCTCGGGAACCTTATGCAGCGTGAGCTGCGCCTTGACTGCCGCGCGGACAAGGTCCTCGGTCCAGTCTTCGACTTGATACTTGGCGAATAAATCGTTGACTCTCCATGCCTCGATCGGGCGGGTCGATGCCGAGATGGCGAGCAGCACGTCCGTTGTGAAATCGTCCTTCAAGGTCGGATCGAGTTTCATGTAGTGCTGGAAGATCTGATCGTAAGCTCCGGCGCGGTTCGAGTATAGCAGCCTTCGCAACAGGCCAGGAGCCGTAAAGAACGCGTTCTCCTCAGCATCTCCGGCCGCGATCCCGTGGTCGTGGTCTGGCACTTCCTCAAAATCCTCCTCTGCTACCTCTTCTGCCTCTTCTATACTGGCGGACTCATCGGCAGCGGCTTGCGGTTTCGACGGCTGGTCGGATCGACGGGAGGCGGCGGATGTGAAGAGGCGCGACATGTGGGTTCGTGGTCTGGATGCGGACTCGAGACGCACTGGATGAATCGGATATGGCCTCCGCAAGAGCGCAGCGGTTCCGCTGGGGTATAGGAAGTCGAGAAGGAGGCCAGATGCCGTCATGACCTCGGCTCTCTGGTGGGGTTTCGCTGGCGTCGCGGGGTTCTTCGACTCGGCCGGGACCTGGCGCATGAGGGCCTGGCACGCATCGATGAACTCGGTTTCGGTAGCACCATGGTAAAATAAGGCAGTGTGAAGCTTGCGGCGGCTTTGCAAACAGGACCTGGTCGAGGGAAGAGCTCGTTGGAGGCTGCTGCTGCACGGCTCTATGCTCGTCGCGGTCCTCTCCAGCATGGCGCTGGAAGATACGACAAGATGGCGACGGTGCATTCGATCCCAAAAACAACTCAAAAAGGTGGACCGTATTACCGCCGCATGATCCGCACCGATCTCGAGGTAGCTGCCGTGTCGTCGACGAGATGAACCTGGAGGAAATATACAAGTCCGCCGAGGGTCATAGTGGACCTGCAGGAATATTCGGGTGGTGTTGGAACCCGCAATCCCGCAATAATGGGACGGAGAGCGGCAGGTGTTATGTCAGGGAGGGAAAGGGAGGTACCTGGTAGAGGGGAAGTTGATGTAGGTCCCTCGTGAGTTAGTTGCCGTCCCGAAAAAGTAACCAAGAAATTTTGGGTCCCGGCCGGCACTCGGTGGTGGAGCTTGCACCGGGCTCCGGCGGGGGGTAACGACAAAATCGCACCCTGGCCAGCGTCTGGCCGAAGGTGGGATGAACTAACTAACCCCAACCCTGTCCCTTCTTTGCCTTCCATTGCAGCGGGGGATGAATCGACCAAAAAACAAGAGCCCCACATTCTCGAGCTCTGTGGTGTTTGAAGCCGAAGCACACGACAAGGAATCCACCACCGCTCGAGAAACGTCACCCATCCCCCTCGCAAGCTACCATGGATATCACCAAATTTGTGGTTTCCTTAAGGGAGAAGGCGCTGTTGTACGGTGACTACTCGACATACTGGTCGCAGCTGTCGGGCAAGCTGCTCAACTGTCGCAAGAAACTCAACATTGCGACCAAGAGCCGCGGGAAATTCAACCCCAAAGCGCCCGTCACTCCCGAACAGATCGCCGAGAACCATGAGTATGCTATTGCGGTACTTTATTTTATTTTTGGTTGCAGTTGGCTAACCGCACCCGCGCCCCAGATACGTTTACCTCCAGCTGCTGACGGCCGAGCGGACATGGGCCCACGCCATGTCCATGAAGGCCTCCCACACGGCCGACACCAAGGGCATGACGGGCAAAGCTCGCTCGCACATTGTATCGAGGCTCGAAAAAGGCGCCCGCACCGCTGAGCGGCTGGCCCAGGCTCTGTCGTCGAGCGCGAGTGGTGCATCCCCCACCGACACCCTCGATGCCCGTGCCTACGCCGCTCTGCTCAGGGGGGCGGCCCTGTTTGAGAAGCAGAGCTGGGAGGCGTGTCTGAAGAGCTACGCGGTATGCCGCATCATTTATAGCGCGCTTGCCACTTCTGTGAAGGGCGACGTCTTCAAAGATCTGCTCTCCGAGACCATCGACCCCTCCAGCCGTTACGCCGCATACCAGGCCAAGATCCCACGCACGCAACCCATCCCTACGATTGCCCGCAAAGCCTTCGAGTCCGCCGATCCCGAACTAGCCGACCAGATCAAGCAACTGAACCCCACCGTTCTTGAACATGGTGACCCCGATGCGACGAAGGGGGCTGAGGGAGCTCCGACCACCCTGACATGGCGGGGCAGAGAAGTCAAGATCGAGGACGCCGCGATCGCTGTCGCATGGGCTGCAGTGGGGACGGCGAGAGGCCAACTGGCTGAGAAGTTGGCAACCGCAGGGGCGCTCCATCCAAAGGACATGGCCGCGGCCTATGACGAGATTCTGATCGCCAGTCAGGACGCCGTCGACGCTACTAAACAAGCCATGGATGAGCTCAGAGCCGAAGGCGTCACACAGGGCGATGCGCGCATGCAGAGCCTACAAATTACGCGGACAGCTGTGGGCTACGAAATGATTAGCTGGCGGATTGGCCGCAACAGGGTGCTGGTGGGCGAGAATGATGGTGTGAAGATGGAATTTGGGCCCACCTCACGGAGGAAAAAGCAGATGGAAGAGTCAGAAGCAGACAGAAGCAGGGATGAAGCACCGGGCCGGCATATCGCGAGGCTAAAGGAGAAAGTCGTCTTGTACGACGGCATCTTGCAGAGTCTGGAGTCCATCAAGGAGCTTCCCGGCGTCGCCAACGATCAAGACCTGTCTGGGCGGTTAGAGGCGACGTCGCAGTACTTTACTGCCCTCAAGTATGTTTCCTCCCTCCTATCCTACCCTCCCCCCCCCGCAGGCAACTAACTAAGCCCCTCAAGATCCCTCGCCATCGCCCGTTCCCACGCCATCGCCGGCAACGTCGTCAACTCCCTCGCCCTAACCAAGCACGCCCTCAACCAAACCACCGCCGCCACCCCCTCGCTCTCGGGGCCCCAAAACGACGACGCCAACGACGCCTTCACCCCGCGCAACATCCAAGTCATCAAGCACGACCTCACCCTCCTGCACGAAACCCTAACCGGCGAGGTGCAGCGCGGCCGCGCGCTCGTCGAGATCTCCAACTCGACCAACACCAACACACCAGCCCAGCCCACCACCACCACCGCCACCGCCAAGCCGCCGCTGTCCACCCGCCTGACCGACTACCCGTCCGGCGGCGTCGACCTCGACAACATCGTGACCTACCCACCGCGCCTCGAGCCCTTCCCCGTCAAGCCGCTGTTCCTGGACGTCGCCTGGAACTACATCACCTACCCGGGCAAGGGCGGCGGTGAGCAGCAGCAGCCGCAGCAACAGCCGGCAAGTGGTGCTGGCCAGGGTGCTGGTGAGGTGCAGCATGAGGAGGAGGAGCAGGCTGGCGGTGCGGCGGAGTCCGAGGCAAAGCCGCAGAAGAGGGGGTGGTTTGGGTTTGGGCGGTCTTGAGTGGGAGGGGGAGGGGTGACAGTTGCCTAAAAGGGTGGGGGGGTTAAAAAGAGGTATAGATGGGGTGAATACAAAAACTAAGTACCTCCAGCACGGCACCAAACGAAGGGCTGGTTATTTGCATTGCTGCTTGTAGACATGCCTAGGCTTGTGCAAGTTTTTAGCTTCATAGTCCGACGACGGAGGCCAACTTAGCACCGTTTACGGTTCAACAAACCTGCCAGATTCTTGATATTCTCACGAATATCCGTGTGACCTGACGCCCTAGTGCATAAACATGGGACATTTCCGAAGAAGGCCGGCACAAAACTCAAAATGAGGGGGGATTTGGAATATATTTGCTCTCGTGGGCGTGTATTTAATGATACACGCATGCACCGCTATCCAGCCCCCGTCCGATTCCTGCCCATCATCAAAAATCGTGAGATGACCCTGCCCAAGAACGCAGCAGTTTTTATGCTCAGTAACGCCATCCGCCGTCTGCATTAAACATTTGGATAGCCCCCATGAGCCTCCAACACAAGATATGAGTACACTGAATATACACTGAAAGCCGCTCCGACCGACTCAGACACATGCGATAAAATCAAAATATAGGGGGGGTATAGGCGTCCATGTGGAGGGGACGCATTTAAGCCTTGGGCTCATCCTTCTTCTCGCCTTCGGCGTTCTGGGCCGGCTCGCCAGACTCGGCACGCGCCTTGTGCATCTTGTCGAAGAGGTTCAGGCTGGCAACCTGGAGCTCATCCGTCTTCTCCTTGATCTCGGCAGAAGTGGCAGCGGTCTCGCCGGACTGGGCCTTGGCGACGAACTCGCGCAGAGAAGTGATCTTCTCGCGGATCTGTTCGGCCTCGGTCTTGTCGAGCTTGTCGGCATACTCGTTCAGAGCCTTCTCCGTGTCGTTGACAACGCTGTCGGCACGGTTGGCAGTCTCGATGACGGCCTTGCGCTCCTTGTCCGACTCAGCGTACTTCTCCGACTCCTCAACCATCTGCTGGATCTCGGAGTCAGACAGACCCGAGCCGGAGGCAATGGTGATGGACTGGTCCTTGTTGGTGGACTTGTCCTTGGCGTGGACGTGAACGATGGAGTCGGCGTCGATGTCGAAGGTGACCTCAACCTGGGGCACACCACGGTGCGCAGGGGGGATGCCGACGAGCTGGAAGTTTCCGAGAAGCTTGTTGTCCCGGACGAGCTCACGCTCACCCTGGTAGACCTTGATCTCGACGGCGGTCTGGAAGTCGGCAGCGGTGGAGAAGACCTGCGACTTCTTGGTGGGGATGGTGGTGTTGCGGTTGATCAGGCGAGTGAAGACACCGCCGAGGGTCTCGATACCGAGAGACAGGGGGGTAACATCGAGCAGCAGGAGGTCCTTGACCTCACCAGAGAGAACGGCACCCTGGACGGCCGCGCCAATGGCAACAGCCTCGTCAGGGTTGACAGACTTGGCCGGGTCACGGCCGAAGATGCTCTTGACCGACTCCGAGACCTTGGGCATACGGGTCATACCACCAACAAGGATAACCTCCTGGATGTCCTTGGCCTGGAGGCTAGCATCCTTCAGGGCCTTGCGGACGGGCTCGATGGTCTTGCTGATGAGGGGGTCGACCATGGCCTCGAGCTGAGCGCGGGTGAGCTTGGAGTTGATGTGCTTGGGTCCGCCAGAGTCGGCAGTAATGAAGGGCAGGTTGATGTCGGTCTGGAGGGACGACGACAGCTCAATCTTGGCCTTCTCGGCGGCCTCACGGATTCTCTGGATGGCCATGCGGTCACCTGAGAGGTCGATGCCAGAGTCCTTCTTGAATTGCTGGACGAAGTGGCGGACGAGGTGGATATCGAAGTCCTCACCACCGAGATGGGTGTCACCGTTGGTCGACTTGACCTCGAAGACGCCGTTCTGGATCTCGAGGATCGAGATATCGAATGTGCCACCACCAAGATCGTAGACGGCGACGACGCGGTCAGCCTCCTTCTCAAGACCGTAAGCGAGGGCGGCAGCGGTGGGCTCGTTAACGACACGGAGGACGTTCAGGCCGGAAATCTGACCAGCATCCTTGGTGGCCTGACGCTGGGAGTCGTTGAAGTAGGCGGGGACAGTGACGACGGCGTTCTTGATGGGTTTGCTGAGGTAAGCCTCGGCAGTCTCCTTCATCTTGTTGAGGACGAAGCCACCAATCTGGGATGGCGAGTACTTCTGGCCGCGAGACTCTACCCAGGCATCGCCGTTGGTGTGCTGGACGATCTTGTAGGGCACCTCCTTGATGTCACGCTGCACCTCGGCGTCGGTGAACTTGCGTCCAATTAACCGCTTGGTGGCGAAGAGCGTGTTCTCGGGGTTGACGACGGCTTGACGCTTGGCAGCGACACCGACGAGGCGCTCGCCGTCCTCCGCGAAGGCAACGACTGAAGGAGTAGTACGGGCACCCTCGGCGTTCTCGATGATCTTGGGGGCCTTGCCCTCCATGATGGCAACGGCAGAGTTGGTTGTGCCTAACAATCACCGCATGTGAGTCCCATGATCGATCCGTGACGTAGCCGGCCGCAACTTACCGAGATCGATACCGATGACAGATCCCTTGACCTTCTCCTCTGTGGATTCGAACCGCGCGAACGCGGGAGTCCTTCGGAGCAAACCCGCCGAGCGGGAAGCTACTGAGGATGCCCTGGGAAGCTATATACACCTGTCAGCCCAAGATCAAACAAAGCATGCAACCCCTCATGCTCGAGGTCGGAACTTACGGCACGAGAAAGGCGTGTTGCCATCATTGTGAAAGAAGCTAATTAAAAGGAAAATAACACCCTTCTCTCAGTAGGATGGTAAATCACAACGAAAGCAGACGACGGGTGGATGGGGTGGTGGAATTGATGGAGATTGAGGGAAGAAAGTCGGAGACGGCAAGTCTTCTTTAAAAACTATGGCGAAAAAAATTTCAGAGCACTCAACCTGGAAATTTCGAGAACCATTGGTTTGCTAACATGTGGGGGGGCATGTGCACAGACCAATCAGTCACAGCAAAAAACTTGAAGCTGGCAATCGCGCAAAGCCGCGCTTTCGCCAACAAATGCCAAAGCCGGGGAAAGGCGAGTGAGTATCCACGTGATGCAAACCAGGATAACTCCAACGGCTTTGCCGGTCCAGCAGGGTTCTTTCGGCGGCGCAGATGTGCATAACGTTACAGCAGTGAGGTCGTTGGCTCTGGTGCCAATGCTTTCGAGGAGGTTTATCGCTGTTGGTGAGATTTTATGGCGGTCTGCATACGTTACAACTCGGTCAACATCTGTCGAACATTTGCGGAGAAAGTATGAAATAATGGTGACGAGTGCTTCGTTTCTTTTACATCTTTTTACTTGGTAATGCTGCATCTCGGCTCGCCTCCCAACTTAAAAGTCGAAGCTCTTCTCCACCTTTTTCCGCAGTGACGACCATGTCCTGACACTCCCGCTTCATTGTCTCCGGTGCTCTTTCATCCGGCTCCCGAATACCCTGAAATACAGCGAATTCTTCCGGATGATAAATCACCTTTGAAGGCGGCTTTGTCTTCTTTAGGAATCTCGAGTATCGTCAACACGCAACTGCAGCATCGCCCCCGAGGCGATTCTTGATGGTCGCATCGCGCTGACCTCCGACGCCAAGACATCGGCACAATGGCCGTCTCAAGCAACCTGTACGGTTCCCGACTCACCCACAGACCCAAGGTACCTGGACAATCGTCATGCATCCTGGCGGCTGACATGGTCTGATCGCGTAGATATACCCCGACCGAGGACCTAATTTCAACAAGTCCTCGCCGACGCTTCGATACCGGGGTCCGTTGGCAGTACGTCTAACCAAACACCAAGCCAAGGGTGGCTTCCGCCATCTCTTCCTTGCGCGTTGCGTCATGTGTCTTCGTCGACTAATCCCCTGCCATTAGGCATTGGCAGTTACGATCGCTTATCGGCACCGATGGCCAACACTTCGTTTACTTCCCGGTACCCGGCAGCGATAACCGAAGTTGCTCGATCCAGAGGCTGAACGCCAAAACGCGAGAGACAGAGACGATCAAACGATTACATTTCAATCCGAGGTGTCTAGTAGCACGGAATGGCTGGGTCTGCTGCGGAGGCGAGGCAGGTTTATTCAGTGCATTCCGGGTGGGCGAGCGAAATCCGCGGGACGGAACCGAGAGGGGACCCGACCTCCAAGCCGACGACCGTCTTCCACTCTCTCTCGACATCTTGGACGCCACGACATCGGCACTTGCAGAGACCCGCGCTGAAAAGAACCTGGTGGCGCAAAGTACTGGCTTCGGAAAGGACCGAGTGAACTGCATCACCCTCTGGTTTCCCCCGACTCTGGTTGAGTCATCCGAAGGAGCGTACGACCAGGGCGTTGCGGTTCTAGCCCACAACGACAGCTCGGTCGTTGTGGTGAGCCTTCGGGATCAGGTGGTGCTGGATAAGATCACATATCCGGATTATATGAACCGAGGGGTAATCTCCCCAGACGGGCGGCTACTCGTCGCTATCAGTGACGACCCTTACTTGTACATCCACGAAAGGAAAGAGAAGAAGGCTGAAAGTGGCACATCCGCTCGAGCCGCTGACCGTTCCGGGTACGAATGGAGTTCATGCGGGAAAATCCAGCTCAAGAGTCAGAGCAAAGACGATCGCTCTGATAACAGGTTCAGACCACCCATAACTAACCATCGTGTGTCAAATCGCTGACCATTAACAGAGGGAGTTTTGCGGCGTGTTTCTCCAGCACGGGCCAATACCTCGCCGTGGGAACCCAGTACGGGACCATCTCGATATTCGACGTTGCTGCCCTCACCATATCGGGAGCAGATGCGTTGATGACGGCGTTTAGCGCCTCGCGGCCGAATGCGGAATTCGGCGCCGTGAGAGACATGGCATTCTCTCCCGGCCCAGTCGATCTCCTGGCCTGGACTGAGGATCGAGGCCGTGTGGGTGTTGCCGATATCCGTGCCGGCTTCGATTCTCGCCAGATCCTTTATCTCGACAAGGATAATGATTTCGAGGGCCTAACGGTGATCGACCGAGGAACTATTGATCCCCGTCTCCTGGAACAGCGGGCTGAGCGAAATGAGCTGCCATCAGTCAGCTTTCCGGCCGCTGCAGATTCCTCGACAGAGAACCAGGCAACTCGTGCGTCAGAAGAACAAGCGATCTTGTCACGATACAACATCCCTCTGACAGCGGAAGAAACGGGTGTTTTGGAGGCGATTCAAGACTTCCGCCGACGCCAGGACCAGTACAACTCGGCGGCGGCGGCAGCGGACCATCGGCCACGCACAGAAAGCGGTGGCGGTAACAACAATGGCAATAGCAACAGCGGTGGCGCTAGTGGCTCCGCCGCTGGCTCAAGGCCACCACCGTGGGCGGACAGAGCGGGGCGCGTGGCCGAAAGCGTTCGTGGAGAGCGTACCGCGAGCGTGTCGCGCACCGTGATCGAGATCTTGGAAAACATCCGCGACCAGAGAGAGCGGATTCGGGATACGCACGAGCGTCTGCGGACGCGGGAGGACAACACTGCTGAGAGACGCCGGTATGCAGCCAGCCCCCTTTCTGGACTTAGTACGACCGTGGGGACCGCGGGATCCGGGCCCGGGGCCGGGGCCGGCGGACGAGGCCCGTTGGTCTCGCGGCTCCTGGCACACACTGCAAATCCCGCTTCCCCGGCCAGCTGGGACAACGTCGAGGCTTTGTACGACCCCTCACCCAGTGGGAACGTGCCTCGCGAAACCGTGCCCTCGAGGACTGTTGACTCTGAGGCCTCTGCTAACCCGGTGCGGCGGTATAGAGCGGCTTATCTCATGCGCGAGTGGGATGAGAACCCGACCCGGCGAACGCTCGGGACGTACATGACTGCCCACTCGCGACCTGGGCCATACGACACGGCCGGTTTGTCGTGGAACGAGAACGGGCATAGTCTGTAAGTCGACACCTTGGTCTCGCCCTGCTTCAGTGTGAAGGAACCGTCTAATATCCCTGCCAGGTTCGTCGGTGCCGAGAGTGGTATTTACGAGTTCCACGTTAATCTATTTGGACGGAGACTCTCTCCGAGCATCACTTTTAGTTAAAGTTTGATTTGGGGGGGGTGCGTATAGGGTAAACATTGCATGGAAAAGGCGTTATGGTGTTTTGGTAATCGTGGATGGCCGAGACTGTCACTAGCTCAGGTATCTCCGGGGTCTGTCTGTCGACTGGATATGGCGATGCTTTTTCGAGGATCAAAACTCGCGGTTTGGCTTGAATTGCCTGGGTTGGCCTAATCATAACATAATAGGCCCGGTATGCGGATGCGGCAACAAGGACAACTCGCTTGCCCGCGCTCTTCATCAACTAGGTAGCCGTCAACTTAGCGGAGCGCGGCCGTATAATTGTACTCGTTCATGTATACAAAAGTTTTCTCACCCTTTCTGCTATGGCCAGGCAGCTCGTGAGCCCGGGGCTCTCGATGTTCAGGAGGTTGATCCACCCCTGATAACCCTCCTCCTTCTGGATCACAAAATCCACGAACCCCTTCCCCTGTGCTACAGCGCCCTGCTTCCCCAGCTTCGGCCTTATCCCCGCGTAGTCGGGCTGCAGTTGCGTCTCGTCCAGCCCCGGGAGATACTTCTTCACCTCCGCCACCGTCTGCGCCAAACGCGACTCGTTCACGGCCAAGTCATCGGGCGAATCAACCCACTCAACATCCGGCCCAAACTTGATCCGCCCTCCCAAGTCCAGCGTCAAATGCGTCCCTAGCCCCGCATGGCCCGGCTCCGGCGCGGGATACACCAGCGTGCTCACGCTGGGACTCGACGCCCCGTACGAGAAGTAATTCCCCTTGGCATAAAACATCTCCCTCCGCTTCTCGGGCGGCACAATCATATTATTCACCGCCACCGCCCCCAGCCCAGCCGAGTTAACAATCGTCTCCGCCGTCACCCTGGACACCTCCCCGGAAGCCACATCCCTCACCGTCAACTCCCACCCGCCACTCCCATCCCCACCCAGCGGCACCACCCCCTCCACCGCACTCCCCAGCGCCAGCGTCCCACCGGAATCCTCAAACTGCCCCAGCAAGCACAGCATCAACGCATGGCTATCCACGATCCCCGTCGTCGGGCTCTCCAACACCCCCCGCTCGGCGCGCACGGCGGGCTCCCTCCGCGCCGCCTCCTCGCGCCCGACCCAGCGCACGGGCACGTGCAGCTCGGTGGTGCAGAAGTCGTGCAGGCGCTGCAGCGCCGCGCGCTGGCCGTCGGTCTGCGCGACGATCCACTTGCCCGTGCGCCGGTGCGGGATGTGGTGGGTGGAGCAGAGGTTGTAGAGCAGGGCTTTGCCCTGCAGGCAGAGGGCGGTCTTGAGGGAGTTGGCGCCGTAGTACAGGCCCGCGTGGATTACTTCGCTGTTGCGCGAGGAGGTTTCCGTGCCGATTGCGGCGTGGCGTTCGAGGAGGAGGGTTGTGCTGTTGTTGTTACTAGGGGAAGAGGGGGAGGAGGAGGCGCGCTGGGCGAGGGATTGTGCGATGGCGAGGCCGACTACCCCGCCGCCTATTACTGCGTGGGTGAAGTCTGCCGCTGGCTTGGAGAGGTGGGGTGTGGTTTGGGAGAAGGGCCGGGCGGTGAGGGTGGTGGCATGTTGTGGACGGAGGGAGAGGGACAGCCTTGGACTGAGACCGGGACGCATCCTGGGCCGAGGCTGCTTGAAAGCAAGCAAGGGCGGATTTGGAAATCACGAGGGTCGAGATCCTTGGTAGAGAAGGCGGCTGTCTCCTGACCGACTAAATCCGTTCCGGGTGGCTGGTAAAGGGCCTGACCCGGGGTCTTGGTCGGTCTGGAATGGTGTGGTGGTGCATGTGTGCGGTGTGCAGAGGTAGTTGCAGGTTACAGTTTCACGTTTGTGTCCTTTGTGAACGGTGTGGGACTCTTCTGTACTGTGTACAGGGACTTCCTCACTCACTCATTACAGGGGTGTGAATGAATGACAGATTCAACAAGAGAATGAACGGCCCACCAACGAAAAGGAAGACAGATTCAACAAAAGGAGATAAAAATAATTAGAAACAGGAACTTAGATTTGGTCTAGAATTCTCATGAAATTAGCCTCACAACGATGTCTCCCATTTTTCCACTGTGGTGGTGTGGTTCAGTTCAAGTGGCAGGTGTGATGCTCGTAGGCTCGGCAAGATTGATCAACCCATGACTTCCAGCACTGACACATTGTGGTTCGAGCTATTACATACACAGTACACACTGTCTTTGACGGCCTGAAACCTGCCAAATAATTCGATCACTATCAAATTAGAAGACTACACGTTATTTCCATGCTTCCAGCAAGGTCAAGCGCCGTGCAACAGTGATCAGCGCGAGGCTGGGGACGTCCACGGGCAGCTTTCATCATGGTGTGTGGAATGGCACAGAATGGATGGCTCAGAAAGAAGAGGTGACGGTTGTGCCCCACATGGCGCTCACAAGTCTCCGAACAAGGGTCCTGTGAATTGTTGCGTCACGCGCAGCGCCTCCGGCCGTTGAATCACCCCACCATTTCTATAGAAGGTCCGTCGGAACGAGACAAAGCATGCCACCGATTTAGAGCAACCCGTGGCTGTTCACCGTCCTTGACCACCTTCCGATACTTTTCTCTCACGGGTTCTGGTTTGATCAGGCAACATTGTCTCATCGGTGAATTTATTGATTCAGCCCCAACTAGCAACTGCCCGCGCGAGTCACAGTCACACCGTGGCAGCGCAGTTGTTTGCACCGGACCCGACTTTCGTTTGACCAGGCCAGGCTCCAGCTGCAGCAACCGATTCCGGCATTCTCCTGGCTCATTCAGTCTACCCACCGCCACCACCACCACCACCACCATCATTGGGCTTTATCTTTGGCTATCGTTGGTGATTGATATCTGCCCATAAATTCTGTGGCCAGAGCTGTGCCTTCCAATTCCTGCTCGGCAATTTCTGTCACGAACAGCTTGTGCAATCTCACCACTAAACATGGCTCCCGATGGTGAGCTCTCCAGAGCTCTGAATGGAGACGGTACTCTCTCGAGCTCCCCCGCAAGACATCCATCTATCTCTCTCCAAGCCGCAGCAACACTGAATGCTGGGTTACAGCGCGAGTCGCCCACCAGAGGTAGGTTACCAACACTGTGAGACACTTTTGATATCATTGTCCTATACTAATATCGTCATTGCCCAGGCTCACCTAACAGCCCCCTGTCTCCTCGTAACCAATCACCGAGTACCGGTCGCCGTCGTTCCCAAGTTCTCTTAAACCTCCAAATGGCGAACCCCTCGATGCCAGCGCCTGGCGAGATGGTTTCGGAGAGCCCGACAAACAACTCTCAGACTGGCATCCCGGCCCCCGCAACCGCTTCTCCCCGCCTGATCGCAACTAGGACGCCACACCACAACCGGACTCCCAGCCTCGGTGAGCTTCACCAGGAGCTAGAGAACGAACAAGAGTTCCAAGTCAACCGGCTCCTTACGCAGATCCGGCAGCTGCAGGAACAAGTTCAACGCCAGCAGCAGCAGTCTGGTATTGCTGGCGATGAGGCGTCGGAACGATCCGTGTCGGGGCCGGCACCCGTGCCCGTTCCCGTACCGAACATGACCTCGTCTCCGCAACCCACGTTTGCGAGCTCCGGGTCCCTGCCGCGGTCCCCCATATTTCCGCGCAGCTCATTCGATATGGCCCGCGCCGACTTGCGCAACCGGTCCAGGACCCCCAGCCGCAACGCTTCACCCAGGCTACGCTCCACGTCCATCAACGCCGACAGCGGCGAGCCGTGGGCGCTGGCCGGGCGCGATGAGAGCGCCTTCTATCAAGCCGAGTCACAGATGCTGGTCCGTGAGAATCAGATGCTTCGGCATCGGATCCGAGAGATGGGTGCGTTTCCCCTTCCTTGTTTTTTGAGATCTCGAGTAAAACCAGTTATTAACCCGACAACAGAACGCCAACTTGCCGAGCTGCAGGGCACCAATACGTCGTCGCTGGCCCATGAGCCGTCCCATTCTTCACACCTGAACCACTCCGTGTCAGCGTCTGAAGAGGATGCTGCTAAGATCGCGTCCGCAGCCGCCGCGCAGGAGCATGGGGCTAAGGGGGAGTAAGCGCAACAGGCCGGCCCTCTTGGGCCGGACGCCATGCCGCCAACATGATCGAGTACGATATGGCCGCCTCACGGCGTTTCTATTAGGCCATATTGCTTCTCTAGAGAGTTTTCGCAAGACTTTTGCCGCAGCGGTGGGGATATCCGCTCGTTTCGGAGTTTGGGCCTGGGTTTGTTTCTGTAAGATTTCAGCGGTGCTTCGACCTCGACTAGCAGTCCTGCTGCAGCGCGGTCTCGTTCCTGGTCTGAAGTACGCGGGCTTTACTGATGGTATTTCGGGCTGGCAGCATATTTGAGGAAGGAGGGGCGGCGTTCAGCGGAGGATCTGATACTGTGTAACTGTTGTATGAGTATCAACGGCGGTAGCGCGCAACCGTGGGTTTTTATCAACCGAATAGACCATCAAACTTCTCTCGGATCTTGTGAACGCCCGCTTGCAGTTATGAAAGCGAGGCAAGATAACTATTAGTACAGGCACGACTCGCTCGAGGCTCGCCCCCTTGAAACTCGCCGTCGACACAATGATCATTTGTCGGTTAGCTTCAAGGTTAGCTTCAAGATTCGGCACTGCCCAACCCCTCCCCCCGGCAAGCCCTACCGGAACTCGGTGGAGATGGCTGCCACTCCGGGGGCCCGCCCAAGCTAAAATAGCCGAGCTCTCGGCTCTTGCAACCTTGCACGGTCATTACCGGGGGTTTTTGATTGTTGACTTGACAGGTTCTTGGTCAGCTCGTACGAGAGTTGCCTTCGTTAATCGAGACCGGCCGCTCAAAACCCTTGACGTGGCATTTCCGGGTATTTATTCTCCGTGAAGTGGGTTTTGGCGATTCTCGTTCCAGGGCATGTTTCCGTGATGACCAACTTGGCGGGCGGTCGAATCAACGTTTTGGTTGCCGGAGCTGGCTCGCCAATTTCGATTACACATGGCGCTAATGCAGGAACAAAAAATCGGTCGTCCTTCGAAGCCAAAACCCCCGACTTCTTTTCTTCTCCTCGCTCGCGCGGGTGGAAGGATTGCGGATGGAACTGCCGCTTCGTCCGTCACTCAAAGCAGCTAAAAGCAACTAAAAGCAGCTACTGTGTAAGGGTCAAGCCCTGTTTGTTTCTCTTCTTTCCCCCTTCCGAGCCGGGGTGGTCGTCCTCGTCGATCCGTGTGACCGTTATGTTTCATGAGCAAGCGCGACGCCCAGACGATGCCCAGTCAGCTGCGATCAGGCTTCCGGTCCTGGGGTTCATCTTCGGCTGCAGAGAATTGGACGGCGACGCGCCTTGCCGCGACCTGCCCGGATCCGGATCAGGATCGCCGTGTCTCGCCTGCGGGCCCTGTTTCTCCAGTTGGTCCAAAGGGGGACGGCACGGTCCCTGGCGCCCCCCACTTCGGTGGTTTCCCCGTCGTGCCCCGTGGACTTCGCGGGGAGCTGCTTGAGCTGGAGAGGCGGGTTCGTCTGTTGGTGATGAGAAACACGCGTTGGGCGATGCAGTGCTCTCCAAGGCGGGATCCCGAGACCAATCGCGAGGTTGTTTTGTGCAACTCGGCCATGCATCAAGCCCAGGGAGCTGATGTGGAGGCAGGGCGGTTCGGCATGAGATCCATACGCAGTAACTAACTATGTATACAAGTACATAGATGGCTTCGGGATATCATCGAAGCCTTTCAGAAGCATCCCCGGCGGAACTGCCGAAGCCACCAGCATGTGAGGCGCCTTTCAGGAATCACTGGTGGCTGTTTGTTAACTCGGATTTGTTTCGCATCTCCGTCCCCTGCTCTTAAGATGCTGAGGCGAGCCCCGGAGGCTGAAAAAGGCGGGCATCTGCTTAACTAACGGAAGCCAAAAGTTGGCCGCCGTGAACCCCTGCACGGGGAATTGGATCTATCTATTACGTGCTTTACAATTGAGACATGCGAGCAGGTATTCATGACCTGACACTGCCTGGACCTCATCGCCGTGAAGTTTGTTGCCGGCGGTTGCGGGTCGAAAATTCGGATCTTCACCCAGGCTGACCCGCTTGCAACGTCGAGCTTGGCTCGGAAACATGACCCCTGAATGATACCACCTGAGCAAGGGTCGCCCCATCCAATGTGGAAACCGATTCGACAAGGACCCCCGGGACCGAATCCCTTGTTCGGGACTCGATGCCACTGGGCTTGCGAATTTGCTTTTTTCGTTCATTTCTTTCTGTCATGCTGTTTTGAGAAAAACCATTTTGTCAGCCATGCCCGGACTCGAGATGGAGAGCTTTGCCTCAAAATAGAAAATTGAAAAAAAAAAAAAAATATAGCCGGGCTTCAGAAGGTTCATGAGCGTGCGGCTGAGATCGATGCAAGGCATCTTGAACTGGCCGGTATATTGGTGAACTGAGACCGTGGCGAGGCGTTGCACAGTCCCTCACAACTGAAAATCATGCCCAGGATGAAGCTCTGTAACACTGAGCATGGAAACCCCGAGACGTTGTGGCGGCCTGTTCCTGAAAAAAATGGGCCACGGTTGGCGCAGCCGCACACCCTTGTCAAAGTTCGAGTCCTTTGGACTGCCAGTCTGGAGCGTATGGTCTTGTCCCCTCCAATTTATATAGCGTTTGCCTGCCCCGGCTGCGCATCCTCGTTCCTCTCTGTCGGTGCCGAGTCCTTCGCTCCAGCCGTCCGTTCTTTCCTTACACCTATATCACCTACCGCACCTACCGCCCCTCCCTGCGGCACGCGGCACAGCCAGCTCGGGCTCTAACGTATATTCGGCAAGCGGTGGCTATAACGAATCTCCGGTCCATTGTCCACTCTCCTTGCGCCATCCTACCCGGGGATCCGTGTCCCGCAACAACCGGAGCCGGAACGCGCCTGCATCATTTTGTTGCTTGCTTACCCTATTTTCACGCGTCTGCGTCTCATCCTCATCCCGCTCCTTTTTCTCTTTTTGTTTTTCTTGCTCTGCAAGTCTTACACAACGACGCATCATCGGATTTACCGTGGCAGCACATTCATTTTTGCATTCATGCCCGGCGCTTCTCAATGACACGCGTATCTTCTGACTGAATGGACCTGAGCTGGACACTACGGTGCTTCAATACCACCGCCATTCGCCAATATTTACATACCATTTAAGCGGTACATCTGCCGTGTCCACTCGTTTTTGCAACCACCACAACCACCATGCACGACTTCCTGGACCCGGCCTCTCCTGAGAGGCCAGAAATCAACAACAGCCAAGGTTCACACCTTAGGAGGATACGACCCCCTGATCCACATGCCGAGTCCGCAGAGGCAATCAGAATACCGCTGAGGGCCGAAGGGGACAAGGCGCGCAGGCGGGAATCGAGACTGGGATTGAGGAACATCTTCGGCCGGGGCAAAGGAGGATCTGATGCGGATACAGGACCAGCTTCACCGCGAGATGCTCCCCAAAGGCTTGGCGGAATTCGAGCCTCGCTGGCCGAGATCAATTGGCCTTACGGTTCCCAGAGCGCGCCCGGGCATCGATCCGAAATCTCGCTATCGTCCTTCTCCAAGGTCCTACCCGCCGGACAGGCTTTGAAACACAAGAAATCGGAGAGCATCGTCCGCCAGCAGTCGAACCCGGAGGGCATCGCGTCTTGGGACCCTCCTCGGTTGTTTCAAGCGTACCCACAGGCAATCAAGCATGCGAACCTCCCCGCATGCACCGTCCCCGCCGAAGTCGTTCTCCGGATGCATACCCACAAGGGTAGCGGCTCACTCGCCGGGCTGTTGAGCCCAAGAGCAACTGACGTGATGGAGGATGCGATGGGCGAGAAACCGAGAAGGGGTCATCGGAGGAACGGGTCCGGTTCGACGTCGAGGTTCGAGTGGACAACCAAAATCTACGTCCTCGCCACGTCGGGATTCTTGCTGCAGTATGCGGGTGAAGGTACCTTCGACCGACTCCCAGAAAGGGTCCTCCAGCTGGGAAAGGATTCGGCAGCCTTCGCTAGCGACGCTATTCCGGGCCGTCATTGGGTCATTCAAGTTTCGTCAGTCCCAGATATGGATCGTGCTCCCGGGACCCCAACTTCGCTCCGCTCACGGCTTCCTTTTCGTGTCCAGGAGAGGAGGAATTCCTCCTCTTTCCTGATGGTGTTTGAGAGCGCCGAGGACATGGATAGCTGGCTCGCAACGCTGCGGCGAGAAATCGAGACGCTTGGGGGACGGAAAGTCCTGTCGGAAACAGGGAAGCCCAAGACAGGAGGCGACGATGCGCAATTGAGGAGCCAGTCAAGCCAGAGGACTCTAGTGACGAGGGACCCGGATCGATTCTCTCGGGTCATGACGCCGCCCGAACAATCCTGGAACCAGGCTCTACCGATCATGAGCCCCAGCCCCGAAGCCCCGGCCCGCGAGCAGTCTTTCGATGGCACCTCGACCGCGAGCTTCATTTCACACGAAGGGAGACAGCTCGACGCCCTGAGGGACAGCTATAATCGCCTGTCGTTCATTTCCTCGGGCCAGCGGACGATGATCACATCTGTAGGGTCATCACCAGCGTGTTCGCCGATCCGAGATTCCTTTGGGGAGTTTGATCCGATGCTTGAGCTCCCGGAACCCGAAGACCAGTCGCAACCGAAGCTGAGACCGAATGCGAAGGCTATTATCGACCGGAGACAGTCGCTCCAGACGATCAACCACGTCCTCGAGATGGGCGTCGCCTCGGCTCAGTCCCACCGACCCATATCGACGTACTCGAATTCCGGACAATCGGATGCGGGTGCATCCGCGTCGCAATCCACACCCAACTTCAGCGTGCCTCATAGCGCAAGTAAACGGCACTCCATCGGCAGGACCGTCCCGGGAATGCCGCCCACGCAGGTGACAACTTCTTCCCTACTTGCGCGAACGGGCACACGAAGGCCACCACCGTCAGCCTTATCCATCAACCCACGCCCTTTGTCCTTGGTCGAGGATCACCCTTCGCCCGCCCTGTCCGCTCTTAGCCGAGCCGGAACAGCCACAGAAGGCGCCGGAAGCTCTCTGTCAGCTACCCCAATCACCCCGCCGATAACTTTGATCTCGCCTCACAGGGCCTTGATCGAGGCGGCCAAGCGGATTCGGGACGAGTCAATTCGGGACTCGGGTATCTCAACGCACGAAAGCACATCGGAGGTTGTGCTGCGTATGGACCCGCCGTCTTCCAATGCCCCGCTGGATCGCTGCTCGAAAGACTATAGCGTGGTCCCATCGCCCAGGCTCCCGCCCCCCAGCCCACACGACGTGCCCAGGTCGAGTACGTCGCTCGGCACGTACGGAGAGCCCCAGCGAGGACCTCCGGTGGCCGGAAAACCGACAACGCGGGTCCGGCGGCTGAGCCTCACCTCGCCTCAGCAAACCCAAAGGGGCGGCCTTCTTTCCCCTCCTTCTATCCGGCCTGACCTGACACAACGGCCTCATACGCCAACGTTGAGATCGGTACCGAGGTCATCGCAGCACCTCAGGCTCGACCCGCCGTCCCACACGGCTTATCAGAGACGGAGCTTGTCACAACTGGCCGCCGAAGGACCACCACCTGCTCCCCCTCCAAACCGGGCCCTCCCTCCCCTTCCGCCAAGGACGACGGCACCGCCAGGGTTCATCTGATAAACTCTCTATCTTTTTCCATTGAGATGTATAGCTTTTGGCAAGTCTAGTCTTGACCTAAGCACCTGCCCACCTTGAGGCGAATCAGGGTACGTCGTGCCACAGAACGACGTCTTTCACGAATTTGTTATAGAAACCACGACCGGTGGGGGTTTGATTTTGTTTTACTGTCATCTGTTTGTGGGTAGGCGTCTGGGGGATGTTGGTGTTGGTGTTGAATTGCTGTTGGGGGGAGGCATCTAATGAGGAAAGCTATACCCAACGGATGACAGTCGACGACGACATTATTTCCTATTTCTGGAGGAGATACTAGTATCTTGAATTATATAGATCCATCGACACATTTCTCAAATGAATATGGACAGACCTGTTGGTTATATATTCTGTTCCCTCATGCTGGCTGGGCCGACCTTTTGTGAAGAAAAGATCCCTCTCCTGTCCCGCGATAGATATACAGTGCTGGGCGGAGCTTTACACAGTACATATACTTTGAATCTGAACTGGTCTTCCCACAGCATCTACGTAATTTACTAGCAGCGCAACCCAGGTATGTACCTGTGAGATAAAGAGGTATATAACACAGCTTAAGGGAATGTCAGACTGGGAAGGAAAACTGTTTGAAAAGAAGAGCGCCAGGGCAGGATGAACAGCACCACACCACAGAGTAACTAAGGACAGCCAGGAAAGTAGAGGACCAAGTTAAAGCACTGTACATTTATCCACCCGACTTCCGCCTCTTTCTCACCAATTTTCGCCCCACACTGGAATATCCAAAAATTCGACGGCCCTGGGAACCTCAACTCCCCACCCCCACCAAGCCCCCCGACCACGACACAGCATCGATCAAGGCGATACCGCGCATACCCGCTGCATCCCAGATCACACATATCGCGAAAATGGCGGCTCAAACAAAGTGAGTACAAACACGTTATAATTCTTTGTCCCCGGCTCTGACTCGGGACTGGCAGGCACGACTGGGCGGACGACGAGGACCTCGAGGAGACGACGACAGCGCCGACAACCGACCTGCCGCCCCCGCAAAAAATCCAGAACAAGGACGGGACATGGACCATCATTGAGTACCGGATCAACGACCTGGGGCAAAAGGTCAAGGCGACGCGGCGCGTGCGCTATGTGGTGCGGCGCGAGGTCGTCAACCCGCGGGTGGCGGAGCGCAAGGCGTGGGCCAAGTTCGGCGACTCGGCCAACGACCCCAAGGGCCCCGCGCCCGACACGACGACGGTGGGCGAGAACATCATCTTCCGGCCGTCGGTCAACTGGCGCAAGGAGGCCAAGGACGAGGCCAACGACCCCAACGCCCAGGCCATGAAGGACAAGCTCAAGGACAAGAAGGTCAAGTGCCGTATCTGCAACGGGGAGCATTTCACCGCCCGCTGTCCCTACAAGGACACCATGGCCCCCATCGGCGAGGCCGGCGCCGCCGACGTCGCCGCGGGCATGGGCGACGAGCCGTCTGTTGCGGGGCCTGCGGCCGCCGGCGCCGCTGGGGCCGGCAAGAAGGGCTCGTATGTTCCGCCTGCGATGCGTGCCGGTGCCGGCGCGCAGGGCGAGCGGATGGGCGGCAAATATGGCGAGCGGGACGACTTGGCGACGCTTCGTGTTACAAACGTGAGTTTCTTCCCCCCTTTTCTGATTATATGCTTGAATACATTGGCGAGACAACTTACTGACCACGTCATTTACCGCAGGTCTCCGAGATGGCAGAGGAGCAAGAACTACGCGACATGTTCGAGCGGTTCGGCCGCGTCACTCGCGTCTTCCTGGCCAAGGACCGCGACACTGGCATGGCAAAGGGCTTTGCGTTTATCAGTTACGCAGACCGCGACGACGCTGTTAAGGCTTGCAACAAGATGGACGGCTTTGGTTTCAGGCATTTGATCCTTAGGGTGGAGTTTGCCAAAAAGGCCCAGTAAACTTGGTGGCAGCGAAACAGCAGGGAGTGTGGGTTGGAGGCTAGGATCTAGACTGGGAACCAAAAGCGACTTGCTTCACGGCTTGCGGGCATCATGAACGAGTTGTATTTTCCAATACGAATCCGGCGATGACTTGTTTCCATGACTGGACGGATTGGTGAATGTCTCCAAGAGGAGAGCAAGCGGTATTTAAGCCTCAAGGCAAGTGTCCGGTCGTTTAGCCCGGTGCATGAATGGACAAGATCTGAGTGCCGTCAAAGTACAACATAGTGAATTCAGCATGATCAAGACACTAATGCCGCGATGTTTCTTATTATCGGTTTTCTCGAGCCTGATTAAATCAAGGGCTTCGCACATAGTCCCGCCCTCTCAGCCACACCTGCTAACGCTAAACCAATTTTCGTGTGGTGAACTATAAATGACAAAGCAGACGGCAACTCGGGGACTCCAAAACACAGCCAGAACGCTCTCCCCCACCCGATGAATCAGTATCCCACCCGACTGGGAAGATTCTAGCGGCCGTGATGCCCCCGTTTCTAACCGTATCCATGCCTCATCAAGTCATTAGTACAATAAGGGTATTACGGCTGACGCCGGTGAAACGCAAGAGAAAGACAGAACAGTTAAGGAGAATATGCTGCGCAGAGGCAAGCTGTGAGTGAATGTCGGGTTTCGACAGCGCCGGATACTTGCCAGCGCTGTCTCAACGCAGAAGCGAGAGCAAAGAAAAAGGCAAAAGAAAAACAAAAACCAGATGAAGCCAAAACGAAGACATAGAAAAAGAACGACGGAATGTAGAAGCCAAATGGCAGAAAACCAAAGGGCATCTGTGCAACTTGTGTGTCCCCCCTTCTTCCACTTTCTCCTCCCCTCCCCCCCTTTCAAAACCACCTCACCCCCTCAACAACCCCCTTTCACCAACCCACCCTTACACTCAAACAACCTTCACCCCTTCCCCCTCCTCACCGTCACGGGCACCACCCTCCCCCTCCCCCAACTTCTCATCCAACCGCCTCTTCATCTCCAACACCTTCCGCCGCTTCTCCTCCTCGCCCCGCAGCCGCCTCGCCTCGCGCTTCTCCCTCAACACATACGGCCACCCCTTGACCACCGCCGACAGCAGCTTGAACCCCAAACCGAAATGCTCGCGCGCCTGCCGGAAGTGGTCCTTGGCGTCGGCGTAGTTGGCGCGCGTCGCGGCCGACCGCTTCTTGGCCCGGTACGCGCGCTCGGCGCGCTCTGCCTGGCGGAACTTTTCGGAGGCTTGCCGGCGTGAGACTTTGAGCGCCGCTTCGGTGCCCGAGGTGCCGGGGCGTTGCGGCTTTTGTTTTTGGCCGTCGGTGGATGGGTCCGGGAGGGGTTTGGAGTTGTCCTCGTCCTCTGTTGTGGGGAGGGAGGGGGTCCGGGGACGCTGTTGGCGGGGCATGGTGGTGGTGGTGGTGTTTGGTGGTGGTATTGGTGTTGGTTTTGGGTGTGCGGAACATTTGAAAATGAGTGGACAGCCTGAGGTAAGGCCTTGTTTGTTTATTAGGTTGTTGTTTTATTAGGTAGGGAGTGACTGGGTGAGCGAGGAATACAATGATCGGAGCCTGGGAAGAAGCGGGAGAAGAAAAGAAGAAAGAAGCAGCAGCAAGGGACAAGCTTCTGATTATGTATATTCTCCGACCTTCGCTACCTCCGTGACTCCCTACCATCTCCCTGTCTACCCTACCTTGCTGGCTCTATAAAAAACTCTCGCCATTGGAGTGAGAGCACACTTCTTCGTTGGGTCCGGAGAGTACAGTCCCCAGCAAGTTCATGCGATGTCAAGAGACCCATGGCGCCAAGGAGGATAAAGGTCGCTGACAGCTTAATGACACCTGGCGGACAACTGCGCAACGGCCGATGGCCCTCGAAGCATGACAACCTCATCAAACCCAATGAGACGCCAGCACATATGCACGTCGGCGGCGTGGGTAGTTGAATGGTCGCACTTGCCCTGTCGCACCCAGCTCCTTGGATCAGGTCGATGCAACTCCATTCGAAATATTTTCTTGGAACCGTTGAACATCCAAGATCAACAATCAGGATGTCTTGCGCAACGGCTGAACAGCACCACCAACTGAGAGAGCCAATGCCCTGGAATGCCCTGGAAACTGGCGGAGAAGAAGATGCGGATCCCTCTGTCAACACCCCGCAAAGCTTCCGACTGGCCAGATCGTGGCCACCCATGGCAACCCACAAAAGTTCTCCACGGGGAGAGCATGTGAAAAACGCAGGATCCCCGGTCAATGAGCTGTGCTTGCCAACTGCCAACTTTCATCCGGTGAATTGGACGACTACAACACGACACAGTACAACTGCCGGCAATTTACATCTGCCCTGTTTTTTAGTGACGTCGTTTTCCAAAGCGTGTCAGCGGCAAACCCGGCTAGGAATTACCCAAGGCGACCAACAGAACTCACTCCTACCCACACTGGCCACACACCACGACGGCACGGCAAGCTTAAATTGTCTTGGCGTTACGAGACCTGTTGGTTTGTTCTGGGGGTCACACGAGCCGAACTCGACACTGCCCCTCGGGTCCTCCCACATTCCTATCGTTTCCCTAAATATCGCAAAACATCACTGCTTGTCCCGGTGATGCTACTAAAGCTCAACGCTTATCTCTGCTAATCGGTCTTCAACACCGAATCCTGAGAATGAGCACATCGACAGCCGAGCCCTCTTCTGGGCTCGACAATGTCCGCCACCGCGCAAGGGCCGCATCGTCAACCTCGAAGGATGCCACGCCCCACGCCGCGGGGAGGCCCGAGTCTGAGACGGAAAGGGAGAGGGAGGCTCGTTCTAACAAGACGTATGGCCGCACTCCGGATGGAACAGGTATGCGAAACCAATTCTATGAAATGGGATGGGACATGGCTGGGGTGCAATGCTGGCCGAGTCCTGCTTACACGTATCTCCAGTCTTCGTCGTCCCCGAAACACACGACATGGTGTCACAGCTCCTCGATCCCCGCGAACCCAAGAACCTCTCCGATGTCCTGGTGCTCGCCATCCTCGCCCTCCACATCTGGGCCGCATACGCCCTGCCCTCGAGCCTCAAGCGCCCCATCTTTGCCCTTATATTCCTTTTCTGGAGGGCGTCCTACAATGTGGGGATAGGCTATCTCTTGACCGTCCAATCCAACTACAAGCTCATCGTTACCTGGGCCAGGCGGATGCAGCTCTTTGAGAACCCGTCTACCGGCAAGAACCCGCGTCCGTGGCTCTACCAGCTGCTCCAGAACGAGCTCGAGGCCAAAATCCCCAAGGACTACAAGATGGCCGAGGCACCCCTCGAGTATAACACCTGGCTCGTCTTCCGCCGTGTGGTGGATCTCATTCTCATGTGTGACTTTGTCTCGTACTGCCTGTTCGCCATCGTGTGCTCCCACAAGCCGCTGGGCGAGGGCTTTGCCATTGCTGCCGCCCGTTGGGTCATCGGTATCGCTCTCGTCGGCTTCAATCTGTGGGTCAAGCTGGATGCGCACAGAGTCGTCAAGGATTACGCCTGGTACTGGGGCGGTAAGTGATCATCAACCCGCCAAGACTTTGTGTGTTATGGTAATACTAACTAAGCCTCATAGACTTCTTCTACCTCATTGAGCAGGAACTTACGTTTGATGGTGTGTTCGAGATGGCCCCGCACCCCATGTACTCCATTGGCTATGCCGGGTACTATGGTATCTCCATGATGGCGGCTAGCTACGACGTGCTCTTCATTTCCATCCTTGCGCACGCCGCCCAGTTTGCCTTCCTGGCCATCGTCGAAAACCCTCATATCGAGAAGACCTACAACCCGCCCCCGCCCCGCCAGCGTGCCGAGTCAGAGGCTAGCACACACTCCGAGACCACTGCCGAGTCGTTCAGAAAATCAGCCAAGACCCCGGCGACTCCCTTGCCCGTCCACAACATGGTGGGTGTCCAGAACTTCGACCCTTTCCGTATCACCGACTACACCTCGGTACTCCTTGTTGCCTGCTTCGCGGCCCTCGCCATTGTCACGCCATCCACGACCATTTACAAAACCCTCTTCGTGTTGAACGCCATCGTCTGGCGCCTGTGGTACTCGGTCGGTCTCGGCGTCATCCTGACAAAGCAATCCAACGAGAAGATGTTTACCAGGCACTTCCTCAAGTTCGGCGAAACTGCGGCAGAGGCCTGGCGCCAATGGAAGGGCATGTATCATCTGAGCATGACTCTGTGCTACGTCTCATTCCTCGCTGCGTGCTGGAAGATGTACAACTACCCGGCGGACTGGGGCTACGGCTGGGTTCTCCTGAAGCACGTAGTTGGTTTCAGCTTGGTGGCGCTTCAGATCTGGACCGCCACTAGCATCTACGAGTCCCTCGGCGAGTTTGGCTGGTTCTATGGTGACTTTTTCTTCGATAGCACCGGAAAGCTCACCTACAAGTCTATCTACCGCTTCCTAAACAACCCGGAGCGTGTCATCGGCACCGCCGGCCTGTGGGGCATGGCCCTCATCACCTGGAGCAGCCCCATCTTCCTGATTGCCCTCATCGGCCACATCCTGACCCTCGGCTTCATCTCCTATGTCGAGAAGCCGCACATGCAAAAGATTTACGGCGAGAATCTGCGCCAGGAAGCCGGCCTGACAAAGTTCATCAAGCGCTCGCTTCCGGAGCCCGTAAAGGGGCTGCAGATGAGCGTGGACAAGGTCTGGGAGGACTCCAAGCACTTCTTCGACGATTTCGTCGATGTCGCACGCACAAAGCTGGGTGCCGGATCCTCAACCATCGCCAGGGACACATCGGCCTTGTTCAACAAGTACCCTGCCCGTCTCACCCTCAGCCGCATCTCGCCCGACCTCGCCGGCTATGACCCCAAGCACTACAGCATCTCCATGGAGGGTACGCCCTTGGTGGGCGCCGACGAGAAGGCCACCGGAAAGGAGAGCACCAGGGCCCGCGTGTCCAAGCCGGTTAAGACGAAGGTATTCGAGTATGGCGCCCCGATCCGCGTCAAGTGGACCGCGCCCGCCAACCACAGCAAGAAGGATTGGGTTGGCCTCTACATGGTCACCGACAACCGGTCGCGCGAGGTCACCGAGGTCCCGACTCTCGGCCGCTGGGTGCCAACCCGCCCCGGCCAGTACGACACCACCACCGACCAGGGTATTGTCTCGTGGGACCAGCCAACTACAACACCGTGCCCGTCACCCGAAGTGGACGTCGTTAAGGGTGAGATGGTCTTCGAGGGCGATAAGCTGTGGTGGACGCAGGGCGTCTTCGAGTTCCGTTATCACCACAATAGCGGTCACAACGTTATGTCCATCTCGGAGCCCTTCGAGGTGCGCCTAGCCAAGGTAGATGACGAGGACGCCGGAGTGGCCGGTCGCCAGGAGGTTGAAAGCGCCCTCCTGCCCATCGTCCGCAACTGCCTGGACCGCGACCCCGATATCGCCCCTGGTACTGTCGAGGAGCGGTTCGGTGCCCACGTCGAGCGGGACAGCAAGTATGCCAAGCGGGTCGTTTACGCCATCCACCACATGTTCGGTGTCGAGTTTGCCCCGGCCGTCGTGCCGGCCGACGGCGACGTGCGGAAGCTGGCTTGGCGGATATGCAGCGCGAAGGAAGTGCTCGTAAGTCATTCTCTCCGCGAGATACCACCGACGTTGATACTAACAAAATACAGGCTCCCTATAGCATGTCTGAGAGACAGGGACAGGGCCCGTCGACCCCTGTCCGGGATAAGTTTCCAACCTCGTTGTAAAGGAGGGACTGCAAGGGAGGGGGATATAGAGGATGATGGCCTATGTTTACGTGTTTATGCATGGCTCGACTGTAGAGTGTGGCGTCGGGGTTGCGGGATGCATGAGATACCAGTGTCGATAGATGTGGGCGGGTGTTAGCGAAGCGTGCTGTTGTCGGGAGTGTCCGTGGCTGGGTTGGTTGTTGTTGCATGCAGCGTGGAATAGAGTGGTTTGTTGAAGTTCGGAAACACGGAGTGCTGATGGCAATGAGACAAGAGTGTTCCGAGGAAAGTGATGCCATGGCTGTACAAGTTGTTGCCGCGCCTAATACCTCACATGCTTCATTCACGTTTCCTATCGAAACATACGATAACCAATAGATCTGTACCTTCCGTTGAAAACGGCTGAGATACCTGACAGGGTGTTATACAATAAACAACTAAAATTTAAGGAGAGTACTATTTATCCAGCTGTACCCTCAAGGTACTTCGTCAGTCGTAAGGAGCGTGCCTCGTAATCTCAACAGCGTCAAACATCCCTTCCCTCACTTGCTCGCCCACCCCCTTATACCCTATCCCTTACAACCCCCCCCCCTTCAATGGATCAAACCCCCTCCCTCGCACCTGGTGCTATTCTTTCCTCCAGCTCGATCTCCCCACTCACTCACTCACTCACTCGCAGTCCTCCAGCACCTCGGCCAGCACATCCGGATCACCAAGGTCCTGAGCCAGCGCAACAGCCCTGTTCTGCAGGCGCGCGAGCTTGGCCTCAGACTCACGGACGCGCCTGGCCAGCGCGCGGCGCGCATTCTTGGCCCGGGTCGCCGCGTTGTTGTTGCCCGTGTTCCCATTGCCGGTGCCGGTGCCGGCATCAGCACCGGCATCGGCGGTCCCGTTCCCAGCCGCGGCGCCCGCTCCGGCGCCGGCGTCGACCATCTGCACGGGAACGACGCCACCAAAGGGGCCTGCGCGGGCGCCGTTCTCGCAGCGGACCAGGCAGACGTCCTCCTGGCCCGCGACGGTGCCGCTGCAGGTCTGGGTGGCGGGGATGGCGGCGATTAGGGGGAAGTCGGTTGCCTCGCCGTCCTGGTGGGAAGGGTTAGGACATACTGGCTGGTTGGTGAGGTTGGGGAGGCGGGTGGGGAATGACAGTGATGAGAGGGGAGAGGGGGTGAAGAGGGGGTAAAAGGGGGAGGAAGTAGAAAATGCTTACGCGGTTGCGGGATCGGCGGCCTGGGACGTTCTGGGTGACCTGGATGTTGTTCCTGAGTGGCTGTTAGTCATGTAGTCCGGCGGGAGATGCGAAATAGGGTGTCTTACCAAGTTTGTGCCGTGCCATCGGCATTGATCATGCAAGTATATGGGCCTGCGCCGTCACTGTTCACCTGGTGCAGCGTCATTTGCAGTTCGCCGCCAGCTGTGACCATCGGCAGCGAGTCGCCCGTCTCGGCCATGATAGCTGAAGTGCCGGACTCGAGACTGTTGTCACCGTTGCCGAGGGTCTCGCCCAGGGTGTCGGCTGAGTCGCCCCGGAAGCGGGTAGCGTCCTGTTGGAAAGGCCGGCGGCGGGTGCCGTCGCGCGGGGTGCTGGTGTCGACGCCGAGGCCCATGCCGGTGCCTCCAGCGTCACCAACAGCTGCGATGATGGCGCCATGGCCCGCCACAAGTTGGGCTGTGGCCAGGAAGGCGAGAGTCAGAAGGGTCTTGGTTGAAGCCATTTTGTGTTTGTAAGGTGATTATTGAGTTAAGGTGTAGTATCAAAACCTGTCCTGCAGGAGAAAGAAGAGAAGTTGAAGGTTTGTTTGTGGCTGGCTTGTCTCCTGGACGGTGAGTGATGCTGAGTGAGGGAATATGGGTGGGTGAGGGCAGGTCAAGCCCATTATATAGACATGCCCAAGGCCGAGCCCGCGATGCCGACTGCCGTAACTCATCCTCCATCTTGACTAGAATTCAACCTCATCGACCGCAGCGTGATGAGAACGAGTGCTATCACTTCTTGGCGAAACCAAGCGACCTCCAGCAGGTGCCCGGCCGCAGTCCCAAGATCGGATTGAGACGGAGTTGTCTCAAGATCTCGAATTGAGCAACCCCCCGGCGGCCCCCTCCCCCATAACCTCGTCCGTGCCCTTGTTCGTATATTCATCCCTGACCCTCGGCCGTGACCAAACCCGGGAATGCTGCGGGTCCTGAACTGCAAAGTCTACCTTGATTGTGGATCCTGAAGATCGAGATCTGTGCTGGGAATGGGAGATCTCGGCCAAAACATCAACGCTGAGATTTGGTGATCTTTTCTTTATACGATAGGGCTGAACAGCATGAGATCAACACAACTAACGTCTCGTCGGCCCGCCCACTGTTCGCGGCCTGGAGAAGAGAGGCATCGTGCGAACTGAACCTTTCCATGTGCCCTGGATCAGTTCTGGTTCAGCCCCAACACGGTTTCGCGTTGGAACAAACCCAAACAGAACGAACTCAAACAGACATTCGAGGTAGCGTTGAGAGCGGGACTCGAGTGCCGGAATCCCGTCGTTCGCTGCAACCAAGGGGCTTGCCTCACCACGTCTTGGTTTGAAACTCGATGCCCCCGAATGCACGGACCTTGGCTCTTTTTGGTGTGGTTTCCGATTGTTTCGACTCGATAATCCAATGAATGACAGGAAGTGGCGCTTTGGGCGTGTGAAAACACTGAAAACATCGTGAGGCTCTTATTCCCGGCCCATGACATGACTCGCTCGACCACAAGTCGACGGCGTGCTCTCTCGATGACGTCCTGATCCTCTGAGTTCGTGACTCTGCAGTTCCGGTCCAGGTTGTTGCCCCGCCAACGGTGATATCGACAGTGAGAGGCTGCCATCCAGAATGGACGTTGGAAACACCAACCTCTTCGGTCACAACCCTCATCGTCTCCAAGATCCGCCGATTCATGCGCTGTGGTTTCTGTTTCTATCGTTCTTGGTCCGGAATTAGTGCGCGGTGATCGGAACAAGTGTATCTCGAAACATTGGCTCCCACCCGGCGGCCTCGTCGATCAAACAACTTTAGCTTCCACAAACGGGGAAAATACCATTGAAGAGACCAATCGTATCGAGATCACCCAAAATGGAAGCTGTCACGCAGCAATGCATCGAAACATTCCGAGTGGGCCGCTTGCGGGGAGCGCGGCTTCGGTGATATCGCAAGCTCGCAAGGAGTTCGGCATTCGAAAAGCGGGCCCCTGAAAACTCAGCCTCATCGTCTAGTCCGTGTGTCAGGTATGCCCAAGAGCTTTCTTAGGATAGGAGCACTAAACGTCAGAAACATCTGCCAACCCGGATATCGTGAATGCCGAAGATGGTAGCACCGCGTCCCTTGGGCCCGGGCGGCCTCTCGCATCTTTCAGTGTCGTTTCAACTGCCCAAACCAACATTGGCGTTCGAGCAAGGAACCAAATCAGGTCAAGGACGGCGAAGTATCGGGCCTGGAAGTTCAAATTGTTGCGATGTCCGTCTTGCCGTCGACTGCGGAGAGTTGCGGGGTACGACTGAAACCGCTGGTTCCGATGAGCTTCAAAAATACGAGCGGGAATATGGCAGCTCAAACCTTCTGTCCTCCCTAGAAGGGGCCTGGGCATGTCCGATGCAGAGCCGCCAAGCGGACGCCTTACATCAGAAACACCTGATCTGGCTTCCGGGAACCCTCTTAGCCCATCTGTGGCATTAATGGGAACAGCGTTCGCTGTTTGATGAAATCGACCTGACCTTGGGACGTTTAATGCCGCCTCCACCCCCGTCCTGGGCGTAGACACAAAGGCTAAGGACCTCGGGTTTCTAACGGGCAAGTTGCTGGATGGTGTAGCAGGCATTGCTGTCGCTATGTTGTTAGCACACGGTTGTTAAGTACAACGTCGAGTGACCCTTACACCGGGAAGGCACTGATTGATTCCAGTCCATTAGAGAGGTCGAGTTTTGGGGTTTGGAGTATCCAGGGCTGGCCGGAAAGTAATTGGCGACCCCCGTCCTGGTACCAACTGACGATATAGCACGTGGTAACTGTGACTGGGCCTGTCCGTGACCTGTGTCTACAGTGGTGGTTGGTTGTATGGGGGTCCGCGATCTCGAAACGCTGGGCGGTGTCTCCTGAGTTTGGTTGAGCAAAACCCTTCGCTTCAACTTACTGTACAGCTCTTGCGATTGTGAGAGTTCCCTGGTCCGGCTCTCTAATGTGAGGCGGAGGTCCTCACACTGGCGTCTCAGAGTGTGTTCCTCGCGTTCCATATCTATGCAATGTTAACAGCGGCAACAGGACTCCGTGAGGTATGGACAAACCTCGTATCTTTGAAGTGAGAGTGGTAATCCTCTGGTTGGCCTGACCCCATATATTCTCAATCTCCCCCTGAAGCTCGGCGCAGTAATCTTTCAGTTTGCTGTTTCTCCGCGCCTGGGATGAGCTTCTACCAGTAAGCAGCAGCCTAACAAGGCTTGGACTGAAAATGGACAGACATTTGGTTTGTCATCTGATATGACCAGAAGCTCAGGGCTCTCCCCGCGCACTCCATGACGACGGTGGGACCAAGTCCGCTCAGGGCTACGGATTTCCATTCTTCTGAGGGCTGGAGAAGCTGCTCGCATACTTCGGAGGCGCTCAGAGGCTGGCTGCAAATGGGGCAAGTGTAAGGTGCTTGCCCAGCAAACCCGTGGTTGTTTGCGCATCGCGGACATATGGCATGGCTTCGAAAGGGGTTAGTTATCTGTGGGCATGGCATCGGTGGTTAAAACGAAGGACGTCAAAGACTCACCTGCACACCGTCACCACCGCCTGCCCTGTGAGCTGCGCACCACACTCTTGCACATTACAATTTAAATGTTGCTCCATTCCGTATCGTCAGATTCCAGGTTACTGAAATTCAAGCAATTGTTCGCCGCTCTTCAGCGGAAGCTGGTCGATCCTCAGCGAATATGACCGTGACGGCATCGGGAAAGTGCCATGATGATGGAAGAAAATTGTGATGTTGGTGGAGAATTTCTGGACCTTGCCTTCCAAGTTGGCATTGACAGCATTACACTGACACCCGCTAGTTACTACGAGGGGAGGAAGTTGCACCTCATCCGTAAATGCCATTGCTCCTTCCCAACTGTAGGCCCAGGAGGTCTTAGTCAGGAAGGAACTGAGACTTGAAGCACATGATCTCTCGAGAGACTGGCTTATTCTACTTCAATGATTATTCATGAATTTGGTAAAAGTTTAGAAGAATGGCTTCCTGTTAAATTATCATACCTGACAAACAATTTCATGTTGTTGATAGTATGTAAGTTCTCTAGATGTCAGTGTGTGGTTGTCGTGGTTCGGGCACGCCCAACGAGCCCCACACTGTCTATAACACTAACCTCCCACTGTGCGCTGCAACCCGACAGGCATCAGCTGTCAGCGCCAACAGCCAACCGCCATGATCCACAGCATCGAACCCCACGAAGAGCAACTCCGTGCTCACGACTTTGACGACTAGGAACCCCCAAACAACGGTGGACCGCCTTTTTCAGTTTTCACAACAGCATGACAGAAATCATCATGAGCCAGACTCCTCCGATCCTTCACGGGCCCTCAGAAAAGGAACGCAAATATGACCGACAACTCCGTTTGTGGGCAGCAAACGGCCAGGCAGCTCTCGAGTCAGCGAACATACTCCTGGTGAACTCGGGGGCGGGGACCGTCGGTGCAGAGACTCTGAAGAATCTCGTATTGCCAGGTACTGTGAGAATCCCCTCACTTGGCATGAGCTCGGTGCTAATACCCCGCTCCAGGCATCGGCCGCTTCGCCATCTACGATGAGGCTCGAGTCAGTGAGGCCGATCTGGGGGTCAACTTCTTCCTGGACGACAGCTGCCTGGGAGCTTCTCGGTCTCAGAGCCTGACGGAGCTCATCCTGGAGCTCAACCCGGATGTCCAAGGCAGCTGGTATCCCAATGAGGTAGGTCGATGACAGGATTAGTCTCGACTCTCTGCGGGAGACCGCATGCTCACGTGGTCAATATAGGACACGAAGACCCTGGACTCACTCCTCACCGACTCCCCGGTGTTCACAGTCATCATGTACACGCACCCGATTCGCCCAGAGCAGCTCTCACGGCTCGAAGCGTATGGGCAGCAGCACAAGACCCCGCTCGTGGCGATTCACTCAGCTGGGTTCTACTCCTATTTCCAGATTAACCTTCCAGGGGCCTTCCCCATCGTCGATACGCATCCGGACGAGACGGCAACGACTGACCTGCGGTTGCTGAACCCCTGGCCGGAACTGGTGGCCTTTGCCGAGGAGTTGACTAAGGATATCGACGGCCTAGACAACTTCGAACATGGTCACCTGCCGTATGTGGTGATCCTTCTCCACTACCTCGAGCAGTGGAAAGCGGCACACGACGGCAAGTACCCCACAGCATTTAAAGAAAAGGCCGAGTTCCGCAAGATCGTGCAGGCTGCAGCGAGGACCAATAACCCGGAAGGTGGCGAGGAGAATTTCGAGGAAGCGGCTGCTGCCGTTGTCAAAACGGTGGTCCTGCCGTCTCTGCCGTCCGGGTTGAAGGAGGTATTCGAGTACGAGCACACAGACCCGGTAAGGTCCCCCGTACAAAGTACCCCAACCGAGGACTCGCTTGTGCTGACGCGAGATGCTAGGCCGAGCAGAGATCGGGGTTCTGGCTCATCGCCGACGCCGTGAAGAAGTTCTACGAGGAGCACAAGTGCCTACCCCTTCCTGGCAAGCTGCCCGACATGAAGGCGCAGTCCAAGGTGTACATCCAGCTACAAGGAATCTACAAGGCTAAGGCACGCAAGGACGCCGCCAAGATACTTCAAATAGTCCAGGCGTCGCCGGGTGGCGAGCACGTCAATCCCGCAGAAGTGGATCTCTTCTGCAAGAATGCAGCTTTTGTCAAGCTAATCAATGCGACGGGGGGAGGGGCCAGCGACAGCAGTAGCGGTGCGAAGATCAGCAGGGCAGATCGTTTGAAGGCAGCGGCGGGTAAGCATTCAGACCCCCCCCTCCCCCGAAGTTCCCCCTCATTCACACCACCCACCCCCGGGATGGTCTCGGCCCTGCTCTACCTATGGGCAAGGCGAGGTCATCCATCTCCACACGTCTCGGTCCCATCAACACGAAGAAGGCGGGGAAGCGAACAAGAAGCGAGAAAGAAGCGAGAGAGAAAGGAGTCAAAGACTAACGAAAGGGTGACATCGCCACCGCTCACTCACCAGACCGCGAGTTCGCCAACGACGAGACCGCCGCCCTCTCGCTCTCCCCGCTCTCCCTACTACCAATCTACCTCGCCCTGCAAGCGACAGCCCACGTGGGTCTATCCACCGCCACCGCTCCCACCACCACCAACTCGGAGTCAGAGGCAGCAGAGACAGCAGCAGCAGCCGAGGCGGAGAAGCAGCAGCAGCAGCAGCAGCAGCAAGAAACAACGCGCGGCTTCACCGCGGAGTCCATCCTCGCGGCGGTCGCCCAGGCGGTGCCCGGCGTGGAGAAGCGGGAGCGCGTGGTGCAGGCCGCGCGCGAGGTGGCGCGCGCCGCGGGCGGCGAGCTGCACAACGTCGCCGCCCTGACGGGGGGCATGGTGGCGCAGGAGACCATCAAGATCGTGACCAAGCAGTACATCCCCGCCGACAACACGTGCGTGTACGACGGCGTTGGCGGGAGGGTTCAGGTGCTGCGGCTGTGATGATGGGGTGTGGGGATGGGGTAGTAAGGGGAGTTGGGAAGGGGCAGAGAGGGTAAAGGGGTGGATTCGTATGGGGGGGTGGTGGCTTCGGTGGAGAGGGAGTGAGTGGGTTGGGTTGGGTTGCTTGCTGGCTCGCGAGGTGCGTTTATCTCGCCGAGTGCTGGGCTCGCCGGCCGACTGCGACTGGCGCTCTGCAAGGTCCATGCTGAAGCGAACTGGGCTTTGTCTACCTCGCCTCATTACCTCGCCTAAGGAATGGATGACTCGGACAAGCCCGGTCGGACCAAGCGGCTTGGGTTTGAGGGTTTTTTTTCCCTTTGAGCGTTTTCCTCGGAAACTCAGGGGCAGCCAGCCGGGTATCAAGAGCGAGGCGCCGGGACAAGGCACGGAGGCATGGTAGGCAAAGCAGCTGGTAGGTAGGTAGGCGGGCGGGCGCCCCTGGCATCCATCCATAGAGAGCACAGCACACGTGTGGATTGACGGCAGCAAAACGGGCCGACCGCAAGCGCCGGCCGGTGCTGGCGGGACCTCAATGAATGATGAATGAATACCCGCTGCATGGCCAAGGTTGGCTTACTGGCGTTTCTTTGCCTCTGGGCCTATCCGTATCTCTCTGCTTTTACCCACCATATCTCGGGCTGAGGGTGATTTCGGCATTAGGCGTTTGCAGATCCGGGTTTTAACCCAACCCTTCTCGCCCTTGGCGGCGGCAGTCGCAGTCAGTGTTGGGGATATATTTGTTGGGGGTTGATCACTGGCGATGCGCGTCGGCAGTGAGGGTTTTGCTAAACGAGGGCTATATGTTTCTACGATCATGCCCTGATTGTAGCAGTGATGCGCTTTGCGCGTGGCCATGGAAATGATGACATGACGTCCCTGGACAAGGGGATGAAGTTCCCGCTGCCATCGTCATCGGCTAGAACTCGTCGGCGCAGTCGTGCGAAACCCGCCGCCACATCTGCTCCAAGGTACCATCGCGCGCCGCTTCCGCCGCGCGGTTGTGCCGTCGACCGGCCCACACCTCAGCCTCCCGGTTGTGCCATGGCAGATGAGTGGGTGGAAGAAAAAGGAAAGAAAAAAAAGGTGACCGCTTTTGCTGTCTGTGGTGCACAGCAATGAGGGGACCACCTCTTTCTCCAAGGCAACTTGAACGCCTCCCTGCCAACCACCCACCTGCCTGCCCCCCCTCCTCCCCCCACCCTGGTTTTGCTTGCGACCCCAAGCAGAGATTTACACGCTTCGGACCGCAGGGCCTGGATGGAACCCTCGTGCTTTGCGCAGTCGCACGCAACTCATTCAGCTTTTTTGCCAGGGACCGCTGGGCCAGCGGCTACGAGTGCGACTGCTACGGCCAACGTTACTGCTGCGCGATTCGGCGGTAAAGGATACCTATGTAACGTTTGGGACGGGTGTAAAAAGAAAAAAAAAACGCAGGACCCGTATTCTGAACCTGGTTTCGGTGGATTGTGGTGAGGGTATCGTGTCCTCTGCATTTTGCTGCGGAGTATTTCGGTGGTTGTAGGTGCAGATGAGCACACTAGGTATGTCCATACATTTTGTCGGGTAACTAGTGCGGAGTGATGTTGGAGGCGGTGTTGGTGTGTGTGCCCGTGTACGCGCACCTCTTTTGAGCTACTAGTAGTCTACCCATTGCAAGAGCCTTCCCGCCTTTCCTTCTTGAGCGCATCTCGCGATGGAGGTCAGCAGGGTCGGCAAGAGCACCCGACGTCAGATCTTGGCTTCGATCAGCCTGCAAGCCACGAGGGGAAGCAAGTGACTCCTGCCTCATGCTGTGTTAGTCTTGGGTATCTGGGGAAGTCTTGGGGAAAGTGTGTGTGGGGGAAGCGGGGGAGACTCCATCGAAGCCACACGAGAAGGCTGGCCACGACGATCGCTGCCCGTTTCTGGTTTCCAACGGATGAGTGTGGCGACTGTTCCGACGTCTCGTCCGGAAAGCTGGGTGGTTCGGCCGATAGGCAAATACACTTGACCTTCTTGCATATGCAGCTAAGGTCAGGCCCAGGTACCTTTCGGGCAGAAAGCGACCTCTTTCAAGTCCGTGCCCACTGCGTGCCTTGGCCAGGTACCGCCAGCCAAGGAGGAGAGGAACAGGAACAGGAACAAAAGCCGCAGCAAGGACGGGACAAGGACGGCAGGAACGGGAATTGGAGGAAGCCAGAGGATGCGGCGTCGGACTACACAGTACGCTGCGTGGCCCGATCACATGTTCCAGGTCGGAGGATTTGTGTTGGTGAGACGCGCGATAATATCTGTTATCCCGCGGGAACGCCTGACAGGGAAGACCGAGGGAGGGGGAGGTGGGCAACGCCAGATGGAAATAAAAATAAAACGGGAAGGAGAATGAACAGGACGGCTGGTGGGGGCTCGCCCGGCTTGGAGGAATAGAGTTGGGAGGTGACCCCGTCCTGTGCAGCCCGCTTAGCTGTCAAATCTGCCAGTTCAAGGCATGCATGTTTCGGATCGCCTCTGGGAGTGGGTTGTTGGCCCCAGAACAGGGCAGACCCGAAATGCGAAGGGGAGCAGCATCTCAACGTGGGACACGGGGGGTTTGCCGAGTTCAGAGAAACCTCCTCCCAAGTGTGGAGCAGACGCATTGCAGTCTGCAGAAACTTGAGGTTCGGAGTTTCCAGAAGTGTTCTTCAGGGTGGTCTCCTCGTATCACCCCAATCGAGGTCTCCCGCCGACTGGTGGATGAGATGACCTGGGCCGTGAAACAGGCATGGACGCGGGTTCCAACTCCAATTTTCAGGGCAATGGAGCATGGCCACGTCGGCCAGGTCCGTGACACTCGTCATTGGGTGGTGTTGGTTGCTGGAAATCTCGGGTCCCTGGCTCGCTGCTGGGCTGTCCAGCCACGGTCGACCGGCTCCACGGCGATGGCATCCCGCCATCCCGTCGCCGGGTGGCACGCCGTAGCCATGACTGGGTTGGCAGGGTGGCAGGTTGGCTCGAACGAGAGGTTGATGCCGACCCCAGCCGAGGCTTTTTCAACGCTCAGTCTCCTCGCGACAACCCATCTCGATGCCGATCAATGCGATGTCGCGCCAGTCTCACGCACAAAGCCACACATCACACCCTCCCGAGATGCGGCTCGCCCTCCATGGCAGTTCGTCAGATGGGCAAAAGGGTGGGGGAATAGAATGAAAGCAACTTGATGAAAGGCAGAGTGGTGGGATCCGAGAAGGGGAAGCCAGGCTCGGGCACTGACGGTTAGAGCTGGGCTTGGAAGGAAAGCGTTAATGGCGTTAGATGGCCTCGCTAAATTAAACTCGGGACGGCCGGGCTGAGGTGTGTGTGTGTGATGCGCAATTCTGTGTGTGCGCGAGTGTGTGAGCATTCTCCTCACTCCGACTGCTCTAGCGCGTCAAGTGAGAAATTGAGAGGCTTCGAGAAGCATGAAAGCCTGAGCAAGTGCGGACAAGCGTTGTCAATCATGTCTGTGCGCCTGCTGTCGAAGGTCGGAATGGGCAAGAAAAACCAGTGCAAGGCGTGCCGGGCTTGCTGGGGGCTTGGCATTTAATCTGCGTGAACCTTTTGAGGTTTTGGCTGGTCCGCGCGGTTGGTGGCGTCGAATGCCCATTCGATCCTCGATTCTGCCTGTGGGGAAATGGCCGGGGTGGATGCCGAAGGCCGCAAAGCGTTAAGCCGTGTTGGGTATGGCTGCCTTCTTCCCACAAGCTTAAAACGTCAACAAGCCTGTGAGACTTGAAAATGTGGAAGCTTCTGCGAGTTTGTCACGGTGGGCAGGGGTCGCAAGCCCCACTTGATGAGGCTATTCGGCCGAGCAAGCCACCGCTACGCGCAGCCCACATCAGGTACCACACACCTCGCCGACACCACCATCACGACTGCATCTGACTGCGTTTGGAATGTGACTGCAACGAGTGAGGAGGTGGGAGGTTAAAGTAGGCAACCGATACAGAAATCCAACATTTCCGGCCTCCAGGTCCCCAATGACTCCCGTGTCTATATGGAGGAGCCAGATGGGGGCCAAGCTGATTGATCAATGCCTTTCTCCAGACTCTCCCGAGGCCGTGAGACAACGCACGAAATCTCACGGCTGTAACCTCAGAATGCCACCAGTCTCGACCAGGAATAGAGCCGGGTGAAAGTCAGCGCAACGCTGGAGATCGGCATCGACTGCTTACCTAACGGGACGATGGATGTTCAGGTCGAAGCAGGGGCAGCGCAGCCGACCGACGCTAGGCTCGCTTGCCGTGATTCCAGGCGGGCCTGCAACTCTGATTGGGCCATAGGAGTGTGGGGAAGAACAACAGTCGAAGGGGAGCCGAAATGGCAGGGGCTTCTCCATCGCGCCTTTGCAAAACACTTGCGAGTGGGAACGGTGTGCGCGTAGCTCGGATCTTGCGACTCCCCACTCCGCGCCTTCCACTATTTCGGCTTGCCTGACCGTCTTCACGGTGCCCGAGCGGCGGTGTAGGGGGGCGTGTGAAACTTCTGTTGACCGCCCAGGAGACCCGGACACAGGCACGGGCTCACAAGATGACGGCATGGGGTGCATGCGAAGTCATCGTCGGTTCACCACCACTGCATGGCGCTGATGGCGGGGTGCAGCAGTGCGTAACGGAGGGGGGAGCACGTGGGGTCTCTCGTGAGTCGGTAGGCGCCACACGCCGTTTCAGGGTGTGGAGGTGCAGGCCGTCCATCCGACAGCCAGTGGAACCTTTGAGCCACTCCCGTTGCCAGCCACGGCGGCCACTGCACCCCCAACAAGCCACCTTGACGTCGTCGTTCCTGCCTTGTGGTACCACTGCCACCTAATGCGATTCAATCTTTCCCGGGCAGCACCAAGGTACCACCAGGAAAAGCCCGCTATTCCCCATTACTCCCGTCTCTGCCTCTGCCATTCCATTGCCCTCCCCTTTCAAAGCCACTAGCACAGACGGCCAAGACAATGCGCAATTTCATTTCTGCACTTTCACAGCTGCGGTTTTCTAGAAGGCGATGATCGCAGAAGCTGACAGACTTGTCGTCGCCTGGACCCTGCGTTTTCAGCGATGCCCTACCAGGATTGTTGCCCCCAAAACAGGGCCCCCGGTCACCGTGGGGTCTGTTCGCCAGTGCTGCCGACTCCACCCCCTCCCCTCGATTCCGGCTGCTCGGCCACGGCACAGCCGGTAATGTCGCTTTGATCTCGCACAAGGTCAGGGTATCAGGGTCCCAGGGAAAGCCGTGCGACGTAGGGCGCAGGTTGATCACCCAAACGCCGACAGTTAACGGTAGCATTGTCCACACCCATGTCCGGCAGACGAACGAAACCGAGGGAAACAATCGCGGAAACCAAAAACATCAATCAACATCTCAACACTTGTCGCCCCGTTTGGGCGGGGTCCTGAGAAAGGAACCCGAGGGACCTGAGGGACCTGCGGCTGGCGGTAGACAATTGCGTCACGAAACTTCGCGGACGCGCCGAAATGACAGGACGCAAGACGGCACAGAGCGAGAACCGGGCCGCGTCTTCGTGGGTCCAGATTTCCACCAGCGTTCGAGGCCCAGCGCGAAGAGCCAACCTTATTGATGAATACCATTTCCATAGCGGGGTCGCCAGGATGACGGAGCGGCCGGACCAAAGAACGCCCCTCCGTTCGTGACGAACGCTTGGTGGGTGGCTGCGAGGTGCCCTGTCCTGCCGCGCGCGGAATTGGGGCGCTGGAGACAGTGGAGAGGCGGCTCGGCCAGCCTGCCAGCTTCCACAAGCAACAGGCGCCTCCCAGATCACGCAGGCGCTGTCCAACTAGGACATCAACACCGTTCGGGTAGATTAACACAGTCATGTGCCCTCAACAACAGCTGAAATCGCCACTGGCCTATCTATCCCGTCGCTCTTTTCTCTCGCTAGACTCGGGAGCCCCGCAGCAGAAGAGGCAAACAACCTAGGAGCAGCCTAGAACAGGTTCTTGCCTGGCCCCAGCCGCGATCATCTCGACCCCGTCATCTGGTACGATCCAAGTGATGCTCATCGGAAAGGGTACTGATAGGTGACCATCTCTGGGAACGTCGCATGCACCGTATGAGTTGGCAACGGAGCGGGCTGGAGTGCTGCGCTTCCTCCCATTAGGCGCGCCACATCCGTTTTCGTCGACCGCCATGCCACCAGTTCGCTCAATCTTGCCCAGATCCCCAAAGGAGTGCTTGGGGTGCTTGTCCTCCTGGCATGCTGAACGGTGAAAGCTGGGAACGCCAGACCCACACCACCACCCACCCCGGACTCTTACCCCTGTCTGCCCTGATCGGAGGGGCGAGCGGGCAGATCCCTGGGCGCTGGCCGTTGAGAGAGCCAGTCGCCAATCAGACGACGAACACGCAGTCATCTCCCCACAGTCGGCTGGCCGTCCCTCGTTCCAGCTCTCTCCAAACACACGCTCCACTGTTCTCCAATTCTTCTCCTGACGCCCCTGGCCAAAACTCCAACACAGAAACAGTGGTGCCCCGATGTCCTTGCGCGGCGTCATCCCTCTCATCTCGCTATCTTGTCCCGACTCCAGCAGCTCAGGGGCATGCCCGGGGCGACGACGTCTGTCAGCCGTCTATGCTGGGCCTACGTCAGGAGGAGGAGCATGTGCTCGGCGACGATGCCGAATCCTGCAGCCAGTTACACAGTTACACTCTCTCGTCTGCTGCCAATGGCCTCGGCAGCCGATGCTTCACTGCGACATCATCAGGATATTCGGCTAGTACTTCGATTGCTTTCCGCAGTACGACCAAGTACAACGCCGCCCCACGTGCGGTATGGCGGGGACATCCCTGGTTGACGTGCAGCTGGGGAGCCAGGAACGTCTTGCGGTACCTCTGAGCGCTTCCCCCTCCATCCCTCATGCACCCCGGCCCTGGCGCTGAAACCTCAGGACAAGGAGGCCGCTCACTGGCTGGCTGATGAGAGCTCATGCTCCCCAGACGGCTGCGTTTTTTTTTTCTCCAAACGAGCCGCCTTCTCCGCGTCAAGCTGCCCTTCGGGACGGCGGGTTGGGCGTGACCTGTACTGAAGCTGATATTAATATGTGAGCTCAGGTACCAGCGGCTCGATCATGCCTGATTGGCCGTGGGCCCCAGTGAGTTCGTGAGTTCGTGAGTTCGTGAGCAGCCTTGTCCCCTGTCAATCCCAAATCTCTCTCTCATGGCTTCATGCTCGTTCACAAATCCGGACGGCATTGACCACGCCACGCGAGCTTAGCAGGACACTGGACATTGCCTCACACACTCTATCTCAACCTTACTCGGGCGAACTATACTGGGGCCCATACCGGCGTATATTGCGTTGGCAATGGGTCCATTCAAGCGCCCGCTCCGCTAGTTGCGACGCTGGGAGACGAGGGGGGGAGGCGGTCCCGCAACGGACTTTTTCTCCACACGATGGCGGCCTGGGCAGCCGACCATCTTTTCCAAATCTCGCACTCCCCACACTTCCCGGGAGCCCCATCCCCAACTCCTAGCTGCATCCATCAATGTAGATATATAAGTCTGCATCTGCTCCCCACGTTCTCGCCTCTCCCCGTCATTGCCCGTGTCTATCTTTATCATCGTGGCTGCCGACGAGAGGTCTAATCCTAGTCCACTGTCACCATCGTCCATGTACAACAAACTTGTGTAAATCATCCATCTACCTTATCACGACTCTTACGACCCGGCGTCGCTCCTCGGGCCGGTCCCTAGCATTTCAGAGATACCCTTGATTCCCTTCACCTCAGATCTTCCCATCATGGCGCCAACCATCCCAGTGCCCACCCAGGGCGGCATGTTCCACACATTCCAAGGCGTCACACCACGCAAAGCATCAACAGACTCTCAAGACAGCACCAAGACCAGCGGGTCAGGGACCGCTAAGAGGATAACAACACCACACGCCTGTGCCGAGTGCAAGAGGCGCAAGATGTAAGTCGGAACGGTCCCTTGGATTGGGAACGCGAGACCTAACGGGAGGTCTCTTACAGTCGGTGTGACGGCCAACAACCCTGCGGCCAGTGTCTCTCCAGCAGAGCACCCAAGAGGTGCTTCTATGACAAGCACCGGCAAAGGGTCATCCCCTCACGCAAGACCCTCGAAGCCCTCTCACAGTCGCTCGAAGAATGCCGTTCCATCCTCAAGCGGTTGTATCCCAACCAGGAAGTCCAGGCCTTGCTGCCCCTATCACGTCAGGAGCTCCTCAGCCTCCTGGACCGGCCCGTAATAGACACCTCGGTCGGCGGTTTGCCATCACCACCGATCAACACTTCGCCCATCTCGGACCTCGGCTCGCCAATGATGACCAAGTCGGAAAACATCCTGGAGCAGCTTCCGTCGAGAGACACCGAATGGGACGAGGAGCGGAGGGGGAGAGACCCCATCCCCGCCGAGGCCGACGACATCAACGCCCTCTCACTCTCCGTGGACCGGCAAGCATCCTACCTCGGCGCTTCGTCCATCAAGGCCGCCCTGATGGTCATGCTCAAGGTGCAACCCAGTTTGAGGACCACCCTCGCTGCGCCCCTGAGCGGCGTCGAGATGTCACACAACTTCCCCGCCGTAAGGCAAAAGTCGTCGACGGCACCAAAAGACCCTCAGCGGATCCCGTGGTCCTGGAAGGGCCAGACACTTATCGACGCCTACTTCAAGCGCGTCCACGTCTTCGTCCCGATGCTTGACGAGAGCGCCTTCCGGGCCGACTACCTCGAGGGACAGCGGACCGACGCTCCCTGGCTGGCACTGCTCAACATGGTGTTCGCCATGGGTAGCATCGCCGCCATGAAATCCGACGACTACAACCACATCAACTACTACAACCGCGCCATGGAGCACTTGCCCATGGACGCCTTCGGCAGCAGCCACATCGAGATGGTGCAAGCCCTCGCCCTCATCGGCGGCTACTACCTCCACTACATCAACCGCCCCAACATGGCCAACGCCGTCCTCGGCGCCGCCATCCGCATGGCCAGCGCCCTCGGCCTGCACCGCGAGTCTCTCGCCCAGTCCAGCAGCGACATCATCGCGGCCGAGACCCGCCGCCGCACCTGGTGGTCTCTCTTCTGCCTCGACACGTGGGCAACGACTACTATGGGCCGCCCTTCCTTCGGCCGCTGGGGACCTGCCATCAACATCCGGCCTCCCGAGTTCGGCATCAACGCCAACCGCGACTCGTCCCAGCACGCCGGCATCCTCCCGCTGATCGAGAACATCAAGTTCTGCAAGATCGCGACCCAGATCCAGGATATGCTCGCCATCACTCCCCTCCTCAACACTGAAGACCGCTGCAACCTCGACGCACAGCTCGTCGCCTGGTACACATCGCTGCCCTGGCTTCTGCGCACCACCGACCCCTGCGCGGAGCCGCTCTACATGGCCCGCTGCATCATGAAGTGGCGCTACCAGAACCTGCGCATGCTGCTGCACCGACCCGTGCTGCTCTCGCTCGCCTCGTCGGGCCTGAACCCGCACACGCAGGCGTGCGACGCCGACCTGGCCGCCATCGAGACGTGCCGCGACCTCGCCGCGCAGACCATCGACGACATCGCGCGCGAGTGGGCGCGGAACCAGATGAGCGGCTGGAACGCGGTCTGGTTCCTGTACCAGGCCGCCATGGTGCCGCTCGTCAGCGTCTTCTGGCAGTGGGGGTCCCCCCGCGTGCCCGAGTGGCTCAAGCAGATCGAGGCCGTCCTCGACCTGCTCGAGGTCATGGAGGAGTGGTCGCTCGCCGCCCGCCGCTCCCGCGAGGTCGTCTGGCGCATGTACGAGGCCGCCCGCCAGCTCGTCGCCCAGCAGCGCGCCAGCGCCAGCCCCTCCATCCAGGTGCTCACGGGCGGTGGTGGTGCCGCCGGCGCCGACGGCATGCTCATGCCCAGCCCGGGCGCCGCGGACGCGGCCGGCATGCACATGAGCCCCATCGGCCTGGAGCCGGTCGAGGGGCTCGGCATCATGGGCCTGCTCGACCAGGGCGGCCTGTGGGGCGACCTCGACGGCATGTACTGGGGCAGCCAGGGCAGCCACGCCGGCAGCATGAGCCTGGGCAGCCCCGTCGACGAGTCGGCCATGGCTGCCGCCGCCGCCGCCCACGAGTTTGCCGCTGCCGCGGCTTACCACCCGGGCGCGCCCACCTCGGCGGGCCCGCATGAGGGCATGGTCCACGCCGTTGACTACGGCGGCCTCATGGGCCACCACGCTCACCCCCATCACGGCGGGCATCATCATCATCACCAGCAACAGCCCCAGGGGGCGATGGAGTTTGGATACGTCCAATAATCTCCCTTCTTTTTTCTTCCTTCTCTCTATTTTTCCACCTCTCTCTCAACTCGCCCACTCACACACTACACTCACACACACACTCACACACTCACACACCCTTCCTCTCCGTTCTTCTTGCCGACCTTGCGAGGTCTTGGCAGGATGGCCTTTTCGGCCCGGGACGGACGGCAGAAAGGGGGGTGTGGGTGGGAGTCTGTGGCTTGTTCCCCCAGGAAAATGTGGGGTACAGGGGTGGGAAGTCTTTTTTTGGGTTGTGGTTCTGGTGGTGGTGTGGACGAAGGGGGGTGGAGGAAAGAAGAGGGGGGTTTGATGATCATGCACCCCCCCTCCTCCCCCCCCCCTGCGCCTCTTTTTGTTTTTTCTCTTTCTCAAATACTTCTCATGACGACGGGAAATGTGTCTTGATGTGTGTGGATGACGGATATACCAGGAACGTTGGCTGTTTATGACCCCATGTGTACATGCGATCGCTGCTCAAATTGGGAGGGGCGGCGGGATGGGAAAATCGGACTGTACAAAGTACTCTCGGGAAGAGGGGGGATCGGATGGATGGCAAGGCATGGTGCACAGGAATGGGGAGTCGGTTTACAGTCTATACTTCTTCATCTGTCTATACTTAGGTTGCAAAAACACTTCTTCGATGCTTCAACATTTACAAGTACTTGCTCTTGATCTTGCTTCTGCTGCCTCCTCTCCTGTGCTGTGAAATTCGGGGAAATGGACCGACTGAGATTGGGCAGGGCAAAATGGCGCGCGGCCCTTGTTTGAATACCCGGAATGAGAGCACAGTCAGAGGGCAGTGAGGTGAGGGTATAACAGTATGACTTGTCACCCCCCTCGGTTTCCTATTCGAGTTCACTGGTCGTGCTTTGGGATGTACATGGGCATTATACCCAACCTCCCCGCATTCTGACCTGCAGCATTTGCTTCCTTGCCGGCATCTTGGTGTCGTGATCGTCTGCTACCCCGGATATTGATGGAAGGCTTCGAAAAGTTCTAGCGTCATGACCACACCCAATGAGATGCGCGTACCGGCTTGGGCAGGTTGGAACCGGCTTTTCACTCGAGATCGTCTCTGCCGTGGTGACGGTCCACGTCGCATGGCATATTCACTGCTTGACTTTGCAACCGGGGGGCGGTGCGGCAGGCAAACCTGCCTTCTGAGATCAACCGGCGTAGGGTCCCTTTGGGCGCGCTAGCCCGTGGAAGGGCGGGAAAGACCGCGAGGTTGAAAATGCGACCTTTCGATTCTCAAAAAACCTGGGTGGGCCGCTCATCACTCATGGCAAGATGGATGTCAGGGCCGATGCGCCAGAGCGCCAAGCGGTGCTTGGACCTTGAACTTGACTCTTCGAGGCTGTGATCTGCGAATCGACTCCCCCAAGGTTCTCTTCGGGTTGTTCTGAGCTTTTACGAGCGAGGAGTCAGGAGAGGATCGGCATTCAGCTGTTGGGGGAATTCCCCCAACTCTGCTGCACTCCCGGGGTGATGCCCGTAGCTCGCGTCGCCGCGAAGGGGGCGAGACGGGTTTTCGGAATCGTTATTTTCTGGGGCTGCCTCCAGTCCGCGCGCCTTTTGTCATGGGTCATCGGTTGGTCCGGCGGCTAGTTAGCGACGGCGGGAAGCTGCGGCCTTCGGAAATTCCCAGGGGAGACTCCTGATACACGCCGACCATCTTCATCCCTTACCTCTGCATGCTGAGCCCACTCCGACGACACACTCCACGGCGTCCAAGAGTCCACTCAGGCCCGTGGTATCCGATGGAACTGGCAAGGCGTCGGACGCGCGCTTGGCTCTGGGCAAAGAGAAAAACGGTTTCCTGAAGCGGAGCCGAGAGCCGAAACGGTGGATGGTGATTGGGTGGCTGAATGCTTCGGGACTTCGCATCGAAACTGCTTGGCAATCTGGATTTGCGGCCCGTTGCGCGGGTCGTTCTCTGGCCTGGTACCTGTCGGTCCAGGGGAGGAGCCAGTGAGCTGCACCAGGGCGCAAAGGTACCGAGTACCCTCGGGTGGGGACACTGCAAGATGTTGGAGAGTGCGGGGTATGCACCCCAGCTCTCTGAGACTTGGGCTGAGCTGGGGAAGAAAATTGAAGATGCGGGGATGAGCTCCATCCCAACCGCCGGGTCGTGAGGACTCAGACAACCACCTGCCTTTTCAGGCCGGCGTGATGAGAAAACCAGGTGGAATGGAGTATATGTCTCTGGTCTTAATACCTTTTAGACATCGGTGCATCTCCCGACAGCACCCAGCCAGACCGTTCCTCGGGATGCACTTCTCTGGTCGGGAAATGTAGCGAGAATGCGGGGTAGGTGTGTGTGACAAGAGATCGCCAGTTGCTTCTTTTCTCTTGGTCTCTTTCCCCTTTTCGGCCCCGCCAACCCGTCGACGAGAAAGCTTGGCACCAGCCGGTGTCCATTGCCGCCAGACTTATCCACCTCGAAATCCACATTCGGCCTCCTCTCGTCCATTGCCGGTAGCATGTGGGGATTGGCGGGCTCACGGGCGACACATGTGCCGTGAAGGATGCAAGATGGATGATGGCTCGGTCTTTCCAACTGCATGTCCTCGGTCTCGTCACACCAGGGGCCTTGGCCCCAGCGCAGTGTTTGTTGTTCGTCTGCCATTGGCAGGGGATGCCGAGGGCTCCGGCCACCGACCCTCGGATACCGGTGTTGGACGGGTCTCGTAGACGGTCACATCCGCGAGACGAGGCCGGGCCGGGATCCACGCCGAGACCGGACCTAGCAGCATGTCCCAACACGTGCGAAAAGTCCGGCGGTGACCGCGAAGTCACAAAGTTTGGTCCTAAAGGGCTTTCTTTGTCTATCCTTCGGGATGTGGTAGCACTATCGTTGGTGAGCCAGCCTGGGTCCAAGTTTGGTGTGCATAGATGGCGTCTTGAAGTATCAACTTTGTCGTAGGTTGGGTTTCGAAAGTATCCTCCGCCCACCTCCGAACATTAGAGTCGACAGCCAGCAGGCTCTATTGTTATGTCCCGAGGTTGCACCTACCAGTTGCGTTTTGAGATCGGCTCAGGGACACCTTGAAGCATTGTCGGCCGATTGTGGCAATAATGGGTTGCAGTACCAAAGTAAAAGAGCCAACATCAGGTGGCACTGCATGGCAAAACAAGACAAATTGTAAGGAGCCGCAAGGTGGCCATTTGGCTGAGATCCAACTTTCTTCAAGTTTGGTGTTTATGAGAAAATTTTCGTCGCTGCGGGTCGGATTGGCTGAACTGGTGCGGTCGGATGCTTTTATCAGCGTCGTTGACGGTCAAGAGCAACCCACCGCGTCGGACAGCTTCGGTCCCGAGTCGGCTGTTGAGGGTTTGCAGTGTCCTGCCCACTGGAAGCGCAGTGACGGGCATCAACGCGGCCATCAGGAAATGCGGTCGAGAAGGTACATGCACCGCCATTAAAAATAGCAGTAACTGCGGACAGACGGACTTGAAGTTACACGGTGACACAATAGGGAGCCGGTGAGATGGTTGTACTTCGTAAGTGGTGAGAAAGAGAAAAGCTAAGAGAAAAAAGATGGGGAAACGGGAATGGAAATGATCGAACAGCACGGAAAAAATCGCCGATAACCTCTTTGCGCCAGTGGAATTGATGAACGTTACTAGTTTGCTATATGGTTGCGTGGTGAGGAGCAGCACATTGAGTCATATGTTTCGACTGCTGTTGTTGAATGAGACGGTGGGAATAATACAAACGCACATACACTTCATTCGTATACGGGTATATGGGGACAAGCCATAAGGCAACAACAGCCGTATTAGATTATGAAGCCCGGGGCCCGGTGAGGGTGATTTGCTCCATGTCACTGACACCGGGCTGTACAGCGGACTGCCAAACCACCGCCTGGACTCAAGAGAACTAATCCCACGCCAATCTCTCTCAAACCTAAAACGCGGTTTTCTATTCTATCCGTAGTGAGCAAAGGTTCGTCCTCCCAGCGGCACGGGGCTCGACAGCGATGCTCAAAGTCTTGTCTACATGGCTTGCTTGAGAAACTATCCTGAGTCTAGAAGTCCTAACGTTGTGATTACATCCAAGTTCTAGAGCCGAGTCCCACTATAGCTGCAGCTTTGACAGACTCTGCTTTTGCCCACCGGTTGCATTGGGCAAGACCGCCGCGGAGGTTTCTAACAGTCGTAGAGAATTGTACATGACCGTAGCCACCGCCCATTACCTAGTGGTAATGAACATAGACACTCTAATGCCCGGCGAGATCGAGTAGTACGGCCACCGTCTCGGGTCACCGTCTCGGGTTGGAATGGTCGTGCACTAAGTAAGGTACATAGATGTAGAGTACTAGCCGTCGAAACTCCTACCCTCTTTCGACACCGGGATCTTGCGGCCGAGGTAATAGGGTAACCGTTATATGATAAGATGCCACTGATAGAGACAGCGTTCCTAAAGCTAGCCATTGCAACGCTTTTGAAAAAAGAGAGCTCACCTAGCAGTTGCTGAATAATGGCATAGTCTCACCTGACAGCAGAATAACACAGGGTGTAATGTCATTTTTTCTGGTTTTCGAACTGCTGGCACCTACAGTACCTAGCGGTTGTTGAATTATATTCGGCTGTGATGTCTTCAACCCTACGCACATATGCTGTAGTCAGAGACGTAGCTAAATTACTTGATACACTACCTCAACTTTTACATACGAACCGCATCGTCAAAGTCGAGGCGGTATTCAAAGGATATACTTCGGTCTGTAGGTAATAAATGGGAGGCATTGACTCAAGTCACTCCCGTTCTAGTCATAGCTGGAAGGTGACAAGGAGTTTTTGTATGCCAAAACCATTCCTCAGATGCTGTCCTTGGGGCCTGAAATCAAGTGTAGATTCCTCGTGGTCTGGGTGGTAGCTTCGGGACCCCTGCAGGCCTCCAGCTCGCTTCCACGTTGCTAGCCGTAGCGAGTTCAAAATATAATGACTATGTGCGTAACGTAGGATATAAGATGGACGGAAAATATGTGAGTCTAGCCTGGCCCTTGTTGTATTCGGCCCTCAATTCAGCCTTTCGTTCAGTGTGGAAGCATGTCAGCGGCGCAGCAAACGGCCGGAAAAGCAGGCGAGGCCGCGACCCCTTCAGCTTGTTAAACGGCACAGATGAGGAGGCGTGTTAGGAATGCGGACTTGATGATAGGTTACCGAGACGGCGGTGAGGCGTGTTTCACCAAGGCCTGCGGTATCCGGCCTGTATTATCCGTATCCTGTAGGTATGTCGTGCATATCTCCAGGTAACTTGACTTACGTGCTTACCTACCTACAATCGACAGGTTACCAATAGGTAAACTGACTGTTCATGGTAGGTATTTATATTTATAGTTAGTTGTCTCCAACTCAAAATGGGGTTGGTGTTGTTCTCACGCGCTGTACTCTCCTTCCCGAAGCAGTGACGCTGCGCCACTCAATAAATCTACCAAAGCTCCATCTTATCTCAAAGTTGATCCTGCGAGTGCTGTGTCACGCACGTCACGGCGGCCATTATTTCTTTTGGGGGCCGTGAGTGGCTGTCACACTGTGTTGACACGGTGCAACAGAGCATCCCTCGTGGAAGGCACCCAAAATCCTTCCACTTTCCCAAAACTCCACCAAAAACAGGACATCATCGCATCACAAACTCGAGCCGGCCAGGCCGATGCCGCCTGTCTTCATGCTTGCGCGTCACATTACCGGCCGGCAGACACGGCGAACCAAGCTGTCGGGTTCGGGTAGCGGCATACTGTGTATGTACAAGCTCACGGTCAAGCGACGGGGGGTCTTTCAGCCGTGGATAGTTATGCAAGGTTCTCCTGTCAAGAAGTGTCAATTCGAGGCTCAACAAAACCAACATCTCGGCTGTGGGCCGAGTTGATTAGCTGATGCGGCTCGCACAGGCATCGCAAGGGGCCGAACTGTCTCCACGGGCCACAAAGTTGGAAGAAGGCCACCCAATCACAGTCTCTCGACAGCCGAGTTGAGGATTTGCCAAAAGGCTCGAAGCAGCACAGTTTAGCGAGTGCGAGTGCGAATGGCTATCACTGGCCCCGTGGCGTCTGACTTGCATCCAACAGGCTCAGAACGGCCCAACAACAACCCCGAATGGGGGCGGTGGGATGGGGACCGTCTCGCGTGCAGGACCCTTGCCGATGGGGAAACACAATCGCTTTACTTCGTATGGTCTTGTCGATGGATCATAGATGGGCATTCCCTCGCCGGACTTGTCTCCTTGGTTTGTGATTGCATAATGATGTACGCTTTCGTCGCCCAGGGGTAGCCGACATAGCGGTCTGTAAGATCACTGATCACCCACCCCTTCCGCGTTTCCGTTTGCTGCCTCTTCCGAGTGCGAGTCAATTCCATCGACCCGGGTCATCCGCCGATAATTCGTATGCAGTTGTGAGTGCTTCGGGTTCAATGGGGATTCCGTTATGAGGAAGACTCTTATATCCGGCCGTCACCGTCCATCTCGAGGAGGAGGAGGATAGAACTGACGACGACAATTGTCTCGCTCCCGGATTGCTTCTCACACATATTCACGACTGCCTTATTCCGGACCGAGCTTCGATCTCGTTGTTGCTGTAGCATCAATCAGCATGGGAGAGGACATCCCATCGCGGGACCCGCCCCCTGAAGCGGTGGACAAGCCCAGCGACGAAAAACAACCCCGTGAACCGATACAAACACCCGTCATCCAACCCGAAGAGCCCCAACCCGGCGCCCTTACAGACAGCACCACCACCACCGACGAAAAACATCTCGGACCACAATCCATCCCCAGGCTCCGTTTCATCGCCCTAGCAGCAGGGTAACAACCCCCCCCCCCCCCCCCCCCCCCCCCCCCCAACCAAACCCCCAACCCCTCAACCCAAGCAAGCACTTTGCACCAGCAAACAAACAAACCCACAACCCAACCCAACCATCACTAACCACCCCCCACAGCGTCTCCCTCGGCCTCTTCCTCTCCATGATCGACTCCTCCATCGTCGCCACCTCGCTCTTCACCATCGCCGCCGAGTTCGGCGACGTCGACGCCATCAACTGGGTCGCCCTCGCCTACACGCTGACCTACCTCAGCTGCGCCGTGCTCTTCGCCCGCGTCTCCGACGTGCTCGGCCGCCGCGCCGCCTTCGCCGCCGCCTATGTCGTGTTTATCGTGTTTTCGATTGCGTGTGGGTTTGCGACGGGGATGGGGCAGTTGATTGCTTTTAGGGCGTTGCAGGGCGTGGGGGGGAGTGGTGAGTTTTGGGGGGTTTTCTTTTGACTCTTTCTCTCTTGATGAGGTTTTGGGGGGGGGGATGGAAAGGGGGGATTGGGGCTAACTCGGTGGTGCAGGGCTGTACAGTGTGTCAATGATCATTCTCCCTGAAGTGACGCCGGACCGGGCAAAAAAGCACATCGCGGCGCTCGTGGGGTGTGTGTTGGCGACGTCGGGGGTGTTGGGCCCGGTTCTGGGCGGCGTCCTAACCCAGTACACGAGTTGGCGATGGGTGTTTTGGATCAAGTATGTTTTGCTTTGCTGTCTTTACTGGGTACCCATAAGGGGCATTGCTAACACCAACACAGCGGCCCCATCGGCGGCGTTTCCCTTTTGGTTTTCCTCCTCGCCTGGCCAAAGAAGGAACACCTCCCCTCTCTAGAACGACGTGCCTGGAAAGACGTCGATTTCGTCGGCGCCTTTTTACTGTAAGCCACCCTCTAATTTATCTCGTTCCTATTATCGGATAACTCAACTAACCCCCTCCCTAAGAATCGCATCCGCCACCCTAATAGTCTTCCCCTTCCAACACGCATCCACCTCGCCCACCTGGACCTCGGCCGTCTTCCTCGCCCCGCTCCTCACCGGCCTCCTCTCCCTCGCCGCCCTCTTCGCCTGGCAAGCCCTCCTCACCTCCCGCCAAAAGAAAACCAACCCCAACAACCCGAACCGGCAAACCGCCTTCGCCCTGCCCCCCGCCCTCCTCCGCAACCGCGTCTACGCCGCCGCCGCCGTCCACACCCTCCTGACCGGCTTCCCCTACCTGCTCTGCATCTATGCCTTCCCCGTGCGCTTCCAGGCCGTCTATGGCGCGTCCCCGCTGCGCGCCGGCCTGCTGCTGCTGCCCATGCTGGTGGCGTCGGCGTCGGGCACGGTGATCACGGGCGCGGTGAACGGGAATCCGGGCAGGAAGCAAAGGTTTTTTGAGACGTTGATGGCCGCGTGTGCGTTGATGTTGTTGGGGTGTGGGTTGGAGGTTATGGCGGAGCCGGTGGGGGCGGTCGAGGCGAGGGTGTTGGGGTTTTTGGTGTTTGTTGGGTTGGGGTTTGGGTTGTCGGCCGCGGGGGCGACCATGTTGACGAGCGCGGAGGCGCCGGTTTGGGAGCATGGTGCGTTATTCTATTCCCCTTTTTGTTTCTTTTGTTTCTTTTGTTCCTCTTTCTTGACGCAGGGTGGGAGCTAACAGCACGGTTTAGCATCCGCACAGGGCATCGTGGCACAGGTCCGCATCTTTGGCGGGAGTATCGGGATCGCGGCGTCGTCGGCCATCTTGGGGGCCAAGACTAGGGGCGAGCTGGCCGGCGGGGAGCTGCCGCCCGAGGCGCTGGCGCATCTGGCGTCAGACCCGTCGGCCTTGTCGCCGGAGCAGTGGGGGTCTATCAGGCGGGCGTACACGGATGCGCTGCGGGAGGACATGATTGTGTGCTGCGCGGTGCTGGCTGCCGCGATGGTGGTCACGCTGGGGATTTACCGACGAAACAGGGTGTCGTTGCAGGAGATGATGAAGCAGCGGTACCGTGAGGAGGGTGAGAGACGGCGAGCAGCAAAGGGTGGGAGTGGGCAGCAGCCGGATGGTTCCCGTGACGCAGCAGTGTAGACGATTTTGGGCGTAAGAAGGACTTTGGGAGGGCTTTGGGTACGTATGGCATGATACCTGCCACGATTTGAATAACGGCAACGGCGTTGGATATACCTAATCCCTGTGGCTGGATGAGCCCGTCTAGCTTCTTGTTGTCGGCGTTTATAGAGGCGGTGGTTGAAAAGGGGGTAATTCAGGGGTAATCTCGGGGTATTTGGTGTAAGCAACCAGTTGGGCTATTTACAAGCACAAACATTCTCATCTTCATCCCATCTTGCGTCTTCCCTCCGAGCAGTAAGACATATCCACATCCCACCCCATCCATAACCTCCAACTTGATCCTTTCTCACTTTTACCCAACTTAGCGCCTCCACTGGCGATGTTAGTCCCGAGTCCCGGGTAAGGCGGGCCTATCAGTGCGGGGTAGCTGCTTAACGCCGGCGCAAATGGAGCCGGTGCGGGGTGTTTTCCGGAGCCGGCCCGGCAACGGCATTCATCCGCTTCTGATGGGTGGACCTCCCACGAGATGGCGTCAGCGCCGATTCCGCGGGGGTCACTGTACCATCTCATGCCTAAGTTATTACCACCTCCGCTTCCGCCCCGGGACCTCGAATTATCTTCTTGCCATGTTCTCACGAGCAACACGGACAACAACAGCAACACTCACACTCACCAAAAGAAGAATAACCACCCTCACCCGCCCCCTCACCACACGATCCAGACCCGGGTTCCAACCACACACCCGCCATCCCACCACATTCTTCTCCCCACCCCCACCCTTCACACCAACAACAACAACAACCACACCCTCAACCACAAAAACCATGTCCACCACCACCATGGCCGCCCGCCTCGAAGGCAAGACCATCCTCATCACAGGCGCCTCGTCCGGCATCGGGCGGAGCTGCGCCTTCGAGTTCGCGCGCACGGCGCCGCGCGACCTGCGCCTGGTGCTGACGGCCCGCCGCGCCGACCGCCTGCGCGAGGTCGCCGACGCCATCCGCGCCGAGGTCGGCGACGGCGTCAAGGTGCACGTCGTCGGGCTCGATGTGGCGGATCCCGCGCAGGTGCGGGGGTTTGTGGGCGGGTTGCCGGAGGGGTTCAGGGGGGTGGATGTGTTGGTGAATAATGCGTGAGTTTTCTTTTTTGTTTTCTTTTTAGACTTTTTGGTGGGGGCGGGGGTTTTTGTTTTATTGTTTTGGTTTTGTTTCGTGCTGTCTGTCAAAGGGAATGGGTGAGTGCTGACTTGAGCTTTTGTGGTTGACTGCAGCGGACTGGTGAAAGGAGGTACGAGATACCTACTCAAACCGGGCGTGGGGAGTGAGTGAGTGCTGACGGCTAGATGCAGTCGCCCGCGCCCCTGAGATCGCCGAGAACGACATCGACGTCATGTTCCAGACCAACGTCACCGGCCTGATCAACATGACCCAGGCCATCCTGCCCATCTTCAAGGCCCGCCCCGAGGGCGGTGCCGGCGACATCATCAACATTGGCAGCATCGCCGGCCGGGAGCCGTACCCCGGCGGCAGCATCTACTGCGCGACCAAGGCTGCCGTGCGCGCCTTCTCTGACTCGCTACGAAAGGAACTGATCGATACCCGGATCCGCGTGATGGAAGTTGACCCCGGGCAGGTCGAGACGGTGGGTTACTGCATCGTGCGCTGGACCGTCGGTTGGCGCTAATGCTCTGTGGATAGGAATTCTCGGTCGTTAGGTTTTACGGCGACAAGTCCAAGGCCGACGCCGTTTATGCGTAAGTCTACCATCTCCTCTATCATGCCGCGAGAAACGGCAACTGACGCTGGTGTAGTGGCTGCGACCCCCTGACGCCCGAGGATATCGCCGAGGTAGTCGTCTTTGTCGCGGGTAGGCGACAGAACGTGGTTATTGCCGACACATTAATCTTCCCCAGCCATCAAGTAAGTTACGCAATGAACCCTTACCTATCTAGGCCATGCTGACAATGTTCAGGCCGGTGCTGGTACTATGCACCGTAAACAGACATGATAGGGGTAATTAAGTTGAGCTAGTGGTTAAATTCAGGCAACTCATGTAGTGGCAGATGTGAAAGAGGCTTAGACTATGTAGATGATACGGCGTCTCTTCACTGCGCTCTCTTCATTGCGCTCTCTTTATCCTTCTACCCTACTTCTTTCTGCCCAAAGCCTGGTGGTGATGATACAAGGAAGAGAGAGCGTGGCCAAATAACCCTAACCCTACAGAAACTTCCGCAGCACATAAACGCCAGATCCCAAAATGGGCACTAGGCACATGACAAGGTTGTGTAGTGTAGTGGTTATCACTTTGGATTTTGACTGCGTGTCTCCCCCTTCCAATAACCCCGGTTCGAACCCGGGCACGACCTCAACTTTTGCTCGCCTTGCTCCGTTTTCTTTTGTTTGCTTTGGTCTTGACATTTCCGACGAAAGGCTGGTCTGCTTTTTTCTTGTTTAATTGCGGAAAGTTCATGGATTAGTCAATTTCTCAAAGTGTAGAACGGTGTGCCGCAAGTCTCGCTCCATTCCCGTGTTTTGTTTGTTCTTTGTTCTTACTGTGTACGTACCTAGGTATTGGTTGCTTGTTTCGAGGCAGTGCATCTCGGCGTTTTCCTGTCTCCTTTCTCTGTTTGCTTGACGATAAAGATACCCTGCTCGCTGATCGAATCAGTCCCTTCAAACCAGTCCCTTGGAAGCTAGCTTCGCTGCGGGTTAGCGGGTAGGAGCGGCTACGCAGGGACCTGATCTGTACTCTTCATCGATCAGGGAGAGCAACGGAGTGTTCCGTGATCGAGGCCTCCTACTCCGCCATGTTTGAACTGGGACGATCTTTGACTCAGGTTAGTCAGGTCTGGAACCATTCTTGTCAGGAGCGAGCTCTCCGGACCTTCGAGCATGACGTCAGCCCTGTTGATTTGGTTGCTCCCGGGGGGGGGGGATACCTCGTGATATACCACCGATGGGTGCACTGCCACTGCCGTTGCACAGACAATACATTTTTACATTCAACATTATGCCTCATACTCGGCTGTTATGGCATTCGTAAGGTGTGGGAATATCACGAATGTTGGAGAGGACTCGGTCCAATATTATGCCATGATGGCAAACCATCATCGTATATCATCGTATATTATCATAGTAAATAGCTCTGACTCGTGGAAGGTTACCATTCCTCATCAGGCTATAAACAGGAGACAAAGCTGTTGTGTGTGCCAGCTCGGGACGGGCCCGAGGCAACAACACGGAGCACTTGAGGGCACCTGACGGGAGTCAAACAAAGCAAACAGCAAGGGGCAATAGAGCCAAGCGCCTAGGCCTTCCGCTGTGGTCTACCCCTCCCCGACCTGGAACACTATATAGGACCTTGCGTCTCGTGTTGGGACGACTGCGCTCATACTCCTCCTGACGTATTCTGGGCCTGACTCGTCTCTCCTCTTCTCCTCTTTTGTGATAACGACTATATGTGAAGCATCGCCATTCCAAACCAGCACTCTCTATATAAACCTTCATCAGGCCCAAAGTACCCGTCATGGCAGGTATGGCTTCATCCTTTCCCCTCCATTATCCTATCCATACCGCCCCCCGCCCAATCACCCCCAATTCCCTTTGGAATACCTCTACCCTCAGCTTACTGACAGCCCCTACCCGACCTAGATGCCCGCAAACAAAGTAGCGCCAGTGCCAACTCGGGTAGCCCAACCACTCCGCAGTTCCCGAAGTTAGGGACAGGCAAAGAGACCGCCTCGATGAGCCCAACTTCCCCAGTAGAGCCGCTCATAAACCCAGACCGGCGACACAGCGACGAGTGGGGTGCGTTATCCCCATATCTCTCGATCCTGTCATGACCTACCCGTCTTCTCTCCATGCCTCCTCCTTAGACTTGGTGCCTTTACCACAGACCCTTTATCTTACCTCCCCTCTCTTCTAAATCCCAGTCCATCCAACACACCTCCCCCCACCCCCCCCCCTCCCAAACACCACCCCACACCCAAACAAACCCAACAACTAACACACCCCAAAAAAGACGCCTCCAAGGTCCCGCCCTCCCGCTTCCAGAAGCGCAAGGGCTCCATCTACGCCGTCCCCCACTCGCGCGACGGCAAGATCGATAGCAACTACCCGACCAAGTACTTTGAGAAGCTGGCCGAGAAGGGGTATGACAAGAAGCAGTGAGATCGCGAGGGGGTCTTATCCGGTATTGTTTTTTTTTTGGGGGGGGGGGGGTGTTTAGGGGCTGTCTTTCGTTTTAGTTTGGGGGGCGGGGGGTGGGATTCTGAGTTGATTGGGTTGGCTTTGTTGCCGATGACTTGGTGAGGGGCTCATTGGCATATGGTTTGTGCATGCTGCATGGCATGGGATGTCTTTGTTTTCGTTGTGGGGGATGGGAAATTGTTGTGTACCTGGGTTGCAGTTGCCTGCCTACCTACTCACCCAGTGGAACGGAGGGTTGAAACAGCAAATAGGTACTTCACACCTGACAGGGAGGAAGGGGTTTTATTCGTGCGTTCGGCCGTTCGATCCGCTTGCTTCAACCTGGAACCTAATGAGTTACTGCGATAATCCACTTATCCTATCCGCGCCATATCCCCCCAAAACCCACCACACCCCAGAATACATCCTCCTGCGTGGCCCCCCTTCTGAAGAAAAGCATACACGACCCCCACCCCGTCTAAGCCGAGAAATCATGTCATTCGTCCATATCGTCAAGGTCGATGGCATCGGGGTTCGACACCTCGACCGGCTGGCTGGCCACATTGCCCTTGAGCCCCTCGGACGCGGCCACAAACCCGGCCGGCGCGCGGGCCTGCCTCTCCAGCTGCTCCATGGCGTCGGCGACCTCCTCGTCCACCTCCTCGCCGCCCTCCTGCTGCCTCTGCAGCTGGCTCTTGGCGAGCGCCTGCGAGGCGATGAAGTTGACGTCCGTGTTGTACTGCGCCTGGACGCTGCGCTTGATGCGCAGCATCTCCTTGAACGTGTCCTCGTTGCCGTGCTGCACCTCGAACTGCTCCCACTTGGTCCAGAAGTCTGGGTTCGTCCGCGGGTCGCAGAACTGCGACGCATGCCCGTAGATGGCCCTGGCGCGGTCGATCTCGCCGAGCCTCTTCTCCATGTCGGCGAATTTCAGGCACATGTCGCGCGCCTCGTTGTCCGGCAGCGTCGCGATGGCCCGCTCGTAGATGGGGCGGGTCGACGGTAGGCCGAAGTTGGAGGCCGACTTGGTGATGTAGAAGTTGAACATGTCCGCCCGGTCTTCGTCCGATACCGCTCGCGTAGCGCGCTCGTAGATGCGCATGGCGTGCCGCGCCAGCCCGCGCTCCTCTTCGAGGTTGCCGTACATGAGGTAGATGACCTTGGCGAACTTGGGCGGGCAGTCGAGGACCGCCTGCTCAAACAGATCTCGTAAGCGCTCTATGCCGATCTTGCGATCCACCGCCTTGGTGAGGTAGAGATTCCACAGCTCGAAGGCAACCGGGTAGCTGAAAAGATCGAGGCCGCGCTCGTAGATCTTGAACGACTCCTCAAAGTATTTGTGTTCTTCGAGGAGGTTGGCGTAATTTACGACGGTTTGCGGCGTCGCGATCCGGAGTTCAAATATCCTTTCGTAGACCTTCTTGGTCTCCTCGAGAGAGCTTACACTCTCCACAAGGTCGACGTAGAAACTCCATAGCTTCCAGCTCTTGTGCACACGTTGTTGTGGTGATAGCGTCTCGTCGAAGTAGTCTACCGTTGACCTCTTAGGTGCCTGAGTCGCCTTGGCCATGATCCTGACGGCCTCGTCGAAGTTCTCGTTTCGCAGCTCCATCTCGGCCCATTCGATCCACATGTCGGCGAGCTCCGCCACCGACTTGAACGGAACCTTGGCCGCCTTCTCCATAATGACCCGGGCATTTCTCAAGTCTCCCCCTTTCTCGTAGAACTTGGCGTAATTGGCCCATAGTTGATGGAATGCGCCGACCGCCTTCTTTGGCTGGATGGCGGCAATGGCGTCGGTGTACGTCTGCACCACCTCTTGGTTGTTCTCGCCCCATAGTGCGACCCGCTTCTCCCACTCAGTCACATTGTTGGGATTCTGCCGGAGCAGTACGTCGTTCAGGAGAAAGGGCCGGCGGTCCATGAGGTGCTCGAAGCGCATCATGCGGATGTCGAGATCGAAATCGGCACCCTCGTCCACTACGCCCTTTTCGGCTCGTGTCGACGCAACCTCCATCAACGCCCCAATGATGGATTCCTCAAACTCGGTATACGAGTCGAACACGAGCGTAAAGTCTCGCACCGTCATGACCGTGGTGATCCCCTCCTCAAACACATCCCTCGCCTGTTCGAAATCGCCTCGCCGGATCCAGTAGGTCGCTAACCCGCACCACAACTTCCCTCGTTGGTCGCCAAACCGTTCGATTCCGCTCCGGATGATGCCTTCCACGTCGATGTCTGCCTCGTGACCCGTTTCTATGTCGACCGCATGCTCAACCAGCAGATCGACCATCTCGCTCCATAGCTCATAGTGGCCCTTTGCGTTTTTGCTCTGAAACCGTGGGTTATCGAGGATATCGGTGTACTTGTTGACGGCCTCGGTGTAGAGCCCGGTATGGACCAGCAGCTCGATAAAGTCCTCGGCGTCCTCGGGGTGGACCTGCATGTACCGGCGCCAGATCTTGACGGCCGTCATTCCCTCGGCAGAGTTCGCGAACGGCCGGTATAGCGCCCATATCCTGTTGTGTTGGGTAATTGGGAGCGCCCGGAGCGCCCGGTCGAAGGCGTGTCGGGTGAGGGTTACGAGGGGCTGCTGCATCAGGAATTTGAGGTACATCTCCCATATCCTGGGCATCTTGTTAAGGAGAATTAGCGCTCGTTCGAACAGCGCGTTGACTTTTTGGTATTCGGCGGCGAAGATGGCGGCGTTGAGCTTGGCGATGTGCTTCATCCTAAACCGGAGATACTGCCGAGGTTTGGGTTAGCAACAACCTATGCGGCTAGCAAGACTAGAGCCTACCATCTTCCACAGCTTGTACGACCGCGGCAGCTCGACGCATGCCCGCTCCATGACAAACGCCTGCTCTCGTACCGTCCCATGCTGGAGCTTGTATTCGATGTAGGCGAGCCACGGTTTTGTGTTTCCCGGGTTGCGTTGGATGTCTTGCTCGTAGGGGAAATCCTCCTCCGACTAGAGACGGCGTTAGTAATTCCGGCCCCAGCTGAAAGGAAGGCCTGAGAACGTACCACCAGGGCCAAGTCTGGCTGGCGGTCGGAAGGGGGGTTCGAAGCCATGTTTTCCGCGTGAGCGTGTCGTCGCAGCTAGAAACCCGATTGGCGCTTCCGGCGCTGGAGGACGGGGGAAGTGAGAGATGGTTAAAAAGCGCGTTGCCGTGACATCACTGCCAGGTCGTCGGGATGGTTGCACGCGCGACAGCGGGACAGCAGCGGCGAGGTTGCTCGGTTTCCGTGCTGCGTTTTTCGAGGTCTAGCGATTGGGCGCGCTCGTTGGAGATGGATGTAACCCTGAACCGAACGTTTAACGGGGCCCGGGGGGTGCTCGGGCCATCTCACGCTGCAGCGCCGCAGGGGATCGAGGTTGGTGGGGCCGGCTGTGCCAAGTTAAAACAACCGTTCAGTGGCTCGTTGCACTGTCTGTCAGTTGGTTGAGTGCTGCAGCCTTCCGTCACTGTCGCGAGCTGAGGTTCAAGCTCCACAACTCTAACCCGTCCCGTCCCTCATCCAACAACCGTCATCTTGCGCTCCTGACCGTCCTTCACCGAGAGGGCTTCCGACTTTTTTGTTGTTCCAATCTTGACAGCTAATTTCTTAGAATTACTTATCCGTCCTCCCCCCATACTTCGCGACAATGTCCGGCGCAGGAGTGCGTTGGCCCAACCCATGCCCCCCCACCACGACCTGAGATGGGTAGCTGACCCGAGAACAGGACCGGGAAGCCGTCTTCCCAACGCGGCAGTCGCTGGGTATAATGAAAGCGAAGCTCAAGGGCGCCGAGACGGGACACAACCTACTCAAGCGGAAAAGTGAAGCTTTGACTAAGTATGCTCCCCCTCACACCCCATCTACAACTCCAAGTAGCTAACTCCATGGCCCCCCTCTAGGCGCTTCCGAGGTAACCCATAACCCACCACCCACCCTCCTCCGACTCCCACCCATCCGTCCTAACCATTAACACCCCCGGTCTCCCACAGACATCACCCGGCGCATCGACGAGGCGAAGCGCAAGATGGGCCGCGTGATGCAGATCGCGTCGCTGTCGCTGGCCGAGGTGACGTACGCGGTGGGCGGCAACATCGGGTACCAGATCCAGGAGTCGGCCAAGTCGGCGCGGTTCCGCATCCGCGCCAAGCAGGAGAACGTGTCGGGCGTGCTGCTGCCGGCCTTCGAGAGCTACCTGACCGAGGGCAACAACGACTTCGCCATGACCGGGCTGGGCAAGGGCGGCCAGCAGGTCCAGCGCTGCCGCGAGACCTACGCCCGCGCCGTCGAGGCCCTGGTCGAGCTCGCCAGTCTGCAGACGGCGTTTGTCATTTTGGATGAGGTCATCAAGGTTGTTAATCGGAGAGGTGAGTGCCCCCATTCTCTGAAAATCATGTAGCAGGACGGTGATGCTAACTCGGGAATAGTCAATGCCATGTAAGTTGTGCAATCATGGTGATGATAGTGCATTTCTAACGGCGGGTAGCGAGCACGTTATTATTCCGAGGACGGAGAACACCATCAAGTGTAAGCTTAGATCATGTAACCCATTTCCCTAGCTTTGCGCGGCCACTAATGACTGGCAGATATCAACTCCGAGCTCGACGAGCTCGACAGAGAGGAGTTTTACAGACTCAAAAAGGTGCGTGTTGAGGTCCCTCTTCCAGGGGGCATTTGCTAACTCCAAATAGGTTGCAAACAAGAAGCAACGAGACACTGCCGCAGCAGATGCCGAGATGAAGAGGAAGAAAGAAGAGCTCGCAGAAGAGGAGGAGAATGTAGCACCGGAGGCTGAAGACTCGGCCGGGCCGACGGATCTTCTAGCAGCTGCTGATGAGGAGGACGTGATCTTTTGAGAGAGTCAGCGAGGCTAGCCCTCGTCGTCTCATGATGTTGGTAGAATCATTGGTCGATACCGTCGTTTGTCAGGCATAGGCGCAATCGGGAGTTGCTTGCTTGCTTTTATTGCATTGGGTATCTACGGTAGCAGCAATCTGTAATTATCGTAACCAACGCCTTACCTAAAGTACAACCCTTCCCGGACCGATACCCCTTTTCTAGAATACAGGGATTCTACTGCCGCTGGTAGGTCACCTTCATTATCTTTTCGCCATTGTTCAGCGGCATGCTAGCCGTGTTCTCCTTGGCAGTAATAGCCCCCGCCTCGGCCTCGTATTCGACGAAGGCGATTCCGCTGCGGCCAGGCACCGTCCGGACCTCGCGGAAGCCTTCGAAGCGGCCGAAGATGCCCGTGAGCGCGTCCTTGTCGAAGTCGTCGGGCAGGTTCTGGACGAACAGGATGCGGTTGGGGGGTAGGTACTCGTCGGGCACAACGGCGGCGGTGCCGGCTCCGGTGGACTTGAGACCGGCGCCGCGGGCGTTCTTGGCTGGGCGGGCGCCCACTTCGGCGGCGGCGCCTGGCATGGGACGCTTGAGGCGCTTCTGTTCTTCGGCGGTCTCGAGGGCCTTCTTTTTGTCTGCGGTCGACCGTTAGCGGGGATGAGGGGATGGGCTTGGGCAGAACGAGGAAGCGCGTACCCTTCTCGGCCATGCGCCGGCGCTTGTGTGCGTCAAACTCCTCCTCGTTGCCATTCTGCATCACCGTGGCATCGCTTCGGGTGCGCGCCAGGGCGAGCTGCATCGGCTTGTCGAAGAGCTCGAAGCCGTGGATGTCCTCAATCGCCGCCTGCGCAGACTCGGGCTTGTCGAAGACGACAAATGCTTGACCCTTGGCCTTGAGATTTGTCTTGGCCACGACGTCAATCACGTTGCCATACTCAGAAAAGATGGCGCGCAGGGCCTCCTTGAGCGGTTCGGGCTTGACACGCTCCTCCAAATTCCGGACGTAAACCCTGCGAAGCTTGCGGTTAGTTTCTCCTTACCAGTTTGCAGACGGGGATGCCTTGTATGTGTCGGAGTGCAATGACACATACGTAGCGACGGGCTGTTGTCCAGCCATGTTTTATTCTTGCAGCGGTGCTGTTGTGGTTTCGAAGTCTCCCAAATTGCTGTTGTTGTTGGAGGTTTGCACGTGGTTTGTTTGATGGTTGGAGTCCGTCTCTCGAATGCTTCCACGGGCTGAACTGATGTGATCGCCTGCAGCAATCGATCCAAATGCTGCCGATGCCCGGCTCTGCGGGCTTGGCAGTTGGCTGCAGCGAAGCGGCCCGCCAAGAAGGCCCCACCATTAGTCAAGACCAAGGGGAAATGATTGCCAGGATAAGGCGTCACAGCTGGAGGAGCGGCATCTCGCAAACGGCGCCATGATCATCCATCAGTGGACCATCACCCACTGCCCGCTGCCCAAGTGTTGACTTCATTCAACTCTCTCGCCTGCTTCCTGCAGCAATCCCCCCTAATAATGTACGATTAAAGGAGTGTCCCACACAAATGCAAGACAAGGCGTTTGTCGATAGGTAGTGCGTGAACACGCGCTCCTTTCCCTTCTGTCGCGACCTGGTTGACCCGGCACGCTCTCGGGTTTCTAGGATTCCCGGGTTTCTGGGTTTCCGAGGTTTCCGCCCGCTATATCCAGGTTAGCGATACCTCACCTACCTAGTCGTCCGACTCCCTTCCCGATCAGTTCAAAACTCGGTCCTGGATCTCCCTCCATCCGCATCTGCCGTCATGGACCATACCACCATTCCAGAGGCTGTGGCGGCAGCGATGCCTGGGCCGCTCGACAATGCAAGTGCCTGGCAGAACTTCACCCTATGGACGGCTCAACATTTCGGCTTGGCAGTGAACATGACAAAGTTGACGCCATCGTTGGAGGATCTTGTTTGGGCAGGCCCTCGCATGGTCATGAAGCTCGGACGCCTGGGCTCTTTTATCTCGTTCCCGGACGCCATCGACGCCTTTGGCCAGCGGGTTGTGCCCGATGCAACCGACGGCGACATCTTCTCCTCGTCCACGATAATAGCCACCAACCTGGTCGAAACCCTCACGGAAACTACCTCGACTGCTGCGTCTTCCGCATCCGACTTTGCTGCTTCCGCCGTCGCCGACGTCGTGACCCAGAATCCGAACGCTTTTGTCTCGCGGTTCTCGATGGAAGGCGCAAAAGGCTTGGGGGGCGTCTTCAGCTACGCCACTAGCAAGTGGGCGCTATGTTGCATCGCCATGGCTGTCATCTTCAACCGCACCCACATATTCGCTGCTACTCGCCGCAGACTCCGGCTCCGGTGGCATATCCGCCTGTTTATGCGCGTCGTACCCGTGATACTACTTCTCCTCCAAGCCCGATGGCTCCTGCAGTCAATACAGTGCCAGACCTCGCCCGACTTCTCCGAACTGCGCTGGGGAAATGCAAGCAAGAGCTCGGATCTGATGTTCGCGCAACCGAACCACTTTCTGAACCGGCTTGGGTCGACTCTATTACTCGGAGCGTCCGACGAGGAGTCCTGCCGCTCCGCGCAGATGGTACCTTGGGATGATGGAGAACAACCCGAGCTAGTGGGCTCTCTCTCCCGCCTTTGGCCGCTCTTCGGGACGTACTGTTTGAGCCAGTTCGTAGAAGTACTCTCTTGCGCGGTGCAAGGCCGCCCGGTGGCTGCCGAGACCGGCATGACCCTGTTCGAGCATTCCCTTGCCTTTGCTGAGGCTGATGCTGCCATTGGCAATCAGCTGGGCTGGGGTCTCTTCACCAACAGTACCGGCGGATCGCAAGCAGCACTCGGATCCAAGATTGCGCTTACGAGGTCCATGATTTTGAAGCGAGTCAACACGCCCGCCGAGGTGCTTCTCGTGGCCTTCTTCTCCGCCATGAGCCATGCCACGAGCCACATCCTCGGCATCTTCAACCTGCAAGCCAAGTTCCGCCTCGTCAGTACAGGGTTTTGGGGCCTTTGCTTCATGTCGAGCCTCCTCTGGAGCGCTTTCAACTTCTCTGTCGATGATCCTTCGGCCCAAGGATTACTGAGGTACCCGACCGTCTGCATCATCGGCTTCATCCCACACATCCTCATCCTGTTCGGGATCTACGCCTGTGGAGTCGTCTACGCCTCGGCCCTGGCGCTGTCAGCCCTTGCTACACCAGACGGAGAAAATAACGGAGAACGGCTTTCTCTCCGGCAACGCCTTCAGCGTGCCCATGGCAATATGCAAGCGAATGTCTCGCTTTCCGACATCCGTATCCGGACGGATATGGACTTCTACACTGCGCTCTTGCGAGCGGGTTTTGGTGCAATCACCATGGCAAGCGAGGCGGTCTACCTCAACGAGGATCACCAAGTGAACCTGAAGAGATATACCTGGTTAGAAAACGACAGGTTTCGTGAGCTGGAAGAACTTCGGATGCAGTGGATCGGCGGCGGCATTCCCGGGTCACGATTCGATTCGGTTGGCACCATTGGCCTCGTGCCTGTCAAGGACGGCCAGACGCATGCCATGAGCGGTTACGCGAGGGAGAAGGCAGCGCAGCAGATCCCGAGAAACAACACATCCAACCGAAGGTTTCGGGACGGCGTCGGCGCCACGGAGCGCAGTTCGAGGTGGCTTATCGCGTTTGAGTACATGCTACATATTGCCAAGCTAGTGTTTGTCATGTGGGCGTTGGTTACGGTTAGGATCATGGCGGTTTTCGGCCTGCGCACGCCTCCTCGCTGGCTTCAGGGCCTATCACAGCGACCTAAGCCCGAGTTGGCATCCAAAAAGTCGGGCCGGCGTGGTCGCGGGCTAAACGTAGATGTCTTGTCCCCCGGTGAAGGGAGAGTCTTCTTCGTGGTTCCGCGGGCTGACTGGGTGGACGTGGAGGCGGAATTACGCCGCCAAATGGACAAAAACGACGGGGAAGCAGAAACCAGCCAGAGAATCCCTCCTGCCAACGAGACGGAAGTCGACTCCAAGCTTTACAGCTACTTCCTCAGGGGCGGCTGGTGGGGGAACAGCGACTCGAGCGGCGACTATGCTCCTCCCACCTCTCAAGCCCCAGACACCGGCCTCGACGAGCTGGATTTCGACGATACCACTAGTGTCATCTCGACAACCGAATCAGCGAGTGAAGTGGACTGGGAGTCTGACCACGACTCCCTCGACGACGGGCAGCGCACCCCAACGCAGCAAAACCCCGCCCCCATCTCCTTCGCCTCGGCCGTGGCATCAGCCCGCGCCTCCCGCGAGTCCACCCCGCTCCTGGACACCCCCATCGCAACCACCGACCTCGCCCGGCTGCTGAACCCCCAAAGCCCCGAAGACCGCGACGAAGCCCTCGCGCTATCCGCCCACCTGAGCAGCGACGGCATCATGACGCGCTCGCGCTTCAAGCAGCAGCTCCAGCGCCAGCGCGCCCAGGTGCTCCTCACCAACAACCAAGCCGCCATCCACACGCGCCGGCAGTTCGCCGCCCCGACCCAAGAGAAGATGACGCCCGACGAAGAAGCCCGCGTGCTCGAGCAGCTGCTCCTCTCCCGGCGCGCCGCCGCCGCCGCCGCCAAACAAGCCACTACCACATCATCATCATCATCATCATCATCCATGCCACCACCACCACCATCAGAAACATCATCACCGCCCGGAGGGGCAGGGGCGGGGGCCAACTCGTCGTGGGCGACGGGCGCGGCCGGGCTGGGCCCCGACGGGCCGCAGTGCGTCGTGTGCCAGAGCGCGCCGCGCACCATCATCGTGTGGCCGTGCCGCTGCCTGAGCCTGTGCGACGACTGCCGCGTGTCGCTGGCCATGAACAACTTTGACAAGTGCGTGTGCTGCCGAAGGGAGGTGATTAGTTTTAGTCGGATTTATGTGCCCTAGGTTGGGTTGGGTTGGGTTGGGTTGGGTGGTGGAGTGTAGTGTGGTGTGGTGTGGTGTGGGTGGGGAGGGGGGGTAGCGTGTTTGGTTTCCTATAATGTGTATGGAAATTTAATTTGAGATGTGCTGAGTGTTTTCTATTTGCTTTGTGTTGACGTGCTCTTGGGGTGGTTTTGATCTTGGTCTTGGGCGTTGGGGGTCGCATTGCGGTGGTCATTGTTGAGCGCATACAGATTCGTATCCTGGAGGCAGCCGTGAGGGAGCATGAGCAACATAGAAGAATAGCGTCAAGTATGACAGGATAATCATCTCTATTCCGTGAAATTGGACTTTAGGAGGAACAGCAGGTGTCAATACAACAGATCACTTTCCGATAACACGACGGCAGCATCATAGCACGTCTCAAAAGAAAACGGGGTATCATATTCATCCTCCCAAACACCACCTGCCATAGGTAATCAACTACATACCAGCCCACTCGATACAAAACACCCGCACCTCCCCTCCACCTCCCCCCTCCCCACCCCCGTCAGCACCACTCCCCTCCTCAACAGGCTTCTCAGCGCCAAACAAAAAACTCTTCTTGACCGCCGTGCCCAGCCGCCCGCTCGCCACCAGATCCAGCATGGCCACCTCCACGTCCCAGCCGTAGCTGTTGGCCAGGTAGTGCGCGTGGTAGCGGAAGGGGTCGCCCGGATACACGCTGTAGTCGCCGCCGAAGCGGAGGCCCGGCGTCGTGTAGTACCCGCGCGCGTTGAGGTAATTGTAGAGGGGGTAGTTGGCCGGGCGGGGGATGCCGACGGCGGGGGACGGTGGGGTGGGGGAGGGGATGAGGGGGGCGCTCGTTGTGGGGGTTACGCCCGGGAGGGAGGGTTCTTTGGGTGTAGTTGTGGTTAGGGTTGTGGAGGGGGGTTTGGGGGTGTCAAAGAGTGAGGTATCTTCTTCGGTTTCTGTTACTGCGGCTGTGGTTTCGGTTACGGCGGCGGGTTTGGCCTTGCGCTTGCCCTGGTGTTTCGCCTGTACCTTTGCCTTCTCCTCGTCGAACACCTGCTGCGCGTTTCGGCGCTGCTGCTTGAGGTGTTGTAGGTAGGCCTTGCGGGTGGACGCGTCCATAACAGAAAGCTGCGACAGGTGGTCGGTCAGCTCGTCAGCGATGTAGCCGGCGCCTTTGTCAACGAGCAATCTGGCCTCCTCGGCGTGCAGCTCGATAGGAAGCCCGAGGAAGAGGTTCTGCGTCGGGTTCTGCGGCATGGTGCCTGTCAGGACAGCACAAATGCCGTAGTGACGGCGGATATGGACGACGTCGTCAATGTCAAAGACGAGGTACCGGCCTGCCACGCGCGAGATCCGGACCTGTCTTTCTGCTGGTGCAGCCATTGCTTGGGTTTATCTGGAGTCCTGTCTCCCGGTTAGACACGGTTCGAAAGCGCAAAGGCGACAGTGCTTTAGAAGAGACGATGGAAACGGGAGTCATAAAAGTTTTGATGAATGTATGTTGTCGTCACAGATAATCGGTGGATTGACAGATTGTTATACAAAGGATATAATCATGTTGTTCTCCATCCATGATAATTTGAAAAGGGAAATGTGACTGACCTTGTTTGCGGAAGCTGCTGCGCTGAGCAGCGTCAACGAGGGAAAGGAAGAGATTGGGGGATTTTGGTTCGAAAATTTATGCAGGAAGCTCGTCGATGGAGCCCCACCTTGGCGGAAATGTGAGTGGATCTTGTTACGGCCAAATACCGTATCTATGTAATCATGAAAGAAACGAAAGCATGGCCAGTTGGGAGGCTAGAGGATAGAATTGAAATAACACTTATGGATAATATCTTACGGTGGAAATAAACGTTAAAAATACCTAGGGATGGTAAGTGTATATAGAGTCGGGATGGTGGCAGTTCGACAGGGCTGCAGACTCCTTCACTACCACCGAACTCGCAGCTTCCTATCCCAAAGTTTCTTCGTATTGTCTAACATGACGAGCATCAAATCTGGGTATAGACTTAGATCACCGAGGTGTGTCTGTATCAGTATTATAACTCTAACACCCATGTTTCGGGACCGCGCATAGCCCCCACAGCTACCGCCATCGGGTGTCAATGAGATGGGGTTCCTCCTCAAAACTCAATACCCTCTTTCCCCTTACTTGCCGACGACTTCTCCGCCTCTTCCTCGCCCTCCATCGGCGGCAGACTATAAGGCTTGATTACCAACCCCCTCGACGCACTGAGGCTGAACGATAGCGTCTCCCGAAACGAACTCGCCCCGGCCCCGCCACCCCCCTTCTCATGATACACCGGCAGCGTATGGACATATAGCAGGCCTTGAGCCTGGTCACTCTTGTCTGCCCCTCCGGATTTGGATCCCGATCCTGACGAAGGCGGAGGCGCGCCGGGGTTGGCGGGCAGGGGTATTAACTCGATAACGCCGTCGCTGAGGAGCTCGATCCACCGGATGAGGCCGGAGGAGCGTGGGTAAAGGGTGGTCGGGAGGGTGATGATTGCGGTGAGTTGGGTGGGGTATTGGCGGAGGAGGGCTCGAAGGCTGTGGAGGAATTGGAGGACTTCGGAGGGTTGGGCGCATTGCGGGGCGTAGAGACTCGGCAGAAGCAGGCTTGGGATGATTATGCGGTGAATATCGGTTGGCGAAGAGGCTGAGAGTTTTGTTTGCAAGTGTTTGATTATCGTTTTGAAAGGAGAGGTTGCGGCCTGGCTAGGCTGGTCGAACGTCGGCGGGCATGTGCTCGGGGTGGGATGTAGCGATCCTTTGGATGCGCTTGGGGGAAGGCGTTTGGTGAGATCGAACGAATGGCAGAATGTCGCCTGGTTGGTGTCCCCCCTTGCTGCCGCTCCTGGAGTTGCTTTATTCCCCAACGCCTCGTATCTCCAAGCGATCTTCATTTTCTCTTCCGGAGCTGGCGCGGGTTGTGCTGCCTTAGATTCGCTGTCTGGCGCGGCCACGCCGGGCAACTGGTGTCTCCATTCTGGTGGGTAGCCAACAAGATGTACATGGTGGCCTTGAACGAGACCCTCTGCGGCATAATATCGGAGCAGAACCCCTGAGAAATCAGTCGTGCCTTGCTCCTCGACCAGTAGACAGTTTCCTAAGGGCAGTCCTCCGTGCCCTGCGAGGAGCTGATCGAGGGATGACGTCCCCGTCGATGTAGTAGGCCGGCCATCGAGAGGCGACGGTCGAATTCCTGGCGCAAGTTGTTGCTTTTCAGATGCAGGTGCCGGCTGAGCAAGCGGCCGCCCTGGCCTCGCCGAAAGCACAGTATTTCTCCTCACAAATGACATGTTGTCGCAGCTGGAAGTCGCGAGTGGTAACTTTTTGGAGGGGTTGGAGGGGTGCTGATAAGGCAAAAAGCTCTTATCGTCGCCCCACATCGCTGCCAAACTGCCTGCCGCGAACAAACCCCCCTGCCCACTGTTGAGTGCAGTGCCCTGTTGAACGTTTTCGGAATTTTTTGTCGCCAAACTCGAGCTTCCCCATCGCCATTCATCGCCGCCGGAAAGCCGCGCCCGCTCCCTATCTCCCCGCTCACACGACGATCTACCTCGGTCAAACGGTCCCCTTCACACCAGCTTACCCAATTCCCCGTACCACCAAAATCTCACCAAAATGTCCAACATCGCCTCGGACGCGCAGCTCTTCGAGGAGCACTTCCGCATCGAGCGGCTGGGCGACAACAAGTACGACCGGGTCGACCGCATCTATTGCAAGTCCGAGGACAAGAGCATAAGCATGACGCTCGACATCAACAATGAGCTGTTCCCTTGCAAGCCGGACGAGGAGCTGCACGTCGCGCTGGCGACGTCGTTGCACTACGACGGCAGCAAGGACGACGAGCGCGGGTGGCGCGACGTGGCCAAGGCCGGCGCGAGCGATGCCACGCTCGCCGATATCTTCGACTACGTTTGCTACGGCAAGATCTACAAGTTTGAGGATGCCGCGGATGGGAAAGAGATGTGAGTAACTCCTCAGACGGTTATAGGGATGGTGGTTGGAGTGCGGACGCTGACATGCTGGGAAACAGCAAGGCGTATATTTCGTTTGGCGGTCTGTTGATGTCGCTCGAGGGGCCGTACAAGAAGCTGACGCCCCTGCGTGTGGATTATGTCTACCTCCTTGTCCGGAAGCGATGATCGGGCTTTCCCTCAAGACATACGGAGTTTGGATTTTAGGAGGATATAGATGATTTGCGGCATGATGAGAAGAGATTCTCATGGGATATCTGGCGTTCAGGAAATGGCAACTTAATGTTTTAAGGAAGGTTTGGCGAGCAAGGTCAAACGATACCCGGGACGATGCGTCTATTATTCAACCGCCCGCTGCTTGCCGCTCTATGCCTTCCTCTCCGGTGGAGAGACATGCTGCCAGTTTGGCCAGTGCGGGCCGGGAAACTCGATGAGGCGGTGTGCCCTGGCGCGGAGCTCATCGTAGTGCGGCTCGTTCTCGGGTGTTAGTATCCCGTGCCGGGCGAAGAAATCGAGCATGACCATGGCGCAATTTGGCTTCCACAGCCCCTGAGCCAGCTGCTCCTGGATTTCCTCCACGGTCCGGAGGCTGAAACTCTCAACCTCCCCGTCTTTGGGGTGCGGGGTGATGCTGCCATCTGCGGGGAGCTCAAGGTCATAGACCCATTGGCACTCTGGATAAATCCAACCCGGTTCCCCGCCAGCGCGTTCGTCCGTGATGTAAATGTACGTGATGATGCCCGTTTCCTTGATGTGCTTGCGCATAAAGTCCTCCGGTAGCGACGCCTCCTCGTCGGACTCGCGAATGACGCACTCAAAGGGGTCTTCGTTGGTCGTCAACCCGCCAGCAGCCGTGTTGTCCAGCATGCTTGGGTACGTCGACTTGTCGGCGGCACGCTTGGGTACCCAGATACGAAAGTCATAGCGGCTCTTATCGTCAATGCGACGGACGAAGGCTGTCATGTGTATGCCGTAGCGCGCAAATCCAAACAACCCCACGGCAACTCGCTCGACGCTGAACAACAGTTCACCCTTTCGGCCGTAGACGGGGAAGGGCTCGTCGCGCCATCCCTTGAGGATCAGGAATGTCCGATCCCGGCGCCAGTGTGCCGTCAGCCGGGCGACGAGGTGGGTGCGCTCTTCTTCAGTGGCTGGCTCATGGAATAGCCTAATCGTCCTGGCATCATGGTCGAGCTTCATTGGGCCCCTGATATCCTCGGCGGTCTTCTCCAGGGCCTCGATGACTGACACTGGCACATAGCCGATTGGGAATGTTCCCTCACTGTCCGTCCATGTGAAAGTGTAGAGTCTTTTCATCTCTTCCGAGTACCGCGAGGGGTCTCCCTCAGGGTATGGGAACCTAGATATGTGTAAGCGGGGGGTTCTGCATCAAGATATGAGAGTCACCGCCTCATTCCAAGAGCCGGCATGCCCCGATGATAAGAAGCTATGATACCGGAACTTGGAGAGAAACCATAAAATATCATGAAGACCAGGCTTACCCATCGACTTTGTTCAGTAAATCCAAAACGGTCAGGGGAGGCGCCATGATTGAGGTTTCGACAATCTTAAGTGCTGGGCTTGAGTAGGTTGTGCCCGGTTGCTCGGGAGGGGTCTATAAAACGAGGAACGGGAAGATTGGTGGTTCAATTATAGAGCGGGATCACAAACTCGTAGATCTTGACATGGAACCAAAGACACAAGAGAGAAAAATAGGGGTGTGGTTAGATAGAAGGTGGAGAGAACGTGGCCTTCTTGCGTGTCTAAAACCTCCGAGTGCCTCCACCTGCAGAGTCTACGAAGTACAGATTACTTTTTGTGGTATCCGATCCGACTGGTTCGACTGATGTTTTGTGCCAAAATACCCTAGTCTGGTAATCCGACGACATTTGGACACCATTAACCCCTGATACTGAATGGTAATAGTCGGGAATATGAAAAACATTACCTACCTAATTAAGATTTCCAAGTTATTTGACTTCATGACATCCAATCCGTCGTTTGCTGGGTGACGACCCCGCGGACCCCGCCATGACCCTGGGAAGGCCCTGGTGCTTAAAAGTCCCGGCGATGCTTGGCGGCATCCCGTGGATCACTCTCGAACCTGGCAGGGACTTCGACTGCGGTAAGAGGGGAACGACAACAATAAAACGTCGAGACAAAGGCTGGCCCATTAAATACACTAAAATAACAATACGATCCGGAGACGGTTAGATATATAATCATCAATACCCTGCTAGCAACACGCAACATTGGTCAAAAGCACCACACGTGGGGAGACTCTCCTGAAGACCGTCGATGAGAGTATAAACCCGGGTGACTGACAGAAGGGTATAAATTCTCCCTCCTGGTCAGGTAGTTTCCACGGCAACGACGACGACGACGACGACGACGACGACGAAGAAGAAGGCCAACCACCACCACCACCACCACCACCAAAATGGCCACCCCCCTCTTCGGCCTCCTCCCCGCCGGCTACCCAGTCATCACCACCCCGACACAAACCCCCTCCCCAACCAGCTTCATCTACGCCTTCCCGCCGACCCGGCCCTTCTCCCACATCGCCGTCTTCTTCCTCCCCGACGCGCCCCGGAACGACCAGACCGCGGCCGCCATCTACCTCATCACCCCGCCCTCGCCGGGCCAGGTGGAGCCCAACCACAAGTTCCTGGGCGGCATCGGGCAGGGCAAGGACAGCGCCATCTTCAAGCTGGGGCCGGCGGCAGCCGGAGGAGGGGACGGCAGCGGCGGGAACGTGGTGATCGGGGTGTCGCTGGAGCCGGCCGAGTCGGTGGGGGCGCGGGTCATGGAGCTCTCCGCTGCTGCTGCTGCTGCTGGTGCGTCGTCGGAGGGTTCGTCTTCTGCGCTGGTCCGGCAGCAGCAGCAGCAGCCGAGTACGTTGGTGCTGGCGCAGCGGATTATTAAGAACGCGTTCAACTTTTTGGCGGGGTTCAGTGGCACGGCGGGACAGGTGGAGGTGGTGCCGCTCAAGGCGTTTGAGGAGTGGTGGCGGAAGTTTGAGGGGAGGGTGAGGAGTGATCCGGGGTTTCTGGAGAGGGATGATTGAGGGAGTGAAAGGTAAAGGGGTGGTGGGGAGGGTTTGAAAGGTGAAAGGGAGGGAAAGGGTCGGAAAGGGAGCTCAGGATGTTTATCTTGGGCTGATTTCATCTACAGATGGGAGGAGGGGAAGGGAGCACTGGCGGGCAGGGAGAAAAACAAAAGAGTTGTCATGGAGTGTATTCTCTAGACATGTATCATAGTAACCGTAACCTCGTCAGACGCGGATACAAAAACCTTCGTCGCAAGTCGACCGGCAACGAACCCCATATGACGCCAAGTTGAGTCCGGAAATGACAGCCGGTCTTCGCCGTCCCAGAAGAAGAAACCATACTCCTACTCCCGCCTGCTATGCCTGCTGTACCCTGCACAGAAGAAGACAAACAATACTAAAAGTTTTAGTCAACCACGCCAAACAATCCACACCGACAGAAGAAGCAGAACAATACTAAAAACATAACCTCTCACACAACAGCAGCAACAGTATCCTTCCACACACACACCAGCCGTACATTCCGACAACCCTATGTCTCCTGCAGCGGCGACATCAAAGGGCTCTTCATTCTCGTCGGGCTGCCCGCCCTACTCCTCCTGCCGACGCCGGACAGCGCCAGGTGCGGCGGCAGCGTCAGCCGCTCGCGGCTCTCGGTGCGCACGACCAGCCCGCTGCGGTCCAGCGCCGACACGGTCGGCGATGCCAAGCCGTGGTGGTAATGATGGTTGACAACCTGCGGGGTAGCCAGCCCGGACGAGTGGCCGAACCGCCTGGACGACGCCGCCGACTTGGAGCTCGACGACAGCGCGTCGCTCGAGTCCGAGTACTCGTTGGCGTCGTCCGAGTCGACGTCGCCCAGCTCGAACTGGCTGGCCTCGCCCTCCTCCATGACGCGCTCGTACGTCGCGCCGCCCGACGGCCGCCGCGCGCCCCGGAAGATCTTGGTCGCCAGCCCGGATAGGCCGCGCGCCCCGCCGCTGCCCTTGCGCCCGTTATTCCCTGGCCTGCGGGGCCGGCGCAGAATCGAATTGACGCGGCTGTAGAGGCGCATGCGCAAGTCACGCTTGCGGAAAAAGTAGAGGAGGAGGAGGAGGAGGGCGACGAAGGCAAAGAAGCCGGTTATGGGCCTGGACTTGGCCTTGTCGAGGATGTCTTCGGCGTCGAGGTCCCAGTCGTCGTCGTCGCTTGTCTGGTTGCCCATGGATTTCCAGCTGGACCCGGCAAACTGGAAGTCGGGAGGGGTTCCCACGACGTTGGTTCCAAAGCCTACGGGATGCCTGTCATCACGGGTGGCTGGCGGTACTTGCCCGGCGGCGTAGAGGACCATCTTCCCCAGCGTCCAGCTTACTTCAATGCCGTTGATCTTGTCGACTGGCTGAAATGGGTCGAGGAATCCCTTCTCCTTGGCGTGCTCGAGCGCGCCTTGAGAGATATTTGCCGTCGTGAGTTCTTCAAGTCCAACTCGGGGAACGCCAATCCCTTCATGGAGGACATTGATCAGCCAGGAAGCTTTGAAGCACGCCTCCTGGGCAATCTTCCCCTGATCCTTTTTCCGACTGTTGATCTTGGCATTGATCTGATTCCAATCCTGCCCGCAGAAGTCCTTAACCCTCTGTTGATAGGTCGCAAAGTCGTACGCCTTGTCGTCCTTCCCGCCAAAAACCCCGTGCGTCGTATGCCAGTACTCCGACACGCCGACGAAATGATTCACATCAAAGTCGATGGCCGGAACATGTTGGCCGTTCAGCAAACAGGGGTTGTCATCGCATGGCTTGTCCTTGCCGAGTAGCGGGTGGGTCAGTTGTAGGCACTCGTCGAAATGCCCGGTGCCAATTAGGGTGGGTGTGCCTCGTTGCCGCTTGCTGATTAAGTCTCCACGCAGAGTTGTTCGTAACCCTTTCGGTAGACATGGATCGGGCAGTTCAGCTTCGGTCTCCGCGTACCGGTCCTCAAGGTTCTTGATATAGGACTCCCGCGCTTGGTTGACGCCAAAGCCTAGCCAGGTCGTGGTGAAGACCTTGTATTCAGCCGGATACCCATCGAGAGTGCGCAACCGTAGGAGCTTGAGATCGTCTGCGTGCTTCTCGGCCTCAGTCGCGTTCGGCGCAAAAGCGATCTGCGCCGATGCGCCGCCCATATCCAGAAACCCATAAGTGTGGTGGCCCTTGCCGTGTTGGTGGTTGTCAGGGTGGTCGAACCCGCCCAAGAGATAGTTCGACGCGATCCAGCCGTACAGTCCTTCCGTTTCGCCCTTGATGACTTGAATGTGCAGGTCGCAGTCGGGTAGCGAAAACTGGGTATTTCGTCGGAGATAGGAGCAGATTTCGCCCGTCAACGCTGACTGTTGGCCTTGCGGGAGTAGTCGCATCCCGGCGGTCGCCATGAGAAATATGGGCGTGTCTTGAATCTTGTCCGCGGGAATAATATCTAACGCGTGGTCAAGGAGAAGCTGTAGGTGCTCTGGTCCGACATCCTCCACATTGTCACCGAACGTCGAGACACCGGGTCTGATCTTCTTGGTCCACTTCTTCTCTGTCACAAGCTTTGGTAGATTGCGCAACTCCTCCTGCGACGCGCCTTTGAGCGACTTCTTCGGATCCTTCCATTTGTAAATGTGTAGCCGAGTTCCAGACGAGCCGGCGTCTAGGATGACGCCCCATCGCCACTTCTTACCCATGGGAGGATGTTGCGAGGGCGCGCGTCGGGAGCTCGAGTTGGGACTCGGGTGGGTAAACGTGGGCAACGCTGACCACACTCGACTTTCGTACGGATAATTGTTGACCGTTGGGTGATTATGGCAGTCTCGCGGTGCGCGCAAACATCGAATCCATACGAAACTCGACGAGGGTGTTGAGCGCCAAGGGGGTCGAGACCCAAACGAGCGGATACGAAGGGAAAACAAAGTTTCAACCTAATTTGAAAACGGTAACTACAACTCGGCAAAGCGCATGGTGTTGAGGTAACGAGAGTGGTTTCGAGGAATTGTCGTTAAACGAAGGTACACAGCCCAAGCGGCTGAGTCGAATTGAATTGGTGGGAAATGCTTGTTGGAAGATTGCCCATCGCACTTTCTTTGGAGGACGGGACACTTCCTAGGAAGCACGTCCGATAACGTCAGGGGGGCGGCGAATCATGCACTGGGAGACTGGTGGCCCGCCGCTAGCGTGTTTTTCCATGAGCTGCTGTGGATCAGGATGGATCGTCTCAATCGTCTGCGGAAGGACGTTGGCCAAGCGCGAAACAAGTGGGGGTTGCAACGGCACACTGCAGAGATAATTAAATCCAAACTGCCATGCTGCTGTTTGCGGGCTAGATCTGCTGGTGTCGGCACAACCGTTTTGGATGCACCAAGACACCATCGCTAACACTTAATTCACATGCGTCGAAGTTGTTCCGGCGGTGAAAGTCATCTCGCTCCGGCCCATTGTCAGCAAAACCGAAGACGGATGCGCAGTTCTGACGCAAATAACCGCCGACACGTAAGCACCCCGCCTTCAGCCCCGTCCCCCACGTTTCGCAAGGCCTGGCCCTCCGAGGCGGCTCCAAGTTCTTCTCGGATGTTGCCAAGGCAGCCAGTTCCTGCAGTATGCGTAGAAATCAAGTTGGTCAATGCAACATTGCTCGTATTCCGATTGAAACGCCGCCATCAAGTGCAAAGTGAGAGATATTGGCAGCCCCTCACAATGCCGCCGGCTGGCGGTTGCTATCATCCGGAAATGACTGCACTGCTGTGGAAAATGTCTGGATTTCCTTTGTTGAGGTGGGTCCTCGAGTTATGGCCGGGTATGACGTTCGGACAATCGGACAAGGGCCTTGCTTTGAGCCACCCGTCGTCCCATTTGGCATGGACTTGGCATGGTCGCTGACAGAGCGGCCTGCGGACCGGAAGCACCACGGAGCTTCTGTCAGAGGAAGGCCGGGAATGATGTGCTGGCATCGCACCGGACGAGAACGAACTCTGCTCATTGAATCGTCTCGGCCAGGCAACCGACAAGGACGCGATTGGCATTCTTTGAGGCCTGGATGCCTTTCTCGACGAGGTTTGTGTAAAGGTCAATGTCGGAAGCAGGTAGGTCGCCCCTAAACCAGAGGTTCGTCACCTCATCCCGGGTTGGTAGGTACGCGATGCAGCAGGCTGCTAGGATTTTCTCGTGCTCAGAGGGTATGGGATCGACCACAACGGTTGGGATAGAGTCCTCGCCGGCGTCTTGAACGAGAGCAGCAACCCCCCCCGCGACTGTGTCAACACAGTCGATGCCCGCATCGGCAAGGGCGGCTGCCGCCACGGTAATGCACCCGCCCAGGGCATTCATCATATCCCAAACCTCGTCGCCCTGTAACTGGGACGTTTCCCGGTCTTGGTCCCCTTCCACGATGGAGATGATGATGTCGACACCGCTCTTGGGCCACCGATCGGCAATGATGGCACCGCGCAGAGCGGCCTCGAGGTGAATACCAAGGTCCCGCTCGCTAGGATCACGAAGATATCCGCGCCTCTGCTTCGTTGCAAACGGAGCGTATTTGACGTGGGTGGACAAGACGATGTGGGGGGAGAAGGGGGCGGATCTCGGAAGTGATCTTGGTCCGTGAACGGAGCAGCTGAGTTTCAGTCCGGAGACACCAGGTGTTGCAGAAGTCTCAATCTCTAGGTAGGCAGATCCAGATGCTGAAGGAGTCACACCGGTCTTGAGATCTGCACAGAGTCAGCGCAGCTCAACGAAAAGGAGAGGGAAGATACGTACACATTTTCCGAGTCGCATTCGCAGGACGCGACCTGCTCTTAATAGACTTGGGTCCTCGGGTGCTGGCATCGTCAAACACTGGGGGTATTGTGGCACCGGCAGGGCCGTTGATGCGTCTCCTATCCGCCATGGTCGACTCTGAAAATTAGGCAGGGAGTGAACTTGTTTGGTGGGTTTGAAAGAAGATTGAAGATTTTGGGCGTCTCTTCGGAGGTGGCGTTGCTGGGGCTTTAAAGACGAAGTAAACGGCTGGAATGAATATCCAACTTCGTGATAAAACCGGTGAGAAGAAGAATGGGGGTTGCTTGTTAAGCCCTATTGTTGTCTGGTTGGTAGGTAGCCTCAGTCGAGAATCCAATCTTTCAGTCGCTCATTGAAGAATGGATGCGAGCCTCAATTCAGATCGGATGAGCCACAACTGCCGCAGCGCAAGCCACTTCTCAACGCTCGGGCCACACAACTGCCCCACCATTCCACCAAGGTTTTAACTGAAAATTTATCGGCCTCTGGCTTCGTTCCCTTTCCAAAAAAAACATCGCGGGCCACATGGCGGCTGATAATGCACGATGGGCACACGTCCGCTCACAGGAAGTGATTACGGCGTCTACTGCCGAGCATTAGTTGCTTGAGGGACGACCGACCTCTTGGAGCTTTGCCCGGCGGCAGTCGCGTAACCGCTCACCTGGGTGCTCGTCGCATCGAGCTGGAGCTGTACCCGTCCGCGAACGATGTTCGAGGTCTTCGACGCCTTCGTGTGCTTTCACTAACCGCCGACCAGCTCGCCATGGCTTACCATTGATCAGTAAGTCCGACCAGTCTCGGTTTCGTTTACCCCCCCACCCCTTCCATGATGATCTCCTATCCACTGTTCACGCGATTTCTCTGAGCGAACGAACTACATGCACTACCATCTGACACGAATCATTTGATACATTTATCATACCGTCGTTTATTTGTGTCAACAGTTGACTGACATGGCGGCAGTGTGTACATCGACGATCTGACCTTGGCGTTGCCTTGACAAGGAACAAACTTGATGGCGAGGTAAGACGAATTCTTTTTTCCACGTCGTCACTTACCTCCATGATGAGAACCTTTCAATTCAGTTCTGCTTCTGAACAAGAATGAAGATACCCCTATACCAAAATAACCTCTGATATGACCCTTATTTCCATCTTTTAGAGTCCTGCAATTTGTCATTGAACACTGGCTGACTCTACTCAAGCTACTCAAGTTACCTCTAGTCTCACTCGGGACAACCTTTAAGAAGCCCTCGAGTCCCACATTAAGCAACGGTATGCATGGTGGTGCTGCGCTGCTTCCTTTCCTTCCACCCTGATGACCATAGCTTATCCATTCAACGATATGTACGGGCCGAGCCTTCCATCCGCACTCTAGCATTCTCGGGATCTTCCTCGGGGGTGTGATGATGAGTTGTGGTGTTGTTCCTCCGGGGACGTAATTAAGCTTCCGTTGTTCGGGTTTGGCGTGCACCGTTATGGTGCATGTCAGGTCGAGCCGGCTGCGTAGGGCTGAGTTAAAACGGCTTGACTGATACTGGATTCTTCACGATGTTTTCATGCTGTTCCCGGTACAGGATGATCGCTGACGATTTACCAGGTCCCAGGTTTCCGCATTTACTGTTGATGTTGTTTCCCGTGCCTCCCGGGCGATCAGGGGCTGCTGCGAGGTAAGTGGAGGCATGCCAACCCGGCCTCTGCCCTTGTAGTTCCATCAGGTCAATGAGCACATTTGCGAAAATGGAGGTCTCTGAAGATAGTTATTTGATCAATAAAAATGTTAAAATGAACCACCGCGTCCTCCGCGTGATTTGGGGATGGCGATCTTTTTCGAGTAACTCCAGTTTCTTTCCCGTGCCGGATGATTTTCCGTTTCGTTAAGACTGTGTACGTACTTCGTACAGTCGAGGTTTGGTCGATATCCCATTTGGAGCCCTGCTTTTTTTACCCATGGAGAAAAAGGACGTGGTTGTATCAGAATTCTTCCATCTGCAAGTTGGTGGCACGCACGTCGGTAGTGAGGTGTCCAAGAGTTGGTACGGCGCCAAGCCTTCCGGACCGTTTTCCAGAAACGAAACGCCAGGGAGGTGAAAGCTGGGACGAACGAACACCTTTTCCTTTTAACTTTTTGTACGACGCGCTTGCGATTGCACCCTCCACGACGACATCAGCCATGCGCTGACACCCGACGACCCTAAGATTCAACCGATTCCACTAAAATTCGATCGAAATTCCTTGCGGGAGGACAGCAGGGCGAGTGCGTACACTGCAGCAGGCGCATGTACGAAGGGGCAAGCCTCCTGTTGGGTGCTGCACCTCTTAGACCCTCCGCGCACAAGCAATGCTGCCGTTCGCATCGTCGGGGTCCAAGGTGACCCCTAGAAATCATGTCGGCGGTTATTCGAATGGGTACCCGCGGGGGAAGACCTTCGACATCTCTCCTCACAGGTGTGTGCTTCCGCCCCTTTCATCCCCCTCCCCCTCGCATCGCCATCCCGTGTCACCCGGCCCAACCAACAACCTCAGCTGGACAAAATGCTAACACGCACCCCTTCCCCAAACCTGCAGATACCAACCGCGCGGCACAACCCCAACCAACCGCCGACGAACCCAATCCCTCGTGCGCATCGGCGTCGTAGCGGCCGTCCTCTTCTTCCTCGCCCTCTACGTCTTCGCCCGCGGCGGAGGCGACGGCTCCTCCTCCTCCTCGTCGTCGTCGGTGCTCTCGATCTTCTCGCTCGGCCTCCTCTCGTCGGGCGGCGCCGACTTCGAGCTCGAGACGGTGCGGTACCACGACCTGTCCAACGTGCAGGGCACGGCGCGCGGCTGGGAGCGCGAGGAGCGCATCCTGGTCTGCGTGCCCCTCCGCGACGCCGAGGCCCACCTGTCCATGTTCTTTTCGCACCTCAAGAACTTGACCTATCCGCATAACTTGCTCGACCTCGCGTTTCTGGTGTCGGATTCTAAGGATAATACGATGGGCGTGCTGGTCAAGAACTTGGAGGATATTCAGGCGGCGGAGGAGGAGGAGATGCATTTTGGGGAGATCTCGATTATTGAGAAGGACTTTGGCCAGGTGGTGAACCAGGATGTGGAGAGTCGCCACGGGTTTGCTGCGCAGGCCGGGAGGAGAAAGCTTATGGCCAGGGCGAGAAATTGGTTGTTGACGGCGGCGCTGCGACCGTACCATTCGTGGGTGTACTGGCGTGATGTCGATGTTGAGACGGCGCCGTTTACGATTTTGGAGGATCTCATGCGGCATAACAAGGACGTCATCGTCCCGAGTGAGTCCCTACCTACCTGGGAGGCGGGGTTGTTTTGTTGCCCGAGTGCTAACAGCTTTTTTTTTTTTTTTACAGATGTGTGGCGTCCATTGCCGGAATGGCTAGGTGGAGAGCAACCGTACGATCTGAATTCGTGGCAGGAGTCTGACACAGCCCTGACGCTCGCCGATACGCTCGATGAGGATGCTGTTATTGTGGAGGGCTATGCCGAGTATGCCACTTACCGGCCGCATTTGGCGTACCTTCGAGACCCCTACGGCGACCCCGACGTGGAGATGGAGCTTGATGGCGTTGGTGGTGTGAGTATCTTGGCCAAGGCCAAGGTATTTCGCTATGGCGTCCATTTCCCGGCATTTAGCTTCGAGAAGCATGCTGAGACCGAGGGGTTTGGCAAGGTAGGCTTTGGCCCGGTCTCTGGGGTTTGCACTTTGGCTAATCCGGCGATAGATGGCGCGAAAGATGGACCTCTCCGTCATCGGACTGCCTCACTACACCATCTGGCACGCGTATGAGCCCAGTGTGGACGATATCAAGCACATGGAGGTAAGTGTTGATTGATGTTGGCTGGCTCGGCGACAGATGCTAACATACTCAGCAAATGAAGCGGGAGCAACTTGCCCAGGAGGAGGCAGAGAAGGAGAAGGCGGAGAAGGCTAAGAAACTGAAAGAGTCATTCGGCGATGCCACCGGACAATGGGAGAGGGACAAGGTGGAAATGCAGAACATTGTTACTCAGGAGAAAAAGAAGGAAGCCGCCGCCGCCGCCGCCGCTGCCAATGACAAAGCTGGCTCTGATGCCCCGGGAGGCAAGGTGGTAGAGAAGGTCGTTGCGAGATAAGGACCGCAGGCGGACGGAAAAACATGAATGACCACCCTCATGGCGGCGATTGTCTTGTCACCATTTCCTATTTTTCTACAGTGTTCCAGGAGGCAAGCATCCGAGGGAGGGGAGGCTATAGGCGCGGTCTCAAAACCGCGCCGTTGCGCATTCATTGCATGTCGGACGGGAAAGGAGAGACAAAAGGAAGCAACTTTAATATTGTCGTGTACGACTAGATCTCATGGCTGGGGCGTTTTTGGGGATTGGCTAGGGCAATGACTGGATCATGGATTACAGGAAGGTCAAGGAGAAGAGATGGCTGTTTTGACACCTAGATACCTTGAGAAGTCTCTTTTTTGTGCCTTTTAAGCATGCCAGACCCGTTGGGGTCTTCTGGGTATCTCTTCGTCTTCCTTGTGCATTTCAGGGGCACCTGGAAGCCGCGGGGCGGCGTCCGCGTTTAACCGAATCAAAAGTGCCTGATTGGCTCGCGCCCTGGCAAAGTGTCCAGAGGATCGCAACATGGGTACCAGGGGAGCACGGAGCTCCATTCAAGGATGGCATTTACAATTGACGACTCCGAGGGCCAACACGCTACTTACTGAGAGTGGAGTCATTTGCTTGGACAGTTCACAGAGTCGCAAAGGCAAAGCTGTTGCTAAAAAAGTAAAAAAGTAACCGTTTGGCCAAACTGTCGTTTGTTTGGTTTACTTTCCCGTCTTTTTTAGTTGTGCGGACCATTTTCGGGGTTCAATCCGTTGACCCGTGGCACCGTCACAAGGGCATTTTGTCCCCATCCTCCTTCGACTTCGACATCGACACACCCTCTCCGTTTTAGCTCACAACCTTGACTACCGCCCTCCAGACCGGCAAACCGGAAGTGCTGCCTCTCGGGTCACCGCCGGTACTAGAAACGCAGTTGCGCCTCCAGAATGAGCCGAGATGCGCAGCTCAGCACGCCCATAATGGACCCGACCATCGCAGCAACACTTGGGACGTCTACCCCTCGGCGGAACCCTCTACTCTCCACGCGCATGCAGTATCGCAGCCGCCCCGTCTCGATAGCCGTCGACCCGGTGTCACTCGTTATATCCGAGTGCATATCCATCACCTCGGCCATCCAGAAATATGCCCGCTCTCCGCACTCGTCCGTCTCCGCCATCCTCGGCGGCAGCCCCAACCTCATCCAGCTCGTCCCGCCCACCGCCGGCGCCCGCCGTACACGCAAGCCTGCCCCCGATGCCGCGGCGGACGGTGTTGACGATCTGGCAGCGACAAACAGGTGGGGGTTGCGCGGGAAGAAGGGCAAGAGCATGCAGGACAACCCCCTGATCTCGGGGTTCGGGAGGCTCCGGCAGGAGTTGGCGGGGGTCAAAGGTACGTATTTGTTGTGGATGGACATGTACGGGTGACAGGAGGAAATGCTGACTGAAAACTGCCAGACCTTCACAGGTTCGACTCCCTCGTACTCCTCTACCCGTTCCTCCAGATCATCCAGGCCAAGGGCACCGCTGCCCCCGTTACGATCCTCGCGCTGAGGGCGATACAAAAGTTCCTGGCCTACGGCTTCGTCGCACCCGCCTCACCCCGCTTCGCCCTCGCCATGCAGTCTCTCTCGGCGGCCATCACCCACTGCCAATTCGACATTAGCGACTCGGCGCAGGAGGAGGTGGTGCTGCTCATGATTCTACACCTGATGGAGGACATGCTGTCCGGGCCGGGCGGGGATATCCTCAGCGACGAGAGCGTGTGCGATATGATGGGGCGCGGCTTGACCATTTGCTCACGGCCGCGATTCTCGGAAGTGCTACGCCGGACCGCTGAGGCTTCGATGGTGCGCATGGTGCAGATCATCTTTGAGGACTTGAAGCATCTGGAAGAGGAGGCCGGCGACGAGAGTGAAGCGCTGGACCGGCAGACGAGCGGGGATATGGACACCGTCAACATGGACCCGGCCGCGAATGGAACCGATGTCCCGGCAACCGTCCCGGAAACGACGGAGGAGACCGTAGAGACGGCAGCTGTGGAAGCCGTGGAGGCCACCGCCTCTGGTGAGGCTGGTGAGGCTGGTGAAGCTGGTGAGGCCAGTGGGGTTGGCGAGGCCGGTGAGCCTGACGAAGCGAAGGAGTCATCTACCGGACCGAGGCCGTCGTCAAGCTCGGAGAAGGAGAGCATCCCTTCGGAAACACCCAGGGGCCCCAGTGCGGAGGCTGGTCGGCCAAGCACGAGCTCGGCCGCCGAAAGCGCTTCCTCTGTCGACCTCCGTCCCTACTCTTTGCCCTCGATTCGGGAACTTTTCCGCGTCCTCGTGACCTTCCTCGATCCCCACGACCGAAAACACCCCGACCAGATGAGGGTCATGGCCCTGCGGATCATCCATGTGGCGCTCGAAGTAGCAGGCCCATCGATTGCCCGACACCCCGCCCTGGCATCGATCGCAGAAGACCAACTGTGCTGCTATCTTTTCCAGCTCGTGCGGTCCGACAACATGGCTGTCCTCCAGGAGGCGTTGATCGTGGCCGGCACGCTGCTTTCGACTTGCAGAGGGGTTCTCAAACTACAACAAGAGTTATATCTGTCGTATCTCGTGGCCTGCCTCCATCCGGCGGTGGAGATTCCGCGGGAACCGGGCATTGACCCAAGCCTATACTCCGGTATCCCACAATCCCCCAAGTTGGTCAAGCCGCCGCCGTCGCAAGCCGGCAGTGGCCGGTCTACTCCTGTGGCCGTCAAAGACCGACAGAAACTGGGGCTCGAGGGTGGCGCTCGGAAACCAGACGCCAGGCAAGCCATGGTGGAGAATATCGGCGTGCTTGCGCGGATGCCAACCTTCATGGCCGAGCTGTTTGTCAACTACGACTGCGACGAAAACCGTGCAGACCTCTGCGAGGACCTGATTGGGTTATTGTCCCGGAGCGCCCTGCCCGACTCTGCCACCTGGAGCACAACAAGCGTGCCCCCGTTGTGTCTGGATGCGTTGTTGCGCTTTATCCAGTTCATCGCCGAAAGGCTAGATCAAACTCCCGACCTGGATGGATATCCTGACCCGGGAGAGTTGAGAGAGAGGCGGCGCAGGAAGAAGCTCATCATCAAGGGCACCGGCAAGTTCAACGAGAGCCCCAAGGGCGGGTTGGCCTATCTGCAGGATAAGGGCGTGATCGAGGACGCTGCCGATCCGCTGTGTGTTGCAACGTTTTTGCAGGGAACTTCCAGGGTGAACAAGAAGATGCTTGGCGAGTTTCTGTCGAAAAAGGGGAACGAAGCTGTCCTGGATGCGTTTATGAAGCAGTTTGATTTCACAGGCAAGCGGGTAGACGAAGCGCTCCGACTCATGCTGGAAACGTTCCGCCTCCCCGGCGAGTCGGCGTTGATTGAGCGCATCGTAAACTCCTTTACGGAAAAGTATTGCACCAGCTCGGTCCCGAAAGGGGTGGCAAACAAAGACGCCGTCTTCATCCTCACATATGCCATCATCCTTCTCAACACGGATCAGCACACTCCTACGCTGAAGAACAGGTCGCGTATGACGTTTGAGGACTTCTCGCGCAACCTTCGCGGGCAGAACGACGGCGAGGATTTCGCCCCTGAGTACTTGCAGGACATTTTCGACACCATCAGGACCAACGAGATCATCCTCCCGGACGAGCATGATAACAAACACGCATTTGATTACGCCTGGAAGGAGCTCCTCCTAAAGACGGAGGAGGCGGGCCCGCTGGTACTCTGCGACACCAACATCTACGACGCCGACATGTTCGCCACGACGTGGAACCCTATCGTGTCTTGTCTCTTCTTCGTCTTCATGTCGGCCACGGACGACACCGTCTATGCGCGCGTCATCACCGGCTTCGACGAGTGCGCGCGCATCGCGACGAAATACGGCAACTCGGAGGCGCTCGACGAGATCATCTACCGGCTGAGCTACATCTCGACTCTCGGCAGCGAGGCGCTCGCCAACACGTCGCTCAACACCGAGGTGCAGGTGGGGGAGAACAGCGTCATGGTCAGCGAGCTGGCGGTCCGGTTTGGGAGGGACGTCCGGCCGCAGCTGGCGACGCTGGTGCTGTTCCGTGTTGTTACCGGCTCGGAGCATGTCATCCGAAAGAGCTGGAAGCATGTAAGTTTGCTGGTGTTTGCAAGAAGTGTGCCGTTGCCGTGCTAATGTGGACCAGATTATCCGTATATGGCTCAACCTTTTTGTCAACTCGTTGATACCCTCGTTTTTCTCGACCGAGGCCGACAAGCTTGCTCTGCCAGCGATCCCGTTGCAACCGCCATCGCAGGTGATTGACCGGGGTGCGAAGCAGAGCGAGGCTGGTTTCTTCTCGGCATTCACCTCGTATATCTCGAGTTATGCGGCTGATGACCCTCCTGAACCGTCGGATGAGGAGCTCGAGAGCACGTTGTGCACCGTCGACTGCGTGAACCAGTGCCACATGGGCGATGTGTTCGCCAATGTTGCGTAAGTTCCAATATCCTGCGTTTATGGTACGTGGAAAGTCCATCTAACATGGTGCAGACACCTTCCTAGCCATAGTCTGGAGGCTCTGGTGGACACCCTACTCGACCAAATCCCCGAGGACAATGGGTCAACCGTCATCACGGTCAAGGCGGAGAATATTCCTCCATCCCAGGTCAACGGGCAGAAACCGAGGCAGAGCAGCGCGCTGTACGACCCTGCGTTGGTGTACATTCTTGAATTCTGCACCGTCCTGGCGCTGCGTGACGACAGCACCATCGAACTGCTTGGGAAGCGCGTAGTGGAGGCCATCCAAACTATCCTCCGGGATGTACCGCGGTACCACCCGATTCTTATTGAGCGGGCCACCTTTTTCCTCTTCAACCTCCTCCAGGCGAGCTATGTGAGTTAACTCCCAAGTTTGTCGGCAACATGTCTGGCTGACCATGACCAGGACTATGACTACGTCCGGGTTCCCATCCTTCTTCACACCGTCTCAAGCTTCCCCAACGACACATTAACCAAGGCGTCGGGCCTCGTGCTGCGCGGCCTCAGGCTCTGCACCGAGAAGCCCTGCCCTCTACGGAATGAGATCATGACATCGCCCGATTTCTGGGTGATCCTGCAGACCCTGGCCACGGATGGCGACGCGGCGCCCGCCGTGTTTGAAATACTCCATAACGGCGTCTCGGAAACGCCGTCGGCCATCATGGCGGATAACTACGAGGCAGCGCTCGCGCTACTGAACGAGTTTGCCTCGATGGCCAGTGTTGGTGCCGTCGCGGAACAGGAGAACGATCGGAAGCAGGGACGAAAGGGCGGGCGGCCTGTCAAGCATGAAAAGCCGAGGTGGGTTCTTCGCACCGGGCGCGTCGAAAGAATATCGGGTTGCTGACACTAAAAAGTGAAAATTCCGTTGTCGAGCGCGGCGTCAAGGCGCTCAACAACATCTACCGCATGACGGAGCGCATCCCCCACCTCATGAAGCAGTCACATCTCGAGAGCAGCGAAGGTGCGCACCACTCCCATCCCACCCGTCGCCTGGACATACCCGGCGCAGCCGCAGGTTCACTAACACCCACCCCAGCGTGGTCCGCCTACTGGCTCCCGGTCTTCCAGGCGCTCACAACGCAGTGCACCAACCCGTGCCGGGAGATCCGGCACCTGGCCTTCAGCTCGCTGCAGCGGTCCCTCCTCTCGCCGGACCTGACGTCGGCCAAGGAGGAGCACTCGGAGTGGACGGCCATCTTCGGCGAGGTGCTCTTCCCGCTGATCCTGCGCCTGCTCAAGCCCGAGGTCTTCTCGTCGGACCGCGACGGCATGAGCGAGACCCGCGTCCAGGCCGCCTCGCTGCTGTCCAAGGTCTTCTTGCAGTACCTGGTTGTGCTGTCCGAGTGGGAGGGCATGCTGGATCTGTGGGTTAAGATTATTGAGATCATGGACCGGTTGATGAATAGTGGGCAGGGGGATAGTCTGGTACGTTTTACCCGCTAGATCGATGATGGGATGGAGTGGGCTGTGGCTAACGTGTGCTGTGTGTGTGTTTTAGGAGGAGGCTGTGCCCGAGAACCTCAAGAACGTGCTCCTCATCATGTCGAGCAACGGATACCTCGTGCCGCCGAGCAAGGACCCGTCGAAGGAGGAGCTGTGGAACGAGACGTGGAAGCGGATTGATCGGTTCCTGCCGAACCTGAGGGCGGATCTCGCCTTGGAGGAGGAGCCTGTGGCAGAGGCACCGCCGCCTTCTGCTGGTCTGCCGCCCCCTTCTGCCGGTCTGCCGCCGGTAGCAGCCGCTGGGGAAACAGAGACTGCTACGACGGAAGAGGCTACTTGATGAAGGGAGAGGAGGTTTTGGTTTAGAGAAGGGAGAGATACCAGGAGATCTGCTCGAGGCCGCATTTGTTGGAGTTGGCTGAGATGGCTAATTGTGCCGTTAAGCGTAATAGAGTAGAATAGAGAGCATGTCTGACTACATATTGTGTGTGTACCTATGCAGAAGTTCATTCGCGTTGTGCGTGGCATCGTCACTAGGGGGTTCTCTACAGTGTGTATGTACAGTGTTTCCCTAATTACACAGTAAGTATACTGTTTTGCAGCTCATTGCTTGCAATCGATGATCAGAATTCTTAAACAAACATCTCAACTTCACGCTTCTTTCAATTTCAACTCGCCCAACTCGTTTGAACCGACTTCGAGCATATTTGATACGGTTTGAGCTCCTCTCACCTTTGTCAGGGTTTGACTCTACAGGAGGCCGTGTTTGCTGCGCCTGTCGAGTCATCGGGCAACCACGAACGAGTCACAAACAAGGCCCCCAACAGAGAAAATGAGTGTATAAGACGGCAATCCTCAACACCCAAATGCTCGCTCGTTTTGCTCAACCTAGGAAGGTGGTCATATCAAACATCTTTCCTCCCATGAAACGCAAGCTCGATCACTCGTTTTTGGCGGCACAAGCCTCCAACAAGAGAACCACCCCACCAAGTGCTCGCATCACGACCACCACAAAGAGCACCACAAAAACCACCACCAGAGCTCAATCCACAACCACAGCCACAAGTAAAACCACAAGCGCAAAACCCACAACCATGGCCACCGCCACCAACCCCAACCCCACCATCACGCTCACCCCGCGCGAGGAGCAGCTCAAGACGCTGCTCCTCTCGGCCGCACAGGCAATGGACGCGGCCGAACCGGCCCGCCCCCGCCTCGTAGTCCGTTGGGCGGGCGGGTGGGTGCGGGACAAGCTGCTCGGGGTTGGATCGCACGACATCGACACGGCGCTGAGCGCCATGACGGGCGAGGACTTTGTGGACCGGCTGCGCGACTACTGCGACGAGCCGCGGCACCGCGCCCGCCACGCCCTGCTGCCCGACGACGTCGGCCGCCTGCACACGGTGCCGCGCAACCCGGACAAGTCGAAGCATCTGGCGACGAGCACGATCAGGTTGTGTGGGTTGGATGTGGATTTTGTGAATTTGAGAAGGGAGACGTATACCGAGGTGAGTAGGAACCCCGTGGTGGAGTTTGGGACCGCCGAGGAGGATGCCCTGCGCCGCGATGCGAGTGTCAATGCGCTGTTCTATAACCTGGGCACGGGGCGGGTGGAGGACTTTGTTGGCGGGTTGGCGGACTTGGAGGCGGGGTTGATTCGCACGCCGCTGGAGCCGTTGCAGACGTTCTTGGATGACCCGCTGCGGGTGTTGAGGCTCGTGAGGTTTGCGAGCCGGTTGGGGTTCAGGATCGACCCGGCCGCGGAGCAGGTTATGGGCGATGAGAGGGTGCTGGGGAACTTGAAGGTCAAGATCTCGAGGGAGCGGATCGGGGTCGAGCTGGAGAAGATGATGAAGGGTGGGTTTGCTCTACGGCAAAGGCGACTTGCTCTCGGATGATGCTGACTCCTTACAGGCAAGCAACCCGTCGACTCACTCCGGCTGATCGACAGGCTTGGGCTCTACCACGCCGTGTTCACGGACCCTGAGCGGTCGGGCATGCCCAAGCCGGATACAGCGACCTGGAAAACCGCCTACGAGTGCCTGGAGCAGCTCGAGACGAACAAAACGCCCGGCTCCATTTACGACCTGCTCGTCACGAGCGAGGAAGCGCGGTACTACGCCTGGTCGCTGGCAACCCTCACCCCCTGGGAGCAGCTGCCGGATGATCCGCCGCTGAAGTCGGGGAAACCTGCGCTGCCGCTCCCGACGCAGGCAGCGAGGGAGGGCTTCAAAGCACCCAACAAGCTGTCCGACCTCGTCACGGCCGCACACCGTCACCGCCCAGCCATCGTAGCGCTCAGGGATATGGTCCGGGAGAAAAAGGAGGGCCTGAACGAGCGGGACCGGTTCGGCATGGCCATCAGAGACTGGGATGCTCGCGGTGGAAATTGGCGGCTGCAGGTACTTTACGCGGTCTTGGTCGACGTAGCGGAGCGTGTTAAAGTCGCAAAGAAAGTGGGAGACTTTACCTGGGAGGAGGTGCTAGCCGAGTGGCAGCAGTTCCTCGACCACCTTGTGGAGCTGGACGTCATGAATGTTCCTACAATCAAGCGTCTCGTTGATGGAAAGATATTAGCCAAGGCGTTGGGGGTCAACCCTGGGAGGTGGACGGGTCCGGCCTTGGACGTTGCGTTGGCGTGGCAGTTACGGAACCCGGGAGTAGAAGACCCAGCTGGGGGCATCGAGGAGGTGAGGAAGAGGAAAGAGGAATTGGGCATCCCCTGATGCGGAGGCTTGGTGGAGATATGGATGAGCATATTACGAACAAAGACCTCTATACATGAACCAGACTACTCGTCGTGATGTGATTGGAATATGAAGCTCCGTTTCACGATATTTGTATGTTAGTGGTCCGTCTGCAGTGAGAGAAAGAGTATCTTGCCGTGAGCTCTGAGTCAATTTGGCTCCAAGCTCAAAGTGCATATCATGTGTTCATGTCATGTTGTTTGCGCCCTGCGTCTTAAAAAAGTGCGCCAACTGGAAGGGGGGATATCCGACAAAATAGGGGTATGGCTGCTGTAATTACAGCGGTGTTCCAGAGCCGTCCGGACCTCCAGGGTGGAAACGGCGGGACCTTGGATGAACAAGCACCAGAATCTAGCCTTCCCTCCACACAACCTCGACGAAGCCAAACTCAACTTCCACAACACATGTCAATCCAGGAGCCGGACCTGCGACTCAAAAATCGCTTTCTTCAAGGCCATCCAGAAGACTTTAACCGAACCGCCCTCCTCCAATCAAAATGTCGTGGTTCGAGCAGGTCACAGTTGAAGCAGCAAAGGTCCAAAGCTTGGAAGATCTAGAGACGACTGAGGCACGCGACAAACTAGTCCAGCGTATGTTTCACAAGAAACAAAATATTATATTGGACTAGGCAACTAGTTGTTGACAAGTTCCTATCATGCAGATGTACCACAACCATTCACCCTCAAGGGGCTCGCAGATTCCTCAAGGGGACCCTTCGACTTAGCCTCATCCGCAAAATCATGGGTGAGTGAAGGAATCACACCTATACCAATTTCCTCGGCCGATAACAAGACCTAGGAGGTGAGAATGGCGCGGACCCAGCTCCTATCAGTCCTCACTTGTCTACGCTGTAAGGGCCGTATCACCCCTGAGCCGTCGACAGACCACGAGGCAGTAAAAGAACTCGCCCTAAACATCACTAAGCTCATCGCCCCTGTGGTCACCCAAGACCAATCTGAGGGTATGTATGTATGCTGAACCCCTGAGTCGCTTTACTACTGACTCATTGCTTTTCAGTTTCAAACCAGGATCTACTCAAGAACAGTCAGGCTCTCGTCGAGCAGTGCCAGGCGAACTCTGGACTGGGCATCGCCGCCCTCGAAGCGCTCATGAAACAAACCACAACCGCAGTGCGACTCGAAGACGAGGTCTTATACACTCTAGTTGCATACACAGAGAAACCACAAACCGGGGGGGGCCGGGAAACGGAAGCGATTGCGAATCCACTTCTCGAGCAACAATTCAGCATCCCCGACAGTTCTACCAAGGAGCAGTTCCTCACTGAAACCGTGCTCCAAACCTACCTGCGCCCGCTATTCTCCAAGTCCAAGCCGGCGTCCATCACAACATCCGGCCGGAAGGCAGAGTACACGGACAGCGCCCCTAGCAAGGCCGAGAGTATGCCCGACGAATCCGCCGTGACCAAGCCGTGGAAGTACACGGACATGAGAGCCACCCCGGCGGTAGCATGGGCGGTGCGCGAAGCCGACGTAAGTGCATATCATTTATGTTCCGGATGTCTGATAAACTTGGCAAAAGCAAGGGGGTATCTTCTATACACTACACAACAAACCAAACTAGAAAAGACTAACTCCATGCCCTCCACGCCTAGAACCAACTCATCGCCAAACACTGGCCGCTCTTCATCCCCGTCCTGCTCACCCTCGCCGACGATGCCACCACCCCAATCCGGCGACGCGGTCTGCTCATCCTGGCCGACTTCCTCGCCAAGTTCCCCGACAAGACCCTGCACGGCACGGGCCTGGCCCAAGTGTTCGAGGACGCCATCTTCCCGACCCTAAGCTACCTCCCCAGCCTGACGCCCGAGGAGGAGTCAGTGGAGCTCCTCGTCCCGGCATATGACGCGCTGCTCATCTTAGCGAAAAAACAGCCCGCCGTTGGGAAGGATGGGATTGCCGGCGCGCCGAAGAATGGCTTCCTCGACAGGATGCTCCGCGAGGGCGTGCTGGGTGGGTATTTCCACGCCAAGGACCACGTGCGGATCGTGGAGGTGCTTTGTCAACAGACGGTGGCGATTCTAGATGAGATGGGCGTGCACGCGGTGAAGCATCTCAAGGTGAGTCCCCTAGCCATTCCTAGGTGAAAAGCTGCGTGAAGCTCACCAAGCGTCGTAGGATCTCGTTCCGATGCTCTCGACGATCATGACCGACCCTTTCGCGCCCGTGGCCCCAGGAACGCTTTTCTCAGCGATCAAAGCCCTCCAGGCGGTCCTCACAAACTGCTGGCCGCGAATCCCCCACTCGCCATGGCAAGATGAGATCATCAACGCCCTCGTCCTCAGCTGGCTGCATCTCGCCGAACACAGCCACGCCGCCACAGACAAGACCTACGCCCGTCTCCAGCAGGAACTGGTCACCTCGTCCAGGGCGCTGGCAGCGGTGCTCAAGACGGCCGGGGATGGGACCGCAGGGGCAGTCGACCTCTCGTTACACGTCGCTCCCTTGGTGGAAAAGGACCCCCGCCTGGCGGCGCTTTTCCCTTCCAACTGACCTCCTCGTCACCCCACCCCGTCGCAGGAGGAACTCTACCAGGGCTATCCTCCCCGACCGTCCCAGCCGACTCCGCGCCCCACGAGCCGCGCCTCCCCAACCCTTCGCCAACACCGCCGTCACCAGAGCCACCAGACAAGGCCGCCGGCGACGCCTAGTCCACCGGCTGCTGCTTAAACAAGCTCTTCCCCCTCAGCCACTTCCGATACGCCTTATACCTCTTCTTGAGCGCGTCTTCCTCGGTAACCGTCAGTGGGTTCTCCGCCACCCTTACCGTCTCGGCATACAGCGCCCTGTCATCCTCCTCCTGGGGCTCCACTTCCCCCCCTTCCTCCTCCTCCTCGCCCGCCTCATCATCCTCCCCCCTCCCCTCCTCCCTCCGACCCCTTTCCTCCCTCCTCCCGAAATCCACCTCCCGCCCGAGCCCCTCCTCCCGCCACTTCCCCTTCACGAACGCGAGATACTCGGGCTCGATCTCGTCGACAGGCAGCAGGAATATATTATTACTGTTGTTGTTGCTGTCACGGTTGCTGTTGACGTTACCGCCGCTAATGGCGTTCCCGTCCACCCCCGTGGCTGACGAGACGACCAGCGGCAGGTTCTGCGGGTGGGCGACGTAGCGGGCGTAGTCGTCGGCCTCGGCGGTGCTGACGGCCGGGTCGAGCGAGTCGCGCACGACCTGGGTGAAGGTCTGCTGGGCGGCGCGCGACTTCTCGAGGGCCGTCTGGTGCGGTTTCTTTTTTTCCTGGTCTTGGTTCTGGCCTTTTGACGGGGTGCGGCTGTGGGTGGGCTGGTGCTGGTGCTGGTGTTGGTGGTTATTGCTGTTGTTGTAGCTGTGGTTATCGTCGATGCTGGTGTTGCGGCTGTGGGGGTTCGTGCTTTGACGGCGATGGTGATGGGGGTGATGGTGGTAGGGCTGGGCCTCGGTGGGGGTGTTTTTTTCGTGTAGCCAGCGGTGGAGCGACACGCGGCCGTTGGCGGCGGCGGTCGCGGCGCTGTGGGTTGGGCTTGCGGGTTTCTCATTCACGGATGACGTCTCGGTGTCGTCGGCCATGCGAGCTAGGTCGTTGGGGGCGACGATGCTTACTTCCTTCTTCGCCTTCTTTTTATCATGGGCGTCGCCGTCGGTGTCGTTGCGCACGCGGAATGGGCTGAGGTCGTACCGGCCGTCCTGGGTCGACTTGAATGGGATGTATTTGATGGTCGAGTTCATCTTGTAGGGGAACATCTTGGGGAAGGACGAGAGGGTGGACGGGCGGTAGTATTCTAGCCAGTAGTCATCATAGGCAGAGATCGGTTTGCTATCCACCGCTGGCTGGGGGGGCGGGTACGGTGGAAGCACACGTTCCTCTAGGAATTCGGGGGTGTACCAGCGAATGTAGTCACGCTTCCGCTTTTCCAGCCATGTCCGGGGATCCTCGTGATGGAGGTAGTAGTCCGTAGCCAGATCCCATAGCATGGGCTGCCCCTGCGTGAAGATGTAGTTGCCCAGGAACAGATTGTACGCCTCTTGGCGCTGGCCGTCCAGGAAAGAGTTGTGGTAGTAGCGCTTGAAGCTCTCAATCATGTCGCGCGAATGGCTGGTCCACTGGTTGATTTTGCGGTAGGTCTCCATGGTATTGACCAACTGCGACCCGCCGTACTGCACGGCGATGGTGTCACCATGGTCATGATACATGTGAGTAAACAGGTTGACGGCGTCGGTGTCGTATTCTACCGTGGTGTTTCCTAGGATGCCGAGGGCGTGGAGCTGGTGGCCCAGTGCCCTCTTCCCGATGACAAACTGAGCGGCATTTGTCCGGTCCAGACAGTCGATACAGTTTGTGCGTGCCACGCCGTTCTGAGCGCGGATCGGGGAGATGTGGCCGTCGCCGTTTTGGAAGAAGCCCGTCGTGCTCACGACCTCCTCGGCAATACTCTCGAGGGTACCGATCACGTCCTGGTCGCGGCTCTTGGCAGCGCGCGACATGTCCCAGGCCCGATGGATTATTTTCTTATCGGCCGGTAGGAACTGGTTGAGGTAGGCGATGGCGCGCGTGTATTCATCCAACAGCTTGCTCTCGCGCGGTGTCCGCTCGCGAGCCTTGATCAGGTTCAGAACATATATGGGCGCGCCGTACCGTTCAAAGAGGTTGTCAAAGTGCAGCGCGGCTGCTGTGTAGAAGGGATCCACCAGGTTCAGCTCTATCGGCGGTTTGGGGGTGACGCCCGTGTTGTCCTGAGTCCAGTAGAGCGGGATGGAGCCGCGATGCTGCACGTATGAGGTGTAGGTAGGGTTGGCAAAGAACTTGGGACCCGGCGCATGAAACGAGGTGGTCATAGCCTCGGATACGATCTGCTCCGTCTCGACGTCGTTGGCCACATATCCCAAGTCGTTAGCGCCCCTCTTTAGGAACCTGGCGCCAGCAAAGTAGCGACTGCGGCGCGCGATGATTGTTATGTGGGCAGTCCTCCCGTAGACGGACACGGCAGACTGGTCAATGTAACCATGGATGATCGGGCGGCACCAGTCGAAGGGCGCGTTGAGTACCTTGGCGGCCGGCTGGATCAAGTGGTCGTTCCAGACAAACATGGGGTTAGAGTCGTCGTCGGCAGAGCAAGGACGGCCGTTAAGCAGGGCAGCTCTCTCTCTGGAGATGTTGTGCTGCAGACTACGGGTGATGTCGTAGGAGTAACTGTAGTAGAAGGACCGGGCCAGGTCAAGGTGGTTCAGGATGCCCAAAAAGCGCGACTCCTCGGTGTTGCGCTGGTCCGCCTTGAAGTTGGGCGACGTCAGGGGGATGAGGTCTGTGTCGTCGATCTGGTAGACGTAGTGGCCCCCAATCATGGCGACGGTGCTCTTCTTTGTGATCAGCAGCATGTAATAGGGACCCGTGAACTTGATAAATCCCAGGATACCCCAGGTGGTGCACCGAAGCTTCAATCCGCCGGTCCCCTTGTTGCCGTCGTCAATCGTATCGAGCAGCTGGTTCATGTCCTTCTGGGTATAGACGGTCTTGTCGTCGGTGATGCTCAGCTCCGAGGCGTCGTCGCCGTCGTTGGTGCGGTCGACCTTGAGGATGCGGTAGCGTTTCTCGGTCACGTCGCCGCCGACGATGTAGAAGCGGCTCGCCGTCTCGTACAAGCTGAACCTGTGCATCTTGTGATTCGGTCTTGGCCATGGACCCGAGTCATCGCCGGCGGCCCCAGCGCGTCCTTCGTCATCTTCATCTTCGACAGTCTCGGCCAATCCTGAGCGTGATGCCGGGTTGGGGCTCGAGGTGCGGAGGAAAGGTCGGGCAACGGCGGGCTCTTCCTCATCATTGTCGTCGCCTACGCCGGGGGCTGCAGAGGCACCGGCGCGGGGGGGAGCCGAGGCACCAGAGATTATGGAATCCGCATCTGTACCAGCATTGTTATGTAGAGGAGGAAAGACGGGTTCGGGCGTGTCTCGGGAGTCCAGCTCCGCAGCTCGCTGCTGCGGCGGTTGCGGGTGTTGTCGCGGCGGTGTCGTTTCCGAGGCGGGGGCTGCAGCGATGATGGCGTTGACGCTAGCGAGTTCTGTTTCGCCCGTGTCAGCCATGTCGGTATTTAATCAATTAGCCATGTGGTCCGTGAAAAGTGTTGCTGCTTGAGCCTTGTCGGATGCACTAAAGTAAAGGTACACAGTAACTGCCCGTGGACATCGAACGGGATGATGGAAGCCCACCATCGTGACATCCAACCCCACCATGTGGTGGAACCCACCTCGCTCCCAAGAAGCCAGGATCAGGACCTCCTTTTAGAGCTAGCGCCTTGGCGCCCTGCGAAATGTTCCGATGAGATGATGACCCCCACGCCCACAGCTCTTCAGCTCTCGCCCTGCCAAGAATCGGAACTTCCACCACCATGGCATCGTTGTTGTTGCCCTCGGAGCATCGCCACATCTCGCACCGTGACAACTGATGACAATTACCTGTAGGGAAAAGACAACAGAATTCGCATAATATTTAGCGGCGGTCATGGCACAAGCGGGCAGGAAAAAAGCAGCAGGCTTTAGTTCATGGTTACTAGCCCTTAATAGCCCGAGCTTCAAGGTTGCAAGTTGCAGCTTCTATTACACAGTAATCTCTCGCCGTCTATGCGGCAGGAGGTACTTAGGTGGCCAAGCCATTCCGTGGTGTCCCCGGAAGGGGACTCCGATGACCTCGTGGTTCCGTCATCACCACCGCGTCATACTGGTCTGGTGTCCATGGAAATATCGACTGATTCTAGGCCGGGCGGCGCCGATGCAGCGCAGAAAATGAGCAGTGGGCAATACAGGACCGCCCATCCCATTGAAAGGGCGAAGAGAGGATCTGGCGGTGATCTCACGGTGGTTGCAAATCCTTCACACATTGTCCATTCGGCCTGGGCTAATGGCTTAATCAACCTCGGCTCCATGGACTTCCCTCCTGTGACCGGTGCACGGCTCAAGACTTTAGATGACTTACATCGTGGTCGACATCATCGAGGTTGAACTTATCAAACAAGGTTTGAGCAGTTCTTCACACAGTCCGTCTAATCCCGAGAGTTTTGGATTCCATCTCTGTCGCGATTCGGAATCGATATCAGGGAAGACACTTTCTCAGCGCGCTGAGCCGACGTCCCTTCTTGGATACTCGGAGATATCTTGATTATTATAAAGTACCTAATAACACTTCCCATTCCCCAATCAGTATGTCGTGGCCCCTCCTTTGACACTTGGACGTATGTCCATAATTATAGAGTACGTAATTACCCTTACCAGTTCCAAATCGGTCCGCTGTGGCCCCTCTGCACAAGTGATCTATGACGACCCTCAGGTAACGTGCTCGGTGCCATTAGTGCAATCATCAATTGCCTGTTTGCCACCCACTGCAGCAATAAGGAAGAGAAGGAGGGGAGGGGCCGAATCGCAGAGTTTGTTTCCTGCATCCTCCATCCATCTCCGACTCCCCATCGTCGTTTTCTCCTCGTCCTCCTCCGTCGCCCTTCTCCCTCACCCTCCTCCCTCCCCCCCGCCCACACGACCACCCTCTCGCGGACAGCCTCGACGGCCGAGTACCACAATGGCGACTCGGTGAGTTTCATTAACTCGAATGAAAACTGACCTCGACACCAGTGAGCCTAACCCGTCCCACCAGCCCACAGATTTCCTCGTCAGCCCCAGCACCGTCCCAAATGCCCGGGAGCACGAACCCGTCTGCCGCGTCGACCGGCGCAATTATCGGCGCCGTTCTCGGCAGCGTCTTCTTGGTTTCCGTGTTGGTTCGGCTGTTTCTCGTGCTCCGCAGACGCCGCGGAGCACCGCGCCAGAACCGCGGCTCGGAGGAAGGGCTCGAGAACGGGCCCTCGACCAGCACTCACCGGCCCTTCGCCCGGTGGGGTAAAGTCCTTTGCCCGTTCCCGCTCGAAGGAGTCTGGGAAAGCCGGGACAGCGAGCGCCGACCGGCCGGGGGTCCACGAGCGACCCGGCACTCCTCCCCTCCTCCCTCCCGCCACCCTTCGCCGCCCGCCTTCCCTCTCGGCCGCCAGCCACCTTCGCCGCCTCCACCCTCTCGGCGCTCTCTCCCCCCTCCACCTCCTCCATTCTCGCGCCTGCGTCCTCCCCCGCCCCTCCACGCCCGTCCTCGTCTTCCCCTCGGTCCCCCGCCCACTCGCGACCCTAGGCGACACGGCAAGGCCGACTGGGCCGACTGGGTTCCGGGCGGGCCCGGTTCCGGTTTTGGGGCTGGTGCGGGCCGTGCTGCTGGTGGCAGTGGCGTCTCGATTTCTGGGACCGGCCTCGCCATCACGACGGACAGCGGGCGTGGGAACGCGCCGCACGCGGCGACAGATCGGCCCCGGTCGGCGAACCGGCGGCGGGGGGGTTCATTTTTGGATTGGCGGTGGTTTTGGTTTTGAGGGTAGCAATGGTCTGGTTAGATTCGAAATTTGTCTTTAATAAACCAGCTGCTTGTTTGCCTAGGTGCTCTCAAGTCCGTCGAACATCCTGTGAAAACCTGTTGAATGACGGATTTGAAAACCCGTCGAACGACGGATTTGGAAACCTGTTGAATGACGGATTTGGAAACCCGTCGAACGACGGATTTGAAAACCTGTCGAACGACGGATTTGAAAACCTGTTGAATGACGGATTTGAAAACCTGTTGAACGACGGATTTGAAAACCTGTCGAACGACGGATTTGAAAACCTGTTGAATGACGGATTTGGAAACCTGTTGAATGACGGATTTGGAAACCCGTCGAACGACGGATTTTGGAAACCTGTTGAATGACGGATTTGAAAACGTGCGTGCAAATCTGTTTGAAAAACTAGCATAGGTTCAAGTCGAGCTGTGTTACTACGCAATCGTATCAGCATGAGCGCCCGTTCTGGGCCGTCGGCCATGTCTCCGTTTAGCCACTGTATTAGGGAAAAGGTGGGGGTGACTGAGAAGATTGAGCGATAATGAGGGCAAAGGGTGGAGGTTTTCTAGTTGCCGGTCCCCGGTTCCATCCAGGCAACATACCTCGCCCACCTCGTAACTTTGTCAAACTTTGGACTGCTGCTGTTGCGGATGCATTACATTGAGGTTCCGTCGTCTCGATATCGAATAGAGGCCGTCAGCCGCCCCCATAAGCACATCTCGGGGCGGGCACGTATCCTTGGTTAGCGGAGGCTGGGCGGTGAGCCCACTGTTTAGGCAACCACACTTGGTGTGGAATCAACTTCAAGAACGGCCCGACAGTGAAGGCTGTCGTTGCACAGTAATGACTTGGTTTCCTGCAGCCAAGGCTCTTCTATAATTCAATCAATTCGTGGTCAATCGGGGAGGCTATTTGAGTCATCCATCGAAACCCACGCCAATCCATCCGACACCTCCATCTCGGATAAAACCACCCACGCGGTCGAACGCCCAACCGCCAACCCGAGTAATTGGGTGTGGCATCTATGACGGCGGAATTCAGCAGGATGTGGCCTGACGGGCTGGAAGGCGCCCTAGGGCAATTGCGGGTTGCAAACCTGACGACGGCGCAGTGCATCGGCATCACCACCGTCGTCCTCCTTGTATCACTCCTGTACAGATACGCGTCACCTCAAATCGATCCTCGGGAGCCTCCAGCTGTAAAGCCAGGCATTCCGCTCGTGGGTCATATTGTGGGGCTGGTGCGACATGGTGTGGATTACTTCGAAGCGCTTCGGTATGCCAGCTCTCTAGTCTCTATCTTGTACTCCCGAATCACCCATCAGGCGGCGACTGACTAGCACCAGGAAATCCCAACGGAACCCGGTGGCCGCGGCGACCTTACCCATGCTAAATGGGAAAGTCTACGTGTTGTGGGATACACCCATGATCCACTCCGCCATCCGCCACAAGAACCTGACCTTTGACGTGCTCGGCATGGAGTTTGCCCAGCGCGTTTTCGGTCTGACCGACGTAGCGATGGCGAAGCTTTGGGGGCCAGACCACGATATCGAAACGTCGGCTGCCGGAGTCATGATGCAGCGCATCAAGGCCGCCATGCAGGGCCAGTACTTGCACCGCATGAACGTCACAGCCCTCGACTATATCGCCGACCAGTTGAACGACATGGATTCAGCCGGGTTGAAGATCGAAAATCTATATCAGTGGCTACTGTATTTCATGACTACTGCTACTTCCGAAGGTCTTTACGGCAAAGACAACCCCATCCGTCAGGACCCTTCGTTGGTCGATGCGCTATGGTAAGCCAAGCCAGCTCCTGAATGACTAACGCTTAGAAGGCCGAGTGCTAAGCCGTCGTGTGGTAGGGAATTCGAGGGCAATATGCAGCCGCTTTTCCTCGGTATCATGCCAAAGCTCATCGCCCGCAAAGCATACGTGAACCGTGAGAAGGTCATATCCGCTTTAATCCCCTGGTATATGAGCAGGAAGGACCAGGCTCCCGACACTGCTGAGGTTCTCAAAGTCCGAGCCAACACAGCCCGGGAGTTTGGTTTCCCGGAAGAGGAGATTGGAAGGTTGGAGATGGCGCTTCTATTCGTCGCCACCACCAACACAATTCCCACGTTGTACTGGTTCGTCACCAACGTATGGCTACGACCGGACTTGGTCGAGGAGATCCGCCGCGAAACACTGCCACTGGTAAAGCTGAGCAGCCGCGAGGGCGAGCAGCGCCGTTTGGCTACATTGGATATCTCACAGCTGGAGGGTTCCGCGCCGTTGCTGGTCAGTTGCTACCGCGAATCGATCCGACTTGGTAACCAATCTATCGGTACCCGGCGCGTCGTTCACGATACCATGCTCACCGACTCGGCGGGGAATCAACACCTGTTCAAAGCCGGTGTGGACGTGATGTGGTCCGTCAAGGCCATGCACCACTCTGGGGATGTTTGGGGTCAAGATCCGTTGGAGTTCGATCCCAAGCGGTTCAAAGAGCAGGATAAGTTTGATCGTGCGAAGAAGCAATCGTACCTCCCCTTCGGAGGCGGTAAGCATCTGTGCCCAGGCCGCAACTTTGCCTTTGCCGAAAACCTCGGCTTCGTCGCCGCCTTGGTGGTAGGGTTCGCGCTGCAAGGCCTAGACGAGGAGAACGTCAGGTTGGGGATTGCCACCATAGGGGAAGCTGTTGCCAAACCTCCGACTGATGCCCGAGGAGGCGCAGTGGTGATCAAACGGAGGCAAGGGTGGGAAGATGTCGACTGGAAGTTTACTTGTTGATTGGAGACTGCAAGCGGCGGCGGCTGCTGTGGGAACTAACTTGACATATGGGACTGTGTCTTCGGAGATAACTTGATGTTTGTAAGATCATAATCAACGATTCCCATAAACTGGAGACTGGAATCAAGAACTCGAAGAGAGAGAAAATATGTTTGATTGAACCATGGATGGTCCCAGCCAGACGACCGACCCGCCCATTCCTTCCATTGTACATAACGGCCGAGAAGGTTGCTTATCAGCCCACTCGTTATCTGTACCTGCATGTATTCGTACTCGGCGTCTCTCACGTCCCTTGAATCGGATGAGACCTGCATGAGCACTGTTCCAATCCGGTCTTCGGAGTCCGAAACCGAAGAAGCAATGAGGGCCCACATCTCATTGCTCCGGATGTCTCCAAATAAACCCCGAAGGTGTCAGCCGTCGGGTATCAATGCTTCTTCGTCCCGTATTGCAAGTCCCCGTTGCTAAAAAAGTTCACATGTGCCGACCAAACCCTCCCTGACTAAGTGGGCTGATAGCTCCCGGCGCGCCTTCCCGAGTCACTGCTTAAGATAGTTTTGTGATTAAGCGAACTCGAACTGGAACTCGGACTGGAACTCGAACTTGAGTTCAAACTTGAATTGAAGCTGAGCGAGTAAGACCGAACTCCGGGCCTGTATCGAGCTTCCTTCCCAACCCTCCAGCAGCGTTCGGAATCCTCGAATCCAGGTCGCATTGAATTGAGAGAATTTACAATCGAACCTAACCCATCCCTAAAACGAACAATCACGCCGTCACCATGGCAGGTGAAGCAAAGAAAATCAGAGTGCTCGGCCTCCACGGCATGGGAACAAGCGCCGGGATTTTCAAGACACAGACAGGTGCGTGCCACACAGCCCATGCAGTGGGTTGCCAGTACTCCCGGCGACCTTACTCCCATTATAGGTCTCAAACAGCTCGCTAACCACCCACCGGCAGCCGCCTTCCGCAGCAAGCTCCCTCCCAACTACACCTTTGACTTCCTGGACGCACCCTTCCGGACCGCCCCCGCGCCGGCCACCGACGTCTTCTTCACCTCCGACCATCTCACGTGGTGGGAACACCCGACGGTCGACCACATCCGGCGCGCCCACGCCTTCCTCGACAGCTACCTCGAGCAGCACGGGCCCTTCGACATCCTCATGGGCTTCTCGCAAGGCTGCTCGCTGATCAGCAGCTACCTGCTCTACCACGCGGGCGTCACGCGCGGCGGCCCCCCGCCCTTCAAAGCAGCCATCTTCATCTGCGGCGGCGTGCCGCTGCCCGCGCTGGCCGACCTCGGCATCGACGTCTCGCAGCGCGCCGAGCGGCTCGGCCAGATGACGAGCGACCTGCTGCGGCAGCGGACGGGGTCGCTGGCGGCGATGGCCGGCAACCCGGAGCTGATCCAGCACGGCGTGGGCATGTGGGACAAGGTGGCCGACCTGCTGCACGACCCGGAGGACATCCCCGGCGAGACGGACGTCTTCGGCCTCGACTATACGGCCATGCCCGCCGACCTGCGCATCCGCATCCCCACCGTGCACGTCCTGGGGGGCAAGGACCCGCGCTGGCCCGCCGGCTGGCAGCTGGCGTATTTTTGTGATAAGAGGAAGACGTATGACCACGGGGGCGGCCACGATATCCCCAGGACGTCTGTCGTGTCGGCTACGATCGCTGGGATGGTGGAGGAGTTGGCTAGCGAGATACGGGGCGAGTGAGGCGTGCGCTGTGTGGGAGGGCGATCCTCGTTGAGTTAAAAGGCGTTGGGTCATTTTAAGGACTAGACGGGATTAAGAACTTGATAAAGGAGATAGCAATAGAGTTTGCTAGAGGAATTATACGTCTCCTTTCTGGGAGTGTAGGTAACTGCCTAGATAGTGGAGTAAAGGCCCGGGTAGAGTGCACAGTTCGCATGAGACCACACCCACTTACAAACTCGAAACACGGAAACATAGGTAAGGCAGGGCTGGATGATGCGCGGGAGAATAGGGTTACCTGGGGGTTGTTCGCTGTGGATGGTGGTAGGTTGTAAACGCTTCCCTCGATTCTCAGTCCTCGTTGTGGGAGACGTCGAAAGATTTCTTGGCGATCGTGGTGTATAGGTAGTCATCGTCCCAACTCCCACGCCAAAAGCCAGCTACTTTTATTTGGCAGCGCTGTGAGACGGTGCTAGGTTCCTTTAATAGGGCACGAGTACGGTATGTGAAGGGGCCAATGCTTGAAACCTAATGCTTGCGGAAATCTAGTGAGTAGGGAATGGGCCATTTCCCCCTATCAGTCGTCAGAACGACCCTGAGACTAGTATAACACAATTTCTTGTGTGGCCCAACTACAACTCATACGGCTTCGAATCCTCGAATATCAGATGGGGTTTCCGTTTCGCCAAGTTCAATATGGTCTCGGCAAACACTCCGTTGGCCCAGGCAAACCAGCTCCCTAACAAGCGTCCCCAGGTCAGCAAACGGTCACAATTGCCCTCCGGGAACAAGACTTACGCGTGTATGAGTGAAGGTAATTCACGTTGACACTCTCATGAATCAGCCCCAACTTGCTCGAGTTGAGCACCAGCTGCAAGCACCCCATGATTTCCTCGTCGTCATCTGACGTCTGCGCCTGCACCAGCAGGCTCATGGGCCACGCATTTTGCAGGCCAATATGCGGACCTGTGACATGGTCAGTTAGGTAGTTACCGAATCAAACTCCACCCAGCATCAGACAACAAGAACCTACCTCCGATGCCCTGGAAGGCCTGCCCCGTCAAAAAGTACGGATTCCCAGCCTTATCCAACAGCATCCGCCTCGTATTCTGATACGTCGGGTCGTCGGCCGTGACGAAGCCCATCAGCGGCAGGGCGAGCAGGCTCGGGTAGTTGGCGTCGTCCATGAGCAGGGCGCTGCCGTAGCCGTCGACCTCGTATGCGAAGACGTCGCCGTACTTGCGGTGGCTGACCACGCCGTGCTCGAGGATGCCGTCGGTGATGCGCTGCCCCCAGTCCTCGAGCGTCTGCGCCAGCTCGGCATCCGTGTGCGACCCCGTCGACTTCCGGAGGATGGCGGCCGTGCGCTTCAGCTCGACGGCCATTTGCGCGTTGGCCGGGACGAAGAAGCCGAAGATGGTCGCGTCGTCGCTGGGCCGGAAGGCTGAGCGGATGAGGCCCGTGCCGTTGTTCAGCGGGTTGCCGATGCCGCCGAGGTTGAGGGTTTCGGTGCCCGTGTTGGTGTTGCGCTGGAATGTGTAGATGTTTTGCCGGTAGGTCCCTTCCGAATCGAAGGTGCTCTGACTTTGAGCCTCGAGGACGGAGAGAAGGGTGCCCACGGCCTTGTACCAACGCGAGTTCAGGAAGTCCCTGCTGCCTGTGTGGCGGTGGAATTCGTTGGCCAAGGCGAGGAAGTGCGCCAGCGAGTCGAGCTCGTACTTGCATTCGAAGACGGCGGTGGGCTCGTAGATTGGGTGCACGGCATCGTCCTGCCCGTTGTAGCTGACGGGGAGCCCGGAGATGGGTGGTGGCTGGAAGGCGTTGCAGTATGGGGACTGGATCACGTATTCGCTCTGCGTGTTGATGGCGCCCAGTATCAGGTTGAAGATGGCTGGGTCCTTCGTCGCCAGCGCCTGGTACGGCTTCAACTGGTTGGTGCTGTCCCGCAGCCACTCGGCCAGAATATCGCCCGTGATGATGAAGGACTGGGGCCCCGCCCATTCGCCCTCCTCGCGCCAAGGATCCTTCTCCTTCCGGCTGCGTAGCTTCTGCTTGATTTTCTCATCCTTCCCGTCCGTGTGGAACTTGACTGTTGTGTCGGTGGTAGAGGGGAAAGCGTTCTCGAACAGCCGGGCGAGGTCGGGATCCTTCATTCGGGAGGTAATGTCGTTGATCACTTTCTCGATCGCATCTGAGTGGAAGGTCCGACAGCGGGGGTTGGGTCGTTGGAAAGGGAGCTTGAGGGGCCCCTTGGTGGGTGGGGGACTTCGGGTTGTTAGCTTCCATGTTGTTAGGATCGTGAAGCCGTCGGCCTGGCAGCGCAATGCCACTCACTGAGGGAAGGCAGCATAGCTGACGTAGTCTGGACACGCTGTCTCGTCGAATGTGCCCGTCAATGGCTGCTGGTTGTCATCCCAGACTTGTGCCGTCGCCGTCGCCAGCAACGGTATGACGAAAGAGTACCATGTTAAACGATACATTTCGGCTAAGTTCGTGCGGTTGCAGCGATTCTAGTGAAAAGCGAATAGCAAATACCAAGTGCCTTGCACCTTGACGACCGAGACTCGTATCACGGTAGAGAGGTAATTAGCACAACCCTCGTTGCTTCACCAGCATGGCCCCATCCCTCTTAATTCCACCTTGCGGGGTTGTCAAGACCGAATTGGAAGCTAAGTGGTCCAAGTCGCGGGAGCACAGAAGGAAAGAGAACCTCAGCAAGACAGTCGCGGGGAACGGACTGATGTTGCACGACAACCAGTGTTTGTGGCAGGGACGAAGTCACCTTTAGCTGTTTGAGATCCGTGTCTCGGCCCCGCGAACCGGCTTGGCGGGGCGGCCCTGACCCGGCATGGGCAAAAAAATGCCGGAATTCCAACTGCAGATGTCGACCATGAAAACCGTCGGGTTCTCGACTATAAACCTGGATTTACTCCATTTACTTTTTGTCTTACCCTATTCCTTTTATTTCATTTCCATTTCTCGATTTCCTTTTATGTCTTCTTTCTGCTTGATTCCTTGCTTTCCTTTCGAGTTCGGCTTTTTTTTGGCTGGAGGGTGCCGGGGTCCTGGGCACACTGACTCTTTCCCGATTGGGAGGGACAATGGGTGAGACCCCGAAGGTATTCCCGAGGTACCATGTAAACATGAAGGGAGAAGATGATGCTTGGCTGCGTCTGTTCTCGTTCCTTACCACATGCCGTTGATGGCGGGTTCGAAACGATCTAGGGAGCCCAAAATCTCACTCGCCATCTAGCAGAGCAAAGGCTCCCCTTATCAAGAGGGATTGGATGGTTGAAAGGAGCTATTTTACTACTACCCATAACTAGCAGTCGCCATCACTTCTTGGAAAAGAATGACATGATGTTGCCTTGACCTTTTGGTCCAGCCTTCTTCGGCTTTGAAGCCTGCGCCGGAGGAGCTGCGCTCGTGGTCTTGGGCTTGGTCGGCGGAGGTGCCTCATCTTCCGAGAAAGACTCCCATCCGGGTTCTTGAATGGTGACTATGACGGAAGGTTAGCACTGAAAGCCGGGTTCTTGACTGGCTTAACAACGTACCGAGATACCCCTGGTCATCCATAATTTGTTTCTTGCGCATGATCCGTCTCTTGCCGCGCCGCCGGCCATTGGCAGAAGTAGTAACCACTTCCGCCTCCTCCTCTTTCACAGGCTCCGGCGCTGGAGGTTCCTCTTCTTCCATTGGTTCCTCTTCGGGCGTCTCCTCCTTCTCTTGTGCTTCCTCTTCCTCGTCATCCTCTTCCATCATTTGTCGAAGTTCCTCCTCCCTCTGCCTCTTGGTCCTAAATCCCGGCCCAGCCCGGGGTTTCGGTTGCGACATCTCATCGTCGTCCTCCCCATCATCCGACATGGGTTGCAAGCTCGAATCCTCGCTACTGGGAGTTGCAGCCTCTGCTTCCTTATTAACCTTGGTTGGTTTGGTTGCTGCTTTCGAGAACGCCTGCATAATTCCAGAATTGCCACCCCGCTTCAGAGACGAGGCGGGTTTCTTAGTAAGCCCTGAAGAGAGAGCTTTCGCAACCGTCTCCTGGACAGGTTGGGTAGGCTTCGACTCCTCTTTGACATTCGAAAATGCGGGCTTTGCCTGGGGTTTCACTGCTGCCGCGGCAGAGGCAGCGGCAGCCTTGAGAGCAACCCCTTGTCGTTCCCTACGTCGCACTCTAGGGTTGGTGATGGAAGCAAGATTCTTTCCTTCGTCACTGGCATTGAGGCTAAGCACCTGGTTGGCAGCATCGACTAGCAGCGCCATATCCTATGATACGGTTAATCATCAATTTGGAGGTGGTCTCGGAGCAGTGAGTTCTGACCTTTGTTGGGTGAGGTGCAATGCTGTACACGTGAATCGAAGTGACCTCCTCATAGTCCGCAAGATTGTCTTGGTTTCAGTTAGAAGGCTGGTTTTAGTGTAGGTTGTGGTTGGTTACCCACCTTTGAGTTGTTCTTCAGAGACGAGGCATAGTGTAGACGCAGGCACAACGTCGGCAAGGGATTCAACCTCTGGTGCTGAGCTTGTCATCTCAATGTCACCATCGGTCCCATTCTGGGATTCCGATGGTGCACTTGTAGCTTTCTTGGTGCCATAGACCAGGTATGTGGCATGCACGGCTCCAGGACGCTTCGCATTTTGGCTCCTGTGGAATTCGTAGAGCATCCTAGACGAACAACAATGTTAGTTGAAGTTAAGCTCCGGGTTCAAATAGTAAAACCATACTGCTTTGCTGTGTTGACATGGACCTGTAGTGTCCGGCTCAAAAACCGATATGTGATCTATCAACCGGTTCCAAGTGGTTAGTCGGTAATGCCCAGGGTGTTGCTCACGAACATCGTTGGGCAAAAATCTGTATCCATACCACTTTATCCTCTGTAAGGACATTTTCGGCCAGGAATTTGTTGTAGCTCTCCATGGCAGCTTCAAAATGTGGTTCTGGACTCTTACAAAACTTGAAGCTCGGTGGTGCGTGGAATGAAGAGATGAAAATGGTCATACAGAAAGTGACGGACAAGTCGCGACGCGGCTTCACTTAGCTCGCTCCAAGCGCGAAGTCACGTTCTCGCCGATAAAACCCCGGGCCACAGCCGTGGGGTCGGAGTGGCTTGAAACCCCCTGCAGCAGCCCCTGTGCCAAACACACCATCAGTGATTCGCTAGCCTAAAATATGGACCCGGGACGCGCATGGAAAAGCTTCGACACGACCTTCAAGGTGCTTGTTGGCACCCCCCACACGCAATCTCCTTATTCCACCATCGCGATTCCTGGCCACAAGGGTTCTTTCCTTCACCAACCTCCCACTCATTCGACGGGCAGTGCGCCATGCCTCGCTTTAGATCTACCATTTCCCCCATTTAATCCAGCTTGAGTTTGTCTCCAATGCCACGGCTGCCATTGCATCCCCTTAAACTCAACAAACTTTAAGCCGCCCGTCCGAGACGCGGCGCATCTCGAGCGCAGCCATCATGGCTTCGTTTCCGCGATTCCGTTTCCTGGCCATTGCCGTCGTTTTCCATTTAGTGTATATACTCTCCATCTTCGACATCTATTTTGTCAGTCCCATCGTTTCGGGCATGCGCTTGTTCCAAATAGAAAGGCCAGCATCCACCCCACCACCCGCAGATCGCCTAGTGCTCTTCGTAGGTTCGTAAAGCATGAGAGACCCTGTTTCGGCAAACGAACCACTTGCTGATGGGGTTATACACAGGAGACGGATTACGAGCCGATAAAGCATTCCAATCGCACCCCGAGCCCTATCCCAAGTCCGACGACGACCTCGTCCCGCGGCCCCTTGCCCCTTTTCTGAGGTCCAAAGTTCTACAAGACGGAACTTTTGGTGTCTCACACACGCGTGTGCCAACCGAATCCAGGCCGGGGCACGTGGCTCTCATTGCTGGTCTCTACGAGGATGTCTCTGCGGTCACCACGGGCTGGAAGTTGAACCCTGTCGATTTTGACAGCGTGTTTAACCGCAGCCGGCACACATGGAGCTGGGGCAGCCCCGACATTCTGCCCATGTTCGAGCAGGGTGCTGTACCGGGCAGAGTAGACGCCTTTACGTACGGCGCTGAGCTTGAGGACTTCTCCTTGGATGGGTTTGCCCTGGATCTCTGGGTGTTCGACCACGTCAAAGAGATGTTCGCCGAGGCGCGTACAAACAAGACGCTCAACGATGCGCTGAGGCAGGATAAGATCGTTTTCTTCCTCCACTTGCTGGGGTTGGATACCACTGGACACTCGTTCCGGCCATACTCCAAGGAGTACCTCAACAACATCAAGGTGGTCGACAAGGGGGTTCAGGAAATCACAGAGTTGATGAAGGACTTTTACGCCGACGACCGGACCGCTTTCGTTTTTACCGCTGACCATGGCATGAGTGACTGGGGCAACCACGGCGACGGCCACCCCGACAACACCCGGACACCTCTCATTGCATGGGGTTCGGGGGTTGCCAAGCCCCAGCTGTACCCAGGAGAGGTCGCGCCAGGACACGACGACTACTCTTCCGATTGGAACCTGGACCATGTCAGGCGGCACGATGTCGAACAAGCCGATGTGGCTGCGCTCATGGCATATCTCGCGGGCACCGAGTTTCCGGCGAACTCGGTCGGCGAACTGCCTCTCTCTTTCCTGACAGCTGGCCTCAAAGAGAAAGCCGAGGCATCGCTTGTCAATGCGCAGGGAATCCTCGAGCAGTATCGAGTTAAGGAGGAAAGTAAAAAGGTCACGGAGCTGAGGTACAGACCGTACGAGCCTCTGAGCGACGAGGGATTGGCGACCGAGAGCCGGGTGGCGCATATCCGGCAGCTCATCGAAGCAGGCAGCTACGAGGAAGCCATCGAGGAGTCGGCCGCTCTACTGAAGGTTGGACTTGGTGGTCTCAGATATCTGCAGACTTATGACTGGTTGTTCTTGAGAGCCCTCATCACCATCGGTTATTTGGGATGGGTGGCATATGCCCTCACCACCGTCATCGACCTCCATGTGTTGCACGGCCGCATTCAGCCTTCGAGAACCCTAGCTGGGACTCTTATCTCAACATCCGCCTTGACGGCGCTCTATGCGTCGTTTGCCATCTCCAAGTCGCCGCTAACCTACTACGCATATGCCTTCTTCCCCGTGTTTTTCTGGGAAGAGGTGTATGCGCGGCGGGAGAGTCTGACGGAGGGCCGCAAGGAATTGTTCGGTCACATCAAGTCAGGGAGCAATCTTGTCTCGTTAGCCTTCAACTGCGCCATTTATGTCGGAATCATCGAGTCACTAGTAAGTTCTGTTCCCCTACCTCCATACCTCGGACAGGTGGACTTACAATCAATTTAGGCTTTGGGCTATATCCACCGCGAGATTTTAACAGTACTATTCGTCATTGGCGCATTTTGGCCCGTTGCCTATGGTTTCTCGTTTCTCCAGCAACATATCGCCCTCTCTATTACATGGTTCCTATCTTGTATAGCTATGAGCACCTTCACACTCCTTCCGCCGGCCATGACGACCGAGGATGTCAACATGATGTTGGTAGCCCCGAGACACTTCCCCTATACCGAGCTAACCAATATCTCTATAGCATGGTCGGAGGCGCGTTGATGGTGATTGTTGGCATTGTTTACCTAATCCTCGAGGATTTTGTTCTCTCGGACTTTGGCTGGTCTGAGAAGCCCTCGTCCCCGAGAAACCACGTCTCAAGGACGCTCGTGGGCATCCAGATCGGCTTGACCCTCCTTTCTGTGATCATCACCCGCTCTAGTGCCCTGTCCATGCAAGCCAACCAAGGTCTTCCCCGTGGCAACCAGGTGATGGGTTGGGTTGTTCTTGGTAGGTTCTTAAATAACAACAGATCTCAGGGGCTCATCTGCTAACCTTGAGACAGTTGTTTCGCTCCTGATGCCGGTGGCATACCGGGCGCAACCCAACAACCACTACATGCACAGGATCCTCGTTATCTTCCTCACTTGCGCCCCGACCTTTGTCATCCTCACCATCTCGTACGAAGGACTCTTTTACATCGCCTTCTCGGCGGTGCTCGTCAGCTGGGTCCGGCTGGAGCATGCCATCTACAAGTTTCCCCCGTCGCCTACCAACGCCACGTCTAACGACGCGTCCAACGCCGCGGCCAACCCGGCCAAGCCGCACACGCTCGAAACGTCACAGACGCTCCCGTCGCCCTTCCGCCCGCTCACCCTCCGCGACGCGCGCGTCGCCCTCTTCTTCTTCGTCCTCTTCCAGGCGGCCTTCTTCAGCACGGGCAACGTGGCGTCGGTCTCGTCCTTCAGCCTCGACAGCGTGTCCCGGCTGATCCCCATCTTCGACCCCTTCTCCCAGGGCGCCATGCTCATCCTCAAGCTGCTCATCCCCTTCGCCCTCATCTCGGCCAACCTCGGCATCCTCAACAAGCGCCTCGGCGTCGCCCCCTCGGCCCTCTTCATGGTCGTCATGGCCATCAGCGACATCCTGACCCTGTACTTCTTCTGGGTCGTCAAGGACGAGGGCTCGTGGCTCGAGATTGGGTCGACGATTAGTCACTTTGTGATTGCGAGCTTGCTGTGTGTGTTCGTGGCGGCGCTTGAGGGTGTGAGTGCGATGTTTATTGCGGGTGTGGAGGTGAGCGAGGATGTGGATAGGGCGGTTGGGGAGGGGGCTGTGGCGGAGGTGTTGTTGGAGAAGACCGATGAGGCGGGTGGGGATGGTGTGAGCACATAAGGGTGGCGGTGAAGGTCTATTATATATTGTGTCTAGATGTGTTCATGATCTGGAGATATCATATACATGCTTGTTTGTTTTAGAGCGTGGGCAAGAAGTAGTTAGACCGGTAGTTGGGAAAAATATAATGTCTACTCGGTGATGCCCTGTGTCTGATAAACTGCCTTGCTCTGCATTATGACCACTCAGAATTTGGAACATGTGTTTTGGGAAAGTGTCCCTGTGACGACTTGTGAGTACGATGTATGAACAGACGGGTACGTGCCTGGCTGAGAATCACATGCAATCACTCATACATTTTGACATTTTGGGGTTAGTAAACGCCCCCTTCGTTGTATCCCCCTCCCTCCGGGCAACTCGCTCGAGGTAGCATTCTGCTTGTGCTATGTTCCTGAATATCTATGCTTTCCTATCTAATGGTCCTAAGCATCATTTCAACTTGATCTGACATGTTTTTGTTAGTCAATCCACAAGCGTGATGCAATGTCGCCTAGGTGGTGCATGATACAAGTACATCGTAGGGAGGGTGGCAGCCACCGAGTGCCAGGCTCCGCATGTAGGGCAGATCACAGTTACATGTCAGAGTTGCACCGAGAATAGAAAGCTTCCTTCATGACAGGACGGACGGGACTTTTGCGGGGATATCCGGGTCGCGAGGCATCCTCCAAGTTCGTCCGATCCCCTTAGCCACGGAAGCGGTTGGCATCTGCCCGATTATTCATCGTTTGGTGGTTGGGGAAAGGGGTCGTGTCGGTTGGCGGATCTCGAACGCGAGGGGAATCGCGGGGTAAGCCGGTTTGTCGACTTGACTTGCATTGTGTAAGCCAGACCTGAACGGGACGTTGAATTCGGGTTCAGACTTGCTGATGTACCGACTTGTTCTCGGCTCCTCCTCGCTTTGGCCGGCATAAACTTGCAAAGTAGAAGTTGTGTAACCTGTCATTCAGGTCGGGCAGGTAATGATCCGCTGCACTGGCGGCGAGTTTTGGAGAATGGGCCGTCACCATAAACATTCTTACTTGTATGTAGAAGACAAAGCCCGCCATGCTGACCGGTTGCGGTCGAGTCTTGGCCCGAATTAAACTACCTACACAGGACCAAAGAGGCTGTTCAATGTCCTATCAATCCGGCTCTGTGTGCTCGTTTCTGTGCCGTCTCCTACAAGGTGATTACCAAACACCTATCGACTGATATTTGCGGATGATGATTTGGCAGGGAATACTTCGTACCGAGATGCCCTACCCCAGATGTCACGATACCAGGAACGAAGTACACGAGCTAACGTACAGAGGTACATACTTCCGGAATGAAACAGAGTCTCGTGCGGACCGGAGGCCGAGACTTCCTCCAGGTCGCCAAGAGTTCCCCGGATTCATCGTTCGGCCGTTGATTCCCGATTGGGCCTGTCCTGCCGCGAGAAATCTCGGTTACCCCTGTCCAAAGCAGCTTCCCGCCGGATCCTGCCAGCTGGCCCAGTCCTCCGCCGTCTTTTGTAATGTGCTTCTGCCACTTGGCTGTGACATTGTCACATGCCAGTTGTGAGGATACCCCAGGTCCCTCTCCCCTTTTGCGCGCCATTGTGGCGATGGAAGTCCAGGAGACATCCTGCAGCTGAGATGGAGGGGTCGGTGGGTTGAACCATGCGTGCCATGCTGCAATGGACCGTCAGACATGACGAGATGAACCGATCCGAAGGGTCATCCGAGAATCTCGTGGGGATTATTAGGCAGGTCGAGCCAAGCGTGCGAGGTGAGGAGGCTGCAGGAGGGTGACTCCTTGTCGAGCCATAAGCCAAGCTAATAACCACTCGAAACTCGAGGACGGCTCCGTTCGAAGCCTGCATTGTCCTCCAGGTTGTCTGCGCTACTTACGGTAAGGGCGCTGGAATCCGGGGTTGGTAGCACCGCCGCAGTGGACACCCGCCCCCCTCTAATATGCATGCGCGCCGACCAGCTTAGCAAGCTGCAACCGATCGAAGTCGCAAATATCAACATCGGTCGCTTTCATCCACGTATCGATCAATATATTTCGAAAACAAAAGCACAATATCTATACTGATAAACAACTCATATCGTTTCTTCTGTGTTGCCCGTATCCCATGCCGATGCCCCGGCGCACATAACTAGGTTTGCGGCCGATCGTAGAGATTCGCGCCGGTCGAACAACCCGAAATCCGTCTCCAGAAAAGGACGATCAGAGGAGCTTGGTGGCGGAACACGACGGGAGCACCGGCTCAATCAGTTGCCACGACCTACCACGCCGCGCATTTCTCTTTTTACAATTCCCGCTCACTGCCGTCTAAACCGCAACAACCAGCGCCCGACTACCCGGTGGTGCGTGTGCCCCTCCGCTGTTGCCGAGAATGGATCCGGAGTCGAGCCCCCCTACCGAGGCCACGCCGCCGAAGCAGTCGTCGACATCGCCATCACAGCATTCGGCCGTCCCATCCACAGCGGCGGGTACGACGACGACCACAACCACAGCGGGGCAGCTGAGTTTCCGAAGGTTGGTACTCTTGGTATCGTCCCCCTCCTGCTGCGCGCGGGGCAAGCGGGTGTCGGTTGCGCTAACCTAGACTTTTTCTGCAAACTGAAGGCAACGAGCCTCAAGAGCGTGCGAGGTGAGTCGCTATTCAGCTCTATTTATGTTTGGTTGGAAGCCGAGTTGCGTGGTGGATTAGATGGGACCCCTCCGAGGCTCGTCCGCGATTACCACAGCCTCGCCTATCGTGCCTCGGCTCATCCGCCCGCCGGCATCTTGAGGACCGCAAAGCTGACCAGTCATCGTTTCCAGACATGCCATGCCCGCAAAGTACGGATACCCTCAGCCCATTGCAGCCACAGATCCACCCCGGGTTTCGTGCTTCGTGTTTCCATCCTTCATGATGTGGATGCTCACATCTCCTTCTGCAGGTCCGCTGCGATGCCGCGAATCTCGGCGTCCCCTGTACCAATTGTGTCGCCTTTCAGATCGAATGTCGCATCCCGCAGCCGAAACGAAAGAAGGCCCAGGCCAATGCCTCGCAGTCCAGGGACTCAGACAGGTACATCAGGGTCCCCTCCCCCCCGGCCATTTCGCCATGCCGGCAACACCATGCCCACCCCCCCCCCCCCCCCCCCCCCCTGCTCGGACCCGTCGCCCGGTCACTTGATGTTACTTTTACACATGATGTAGACGCTGACGCTGACTTGATAGTAGCGAACGAGGAGAGGAAGACAGATCACCGCTTCCGCCTGGCACGGCCACGTTCCCGAGCGGGACCCGACCTCCAGCCGTCTATCACACCCACGAGGGCACCCCTTCGACCGCCGGCATAGAGGTTGAACAACAGAAAAAGGAGGAGTTTGATAAGGCCACGCTCGCCAGCTACATGGACCTCGTCATGAAGCCCAAGTTCACAAGGGCACCCATTACCGAGGCTGGAAGAGTCGCCTACTTGGGCGAGTCCTCCAATCTAACCCTCTTAGTTCATGACCGCCAGAACGAAGGGGATGTGGTCCACTACCCGCTACCGGAAAACATCAGGGGCTCAAGAGCGCGCTTGACTGAGTTGGACAATGTCGAGATCGATATTTTACACCACCGAGGCGCCTTTCTTCTTCCACCGCGGCTCCTTTGTGACGAGCTGATCGACTCATATTTCAAATGGATACATCCCATCGTCCCGGTGATCAACAAGACGAAATTTATGCGGCGTTACAGGGACCCGAAGAACCCCCCTTCGCTCCTCTTGCTCCAGGCTATGATGCTCGCCGGGTCGCGCGTCTGCACTAACCAGCAACTGATGGATGCGAACGGCTCATCGACCCCGGCCGCCCTAACCTTCTACAAAAGAGCCAAGGCCCTATACGACGCCAATTATGAGGACGATCGGGTCACCATAGTTCAGTCCCTTTTGCTCATGGGTTGGTATTGGGAGGGGCCTGAGGATGTCACCAAGAACGTCTTCTACTGGACTCGGGTGGCGACAATCGTTGCGCAAGGCTCGGGCATGCATCGCAGCGTCGAGGGGTCACAGCTTAGCAAGTCGGACAAGAGGCTATGGAAGCGGATTTGGTGGACTCTTTTCACGAGGGACCGGTCCGTCGCTGTCGCCCTGGGGCGGCCTTGCCATATCAACCTAGACGACTCGGACGTTGAGATGTTGACCGAGGACGACTTCGTGGAGGACGAGCCGGAAGGAAAAAGCGAGTACCCGCCGGATCCGATTCACGTGCAGTTCTTCCTACAGTACGTCAAGCTTTGCGAGATCATGGGCCTCGTGCTCTCGCAGCAATATTCAGTCGCCGCAAAGGGGCGCAGACACAATCCCATCGACCTAACCCACAGCGATATGGCGCTTGCCGACTGGCTGCAGAATTGCCCCAAGTTGGTATATTGGGAGGTGCCGAGGCACCACTTCTGGTCCGCCTTGCTCCATTCAAACTACTACACCACCCTCTGCCTGCTTCATCGGGCGCACATGCCGCCGAGTGGCTCCCAGAGGTATGGGGACGATCACTATCCGTCTCGAAACATCGCCTTCCAAGCCGCCGGCATGATCACCTCCATCATCGAAAATCTTTCCACTCGCCAGGAGCTTCGATATTGCCCAGCCTTTGTCGTGTATAGCTTGTTTTCGGCCCTCATCATGCACGTCTATCAAATGAGATCGCCGGTGCCAACTATTCAACAAGTCACACAGGACCGGATACGGACATGCATGAGCGCCCTGAAGGACGTGTCCAGAGTATGGCTCGTGGGGAAGATGGTCCATACGCTTTTCGAGTCTATTCTCGGGAACAAGGTGCTCGAGGAAAGGCTCCAGAAAGCCGCCGGGAAACGGCACCGCAAGGCACAGCAAAGCCTTTCCCAACTGGAGCAGCATCGTTACGCTCAGGAGCAGAAGCGCAAGTACGACGAGATGGCGATCGACTTCAGCGTGAGCACACCCCAGCCGCAAGAATCATATGAGCGCTCAAGACCACAGACACCAAGCATGGCCTCCAAGAACGAACCGCCGGTTGGAGCGATGCCGCCCCCCAACCACACATCGCCGCACCCCCCGCGTAACAACGGCGACGCTTTCATGGGAGGGACAGCCTCACGGCCGCAGACACGGCCGGCAACCCCTTTCAACCCGTCCTTCTCGGTACCAGGCACTCCTCCCGATCTCTATCTCGTCACGAGGAATTCGCCGAACTTGTCACAGGCCGTTTGGGAGAACTTCCAGCCGGACCAGCTGTTCCCAGAGAGTGCTCACGCTCCACTATTCCAACCGATATCACCTCAGCAAGCACAGCAGAACCTCGATCAGCAGATGATGGCGCAGATGCAAAATCAGAACATGCAAGGGCAGCCGATGGACGGCAGTGGCCAAAACATATTTGGCCCGGCCTTACCTAAGCGGGGGATGGACGCGAGCCCGATGCAACAGAATCCGATGGTGCAGCAGGGCATGGCTGGTTCTTTCCAGGGCCAGCAGAACCCAAACATGTGGCATGGGTTTGAGGTGCCCATGGTCGACGGGCAGAGCCCGAGCGATAGTTGGAGCACGGGCTCCGTGCACGGCCAGCCACCCGTGCCGGCGACCCTTAATGTGGAAGACTGGTGAGTGTCACTTTCCTCCTCTGTCCATCTCCCTCTTGTACGAAGACACAGTTCTAACCCCATTTGCAGGTTCCAATTCTTCGGGATTCAGAATGACCCCGGGAATCCCATGAACCTCGACAACCTGTCCTTGTAGGCAAGCCGGCGCACTTTTTGCCAGCGTGTGCTTTATTCCGAACAACCTACGCACATCTATCTACTTTTATGCGCGTTTTGGACAGGAGCCAACGTAGCATCCGCGGTAGAGACGGGGGGTTATAAGAACGTCACAGGCACTGTTCAACTGGCTGGGTTGGGTAATATTTTCCTTTTTGGCCCTCTTAGTAGCAAGGAGGCGACGGGCTCGAATACTTTACGCTTGTTGTTGTAATAGACTCGAGCAAACATCCCCTGGTGTTGGATACCTGCGGCATAGTTTGTAGGTTTTATACGGACAAACGTTCCTTAACCGGGACCGCAAACACAAAGAAGCTACCTAAGAAGAGCTCCGAGGTACTCCCACGCCAGTCGGCACTTCGGATGCACATCATGTTCAAGGTTGGGCCGCAGGTTGGGCCGCACAACCGCCACAGCGCACAAGGGGACGATGGCCGTGCGAAACCGTTAGCTTTTGTAATCCGTCCATGTCTTGAATGTCCCATGTGCTGGGGAATCTCAACGCCCTCAATCTTGACGGTACCTCGGTAATTTCAGCATCAATATGTCCTGTGGAGAGTTCCAACCTTCCCTAAGTCAAGTCGGTTCGAGCTGCAATGCCAATTCTAGCGCTATCACCTCACCCAATCTCGTGTCGTCCCCGGCGATAGGTATGAGATGGGCAGATGCAAGCGCCCGACTGCATTGCCCAACCCCGCGCGCGATTGGAAGGGCGGGCCGCTGCGCAACCATACCTTGGGACGAGCGAGGTTCGAGAATCATCTATAATATATCTCGACTATTCATCTCACCACCCCTGTCGTCCATCGGCGCTTCCTTCTGAATGTCTCGGAGCCAATCGGTCGTTGGTGAGTGGCTCCTCCTGCCTCCTGTGGGGAGTGTTGGGGTAGCTGTTCGAGAAGGGTCCCATGCCCTCTCGTCCCTCTCCCACATTCTTGTCGCCGGCGGTGTGAAGAGATGGAACGTCTGCAGACGCTAAATAAGCGCGCTGGTGCTTCGGGCGTTGTTCTTGGTGATGATTGACCAGAATCACCATGCGCCTTTCGTCACCCCGCCCCCGCAATGGATGAACCCCTCATCTCTTCGCGCGAAGAAATGAGTTTCCGTACTTGGTAGGTGTCCATCAAACCAGATTTCGGACTCTGCCTACGATGTGCGGGAGTTGTTACGGCTCGGCTCATATGATGCGCGCTTGCCAGCTTCGTGTGTGAGATGGGCGCAACCATCTCTGCCGCGCGGGGCATGGGAAGCGGGATGGAAGCTGACTGTGGTGGGTTGGTTACCACCGTTAGGTAACGAGGGCGGGATCGCTTCAAGTGCCCAATCTGCACCACACAAAATCGCCGCTGCGTTTAGAAAGCGGCTGGTTTCCGCCTAATAAATATGTCTGCCTGATAGACGCGCAATCCCCGTTCACAAACGCGCGGAGTCGATGCGGCTTGTTGGCTCTTCGAGTCCATTCTTTGCGGCTCACAACCGAATCCCGACAGGGGTCTTCCCTCCACTATCACAGTGAGGGGCAGCCAAGCGTTCGCGGGAGTCCCCACTGCATGTGCTGCTGGGCGCCCCTGCTGCAGGGCGTCCGCCAGTTGCCGCCTTCCGCTGGGCGTAATCGTTAATCCTGACAGCTTCATGCCCGCCCAAGATTTCCTCCTGCCTAGCTCACACCTCATCCACCGTTGTACCTGAGGAAGAGATTGGGATTATGCGCAACCTTGACGAATAATACCGTGCACCCTTTACTGGACAAACTACGAGATAATCCCTCCGTAATCCACCTCAACGTAACCCTGGCAGCAACCACAACCCCGCCGCCTCCCTCGACGAAGCTGCACACACCCCCCAAACCCAACACCCAACGCGCTTCTTGACCGAAACTTGGCCAAACAATCCTCATTCTGTGGGAGGTCCGTGGGCGAAATAGTTGCGCGAGGCCTAAAACGATCACAGGCGTCCTGCTTCGCGCAGCACAAGACTCTAGCCCAAGATGACGCAAGCGCCCATGATCTCGGTGCCTCTCAAGGCCACCAACGAGATTGACTGGGTCACGCCTTTGAAGTCTTACATCCAGAACACGTACGGCGACGACCCCGAGAGATATGCGGAGGAATGCGCCACTCTCAACCGCCTGCGACAGGACATGCGGGGAGCTGGGAAGGACAGCACCGCGGGGAGGGACCTCCTATATCGGTACTACGGCCAGCTCGAACTATTGGATCTACGCTTTCCCGTCGACGAACAGCATATCAGGGTCTCCTTTACCTGGTAATTATTGCTTCCCCCCCAGTGACTCGTTATATCACCCTGCTCTGACACCCCATGGCGCAGGTTCGACGCCTTCACGCACAAGGCCACGGCGCAGTACTCGCTAGCGTTCGAAAAGGCGTCCATCATCTTCAACATCTCCGCCGTCCTCTCCTGCCACGCCGCCAACCAGATACGAACCGAAGAGGCAGGCCTCAAGCAGGCATACCACTCCTTCCAAGCCTCGGCCGGCATGTTCACGTACATCAACGAAAACTTCCTCCACGCCCCCTCCTCCGATCTTAGTAGAGAGACGGTAAAGGCTCTCATAAACATCATGCTGGCCCAAGCACAAGAGGTCTTCTTGGAGAAGCAGATTGCCGACCAGAAGAAGATTGGCCTCCTAGCGAAGTTGGCGAGTCAAGCCGCGACGCTTTACGGACAAGCACTCGAGGGCGTACAGGAAAATGTCACCAAGGCAATATTCGAGAAGGTTTGGCTGTTGATGGTACAGGCCAAGTTCAACTTGATGGCCTCCATTGCCCAGTATTACCAGGCGCTTGCCGACGACGACGCGAACTCGCACGGCATGGCCGTCGCCCGGCTACAGGTGGCCGAGGATCACGCACGAGAAGCCAGTAAAATAGCCAACAATTTCCCGAGTTCCATACCGCCCAGCTCGAACTTGACGGCAGACTGTGGCGCTACGCTAGCCGAGGCAACCAAGAGACACCTGGCTGTGGCCCAACAGAAGCTCAAAGAACTGACAAAGGACAACGACTTTATTTACCACCAGCCGGTGCCCGATGCGGCCGGGGTACCGGCGGTAGCGAAACTGCCCGCCGCAAAGCCCATCCCGGTCAGCGAGCTTTACGCGGGGCAGGATATCCAACGGATTACCGGTCCTGACCTCTTTGCGAAGATCGTCCCCCTAGCAGTTACCGAATCGGCGAGTTTGTACGACGAGGAGAAGGCGAAGCTGGTGAGAGCCGAGACGGAGAGGGTAGACACCGCAAACGGCGAGATGGCTGCGAGCCTGGATTACCTAAGGCTACCCGGCGCCTTACAGGTCCTGAAGGGCGGTTTCGACCAGGAGATCCTACCCGACGAAGACTTCAGAACATGGTGTGTCGACGTCGCAGACCACGAAGACCCTTCCAAGATCTTCGATGTTTTACATACGCAGAAGCAAACGATAGTGACATCCTTGGAAAGGAGCAGCAAGCAATTGGACATGGAGGAAAGCGTGTGCGAGAAGATGAGGTCCAAATACGAGTCGGATTGGACTCAACAGCCCAGCTCGCGGTTGACCACCACGCTAAGAGGTGACATCCGGAATTATCGGGAAGCGTTGGACGAAGCCGGGAGGAGCGATGGCCGACTTGCCACAAAGTTACGGCAAAACGAGTTCGAATTCGGCGAAATGCGCTCGGCTGCCGAGAACGGCGAGGTCGACGCTCTATTCCAACGAGCCGTCAAGAAGGTGCGGAAGTCGAGCAATGCCAACAGCCCCTCCTCGGAGCCCAACCTGCTCGATGCCGACTTCGACGACGGCGGGCCCAGCGTCGTTGATCAGATTGCCAAGGTGGAGGATATTCTGAAGAAGCTGAATCTCATCAAGCGGGAGCGCATCCAAGTGCTCAAGGACTTGAAGGAGAAGGTATGCTAGGCGTTGGAGTGCACAATAATGGGGCTCAACTAACTGGCTGCGCTAGGCACACAACGACGACATATCACAGATCTTGATCCTGAACAAGAAGTCGATAGCCAACTATGAGCAGCAGCTATTCCAACAGGAGCTCGAGAAATACCGCGGGTTTCAAAACCGTCTAGTCCAGGCGACCCACAAACAGGCAGCCTTGATGCGAGAGCTAACCGTCGCCTTCAATGGTCTTCTGCAGGATAAACGGGTCCGGGCAGAGCAGAGCAAGTACGAGTCGTTCCAACGGCAGAGGGGAACGGTGATCGGAAGGTACAAACGGGCGTACCAGGAATTCTTGGATCTCGAGGCCGGCCTCCAGAGCGCGAAAACCTGGTACAATGAAATGAAGGAGACAGTCGAGAGTCTCGAGAAGAACGTTGAGACTTTCGTCAACAACCGACGAGCCGAGGGCGCTCAGCTACTCAACCAGATAGAGCAGGACCGGGCCGCTAACAAGGGGGCGCAAGCTGCGATGGAGCAAGAACGAATAAGGGGCTTGATGGAGCGCATGTCGATGGAGCCACCACCAACGTCTCCCCAGCCAGCGTCATCACGGCCGACGCCCGCGCCCCTCTCTTTCAGCTCGGCACCCATGTACCCCAACGCCATTTCCGCACAATACCAGCTTCCCAGCTCACCACCACCCATGCAAACAACCGCCCCCCAGTCCTTCATGCAGCAGCAGGGAGGTCAAACCTTTACCTACAACCCCAGCTCCCATGGCCGCATCCCCGGCCCGGCGTCCCCCCCACCGACCCAGTCAACCTTCAACATCGGCCACATGCGACCCGGCCCGGCATCGCCACCACCCACGCAGACCACGTTTTCCCAGCCGTCGCGATACAGCACCTACGGGAACCCAGCCGCCATGGCGCATCAACAACCGCATCAGCAGCAGCAGCAGCAGCAGCAGCAGCAGCAGCAATTACCCACCCAGCAACAGCAACAGCACGCGAGCTATGTCCCACCCAACTTTGTGCCGCCTCCGCCCCCGCCGGGACCGCCGCCCCTGGGGCCGCAACAGACGGTCCATTACGGAGCGGGGTATTACAACGGTGATCCCAACGCGGGGCGGCCGGGGTCGGCGCAGCAGCAGCATATGCAGGGCCAGGGGCAGGGGCCGCCGGGGCAGGGACAGCAGGATCCGTGGGCGGGGTTGAGTGCGTGGAAATGAGATTGGGGGTTGAGGGGGTTGGGGGTTGAGGGGGTTTGGAGTTTGGGGGGGGGAGGGAAGGGGGGTTAAGCTATTGGGGGGCTGGTATGGTAGGAGGGAGTGAAGTGGTGTTATTGACTGAATAAAGGGGGCTTGAAGAGTTGAATCAGGAACTGCGTGGCTGAACGTCTGGTCTACTCACCTGCTGTCTGTGTATATGGGCATGGAAATACGAGATGGCTTGGTATGGAAGAGCGGATGGCGTGGGGGGAGTCTTGGATAGAAGCAATGAAGCCATGCGGAATGGAACATCAAGTTTGGCAATGGCCATGACCGGAATGGTTCCGATTATGAATCTGGTGAAGTCAACGCGGTTGAGGGGGGTGTGGTGTTCAGTTTGATCCCGTTACTCGGAGTGAGGAGTGGGTTTCTTTCAGGTAAACCACTGACGGTTAGCTAACTCACCCTTCTGGTGTATTTGGGCATCGTGACCGAAGCAGTTACGGGCATACCATCCGACAGGTTCCCTAACGGAAGCCCGCCCCTCGTTTTTGGACCTGCGACAGAACCATATTATTGGGTTTCCCTGACAGTAATGCTGCGTGTTATGGTACGAGCCTACTCTTTTATAGCGGTCATTCTTTTGTTGGCGTTGCTTAACTCGGTGTCTAGGTATTACTTACTCAGGGGTAAGGCCTACATTACAAACAAACATAACCACGCCTGGAATATATCCACAGTATATACCCGGAATCAGTCTCCCAGTCTACAGCACGCCACCGAAACCCACGACGTCCCCCCCCCTCTCAAATCTCAAACCAGCCCAACCACACCCCCCACCGCCACCGCAACCCCCACAACCGCCGCCTGCCCGCGACCCATCCCACCACTACCACCGCCGGGAGTAGCCCTCGCCGCCGCGGCCCCCGTCGAAGAACTCGTCCCCGCCACCGTCGCACCCGTAGACGACGCAGCCGCCTCCAGCTTCTCCAGCCCCGCCGTGACCGTCACGGGGATGCGGTGCGCGGCCACGTCGGCGAACCGCGTCGAGATGGTCTCGGTGCTGGTCCCGTCCCAGGCGGTGCTTCTTGGCCCGCTGTTGTCGATGGTGGTGGGGGTGGCGGTGCCGTCGGTGCCGTCCGCCTGGCCTGCGTGGTGGGTTGATACTGCCGAGCGGCTCGTCATGTGCCCTGTGCAGGAGGCTGAGGTGCTGCCGTGGATGTCGCAGGTGGCGGTTGCGGTGCTGCGGGGGGTGGGTTGGTTAGTTTGGGGGTTGTTGGTGTGAGGGTGGTGGGGGGTAGAAGGATACGGAAAGGGGGGGAGAGGGCGGCCCTTACACGGTAATTATGGTCTCCCGCGTGGTGGCCCCGTCCGACGCGCCGGTCGCTGGGTCGACCGACACGACCTGCGACCCGCGCCGCACGTTCAGCGTCATGGCCGTTGGGTTGATGGTCACGCTCGCGCCGCCGACGTAGTTGCATGGCGCGGGCAGGGGCCGGCCTTGGAACTCGCCCCCGCGTATCTCGCAGGTGATCCAGTACGCCGTCTGGAGCAGGTCTGGGTCGACGCTGATGACGGAGGCTTGGACGACGGGCGTGGCGACCGGTCCGGTTGGGTCGATGACGAAGAGGTTGAAGACGTTGGATGCTGAGGTTGTTGTTGTCTCTGCCAGTGCCGCCGAGGCAAAGGCGCCGAGCAGGGCGAGAAGACCAGTTGAACGGGCCATGGCTGATATCTACCTATTCGAACTGATGCTAGGGGTTAAAGAAGAAGAGAGTGAAGGGGTAGAAAGGGGTTCAATTCAAGAAGAGACTGGTCACGGTATGGAAAGGGTTGAAAGATTGACTGCTACACTTGAACCGATCAAAGTCATGGTAGTTATAGTTGCCGTATATTTAACTAACGTGGCCCTCGTTTTAATTCGACGTCCTTTCGTGCTTAATGACTCGAACGATAGGGAACAAGAGTCTGATGTCAGCCTACCTCTTCGGACTCGTTTGTCGGATCGGGTGACCACAGCCCATAAAAGCCACCTCCTTCAAGAGCAGAGTCCGATCTTACTGAGTGAGTGAGCAGCACCCTTGCGATTTTTACCTATTATTGTCCAGCTTGTGCAACGAAGCCATAGCCACCTACAGAGTAGCATCTCCATCCCATTAGCCAAGTAACGAACTTAGGGGAATGGTGAGCGACTTGAACCCCTGTCCCAAGTAACACGCTTCCTATCCACACGATGAAATCGGGATTTAACGTCACTCCAATTTGTTGTCAGGCTGAAAATTATGAACCCCCGACACTCGCAGTTGACCTACTATGTAGTTCAACTCTCTCGAGCTGTTTGTCAGTGTAACTCCCGTTTTGATAGGAGCCGGTTGAAAGGAATGACAATAACTAGAAATGAACCGAGATACCTCGAGTGCGAGGGAAAAAAAGAAGAAAAGAATGTGTAGTTACACCAAAAGCACAGTTCTTTCACCTTGTTGCCTATTTCCTCCTCCCGAAGGGTTAAGTCATACCCCGGGTGCTGCCTCTGCCCGATTCGAGTCGGCACCACTTAGTTTGTTAGTTACTCCTTTTTACTCCTCCCCCCCGGCCGTTTCCACAGGAACGGCTCCCGTCATGCCACCTGCTGCTGCGGAGAAAATATCAGCCCCTAACGAACCCCTCCGTCTGCGGGGTAGGTGGGGGTTTCGGGAAGGGGAAGCTGCAGATGCAAGTTAGCTGCAATCGTCATCCGGCACTTCGCGCGGTATGGCCAGGAACAAGGGCAAATAATATCTGAGGTACCAGGTAAGGCACGAGGAAGGCCCGAGATGCCCACTGTTGGCGCTCATCTTAGGCTGATGTAGCCCGAGTGACGAGGCAGTGGCACCGGAGGCGGCGCCTCATTTAATTCCCGAAGGCCCGTCCCGCCATGTCCGTTGGTGGCCCCATCCGATCGGACTCAACCTCACCTTTACCACTTCCTATCCATTATATCGAGCAATTGATGCCATTGCCAGAAGGATTTGACTCACTGCTTGCTTGAACAACTACCTGATAACATAACCGAGAACCAAGACAATAAGCATTCCTGAAGATGTCATTCAATCGTGAGATACAGCCCCTCCTCTAAACCCCTCCCCCACTATCCGCTAGCGGGTCCTGACCTCCCCAGGCCTCGTCCGGTTTGCGCCCAAGGGCGACGACAGCAAGATCCTCCTCGGTGAGCCCGCCGACAGCTCTGTCGACGTCGGTGCTGCCGTTCGCGAGGGCGAGGATGTACAAGTAAAGGTGTACAGCGGCACCTCGGTGCTGGACGCCGGGTCGCCGACCGGCGAGACCGCTGTCATCGGCCGCATTCTCGCACCTCTAACGCAACAAGAGGTTGGAACCATCCGCTGTATCGGACTAAACGTAACTTGACCCCAGATCTCCTAATGCAAGAGTCGCTACTGATACCCTCTCGAACAGTACAAGAAGCACGCCGAAGAGGCCAAAATGACCATCCCGGAAATCCCCACCGTCTTCCTGTACGCCCGTCCCACGCTACAACCCCCCCCCCCCCCCACCCTCACATCCAACTAACACGACCCCCCTTTTCCCCCTCCTCGCAGCAAGCCCTCAACCTGCCTGGCCGACCCCTACCCGTCGCCGACCATCATCCCCAAGCACACCCTCGCCAGCGACTCGGCCGACTACGAGTCCGAGCTGGCCATCGTCCTCGGCCGCGAGGCCAAGAACGTGTCCGAGGCCGACGCGCTCGGCTACGTGCTGGGGTACACGGCCAGCAACGACGTCTCGAGCCGCGCCTCGCAGTTCGCCCAGACCCAGTGGTGCTACTCCAAGGGCTTCGACGGCGCCTGCCCGATCGGCCCCGTCCTCGTGTCCAAGGACCTCGTGCCCGACGTCGGGGCGCTCAGGCTGAGGGGGCTGAAGAATGGGAAGGTGGTGCAGGATAGCGGGCTGACGTATGTTCTGTCTTATTTTATTTTCTCTGTCTCTAGGGCCTCCGCCCTTTTAGATCTCGGCACGAAGATGTCAGTTGGACTACTAGTTGACTAACACCGTCCGTCTTAGGGACCTCATCTTCTCGGTTGAGCAGATTGTCAGCTTCCTCTCGCAGGGCACCACGCTGCCCAAGGGGACCGTCATCATCACGGGCACCCCGGCTGGCGTCGGTTTTGCGCACAAGCCGCAGGAGCTGTTGCACGACGGGGATGAGTTTGTGGTCGAGATCCAGCCGCATATCGGGAGCCTGTACAATGTGATGCAGAACGAGAAATGAACGGAAACTCGCTAAGAGCGAGGAGTGTATTTTGCCCTGGTAGTTTCTAGATGATGCCTTTTAAAGGAACAACGCCGGACATATGAACTTCAAAACGGCAACCCCCCACTCGACCCGTTCCTAAGACCTCCGTTCTATCAATGCCAACTCTATCCCAACAACGCAGGCAAGTGCTCCTTGATGTATTCAACCACAGCATCCGGGCCCTTATTCACCTGCAACCCCTGCGGCAGCGAGAAGGTCTTGAGGCCAGGCACGATCTCTTTGGCGATAGCAATAATCTGCCGCGCCTCCTCAGGCGTCCACATCGATGCCGTAAACTGCGCAGGTAGAACCCGTCTCAGCCTTGCTTCCTCCCCCAACGAATCACCTCAACGGGCTACAACACTTACCAAAACGTCCGGCTGGGTTTCCTCCACTGTCTTGCGCACCTCGTCTATGCCTGTAGTGACAATCAAGTTAGGTCGGTTGTATTATACCTAGACGGACGACAGCGGGGACGGGAGTTTTCATGTCGAGAGGTAAAATGAAAAAAGACATACTGGCGGCGTTGGCGGCGTGGATGATGGTGTACTGCTCCTTGACGTCTGCGACCACCCGGCCGATCAGCCGTCGGGCGCGGTCTGGCGCCGTGTTGACTGTGACGAGTTTGAAGGGGCCGGTGGGGGCCATGGTGGGTGGGTGCACTATGTTGGTAGTTGGGGGGGGGGGTTTTGTTTTCACAATGGTAAGGAATAGGAGATGTTTGGTCTATTAAGTCATTCCGTCTGATCTATGCCGGGGGGATGTAACTAGCACGTTTGGTCTGGGGCTCCGGCTAGGCGGTGCCAGGGGAGTACGATAATCCCCAAATGGCCTTGTCTCGAAGCGGTAAGTAAGAAGCCATCGTGGGGTCGGTGACAACGGTATGGATCCCCTGACGGGAACCAAGGCTGGCACCTCAACTTGCTACCTACCGCGTTATGGAAGGGGCGAGGGCAATGGTTTTCCCGGGATAAGCCTCAACCGCCCAGAGACGGTGGGTGGACACCGGGGAATAAAAGTGTGCTCCGGGATATGCCCTGAGGATGGCTAAGGGGGTTAGGGTTTGGTGTAAGTCAACCCCTGACGTCTTATTGTTTGTTCGGTGCCTTCACAGTAACTCTCACTGCTGCTAACAAACCTCTACGGCGACATTCCGGCTCCATAGATTCTTCACATCAGCCACGATAGCCCCAGCAACAGCAAAGCTCGATCCAACCCTCCCTAGCAATCTCATGATCTGCTCCTTTTGTTCCTTCTGCCGAGCTCGTGCGCTGGCAACCCGGAGGGGGAACAGGAGCAGCAGCGGAGAGATCCTGGTTTCAGCCAGAACCCGCTGGCTCAGAGCCAAGATGAAGGTAACGTGTTGCTGGATCTCATCTTCGCCCAGGGTAGAGGTGGGTAGATCTAGGCTCTGCCAATAGCACAGCTCGTAGTCGAACACGCCAGAGAGGTAGATGCTGGTGGCGGAGAAGAAGGTCGCTGCTAGGAGCTGGGATTCGGATTCGGGCGCGCTCTCGGCCGAGTCTTGCCTTGTGCTCGAGTCGCGGAAGACGGGGGAGGTATGACAGGCGGATGCCCAATGCCGAAGGCGGCTGCGTAACGCAAAGCCCTCGAGCGAGATAGCTTGCGCCTGCTCTGTGGCGTTTAGCGAGGATGCTGAGGATTGTAATGATTCAACAAGTTCCGCCGCACTAGGTCTAGTTAGGCAAGTTGGACTCTGGTGAAAGAAGAACTGTATGTGGCAGAACATACCGAACACGCAATGAAGAGCACAGAACCACGATATCGAGCAAAGAATCCAACGCTTTCTGTGACTTGTTCCACGTCGTCGAGGATGACCGTAAAGATGCGGAGAGCGCCATCCATCCGTCTTCGGCGAGGAAACTCGGCTGATTAAACAGGATTGCCCGGCAGACCTCGAATATCTTGGACTCTGTGAAGAACCTGCTGCAAGACCCAGAGATGCATGCCGAGGGACTACCCGCTATCAAGGCCTGCGCTGTGCCGTGGACAAGGTGCTGCAGCCACCCGTCGCCAGTAGCGTCGTTCATCAGCTAGGGGGTCGTTAGCTTCGCATGCCCATGGTATACTGGTTGGGCATCAGGACGGGCTCCCGCTTACCTCGAAGAGGCCGAGCAGCAAAGTAGTCCAAAGGATCCCCGCCCTCAGATGGGGTTCGTTGTTTCTGCCGGGCCGGGAGAGAGCATGTCTGAGTCCCGCAATCGCCCTCGTATAAGATTCCAGGGCAGACTGGTAGTGGGCCCTTTTCGACTTCTGGACAGCACTCAGCTTCGAGGCTTGCAGGGCACCCAGAGACAACATGGCGTCGCGTAAGAAGGCCTCCGGGTCGCCGTGTCTCATTAGCTGCCCGGCATCTTCCTGTGGCGTTTCAAGGCTGGAGAATTTGTTGTTCTGGAGGAATGCGTGGTAGTAGGAGAAGTAGAGCAAGGCCGGGTCTGAGCGAGGGGGCAGTTTGACCATCTTACTGGTAAAAACTAGCCGGTGTGCTTTTTGGACAGAGTAGGTGTCGACTGTTTGCTGCCTCCCTTGGTCGACAAGAATGGCCGGCTTCTTTTGCGCTGCTACGAGGTAATGGCAGGGCTGGTGGCGTTTCACGCAAGTGGTGCAGGGGGTATCACCAGAGCACTAGTTGCGATAGGCAGGTACCTATGTTAGACCACCTGGATACTGCCATTCTGAAGGATTCCATGGCACACACGAACCTTCAAGTGGCTCCTCGTACAGCTGTCACACCGGTGGCGCCGTTTACGGCGGTCAAAGGGACCGATGAGCATGTTGGATGCCAAACGTGGTTGGGGGGTTGAACCAGGCTTCGAGACCGAAATCTTAGTTCTAGTGAGCAGGCCGGCAGTTAACCCATTTGCGCAAACTATATACTGTATGGTTCTTGAAGTTGGGGACCCGGCGCATCCGTGTCCGAAATGCAGGAAGAAGGCGACGTTTGGCGAGGAGAGGTTGGGTGGGTGGGGGAGTTGCAGAGGGGCGCGGGGGGGGGGGGCGTTGGGTTTCCGTTATGCGAAATGCGGCATCACCTGTGGCGTTTGTGAGCAGTTTCAAGGAACGGATGAAGAGATATTAGGAAACCGAAGCTAAAAAGAACACAACTGGCGATGAACATGGTGATTTCCGACCACTGAAAATAGCCAAAAGATGGTGCGTCTCAACCCGAGATGGTCTTGTCAACATCAAGGCGCCTGCGGGTCCATTCCGAAAATGGTAGTCATTAGGCGACGCTAGTTATCCCATATTAGGTAAGGGAGCGAGGGATGGCTTCACCATGTCCAGGGGTTGTGAGCTTGGCAGAGCTGTAAAATAACGTCTTTCCATGGAGGTACGAAGTACCGTAATTTGTACGGTATAGTATACCAAGGGTCCCAGTAACCTTCCAGGCGTTTGGAGCGACTCCGTGAACGATGCCTTCAATACAAGGTGACAAAGAAAATAAAGCTGGTAACCGCTGATAACCTTGCCTACCTAACAGTTGGGTACCTAGGCAACCTTGGCTCACGCCTTTCGGTGCTCAAAGTCCCGGTTCACTGACGGAGAGGGCCAGGATGGACCGCGTGGAGATGGCCCAGAAGGCAGCTGCCGCGTGTGTGCTCGATGCGGTGGAGGGGTGGAGGGGTGGAGGGCTCATCACGGGCGAGGACAACGCCGGGTGTCGGATTGGATCAATGCGGTGCAAGAGAAGCGGGGGACTCAAGGTTTGGATTGCTCCCGCTGACTGACCTAGAGTACAAAAGCCAGCCATCACATTTTCCACGCACAATCCGGTTAGGTACCCCAAGTCCCCATTTTCAACCCCCCGACGAGCAAGCCCGTCCCCGTACCGTCAGTCTCCTTCGCCCTCTCCGCCTCCCGCCTCACTCATGCGCCGCCATCTTTGCTCAACCGTGGGCACGTCGAGGTGTCGTGTTGCCTCAAGCAACTGCCTTCTTGTTGTCGTTGTTCCCGCCCTTCTTGTCGCCCTTCTTCTTGCCCCCGTCCTTCTTATTCTCGGCCTTCTTTGCAGCGTCGGGGTCGTACTTGGTTGAATTGGGGCATGTTGGATCCCCGCAACAATAGGTCTCCGTAACCATCTTGGCCGAAGAGCTACCATCGGCGTTCTGGACCGTGTTACACTCTTGTTTCTTCCAGCACCTGAAATACGGGAGGAGGGACCACGTCAGCCATGGTCAGGGGGGGATGATTGAGATCGGGACCTCGTCCAAAATGGCCATGGGCGCAAAGGACGCACCGAGAGCGAAAGGGGGAGAAGAGCGAAAGGAGTACCTACATGATTGCGTTTTCTCTTTTCCTGTTTTGCAGCGCTGGGCAGGGAGCGGACTGGTTGCTGGGAGAGGACTGGTTTGCTGGGAGAGGACTGGTTTGCTGGGAGAGGACTGGTTTGCTGGGAGAGGACTGGTTTGCTGGGAGAGGACTGGCTTGCTGGGTGTTGCTGGGGGTAACTGAAGGCCTTGGTGTGGTGCGACAAGGGGAAAGTATCAACCGCACTGAGCCCGGGGTTGCTGTTGTCCTTATACTCCTCGTTGGCAGAAGTTGATAAGCTTGACCCATGCTGCCAGGAGCCGGCCACGGTCCCAGCCATGAGCATGCCCATGTCTCAAGGGAGAACGGCCGCCGACCGCCAGTGCCTTGCTCAGCGATCAGTCACACTCCCCGTGACGCTCTCTCTGTCTTGTCCCCTGGCCGATATCACATACTCGACGCAACCTGTCACAATTGTGGAATATCAAGAGCACTAGTGGGGGGCAAGAGGCTGAAACCGCGGTGAGAAAGCTGTCGAGCCAGACGGGCCAATGACTCAGTCTCAGAAGCGACGAGGAAATGCACCTGTCCTCATATTCCACATCGGCAAACGCCGGTGACTTGTTTACAAACGCAAGACGGGGAGTATGGGCAATCATGATTCGTTGATTGACCCCTTCCGGGGCGTCGCTATCGGCATGCGGCCTCCCGATGGGTAAGACAAGCGACCACCCACCCCCCTTCCTTCCCAGGAATCCATGGGAAAATAGGTGACATGTCATGTCAACCTACCTAACAAGGTCCTATACCCTGGAAGGTTCTAGGCAAAAGAGGCTTAGCGAGAGGAGATGGCATTGATTATGGATTTTGGCCAGTGACAGAGAGCCGGTCTGCAGGAATCTGCTAATATGACGGCTTTGTTTGCTCCCTTTTTCGGGGTCTAGGGCGCCCCCATTCAGCACCATAGCTCTAGGCCTTCCCGCTTCCTTTCTTTCTCTTTCCACAACTCAATCTACTTGACCTTCCGCGCCTCCGAGCATACTACTCGCAAGCGCCTCGTCAAAGCCGCCTCCCTGGCTTCCCTCACTCCCCGTTCCGCCTGCCAACGGCTCGTCCACGTCTGCCATACTGCTGCCCACACCGTCTACTCCCACAGTCACCGAACACACCATGGCCGAGGAAAAGCTCTTGAACATTACCAGCCGTGACCAGCTGAGGATATGGGGGCTACTCAACATGGAGACCGGCGCTAGGAATACTCAATGGACCTATTTTACAGCCGACGACAAGGCCTATATCGGAAAATCGGACAAGAGCGAGTTCGACCTCAGTTTGACTGACTTGGTTGCGGGACTCGAGCAGGTCCCCGACGATGCCATCTACCCCGATACACCTGCTGGCACGCACATGACCATCGCGCCCAAGGATCTGGATGACGGTGTCGTCTTCATCAAGCGCATGGCTTTTAGGCGGATTGCGGCCTTTGGAACTGACCCCCAATTCAAGGAGGAGGGGCTGATCGAGGCCCTCGCCATGGAGAAGGTCTCGGAGATACCCCATCCGTACATCGTCCAGTACCACGGTTGCAGGATCCACCGCGGCCGCATCACTGGAATCGTACTAGAAAGGCTCCGGTACTCCCTGGGGGACTCGGCACTTGACCAGCGAAACTACGACAGCTACCGCGAGGAGTGCGAGCGCAACCGCCACCGCAACCACGACGAGGACGACGACGACAAGGATGACGACGATAAGGATGACGACGACAAGGACGACGACGACAAGGACGAGGAGGAGGAGGAGGACGATGACGCCGACGACGACGACGACGACGACGACAACAAACAACACCGCAGCGCGATAAGAGACAGATTCGACCGGCTAGACAAGGAGGCCTTCCTGGACGGGATCGAGTCCGCCGTCAAGTTCCTACATTCGCTCGGCCTCGCCCACAACGACATCCACCCCGGCAACATCATGATTCGAGAGGCCGACGACGGCTCCTGCACGCCGGTCTTGATCGATTTTGGCGCGTGTGCGCCCTTTGGCGCTAAGCTGCATGGCAGGGGCACGCCCGACTTCATGGACATGGAGGACAAGGAGCGCTCCATCTCGCGCGCCAGGCACGATGAGTTCTCCCTTAAGCGCCTCCGCGAGTGGTGGGACAGGGACCATATGGCGGGGAAGGATGAATTTGATAAAGCTGTGGGGGAGAAGATGCTCGAATACCGCCGGCAACAGCGGAAAGAGATGGGCATGGAGGACATGGAGGTGGAGAACTCCAAGGACTCCGAGGACCCGGAGGGCCCGGAGGACCCAAAGGCCTGAGCTGGAGCGGCGATATCCAGCAGTTCACACCTGTCTGTTGCCTTTTTTTTTCCTTTTGTGTTCGTGTTTGTTAGAGGTGTTGAACCGTCATTTGTCTGTTTCTCGATGGAAAAGAAGAAGAGTATGTACCTTGAGTAATTCATTATTGTTTGCCCCTGAACAGCTTGCCGCCCAACGTCCAGCACCAGCCATCATCAAGTGCGCCCCTCGGACCGCAAGTCCTCAGCCGCCCGATCGAGCGGTAAAGACGACCCGACGGAACGGATCTGATATGCAAGCCGTTAATCCTTGTGACACCCTCTGACCACTGCCGTGGAAGCACAACTTAACCATGGGCGTCTCCCACCACGTGCCGAGGGGAGCTCGTTCCGTTTGCGGCATCGGATCGGGGGTTCGGGATGCTAAGCCATGAGAACGGCTGAGTGCCTCAGCCCAAGCGCCATCCACGGATACCTTCGGCTGACACCATCACCGACCTTCTGGGGCCCATTTTCCCCGGCAAATGTACACATCCCGCACGACACACAAAGATAACGGCCATTGGGCACCTTCGCTGACGTCTTCTCCAGCGGATCACCGGGCTGGGATGACGACCCAGAGGCTTCTCCCATTCGACGGAGAAGCGGGATGGACGATTGGGCAGAGACGGTAGACGATCTCTACCCATTAAGGGGTCCCCGTGGACGAGGGACGAGCACGAACGAAGCCCCCTGGGGTGAAGGTCCCGCCCCGTGGGCCCAACGGCCCCGAGATCCGCCAGACCATGGCGAGCATGGCCTCAAGCGGCAGGTCTCGGACGGCAGTGGCGCTTCTGATTGGGCCGTCGCCGTGCCTTCTGGAAACCTTCTTTCCCATGCGCCGACCGGGAAGCTGTTTCTTGAAGTTGCGCACGACGACGCAAACCCGCAGATCCCCACACCACCATGCGCAGAGCATCCACCCCCAAACACCCAAACACCCACACTCCCACAACGTCGACCCTTTCTCAATTTTAGCCGAGGCTCTGCCTGCGTGCTCCATCTTCACCGACAGATTGGCTCGGTAGCAGGGTACAGACGGCGCAGTGAGCACGCCCCCCAACCCCTCCCCTCCCGTTCGCAGATGATTTGCAGTTTTGTCTGGTTTTGTGTGTATGTACATATTATTGATCGGGCCCGCCGAATGGAGGAGACAGACGAGGCAGGCTGGGGACATCTGATTAGATTGGCTCGGGCAAGAAGACATCGATCGGGACCGGGTTGGGTTGCCCTTCTCCCCCCCACGTTGGAACTGATACCCCCGCTTAGGTAGTGCCGAAGGCTAAAACGTTGCATGCAGATCGAGTGGCCGTAGATAATCCCTCTCGTTAACTCTGGTTGAGGTCATCATCATCAGCAACCTACCGAGCCAGAGCTGAGGTGATTACTGCCGAGCGTGCGAAAAAACGAAGAGATGCTGCGTATAGCCCGCCCGTCTACCCCTCTACCCTTTGTTAACAGCCGACAATTTCTCTCACCCCTCGGTAGGTACGTTGGGCAGATCCGAGATTCGATCTTCAACCTCACCTGGTAGCTCGGACGGTGAAAAAAAAAAAAAGGCATCTTTCCTTCGTCTGATGATTCCGCGATGAGTGTGCGTGCGGGCTTGGCTGTGGGATCTCAAAGCGGAATGGAAGCTCTTGGCACGGGTGTCCATGGATGTGATTGGTATGGGCTCCCCAGGGGGTGGCCAACAGACGTCACTCAACAGGGGCCAGGGCCGCTGGGTCCAACGGAAAACAGGCCCAAGCCGGCCCTGGCGAAGCGCTCGGGTGCTGAGGAGGGAGCTGCCCGGAGCTGGGTTTTGGGCTGCCCGTGCTGCCGTGTTACCCCTCACCTCTGTCGGGCAACTCAACTGGGCCACCCCGCAATTGCGAGCGCGCTTTTTCGTCTTGTTCGCTATTTTCTTTGCGGGATGCTCGAACAGCGGGGAGCGCGAGAGCGGTGTGCGGTAACCACTTAACCGAGAGGCAGTTGCAATCACGGAACCATCCCTTCGGGGAGTCACACCTGGAGATTTGACGGGTGCCGACAGGCTCGGGCACACCGGCACTGAGGTACATCCCTTGGTGTTTCTGCTCAGCCCACCAACCTACCTAACCTACCCTCAGCATCAGCACCAACACTGCACTGTGTAAGCGCTGAGGCAAGCAGATCCCCTCTCGTTTGCCGAATATAGCTTCCTGCGTTGATGGCCCAGGTAATCTGTATGCAGCGGCCTAATTTTAAACGCAGCCCGCCCATGCTCTCAACACAGTCCATCCGGGACGTATCATCAGCCTCACTCACTTCTTGGTCCACGGTCATCGGGCGATGGTGGGGATTGCCCAGCGGTCGCAGGAAGCCGGGGCAGGAGGCAGGTCATGCAACAAGGCCCCTCGGCGTTGGGCGCTGTTGCAAGACCGCGAATCTTCCCCTCTCTGTCCCTGTTGGACCGTTGATCGGACCCTGACCACCAGAGCTACGCTAACCCCTCACTCAAAGCCACAGCACGAAAGGGGCGCTGCCCTGTGCCCTCTCCGGTTCCCTTCAACGTGCCTTTTCGTTCCAAGCACCGACCGTCGAGCTCGGAAAAAATATACAGAGTTACGAAGTACCAGGCCAATTGTTCACAGCTTGGCGAGTGATAACTCCCAGGTATGTACTGTGTATGTAACTCCCTCTGGAGGGAGTTAAGGCACAAGGGGCTCAAGGCGCTCAAGGCGCTCAAGTGAAGGCCAGCGTCCCTCTCGGGTATGACAAGGACAGGAAACCAAAACCAGGGGCCTTGTCACCGACCGTCCACAAATTGAAAAGCTCGCCTGCCATGCCTCGTGACCCGACCGAGAGATCATGCCACACCGCTGCATCGTCCGCTCGGGTTTGGCCCCAGTGTCACTCACACCCCTGCTCCACAGTTGCCCTGCTTCTTTCTTGGGAGCTTGGCTCTCTCCAAGCCGCCGTTCCCCCTGCTGGGGCACCCGGTCTTGGCGAGATGCCGGGTTTCCCACGGGGGCGTGTGGTGGGTGTGGTGGGTGTGGTGTGTGGTGTGTGGTGTGGTGACGGGCAACTCTAATTTGAACTTTTCCTTTTTTTTTTTTGACCCCCTCGGCCCATCCCTTGGTTGATGCGCCCCGTCTGGCTGAGCCCCAGGAGGATTTTGGGCAAGGGGACGAAATGGGGACCTAGTAGGTACATGTACATACCTGGGACGGCGCCTGGTTGCATGGCGCAGAAAAGGGAACTTCGTGCAGCGAAAAGGTACCTCGGAGGTCTTGATCAACCCCCCACCGTCCTCATACCCATCCCCTTCCTTCATCTCAGTCATGTCTCTCTCGACGAGTTGACTTCAACTCCTTTTAAAAGCCGCTGCCTGCTTCCTCAACACCACAGCAGTACAAATACCCCCCCTCCCCCCCCTCTCTTCTCCCCACACCTACCTCAGGCTTTTTTCTGAATCACAGTCACTCGTATCTCATATCTCATATTCCAAACATCACTCATCACACGTCTCCAACCCACTTCGCCAACGCCAACGCCTCGGAACGTTCCTCAAAGCTCACACGAAACATCTGGACAGCTGCAATACTACAGTCTCTCATCACACTCTGCCGTCTCCCGTCTAATCACCATCACCATCACACCAGTCAACATGGCGGTCAAGGAATATCAGGAACTTGTCAACCAGTGCTGCTCCTTCTGCTGCAAGGCTGTCGACTTCGGCACCCATGACTACTGCCCGGAGAGCTCGCACTGCGCCTCTTGCCCCTATTGAGACGCCAACATGCTTTCAGCAACAGCACAAAGCCCGATCCACCGGATTGGGCATGCTGCATGCAACGCCTCCAGACGCATCATGGGCGCAGCATGCACGCCGTGCCGCGATGCAGCGAATATCCTCACCGGTTAACCCGGAACTTCTCTGGAGGTGGCCGATCCACGACGCCCCTCGAAACCCCTCGGTTCCTTTCCGAAATCAGGTCGGGAAATTTTGACTGGATACACGCACCCATCTACGCAGTCTCTTCTTGATGGAAACCAGCAGGAACCAAAACCCTGTTGTTGTTTCTCGCTAGAAACACGAGTTCGCAAAACACCAAACAAGTCACCACCCCTGTCGGCAACACATCACACCATCACCGGATCGACAGTTGGCAAAGCAATATCCTTCGCGGGACGAGGGCGGGAAGGGGGAATCAGCTCGCTTCTCGCCGTTCGCACCGAAATAGCTGCTGCTTGGGCGTCATGCACGCTCACACTTCCCAATCCCACCCCCGCATGCAAGGCTGAGCCTGGCATGAGTGGCGCCCCCGCCCACCCGGCATTGCTGCCTCCGCTTTTCCTCCTCGCACATGGCTGGCGATGCACAAACACGGCGCGTGCCCTGACGGCTCGAAAAGCGAGGCAGGGCATGCGTGGGTGTGTGTGGCTCCGAATCGAGACCCGGGACTGCGTCGGGATGAGGTGCGCCTTTGCCCGGCCAACTGCAGTGCTCTACTCCATCCAGAGCGGGCAGCAGTTGCGGTGGCCCAGACTGCAACCGACAAGCAACCCCTTTCCCCAGTCTCGTCACGCCGGTGGCGTTTCCGTCGGCCGTCTTTTTTCCTCTTTCCTGTTTCTGCTCTGTTTCCTCTCGCAATCACGGGCGTGTCACTTGGGGCGGACCTGGACGGATATCGGGGCAGCGTTGTGGTATTGGAGGCGTTCTTTGGTGTGGGATCATCATGTCCAGGGCTTATTATTCGGCGCCATTGCATACGGATTTCCTGATGGCTCTCCTTACATGGGTGCGCGGCTGGCTTCGTTCGGGGATCATCATCATCATCATCATGAAAGGGGGAAAGGCGTCTATCGGGCAAAGGGCGCAAGGCAACGTGGCGGCCGCAAACAGGCCGGCGCCATTGGATTGCCATCTACATACACTTCTATCGTTATTGCTAGCTTGCAAGGCAGCCGAGATCAATCAAGAAATCGAACCACGCACATCCACTGTCTCATGCGGTGCATTGCACATTGGACACCCAGCCGACCTCATAATGCAACCGATATCAACATGCAAGATACACCGCCATAAATGTGTCATATCTCAACCACATCGACAGACGCCCGAAGCAAGCCCATCCAAAAGCCACCACTCGCGTCGTCTGGTCACGATCCCCCCTGCCTTGCCTCCCCTGCCCTCTCTCCCCTGCCCTCTCCCCCTGACTCCCCTGCCCCCCCTGTCCGCGTCTGCCGTTCGCGACTCCAGCAAACGCACAACACCCCTGGCCATGCCATGCAGACTGCAGGATGCAGGACGCATTGCTGGGCGTTGGACGTGCACTCCTGCCGGCGTCCGAAAACGACTGTTGAAGCATTGGCACCCCGCACAGAACGTGGTGTTGACTGGACCAGAAACCGTCGACGTTAAGCCTCATCCGTGTTTTGTTTCCGTTTCCAGAGGCCCGGTTGGGTTCGGGACGCGCGGGTGCCTCTCAACACCCCCTTTCCGCAGTCGCGAAACGAGTCATGCAATGCACAGGTCCGGACGAAGATAGGACACAGGTCGGAGGGCGCGTCGCGAGCGACAACAGGGGAGCGACACCGCACACCGTTTGGCGGACAAGATAACACAGAGCAGAAAGCAGCAGCAAACAGCAACAGCAGCGGCGGCGGCGGCGGCAGAGACCGTTTCTGCGGCCCGCGGCCTTTGCAGATAGTTACATGATATGCCTCCTTTTGTCAAGCCATGCCGCCGTGCCCAGCACACAACAACCACAAGAACAAGAAACTTCCTGACATTCCCCCAATCCACAACCACGCCCACCCTTGAACTCACCGAAAGGGGGCTAGGCAGGTCCGGCAAGGCCAGTCAACAAAAAAAACGAGGCTGTTGATGATGAAAGGTCCCCGACTGACGTGGCCCAGACTGGTCGGCCACCCCTGCCCCCCCTGTCCGTCCATCCTTCTTCCCTGTCCTTTGCTTCCGTCACCCCCCCGGTCCTCCCCCCCCGTCCGTCAAGCCCGCGAAGTTTGGAAACACCGATCGCCCGACCCGAGCAGCAAGCACAAGCAGCAGCAACAACAGCGGCAACAGCAAGCAACAACGACAGCAGCAGCAGCAGCAGCAGCAGCAACAGCGGCAGCCGACCATCTCCCAAGCGCGCGCCGCCAAAGGAGCGGCATCCCGGCAGCCGCACATACATACATACTGTGCCTACAATAGTTATCCGCACGCAGGAGTCCCTCACCCCTGGGTCCCTCCCTCGCTCCCCCCCCTCCCACCTCCATACGACATATGTACATACATACATCCTGCGTATGTACCCATGTCCCCACCGCAACAACCCATGACTGCATAACCCAGAACCCACAACCACACCACAACGCGCGGCTGGTCTGCTGCAGCACGCTTCTTCCGGAAACAGAACTGCCCAGGGCAGGACAGGGCAGGGGCAGGCCAAGGGACAGGGCAGGGTAGGGACAACGGCTGTGCCCCCTGCTGAGCTGCGCTTCTGACTGCATGGCATGGCATGCCGCACTGCACATCGTCGTAAACGGGGATAACACGGGCTCTGGTTATAGCTTCAGGGGACAGGCATGGGTGGTGGTGATGATTGAATCAGGTTGCTGTTGTTGTGGTTGTGGAGCTGCCGGGCAGACCGGAGATAAGATGGCCCTTGGGGGGCCCTTGGAGCTTGGGTGTGTCGGGTGTTTCGAGATGGGATGAGGCGGGTGATGCCGGGTTGTGTGCGACGAAACGACGGGATCCGCGCAGATGGTCGTTGAAAGACAAAACATGGGGGTCAGGCCTGGCCCCGGGGTTGGGAGGCGGGCAGGTTTGCGAGGGAGGCGCCGTACCAGACAACCCGAGCAGCTGGGAAGGATGGGTGGGGGAGGCGAGGGCGGCCGAGAGCGTGCTTCTCGGCTCCCAGAGCGTGGGCGGCATGCTGCGCACGCAACTCCGTGCCGTACACCAGTGGGAGAAGGGAGTAAGCGATAAGGCAGGCGGTGCCCTCCTTCGCGGTCAGCATGGCGCCCAGCAGCTAGTCTCGCCTTGCCCAGCCTTGGTATCGTTGCCGAGAATGTGTCTCATATTCCCGACCTCAAAATAACATCTTGTATGTACTTCGTACCTCGTTTCGTACATACACATGGCCCCATGCCATCCATGCAAAACGCCATGCTGTCATCATCCCTCCTTGCGCCCAAAGTGGTATCGAAGGCCGCTCCCTGGCCCATGAAATAAAACCCGCCGGCCAAGCACGGCAGAGAGCAAACCGTCGGCGATCATGCGTGCTAAACGAAAAACAGGAAGGAGGAGGAAACGAAAGAAGACATATTCAGGGAACCACAAGGTGATCAGGCCACCTCCCCCACAACGGCTCGGCCGGGTATCACCACCGGCCCCGTGAAACAAAGGCTTCCCGCGCCCCGATGTCACTCCCCCGTGCCAATGAACCCAGCACCGAGACACGATGCGGGGCCCGGTTCGAGCTTTGGGGGGGGGTGGGCGTTGTTGATCCGCTTCGAGCTCGCTCGATTGGACCCTGTCTTGCGCATCCTCCCGCGCAAGCGGCTCGGCAGACAGGCATACTGACGCAAGCAGACACGCAGGACCAGACGCCGCGGGCCCTCCCTTGTCGAGAACCGTGGCGATGTGCGGGAGGGACGTCGCTAGTGCGAGGGGGAGCGCACGAAAACCGTGGACGGAAATGCGGATGTCACGCCATGCCGAGACCAGACCAACCCCGATCCGATCAATACAGCGTCAAAAACACAGCCGCGATCGCTGACTTGTCGTACTTGACATACTTGCCCTTCCCCTTGTCCACCTCGTGGTACCTGTCCCAGAAACGGTTGTACAGCGGCTCGATCATGGTCTGCATGTCCTTGGCAAACATCTGCCTGACCTCGCGCTCCATGCTGTAGCCCTTGTGGCGGAGTACCATGTCGTCAAAGGACGCATTGAAGGCCGAAAACTTGCCCTTGATGCTCTCCTTGTCCTTGGAACCCAGGCCCTTAAGGATCGACGCCGAGTCGATCACCATCGCGCCGCCTTGGCCCGACGTGGGCCGGCCCCCGCCGCCGCCGCGACCCGTGTGGATGACGTCGAACAGGTGCATGCTGACGTCTTTGGTGCTGTCGGCGTAGAAGCTGGCGGCCTTCTTTCGCCACGTCTCGAGCGCCACCAGGCGGCCATCCAGCAAGCCGGCAAGTTCCGAGGTTTGAATCATGCGGTCGATGATGGTAACACTGTTGGCGAGGAAGACGCCCATGACGGGCTTCTTTTGCAAAAGGAGCCGGGCGCGGGCGTCGAGCGCCAACATGAGCGCTTCGATCGTGTCGGTGCAGTAGTGCGCGAAGATCTCCTTGCCGTCGGCGCCAATGTCGAAGGACGCGAGGCTCGGGACGGCATCACCTCCTCCGCCTCGTGAAGTAGAGGCTGATTTCCAACCGCCGTCCCCGAGAGAGACCATGATGCTCGAGATTGGTCGAAGGAAGTCCACCATGGTCTGCAACCGCTTCATGGTCTCGGACACGATCGGGATTGGTGCGCCGTCCAGCGGGAGCGTCTGCAGGCCGTTAACCCGCCTTTTGGTGTCGTCCAAGAGTTCCGGTAACGACGACTTGGCGGTTTCGCGAACTGGCTTCAGTGATGCCGCCAACGGATTCTTGAGCTCGCCCGTCCTCCTCTCGAGGTTGCTCGAAAGTTCCGAGAGAATCTCGACAATCTCGTACGCTAGGTAGCAGTCGGTGGTCATGTGCGCCTTGATATGCCCGTTCAGCTCGCGCAATGTCCTCCCCAGCTCCACCAACGACGGCTGACATGTCGCCTCGAATACCGGCCCCCAGTCGTCTCGGGTGAAGATGTTGCAGATATTCTCGTACTCGGAGACGAAGAGACCCTCCATCGCCTGGGCGTACGTCCCTATCCCGCTGGTGCCGGCCCGGTAGATCGCGTCTGGGTTCTTCTTCTTGGCGGTGCTGGTGCTCGCCGTCGCCAGGTTCACCAGGGCTGACGAGAGGTACTGTGACCGGATCTCGATGTATATTTTTGCTATTGGCGACTCCTGGGGCGCCGCGCCGCCGCTCTGCCGGTAAACCCCGGCAACGAACGAGTTCATCAGGCCCAGCCTGGCAAACTTGTCTTGCGACAACACGGGAAATGGTTTGTTTTTGGTGATGAAATGTAGCGGCTCGATCGCGCGCGGCGTCTCGTTTCTGAGAAGCTTGTCGAATGAATTCTCGAGCTGCGTGTTTCCTAGTTTCACCAGCCGTTGAAGCTCTGCGACCGTCTGTTGCGTCGACCGGAGGTTTGACGCCTTCATGTCGCTGAGGGCCTTGTTTAGGCGCTTTATGGACGCCAAGTAATTAGGTAGACCGGCCTTGTCTGGACCCATCCGGATGATTTGCTCTTCGTCGTTCTTGCTGTCGGCGGGCTGGCGGAGGCGTTCGATGGATGAGAGCACGGATTCGATGTCTATGAAGCGGTGGTTAGTCTCCGCCGTCGAGCCAGCCAGAGCCGAGACGACAGATAACCCACTGTTTCCCAGTATTTGCAGCCTCTTTGTTTCCCCATTCAATGGCCCCGCGACATCTCGAACACTCTTCCCTGTCGCCTCGAGCCTGCCGAGACATGCCTGGATCTTTTTGGTCAATTGCGTCGTCTTTTCCAGGCGCGAGTTGAGGACGTCGACTTCGGCTCGGGCTTCCTCGTCGGCAGCATGCCGGCCGTTGGTGACCCCGACGGCCATGCTTGTGGACCGCAAATGCGACGAGTGGTGATGGTAGTGTCGGTGGTTTCGGGAAGTTTGGAGTTTAGAGTTGTTGGAGGGGAAGCTCTCGCTGCAGGACAGCGCAAGCAGCCGGCGAACTCACCCTGGCTCCCCTGTCCAACTCTCCATTGCACCAATCAAGCCGGCTTGGGGCCAGATTGCCAAGCATGCTGATACCCCCACTTCCACACACCTTCTCGCTCCACCCCCACCAGGAGATCCAGATTAGGTAACCAGGCAAGCCCTCGACGCTCTTGTGATCTTGAGGAATCTCTCCTTCCTTTCTTCTTCTTTTTTGTTTCCTTTTAAGTCAAATAATCAATACTTCTAATTCGGCAATGTGCCTGCCCATTAGTATCAAATATGGATAGATGGTTTCTCTAGAGCCACATCCCGTTGGCTCAACATCAACAGCCCCTTGCAAAAACATCCATTCAAGTCCCGGTTACGTTACCCGCGTAACCACTTCCTCGCTACCTAACTACCCAGTTAACTCATCGAATCAAGGAAGGACACGACTAGTGCCTCTTCCATCGCAATCCATCGCCATTCATCCACTCTGTCACTCCTCAAACCTAATCTTCTCGGCCTCAGCAACTATCACCACCAGCGCAATGGGCCGCGAAGAAATGCTCAACGACACGCCCAATCCCATCCACGATCCACTCGATCTCCTCGCTGCGCACATTATAGGCGGGCGAGATGATGATGTGGTCGCCGTTGATGCCATCGGCCGACCCAGTACCCGGATACACGCTGATGCCGTACTCCTTGGCCAACCCGCGCTCGCAGATCGTCAAGGCCACGCGGTCACCGACTGGAAACGGGTTCATCGTCTCCTTATCGGCAACAAACTCGATGCCCCAAAAGAGTCCCCGTCCTCGAATGTTGCCCACGTTGGGATGCGCCCCCAGCCGTTCTTGCAACCGCCTGGAGAGTAACTCGCCCATTGCCTGGACGTTTTCTAGGAGATTCTCTTCGCGAATGATCCGCTGGACCTCGAGCGCTCCAGCACAGCCTGCTGGATGACCCTGATACGTGTGGCCGTGGACGAAAACGCTGCGAGTTGTCATGTTAGCGCCTACCAGGTAGGATCCCCTGCCAAGGTTGACGGTACTCACGAGCTGCCTTTCTCTAGCACGTCCACTACTTTCCGGCTCGCGAGCACGCCCGCTACTGGTTGGTAACCGCCACCAAGAGCCTTGCCGATAGTCTGAATGTCCGGCACGACCCCCTCTTGCTCCCATGCATGCAGAGTCCCAGTCCGTCCCATGCCGCACATGACCTCGTCAAAGATGAGGAGCGCGCCATACTTTTGGCAGACCGCCTGCACCGCCTTGAAGTACCCGGGAACCGAGGGGACACATCCGAGGGCCTGTGTCGCGGGTTAGCTACGTGCGAAACAGCAAACAGAAAAAGTGTCACTTACGGCGCCCACAACGGGCTCAGCAATGAAAGCACAGACAGTATCCGGTCCGACGGCTTGGAATTGGTCATCAAGCTCTTGAACCAGTCGGGCGACGTACTCCTCATTGGTCTCGTCCGTTTTCCTGCCACGGAAGGCGTTGCACGGGGACACCTTGGAGACGTTCTTCATCAAGAGTGGCTCGAACTTTGCTCGTCTGTACGCATGCCCCCCAATCGCCAACGCGCCCAAGGTGATGCCATGGTATGACTGATTCCGGGAAATGAAGCGGGTCCTCTTGTTCTGCGCCGGGCTGAGCTCGAGGAAATACTGCCTAGCGAGCTTGACGGCTGCCTCCATCGCTTCGGAACCTTGTGCTATGTTAGCAGCGAACAAGAATTGTAGTCGACGCCAAACGTACCGGAGTTGACGATATAAGCACGGCTCATGTTTCCGTTCGTCGAGTCGACCAAGTAGCGACAGATATCCTCCTGGGCCTTTGTCGTATAGAAGACCGTCGAGCAGTACGGTATCGCCATCATCTGCCTCATAACGGCCCGGGCAACTCTCTCGTTGCCCCAACCGATGCATCCAACAGCAGCACCCCCTGACGCGTCGAAAATTCTGCGCCCGTCCCCGAGCACAAGGTGGTTGCCCTCGCCTCCTAGTAGAGGAAGGAAGTCATAGCCAAGATCTCTGTGAAGCACAGCGGATTTCCCCACTACCCGCTTGCCATCAGCGCCATTCTCCTCGTGCGCGGGGTCAATCGGCCTCAGGACCATGTTGAATCGGTAAGTTCAGAAGATGGCTGGACTGAAAGAATAGATACGGAGAGATGTTTCGATATGGCAGTCTGGCGGATACCTCTCTCTGTATGAGAGCCATGGAACCCCGTTATATAAGCCTGGAGACCCCTGCTGCGAAAACGGGCGACCAATGCGGAAAGGGGCTCATCTCGCCGTCCCATCTGCCCGCTACGTCAGCAGTCCACGCAGTCTGGGCCCTCCGCCATGCCCCCGTCATCTCCCGCCTTGGACTGACCACGCGCCAGTTCCCTACCCTAGAGTCTGTTCGAGCCGAGTGACTGTGGATCTTCGGTTGTTGGCATGATTCGCCGGTTCGGAGGGCCGACGCTACATTGCCCACTAGCTTACCGGTTCCTGTGACGGTGAGGGACCCGGTAAGGAAGGAACCACGCCCTTCGTTTTCCGGTTCGATGACAACGACGGCAAGTCAAACAAACGACAATCCGAGTCGCGTTGTTGGGACGCCATGTGGAAACGGGAGACCTGTACCACGTGCAACAAACCGCATGCGGTCACCCGCTTTCGAACGCCTCGAATTGTCAACAGCTGCTGTGCAACCCCCAGCCGCTGAGACCCCCTTTCGGCACCGGCTCCGAATGAGGGGTAAAGGGCCCAGAGCTCAACTCGGCATCCCGACTTCGGTCCATGGTCGGCTACCGTCCCCTGCCCCTGTTCATCCTCCAGTTCACCGCAACTCAAGGCCAACGCTATACTGTTACATCGGCTAATCCATCCCGGGAATTTCGCCTGGCTTCCGGTCCGAACTGCGGCTTCTCACGGCCCGATACGTGTCAGTCGGCCGACCCCCCCCGGCTCGGTTGCTGGTTCTTCGCCTCATCCATGTGGAATTTCGTTGGTTCACTCTTTATTTCAACAACACACGTCAAGCAATCACAACCCCCCCCGCCCCAGATTGCGCAGCCCATGCTCGGTTGCCTCGGCGAATATTGCGGAACCATGTTCGATGACAGGGTAAGCTTCCGGCGCACCCGAACCAACGGGGGAAGACAATAGGAGTGGCAGGCTGGTCTCGTGACGGGGCCGACGCTATTCGACTGGCCTCGAACCTGTCTTGTTAGTATCCATTCTCACACCGTCTCTCGGGAGAATCGCCAGCATCATTCTGGACCCGTCTCGCCTCTTTCTTCCTTCATCACACGGACTTCGTGCCGATGCGAACTCCCCTGTCAGTGTCACTCTTCGGGTGCTACTCGGTCAGTCGCACTCTTCTTGACCCCGGTTAGCCTCGTGTTCGATTGCAAGCATCCAAGGTCATCGAAGAGTGCCGGATCGTGGCGTTCTCTGTCAATGTGTTCTGTTTGTGTCGGGACGGTTTCATTGGCCTCGCGGCTTGCGTCCCGGCTTGCTGCTGCAAGTCGGGTGAAATCTGCAGTGTGGCGCTGCAGTTCCCCAAGCCATGATTATGCAGGTTATCCCTGCTTTGCATCATTGGCCATTTTCCTGCGTTGAGCCCGAGCGGGCGCCACTCGGGTGAGAGCGGGCCAAGTCATTGAATTGCCCGTTCTCATCTGACCAAGGTTGGTGCGGAACGTTGACCTCCCTAACGATGCTCTCTAATCTCGTCGTTCACGAGAGCCGGTACACAGGGAATGCATACGCAACCCGAGACAGGGCATCGATGAGTAAGTCACACCCCGGGCGGATGACGAGACGCAGGAATGCCCAACCTCGGCTGCTGTGGAAAGCCATGTATACACTAGGGTCATACCGGATCGTACTAGGTCATTGTAGCTCTCAAAGCGGGCCGAGATTTGACGCATCAAGGACCAGCCTTAGGATAGCTCCAGCTGTGTTTGCCACTGCCTGCCGCAGCGAGCGACACCGTGGGACAAAACCGGAACGTTGGCTGAAAGTTAGGCTGTCTGTCCACGAACTTGCTCTCCGGTAGTCTGGTAACCAATTGAATTGCCTGGCTAACAAAAAGCAAGGCCCACACCACCTTTGGCTGATGTCTTAGATATTGACTGCGTGACCTATGGTGGCGTTTTGTTGACATGTTCTTGGCTGGGGTTCAGAGCGGCAAGCAACCGGAAGCTGTTGGAGAAGTGTGTTCTTGCATTGCGGATTTCTTTCTCGTTTCGAGATCCGGCATCATACAGCATTCCATCTCAAGTCCTTCCCCTTCTTGACTCGACCAGCAGGGCTAACGAACTTGCACAGCAGTCGTTCACAACATCGGGCGGCATATATCGAACCGGCATCAAACGAGGCAAACATTGGGCCACTCGTGTCAATCAATAGCCAGCACGTGCATGCCCCAACCGCTCAAGGCAGCCCCCAATAATAAGTTTCTGTCATTTCCTTGGCTTTTGTTTGTCGCCGGACGGGTTAGCGACGGAAGTTTGCGCCCGGAGAGGACGGCGGCAGAAACCCTGCCGGCACCCTCAACCAAACACGCTCGCCGTTTTCAACGATAGGCTTTTGGCAGACAAACACTTGCTGTTACACGGCATCAGTTTGGGTGGCAGCGCTCGAATCCTCCTTCACTCAACTCCACGGGCACTGTTTGACTGATCTCCAACTCGTTGGGCTTTCACATCCCTGTCGCCCACAGCACGTACAGCATATGGCAGACGAACTCCTCACGGAGGGCCGGTTCACGCACTCTGCAATGCAGGTCTCATTGTGCTATGGTTGTACTTCCGGTATGTTGACCCTCGGTAGTGTCCGATTCGCTCGTGTCACCACTGAACCAATCACCCCTTGTTTGTCGAGAATGAAACTTCGGTACTGGACGGGGTAATACCACGCCTGCATTTCTTTCGAGAATTGGTCCCTAGAGAAGAACGTTTCTATTGAGACCAATGCCATTTCCGATGAAATGCCGGGAAGGACGACAACTTAAGAGACCGGCGAGCATGTTCACGGAAAGTGTTCTGCAAGCTACACTAGCATATGTCCATCACCCTCGTCCTTCCGAGCGGCTGTCTCCGGTAGGCATCTGCAACCTTTTTAGTACCGTTAGTAGACGCAGAGTCCTCCGCATAAACGAGTGAGGGATGTAGAATAAACCCAATGGCCGAAGAATACGAAAGGACTGCCGGACAACTCACACCGGCTCGGGTACGTCCAGCAACCCGACAACCTCATCACGACGCATAGGAAATATTTTACCTCGCACGGGTCAGGTTTGAATCCGAACTCGACATACAAACTCCCTATCCGGGCCATGCCCTGCCAATCCCCCTCAGTCACGAGCAAGTAGGTTTTATGAGGCTCGGCGCAGGGCTGTCTGGCGGGGCGGCCACTCATTGGGAGGAATGAAACGGGGAGAATGCCCGGAACTGAACTATATCCGCTCGCGCAGTACAGGGTCGGTCATAGTGGCCTGATGTTCATCGGGAGCTTCCTGGACTGGCCAGCGGGCCGAGAATGTCTTGGATGCATGTAGACCGGTGAAGGCCGAGGGGTGTCGGGGACCGGCTGAGGCCGCATTTCCCTTGGCGGCTATGCTTTAGGTATGTGTTTCTGACCAAGATGATGAACTGTCCACTTGGATGGTCCAATTCCGCTGTCGCATCTGATTCGGGGTGGGCATGGTTCAATACCGTCCGAAGGACAGACTCAAAAAGGGTTGTTAACCGATGGAGGTCACTCCACGATGTTCACTTCTGTATGAATCATTCCCGACCACGAAATAACTCCTTCGGTCGGTTATATCCCCTACCATCCAATGTCGTGATGCTCCCTCGGTAGTAAAAAAAAGGGGTGTTTTGTTGAGAAAAGGGGCGCCAGCTGTGGGTGCAGGTGACAGACAGGTCTTTCAGCTGGCAAGTGTGCGTCGAGACTGTTGCGGGGTTACCCAACTCATTCTTGGGCTGCAATCAATTAAACAATTGCCAGGGGCACGCGCGCTAAAGACGCGCCTTGCGCGTTCCGGTCGCGTTTTCCCATCTCCCCCCACATTCGTTACAATCTCAACCCGCAGCCGCAGCCTGACGCCCTCCCCGCTTGACCCTGCCACCATCTCCATTTTCCATATTTCTCCGTCAACGGCAGCATCATGGACACTTTGATGCTTCAGAGAGACGAGGCCACGCGCGATCGCGTGCGCCAGGCCATCGAGTTCCTCGATCCCCGTACGAAGATTTTTGTTTCCCTCCCCGCTCTCTGCTACTCCTGCAACGAGTGCAAATACTCTGTAACTACCCCTCTAGAGCAGTACTGACAGGGACTCGGGTTGCAGATGACCAACATGCGCGGAGCTACAGGTCAGACATCATCCTGATGCTACAGAAGAACCAACGCAGACTAGTTGTCAACATCGACCATGTCCGTGACCACAATTCCGAGATCGCCGAGGGTCTCCTCAACAACCCGTTCGATTTCATCCTGGCCTTCGACCATGCCTTAAAGGAGATCGTCAAGACCTTGCCCCAGGCCCGCCCTGACCAAATCGATGCGGATGTGTTGTATTACTGCGCCTGGGCCGGCAGCTTCGGCCTCAACGCCTGCAACCCGCGGACGCTGTCGTCGCAGCACCTCAACAGCATGGTCTCGATCGAGGGCATCGTCACACGTTGCTCGCTAATCCGGCCCAAGATCGTCAAGAGTGTGCACTACGCGGAAACCACTGGGAAGTGGCACTTCAAGGAGTACCGCGACCAGACTATGACCAAGGGCGTCGCCACCACGAGCGTCTACCCCACCGAAGACCAGGAAGGAAACCCCCTGATGACCGAGTACGGGCTGTGCACGTACAGGGACCACCAGACCGTTTCGATCCAGGAGATGCCCGAGCGGGCGCCCGCAGGCCAGCTGCCCAGGGGTGTCGACGTGATACTAGACGACGACCTTGTCGACAAGGTCAAGCCCGGCGACCGTGTTCAGTTGGTGGGCATCTTCCGAACTCTCGGCAACCGGAACACCAACCACAACAGCGCACTCTTCAAGACAGTACTTCTGGCAAACAACGTTGTGCTGCTCTCGACCAAGTCGGGCGGCGGTGTCGCGACTGCCACTATTACCGACACGGATATCCGGAATATCAACAAGATCGCCAAGAAGCAGAAGCTGTTCGACCTGCTGTCGCAATCTTTGGCCCCGAGTATTTACGGGCACGATTACATCAAGAAGGCCATCCTCTTGATGTTATTGGGAGGAATGGAGAAGAACCTGGAGAACGGCACACATTTGAGGGGTGACATTAATATCCTGATGGTCGGTGACCCCTCGACTGCAAAGTCCCAACTGCTTCGTTTCGTGCTCAACACGGCGCCGCTGGCTATTGCCACTACTGGTCGTGGCTCTTCCGGCGTCGGTTTGACCGCTGCCGTAACATCCGACAAGGAAACGGGAGAGCGGAGATTAGAGGCTGGTGCCATGGTCATGGCCGATCGCGGTGTGGTGTGCATCGACGAGTTCGACAAGATGTCGGACATTGACCGAGTGGCTATCCACGAAGTCATGGAACAGCAGACGGTTACCATTGCCAAGGCGGGCATTCACACCTCCCTGAACGCTCGCTGCAGTGTCATCGCCGCTGCCAACCCCATCTTTGGCCAGTACGACACCCACAAGGACCCGCACAAGAACATCGCGCTCCCCGATTCCCTGCTGTCTCGTTTCGATTTGCTCTTCGTCGTCACGGATGATATTGAGGATACCCGGGACCGGCAGGTCTCAGAACACGTCCTCCGCATGCACAGATACCGGCAAGCCGGGACAGAGGAAGGCGCGCCAGTGCGTGAGAACGCGGGCCAAGCGCTAAACGTGGCACTCAACAACCAAGCTGAGTCGCAGCGCCCGACCGAAGTGTACGAGAAGTTCGATGCGATGCTGCACGCAGGTGTCAAGGGGACAGGGCGGGGTGCCAACAAGAAGCCGGAGGTGCTGAGCATCCCCTTCATGAAGAAGTACATCCAGTACGCCAAGACGCGTATCAAGCCCATCTTGACACAGGAGGCGGCCGACCGCATCGCCGACATCTACGTCGGTCTGCGTAACGATGACATGGAAAGCAACCAGCGCAAGACGAGTCCCATGACGGTGCGTACGCTCGAGACGCTCATCCGTCTTGCCACTGCACACGCCAAGTCCCGCCTTTCCAACCGGGTAGACGAGCGCGACGCCGCTGCCGCGGAGTCCATCCTCCGCTTCGCGCTCTTCAAAGAAGTCATCGAGGACGAATCCCGCAAGAAGCGGCGCAAGACCCGCCCTCTTGAGAACGAAGCCGAGGGCAGCAATTCCGACGACGACTCCGACCCCGATGACGACGAAGAAAATGGCACCGCCCGCGGCACCACCGCGCGTACCAGCGCCGCACGCTCGACCCGCGCATCCCAACGCACCAACAATAGCACCCGCCGCCGGCCGGCTGCCCACGCGACACCCACAGAAACACAAGACGAAACAGGGGGCGACGAAGAAGAGGAGGAGGAACAAGAAGACCTCTACAACGCGACCCCTCGCCGCTCGACTCGCACATCCCGCACCACTCCGGGCGCCGCAGCATCCTCCTCCTCCCAACCCTCCTTCGCCTCCTCCCTCCCGGCCTCCCAACTCCGCACCCAATCCCAACGACGTGGCGACGACGACGCCGCCCTCGCCTCAGGCACCGCCAACCTGACAGTCTCCGACGGCAACAACAACGATGCCAACGACGACGAAGAAGAAGAAGAGGAAGAAGAAAACGCGCCGATCAGCGAAGCGCGCCTCGAGGTCTTCCGGCGCGCGCTGGGCCAGCTGCTGAACACGAACCTGTTCGAGGACGACTCGGCCGGCGTGGCCGACCTGATCGACGCCGTGAACCGCAAGGTTGGTGGTGGTGCTGCGCAGCGGTTCGGTCGGGAGGAGGCGGTTAAGGCGCTGAGGGAGATGGACGAGCGGAATCAGATTATGTGAGTTTTTGACTATTCTTATGCTTATCCCGATGGCAGAGTGGTTTTGCTGACGTGTTGATAGGTATACGGATGGTGAGTTGGTTTATAAGATTTGAGGAGGTGGGAGTGGGATGTGGGAGGGTGGTGGTAGAGTGTGGCATGGGGGGCGGGTTGGAGTTATTTGTGTCATGGATGATATGATGAGGCGTTATGTTTGGCGTCGCATGGGCATGATGGATGTAGACCAAGATCCGAGCTACCAGTTGCGTATGATGATTGTTTACGTTCCATGATGAGCAACTGCGAATATTCTGGGGGGAAGTAAAAAAGGAAGATACTCGACGCGAAAAAAAAACATACAGCACCGAGGATTCCCCAGTCGTCACCGACCTGAGTACTAGTTCGGCTCTCACGAGTTTAACTAGGGGAGAGCGGACGGGATCCCGTGTTTTCTCGTAGATATGGCCGTATGTGACAGTCCAGACAGAAAGTGTCGCTTATCAACGCAGATTCCTTGCTGGGAAAGGGGGGAGCTGGTGGCGGCGCGATTGAGCGCCGGATTTTAGGGACGAGGAACTCAATCTAGCATCGCAAATGGTGGCGATAAAATCGGCAAAAAAAGGAACGGTGAGAGGTGGTGAAGTCCTCGATACCCCGGGAGACGGGGGAGGCTGAGCTTTGCTCTTTTACCGCCCTTAACACAGTACCCATTCACACTGGCCATGGTGGTTGAATGGTACCCAAATATAAGTTATATGGTCTATCCGGACACCTAGTTACCTAAATATCTACTACCATGGGCAGACCATCGGTCAACCCGAGTCTCTGGCACGGCTGTCCCCAAGTCAAAGCCGTCCCTGAAACTCCTCCAGCCTATCCTCCACCCTCACCCCGTTCCACGTCTCCCGCCCCTCCTCATCCACGCTCAGCACAGGAAACCCAACCTGCTCGATGGCAAAGCTAGCCGCGACATGGCCCCATGCGCACGCCTCCTCGATCGACTTGCCCCTCGCCAGGGCCACGGACAGGCCGCCCAGGAAGGTATTCCCGCCCCCCGTCGGATCAACCACTTTCTCCCCGGCATCCTCCTTGTCATACCCCTCCCCATAATAAGCAGGCACCCACTTCTCAACCCCAGGATCGATCTCGATCTCCTCCCGCGCAACACACCCCTCAGCATCCTGCATCAGCCCCGCAAACAGCGCCTCCATATCCGTGTCCGGCCGCAGCCCACCGCGGATATACTCCTTCTTCTTCGGCTTCTTCGCCCCCACCCCACCCAAGCCGGCGGCACCATCACCACCCGTAACAACCTTCTTCTTCCGTCCCCCATTGCGGGCGACGAAGCAGCCGCAGACCCCGGCGCGGACGACGAGGGTGTAGCTCTGGAGGGGCATGCTGGCGAGGAGCTGCTCGCAGGCGCGCTCGACGGCGGCGGGGCTGACGGCGCCCGTGGCCGGGTCGAGGCCGTCGCCGCCCATGAAGCCCGCCAGCTCGGCGTGGTTGGGCGAGCACACGTCCACCAGCGGCAGCGTGTTGGTGCACGCCAGCAGCTCCCCCGGCACGCACCGGTCCGGCACGGGTTCCCACACCACCAGCGGCCGCGCGTACGCTTCGCCGTGTGGGTCGTGCGCCGGCGGGGAGGCGAGGTACGCCGCCTTGCGCCGCGAGAGGATGGTAGAGACTAGCTCCTGGCACCGCTGCGGGCTGCAGATCAGGTGGATTGCTTTTGCTTGGAGGAGGGGTGGGGTCAGGTCCGTGGCGGTCAGCCGCAGCTTGGGCGTGGTGTACCGGAAGGCGCGGTGCTCCGAGGCTTCGGTGTAGCCGTTCCAGGCGCGGGTGGTGAGGCGGGAGGGGTCGTGGCGGGAGAGGGCTGAGGTCTGCCAGCTGGCGATCTCGGAGGCGATGGCGGGCGGGAAGTCGGAGCCCTGGTCGACTATCCAGCCGACCGTCTTGGACACCGGGGGTGGGGAGAAGAGACGGGCGCCAAGGGCTGAGTAGGAGCCGGCGCCGCCGAGAATATCGTAGACGGGGGGTTTAGGGGGGAGGAACTCGATCTCATCTGGGGCTTTTGTTAGCAAGATTCGGGGTTGGCGGGTCTGATAAGGTCGTCAACGTTGACGCTTGATTCCCTAGGTAGTTATGAGTCCGTAGGGACACTGCAGCAAAGACATACCGATGATAAACATGCCCAAGGTGACAAAGTCGATCTCCTGTGTTTCCGGTATATCCTCAACACTCCGATCCGGCTCCGCGCCGGTCGAGACCCGGCCATCAAGGTCCCCGTCTCGGTCCATGTCCGGGTCTATGTTCGGATCCAAGTTCGGATCCAAATTCCGGTGTAGAACCATCTTGATGGCGGGGCCGGCCTTGGCACAGGATACAACAATGTGCAGTATTCCTGCGTTCCCGGGTTAGGTTTTGCGTGTTAGGGCAACCAGTCGGCGAATTCGGTACCTTAGCGAACGAGAAAGTGCCCCAGAGAGCGCCCTAGAGAGAACCGGAGTACCCAATGACTAGGTAGAGTGGGCTGGGACGAAAACTTCAATCGAAAACGGAAAATGAACGACTGGCAAAGCTCAGAAGATTGAAAAACAAAGGAAACCCCAGGCAACGTTTTCCAGGCCTGGCTGAAACAGTGAAGCTGGATCGTCACTGGCTGATGATCTGGGTGAGAGGGACTCTGGATTGGGAGAGTACTAATATCGTGTATACATACAGTACATTTACGTCGACCCGCAGGAGCTGAACCTCGCTGCAACCAAGTTGGCCCTAGGTTTGGTTGGCCAAAGGCTTCAACGGGAAATATCCAAAGGTCCCAACGCAGCAACGCCTAAATGGAGCAAATCAAGGTGGGGTTATAGAGAGTACTTAAGTTAGCTATACAAGGTGGTGGCTCTTCTAGGTTTAACCAACAAATCTTCTCTCCAATGGAAAAGAGAGCGAAAAAGTACCAGGGAAAGGGAGATATGAAGCAGAACTTGGTCACACCATCTCTAGGTAGGCTCTCCTCGATAAGGTAAACCCCCACCTAGCATGCAGGAGCTCCTGCCCGTCAGCGACAAGTCAACATCTCTCGCAGCCTGAACCCCTCCAAAATCGGCCATTGGACGAAGGGGGGTGAGATGGACCTCAGGAGGAGTGGTGGGGCAATTGACCCCGGTCGATGCTCTGGAGCTGGGCACACTGGGGGTGGATGTCAGGCACTCGTCAGGGGTGTCTCAACCCTCAACGTCTTTGAACGCGAAGTTGCGTTGACTTTCTATCTTATGCTGTCGCCTGATTCCCCACCTCCACGCAACCATCTCACGACCATCTTAGGCCGATAAATATATAAACACACTCTTGACTCCGTGTTTTGACGACCACGGCTTTTCTGGCGACTGCCTTCCCGTACACCCCTCCTCTCCGCGCAACCCGGCCCCTCGCCCTTTTCCCCACCACTTTGCGCTCCTCGTCTGCGCCCGCCCAACATGGCGTCCAATTCTATGCACAACTTGACGACTCTGATCAAGAGGTTCGTAACCAGACTGTCTCCGTTCTACCACCGGGATCGCGCTGTGACTTCCGGCGCAAACAAGGCACCCAGAGGCTGACCCCGAACTCACCAGGCTCGAGGCGGCCACGTCTCGCCTTGAGGACATGGCCCAGTCGTCATTCGAGCCTACCCAAGGTGTCCCGACTGTTCAACAGCAGGGTGTCGCGCCCAAGCTTTCGGTTCCCGCGCTGCCCGGGTCCCCCCAAACCGCGATAGGACCGAGCCCGCCCGCTCCTGCGCCAGAGCCTGTCCCCGAGACGATCGAAGAGTTTGATAACCTTATCAACCAGTCGCTCGCGAACTGGGTCAAAATCAGCAATGATATTGGGGGTCTGGTTGCTGAGCAGGCCGCCAAGGTTGTCGAGGCCTTCAAGGAGGAGCGCAAGTTCCTGCTCATCACCACCAAGGCGAAGAAGCCCGATCTCGCAGGTGCCGATATGTCTGTGTTCCAAGACCTCGTGAAGCCCATCGGCGACCTTATATCCGCCGTTACCCAAATCAAGGATAGCAACCGCGGCGACAAATTCTACAACAACCTTTGCACCGTGGCCGAGAGCATCCTGGCTATGGCCTGGGTGACGATGGACACCAAGCCGGCCAAGCACGTTGAGGAAAGCCTTGGGTCCGCACAGTTCTATGGCAACAAAATCTTGACGGCGAATAAGAACAAGTGAGCAAGGAATTGGCTCCGCAAACAAATCAAACATACTGACTATGAGAATAGGGATGAGCAGCAGGTCGAATGGGTCAAGGCTTACTACCAGGTCTTCCGCGATCTCGCCGAATATGTCAAGACGTACTACAACCAAGGCGTTCCCTGGAACCCCAAAGGTGTAACTCCGGCCGAAGCAGCCAAGTTAGTCAACACGGCATCCGCCTCCGCACCCCCCGCACCGCCAGCTGCACCTGCACCTGCAGCCGGCGGGGCTCCTCCCCCTCCTCCCCCACCCCCGCCGGGCCCGGCGCCAGTCCTCAACATCAAGGAGGAAAAGGCCGAGCCGGCCGCGCCCGGCGGCCTTGGCGCCGTGTTCTCCGAGCTCAACAAGGGCGAGGCCGTCACCAAGGGCCTCAGGAAGGTGGACAAGTCCCAGATGACGCACAAGAACCCATCCCTGCGGGCCGGGTCGACTGTTCCGGAGCAGAATGGCTCAGCAGTACGCGGCAAGAGCCCCGCGCCGCCAGGCACGAAGCCCAAGCCCGAGAGCATGCGCGTCAAGAAGCCGCCCAAGAAGGAGCTCGAGGGCAACAAGTGGACAGTCGTACGTATTCCCACACCCCTTTTCTTCCCCTTCTCGAGTACGTAACGCACTAACTCGCCCCCTCCAGGAAAACTTCGACAAGTGGCCCTCGCCGATCGAGATCGAGGTCTCGCTCTCGCACTCGGTGCTCATCTCCAAGTGCAACAACACGACCGTCATCCTCAAGGGCAAGGCCAACGCCGTCACCGTCGAGAACACCAACCGGCTCTCGCTCGTCGTCGAGTCGCTCGTCTCCAGCGTCGACGTCGTCAAGTCCAACAACTTCGCCCTCCAGGTCCTCGACACCATCCCCACCGTGCTCATGGACCAGGTCGACGGCGCCCAGGTCTACCTCAGCAAGGCCAGCTCCGACACCCGCCTCTACTCGAGCAAGTCCGCCAGCATCAACCTGAACGTGCTCGCCGGCGGCGGCGAGGACGAGGACTACAAGGAGATCCCCCTGCCTAGCCAGATCTGCTCGTGGTGGGATACCGAGAAGGGCGAGGCTGTTAACGAGATTGTGTCGCATTGCTCTTGAGCGTAGCGGGGGTGAAATGGAGGAGGGTGTTGGAAGGGAGAGGGCGGCTTGGATTTCGATGGGAGGTAGAATAGAAGTGGGCGGGCAGGGGTGGGAGATGGCAGGGCAAGCAAGTTTCTAGTTTATTAGGATTGTCTGTCCTGCTGTCGGCCGGCGTTTTGGAGACGTAACTGCAGCGCGGTTGAGTAGTTGTAGAAGAGTATGTTGTATGAAATCAGTCGATTTACTCCGTGGAGCCATGATGGCGTGGTATCAGCGAACATACATGTTTATCCTACTTCGTATGAGTCTATTCCGTGGAATTTATTGAGTGTCAAGGAGGACAGTTGCATACAACAAAAACCTAGCCGATAATACAAGGATAGATACAACGGAGCTACGTAGCATCGATCTATGACAAGAAGGACACCTAGACCAACTCTTAAAAATGTATGCAATGCTCTAAGTAGAGAGAGGACGTTTCGCTAAATATGACCCAAGTCCAGTTGTGTCTCCCCCGTCTGACTATCCAAGTAGAAAATCACCCCCTCTCTCCTTCAAAGAAGAGCGAGCCCTTTAGATCTTGGCTTTGGGCGCCTCCAACGAAGGCATCAGCATATCGCGCATATCACCCGCTGCCTCGTTGAGATAGAAGCTCATCTTGTCGCTGCCGAGGCCCTTAGAGACGATGTTGAAGTTGATGCTAGACATGGCGAGTTAGCTAACCGCGAACAAGGAAATGAAATAGGGTTAGTGGAAGCAAAATGCATACCTGTTCTCGTTGATCATGTAGGCAATGCCAAAGCCCTCGTCAATGACCTGGCTCCAGCCGTAGCCGTTGAAGTACTCGGAGCTCAGCTGGCTGGTGGAGAGGTACCACGAGGAGGAGTAGGCGTAGGCGGGGTCCTGGTAGAGGGCGGGCACCTCCTGGCCGGGCTCGAGCAGGCGCTTGAGGCCGAACAGGTGGCGGTCGACGCCCTTGCCGTCCGAGGCCGCCGTGATGTACTCGATGTGGGCGGCGACGGCCTTGCGGAAGAGGGCGGCGCGCGCCTCGCTGTCGAGGCTCTCGTCCGCCATCGACCGGCACCACGCCACGCTGTCCTCCGACACGGAGCGGCACGTCTCGGTGCGCCCCTGCTGGAAGCGGCGCGTCGCCGCGGACTCGTAGGTCGGGCGGTTCTTGCCGTACATCTTGAAGTAGGCGAGCTGGATGATCATTTGCACGTAGGCGTCCGGCGAGCACTTGAACTTCTTGATCAGGCCCTTGCCGTAGCCCTGATACGCCTGCACGGCGAGCTGGTGCTGCCCAATGACGGCATTGAAGTCGAAAACGGCGCGGTCGATCTCGGCCTGCACCTCCTTGGTGACGGCGAACTTGATGGGTTGGGGGTCGGGGATGCTAGAGCGAACGCTCGGATCAGAAAAGTCGAGCTTGTTGTTGAGAATGAGGTCGTTGACGTAGTCGTTGAGCCGGTGCGTGGGTGTACCGTCCATCATGCTGTGCTCGCCCATGAAGCCCGAGGTGCCGTTGTCGTTGACGATGAACTGCACCGGCTTGTCGTACCAGCGGTTCTGCCCATCACCATGCCAATAAGCGTGCGCCCGCTCCTCGAGGGTCACCGGCTTAGCATCGTCCAGGCAAACGACGAAGGAGGCAGACTCAACGGCCTCGATCGCCTTGGCGTTGGAAGGGTCGGCGGCGAGCAGCACTGCCCGCGCATCTGTCCAGACATCGCGGTTTTCCGAGGTCAGAGCACCGACAGCAGGTGCGCGCTCGCCGGCGAGCTCGTACACCCGGCGGAAAGCCTGTTCGAGCTCGGACGTGTTGAGCTGCTTGCCAGCGACCTCGTGCGAGACCTTGAAGAACTGGTTCTTCCGGATCACCAGGATGTGCTTGTGCTGGTTGTGGTCAAACTTGACGGGGTGGTCTGCGGGCTTGGCGGGCACGCGGCTGGCGTTGAACATCCACTTGTAGCTGTCCATGCAGATGGGCAGCTTCTTCATGTACTCGGGCTCGAGGCTGCCCGCATCCACCTGCTTCTTGAACTCGAGAGCCGCCGTTGTGATGGCCGCCGCACGCTTGGCGGGATCCCGCCGCCTCCGGTCGTCGCGGTGCGAGTAGAAGTAGCTAACGTAGGGCACCACGGGGTCGCGGTAGCTAAGGTAAGCCGCATCGTTCCACCACTCGTAGATCCAGTTCTTTGTCTTTGGGTCCTCGCGCCGGGCCGCCAGCTTGTCCTGCAGCTTGCGACCGGGGCCGTTCGGGGCGATGAATTCTTGTACCGCCTTGGTGCTGCTCTCGAGTTCCGAGGGTGTGAGAAGTGGCTTGAGCGACTTGAGATACCGCGCGGCGGTCTCCTCTAGCGTTGGGACGGGTAGCCGAGGGAGCGACTCCTGGAAGCGGAGCATGGCCCCCTTGGACTTGTCCTCGGCGTACCCCGCCGGGAGGGAGCTGTTGTTCCGTCTGCTCGCGGGAGCCATGGCCGTGGTGAGTCTCTGCGATTGCCGGCGTTAGTTAGAGCTGGGAGGAAATCGGAGGCGCAACATGATACGACGAAAGGCTGGACTAACCAAGGGAGTCGCCGAGGTGTGTCTGGAGAGGAGGTTTCGAAGAGCGGGAGACCGAGCCTCTGATCTTGCAATCGCGGCCAACATCACAACTTACTTACGGGAGTGGAGCTGGAAGATCACAAGCTGGGAAGAAGGAGGAGAAGAGAGAAAGAAAGAAAAATATGACTTTTGGAACACGGCGTTTGCCTCGCGGTCACAATCCAACAACGGAGAACACCTTGGAATTTACTAGGAACTTAGTCCGGGGGTGGAGGGGGTGGGGGAGGGTTCCAACAAGAACTGCGGGAGATTGGCGGTGCAGGGTCGGTCCTTCTTCCCGATGCGCCTTCTCCGTGAGCCTAGGCACTTTTTCAGGGTCCGGGGTTTTGTTGCATCGGCATCGGCTGTCTGGAGAACTGAATGGAGAATGCGCGCAGTGGGTTGCCGCGGTGCGGAATGGAGAAGGCGCAGAGGGTGTGCTCTCACACTGCAGCGATGGCCGGTGCTTTGGCCCGAGCCGAGGCTAATTGCCGCCATTAGCCTTCCATCTTCCAAATCGCCGCGGCTGCCGTGGGGTCCCCATGGAGTCAATTCCGGCAAGCCACCCCTGCTGCCGAGCACTGCTCACACGCCACAGCTGACGTCGTCAGTGGTCGGCTTGGCTGGTTGCGGGCCAGCGGATGGAGACGTCGCTGTTCCAGAAAGAGAAACCTTCACATGCTAAAAAACACCGCCCTTTTTTGTTTAATGCGAGATTTGAGTTATTTGTCGTGGTGTATTCCTGCAGGCAGCCAAATCTAGCCCTGTGATACTAACAGCTGACACTAAACGGTCACACGCCCTTACCCACTTCAGTTAGCTGTACGACAACTCCGAGCCAAGCGGGTACGACTCCTCCGCCAACAACTGCTTCTGATAGGATCTCGGATTCAACTTCTCTAAAAGAAGGGCGGAATGGCCGAGTGGTCTAAGGCGGAGGATTTAAGTATTTTCTTAGATCTCCTCTTCTCGAGAGAGAGCGTGGGTTCGAACCCCACTTCCGTCAACTTGTTGATTTTTGATTTCGGGCCTCTTTTTGCTTGGTCATTCACATTGCATATTATTTCGATATCCCACTTCGGGGTAGGTTGTTGTTAAACCGCAGCGAAAGTGACGGGCGGATCAAGCACAAAGTGTATTCATATAACGACTAGCTTCGCTCGAGCCCAGGCTAATCAACAATTACACACACCGGCAGCCTAACCAGCAGCTCACTCAGGCCATGAGAAAGATTGCAAACGGAGAACCGATGAAGGCACTTGTATAACTAATAAGTCCACTTCTGGCAACCCCCCCCCTTAACCAGGTCGCGGTCCAACACGAATCCCACCATGCGGCCCTGGTGTTTGATACAACCAAAGAGAAACAAAACATTTCTTTTTCATACAACATCCTACTACTCCCACACAACCAATAATACCCATCGAACCCTCCCAGCCCCTGACGCCTGAAGAGAGCCAAACGAACCCAAGGAAAAAAAAGAGACACTCTCGTGCGAGCTAATTAGGCCTCGTAGCTCTTTATCTGGCCCTCGGCGCTCAGGGGCTGCACCGCTCCGGCAGCGGGCGGGGCGTGGAAGCTCATGCGCTGGCCGTCGACGGCGAGGTCCTGGGCCATGCGGGCGCCCTGCTCGCCGCCGACGGCGGCCGCCTGCTTGAGCCCCTCCTGGACCTCGCGCACGCGGCGCTTGAACGAGAGCCGGTCGAGGAAGAGCTGCTGGCGGGCGCGCTCCAGCTCGCGCCGCTCCGCCTGCAGGATCGCCTCCATCTCGTTGAAGTACTTGAGCTTGAGCTCCATCTTTTCGAGCGTCACGTTGACGGCCGAGGACACGAGCCGGGTCATCTCGCGCTCCTCGTGCGAAGCGAGGCCGCCGGCCCGGGCGCCCACCGCCGCGAGCGGGATGCTCGCCAGCGCGGATGAGCTGGTGGTTGTCGTTGTCGTGGTTGTGGTGGTGGTCGTGGTGGTCTCTTGCCTCAGGTCCACGTCCATCGAGTCACCGCCCTCTTTCTCCTTGCCCTTGCCGTTGGCCTGCGCATCACCCTGCGACCCGCTCTCAAGCTTGTTCCGGAGGTTCTGCTTGAGAATCTCGGCTGATTTGTTGGCGGCGGCAGCGGTGCTGGCCGGGTCGGCAAGGCTGGCGAGGAAACCAACGACCGACATAACCGGGTTGTCGGTCTGGCTGAACGGAAGTTGCCCGCCGTGGCTACCCAGCATCTGGAGGCCAATCGGCGCGTCCAGCCTCTCGGACTCCAGATACTTATCCTCGATGTCGAGTTGTAGGAATTGGAGCACGCACTCCTCACGCGTACGAGTGCTCACATGCTCGGCGATCTCGCCCCAGTCCTCGTCGTAGCGCTCGAGCCCCTCGAGAAGGCGGAGAATCTCGGCATCACTCCACGGCGCATCCCTATCGAGAATGGACGAGTATGTGGGGTTCTCCATGCGGGTGTAGTGGGCGCTGGTCTGGTTGCCAGGCAGACGCCCTTCGAGGTAGCAGCTGGGGCACAGGTCGTACTTGGCCTTGTTGGTCGGGTCTGACTGCGAGCTGTGGTAGTAAATACGAGTGCAGTCGGTGCCGCAGTTGAAGCAGCTAATCTTAACAATCGGGGCCTTGGTGAGCTCCTCAGATCCAGACACGCCATTAGTCGTCGGTGCTTCACCGTTAGTCTTAGCCTCGCCCTTGTTGAGCTTGTTGTTCTTGGCATTGGCCTCGTAGATGTTGCGGCCAAGCTCCAAGTTGAGCTCGCTCTTGGGTGCCGGGGTGGTGGTAGCCTTAGCCTCAGTATCCCGATTCTGCTTGCCCTCGGTGATTACAGGGTCCGCTGCTGGTTGCCAGGGCTGAAGACCGCGAGGCGTGTCGCAAATAATCTTGAAGTGACCAGTAAAGGGAGGGCCGACATGAGATGGGCGCTGGTCAGCATCGACCTGATAGGGCGTTAGCATAAAGATCAGATAATAACTTGCAACGAATCATCCTACCTGATAGTTGATGAGGCCCCACTGTTCAAGGAAGGCGTGTACGCGCATAATGGCACAGACGTCGCCCGCCAGGTTGCGCCGGCAGGCAGTGACGGTGAGATATTCGACCGGGTTCAGCCGGTAGGCGTTGATCATAAAGTCGCGGTAGTCCTTGTAGACCGCGGGCGTTTTGCTTCGATTCCTGTTGTTAAAGAATTCGGGCAGTGCTTTCCGCTCAATGTTGTGAACGGTGTTCATGTCGAACCAAGTGCTGTAGCTCGGAAGGACGATGGCGTGGGTCTGGGAAATCAGGTGTTCCCTCGCGGCATTCTCGATGAACTCCTTTGTCTTGACCTCGCCGGCGCCGTCCTGACCGGCGCCGTCAACCTGCCCCGACTCGTCCTTTGGCGCGTCACCCATCTCCTCGTCCCCGCCAGCCGTCTCCGCAGGCGGGCCCTCGGGCGCGTCGAGAGGGTTGTCTGATGCCGCGCCGGGCGCGGGGGTGGTGCTGTCTTGCTTAATGGCAGGGCCCTCGCTCATTTGCACATCTAGAGAGGTCGATGGGTCAACAACACGTTCGGCAAGGCGGCCAAGATCACCCCAGCATACCTTCACTGGCGTCATTGGCATCAGGGAGGGGCGGTTGCGCCAGGATGGGGTTGGCGCCCGGCGATGCGCCGTTTGTCGGGGTACCATAGCTGACCGAACTTTCCTCCATTGCGACGGCGGGGATAAAGCGTGAAGTGTAGACAACGTCGGATGCAGGAGTGGTTAGAGTTAACCAGCTCTCCACGGAATTAACCTGCCAATCGAGGTTGATGGCAAAAGTTGCGTTTCTGGCCAAAGATGACCCCGAATCAGTTATGCAAACAGGATGCAAGATGGAGTCCTGATGTTAGCTGGCGCAAAGTGCTGTTTTGGCGATGGCTGCAAGGGGGGCAGGCGGTTCGTGATGGGTCGCGTTGGAGAAATTGATCGCGACGCACCACGCAGCACAAGCAAGCGCAGAGGGGACCCGCCGTTCAAATGCACGGGCCATCAGTGGACTGGAAGATATCACGTGAAACACATTTACGCGAGCCACATCAAGGCTGATGACTAAAGCCACAATGCCTGCCCGGCTTCGGACATCTGCTTGGCGACTGTTCCAATCTGGGGAAAGTGGTACTGGTGGGTCCTCCGAAGCTAACCTCGGGCCGCTTCAATCCGTCATCGAGCCTCGAAACTGGAAAGCAGGACCGTTCCGTTTCCCAACCCACCCGGTTGAGATCTTGGAAGATCAAGTCACAATTCGCCGGCCAGCCCCCTTCCCACAAACCAATTCATTCGAAACCATGTTGTCGGCCGGCAGCCGGGCGTTCTCGGCGCTCGCCCGCCCGACACTCCGGAATGCGACGACTCCCGCCTTCGCCAGGTCCCCCGCGGCTTTGCGTCGCCTACTCTCGGCCCTCGCCATCCTCGAGCAGCGGGACGGCCAGCTCAACACCGGTTCGCTAAGCGCCATCAGCGCTGCCCAGAAACTCGGAGGTTCCGTTCACGGCTTCCTTGCCGGCAGCAACATCAAGCCCGTGGCCGCGGAGGCAGCCAAGGTCGAGGGCGTCGAGAAGATCGTGGCGGTGGAAAACGGCGCATACGACAGGGGACTGCCAGAGAACTACGCCCCGCTGCTCGTCGAGAACATCAAGAAGGGCGGCTACACGCACGTCATTGCGGGCAACACGGCCTTTGGCAAGAATGTCATGCCCCGCGTGGCGGCCCTGCTCGACTCCCAGCAGATCTCGGATATCACGGCCATTGAGAACGACAAGACGTTTGTGCGCCCCATCTACGCGGGCAACGCCATTGCCACGGTCGAGTCCTCGGATGCGATCAAGGTGATTACCGTGCGCGGCACCGCATTCCCCGCGGCGGCCATCGCGGGCGGTTCCGCTGCCGTCGAGGACGGCGTCGACCCCAAGGCGGAGAGCGCGGCGGAGTGGGTGTCGGAAGACCTGGCCAAGTCGGACCGGCCGGACCTAGCGACGGCAAGCAGGGTTGTTTCGGGCGGGCGGGGGTTAAAGTCGAAGGAGGAATTTGACAGGGTTATGTTGCCCCTGGCCGACTCGCTCGGCGCTGCGGTCGGTGCGTCCCGCGCGGCGGTCGACAGCGGGTATGCGGACAACAGCTTGCAGGTCGGGCAGACGGGCAAGGTGGTTGCGCCGGAGCTGTACATGGCTGTGGGTATCTCGGGTGCGATCCAGCATCTGGCAGGTATGAAGGACAGCAAGGTGATTGCGGCCATCAACAAGGATGCGGACGCGCCGATCTTCCAGGTGGCGGATGTCGGGCTCGTGGGGGATCTGTTTGACAAGGTACCCGAGCTGACGGAGAAGCTGAACAAGGCGTAGACGTTACAGTTATAGTTACAAAAATGTACAAATATCTACTCGACGTACCTATGTATATGTATGCACACACCCAAAACACCCCGTCACCCATCAGCCCAAAACAGCCAACATATCCGCCGTTCTCGTAAACTTCTCCCTCTCCTTCCCCACCTTCCTCCCCCTCTCCCTCTCAGCAGCATCAATCCTCCTCCACCCCTCCCAATCCACCACCCTCGCCTTGTCCACCTCCCCTCCCACCTCCGCCCTAACCCCCTCCCACCCCCCAACATCCCTCCCCCCCTCAGCACCACCCTCATTCAAAAACCTCCCCCTCCCCGCATCACCACCACCATCACCACCACCACCACCACCACCCCCCCAATCCTCCACAATCGCATCCGCCGTCGCAAAAGCATCCTCCATCGTCGACGCGATCACCCCCGTCGGCCCGCGCTTCACCCACCCGGCACAGTACAGCCCGCGGAACGCGCCCAGGCGCATGGCGCCGTCGGCGGCGCGCTCCTCGTGCGCGACACGCCCGCGCCCGTCGTGGCTGAGCACGCCCCACCGCTCGCTGAAGGGGATGTTGAGCGGGGCGAACTCGGGCAGGGGGGTGGAGCGGTAGCCGATGGAGCGGAAGGCTATGGCGGAGGGGAGGGTTGTTGTGGTGGAGGTGGAGGGGGGGGTGGTGGGGAGGGCGTAGGCTTGCGGGTCGAAGGGGCTGGGGGAGAGGGTGGTGGGGGTGAATTGGGTTGAGGCGAGGCGGGGTGGGTTGGTGGTGGTTGTGGTTGTGGTGGGGAGGAAGGCGGTTGGGGAGAGGAGGAAGTCGAGGGACCAGGACTTTTGGGCTTGGTCGGAGAGTGTGGTTGGGGAGCCCTTGAGGAGGATGTCCATGAGTCGGCGGGGGGCGCGGGGCAGTGATTTCGGGTCCGGTGGGATCAGGGAGGTGTCGATAGGGTGGAAGGCAACCGAGGGGAGGCGCATCAGTTCGCGGATCTCTTTAATGGTGAAGGCTGCCTGCATCGGGCCGCGGCGGCCGACGATGTGCACCCGCTTGACCTTGCTCTTGGAGAGTGTTTCAATGGCGTGCTCGGCAATGTCGGACTTGCGAAGAACGTCCACGTCCTCGAGTAGCATCCGGGCCACGTCAAGAGCCACATTTCCCTGGCCAATGATGACGGCCTCTTCCCCCTGAGTGAGGTCAGGGGCGAGGTCGGCATGTTCAGGGAGGCCATTGTACCAGCCGACAAACTCTCGGGCCGAGTAGACGCCTTTCAAGTCCTCACCCGGAATACCCAAGGTCCTGTCCTTTGCGGCGCCGTATGAGAATACCACGGCGTGATAATGACGGAGGATGCTGGCTAGCGGAATAGTACCGCCATCTGGGTGGTCACTCTTGGTACCGATGGAAACATTCCCAATGAAGGTAAAGTTTGGGGAGGAGGCCACCTCTTCGAACTTTTCCTGGCAGTTCTGTAGCTTGGTTAGCATAGATGATCATAGCAACCAAATTAGGGTATGCGGTATACCTTTACTTCAGGGTGGTCTGGGGCAACTCCAAATCTCACCAGACCAAAAGGGACGGGCAACGCCTCGTACATGTCGACCTTGGCGTCTTGAATTTTGGACATGGCCCTGTAAGCCGTGTAAAACCCGGCTGGGCCGGAGCCGATGACCGCTAACCGAAACGGTTTGCCATCATTACGAGTACTCTGCGCCGTAGACAAACTCCGGTATGCGACGGGGTTGAGTGAGGAGGATGCATTCAGTTTCCGCATCCAGGTCGCACGCGGCTGCCACCTGGCGCATCGAAGGGGAAGCATGGCCGTGCTCAATATGGAAGCTGGTTGGTTGTGTATGACAAAAATCAAAATGGGTATTTACCACACAGTATGTTAAAGGCAGGATGAGATGGATTGAGTCAAACTCCGAATCCGGAATCGGCTCCGTTGTGAATTGCTGCCCTCGGCCGGGCGTCGAGTGGGGTTCCAAGGCCCCGTTTTCAGTGGACTCGGAGCAGCGGGTCATTGCCGGCGGTCCTCCGAACGCTCCACAGCGCCTCGGAGATGTGCCGAGGACAAGAGAAGACGACTTACAACTAACTCACGAACATTATTTTGTAAGTTAATTGCTGTTTTTGAGCTTTGCCTTTTTACCACGCCTTACGGCTTGCTCATTCCGCTCATTAAATTTGGTACCGAGGATATATGCCGGCAAGTGGTGTTGCACACAGCGCTTAACACATGGCTTTCAGGTAACTGGGCTGAAACCACACTGTTGCCCCGTCAACCATGCCCGTCAACAGGTTCCTGCATTGGCGCCCCAGCCTTGCCCCACGACTACATCCTCAAAGTCGACCTCACATGCACACACAACTTGATTGTCATTTTTCCTACGTAAAGCCACCTTCCACATTTTAGAAGAAAAAGTGCAGATTGAGATAAACCGCCACAATGGGGGGCTCTCAACCGCCGTTCATGTACCAGTCCGTCAGTCGGGACGATGAGCGATTCCCGGCTGTCAAATTCGACCCAAAGGCAGTGACTCGAGCAAGTTACGAGTCAAAGAAGCCGAAACCTAAGCCGGACGGCCCGCTTGTCTCATTCAACCGTCATCCCGAGTATGTGCCCCCTTGGTTACTCCCTCCCTCCTCTACAACTCCATACCACATCTTGGGATCAACATTCCAGTGCCGGTACCTGGACACCCGCTAACTCACAACCACAGTGCCCTTATGGTACCCAATGGGCGAAACAAGTTTAGCCCGATGGGGCACAAGACAAAGAGCTGGATCAAGGGCATGCGCGTTGTGCAGATGTGTCTCAGGGTCGTCCAGGCCATCGCCGCCGTCGGCCTTATCGTCGCCATGAGCGTATCAGGTTTGGGAGGATGGGTCGTCATTGTGACCGTAAGCTACCTATTCAATTGCGACTCAGATACGCAGTCTACTAACCACCGTCATAGTGTGGCATTGTCATTCTCCACTGCACCTACAGCGTCTTCCATCATGTCCGGCCAGCAGGCGCTAGAACTCCGGGCTCGTCTGCGGGCTACCAGTTATTCGCCGGCATCTCTGACCTCTGCGTTCTGCCCCTGTACGCGTACGGTGCCGTCATGACTAGGAACAAGAACGAAGAGTGGAAGACGACGGCCCCCCCTGATGACCCGGACGTCGTCAAGTACATGGTCCCATCCATCTTCTACGGTCTCATCGGCGCTGGCGGCTTACACCTTATCTCGCTGCTCATCTCCCTATGGCTCGCCTTGATGTTCCGCCGCATCGCAAACATGCCTCCGGACATGAACCCGCTAGAGGCCAACCTCACCTCGCGCGCACACAAGCGCAACAAGTCGTCGGTTACCACCACTTCGACCTATTCGGACGAGAAGCCTGAGAGCGAGCTTTACGACGACAGCTCTCGCCCACCGTCTGTTCCATTTATGCATACCCGCCAAGGCTCGGATCTTTCTCTCGCCTCTCGCGACTCCCGCGACTCCCGCCTGAACCTGCCCAGCCGGCAGTACCAAGTTCCCACCAGCAACCGCAACTCGGGCACCCCACAGGACCTGAAGCGCATGTCCGCACCGCTTCCTCCAGCCCACCGCGCCTCCTACACGGAAATCCCTCTCGGCGAGACCGGAGCTGGCTCCTCCCGCCCAGTTTCTATGCACTCGTCCCGCCCCAGCACCGGCTCTGTCCCCTCCTACCGTGCCGAGCCCGTCTCCCCAGCCCAAACCGTCCAGCCGCGCTCCGCCAGGTTTACCGAGACCTGGTACGCCTCCGAATCCCTCATCAACCGGACCCAGCAGCGCAACCGAGCCACCCCGACCCCGAAAAACAAAGCCGCCTACGCCTCCCTAGACGCCTCCGACGGCGAAAACAACTCCGACTCGGAAAACGACACCTTCTACACCCCAGCCCGCGGCGGCACCGCCGGCAACAACGAAAACACAAACCACCCCAACCCGCTCCGCTCCAACCCCCTCGCCAGCAACGACACCACCAAACCCGAACCCAACAACTACAACACCACCAGCACCCGCCGCCCCCGAACCCCCTTCTCCCGCCTCCGCAACTCGGTCCTCTCCACCATCTCCCCCAACGACCGCCGCGTCTCCGGCAGCCAGGACATCACCGACCAAACTCAGACCCAAACCCTCGCAGTCGGCGGCGGCGGTGCGCCCGGCGGCCCGCGCAACCGGCTCTCCTCCATCCAGCCCGACGGCGCCTTCTTCTCCAAGCCGTACGGCGATCTCAGGGCGGCTACGCCGCCTGTTATTGTTGGGGGGCGGGATGAGAAGACGGCGGTGGAGCGGGTGGTGTCGTCGGGGAATGATTATGATTTGGGGAGTGGTGGTGGTGGTGCGGGCGCGATGGGGAGGAGGAATGTGAGTGGGAAGGTTGCGGAGGAGGGGAGGGCGGGGCAGAGGTGGTCGAGGTATGGGGTTTTGAATGAGTAGGTAGGGTCGTTTTTGGCGTGTTCTTTTCTTGTCTGGGTAGGGGGGGTGGTGGTGATGGGTGGGTGGATGGGTGGGATGGTGGAGTGAATGAGGTATGCTGCGGTGAGGCGTTTGGTCTCACATATGGTTATATGTTTGTTGGGTTATTTTGTGTTTGGAGTTAATGGTGTTTGTTTATGGCTACCTAGGAAAGTAGATGGATGATGGATGAATGTACGGTTATGTTGGTTTGGTAGGTAGTCTGGCAAATTCTGATTTATAACTGTCCAAAAAGTCTGTCTATTCACAGGGGTATAACTGAGCAATGGCTGTCTGTACTTCGCAAGTCCTAACCAGACGCCATCCCGGATCCCGTCGCGCTCTCAGCATAACACAAAACTTCCCTCGTGCCTACTCATCCCCCCTCTTCTCCCTCGTCCACCCAGCCCAATCCGTCCTCCCACCCCCCTCCCCAAACCCGTCACCCTCAACCCACCCCCTCCCATCCCACACACCGAGCCCACAAAGATGCCGCATCGTCGGCCGGCCATGCGGGCAGTTCCACGGCTTCTCCATCTCGCCCATATGGCGCACCACCCGCTCCATCTGGCGGCGCGACAGCGCCCGCCCGATCATGATGCTGCTGCGGCAGGCGCGCATGGCAAACATCTTGCGCACCCGGCTCGGCCGCGGCACCGTGGCGGCGCTCGACGTCGGGTTGTCGGCCAGCAAGAAAATGAGCTCCTCCAGGTCGGCCAGCGAGAAGGTCGTCTCGCGGCTCAGCGGCAGGCTCAGCAGCTGGATGCGCGACCCGACGGCGCGCGCACCGGATGTGTCTGCCTGTACGACGAACCCGTTGCGCTCTAGCGCCGGCTGGTGTTCTAGGATTATCTCTTCTTCAAGGGCTGTGAGCTCGAGGGTTTTGGGCTGCACGAGGCGCTGCGATTGGACGGTGGTGGTGGCTTGGAGGCGTTCGAAGTTGTATTTCTCGTCCGACGCGTGTTGGTCGATGATGAAGAGCTCGTCGTCGGCCGCTTCGGGGGCGTTTTCTGGGGACGCCGCGGCCTCGCGCACGGCGAGCACGAAGCCCAGATTGAACTGCCCGACGATGCGCATCTTTGCGAAGTCGGACTTGGAGATCTTGAGGGACAGCTTCTCCTCAGCGTCGGCTGCTTCGATGCCGTCTGGGCTGGCGCTTTGGGAGGCCCCGAACTGCGGGGGTGGTATGTGGCGTGTGAGGGATGCGATGCGTTGCTGTATCTCATCCCCACTGGTCTTGACTTGCTGCTCTAGGTTGAGCGTCATGTCTTTGCGTTTTGACCGCCCCTTGACAAATAACTGAGATCGCTTTTCCCCTTCTTCGGTTGGCTCGGCAGTGGCCTCGGCCGCGTCTATCATTTCCCGAACCTTTTGGTCTTCTTGAGCTTTCTTTTCGTCCTCATCGGCGTAGTCGGCGTCGTCCGCGGCATCATCGCCGTGGCAGGAGGGCGAGTGCTCAACAGACTCCCTAGGTGTGTTGGGGTTGCTAGGTGAAACCGGACTCTCGGCCTCCCCTGAAACAGGAAACCCTTCTCTAAGCTCTTCAGCCTCGCCGTCGATTTCGTGTTTGGTTCGCCCACGGTCTTCCTCTTGAGACACAAAGAGGGACCCCTCCTGATCTTCATCTTCAGCGACTTCCTCGCCGGGTTCTTCCATCTCCTCGTCAACGGCTCCGGTAGGCTCTTCCACTTGCTCCTCGACATCTTCATCGGACCCTTCCGTATGCTCGTCGATGTCTTCACTGGAGTCTTCCATATCCTCATCAATATCCTCGGCCAAGACCCCAGTCTTGTCTTCGGTGCCTTCATCAGCACGCGCTGACGCAGAAAAGAGTTGAGAGAGGCGTCCGCCAAAAGATGGTAGAGGTGCGCTTCGTTTCCCCGTTTTCCCAGAACCCGTCCCCCGAGTCGGTCTCGGGTCTTCGTCGACTTTAGGGCGTTTGGCAGAATTCCCGATCAGGCTCGTCACCGTGTGGTCACCGATGGTGACGGTTGCTACTTCCTGGGTAGAACGCTTGAGCGGCCGCGCCGTGGTCATCGGGACGACTCGTGATGTTGATGATGTCTGGGATGAAGGGGCAATGGCGGGAATTGGCGGTTCGGGCTCAGCCCTGGGGTCGTGATCATCGTCTTCTTCTGAGCTTCCTGTCGGCTTGTCACCGGATCTCGTCGAGCGGGCAATGGATTTCACGATTTTCGGGTTTTCGTTGCTCGATTCATCTCCTCCCGCCGCCACACACGCCCGTTCTTCATCTTCGGAGTTCTCTTCAGCGCCGTCATCCGTTGCGACTACCGGGCCAGAACGAGAGGCAACATCTGCGGCGCTGCCCGCACGTTGTTGGATCTTGGCTGTCACCGCAGAATCCGGTTGGTCGTTGGGACTTTTCGCAAGCCACTGGGATAACATGGTCGCGGATTGTAGCGAGCTCCTCGGCTTAGGAGGCGCTTGCTTTTTATTCGGCGACTCATCGTCCCCTCCCTCCTCGCTCATTTCCTCGTCGTCCTCCTGTTCATCGCCGACCTCCTCATGCCCCACGGTCCGCTGCTTCTGGTGGATTGGGGAGCTAGGCTCGGCTTGTCGTTGCGATTCCACAGTCGCCGCCCTGCTGCTCGGCTGAGCCGAAGTGGGCGTCCACGAACGGCCGGCCGCCGTCTTGAAAGGGTTCTGCTTTAACGTCTGCGCTTGGGACACGGGGATGGTGACATCTTGTGTCTCAAAAAGCTCAATCAACGATTCCCGTAAATTGTCGAGCATTTGTCCTTGGTCGTGCAACAAAATGGTCCGCTTGTCAGGGCTGACGTTGACGTCATAAAGATGGGTGTCTAACTGAATGTCGGCAAAGATAAACGGCGATTGAGAAGCGTTGTAAGATCGGTAGACTTCGTTGAACACCTTGGCGAACTGAGGCAAGCCGCAAGGCCGCCCGTTGACATAGAACATTTGCCTGTCCGGGGTTTGCCGGCCTTCGCCGTGGGCTGGTCGAGAAACGTGGCCAAGAACTCGGACCTCAGCGGCGCTTCCACCTGCCCTCGCCTTGCCCTTGCTAAGGGGTCCAGCTGTGGGCGTCAGTTCAAGCTTGAGGTCCATCAGTATCAGGGCATTCATGGTTTTCACGCCAAACACGTTGATAATGTTCTCGCGGGTGGTGGGGTTACCCTTGGTTGAGAACAAAACCATGCGCTTGCCCTTGGTGGGCTGCTGAGAGACGGTGAACTTGACGCCGGTTTGCACACATGCATACTGGTTGAGGAGGTTGATCACCTTGCCCCATTCCCTCTTGATGTTCCGCTCCAGTTCTCGGCGACGGACGGGTAGGTTGTGAAAGAGATCTTCGACAATGACAGTGGTGCCTCTCTGGCCCGAGACGACGCTGGTGCTCTTAAGCTTCCCGGATGTCTCAAACTCGAGCCTGGTCGCGCGTGGTACGTCTTGGGCGGTACATGTCACAACTGCAAAGCGGGACAAGGCGCAGAGCGAAGACAGCGCCTCACCTCTGAAGCCGAACGTCTGCAGCTCCGAGAGGTCATCGTAGCTCGTGAGCTTGGATGTGTAGTGCTTCAAGGCGATGGACTCGTAGTTGTGGGATGCAATGCCTGAGCCATTGTCTTGGACTTCAATCGAGTCCAGGCCTTGATTTTTGAAGCGGACGTCTGGGAATAGCCTTGTCAACGGTGGGGGGTTCCATATCCATGTGTGTGCACTTGGTTACGTACCGATGGAGGTTGCTCCAGCGTCGAAGCTGTTCTCGACTAACTCCTTTGCTACAGAGCAGAGATCTACAATGACTTGGCCAGACTGTATTTGATGGACCTGAGTGTTTAATCTGTCAATATCAATTTTGTTTTCCCTTTTTATTTTCTTGCAACTAGCAAACGCACCGTGCTGGATTCAATCGCCTTGATTGTGGCACTTGATGCCATTCTTCGGCATTCTCCGGTGCTACCGTAATGACAATAGCCGCGTTCTCTAGTTATCACTACTTGGGAATCTCGAGTTGCTTCCTCGTTTTCGGTTGTTGAGGAGATGGGTCGGCATGAGTTGGCGATCCCAATTCGGCTCTGTTACGGATACATTCATCAGACAGACCTGGAGTGACCGAGTTGCCCAAAGCCCATTGAACGCGACATGGAACGCGTCTTCCAGTCTGCCCGTGCGCGCGACCAGGCACCGAATTAAGCACCCAAGTGGACCACTCACGAGCCGGCAGGCAGCTCGGTTGCTCCCCTGGCAGGGCACTTTTTACCCCGCCATTCTGATGGATGGACTGATGGGACTCCCATCGCCGAGAATTCGGGTCTTGTCCAACTGCCGTTTCATGCTCCTATGACAGACTCTCGACAGGCAGCCTTCTCCAGTTGGGCTGCGTAATCTGTACAAGAAAGAAAGCTCATCACCCCTCAAGGCTCTTGAAAACACTTGACCTACTCGGAAAATTCCACAGTGCGTTCGAGGCCTTCGAGGCCTTCGGCAAGTGGTGCAGATGGAAGAGGGTGTCTATTGGCTTGCCGCGTGTTTTTTAGTTTCAAGCAGGGATTCGGGTTGCTGCAAGTTCCATCCGAGCCGCAGACACGAAGCACACCACTTGCTGTGTAATTCGTGTGAAGCCTGGCGCCTCCTGGGGCCATCGGCAGCAAATATGCTAGACATGGTATAGCGTGTGTGCGTGTGTGTGGAGGAGGCGTTGCAGGTTTTCGTCGTACGAAGCATGTGGAGAGGACGCGTGTCAAACGAAGATCACGGCCGTAGCTCACATCATCGAAACTTCCTTTGTCCGCAGTTATAGATGAGAAGCACACAGTGGTAAGGGTTGGTAACAACGTCGAAACGCCAACGAGTTGCCAAGATGGCAAGCAACGTGCGGCCCCTGTCATGACGTTATTACTTGGCGAGCTCGACGAGAGGTTACACTGGAGGAACAAAAGAGCATGAGAGCATCGACGACGACAGGCTGGCTGACTGGACCGAGGCTTCTGGTCTCATCCATCACCAGCCCCGCGCAAAATGCAACGGCATTTGCAAAATACGGCATGCCCGGTCGGCGTTGGCCCCCATTATCGATGCCAGCCTGGCCATCCGCAGTACTCGTTGCTGCGGTGCAGCTTCCGGGCCAGATTTGTCATGTCGCGGGCCACCAGAAACAGGGCACCATGCTCTTACTGGTATTGATCTGGAGATGAAAATGTGATAGGTGGGCGGACGGACGACCGGCGGCTGACAACAGCCATTCTGTGTCAAGCACGCAATAACCCAGCCGCCAAAATACAGGCTCAGCAAGGAAACGGCCCTGGGCGGTGCTGCTGCATGCTGCAAGATACCACTACACAGTAGGTGAGGATGGGCAAAACAAACATGCTGTGGACATCCATGCGGGCAACGTGCCGGGAGAGGAATCGGGTTGCGACCCCGATATTGGTTACCGCGCATCCCGCCGTTGAATCATGTCTGTCTCGAGTAGTTCCATAGTTATCAAATTCCGCATCTTTCCACCACCTGCGGACAAACCTGTTTTATTTTCACTCTAACATCCGTTTTCGGCTTGAGCGTTGTTAAAGCACGACTCTCGTTTACTGTGGTATGGACACTTCAAGACGTCGGACGGGTGCTGGCCCCATCAATTTCTTGCGCTGATCCGGAATTATCGGGCATTCCTTCGTTTATCAGCGACTCCCGTTTTTGTCGGGGGCGGTTTCAGACAGAAAACTGGGCATTTCGTCAACACCGAATCCGATTACAGATTGCTGCAGCTGACATCGGTCTGTGGACGATCCCTTATCTCAGGGGGAAAGGACGAACCCCAGCACACTGCGACGTAAGGTCCCCACAAGCAAGCCACCCTGCTGCTTGTATCGAATCAAACCGGTCCGCTTCGAGGCGAAGTCTGGACTCTTGCTTCCAAGACTGGGCCGACCAATGGTGGCGACAGCGCCTTGCAGCCGCCAACTTTGTGGTTGAACTTCCGAATCCGCCGCCATAGGTTGCGCACTTATCCTAAGCTCGCTTTTCCCATACCGTCTTGTTTTTTTTTTTTTTTGGCCCTGCGCGCGGGAAAGCTTGAGGAGGAGTGCCAGCCTCGGCTTTTGGCGAACAAACAAAACTGGGCTCTCGAGCTGCCAACCCACAATTTCAGCAGTTAGAAAGGATTCAGCTCGAAACGGCCCATGAGCCCCCGTTTCACCGCCGCGCCCACCGTTCCTTCGCTTGGCCTGTCCCAACGCCAACACCACGAGCGCCACCACGAGCGCATCGTGCCACCCCTCAGGCAGGAAAATCCCACCACTGCCCTGCTGGGATGAGGGGGAATTCGTCAGGATCGTCAGAAGACGATGATGCTTCTCCTGTTGAGGCCCCTCATGTCAATTCCTCTCGTTTCAACACCAAAGACTCCTCCAGGTCGTCCTCGGCGCACCCCGCGAACAAACTCGATCATCGTCACAGCGCCGACCGCCCACCCTCGTTCTCGATAAGCCGACGGTCCAGCAGCATCAATTGGCGACTACCAGAGTCGCGTAATGGGAATGGAACATTAGAGAAACGGTCGTCCCCCGAACGCACATCGCCCTCCTCTCCGCTGGGCCTGATCATGACCGCGAAAGGGGAATTGCGGACAAAAGAGGTGGAAAAAGCGCCAGAGACCGGCATGCTCGCGCGACGGCCATCATGGAAGAGTCCCTGGGCCATTACGCTCTTTGCGCTCGTCGCATCGATTGTCGGCATCGGGTTTCTGGTCGCCGTCCTTCATTCTTCCATAACCCGACAAATCGACCCGAAAGGGTGTCGCATGTCTTATATGCGACCATCGTACGCCAAGCTCGACGAGTTCGACACTGAGCACACGCGCCTCGCGAGCAAATACTCGCTGTATTTGTATCGCGAACAAGGAATTGACCGCGACACGAAGGTTTGAGGCGCAAAAAGAAACTGCCAAGGTCGTCGGCGTTAGCTAACTATTTCTAGGTCAAGGGAGTCCCCATCCTGTTCATACCCGGCAACGCCGGGAGTTACAAGCAAGTTCGACCTATCGCGGCAGAGGCGGCCAATTATTTTCACGATGTCCTGCAGCACGACGAGTCCGCCCTGAATGCTGGGACCCGGAGCCTGGACTTCTTCACGGTCGACTTCAACGAGGATATTACCGCTTTTCACGGTCAGACACTCCTCGACCAAGCCGAGTACCTGAACGAGGCGGTCCGGTATATCCTATCTCTTTACCTCGACCCGCGGGTCGCTGACCGGGACACGGACCTGCCCGATCCGACTTCGGTCATAGTCCTTGGACACTCTATGGGAGGCATCGTCGCGCGCACAATGCTCATTATGCCCAACTTTCAGTCGAACTCGATCAACACCATCATCACCATGTCGGCCCCCCCATGCTCGACCCCCGGTGTCCTTCGACGGCCAGAGTGTCCAGACGTACAAGGACATCAATGACTACTGGAGGCGTGCCTACTCGCAACAATGGGCTAACGACAACCCCTTGTGGCATGTCACGCTGGTGTCCATCGCGGGCGGTGGACTGGATACGGTGGTTCCCTCGGACTATGCGAGCGTCGAGTCTTTGGTTCCGGACACTCATGGGTTCACCGTGTTCACCTCGACAATTCCAAACGTGTGGACGAGCATGGATCACCAGGCGATCCTCTGGTGTGATCAGTTCCGAAAGGTTATTGCGCAGGCGATTTACGATGTGGTGGATGTTCACCGGGCCACCCAGACGAAGCCTCGAGCTGAACGGATGAGGGTGTTCAAAAAGTGGTTCCTCACCGGCATGGAGACAGTTGCGGAGAAGGCGGCGCCACGCTCGGAGCCAACAACCCTGCTGACCGTGGACGATAATTCGGACTCGATCATTGCCGAAGGGGAGCGCTTAGTTCTGCGGAATCTAGGTACCGCAGGGACTATCCGCGCCCATCTCATGCCCATCCCGCCCTCGGGGTCCCCAGGCATGAAGCGCTTCACCCTCCTGACGGATGCAAAACTCGACAAGCCAGGAGAACACGGGAAACTCGAGGTTCTCTTCTGCAGCGTTATCTCGTCACACCCTAGTCAATCCTGGGCTGGGTTTCCAAGCCAAATGGATCTGTCCAAGGGTAACACCGGGTCCACGCGGCTGGCTTGCAGAACTGCTGCGCCTGATGTCGTGACCCTGCCCGCGTCGACTCGCTCAACGCGTTTCCCCTTTTACGCCGACGGGGAAAGGGAAATCACCCCGTTCTCTTATCTTGAGTACGGCGTCGACGACATTGCCGAGCACCAGTTTGTAGCGGTTGTGGAAAAGACGACTACTCCGACGCCGGGATTTGTAGTCGCAGAGTTCAGCGACTACACTCAGTCACACCGAACCCGTCACATTAGTCTCCGAAGCCTTCTCGCGTTCGGTATGAAGTTTCGCCTCCCCGCTGAGCGGCCGATGGTGACCGAGGTCAAGGTGCCATCCTTGCAGTCAAGCTTGCTCGCCTACAATCTCCGAATCAGCCACCAAGACTGCGATGGGAACAACGAGCTTTTCGCTCCCCTGGTCCGACAGTACCTGGCCGAACCATACGAGTCGAAATATTTTGTCAATGCGCACGAAGCGACAGTCAGTCTCCATGGCGTTGCTCCTTATGTCCCACCGCCTCTCACAGGGAAGTTGGACGAAGACGGGCTCAGCTTTCAATTTTGGACCGACCCAACCTGCAACTCAAGCATCCATGTTGAGCTGACCGCCGATTTCATGGGCAGCCTCGGCAAGCTCTACATGCGGTACCGCACCGTGTTTGCCGCGTTTCCCTTGTTTATCGTGGCTCTTGTCCTCAGGAAACAATTCCGGGTCTACGACACGACGGGGTTGTTCATCCCCTTCTTGGAGGGTTTGGATCTGTGCTTGAGGCAATCTATTCCCTTGATGCTGGCTTCGCTTACACTCCTGACACTCTCCACCGGGATTATGGCTCCGGCCAGCAACGCAAGCTTTTGGCACTGGCGGAACGGCACATCTTCGATTATGGACTTCCAACACAACGATCTTCTGATTGGGACCGAAGACCCCTTGTTTCTCTTCCTGATCCCGCTGATCGCGATTGTGTGCATCGGCGTGTGCACCGTGCTCAACTACATGGCTCTCATCCTGACGTACTTGCTGGGCGTCGTTGCAAGTCTCATCACTTTCCACCCCGGATGGATCCGGAACGAGGACAGGAAGAAGACAACTCCCGCCGCCTTCTTCTCCCCATCGCCGCGTCGGCGCATGATCACGACTGCAGTTTTGCTACTACTTGTCACCACGATGGTGCCCTATCAGTTCGCCTACCTGGTGGCTTGCTTGGTACAATTGATGACAACGGTCCGGGCCCAGCGGATCGCCTCGGAGCTGCGATCGACGGCGAACTCGAACTTCTACAACTACGCCCACTCAATCTTCATGCTGATGCTCTGGATTCTCCCCATCAATCTTCCGACTTTCGTGGTCTGGGTTCACAACCTGGCGGTTCACTGGCTCACTCCTTTCTCGTCGCATCACAACGTCCTGTCTGTCATGCCATTCATCGTCCTCGTCGAGACCCTCACCACCGGGAAAATGATACCGCGCATGGGCAGCCGGCTCAAACATGTCACCAGCCTTTTGCTGTTTTGCATGGCTGTCTATGCGGCAGTGTACGGCGTCACATACGCCTACACCCTTCATTATCTCGCCAATTCCCTTGCCTTCTGGCTAGCAATTGTCCACTCGACATCCGACTCCTGGTCTCTTGCGGGAATCACTCAGCTCTACACCGGGGAAGCCGGGGATCGGAAACGAGGGAAGGAACCATGACCATTCCATGAGCGAGCGATGCATGCCGTGCCGCGGTGCAGCCGGCGATCGTTATTTCCCGGATCCCCCGACGCGGCAGACGTTTCAATTCTGATACCCCATCCCGCCTCACCCCGGACGCGACCACGCCAGTGCACGGAGGGAGTTGGTCCTCAACCACTATCCTTGAGACCCGAACTCCCAACTCCGTGCCACCAATCCTCCACCACCTCCAGCTTGTTTGGTTTCCTAATAGGATCCATATTCTCTTCGCACCGGAGCACAGACTCCAACTCTTCTATATATTTTTCTAGCACAGGCGGCGTCCGGGCAGGTTTCTTCGGTCCTCTTCGGTTTCAGCGATTCCACACATTGCATTTGCATCGGCGGGTCTATCGAGCGTGGTTTCTTGCGTATGCTTGAAGCAGACCTTTTCTTCTTTTCCTTCCCACTTTCGAGCCTTCACCCTTGTGGCATATTTGGCTGTTCGCTTGGATACCTAGTTCATCCAGCCAGCCACGGCTCTGCAAATGGGACTTTTCTCGGCTTTTCATTTCGGGTTTTTCGAGGGCGGACGGCATGGCGGGGGTGGCTCCTGGTTTTGGTTTTGGGAAATCCACAAACTGGGTGGATGGGAGTGGATGGGTCGAAATGAGCTATGCCTGGCCGCCAGTAATGTCTATGTTTATTGTTCACGTCACTCGTTTTCTTTTTTGCTCGGGGGGGCGGCCTTGCGGATTTGTTTCACAAGGCGCACCCGGGCCGGGGTGGGCTCTCTTGCAGCAGCACCCGCGAGTCTGATGTGCAGACAGGGCGGAATAGACGACGATACAGCGCGGCGAGCGGCGACAAGCCGTCGCATGTGTGAGGGGCCGGATGCCCGGCGGGACGATGGGCCCTAATGTTGTGATAGCCCGCGGCGTCGGGGGAGCTTGTACACTGCTTCATAAACTGTAGATAGACGGGCTGTATTTATGTTGTATGAGGCGGAGGTCCTAGACGAGGGATCAAACAAGCGCATACTGTTCAAGACTACCAGCAACTCTTGGAAAGGTATATCTACAGTAAAGTGGATGCTGCCTACCCCTAACTCCAAAAATGAAGAAAAATACTGCAGCCCGTTTCATGCAGCACAACCCCAAACATTCATGCATGCGCAGAATCCGATTTCCGATGATACAAATGCTCCAAGCATCGAGCAAGCAACCCGTACAAGACAAGAAAAGGGTATATATGCCGCCACCATTTGAACCAGTTCCGGCCAGACCTCACCACCGCCGCACGTTCTCAAAGACCCCCGAGCGAGGAACACATTCATCACTCTTCGGCGGCCTCGCTCAGCGCCTTCAGCACCCTCGCGTAGAACTTGCCCGCCTGCGACTGCGGGAACGAGATCTCGTCGACAAGGTAGCCCGGCAGCACGGCGATCAGCGCCCTGTCGCGGTTGGGGTCGAGCTGGGGCGTGTAGTGGCAGTGGGCCTCGCCCTCTTCCGGCAGGATCTCGACTGCTAGTTTGAAGTGCAGGGCTGGAGCAAGGCAAGTTAGCGGCTGGTCCAATACTCATGGGGAGGGGGGGAGGGTCATGGGGGGATTGTAAGGGGTGGAGAGGTGGGTAACGTACTTCCGTTCCGCCCCGTCTGGATGCAATCGAACACGTCCTCGCCGCCCTCTCTCTTGACGCTGCGCACGATGAGCCCAGTCAGGTCGCCGTAGAGGTTTTCTTTCTTTTGTGCGGCCTGGGTGGCCTCGGACGCGTTGGCTGCCGCGAGGCGGGAGGCACCTGTTGACCCTTTCATTGCGCTGCCGGGGACCTTGGCGGCGGCGTTCGCGGCTGCTTCGGCGCTTCGGGCGGCGGCTAGTTTGAGATTGAGGGACCTGATCTCGGATTTGGACTCCGTGAGGGAAGTGGTCAGGTCGGTGAACTTGGTTTGCAAGCCATCGGCTTTGGCTTCGCTTTCCTCGAGCTGCTTTTTGAGTTGCTGTATTGATTTGGAGCTTCCCTTCGTCGCGGAAAGCTCGGCTTTGAGGGTTGCGATGAGTTCATCGGCCGCTGAGACAGTTAGCAGGAAGTCCAAAAGAGGTAGTGGGAACCACAATTACCTTTAGATTTCTCTTCTGACTGCTTCTTGAGTTTGTCAAAGTTGCGCTCGGCTTCTCGTACGGCGACCTCCTTCAAGTCCCTGTACTTGTGCTCCAAACTTTCGTATTTCTGTGTCATCTCCCCAAGCCGACGGCGAAGCGCAGGATCGCCCTTGTCCGGAGACAAAGTGTGCGAAGGCCGCTTTGAGACGCTGCTTGGAACAGGGGCGCTGCCACGGCCAGCCTTTGCACGTTCTGGGGTCCGGGAGACGGGAATGTCTGCCAAGTCGTCGTGCTCATCGTCGATATCACTTTGTGTCCCATCCGGTTGCTGTGTCTCGGGAATTTCGGACACCTCCCCGGTTGTCGTGTCCGGGTCAGCTATCTTCGCGGCCGGCTTCCTCCCTCGCCGTGCACCAGTGGGTTGTGGTTCAACTTCAACCGCCACCTTCTTGGGGCGGCCACGAGCACCCTTTTGCTTTGGCGCTGGCGCCTCTGTCATAACCGTATCCTCTTCTTCCCCCTCCTCTGCCTCCTCCTCAGCAGCCGCGGCACGTTTGCGGCCACGTCCTGGCCCCTTCGCCTGGGCTCCCTTTGTATTGCTCGACTTCTGTCCCGTGGTGACCTCGTCGACGGCAGCGGCGATTCGGCCGCTAGATCGGTGCCCTGTGGTTGACGTCTTTGCCGCGGGCTTAGTGACCCTGTTCGCAGCCTTGCGGCCGGCCTTTCCTTTCTTCGGAGGCATGGTACTTTTCGAAATCGCGGGTTTTAGCGAGTTCCCTCCAATTCCGTCCTCCGAGTCTGAATCCACCAACTGCAACAAGTGAGCCCTAGCTTTGGCCTTGGACATCGACTCGCGACGTGTGTCGGTGCTATTTCTGGAAGGTAATTTGAGGCAGTCGCGGCGCGTCCTCAGTGGAGTGACGCGATAAATTGGGAGGTGCCTGGCGCGTGATCTGCAAGGCTTGGTGGAACTCGATAAGGCTTGTTGACGGACGAGGGGCTTCGAGCGCGGTTGCCGTGGCGCTAAAATGCAGTGTACCTATGTAAACAAAAGTCCAGCGCCCATCCCAGGCGGTCAGGGCGTATAACAATACGGTAAATTACCGTCCAAGTGACCTCTGGCGTCGCAAGCTGAGAGCTGTTTCCCGGCCCAACCCCTGTCTTTCTTTCAGCCACCAGTGGCGCTAGCACATGTTTCGGCACAACCACTGTCCCGTCGCAGGGACAACTCCATCTCGAACATCGCCAAAGCTCGTTTTTTCAAGTTGACCTTTTCCCGTGCAGCACCAAGCGTGTAGTATTCGCTTTGCTGCGATATTTACGCCCGCGCCGACGGCCGTGCCGCAACCCAATACAACATGAACGACCAAAAACGGATGAAGGAGCTTGTCTCGGGCCTGATGGTTGCGGCCGGAGTATGTCCCAGTCATTTGATTCATCTTAGATGTTGGCGTTGCATGCTAATGCGAATGATTCTCAGACAATATCGGCCTATTTCCTAATCAAAGAACTCGTCGGGCCATACTTTGCGAAGCTTGTCGACCCCGACCGAGAGAAGAACGAGCAAGCGAGTCTTAGGGCCCAAGCGAACCTCCAGAGGATACGCCGGAGACGGGTCGAAAATGGGGACGACGGCGAAGATGGCACAGATGCCTCACAACATACAAACAGGGTAGAGGACCTGGTTCTCAATGAGTATGAGAATCAAGTAGCCCTTGAAGTCGTTGCGCCTGAAGACATTCCTGTCGGCTTTGGCGCCGTTGGCGGCCTCGAAGACATCATCGAGGAGCTCAAAGAGTCCATCATCTACCCCTTAACCATGCCGCATCTTTATCGCCACGGAGGCGCGCTGCTGGCGGCGCCCTCGGGTGTGCTGTTGTACGGACCACCGGGCTGCGGCAAGACGATGCTGGCCAAAGCAGTAGCCCGCGAGAGCGGCGCCTCCTTCATCAACCTCCACATCTCAACTCTGACGGAAAAATGGTACGGCGACTCGAACAAGTTGGTTCGCGCCGTGTTCTCGCTAGCCAAGAAGCTGCAACCATCAATCATTTTTATCGACGAGATCGACGCTGTTCTGGGGACACGGAGGAGCGGGGAGCACGAGGCGAGCGGCATGGTCAAGGCCGAGTAAGTTGACCCTCGCATTCCCCAGCAGGGCGCCATTCTAACAACCGTAGGTTCATGACCCTCTGGGACGGCCTCACGTCGACGAATTCTGCCGGTGTTCCCAACAGGATCGTGGTACTTGGCGCAACCAACAGAATCAACGACATCGACGAGGCGATCCTTAGGAGGATGCCCAAGAAATTCCCCGTACCGCTCCCTGGCATGGAACAACGACAGCGCATCTTGCAGCTCGTCCTTGGCGACACGAAACGCGATCCCGAGAACTTCAACATTGACTACATCGCAAGGGTTACCGCCGGCATGTCTGGCAGCGACATCAAAGAAGCATGCAGAGATGCGGCCATGGCCCCCATGAGAGAGTACATCCGCCAGCATCGGGCGTCGGGGGCAGCCATGTCGCGGGTGGACCCCAATCACGTTAGGGGCATCAGGACCGAGGACTTCTTTGGCCGGCGCGGCGGTCGAATCCTTGCCGAAACGCCGTCCCGCCAAACGAGCACTGTCACTGCAGCGCCGGCTAAGGAGGTGTCAAGCGACGGGTTTGAGGACGTGGAAGAAAGCGAAGATGAACAAGTAACGACATCCACCTAGCTCGCCTAACGAGGAGAGAGCACCAGCGCCATATTCTGTAATTTGGCCGCGCAGTTGTAAGAGTTCATGTATCATGAGGCACACGTACCGACAGGAAATGGAACACGGCTATAGAGTACTAGTAATACCCAGATAAATGAAACACCGCTTCCGTTCCGTCATGTCAGTGTTTAGCCGATTCGTCACCGTGTTTTTGAATCCCACTCCCGAAAGAGCACACGACAACCGCATCCCTGTCAATGGCATCAAAAATACTTGGAGAGTGCAATAGTTACCCAAATAGCGATGCGCCTCAAGCCCCCAACGGTCGCAATCCCTTAGATAGGGAGTCCTTATTTTGTGCTCAAGACTGCTCGTGTGTACTGCGTGTAAGAACCACACCTTCCGACTTCAATGGGGCCGGGATGGAGGATCAACTCTGTCCCTCAATCTTCAACAATCGTCCGAATCCCCAGCAAGCACGTCATGCGCTCGCCCCACTGAGGGGCTGATTCGTCGGATATCGGTTACCTTGGAGCGCAGCGTCCCGCCGCCCACGCCAAAGTACCCCATATCTTGAACCCCTGCCCCGCCGCTCCGGGGTCGGACGGAAAGGGCGGTCGACCAGGGCACCTGTTTGTCTCCTGCCGGGTGGTGCATTCCCCGGAAACACACCCAGTCACCTTCACGAACAGGTCCCATTGGAAGGTGCAATTCTCCCAGTTTGTACCCGACTCTCCTGCTTTTTTCTCCCCGACGAGGCAACCGGGAGACTTGTTAGTTTTGCAGTTCCTCACTTTCTCGAAATATTAAAGCCACCTACCCTACCTATTTACCGTTTCGTTCAGTGGCGTCTCCAATTGCCCCTCTCTCTACGGGCCTCGTCTGACTCCCTCCTCCCTCCTCGGTTGACTCATTGTCATCCGACCCAGTCGTTCCAATGGCAGCTCCAAACCGAATGAGCCCTGCGTCGCAGGCGGCAAACAAAGTCTTTACCAGAGTTGACCTCGATGGCCATGCTCTCCCTCCCTCGCCCGCCCCGTCGAGCCCGCTCTCCGGAAGGAAGCGATATGCTCTAGCCACGGAATTGGTCTACACCGAATCCAAAGACCAGTATGGCTCCTCCAGCATCCCCATCTACCAGTCGGCAACCTTCAAGCAGACCTCGGCCAACGGCGGCAACGAGTATGACTACACCCGCTCCGGCAACCCGACCCGGACGCACCTCGAGCGCCACATGGCCAAGATCATGAATGCGACCCGCGCTCTGGCTGTCGGGTCTGGTATGGGCGCCCTGGATGTCATCACACGTCTACTGAAACCGGGGGACGAGGTCATCACTGGCGATGATCTGTACGGTGGCACGAACCGGCTCCTCACGTACCTCAAAAACAATCAAGGGGTTGTGGTGCACCACGTCGACACCACCATTGCCGACAGCGTCAAGAATGTGATCTCTGACAAGACGGCCATGGTCCTGCTCGAGACCCCCACAAACCCGCTGATCAAGATTGTGGACATCCCGTCAATTGCGAGAGCAACGCATGAGGCCAACAGCAAGGCGCTCGTGGTGGTGGATAACACGATGCTTTCGCCCATGCTCCTAAATCCCTTAGATATCGGCGCGGACATCGTCTACGAGTCTGGCACAAAATATCTCTCTGGTCACCACGACATAATGGCCGGTGTGATTGCCTGCAACGACCCAGAGCTGGGCGACAAGATGTACTTCACCATCAACACAACGGGCTGCGGGTTGTCACCAAACGATTCCTTCTTGCTCATGAGGGGCGTCAAGACACTAGCCATCCGCATGGAAAAGCAGCAGGGAAATGCCCAGCGGATTGCAGAGTTCCTCGAATCACATGGCTTCCGCGTCCGGTACCCGGGCCTGAAGTCACATCCGCAGTACGACCTCCATTGGTCAATGGCTCGGGGTGCCGGTGCTGTACTCTCGTTTGAGACAGGGGACGTCGCACTCTCTGAGAGGATCGTCGAAGCGGCCAGGCTTTGGGGCATCAGCGTCAGTTTCGGCTGCGTCAACAGTCTCATCAGCATGCCCTGCCGTATGAGCCATGCAAGCATCGATGCGAAAACTCGGCAGGAACGACAAATGCCCGAGGACATCATCCGGCTGTGCGTTGGCATCGAGGATGCGGACGATCTGATGGACGACTTGTCCCGTGCTGTAAGTTGAAACCGTCTGTCCCCGTCAAAGCCTATCCCGGTAGCTAACACTTGCCTCCTTCTCCAGCTTGTTCAAGCAGGGGCCGTGAATGTGTCGCTGGACGGCTTCCACGCGAATGATGCTAATGGTGAAGGCGCCACTGTATCGGCTTAGGCCGCGTGTGTTTCTCTCAAAGGCCACACAAACCGGCTGGCTTGTCGGCGCGCAGGCTCGGGCGTCATCATCTCAAACGCACAAGGGATAACGTTTTGCATAAAATCGAAGGCACTGAAATACAAGAAAAACAGGTCGTCGGGACACGGAAAAAGCCCATACATCCTCAGAACAGACCCAGAACCACACCTATTCGCGCCGCTCCTACATCCGCACGGCATCGGCGTTCTAACTGCCACCGGCATCTTGGGTTTCTGTACGACTACTGCATTGTTAACCAGGACTCTCGGTTACCAAGCAATGGTTGACGCTCACCCCGCCAGGCCGCTGATGAAAAGAGCTTCGTTGATAGTAAGATTTTTGGGGTCAAGTTCGTCGCTCCACGATCTCAGCATTGGTGACTGCTGCTGGGCTGCATTTTCGGCCAGCGCTAATGGCGGCGGGCCGAGCTGATCGTCACTATGCACATGAGAAGGCGTTCGTGGTCTTAGCGGCAAACGTGACTAACCTTCGATGTACGTCCTGGGTTTCCGTGTGATCTCTCACGCTGTGGGGCATGGTTGGTCGGGGCGTTGAAGACTCGGGATATCAGGCTCGACAGCGAGGATCTTGGTGGCCACCTTGAAGGAATTTGACCGCGTCCTGTGCCAGCGCAAAGGTTAGGTCTATATACACTTTTCGTTCTCAGGCCGGTCAACCCGGGCTGCGAGTCAGTCGCCGCCAAGGAAAGCCTGCGGAACAGGCCTCCTGCTAGAACGAGGAATAAAAAAGGCACGCCGCCTCGCCCTGTCTCCATGCTGCTGCACATGTCAACTGTCGATAGCGCCATTCTCGTCTCAAACCGGGATCAGATGTCGAACGGCCACTACCGCCTTCCCCTGCGGGCATCGTGGCACCTAGGGACTTGGTTCGGTGTTGGCGAACTCGGTTTGAAGGGAAAAACCCGGCTGTCTAACCCCCCCTCCTGTCGACACTCATATTGCTCGCTGCTGCAGTCCCTTGCTGGCCCGGAAGTATGTGCCGTGTGGTACATACCCGCTCCTTGATGGTCAGATGGACCATTTCCCAACAACTGTTGGTCAACCATCACGGCCATGAATCCGTGCATCACATGCGGCATAATCTCATTCGCGTCGCGTTCCCGTCCCATTCGCCAGTACCTGGATGGGCCGGTGTTTTTCTTTTCATCAACCACCAAGAGCTTCCGCGCCGTACGACCACACTCCTACCCTCGATTCGGCCTTTCAGATATGCGTGTCGACATCGCTCCGGCCGAAGCCCCCACGCCCGCGTTTGCTTCGCCGGAGGCGCCACCTGAGCAGCGGGCTAACCGCACGACGTACGTCGTTTATCTGCTGCCGAAGACCCTTATGCTTGACCGGTCGCAATGCCCACAACATGCGGCGGCGCAGAGCAATATATGTGTTTGCTCTTGCAGGATGTGGCAGGGGTCGTCCTCTCAGACGGCTTTACCCCTGTGACCAGCCATACGGGTTGTGTCGTTTTTCCGACCAGTACAACGCCCGCATCCGATTTCCCCAGGTTCTCGCCTGCAAGATGTCGATAAAGATGACAAGTGATGGGCACCTAACCGCATGCCTAAGACCCCCTTGCTTGCCGCCCCATTCGATTACCACCACTCTGGACAGCCAGCCGGTTGGCCGTGCCCTAGTTTACCGTCCGCTTTTATGTGGCGCCGAGGGGTATCGATATTTGTATCCTGGTACTCCGCCGCGAGAGCGAGGAGGCTATCGCAAGGGGGTATGGTGTGCTGGACCGGACCAGAAAATGAAGGGTGGTGGATGCGCTGGCTGTCCCGACCCTGTCCTGCATGCACCTTCCCGTAGGCGCGTCTGATATTCAGCCCCCCAAGCATCATTGCCAAGCGCTTCTTACCATAGGACGGCCGTTTGACGCGGGCGCCATTACCGTGACAGACGCCCAATCTCCTCGGAAGGGACGGTTTCTGGTGTCATAGCCCAACATCATCCCGGCCGTGATATCGCAGGGAGTCGCTCTTGTGCGTCACCGGGAGTGTCGTACAGACAGGGCCCGTCCTTACTGGGAAGTCGTCAAACGGCTGCTCTCTGCGGCTATTGCAGCCATGACAGGAGTGAAAACCCCCCGCGTTGGTGACACCAGCTTATCACCCCTTCTTTCTTTCCGTCAGGGGGTATCGACGTCGGGTTTGATTCGGACATCGGCCGTCAGACGGCCTGACACAACACGTGCATGCGTCGTTTTGGCCCTGAATCGAGGGGTATCCCAGTTCGTCGACCCTTGCTTGTGCACAGGTTTGGCCAGAAGGTGAGAATCATAGTCTCGGGGAGAGGACCCAACGAGGGGGTTAACTCGGCCCGCTAATACGCGTTATCGGCGTCGGCGTCGGCGTCGGCGATATCATCACCCTCAGCCATCTCGTCGCCTCTTCACACTTTCTCTGACCGCTACTCCGGCAATCCTAAATTTCCAGGACCTTATGTCAAGTCGCACCGCGGCTGCAAGGATGACGATGTAACGTACAACGCCGATAGATGGTCACGCGAGGCGACCGAGGACGAGGGAGCGAGCAATAGTCGGGAGGGGAAGGGGGAACCGAGGCCTGGGAAAGGAGAGACAAACAACGCGCTCATGCGGTTGCTGCAGCCGCAGCTTCGGCTTGGCCTTCCTAACTCCCCGATGGCCATCTCCAACTGCGCAGCGCCCGGCAACGATAACAGAGACGCCACAGCATCAGCAAAAGGACCGGCCGTCGACAAAGGGCTCGTTGATCTCATCCAACGCCAGTATGGTTCCATAACGTCGCCTGGACACCGAAGAAGATATAAACGAGCCAGGTCCATTATGCACTCGGCTCAGCACCCCTCGGAAGTTCGGCAGCCCGCAGACCCAACGGTCCCGGTGTGCCGGCCCCGGAGCGTCCCGCGGCCGAGGCCACATCGTTTCACCCGATACCCAAAGACTCGACGGATTCTGGCACGGGAAACCCCAAGTTTATTAATATCCCATCTCCCAAAACACTCGGCACCGCTCGGCCGCCGTACCCGAGAACTCGGGAAGGGGCCAACCGCCTATGATGTTGTCGTATATGTACATAGGTAGTACGCAACTTACGCGCTTGATAGACCAGACGTCACGAAATTAAACCACATACAAACAAACGTGCCATTAGCTAGGAGGTTGACATTCCACCCCCCCCTGACGGGTGCGCGCATGAAGACCAGTGGCGACGGCATGACGTCTGCGGCCGTCTCAGCTCCTCGTGGTGGCCCAAGACACCCCAACCTGACTATCAGGGTATACCGCCAATGCGCTGCGTGGTACTCCGTGGTGGTTGGTTGTGTCACGAATAGATTGATTTGATGGATATAGCCTGCCATCTGATAAACACATCAGGAGGACATCACAAAAAGCTTCCCACATGCCCGAAGTGCATTCGCAATGTGTGACAAAAGACGCAAGAAGCGGACATAATTCAGGCTAAGACACCAGCGCCTTATGACAGGCACAGGTACAGGCACGTTACGACGGAAGCGGGAGCGAGAGCGAGGCAGAGAAACATGGAGATAAAATACCGAGGTGACATGAGGAACGTGGAAGAAAAAAGACAATGCATATGCCAGCAATCAACCCAACCCAGCCCAGCCCAGTGCAGCCATAACCAAAACCGCTAATTCACGCAGCCCAATTCAACCATCAAAACCAGCTTAGGTAGTAACCGACCCCCAACAAGCAAGCCTACAACACACCGTGGTATCTAGATAAATCTTCTTACTCAAACTCAAACCTCTCCGGCAGCACCACGGGCGCGATCAGCGTCCACACGTACATGCCGTAGCAGACCCACGAGCTGGCAATCTTGACCCAGCTCGCCCACAGGGTGCGCCCCACGGTGGCGAAGTCCTCGTTCCGCCGCGAGTCGTCGTCCCAGTCCATGGTGAGCAGGGTGGCGACCCAGGCGGTGGCCAGGAAGAAGATGACGTGGAACATGGCGTAGCTGTACTGGGTGGTGGTGCGCTCGTCGTCGTGGCGGGCGGCGCCGCCGTTGCCGGCGTCGCTGGCGCTGTCGTCGTCGTCCGAGAGCAGGGCGTCGGCCGGCAGGCTGCCCTCCTCGACGGCGCGGCGCAGGGCGTCGGCGCGCATCTGCTTGCGGGCGGTGGGCTGCTGGGTGACCAGGTCGTGCTCGTAGTCGGCTTCGCCGTCGGGGAGGCGGATCTGCCCGGCCGAGCCGGAGCGGTTGGCGCCGAGGCCGAGGCTCTGCGTGGCGGCGCGGGTGGTGGTGTAGGCGACGGTGAGCATGGTCACGATGGCGCCGACGACGATGGTGGTTGTGCGGGTGCCCTGGCCGTGCACGAGCGGGTTGCACCGGCGGTCTTCGGTCTCGTCGGGCTCCATGGACACGGCGGACATGGTGAGGTAGGTGCAGTAGACTGCGACCATGGCGGCCTGAGCGAGGCCGGCCTTGGGGTTGCGTTCTTGGATGGCGGGGTGGACTGAAATGGCCGAGACGGCAATCCACAAGAGGAGGTTGATGGTGATGACGGCTTGGTTCATGGAGCAGCCGCTCGAGGCGAAAAAGATGTACTGCACGATGGTCATGGCGATAGAGGCGAGGAACATGCCGAGGGTCGAGCCGATGAGGATAACGCGCCACGTCTTGGACTCGGTTTCTTCAATTTGCTCGAGGCAGTACTCGGCCCAGTTGTGGGCCAGGTCGACCAGCAAGATGAGGCCGAGGATGAGGAACATCATGGCGCACACGATGGCCACATAGTTGCCCCAGAACTGGAAGAAGGTGTCCGGGATGAAGAAGGTGAGCACAATCAGTGCCAACCAAGTGATGATCTTGGGACCCCAGTAACCGTTTTGAATGGCGGCGCGGGGGTTTTTGGACGAGTGTACGCCCAACATGAGGCCGGCGAGGACGAGGTGGAACATTCCGAGGGCGAAGTTGATGCGATGGACAGCCAGCCAGCCGTAGCAGTCGCCGTCGCCGCACTTGATCTTGACGTAGTCCAGCATCAGATGTTGCAGTTTTTCGATAGCCCATTTCGTGAGCATAATCCACGATAGGATCGAGTTGATGAGGAGGATGAGAGCGTATCCAATACGGGTTGCGACACTAAGAGAGAGGAGACATGTTAGCGCGACGGCCTTGGTGGACGAGGTTGGTGATGATGAGGGGTTCCCACCTGTTTCCGCATTTCCCGCACGCGCTACACACCATAGAGCATGTCGCGGCGCCGCAACAGGTGGCTCCGAATGAAAGGAGCTGCGCGTATGTCAGTTACGTATTACACCATGGGAATCGGCGGAACGGCATACGGTGCCCACACTCGGAACCGCCATCAGCGGAATCGAGAGAAGAGCGCCCATGGCGACGGTTCTGCAAGGCCCCGGGCCTTCTCCTAGTGGGAGGTTGAAGGGTGTTGTTGTTCAATGGCGATCGCGGGTTGTAGTCGTTGTTTGTCGGCAAGCAGCGCGCTTGTGCCGAGTATTAGAGCGATGGTGTGGTGGGTGGGCGATGTCGTCGTCAAGGTAGTTGTTGATTAAAGGTCGAAGTTGAACCAGGCCCCGGGGTGGCCAACGGATTGGATGACGACTGCGGCAGCTGCAGCGGCTGCAGCGGCGGCTGCGCCAAGTGCCAAGGCATTCTGTCACAGAGCGCCTGTGCTTGCTGCGCCACAAGCACGGGCTTCATCGACGAGCCTGCGCCACGTGACCTGGTCCAGACCAGACGGGCTCGAGGCAGGTTAGGTAATGGGAGTTCTTTCCCGGGCTTGGCTTTCCTGACAGCGACCGAGTTTTCTTTTAGTTTGCATCCAGCGTGTCATGGGTCCCACTCGGGTTGTAAATTTCCCATCCACACGACCCCAAAATGCAGGAACTCGGGCGGTGTGACTTGTTATCAGGCGGCCTTTTGTCAGGAACCACCCTCATTAGTAATTCCATATCGGGTCTGTGGCTTGACCCCCTGGGAGTCTCGGGCTGCATTCCCGCGATCCCATGTCGGTTTTCAATTTCCGCTCGGCGAATCAGTGGCCCGGAACAGCGAATGCGGCGGCAAGAACCGAGACCCGCTTCTGACAGCAGGCAGCTGAAGATGTCACCAGAGTCCAGGCCGACCCCGGATACGCCAAGGCTTCTGAAACCCACGGGCCACAGGTCTCAAATGCCCTTCCTTCTGCCCCGAAGCTGGTTCCTTCGTCCCTCTTACCATCCTCCCTCACGATGAAATCGCCATCACAGAGCTGCAGATAACATACTCTCCATCTCCGTACCGCTCCAACGCACGGTACCGCGACAGTCCTGTCGCACAACGCTCAATCCCCCGCCGGGATGCCTCAATACGGTTGAAGCTGATCCATTGATAACTTTATCGTGATACTTGACCGTGATACGAATACATACGCAGTACTTCTATCGCGATAACTCGAACCCGTGATATCCCACAGCATTCATTCACAGCTTTCTCCGTCAACTCTTCCCAAATCAAACACGATGAGGGACGCAAATCTGCACCGCGCCCGTCTGGTTTCCAGCGTGGCCGCCGTCATGATTTCGCTGGCATGCGGCACCAACTATGTCTACTCGGCCTGGGCGCCCCAATTCGCTGACAAGCTGCACCTCACCACTACCCAAATCAACCTCATCGGCCTAGCCGGCAACATGGGCATGTACTCCCTGGGTGTCCCCGTCGGCCTGTTCGTCGACCACCGCGGTCCCCGCCCTGCCGTTATCGCTGGCGCCCTGTGCCTCGGCATCGGTTACGTTCCCTTCCGCGCGGCCTGGGAGACCGCATCCGGCTCCGTACCGGCTCTATGCGTTTTTGCCTTCATGACCGGTCTGGGAGGTTGCATGGCATTTGCTGCCGCCGTCAAGACGTCCGCCCTGAACTGGCCGCACCATCGAGGCACCGCAACCGCTTTCCCCCTGGCCGCCTTCGGCCTCAGCGCCTTCTTCTTCTCCCTCTGCGGTGGCATCTTATTCCCCGGGGACACCAGCGCCTTCCTCACGCTCCTAGCTGCGGGCACCTTCACTCTGATCTTTGTTGGTTTCTTCTTCCTCAAGGTTTACCCGCACACCTCCTACCAGAGCCTCCCGAGCACCTCTGGCTTGTCCGACTCGCAGCAGTTGCACCGCACGCCTTCTGAGGAGGCCAAAGCCGCACGTCGCCATCACGGCAGGAAACGTTCCCTCGACGCAGACCCTGGTACGTCGCCCACCACCTACACGACTCCCGTCGCCACGGCCGGATCCTCCCAGGAATCCCTCGCTCCCGCGCGCGACCCGGTTGACGTCGAGGCGGCCCTCCCTCAACCTCCCGACGGCCGGTCTCAGGGGGATGACGTGGACGAGACGTCATCCCTCATGTCCAAGTCGTCGACATCGTCGGTGGCCGGCGAGGTCCTTGTCCAGAACAGTGTTGATTTAGATCGCTCCCGTCGTGTAGATATCCGTGGCTGGCGCCTGATGCGCAGCATCGACTTCTGGCAGCTGTTTACCATCATGGGCATTCTGGCGGGCATTGGCCTGATGACCATCAAGTAAGTTGCCCATGCAGATATTCTACGTGTAAGACTAGGTAGCTAACCGGTGACGCAGCAATATCGGCCAAGACGTCAAGGCGCTCTGGAAGCTCTACGACGACTCGGTCGACGAGGCCTTCCTCGTCCATCGTCAGCAGATGCACGTCTCCATTCTGTCGGTTGGCAGTTTCTGTGGCAGACTGCTCAGCGGTAAGCCTTTCCTTCAGTCTCTTTTTTTCCGCCAGCACTGACAGTATCCCAGGCGTTGGATCCGATTTCCTGGTCAAGTCTCTCCACGCCAACCGCGCATGGTGCCTCGTCATTGCCTGCTTCGTGTTCTGCATTGCCCAGGTCTGCGCCATCAACGTCTCGAACCCGAACTTCCTGGGCTTCGTCTCGGGCCTCTCGGGTCTGGGCTACGGCTTCTTATTTGGCGTATTCCCCTCCATCGTCGCCGAGTCGTTCGGCATCCACGGTTTGAGCCAGAACTGGGGGTTCATGACGCTGAGCCCCGTCATCTCGGGCAACATCTTCAACCTATTCTACGGCATCGTCTTCGATAGCCACAGCGTGATCGGGCCGGACGGCGAGCGGTATTGTCCCAATGGAGTGGAGTGCTACAGGAATGCGTACCTTGTCACCCTAGCCGCGTGCGGGGTGGGCATTGTTGTGACGCTTATGACCATTCGGCGTCAGCACCAGGAACGGATGAAGGAGGAAGGCAAGGGGGCTGCTGAGGATTAGATTCCTCGCCGGCGAGACAAAATCCTCAGGTGGCGCTTGAAGCTGTATCAAGGATCCTTCAATGAAGTTAGAATATGTTTGGGCGGGTCTACACAGGAGGGGACTAGATTTCATTTCATGGAGCGATAGATGGAAGGCCGGCTGGGCAGCGGCTTTGGGCACATGATGGTATTGTAGCAGCATTGGCGTTTGGAGCACTTAGACGAGGCCGGGCGACAAGCACCACTAGAGTTTGGGATTCGGCAGTGGTGATACAAGGAAATCGGGACAAGGTATCAAATATTCGAGCTACCTAATACTTGATATAGACCATTCGAATCTCAATGTGTGCCGAGTAATATTTGGATTGGTTGGGTGCATGGACTGTACCTTGAGTAATCTGTACTCGCGTGTCCGGCGTGTATCAGAGAGCAACCCTAACCCTTCTCCTTCATCAACCCAATCCCCGATCCCACCTCCATCCCCTGGAACCGACAACCGCGACTTCAACATCCCAGTTCAGCGCGGCAGCAAGACAACACGCGGGCAGTCTGCGCCGCAGCCATGTTGTCTTTTATTCTCATCCAGAACCGGCAGTGCGTCTCCCATTCCCAGCGATGACACCCAATAAACCCACCCGAACGCTAACATGGACCAGGGGCAAAACCCGCCTTGCCAAGTGGTACGTCCCTTACAGCGACGACGAAAAGATCAAGCTCAAAGGCGAGGTAAATAAAAGAAAAGCCCAACCCACCCGCCCATCTTCCCATCACGCTCCAACCCAGCCTCTAACCCAACCCCTCCCGCCACCCCTTAGGTCCACCGCCTCGTCGCGCCGCGCGACCAAAAGTACCAGTCCAACTTCGTCGAGTTCCGCAACCACAAGGTCGTCTACCGCCGGTACGCGGGGCTCTTCTTCTGCGCCTGCGTCGACACCAACGACAACGAGCTCGCCTTCCTCGAGGCCATCCACTTCTTCGTCGAGGTGCTCGACGCCTTCTTCGGCAACGTCTGCGAGCTCGACCTCGTCTTCAACTTCTACAAGGTCTACGCCATCCTCGACGAGGTCTTCCTCGCCGGCGAGATTGAGGAGACCAGTAAGCAGGTGGTGTTGACGAGGTTGGAGCATTTGGATAAGCTGGAGTGATCTTTGGCAGTGGGTTGGGGGTAGAATGGATGGATATTTGCTGGCATGGTGTGTGTCGGGTGGCAGGGTGTTCGCACTGCCATGCGGACGGACCGTGTTGCGGAGGCGGTGCGGGTGGCGAGGGGTGGGGTTTGGTGCATGAGGGCGGCACCGGCCTCGTCCGCTTATGCACCCGCCGAGATGGGCCGGGATACACAATGTGCCGAGCGGTCATTGTCGATCCAGCGGCAGCACAGGTCGTCGTGCGGTAATGCCACCTCAGAAAGCCAGGGAGGTAAAGGAATGGGCTGCGGGCTGGCACACGAGATACCACGCCATGTCTAGCGACGGGACTGGAGACGCGGGGATCGCCTTGGGGTGAGGCAGATGCAGACTACGAGGGACTTGATTACGATCATATTTGAGATGTACGGTCGGTCGCGCCCCGAGAAGATAGGGGATCACCCAGAGAATCGATGAGGCCAGGAGTCAGTGCATTGTAATAATAATTAGGAGACCACGAAAAAGGCGGCGTCTCAGATATCTAAAGTATATATTTCACGATCCGTTACTTCACAATAGCCGGTGTTCCCTCACGCCGACCAGAACCCCGTGCAGCAACCCCGATGCCACCCATGCAAGGCAAACTGAACGCCGTCCCACCATCGACATTCCCCTCTAGGCATCCATTCCTCGTCGGATCGCAACTCGAGAGCAGGCAGAAGCAAAAGAAAGCAACGTAAGCTCCAAACTAGATCAGCCTTCGGAAAGGTAACCCGCCGGCTACGCCCGTAGAAAGCAAGATTAGAAAAGAAGAAGAAACGAGGGAAACCACAGGGCAGCACTAGCCGGTCTTACCTGCCAACGCCGTCTAGCTTGTCCCTTAGGGAGGCGCAGTTTGCTCCTCAACAGCCGGACAAATCCTAGCCGCGGCGATCTTACGGCTAGGTTGAGGAGGTCGTGGCTTGCAAGAAACCGAGAAAGAATGCCGTCCACATATCATGTTCACCGGCAACAGCCGGCACCTCGGTGACCGGAGAAACCTGACGTTCGGCCATCTCTGCGTCAACTTCGGGCTCGGCAACCAGTTTCAGGGGTTCGTCCGATGTGGCCGGTGACTTCTCGTCCGCTGTAACTGTCTCCTCAACCTCCATGACTGATTTGTTCGCGGAATGAGGAGATTGGGATTTCGCTTCGTTGGTATCAATGGCCTCATTGGCAGCAGACTGGTCGGGCAAGAGACCGGTATCGACAACTTGGTCCGGCTCCTCAGTTTCCATAGTCGAGACTGCCTCTCGTTCGAGACCCTTGACTGGGTACACGCGATCGCTGGGAGGTCCTGCCATGATACCGACTTCAGCATCCTCCACCATTGGTTCAATGGAAGACCGCTCCCATTGGAAGCTTCCCGTGGTGAGCATCGCCGGACGTGCGGCATCGGTGGAGACAACAACATCCGTCTCGGGTTCAGCGTTGCCCGTCGCCGCATCTTCTTCCCCCACGGCCGTCGAATTTTCCAGCCCAGCGAGCGCCATGGCCAACTCAGCTACCTCTTGAGTAGACACCGGAACCCGCTCATTACACATCACAGCCTCCGTGCTGGCTACCATCTCAGTACCGACGGTCTCGACCGGTTGCTCGCCATCATCACGCAGATCGTAAAGATCGGCCACACTCATCCGAGGCGTATCAGTGGTTTGGTTGGCCTGAGAAACATTCTCTTGGTCCGTCGGAGGCTTTCTCAGCGAGGGGCCAGAAAAAAAATCAGGCTGAAGAAGATCCGTTTTGATGCTCTCAGCCTTGATCAGGTCTAGAACGGCAAGTTCGAACAGCTGGTGATCACCGACGTAAGAATTGCCATCATCCCTCTCATGCACCTCGTCACCGTGCGACAGCCGCGCTTTCTTGGAAGGCCTTTTCGCTTTCAAGGTTGACGGGAGAGTCGGACTACCCCTGATTTCGCTGGCTGGTGCGCCCCTCTTGTGCGAGGCCGGAGGCGAGGACGAAGTCTTGCGTTTACCCAACCACACTTGAGCTAGGGTCGGACTCCTTGAAGAATAAATCTCTTTCGGACAGTCGGGTGTGTCTGTGCCAGTATGTTTCTTCAACGTGCGCCGCGGCGAGGAAGAGGGACCCCGGGCCCCAGTCCGGCGGTCCTCGATGGGGCGGCCTCGGTGGTCAACACCGGGGTGTCCGTTTTGGTTCGCAAATTCCAGCCTTCGCTGCGTCATAGATCTTGGATTCTTGTTCCGGGGGCACACCGAAACATGATGCTCGCCCCTCCTCTTGCAAAGGCGGCAAATATATGACTCTGGTGGCTTCGTATCAAACGCGGGATCAAGGACTGGGCAGTCCCTAAAACAGTGATCGCCTTGAGAATACATCAACACCGCACTATTAGCAACCTTCTCAATTTGACGTACCCTTCATCATGCAACGGGCACACACATAATCCTCGTGTGGCCTTTGGGGAGCGTCGGCTAGCTTGCGTCCTAGTGGACTGGCAGACGTGGCGGACTTCGACACCAGCTCATATTTGGGCTCCGATACTGGCTCGCGTTGAAACTTCAAGACCCCAGAATCCTCTGAGTCTATGTTGTGAGTGGCCATACTTCTGCCGTTCATGGGCAGCTTGTTAGGTCCAGTCAAGAAGGACAAGCCAGGTTGCGCAATACGGTCATGGTCCCTGGCTGAGCTGCGGCCTTCCCGCACAAAATTGGAGGAGATGATAACAACCTCATCGTCGTCGCCATCATCTAGTTCGACGACAATGGGGGCTCCTTGGGATAGCTTGGCCCTGTCAGGGTGCATTTGACCGAAGCGATCCTCGGAATTTGAGGAATCCATCCTACGTTCTGAAGATTCCTGCGAAGCGGGCACCAGCCTGTGGAACTCGGCCGCCGCGATACTAAGCTTCCTCGAGCTAGCCGAGTTTTCCACAGCCTGACCGCGTTGCCAGTCGTTGAAGGCCTCGGCGAGCTGGCCATCGTCGTCGGGCAAGGCCTTTAGAAACATGTACATGTTAAAGACCTCGAGGCCGAGATATGCTTTGGCTGACAGATCAAGAGCCATGAGGCGAGGATAAAGCCACATGATATAAATGTCCAAAACCTGCCCCTTGTCCACATCGGCCGGCAGGTTCTCCCTTATGGAGCGGGAAAGTCGAGCGAGAGAAATTCCCTCGAGACTTTCAAGTCCCAAGGTCTCGAGGGTTTGCTTCATGTCGTCGGGTGTGTCCATATCGACAAAATCAGGAAGATATGAGTTCCCTCCTCGTGGAAAAAATATAGCGGTTGTTGGGTGATTGTAAGTCGGCCGTCCTTGGTGAACTGGCAACTTGGGTACCACTCTGAGAAAATCGATTAGATAGACTGCGCAAAATATGATGAGTAAATTGGCGCCTCGGCCTTCGAATAAAATAATTTCAGAACTTCCGCCGGAAATAGATGAGCGAAGGAGAGAGAAAATTGGGTCACGGACGCGATGATGTAGAAAAATAGGAGGGGACGAGGCCGCTCGCAACCTGGGGAAAAGACCAGAAGAGTCCTCAGTCAAGCCGACCAAATTCCCTTGTGAGAGGAGGGATAACTGAAAAGGATAAGGTACAAAATGGGTTGTTGAGGAAGAGGATTATAACTCGGTTGGGGGAAGTTGTTGAGGAAGGCACGATCAAGGCGAGAGGGGCAGAACGGATTTGCAGAGAAAGTGTGGGAATGCAAAAAGTCAATAGGACAGTTATCTATCACCTAGCAACCAATTTAATGGCACTGTTAGTTAGGGTGTTGATGTGATTCGTGTAGTGATATGTGGCAGGCAGCATGTTGGGATAAAAGCGTGGTTATCCTAGTTGCCAAACGTTTCTGCCAAATGCTTCCTTCGCATGGGCTGCAACCGGCCGTTGTTTCACCACCGTATAGGAGGACGGAACCTTCAAAGAAAAAGGGATGTGAAATTCAGACATGCACCCTGATGGTGACAGCAGGAACTGGGAAACGAAGACACCAGACTCCGTGGAATAAAGCCGCCCAATGCCAGACCCAGAACAGTATCACAACCACGCCATACCCAAGACGTAACAACACACCCCAAGCAACCCAACCTTCTACCTCTTCAGCGCAGCAAACCTCTTCGCCAACTCGTCCACATCCGGTACCCCGTCCGCAATACTCGGCTTCTTCTCCACGGGCTTCCTACTAGCAGCAGCCGCCGGCTTCTTCGTCGGCGTCAGCTCCACCTTGTTGAGCGTCACCTTCGGGTGGATATTATCCGTCGACGCACTCGGCGGGTTGACATGTAGCGGGCTCGAGGGGCCAAAATTCCTCGGCGGCGTCGCCATGCTCAGCTCCTCCCTCGCGTCGGCCTCCTCATCCTCCCCCAGCAGCGACTTCTCCGCCTGCCCCGCGCGCTGCCCACCCCCTTCACCGTCGTCCTCCCCCCCGTCCTCAAACCCGGGTGGCTCCCCCAACTCCTCCTCAGCCCTCCTCCCCGGCGGCCAATCCACCCCATACGCCTTGGCAATCTCCTCCAGATACCCCTGCACCAGCTCCTCCTTCGGCGGCGCCACACTCAACTTGCGCACGACCCGGTCACTCACACAACCCCCCTCATTCTCCATCGCCTGCAGCACAAACTCCTTGCCAAACTTCTCCGCCAGCAGCGCGCGCACGGCGGCCAGCTCCTTCACATCCGTCTTGGGCGCGGCATAGATGATGCTCTTCACAGCCTCCTCGAGGCCGGGGTCGCAGGGGGGCGGGGCCTCGAGCAGGCCGGCGCGGGCGAGCAGCAGCTCGCAGTACAGCTCGAGCACCTCGTGCAGCTCGGTGATGATGTCGGAGCGGATGATGTTCTCGACGCGGATGCGCGCCGAGTCGGTCTTCCCTTGCTCCAGCAGCGTTGCCATGGCGCGCCGCTGCGTCTTGGCGAGCGCCTCGTCCCGCTTCTGCACCATGCGCAGCCGCGCGATGGAGAGCTTGAGCTGGACTTTGATTCGGGGCTGGGGGGTTGGGCGAAAGGGGGGAGAGGGTGAGTGTTAGTGGGTGGGTGGGAACTCAGGAGTATGTACGCTATCTAAGTGAATGGATGTGGGAGAAGGGGGTGACGTACCACGAGTGTGGGGGAGGGGGTCGGCATCTTGACGGTTGGGGATGGTGGTGGTTTGTACGCAGTTGGTCGAGGGATGGGCAATGGAATTTGAGATGCCTCTAAAGATTTTAAATCTACGAGATCAGCTAGGCTCCCATATCCGGAAGAGATGGAGTTGCGTATGCACGGCAGGCAGTCGCGAAGTTGCGGCTGGCATGGAGCTCGCCTTGCTCTCAATGTGGGGTGTTGGAGATGGCGGGGTAGCATGCAGGGATCCATCAGCAGCGGAAAGCCTATCGATAAGAACATACAGTGGAGGTATTCGTACACAGGGACCGTTGACGACATCAAGCTTCCTTTTCTTCAAGGTCAAAGAGATATAGAATGAAATAACTGTTCTGATTTATAAATTCCGATACGCTGTACAAAATGATAACACAGCCGGGATATCAGCCTTGCCAGACCAAACGCCAAATCAATCGCAGAACCCATCACGCCATGCCTAGAATCCCGCCTGACTCCCGCAAGGTCATACAAACTCTCGACTAGCAGCCAAGCAAACACTCAGATTAGCTTGAGCATCGTCCGCTGCTGCAACCTCGTGCCGTTGAGCATAGCCCTCAACTTCTTGGGCCGCTGCTGAAGTCGACGAAAAGCTTCCTGGATGTGGCGCGGCTCGACCGGGCTGCGGCCCTCACTAGGCGGGTCGAACAGACCGCCGCCGCCGGGCAGCTTGCGCTTCTTACCCGCGTTCTCTCCCGTGCGCTCGCGGTACTGGTCCTCGTTCTCCTTGATCTTGAGCGCCTCCTCCGTCAGCGTCTGCACCATCTCGAAGGTCAGGAACCCCAGGATATCGACAATATCGTCCGACGGTTTGCTGTCCGTAACAATGCCGAAGCCGGCCCACTCGCGGAACCGCTTGCCCTTGCGGTACGTGAAGGAGGCCTGGCGGTATTCGGACCAGGTAACGTATTCCTCCTTCGTCATGGCCTTGGTCCGCTCGTCGGCCTTGCGCAGCCGCTGCAGCGTGATGTGGTTCATCTCCTCTTCCTCCTCGTCTTCCTCGTCCTCGCGCTCCGGTACCTCGGCGGGGAAAAATGATGCTGGTTCCCAGGGGAGCCCGACCTTGGCCTTCTTATTCTTCTTTGCCGTGTCGTCCACGGGACCGCCGGCAACCACTCCGCCGCTAGGGTCCTCTCCGGCGCCCAAATCGGCTTCGCCGCCCTTATCGTCCGAATCTTTGACGTTCTTGCGCACATCTTTCCACGAGAGGAAAGTACGTAGTCGAGATACCTTTGGAGCGTCGTCACGTATCTGAAAGATGAGGTCGTTGATGGTGATGGAACGCGAACCCCGCCGCGCTGCCAGTTCGGTACAGTTCCTAAGCTAGAGTAACGGTTAGTAAGAAAAATAAAGAGATGAATGCCCGGGGCCTAGACTTACAATCTCGATAACTTGTTGCCGGACAATGTCCTCGATGATCCCCGTGGTCTCGACAGAAGGCTCTCCCGTTTCGCCCGATACATACATCATCTTGAAATTGAGGGCGAGATAGTCAGCAAGTACTTCGTGAGGGTGCGGTTCGGCTGTGTATTCATCCTCATCGGCAGCCACTCGGGTGCTGATGGAAGATATAACGATGCCATGGACGAGCTTGAAGGCCCATCGCAGATGGTTGAGAGGAACACCGCGGCCCAGCTTGGGTTCCAGTTGACGCCGGATGGTTTCCCACTCTCTTTTGCCCGTGCTAACGCCGGTCGCCTTGTCGAACGCTTGCTGGAACATGGCGGCACCGGTGGGTTGTAGGGGACCAAGAAAACGCATCTGAGATGGCGGTATCGAGGTCGCCTCTCTCGACATGGCCTGCGCCTTCGTTTGGCAACTTGATGGGCGAAGAAATGCTTGCGTAGAGCAAAGCGGAAGTTTCCTCCGCAGGGAATGTATATTTCGTGGGTTGCGATGACGCGGGAGAAGTATGTTGGAGAAAAGTCGAAGAAACGGGTGAGACGAAACAAGGAGTAGAAGACGGTGATGCAGGATTTGGCGACAAATGAGTTGTCGCAGAGGCGGGCTTGGGTTTCGATGACGGGTGTGCGACCGCCAATTGTTCCTTCTCCTGGGTCACCTCGTGATGTGTTTTCTTGTCCTCTGGAGAGTGACTCGTGAGGTTTTGGCCTGGATGGACGCATTTTTGGTGGTTATTGTTTATGTCGTAATATGTATCCAGGTCCTCAGGATCAGACGGGCCGTGTGAGGACGAGCTATCATCACTGTCGCTATCGCTGTCGACTTGAATCGAAGGTCTTGCCTGTACAGGTCGCAAAATCGAAGTCCTCGGGCGTAAAATCGGCCACCGCTGGAGTGCATGAGTTATGCGGTCCCAGTCAGGAGTGGTATCGTATGGATAAGACGCCGCCATACTAGGTCTCTCCAGCTGCTTCGTCTCGTGGGTGGTTGCTCTCGCGTGGGTCTGGAGGCCAGGAGAGGAAGCGGTTGGTAAAAGGGGGGGAGGGTGCCGAGAAGCGTTTTCGTCGATGGACCCCTCTTGAATGACCTTCACTCGGAAGGGAAATGTCGAGAGTGGGGTGTTCGGATTCCTCCTCGTTTGATGATATCCGCCGTGGTGTTCTTGTATTGTGTTCACTCCCGTAGAAGATGCCCAGCGGAAAGAGGCTTCGTGCTTGTCGCCAAATTTCACGCCAAAATCCAAGAAAATAAGAGATCCAAGTACTCTGTTTATGTTCACGCCGGTCTCCCTGGTTCAACAGCAGTAGCCATATCTCATGACTGATGTTGCGAGAAGACAGAGACCCGAACAAGGCGGACGGCATGGGTTGGCCAGCACTCGCAAAGCCACCCATCATCATAGGGGGTGGGCACAGGGCTAGTGTTCACGAAATGCCAATGCCAGTGAACTGAACAGCCAGGCGTGTCGAGTACCATTCTAGGGCGTCTCTTGACATTGTCATCACCAACACTCGTGGGTGGTAAGGTGTGCAGTAAATAAAGTATTGAAGCGGTACGTAATATCAGACCAAATAAAAACATAAAGCGCAGATAGATAGACACATAGAACATACCTGTTGTATCTCCTGTCGATACTTGTACTGCTTGTCCTTGTCCGCCATCTTGGTGGAAAGTTGGTTCACTGATATTGACTAGTCCAGAACTGTGTACCAAAATATGAATGAACAAAATAATGATTGACAATATATGATTACAAGTGTGTGAGGCGAGCCAGTTGGTCGTGTCGTGTGACCCGGTGAGTGTGGGAGGCGATGGAACAGGAATGGATCCGTTCCGATCGGATGGGTTTGTTACTTCCACTCAATTGTGCATCTACGCACTGCCTCGAGCTGGACTTTCGATATGCGGGCGGAGTTGTCAACGTGATGAATGCCTGGGTAGGTAGGTATGCAACTTAAACGTGGTTTGTGCCTATTCTGGGCTTTCACATTGCAATGGTCGGAGTTGAGTTGGAGGATGCCACGCCCGGCCCGGCCCCATGCGCACCAGCCAGCTTCCGCAACGGCATTCGGATGATTACGTAATACAAAGCCGTTGCGACTCTTTACCAGCACTGGGGGAGGTATTGATGAGCTGGGTTAACAGCGATCCCCCATTTACCTCCTTTTGTTCCTATGACTTCTACCTAGTTACATACCTAGTTATGGTGGTTTAATTTACATTGTATGTACAAACTAAGCTTTCTTGGTCCCAGGTATCCTGGCCAGCATCACAACCAACTGTTTCGACTTGCCTCGTCCTCGGTTGTAATTAACGAACTAAACCCGAGTTATTTCGAGTGGTCTATTACTACTCCTGCCTTGAAATCACACCAAAACATAACAACACTGCTCGCAGGCTCCTAACCACCACCCCACCAAGCCATGGCCCGTCCCCTACCCCCCACCACCGCCACCCCCAACATCCAAATCCCCCATCTCGCCCCTCCACCCCCAAGCCACGATATAATGCCCCGCGAGCAACCGCCACTCCTCCACCTCATCCAACCCGCCCTCCAGCGAATCCACCCTCTCCTTCTCCCCCTCCCCGACCCAGCCCTCCCAGATCCCGTCCACGGTCCGCGCGCGCACCTCGGCGAACCCGGCCTCGCGCAGCCGGCGCTCCTGGTCGGCCGGCGCGGGGTAGGCGTCGAGCGTCGGCATGCGGATGCCGCGCGCCGCGAGGTTGGACACCATCGTCTTGCCGAAGGGGTCGCGCGGCAGGATGGGTTCGTAGAGGACCAGGCCGAGGTGGTGGCGGGGGAGGTGCGTGCTGAAGTGGGATAGCACGGCGCTGGCGTGCTGGGGCGGGAGGTAGCAGAGGCAGCACTCGGATAGGAGGAGGGTCGGGGCGGTGGGGATGAGGTTGGGGAGGGGAGGGGTGGAGGCGGTTAGGGTGCGGAGGTCGAGGCCGTGGAGGGTGAGGGTGTTGTTGTTTCCGCCGTCGGGAGGGGTGAGCGAGTGGGAGTGCCATGTAGTAGGCGAGAGGGGTTCTGGTGTGGAGAGAAGGGTTCGTAGAAAAGAGGTGGAGCCGATGATGGCTTGTTTGCGGGCTATGATCGTTGGGAAGTCGATTTCGTGATAGACAATGTTGCGATGGTGTTGAGCTGAAGCGAAGAGGCGTAGGCAGCGGGTGTCGGTGCCCGCGCCCAGGGAGACGATTTGCCTAGGTTCATCCGGGCTGGTAGAGGCCAGGAAGCGGTCGACGAGAGCATCGATGGCGGTGGTCCGCGTGTAGGTGCCCCTGTTGATGATGGGGAGACGACGAGTGGCAGGACCTTGCACGAAGAGCCGGGCGTAAGGATCTGATAGGTAACCTAATTCTACCGCACTCAGACGAGAGACGGCTGCGTCGGTGTCGGTGCCCTGTATTGTTGCGTCGTGGCTGGGGCCGGGTCCGGATCCGGGACCACCACCCCGGCCTAGGCCACCTCGGGCCCGACCCCGGCCTCGACCGTTTGCCCCGCCCCGCAAGGAGAGCAGGTTGGGGATCGATGATGCCGACATGGGCACGCTTTCCATGCAATAATTGTGAATGGTGGGGGGGTTAGGAGGTTTATTTGGTCAACGTCTTTTCCTAAATTGTAGCTCTCGGCGGGGAATGACTGCAGACTCTTCTTCTCTTCATCAATATCGCTTCATCAATAGGTTTGGATTGGGATAGTTGGGTATGAGGAAAGTCGAAGAGACTCTTGGAAAGGAACTACCAAAATGCAAGTGTACACTGTGATAATGTATGGTGGAACCGGCCATCCATACGGTGCGGATACTTCCAACTTCGTTGCCAGTTATTGAAAGCCCCGCATTGCAACTTATGCCGACCACTCCCCTCCTGCCCGACTCTCTCTCAGTCTCTCGAGTTCGAGCGGCGGACAACGCCGGGCATCTCGGGATTTCATAAATAACCCTTAGGAAAGAAATCGTACAAATCCGCCTACGTCAGCACTCCGGGTTCGCCAATCAAGATGGGAAATGCCCGAAAGCGAACCACGAGTTTGGTCATGAGATCCCTGTGGTGTTCGGGTGGCGGTATGACAGGGTTAGGGTTATCATACGCGTCTCGGCAAGCCACGGCCGCAGCGCCATCGAACTTGCGCGGTAAACCTCCAGACCAGGATTCTGAAATTTGTATTGGTGACGAGCATTCATAACTTGGGATTGCTGGCTCTGACGAGACGCTCAAATGATCTATCATATCTGAGGGTGCAAGGCTGAAGCTGTCATATTGTTGTCAGCGGCTGAATGATTTCTCCGTGGTGACACAAGCCTCGCCCACGGGACTATTGAATGAACCCGGGCACTCCAGGGCGGGAAAGTGGGGTCCAGGGGCGGTGCTCGCTTCTGCCCGGGTCGTGTGCTGCTTGGGATTTGTGCCAGGCAGACGCCCGGATCCTTCTGGGCGTGGCCATTCATGCTCAAGCAATGGGCCCGTTTTATAACCTGACGAAACCCCCATCTCCCGCCTCGTTCATCTCTCCTCAGCGCTTGTTCAGGAAGGCTTGTTTTTGAAGCCGCCTTTTAAATCAGTTTATCAAGTTACCAGTTCATCACCTTCGTTTCCATTGTTTTCTTTTTTTTTTTATTCCAGCAATTTATTTACTTGCCTCTTTTTCCCTCTGCTTCACCATGTATTCGTCCGTCACCATCGGTGGGTCGCTGGTCAAGCGACTCGCTGAGAACCCGCCTCAGCAGGTGAAGGTGCCGGGTGCCGCCATATTCGTCTTCATCGCCGACTTCGTCGTCTTTCTTCCCGTCTTTCTCATCGTAAGTTAACTTTCCAACCCTTAAAGTTACCGCTGATCAGCCGACTAACAACCCTCCCTCAGCTTCTGTACACCCTCTCGCATGTCTACCCCACTCTCGCCGCCGTGGAGGACCCCCTCCCGGCTTACGAGGCGCTGCCCATGAACGATGACGGCACCCCCAAGACCGACACCGATCCGGTGCGCACCGCCCAGCCGGGTAAGCCCATCACGGCCTCCATCCGGGCCACCAACCGCCTCATCCGTTCGCTCGGCGGCTGGCTCTCCAACTTCCGCGGCCTCGGCTACGGCTTTCTCATCGGGATGGTCACCGTCATGACAACCGGCATCCTCTCCAGGCTGCCCTTCGTCCCGGTTCGCATCGCCCATCTCATCTCCCTCCTCGCCCTCTCCCCGCTTGCCACCACCTGGACCCACCTCGTCATTACCGGTCCCTCGGCCAAGTCCTTCGCCCGCCGCATCCCGTCCGTGAAGAAGGTCTACGTCGCCAACTGGTTCCCGACATTCCTCCTCTGGGCCTCCGCCCACGCCGCCGTCGTCTTCCCCGAGCTGCTCGGCAAGGCCATCGGCCTGCGCATGCCCAACGGCCCGATCCAGGTCGGTGGCGAGCCCATGAACGGCTCCGACGCCGGCAAGGTGATCTGCGTCGCCGCCCTCTCGCTGCTGCTGCAGGCGGTGCTCGTCATCCCCGCCCACGCCGCCCTGACCCGCGTGCAGGCGTCGCTGCTGCCCGCCGACGAGGACACCATCGTCCCCTTCGACCGCTCCTTCGCCGGCCGCGTCGAGCCCGAGGTCGTCACCGGCAAGGGCTTCGCCACCTTCGGCGCCGCCATCAAGACCATCCCGCGCTCGAGCTGGGTCAGGATCTACCTCCTGCGCATCAAGGTCTTTTTCGTGAGCATGGCCGTCTACTTCGTCCTGGGCGCCATCGTCCTGTTGGAGTTTGTGTTGTTGGGTCTGGCTGAGTCTGCGAAGAAGAACTGAGTGCCTTCTAGCGCTTCCTGGTTCGAATCTCGGTATGGGGTATGAAACCATGGCAGAATGTATCGTGTTGGATTAAGGATACCTCTTCTTTCAATGTTATTACAATAAACCAATCTCATAGCGTTTAACTATCTACGGCCCAACCCTGGTTCACTTCCTCAAGCGGAAACCCTTGATAAAAGAAAAAAAGACAAAAAAGGAGGTGTGAGGGGAAAAGAACAAAATAACAAAAAAATGAATATCTGGTTATGCCCATGATATTCTCCCCATTTCGCCTCCTTCCTTCTTTCCTTTAGTGATTCTTAGGTTGCAAGTGTCCGTCCCCGTTTTCTTCGGCCAGGCGCGGTACAGGCGCGGGGGAGCAAATACAGTAATTAGACCGTCAAGCATGTCCCTCGAGAACGTCTTCAAAAGCTTCTTGGAGGCGAGACAAGGGCGTTCGTGTTACGGAAGTCTGAGAGACCCTGACTGTAGAGCCGGACCAGGTGTAACGGGCGTGATACGTTTACCTCCGTACTTGCTGTCTTTGCCGCTTACCACTCCCTCCCGACAAATGTCACTCACCAACGCGCGCTGACCCAGTTTAACAAAAAGAACGACCCAGAAGACAGTTACTTTCCCAACATCACACGTAGGTAGGCAGGGTCATCTAAGTCAGGCCTGGTCATTTCGGCCCAAGTCTAGGTAGCCAGCAGCCACACGACCCCGACATGCCCATACGCTCTCACGACAACCAGACAAAAGCGGGGAAAGGGTATATATCTCAACACACCACCTCCGCCCTCCGCTGTACGTACTCCTCCCCTTCCCTCCCTCCCTTTCTTAATGTACCTCTTGACAAGTCCAGCCCCCGATCCAACACCCAAAATGACACCGACACGCCTCTACGTCTCCTCCCCACAGACCCACACTCCCTCCCGCGACCACCACCACTGCTGCCGCCACCTCCAACTCATCACGACTTCTGGAAGAACCAGCTCGATCTCTTATTCTCGGGCGGGCTCTGGAGATTCGCGATGGTGGGGTGGGCCGAAACAGCCGAGTCACCGCCGCCGCGAAGCGGCTTGGCAATGCGGCTGCCAATGTTGAAGCCGCCCATGCCGGTGGGCGAACCGAGCCCGCGCGTGCTGCCGGCTTTGGCCGCCTCGAGGCGGTCTTTGACGGCCGCGAGCTGCACTTCGAATCTGTTTGCGTAATCGGGTTAGCATATCTGCGGGGCAAGGGTAGGGGGGGCAGGACCAGAACCGGGTGGTGGTGATGGTGGTGGTTGTGGGGGGGGAGGGGATCGTACTTGTGATTCGCCTGTGCCATCTTCTCCTGGCTCTCCTGGAGCAGGCTCTCGAGGCTTTGGATGCGCTCGTTGCGGGCGATGAGCTTGCGCTCGGCGATGGCGACCTCCTTCTTGAGCGCCGAGTTCTGCTCGACCAGCTGGCGTTGTACCTGGGTGAGCTGCTCGAGGTTGCGCTCGAGGAAGGCCATCTTCTTCTGCTGCGCGCGGTTGTTGCTGCTGCGCAGCACGTTGTTGTACTGCTCGCGCGTCTCGTCGAGCGAGATCTCGAGCTCGACCACGCGCTCGCACCGGTTCTGGAGGTCGCGCATCAGGCTCTTCTTCATGACGTCGAACTCGGCTAACTGCTGCTGTACCGTCTTGCCATTAGCCATGGGTACCGCGCCGTTTGCCTTGACGCGCCGCTGTAGGTCGTCCACTAGCGCCTTGAGCCGGTCGTTCTCCGTTGCTCGGAGGGAGAGGTCCGACTTGAGGCCCTCGATCAGCTCGACCTGTGTGGTCGTCTTGTCGGATAGCGTCTTTGTGAGCATGGCCTTGACCTCCTCCTTGTCCGCCTCGTCCAGGTTGCGCGTGAGGATGTCCTCATGCTCTAGCTGGAGAGCCTCTAGCCGGGTCTCGAGATCGGCGCGCTTGCGCGCCTCCGCCTCGTTGGACGCCGCGCTGAACGCGGATAGCTCGGCCTGCCGCACGAAGCCCTGTGTCTCGACCAACTTCTCCCGCAGCGCCTTGAGATCATCAGGCGGGATCGGGTCGCCGGTAGAGCTGATATCGTACAGCGCATCTATTTGCGCGATCGCGTCGGCGACTGACCGCTCGTTATCGCTGAAGACGTCTCCGCTGAGGTCGAAGCCGGCCATCATCTTGGCCATCTTCTCCGCCTTCTTCTTCTCCTTTTCGTCCAGGACTGCGCTGGTCTCCTTGGCATTCATCTTCATGTCGAGCATCTGCTGCTTTACCTCGTCTAACTCTGCCGTGAGTTCCGTGTTGGCGTCCTTCAGTCCGTCCATGGTGATCTGCGCCTCCTTGTTCTCGAATGCTAGCCTCTCTAGCTGCATCTTGAACTCGTTAGACTCGCTGACCAACCTCTCATTGTCTTTTCCTATCTTCGCATCGTGCTCCTTCAACCCGGCCATCTCCTCCTTGGTTTCCCGCAGCTGCCTCTCCATGGTCGCCGCTTGTGTCTCCCGCTCGGCGAGTTGATCCTGGAGCTCGTTCTCGCGGCGCAAGAACTCCTCCCGTTCGTCCTTCTCCAACGGTAGGCTTGGGGTGCCCGCCCTCTCCGACATGCCTGGTGTCTCAGCGCCAGACCTGTCCTGTAGCAAACGGGATGGCGTCGATGGCCTTGCCGGCCTCCCTTCTGGTTTTGCTCCTACCACGCCGTCCGCAGAAAGAGGCGGTACCCACCTGTCCTTGGCCACCGTCTCTCCGGCACGCCATAATTGCACTTCGCTCTCGAGGTTAACGATGTAACTCTCGAAGCTGGTAATTTGCGTCTTGGCCTTGGCGACCATCATCTTGAGCTCGGCCGGGCTGAGTTCGGCGTTGACCTTGGCCTTGTTCTTGATGGACTTGGCTCGCATACCGAAGCGTAGCGTGCTGAGAGTTTCAGCATCGTTGTAACTGCTGGGGGAACAGTTGATGATAAGAGTCGTCCGACTGTTGCCACCAAGAGACTCCTGCAGGATACGGGTGAGTTTTGAGTCGCGGTAGGGAATGTGGGAGGATTTCCCGTCCGTCAACGAGTTGATGACCATGCCCAGGGCGCTCAGACTCTTGTTGATCTTCTTCGCCTCTTCGAGCGTCTGGCCGCTGGCGCCCGTCTTGCCAACTTTCTCGCTACCCGCCAAGTCGACCAGGAAAAGCTGGCCGCTCTTCGCCGAGCCCGTCTCGACGTTCTTTTGCGTGATGGTAATGACGAAGATCGAGTGCGAGCGCGAAGACTCCTGATTCATATTCGTCGCAGCAACTGCTCTCGCGTTTCCACCCCTCCGCATAACCTCAAACACCTCCTGCACGCTCGAGACGTATATCTCCAGCAGACCCTTGACGTACACCCCGCGGTTTTTCTCCTCGTGGACGGGGAGGTTGTCATTCCGCGGCTCCAGCAGGTCACGAATTCTTTCCATGTAGATTTCCATGTAACTAACCCGAACCGTGTACTCGATGTTCGCTGCGCTGGAGAGGATGTTTGCGAATATCTGCTCGACGATTCGCGGAATGACACCCTTGCCGTCGTCGTCATCGATACTGGAGCCCATCATGGTGTAGGACTTTCCCGCGCCCGTCTGGCCGTAGGCGAAGACGGTACCATTGTAGCCGTTGAGGATGTCGTCGACGGTTGGCTTGATGGAGAAGTCGAAGATGTCGGACTGCTTGCATGACATGTCGAACACACGGTCAAAGGTGAAACTTCCTTGCGCTTCGCGGGACTGGACGAGAAGATTAGCAAGTGAGGGACGCCACAAAGAGCGGGCAGGCAACCCGAAGGCTCGCGGCGACTTACATCGACGGTGCACGTATCTTGGCCATCGAAGCTGACAATGGGCTGGCCGCCCGAGTCGATCTCGACCCGATTCTGCGGGCGAAATCGAGCGACGACCTTGATGCTATTTGCGTTCGACATGATGGCTGCCCGCTTCCCGCGCTCCCGGGAAGCGCAAATTCATGAAGGAGAGAAGGCGCAGATTCGGAAGAGGGAGCAAGGCGGGGATGCCGGCGAGAGATCGTCAGGCCACAAGGGAGCCCCCCAGCGAGCAAACAAGCGAGCGTGTCGTGGAGGATTGTCTCTCTGCCAAGCGGGCGAATGAATGCTAAGACTCGGTTGCGATCCGACCAAACGGTACCGTCGGGCCTTGACAGACAAATAATTTCCTCGCGAGGGGATCCTGAAACGGGGTATCGAAATGTCTAACTCCAAAGGAATCCAAGTTCTAGAAGAAGGTTAGGGAACGTCGGGTGGTGGGGTCCCCGAGGCGGTGTCAGGGGTTTAGGTGGGAGCGAGAGCGGATGATTTATGTATGGAACAGTCAGGTAGGTCGGTCAACCTGTGAATGTTTTTGCGGTGGATCGGGTGTCATGGATTTGGAGACTCGAGTGCCGGCTGGCGGAATGACGCGCCAGTTCACGCTGTAATCGGGTCGTGGGTGGCTGTTTCATGGGGCAATGCACGCCTGCCAGAGCCCCGCTCAAGGCTCCCTCTGCCCAAGGCACAGGGGCAGCGCCCTGCCGGCCGGTTGCCAGCGGGCAAGGTTGTTCCAGCGGCCAGGAACCAGGGGCCAAACCGACTTGACAGCAGATTACCAATTCATGCAGGTGGAGGCTGACCCCACAACTTCTTGTTGACTCCCCTCGGGGCCATTGCCCAAGATCGGACAAAGTGTCCCGGGAACCTCCGTATCGTTCGTTATCAGACGCCGAAACCCCTCGAGGACTTCACGGGCAGCGTGGCCTCGTACTCTGGGCAGTATAAAAAGACCATTAAATGCATTAACTAAGTACCCAGAGTTTCTCTCCTGTGGCGATGTGGGCCAAAACTCCAACCACGCGCCCCGCCTTCCCCTCCCTACTTCGCTTCGAAATCCCAACTGACCCGAGAGGCGCCCAACCAGGAAGAGTGCTGTTGTGTTAACAACGCCCGACACTAATGTAATGACATGCCTTCCAAATGCTAACAGACACCGGCCAAAACGCCAGAACTCCGAAACGAAAAGAGTGGGTCGGCCGTTAACAGCCCATGCTACACGCTCCGGGTGTGATCGTGCTCCCCAAGTAGATGTTGCGGCCGCCGTTCCCAGATATTAAGCCACGCCCATTCAGGACGCTTCGAGATGTGCCACGGCACTTTCAGTCATCCCAGCTCTTCTCCACGGTCTCCCTGACCCGTTTCGTATATTCCTTGCGGTTGTCTTTGTACAGGTTGGACGCTTCGACGTTCGCGGGGGATCCGGTATTCGGGTCATTGAGCAAACTGCGAGTAGCTGTCAGCGACGAATATTTCAACCCCGTAACTAGTGAACCCACCTCTGGATACTGGTAAGCACGGCTGCAACGTCGTAAGTCGGACTCCAGCGATTCTGGAGAATGTCGAGACATAGCTCGCCTGTGGCGTAGACGTTCGGGTGGAACATTTGGCTGATAAACTTGACCGATGGCGGTTTGTTGGGGTACTGCTCCTCGAAGTGCATTACAAGCCTGAAGGTTCCGTCTTCGAAGGGTGTATCCGCAGGGCCGATAATGACGGCGTTCCTAATGAGGCCCGAGTCAGTCGCAGCGGAAGCCGGGGCGTGTCACGACGGCAGTTGCTCACCAGGTCATAACATTATCGGGGACAGGAGATGCGGAAACACCAGCAGGCGGGTCTGTCTGCATGCGCTACATTCGGGAGGTTAACATCGCGGAAGCTTCGGAACCAAACGACTCTCGAGTGGGATCCTCATACCTTGAAGTCTCGCATCAGGCGGCGGCGGGCTGCGGTCGACATAGTGTTTGTTGAAGCACAAAAGCGTGAGGGTCGTTGTTGGATTCCGGCAGGTTTGCAAGAGGGTATCGCTAATGTAGCACGAGAGTAGCAAGGCAGCAGAGTTGAGGTCAGAACTGATGGACAAAACGTGGTACTGAGGCGAATCGCTCCCCAGGTAAGTCGAGGGCGACGATAGAATCCAGCACTGGCCAAAGGCGAGGTGAAGTATTGACTTAACGGGGCCGGTGGTGGCCAATTAGGAAAGGCTCAGTTCGCTGAACAAGTGCACCGTGCGGGGGCCGTGACTGACAGACCCGCCACTGAATCGCCTGTCGATCTGGCAGCTCCTGCTTCATTTTGGCGGATTGTAGCTTGCACGGGCGGCCCAGCACAGACTTTACTCATAGCCCAGGTAAACCGAATCGTGTGTAATCGCTTTGTCTCCTGCGCCTCGAGTTCCTTCCCAAATGTCCAACCACTCGGCTCCACGGGAGCTTACCTAACCAAGCCTTTTCCGGGCACAGATGGAGCCCCGCCACTTCGGCACCCCAAGGTTCCATGTCTCCACCTCCACACCCTCCCGCCGCCCCGTCGTCCGTCACAAGCCGAGCAGTTCCGCTAAACCAAGTCCCAGCGGCATGTCTTTCAGACGCCGAACCCTCGGCTGGGCGAGTTTGCTCATGACATGCTCGATTTCGTCCACCGTCTCCCTCTCTCTTGTTATTCCCTCGTAGCGATCTCCATACTCTTGTCAGCCTGCACTTCCATTTTCATTTCGTCGAGCACACTGTCTTACGAGTAGGTAGCTATGGCGGGGCAATTAAGGCACGCGCTGCGTGTGTCGCCGCAGCTCAGAACCGGCTCGGCTCGGCTGTTCTCGTCCCAAGCCTGCCTTCGTCAAGAGATCCGAGATGCCTACATTCTGAGCGCATCTCGGACACCAACAGCCAAGGTATGCGTTCGATTGGAATTCTATATGTCCGTATAATCTGCTTGCGGTCCGTCATCTGATATTTTCTAGTTCAATGGCTCCTTCGTGAGCGTTACCGGCCCGCAACTTGGTGCTGTCGCCATCAAGTCCGCCCTCGAAAAGTCCAAAGTGCCTATTAGCAAGATCACCGATGTCTACATGGGGAATGTCCTGCAGGGCTCCGTCGGGCAGGCCCCGGCCCGCCAAGCCTCCGTCTTTGCCGGCCTCCCTCCGTCGGTCGAAGCTGTTACTATCAACAAGGTGTGCGCCTCCGGGCTGAAGGCCGTTGCTTTCGCGGCGCAGAATATCCAATTAGGCCTTTCCGAAGCCCAGATCGCTGGCGGGTTCGAGAACATGTCGAGGGTGCCATATTACATGCCGCGCGCGAGCGGCTTGCCTGGCTTCGGCCACGTGAAGATGGAGGATGGGCTCATCAAGGACGGTCTTACCGACGTCTACGACCAGATCCACATGGGAAACTGCGCCGAGAACACGGCTAAGAAATATGAAATCTCGAGGGAAGCACAGGACCAGTACGCAATTCAGTCGTACCAACGGGCGCAGGCCGCCTGGAAGGATAACGCCTTTGCCGAGGAGATTGCGCCGGTCACGGTCAAGGGGAGGAAGGGTGACACAGTCATCACCACGGACGAGGGATACCTCGATGTCAAGCTAGACAAGGTGCCCAGCCTCAAGCCGGCATTCGTACGGGACGGCACTGGAACTGTGACGGCGGCCAACTCGTCGACGCTCAACGACGGCGGGAGCGCGCTCGTGCTGGGTAGCAAGGCGGTTGCGCAGGAGTACGGCGCGGGTTCGCGGGTCCTGGCACGCATCTGCGGTTCAGCCGATGCCGCCGTAGACCCCATCGATTTCCCAATTGCCCCGGCCAAGGCGGTTCCTATTGCTCTCGAGCGAGCCGGTATCACCAAGGATCAGGTCGCCGTTTGGGAGTTCAACGAGGCCTTTGCCGCAGTCATCAAGGCCAACGAGAAGGTGAGGAAACCCAACCGTTATCCCCAGAGTTTCGGAACCCACACTAACCGCGGCATCTAGATCCTTGGCCTGGAGGGCGCAAGAGTGAACCCACTCGGTGGAGCTATCGCGCTCGGCCACGCCCTCGGCAGCTCGGGTTCACGTATCCTCGTAACGCTGCTCCACCAGCTTAAGCCTGGTGAATATGGTGTTGCGGCCATTTGCAACGGCGGAGGTGCAGCATCGGCGATGGTGGTACAGCGGATCGAGTCGGTGTAAACTGCATGGAGAGAACCTTCTTGCGTGTCCAAGGTCGCCCCCAGCACCGGGTGTGGTCCCGAATGCTTGATATTGTATGTAGGGTTAGGGTTGATCTGCTGTATCAGGAGCTTGATCGTTGTGAACTTTATTTACGTGTCGCGCTTTGGCAACTGGTCCATTGTTGCATCGGAACGTTGAAGACGGCGTAAAACATCAAGACATTTACCTCGAGACCCTGCATCTGCATTTCTGTTATTCCCATTCTTTAAGTTTTCCACCTTCCATTTACCACAATCACAATGCAACAATAACCATTCGGGTTGACTCGCGTGCCCAAGCCACGACTTTCACTCATCCGCTCACTCATCCGCCCCGACACGCATCCCCATCTTCATCGCACTTTGGACCACACATCAGTTATTCCAAGCAAACCTTGGCATCGCTGCCACCATAATGACACTTGTGATCAAATTCCTGTCTAGTATTAGGGGGTTCGTTCTCGAGCAAAATGGCGACGAACTTCGCAATTGGCTCATGGTCGAACATGACGTCCCCAGTATTTACTTTGAGATGAGCAACGAGCTCAAAGGGGGCTTCCCCATCAACTCGCCAGCTCTCGAAAACCTGATCGATAAAAGTCTCCCGCAAGAGGACAATGTGCCGGAGGGGAAGGGATCCCCATGGCCCGGCTTCAACTCGTTCATCAAGGAGTACCTAGAGTACTGGCGCGACGTCGACTTCGCTGATATTGTCCGCTTGCATTCCCGGCTCAGCGACCTTCTCAAGTATGGCCGCCGCCTCCTTGCTTCTCCCCGATGATCGTTTGACTAATATGGATCTGTAGCTCCTGCGCAAATGCTCTTGCGAATCCCACATATGGTACTATGCTGTTGCAGACCAGCATGTCGCTTTCTGAATCGCTGTCCAAGTTGGTTATGAACCTCACTCGGCAGACAGATCTGCTTGCGCAGATCCAGGGTGACATGACGGGGGAAGAGTCGGGCGAGAGGAAGTCTATTGTCGAGCTAGCGGCCGACATCATCCAAAAGATCTTCACTTCTTGTCTAACAGACCGCTCCAGCACGAGATGGTCGGAGCCGAAAGGGAAGAAGGTGGCTGTCTATCTGTTTGCCAACCTCACCTTGAAATTACTTTTCGCCGTAAGCCCCCCCCTTCTCTTCACCGTCACCTATCGTGTGCTAACTAGAGACAAGTGCGACAAGAGTCGGCTCGCTGTACAAATGTTCACCAATCTCTCGACGAGCGGACCAGCCCTTTCGCTCTTCCCAGCATCCCAACGAGTCACCTTCCTCTACTACCTCGGGAGGTTTCATTTCGACCACGACCACTACCTACGAGCCGAAATGTGCCTCGCCGAAGCCTACCGCGAATGCCTACCGCAATTCCAAAAACATCGCCGACAGATACTCACCTACTGGATCCCCGCCAACCTCCTGCTCGGCCGCTTCCCCTCCTGGGCCCTTCTCCAACGGCCCGAAGCGGTAGGGTTCGCCGATATCTTCTTCCCCATCTGCGCCGCCATCCGCTCAGGGAACTTCGTCGCCTTCCACCAAGCTCTAAACCTGAACCGAGACTGGCTCTGGGGCAAGGGTTTCTACATCACATTTCTCTACCGCCTGAAACCCCTCGTCTGGCGGTCCTTTACCCGGAGGATATTCCTAATCACCTGGCAAGGCACCGCAGGCGAGGGGGGCAACCGCGCAGCCTCCCTGTCCTTCGAAGACCTAGTTACCGCCGCAGGATACGTCCAAAAGCTTTTAGAAGGATACGTGCCCGCAAAACCGGCGGCACGGCCGCGCCCGCATAGCGTAAGCAAGCTTCTCGTCAAGGCTGTCACCAACAGTGCCGCGGGCGAGGCGGACGCGGACTCGCTGCTCATGCCGCCGCCCGGCGGCCCCCGCCGTCTGATGCCGTCCGAGGGGCTGATCTTTGGCAACAAGCGACCGGACCTCGAGAACATGGAGTCGGTCGTCGCGGGGCTTGTGTATTCGGGTTTGCTCAACGGGTTCATCGCCCGCCAGCAGAAGCGCTTTGCCGTCGAGGGCGCTAAGAAAAAGGGCGGCAACGCTGTCGCGGCGGGGTGGCCCAATCCCTACGAGAGCATATTAGAAAGGTTCCAGGAGGCTCACCAAGACGCGCTGGATGCGTGCGATGCTGGGGAAGGCGTAGACCCGCCTGGTGAAATGGACGATGTCCCCGGCTGGGTGCGCACTCCGCCCTGAGTTTGACGGAGTAAGATAGATAGGATGTGTGCGGCATTAGCCGGTCTGTACCACCGATGTCTTGCTCTCTGGCAAAGGAGGAATTTGGATATTTAATCTGCCGACGTTGTCTCACTGCGACCCTCCCTTGAATGACATTTTAGAACCAGGTTATCTAGGTCTTGCATCTGTTTGCGCGTCTAAATCTCCTTTCCTCACAAAACAACGCGAGCAGGCGGCTTACAATCGTCAATCGTTTTACTTTCATTGACTAAACTTCGCCGTGTCTGTCCATCCCCGATACCCAACCATCGGCGAGAGCGACGAGCACACCTTTTCCATTCGCCGGTTTTCCAAAAAAGTCAAGCCATTCCAAAATCCAGGCCATCCATCCCGCTTCGTCCTCATTCCGGCCATACATCTCTCTTCAGACATAAACCAACCAACCCATCCAAAAAAGGAACACCACACTACCCCAGACCAAAAAACACACCAGCGACCTAACCGTGGGGTTCAAGAACCCAAGAAACGAAACTCAAGGGGTATATCGCTAAGTTGCAGCAACAACTTTGAAACAAGATGCGGGCGCCCAAAGACTCGAGCAAAGGGCGGCGGCCAGAATCGAAAGGCGAAAAATAAGGATGTCCGAGTCCCCAAAACCGCGGGGACCGTCATCGGCGAAGGATTTCGGAGTTCTGCCGAAAAAAATAATAAACAATAACGCAGGCGCAAACCGCGGGATATAAGGCGTCTCTATAAAAATAGCAATTAAGTGGCCCGATTCCGCCATCGGTGATGGATGGAAACATCCAAAGCAGACGGGATCGGACTCGGGTGGGTTTGTTGAAAAGAAGAATCGCCACCACCAGCAAGGGGGGGGCTTAGAACAGCGCGGCAGCAGCCACGAGCGCGACCACCAGTCCGGCGATGGCGGACCCGCCCTCGGCGGCAGCGGCGCCCTCGTTGGTGGAGGTGGGCGCGGCCTGCTTCACGGCGTCGGGGGTCGGGGTGCGCACGGGCTGGGCGGCGGTGGGGCTGGGCGTCGTGTAGAAGGACGTGTCGCCCTGCACGTCCTGCTCCTGGAAGATACCGCCGTACCAGGCCTCGGACGAGGTGGATTCAGATGGGGAGGGCGTGGCTTTGGACGAGGGGGACGGGGAGGCGGCCGTGGTGCGTGCCCGGGTGCTGGTCGGCTTGGCGCGGATCGTGGTCTTGGGCGGCTTGGGCGGTTCCGAGGTGGGCTCGGGCTCGTCGTCACTTTCGCTGTCGCTTTCGCTGTCGCTCTCGCTGTCGTCGTCGTCGTCGCCGCCGCCGCTCTGCGAGCCGTCGGTGTTGAAGACGACGATGTTAGCCGTCTTGCCCTTGGCTACGGTCACGACGCAGAAGGAGTCGCCTCCGACGCTGGTGGCTTTGTTGGAGCTTTCGAGGCTGCCGACGCCGCCCTTGGAGGGGTCGATGGAGCAGGGCAGGCCGTTGCAGCCGCCGTCGGGGCACTCGATCTTGAGGCCGTAGGATGGAGTGATCTTGGCCAGCGGCACCTTCAGATACTCGGGGTTCCAGGCAATCTTGACGAACGTGTCTCCGTTGGCCATGGTGTTGGCTCCGGCGACGTAAGGGGTCCAGTTGCCAAGCGCCTTGCTCAGCGACCCCCAGATGCAACCTATCGCGGCAGATATCCCGGGCGCGTTGACGTAGTAGCTAGCAACGACGGTTAGCGCTACGCTGGGGCAACATTAGCCGTGGTACTCACTGTGCTGAAGTCCCCTGCCAGTAGTCCGGCCCCGGAACAGCCAGGGTTGCTGAGTCTGTGACGTCGGTCGGGATGATCATGGCCTCGTTGCCCGGCAGGACCGTCTGGCAGAAGGACACGATCTTGCCCGCCTTGTTCACGGCCTTGACCGCACCTGTGCCGTCCACGCAGTAAGGGCCATCGAACGGCTTCTCAACCTCCCCACCGTTGCAATACAGCCCGCCATACTACAAGAATTTGTCAATATCTCGCCCCAGCTTGCAAGAGAAGAAGCGGGCTACCCACCATCGACTCGGGGTAGACCTGTGTCGTGTTCGGTTTCCATTGCGCCATCACTTTGCCCGACACACAGGCGATGGGGCACCACTTCCCATCCTCGCATGGCTCATCCGGACTCATGGCGAACCCGTTGTTGACTTTTCCTGGGACGCGTACCAGATCGGCATCATCCGGCAGAGAGCATGGGGCCTTCCTCGCGGCGACCTTGGGGGCGCCAACGACCTCGCCGGCCTGGAGCTGGTTGTGGCCGTGCCCGTGGCCATGTCGCCTGGCATATTCAACATGTGCGTGCCTGTGGCCGAGGTTGGCGGAAACTGGCTGGGCGGAGAGAAGTACCGAGGCCGAGCCGATGGCGGCCTGGACTATCGAGAGTTTCATGGCGTTCGAACTGGGGAGATGTGGCTGAGGATGTCGAGTGTGGTGTGGACAAGACGGATGTCTGGTCTTTGTGGTGGGCCTCTGCACTGCCTCGAGAAACCCCTGACTGATTCAAGCTTTCCAATTCCCCCTAATCACGCGATTTCCGAGCCGAGGCGAACGAGCGTGTCGACCAGTATAATTTCGCTGAGTCGTCGATGAGTCCGTGGGCGAAGGGTATGAACGAATGTTACTATGACGTCTACAGCGTCGAGGATATCAAGCGAGAGGATCGCGAAACGAGCGTCGAAGAGGAAGAAAAGAGAGAACGTTCTGAACAACCCCAGAACGACGGTGAGGAAGTCAATGGTGTGTGGAGAGAGAAAAAGGCGCGATGCCCAGCTTTGACTGAGACCTCCAGGCCTTGCTCCATGATTTCTCCGGGGCACGACTTGGGGGGACAGCGGCCGGGCCAACAGGAGGATCGGGCGTGATGGAACCCCATGTCCGCCCTGGAGTAGCTGCCCAATCAAGAAAGCGGGCCGAACGCGGTTCCTGGTGTCTCATCTCGGCAGTGGACACGCACCGACAGGGGCGAGCCCAGCTCGGGCCAGGCACGCCGGCCCTGGCCCAATGGCGGCTGCAGTTTGAGATTGCGGTGCGAACGGCCCAGGGCCCAGACTGCTTTCTCCTGGCGGTGCCTGGCATGCAGAGGGTGGGATTCTCCCCCTGGTTCAGATCTGAAAAGTTTGCTTGGTGTGCTTGGTTTCCGTGATCCAGAATTGCTTCTTTTTTGCTTGTTGGATGGATTCCCTGTTGAGTCTTATGGGGAGATTGGACTGTCGACCACAATCTCGCTGTTGGCGTGCTCATGCGAGACAGTTTCTGGTGGCTTTTGGGCACGGCTGGGGTCGGTCTCCGGCCGTCTTTGAACAAGGAAACGCGTTGTTTTCGACAGACTCGATAGACTTGGCACAGACAGCCCCAGCCCTGTGGGAAACCTGTCATCGCGGCAGAGCCATCGTGTTTCTATCCGTACTGTCGAGGTCGCGCTGTTTCGGCTGTTCTTCTTGGGAATCCCGTCATCAACCTCCGAACTAGGAAGGTTGTCAGACTTGTCTTCGACCGGCTAAAAACAAACCATGCCGTCATCACAAGCCGCGAGGTTCTCTCAATTGTGACCTCATCCTTGCTTGGCTTTCTCGCTATACATAGTACGGCCCGGGTTTGTTTCCTGTCGATCGATAATTGCACGGTGTTTTCCCGCATGAACTCCCAGATGAACTCGTGGGTCGGAGAAAACCGTTGATGACAAGGCAAGACTGCGCCCAGCGTACTGATCTGGCCCATGGTACCCGAGGTCTGCCTCTCCATACTGCGTACGTCCTTGGTCGTTTCAGGGCCAGTTGCAGAGCAACATATCAGGGAGGAAAGCCGGGGCATGCAAGCGAGGTTCGAGGGAGCCCTCGGCTGGGAGTTTGGTTTGACGCATCCTGGCCACACTGAGGCTCCCGGGGACCAACGAGGTCCTGACAACAAACCAGATACCCTGACCTATACCTCGCGCAGGTATCATAGTAAGTTTTGCTGGGGACCTCCACAGTTGGAGACAAAAAAAGACTCTCGACTCTGTATCCCATCCTTCCTAGAGGAAGGACAACAGGAAAAAGAAGCTGACAAGGGTGAGATTCGAACTCACGCCCCTTTCGAGACCACGGATCGCGATTAAGGGTTAAACACCTTAACGTGGCGCCTTAGACCGCTCGGCCACCTTGCCGTTGATGATTGTTGTGGATTGCATCGGATGCAGAGTTTTTTTGTGGAACTGCAGCTGCGTTGCGACGGGGGCCGAGAGAGGTGGAGAGAGATACCCACTCCAAGAAAAGACTTGGGTAGGTGACAAGTTGGGACTGTGTGTGTTCTTTTTGTGGAATATAGTTGTGTGGATGGCTCTGTGTTGGGGAGGGATGAAACTATTCAGAGAGTGAAATAAAGTGTTGTTACAGCTACCAGGTAGAAAGTTAGTTGGTTATCTAGGTGACTAAGAAGGAGGAAGTCAAAGACTCTGAACAGCCTGCTGGGAACTTGGGCTGCGGAGCACACGTGCACCATCACAGGGCCGTGCAGGGTTGTGCACTCTTCGGAAGACGCTGATTTCCATTCATCCTCCCTTTGTTCGCAAGACAACCGAACCATCGACAACACGCTGCCCTGTAGGTTTAGGTCGAACGGCAAGCTCAATAGATACCATCCTTACCCGTCAAACCCCGACAGTGTGGATTTGCTCAGAGCCAATTTGCACGAAAGAGCAACTGCCTGCACAAACCATTCCTTCCACTTGAACTTTTGAACCAACACGGACGGGCAACTCCACAACCCCACGTGAATTTCACGTGCATCCACGTGATAATCATCCCATCCGCTTCTGGTCAAGGTACGGCACGACAACTTGGGGACAATTCGAGTCCTTCCAGCTGCAGTCATGGCCAGCACAACGGCACAACAAGATGCCAGCGACTATTGGCCAATACATATTGCACGTAGCGATGGCCAAGCATACCCAAATCTCGACCACAGCTCCCTAAACCCTAGTGAGGACCAAGATGTAACACAACTCGAGCGGTGGGAGGTCATCGTCGCCGGTCATCTTCAGAACCAGATTGCACCCAAGGACGATAGTATGTTTCCCGGTTGCAAACTATTTGGATGGAACGACTCTAACCGGACTACCTAGAGAAACAATATGTGCTCGCGGGATTCCCCAAGGGCTACGAGCTACGATGTGCAGTGAGGAAGGACGGCGGCAGGGACTACTACCTGTACGGGCACCCGGCAGGTCCGAAGGCCAACTATCGCACTCCTGGCGAGTTTGCTTTGCATGCCCTGTGGCTGGTCAGCGACTCGGCCGACAACAGCCAGTGTCCCTGCGACCTATGTCCGAAATACCTTGAGAAGGCCAAACCGGAGAGGGAAAGGAGCCAAGCACCCGTCATTCCGCCTTTGGCCCCAGCCGCGGCCGCCGCTCCTGGGCCAGCAATGGCAGCACAACTCTCCGCTGCTGCGCAAAAGCCGGTGCCAATTCAGCAGCCGCCCCCCCCAGCAGCAGCAGCCTCCTCAGCAACAACAGCCGCAGCCCCATCCCCAACAGCAGCAGCAGGGGCAGCAGCAACCACAACCGCAGCCGCAGGTCCCGCCTCCGCCTCCGGGGACTACCAGCTGGACCAACGTTTTCCGCGTGGGCGAGCTAGTTTGGTACAAACATACAGCCTGGCGGCTAGGTGTAGTCATCGCCATCACCCCCAAGCCCGGGATACCTATCCGCCCAGGCACATCCGACTCCAGCTACCACTTTACCCTAGCCCCCCTCGGTCACACACTACTCGAGCAAGCAAGTCTGATAAAAGACTGCCAATCCATGCGACCCTTCCTCACCTTTAGCGTGCCCAATGCGGGCATGGAGGAGCTCAAGGACAAGGCGTTCGATACGGTCAACTGGCAAGCCATGACGGGCCGCCTCTCCCAAGAGCCCGACCCCACGAAGCGGGAGATCAATCGGCAGGTCCTCGGCCTCGAAGCCTCCAAGATGGGAGCGCGCGCTATCAACGACGCCTTCTCCACCTTCGACCTGCTCGCCCAAGGCACCACGCCCGACCGCACCCTCCACGTGCAGCACTACGGCGGCATCTACCTCGGCGCCGAGATGATCCGCATCGGAGACCCCGTCCGCGTTATCAACACCCCATCCGCCACAACGCCCGCCGCCGGCCCCGCGCAGCCAGACCTCCCACCGGACGCAAACCTCGTCATGCTCATCACCGAAATCCAAGTCCTCACCCCGACCTCCCCGCCCGGCGCGCGCGCCACCCTCCAATTCAAAGGCAACCTCTACCGCACGATCCAACTCTCCCCAGCCCACCCCGCACCACCGGGCACCGTGCCCCCCGCAGCCGAAGCCTCACTCGGCGCGGCCTTCGCGGAGGAGCTCGCGACGCGCAACGCGATCGGCAAGGACAAGGACAACAAGGGCGGCGGCGGGGGCGGGGGCGCGCGGTGGAGCTGGGTGCAGGTGGCGGCGCAGGTGCTGCGCGGCGAGCAAGACGTGCAGGGCCGCTTCTACGTGACGGAGAAGCTCATGAGCGTCATCGACCCGGCCCGCCTGCAGGCCTGGGTCCAGCGCGGCATGCTCGAGGAGGCCCCCGCCTACCTGAACAACCGCGGGCACAGCGGGGGCGGGCAGTACGTCGGCCGGCGGCCGGGCCGCAAGGCCACGCTGGGCCAGGCGGTGGGCGTGGAGTTTCGCGTGCCGGGGGGGTTGGTTGAGAATTAGGGACTCTAGGGGGGGGGGGGGGGGTGACATAGTAGGACTCTGGGGGATGACATAGTAGGTCTCTGGGGGGTGGAAGGGGGAGAGAGGGTGTGTGTTGCTTGTGATGATGAGCGTTGGTCGAGCGAGGTTTGGTCGCTTCCATGTTTTGTTGCTTTCGTCGGGAAGATAGACCGATTCGCGACTTCAAAAATGAGCAAAGGGAGATCATGATTCACATGTTTGTTTGGGCTGGGGTCATTGAACTGGGACAGAACTATCTAGTAGTATATTGTAGATATCTCATATTGTAATCTTGAAGCTTGTAAATGTAGTTTGATAACGAGGCGCGACCGGTTATTTGTTGCAATTTTAGAATTGAGTCAAGGAGCGACGTTGGTGTTTCCTTTCTCTATCCCTCTGCTAGATGGCCTTACTCTTGGCGGGTACTTTTGCCTGTCGCCTTTGACGCTGCGCGAAACGCGGTGTAAATTTCGAACCTTGTCTTGATCGTTGAAAGTCGATTTCAAAACGAAGCCATCGTCACGGTAAGTTTAAACTAAGTGGGGACATCCCACTCCGTTTCGGACCTCCGTTTTTCGTAATAAAAACCCACGGACTCGGCGTCAGCAGCGCCCCTCTCCGAAGGTTTTCGGCATCCGCTAACAAACCTGGGTTCTTGGGGAGACGAAACACGCCGTTGCAGCGTTCATCCTAACCAGCACAAAACCAAGCAGACCACGCAGTGGAGTGACTCCACCAGCCTCCCAGACAGCTGGGTCGGCTCACCGGCTGGGAAGAGGCGGTGAGACTGAGCGGATGCTGTGCAACGGCACGGTACCGACAGCACAGATATTCGTTCCAGAATTACCGACAGGTCGGGAAGGGAACGAAGGAGGAGGGGGGGGGGTTGTTCACGAGTCAGTGAGAAGAGGCGAGATCTGATGACGGCAATGATTGGAGCCGCAGAATATTATCCGACCGATCTGCACCGTCAGAGAAGGTCCGGATGTGGCTGCTTTCCGGTCCACTGGGCTTGTTCAGCTGCCAGCCCACTGAAGCCCAGCGCTGGCCGAGGCGTGGGGGCTTCATCATTCGGTCCCATCATGTGAGCTCGGCCTGGCTCCCGAGAGCAGCCATGGCGTTTTCGGGGAGTGGAAGGAGGCTTTCCGCCAGCGGAGCGAGGTTTCAACACATAAATTATCCGAACCAACATCGGGAACTGACGTCGATGAACTAGCCTTGGAGTGGCAAAGATCAAGCAATTTTTTCCAGTGGGACAATTCGGAACGTCGCAGCTCTCTCGCACGGGCGGTTGGTTGTCAATGCGTCACAGAAGCACAGGCCGAGAAGGGGTGTGGTGTTGGTTTCGCAGTCGGGAGTTGGGACGGGACTTCCATGGTTTGACACGGGCACTGTCCGCGAAGCAAATCATCTTCTCAGCCATTTTGCGCGCGCCCGGGCCGACCCTTGCTCTGCCCAAGCCGCGCTGAGCCCGTGGCTCGGCAGCCCGATCATGCACACCCAAAAGCTCCTTTCCGCAATCTGTCCCAAGCAGCCGGTTTCTGTGTGTGTGTGTGTGTGTGTGTGTGTGTGTGTGTGCGCACCGTCATCCATCCAATCCAGGCCAGCCCGAGTGCCAAAATCTCACCTCTTCTCCCGGCTGAAAGAAAGGCCCGACTCTGGCTCGCCCACCGACATGTTCGCTCACCAAATGCCGAAATTGATTGCAGTCAGCAGGGCACCCCCTTCTGACGAGCGAGTTGGCGCTTGTTAGTTGGCTGAGTGGAGTCAAGTGCAGCAGAACATATCCGCGGACGGGGGGTTTCCTTGGTTGTTACCAGTCCGTCGGTAACCCAACCCGCCGGTCTGAGCACAGGAATTGATCGCCGAGAAGAAAAAGCCATAGAAACTTTTTTTCCCGCGAGCATCCGAGACACCGAGAGCTCGCGTCATCTCTCACCTGGCTCCTATCAGTAGGAATCAGCCGGTTCCCGAGGTAGTGGGTGGGTGGCGGTTCGTGTAACTGCTATGTAATCTATGTACTGTCCATTGGCACGGGGACGCGAGTTTGGCGAGTCTGGTCAGCAGCACCCGAGGTAACGCGAACCGGCAAGGACTTCACATCGTGGCGAATCCACCGCCACCTCCTCCCCCTCAAGAGGCACCAAGAGAGAAGGAGCACAAAACAAACCCTGCCGACCGGTGAGCCCAACATGCGATGACCCCCATCCGGCATCCGCCCGGGCTGTCGGTTCCCATCGCCTTGCGCCAACGGGGGGGCTAGGCCATGGCCGCCCGTCCCGCCAGAAAGGAAAGGGAGGGTTGGAAAAGCAAAAGGCTACCGAAGGCCCTATGTGATGCCGTCTCTCGGCGGAGCCAGCCGGCCAAAGGGGCCTCGCCCAGTGGCTCGAATTCCGCGGCCGGATACATGCGCATGCAGAGAGCTAGTTACTGCCGTTACCCCGAGGGTGAAACAGGACTGCCACTGCTCTGCCACGCCCGCTCTGTGTTTCCACACTTTGGTGACTGTGCAATGTCAAAATATGTCAAATGGGTCCAAGTGCAGTTGGGGGCCGGTTTGCCTTCTCTCTTGGGACGCCATGTGATTCGCTGCCGGCTACCGGGAGAAGATTGGGTTTTTGTGGTTCGTGCGACGCGGCTCCCGTCCGATCGGCTTGGGGAGGGAATCGAGTCGGGCAGCAGGAAAGGGGCACAGCAAACGCCTCACTCGCGCCGCCCCGTCCGATTGACTGCCTCGGATGCGCAAGAGCGGGAATTTCTTCCGCCAAGTAACCTGCCTTTTTTACGATATCTGGGAATCTCGGGTTGATGACGGGAAAAAAGTGTGATCATTCATCCAAGGGTTGTTTGTTGACCGAGCCAAAAAATAGAAAAGGAAACGGGTGCGAATGTAGAACACTGAGAACCAAAGGAGTCCCAAGTTATCTGTCTCTGCCTTCCTCCATGCCCTCCGCCTCCTTCGATTTTCCTGTCCGCTCTGGCGTGTCGTTGGTACCGTCTTCGAACCCCCCGTGAAAGCCCCCTCCAGAGCCCGAAGACATGGCCGTGCTGCCATTTCTCCCACACATCCTCTTTCGCCGCGTCCCAGCGCGCATGTGGCCCGTCCCAACTTCCCATATCTACCGCTTTCCTCCGTAGTCTGATAGTACCCCTATGCTCCGGCCGGCTGGGGATGAAGGGTATGAAAAGGGGTGGTTGTCTAGATGCAATCGGGTCGTGGTCGCATATACTCGAATGTGCTGGGAAGGTATGTATAGGTGTGGAATCGAATTTCCCGTCGCGGCAGCAAGAGGAGACTCTTTCGTAAATCGTTTTGTTCGTGGTGCCCCCTATCTGTCCGTAGAATAAGGGGCGGTGCGTGAGGGCGAGGTAGGCGCGATTGGTTCAGGAACGAAAGGAAAAGTCAACCGCTGGCCGCGTGAGACGACACACGTCTCCAGGAATGCTTTAGAGGGGAAAATCCGGATAAATGTTTCGCGACGAAATGAGGCCCATGCTCGCTGAGAAGAGATGGTGGTTGAATGCATTAGAGGAATAATGCAGAGTTAAGAAAATAAACGCTTGATCGCCCGCACCACGTTCAACCGACCTCTCCATCATAACATTGCCTTCGCCTGGCTAATGTCATTTGAGCTTCAGGCCCTCCAGCTTCACCTGTATGCTCTTTAGGATTTCGGGATCGGGTTCCGGCTCCACTTTCCTTGGAGTGAGCCTGTCGCACTGGGTGTGACTGCATTTGACGCAGACGGGTTCGTCCGTGGGCGGCGTGGAGAAGATGTGTTTGCAGCTAGCACATTGGTAATGCCCAATCCTCGCACTTGGGGCGTCGCCAGGATAGCCGTACGGGTACTTGTCCTTCTTAGGGCTGTATGGGGTGTTAGCGAGCGAGCTTCATTAAAACGGCGCGCGGAAAGACTGGAACTTACGGGTCCCGGGGGCAATCGGTGCAACGCGTGTGCTGGCATCCTTCGCAAGTCTTGGTGCCAGCGAGCAGCTTTTCGCACCCGCAGCAAGTTCTCCGGATACGTTGTCGGGGTTTCCTGTAGTAGAGGTCCTGGCCTCCTGTCTTGGCCGGTCGCTTGAGGACGATCTTCTTCGGGGTCGGGTCCCAGTCTGGGATGATGGGCGCCTTCTCGGCCCGCTCCTTGATGATGGCTGCTCGCTTCTTGCGGCTCTCCTCCTTCTCGGCCTCGGTGCGCTTCGGGGGGATACGCGGGCACTGCTTGCAGCGAGGGTGCGTACAGTTGGGGCATTCCCTGCCCACGCCGAACGAGGTGCTGCAGAGATGGCACTTCCTGTGCACCCGCATCCTGATGGGCTTCTCCACGCGGAGGGCATGACCCTCCGTCTTGTGCCACTCGCTAGGCGGCAATTCCAAACCGTACAGTTCGCCGAGCTTCTTCGCCCGCTCCGCGAAGATTTGAGACCTCGGGACCTTGGTGGCTTCCACAGCTGCGGGAACCTCTGCCACTGGCGCGGTTTGGCTACAGCAACATGTTAGTATTCGGGGCCAATGCATGGTGGAAAGATGATCCCCGTCATCGAGGCGCCCAACGCGCCCGATAAAACAAGAACAAAGGAGCAACGAGTCGAGCATACCTCGTGGAAGCCACGGCGGGGGCGCTGGTCGGTTCGGGTTTCGCGGCGGCGACGGACATGCGGCGAGACGACGGGTCGGTGGCCTTCTTCAAAACCGTCTTCATCCTCGACAGGACCTTCTTCCCGAACCCCTTCTTCTCCTCCTTCTCCCTAACGGCCGACGGCCCTCCCTGCGCTGGCGAACTCATTTTTGGCGATGTTGCTGCTGTCGAGATGATTCAATGGGTGTTGTGTGTGTGTTAGAGGAGCATCGGGATGTAGATATCGCACGACTGGCCAATAGCGTCGACAAGGTCGTAGTAAAAGAAAAAAAAAAGAACCAGGCTGATCGAGATGTTCACTCTCAGAACCTAGGCTCTCAGTCTGCAATTCACCCCGAATTGAATTGCAGTGAGGTCGGAAGTTTGTGTGTTGTGGTGGGCCCGGGTGCAAGCAAGAACCCCAAGCGGCGGCCGTGCACTGTGGCTGCTGCAGGAGTCTATTCGTCGTTGAGATCAAGGTACACTTTGAGTCCGCGTCAGTAATGGGCGGAGTGTCGGGGGCAATTGTCGATCCCTGATGGCGCTGAGGTGGCCTCGAGTCGGTCGGCGATGGAGAGGTTGTTTGGCGGAGGTCACCACAAACTCCGGAGGAAGGGGAAAAGAAGTAGCCAAAGCCCCGGAAGTAATGGAAGCGCCGTTGTGAGCGGGAAGGAGGGAGGAGAAGAGAGCGGAGAAGGAAGACAGATTCGGTGTGGTGCGGTGCCAGAGGCTAGCAAGGATAACTGGGGTATTGTTGCGCTCCAGCAGGCCCACGGCGGAAACGAGGGAGGGATGCAGCACGCTAGCGGTGGCATCGACAGGATTTGGTAAGGTCCACGCCAATTGCGGGAACGGGGGACGCCAGCGAGTCGCAGCGAACAGTCAAGCGCAATTCAAAGGCCCAGACGAACCAGACAAACCGGACGAACTGGCCACCTAGAAGGCGTCACGCACCGCTAATCAATAACTAGCGCGTGCGGCAAACCTGCTCGGGGGCTGATGTCTGTAGGTAGCGGAGGTTGTCGAGCCCAACGCCTCCTAGTTGCACGCCAATGCAGAGGGCGTGAGACGCTGGCTGGCTGGGTGCTCCGGTTGTGCTCAGCGAGTGGTGCGGGCGAGTTGAGGGGTTCCCCCGGGAGCTCAAAACGACTTTGCCACTGCTGGTCCCGAGGCGGCGGGAAGGACGGGGGTAAGAAAACGGAGAGGGCTCGGTTGCAATTTTGAAGCTGGGGTTTGTGTATGAAATTACGAAAGTATGGTAACCAAGTGTAACGGTGGGGTATGAAGAGACAAGGAACCACGGGAACACGAGGGGCTGACCACGTTACCAAGCTTTGTACCGTAACCCCGTGTTTTGGAACTTGGGTATATTTAACGGAGAATTTCCGCTCTCTTCCGCGCAGTGTGCAAAACGCGTCGCAAACGGCGGGCGTGCTCCGTTTTTCTCGAACACGGTGACACGTCGTCACATCCCAGGAGTTCGGGCGGGTGTGCAACTCCACCTGTTCTGTGAACCAGGAACAACGGGACCAGTCACTTCGCTTGCCTTTCCCTTGGAAGCGGTGCGCTTGCGGGGCGGGGACCCTTGCTCGTCTTGCCCAGCCGAAAGGTCCAAATGGGAAAATCGCCCGACTTACCCAGAATTTTCAGAGTGGGGGCTCCGGGAACCCACCAGTCACGGCTGCCGGCGGTCCCTTCCCGCTAACAAGGGTTGAGTGCACCATTTCCATCCTCTGACATGGCGAGCATGGGCACTCGGCGCTGCAGGCATCTCTGCTTCGGGGATACCGCAGCACATCTCGCCGTTTCGATCATGATCTTTGAACCGGAGATCGGGACACCACACCCAACCCAACCCAACCCGTTGACCTTCCCTGTGTCCTTCGGCACTTCTCGATCCCACGCCGAGATGCGGGCGGCAATAGTTAACTGTTACAGATTCCATAGGGAGACTGCCACACTGCCGACGCCTCGATCAACGGACCGGACCGGCAGCGCCGCTCGCCGGAAGCAGACCGCGCTTAATAGCGAGCGAGTCATGGAAGCTTGGAAGCATGGAAGCATCGACGCATGGCGACAAAAACGTCACCGGCAACCTGCCATCATTCGGGAGGCAAACTGGCAATTTCTGTTGCTCACCTCCTCACCAACACATCGACCCGCGTTGGGTCCTGCAGCTGCCATACCATCCAGTGGCTGCAGAGTAACGTTGGCGGATGCACCAGCCTAATCCAGCAACTCGTTGATCGAGAGCGTCTCCTGCCCAAACACAGTCGCACGGGATGAGTGGTCTCAGCAGTTCGTCTTGTCGAAGAATGTCGATCAACCGCAACGCCGAACTTTCCCGTCATCAACTCGGCCTTCCATCTCAGCAAGCCGATTGGCCCCGTCACAACGTCTTTTGAATTGCCGGATAAAGCTCAAACCAAACCGGGGCACCTTCTCCATTTCCCCCCAGTCCCCTGCGTGATTTACAGTGTCGTCCTCGACCAAGTTGGTTCGTTGACGATGCAGCCAACGGCAGCGGCGGACAGCTCGGCAGAAAAGCGACGGGGAGAATTCAGCGCCGACGTGTCCTCGTCCTGGCCCCTTGCCAACCCGCTCACACCAGCGCCACCCACACGGGAACGCCCGTCTTGACCAAAGGTTCCGGCGCCACCATAATGCAGCGGCGTGAGTGAATGCGTGCCAGCAACCTCCACTCCACAGTACACAGGCACAGCTTGGCCGTTAAGCAGAACCCACTTTCAAATCTCGTCCGAGTGGAGGAGGTTGTGAAAACGGGTTGTTGTCCGACTAGGCCCGCCGGTTGGCATCCGATTGCTCACCTGGAGTGGATTTCTGCGCTTGAATATGTGCAAGGAAGCCTTCCAATGCCGTTGACGATACAGGGTCTGTTATGACCAGGTCGGAAATCAGGGGGGCTCGCAGACGCTCGTGCGATGCCGTCCCGAAAAAACGGACGACGGGCGGGAGTGTCCGCCGACTAAACGTCACTTCGCTCGCACCATCCGGTCGGGAACGTCGCTCCACATCCCGTTGAGGTGAAGTTGAAGCTCGTTCATCAGGGACGTTGAGTGTGCGAACTCGTTGAAAAGTCAGTTGTGTTTTGGCGAACCGCAGCTCTGTACACCCTTGTCTTTGTTTTTCTGCGTCGCCTTTTGCTGTCCTGCAACCCCAATTGTGGCGGCCATTCATGTGCTTTTGGTTCCAGACTGTCGGATCCAGGCGGATGTGCATTTCAGCCGGTCCCCGTCTTTCTGCCGCTCCGCTCAGCCGGCCCGCCACGAGAAAAAGGGATGCACGGCGTCAGTTCGCCCTCCGCCATACGGAGCACAATTACCACGTCGCGGCTGAGGATTCGAGGACCAAACATCAGGCCATTAGTTTTTCCCCAAGATTAGCCCAACTCCTTGAGGTATACAAGTACATACCCCAGTCCCGGCCTGACTAGCCCCACGTCAAGTTGACCGATAGCGAGGAAATATTGGACCCCAACGCGGGTTGATGCAGCGTTTCCCCAGCGACTCTCGGGCCGCCGAATCCTTGGGCATCATCTCGCCTCCTGACGGGACCGCCGGATGCCAGAACCTTTTCCCCGCCAAGAGGTGCAGCTTGGCCACAGGTGTATGGCTGCAACTCTCCTGCATCTCTCCACACACCGGGCTAGAACAGCTGGTCTGGTAGAGCAGCTCGAGTGACCGGCCCAAAACCACCGGCGTTCCGTTTCCGGCTTCTTGTTGGTTGCGATTATTTGTCTCATACGTCGGGTGCATACCGCCGTTTATTCTGCGGGATTTCCTACACCACATAGTCGATCAAAATCCTGTGGGAGATTTTCTCGGTTTCCAAGCACGGCATGTGGGCATCAAACAGTTTGAGGCCAAGCGGGGCCAACGACGTCGGATTCGAGACGTTGTTCCACGATTGCCCGTCTCCACACTGCCCGACGCGAGCAGCGGGACGCACAGGCCATGCGTTGATCCTGAGACGCACATCATCCGATGGCGGCATGTTCGGATGCTTTTTTTTTCAACGGTAGAGCGGGCAAAATTCAAGTTTGGTACGAGACACACATGGGGGGAGAACCCCTTCCCACCCGCCCATGTCGCAGGTGACACCACAACCGCCATGTTCAACGTTGAGATATATCTGCGTTGAAAGTGACCAGATTCTGCACACGAAAACAGGGCATTTGCGCCGGCGAAAGGCCGCACCGCGAGACCTGCGAAGCGATGCAACCTCCACCAATAAAAGATGCTTGCATTATGCCGGACCCTGCTTCCCCGCCCCTTGTCCCTTCTCTCAACAAACCCTTCCCTTATCAAAAAGCGGTTAACGCTTGATGTGATGGCACCGCCGCGTGTGTGTGCTGTCGGTCTGCAAAAGAGTCTTCCTTCCCCTTCCCTGTGCTGGCATGCCCTGTCATGGCTTGACAGCGCAATCTCCAAGATCTTCATGTGGGGTCCTCGGCAGTGCCCGCCCGCTTCCGCCCTTCCCCCCAGCCCCATATTTGGTCGGTCGAAACGTTGAAGAGAGGTTGTGTCTGGGCCTGATGTCTCGGAACATTCGTCGGACAAGAGAACGAAACCCACACGGTATCCCCGGACCCCGGAGACGCTGCCTCTGCGTGCTTAACCCGGGCTGAACCCACTCGTTACAACGTCATTGGCAGTAACGTTGCAGACTTCATGACTCTGTCGACACCAACCTTGTGCGGGCATGTCTCGAATGCCATATCAACCTCCTGTGTACGAAATACACAGTAGGATGCCTAAACACGGCCCACACATTTTCGGCGATGGCCCCGGGAGATGTGATTGGAGTGACTCCTGAGATCACCGACTAGGAGGCCTGCTAGCTTTCTTTCCCTCTCCAGGGAACCTTTCCACTTTCCCTCGCTCTTCTCCCCAGGTCGAGTTTACTTGTACAGAAACCAGGTGTCGAGGCAAGTAGAGCTCCCTTTCTATTTTCGATTTCTTCTTACTCCTCGTGTTCTACTTCTTTCCCTTCTTCAGACTACTGCCACAACAACGGTGGAATGTTGCGAAAGGGTGTCAAGTTGGACAGGTCCACGTCTTGCTTTGGAGCGGGGCGAAGGTGGGAGGGGTTGACAGCCCGGAGGAGTCATCAAGTTTCAGTGGGATGTCTCTGTTGGTTGAGGTATGCGATACCCAACGCCCGCTGGCCACCCGGAACACACCATACTCGAGATTTGTGCGTCCTGAACGGCGTCTGCCTTTCAACCTTCCGAGCGTGCTCACCAAAAACGGTCGGTACTCTCCGGCTCTTAGTCGCACGCGAGGGCAGACATCCACGGAGATTGCGGAGGGGGAGTTACAACGAAAGGATCAGGATGGTCGAGTGGAGAGGCACGGATGGAAGTTCACCCCGGGGAGAGCAGGTTCCTGAATCCAGGCTTCGAAATGAAAGCTTATGGGAATGGGCTGGGCATGGAGGTGCCTTGTTTTGGTCTTGTCGCCGCGATTTCAGTCGGAGCAATCTCACAGGAAGAGGATCGGGATCACCAGCTGCGAGATTGTCGGTTATCTCCCCGAGGCGAGCCAGGGCACGAGTGTTTCCGAATCCCGGATGCGTCAATGCAGCGGCGGGCTGCGGCGACTTGTTCTGGGCCGAGCGGGGCCGTTCGTGAACGGGTTTGAGAAGGCCGTGGTGGTTGACGGGGGTTTGCCCTTTTTCCATCAAGCGCAGAAACTTCCATCAGCCTATCCAGGGATCTTTGGGAAGAACCCACACTTCTCGGTTCGTGATCCGAGGGACCCATTTTCCCCGTTCGGCTTGGGGCCGAGGCTTTTGAAACAATGTCTCAGCCCCGCGGCCGCGCCCGGTTTGTTCCCGGCGCGTTTGGCGCATTGTGTTCAAGAAACGGGCGTTTTTCAAGGATGAGTTTGAGCCACGGCCGCCGTTTTCGACGAGTCCCGAAGACACCACCTCGACCACCTCGGGAGTTACCTCGCAATCCATACAGGCGGGAACTTCCACGATTGCTGCTAGGACGAGTGTACGCAAAGCCGAAGCTTTGTCTCGCCCGAAGTTGAGAAATAGCGGGTAGAATTAGCTTCTTCGGACGATCCCGTTCTTGCGTAATTGTTCATGTCCACAACCGACGGGAGATGGCGTTGTTCGATTGTTGTTTCCAGGAGCCGCCCCGAGATTGGCGTGATTGCCGGCGTAATTGCCAAGAAATGCAACCCCCGGGCTGACAGCGCTCTGAACCCGAACCCGAACCCCCACAGAATCCTCGGCCACGTGCAGACGAGCAGTGAATTTGTGGTCGACGCGAAAAAACTGAGCGCACACCTGAATGGAAACACCCGACGTCACTTTACAACCTGGTACTTGCCCCGAGGTCTAGAGGTCCCGCTTCCAACCCACCGCAGCGCAATAGGCAATAGGCACGATCGATACAGTAGAACGACTTCAGCAGCGAGTGAACGCGTCCGATTCCAACAATCAACACGTCTAGCCTGGTCCACCCTCGGCCCAAGACTGACGAACTTGCCTTGACGTTATTTACCAAATTTATCACGACTGTGCCAATCGAGCTGCACAGCCGACCACTCGCGTCCCGGTGCTCAAGCAGGAACCTTTATGCAACCAGGGCTGATCGAAACTCCAAACCACGACATCGCAGCAATATCCACAAGTCTTACCTCCCCAACCACTGCTCAACATGGCCCCGGTCGCTCCCTCACAGGCTCGTCAGACGCTCGCTCCCCGCTGCGCGCCCGAAGCACGTCTTCGGATGCCCAGCGATCTGGTGGAGCAGTGTCTGACAACGACCTCGACGTTGGTCACCTCAGCCAGTCCCTTGGCTGGTTGAGCGTCACCGAGGTCAAGTCCACTGCGGCTACCCCAGCCACTGTCGCTGTCGCTGGTCAACGCATTTTCGAGTACGAAAATGCGGCAGTCTGCACGTCACCCCGCGACAGCGCGCGCCCCGCTCTAGGCTTCAAGGTCATCCATAGCTCGCAGTCTGCCGGCGTCCAGCTGACCGATTTCCCCAACGGTTCGTTTTACTCTTGCCACTGGCCCCGTGTTCACCCACGCCGTCAAACCTGAAGCTACTGCAGCGGGCCACTGACACGATCCGCTGCAGAGATCTTGACTCAAATCCTGTCCCACCTGCACCCCGACTCGCACGGCGCCGTGGCCCTGGTCTCGAAGCGCTTCTACGCCCTCGTCACCACTCCATACGCATGGCGGGCCGCCTTCCTGCGTTACTTCGCGGGACAGGACTCCGTGGCGGGCCACACCAAGGCCGACCAGCAGGCTAAAGAGGAGGCCGAGTCGTCGGATGTCATTCGATCCGAGGTCCGCTACTTCACGAGGCTCACCCCCCTGGCCTCCTGGCGCAGCGAGTATCTCCTCCGCACGCGCCTCCTGCGGAGCGTGGTGCGCGGGAAGCCCGGCAGCGTTGGGTCTTCGGCTCGTTCCAGCCAATCCGGGAAGAAGGCCACAGCTGTCCTGACTTACAACTCGAAACTCCCGTGGATGGTGAGCCATGTTCACGCCGACTTTACCGGCGGGAAGAAGGGCCCGAGAGTGATCCATGGGACGCGCGATCTTGGTATAGCCACCGTCGGCGATCCCACCACGGGAAGGATTGAGAAATGGGGCTTGGATGACCCTTTCGCTTTCCAGCAGCTTGACGAGGTCTTTCCGAACCTCGAGTTCTTTGGTGTCGGCGAAGGTCCGGCTGCTGTGCCCAACGTCATGGACGTGAGCCAGCCCTATGGCTTCGCCGGAGGCGAGGGGTTCCCCGGTGGCCGCATGTACTACAAGGCAACTGGCCAACTACGGGGACACTACATTGGCCACGACCACGGCATGGTTGAGATGGCGCCAGAGGTCCCGAAAATCCCGGGCATGGTTGATGCGGTCAGCTGTGTCTGGATCGCCAAGTCGTCTGGTGTGACGTCGACAACGCAATCTATGGTTGGCATCCTCGCCGGATCTACACTCGGCGTTGTGACGAGTTATGCTCTGGGTCATGAATCGACAGGCCCTCGCTTCGGTGATGGGGATATGACCGCCCGCTGGGTGCTCAGCCCTGGCGTGCCCATCATTGCCATCAAGGTTGATGACCAGTACAGCCTGCGGCGAAAGGCTCTAGGCCGTGTCTGGGCTGTCGCACTGAATGCACTAGGCGAGGTCTACTACCTCACCGAACCACCGAGCCCCCCTTTTCATAAGGGCAAGGCTGAGGATGCCGTCAAGGATGCTTGGCATGCCGGCCGAACCGCGCATTGGGAACTGATCGAGTCGACCCGGCGTACCGCAAGGCCTGATGAGTTTGACAAGAACGCGGTGATAGGCACATATTCCCCAAGATCCTCTGCCCATGCGATGAACCTGAGCAGAGGACAGGTCGTGGCCGAGGCTAGGGAGATTGAAAAGTACTTCAAGCACACACCCGCGCACTTCAGAAAGGTGTGCCAGGGCTGGGACATGCTGCGTAAGCTCGAGGTCGACTTCTCTGCCGGCAGTGATAATGGCGGCGGAGAATCCATTTTTGTTATCACCTGCGGCAGTGAAGAGGCCGAGCCCGCCTCTATCCGCAGATTTGTCAAGTGCGGCGGCTCAGCAAAGTCCAGCCCATCTGGGGCGTTGACTCCGATTGCCCCGCCCGCGGCCCCTCGTCAGTCAATCTTCGGAGGTGAAGCCGAGGCTGAGGTATCCAAAACAACCCTTCAAGTTGACAGCAACACGAATGGGGTGTCACCGTTGGCCTCCGGGTCAAGCACACCTCGGCTTGGATCTATCCCAGGAAAGGTCGAGGCCGAAGAATGGCGGCCCACTGAATTCGTGTTCAAGCACAACAAGGCCATGGAGATCACCGCGAGCGCAGTGGACACGTCCACTTTTGCCTTGATGACAGACTTCGAGGATCCTCTGCTATCGGGGTCGTCGGGGTCAAATACGCCCGGTACTCCCACCTCCAAGCATGCCACCGGCGAAATTCCCGGCCGACGCGCGCGCCTACTGGCGGTCGGAACCAACACCGGCTCCGTCATCGTGTGGAACATGCGTGACACAACCTCACCTGTCGTGAACCCTGTGAGGGTCATCCAAACTGAGTCACCCGAGGTCACCGCCCTCGCAGTCTCGGCTCTGTACCTCGTCCATGGGGGCAGCGACAGTCTCGTCCAGGCGTGGGACCCGCTCGCCTCGTCCCTCGAGCCTATCCGCACCCTCAACGCGAAATCATCAGGCCGCATCCCGCGGCACATCCTCCACGCCAACCCAGCGCTGCAGCATGCTAACTACTTCGCCGTGCGCGCCATCGTCCTCGACCCCAACGCCACCATCCTCCGCGGCGTCCTCGCCTTCGGCACCTTCGTCCGCTTCTGGACCTACAGCTCCACGGCCCAGGGATCCGGCCGGAAGCGCCGCCTCCGCCACTCGGACATCCACGGCCGCCTCACCAACCGCCGCAACAACGGCACCGTGTCCAGCTACATCGCCGCCGAGGAGGCCGAGCTGCGCCACGAGCGCGAGCACCGCTCGCGCGAGGTCGACCGCCTCCGCAAGCGCTTCGGCGTCGGCCTCGCCGAGCTGACCGAGGAAGAGGCCCTGCAGTACGCCACCATGGTCTCGGCCGAGTCCTTCGCCGTCGACGAGATGCGCCGCAACACCAGCGCCAGCGACACCGCGGGCGAGACGGCCAGCTCCGTGGGCAGCAGTGCAATAATGGATGCCGCCTTTGTTACGCCCGAGCCGAGCGTCAGTAACGGGGCCGGGCCGAGCGCGGTCAATTTGCCCGTTTTGAGGGAGGAGGTGCCGGCAGCGGCAGCAGCAGCAGCAGCGGATGGGGACGGCGAGGATGACTATGAGGCGCAGATTCAAAGGGCCATTCGGCTGTCGCTTCTGGAGGGTGTTGGCAACGACAACATGTCCCCGTCGCAGTCGCCGTCGCAGTCCCCGTCGCAGTCATGGGACGGTGGGCCCGCGTGGAGCGAGTATGAGGTCAAAGTCCAGGTGAAGAGTGCCAAGGGGAAGGGGAAAGGGAAGGGACAGGGCAGGTCGGCGGACGCGTCGCCGTCTGATGCCGCGGGTCCGGGCGCGGGCGTGTCTGGCTCGGGCGCGTCGGGGTATGCTGCCGCCGGGACCGGGGCTGAGGCTGGGGTTGCTGCTGATGTTGGGGTTGATGCTGATGATGACCTGGCGCTTGCGCTGCGGTTGAGCCTGGAGGAGGAGGAGGCGAGGTTGAGGAGGGTGAAGGAGCAGGAGGAGGGCGCCGTGGTGGATGTGGGTGGGGATGGGGATGAATACCCGCCGCTGGAGGTTAAGGGGAAGGGGAAGGGAAAGTGGGCTTGAGATTGGTTGAGGTCGAAGTGCGGTTGGCTGAGGTGTGTTGGTGTATGTGTTCTTTGTGGACTGTATTCTTTTCATGCCCTGTCGATGGCTTAGCCGTCTGTTATGGGCCTGCGCTTTGAGTGTTTTTTTGAGATGGAACAGTGGTTTTAAGCTAGCAAGTCGTCGTCTATTTCGCGGGTGGAATTATTATATAGCCGCTTGCATATTGTCTGCTCTCAAATTTCCTACCATGGTGAACTGGAACACCGGCAAGACGAAGTGACCCCGAGAGGTTCGTGAGCGCACGACTGGCTTCTGCTTTCGTCTGAACCCATGAACGAACCCTTCCCTTACTAGGTAGATATCAGTCGCTCGTTTGTGTGTTCGTTTCCCAAGGCATCCCGCCAACAACGCTGGTGATACTTGTCTTCAAAGCATGGGAATACTTCGCGGTTTGAGCGCTGTACATGTTGATTAGAACCCAGGCGGATCCCCGTAGCATCCCGGCCGGGTTCATCCCAAAGAACCAAGAATATGTATGGCCCCTTCACCACATCTTAGCCACGGCTGCCCATGTTGGGTTAACAGATGGGATGGGCACATAGGCCAAACCACGACGAACTGGAGAAAAGGGAGGACACACCGGTAGATAGTTGAAAAGACGGAGGGGGTGGTCGGGAGAATAGTACTGAGAATAACGTTAGGGCGGCACTATGCTGATTCATGATCAGCTAGCTGGTGCGTGCTGAATTTGCAACCTTCTGCGACCATCAGCGAAGATAACCCAGACCATATATACCCCTCCCGCAATGTCAGGCTCCGGAGCAAAGCGCTCCATTAGCGATATCTAGAATTATGCACACAAAGGCCTTCGAAAAAAAGGACGAGCAACCGATGGTTGGTATATTGAGGGGTGAGTTTGTCAAAAGGCAATGACTATCTAGCGTTATATACCCTATGCCACGTTCCTTTCGCATATGTACACTCGACCCAAATAGAAAGGGAGTGCCCAAAGCATAACAAACTTGAATATCCTCCCCTCGTTAGGAGATATATAGCCGCCTCCCGCGTAGTATTTCGGGTATCGCAACTAACTGCTCCTTACACATCCGCCAACACACACAAACCAGGCAGTCTCAGCCACTGCCTTCAACCACGAGACCATGGCGATTAAAAGCAAAACTAATAAAACAAACTAACAGCGCTCAACCAAAAAAGCAAAAACAAAAACAAACCGAACCGAGCCGCACTGAACCGAACCAAACGTGCTGCTTTTTCTCGCACATACAGAGAGTAGAGGGGGACCACTCCCCCGAGACCAGAAAGAAGACTCCATTACGCCACCGCCACCACACACACCCATCAAACTCCACGGTAACCAAACCAAGGGCAAAAAGAGACAAACGGATGGACGCATGGACGCATGGGCGGACAGATAGGTAGCATGGCCGAACGAATCAAACCAAGACCCCCAGCCCGAGCGCAACGCCCACACCCCAACCCACCCCAACCAGCCACGGCCGCACGGCGCCAACCCCATCCTCCTCGCCATCCCCACCCCCATCGACAGACCCCGTAGGCGTGGCACCCGAACCACCAGGCCCGGCACCCGGCGTGATCACGGTGGTGGGACCGAAGGGAAACCGCAGGCTGAGGGTACCGACGGCGACGCCGTCGGGCATGACGGTGACGTTCTCGCCGCCGGCGACGGTGGTGGTGGTGCCCGTGCCCGGGCCGACCGTGTAGGAGACGCCCTTAATCACCACCACCGACGCGCCCACCTTGGTGATGGTCGCGCCCCCCACCAGCGCGTACTGCGTGTCCTGCGGCGAGGATGCGTGTTCCCCGCCGAGGGTCACGGCGCCGCCGTGCGCGGTGATGCCGCCCCGCCCGAGGGTCAGCACGTCGTCGTCGACGGTGACGGTCGTGGAGTCGTCCGCCCCCCCGGTCATGGCGTACGTGAGGGTCGTGCCGTGGATGACGAGCACCGAGCTGCCGATCGCGGTGATCAGGTCGCCGCCCGCGACGACGACCTCGGTGGGCGACGGCAGCGTGGGTAGGGGGAGCGTCTGGGAGCCGCCGGCGATGGTGCTCGGGCCGACGGTGAAGGTCTTGCCGGAGACGACGGCGGTGGTGGGGGTGGGGCCGAGGGTGAAGGAGGAGCCGCCGATGATGGCGACGGTGGAGGAGACGACGACTGGGACGCCTTCGATGTCGGTGCTTGTTGGCTCGGGGAGATAGATGCCGCCCGTGGCAGAGGGACGGTCGACGGTTGCGCCGCCGCCGACGACGCGGGTTGGGTCGATGGTGAAGGTTTGGCCTGCGATGATCAGCACTTGCGTCGGCTGGGCCGGGTTGTCGCGGATCGTGTTGCCGTTGATGACGACGGCCGTGGGCTGCACCGCAACGGTGATCGGGGTAGGGGTCGGGCGGTGGGCCGAGTCGGAGACGGCTTGAGGGTCGCCTGGTGAGTTGTAGCCGGGCGACGGGTTGTCGTGCGGGTCCGGCGCCTGCGTGGGATTAACGTGGTTGTCTCGTGTTTTGGCATCCTGGCTGACGCCGTAGTCGGGCCTGTCGATGGTCGAGAAGACAACGGCGGGGTTCTTATCCGTCGTGAGGAAAACGACTTGGGGGGTGACGCTGGTCTGTATACCATACCCGTAGCTCTCTGTCGTCGTTGTCACCTGGCATGTCAAGTACTGGGTCCCCACGCCAGTCGACGCGCAGACCGAGATGGTCAGCTTCGGCGGCGATATGGGGACGACACAGGACGAGGTCGATTGGGGGACCGAAATAGGGGGGTACGGCTGCGAGTAATCCTCTGGGTTGCCGTACCAGGTAATGGTGGATGTGTGGATGACCGACCAGCTCGTTGGGACCCCGGTCAGCTCGGAAGGCCGGCAGTAGCTGACTGCCCCCGAGGGGATGTAGGTAAATGTCTGATTCCCGGGCCGTGCCGAAGTCGCAAATGTTGTGGCGCCGGATTCCTGGGGGCCGTAACCCAGATCTATAGTTTCCGTTGTCCTGTGGGTGATGGAAACCGAACTTGCTCGGGATGGCGGTTCACCTGGAGGACCGCCGCGCGGCGGCCCCGTTGGCCTGGATTGACCAGAGTCCGTAACCTGGGTAGGCGTCGTTACCGGGCCGTAAGTATACCCAGCGCCGTCCGACTGCGGCGGCCTCCCACCCCGCGTCGGCGGTACCTTGGTTAGCGGGGGCCGTGTTTCTTCCGGTGGCGGCCCCCTGTTCGACTCCCCGCCGGGCTCGACTGAACTCCTCGTCGGCTCGGCGGAGCGGACGGGGGCACGCGTATCTGTTGTCAAGCTGCCGCCCGCGCCGATGGCCCCTGGGTCGACATAATCGCTCCGCGTTGACGTCGCGAGGCGCTGGTCCGCTTCCACCGTCGCCTCAGCCCTGCCCGAGCTGATGGCCTGGGGCCTTAGCCCCAACGAAGTTCCCCCCTCTTCCGCAGTGCTCCCGACCGGCTCTTCCGAGGCCGTGGCAACGATGCTTACCGTCGTCGACGGCCATGATGAGGACTCCGCGTCCGTTGGACTCGACGAGCTGGAACTGGCGGCGCCTTGAACTGAATCAACGGTCCCATCCCGGCGTTGAAATTGATCTGCTACTGACGGTTAGCTCCTCCTTATGAAATCTTCATCGAATCCTCCTCTCTTGGTGGATGCTGACCTCCGAGGACGGTGTCGAAACCAAGACCGGAGATCACTGCGATCGAGAGCAGCACTCTTCTACCCCCGACCATGCTGTGCTGGCTCGGGGGAACCTTTTTTGGTGCTTGCGATGGACTGCTGTGGCAGAATCAAGGTCCTGATACGGCCCTTTTCCACCTCGTCCAAGCATTTGAGCCGCGCTGAGCCCGGGATGTGATCACCGAAGATTCCTCACCATCTCGCCCAATGGTGGCATCATGAGACTTCGCTGGGGGAATGCGGGAAAGGCAGGAAGAAATGCTGGTGTCGGCAGGACGACCTTGGCAAGGATGTCGGGAATTGGACGGGGGATCCCGTCGAAGATCTTTCTTGTCCAGGCCGAGACAACAAGACAGGCAGCGGGCTGCGAGTCACCGCACATCAGAATAAGAATTACTGCGCAAATCCCCTCGCAAACACCCCGTACGCGAGAATGGGCAGCGTTTACAGGGCAATTTGCGTGCTGTGTTGAGCCTAAATAAAGTGCTGTGGGACGGTTTCATTTACCGTGTATGTATTCGTACCACAGTTACGTAGGTATGTATGGAGTGTACGGAGTCGGGAGTGTACAAGTACGTGGGATGCCAGCCACGAGGTCAGCGGCGCCTGGAACCGAGAGGGCGAGAGAGAGAGAGGGATCCGGGGATGAAGGAAGCGCGTTGCCAAGGGGCCGATGAATGAACAAGGGGTCTGGATGAGGATCTCTCATGCGCAGGGATATCCCTGCCAAGCCCAGTCTCTCCAAGGGGACGGGACTTGCGAGAATCCCTCGATTTGCCCGCGACTGGGCCGGCATGACACGCCAGCTGCCGGCTGGTTGGCAAGGGGGGGGGGGGGGGGGGGGGCACTAGGGGCCAAAAAGCGGAAACTAGACAGGCATCGGACCGTGGCCCACGCCCGAGTGGCCGCTCTTGTTCCGTCGACGAGCGGAGACTTGCCAACTGCTGCTAACTAGAACTCGACTTCAAAGCTTCTCGAAGAGGTTGTTGGATTCACGAGCGCCGAGAACGCACGGGAACTTTTGGGGCTGGCGGCGTGGTTTCCCATGCGAGCACTGGAAGCGGATGCGCGCCCAGGTCGCCGACTCGTTTATCAGAAGGTCAGCCTCTGGTTCGGTGTAACGGAAGGGTTGATGGAAGACTGCCGAGAACCAGTGATGAAAAGGAGTCAAGTCTTCCGTTGTCTTCCGCTGACTCGGACCCGGTGTGTCTTGGCGACCCTCGTTACAATTGTCTCTGTTCAGCCATTCTGAGCTCACTTTCGCTCGATCATTCCCAGTTTTGATCCCTCGTGTTTGTCTCAAGTCAATTGACCGCGTCTGACGACAGTCCTTGATTTTCGACATGCTCCCTCCATGCTTACTGTGGATGCCAGGACACAGGCACCAAACCCACCCTCCTTCACGCCCCTTCTCCTCAGCGTACCAATCGCTTCTTCGAGTGCCACCACTGATCGTCGCGATGGCGCTCGCCTGGGCAACTTGTGGGGATCATAGCGGGGGCGCCATGGCCCCCCCAGTGGCCCCTCGGCAATTGGTGACCTGGCGGAAGGGGAAGCTGGAGCTGCCGGCCAGCGGACAGGTGCAAATCGAAGTCGCATCCCGATCTGCCCATCGCAGGTGTGGGTTGGAATTGGTGGCGTCAGCCAGCCAGGCCTGCGTGTTCCGGACTGAGTGACTGACTGTTATGAACCAGGGTTCAAAAGCGAAAAGCAACACGGAAACGTCAACGGCTCGCCGAGTGCAGACTCCAGAAAGTCATTCCTGGGTCCAAGGGGGTTGGGCGTCCATTGCGCTGGAACACTATGCACCCACTGCACTGTTCCTTGACCGAGCACCTTTTCAGGCCCACAGCCAGCCAGCAAGTCATTGCTGGCATCGTGTTTCGCAAGACAGCTGGGGACAACAGTCCAAGTCATGAGTGTCTCGGCTGCACAACACCGCTCCCGGGCCAATGACGGGACAGAGGAAGCGAGCAGGGGCAGAGGGAGGTCGTCTGCTTGCTTGGCTCTCGGGTCTTTCAACGGCCGATTACGAAGTACACGAGGGATCGAACCCGTCACTATTTGTTTGAAACAGGAAGACGTCTGGCGCCAATGTTCGCCACCTTGAAGATCTCTTGCGACGTGCTTCCTGTCAGTTAGTCGTCAAGTCGGAAGACATGCGGGCATGCTTTCACCAAACCAACGTACTTGGTACTTGGGAGTCCCGTCGTGTGGACTTTGTACGAAGTCACACCCAGGGCTTCCCCCTCGGCCACGTCGGCGGGGTCCGTACGTGACACGTGACACCGGTGTCGGCCCCACAAACCCCCGCAACCAACTTTAATTCCTCAACATATTTCGCGATCTTGATTACTCACGCCCTTGATCTCAGATATGGTTGCGCGCCATATGCTCCATTGGCAACGAACGTAACGAATGCCACACATCTAGTTCAACATGGCTGAGAAAAAGGCGGACGCCCCGGCAGCTGGCATGCTCTGGGGGGGCAGGTTCACAGGTTCGAATGTCTCGGGAAACAAGCTTCGGATGCAGTATACTGAACTCGCGGTGCGCAGGTGCGATTGATCCTCTCATGCACAAGTACAATGCCTCCATCCGGTACGACAAGGCTCTTTACAAAGAAGATATCCTTGGGTCGATTGCTTTTGCCAGGGCCAACTCGAAGGCTGGTATCATCAGCGAAGAAGAATTCCAGGCGATTGAGCATGGGTTGCTCCAGTTGATGGAAGAATGGAAGCAGGGAACTTTCGCTATCATGTCGAATGACGAGGATGTGAGAGGCCACTCAATGCTACTCCTCTCGAGGCTAACACAAGGGACCAGATTCATACGGCAAACGAACGTCGCTTAGGAGAGGTCATCGGCAAGGACATCGCGGGTAAGCTGCACACAGGTCGCAGCCGCAACGAGCAAGTCGTCTGTGATATGCGCATGTGGTTACGCGATCGGATCCGCGAAATCGACAGCCAACTCGTCGCATTCCTCAAGGTCATTGTCACACGTGCCGAGTCTGAAATGTAAGCCTAGCAGCAGCCCCCCCCCCCCCCCCTGGCCGAAAGCAGCCCCCTGCTGACTGACAACCTCAGCGACTACATCATGCCTGGATACACCCATCTCCAGCGTGCCCAGCCAGTTCGGTTTTCTCAATGGATGATGTCACATGCCGCTGCGTTCAAGCAAGATCTCGAGCGGTTGCGCCAAGTTTTCGAAAGGGTCAATCTAAGTCCACTTGGTTGTGGCGCTTTGGCCGGCAATCCATTTGGAATCGATCGAAATATGATAGCTGAGGAGCTTGGGTTTAGCGGAATAACCTTGAACTCCATGAATACTTCGGCCGACCGCGATTTCCTAATCGACTTCCTGGTCTGGAACTCCATTTTCACCAACCACATCAGCAGGTGGGCTGAGGACCTCATCATATATTCGACATCTGAGTTCAGTTTCGTGCGGCTGGCCGACGCCTATTCTACGGGTAGCTCTTTAATGCCCAATAAATTCAACGCCGACTCGTTAGAGCTTCTGCGCGGCAAGTCAGGGCGTGCTTTCGGTCAAATGGCTGGGTTAATGATGGTGAGTCCTCTTATCAACACCTCAGCCAGTTGCCTTGGCTTTGAGGGTAACTAGGTGCGTATCGAGAGTAGCTACTAACTATTCACTTGGAAAGACTGTCAAAGGCTTGCCATCTTGCTACAATAAAGATCTCCAGGAAGGGTGGGAGCCTATGCTGGATTCGGTTCAGACCGTGTCAGATAGTCTAGGCATCGCCAATGGGGTCATTGCTACATTGAAGGTGCGGCCAGAGCGGATGGAGGCTGCTCTGGACAAAACGATGCTAGCCACCGATGTCGCAGAGTGGTTGGTGAGAAAGGGATGTCCGTTCAGAGATGCTCACCACATCTCTGGACGCGTCGTTGCACTGTCGGAAAAGCTGGAAGTTCCGATGGACAAGCTGACCCTTGAGCAACTGCAAGCCATTGATTCTCGGTTCACAGCAGACATTGCCGAGGCATTCGAATACGAAACGAGTGTCGAGGCGAAATCGTCTCAAGGCGGTACCAGTCGATCAAGCGTGCTGGAGCAGATTCAGGTGCTCAGGGCTATGTTAGATTAGAACCCCTGCGACAAAATTGATCTGATAGCACGACCCAACTCTTCATCCGAGCAAAGAGCGTCAATCTTCTTGAATCCTTGGCAGTGTCTCAGATGATCGTCCTCGCATCCCCGAGGAAAGTATGTGTGGCATATTTAACAATGCCGTTCCGGACAGTCATGAGGTTCGTTGCGGTACTGGAGTCTCGCCTTGACCGTCAGGTTCCCGGCTTCGTGCGTAGGTTATCACGTGACGGAACACGGTGCAAGCTTAGCCAGTCAGGAAGCGGAAGCATCGACAGCGGCACACACATTACGAAAGCGAGACACCCGACGGCGGTCTTCGAGAAGCAGGTTGGTCAGCCCCAAACAGGACGGTTTGTCCAGTCGGGTAAGGTGCTGATTTGACCTAACTATTGCGATCCGTGAAGCCAGCTGTAACATACAAACTTGTCTGTCTGTACATACATACATACATGACTTGTCGAGACCACCGTTTTCCCAGTTGCTGACGGCTGCGACCAGATGCTGGGCCGGGAGAGAAGCAAGCCCCTCAGAGATGCGGTGGCGGGCTGTTCTGCGTGAACGGAACCGGGGAGCTAAATACGGTGAGTGCTTGATTGGTGTGTCGGCAAAATGGTTGGCGTTGATTTTAGCCAGAGTGCCGTCACCCTCTCAGTGGTGAAATATATTACTCTGCCGTGTCCGGTGCATCCTTTATGCCTGTTCAGGACATCCCTCTTCTGATTCTCGCCGCTTGGATTGCCGCCTGCTTGGGACGAAGGATGGCTTCACCGCGGCCGATATTTGGCCAATATATCTGCACCGCCCATCGTTGATGGTGACCCGGCGGCCATCACAGTGTCCTGGAGAAATTCTTCATCATTCCGCCATTGGTGCGGGAGCAAACAGGATGAGTGCTCTCCCAGCCTCTTGGCTAGTATTTAGACCACGAATGAAGCGCGCAAGCGGTGCCGACAAGTCTTGGTGGCTCAAGACGACAATGAGCGATCGTCATAACGCGGCGAGAAGCGCAACAAGAATGCTCAGATCCCGTCTTTGCTGGCCGGTGGCCAAGAAGTTCCCCTCTTGGTTTCACCACCACCGAGACCATCTCCCCGGCATTTGCGGTACCAAGCGGACGGCATGCCACTTCCAAGCGAGGTTCCCCGCAATATCACTCTCCTGTGGGACTTCGGTCAGTGATGCCAATCAGGCTCAGGGCCATCGATGCGGAGCGCACAAGCAGCGGCCGGCCACGACATAATGAAATGTCAGGACCCTGAAAGTCGGTAACGCTGTATGTACTGCGAATGTTGTTTTCAACGCTTCCCAGGCCCTTGGTTGCCCGTTGGCGAGGATTCACCATGACCTGATTCTGTTTTTTAAAACCACCGACGAGAGGACTCCAGTGCCCTCTCCGGGCATTATTCGGGGCCGGTGGGCGGGTTGGCCGATGGTGGGCTGGCCTTCCTGGGGTTCCCTCGCGGCAGGGTGGAGGCACGGACTGGACTGGACGACGAGTTTGCGCGTCATCAGACGAACCCTGGGGGTCTTGATCGCAACGCCTCAACTCTATCGGACATTTCGTGTGGGTTCTCAGCCAGTCTCAATCCGCGGAAAGCCAACGCCGCAAGCCTAGTGTCGGGAATCTGTCAGCCACCGGAGCTAGCCGCATCGATACGCCACGTGCGGTGGATGGTCGTCAATGTGGTGTTCGTGTGTTCCCCAGCAGGATCCAGACTGGTCCGTAGGTTGTGCTGGAAGAGTGCATTGTGCGAAAGGTCCTGTGTAGCGCTGGGATGCAGACTGGTCCTGCGTCCGGGGTGTTGTGCTTCCAGTGAATGGCGTCGCGTTCGCGCATCCAGGTTTGGGTTCAATTTGCCTGGCAATCTACAGACGGCTCTCCCAGGGCAAAGTGCCGAGAAGGGGCGGGACTTCGGAGGGAGGACGGCGCGCGTCCAGGATGTTACCTCCCGCGCACTGCGGGGAGTGTGAGGTTCCTGGCCTGTTTTGCGTTTGTGGCGGACGGAGAGAACAAGACTCGCCGGCGGAGAGGGGCTCGAGGGGGGGGATGGGCCGCCGACCCAAGCATTTCAGTGGCTTTCCGCTTTTCTGGGCATCTGTTTAGCCAGCAACCCCAGCCCCTGTCATGGATAGCCGGTGTTGGAGGGTGGCTCGCCCTGGCCCTCCTGGCCCCTCCCTTGCTTCTTCTTCCAGGTTGCTTTGGGGGGAACCTGGAAGGTGGTGGGGGGGGTTTAATGGAGGAAGAGCAACAGCGAGACAGCGCCTGCCCTCACTGCCCGCTTTCCAGGGGTTTTCGGTCTTGGGCAGTGGAGACGGTGCCCAGTGCTTATCGAAAAAGGGAAGCTCGACCAAGTCGAAACTTGCAGGTTCCGTGTCCCCCTGGCTCCTGCCGCAAAACCGTCAGTTTGCCGGCCTCGTGCCTGGTGCCTCGATCTTGCCCGCCCTGGTCTGACAAAATTTCCAATCCCGCCGTTAACGGCAAGTTCCTGAATTGAATCTTATCGCATGGGGGAATGAGGTCGGGATTAATTGAGCCTGCCAGGACTCAATCAACGGTGTTCGACACCTGGCCCCCCTTCGCTCCCGCAGCCTGGCCCAGTCCACGGGTCCTCTTGCTGCTACTCACGCCGATCTTTCCTGCTTGAGCGGCAACCCCCAGAATTCTCTGGGAAGGCGAGACATCTCATCCAATCTCATCCCAATCCATCCCAAAGGGTTCCGTTTTGATTTCCCGACTGGTATTTTCCGCCGTTGCATTCTTCGTCCCACGAGACGCTGCACCCGCATGCCCGGTCCCTCTCTCGCACCCATCCATCCCTTCCCATCCTTCCATTCGAGTCCTATCTTTCGCGTGCTGGAAAGGAAGAAGGACGTCGTCGTCTGGTCGATCTTCAGCTCCCATTACACACACTACCCGGTACTCCTGCGAGACGGCATGGAGTGAGAGAGCGCTGTGCTCGATCCGCGCACTCCGACCTCCCCCGTCTTATTCACCGTACCGGCCTCTCTCCCCGTGACTCTCGGCGTGCCGGCTGCCAGTTCCCACTACCGCACGCTCCGCAGCCCATGGCACACCGACGCGGCCTCACAAGCGTCCTAGGACCCCTCCTCTGGTGACAGAACGCCGTTGACTGCGCGCAGTCCGGGCCCGGGTGCTGCAATCATGCGGTTACCCTACCTCGGGGCCGCTGTCGTTCGTGACGTTCTGCTGCTGCTCCTCGCCGTGTCGCAATTGGGGGCTGCCGCCGCCCACGAGCCCGATCCACCAACTCCGAGTCCGCTTTGGATCCCACCATCCGGCGAGTGGTGCGTCGTCCTACTCCTTGTGTGCCCTGCTCACTTTATGCCGTGCGCATCCGCTGACTAGCCCGGCAGGTATGGCATCGACGGGACCTGGTCTAACTTCGCTTTCTTCATTGGCTCCCCCGCCCAGGTTGTGTATCTCAGCGTCGCTACAGCGCTGTCGGAGATATGGGTGGTCTCCACGGGCGGCTGCGTTCCAGGTGAGTGCGATGCTCTCGAAGAATACAATTGACAGTTGTGTTGACCAAGAACCAAAGTTCAACTCTGCATCGACGCTCGTGGTGGCGTCTTCGACATCTCGCAATCCGACACATGGCGTCCGCTGGGGGGTTGGCAGTTGGGCATGAACTATACAGGCATGGGAGGGAACGGGAACTACGGGTTGGAGACGCTCGCTTTTTTTAACAGGGTGACGCGCTTCACGACGGCCGTCGACGGTGCCCTGGTGGCGGCCATCAACGACACCGACTACTACCAGGGATACATTGGCGTCGGCGTGACCCAGGGCAGATTTGGGTCCAACCTCACCAATCCTTTCATTTCGCAGTTAGCGCAAACCTACGGAACTATTCCGAGTCATGGCTACGGATATACGGCGGGCGCCTACTACCGCACCGGTAAGTCGCGCTCACATATGGCCAACTCCACGGTTTGAGTTCACTGACGATGGGACCAGATGAATCAAACGGTGGGACAGTGGCATCCCTCACACTTGGGGGGTATGATACCCTAAGGTTTGAAAAGCACGATACCAAATTTACACTTGACCCAGTTACACGGCTTCCCGTTGTGCGGCTCCGCGGGATAACAGCCACGGTACCCACGCTCGAGCAGGCTCCCACCAAGAATTGGACGTCGACGGAACGTTCGTTTGTTAAAATGGACGATGCTATCATCGCTACCATTGACTCGTCGACACCGTACCTGTGGCTCCCTACCGAGGTGTGCGAGCGGTTCGCCAAGGCGTTGAACCTGAAATGGAGGGAGGATCTTGGCCTCTACGTCTTCTCCGACGGCGTCCAGTATACGAATTACCAGACCAGCACGTCGCTATCATTCACCTTCTCCCTCTCTAGCTACCAGAATGCCGACAACTTCGGGCAACCTTTCAACACTCCTGGCGTTGTCAACATCACCCTCCCATCCGCCGCCTTTGCGCAACTTCTACGTTACCCTTTCAAAAACATTATCCAGTGGGGTGATTCGAGCGTACCATATTTCCCCCTCAAACGGTCGACCAAGAGCGTGAACGACAACCGGTACATCATCGGACGCGCGTTTCTGCAGGAGGCATACATCATCACCTCGTACGACCGAGGAACCTACTCACTCCACCAGGCTCTGTTTCCCAAGAACGCGACGGAAAACTACTTGCTTGAGGAGATTACCAGGCCGACGGATAGCGCCTATCCCAAATATGAGAGCGAGCCCACTCCCGACCAAGGGTTGTCTACTGGCCAGACTGTCGGGATTGTGCTGGGTGCGTTCATCGTTGGCAGCATTGCGGCGTTGCTGGTGTGGTTCTGTCTACGCAAACGGAAAGACAAGCAGAAGGACGTCTCGGGGCAGGAAGACGAGAACAAGGACGGCCCTCAAATGATGGAGGAGGAAGAGGAGGAGGAACCTACGAGCCCCGTCAAAAGGATGTTTACAAAGATCATACGAAAGAAGCGATCACGGAAACCGGTAGTCCACGAAACGGATGGCCAAAGCACGCAGCCAGTCGAGGTTGGTGCTGACGCACAGCATCAGGTGTTCGAGATGCCGGTGCCCCCCGAGCCCGTCGAGCTAGATAGTCACGACGTGGGAGACGAGGACACTGAATTTGGCGCCGACAGCGCCCGAGCGTTGAGCCAATACGAGATCACAAGGCGGAAACTGGACCGTCAGCTACAGGGACCAGTGCCGACCTACACACCAACTGCCACATTCCCGAACGGACCGGGACCTGAAAAGTCAATGCAAGGTTCAAGCCCCGTGGCCCATTACAGACCGATCGAGGATCCCTCACCAGCATCGTCACCGACTTACGCAAACAGTAATTCACTCCCAGGCACTCTTCCCTCCCCGATGACGCCCCACGGCGACTGGACAAACCGCGCGTTCGATCTCCCATCGCCAATGACAGTTGCGCCCCCAGCACACCTCCTACACGCGCCTTTGACTGGTTCAGATGCGGCCTACTCGCCCGTCTCCCCTCACTCTCCGCATTCACCACACACATACGCTCCATCGTCCATCACCCGCGCAGAGTCCAATGACTCGCCCACCTCTGCGACCGGATCCATGCAGCTACCATCCCCGACATTTCAGCGAACTCCCATCGACCCGTCACGAGTGGTGTGCCTGGGTCCCTTGCCAGAAAACGTTCAGCTCCCACGCCCTCAACAATCAATACCGCGAATAGTCACCTCGGTCCATCCCCCGGCAGACACACGCACCGAGGCCGGCCCAGCCTATTTACGCCCCCAGGATCTACCGCTTCCGCAGCCATTAGGGCACCATCGCTCTCATACGCAAGGTTCGACCGACACGCTGGGGAGCAACTTCACTGTCGAAGAAGAGACCCGCTTCCGGACGGACGAGGGCGTATCACCAATACAGCCGAGCATAGCGCAGGAGCACGAATACCAGGGCCAAGACCATGACCGCGACCGCGACCAGGACCAGGACGTACCCCGTACCCCGTGCAGCATGGAACGCATCGATGGGGGTTCGGAGCTCATCCATGTGCCGCAGGTCGCCGAGAAGCGGTACAGCTGGGAGGAGGACCGGGGCGGCAGTCTCAGCTGAGCAGGCTCCTGGGCCACTGCCCGAGGCTGCTCCTGCCTAGCGTCGACGTTCCCTATGTTGGGTGGCATCATGCATCGTATATATGCTATGCGACCTTGGCTTTGGCTTCGCCTATTTTGGGATATCGCGTTATATACCACTACCATGGCTGGCAACTTTCCTTTCTAGTCTTTGGATACAATGGGAGCGAGGAGTTCTGGAGTTTTTTACTTGGCCAGCGCAAAATGGAAAGGCCGGGTTGGGCGGAATGTATGCGATGGTGTGATTGTTTTTTTCATCGCTTTTTTTGGTTGGCGGCGTTGGATCTTCCGAGATAATTTTTGGGGATGGCGTAAGAGAGGAGTGGGGAGCATCCCGATGGTCAGAGGTTGCCGTTCTACGTGAGATTACGGAAAGGAAGGCACTGGGGGTTTCAAAGGATACTAGGATAGTATCATTGGTATCATTGCAGTCTGCCTGCTCTGACTCGGGACTTGAGCCTAGAGAAGAGATAGCAACAGTAGAACAACAGACACAGTTGTCTAAACGTACGGACTGCTACCTGTGAACGCGGTTTCTACTTGACTCGTACGATAGCCCATAATGAAATCGTGTACTCGTTTGCTTATACTTCTCGCTGATATCATGTCTCACCTCTCGCAAATAATTGTTATTATTGTTATTCTAGTCTACGTAACCGATTGAAAAGGGTCTATGTAACTAGCAGGTAGGTGGCCGCTCCCTTCCATATTTATTCCCCGCCAACCTCACCACCTAGTTAGTCTAGATGTATTTCACTCTCGCCAGATCCTCATATTTTAACCCTGCGAACATCTCATGAGGCCTGGTGATCGACGCAGGGCTCTAGGTGGCAAACACACAAGACGTAGCATGCTGTTTACCACGCGGCTATGCCGGATATCAAGAACAGAGACACATTGCCAAGGGCATCTCAACTCCCATACGATACTGTACCGTTCGGTGTGCGGACTAAAGCGGAGAAGATCTTGATGGTCATACCTCCTATCTGACTATGACCGCCACCCACTGTAACCTGTATGTGACTCCCTATCTATCCCACTCCATGTCTTGAACGCAAAACACAACAACACCGAACTCCACCCCCCGGGCGCAAAACCCAAAGAAAGAAAGCCGTGGCAAGCCAGCTCCATCCGCACCCCCCCCCCCCCCCCCCCTTTACCACGTTTCCTGCCACATGCTGACATTCCCCGGGTTGGACAGCCACTTCTCGGCCGCCTCCTTGTCCTCGCACATCTTGCTGAGGACCAGCACGTCCAGCAAGGCGTTGCGCACCGAGATGGGCATGCGCCCGTTGCTGCCGCAGATCAGCACGTACGGATGCCTGCGCATCAGGGCGGCGACGTCGTCGGCGTGCGCCCGGATCAGGTGCTGCACGTAGTTCTTGTGGGCGTCATACTGGACAGGGTAGACAGTCTCTAGCGCGGCGGCGAGAGGGTCGGTCGGCGCCGGGGTGGTGGTGCTGGTGACGGTGGTCTCGGGTTCGGGTTTGATGTTGTCGCGCGAGAAGGCCGGCAAGACCCTGAGGTTGGGATACGAGCTCCATTCGTGGCCGAAGTGGAAGTCGGCGGAACGGTTGCGAGCGCCGAAGAAGAGCATCGTGTCGCCGGCGACACCATAGCAGTCGCGCTCCTGGATGACAGCGCGGATTGGAGCGATGCCGGTGCCGGTGGCGATAGCGATCAGAGGCCGTCTTGCTTCTACATCGTTCCGTACGAGGTGGGAGCTTGATGGTTTCAGTTGGAGTGCCAACCGGGTGCCGGCATTGAGGTGTTTGAGGTAGCGAGAGCAGAGACCCTGACGCGGCCTGCGGATAATGGTCTTGTATTCGACTAGAGCGACCAAGATCTCGATTTTAACGTGGCAGCTCTGGTCGACTTCATTAAAGCCCAGACCTCCGTTGCAGACGCTGAATTCACGGCCACGGATGACTGGAAACATATCGAGAACCCTGCTATATGGTATCTTCACGCCCGTGAAGTCTCGCAGCAGTTCCAGGATAGTCCGGCGAGGACGACACGTATAATCGTAGAACTCCTGCTCGTTCCCGGGCTCGACGAGCTCCGCGATCCGTTCTTGCTCCCTTTCATCCTCGGTGAAATGGAGTAATTCCCTAATGAAGGTTCGCTTGGGAACAGCGGTGATGTCCAAGTTGTGGGTCAAGAGGTGCCGCAGGGTGGTAACACGATCCTTCGCATGCAGTCCACGAGGAACGCCTTTGAGCTGGAGAGGAGCGTCCGCCTCTGCTTCCCATCCCATCTGGAGAATTAACTCGTCGACATCTTCCGGATAGTTCTTGGGCCAGATGACGAGAGTGAGACTACCGCTTGAGCTCATGATGTCGGGAAACGTTTTGCTGCCTATGTCAAGGTCGAAGACAAGGTGACGCACATCTTGCCAGTGATCGACCGGTGTGGCTCGAGCATGGTGCAACAGCCTGCCTACACAGGTATTCGGGATGGGGAGCAAGTCTTCCGGCGGGCATTCCGGTATATGGGCAGGCTGTCGCTCGAGGAGATACTTCTCCGGGTGGTCCTTGAGTTGATTGCCCTTATCCATCGTGCCGAAATCTCGTGGCGAATCTTTCTCAAAGAGCCCATCTCGGCGGACGAAGTCGGCTGGGAAGGTGGGATTCAGCCGCAACCAGTCCTCCCGCGCCTTTTCCGGGCTTGTCTGGGGGTTGTCGACGTGAGAGCGATCAGCGCTTTGGGTCTTCGAAGCGAGGAACAGGCGCTCATCTTCGGTCAGCGACGCTCCACCCACGCTGCCACGAAAATGACCTGTGCCGTCCATGATCGAGAGCAGCTGTACGGGATATTTAGGCGGGAGTTGGGCGTTGTCTGGGATGGGGCTCAGGGAGTCTGGGAGGGGATAGTCGGCGAGCAACGTCTTCTTAAACTCCTCGTACCATGGGAGATAGATGCTGTCAATGCTGGTGGGGAGCAAAATGTGTTAGTGTTTAGGTTGTGCGTGTTCAGAGAGAGAACCAAACGAATGATGGAATCCCTTGAGACATGGTTGGAAGTAAAAGGAATAGAGAATGACGTGGATTAAGGCCCGTTTGCGTGGATAGGTGCTTACCCGTTATCGTGCCGCTCGTCTCCTTCCCCGGGCCTGAAGAATTCTGTTGCGCCAAGTTGCAGGAGCCTCGCTCGCAGCTTCCTCGCAGCCCAGTTAAATCTGCGTCAGAGAATCCGTCAGTAACTTGAACGGTACTTAAAATAAACACTGTCTTGAAACCTTATATCAGGACATCAAGGGCGGTAGTGTATCGATTTGTCACGCAGCAGTAGGGAGTGCATACTTCGGATATGAGCTATCCCCCAGCCCGAATATGGCAAACCGTAGCGACCGGAGGCAGTTGGTGTTGTTGAGTTTCTCGCGCCTGAGGTTTTTCCAAAATTTGAGTGTGTTTTTTGGCATATCACCTTGCCCAGTTGTTGACGTGACAAAGACGACGAGCGAGGAGCGAACTATGTCTGCCTATCCGTGGTGTTGTTAGGCCAACGCTTATCGCAGAGAAGAAAGTGCATAACGTTTGAGGGGCAACGCACCAGTTTGAAGCTGTCCATCTCATCCACCGTGGTCTGGAAATGCAACCGTTCGGTAGTCTTGCCTAGCTCACCCGCAATGTCCTCGGCCAGTCCAGTCTCGCTCCCATACAACACGGCCATGCTCCTGCCCTCAACCGCGGCGGGTTGCACCACCCGACCAAATCCACCAACATCGCCCATGTTCTTTTTATACTGTGAAGTCCACGGGCAACTCTAGATAATCCCCAGCCTCCGGTCACTCACCCGGGCACACTTTCCTCTGCTGATTAGAACTTGGGTGCCACTGGACTTCTACCGCATGAGGCCGAAGGTCGCTGGGAGTCAAGAACTACACTGTGGTTTATATTCCAGAAGGCCCCGATCAACCCGGCTTGGTGTAGCGCGAATCGGCACACACAAGAATGGCTGGTTTAGTCACCCTCAAAAAGTAGAATCGTAATTAGGGCTGTGTGGCAATGTTGGAAACAGAGCCTGCTAGATCTCTGTTTGTTCATGGGCGACCGAGGTGAACGCCAAATCGCCGATGTATCTCCGCCGGTCATTCGCTAGCTGAGTCCGATTACCAAGACGAGCCGCTCTGAGTGTGTCATTGGTAGCCTAGAAACGTTTTGAGGGACGAACAAACGCGGTTCTGTTCCTTATCAGATCGGTTGTGGGGCATCAAACCCGAAACCGGCTGCCAGCTTTTGCAGGACCTCTCAGTCACCGACATCGGGTTGAAAATGGGCGGAGGTTCTGTCGCTCCTCAACATCCACCTACACAGTAGATACCTCAACCATAAACGCCTTGCCAGGATCTACCTACCAAAGGATGAAATTACCGACGACCATTCAGAAGCCATGACGCAAGAATTTGTTTTTGCGAGTCGGGCCCACTGCCTGGACGGCTGGGATGTGAGGATGAGCGGATACCCCGCCTGTCACATGCTCCGCCAGCGATGCGGGTTTCGCTTTGGAGTGGCCAACTGCGGCGACTCAACGGGAGGCATGATTTCAACGACAACTCTCAGAGAGGTCAGATGATATGCTGTGTTTCGGGTCTTCACACCAATACTCGTTGTCAGTGAACATGTTTGTAGTTAGCGCATGCTTTGTGACCTTTGCGTTTGCATGGGGATGTCGAAGAGCCCAGATTGCCACCTCTCTCTCTAAGATCGCATCTCTACTGTCCTGTGTACTGTGTATGTCATTACAAGACTCGCTCGAGCTCTAGCCAGCCGCAGGTGGCAATATCTCTGGACAACAGAGCCACCTCATGAAAGGCGATAGGCAGTTCTAGAAAAATGTCCGGGGTACCCCACCGCAAGAATCGGGTTGCAGCAGCTGCCTGTCGAGTTTCGTCGGAACAGACAAATCACGCGCAGGTTGAATGAGGAGATTTAGTGGCCATTTTGATATTTACAGTTTCATTAACAGTGCAAGATCACGCAGGCGTCACCACCAACCTGACGACCACGCCAGCACTCTGTCAAAGTCACCTGGATCCGCCAAGTTGGGTTTGTTGTCAATGCCCCTCAGCTCCCGGACCCATTCAACAGGGGTTTGCCTCCAAGCATGCCACTAGCCCCGGATCCAGGCCTGGACTCTGATGTCGTGGCTGTCTCAGACCTCCCTGTCTGTCTAAACATACTTGTATGTAATAAGGTTCTGAGGATGTGGAAGACCGTTTGATCGCTTCGCAGCCTGATCGGGCATTGGTGGTTTCGCTTCCCGCTGCTCTTTCCCGAGCCACCGAATATCTGGTCTTTCCGTTTGCTAGCCGTGGCTGCAGCGACTGCCTGGTAGTACTGGTAATCAAAAGGAAAAAGTAACGATGGAAGCCTGCCTATTCCGGCAATCGAGAAATTGTCCTCACCGTAGCAACCCTCGGCCACACCACAAGCCCAAATCGAGAAATCTCGATTTAAGAGCCCGACCTTTTTCTCTTTTCGCAAACATACTACTTCTACAGATAATCTATCTCTAATATTCTGCAGGGAACGGGATTGTTGCGTCAACTTTAACAGAAGCACGCAAACTCTTTGGCTATCTCACGCATTGACCATTGACCACGCACCATTCGCCTCGCACTTTAACCACTCGAGCGCGACCCCAAAGGCACCTCGACATTGCCTAGAAATTCGGAGTTGACTCACATTTGCGAGGTAAGTGCGGAGAACACACGGGAAACATCATCTGGAAGCCCTCAATTTTCGAAGCTTTCTGTTGTTCAAGTTGCAGAAGCGCAGACTGAGCGAGCTGTTCGGTGAACAACCCTGCATTGCCCTTGCCCCACTCACCCCGGTGTGAACCAGGCCAGGGTAGGTACGTACCCTGGCCTGCCGCCACGCCTTCCCTCTCGCTTAATTCCCCGAAGGCCTGGCAAAAATATTTGTTTCTGGCTGTGCCGCTTCACCTCTTTTTCCCCTTCTTCCTTTCCACGTCAAATCATCAAGGATCGATTAAAAGCTCCCTCAACTTCGACCAAACCCCCGTCAACCTTTCTAGGGCACGTAGCTACCCTTTCTGACTCCCCCTCAGCCCCAGAGTTCAATCACACTCGTCCGCTCACCTCGGCTCCTCGTTTTTTACTTGGCGCCTTCACTCACGCACGACGAGTCAACATCGCCTCCTGTCAACCGACACCCGACTCCATCAAATCAACTATCAATTATCAGTCACCATGTCTACCGTCGTGGAGAAAGTCACCGACGCTGCCTCCGCTGCCGTCGGGGATTTGACAAACACTCTGGCCAATACCTCTATTGCCGGCAAGGGCGCCGAAGACAACTCGGCCAACAACGACGCTGTCCTTGCTAGCGCTGCCGAAGGTCGCCGCCTGTACATCGGAAACCTGGCTTATGCGACAACGGAGGGGGAGTTGAAGGACTTCTTCAAGGGCTACCTTGTGTAAGTTATGATCTTTCATTTTCCCTTTGGCCATGCGTCGACACTTGCACACCGCCGGTTGTCCCAGAGCACCCGCCACACCACCTTTTGACCATGACCTCTCTCCTCACCCAAGATGGTTAATGACCGCTCACCGTGTTGTGCCTCTATCGCCTACATCGGTGTCGATCGGTGGCCAGCCAGTGTTTTGACACCTCGACGTGATCAGCACTGCTTTATGACTGTTCTTCGTTTTCCTTGTACCATCGCTAACCGTGCATCGATTCTTGCCACAGCGAGTCTGTTTCAATCCCGAAGAACCCTCGCACCGACCGCCCTGTCGGTTACGCCTTCGTCGACTTGTCGACTCCCAGCGAGGCCGAGCGCGCCATCGCTGAGCTTTCGGGCAAGGAGATTCTGGAGCGTAAGGTCTCCGTTCAGCTCGCTCGGAAGCCCGAGACCAGCGAGAAGGCGGAGGGTGCCAACGTCGAGGGTGGTGCCGAAGGCACTCGCCGTCGCCACTCTACCCGTGGTCGTGGCCGGGCTGGCCGCGGCCGTGGTGGACGTGCCCGCGGTGGCCGTGGCAGCGGTGTAAGTAGTTCCCTGTGTCGCCAGGTTGTTGAGGACGCGAATGCAGACGACTGACATGATGATAGGATGAGAAGAAGGAGGAGGGTGCCGCTGAGGCCGACGATGTGGCCGCTGCAGCGGAGCCCGAGGCCCTCAAGGACGTCACTAACGAAGCCACTGGCGAAAAGGAGGGCAAGTCCGGCAAGGCCCAGGCTCGTCCCCGGGAGCGTCGGGAGCGCGGCCCCCCGGCCGACGGTATCCCGTCCAAGACCAAGGTCATGGTTGCTAACCTCCCGTATGACCTGACCGAGGAGAAGGTCAGTGTCCCCAACCCCTGTTGATCGGTGATAGCAATTACTGACGCCCTCGTAGCTCAAGGAGCTATTCGATGCCTACCAACCGCTATCCGCCAAGATCGCCCTGCGCCCGATTCCCCGGTTCATGATCAAGAAGCTCCAGGCTCGCGGTGAGCCCCGCAAGGGCCGTGGCTTCGGCTTCGTCACCCTGGCGTCGGAGGAGCTGCAGCAGCAGGCCGTCGCGGAGATGAACGGCAAGGAGATCGAGGGCCGCGAGATCGCTGTCAAGGTTGCCATCGACAGCCCGGACAAGACGGATGATGATTTCAAGACGACCGAGGCGGAGGACACGAACGGCGCCGAGCAGGTTGAGGCTGCCCCTGTTGTGGCCGCTGCCTAGATGATGATGCTCCACTCTTGATGAGCTCACTGCATACATCAATGGAGATGCGAATGCACGCGCTTTTTCTATTCGGCAATCTCCCGTTCGTCTGTATTACTTTTAGGCGCGTGCATCTTCTTAACGACCGGAAATGGGTGGATGAATATTTTTTCCTTTTTTTTGCCAATGGCTAGACGGGATATTTCACGAAAGCGAGATCGGGGGCGGGATACTTCTGGCGTCCTGGAATTTGCGCAGGCTTCTAAAAAGGGGTACTGCGGGTAGAGTTCAGGGACACGTTATCCATTAACTATCTTGCGGCTTTCTGCAGAAATATCCCCTAATATCCTCATGACCTACTTTCTTACTTTCTTTACGTGGGGAAGATGATGGACGGCTTTCACTCTTTCGTACCCTCAGGCGTGTACACTAGGCTTCGCCGGAGTCAGGTTGGGGAATAGGAAAAGTTCCGGTCTCTACGATATCCAAGTGCGATGCCTTTCGGTGGTTGATTCTGGGGGGGGGGGGTGATGTGATGTGTCCGTGTCTGCATGTGGTGTGTTTGTGTGTGGAAGGACGGGAGGAAGGTCGCAGCGGTTCCTGCAGGGGTCATGGAGGCATTGCAGCGTCCAGACCTTGCCGATTGGCCCCGCCCAACCGAAGTCCAGAACCACTTGTCCTGTCGCGATAAACTTCCCCCCAGTATTTCGAGGCGCGATCAATTCCATTTCTTTGCGCAGTCCACTCGCACTCGAGAAAAGTCACGAAGGTGTGCTGTTTCACGAATTCTCGAGCATCGCAACAACCAAATTCACTCGAATATATCCCACTGGCTCATGCAGATCTGGTGAAAACGCCACGCTACACGAACCCGTGGACATTTCCAATTCTCTTCGACCGGCAGGCCTAGCACGGTAGATTACATATACCCGATAGCTGGTCGCCCAAGATGGCTTCAAAGGCCATGTGGGAGGTCGATCCCGAGACGAGGTCCAAAGTAGGTGCATTTAGATGCCTGCCATCTCCCCATTTCTCCTGTCGGCCAGCCACGCCCTAACAGTTGGTCTGCTGGTTCGTTTGCGCAACCGTGTTGCTGACGTTTTCCCCCTTTTTTTTCTGCGTGTGCATATAGCTCGTCACCATCCAAGCCGAAGCCCAAAACAACATCTGCTGCGACTGCAACGTGCCCTCGCCGCAGTGGGCGTCGCCCAAGTTCGGCATCTTCATCTGCCTGTCGTGTGCCGGCGTCCACCGCGGCCTGGGCGTCCACATCTCCTTCGTCCGCTCCATCTCCATGGACGCCTTCAAGGCCGCCGAGATCGAGCGCATGCGCCTCGGCGGCAACGAGAACTGGCGCCGCTTCTTCGAGCAGCATGAGGATACCAAGATGCGGGGGCTCACCTGGGACGACGCGACCATCGCCGAGCGCTACGGCGGCGAGGCGGGCGAGGAGTGGAAGGAGAGGTTGAGCGCCAAGGTCGAGGGCCGCGAGTACGTCCCCGGAGAGAAGGCGGCGAGCGCCAGTGCCGGCCCGGCGCCCGGCGCGGGGGGTCCGTCGGCGGCGCCCACCCGTAGCGGGCCGAGGGCGGGCACGCCATTGAGCGGGAGTGCTGCCGCTGCCGCCGCGCCCACGGGCGGGAGCAGCAGCGAGAGCCCCGTGCCGGGTGGGAAGATCAAGGTGGACGTGGACTACTTTGCGAAGCTGGGCGAGCGGAACGCGCAGCGGTCGGCTGACTTGCCGCCTAGCCAGGGCGGCAAGTACGCTGGTTTTGGCAGCTCGGGGCCGCGGCCGCAGAAGCAGGAAGCGATGCCTGGGTTTGACGATTTGCAGAAGGATCCTGTGGCGGCCATCTCCAAGGGCTTTGGGTGGTTCACTTCGACGGTCACGAAAACGGCCAAGACGGTCAATGAGGGGTTCATTCAGCCTACGGCTAAGCAGGTATGTGGCTCTCCCTCTCACACGTTCCTCACACTCCTCGTAGTTTCAATATTAATCAGATTGGTTAGATATCCGAGACGGACTTTGCGGCCCAAGCCCGCAACGCCGCCGCCCAGGCCGCGCGATCAGCGCAGGCGGGTGCCAAGACGGCGCAAGATGGGTTCACGCGCTTCGTTGAAGGCCCCGGTGGCAACGGGTATAAACCGGTGAACACCAATGGTGACAATTTCGACGAGAGCAGGCGGGGATTCTGGGACGACTTCTCTGCCGCTGCCGACCAAAGGCAGGCGAGCGGGAGCGCAATAGGCACGGCGGCTATGGGGAAGGGTGGGAGGCAAGGGGGCTCACAGGGCTCAGCGGCGGGAAACAAGAAGAATGAGGAGTGGGATGATTGGTGAGAGGAGGTATGATTGTGAACGGGGGGGAGGGGGGCGGTTGCGAGGCGTTGGATGGGACTTTGTGGGGAAGAAGAGAAGCAGGCGAGGAAGCAGACGGAGTTCCGGTGGCTTTCTGTAGGTGTCGGGTTCATCTGATGAGTCTGGTTATGGCGAAGAGAAGACAGTTTTGGTTGTTACAACCCCTGATATCCCCGTGGTGTAATCTGTACTTGTTTCGGGAGACAAGTTGGTCAAGTCGGGTCAGGGTTAGGGCTAATATTAAACATGTCAGGGTTGCAACGGCCCCGTCGCTTGGCCGAGGTTGGCATCGGCACTGGCCGGGGATAGGCCAAGGCAAAGCGATCGTCATGGGCCGCATTCAACGCTTCAAGTTCCCTTCTCCCTCCTCAGCCCGCCATTGAACGCCAAAACGCTCGCCATGTCAGCGCTACGGATATTGGTCCCCATTAAGCGGGTAATTGACTATGCGGTGAGTTAGTTACAAAGACAGAAGACCCCATCCGATCAATTCGGCCCCGCACGACTACATCTTCCCGATCTGATGCGTTCAAAATGGACCGGCTTTGCTGACGTTGCTCTCCCCATGTAGGTCAAGCCGCGCGTCAACAAGGCGCAAACCGGCGTCGAGACGGCCGGTGTCAAGCACAGCATGAACCCCTTCGACGAGCTCTCGGTCGAGGAGAGCGTGCGCATCCGCGAGAAGTCCCGGGCCCCCGGCGGCGTCGAAGACATCTGCGTCCTCAGCGCCGGGCCCCCGAAGGCCCAGGATGTGCTGCGCACCGCCATGGCCATGGGCGCCGACCGGGCCATCCACGTCGACGTGAAGGAGGGCCAGGACCTCGAGCCCCTGGCCGTTGCCAAGCTGCTCAAGGCGGCCACCGAGCAGCAGAAGAGCAATCTCGTCATCCTCGGCAAGCAGAGCATCGACGACGACGCCAACCAGACGGGCCAGATGCTGGCCGGCCTTTTGGGGTGGCCGCAGGCTACGCAGGCGAGCAAGGTTGAGTTTGGCGAGGGAGATGCGGTTAGCGTCACGCGTGAAGTGGACGGCGGCGTTGAGACGGTGCGCGCGAAGCTGCCGATGATCATCACGACGGATCTGCGCCTCAACGAGCCGCGCTATGCGAGCCTACCGAATATCATGAAGGCGAAGAAGAAGCCGCTGGAGAAGAAGACGCTGGCCGACTTTGGCATTTCGGCGGAGAAGAGGCTCAAGGTGCTCAAGGTTACGGGTGAGTTATGCGCAAGCGGTACTGCTCAGTCACGCATATTTTGGCTAACAATTCACAGAGCCACCTGCGAGGCAAGGCGGCGGCAAGGTGGAGGACGTGGACGGTCTCATTTCCAAGCTCAAGGAGCTCGGTGCTATCTAGAGGACCGGACGGGACCCTGTATATATTACCGACTGTCTCGCGCAATAGAGCCAACGGCAGGTTGTACTATCCACGACATGGGAAGATGCAATATGCGCAGCCTCCGAGCCTCGATTCTGAGGACTGATGCAAGCCCATTCAATGGGGGCAATGTCTACCTACGCAGTACATACCTGGAGAGGTTACACAGGTTACACGACCCCGCGATTTGGCCTCTGACGTCTGCCAGCCCCGGATGGTTGTTTCCAATCAGCCCCAGCGAGTCAACTTCGAAGGCGAAACGGCGGAGCCCATGGATTCTTGCGAAGATTCCCACACTCCCATATCCCTGTGACACCCATTGACTTTATCGCGCCCGAAACCGCAGCAAGAGACTGAGCGGAGCCGTCCGATTTAAGGAAAGTTTAAGTGGACGACCCCTCCGCCTCCCGTTTTTCGGCCTTGCAGCTGTCGGCTTCCAGCCAATGGTGACCCGGCCAATTGGTTGGGTGCGAAATCCGGTGGAGCCCAGTTGACAAAAGGGCACTTTTTTCTCCCGCCAAACTGCCCTCTCGTCCCTTCTTTTTCCTTTGAGTCAACCTCGCAATCTCGACAACGAAGACTTCAATTGAGTGGGAACTTGAAATACCACAAACCCCAAACATTATATAGCGGACCCTAGAACGGCTCCTCTACTTGTACTGCATTGGCCCTTATCGAAACCGCGCTGATGAAAGGTCGCCTCTCTATCTTCACTTCTCAGGTATGTTTGCCCTGCACCTGGGGGGTCGTGTGCTCCCCGACCCCACCATGCACTCCCCTCTGTTTCCGATTTCCCTTTCCCGACTCCGGCCCGTTGATGGTTGTATGGGTTTTCCGGAACCCGTTCGACCGGTCTACCGTCCCTCTGGATCTTCCATGACAACGTGTGTGTAGTCTACGGACCGAAGCTAATGTGCTGGCGCCTTAGGACTACCTCTCAGGTCCGCCCAACAAATCCCAGGGTCTTGACTCACCGCTTCATACTGACAAGAATTTTTTTAGACCATCTCTGGAGAGCCCTGTCAGCTTAAGAGCCCCCCTGTCCGATACTAGAGCTTTATATCCTTCTTCACATTCTCCCAAACACCCACCACCAGCATGTTCACTTCATTGGCCGCCCGCCTCCCCCGTGCCTTGGGTCATGCCGCTCCCAAGCCCCTCCGCCTCGCAGGCCAGGCTCGCCTCCTAAGCAGGCTGGCAGTGGATGGGAGCAAGGGCAGAGCCATGCCCGTTGCCAACACCACGAGGGCCACCGCCGCTGCGTCCGGCGTTGACGCTACCTTGACCATTAGGGTACGTTGCCGCTCGATGCATGACTTCAGACCTCCCCCCGCTGACTCTCCCGACAGGACGGCCCTGTGTTCCATGGCACGGCTTTCGGCGCCAACTCGAACATTTCGGGCGAGGCTGTCTTCACCACCTCGCTTGTCGGGTACCCCGAGTCCATGACGGACCCCTCTTACCGTGGCCAGATCCTGGTCTTCACGCAACCCCTCATCGGCAACTACGGCGTGCCATCGAACCAGCGCGACGAGTACGGCCTCCTCAAGTACTTCGAATCCCCCCATATCCAGTGCGCCGGAGTTGTTGTCGCCGACGTGGCTGAGAAATACAGCCACTGGACGGCCGTCGAGAGCCTGAGCGAGTGGTGCGCTCGTGAGGGTGTCCCCGTCATCTCGGGTGTTGACACTCGTGCCATTGTCACACACCTGCGCGAGGAGGGTTCCTCTCTCGCTAGGATCTCGATTGGTGACGAATACGATGCCGACGAGGATGAGGGCTTCATTGACCCTGGCGCCATCAACCTGGTCAAGCGCGTGAGCACAAAGGCCCCATTTGTTGTCTCCAACCCCAACGCGACCTTCCACGTTGCTCTCATCGACTGCGGTGTCAAGGAGAACATCTTGCGCAGCCTGGTCAGCCGCGGCGCATCCGTCACCGTCTTCCCCTACAACTACCCGATCCACAAGGTTGCCGACAACTTCGATGGTGTCTTTATCTCCAACGGCCCCGGTGACCCGACTCATTGCCAGGAGACTGTTTACAACCTGGGCCGGCTGATGGAGACTTCGTCGGTCCCTATCATGGGCATCTGCCTCGGCCACCAGCTCCTCGCTCTTGCCGTTGGCGCCCAGACCATCAAGCTCAAGTACGGCAACCGTGCCCACAACATCCCGGCCCTCGACCTCACTACCGGCCAATGCCACATCACCAGCCAGAACCATGGTTATGCCGTTGACGCGAGCACCCTGCCGAGCGAATTCAAGGAGTACTTCGTCAACCTTAACGACGGCAGCAACGAGGGCATGATGCACAAGACTCGCCCCATCTTCTCGACCCAGTTCCATCCCGAAGCGAAGGGCGGCCCGATGGACAGCTCGTACCTGTTTGACAAGTACCTGGAGAACGTCCATATGTACAAGGGCAACTCCAAGGTGTACCGTGACAACAGGCCGTCGCAGCTGATGATCGACATCCTCAGCAAGGAGCGCGTTGGTGTCGAGCCCTCGCCCCTCGCCGCGAACGCTGCTTGAGTTTCTTCGTTCCTGGCTTGCTTGCATGGTTCGGTTACGGGTTTGGGGTTCAGCGTTTTTTTGCGTCGTTCAATGATTTTGAGACATCTTTTCATGGGGGTATGGGGAGGGTCTTGGGTCGTCTGATGGGCAGATTGATATCAGTTGAATGTGTCTTCCTATGCGTAGATACCAAAAGTGACTTGCTTCTCGCTGGCAATTAATGGCTTCCTACTGTGTATTGCTTCCCTCGTATGTTTTTGCCATGACCGTCTTGTACCCTAAACACTGCAGATGAGGCCGGACGGTCCACTGGGACGAGCTCTTGCTTGGCTTGGTTAGCTAGTTAATCGACCACCGACCTGCATACATACACGGACACAGTGCAGGCACGCAAACGGCGGATGTTAAACCAGGGTATCTATTCCGTACAGCTGAAAGTTTTTTTGACACCATCCACGAAAGAGTCAGTGGATCTCGCTCTACCTTACATACATGACAAGCTGGTTTGATTGCTAGAGACGAAAACGAGAGCCTTGGACCCCCCCCAGTAGCGAATCAACCGATTCGCATTTTCGTTTGGGGTAAGTATGCTGCCGTGGTTGCGCTATGGTTGTTTCATTTTCAGGGTGGGACTTTTCCTCTCTAGCCGACCTGCCCCGCCTTATCGTGTCGTCACCTTGCAAGCCTGTTTTGGTATTTTTTTCTCTTTGTGATGGGGAGTGTGCGCAAATCTTGGTTGTCTGTACATGGATTTTGTTTGTTCCCAATCGGGAACAGGCCTTCTCGGGTTGGGTGATCGTCTGGGATGGCCGTGGGGTGAGCGCTGCTGGGCGGTTGGCTAATCATCTAGGTCTGCTGGGAGATGCGGGCTGAGAGCTGAGTTTGGGGGTGGGTGTTGGCACTCATTAATGATGAGCTTGGGGTTGACGGGGTATGCGCCAACCCACCCGCAGAACGGTTGTGGGGTGTTTAAAAACGGTCCCGTCTACCACCACCACCTCCGCCCCATCGTCCACCGCGGCCGCCACCACCGCCAAAGGTGGGAAGCGGTTGGCCGTCAAAGCGCGAGCGGGGGACCTCGTCGCGGTAGCGGTCGCGCCCATAGTCCCTATCACGGTCGTCACGGCGGTCGCGGCGATCGTCGTCCCGGTCTCGGTAGGGGCGGTCGTAGTCATTCCGGCGGCCGCCGCGGTAGCCACCATCATCGCGCGGGGGCCGGCGGGGGGAAGGGGTGCGGCGGCGAGGAGGTGGACCCCAGTTGCCGCCGCCGCGGCCGAAGCCCATACGGCGGCGCTCGCGCTCGCGGTGCGGAGGGCGGATGCCGATAAAGGCTTCCTTACCGCGGTCGACAAACAGGTCGCCATCTTCGAACGTGTACCTGTTGATGTCGTCCGGGGGACCCAAGTCGCGGTGGCGGTCCCTGCTGATGTGCGCATTCATGTTGTCAAGCCGGCGCTCAGCGATGTCCTCAGATATGGGCCTGTATTGAAGGGGAGGGTGTGCGCGCGTAGTTTTGTAATCGAGGCTACGGTCGTTATCGTCGTTGTAGTCACGGTCGCGGCCGCGGTCGCGATTGCCAGTAGTGGTTACAGCCGATAGCGGCATCTGCGCCTGGCGGTAATGGTTCGTTCCTCGGCCGCGCGGACCCAAAGGCGCTCCCTCGACGCCTGGGTAGCTGCGCGCTGGCCCGGTCGGAACCGGCGGAGGGCCGAGAGGCTGCCTCGTGGAATTGCGGCGAATGGGCTCCATCTCTGCGTTTACCAAATTGGCTGTGATGGTTCCTTCCTCGTCGGGCTCGTAGTGAACTTCCCAGCGATTTGATGATCGTCCACCTTCCGATCGCTCTCGGTCAATCCACTCAGCCACCTTATCCTCAGGAATAAAATCGGCCCAAAGTTCCTTTCTATTGCGCTCGTTGGGCCAGACGGTCCCGTGCAAAGCTGTGCGGACTCGAGAAGCGGCAGAAACACTGCTAAAGCTCACAAGCGCGTGGGTCCGAATTTGGTCGAGATGGAAATCAACGAGACAGTTCGGATCGGGTGCGGCACCAGGTAATGCGGCAAGGTCGATCAGGTAGTCTTGCAACATCGGCTCCCTCAAAGGCCTCATAAAATTCTTGATGTAGAGCGCAGATGTGGCGGGGTGCTGTGCTGGCGCAACGTCTCTTTCGAAGTCTGGGATCGGCTCGTCGACGATGTCGCCTAGTCGCTCTTGGTAGCGTTGCGGGGTAGTCGCCCGGTTCTGCTGCCAGTCGCGCTCTTCGCTGGGTTCGCGGTGCTTCCCTTTATCGTACTGAGGAGTCTCTCGGGTAGCTGCGTGGGCGTCTGTCGCTGTTTGCGCAACAGGCACAGGCTGGGCCGCAGGGAAGTCTTGATGACTATTGCCTTCACCAGACTGGTCATCGCTAGGCCGCGCGCGCTTTCTGGAAGACTCGTTCTCGGGTGGTGGGCTTCGCGACCGGCGTTTGCGGCTCACGGCGTCCGTAATAATTTCGGTAGCAGGGACCGGCTTGGTGTCAGCAGGCTCGGGGACATTCTCCGAAGCCAAAACCTCAGTTGTAATTGGCACTTCCGCTGGCTCGGCGGGCTCAATGACAGCTGCGGGTGTGGTGTCCGGCTCTTGGTTGGTGGGTGGAGTTTGCGCAGCCGCCTCAAGGGTTGAGGGATCCGGTGCCTCTGTGGAATCTTCCTCCGGCGGTAGATCTGAGTGGCCGGTATCCTGTGGCTCCGCTGCGCCCTGCTCAGGCGGTGAACCACTCGCTTCGTGATCGTCGTCGACTGAGTTGTCCGCGGGCTCTGATGCTGCTCGGTCGCTCTCAAACGTGACCAACCGGTCTATGAGATCCGCTTTTTTCCCATTTTGTGGTAGATTGCGGCGCTTTAGCTCCTGGCGCAACTCAATCACCGTCAGCCGACTGAAGTCTACCGCCATATTGGTTGGTGATGGTGGTGGTGGCGGGAAAACAAGGTGAGGCTGGGGAATGCGCGTCGCGATGACAGGGCGAAGTTCAAGTTCAACAAGGAACAAAAAGTCGCCTAATGCGACTTTGCAAGTCATTGAGTTCATACAGGGATGTTTAGCGTGTTTTTGAGCGCACGGTCCAAGCTCTGCCCAGCCCTGCCTTGTCCCAATTTGGACCCTGGACCTGGCTGACATGCTCGATTTGCCGAACAAAGAAGTTTGGGCGTCCAGCTCTTGTTGCTCTCACAAACTTTCCACTACCTCAGATATGTGGTGTTTTATTTCTCTATCTCGCTTCCTATGAGCATATTACGACTCCTGGATGTGACCGAGACATATCAATAAGGCTCGCTCTATGGAGGGACCCTGAAGTATTGCATTTGAACAATTTGCACAGTTGGGTATCTGTAAACCCTGCAGCGGCGTGCTGGCAGTGATGCAGGTACAGATGTCATCTCAGACTGGTTTTTTCGCCTTGCATGGTGGATTGACTCTGCTGTCTCATCCTCATTCGTCCCCGGCCATTGTAGGGCGGCTTGGGTTCTCGGGGGATGACGGAGTCGCTCTCGTGGCTGCCGGAAACGGCCAAAAGCTGCAAGTGAAGAGCTGCCCAAAATCCATCTTTCTATTCAGAAGGTGCCACCCTGTTTTCGGCGGTTCGCCCTGCCATTGTTCCCAACCCCGACGTTTGGTTTTTTAGCGACGACGGAAATGGAAATCGAGAATGCGCCTTCTTTGTCTTCAAACTTCCCACTCAACTCAATCCTGAGCACGTCTGGAAGTGAATCAGTCGCACCGCTTGCCAATTTCGCCACCACCCTCGACCCAAGTCCGGCAACTTGTCACGCTTCGGTCGACAACATTAACCTCCTCGTCTCCTTTTCCTGTGTGATTCTCTAGGATAGCTATGAAGTTCAGTACCCCACCTCCGCCGCATAGGCCAAGGATTCTGGAGTCAATCACCGCTTTGGGGGATTCACCCATGTCGATACCCGATTCGCAAGGCACAGACGACGTGGAAATGCAGGATACAGATTGGACCGAAAGCGTTGGGGATGGGATGTTATACGACAGCCCATACCACCCTTCGACCGAGACTGGTCATGACACCGCCCTCCGAGGTGGTGTAATATACCCACCACCGAATCTCGTTTGGGCTCGAAAGGTGGCCGTGGCTTCGCACAAGGAACAGCAACGAGAGTATGTTCAGTATGACAATGACGAGGCGGAAATCGACTACGAGGACCTTGAAGATGGATACGAGGACGACGGCTACAGCACCAGCAGTGACTGGGACGACTATGGTACACTTCCGCTGACCGTGGGCGAGTACGACGAGGCTGTGGCCGGCATGGAGGGCAGTGATGGCTGGAATGCGGACCAAAAGAAGTTACACAAACTGATCTACATGCGCGGTCTTCATCCCATGATGCCGTCGTGGTGGAGAGTGAACTTCAAGATGTGGGGAATCACGCAACCACATCTCGACCACGTCTTCACGCCCAAGCATAGCAAGAAGCGTGTGGCTATCCATGCATATGGGAACGAAGTAGCTGGTAAACCCGATTCCTCTCCATCCTGGTAAATCTCTCGAGGTTACTAATACCTGATACAGCGGGCAAAGCACTCGAGTCCCTATTCTATCTCTCCCAAACAGTCACCGACTACGAGGAGATTGGGTACCAGGACAAAATTGCCAAAACCGTAGTAAGGGGCATCCGAAACTACATCAAATGGGCCATGCGGGATGTCGGGATCGACATGCGTAAAACGCAGCTCAACTTGCTGGTGCAAGCGTACCCGCCGGATTTCCGAGCCGACGACGACTCCGAGGCGGTAGAAAGCGATTTTGCCCCCTCGCCCGTCAGTAGCAACGAAGACCAGGAAGTCGAGATGTCGGGCAACGATGAGCACAAAGACAACGTCGTCGAGGTTTTCGAGGCCACCGAAGCGCAGCGCGCCAGACAGTTCACGCATGCCGTTTCGCGAGATCTCGAGAGGAGATTACTGAACATGGGCCAGCGCTGGCGCGACCGGCTGCGGGTCAAGGGGGGCAAGGGCTTAATCGCAGCGCCCCCGACCCTGTATGCCTTTGCTGTCATCCAGCATATTGCTATGCTTGCCAGCCACGATCCGAGCTCCTCGACGAACCCGGTTGTCGTCCTGGAGCAGGTGCACTTGAATGATCGTGGCAAGTGGCTATGGAATGCCCTGTCCATCGCTCTTCCCGTCAACATGGCGAGGGATGCCCTAAACGGTATGTGGGAGACGGGTGTTGTTGTGGCGGAGCATGGTGACCAAGGGACGGACCCCGATCTGTGAGGTGGAGGGGAGGGTGGAAATGGGTGATGTTCAGTCTCATCGCTGGCTTGAAGTTTCAGTTTGCTGGGAGGTAGAGAGATACCTTGATAAGTCAGGAGTTATATACCCAAGCGTTAGTTTATACTAGTGCGATATTAACGGACTGGCGGTGGTGTTGGACTGGGTTTGATTTGTCTCGCCTCTGTTTTCGTCTGGCTCTCTTGATGACCGGCTGGTTGTCGAATGCAGGTTTATTAAATAATTAGGGATTTGTCCCAAACCGTCGGTGTATTTTCAAGACATCGTCTCATATCTGATTGACGAAGCCGGTGGAGATCTTGCTTCGGCTCCACCATGGATCTCATGCAAAACCGGGACTCTCTTCCGGTCAATGGAATTCCGATTATTTCGGCCTCAAGATCGTCCATGGGGTCTCGAGCCGAACGAGACGGGTATCCTTTCTTTCCCTTCTCTCTGGTTTACATGTTCACTCCATTGATCTGCCCGAAGTCCTTCGTGCTCTGCACGTTTCCCTTTCCAAAGCCATCTTTGCTGTTCTCCGAGATCGCTGTGTCGCATCGGACTGACAAAAATGCTTGGCGGCTGCTGATGGATTTTGGCATCGAATAGGAACGCCAACCGACAATCGGGCCCGAAAAGGCTGAGGCGCAGCGACAATCCACCGTGCCCACCCATCTCGACACGAATCCGGAGCCGGGCCTAGCCAAGTCCGGGGAAGGGGAAAGTCCAGCACGACGGGGATGACTGATGATCTGATAATCGGGGGGCCTGTCGAGGGCGGCGAGTGACCATTTGACTTGCAAGTGTCTCGGAGGACTCGGGACAAAGTTTCCTAATCTGTAATCTGCAGTTATTGCTCACAGATTCGCACAAGTTCCTGAGGTGGAATGCCGTGGGATGACCGTTTCGGCTCAACATTCGCACCGTAAACCTAATCCGAAGAGGCGGTGGAGATGCGACCCCCAAACTCGCAGATCATGGCAGCGCCAAGGCGTCCTGGCTGATGAGGCGTTCGGTGGCGGTCACCACGAGGAACGAATAGAGGGAACACTCAGAGCAATGAAAGAAACAATCACCTGGCCTGGATGGGGCCCGGTGAATGAACGTCTCAGCTCGGGCCGTGTGAAGGGAAGTTTTCTGGAAGGAGCTGGCTTTGGCCGACGTAATTTGCAGCCCTGATGCCTGTCGGCCCCCTGTCGTTCCCTTGTCTGCTGACATTGCACAATCTCTGATTTGCCAGAGATTGGGAGAGCGGGTCATCTTCGCTTGCGCCCTGGCGGGCTCCCGTCGGTCGTTGAGAGCAGGGCATCGAACTGCTCCTCCCTCAAAATCGCCGCTTAGCAATGAGTCGTCAAGAGGCCAGACATCTCCAGTCCGAGACCTGACACCTTCCCGCAGCTGGCCTGTTCTCCTTGGCTTCGAAATTCAACGGTACTACCCCGAGTCGCCGTTTCGGCCTGCCTTCCCCCCGAATACTACTTTGATTATTTGGGCTTGATTGTCGTTCGGGCACCTTTGAACTCGCGAGGTCCGCCTTCGTTTGTCGAAGATCTGATAACAGCACTGTGGGTCGGGACTCGAAAGCCACAGGTGGTGATTATGCAGTTCGCCTTCCCTCCCGATTTAAGCCCCTAAGAACGACAGCTAGCCCCGGGCTTTTTGCTTCCTCAGCCTGCGCATTCTTAAATTGCAGCAATACTCTTCTCCTATTTTCTTTTTCCCACGAACTCGCCCTCCATTCGAGTTCTGTGGCGTAACTCGACCACACTTGGACGGTGGCCCTAGTTGTTTGATACTCGCATCGTTCAAAGCAACCTCGAACGCCCAACAATTCACGAGACGGCAACAATCAGCGACATAGGACTTATTCTCTTCTATCCACAGCCGCCATTCACCTTGCCATCGTCTGCTAGAGTGTTCGTCGTTCGGGCGGCCTACTCTTCTCCTATCTTCCCAGCAAACCACCCCGGAGTTTGGTTGTTCTTTTGCAGTCCCGGAAGATGACGCTGTCCGAGACCTCCAAGCTTGCGGCACCGCATCCTCCTACGGAAACCGCGCCTGCTTCTCGCCGGACCGCTCTACCAACAAGACCCACGTCTTCGAAGGACCTTGGGGGCACAACACAACGTTCAAGGCAAGAGACCGTTCTTCGCGAGGGGCAAAGTCCCTCTGGGCCCGACGCAGGGACTTCACCAGCACCACCACACATCTCGCCGGCTCCCCCGAGTCCTCCACATCGCGGGGCGACAAGCCCCTCAAGCCAGGGCAAATCAAATCCTGGTTCCAGCCAGGCATACACTGGTCAAATTTGCAGGTGTGTGGAACAATCTTCCTGATTTCTATCTCCTTCTGACGCAACATAGTAACTGTGGCACGACGAGAACCCCTCTCTGGCGGAGATCACCGCAAGGCGAAACGATTTGCAATGCGTGCGGATTGTACTTGAAGGCTAGGAATGCCTCCCGCCCAATCAACTTGAAGCGCCCACCGGCCATCCCTGGAAGCGGCGCTCGACAATCGCCCGTCAAGCTGTCTCCCAAAGCCCAAGTCCCGTTGTTGCCGAATGCGTCAGTAGCGAAGTATGTTGCCGCCGATCAGACGCCGTCGGGATCATGCCCGGGCGGAGGGAGATGTAATGGTACGGGTGGCGCCGAGGGATGCAGTGGCTGTCCGGCGTTCAACAATCGGGTCTCAAAAAGTGCAAATTTGAGTGTTCTGAAATGCCAGGGAGCATCCAAACCGGCCCCCAGTAGCCGGGACGACCCGACACCGATCGACGTCGCGGCCTTACAGCTCCAAAACCAAAACACTACTGTCGTCATCGCATGCCAGAATTGCAGCACGACAATTACACCTCTGTGGAGGAGAGATGAGGCTGGTCATACCATCTGCAATGCTTGCGGTAGGAATTCGTTTTTTCCGCCACGCCTGAGGCACTATGCTGACTAGATTATAGGACTCTACTACAAGCTCCATGGCGTACATAGGCCGGTGACGATGAAGAAGGCTATTATCAAACGGAGGAAACGAGTCATACCTGCACCAGGTGGCGGGCAGGATTCAGAAAGTGCGCCTAGCGAACGCGCGGACTCGCCGCCCTCCGAAACGGAAACACCGAAGGAAAAGGGATCAGTCAATCCAGATGGTTCCGTGAATTTGGGACTTCGACGGCGGCAGGAACCGTCTTTGACCCTGGTCCCGGAGACGATTCTCAGGCAAAATCGACAAACCTCGCCGCTACCCCTGAGCGGGTTAGGACAATATCACTCGTCCCACCAGAACCAGCATCATCACACCCCCGAATCTCTCACCAACGAGAACCGGCTCGCCCCCTTAACCTCTATCCCAATGCCGCAAGACCGCCAATCATCGTTGTCGCCGGCATCCTTCCTCTCACCACCGCGGAAACGGTCGTTCTCTGCCGCAGACATGGATCCCCATTATCAAAACGATACCGATCAACCGAAACGCCTCTCGTCTATCAAATCGATCCTTAACCCTACCGCCATGAGCCCGGCACCTGAAGACACTCCCGGACAGCAACCTCAGTATTTTGCAACACCAGGCAGCACGGCGGCGTCCTCGCCGAGTCCGGGGCCGTACCCTACTAGTGGCCACACGGCAGCCCCCCATCAACTTCCGAGCCCGCGAAGTGTTCATGCGCGCGAAGGGGAGAGATCCAAAACGGAGAAGCGTGCGATGCTGGAGCGGGAAAGAGAGATGATGCGGGAACTGCTGGCTGCAAAAGAAAGGGAGCTGGCCGAGCTGGGAGAGTAAATACGGAGAGGGCTTATTTCGGGATTGGATACGGATTAAGGAAGGAGGTTACAGTTATACAGTTATACCCAGGACACGAGATTCATCCACTCTTCAAGTTTAAACACTCCTACTTTCCAAAGGTGAACGGTTCGCCAGTGTATACAATCGCTAGCCTCGACATCTACACCCAAGGGCTTTATTTTAAGTTATCTGAGGGTTGCAACAGCAACTTGAAGGACATGATCTATGCAACGTCATCCCACCCTTAGGTAAAGCAATTGAAGCGACCCTTTTTATCTTGCCTATTCTGGCGACTTTGCCAAGACCCGCTCGGTGGGTGGCAGCCACGCGTAGCGTGGCGGAGCCAAGCCCCGGAGTGCGTCGCATCAAGCTGCCAAGGCCCACTGTTTCGCAAGCTCCCCAGCCAGCTTGTTTCCAGCTTCCAACTGTCGACAAGCTCGACAACCAACCTCCATCCTTCCCTTCCAAGCGCGAAAGTTGCATCGCCAATTACCTCGACACCCCAAACGCGACCCAAATTTGTGGTACACCCCACACGCGAACGCATAACACAGATCGACACCGAGCGAGCTCTCCCCTAACCGTCGCGAACGTAACCCACCTACATACCTACCGCTAAGCTTGTGTTTCCATTGCCGCGCCGAAAGACAGATCGCCCGCCATGGACTTCTCCGACTCTTTGTACGTTCCTCCATAGCCAGCCGGCCACTCCTTCCAACAACACCCGCCAATGGCGCCTGTGAAAGGGGGGTTCCCCCACTTGCGCGCACCCCGCCGCTTTGCTCGACTTCGAGCGCAGGGGACCTGTTCGGTCGCACGTCTGTCCCTATTCACGGCCGTGATGTAGGGCGGCGATGCGCGCGGGTGTACAGGCGCGGTGATTGTGGGGGTGGGAAGGGTGATGGCTACTTCTTGAGGGGCTGATGGCTAACTGTTTGTGATGTCGGGTGTAGTCGCATTGTCAACCTGGTTGTCGCGGTGTTGATGGTGCTTGGAGGTGTCTCGCAGTTCTTCCCCGTCGGATTGTACGTTCGCCGTTGCCGGAGATGGGGGTTGATGGGATACTGACGGAGGGGGCTTATAGCCAGTCATCGATTATTGGTGTTTACGTGATCATCTTTGGGTTGGGTGAGTCTTGCCTCTTTTCCCGGGTTACAAGGGGTGTGATGAAGGGATGAGATGCTAACATATGATGATAGCAACCGGTCTACTTGGTACGATGCCTTGAAACACGCCCGCACATCGACGGAGTTGGGAGCTAACGTTTCGGTGTAGAGTTCCAGATCCCGCCCCAGGTCGGCCGCTACGCTTCGTTCCTGTTCTCTTTCCTCGGTCGTGGTATCTGTATGTTTCCCCCTGCCCCGCCCTCTGTTGAGAGCCTAAGTTGATTGTATTGTGTTTTAGTCTACATCTTTGTCGGCTCCATCCTGCTCCACGGTCACTGGACTCGGATCGTTTCCGGCTCTATCGTCGGCCTGATCGGCGTCGCCTACGCCGCCCTCGAGTTTATCCCGTCCATTGAGCCCCCGGCGAACATGCGCGAGGCGGATGCCGGCTGGGGTGCTGAGCAGGTTTAAGAGCTGCGACCTACAGGGCGGTCTCCTCTAATCCTGCGTGCGGAGGCTCTTGGCGGGCTTCCGCGTGCTGGAAATGCGAGCGAAGACACTCCATGGGAGGAGGGTGTTGTGTGACGCAAGAATAGCCAGGCGAGCTATGCTTGTAGTGGAACCTAGGGAAACTTGGGGAGAATTTGGGAGAACGTGAGATATTTGGGCGAGGAGTTGTATTGGGAGAGTGTTGGGCGGGGAGCAAGGGTCAATTCAATGATTTGATCTAAGTTGTTGTATGATATAAGTTCATGTGAGGGTATCAGCGATTCAGGGGGCAGAGGGATTAAACAGGGTTAGGGTCCGGATAAGTCCCTCCAGCTTTCTTATCACAACCGCGACGAGGGGCAGCCCATAAAATTTCGAGATTGGTCGTCAAGGTCCCCGCAGTCACCAGCCTCGGCGAAGCAAGCTCGCAATCCGACGAAATTGAACGTCGCCCCCAAACATCCGAAGCAGGCCATCCATATATCGAGTATTCCCATACGTTCACGGACCACACAATGGGAAAAAAGCGCTCAAGAGACGCCGACGGGCAGGGGGATGTCGATATGGCCGACCCCGCGGTCAACAAGCGGGATGATGACAGCTCCGACGATGAGGTGAGGCGCAATTCACAGATGCCAATACGCTTTCTGCTGACGCCATGTACAAAATCGTAGGACATGGACATTGTCAACGTAGACTTCGAGCTCTTCAACTACGACTCACAAATCGACTTCCACGGTGTCAAGACCCTCCTCCGGCAGCTCTTCGACACGGACGCACAACTGTTCGACCTCTCCGCGCTCAGCGACCTCATCGTCGAGCAGAACACAATCGGCTCGACCTGCAAAGTCGACGACAAGGCCAACGACGCCTACGCCTTCCTCACCGTGCTCAACCTGCAAGAGCACCGCGCGAAGCAACCGGTCGCGCAGCTCATCGAGTACCTGACGGAGCGCGCCAAGAGCAACGACAGCCTGGCGGGCGTCGTGCCGGAGCTGCTGGCCTCGGGAAAGCACGTGGGGCTGGTACTAGCGGAGCGGCTGCTCAACATGCCGGCCGAGGTGATCCCGCCCATGTGGACGTGCCTGATCGACGAGATCGAGGCGGCCGTGGAGGACAAGGAGCCGTACGAGTTCTCGCACTACCTGGTCGTGTCGCGCACCTACCGCGAGGTGGCGTCCAGCCTGGACCAGAACGAGCGCAAGCAGAAGAAGGCGCGGGAGGAGGCCGAGCTGCAGTTCTTCCACCCGGAGGACGACGAGATGCGCAAGCACGCCGCCGCGTCCGGGGCGTACGACTTCACCAAGGAGGGCGAGGCCGTTGCGGATAGCAAGAGGGCGTTCCAGGAAATGGGAATCAAGCCGTCTGGGTACATGATGTTGATCGAGGCGAGCAAGTTCCAGGGCGCCGTCCAGGCGATCGCCGAGTATATTGGCACAGCCACATAGGAAACTTGCTGGCGACGAAAATGGGCAAACAAAACAAATCGAGACATTATTATTCCACCGGCTCCAGCCTCTGCATCAAGTACTCGACCTCAACCTCCTTTGTCAGAGGGATGACAAAGTCCTCATACATAGCCACGACAGCGTCCACGTTGATCTTGCTCTGGTCCCACCCATCCGGCCCCAGCGAAGGGTCGGTACCGTACGTTTGCGCCTTGAGCTTCAGCCTCTCCAGCACCTTCTTCTCGACCGCCTTGTTCGTGATAGCGTTCCCAATGGCTTCCCTGTCGGCAGCACGGATGAGGCGGGTGTACTTGTCCGCCTCGGACTGGAACTTGGACTCGGCAACGAACTTGCCAAAGTGAATGCGCCTTGATAGTGCTTGCAAGCAGGCAATGTCGCACGTCGCCGACGACCCGTAGTTTTCTTGCGAGACACCTCTATCCCCGCGGCCAAAGTCCGGGCACACTCTGGGCAGGAACTTTTCAATGTAGAACTTCTTGATCTTGTCGTTGACGTTGACATCGTTGGGGTACAGGATGCGGGGGTAGTCGAGCGAGTCCAGGATCGGCTTCTGCAGGGCCTCCGGAAAGAAGGGGAACTCGTCCGGGGACTCGTAGCGGCGGATAAGTGACTGCAGCCTTTCCTGCTCCGACAGGTACCAGTCCATGAAACTCAGGTTGCTGTTGGGGATCTGGACGGCGCCGGGCTTGTAGATGTTCGGGTTGAGCGGGAACTGTACCCGCTCGATCAGGTGGAAGGTGATGGTGTCTTCCAACCGTCTGGCAACTTGTGTTAGTATCCGGGGAACCCTCATCATCGAAAGAGCGGACAAGAATGGTGGGGGTCTCAACTGAACTTACATCAACTGGAAGCGGATGCGTGACAAGTCAAGCGCTTTGGACGACTCCGAGAGATCGATTAGCGAGTCCATGGTGGCGGTGCGTTATTAGAGAATATTATTCAGAGTAGTTTTTTGAAGTTGGGAAAAAAAGGAAAAGTCGGTGTTGACTTTGCAATAACGACTGTCTCATTTTTGATCGCCGGTTAGGCACAGGTTCCGAATCGGAGCAGCCCACTTAGAAACACTGGTGTGTGTGACGCACTGATCAATTTTTGGGGCCTTGGCGCGCAATCCGATCTGGCAGCCAATGCTGTACCCCTGTTACCCTTCAGTGCCTTCCATTCTTGTCGCGGCCCACCTTGGCACCCAAAAAGCCTGAGCTGGAACACATGCCCCGGTCCGGGGGTGTCCGACCAAGGAATGTGCCCGCCGCATAGATTGCCGGTTTAACAATTTTGTGCTACACCCATGAATGACACCCGCTGTTGTCCTCGAGGGGCATTTTGCTCCAATCACCTTGCATTTTCCTCAAGCTCCCAACAACGACACGAGACCTCCGAATATCCAATTTATCTCGAATTTTTCCCGACACTCATCAACGTTATCGCTCCGTAGCTCCTCGTAGGTTCAAGGGTTGCGGAAGCGCGCGATAAACGAATTGAATTTGGGCGGGTCGAAGGGGCAAAGTTTTCCGGTGCCCACGGATGGACGACCCGGGGCACGACAATGACTTTGTGGACCTGTCGTCGTTCGACGACGACTCGTCGGTCATATCTGTGAGCAAGATAACCCTCGATTCCAGCGTCGTTGCGATTGGGAGGCAACTGGGAGCACAACTAGAGAGCCAACTAGAGGGCAATGGAAGGCGGTTGCAGATGGGCATCAATGTGCCACGTATCCGACGGGGACTGACCACACCGCCACGGTAGACACGAGGGCTCGAGGCATTCGGCCGCAAAGTCACGACTACGGCCTCGCACCTCATAGCCCCGCGGACCGACCCCGCGTCGCACCCCACGTACCAAACCGCCATGACCGAGGTACACCGGCAGCTCCGCAGGCCGGGCTTGCAGCGGACCATGTTCTCCATGGCACGCACGACGCCAACGGATTTGGTCCGGTCGCGCCTCTCGACCAAGGAGATCCAGTCGCGGGCGTTGGCGTACGTGCCGGATGAGCTGCTGCAAAACATACCCGACGGCGATAGCACGTACTCGCTATTTCAGGGTTTCCAGGCCAGCTTCCCGGATTTCACCGACGAGGGTAAAAAGCACAGGCGGCGTGTTTCGCGGGGAAGAAAATTGCTCGATGAGGGCCCGACGATGCCTGACGGGACTCCCGAGTCGGTACAGAAGCTCAAGAAGGAGAAGGCGTCCATGATGCACCAGTTCGAGATGCTTGGCGTCCGCAAGAACATGGCGAGCAGCGAGATCCGCGAGATCGACGCCAAGATGGAGAACTTGGCGGGCATGCGCCGGATTATCCTAGAGAGGCTAGCGACTTTGGAGCAGGACGAAGCGATACTGGAGCATGACAGTCAGTGTCTCTTATTTTTCCGATCCTCCACGACCCCTGTAATACTAACCGGTAGCAGTCGTCGAGGTCGAGGGCAGGCTAGAAGAGGCGCAGGACATGGTGGTCGAGGCCGAGGAGCTGGCACTGCATACCCCTGCGAAATCAGAAGACGATGTGGCATCAGAAAAAGGCGACGCACCCGGGTTCATGTCTCAGTCCGTCTACGATAAGCTGCCCTCAACAACAAGCAGCACTACCTCCTCCAAGAAGAAGTTCCGTAACATCCGGCGGAAATCCATGCCGATTCTTCACGAGCACTTCGAGCCGGGCACCATGATCCGCTCGATGCGTGCACACCAGGATAGCATCACTGCTCTTGACTTCGACGCCCCATTCGGCCTGATGGTCTCGGCCGCCATGGACGACTCCGTCCGGGTATGGGATCTCAACGCAGGGCGCTGCATCGGCGTGCTGGAGGGCCACACGGCCTCGGTCCGCACACTCCAGGTCGAGGATAACATCCTGGCGACGGGCTCCATGGATGCCACTATCCGGCTGTGGGACCTGAGCAAGGCGCACTACGACCCGCAAGGCAGCCAGTTCGGGAAAGAGGAAGACGACGAAGACGCCATCGCGTTCGAGAACCCCGACGACCAGCCCGTTGACCCACCCGCCGGCAGCATGTCCGACTGCCCGATGTTTACGCTGCAGTCCCACTTGGACGAGATCACAGCACTGCATTTCCGCGGTAATGTGCTCGTGTCCGGGTCGGCCGACAAGACGCTGCGGCAGTGGGATCTGGAGAAGGGGCGGTGCGTGCAGACGCTGGATGTCATGTGGGCCGCCGCGCAGGCCTCGGCGCTCTCAACGAACGACAACACCTGGCGACAGACCACCCGGGCGCCGGATGTGGCGGCCGATTTTGTCGGTTCGCTGCAGGTGTTTGATTCGGCGCTGGCGTGCGGCACCGCAGATGGCATGGTCCGGCTGTGGGATCTACGTAGTGGCCAGGTCTCCCGTAGCCTCGTGGGCCATACGGGGCCGGTGACGTGCCTGCAGTTTGATGACGTGCATTTGGTGACGGGTAGCTTGGACAGGAGCATACGGGTATGCTGCATCCCCCTTCCGCTCATCACCTTCCCATCACGATACGATACTGACTGTAATCACAGATATGGGACCTGCGCACCGGGTCAATCTACGATGCTTTTGCGTACGACCATCCTATCACGAGCATGATGTTTGACACCCGCCGCATTGCGTGTGCCGCCGGCGAGGACGTGGTCAAGGTGTACGACAAGGTCGAAGGGCGGCACTGGGACTGCGGCGCGGGCATGACCGAGGCCGAGCAGGAGAGGCCACCCGCCGTGGTGGAGCGGGTGCGCATCCGCGACGGATACATGGTCGAGGGCCGCCGGGACGGCATCGTTGGAGTCTGGACATGCTGAACGACGCCACGCCTAGAAGTTGTGTATAGTATGTACATACTGGTACCTAGTCCTATACGGATATGAACCCATTCGGAAGGCTAAGCGAGCTGAGGTGCTTGGGATCTACGGGATAGAGCTGGAGAAAATGTCACGAAGTCACCATCCAAGTTCGAGTCTGGGTCGGATCCCATGCCGGATTCCAGTACGCCGATGGGCCGCATTTCTAACGGCCGCTGTCGGAACCAATGAGAGGCGAGCTTGATCCCGAAAGGGCAATTATTGATGGGATCTTGAACGGTCGTTGACATGGCACACGACACACACACACACACACAGACGCACCACTAGACGGTTTGTCATGGGACAGGCGCACCTTGCGTATGGTGGAGGGTTGGCTACCTATTCTCACCAACGCTGCCAATTCCACCCCGATCCGCCGCCAAAGGAAAATATTGCAACCCTGGCGAGTGGCAGGGGCAGCGTAATTCAGATATGACGGTGTTCTTACGTGGTAAATAGTGCATACGAGACAAGGAGAAATATCACTCTGCCATTTCGTGCATGTGAGGTCATTCCTTCCCAAAGCGGGTCGACGAAGACCTCAGGGCCGCGATGGCGCCTGCCTCAAGCGCCCGATAAATAAATACTCACCCTGAGCATTTCCCGTCAAGTACGTTTCTAGAATATGGAACGGGCTTACACTCTTCTCGAGTCAACACGCTCAACGTTTTCTTCATCTAAGTTCCAAGCCCAAGGCCTACCTTGGCTGCCGACTCAGAAGCGTTGCTGCTTCCGTCTCGAAATCCGCCTACCAACTCCTGATGACACAAAAATGACCAAAAGCAAAAGCCAGGACTGGCAGGAGCTGCCTGCAATGACCACGGAGAAAAGGCCGCTGCGAACCTACTCACATAAGGCGAAGAGTAACCGGCCTGTATCGCTTCTGTCGCTCCCTCCCCTCAAGCCCACGCCCAAGCAGTTCACTCCTACCACGGCCGGTGTCCGACTCGAGAAATTTCATACCGGCAACGCAACTGTGTACAGGGACGACCTTGGTCAGGGCGGAGTCGATGACGATGTCGATGAGCTTGCCCTTGAAAGCCTTGGAGAAGCGAGCCGCTTGGAGTATGCAGATCACAGTATGTTTTTCAACTCGAGTGGCTGTCGGATTGTTGATGACCTCGTTCTAAATTGATCTCAGTCACTTCACCTTTATCGCCCACTCCGAATACGCAAGTATCACTACACTCTAAGCACCCGGGACCGGTCGACGAAGACGAAGACGACCCCTTCGTCCTCTCACAGCGGCCTCCGGGCTGCAACCCCAAACACGACAGACGCACAGGAAATGGAATGAGGAGCCTCCGACGTCGACCGCACCTTATCTTTAGCAAGACGGAAGCCAAAGGCTACAAGCAGCTGAATCTGAATGACGAACCGGATGCTGCCAAGCCAGTACCGATTCCACGTTTTAAATACGGATTTGGGGACGGCTTCTCAGGTCGTGAAGCCAAACCGAACGGTTCGAATCTCCTAACCCGCAGCGGGAAGCAAGCTATTACTAGCCCGCATGTGGGTATTCTCGATTTGACCCAGTCCACCACGCAAGCCCCTGGACGGAAAAGAAAGACTCAAATAGCAGATATCGATGACAACTCCTTCGTCTTGGCCCCGAAGAAGAAGAGTCGCGGTCCCTTGCAGCCGAAAGACCCGAACCGGCAAGCGAAACCCAGTCCAGTGATCCCAGCCAAGGTGAAGAGGACTACTTCCGCGCGTCATGAATCTGGTAAGGCCAGGGAAGAGCTTTCGGCCCCAGGGGCGCAGCCTAGGCAGCCCAAGGCAGACGGACACATCAAGAAGACTCAAGCTCAACCCATCGCCGCGAAGGACAGTCAGTCCCATTTAGATCTCCCACGCCGGAACCGCACGATTAACGGCGATGATAACGACAATGCTGACGGCAGTGTAGCCGGGAAAGACACGCTTGACAATGATGACGAGGTAAACTTGCTCATCATTCCGGATATTTACAATGCCCAGGAATTTGTAACTGTGGTGGAGGAACACAGTTTCGAAACAGACGTCTCAAAACCTCCTCCCCGCCCTCTTCTAGTGGCAGCGGCATCGGAGGACGGACACATGAAACACACCCAAGTTCAAGCCACCACCCAGCGCGACACGATTGATGATGATGAGGAGGGGGGCGAAAAGGTAGGCCCGCTCGTCGTTCCGGCTGTCTGCAGTAGCCGGAAACTCGCAGGTGATGAGGTAGAGCAAGATAGCTGTGGTACACACGTGTCGGAAACACCCCCACGCCCTCGTCGGATGAGAGCAAGGTCGGTTTCTCCTGAATCGCCGCTTCAGTGGGATGTTACCGGCGCGCTGCCGCCGTCGGGGAGGGAATTTCGGAGAGCCGATACGCTGTGATTTGTTGAGAACCCTCAGTTGTCGAGTTCATGGCTTGCCGAGACCAACTTGCTAGATTTAGGGTGGGATGTTGGCTGGTGAACTGATGGATGGTTAACATGTAATAAAACCGACTAGCATACACCGTTGCAAAGGGGGCGCGGGAGAGAGGCTGATTATTAAGGACACCCTTCTGTTATTTACTTTTATTTCGTTGCTAGTAGCGGTAGTAAACCAGCCATATCAAGCCCAGACTCATACCACATGAAATTTCACATTTGAACCGAAACAAAACGTGAATTTCCGTCCCAACGCCAAAACCCCAAAAGCCTCTTTATACTAGGTATGCAGTCGACCAGCTCACAGTCCCCTATCCCCCAGCTTTACTTGGCCCCTTTCCCCTTAGCCTCAGTCTCGCCCAGCTCTCTAATGAACACTTTCGTCCTGCCCTCCCCGCTATAATCCTCCATACCCGTCTCAAACCCAGGACACACGGCGATGGCGAGGAAGCGGCCGTCGCCGGAGAAGGACAGGGCGGCGACGCTCTCGGGGAACTTCTGGTACTGGCGCATGCGGCGCTTGGCCTCGGCGTCCCACAGGGCGACGGTGCCGTCGCCGCCGCCCGAGGCGAAGGTGCCGTAGAGCGGGTGGAAGGCGAGGGCGTTGACGGGGTAGACGACGTCGCCGCCGCCCTCGTCCTCGGGCGCGGCCTGCCGGTGGCACTTGAAGGCGTACTTGCGCGCCTGCGACTCGGCGCTGTCCTCGAACCACTCCACCGCCACCCTCCCCTCGATGCTCGACGTCGAGTAGCCCGCGTCGTTGGGCATGCACGCCACCGCCCGCGTGAGGAACTTGAGCGAGGACTCGCGCTGCTGCCATGGCTGTGGGGGCGGCGCGGCCTGCGGGTTGGAGGAGGAGAGGGCTGATGCTAGGGTGGGGAGGTCGTAGATGTGCACTAGCCGCGCCGTCATGGCCACGACCACCTTGCTTGGGCTTGCGGCGAGCGCGTGGGGTTTTCCGGGGAGCGGGATCGTCAGCGGTGGTTGGGAGGCGTCGGTTGTGGAGCGGACTTGGAGGGTGCTGTCCCAGGAGGCGGACACGAGGAGGGCTGGGCAGATAATGGCTGTTAGCTTGGTGCGATATCCCGGGGAAGGGGGACAGAGGTGTTGGGATGTGCTTACAGTGCTGGGGGCTGTAGACAACGCAGCGGACGGGCGCGGTGTGCTTGCCGAGGGTGGTTTGTTCTCCAGTCGCGAGATCAATCCTATTGTGAAGAGTCAATCATTGATGTCTTCGTCGCCGGCACGGTGTGGACACGACAACCCACCTCTTGACCTGGTGATCCATGCCCGCGATGAAGGCCTCGTTCTCGTCCGCGCCGAAGCACACATCGAGCACGGGCGCGCGGTGCTCGAATGTCCCGACCAAGTTTGCCTCCTCAGCGCCATTGGCGACCTCGTAAAGGTAGACGTTCTTGTCCCATGACGAAGCTAGGAGCCGTCTGGACGGGCCGGGGGCGAAGACGAGGGCCGAGATGGCGTCTTTGGGCGGTTGCGCCGCTTCGAATTGTGCTGCTATGATGGTTCCGTTAGTATTGAGCAAGGCAATGAGATAGAAAGAGGTTGCGCATACCTGGCGCCATGTCACAGTAGATTTGATGCGGAAAGAGAATCACGGGATAATTCAAGGTTGATGAGGGGAGCTTCGGCCAGCTCGAGTTCGAGCCAATGCAGGAAACTGGGGCAACACGGCATGGTAAACAAGGGTCAAATTCTGCCATGATAGACCGCTAAATTTCTCTCTGCAGCGCAGGCCCCACTTGGAGCTCGGCGGCGTCGGGTGGGGTGCTTTCCCGTCCAGTCGGCTGAACTTGGCGGGGCAAGCAGCTGTGCAACTCTCAAGGTGTCGAAGGTTCCAGGCCCGGAGAACATTGAAGATCCATCCTCCTGCATCCCCTTCTTGAATATACCACCACGATACCGTATCTCAGGACACCAAATAACAATCACAATGCCGTTTGGACAGCTCGTCATCGGCAGCCCTGGAGCGGGCAAGAGTACCTATTGCGATGGCAGTGAGTCTAGCCCACGAGCTTCTCTTTGACACTGCTGCACCCCGCTGACATACCAAAGTGCACCAGTTCATGGGCGCAATCGGGCGGCAATGCTCCGTCGTCAACCTCGACCCCGCCAACGACCGCACCAACTATCCCTGCGCGCTCGACATCCGCAGTCTTGTTACGCTGGAAGAGATCATGTCAGACGATCGGCTCGGTCCCAACGGCGGTATCCTGTATGCGCTAGAAGAGCTGGAGAACAATATTGAGTGGTTAGAGGAGGGATTGAAAGAGCTAGGCGAGGACTATATCCTATTCGACTGCCCCGGCCAAGTCGAATTGTACACCCACCACGCATCCCTACGCAACATCTTTTACCGGTTACAAAAGTTGGGATACAGGGTATGCCCTGCCACCCCCGCGCTTCCCCCCTTGTGTGCTCAGCGCGGGTTTCACTAACCGGAAATCAGCTCGTAGCAGTCCACCTCTCCGACTCGCTCTGCCTAACCCAGCCGTCCCTATACATCTCCAACCTCCTCCTCGCGCTGCGCGCCATGCTGCAGATGGACCTTCCGCACATCAACGTGCTGACCAAAATCGACAAGGTGTCGGCGTACGACCCGCTGCCGTTCCGCTTAGAGTACTACACCGAAGCGGAGAACCTAGAGTACCTCATACCCTCCCTGGAGGCCGAGTCGCCGGCGCTGCGGAGCGAGAAGTTCGGGCGGTTGAATCAGGCGGTGGCCGAAGTCGTCGAGCGGTTCGGGCTGGTCAGCTTCGAGGTGCTGGCCGTGGAGAACAAGAAGAGCATGATGCACCTCTTGCGGGTGATTGACCGGGCCGGGGGGTACGTGTTTGGCGGCGCGGAGGGGACCAACGATAGCATCTGGCGGGTGGCGATGCGAAACGAGGCGTCGATGATGGATGTGCAGGATATCCAGGAGCGGTGGGTGGATGAGAAGGACTTTTATGACGAGCTGGAGCGGAAGGAGGAGGAGGAGCAGGACAAGCGCCGACAGGCGCAGGCCGAGGCAGCGGCCGAGTCATCGGGCGGTGATGCCCTGGACTCTTTGTTAGGTCCGCCGCAGCCGCCGGCATCTGATAGCGGTATCCGGGTAGCGCGCAAGAAAAAGTAATACTTAATTCCACCATCCTGTCCCGCCCACCCATTCACCCATCATCGGACAACCCCTGGCTCTCAGAGGCCTCGGTGTCCGAGTCGACCTGCATCCCTGCCGCCGTAGCACTCCGGGCCTGGCCGCCGTCGCTCCGCAGAAGAGCGCCCAAGGCGTCGGCCGACGAGCCCTTCTTGCCAGCCATCTCGTCCTTCGCGGCGAGGACGAGCAGCTTGGCGCGGCGGACGGCCTCCTCCTCGACCTTGCGGATGGTGCCGCTGACCCGCACGACGCGGAACACGCAGGGCCGGCCGTCGCGGACGGGCACGCGGTTCATAAAGGATAGGGCTGCCCACACCAGGCGGTAGTGGGCGCGCGAGACGCGCAGGATGAAGGTGGAGGTTGCGGGAGATAGGTATTTTACTGTGGGGTGTGGTTAGTGGTGTTGAATGAGAATGAGACGTAAATCAAGAGGTATTAATTGTTTTCTTACCCTGAAGGCTGCGATCTATGGCACCCGAGCCGCAGTCACCGAAAAGTGAGGCCACTTCGCTCCGGATGGCCTTGAGTAGCAGCTGGGGTCTCAGCTCGCTGGTCGTCGGCTGGTTGTATAGGAGAAGGTCCGGCACCGAGTCCTTTGCCTGACCGGGTGGGACATCGGTGTAGAGGATGTTCGCTAGGAGGTAGCGGTCTTTGAGGCGCACCATGGTAAATGTTGGGATGTCGAGGTCGAGTTAGTTGCACGACTGGTTTGAGAGTTTGGATTGGATTTGGTTAAGTGAGCGTGAGCTTATCGATAAGAGGCCATCACACTCACACTGCTTGAAGCCCGGGCCTAAAAACTACAATACACTTTCAACACCTGCATGTTTGGTAAGGGCAAAAACAATGAATTCTCCTAAGTAAGATGTCGGGTTTACTCTCAAAGCCAAGTCCGAGTCTACATTCACGAAATATTGGCCGAGACACCTTCGAGATGTCTAATCAACGTCCAACCCCGCATAACCAAACCGTGGCGGCAACAGCTGTAGCGACCACCACGGCAGCAATCACTACAGCAGGCATTAATACCCCCAGCATTCCCATACTAGTCAGCGTCGCGAATATGCCGGCCGCGGGCGTGAAACCCGCATACATGAAAGACTGGAAACCCGCAGCAATCGAACCTGAGAGGAAGTAGGTTAGCAATACACATGACATATCGACTTGCGATCTGTGTTAATGCAACGTACCGGCAACAACACCGGCCGGCCCGAACCCCAGCCCGAGTATAATGATACAAACAATGCAAAATGTAATAACCCATGCTGTGGCGGCTGCGATGACATCTAGATTATATCTCGTTAGCTACCCAGAACCATTTCGGGCCGTCCGTCGAGGGTGACACATACGTGGTTGGGAGGCCCATGCTAGGAACTGCTCCCAGTGTTGGGCAAACCATGCACAAAATTGGCTGAACCATGCACCGACTTGGCTGAGCCAGTCATTGGGCTCGCCGGAAGCGATCATGGCTACCATCGGGAACCGGTTCGCGAGGAAGGTTTCAAGGGGAGCCATCTGGGCTGTTCGGATATTAAGGGTGGTTGTGTTGCTTCATAGATGGACCGCGGGAAGAGTGAAGAGAGGGGAGTTCACGGCTGTCAAACCTGGGGGGAACTCCCAACATAAACGGTTCGGCAAGCGCGTAGGTACTTGAACGCGGACGCGGATGCGCTGGCCCGGGCCGGAGTCGCTGCGGCCGAGCCAACCAACATCGACGACTCCGCCTTCCTGTAGGCCTCAAGGCAGACAGTCGATGCACCACCCATGCACGCCATGCACCGAGACAGTATGGGGATTGGGGAAACAGGGTGCTTGAAACCCGATTTGAAGATATATACTAGATTATACGACGAATACCAGCTTGCTCAGTATGGGAGTGCCACAGCCCTTGGCTCCCGATTCTCGAGCCCAAGAAGCGCATTCTGACCGTACAATAAATAACTCGAATGTTGTTTGGACAGAGGATATCCAAACACAATCAAGGTGACAAACTGGAAAGCCTACTGTGTGTGAAGTACATCTGTACTAAGTCATGGAAGTTGGGGACGTCTAGGTGGGCGCTAAGTGTTTCATACCGGGCTTACATGTATCCCAGCTCTTGCTTGTATGTATTGCGTAACAGAGGTACCTTACATGTATGGAACCCCGCGACCCCACGCCCACGAGAGAGTCACCACCATAAGCGTATCGCTCAAAGCTTCATTCCCACGCTCATGAGGAATGTGAGCGGCCACTTTCCAAGAATCGAAAACCGAGCCTCTCGAAAACCCTATAAGTTCTCAATGTCGGCCCGTCTCAAGGCAGCGATCCTCGTCGTATCAACGACAGCGGCCAAGGACCCCTCCACCGATGCCGCCGGTCCCGCACTCCGAGATGTCTTTGAGCAGGATGGCGGGGGCCGGTGGGATGTCGTCGAGACCATGATCGTAAGCGACCTTGTCACCCAAATACAACAGCAGATCAAATACTGGGCCGACGCCACAGATCCCGTCAACCTGGTTATCACGACTGGTGGGACAGGCTTCGCCATCGCCGACCAGACACCCGAAGCCGTCTCGGCCCTCCTCAACAAACAAGCACCGGGAATCGTCCACGCCATGCTTGCATCCTCGCTCGCAGTCACCCCCTTCGCCATGATGTCGCGCCCCGTCGCCGGCGTCAGGAACCAAACCGTCGTCATCACCCTCCCCGGATCTCCCAAGGGTGCGCGAGAGAACCTCCAGGCCGTGATCAAGACCCTACCCCACGCCTGTCTCCAAGCCACCGGCGCCGACTCGCGAGCCCTCCACTCAGGCGGCGTCAAGAAGCTCGAGCAGGAAGCCGGCGTCAGCACCAGCACCAACCAATCCCTCACCCCCCACCACCATCACGACCACACCCACACCCACCACTACCACGGCCACACCCACACCCACAACCACAGTCACAACCACGCCCCCCCCATCCGCCACACCACCGAAGCAGACCACCCCCCCAAATCCAACGACCCGACTCTCGGCCCCTCGCGGCGCCACCGCGCCTCGCCATACGCCATGGTCCCCGTGACGGAGGCCCTCGCCCTCATCGCCGCCCACACCCCGCCACCTAGCACCACCACCGCGGCAGTCTCCCCCTCGCTCACGGGCGCGGTGCTCGCCGCGCCGGTGCACGCCGCCGAGGCGGTACCCGCGTTTCGCGCGAGTATCGTTGATGGGTACGCCGTTGTGGTTCCTGATGGTGAAGAGGGCGGGGATGGGGATATGCGTGGGGTGTACCCCGTGGTTGGGGTGTCGCATGCCTCTGCGGCGGGTGAGGATGAGGGGGGTGGGGTGTTGAAGGCGGGGGAGGTGGCGCGCATCACGACGGGGGCGCCGCTGCCGCGGGGCGCGACGGCGGTGGTTATGGTGGAGGATACCGTGCTGGTGTCGGCTACGGAGGCCGGGGAGGAGGCCGAGGTGGAGATACTGGCGCGCGGGGTGCGGGCGGGGCAGAATATTCGGGAGGTGGGCAGTGATGTGGAGGAGGGGGTGGAGATTCTTGGGAAGGGGGATGAGGTGTCTGCTGTCGGGGGGGAGGTGGGGCTGTTGGCTTCGGTCGGGGTGAGGGAGGTGGAGGTGTATAGGAGGCCGGTTGTTGGGGTGCTGTCGACGGGGGATGAGATCGTGGAGCATGATCGGGAGGGAGCGCTGCGGTTGGGGGAGGTGAGGGATACGAATCGGCCGGGGCTGATCGCGGCGGCGAGGGAGTGGGGGTACGAGGTTGTTGACCTGGGGATTGCGAGTGACCAGCCCGGGTCGCTGGAGGAGGTCTTGCGGGATGGGCTGCGCAAGGTGGACCTGGTCATCACCACCGGCGGGGTTTCCATGGGGGAGCTCGACCTGCTCAAGCCCACCATTGAGCGGTCACTGGGCGGGACGATCCATTTCGGGCGGGTTGCGATGAAGCCGGGTAAGCCGACAACGTTTGCCACCGTGCCTGTGAAGAACAATGCTGGCGAGAGGGTGTCCAAAGTCATCTTCTCGCTGCCTGGGAACCCGGCCTCGGCGTTGGTGACCTTCCACTTGTTTGTGCTCCCGTCTCTGCGTCAGATGTCGGGCATAGAGCCGGCGGGACTACCGCGGATACCTGTCATTTTGTCTCATGATTTCTCGTTAGACAAAACCCGACCGGAGTATCACCGCGCGATTGTCTCGGTCGGTAGCGATGGTGTGCTGTCCGCCACGAGTACGGGAGGTCAAAGGAGCTCAAGGGTTGGCAGTTTGAAGGGGGCCAACGCATTGCTCTGCATGCCCAGCGGGCCAGAGCCCCTGCGCAAGGGCGCCAAGGTGGAAGCACTGCTGATGGGAAGCCTACGAAGCGACGCGTAACGGAACGGTGACAAGCTTTGACAAGATAACCAAACAATATATGACCTGACGAACCTCTTCTGTACAGTACACTTCTACACTGAGATGATGCCGGTCATGCCCGTTGACCGCCCCTGCCCTCTTCCAAAACGCCGAGATAATGAAGCTACACAGACACGCTTGCCGCTGCAGTCTGAATCCAATTTGAGAGATTCGTGGATGTGTGGGTGAGTTTGTAACCGGGCCGAGACTTCTAAGCGCTGCCAAAGTCGGGCGCCTTGTTGGACACGAGTAGCCCGATGATCAGGCCGAAGAGGCCCAGGACGGAGCTGAAGATCTCGATCACGAGCATCTTGACGAAGCTGCCAACTGTCAGCATCAATGCAATGGGAGGTTGCTGCGGAGAGCTCGGAAAACATACAGAGTAGGGTCGGCAGCATCCGCCAACGCGGCGCCGCTCCCGTTGATACCAACGGCAACGCCGCAGATCAGGTTGCACATGCCGACGGTGATGCCCGCCCAGAAGAGCGCATAGCCGGTGTAGTAGGTGTCGGCAGACCACGCTGCCTCGCCCTCGACCGGGTTGATCTTGGCCGAGAAGACGATGGCCATGATGACACCGTAAATGGCGACGACCTCGCAGAAGATGATGGAGATCAAGTTCTTGGTCCGAATGCGCGGGGCCCTGACGCCTCCGCCGAGAATGGACGAGCCGGTGATGAAGATACCCCTGCGAAAACCCGGAGGTTATTACGGAATCCGGAGGGGAAAAGGGTGTCAGGTTGCATACCATGCTGCCCCAACTACCGAGAGTCCGATGCAGAGCGCAATGCCTAAGTCTGCCCACGCGTACGGCGAGACGGATTCGAGGAAGGCACCGACCTAGAGATTCGTCGTGTGAGTATAGCCGTATCGCGCGGTATCGATGGATTCGTTCGGATGCGATCATACGTTGAAAGCTTCACCACTGCCAGTGAAGAGCATATCTGCACAAAATACATCGTCAGCAAGAGCACTCTCAGCCATTGATGCGACTGCATGGTGCAGCTCCAACTCACAAGCTCCCACAATCGCTAGGGTAGACCCTATCCCGCCGACTCCGTATGAGTATGAGTATGAGTATCCCATCTTGTCGGTGTTGTGTTGCCGTTGGCGTATCCGGAGGAATCGGTAATTGGTGATAAGTTGCGCTTCCTAGGTCGAGTTGATGGTCGTTACTCCCAACCACGAAGCTCCTGGTAAACGGAATCGAGGCGGCGCTGCAGCCGCGCCGCCAACTGCCTGCCAAGGCTGCTGCTGCGCAACCAGCATCACGTGACCGAATGGGAACGAACCCCATTGCGTTTCCCCCGAACTCCGCCAACTTGCCCCTCTACAAATACCGACCTGCTCATCGCTTACAAACGGCGAAAAAGCAAGAGACAAAATGGCGACTTCTACGAATAACTATTATGATTTGTATCGTCACGGGAGGTATGTTTACCCGTTTGGCATTTGCGCAACAATATACATGTCTCTGCGAAACCGTCTTTGGCTAACGCTCGCTCTCGCAGTCTCGGCGTTGCCTTGACAGACGCCCTGGACGAGTTAATTGGCGACGAGCGCATCGACCCACAACTCGCCATGAAGGTCCTCACCCAGTTCGACCGTGTCATTTCCGAGACTCTGCAGGAAAAGGTTAAGTCACGTTTGACCTTCAAGGTGAATAACCCTCTATAGCCCCGAAAACAAGGCGACTGTGGCGGTTCGGTCCGCGCCGGATCGGGCGGGCCTGATGCGCCCATTCAGTATCTGATTCTAACCCGGCCGGCGTCTTTACGTAGGGTTCTCTCGACACTTACCGATTCTGCGACGAAGTTTGGACCTTCCTCATCCGTAACGTCACCTTCAAACTCGACAATGGCAGCAATACGGTCGTGGCCGACAAGGTCAAGATCGTTAGTTGCAGTTCTAAGAAGACCGAGGAGAAGTAGGAAAACACTCCACGTCGGAAACGGAACTCAACGTCAGAAGTGAAGGTGAAAAGGGAGATGAATTAGGCGGCCCTCCAGCGCGAGACGGCGTGGATGCGGGAGTAAAGAGGGGAACGGAGCATGCAATGAAGCATGCAATGAAGCATGCAGGGAGCGGAGGCAGGATTGGAGTTGGAATGGCACGCACCGTTGAGGTTGCGGTGCAGACGGAGAGGCTACCGCCTTAGCCCCCTACGAGTTGCCGCCAACCGTTTCAGAATGCTTCAACATTGATACCTCATAAGGGTTGTCTTTTCAGGGAACTGGGTTATGACTGGCGTTGGCATCGGAGCACATTACGGTCTCAGAAACTGCATCTAAGGGCATGGCGTAACGGATAAGGAGAGGTCGTCGCACGAGATCAGCTTAGCACAAGGCCCTACTTTTATAACATGAATTCTAGCGCAAACTCAATGGCGACGGGTAAATCCGAGTTGCATTCTTGACCCCTTTTGCAGAGAGAGCATGCAAATCGCCCAGCCCCTGTAATAAACGCGTTTTACCCCTTTTGGAAACAAGCCTTGGTTGTTTTCGATTAAACCCCCAAAATGAAGGAAGGCAACGCAATCTGGTGTCCTTTTGCAACCAACGTCCCGCAGCAGGTACCTTACACCAAGCCCGTCCAACCCCGTAGTCGGAATCCACTTCCCGCTGCATCCGGGTACACGCGCCAAACAGGCGGATTCCCTTGTGTCGCTCCCCGCAAAAGCCCAGCCTTACCTCACAATCCCGACCCACCCTTTCCGGACCGCGGGATCGATCTCAAACAATGCCCACCCTCCGCCCGCGCAAGCGCCATCCCGAAGCGCCCGCGCCTGCGTCCGAATCAGCACCACCACCACCACCACCCCCTTCAGCCTCTTCCGCCACCACAGCAGCCGCCGCGCCTCTTTCAACGCCAGATCTCAGGAAGAGAGCCACGCGGTCAACCACGGCCAAAAATGAGAAACGGCCTGTTGTTGCTGCCGCTACTAACATGAACCCTTCCGCTTCCTCCTCGGCCGACGAAGGCCGGCCGTTCCTTGACGATGACGGCGTGGCATCCGCCCCCGGTCTGGGTGTTGAGACGCCGTCGCCGTCCCCGGTGCCGGATACGCGGAGCTGGGCGCAGCGGAACCAGTGGATTGTTTTTGCGCTTGCGAGTGGGGCGTGCGCGGCGTTCAATGGCGTCTTTGCTAAGCTGTGAGTTTACAGGTGTGGGTGATGGTTGTTTTAGGGGGGTGGTTTGTTTTGGCGATGATGCTGATTCGGGATGGTGACTGCAGGACGACAACGGAGCTTACGAGTACTTTCTCGCTAGGCATTGCGCGCATGCTGGGGCTTGAGAGTATGGAGAGTGCCATTGAGGTCATTGTGCGAGGTGTAAGTGTGAATTTGTGCTTGCATCTCATGGATTTCATCCGGGTGCAGTGTGCACTCTAAGAAGCTGACATGTGAACCACGAATTAGTCATTTTTCGGATTGAATCTAGTATTCAACGGTGTGGTAAGTTGACGCTTTCATGTTATTTTTGTCTGAGACCTGTAGTTGACGCCGTCTGACTACACCTCTCGCTTCACTATCACCTTGTCATCCGAGTTATCCCACTCAACTTCGCGCTCCCCTATAAATATGCCCTCGTCCGGCCAGCTAACAACCACCCCAGATGTGGACGCTCTTCACAACCGCTCTTGCCAAAGGCAACTCGACGACCCAGGTTTCCATCATGAACACATCGGCCAACTTTGTCATCACCGCCGTCTTCGGCTTCATTATCTTCTCCGAAAGCCTCCCACCGCTGTGGTGGCTTGGTGCGGCTCTGTTGGTGGCAGGAAATGTGATTATCGGACGCAAGGACGAGGGATCTCCGAAAGATGGAGAGGAAGCGGAGGGCGACGGCAGTGTTGCCTTGGGTTCTGGAGATGAGAGCGAAATGGGCGCGTTAAGACGGCGAAGTGGAGGCCCTATCGAGGGGGGGGACGACGAAGCATATAAGGATGAGGATGTGGCAGACCTGAGGATATAGAGTGCGGTAATGCATTCGCAACTAGTTGAGTGAGGAGACTGAATCGTTGATAGAGCATAGGTGTATTTATGTGTATATTAAAAAGCCGTTGTTCTTGGTGAGGTTTTGGAGGTTACATTTAACACAACGAGACCTTGTCAAGCCGGATTGAGTCCTCATAACCCCATGTTCCAAACTAGAAGCCAACGAAACATTCGACTCACTCCCAGTTGAGATCCTGCCCAAGAGCCCATGCAATTGAACGTATGAGTGTGTACCGTACCCCTTGCCTTGGTTAGGGTGGAGCGAGTGGCGCAAGAGGATAAGGTGCGATAAGCTTAACCGAACGTTGATGCGGGGCACGATTCGGGGTCTCCAAACTTTTTGCGACAAGACAATTCCATCGGGATTCCCAGGTGTGCTATATACACACCCTCCGGGAGAGCGTTTAGCAGCCATGTTCCCCGATAGTCGGGGCGTGAGCCCTTCTATCATGGCGGAGATCACACATTGTATGGCAGCCCTCCGGTTCTCCGTTTCAAGGCAATGGGTTGGGACTAACACCTTTCTTTGCTTTGGCAGACGTCCTGGAGCTATGGCATGAACACCGGATTCCGATTATCATGTCGACCCTGTTCGTGCTGAGCCTGCTGCGAATTTACCTCCATTCAACCCAGTCAAAGCAAGGACTACAAGCATTCCCGAAGGCCTACGAGAAGGTCGCTCCGAGCGAGAAGATCAACGTCGACGAGAAGCCCAAACTGGTGGTGGTAAAGGAGGACGACTCCGAGGGATCCGAAAGCACAGGGACAACAAATGAAAAGAGGGCGACAAAGCAAGGCCCAAGGAGGATAAAAGGCGACGTTAGCAAGAAGGGGCGTGGGAGCGTAGAGGCTGAGGGCGAGGCACGCAACATTCAGGTCCTCGTGTTCTTCTCGTCATTAACGGCCAACACGCCGAAGATTGCCCAGGCCTTCACGCAAGAGCTAGCAAGCACCCTGGGTTGTTCTGCCGAAGGGAAACCAGACAGCAAGTTCCTGCCACCACAGGTTTTGGATCTAGCTGAGATTGACTTCGACGAATACTTCATCACACCCCCAAAGTCCGAGTCCGAGCGGACGGACGTCTTTTATCTCTTCGTTATCCCCAGCTACAACATCGACTGCATTAACGACACTTTCCTCGAACACCTCCAAGAAACTCACCATGACTTCCGCATCGATACCTCCCCGCTCGCTCCGATTCTGGGATACTCAGTGTTTGGCTTGGGGGATAGGGAGGGGTGGCCAACCGAAGAGGAGGGGTTCTGTTTCCAGGCAAAGGAGGTCGACAGGTGGATGGCCAAACTGAGTGGGCGGAAACGCGCATATCCTTTGGGAATGGGTGACTGGAAAAGGGACGGAAAGGAGAGGTTGTTGGAGTGGCGAACCGGATTGACGGATGTTCTCAAGCAACTGGAACAAACCGGGGCGTTGGGAGAAGGGGTCCCAGGCTCTGGAGATCCTCTGGAGAGCGACGACGAAGAAGAGGCGGAAGATGACGGAGAAGTAGTGGTTGAAGAGGTCTCCGTGTCTAAGGCCACCAAGGGGCGGAGTTCTGGCAGCCTCGAAGATGTCGAAGACATCGGCCGGATCATGGAGCTATCGCGGGCGGACGGCCCCGATCAGAAGAAGCCGGCGGCACCACTGGCGATTGATTTCACGACGGAAGGAAAACCAGTGTCCAAAAAGGTCACCAGCGCCACAGTGAAGGAGATGGTACCAAAGAGCTCACCCACCTACGCGGCCCTGACAAAACAGGGTTACTCGATCGTCGGTTCCCACTCAGGGGTCAAGATTTGCCGCTGGACCAAATCAGCCCTCCGCGGTCGGGGATCCTGCTACAAATTCTCCTTTTACGGAATCAACTCCCACCAGTGCATGGAATCCACCCCTTCCCTCTCCTGCTCCAACAAATGCGTCTTCTGCTGGCGCCACGGCACCAACCCGGTCGGCACGACCTGGCGCTGGGTAGTGGACCCGCCCCAACTAATCTTCGACGGCGTCAAGGAGAACCACTACAAAAAGATCAAGATGATGCGCGGCGTGCCCGGGGTGCGGGCCGAGCGGTTCGCCGAGGCCATGCGCGTACGGCACTGCGCGCTATCGCTGGTCGGCGAACCCATCTTCTACCCGCACATCAACGAGTTCCTAGCCATGCTCCACGCGGAGCGCATCTCATCGTTCCTCGTCTGCAACGCGCAGCACCCGGACCAGCTCGCGGCGCTGCAGCACGTCACGCAGCTGTACGTCAGCATCGACGCGTCCAACCGCGAGTCGCTGCGGCGCATCGACCGCCCGCTGCACCGCGACTTCTGGGAGCGCTTCCAGCGCTGCCTCGACATCCTGCGCGAGCGCCGCTTCCGCCAGCGCACCGTCTTCCGCCTGACGCTGGTCAAGGGCTTCAACATCGAGGACGAGGCCGAGGGGTACGCCGACCTGGTCGAGAAGGGGCTCCCTTGCTTCGTCGAGGTCAAGGGCGTCACCTACTGCGGCACGTCCACCTCCAGCAATGCCGGCCTGACCATGGCCAACGTGCCCTTCTACCAGGAGGTGTGCGACTTCGTCGTCGCCCTCGAGCGGGCGCTGCGCAAGCGCGGCTTGGAGTACGGCATCGCGGCCGAGCACGCCCACAGCTGCTGCATCCTGCTCGCGAGCGAGCGCTTCCTAGTGGACGGGAAGTGGCACACGCTGATCGACTATGACAGGTTCTTTGAGCTGCTGGAGGAGAAGGGGCTGGATGGGGATTTCAGCCCGGAGGATTACATGGGCGCGGCGACGCCCGAGTGGGCGACGTGGGGCAATGGCGGGTTTGATCCGAGAGATCAGAGGGTGGATCGGAAGGGGCGGCCTATTGAAGCTACGTAGACTGGCGGAACGCAGCTGGGCGATGGGATAGGAATGATAGGTACATACCTTTCTCTATCGACCTGCTGATTTGCTTCGTAATAAGTGCAGTGTTCTCATTAAGCTAAAAGCAACCCTGCGCTCTTGCTACTTCCGTAATGCATTTTTATGTATACAGTTATCTTCACTCTTACACCTGGTCCTATGTCTAGCTCCTTTTAGCTCAGCGGGCCAGTATGCCCCCTCCCCGGGAAAGGGGGATGATATCGTATCGTCCAATGGCGCTGGAACCTGTGAGTCGAGGCCATGGTACTTTGGTAAAATCGAGGGAGGTTCTGTTGACCTCCGCCGGGGTGTGTCTCTCGACGCTCCGGGGCGCCGGCGATCAGGCGGGGGGGGACTAGTCAAGGCCAACGCCCGGCACGGCACCCATCTCGCCCATTTCGCGCATCAGTTCCGCAACGTCGACGCCGCCGCCGGCCGGGCCGGTGTACGAGGTGCCGATCCGGAGGCTGCCGTCGTATGCGATCATCTCGGCAAGAATGTCCAGAATGGGCTGTGTAAGTCATGTCGTGTAAGCAAGTCATTGGTCACTAGGAGCGGGGTTGGGCAGCTCGCGTACCTTGGAAACGGTCTTGTCGTAGATGTTGATCAGGTCTCCGGGAGTGGGGTACACCTTGAGAGCCTTGTAGAAGGCGAGCGCAGCTTCAAGACCCTTAGAAGCTAAATTGAGGGAGAAAAACGTTAGCCATCATCGCCTGCATAAACCGGCAAAGCCCAACCAAGGAACCAAACGTACGGTCGGCGCCCAGAACCTCGCCCGCCTGGACCTGTTCCAGGAAGTATGCCTCCTTCTCCTCCGCGCTGGCCGGGAAGCCCTCCTCCTTGGCCTCGTCGACGGCGTCCTTGATAGACTGGCGCTGTTCGGCGGCGCCGGCCTCGGCCTGGCTCTTTTCCGCGCGTTGTTGCTGGCGCTGGTTGCGGCGCAATTGTCTCCTAAATTCGGCGCTGTTGCGGCGACGGTAGTCAAAGTAGGCGGCATATGCTGTTGGCCGGTGACGGGTCACAGTCAGTCATCATGGTGGGTTGAAGGCGATGTCGTCACCCTTGGGGTAGGCATACCGAGAAGGCCTGTCGCCACGGCGGCGACGGTTGCTGTCGCAACTACGGCGGTTCGTGATGTTGTGGCCGACATTGTGAAGTAAAATAATCGGATAGGTCTCGAGAGACGTGGGAGGGGGGCGGATCGGGTGGGCTGTTGATGTGCGGAAACTTCCAAGGTTAGAGGATGCCGATTTCGTTAATCGGTCCCCTACAAAGCTTTGTTCGAGGTTCCTCCAAAATTTCGGTGGGGTCTTGATGGACCCACACGTGCGCAGGGTGGTGTGCACCACTCAGCCCTGTTAGCCCCCGCTTGACTTCCCTGGTTAGGGAGTTCTTCGCTGTGGTGGCCGGACCTCTTGTTTTGGTTCGAGAAACATGCGCAGTTACAACAAACAAGCATACCCAAATAACCCGAAATACTCAAGTACCTGGACGGTTACGCAAACAGAACCGCTTTCTACTCATTTATCAGATGTCTAAGCGTTATACAGCCGTCGTTTATTTTAAAATTGACTATGAAATAAATTTTCCAGCCTCGCTCCTCGATTATTCCGAAGTGGGAAGTTGAGTTCCAGTTGCAGTGGCTCTCTCACACAGTTAATGTACGTACATACACACATATATATTTCCAACCCTCAAAAAGAAAACTCGCCATTTCCCGACTTGCCACTCAAGCCAAGGCACACTCTATGACAGCGCTACCCCCGGGAATCTGAGAAACCTTGGTGATCTTGAGCGCCGCCTTGCCGGTAATATCCTCGAAGTTCGCCCGCGTTCTCTCCTTGCCTGAGATGGTCAGCATCGAAAGATCCATCGCCGCTTGGAACGCCGATGGCTGGTCTCCGAGCATCGTCTCGACGATCAGCAGTCTGCTGTCGGGTGCCATGGCCCCTGAGAGGTGCTTCAGCATCACCACACATTCGTCATCCGAATAGTCGTGCAGGCACCGACGAATGTAGTAAACCAGGGCCCCTAAAAGGAACAGTCAGCCGGCGCATCTTGGGCGTAGAAATTAACAAACAGGCTTGCTTACCCTTGACAGGCTGCTCCTTGAAAAAGTCCACAGGAACCGTCTGGACATCAGCCATCTCAGGGTCCTCCCGCTTCGCTGCCTCCACCACTTCGGGCAGATCCTCAAGCACACAGCGGTTCCTGGGAATCCCGGGGGTCGCCTTCCAGATACCCTTGAGCGCGTGTCCCCTGCCTCCACCGACATCGACCACCAGCGGCCGGTCGGCGGATTTGCCGACCTCCTCCACGGCCCAGCTGAGGTCGTAGGCGCCCAGCGCGGGCATGTGCTCCTCGATGACGCCCATGGCGAGCATGAAGACCCTGAGGCGCTCCTCGGAGGAGTGGTGGATGTCCCAGACGGTGGAGCCGAGGCTGCCCTCGGCGAAGGCCAGGATCGTCTGCAGGCGGTCCTTTGGCTCCGCCGCGATGCCGTACTGGTCGAAGTACTTGGGCATGGCTACCCACGCGGAGAGCTGGCTGTCGAATCTGTGTGCTGGGTGTTAGGACCAGTCGCTCTTCAGCGAACGGGGGCGTTGTTCAACATACCCGAGCTGCATCATAGCCCAGATGGGGTTGGCAGTGGTGAGGACCTTGGAGAATTTTGTGTGGGCCACCGAGTCACCTCCGATTTGCTCGAGGGTGCCGTTCGCCACGAGGACTCGGGCAAAACGTGCTGGAGACCGTGTCAGCTGGACTAGAGTTTGGGTCGTATGGGGAGGATGGGTGTCTTACTGATCAGCGACACGTCGGCGCCCAGCGTTGCGGCCAAGTCCGTGTACGAAATGGTTGCGCCATCGTCAATGGGTATCTTCTCAAACGCCTTCCACTTGATGAAGAGCCGAATGGCAGTCATGTGGGCGAAGTGTGGCAGCCACAGCACAATCTTGTCCTGAGGAAGACTGACGGCATTGATGAGGTCGCCGCCGGCCTTGAGCAGGCCCATCCGCTGCAAGTTGTCACTCTCAAGCGACAGACTACCCGATCGGAGGTCCTCGGCGGCCTTGGCCAGCGTCTCGGACAGTGCCTCTAGGGTGTCTGCGACGGCGGATGCCATGATGAATGTTCGAAAGCGACAAGGGAGCAGTGTGAAAGCCGGGTAAGGTGGTGTTTGTGAAGTTGTGTGCTATGTCTTACTCGGTGGACAGGTGTTTATACGGGTAGTAATATGGTGACCCAACGCTCCCTTTATACACCGGAAGAGAGGTAGTGCAAGGCCCCCGGGATACGGCATTTTCCCGACTGCGAAGGCCGAGCTTGTTACGGCCGAGTCCGGGGGCCGATCCCGGTATAGCACGCTGAGAATTCAAGATTCAATACTCGAGACGGCGAGGCTTATGAGGCCGCGTAAGCCTATCCGTGGATAGTACTGTCGACAGTAGCATCGTGATTTCATCATTTCATCATGCGCGGCCACCACCTCAAAGGGTCCCGGTCAACCGAGTGGGGCTTGAGTCCGATGGTGTCGCTCATGACATGGGGCTCTTCGGAACGCGTTCGTCGTCCGAGCCGGAACCCCTTTTGCCGGGCTAGCCCCCCAGGATACCGGCATCTCGCCGCAATAGCTGGCGCGGCCATCCCAGGCAGCCGTTCTCAAAACGGCGAGACGTGAAGACGTGGAGTGCAACATTCGGTATTTTTGCATGGCGCGGGATTCTCGAGGAAGCCGACCGAGGGCGCACCGTATCTCCTCACCCGGTCAAGTTGTCGTTGTTTGACAACACAGGGCTGGGTTCCTGGTATGTTTGCGCGGAAAAGCACTTGACAACCTTGTCGATACTCGCGACTAGCGGGAATGTCCTTTACGGTCATCAAATACACTAACACGTGTGTTTGTGTGAGTTCATCACTGCATAGTATTTAACATAAGTTGGAGTCGCGGATTATGCCTCCGGGCTTTTACTATGTAGACAACCACGGGACGAGGCCAGATCGAGATCAATTCTCTCAACTTTTACCAGTATCTCATGGCATGTGGGGCGACTAGTTGATGACGATGCATCCGAGTGTCATCGATGACTCGGTTACGTTCAACTTCAATGCTAAGATCGAGGCTTAACGGTGCTTGACGTAATAATGAGCGATATGTCACATGTAAAAAAGAGAATGTCCCTTTTTCACACACTTATTCCTACTCTAATAACCAGGTAGAAATAGTAGGTACGCTCCCACCTCACACATCCAAGTCAAACTTGTAGTCAGATTTTGTTATCATCTTTTTCTCGGTCTTCTCACCATGTCCGACATGTTCGAAATATGCCCACCCGAGCGGTATCGCCCCACGAGAGCCACCTCCTCCGATTCTAGCGACGCTGGTGACTTCGAAATTTCCAATGTTCGGCTCCGTGTCGGAGCCCCGCCTGCACTTCCGCTTCCCCTGACCGACGAGTGGGACGCGCGGTGCAGCCTCATATCCGATGAGCTCGGCCAAGGCGTCTTGGAGAGCGAAACGAAGAAGATCCTCTCTGCTGAGAACGTGAGCGGCGTCGTCTCCGTCAACTTCACGTCACGGGAGGGCCGACCAACTATCCTCATCGTGGCACCCTGGGAGGACGGCTCCTCAGCTCTCTGGGGGGCGGTGGTACGTAGGGTGAAGAAGCTCGTTGACTCGAAGCGGCTCACAAGCGAGAAGCTTCGTGGTGTCGACATTGCTGTGGAGATGATTGCCGAAGAGCTCACGCTCAAAAAGTACCTATCTCTAGTCCCAACGGAGATCCTTGCTAGGGGGTTACAAAGGGACTGGCCGTATATTCAGGATCGGGTATCCGAAATTCTAGAAGACCACAACGCCACAAAAGGGTGTATGAACACACTAAGTCTCTTCAGACTCGGGTTCTCCCCCCGCCATGAGGACAACCCCATCACCGTCTACGTGTCGCTGGACTACGTATCAGACGAGACCGGATGGCCCCCCGTGGTCGAAGAAATAAGACAGTACCTTGAGGAGTTCAACTACGTCCAGCTCCAGATCCATCTGGAACACAACTGCAGCGAGTATTGACAAAACCTCAAATAGGCAGAGGGCTCTTGGTGTACTTTACATCACTGGAGGACGCTTGCGAAGGTGGTCTCTAAAAGTTTAAAGGAAATAGAGGAGATGAGAACATGGGAAGGAGATATTCGAGATAATAAAATGGAAAATGAAAACAAAATTGCAAAAATTGAAAATGACAGTAGAATGAGAGGCAAAGAAAAGAAAGGTGAATAAAATAGGATCAAATAAGGAAAAGCGAGAATACAGAAACCAAGAAGGTGCATCGACGCCCCCAACAGGTGTAATTTATACGAATAACTCCAATACATTACGAATATTACCCTGGCCTTTGCAAGGAAGCTGAAACGCACAGACCAAGCCGGGTAGCTTGCAGTTTCGTCCCCACTTTTTGCTGCAGCTGTGAAACGGACACAGGATTGTCACTGTAACCAGGCGATTGCGCATCATCGGCTGTGGCTGCAATCACTTCGTTTCTTCGAATCTGGTTGGGGCAGAACCGGGTTCACTTTCTTATTGCCATTGCCATATTTCGTTTTGTCTATTTCCCAAGGTTCATGCCGCGCGTGCCAATTGTGTACCATGTCTGAGGAACGCTCCAAGATATCGCTGCGCAGTGGGAAGAGGAAGGGTCGGCCGTCCATCAAGATCTCCGGACCTATCTTGCAACAAGATGCCGGCACGCGGGGGCCTCCGGGGCGTCCAGCCGCGGCGGATGTTCCCCCGCCTCGCCCGCGACCCCCGCCCCAGAGCAGTGCGACGGTGAGCTTGCATCTTTGGTCCGTTCGGTACTAGGAAAAAGACTTAACCCCCCTACGTACAGACCTCAGATCTCGTCAAGCGACGATACTCGACGCGCTTCAACAACATTCCAGCCGACTTCGACCCGACCGCAAACCCAATGCCCGCACTTCCCAGCCTCGACCAGTATGTGAATTCCCAGGCCCAAGATCGTCGGCCCCCACCGTCAAGAGGAGGGCGAAGCGAAGTCGGGGGAGGAGGAGCTGGGCTACAGGTGGATGTACGAGCCCTTCGGGACCCAGGTCTCGTACCGGAGCAATATGTTGCCGAGATTTTGAGTGAAGCCACCGAGGACGAGATTCGCGATTACGAAATGGCGCTGCGGAAGCTCAAGCGCCGAGCATCGACCGATCTTCAACAAAACGTGTACCAAAACCGCACCCAGTTCATCAAGATCAGCAAGGAGGCCGAGAAGCTCAAGGGCGAGATGCGCACTCTTCGAAATCTAATGGCAGAGCTGAAAGCCAACACCACCGCTTTGCGTTCGGGCTCGAACAGCGTGGAAGACGCCGGTTTCGGTGGTCAGATAGGCACGGGGTTGAGCCGGAGGGACAAGAGAAGCTCCGTTGCCGATAGGACCGCGCTTTGGAGCTCTCAGATGCAGGCCCTGTACAAAAGTGTCGAGGGCTCACAGAAGTTTCTTCCCAACACCACAGGGCGTCATGTGGTGCAAAACGCAGGGCCTTGGGTCGAGCTGGATAATGCCACGTACAGGTCGCGGCGTGCCATGCAGATCTTCCTGCTGAATGACCACCTGCTCATCGCCTCGCGGAAGAAGCGGAAGACGGATGGGCCGGCTGCCGCGGACAGCCGTGCCCCCATGACCAAACTTGTGGCCGACCGATGTTGGCATCTCTTGGACGTCGAGGTGGTGGATATGGCTGGGCCTAGCGACTCCTCTAGCGGCAGGAACAAGCTCGCCGATGCTATCATGGTCCGGGGAGGTGGCCAGAACGAATCCTTTATCTACCGAACCGAAAAGCCGGCAGATCCCGACAAAGGGGCCCTTATGCTCAACATCCGGAAGCGAGTGGAGGAGCTGCGGCGAAACCTCCAGTCCGAGAGGGAGGCTACCAACAAGGCTAAGGAGACCATCAACTACTTTGCCTCGCGTGACCCGGGCCTGCTGCAGAAGACGGAACTGCTCGAAACCCTGTCCGATATCAAGGACATGCTGATCGAGGTGGATGGCAAGCAGCAGAACCTTCGATGGGTTGAAAGCCAGATGGATGAGCTCGATATCCACATTGCCCTCCAGCAGATCGAGCCGTCGGTCGCTCTGATTGAGAAGTTGAAGAACCTGGCATACGGGCTGAAGAATAATGTCATCGCGCAAGACTTCATCTCGTTCAAGGTCGACGAGAGACGAGCGAAGCTAGCGGCGTTAGCCGTTCGAGAGCTGGTCGGCACGCACAGTCAGCAGAAAAAGACGAAGCAGAATGTGTCTTGGCTCACCCGGCTGGGCTTTGAGGACCGAGCGCGTGAAGCGTACTTGGAAGCGCGTAGTGAGACGATCCGAAAGCGGTCCAGGTAGGCACCTCAGTGATACCTATCCAGCCCGAGCCTCTTTAGCTAACCCAACCGCAGGCAATGCATCTTCCAAGGCAACTTGGACCAGTACATCTGGGAGCTCTCCTTCGTCTACTTCACCATCATCCGCAACACGGTCACCTGCTTCCAGGCGTGCTTCCCGCCGCCCATGATGAGCGCCTGCGTCAAGTGGGCCAAGGAGGAGGTGGACACGTTCAATGCCATCCTGGCTCGGCAGTTGAGCGGCGAGAAGGAGGGAGACGTGGCGTGGACGCGGTGTATGAACACGGCCAAGGACCATGCCGGCATGCTCTCGGAGGTGGGCCTGGACTTCCGAACCTTGGTCGGCCAAAATGTCAAGCCCGCGACGGAAGGCCCGGGGTCGAGTGCGCCGGCGGGATTGGGGTTGATCATGGGCGTACAGGCTGCTTGAAGCGTTCAGGGGGCCTTGATGGTCTTGTTCGTTGGCGCTTACATGAGCTAGATATTGTGTAGATGGAGTGTTTTGAGCTACTGATGGTGATGATTTACGATTTAGTCTGTACATGTTCTTCTTTCCCGCCTTCGTCCGTGCCAATTTGGCTGTTGAATTTTACCCCTATCCTTCCCATGAGGTCGGTGCAGGGGCACATGGGGGCCGAAATAGAAGCTGAGCGGGCACGGCGGGGTGCCTCATTTGAGTGGAGGCCCCTGAGCCCTCAGCTCCCACGGCTGCCCACTTAAAGTTGGCGGGGAGGCTCTCGCACGGACCACAAGGAACCCACCCAGAGGCGCCAGTGCCGACCTCAGCACCGCATTTCAGCAAAACAACGGCGCTCTCCCCTCATCGCATTCGAGTATTATACCCTTGCTTTGGAATCAGCCTCACCCTGAGGCGTCTGCGCGAGTCGAACGGCTGTCATTTCATCACCTGTTTTTGGAGGTCCGGTCGAGACATTCGCCTACATCCCCGCCAGTTTAACAAAAAGAAGCAACCCCTGGCGACACCCGCCCACCTGCCCAATTTTGACCCAGACCTTGGACCCGCGCCGCGCCTGGGAGACCACAAACGACGGGCCAGTGGACACAAACGTCATTGATCCCAATCTTCACGACCACTTTCGAACACACCCATCGCATTCCGAGCGAAATACTACCCGTCCTTACTTGGATCCATCACTTGCACATCGCTCAGCGAAGGATTAATTGACGGAATGGATACGAACATGGAGGACGTTGGGCGCGTGCCCACCGAGCTGGGTTCGTCCAACATCGAGCCGGCCACCATTCCGACTCTCGACGGCTGGATCGAGAGCTTGATGCAATGCAAGCAACTTGCCGAATCAGATGTCCAGAGACTCTGTGAAAAGGTCCGCCTTGCCTCTTGATGCCCCCCTAACTCTACCCTTCCCCACCGCCGCCGAGGCTCGCTGCCCACCCCTTGCTTCTCACCCCTCCATCAAACCGCGAACATCGAATTCTCCATTAGACCCCCTATCGGTTGATTGCGCATTCTGTATTGGGGGCGTATACTGACTTCAACCCCCTTCTTCAGGCACGCGAAGTCTTGCAAGAAGAGTCCAACGTACAACCTGTCGTATGTGGCTGCCCTGCCGATCGCGGTCGCCATCGAGACGTTCTTCCCCGATAGACTAACCTCGTCAGAAATGCCCCGTCACTGTCTGCGGCGACATCCACGGCCAGTTTCACGATTTGATGGAACTCTTCAAGATTGGCGGGCCGAACCCGGACACCAACTATCTCTTCATGGGTATGGCACGGCAGGCTGATATTCCCACGTCGTGAGCGAGGCCGCCTTGATATTCTGACGATTGGGTGTTGCGCAGGGGATTATGTCGATCGAGGGTACTACTCGGTCGAGACTGTCACCCTGCTTGTGGCGCTCAAGATCCGATACCCGCAGCGCATCACCATCTTGCGCGGCAACCACGAATCACGCCAAATCACACAGGTATACGGCTTCTACGACGAGTGCTTGCGCAAGTACGGCAACGCCAACGTGTGGAAGTACTTTACCGACCTTTTCGACTACCTGCCGCTCACCGCCCTGATCGACAACCAGATCTTCTGCTTGCACGGCGGTCTGTCGCCCAGCATCGACACCCTCGACAACATCAGAGCCTTGGACCGGATCCAAGAGGTGCCCCACGAGGGGCCCATGTGCGATCTGTTGTGGTCCGACCCCGACGACCGGTGCGGCTGGGGAATCTCACCCCGCGGTGCGGGGTACACTTTCGGCCAGGATATATCAGAGGCGTTCAACCACAACAACGGGTTGACCTTGATTGCCCGAGCGCATCAGCTTGTCATGGAAGGCTACAATTGGTCGCAGGACCGTAATGTGGTGACCATCTTCTCTGGTTGGTTCCCTGCAGTGTGTTGTTACTGGTTCCATTCGCTAATGTGCCTGCAGCGCCCAACTATTGCTACAGATGCGGCAACCAGGCCGCGATAATGGAGATCGACGAGCACTTGAAATATACCTTGTATGTGGCCGTGGCTATTCATTCCGACCCGTCCGCTAACTGGGATTTTAGCTTGCAATTCGACCCCTGCCCGAGAGCTGGTGAACCCATGGTCTCGAGGAGTAAGTTTTTCCGCTCGTCACAGATGTTGCGCCGTCACTAACCACCACCCTTCAGGGACCCCTGACTACTTCTTGTAATGAAAACGCCAACCCTGGCTTCTGGTCGTGCCGTCACATACAGCAAGGACAGGAGGCTTAGAGGGGCGAGGGTCTAGCGATACGTTGGCCTAGGTCTCCTACCAAAACCCGCCGCATTGTGGACGGGGGCGGCGGACGCCGAGGCATATACGATGTATCAAAAGAAAACAACAAGTAAAACGGTTGCTCAACCCTTTCACTCTGTGATATGTCGAGGACGCACCCAGTTCCCAGTTCCGGTGACTGGAATTCTTAAGACTCGAAACCAGCAGTTCGCTAAATTGCAGGGCTTCCCACCTGTTGTTAGAGCCCACGTCCCGTTTTCAGGGTGGGCGAAGTAGGTTAGATGTGTCATGCGAACGGCCGTTATTGATATCAATGGGAGTTTTCAGCGCAGTGTAGTGCCCGTGGGAGCCGCGATAACTTGACTGACCATCTGGTCACCCGGTCACTCGGCATGCCCTGGGAAGAGCCGAAATTGAAACACTCCTATGTACGTGTTAGCAGTTGAGTGGATCCAATTACCGGCTTCAAGAGACAAGTCACCGATCACCAAGATCGGCAGACGCAAAAGGAGGAGACGTGAGGGAACGTAACGCGTCTCCTCCCCCGCCGTTTATAAGAGAGCTATTTTTCTCCCTCTTACCTGCTCCCCGTTTCCTCCGTCTCGGCCTCAACAGAGTAAGGTGGTATCCATCTAACACGGGCCTCAGCATCACACTTATACCAAGCACAGCCTTACTCTACCTTCCTTCAGCTCAAAATGTCTACCCCGATCCCTATCGCCTTCGTCAACAAGCACAGTTTACTCGCCCGGTTTATCCGAGATGAGCTTCTCCCCGACTTCGATGGTACGTCCTCTCGCCTGGTTCCCACGCTTCCCAACCCCCCAGCCTGAGTCCTACCCTCCCCCGATAAATAGCGCCAACAGCTTATACAACTAACTCCAAAACAGTGGTAAAGACCTGCCACGACCTCACTGATGCGGGGATGGACCTCAGGCGTTGCTGCGATGACCCGCAGGCACCTAGTAGCCACCAAGGCGTGGGTAGCAACGAGGAGGTTGATCTGAAGGACCGTAAGGCGCCGCGAGCTGTCGTCATCGGTTTGGGGCTCGACGAGCAGGAGACTACCACACTCCAGGATATGATCGAGAGGGCGGTCAGCGGTCTCGTGGTGGTGAGGGTGAAGGTGGACTATGAGCTAGAGGAGGCGGTGGTGGCTATGATTCCGGATCTGCGAAACCAGCTTCATAAGCTTGTCGAGGATGGGACGATTAAGCGTGAGTAAAGGGGCGTGGTTGAAAAGGGGGGTAGTGGGCGTAGTACATACCTAGCCTTGGGATGCGGGTACCTAACAACGTTATGAGAGCCCGCCGGTTCCGCCTCGGGCTTGGCCCTTAGTTGCGCCTGGATTCCATGGAGTAGCGATGTATTCTCAACTTGTTTTGCAACCTGGGTCTTCTTTCTTGGCTCTGTGTGACCCGGGACGTCTGATCTAGGAAGAGAAATACAGCTGGGAGTTTCCTTGCCGGATATTGGATGTTAGCAGAGTCCGGAACCGGCCGAGTTACGTGTAAAGTATCCCAGTCTTGGTCGAGTCTTGCACAAACAAAAGCATCGAGTTCGCTCTGCTCGCCGCCACGGCCACCTTGTTGGCTTTCGACGCCGTGTTCAGAGCCACCATCGACTTCTACGGCACCCCCGTAACCCAGCCGGCACCATGGCAAACTCTGCTACTATTTCTTCAACTACGGGGTGGGACTTTTCGTGGTGTTCACCTACGTGTTGTCGAGATTCGACCAGCGGTTCTATATCCCGGATGGTAGCTCAGCTCCGGGACATTATTCGGGCACTGAGCTAGGCCCGATGCCGGTTGGTGTGTTGGTGTCAAACGGGGACACCGAGAGGGGGAGGAGGGGAAGGGGACGTAGCAGAGTTAATTAGTTTAAGAGTTACCTCACAGTTTGCGCCAACCAATACTGATACGGATTTAGTAGAGGGTGATACCTAACATCAGGGCATACCAACTAATACTAAACGCTTGGGTATTGGGGCAGACTATAGATTAACTAACTAACACTGTATCAAAATACTAAAAATAATTTTTGAACCTCCTGTTTAGTCAAACCTTACCCTCACCTTAAAGCAATCGTATTTGAGTCCAGTTAAAGTTACGGGGTTGCATAAAGTTCCGGACAGTTGCGGCACAGGATCGTCGATGGGAAACCGGACACGCGTGGGGAGGACGTGGTCCGCATGTTTCACTTAGCAACATGGTATGTACGACAAGACCCAAAAATAACAACGACGGTTCACTGCCGTGGCTCTGGCGGTTGCGTCAACTTGTGTGTCGAGCCTTGACGCCCAATGGCTCTTGGGTTCTTGGTGTTGGAGGCGGCAATGCGCATCGGGTTGATGCCCGGGCATTGGAATTATCGAGCGAAGAGACGTCGGACGATGGTGCAGGAGCTGTTGCCCCGATTGGCCAAACAAGACGATGCCCGGGTAGGAGACGGCCTGAGCGGGCGCGGGAATGCGACAAGATAAACGCGGCTGGTGTGGTTCGGCAATCGAGGCTCGTGGGCACGACGGCGGCGCCTCCTGGTTTGCGCCCTTCCCGAGCCGTGTCTGGTGTAGTGGGAGCTGCAGCCCCAACCCACGCAGACGCCAATTACACGCGGTCAGGACCTGTGTCCTGATGCAATGCGCGCTCCGTCGTCCAGTCGCCTTGCCAGCCGATAGTAGAGCGCTTATTTATATTGCGGTGGCTTTCCAGTGGTAACTTCCATGACCGAGGGCATCCGTCATTGTACTTGTGGCTCTGTATGTACGAATCCAGAATTATAATCTGTACTTTTTCTGGTTGTCATGCGCCGTGAGCGACCCGAGGAGCTGTGCCTGGAAACTCGGAACCGAACCGGGGAATTTGTGTTTCGATCTCAAATGGACCCTTCAAACTCGGCGAGTTCCAGCGATTCCCCCCACCCAACCAATTCGTGTCCGTGGATCCGCCCACAGCCCATGTGCGGACCCACCCTCGGATAGCTTTCCGCAATGCGCACGCAAGCACGATAATCTGTAGTTAGAAGCTCCAGCTCGCCAATCGGTGCTCGAGCTCCCAATTGCGGCATCGCGAAAAGAAACAGAACGAGGAGTTTCCATGCAGTCTGTGATTTGGGGTGTAAACAAAAAATACCTGTGCGATCCCGAGTCATGCGTTTCCTCAACACACACCAACTACTTGTATACTAAACGATTGCCTGGGGTTACCACTGGCAGCCTCTCCCCATTATCCAGAGTGAGCTCACCTCAAGGAGAGCACTTCCGAGCTGCGTTGCACTCGGTCGGAGCTCAGCCACCGTCAGTCAGTGCACACAGCTTCACCGTCCAGACCGTGTCGGTCTCAGAAAAACAGATGACAGATCAGCCCCCTCGTTGCCAAATGCATGACAGATTGACGGCACACATCAGCTATTCGCTGACCACATTGGGGTAACTGAGACATCGCCCAGTTTTGGCGGTTGGGCTTGGCTATTGATAGTCATCGTGTGGGAGCTCGCGCGAGTGCCCGTTTCGAGAACACGACCGGGAATATAGCTAGGTGAGCTATAATGATGATGCGAACAACCGCAGCTCCTCAAACACGCAAGCAAGCGACGGGACAGCGTTGTAGTGTATGTCCAGTGTGCTGCGGTTGCATGGTATTTATGCACTCGTAATTCTCTTCCGTCCAAGGTGATATCGTCAGGAGTCTGTGGTTTGGTTACCCCGGAGTTCGAGGTGGTGTTTGAGACACCAGTCCGTTGGATGCATGAGTGCGGGAATACCGGGCAGGGGCTGTAGGAGTGCTAACCTTTTGGGGGAAGGCTGCACCCAAGTCTTAACTTGAAGCGAAATTAGATCGTGGGTCTGCCACCAGTCTTCCGTGTCGTTTGCTGAACGCCCCAAACATGCACGCTTCCACCCGTTCTTCGATTCTTTTTCACCCGCTTCTTCTTCAAGTTCTGTGAGGGGTGACACTGGACCCACGGTCCTCCAACACCACCTACCAAGAGCGGCGTTCTCCTTCTTCCAATTGCTCTCGTTTTTTTTTCACATTCGTTTTCAACCCACTCACTTTCACTTCCTCCTTGGGCCGTGGCACTTCCCCACCCCTAATAACTCAGAACTGCCTGTTCTTGCAGCCCAACTGCTCAAGTCGCTCCTTTCGCGTCGCTTTTCGCGGCTGCCATTGGCGACCCTGCACCACGCCGTCTCACTTCGCCCACCGACGACTTTTTCCATTGCGGCTTCCCAGACTCGACTCCGACCGAAGACTGCATAATTTCGTCAACAGGAGCAAACGGTGCTGCAGCAATTTGGTTGGGCCTGGGTAATCGACCTCAACTTGCCGCCGGCCTACACAGCCAAGTCATAGTGCAACAGCAGTCACGAATCGGCTTCACAGTTACCCGCCGAACAGCCCTTCCCTCGGACTTTCTAGGAAACCGCCAGGGCGGTCATGAATGCGACACCAGAGTGACGCAACAACCAGAAACCTACTCGAACAATTTTCACGGCAACTAGGAGGTGACAATCGAGTCGATACCGGACAGGAACCAAGCAAGGAGCTCGGGAGTCATTACTGGTCAAAAACGGTCACGGACGAGGCGAGCGCGCCTGGGCGCAAGAGGAATCCTCCTTTTTCTCTTGTTGACGACTTCCGCCGCCATGTCTTCCTGTCTATCGCTCCAAGGCTCCAAGGCATGCTCCGCCTTCCAGGCATCGTCTGTGTCTACCACGGACGCGAACGTCTTGGGGTTGTTGTATGTGAATCGGACGTTCCCTGTCGTGGGGTTCGCATGGCTGACTTTCTCGCAGTCCTTTCCTACGGTTTGCCTCGAACGTTGACACGCTCGATGCGCTCTTGATGTCCCATGTGCAGACAGAATACATTCGGGAAAAGTCAGTATCTAGTTCTCTTGGGGAGTATGCCGTTGGGCGACGATCTAACCCCCGCTAGGTTCTCGGTGCTGCTTGGCTGTGGCGGGATCGACTACACAAACACTAGCGACGTCTATGCTCGCTTCACGACCACGGTAATCTGTAATGCTATTATCCAGAATTCTATCGAACCCTGCAGCCTCGAGCCGGCAGAATCGCGCCCGCTTTGCGCCGAAACCTGCGTAAGCCTTTCTTCATGCTAACGCCTTGGTCCTCACTAACTGGACCTCTAGGCCCAATATGCACAGGCCGAGGCGTACCTCGTTTCTGATACTTCCCTTTGCCCTAACCCTAGCAGCGATGCTCAGTCACAGATTCGGGCCGACTTCACCAACTGCGCCCTGCCTGATAGCTCTTTATCGACCCGAGACTGCATTACGGGCGTGACAAACGAGCCCGAGAACTGTGGGTATGGGAACAGTACCGTGGGATTGTGTTCCTACTGCGCGACGGGCGGAATTAACTCGACCGATACCTGTTGTTACGGAGCCGATGCTGAGACGCGCTGCGCGGGGGTTGTCCTCCCAACCATCACACCAATCACTCTACCGACGGTCACAGCAACGGCAACACCGGATCCGAATGACGATTCCGCTGGGGGTGGTTTATCTGGAGGGCAAATTGCCGGCATCGTTATCGGCTCTGTTTTAGGTGTCGCCCTCATCGCGGCACTTATTTTCGGATTTCTGGTTTATCGAAGGAGGAGGAGGAGCGGTAGCCAAAACGGCAGCGTCTTTAACCAGCCATCGCCCGCTCGACATGGGCCACCGTCACAAATGGGTCAGACTGGCGCACCGGCTGGTTTTGAGGTGTTGCCCGGTGGTAGGATCGCCCGGATGTCCGCTCTCGAAGGCCATTCCCGCGACTCGCCGTCCCGTCACACGGCTCGGGACATGCACAGCTCTACCCCTGGCACCGCGGCGGGGTACCGTGGGAGCAGGCGGAGGGGTGACGACCATTCATCTTCCGACGGTTTCGGCTCCAGCCCGCCATCTGAACGCGGCACCGGTGTGCTCCGGCCACCCCCGACAATGTTGAGGAGGAACGGCTCTCTTTCTAGCGGCTCGGTGCTAGCGGGTGAGGATCCCCAGTCGCCTAGCTCGGGCGGCATCTCCTCTCCCCAGGGAATGGCGAGCCAGCAATCGGAGCAGCTGCCATTCTTCAAGGACTACTATTCCCAGGACGACCTCCACCCCGGCGACCGAGTTGCCGTTCTCTGGGCGTACCAGCCGCGGGCTGGCGATGAGTTCCTGCTGGAACGTGGCGACATGCTCAAGGTTGTGGGGATCTGGGACGACGGCTGGGCAACGGGCGTCATGGTCGACGAACGCGCAGAACAATGGGAGGCTCGTCGGCAAGCTCAGCGGGACAGCGGGGTGTCGAACACATCAGGGAGAGCGCGCGACGACTCGCCGCCCGTCAGCGGCGAAATTAAGGCGTTCCCACTGGTTTGCGTGTGCTCACCGGAGCACTGGAAGAAGACAATCGACGGGGACGGCTCGACCGACACGTCCAGCGCGAATCCGTACATGACGGCGGCGTAACTTTGGAGCGCGGCTTAATGATGATGACTCAATTCTCGATTACATTTCCCGATCATGCTCGATGAACGCCTCCCTGCTTTCGTGCGGCATTATCTACGGCGTTGGGGCTTACGGCACGCTCTGATTTTCTCCCCTGGCGGATTCAATTCACCAGTTTCTGGACCTGTCATGTCACCGTACGTTTTGGGGCCTCGCCCCCGAATCCAACCATGGCGACGTGGCGGCTGCCAGTTTCTGCTACCCGGCTCATGGCAGCCCGCATGGTCTTTGTTTATTTCTCTGTTTTATATACCCAGATTTGCGGTCCGGAGGCTCCTGCGGCATTAGCGAGCGAGACTTTTCAGCCTGGGTACATGGGGAGGAAGCAGTTGGTTTTCTCAGAAGAGTCAAGAGAAGGGACGACAAACTACCCGGAACCAATCAACACCCGCCCGAATACCAAGCAGGTCCGCGACATTTCAAGATAAACCACATGGAGATACTCTGCAGATATTCTTGGTCTCCGAGCAGAGACAACGTTTTAGTTAGATTCACAACAATAGATAAGCTGGTTGCTTAAATGTGATATTCTCCTTGCAAGATTTGACTGAATTGATTGAAAATGAAGTCATTTTAAAGATGTCTGACGGAGTCCCGCTGTCAAGCCCTATGATGCGTACCGGAGCTCCGTAGGCATGTTCAAACTGCCCACTGAGGTGGATCCAGTGAACTCGGAATCCGGCTCCAGCTCCAGCTTCCCCCCAGTACCCCCACAGGAGCGCCAAGCTTTCTTTGGTGGGGTGCGGCTGGCAGGGCTTATCTTATCTTAAGGGAGATCGATTGGCTGACGCCATGCTCGCAGGCTCCAAGGAATGACCATCTGATCACAGCTCGAAGCTCTCTCCTTTCACACACCCCAAGTTTGTGTTTTTTTTTCCGACTCCGCCGTTGCTACCTCGTTAAGGATATCATATCGCACGGTGTATATCCCACATCAACTCGTCGCTCAAACGGTTACCATACCGACACGAACCACACGAACCACGCCCGCGACCGCGCGCCCGCGTCGCACCGCCGATTCCCACGCGATTGCGAATACCACCCACTAAGCAAACGAGGATTGATCAAGATGTACCACGGCGTTTCTAAATTCTGCCCAAGGTAGCCGGAACGTTGGATAGCCGGCTGTGGAACGGAGCGAAATAATCAACAATGGGTCAGGGCTTTTCACTTGCAACCCCCCGCGCGGGGGGTGCCGGCATCGACGTCCCAGAGCTCGCAGACTTGGTCTACGAGCGGTCCGTCGGCACTGGTGTATTTATGAAGAGTGTCCGGGCCAGGCACCATGAGGGTGTCGTGCTGGCCAAGGTGTTCGTCAAACCATACCCAATGTCATTAGACGAATACAAGCAAGCCATCATCCGTGAGCACGCCTATCCTAAGTATCGTGACCGCAACCCGTGCTGATGGCCGACTGCTACTCCAGGCGAGAGACGAGTTTTGAACGACGTGCCGAATGCGCTCCCCTACCAACGCGCCATCGAAACCGAGACAAACGGGTACCTCGTTCGGCAGTTCCTCTACAACTCCCTCTACGACCGCCTCAGCACCCGGCCGTTCCTGGAGGACATCGAAAAGAAGTGGTTGGCGTTTCAGCTCCTGTGCGCCCTCCGCGACTGCCACAGCAAGGGCGTCTACCACGGTGATATCAAAACCGAGAACATCCTCGTGACGTCGTGGAACTGGCTATACCTCGCCGATTTCGCGTCGTCCTTCAAGCGCGTCATGCTTCCCGAGGACAACCCGGGTGACTTCTCTGTGTTCTTTGACACGTCCGGCAGGAGAACATGCTATCTAGCGCCCGAGAGATTCCTACCTCCAGGTGAAGAGGCCGACCCGAACGCCAAGGTGACCTGGGCCATGGACGTCTTCAGTGTCGGCTGTGTCATTGCCGAGCTCTTCCTCGAGACACCAATTTTCAGCCTGAGCCAGCTTTATTCGTACCGAAAAGGCGAATACGATCCCGTAATATCACACCTCAGCAAGATCCCCGACAAGGACCTACGAGAAATGATCACACAGATGATCCAGCTGGACCCGCAAAAGCGATACTCGGCCGAGCAGTACCTGGACTTTTGGAAAGGCAAGGTGTTTCCGGAGTACTTTTACAGCTTTCTGCACCAGTACATGGAGTTGATCACCGACCTTTCGTCTGCTCAGTATTCTGCAGGGGGCATTGCGAGGAATATTGGCGAAGCAGACCAGCGAATCGAGCGGGTGTGGCTCGACTTCGACAAGATATCTTATTTTCTCGGCTACCATGACGAGGAGAACCGCGCCGAGGAGCGCCAGCTTTCCCCGAGGCTTGGTTTAAAGAACTTCCCCGTGCGTCTAAACATCCCGAACAACGAGCACTACGTCTCCCCTGATAAGCAACCGTCGGCCGATGACGGCACGCTGATCTTTTTGACTCTGGTCGTGTCATCCCTTCGAAACACGGCCCACGCCGCCCCGAGGGTCAAAGCCTGTGACATATTGCTCGCCTTTGCCGAACGGCTGACCGACGAGGCAAAGCTGGACCGCGTTCTGCCGTACCTAGTCGCGCTGCTCAAGGACAAGAGCGATGTGGTGGTAGTCTCCGCCGTTCGGGCCATCACCCAGCTCCTCGACCTCGTCAAGGTCATCACCCCCGTGAACTCTCAAATCTTCCTCGACTATGTCATGCCCCGCATGGAACCATTGTTGCTGGATACACAGAGGACGTTTTGTCCCATCGTGAGGGCAACGTACGCCTCTTGCCTCGGAAAGCTGGCCATCTGTGCGGACCGCTTCCTCGCGATGGCTGCGACCCTGAGGGCGGATGGAACCGCGGCTCTCGCGGACCCCGAAGTTGAACCTGGGAACGAGGCGGAGACGCCGTTCGCCGGGCTGTTTGACAACGCCCGCCGGGAGCTCGCTGAGATATTCGAGGTCCATACCAAGACGCTCATTGAGGACTCAGACCCCTTCGTTCGACGAGCGTTTCTCACTTCGGTCCCTGATCTGTGCATCTTTTTCGGCGCTCTTCAGGCTAACGACATCGTCCTTACACATCTGAATACTTACCTAAATGACCGGGACTGGATGCTCAAGTGCGCCTTTTTCGACACCATCGTTGGCATCTCGGCGTTCCTGGGGAGCAATAACCTGGAAAAGTTCATGCTACCTCTCATGGTTCAGGCTACCACTGATCCAGAGGAACACGTTGTCCAGGGGGCGCTCCATTCACTAGCAGAACTGGCAAATATTGGTCTTCTAACCAAACACACATACCTCGACCTGGTGGACATGATTGGGCGGTTTACAATGCACCCCAACCTTTGGATTCGGGAGTCGGCTGCCGAGTTTGTATCGGCTGGCACGCGCTTCCTGAGTCCAGCCTATCTCAGGGTTCAGGTGCTACCGCAGTTGGTGCCTTATCTCAAGCCACACCGGCTGCCGGCCTTTTCCGAGCTCGACCTGCTTGAGGCACTTCAAAAGCCGTTGTCACGGTCGGTATTTGACCAAGCCTTGCTGTGGGCATCGAAGACGGACAGGGGAAACTTTTGGAAGCCCTTTAGAAAACTTCGCGATGCTGTCTCGAAACCGGTCTCGTCCAGGGCGGATGCAAGCTCCAAGATGTTGACTAAGACGGCGCGGAACGAGGAAGACGAGCAGTGGTTGAACAAGCTGCGAAATCTTGGACTTGCTCCAGAAGACGAGCCCAAACTACTCGCGTTGAGAGAGTTTATCTGGCGATTAAGCCAGATCAAAGCGAGGGATTCGGCCGCGCAGGACACAGGGGCTACGAATGCGCTCAACAACATTATTTCGACTCGTGAATTGGGCATCATGCCCCAGACTGTGTTATTCGTCGAAGAATCACCCGTTCCGCCCGTGGTGACTCCAGAGCAAGACCCAAATGCGCCACGGACTATCAAGGATGCTCTTCTCGACGCATCCATGTCGATCGACGACCCTGTCGGTAAGAAGCGGCGAGCGGCGTTAAACAGCCACCGGGCCCGCCTCGGGAGCCGGGATAATCTATCGCCCATGTCTACAGATAGTAGACGGCCACTAGAGGATGATTCGGCTGCCTCTTCGACAATCGGAGCGGGAGAAGTCGCGAAAGCCACGATTCGGAAGACATCCAATACTCACGGCAACGCGGCTACCCTGTCGCCGATAGATGACGATGTATCCGTTCAGGATGCTCCGTATGCGACGAGAAGGGGCCTGCGGCATCAATCGAGCGCCATGAACCTCATGAACAGAAAGGACAGCGGCAAGTCTGGGCCAGAAACTGGTACCACCGAGACAAACGCCTTTGGCGAGGTGGAAGGTCCCTTTAGACAACCCCCCGCGCGCAAGTCCTCAGAGCCCGAGACAGACTCTGCCTTAATCTACGCCAACACGCGGCTACGCGCCAACCACACATACAGGGGCAATGATCCCAACATCCTCAAGATGCTTGACGAGATGTATGTCGATAATTATCCGCACGATGTTTACGACTACGGGCCCATGGTGACACCCATCAGTCGCCTGAAGTCCACCAAGTCGACGGGATCTCAACAAGCAAGGGAGGATGCATGGAAACCATCCGGCAAGCTCGTGGCCACGTTCTCGGAGCACATCGGGGCGATCAACCGGATTGTTGTCTCCCCAGACCACCAATTCTTCCTCACGGGTGGCGACGATGGATGCGTCAAGGTTTGGGACACGGCCCGGCTCGAGCGCAACATCACCCACAGGTCGAGGCTCACACACAAACACGCCCCGGGGGCTAGAGTGCTCTCGCTCTGCTTCATCGAGAACACACACAGCTTCGTCAGCTGCGCAAGCGACGGCAGCGTCCACGTGGTCAAGGTCGACACCATCCTCAGCGGGGCCAGCTTCCGCTACCCGCGGCTCCGGCTGCTGCGCGAGTACCAGCTCGTCGAGGGCGAGTTCGCCGTGTGGTGCGAGCACTTCAAGCAGGACGGCAACTCGGTGCTGATCCTGGCGACCAACAAGTCGGTCGTGCGCGGCATCGACCTGCGCACCATGACGCTCCTCTACAGGCTCGAGAACCCGGTGCACCACGGCACGCCCACCTGCTTCTGCGTCGACCGCCGCCGCAACTGGCTCTGCCTCGGCACCTCGCACGGCGTGCTCGACCTGTGGGACCTCCGCTTCAAGATGCGCCTCAAGGGCTGGGGCGTGCCCGGCAAGGGCTCCATCTACCGCCTGTCCATCCACCCGACCAAGGGCCGCGGGCGGTGGGTGTGCGTCGCGGGCGGCACCGGCCAGGGGGAAGTCACCGTCTGGGACCTCGAGCGCACGCTGTGCCGCGAGATCTACCGGGTGGGGGGAAACAAGGAAGGGCCCAAGGGCTACGAGGCGTGGGAGGTGGACGAGGACCGGCCCGAGGGCATGCTGGGCCGGTTCGCGACGGACCTGGAGCCGGCGGCGACGGGCAACGCCGACCGCGGCGTGCGCGCCATGGCCGTCGGCACGGGCGTCGTCGACGACGCCGACCGCGAGGTCCGCCACGCCTTCATCGTCACCGCCGGCGCCGACAAGAAGCTCCGCTTCTGGGACCTGCTGCGCGTCGAGAACAGCGCCGTGTTTAGTGGTCTGCGCCCGGACGAGGGCAAGCCGACTTTTACGGCCAGCCATCCCACCCCGTCCATGACGCTGAATACCGAGCGCTGGCTGCGCCCCGTCGGTGCCTCGGCCTCGGGGTCCGGTGGTGGTGGTGCGGCTGTGCCTGGGGCTCCTGGGAGGAGCGGCCGGAGGAGTCGGGCGCCCAAGTCGACGGTCATGTCGCTGGAGGAGCAGGAGTTGCTGAAGAGTCACCTGGATGCCGTGGTTGATGTTGCGGTGCTGGAGTCGCCTTATGTGATGACTGTTTCGGTGGATAGGAGTGGGGTTGTATTTGTCTTTCAGTGAGGGGTGAATTTTGGGATTCTGGTCTGGGGGGCTTGGTAGGGGTGGATATTGTATGGTAGGTAGGAGATGGTGGTTATGGGAGTTGAGTTAAGGGGGTAGGGGGGTCAATATGGCGCGAGAGGGTTTGCGCCTTTAGTTATTAGGGGAGTGGGATTGAGTACATTTAGGAAATAACTTGATATCCTTGTGAATGGTTCATGATTCCCCGTGCCTTGTAGATATTGGACAATAACAAGCAACACCGTTGGATAAATACATCATGTCATCCGAGTTAACCAAGCATCTCTCTCCCATTCGTGAACCACTTGCTCTGGCTACAAAAGGGAAAAAACATACAACACCGGGGATTCCCCAGTCGTCACCGACCTGAGTACTAATCCAGCAGTCAGTAGTTTATCGAGGGGAGAGCGGACGGGATCCCGAGCTTTCTACTGCTTATGGTCGTATGTGCTCGTCACCTTTGCGAATCGACATGATATTGACAGTCGTCGTCGACCACAGCGCCTGGTGATGCTGACTCGCTCGGGTTAGGGTCACGCGAGGACTGCCCCACCTTATTTTTCCACCTCAGCCTTGTGGACCCTGAACCCGATCCAGAAATCGCGAACGTGAATTCGCATCCAAAACCGCGACAGCACCAATACCGACCGATACCGACCACCGACCACAGACCCGCGATCACGCCGAGCAACCCGGGTCATCGGATTTACGCATTGACGCCCCGCAACCGAACCCCCATTGACGACCGAACAAAACCACAAATAATAACAAGAAGGAAAAAAGAGTAGCCCAAAATGAGGCTCACGGCAGACCTCATCAACAACTCCCTTTCCTACCTCAACCCGCTCAAGGAGCGGGAGCTGGATCTCCGAGGTGCGTTGAAAAGAGCAGATACTTGCACATTGATCTTTGTTTCCAAAGAGAGCTTCGAGCTGTGAATACCATGCCATGAAAGACGGATTATCTCAACGTTGCGTTTATCTTCGGTTTTGCGCCGCATACAGGTCACAGAATACCCGCGATTGAGAACCTGGGCGTTGCCGGCGTAAGTTTTCTTTCTTCTCTCTCCCATACCCAAGTACGAGGAGGGTATAATGTACATGCTAACCACACCCGGTTTCCTTCCATTACATTACAGCCCCACGATGCGCTAGACCTGACGGACAACGACATCCAAGTGCTGGGCAACTTCCCGCTGTCGCCGCGCGTGCGCACCCTGCTGCTCGCCCGCAACCGCATCGCCGCCGTCCAGCCCTCCCTCCCCGCCGCCGTCCCCAACCTGCGCAACCTCGTCCTGGCCGCCAACAGCCTCGGCGAGCTGGCCGACCTCGACGTGCTCGGCCGCTTCCCGCGTCTGACGCACCTCGTGCTGGTGGATAATCCGGTGACGAAGAAGGAGGTACGTTTTGGTTTGTTCTTGGGTGATACTTGGTTGGGGTTGTTGAGGGTTGTGTGCTGACTGGGGGTTTGCGCGGTGGTGTAGCATTATCGGTATTGGGTTCTCTGGCGCTGCCCTACCGTCCGCTTTCTCGATTACCAAAAGGTCAAGGATGCCGAGCGGGCAAAGGCGAAGGAGTTGTTTGGCTCGGCTGAGGCGCCGACGGAGTTGGCTTCACAGGTGGGTAAAACAACGGCTCCTCGTGTGATAGGGGTACTAATGTTGGGGCAGATAATGGGTACGAAGAGCAAGACATTCGATGTGGGCTCGGCGAACGGCCCGGCTGGTGGGCAAGGGTCGAAACTCTCTCGCCTCAAGCTTACCGACAAGGAGCGCAAGAAGCTGCAGGAGTTGATTAAGAATGCCGATAGTTTGGAGGAGATTATCAGGTTGGAGAAGGCGCTCAACGAGGGACGGCTGCCGCCTGGGGTTATGGTGGAGGACGAGATGGAGCAGTGAGTTACGTCAGGTGGTGGTGGTGGGCATATGCTGGAGGGTCTGTTCATGATCAAGAACACAAAAATCTTTTTTTGGCGTTCTTGTAGTATATAATGGCAAAATAAGCGCCGTCATTACCCTTAGTCCTTCCCAACCAAACGTGAACGATTCATCGGCCACTAACCCGTCATGTCTACGTCCCCGTCGTCGTGCTCCTGGGCCTGCCTCATCTCCGTCTCTAGCTGGTCGTTGGGGTCCGCCGCGTCAGAGGACAGCACCGCACCCCGAGCGAGGCCGTTGGCCGGGGAAGCGGTACCGTTCATGATGGACTTCGGCCGCTTGCCATTGGGCATGCCGTCTTTCGGACGATCCTCCTCGGCGGCAGCGGCTTTGCCAGTTTTCTCGCCGCTGACCCTGGCGCGGGCGGCGGCCGTCTTGTTCTTGACTTCCTTGTACGAAGTCGTCTTGGGGATGATATCCTCAAGGAACTCGAGGTTGTCTTGGTGGGTCACGGCGTTCGCTGGCTTCTCGTCAGGAATGGCGTGGCATGGGAAAAAGAAGGGGATCTTACCCATGTCCTTGTACTGGATGTTCCGCCGGGGCTTACGCTCCAGCTTGGTCATGTTCTGGGCTTCGCCGGTGAGGTACTGGACGAACATCTCCTACGGGTATGTGTCAATGGCTGACTGGGAAAGTGAAATGAAGGGAGATTTACTGTTGCCAGAGTAATGACGAAAGCGGCATTGTTGGAGCAGACGGCGATGTCAGGGTCTACTGCGATGATCTTCTTGACTCTTGTGACTGGTAGCGTGTTAGAAAAGGGCAGAAGTGGGTAAAAGAGAGCGCGATACTCACGCGGTAGTTGAGTTTGACCGGTCACTTCCTTCCGGGGAGGAATTGCCGTGGTGTTGTACGGCATTGTGTACCACAGATGAGAGACGAGTTCTTGACAAAGATTGGGTGAGAGAAGAAGTAACAAAGGTTATGACAGTCCTGGTCAAGAACCGCCTCGGCCTGTTTGCAGGATGTATAGGATTCGATATGTAGATGCTGTGGGTTTGGGGCTGTTGTTGTTTACTGAAAATAATTGTCTCGAGTTGGAAAGCGGTCAAAGGTACGAAGTCGAATCATTCACAAGTGTATGAGGTTAAGGAATGGAGCCCCGGCTGGCCATTTAAGTGGACGCGTGAGAACGCGCTGTGGTGTGGTGCAAACCCCTGGACGTCTTGGCACGTGTAACCTCTGGCTCTGAAGTTGAAGAAAAAGCCACAACCGGAGAAAAGGACCAAAGATATGGTGAGGGACCCTCTTATAGATAAATTCTCTCTTTCTTCTACCAAGACTAATTGCCCCAGATCTTGTTAACAGGCTCGAAGAAACCGAAGGAAAATAGAACTCTATAGATACTTAAAAAGCGTATTATCCGCATTACCAATTAGTACCAAGTATTTAATACAAATAGAGCTCTTCGTAGACTTATCGATTTAGGCACATGCGCAACACCGACATGTGGCCCGCTGTTTTGATTTAGATTCAAGTTTTTTCTCCTTTCCGATTCACACTTCGAAGAAGTCTAAACCCAGCGTGTGCAATCTGAAATACGGAACATCGTCCAAAGTATGTGCCAAGACATCCAGGCGTTTGCACCACACAGCGGCTTTCGAGGCTTTATCAGACAAGACGCTATGCCCGATTAGGCATTGCGGGAAGGCGAGGCGGCACGTCAGCCTCGCAGCAAGCAGCAAGGAACGCCGATACAATGCGAAACCCGAGAAGTGATCAAACAACCGTGTTGCTTTCCAAAGCTCGAAACCCCAATGCCGCTCACATAGACGACACCCGAACGGCGGCCACAGGGCGCCATGAATTTCCAACCGCGCTCCACATCCCTCTCGGTAGTCCCACAACCGGTGCGACGACCTTCAGTGAGCTCGAGATTGTCGTCCGCAGTGTCCATCGCCGAGCGTGGTGAGACCCAGGATGGAGGGGGAATAGTAGCTCAGGACCAAATAGAGGAGGAAATTGCAAAGATAAAACGTTACGAGGTTGGATTCCGCCCCTCTTCTTTTTGCCCGCATCGTAGTTGCAGCCACTAACGAGAACTCTCTCTGCCCAGGACTTCACCACCATCGGTATGCGCCCACTTACAAGTCGACGGCGGCGTCGTCGTAGCTGAACAACTCGAGTCCGCAAGCTAATACGAAGAAGATTGGGTTCAGGATGCTGCGCGGGAACAGCTGCGCAGGAAGGCGCGAAGGAAAAGACAGGCCGGGCTCTACGGCGCGGGGCGGTTCGACTGGAGGCAACGAATACGGGAAGCCTACGATGCGGCTCAAGGGTGGATCGTCGTCACTATCATTGGCGCCGCGATCGGGCTGAATGCCGGCTTGCTGAACATCATCACCGAATGGCTGGCCGATATCAAGCTCGGCTACTGCTCCACCAAATTCTACCTAAACGAGGACTTTTGTTGTTGGGGAGAAGAGAATGGTAAAGATGCCGTGGTCTATGCCCTGACCGCGTTGATACCCGCCACGGTTTGGGATATTTTGCTTACACACTCTAGGATGCGCCGACTGGCACCAATGGACCATCATCGAGCCCATAAACTACATTATATACATAATATTTGCGGTCCGAAGCCCCCGGAGACATAGAACCCGAGGTCGTGAGCTGACTGCTCCCTAGGCTTTATTCGCCCTTACGGCCGCCGTTCTCGTCAAGTCGTATGCCCCTTACGCCGCAGGATCCGGCATTTCCGAGATCAAATGCATCATTGCCGGGTTCGTCATGAAAGGCTTCCTCGGCTTCTGGACGCTGGTCATCAAGTCCCTGGCTTTGCCACTCTCCATTGGATCTGGGCTCTCTGTTGGAAAGGAGGGGCCCAGCGTCCACTATGCCGTCTGTACCGGCAACGTTATCTCTAGGCTCTTTGCCAAATACCGCCGGAATGCGTCCAAAACCCGTGAGGTTCTCAGTGCCTGCGCTGCCGCTGGTGTAGCCGTCGCCTTCGGTAGCCCGATCGGCGGCGTGCTCTTCTCGCTGGAAGAGATGTCGAGCTACTTTCCCCTAAAGACCTTGTGGCGCAGTTATTTTTGCGCCCTGGTTGCGACAGCAGTCCTCGCCGCTATGAACCCTTTCCGAACCGGCCAGCTGGTCATGTTCCAAGTCAAGTATGACCGGACGTGGCACTTCTTCGAGGTTCTATTCTACATTATCATCGGTGTCTTTGGCGGACTGTACGGTGCCTTTGTGATGAAATGGAATCTCAGGGCTCAGGCATTTCGGAAGAAGTACCTGGCAAATTACGCCATCCTCGAAGCAACACTGCTGGCTGTTGGCACCGCCATTGTCTGCTACCCGAATGCTTTCCTGAGGATCGAGATGACCGAGAGCATGAAAGTCCTTTTCCGAGAGTGCGAGGGTGCCGAGGACTATCACGGATTGTGCGACCCCAAGCACCGCTTCGGGAACGTCGTCTCCCTCATCCTGGCCACCGTCATCAGGATCTTTTTCGTCATTATATCCTACGGTTGCAAAGTCCCGGCCGGCATCTTTGTGCCCTCTATGGCAGTCGGCGCATCGTTTGGGCGAACGGTGGGAATTATCGTTCAAGCAATCCACGAAGCCAACCCGAAGAGCGTCTTCTTCTCCGCTTGTGAGCCGGATGTTCCTTGTATTACCCCCGGAACATACGCCTTCCTCGGTGCTGCCGCGGCGCTCAGCGGGATAATGCACATCACCGTCTCCGTCGTCGTCATCATGTTCGAACTGACCGGTGCGCTCACTTACATCCTCCCAACCATGATTGTTGTCGGCGTGACCAAAGCCGTCAGCGAGCTTTGTGGAAAGGGTGGCATCGCGGACCGCATGATTTGGTTCAGCGGCTTCCCATACCTCGACCACAAAGAAGAGCACAACTTCGGCGTCCCCGTCTCGCAGGCCATGATCGCCGACGTCGTCTCGATCCCCTCCACGGGGATGACCCTCAAAGCCGTCGAGCGCCTCCTCACAAAGGACAACTACCAAGGCTTCCCCATCGTCGAAGACGACACCTCGCGCCTCCTCCTCGGCTACATCGGCCGCACCGAGCTCCGCTACGCCGTCGACCGCGCCAAGCGCGAACGCACCCTCAGCCCCCTAGCCAAATGCAGCTTTGCCGTTTCCTCAACCACGACCACCACCACCATAACCACCCCCAACCCGCTCATCACCCCCTCCCCCTCCTCCCCCTCCGCACCCCTCGACTACGCCACCTCCACCTCCACCACAATCGACTTCACCCCCTACATCGACACCACCCCGCTCACCGCCCACCCGCGCCTGCCCCTGGAAACAGTCATGGAGCTCTTCCGCAAGATCGGCCCGCGCGTCATCCTCATCGAGCACCGCGGCCGCCTGACGGGGCTGGTCACCGTCAAGGACTGCCTCAAGTACCAGTTCAAGGCCGAGGCCGCCGAGCACCTGCACGCGCACCCGCGCGAGAATGATCTGCGCCGTCTCGAGGAGGAGGGGCAGGAGCGCGTGTGGGCTCTGATCAGGGCCGCGGCCGGGTGGGTGTCGGATACGGTCGGGAAGGTTAGTGGCGGGCGGGTGAGGCTGAGGGATTCGTGGGAGGGGGAGAGGGAGAGGGAGAGGGGGGTGGATGGGGATGGGAGGGGTGGTGGGAGAGGGAGGAATGGGAATGGGCATGGGCTGGGGATATTGGATGGGACGGAGGAGTTGGGGGATGAGGATGGTGGGTTGGAGTTGGAGGATCGGTGACGCGGTCGGGTCGGGTCGGGTTGACGGGTTCGGTTGGGTTGGTTACCTACCTACCTAGGTTCTTCGGGGTTTGATATGATATGATAGTTGGATGGGTTATGAAATGAATTGAAGCAAGTGGCTCTCTGTATTGGCTACGGAGAGGATGGGGTGGCATTGCTGGTGAAATCCACACGCATCTGAGAACCTTGATGGCATCCTTGAGACGCCTCTCGGATATTGCGCTGTTTGTGGGGCATGCGGAGGAGAGAATCGGAATCTCCTACACGGAAAGTGGAAGAGTCGAGTGAGCGAACGGCTAGAGAAGGCTCAGTGTCCGGCCTCATTCGATGGTCGGTGGTGGTACATTTCTGCGACTATATCAGCTTTTTGGGAGATTTGGCCCTATTGGCTTCTTGGGCCGGAGAACTTGAATCATGGGTGTAACGTCATATGCGAGATGGAATGCGTGTGATGAGGTTCGCCCGGTCAAGGTCAAAGCAGTGTCAATGTAATTCCAACGCAATTGAGGTATTCCTTTGTAACTGCCCCGAGTTGACTTGAAAGAGCCACTCCTTCAATTGTCTCACTCAAACACCGCGAATGCCAATTGCGGAAGTAGCTGCTAAAAAAGTTCGTCTGAACTTCGTAAAACCAAGGCTCGATAGTCGAACCCTTGAAACGCCAAGAAGATCCGCGCCGTGCAGTGGCACAATCGCCAGTTGCCAGCACCTCAATTGCAGTTTCTCTTATTCACGCTGAGCCGATCTGTGCATCGGGTTGGTGTCTCGCCTTCAGGGCGGCCAGCAGGTCACATGGGTGCGGTGGGCAGGTGACCCCACCGAGGTCGGTGCCAACGGCGCTACGGCGCCGGAGACCCTGGCACCGCCACGGAACACCAACGCCGGTTTGGCGACCCCTTTCTGACACCGCCATTTCCAACTCTTGTCCTTCGCAGCATACCATAACCCCTTGGCCTCATCCGAACAGTCACCTACTGTTCACCAAACAATCTTCTTCAACCATCACGACAGCAAGAGCAGTCATCCGACATCTCCAACCGGCACCTTCGGCATCCATCGGCCCACTGAATCTAATCAGGGATCCACCAGCCCGCAGCGTCATCGGCATCGCAACATCTCGAGTCTTTCGATCGCATCGCCGGTTCCTCCATAGCCCTCCAAGATCCTCAACATGGCGGTTGGTATGATCAAGAGTTCCGTGTCGAGTGGGTCGTCATCGTTCGTGCGCCGCGCCACCATCGACACCAATCAGTTCGACGACCTCGTGCTCGCCCTGAAGGATGCCCTCGGCCCCAGCTCCGGCCTGACATCGGACGATGTCGACGTCGACCACCTGACCCGGTTGATGCGTGACTATGACTCGAGTCCGCGGGAGTGGTCGAGGTTTGCCATGGGCGACGAGAGCCGGGCGTACACAAGGAACCTGGTCGACGAAGGGAATGGGAAGAGCAACCTGGTAGGTCCGAGTAAAACAATAGAAAAACCCATCGTTTGTTTACTTTGCCCCTGACTGACCAAAACAGTTGGTCCTTGTTTGGTCTCCCGGCAAGGGTAGCCCGATCCACGACCACGGCAACGCCCACTGCCTGATGAAGATCCTCCACGGTGATTTGACAGAAACGAGATATGACTTCCCGGAGGGGGAAGCAGAGAAGCCGATGCAGGTGATCTCGGAGAAAGTACACAAGGAGAACGAGGTGGCGTACATGGCGGATGAGCTGGGCGTCCACCGTGTCTCGAACCAGGGCAGCGGCTTCGCTGTGTCCCTGCATTTGTATACTCCGCCCAACGTTGCTAAGGGGGGATGTCACATCTTCAATGTTGACACGGGGAAGAAGAGCCATGTCAAGAACTGCGGGTACTTTTCCGCGTACGGGAAGAAGTTGTGAGGGACTGAAGGGGAAGAAGAGAGGTTTGGGTTTTGCGATGCGAGCAACTTTGCCAGCGGAGTTTGTGGTTGGGATGGGAAATGAGGTTGAGCGTGATCATACCATAGTATGTCCAACAGATAACATAATGAGATGTTTACTTTCCCTTGCTCACACAATGTCCATCATCGCAGAGCACTTGCTCATTGAATGTGTCCATGAGCGCCGCAATCGTGCGAAATCGAGCGAAATCCGGGGTGTCTTCCCAAAACGGAAATCGGGGCCACTCTGTGCGGGTGAGAGTGACTTGGTCGAATTCTCGCGCAAAAACTGACATGGCGGCACCGCTGAAAAGCTCGAGAGAGGGCAATGGTTGTCGAGAGCGGATAAGGCACCAGAAGGAAACAATAGAGGAAAGAAGGGAGGAAAGGGGTTGACGTCGTCGACGTTGTGAGCAGCCTTTCCAGACTAAGGCCAATCTGGGACTAGCGCGGATTGCACCATTCGACTCGAGATCAATTGGCTGCTTGGTGAAGGGTGGGTCTGCCTGCTGGTGAGCTCGCACGTGGCCTCGCACGTGCTCAGGGAGCCTGCACCTGAATCCAACAACGCCAAGCCCTTTCGCACATCTGCAGAAAATGGAAGTTGTGAAGTCGACCTACCTATTTATGAATTCTGTTTCGAGTCTGAGTTGCCGAACTGGGAAAGCGGCTTGCGTTTTCCAAAGGGCCTGCATATCATCTCGGTGGTTACGCCAAGCATGCTTGTCGGGGTTGTGAGGTCAGAGAAAGGAGACCAAAGAGTGTGATCAATAAAATAAAATGTCTGCTCGAAAATATCCGCCTCCTTCTAGGGGAGGTTGACCAAGTTGACGCCTAGGATGCTAAATTACACTCCCACAAGATCATAACGGAGCGCTGATGAGACGGGATCCAGCCAAACGGACTGCTCTACATGTGGAAAGTCGGCTCCTCGGCACCCTCGAACGACCCGTACACGGCAGTGACGGCGTCGGCAAGCTCGCCCGGAAGAGGACCAGCCTCAAATGCGTCGAGCGACTGTTTCAACTGCTCCATGGTGCGGACCCCGAAGACAACAGCGTCCCCATGCTTCCCGTCCAACATGGAGTGGAACGTCGTCCATCGCAGTGCGGCCGCATGTCCGCTCACGCCGTGCCCCTCCGCCGCCCGGCGTACAGCGGCCACTGCATCGTCGGTGGAAGGCCGAGTGTAGAAATCAAGGGCCCTCTTTCCGACGACATTCTGGCAACTTGTTAGAACCATGGTGACAGTGCTTGCTGCTTTGGTTGCCACGACTTACATCCTTGCTCCACCTCGTCGAGACGGTCGAGTTTCCAGCGTTGCCCGAGAAAAGGCCACCTGCTCCGGGGCTGTAGGTGTTGTTCATGTTAATTTCAGCTCCCTCGTATCTATGCCAACTTCTCCAGGGTTCCTATGAACTCACCTATATGCGAAGTAGGCGATGTTGTGCTTGCGAAGGAGCGGGACAAGCTCCTTTTCACCGCCTCTCATAATGGCATTGTAGTTGCCCTGGTAGACGCTGGGTTTGACATAACCCTTTTCCTGGCAAATATCGAGGAACTTCTGCACTTCCTCGGCAGTGTAGTTGGACAGTCCAAACCTCTTGAACTTGCCCTCGACAAAAGCTTTGTTCATGGCCGCCGCTGCATCCTCAAAGGGCGTTTGACGATCGGGGACGTGCAGGAACATGGTCTCCGTAGTAGGAGTCCGGAGGTGAGCGAGCGACTTGTTGATGCTCTGTTCGATCTTGGCAGGCTCGTGGGAACCGGGAGTGCCATCGAGGACCTTCGTGTGGACGGTGAAGCGAGAGGCAACGCCGGCCTTGCCGAGACGTTCCTCGGAGCCCACGTAGTTGCGTGCCGTGTCAATGGCCCTGTAGCCGCGGCTGTAGAACAAGTCGAGCAAGGCTTGGACCTCTTCTACCTTGTCGATGTGGATGATGCCGGGGAGCTGCGTGACATCGCCGATCTAGGAAAACCCGAGCAGGTCAGAGGACAGAGGGCCAAGGCCTGAAGGGAACGCAGTGGCTTACCGTGTGTGTACCGAGAATGATTTGAGGGGGGAGACGAGCTGAAGCCATGTTGAAGAGGAGCGGAGACGTGGAGGGATTATTGAAATGGGTGGTGAATGGTTGAGAGGCGATGGAGTTGAGGGACTCTCAGCATTACAGACGTGGTAGAACGCCTACTTATATGCGTAATAGTTTATCCTGGTGCAGAATTCCTGGAGCATTGCTTGGAAATCATCTTTAGAGTTTTTGGATTCCATTGCGGGATCAACATCACTTTCCGCACGTCCTCCGCAAGTCTCCCGCAAGGCTTCCGCATTTCTTCCGCAAACTGTCCGCAAGTGGCCGCATCTCTCCCGCCATTATTAATTCACAACGGCGTCCCTCAAACGACAAGCTACTCAGTCTTTCAGAGATGATCATCAGTTCAGCAAATGTGACGATCCTGTTGTGAATAGGTTAAGTTGTAAGACATCTCACACGATGACCAGAGCATCTCACATCGCCACCAAGAAGTCAGGTATCAAGCGAGATGTGGTGCAGAATGCTACATTGGATGAACTACACTAGCTAAACCCTAGTTGGCCCCGCCGTTCTATCGATCCAACATTGCATCTTGTCCGTCCCAACGGCGCAACCCCAGACCACCTTGGCGAAGTCATCGACCTCCTCGGCGGCATACTGCGAGATGAAGCGGTCAGGGCACAGGGACGAAGCTAGTAGCGGCGACTGCACCGAGGACAGCTCAAGCCACTTCACCGCAGACTTGGCCTCCCACAACCCGGAGCGCGCGGTGAACATGACGGCGCCTGTACACTCGGCCCAGCCCCTGACCATGCACTCGTACACATTGGCGATAGTCTCGATGATAATCAGCGAGCGCCGTACGCTCTCGGTCAAAACCCAGAGCTGCCACAGCTCTATGGCGGCGTCGTCGTAACCACCGCCTAAGTCATGGGTAATAGGGGTAGCTTGTTGGAACGGGTGATCCTGGGCCCTGTGGTACCCGTCTCGGTATTGTTGCATTGCGTTCCACAGCTGGGCTAGCCATCGTCGGAGGATGGGAAGCTGGCGCTCAGCCCCAGCCCGCGCGCGCACCGAGCCGTCAAACAGGCGGATGAAGATGTAGGTAAACAAGGCATGGACACGGGCTAGATGGCCTCGTACGGCCAGCGCACCACCACCACCACCACTGGCGGCAGAGCTGGGCAGGCTCTCACAGGCTAGCGCAGACGAGCGGTCCTCGGCGATCTGCAAAATCGTCTCCTTCACTGCTGGGGTGCAGCTGGTGTACGCGGCGAGCGTGGTGAAGGCGTCCTGGAGACAAGGAGCCATGTTCTTCCCATACAGCCGCTCATGGATAAAGCTGTTGTGGCCGGTCCTGACCCAGGACTGCAGCATCCCGTCTACGGCGCGGATGAACGGATCCAACTCAACACCGGTAGACCCGTGCGGTTGCTGGTGCTCCTTGATCCAGGTCTCATCTTGAAGAAACCAGGGCCCGGTCGCGCTTCCGGAGAGCCCTCCGCCTCCTGGCAGGGACCCGAAAAGGGGGCTCAAGAAGGGTATTGTCGTTGGGACAAGATCATAGGGCGCAATGGTGTCGGGCTGAAGTGGGTCATCATCGAGGCCGGCTTCGAGTCCGGTTGCGGGCCAGGCCCCGAGATCCACAGTCGGCGGCGCACTGGCGCTTTGCACGGCGGGCAACGGTAACGGCTCAGCCTCAGCTGGGGGGGTTAACGTCGGGACTGACGTGGGATCTCCCCGCCGCCGTTTTCTGGGCTGCGGATAGAGACAGTCGACGTCCCTGTCTAGGCATCGCTGGCACTCAGGCAACTGCTGGTCGCACCTGCGCTTGGACTCTGCGCAAGCGATGCACGCTTTCCGGCGAGGTTTTGGTGGCATCGCGTCGCTGTCAAATGCGGACATGCGGGAATCCGTGAAGGAGCGGAGCTGCATTGTCTTCAACTCCCCACCTCCCCTGCCTTTCTCCTTCGTATCTGCCGCATTTTCGACATGCTTACAAATGCCCGAGATGCTCGTCGGAGAGCAATTCGACGTGCAAGTTGTTTCCCCCAAATAACGAGTTATCCCATCGGTGCATTTTCTGGGAAATGGCCCCGAGACATCATTACCTGACCCAAGCTGAACACGATTCAGAAGCACCAACTGCCGCGGAGTTCATGACCCGCCGAACCCGCCGAACTCGCCTTGGAAGCAAGGAGCAGTGGCAATGGGACGCGCAGAGGCGAAAACTTCGCTGGGCTCTCCCTCTTCAAAAGCAAGAAGCGAAAGGATCGCTCCTACCCCAGCCTCTGGGGAAGTTTGGGGAAGAGCAGCCCGGAGCTGACGCCCCGCACGACAGATACTTGCTTTAACAATCGGCTGAGATAGGCTTAGTGACCAACGATCTTGGCCTTTTCCTTGCGCGAAGGAAGGAAGGACCTTTGCTTTCACAGTCGACTAGCGATTTTCCGTTTCATTTGGCGAGGGGTCCAGGCCAGCCGGCCCCTTCTTCACGCTTCACGCTGCCTGTTCTTTCAACGCAGCACCTGCCAGACGAGTCAGAGTGCCAGACCAACAAAACATCATCAACAGGATGGACCTGTCTCAAAACATGGGGGCTGCATGGATCCATGGATCCAAGGATCGCTTCGACCGGCAGTTTTTCCGCATTGAGAAGACTTTACAGGCCCTTGTGAGAATTGTTTGCGTTTCCTCACACCCTGATTAACGACCTTCCTGTGCAGTGTGGTCCTTGGTTTGTGGTCGACCAGTCTTATCCAACAGCGATGAAATTCGGACCTCGGGCATGTCGCGTGCGGCCCTGACTGCCTCACATGGTCTAGTCGGATCCCTTCGGCCTAAATTGTCTGCAGGTTCAAGAGCTTCCAGAAACACAGGGAAGATGGTTGCTCTCTTGTTCAAAAGTCGGGTCCTCATTGCACCTGTGACGTGCCAAGGCTCCATTCCCATTCCACGATGCACCGTCAGCGTCTGAGCCCCCCGATCATCCCTCGGTCATTCATCACGGCCATCCCGAAAAGGGGTTGACGCTGCATGGCGCCGTCTCACGGCGCGCTGAGGCACAGCGAGGCACGGTGGCAGCTCAGGTTCCACGGGAGGGCGAGAGCGTTGAGATGGACCCAGCAGTTGGACAGGATCAGTAAAGGTATGGAGTAGTTCGATGCATCATCTCCCCGCCGCACATCACTGCGACCATCTTGCCACCGTCGTACTTTTTCTTCTGGAGGCGCAAGAGTTTTGACATCAACCGGCGGATACCAACCACGGCAACCCAACTGCCCGGGTACATAACGTTACATAGAACATGCATGCCCCTCGTGGTCCGGCTCTTTTTTCATCAGGGCCCAGGCGAAAGATCTTCCCTTGGCCTTACCCCAGATTCCAGACGCAGGATCGGAGATTTGGGCGATCGTGATCATAAGCAACACCTCCCCCCCCCCCTCCCGAGACCAGCCCCGAAGGCTCTGCCCCGTGCTCCGACTCTAGCCCGAAACCCGCGAGGATGATAGGAACGGGAGTCTGCTGAGCAGCTCTCGCACGTATGTGTATTCACGACCATGGCGTTCAACGGTTATTCCCCCCTGGACGAGGCGAGTGGCGACCTCAGCCCGCTCACCCCTGTGCTTCGCCAAGGACTTACAGCCATCGCCGTGCTGTCTTGTCTCTCGTTCGTGTCTTCCACGGTGGTACTGGCCTATCTCACCGTCAAGCTCGCACGATGGCATCTCAGAACCTGGAGGCAATCCCGCAACGCCGCCGCGGGCCCGACTACCCCCACGGTTGACCTCGCCCTGGGCCTCGCCGAAGGCCTTTACATGGGCGAAGCTGCCAAACGGGGACGACCTCCACCGCGGAAGAAGGCTCGCCCTAACCAGTTTGTGATCCTGTTATATAATCTTTTATTGGCCGACATACACCAAGCAGCGTCATTCATCCTCAACGCCGTCTGGGTTGGGGGTGACGGGATCCGGGTCCAGACGGCCACCTGCTGGGCTCAGGCATGGCTCATCCAGACGGGCGATCTGGCGTCCAGCTTCTTCATCACCGCCATCGCCGTACACACATACCTCGCTGTTGTATGGAAGTACACGCCGCCCCAATCGGCCGTCTATGCAGTTGTCATATTCTTATGGGCCTTTAACTATATTTTAATCATAATCGGGATTGCCGTCACCGACAATGGCAGGGAGGTCGGGGGGTTCTTCGTCCGGGCGACGGCATGGGTAAGTTGACCAAAAGTCACCACTTTGGCTACTCGCTAACCATCCGCAGTGCTGGATCAACGTCCGCTACGAAGGCCTCCGCCTCTACATCCACTATCTCTGGATCTTCATCGCCCTCGCCGTCACAGGCATCCTTTACACTCTCATCTTCCTTTCCCTCCGGAAGAAACGCCTTTCTCAACCCACCAACATCAGCTTAACCTCCGCAGAAGCAACAGACTCGAGGACTAAGATCCACAACGTCAGCACCGACATCAACAACAGCACCACCGACAGCATCACCAGCAAACCCCTCCCCCAACTAACCCTCCACGCCGTCCCCTCACTCAACACCAGCACCACCAAACTCTCACACCCTCACAACCATCACAACAACAACCACAACCACAACCACAATAACCACACCACCACCACCTACCCCTCCCAACAAACCCAACAACAACCCGACCCGCACACCCCCACCGCGGGAGGCCACGACAAAGCCTTCCTCCTCTACCCGCTAATCTACATCCTCTGCACGGCCCCGCTCGCGCTGGGGCGCATCGCCACCATGGCCGGCGTGGACGTGCCCGTGTGGTACTTCTGCACGGCGGGCGCGCTCATCACCAGCAACGGGTGGCTGGACGTGCTTTTGTGGGGCGTGACGCGGCACCGGCTGCTGTTTGGCGGGGACGTGGATGCCGAGGAGTCCGGGTTGGATACCTTTGCGTTTATGCGCACGCCGCATGGGCGGAGGTGGGGGAATATGGTTTGGGTGGAGGGGGGTGGTGGTGGTGGGGGTGGGAATGGGGGTGGGAATGGGGGGAAGGGGGGTGTTGGTGGGAATGGGCATGGGTTGGGGGGTGGTGGTGGTGGTGGTGAGGGTGATGCGGGGAAGTTGGGCGGGTTGGTCAAGCGTCGGATGGGTTGGCGGCCGTTGGGGTTTGGAGGGGGAGGTGGTGGTGATGGGGGGCAAGGGGAGAGGAGGGGCAGAGGGGATGGGGGTGGACAATCTGGGAGTGCCCTGGGGGCGGGGAGAGAGGATGGGCTGGCGATTCAGATGGATATGGTTACGACAGTGGTGGTTGAGCCGGCGGAAACGGCTGGGGATGGTTGGGATAGGGGAAGGAGTAGGCACGTCCCTAATGGCTCGACGGGGAGTAGGAGTGGGATGATTTATGATACAGATTCGGCCCCCGAGGATGGGCTTGTTAAGAATATCAGTTAGAGATCCTTGTGTAGGATAGAGATAGACAAGATCTGTTTGTCTAACTATTTTCCCCGTGCGGCTACCGGTTATGGCGACCAACGGACAGGGCTAGCGTTGATGTTCATATGGAAATTACGTGTCCTTCCAATGAGCAAAATGTCGGGCTATACACGCACCCAGGCTGCCAGGCGACTGTAGGTTATTCGATAACCTTTGAAAGAAGTTGATAGAGGACGACCATGATCCGCCACGAAGTGGCGCGAGAGAGATAGATATCTGAAGCACATACTACAACAGAGCTTCAAATATATACCTAAAGTGCAATACGATGGGTGGTCTGGCTTCCCCGCTGCTTGAGGCTTCAACACAACGCAATGCCATGCATGACCAAGCCATGCGTGCAGCATATGCGGAGAATCGCAATCTACCAACGGACATGGCGACGACGACGTCGTCCGCCCCCGCCTTGGCGAAGGAGTTCCTCTACCAGACGCAGCAAGCCTCCTCCCATCCGGTCCGATGGCCACTCAAAGTCATGAGCTGTCCGGATTCCGCGGCACCAGTCAGCGCTGCAGCTGCTGAGGGCCTTGGGTTTCTGGAATAAGCAATGATCGTTGCTCGTCTTATTTTCTGGAGTAAGCAACGCTTATATTTTGTCTTGGCCGTGGTAAAGGAAGTGGGCGCGGTCACAATTTCAGTCTCCGCAAGGCTCGGCTATGCCGCGTACGTTGATGCCCCTGTGGAGGAAAGGGGGGATGGGTTAGGTGTGGAATGAGCCTTAAAATTGGACCTGAAGCTCCGATGGAAGGGGATGTACACACGGAATACATGCCAGTTGCCCCACCGGTTCATATAACTACTTGTTTGAAGACGTGAGTTGGTTGTCCTTGGGTCTTGCCCTTCCCATCTCACCGCCTCATATCTTGGCCTTCACGGTGACGTTCTTCAGACACCGCAGGAAGTGGCATTACTGTGTGAACATGTCGCGTCCTGCATGATGACCACGGCTGGACATTCCCGGCGCCGGCACAAGATTGTTGATCCGCATCGGGCAATACCGTGCGTCGGAACGGTCGCTAACCGGGTCGTCACCTGCGGTGACAATACAACCTCAAAAAGACAAGCCAAAAAAAGTCAAAGCCCTTCACAACTCCGGCGTTTGGGAAACCCCCGCCCCCGATTTGTTTCCGGGACAACCGGGCTGCCGGGAGGTTTGATATTGTAGAGGGTTGGGGGCGAAGCGGGCTGCTCGGTGTGACATCCCGCCATGCCCGCTTGCATAACTACACGAATAACATGAACGGCTGGTGTTGACCTTCAAGGGACTGATCCTTTCGTAATCTCGTACGAAATCAATCACACCCACCCCGCAATCCTCTGGCTATATCGGGATCCCGTCTTCAATACACGCATTGAGGAATATAAAGCCGCGCCGAGCGCCGCGCGTGTAGCAGGCACGGCCTTCAACCCAGCCCGCGACGGTGTTTAAGAGGTGTACATACAAGCCCCGTCCAACCCGGCGCTCAATCCCCGAGCACACCATGTCCCTCTGCGCCTTTGGCACCGTCCCGCCGGGGGCCTTGAGCACCCCGGCGCCGTTCAAGCTCAGCGTGCCGGCGGCACAGCAGGACAAGCTCACCAAGCTGGTCAGCGAGGCGGAAATCGCGGTGCCGTCGTACTACAACACACACGCGGACACGACCAACACGTCGTCGTTCGGCCTCTCGCGCGACTGGCTGGTGGACGCGCAGGAGGCCTGGACCTCGGGCGAGTACAGCTGGCGCGCGGAGCAGCAGCGGCTGAACCGCTTCCCGCACTTCCGCATCAACATCACCACCACCACCACCGCCCCCAACGACGACGAAGACGACAATGCGGAAGACGGAACCGAGAGCGAGACGTTCGACCTGCACTTCGCGGCGCTGTTCTCGCGCAGCGCGTCGGCGACGCCGGTGGTGCTGATGCACGGGTGGCCCGGGTCGTGGATCGAGTTCGGGGCGGTGCTGGACCTGCTCGCGGCGCGGTACACGGCCGAGACGCTGCCGTACCACGTGGTGGTGCCGTCGCTGCCCGACTACGGCCTGTCGACGCGGCGCGGCGAGCTGCGGCGGCCGCTGACCATGGAGGGCGCAGCGGGTGCGATCGACGGCCTCATGGCCGCGCTCGGCTTCGGCGCCGGCTACGTCGCGCAGGGCGGCGATGTCGGCGCCATCGTGGGCCAGGTGCTGTGTGCCAAGTTCGAGGCCTGCAAGGCGCTTCATCGTGAGTGTGTTCGCTTGCTTGTTCTGCTGACTCCTCCGGCCGGAGGGGGATTAGATGGGGAATGCTGACGAGGTGGTGATAGTGAATATGTACTTCATGAGCGCGAATGCCACGGCTGCTGTTGCCGGCATACCCGTCACGCCTGCTGAACAGGCGCAGTTGGCCAGGTCGGCGATATGGGGCTCAAAGGGCACGGCGTACGTCAGCGAGCACGGGACTCGGCCGTCCACCATCGCACTGGCTCTCAGCACGAACCCGCTCGCGATGCTGAGTTGGTAAGTTTTTCCCGAGATACCCTCTGCCGCGGGAAAAAGAAGCTGACGACCGGCAAGGATGGGCGAGAAGTTCATCGAGTGGAGCGACAACCGCTTCCCCCTCTCGCTCAACACCATCCTGTCCCTGACATCCTTCTACTGGTTCACCAACTCGTTCGGGCGCGGCTTGTGGGCCTATAGCTTCGAAACGAGCCGTATTCCCGTCCCGTTCTCGTCAACCAAGCCGTTTGGGTATTCGGCCTATCCTCTCGAGGTTACGGCGTTCCCGAAGGCATGGGCGGAACATCTGTACCCGAACTTGGTGCTTTACAGGACCCACGATAAGGTAAGTCAAGAGTCATCAGGATGCCGCGAAGAGACCCCGTGATGCTAACATGACCCTTTTAGGGCGGCCACTTTGCGGCGCTGGAACAGCCCGAGTTGTTTTTCCAAGACTTGGAGGATTTCATGACGCTGGTTGCGCCCAACGTGACCAAATCCTAATGAGAAGTAGGCGGTCGGACACTCGCCGAGATACCGAGAGTCTCGCGTCCGGAACCTGGTTGTCGGTCTTGGAAGCTGCGGCACGACGAACGATCTCTAGATGGAAGTCCGATTGGAATAATGTCGATTCGTCGATCCTTTTGGATGTCGGGCAGCAGCGGGAGAGATGAGAATCTAGAAAAATAGAAGCGGTGAAGAATGCGCCGCAGGAATGCTTCTAGAAAAATACAGATGTAATGGCGGTGGCTTCCTTCGCATGCGCTGGCTTCGTTTAGCGTCAGACAAGCAATATCGGATGGCAAACTGCATGAATGTGCCGTGTGACTGCTGTTGCTCGGTTTAAACACAGTCAAGTGAGCAAGTTCAATGTTGAGAGGCAGGCACGAAGGGTTAGGGCTCACCATCTCCCGGACCTCACCCCTGACCCCAGAGCCCCCACCTCTCACCATCATGCTCCGAGCTGTGGAGCTCAACTGAAGATCGATCTGCGCATCAAGTGCAACAGAAAAGTTCCTCGCAGTTCCTGATCGGCCGGGAAAGCTTCCATGGTCCGAGCTGCGTGGCTGCCCCAAAGCTGGTGGGATTTCTTTCTTAGGTAGCGAAGGCATTTGCCCGGACAGAGGTGGGCGAGAAATATTTGTAACTTATGTACACAGTAAGTTTATTGCAAGATCGTCATGGAATCATCCGGCAAGTGGCCCGTTCGACAAGCTGGAGTTTCTTGGCCGCACAAGCTTGGTCCCATCGATTGATTTTGAGCCAGTGACGGGTCGGCTCATCTGAAACACAAGCTCGTCCCCTCAAATCTTCCAAAAATGGCCAGCATCTGGCCTGCACGCAATTATCCATCTGAAACGACGGCCCACGATGCCCGACTGTGACGCTAACAAAGAGTTGCAGTTCAGTTCAGTTCAGGCCAGGTCAACTGAACGTGAATGACAAAAAACAAACTTTGGCCAACGCATCGAGACGGGCCAGGCAGCCACCATGTCCAATGCAACAACGGCTGCTGCTGGATCCAATCTTGTCTTCCGAGGCACGGCTGATGGAAATGGCCCAATTCCATATCGTGACTTGTGCGGCCCAGTCGTGTTTTTCTCGCTGTGCCGCCACGGCGCGGGCCCCCATGGCAGATGTTTGCATGAGCGGCTGAAAAGGCCGTGTGCGGGCTGAACCAGGTCATGGTGTCGTCAAGGCCAGAGTCCGGGAGCTGGATGGGTTGAACTGAAGTGTATTGGGAGATTGGGTACCGAGGTATGTATGGGGGCGGGGAATGGTCTCTCCTGTTCGCCTGCTTCGTATATATTAGGCGGCTCGGCCGACGAGGCCCTCCAGAAGTTGTATGTCGTGTAAGGGCAATATCGAAGCTTAGTTGGGTATTCTTGGCACTAGACCGGGATACTGGCCGCAGCGTGCGGCGAGGGCCAACGAATCTGGTGAACTTCCATCATCGCGTCACACGCCTCCAAGGCGCGCCGGCGGCCAGCTAACACGACCACCGCCGCCGCCGCCGCGACGCCATGACAGGGGCCAATGACTGGTGCATTCGCATCCAGAGTGAAAACAAAACGAAAACAACGAGCCCTCCTTCGGCCCGTCGCTTGACTTGCCGTTCTTGACCCCCAGACAGCAGTTCCCCACGTGGAAGAGGCCGTTAAAGACGGCCGTAGTCCAATAGTTGTCATCACCCGGATGATATCTCGGGCAGGCGGTCAACCATAATAAACAACCCCCATATCCGCGACAGGTTACCATTGCAGACTGCCGAGTTTAATGATAAGGAGCTGGCGGCCCCCTTCCCACCATCTCGCGCTCACCTAATATCCATAATATCCCAAACCTTGTTTCTCCCGGCTCAGCTCCGGGAAAAGACCACCCACCGACGACACGCTCTCACTGAGGGGAGTGCATGTGAAGAGGCAGGCTCATGCGCCCCTGACTCGGTCAAACCAGCTGCGACGATCTAACACGGGTCGCTTCCCGCCTCGCTTCCGGACCTCGATCCCCTATAATCTCGGAGCACCCCGCCAGGAACGGGAGGAGGTCGAAATCAAAAGGTCCTCGGCGCCGGCAGACAAAGAATCGGGAATTTTCTCGACGCAAGACGTCGTCAGTCAGCACAATGTGGGACAGGCTCAAGATCGTGCCCCAGAGCTCAGGGCGACAAACGGGCCATCCACTCGACGGCGGTGGTGAGATGCGCGTGGGTTTGGGCATAGGCTACGGTGGTTTCCAGAGTGCGCCGCCAAAGGGATACAGCTACTCCATCAAGGGCGGTCCGGCACCTCAACGGCCCCCTCGCGAGTTTTTCGAGTCGAGATAGTGAGTGGTCCATTTTTCGTTGTTTGCGTGCCGTTCCATCCTTCCATCCAATCTTCACACTTTCCGGGCTGGGGAACTTTGGCCAGTTTGCTCACAGGCACTGCCTGGCTGCGGGGGCGCTGGGGCCCCACGGTCGGCGTTCTGGGCTGTGCCTCGGTGGGCTGCAGCTTGCCGGTTTGGGCAAGGCTTGGAACAGCTGCCAGCGCCCTTTGATTCCAGCTTACAACCTGGATGGAACCCCTCCATCACCTCGCCTGTGCACCCCCAGGAAACTGCGACCTGGAGCATCCCAGACACACGCGTGGCCGCAGCGAGGTGTGTTGGCGTTGGGTTTTTGCATGACTTCAGAAACTCTGGCTTGTCATACCACCAATGCACATGCACATGACAGCACAACGCAGCATCAAATCGCTGGAGTGATTAGTTAGTTACTGACATTGTCGGCCCCCAACACAGCGAAACTGCGCCCGCCGTCAAGGAACCGCCTCGTCGCAATCCAAACCGCATCACAGTCCGCACTTCGAATTTCCGCCCTACATCCTCTGTTTACTCCGAAGACTCGCCACCCCTGGCTTCCCACTACACCGCAAACGTGGCGACCAAATACAGCTATCGGTACGGCGGGGCCGATGACATCTCGCCGCCTAGCTCTCCGGAGCCTGATGTCGGGCACGTCGATCGCTTCCTCCCGGGCGATGTCTCCCCGATAGACGAGGACGACGGACCGGCATACCGGCATACGGGCCACCCGAATACCGAGATTCCGAGAAACGATCGATCGGGCGGGCCGTATGCTGCTGCGGAGCCACGCCAGGGGACCCAGAGCCCTCCGCAAAACCGCGCGATAACCAGCATCCCCATGATGCGCAGGGAGCGTAGGAGACAGTCAGACGCCGCGACGCGCGACATGCACCCTAGCCAGCGCGGCCCGGCGCCGCAGCAGTCCCGGAATCCACACCCCCGGGACGCCCCCCGATGGGACCCACTCACCGGAGAGCAGACGAGCAGCTCCCGTAGCCGGCCGTCGCAAGCCAACCCGGCCGAGTTCAACCAAGACATGGGAATCACGGAGCAAGGGTGGGCGGAGCCGCAGAATGGCACCTCGGCGGCGCAGCCCTCCTTTGGTGATCGCGTGAGGAGGATAGCCAAGAAAGCCGCGGCTGCGAGGGAGGGTAACACGGACCCCGCTGCCGGCGCATTTACTTCAACGCGTCCCGGCTGGCGCGGGGCAAGTGGGCGGTCCGCCATCGTTGCACCCGTGCATGATACGCGTGAAGTGGCCCCCCTGAGGATTCCCGAAAAAAGCAGTAGGAGAAACATCCCACCTGCGGCTGCGCCGAGGTCGAACAACACCCCAGATGGTGCGGTCCGCCGTGGCCAGACCCCGCCTATCAGCCCTCCGCCATCTGAAACACCGACCAGGTCTGCCCCGCGAGAGGCCATGAGGGGACTTCTGCCCTCCTCCCAACCCCCGGCTGCCACACAGACACCGTCCCAGACAGGTCAGAGGTACCCAAGCCCCCCTCTGTCAGGGAACCGGGTCACGGCAGATGCCCCCGCTGTCGTCGCTGCGCGGGAACTCGTGCGGGATGGTGGTCATTACGCCCAACCTAGCCCGGTATTTCACTCGCCCGAGCCGGCCAACCAACTGCGCCGGAAACCGCCGCCGGTGCACACCAACGCGCACCACCAACACCAGGTGTCTGTCTCGTCTGTCTACTCCCAGCAGACCGAACCACTACACCATTCACCCCGGCCGATAGCAGACACGTCGCCGCCGGCAGAGGAACCCTACGTTCAGCCCCCCTCCCGCTTCAGCATCACCACCTACGCGACCAGCAACACGGGCACCACGCGCGACGACCTCGACGACCACCTCGACAACGACCAGCCCCCCGTCCCCTCTCTCCCAGCGGACTACCAGCAACACTACATGGGCGGCCGCCCCTCCTCCGACCACAGCCCCGTGACCTCCCCCATCGACCAGTTCATGACCTCCCCCTTCTCCGCCCCGCCCCCGGTCTCCCGGACGCCCTCCACGGACCCGGAACAACAACCATACGCCATGTCGGCCGCTTACAACCCAGCCCTGGCACGGGCCCTCGCCATCGACCGCCCCTCCTCCCGCGCCTCCGACATCAACAAGACCCTGCCGCCCGCCCCGCCGGAAGCGTCCGCCGACCAGGCGCAAGACCGCGTCGGCCTGCTGAACGCGCAGCTCCGAGCGCTCGCCAACCGGCGCATCAACATCAACCGGTCGATCCAGCAGATGACGGAGCTGATGCCGACCGACAAGCTGATGAACTCGGCCGAGGTCGTGCGCAAGCGCGAGTCCGAGAAGAGGAAGGTCGAGGGCCTCCGCCAGGAGCTCGCCGACGTCCAGCGCGAGGAGTACGAGCTGGGCCTGAAGCTGCACCGCGCGTATAAGCGCCAGGATCGCGATGCGGATTGGGAGCCGACTACGCTTTGGGTGAGGCGCGTTACGGGGTAGATGTTTCCCGGGAGAAGCGAGAGGGAGGGGGGGGGGGGCGTTGGGGTTGTGGGTTGTGTGTTATTTTGATGTGGTGCGATGATTTGGAATGAGGGGATGGGCGTGGAATAAATAACTAGGTCTGGGGGTTGCTTGGTTTGGTTTGGTTCGGTCTGGTTGATGCGTGGTGCGTGGTGGTGGATACGGAGTGCGCAGGAGGAGGTTATGTTGGGGTTATGTCTGCCCGGCTTTTTTTTTTCTTCTCCCGAAATTATTTGGGCTTTGAGCGTGGGAGTTACTGGCTTGTTTTTGTCATCTACTTTGCTTGATGATCCCTCTAGATGGGGCGTCCGCGGAGGTTTCGTTCTTCTCTCGACTCATCGTCCTAGGTTTGCCGGTGAGGTTAGTAGTGAGTGTATGGCACGGGACGGTATCTATGTACAGACAGACAGAAAATGTACATTTGCTCTCAACCACTCGAAACCGTTTCTGTCGCACGCTGTGTTATATGGGGCATGCAGCGGGTGTCGAGAGTTATTGAGCAAGAAACCCTGGAGCGGTTTCCAGCCATAGCAAATCACATGTCCGCAAAAGCTCTCTTCTGTTTTACACACACAAATCACATGCCTGAAAGATGCGAAGTGGGTATCATGTTGTTGTCTCTATACTTTTCTTTCCACTTGCCAGTCTGTGCCACTGCACCCGCCTCCTCTGATATAAGCATAAGAGAATAAAATCAGTAGACTCCAAATAACTCCATCCTGATCGGACCGCAATGATAGCCTTGGAGCGGATTATATAAACCGGGAACGCCTGAAAACCAACCCCCAAAGAGAGAGGTCGAGCCGGGAAAGGAGTATTGACCGGAGTGAAACCGAGGGAAAGAAATAAGAGAGGATCGAGGGTCTTTGAACCAGTGAAAGACGCTCATATTATTATTATATAACATAGATATAGACAGAGAGAGGTATTAAGGTCGGTGCTGTCGTGGAGCCGCAGGAGTCGGCTCGCTCGCTAAGACTCCCCACTAAGGATTCTGTAAGAGCGAGGTGCTCCCCGACGCCAGACCCTTTCGCACGTGGGTGGGCAGCGTGGAGGGAATATCCTCGTCGCCGTCGTCGTCGGACGACGAGTCATCATCGATGACAACGGGCTGGGTTCCGGCCGGCATGTTGAAGCCTCTGCCGTGTCCGTTGGTGCCGGGCTCCGAACCGTTCGGGGTGGCGGATTCGGACCCCGTGCTAGACGGGTCATGCGCACCCGGGGGGTTGCTGGTCTTGGATGGCTCATGGATCTCGACTCGCGCACCGGCTTGCTCGTAGACTGCCGCCGGCCGAGACCCTTGTGGGGCAGTCGGGTCGTGGGTGGCAGCAACGGCGGACGAACCTGCTGGACCGCCACCCCCAAGCAAAGACGCCGAGAGAGTCTTACGTGTCGGCGTCTCGTCCGCCAGAGTTTTATATGGCGTCTGATAGCCACCGCCCTCGTTCGTGCGCTGGCGCTTGGCGCTGTGTTCATCCCAGGTGGCGCTCGTCCGTGGGGTGTTCGCGGCGGTCCATCCACTGCCGCCTGCAGCGCGCGACGCCAGGTCTGTGTTGATTGATGGGATGGTACTGTGCGTTTGCACGCCGGCCGGCGTTCTTGCCTTCTCCCTCTCCTTCTCCTTCTCGGCTTTCTTGAGGCCCAGGCGCTCTCGTTCAGCCAGGATTTCGGCCTTCGTGCGCCTCTCGCGTAGCCGGACGCCGTATTTTTTGCGGATCATCGATTGCTTGGTGCCAAAGCTGTTACGCAGACCCTCGAGTCTGACCCGCCGTGCGGTTTCGTCCGCGATTTCGTTTGCTTCCGCGAACCGCGGCTGGTACTTCTCCTCGGCCGCTTTCAGCTCCTCATGCATAAGCTGCATCTGATGCTCGGTTAAATGGCTGTATGGGTTGGTTGCATTCCCGGAGCCCGCTGAGGTAGGTGTGGCTACCGTGGGCCTGGTTACGCTGGGGTGCGCTGGGGTGGACTGCTGGTGCGTTCGTGGGACACCGTTTGAGATGGGCGTTTGTGAAGTGGACGGGGTGATGGCTGGTGGGCTAAGGGGAGCAGTCGGGGCTGTCCTCGGTTGTCGCCCTTGGCTAGCTCTCTGCGGTTGGCCAAAGTTGCCGCATACTTTGTGATCGAGGTGCTAGACGCCGAGTTAGTCCGTCAGTCGCGCAGTAGGTTTGAATGTGGGATTTAACGAACCCCTTGCACTTCATCATGATTCGTGAATCCCTGACCACAGTGTGGGCACGAGTAGTTGAAGCCATTGGAAGTCGGCGGTATTTGACTGCAGACGTCGTATCTCGAGTGCTAGACAAGCGTCAGGGGGGCCATTTCCTTCACTCCGGGAGATTTGCTCACATGGTCGAATGCGGAGGTATGCATGAACGTTCGGAAGCATTTCATGCACTGAAGCTGGTTTCGGCCTGCTTCCGGATACGCAGGCGATGGCTGACTCGGGGGAGCGGGTCGGGTACTTGCCGCGGCGGCTGCTCCCGGGTAAGCTTCTTGGGGGATGACGCGCTCGTGCTGTTCGTCCTGAATCATGTCGCTGGACTCGTACCCCAGGCGCTCAGCAGCTGCGAGCGCATTGACGAGCGGTTTGGCCTCGATAGTCCGGAGACGCTTCGCGAGACACTTGTCTAGAAACCCATCGCTCGCTTTTTCGATGATGAGATCAGCAACCTCGTCTAGGGCCTCAGTCGTAAAATGTCTGATGACATCCTCCTTCGACTCCTCCACCATCTTGCCCCCAAAATCTCTTACTGCACGCTGCGTAATGGACGGAAGCGCGTGGTGAATGGAAGCATTGAGCTGGAGCACGGTTAGTGGTATTCCGGAGCCCGGAGGGAAATACGGCGATTTTCGCATGTTGGCAACATGGACTTGAGCGGGCAAAGTGGAACGTGTGAAACGGGATCGTGGATGTTAAGAGAGAGAGGGGGGGGGGGGGGGGGGGGGGGGGGGCAAGAGGGTGGTGATATTTGTGGGAATTGAAACAAAGAAAGAGGGTTATTGTTTGGGTTGGAAGGAGCTCAAAATAAATAAACGTAGTGGTAGGCATTGCCTGGTATATTTCGAATTCAAGGCTAAGATGGAAGAAAACGGCGGGCTTAAAAAGCATGCCGTGGAATACGGACTTACAACGAAGGCTTGATGAAACTCGGAACCGAGCAGGCACTTTTCCCAGTGGTCCCTAACAATGCGGCGGACGGCCTCAGGGATGCTTTGTTGGATGGCAAAATTCATGCGCGTGCAATCGTCGAGAAACTTTGGGTTGATGGTCGCATAGTCCTGGGTGGGCGAGGGGAAGCCCATGGCGCCGGCGCGCTGCTGGTCTTGCTTCCGCGTGCCGGGTGGGTCCATGATAATCGGCTTTGAGAGACACGCGCGATGATGGGACGCCTGCGACCTCAGAACAGGTTGGGGCTGGGGCTGGGGTTGGGGTTGTGGTTGTGGCTGTGGTTGAGGATGGTGATAAGAATGATACTGCGTCGCGTGGGGATGCTGCAAGGGCGGCAGTGACGTCAAGGGTGTCCCAGGTGCAGATGATGATGGTGGGTGTGGATGATGTTGGTGTTGATGATGGTGTTGATGGTGTTGCTGTGGGTACTGAGGAATTTGCGCGTGCGGCGTTTGTGGGGCCGGGTGTTGGAGGAGCGGCGGCGGCGGCGGCAGCGGATGCGGGTGAACATGGGGCTTCGGCGGCGGGTACTGGGGTGGGTGCGCACGGGGAAGCAGTTGCTGGTGCGGGCTGGGTTGTGGTAGGGTTTGCGGCAGCGTTTGCGATTGGGGTTGCGGAGGCCCGTGGTGCGGATGAGCGGCCGCATGAGGCGGCGGCGGCGGCGGCGGCGGCAGCGTCGCGGACGTCGACGGTGAAATTGGTGTTAACGTTGGCGCTGGTTGTGGTTGGAGATGGTGCTGTGGGTGTGGGTACGGGCGCGGATGCTGGTGGTATTCGTGTTGCTGTTGCGCCTGCTGGGGCCCTGAGCCCGGCTGTTGCTGCTGGCTCGGCTGCTGTGGAGACCCGGGAGTTCCATTTCCACCATTTTCAGGGGATTCCAGATTTGCCGAATGGGTAGGGGGAGGTCGGTTCGCCTGAACCGTCATTGGGTCTTTCCAACGTAACGGCTTTTCGTTCACGGCCTGGCTTTGTCTGGGCGCCGATGAGTTTGGCCCTGACATCGTTGGGGAGGGCGGTTGTCGGTTCGAGGCCGCATCCGCGGGGGCAGTCTGATAATGCAAAGGCGGACTTGTGGCCTGCGCCGTCCCGGAGTTCGTTGATTGGGTGTCGGTTCCCCCGACACCATTCACAGTCGAGTTGATTGCCGTATTCTCGCTTGCTGCAGTTATCGGCGGTGCTGCCGGCTGCGCCGTGTCTGATAACACGGCATCCGATGCATCTGAAGTTTGCTGCCGCGGGATCGAGGGCGGTGGCGTTGCGGTGAGAGCTGGAGCTGCTTGTTCCTTTGACTCGGTTTGTGCCGTTTCCTCCATGGTCACAATAGCTTTGACCCGTGTTGCCAGCTCGTAACGCACGAATCTTATGCCACGGTCCCAAGCCGATGCGAGTCTTCGTCCCTTGCCAACCGGACGAGGCAGCTCGAGTATTATTGCCTTTGCCCCTCTTGGCTTTGTGCTCCGAATCTGGGCAAGGGAGCACGTCCGATGATCCTAGCAACGGCAGTGGTACCCGGGGGCCCGGGGGCCGTTGAACAAGCAAGAGGTCGGGGGAACCTGCACATACACGATGGTGGCGGAAAGTATGAGATAACCAAGACCTCGGGCGGAGGAGACCTGCTGCCGGAATTGCGGCGCGGAACGGTTCGAGGCTCGGGCTGTAAGAGGCGCGAAGGAAAAGAAAAAGGTCGGTAAGTTAGGTAGCCACTATTATCTTTCCTTTGCAAGCTTTTTCGGTTAAATGGGGGGCACCTGCTTGTTTAATAAAAAATTAACATGTTAATTAAACCCTGCCATCCAATCCAGCCAACTTCCGAAATATATATTTGCTAACGAATACTTTTCGTGAGCTCGATGGTGCCCGTGCTCCACAAGCCGAACTTTTTTTCCAGGGGTCCACTTTCCGTTTCCGCACTTACACTAACTACGAAGTCCATGAACGAAGCATCATCGCTCGGCATGCTGGACCACTGAACCTTGCCGATATTGGCGCTCTGAGCACCTGAAGCCCCGCCACTTCGTTAGTTGTCTTTGCGAACCAAAACTAATAACACTAAACGAAGTGTCTTGGAGGAGAATGATGGAACTCTTACAGAACGAGAAGCTACACAGTACAATAATTAGATACGCGGTTGTCTCGCTTGCTGAAACATCCTTGCCATAAGATCTGTGCTATGTCCGTAATATCTGCAGCAGATCACGTCTGAAGTTGAGACTCGTGTGCGCTAATACGTCTAGTATCACCCGGGACTTAGTCAGGTTACACACGAGCTTACCAGTTGGCTTCATTGGGCGCAGGATTGTTTGCCTGTGACGCCACCACACGGTGAAAAGCACGACTTGGAAGCGGGGACGATACGGTCGTTGCTTGTCGTTGGCTGATGGCTTATGCAGTTGGCTCGGTTGATGCAGTTCACAATCACCGCAACACTCGTTCCTTCTTTACGTAAATGCCTCAGGACACCAAGTGATATCTGCGCTGCATGAAGTACCGCAGGGGGGACATGAAAAAAAGAAAAAGAACATACTCGGATGAGGACCGGTCCGTGCCTAATTGTACCTGACGGGCACACGCAGGATCGCCGGTTGGGGATGCGTAATCCTCTCGAACTACTGCAGCCATGGAGCGGCCTTAGAGCGGGTAAATGCACACGCGATTACGACTTCGTAACTGAACAAGTTCACATCCTGATCATCCTGCGAGTGTCAACTTCAGTAGAAGGCATGCTTATGCGAGCCACGCCGGCTTGTCATTAGTCCGTGGGGTAAGATATATCGCTCCTGGTATTAATACAGTGACACGACCTCCCGACCAAGAGGCACGAGGCATGACCGAAGGCAGGATCCACAACAAAACACCAACCCTCTCTCCGTCTAGACACGTTCCCCGATGCATGCAAGCATCAGCCGCTCGTAGTCACCGCTCGTCTCCCCCTTGATCCTGCTAGCCAGGTTGCGATGATACCGCTTCTCGTACGCTCCGCGGACGTTGGCCATGTGGTTCCGATCCCAGTCTAGGAAGAACAGACAATGTCAGTCACTCTGTCGATGAGAAAAAAAGGGGGGGGGTCAACATACGGAAGCGAACAACACGGCTAACCAGGAGATAATCCTTGGTGCCGGCGCCAGCCATCGCATCCTCGAGGAGCGTTGCCTGGTGCATGTACTTGTCGACGCCGTTGCGCAGCTGGAATAGGAGAGCGTCCTCCATGTGTCCAGAGAATTCCTGTTGGTTGGTTGGACTTGTTAGCCAAGAATCCTATCGTGTGCTGCGTAACTCCTGCTATGCGTATTAACTGACCTTGCGAAGGACGTCCTCCAGGTTTCGCGCAAACTTCTGTTGATACTCGTACGCAATGGCACGGAGCTGGTTGTCGTTTCTCGTTGTCAAGATGCTGCACACCTTCATCTCGTCGGTCCCCATCTTGGCCTCGGTCGCGTTGTACAGATCGTTGACATCGCGGTCAATATCGGCCTTCACAATGGGCGCAGTGTCCTCGGCCCGCTGAGCCTGGAGCACAATCATGAAATGCCTCTCCGTCTTCATGCTCAGGTCACCCCTCACGTCATCCTCGAGTCGGCGGTGGAAGACGCGGTGATACTCGCCTTTGATAGCGTTCATGTCGGCGTTGGACCGGCTCAGAAGGACGTCGTTGAGCGCCTTCTCCTTGGTCCCAATCCCGGACATGGCCTCGCGGAGGAGATGGACATCGTTCAAGAGCGGGCCGCGGGCGAGAGCGACTAGCCCGGCTTCAAACCAGCTGCTCGTTTCGCTCTTGATGTCGGCCACGAGATCGCGCCGGTGGAGGCGCGAGTAGGCGTCACACATCGTGTTGACCTGCAAGGGGTCCTTGGTCGCCAGTATCCGGGTCAGCGCCTTCTCGTCCGTGCCAAAACCCTTCATGGCCGACCTCAAAGCGCGTGCGTCCTCATCTCCATTCCAAGCAATGATTTGGGGTGGGCCGTAGCCGGCGGATGGAGGTGTCGGCGGATACTGTTGCCCGTACGGCTGATATTGCTGAGGAGGGGGCTGGCCATACGGCTGCTGGCCGTAGGGTTGCTGGGGCGGGGGTTGCCCGTATCCTTGCTGCGCACCGTATGGTTGCTGAGGCGGCGGCGGTGGCGCGCCGTAAGCTCCTTGCTGTGCCGGCGGGTAGTATTGGCCGGGTGGAAGTGCAGCGCCGTAGGGTTGAGCAGGAGGCGGGGCTCCATACGGCGGCTGGGGGGATGGCGCACCGTATTGCTGAGGAGGGGGTGGTTGCCCGTAGCCCTGGGGAGGTTGAGGAGATTGTTGGTAGTATTGACCTTGGGCGGGCGGTGGAGGCGCGCCGTACTGCTGGGGAGGAGGTGGTTGCCCGTAGCCCTGGGGAGGCGGCTCTGACTTGGTTAGCTAATGTCAGGACACATGCGCCCGAGCAACGCTGGTGTGATAATACTCACGACCATAAGGTGGGTACCCGGGATAAGACATCTCGGGGAAACGCGTTGTACGCGGCGTAAGTTACTCTCTCGGAGGCTTTGGGGAGTTGGTGGTTGTTTTCGCAAATTCGTCACGGCAAAGGCGGGGGAGGGGCAGTCTTCTGTGCGCCCGGGACGGGAAGTTGAATGGTAACTGCAACGAAGCTCCCAGCACTCGTGTGCCCAAAGTACAGGTGATAAATAGTAGTACGTTTCTTCGGACGAGCCACTGGGGCTGTGGCTTGCGAATCGATGATCCAATCGCACCTTCATCTGACCACTGGCAGATGGTTGTGACGTTGAGGCAGCCGAGCTCGCCGAGGCAGTGCTGTCATAGTGTGGCTCAGCACCCGAACCAAAGGTCTGGGCAGGCACCTGTCAACTGATTGGGTTGGCATCGTGGATGCCAGGCCGTCTCTGTAGTGTACAACGGGTATCATGTTTGGAATAGTCGAGAAAGACACATCTCTCCATTGGGGCGAAATATCGGGTATCCTCCACACAATATCATAATCGACTCCACGAGATGAAGGGTATTTGGAGGTTGATTTTGAGAGGGAACAGAAGGCACCTCCGAGCTGTCATCAAAAAATGCCTAACGTGACCGTGCGGACGCGACACCATGTGGGGTGGGGCATGGCGGGGTTGCAGCACTTTCAAGCTGCCCCGCATGCCACATCCATCCACTCTTCCTCTCTCAACCAGTCGGAACATGACCCTTTCGGGGATGGAAGCTCTACATGTACCACAGTAAATCAACGGGGACAAGAACAGGGGGCAACGGTGGAATGGGAAAAGAACTCGGTTGTCATGTTCGAGACCCAGCTATGAAGTACACTCACTCCAGATTCAATCGAGGAGTTTGCTCTCCCGCAGTGGGGCTGGGGGCTGGGAATGTTCGGTAAGCGCCGGCCGACCCGGCTTCAACCACCCGAATTTCTGAATTTTGGAACGGTCCGTCACACCACAGATCTCGGAACAAGCCATGCCATGCATACTTCGCAAACAGCCAGCCATCTTAATTTACAGATCTTGTTATCTAGCTTTAATGCCTGCGGTGATCATTTTCTGGGTTCTTCAAGTTACGCAGTTACCATTCATCCTCGGTCGATTGCATCCCTGCTGCACGTCAAGAATTCCCGGCTGGCTTTCCATCGCTGCATCGGGCGCTTGCTTGTACCGGAGAAACAGCGAGGGCAAGATGCATCTCAACCAGGCAATTCCCTTGTGCTCGGCCGTTACTCTCTTTTTTTCATCGTGCATGTCCTTACCTGTCGATGAGTACCGACTGAAAGCATCCCAAGAACTTGCGCCAAGGGCGACCTATTCGGTCGTCCCCATTCATGGAGGCTCGGGTCCGGGTGGGTCCGGCGGCTCCGGAGATTCGGGTGGGTCTGGGTCCGGCTCCGGCTCCGGCCCGGGGTCGGGGTCGGGCCCTGGACACCACCCAGTGACGGTTACCGTCGTGGAGACAATACCACAGAAAACATATTTCCACACCGTATACGTCACGTCGCCTCCAAAAACAGAGCGTGTAATTGAGACGGTCATCGTCACCAAAACGGTACAGGTTGTCGATATCAGCCAAGACGCCAATACTACCACGACCGTTGTTTCGCCCACGTCTGAGACCCGTTCAATATCCCTGACCTCCAACTCCGAAGCACCAACATCGAGGACCCTCCCTACCTCGACAGCAATACCAAATCCAGTCTCATTGTCCACGACAAGTACTGCAAGAATCCCTCTCCAGACTGGGTTTACAAGCACGAGCAGCACCACCTCGACCATTCCGACACAAAATGATGGGAAGTGGCACCCATCATCGTATCCGTCATGGAATGGGACCATGTTACGCCGGGGCTCTCGGAGATGGGTCCAACCACGCCAACTTGCCTAATCCACAAATCAGATGAGTTGCCAGCTGAGGGCAGTAAATAGGGCCACTGTTGGACTTCTGTGTCGAATAATTGATGCATGTACATATCGCAGCGATACCCCTAAGGTAGGAAGGAGGTAATAGGCGCTGGGAGCCACCGTGGATCAAGAGCTGGAAACTGATGGCATTGGGGCGCTTCTCCGAAGGTTTGGGGGCAATGGTGGTGTTTACGGCGTTTGGTTTACTCTTGCGGACGATTTCGGGTGAAGACAGTGAAGGCAGTTTTGAGTCAACAACACGCACAACTAATTAATTCAGCCGCGGCCATCCCAACAGTTTGGCACCATCATCACATCCGTCATGCGAGCTTCAACAAATGAGTCTTGCAACGGCAGCCTGCCGCTTCTGTTTGATCGCCCAGACGGGCTCGATCCGTTTGAAGAACGGGTCGTTGCATTTTTAGATCATTGTACTTTCACCAACGCCCGTTAAGAGCCACAATCTGACAGTTTATCGGGTAGCTGCTTCGTGTCTAGGTATTGAACCAACCATAACGAAGAAAAGGTTGACAACCCCAGTTTGTGCCATGGGTCAAGGGTTGCTGCAGGACGTACGTCGTAGGTAGCTGCACATTTATCTGTGTATTTGTGTACGCAATGCATGTGTAAGGGACATCTGATGAAGGGGAGATGCGGACAGGCCTGAGATGCTGCTGCAGTCCGTTTGTCCCTTGCTATCCACCGTCTTTGGGTTTATACCTAACAACACGGTGCTGATTCGATACCATCAGATGGACACAAATTGACACCAACTTACGCCAGAAAGGATACCATGATCCCGATGCTCAAGGCGTATGATAACATTGACACCAACGAGAGAAGTCCTTTACACAACACGTACACTGGATGAGACTCATTATGTAACATCCGACTGCCGTTTGAGACAAAAACTGGAACTGGAAATCGGCAGGAAAGATACTCGGGTACCCGCCGCCGTATGAACTCGGACAAGGCCAAACTCAAACGGACCTAAAAGTAAAGAAAACATCTTGAGCATGGGAACTTAGCCCCCGACTACAGTTTTCGTTGACCATTCCCAACCCAACTCCTACATCCAAATCCCTTCGAACATCCTCTCACAACCCCTTTTACAAAGTCAACCATGGCGATTCTTCTTCGTCGTATCCCGCCTTTACGTCGGACCACGAGCATCATAAAATGCATCTCCAACCTGAGCACCGTAGCCCACGCCGCGGTTGACGGCAAGCAGCCTACCAACCCCAACTTCCAAACCCATCCCCCCCTCCCATCTTCATCCCCCAACGCCACCCCCAACCCCAACAACAACCCCAACACCACCACCATCCCCCCCGGCTTCCACGCCTCAACCGCCAACCTCCCCATCTTCACCCTCCCCACCCACATCACCCCCTCCTCCCCCACCCACCTCACCCTCGGCCAGGCCCTGATCCACGCCTGGCGCCGCGACGGCATCATCCAGATCGCCATGGACGCCACGCAGCGCCAGCTCTGGGCCGACGCGCACGCCGCCAGCCGCGCCTTCTTCCGCCGCCCGCACGCGCAGAAGGCGGCGTGCGTCGACGACCGCAGCTACGCGGGGTATATTGCTTCCGGGGAGGAGGTGACGGATGGGGTGGCGGATTATTCGGAGGTGTTTACGGTGACGAAGGATTTGGGGGTGGGGGATGCGAGGGTGAGGGCCGGCTGGCCGTGTCATGGGCCGTGTCCGTGGCCGGAGGATGGGGAAGGGGAGGAGGGGGAGGGGGGGATGAGGGAGGTGATGGGGGCGTTTAAAAGGAGGATGGGGGAGGAGGGGGAGAGGTTGTTGGGTTTGGCGGAGCTGGGGCTGGGGGTGGGTGAGGGGGCGCTGAGGCGGTATACGAGGGATGGGTGGCATCATATGCGGGTGCTGAGGTGAGTTGGTTGGTTAGGTGCTGTTGGGTGGTGAGGTGGGGGGGTTAACTGACAGGTGGTGTTTAGATTTCCTGCGAGGACTGCGACTAATGGCAAGGGAAAGAAGGGTAGAGGCATTGGCTCTCATACGGACTACGGTCTGCTTGTTATTGCTGCCCAGGATGAAGTTGGAGGTAAGTAAGCTCCTGGGTGTGGTTGTCGAGTGTGAAGCTGATATTGACGACACCAGGTCTCTTCATCCGCCGTCCCAGCCAGGATGAGAAATTTGCCAACTGGGAGAAGAGCGCGGCTGGCCTGAATGAAGATGATGACAGTTGGGTGTATGTGCCTCCGGTTGAGGGCGTGCATACGGTCATTCTTGGTGAGTGATTTCCAACAATGTCTACGATCTTCGTCACGTCTTGCAACATCGCTCCAATACATGAGTTACAGCCGCTGACAGAGGAACTTTAGGTGACATGATGCAGTATCTCACCCACGATTACCTCAAGGCGACGCCCCACAAGGTCGGCCTCAATACCCGGGAGCGCTTTTCAGTCGCCTACTTTCACGAGCCCAGCTTTCAAGCCGTCGTAAAGCCCCTCGAAGAAGGCTGCGGCGGCCTGGGGAAACCGGCCGTAAACGATACCAAGGGCATCCACTACGGAACACACTTCACCAACATGTTCCTGCGGAGCTACCCCGATCGCATCACCACGCGCCGACTCTTGGCTGAAGGCAGGTGTGATTTGTTGAAGAGGCCGGAGCTTCGTACGATAGGAGCCGCCCCTGCATGATGGGGTGGGATATTGCATCTGGGCCTTGCCGGAGACTCGGCGGGAAGCTGGGCTGTGGTATATACACAGCAGTTTCAGTTTTGGGATAGACTCACGACATGACTTGGGTGATACAAGACGCATTGCATTCGTTGTTTACAAGATTTGTTTTTATTTGGTGATAATAAATATTTAGTGGTATGGTAGGAAGCCCGTCATATGGGATGACGAGAAATCACAAAACATAGGTAACCTTTTTTTCTACGTGGTTGGGGTGTTGCAAGCGAGAGAGGTTGTACGTCCATACAGTTCAACTCTGGTTTGTTTGTGAGCGCGCCCGATTTGACAGGGGGCCCGGTTCAAAAGTTGAAAACCCCTACCTTGACAGCCCAACAACGGTTTAAAATGGAGGAAACTGTGATAAATAGAATCTTTTATCAAGACAATTCTAGTCAAGACCTTTTTTCCGTTGAATTGGAGATTCTGGCATGGACCCGGTCGAGAAGTCACTCACGATGGAAGAGCGGGGTCCTTGTCAAAATTTCCAACTCAACGGCAAAACGGCGCATTTTTGAACAGAAAAATGACCTGGAATGGGAGAGTCTGCTTGAATAATTGCTGCATAATTTATCACAGTTTCCTCCATTTTAAACCGTTGTTGGGCTGTCAAGGTAGGGGTTTTCAACTTTTGAACCGGGCCCCCTGTCAAATCGGGCGCGCTCACAAACAAACCAGAGTTGAACTGTCAGGCAGGGGGTCCAGGGGGCCGCAGGCCCCTGGCAACGTTTATGAAGCTCGATAAAAATAAATAGTAAATAAATAGAAGAAAAAAAGAAAAAAAGAAAAGAAAAGAGAAAATGAAAAAGAAAACGAAATGAAAGGAAAAGAGAAGAATAAAAAAATCAAAAGGAAAATGAAAGAAAGAACATGAAAGAAAATAAAATGAATAAAAGTAAAATGAATATAAAAATAAAATACATCAAAATAAAAAGAAAATGAAAAAGAAAATGAAAAAGAAAATGAAAAAGAAAATGAAAAAGAAAATGAAAAAAAGAAATGAAATGAAATAGAGATAATGTTATTTATAAAGATAAGTAAAGAATAAAAAATAAATATATACTTACTGGACTAGCCCGTGGGCGCAGGTGGCAGAGTCATGGTATTTTGATTTTGATTTACTTTGCGGATGTCGTCGCTGCTTGGAATACAGTTTCGACATTCCGCAATACTAGTGAGAGTGATTCCAGATCGCCAGAGACAACCTCGGGGCGAGGCAAGTAAGGTGCTAAGAAGTGCCTGTGCGCAAAACCGTAGTTGACAACTGTAGTAATTCTCCAGAGTGGCGGATTCAGAGTAGGGACTCTGCTGCTAATTGCTGCGGACACCGAAACGAATATGGTGCAGATCCTGACCGAGTGTGCAAAGAGAGAAACAGAACTCATATACTGGGGTAGCTCTCTCGTCCGACAGAACCAAGTACCACAACTAGCAAGAGAACTATTACAGACCTGAGTTAGCAATCCGCCAGTCCTGATCTCGGGTCTATAAACTCACGACTTGCGGTCCCGGGACGACGTAGTTGGTGATAGCTCCATTGTAGATCTGTGCCTCAGGTCAGTGAATAGGACATGGATAAAGCATCGTTGCCATTTTCCGGAAGCAAACGTACGTTGACATTCAGGCCAGGATCGCTGCTCTTGATGGCCCCCGGGAGCAAGGCAGTCGGGGATGGTGTCTTGCTGCCACCGTTGGTCACCTTAACCTGGGCACAGCTAATGTAGAACTGCTCAACAGTTAATCCTTTTGCTCATGATAATCGATGCCAACAACTGCGGAACTAGTCCTACCTGGGGCGCAGCGCCGGGGTTGTGAAGCCCAATCTGTTGGATGCGGAGAAGGTATTCGCCGTCAGGGATGCAGCTGGGGATGTTGTGGGTATACGAGCCTGGTCCAACCTGATTAGCAACTAATCGCACTCTCCAACATATCCAACACGGGCGAGACTCACCCCTCATGGCCCAGCTCGAGCCGGACGGACCCCAGTCGAAGATCTTGAACCACGGTCCGCTTCCATCGTAGTCGGCGGCCGCACCGGGGGCCTTACTCATGTAGATTGAGGTAGGCCCTGAGTGGTAAACATCTTCAAAGGAATTAGATTAATATAGTAGGCTTTCAAGCTTGTATAGTTTTAATTACCAGTGTCGAGAGTGAAAGTGAACTGGTCGCCGGCCTTCATGGTGATGGTCTCGGTGCCGTTGCTGACCTGGCCGCCCACGTTGCACCGGAGGTCGGTCGACGACAGGTCCGTCACGGGGCCGTTCTGGAGCCAGGCCGGGTTGGAGTTGCGGCGCACGTACTGCCACGGCGGGTACTTGGTGCCGCCAGCCGAGAACTGCTGGAAGATGTAGTGGCCGGCGACGCTGTTGACGGCAAAGGCCGCGGCAGCGGCGAGCTGGAAGAAGGACTTCATCTTGGGCATAGACTATGTGTGGTCAAGTAAGGTAAAGAAGGGAAAGGGGAAGCCGGGGTTCGTGGACGGGACGGCACGGTAGTGGTCATTTTATAGAGACTTAAGAACCGTGGGGCGTCGATTTCATCAGGGTCTGAATCTAGACCTAGGAGAAAGCACGTATGCCGGCTGTAAGGGGACCCCCTTGCTGTAACCTCACGGATCACAACTCATCTGTCCCGCTCTTTTAGCTTTGTGGGGTACACGTCTTGCGATATTATTTTGCATCTGCGCTTGGCAGGCGGACTCATGCTTCCGAGGGTTCAACGAATCAAACAATCCCAGTTTATTACTCGGTAGTTTTATGGCCGAATAGGGGAACGGAAACCTGAATTAGGCCATGAAGAGTTGAACCACACCGACAAAAAGGACATGCTTGGTTGGCTAGTGATGATACCAAGAGACGCCGCCCCTGTGACTGAGATGGGAATCCGGGTTGATGAATCCGGGATGTGCTTGGCAACGGGGCTGACGGGGGAGGTGATGTTGATATCCATGCTGGCGTTGTTACCTGAAATAGAACGTGGTAGAACGGCAGGGGGTGCTACTTGGAGAACGAGAAAGAAGAGAAGGGGGTTGGGACGAGGGACTAAAGCTATTGCCATTACAAGTAGGTTAGCACGTCAGGCAAAACAGTGTCATTAACTATGGTCACCAACCTGGGTCTGATAAGAGCTAGGGTCGCTAGGTTTAGATTTGAAGATTTGAACTCGAAGGACGGAAGTTTCTGCTCAGTTCAGGTTGGTTCCGTCTGGAGGAAGTCCTTACCGGCTTCCGAGCCCCAACCTCCACCACCAGTTAGTCTTAACCCCATGAAGGTCCCTCTCTCTCAGCGCCAAATCTCAAGTTCCCGCTTCTTTTGCATCCTCGGGTTGCCAGCCCCCGGTCACCTCCGCTACCGGATGTATCTACTTGGCTGATTGTTCGGCCCTTCTCCGGATCTTTTCACGGGAACGCGAATTGGGCCACCCGGAGATTTCCTCCCTTTTATGTTGTTCACTCCCCAATCATTTGACTACTAGCCTCTTCTACTCTTGGATTTGATGTGATTGTGGGCTACCATCACATCTATAAGTTGTAACGTTCGATAACCGCGAGCCGGAACAACGAAGCCGGATCGCCGACTTCCATAACGCCTTGTTTCCTCAAGAGCATTTATTTTTGCCTTGGGTTACATCTGCAATGGCAAAATTGAGAGTCAAGGAAAGCCATAAATCCCATTGCTCACAACAAAGTGACTTCAAAGACCTGTTCTTATTGCAGTGCTTAGTCTAAAAGGCTATAATTCTGAAAAAACATCGATAGAAATTATTATTTCGCTCTTTGCCGCCGCCCTGTTTGCCCAGTGTCGAGCCAACTCGAGACTAACCATCATGGTCTTGCACTAGAACCAAGAATGAGAAGACGAAATCACGACGAGTGACGACGACTTTCGGGCATATTGATAATGTCAACATGTACCTAATGACTAGAGTTCCCCTTGGGTCACTACTGTCTATGATAAAACAGTTGCCCTGGCTCACGCATACCGCGTTCTTGCCGAGGCCTTCATTTACTAGTCAAGCTTATGCTCAAGACCTGCTGTATTAATGGCCTCTCCTAGATTAGAGCTAGAGACTCTTCACTAAAGCTTCTCTTCTCCACTCCCCACATGCCCTGTCAAAGAAAACGCAAATAGAAGCGTGGTACAACCCCTTTGGGGTCCTCATGCTCGACTAGGAAATAGTACCCATGTACGGAAACCACGGATGACCATTGCAAGACTCACATTGTAGCCACTTGTGGCACGCAGAGATGGAACAACTCCTCTTTGCGAGAATATTACGTCTCTAGCTAGATGAGTCACGGTTAAAGTGTGCAAGTGAGGATGGAACCGCCACTAATGGAACAAGGGTCCAGCTAACCAATACAGCGGTAGTTCCCAAGTCAACGACGGCATAGTGAATATCACGTCACGCATGATCAAGCCAAACGTGGGATAGAATACAGCAACGGCCGCTAACAACCGCGGCCAGCCGGAGGCCATCTGCTGTTGAAAACAATATAAAACAGCTGCCCGCAAACAACCCTCATCCAGCATTCTGCCTTTCCCATCACCACACAACTTTCCGACCCCAACAATTCTTGTTTCTCTCATTGCTCAAAGTTGAAGGAATTTTCCTACACTAACCACTCGACATCCAAGATGTCTAGCCCACTCTCACCATTTTCCGATCTTCTTCGCCGCAGATTTCCATCGTATAATCCACAACTCTCATCTGCTTCGTGGGCCACCCCGAACGACAGCAGCTCGTCTTTTGGTCGTACCATGCACCACGACAACCGATCCAATGAGCTCAAACCTCGTGAACTCCATGATATCGAAACTTCAGGTAGTCTCGACAAACCCATCTACCCAGGTAGCGGCGGCCACCTTTTCGCCGAGGTGGAAGAAGCACAACAAAGTCCAGTATACCGCGAACAACAAATCAACCACACCTGGGAAACTTCCACTGCTGCTGCTGAATTCTCTCAGAACCCTTGGAGACCAAGCTTCCGCCGAATCCCGGCCGTTCCATCGTCGGCTAGCCCCTTCGTAGCCAACACTTGGCCGCGCACCGTGGCCATGCCCTCCTACGCAGCGTTCCATGATCACCCAAGGCCGGCGCCGGCCTCTGACAGAGGCCCGCCAGAATTCCAAGTCAAACGCGAGCTAACTTACACCGACGCCGCCGCTCCGACGGCAACCGACACGACGGCCGATGCGATACGCTTCTACCATCCGATGAATTGCCGCGCGAAGAGCCTGGCATCAACCCAGCAGGAGGTCCATTCCCTCCTCCTTAGGGGCTTTTCGCCCAACTACCGTGGCGACCCTGCCCTCACCCGCAACCAGTCGGCATTGATCCCCGCCGAGGCGAACTGCAGCCTTTTCCTCGTCGGCCTTGCACCCGACCTGACAACCAACGAGCTGCTGTCCAACGTCCACGGCATCGGCCGGGTGTACGCCACCCACATCAACCCGCCGGACCCGGCACGCGGGCACGCCAACAGCGCGGCCAAGCTGGTATTCTTCGAGCGCGCGGCAGCCGGTACGTACATGTAACAAAACAAGCAAACAAATACCACCCACTCCCCACTCCCCACTCCCACATAAACCACACAGTCCAAAAACTAACCCTCCCCTCCCCTCAACACAGAACGTTTCTACGCCGCGCACTTCATCACCGGCTACGCCACCCGCCGCAACCCCCACCTCCGCGCCCGCGTGACCTGGAACCGCGTGCGATCCGGCGAAGTCGACGTGGGCGGGTCGCGATCGCGGGTGCTTCTCGTGAGCGGGCCGCGGGCGGTGGCCGACGAGGCCTTCCTGCGGGACTACCTCGATACAAAATTGACGTACCAGACAGACGAGGTTGTCTGCCGCGGTACGAGCGACGGCGGGGAGCGCGTGCTGCTGGAGTTTCGGTTCGGCAGTTATCGCTGCCAGGCGGAGGCGGCGCGCATGGCGCTGATGCGGGAGTTTAGGGATGTGGGGGTTGTTTGTGTTTACGGTGCGTTGTTTTTCTTTCTTTTTTTTCTGGGTGTTGTGGGCTTGTGGTTGGTGATGTAGTGCTAACTTGTGTGTGTAGGACGTGATCCATGCTGCGATCCCGCCAAGCCGGAGGTCGAGGAGGTTGATTTTGTTTAGGAGGGCATCGCCTAGTTAGCCCTCTAGGCTCCAGGCTACCTAGGCTAGGTACCAAGGAGGGGTTAGTACTGTGCAGAAGCTGGACATATGTTGCATGCAGACAGCGCTAGACATGATACAGTGATGAAAGTGGGAGGATGATGGATCTGGGTTACGAAGCAATGTCTTCATTTTTTATTCAAGTACCAGATATTGCCCTCAAGGCAATATCTGCTATGGTATGATACTGCGTTTTATGTTCCTGGTTTATCCCATAAACAGTATCACGGTGTCACGCGAACTTGAAGTTGAGCTCTGACGTTGTTTTATAACACAGTTCGTCGCGTTCACGATCTCGGATCCATGTCAAGATGAACCCTAACCCTGCATCCCGAGGCCTCTGACGTCATATCCTGTTTTCGTCTTGCGCCGATGATACCACTGTCCTCCGCCAACATGCAAGAGCGATGATGTATGCAGACTCGCCGACAAGGTGCGGGTTCGCCGCCGAAACCCTGCAAACCAATCCTGAAGAGGAACGGGCCACTGTTTGCATCTTGATGGACCCTTCCGGCGCCAACAGATGGATTACGTCATTATACCCCGGAGCTTCCTTTCCACAAGCTACCAAAGATTGACCACAGCGACAGCAGCATTGGAGGAGTTCCTTGGACGCAGCCAATGGCCAGCGTGCCAGCCCGGAACTGCCCGGTGATAGCTGTTTAGGCCTTTGTCGAGCAAACCAGAATCGCTGAGCTGAACCGGGAAGCAGTGACGTCCTTGACACGCCACTTTACACCTTCCCGATCCCTACCTTCCCACAAAACCACGACCCCTCTCGACGTTCCTTTGCCAGCATTGACAAAGACAGTGCAACAGAAAACACCAAATCCTCTCTCATAAAATACACGCATCAAAAGTTAATCGAGCGAGCAAACAAACCTTACCATGAGGATTGCTAAAACACTCCTCTCGTTGGCTCTGGTGGCCAACGCAGCTGTTGCCAGCTCGTGGTTTTCCAATGCCGGTATGTCTTAGTAACACCTGGACCCCTAAAGTCTAGCAGTTTAACTGACATCACATCAAAGCATACAACAAGTGGCATGAGACGGAGCTAGAGCGGTGGCTTTCCGACCATGACGTCCCCTACCCGACCCCGGCCGACCGCAAGGACCTCGAGCAGCTCGTGCAGAAGAATTGGGACGCAAACGTTGTGGAGCCCTATAACAAGTGGGATACCGAGAAGCTCACCAACTACTTGAAGGTGAAGGGTGTCGAGTCTAAGGAGTCGGCCGAGGAAACCCGAGAATCCCTCCTCGCCCGCGTCAAGAATTCTTGGTATGAGTCGGAGGAGAAGTCCCAGAGTGCCTACTCCAATGTCAAGGACTGGATTCTAGATACTTGGACCGACAGCCAGCTCAAGGCCTTTTGCGACCGTCATGGTATCCCCGTTCCCCAGCCCCGCAAGCGGGACACCCTCCTCCAGAAGGTCCGCGAGAACTACGAGACCGTCGCACAGAAGGCTGGAGAGGCCACCGCCTATCCAGGAAACTGGCTGTACGAGACTTGGACGGGTGAGTGCATTCGAAGCTTAGTTACAAGAATCGGAGCTGACAGTTGCTGTAGAATCTGATTTGAAGGAGTGGCTTGACACTCACGGTTTCCCAGCACCCCAACCCACTACAGTATGTCTCCCTTACCCAACTTCGTTAGATGGCCACTAACCATACCATTAGCGTGACAAGCTCATCGCTTCGGTCCGGCGCAACTCCCGCCTTGCCTACCTCCAGATGCAGGAGCAGACGGAGAGCTCCAAGAAGACGGCCCAGCAAGCCTACGCTGCTCTCACTGACAAACTTATTGATTCGTGGAGCGAGTCTCAGTTAAAGGAGTTCTGTGACAAGAACGGCATCAGTGGTAGGTCTGGACCTGCAGCGTGTGGAAGGAATCGGTACTAACACACGATAGTTCCCCAAGGCACTAAGCTCAACCAGCTGCGTGCTCTGGTCCGCAAGAACCGCGCCGACATCCTTGGTGACACTGTATCCGGCACAGCCGCTTCTGCGTTCGGTGCCGCTACTTCCAACGTCGGTTCTGCCGCCACCAAGGCAACCGACACCGCGTCCCAGGCCGCCCAGGACGCTTTTGACAAGGCCATCAACACCTGGTCCGATAGCCGTCTGAAGGGTTATCTAGACTCTCGCGGAGTGGTATGTATTTTGATTGTTACTTTGGTATTTTGTGATGCTAACGCACTTTATAGCCTGTCCCTCAGGGCTCCAAGACCGACGAGCTGCGCGCCTTGGTTCGCAAGAACTCCCATAAGGCCGCCTCAGGCTGGACCGCCTGGACCTGGGACGACCTGAGACTGGACAACATCCGCAACTACATCGCCTCAAGCGGCAACGCCGCGGCCAAGAAGGTCTCGGACAGGACGGGCGCGACACGCGACGAGCTGGTCGAGGCCGCGCAGTCCGCCTATCTTTCGGCGTCCTCCGCCGGCGGCGGCTCCTACGCCTCGGCCACGAGCTTCCTTACCAAGGCGACCGACACGACCAAGGCCGGCGTGTTCGACACCTGGAGCGAGAGTGAACTGAAGGCCTACCTAGATAGCTACGGCATCCCGGTGCCTCAGGGGTCCGAGATCAACGAGCTGCGCGCCCTTGCCCGCCGTCAGTATACCTATTTCAAGTATGGTACCACCTCTCCGGCCGAGACCCTCTTTGCCAAGGTCCGCGAGAACGTTCAGACCGGGTGGGACTGGGTTGCCGGTCAGCTACGTCTCGGTTCTGATGCCGCCAAGAAGAAGGCTGAGGAGGTCGAGGCCGAGGGCCAGCGCAAGGCCGAGAAGGTGCATAAGGAGCTCTGATTGAGCCATCGCTTCTAGTGGGTTTGACACGGGGATGATCGTGGAGGAGAAACCAGGGGAGTAGAATGGGTCCTGATGGGACCGGTGTAGCATGATCATGGAGAGAGGCGTCGCTGCAGGTGAAGGAAAAAGATAGCTGTGGCGGTGGGTGGGAGGGTAGTGAGAAAAGAAAGAATTAGTGGTGGTTTGATGATGGATTATGAGGGAGGATGAGATTGGGTTCGCAAGAAGTTCTGGTAGAATCTGCCTGCTCTCTCTTGGTTCTGGGTTTGCCGTGCTTGGAGAGGTAGCGCTAGTTTGGCTGGAGTTAGGTTAGTTGAGGTAGGTATTAGTCGTTAATTTATCCGATCTTTTAGCTTATTTCGGTAGATTTTGAACATGTGATGGTGTTCAATGTGACGTAGCTAGTTTCACTAATAGCCTAGGTAGGTATTAGCAAGTTGGTTCACAGCAACTTATCCTAGAACTATCTAGGTGACCTAGAGCGTACATCAAAGCTTGCCGATGTTCCAGGGTCTCCTACTCATACATCTAAGTAGCAACCGCCAAGTTACACAACTGTGTTGCCACGGGGTACTGGTTCAAGTAAAGGGGTTTTCCATTGGTTATAACCCGTTGCCGGGACGAACGAGTTCGAGGAAACGGGAAATACATTCTTCCCTGCGGGTTGGGTTGTATTCATGACGATTATCACGGGGGTGCGTCTTGGGAGTATTACCTACTTCCATCCTCCGATCATGAGAGAGGGATTGGGGTCTTGGCTACCTACCTAGGTAATTCGCGCCGTATTTTACCCGAGGGACGTCACAATCGATTCGGCCGCCCCGGGAGGCTATCGTGGGTGAACATGCACGCCCAGACTTTTGAATTCAGCCTTGTGAGGCGGGTGCGGATATAATTGCTCGGCGTAGGTATGCTACGGGATTTATATGTGCTGACAGTTAACGACCGGAACAAGGCTCGGCGGCAAGGCCAAGTAAGGCATCCGCAAGGCTGTTTTCATCCATGATCTTTTTTTTTTTTTTTTTTTCGGTTGCGAGAATGTACCGGGTCTCGAATTCGAACCTCCCTACGTTCGAAACAAAGAATCAACCCCGGTTCATGGGCAGACCACGACATGGCCGTTTCGCTTAGGATTACCGTGTTAGTCGTTGACCTTCCTAAACCGTTGCCAAAAGTTCCGCGCGCTGCAAGGGCCCGCGTCCGGTTCATCCGCTCGAGAGCTGGAGGATTGTACAACCATGGCCGCCCATCCACTCAAAGTCTGAGACGCCAGCGTCCGGCATACACTGTCAGAGTGAGAGAGGTCCTTCGCTGCAATGCAATGCTATGTTGCACGGCGCGTATGGCGCTTATTCTAGCAGGGGCTGGGTATGCAGAGAACAAGAGACGAAACGCCAAGTGGCCAGATCGAGTAGGTGCTGAATGAAGACCTGGGATGGTCTTGAAACTGTGATTCGTGTGATACTGGTGTGGCACGAGAGTGGTTCTAGCCGAGACAAGATCATTCTAGATGGTGAGGGGCCCCATTGTCTCGTCATCTCCGCGCCGCCCGGGTCACCGTGATCCGCAAGATTGGGTCGGCTCACGAAGTCGTGCCCCCCTCAGAAGGCTTAATCTGTCCCCAGTGCACCACTGACGCACGTCTCGTGGAGGTACATGCTGCAGCCACATACGGCACATGTCATGGCAGCCATGCGGCGCATGCAGCCCCGACATGCTGCAGTATCACCCGGGCGGGAGTCGGGACCGACGGGATGGAATTCACACAGGCGGCGTCCGGTTGGGTCAAATGCCGTCTGCTGGGAACGTATGTTGGATAGGGTTTAAGAAACTGACCCCCCGGCGGCATTCCCGGGTGGTGCTTATCCTGCATGTGCCTGCGTCGCGCCGCGCATTCTGCGCTTGGGAGACGAATCGCATCAAGGCCCAGCATGAAAACGTTTGTGTACCCCGGTTCCGAATTCCTGGGACTGGGTGTGAAGGTGAAACCTTGTTTCGATCTCTCTGCTTTCATCCCATCTCGGTAATCAAGCTGAAGTTGGAGATGAGCTGGTTGACACCTTGTTATGTCCGATGACGTCCCCGACTGTCTTGCCATCCACTTGCATCAGCCCTCAGCAACTGACCCCCCAGCTTGTACGTACCGCAAGCCATCGAGGCTGAGAACCGTTGTGGTCACATGCAATCTGAAAAACGAATTTTGCGCGGCTGGCTGGGAGCCAAGACGCAACGGATACGGTGAGATGTTTCTTGTTCGTCGACTTCGGGTTGAGGAATGGAGTCAAAGTTCGAGGACGACGTGGTATTTTGGCCGTGCTGCCTAGGGCCTTCCAAATTCGATTCAATATTTCCTGCCAGCGGCACCTGACTGGATCGCTAAATAGGCGGGCCCGGCGGTTGATCCGCTCGCTATTTCCCAACTGAGACAAGTCGGGTCCGCCTTGCCGATGGGGGAAGAACAACCTCCATCATCCTTCTCAAACCACTCATCAACTCTCGCGGTCGAGTCAACAAACCCCCAGAATTCTTGCCGCCCCGGTTTGTTGCAATGTGTCTCTCTCAGGACGCCGCAGATTCGGGGGCGGCCGTGGGCGCAGGGGCTTATTTTCCTTGGCTCGTCATCACAGCGTTGTCTCTTTTCGGGGTTTGGTGGGTCACTGACTGGACCGGCAACAGGCGGTCCCGACCGCGGGGCTCCGTCCCGATCTTGCGAGTTGCAAGGGAAGTTGCAACGCTTCTCGAATGTGGAGACGTGATGCCTGATCTGGAATGAGCGCCCCGCCAACAGTCGCGGGGAGCAATTGCTCCTTCCGGGTCTCGCCGCTCCTGGTTCTCAAGCCCCCTTTTCTTTTCTTTTTTTTCCTTCCTTTTTCTTTGCTGTCGTCTGTGTTGCGTTGTTGTTCTCCGCGGGTACTGAATTCTCGCTGTACCTGAGGGCAAGTTGCCTGGGTGGGCTGCAGGGAACTTGTGCAACACCAATGGCATTCATCTCAAGAGCTAAACAAAGCCGGTTGTCCCACCTGCTCGACAGCGCCTATTTTCGCGAATCGGGGACTGGCAGGGGCAACCTGGAATAGGCAAGGGGGTCATGCTCACCCCACCACTTTCTGCGAGGCTTCCCCGGGGGGCTTAATGTCGAGTCATTCTTTTCGCAACCCCAATTTGACCTCAGGGTTCGCAGCATTGGCAGCCTCTCTAGTGTCACACCCTCGTCTTGTGGCCCCCAGCTGCCTAGCCCCCTTCGCCGTGAAGACAAGGCAACGAACCCAATCTGGATATACTGCATCCATGTGGCCGTGCCTTCCATGACCATCTCGTCTCGAGCATCTCACCGGCCGTGGTAGGATATAAGTTCATCATGCTGCCCCCTTTTACACCCCCAGGGTTTGCTACAACCAAGCAGCAAGGCATCTATCTACCTACGAGATACCTATAGCATCAAGTGAACCCCCCACGCAGACACCACATCCAGATCACGCCGATCGAGCCATCAGAGCCTAGCCTACACCATGGACTCATACTACGTGTATGGCCAGTCGTCTCAACAGGCAGTCCCGGCGGCGTACAGGCCATCCAAGCCTGAGGACTGGGAGCCCTACCACGACATCATCGCTCACCTGTACAACACCTTGAACATGAAGCTGAAGGATGTCATGTCCGAGATGCAGGGGACTTACAACTTCAAGGCGACGTCGGTACCCTATGACATCCCAGCGTATGAATGCTTCCTTTGACTGACGGGAATGGCTCTAGCGAGAAGCAGTACAAGACGCAACTGAAGAAGTGGAATCTCGACACCAAGTACATCAAGGCGTCCGAGTACATGTTCATGATCAAGACCATGAGGGAGCGGCAAGCCGAGAACCCGCCCAGGGAGACACGCTTCGTGCTCCGAGGAAGGGCGGTGGATCCCAAGGACATCGCCCGGTTCGAGAAGCGGGCCCAGAAGAAGGGCACCATGCGGGACGGGGATCCGATTGAGTGCGATGGTGAGAGAGTAAAGCCAACAGTTATACTAGGACTAGTTGCTAACAAGTGTCTTGATTCGCAGAACCTGTTGAGGACTTGGTGTATGGCACACCCCCTCCTGAGGAAGCATCCTACCATCAGGCAGCCTACGCAGATGCCTATGCCGCCTACCAATGTACGACACCTCCGACTGTTGCACCCCCTAGCGCGACGACTGACTGACTTATTCGCCTTTTCCAGACGACCCTTCGACAGACTACTCGGCAGACTACTCGGCAGACTACTCGTACTCGTACTGAGAGCCTCGGGGCCACCGGGCCTTGATTAGGCCGGGCCCGGCTTACAACATCACAGTCACAACGATCGATTTCAACTCGACTCCATGATAGAATGGAGCGACAGCGCGTCTTATACATCAGCATGTGGATTTCAACTTTTCAAGATGTAACAACAATAACGACCGGATTCAGGACCGCACGGTGCGGTGGGGATGGGAACGGATTACACACATAGATTTCTTTTTCGGGCGCCCTTGGAGGAGTTTCTTTGTTTTCTTTTTTTCTTTTTTTGACCGTTTCAAGTTCCAGGTTCCAACGATTAGTTTTCATGTATGATTCTAGACGGAGCACATGCTTATGCTCAATATACCCCGTTGTTTCTTTGAGGACAACCTCTCCCACGAAATCCAAAGAGATTCTTGTCATGGATTAATTCAACCTGTGCCAAAACCCCTTATCAGAGGAACGCGCCCGACGCTTCCGGACCTTGTGGCTGGGATAGGAACCCCTAACCCTGGTTGCCTAAGTGGCCTTGTCAATGTGCGAATAAGAGAGTTGTATTATTACTCAACGGCCCAAGAGCTGCCTGACACAGGAGCAGCCGGGCCGAAAGAAACGGGGTGACTCGAACCAGAAGACGAAAGGATTCCGCACATGACACTTGGTCGGGAAATTTAAGCTTCAACGGGAAGACGTCGGCTTCGTGGGGGTGACACCATACAAGGCTGTAAAGGGCAATTCTGCCTGCCGCCGCCAGGCATCGAGCCAAGCCGGCCGAGGCTCGTTTTGTCCAAACCCGGCGCCCAAACTTGCGATTTCGGCCCCGTTCATCTGCGGCGCTTCCCGCGTCTGCTGCTGTTACAGCAACGAAAGAGAAGATTCAGCTGACGCGCGCTCGAAAGCGCCGCACCACTTTTTCCGGCTGCAGCAAATCCCTGCCAGCGAAGCTAACAGCAATGGTTCTCGATATTGAACGCTACTATTATTATGCGAGGCTATGTACCACATAAGGTAGTTGTCTAATCGCGGCGCATGATCTGATCCCCTCGACCTGGGGAGACAAGTTGACAACCATCACACTCCATTCCCCTGTAAGATAGCCTAGATAGGTTGTGGTAAGCGACTCAGCCACAAACTCAAGACGACTGAAATCTTGGTGTTACCTTCGCTGGGGGCCAAGACCACACACCCGAGCCAACGGTCGCCAAGTTCCATCGTGGAGGAGAGTTGATGTAACCGGCCCTCGCCGTCCCGTCCCGTCCTCGATTACGAGACTCCATCCTTCCCCCGATGACTCCTGTGCGTTAATTAAATTCTGAATGCAGTTTTGCGGCCTAGCATCACGTCCTCAAGCATCAGAATATGGATATGGCGGTGGCGCGGGTCAGTGGAACGTCACACCAAATCAGTGACACAATGTTATCTACATACACAGAGGTAGGCAACTACGTGGTTTTTCAATTCTGCATTCAATGCAATCATTAAAACCCGTGACTTCAACTATCCATCGTCGTAAAAATAGAAAAAATAGAAAGGAATAAAGGGAGAAATCAAACAACACGAGATCTCTGCAGAGCATCACATCCACAAAGACGACACAACTTGAAACCACCCTTGAGTCACCGGTAAGGAGAAACACAGAAGAGTACCAACACGGGATAGCGTGCCCAAGTCCCCTCACCCTACTCCGGGGAGCGACGCTACATTGTGGCTAGGGACGAGCACATTATGACGCCTCAACTCCGAGTCCATGCCCCCAACGGAACGAACGGCATATCCTGATGCTCCGCCACCTCGATGCGATTGCGCCCACCCTAGCCCTTAACCCAGCGATTGGAGCAATTACGAACTTTTGGCCTGGGTACGTTGTCGTCGGGCTCACTACAATCTGCTCGGGTCCGGCCGTCGTCGAGGTGGTGGTGTTTGGGGATGGAAGTTACTAGGGTGGGTGGTAGGGGGGGTGGCTGTGCTGTCGGCTAGACACGATAAAGCGCCTTGCCGAGGGTAGTCGGCGAAAATGTGACGAGAACGTCGGGTGCTGACGGTGGTTGGTGTTATTTGTCCGGGCTTGTGGTTTAGGGGGGGCTGGTTGGGAGGTGGTGGAGTTGTGATCGAGGGCTTGAGGGTGCGTGTGTGCTTCATAGAGCATGGGGTATGGAATGGAGGCCTCCAGCTGCCCGTGCTGATGACAGAAGGGCCGGGCGAACATCTAGGCACATATAACAAAGCATGATGGAGCTATGAAGCAGACGGCAACCGCTAATGCCCCGTCATTTTACACAAACGGGTATTCTATGAACCTAGCATACCAGCTTCAGTAAGCCACCTCGAATGTGTTGTTGCCAAGTCTGGTGGAAGTTTGATATACGGCAAGAAGTTTAAGCGTAGAAGTTGACCGTCTAGATAGATAGTCAGTATCGTAAAGTCATGATACGTTTGATAGCCAAGGGGTCTACTCACGTCCTTCTTCTTGGCTTGTACTTCGGCAATGGCATCGACGTAGTGCTCATGCCCAATCTTGTTCTTACCCAGGCGCAGAGCGATCATGCCGGCCTCCACACACACAGCCTTGAGCATGGCGCCACCAAACTCATCTGTGCTGCGAGCCAACTCATCCCAGTTGACCGCCTCATCCACCTTCATTTTGCGTGAATGAATCTTGAGAATTTGGGCACGAGCCTCCTCGTTGGGGAGGGGGAACTCGATCTTGCGGTCCAGACGACCGGATCTGAGCAGGGCAGGGTCCAGCACGTCCACTCGGTTTGTCGCAGCAATGACCTTGATCCGGTCATCCGAAGCGAAACCGTCCAACTGGTTGAGCAACTCCAACATGGTCCGCTGCACCTCACGATCACCACTCTTTTCGCTGTCGAACCGCTTGGTACCGACGGCGTCCAGCTCGTCGATGAAGATGATGGCCGGCGCCTTCTCCTTGGCGAGGGCAAAACAATCCCTCACAAGCTTCGCGCCATCTCCGATGAACATCTGCACAAGCTGCGGCCCCGCAAGCTTGAGGAAAGTGGCGTCGGTTTGCGCGGCGCAGGCCCTGGCAAGCAGCGTCTTTCCTGTACCGGGCGGGCCGTACATTAGGGCACCTGAAATGTCAGTTAGCATGGGTCATATACAGTAACATCGCAAATTCGAATCCCGTACCTTTTGGCGCCTTAATGCCAATCTTCTTGAACCGATCCGCCTCCTTCATGGGCCATACGATGGCCTCGAGGAGCTCGTCGATCTGCTTGGTAAGGCCACCGACGTCGGTGTACTTCTCGGTGGGCTTCTCGTCGACCTCCATAGCCTTAACTCTGCTGTCGTACTCGGCTGGGAGAGTGTCCAGGATGAGGTATGAATCCTTATTCACTCCGATGAGGTCACCCGGTGTGAGCTTGTTGGGGTCGACGAGACCGATCAGCGGCAGGAAGATGGTCTGCCGAGTCGACGTCTTGATGACGGCCGACTTGCCCACCCGTGTGGCGTCCAAGTCGATATTGGCACCTTCTTCAGAAGATTCGGCGGTTGGGTCGAGGTCGAGAAGCTCAACGACGTTCCCGACGAGGTATGGCAGTTGGCTAGAGAAGCGTCAGCGGGCGCAGCGGGGCGGTTGGAGGGCGGGGCAGCATACCGGTTGTTGGCGATCTTCTCCATGTTCTCCTTGATCTTCTCGGCCATGGTAGCCTTTTCGTGTGATAACCGCTGGTACTCGCTCTTCATGATCCTAGCATCGTTCTCGAGCAAGCGCCGACGAGTCTTTATGTCCTCTGTGCTTAGGCTCAGGATCTCAGGATCCAGGGCATCCTCCTCCTCCTGCTCAACATCTTCCATCTCGGCGTCGCCATCGCCACCTTGGTTCCCCTTATCGTTATCCTTCTTATCCTTATTCTCCTTCTCGTCACGCTCGCGGCGGTCGAGGTCGTCGAGCTCCTCGAGGGTGGACATGGCGACTGGCGGGGGTTGCGGGTCGGTTTACGGGGGGGGCAGGCTGTGAGTTTTATGGAGGAAACAAAGAGGTATGGGAATATTGTGGACGTCGCCTGTTTTTCTGAGCACCGAGAGTGACAAATGCACGGGTTGGGTGCGAAGATGTGGGATGCAGTTGGGGGTTGGTGGAGGCTTGTGGAAGGACGGAGCTCAATCGGCTGGGCTGAGGGTAACTTCGCTGCAGGCAAACGCGCGACGTAACCAGGCGGCGGGACCCACAAGCCGGGGCAAACCAACCAGCACAGACCCTTGCCGTGCCTGGCCAAGCTGACTAACGGGCATTGAGATCTTGAGCTGTGGATGAAGTCCTCGAAACTTTATTGTGAGTGAGAATTTAGAGTCCAGAGGTGTAGAGGGAATGGATAGCAAGATAATAATTTGGTATAATTGCTGCGACGTCCTCTACATTCAATACACCGCTTGGGTCTGCGCTAGTTTCTGCAAGTAAAAGACAGCCCTGACCCTCAGTATAGACAGCCACACCCCCAAGATCCATTAGCAACATGCCGCCAACTCCTGAATCCCCCCTGCCCCCGAGGATGGAGATATACACATTAGCGCATACATGATATCACAAAACAAGAAACCCCCGCCGCCACGCTGTTCGTCACAAAAAATCAACCTCTCCCCCTCCTCCGTTATTACTCGTCGTCCAAGATCCTACTCGCTATCCGCCCAATAATAGGGACTTCGTATCTGGTGTGATGTTAGTCCCGACTATAACATAGAATTCTCGTGATAAGACCAACCTGTCCAATGTATCCGCATCCCGATACGCATTCAACACCAGCCACGCGATCAGCACCAAATCCCCGAGGAAAATCACCCAACTCAGGAAGGTGGACCACGAGAACAGCAGATGCAGCACGAACAGCGCCGTAAACAGCAGACTTGACTGCCACGCATGAAACCTGCCAACACACCCCACCATTAGCATCCCCTCCCCAAGAGCCAGCACATAAAACAAAGCAAGCAACCGACGGGCAACATACCTGACGTAATCACTCTTGCGCTCCAGAATCAACAACAAGATCGCCCCGAGCGGCGGCGCCACCAAGTAGGCCAAACACGCCTCATAGTCCAGCCGCAGGCCCAAGCTGGTATCAAACTCGCTCACCATGCCATCCCTCGCGCCCAGCGACGAAAAGTAGTCCCCCATCCCACCACCACGGCCTCCCCACGGACTCCCACCACCACTCCCCGCACCCCCATTATGCCCATCCCCCAGATCCGCCGCGGACGTCGCGTTCCCCGGCGCGGCGAGCGGGCTCTGGTAGCGGCCCACGCCCTCGCCCGACCACGCGCGCTGCGGCTGCGGGTGCTGCAGGGGCGGCGGCGAGATGGTCGCCTGCCGGTGCTGGTAGTGGTAGCCCGTGGCGGGGGAGTAGGCGCCGCGCCGGCCCGGGTTGTTGTTGTTGTTGTTGTTGTTCTCCAGAGAAGTGCGTGGCGAGGCGGTCGTGCTGTGCGTGGGGGAGCGGCCGTGCTCCGGTGGCGAGGACTGGTAGGGCGCGAAGTCCATTGTCGCTTCTTCTTCTTCTTCGTCGTCTGTTCTTTTTTTGGGAGGGGGGGGGGGGGGGAGGGATAGGAGGGGCCCCCTGCCGGCCGCGGGTTATTGGGGTCTGGGCCGGGTTCGGTCTGTGCGGGTGCCGTTCCGGTGTGGATGCTACCCGGCCGATAGGGGGGCCGGAGTTCGGCGCTTTTCGGTCGGTGTCCTGTTGAAGGAGGCCCACGGGGGGTTTGGCTCGCGGTTGGTTCGGAGGGGGAGCTTTGGAAGCTTGCGAGGGCTTGTGGGTCGCCGAAGCTCGAGCTTATCGGTTGCGATAACGGCGAATTCGGTGGGTTTGGTTGCCGCAGGTGATGTCGCGCTGTCTTGCGAGTGGTCAATTGCTATGCAGAGCGGTACCTCCACCGGTTGTCGGACGGCTGACGTCGTGGGCTTTCTCGAGGATCTGTTTCGTTGGTGATGATGATGGTGGGTGGTGGCTGCGCCGCGGCTGGCTGCGAGGAGCATGACGAGATCCCGTTTTGCCGCTTACCGGGGTATTTGCAGGGACTCGCTTACGGGGCAACTCCTCGCCGAGGATTGTTCTCCGCTTACGACGCCGGCTTGGGTGGTTTCACAAGGTTTTGATCACAATGGGATGAGCATGTGGGTAAGCCGCGGGAGGTATTTGATACAGTAAATTTACAAGTTTAGATCTCACATCTACTGCAATGCGGCGTTCGCCAAACCCCACGCTATATGCGGCGTGTCGTGGTACAATTCTAACCAATTCAGCGTCCCCTGGCTCACGCTGTCTCCTCCTTCTTCTCCCCTTCCTTCCCCCCATTCTGCTCTTCCTCCAGAACACTCCGGCGGCTCTCCATGGTAAGCCAGAGGCTCTTGCTCGCACCCTCCAACGTGGTGGTGAGGCCAAGACCGGCGCTCTGGAGCATGTAGACAAGCTGCGCGCGCAGTCCGTCCAGCCCGCCGTCGATCCCGCCAACCCACTTGACTCCGTCCAGATCGAAGACCTTATCCTCAATCCGCCCACCAACTAACATGAGTTTCTGGAGCCCACCCTGGGCGATGGCGTCGTGGTACCCGGGGTTCTTCTTCTTGCTCGGCGCGGGGAACGCAGGAGGGCTCGGGGAGAGGATGCTCAAGGCGGCGGCCAGATGCGCTGGCGACACGGCTGGCAGAGTAAAAAGTGCTAGCGGCCCGATAAGCAGCGGCGAAATCTGGCCATAGGAGGATGACTCGGGTAATGGCTCGTCCCCCTTCGTGGCGTTCTTGGAAGCGTCGTAGGCCGCCTTCGACAAGTCGTGGTTATACACCACCTGTACTTTCTTTCCGGTAAGAGCGGACACTGTTGTAGGAGCAACCTTGGACGGGTCGTGGAACTCGACGATCTTGAGGGCGACGTCGAAGATGCGCGTCCGGATCACTTGCAATTGAGCTCTCGACGCGATGTCCGCGGAGTCTGACCCTTCGGTGGAGACGTTGTCGAGGGCGATCCTCAACTCCCGCCTCACGGCGGCCCATTCTACCGCCGTGAGGTTGTTGTGTTGGAAGATCAAGATGAGGGGTGTCGAGCGGAGTAGAGAGGTGTAGGTACGGAGGAGCTGGGACTTTCGTGTGTCGGACGGGCGTGCGGTCGGGGGTTTGGTAGGAGGGACGTAGTCATCTGGTAATCTGAAGCCGCCGGAAACAGTCGCTGCGGCAGCTGTGGCATACTGCCTCGTGGTCGTGGATGGTGCAGATGCTGAGGGGAGGCGGAGGACGGCGGATCGGTTCGATATCCTCGACGGGTTAACGGCCGAACCCAGGCCACGAGGGATCGCGCATCGTATTCTCGGAGGCATTTTGTGAATTGGACACACGGTGGGGTGTACCAACCTGATCCCAACAATAACTGATCCGCCGAATGCACTTCGATGCTCGCCAACTTCGAGATTCGAAATTTTGGCGTCGCCAATTGCAGCGCGTGCAGGGGGGCCATGACCAAGCGGGAGCCAAATTCTTACACAAGCTTCACCGCCCTCGTTCTGCCGGATTACGTGCATGGATGTTGTATGGGTATGGGACTGAAACCCAACGGCGGATCCCTGTGACCCCCCACCAGACCTCCGGTCATCGCGGGGTGCTTTTTGGGAGCTGGAGCTGCAGGTTCAAAGAGCTTCTTGTCCTCGCGTTCAAAATGAGTCAACTCCCACCCTACCCTCCCGCTCGCTATTTCTGGCGGTTGTTACGGTACAATTTGGATTCCGAGATCACATAAGGTGCTCGGATTATCCATCATTGAATGAATCCTTAAAACCACAGCCAGCAAACCACTGTTCGCCCTATCTAACAACAACCCGAACAGCCCAACCATGGCGCCGTCAACTGAAGACCAACCCCTCGTCAACCTCAAGCCATTGTTGGCAAGGTTATGGCCGCTGGGCCATCCGGACCCGGTTTCGCCAACGGAGATCGCCGAAGCTATCTCTCATTTCTTCACAAACCAAGTCTCCGAAGTTCAAGCTGGGTCCTTGTTGATGTGCCTGCACTTCACTGGCTTGGATCGCCAGGCTGAGGTGTTGGCCAAGACAGCAGAGTGCATGCTCAAGTCTGCCGCGAAGATTGATCAGCCCGCACTTCGGGCGGCCATCGACGCAAAGCGTAGGAAGGAGGGACAGTATGAGGGCGGCCTGGTAAGCTCTGCTCGCCATCTTTCCCACCGTCCCCCCTTAGTTAACCCTCTGTCAGGTCGACATCGTCGGCACAGGAGGCGACTCCCACAACACCTTCAATATCAGCACGACCGCATCCATCATCGCCTCCAGCCTTCTCCTCGTCGCCAAGCACGGCAACAAGGCCTCCACCTCCAAATCCGGCTCGGCCGACCTCCTCAACTGCATGCAGCCGCAGGCGCCCCGAATAGACCGCATCCGCCCGGACACCATCACCGCGCTGTACAGCAACACCAACTACGGCTTCCTGTTCGCGCCCGTCTTCCACCCGGGGATGCGGCACGTGGCGCCCATCCGCAAGCAGCTGCCGTGGCGCACCATCTTCAACCTAGTCGGCCCCCTCGCCAACCCGACCGACCTGCGCGCCAACAACAACAACAACAACAACAACGACGCCCAAGGATCCCCGCAGACCTCCGGTGGCAGCGGCGGCGGCGACCCGCTCCTCGAGGCGCGCGTGATCGGCGTGGCGCGCAAGGACATCGGGGCCGTGTTCGCGCACGCGCTGCGGCTGGGCGGCGCGCGCAAGGCCATGGTGGTGTGCGGCGACGAGGAGCTGGACGAGATCAGCTGCGCGGGCGACACGCTGTGCTGGCGGCTCCGCCCCGCGGACGAGGACGAGGGCGGGGAGACGGCCGTGGCCACGGAGCACTTCCGGCTGCACCCGCGCGACTTCGGCCTGCCCGCGCACCCGCTCTCGGCCGTGTCGCCGGGCAAGGAGCCGCACGAGAACGCGGGGATCCTGCGGCGGATCCTGGACGGCCAGGTACCCGACGACGATCCCATCCTGGACTTTGTGCTGATCAATGCCGCCGCGCTGTTTGTGGTGTCGGGCATCTGCGAGGCCGACACGAGTGACCTGGGCCACGGGGACGACGGCAAGGTGATCAAGGAGCGGGGCCCGGGAGGCGGGCGATGGAAGGAGGGCGTGCGCCGCGCGAGGTGGGCCGTCAAGAGCGGCGAGGCCGCGAGGCAGTGGGCTAAGTTTGTTGAGGTCACGAACAGCTTCAGTGCTTAAGTAGTTGCATCCGTGCGATGGATGAATGGGTTTGGGTAGAGATGGTTTATCTTTCGCTTGGTTCGCGCTGGGAATAGGGGGAAATCACTTGCGGAAGAATCGTGAAGACATTAGAAGTTCCTCAAAACAGTACTGATCTTCCTATCCGAAGAGGGGACGTTTTACTCTACAAAAATGGGAGTAGCGAGCTCGGAGTGTTCTCACCTAAACATCGAAGTAGAGATGACCCATTGCCAAACGCCTCCAAAAGACAGCCTCCCATCCTTCATTCACACCACCACCCCCTATTCCCGCGCCTTCTTTTCCTGTCGACGTCTCCGTTGCTCCCGCCGCTTATTGCGCTTGTGAATTAGCTTTTCATTCGCCTTTTCACTCGCATTTCCACTCGGCGTTCCACTCGACTTTTCGCTGGGCGTTTTAATCGGCTGAACGTGTGAGTCTTGATTCTATCTCGACAGCACACCCCTGACGACACCCTTGACGAGCGGCTTCCCCTCAACCAGCACCTCGCCGATGCCCGTGTCCTCCCCGCTGCCCTTCTCCAGCCACCTCAGGAGGAGATCGTTGCTCTCCTTGGGCTTGACGCCGTTGTCGCGGGTGCCGACGGTGACGTGGGCGACGCGGTTGACGCACTCCCACTTGGGCTTGGCCGGCAGAGCTGGGTTGCCGGCGTTGACGTTCTCGTCCTCCGGGTTGGTGGGGACCAAGCGCACGACGATGGCCATGATGCGGTCGTCGAACACGACGCGCTCCAGCTCCACGCCCAGGTCGCCCAGCCGTCCGTCGGGGTGAATTGCCCCGTCCGTGTCCTGCAGGAATGTGTAACGCTGCCAGAGCTCCGGGTATTCCTTGGCGCTGGCCCTGTGCATCAGCGTGACGTGGAACTTGGCCTGCACCCGACGGGTGCCCTGGAGCTGTTTGAAGAAGCGGGTTTTGGCGGCCGGCAAGCTGGATGGGAAGCTTTTCTCGAGGGCGGCGAGGACGTCCTTTGTAGGCAAGTCGACAGACATGTACTCGAGCGGTTTCTTCTTCTCAGGCTTCTCGGCGGCTTGCCGTTGCTGCTTGTTTCCCTTCTTGAAGTCGCTCCGGGAGCGGTCGGGGATGTTGTGGCGCAGGTCGGGCTTGTAGCCGTCGAGTGCGCCCTGGATGGCCAAGTCCATGTCTTCGGCCGAGGGGATCTCCTTGACAAAGCTTGGAAACTGGCGGTGCAGCTCCTTGATGACGATCTCGAGATTCTCTCTCGATCCGGCAGTGGGATCCAGGTCGATGACGGCATCAAACCCGGAGTCCGGCTCCCTCTCGGCAGTGCAGGGCTCGAACCGCTGTATAAAGCCCTCCATAATACCGACGACCTTGTCCATATCCGTTGCGGCCTGGATGGTTTGATGGTTGTCGCCACGTGCGAAGACTCGTTCCTGGGTGACCTGGCGGATAGTGTTGATATCGTCGTGGACAAAATTGAGAGCTACCAATTTCGCAGTCGTGTGCTGCATCTTGACGTCCGTGAGAAGCTGCTTGCGCTCGTGTTTCATGGCATTGTTCCGGTCAGCAAACACAGCGTGGTGGTCATCAAGCTGATCTAGAAGTGCCTTCACGAATCGCGGGGGTCGCTTGGGGCCCGTAATGTTGTCGTTTTGGATATGACCCCAGCCAAATAAGCTGGTAAGCGCAACGCCGATAGTCGTCTTGCCGCAGCCGAGGGTCGCGATCGGAACGAGGATAACATCGCGAGTGACGGGTGGGGCTTCACCGAGGTCTTCGAGGTTGGCGGCATCAGTGCCTCTCAGGTTCTTGTGAGCCAAGAAGTCGTTTCGTAGCTTGATGATTCCATGGTTCTGAAGGTAGGCCTTCCCCAGGAACCGGTCGGCTGCGAGGCGTTGCCGGGCGTATAACAGGTACTCTTCAGTGATCTTGACGTGCTTCCTCAACTTGAACTGTTTCCCCGAGATAAGCGCCTTGGTCGCCTCACGCCATTGCCGGAACATCAGGTAGGGCTCCTCGAACTTGTACTTGAAGAACCAGTCTTGGTAAGGTGCAAAACCCGGGTTGCTGGTCATCTTGCACCGGATGACAAAACCTTCAACGTCACGGCCATCGTGAGCGCCCGTCTCGGCGACCTCTTCGAGGAAGGCCTTGACCTCATCGATGTCATTGATCATAATCAAGCCGGTCTTGATGAAACCCCACTCTTCGGCGAACTTCTGAACAATTGGAGAGGGGTAGGTCATAAACTCGGGGATGTTGATGTTGATGCCGTGTAGGTATAGGCCGGACCTATCTGGCCCGTAAGCCAAGATGTGCTCCTCGAAGCTGTCGTCGCACAGCTCGGCGACGGCGGTGGCATTTCGCTTCCTCAGCTCCCGGGCCAGATCTTGTTTGGTCTTGCCAATACTCCCCAACTGGCGCTCAATGTGTCGCTCGCCCACCTTGGCGTGGCTGGCAACGACATCGGACCGGTCTCCGGTCGAGTGCTTGCTGCAGATGAGCAGTGTGTCATCTTCCAGGCCGCTGATGAAGATGATGCAGCCGTTCTCCTTCAGACTGATCTCGTAGGGGCCCTTGGTCCGCTCCCTAATGTGCTCCCACGAGGTCTCGCGGACCTCGTTGACGTTGAAGAACTTGTCGTAGCCACGGATGGCGATCTCAGGGACATTGTGTTGGGTCCTGGTGGTGAACAAGCCGCGGGCGTAAGTGGGCAAGTCCCGGCGCTTATAGTCGGGCTCCTGGAAGCGCCACGAATCGACAGTAATTCCATTCGGAGACGAATCGACCGCATATTTTGTCTTCCTCGGGCCGCGGCTCTTGCCCTTCTTCGCGCCTTCTTCAAGGCCGCGCAGCATGGTAGCAACGTGCTGACCATCCTGACTAACATAGGGGACTTCTAACCCGGCGGCATCCTTGGCATAATCTGTCGAGACCGCATACCTCGACGCAAGCGTCGTTTCCTGAGTCTCAACGGAGTCTTCCATATTGCCCGTTTGCAGCAGTTTTGTGGTGGTGGAGATTGGGCGGTTGTGTGTAGCGGCGATCGGGTGAGGGGTGAAGCTTGCTCTGGTGTGGATACGGCAACTACGAACTTCGAATTGCGAAGCAAAGCGGAAAAGGGTGGATGAAGTGTGGTGGGATGGCTAATAAACCAAACCCTGAATGAAAGAGAAAGTCGACCTTTGTGTTGGTTGGGGCCGAGAATAAAATCTGAAGGCAGTTTTGAAGACTGGAGCTCCAGCTTCTTTTAACGTGCACTGGTACATCCAGGTCGTTACCTGAGCTGACTCCCGAATGGAGGCAGCCGCACCCAGGAACAGGGCCCAAGCCACCAACCTGACCTTCTTGGTGAGTCAAACGGCCACCCTGATTCCATCCCAAACTCCCAAGATTGAATGTGGAGGGCTCAGCCAAACAGCGCCTCAATCGAAAGGAATGTGAAACGAAGCGCCTATTCACAACTCGGTACATACGGCCTCCACTGTGTACTTTTAATTCTCGCCGAGGAGTCATAAGCGCCTTGCTCCCGACTTGGATGTATGTACCACAGAGTCCAGGGTACATAGCCCCCAAATTGGCAGGAACTCACAGGGCCAAAACCGGGCCCTGCACTGTGTACGACGCTGGTCCATTGTTGGTTTTGTCACCTTGATGAAACGCCCTGTTCACTAAAAGTAGCAAACAACTTGCCCACAGGTCATCAGTATCGAAAATATGTACCTAAGAACGAGATCGGGATGATCGAGAAGATGGAGGTTGAACAGCTTAGAATTAGAAGGTCCGGTCCTGTCGAGGATAGGTGGCCCAAGCTCCCAGAGGCACCTTCACATGGATCCCTGGCCGCCTGGGGAGCCTGTCGATTCTCGGGTACCCCGCCGTATCATGGAACCCCACCAAAATTTTGTGCCTTCAGGCCAGGCCAAACCGACGGAAGAATCAGAAGCATTCTGTGGTGGTTACCTGCTAGCCTGGCCTCTATTTCACTCGTACAAACGCTAACATTCTTGACGTCCCCAACATGGCGCCTAACCCGTACCTCCTCGCGGCCGACAACCCGGCCGCGCTCCTCGAGCTCCTCCGCGAAAACCCCACCTTGGCGTCCGGTCAAGACGAGCACGGCTACTCCCTCGTGCACGCCGCCGCCAGCTACAACCATCTCGCCCTCCTCCGAACCCTAGCCCGCGAATTCAACGTTCCGGTCGACATCAAAGACGAGGACGGCGAGACAGCACTGTTCGTGGTCGAATCCGTCGACGCCGCGCGCGTGCTCGTGGAAGAGTTGGGTCTGGACCCCAAGACACAGAATGATGAGGGACAAACGGCAGCGGAAAAGATTGAGGGTGAGGCCGACTGGCCTGCAGTAGCCGAGTACCTCCGGGGCCTAGACGGGAGCTCGTCGGTCACCAACGGGGTGCCCAATGGCACAACATCGGCCGGGGTGGAACTGCCTCCCGTTCCAGAAGGGCTGCAAGTAACGATGGGCACGATGGATGAGGCGGCGGCGGCTGGGGGGCAGCAGCCAGACCCCGAATTTCGCAGAAGGATAGAGGAGCTTTCTGCAAGGGAGGATTTCCAGACACCCGAGGGGCAGGCCGAGTTGCGAAGGTTGGTCGAGGAGGCTATCGGTGGCGGGGAAGGTTTGGGCGAGGAAAGGAGCGTTCGGCCGAGGCAAGATTGAGGCCAGCAAACGTTCTAGCTTCGTTCTCATTCATGGCCTTTGACCTCCCACATGAGGTATTCCCCTGATGAATTCGGCGGGCGGAGAATGGTGCACTCGGCGTTGTCCCCGGTCAAGCCCTTGGAGAAGGTGGTCGTGCTGAACGAGAACCACGCCTTGTGTGGCAGAGCGGTGACGATATTGATCAAGGTCTGCCGAGACCACGATGGTGCGAGAAAGCCTTCCCAGCTTATCTTGCAGAGTTTGCCCTCGTGCCCGCCATCGGGAACCCGGTACAGGGAGAGATAGGGGTCGATTTGATCGCCGACCTGGATTCGAGGGCTTTGAAGCCGGACCAGAGAGATCCACTCGTACAAGCTGGTTGCGAAATCCTCAAAATCCTCTCTGCCGATAGAAGAAAGGAAACCGATGTCCGGGGTGAGATTTGGCATCACAGCATCGATGCTCTCCGACCTACCAGGGTTGGCGGTGCACTCAGTAAAGGCGTGTCGCGAGAGAGGGTCGGGATCGGGAGCTACAACTTGAGTTAGTTAGGAACGGCAGTATTGAACGGAAGTCCTTACTTGTGGAGGTGTTGCAGAATAGCCATGTGATGGGCTGAGCGAGGGCGTTTTTACTCGCATATATCAACCGGTCAAACCCCTTCTTCCCTGGAAACATGGATGGCGCGGTGAGGTCAAACTCGACAACTAAACAGGTCAGCAACTCAACCCCAAGCGATCTGTCCCTCGAAGAACTTACTCCATCGCGGCTTCGTCCCCCGCTTCCCTTTGACACCATGCGGCTTCCCCACCAACCCTGCTCGCTCATAAGTTTCCCTATCCAAGTACATGGTGAGAGTGCCTCTTCTCAAGGTAAAAACGTTATCAATTCCTATCCTCCCCTCAGAGAGCATCAGGATATTTCCTGTTACGGGTCAACATTGTTTCTCAGGCTTCTAGAACTGCGACCCAATCCTTACCCTTCTTGATGTACTCGGTAAAGAACTCGCCTGAGAGCATGTCATGTAGTGACAAGACCACCCTTTTGAACGGAGTTGCCGGCATCTTTTTAAGCACTTTGTCTTGGACCAGTTCAAGCAACTCTTGAGGGATGATTAAGTCGGCCTATGCTAGAGTTAGTACGCTTATTACACGCCTGTGGTTTTCACCACCACCAGAAATCGAAGAGCATCAAGTGTCAACCCAAAACGAAGATGCACGCACCCTATGCACAAAATCTTGGCTTGTAAATGTTGTCCAAGGCTTCGATTTTGAGGGAGGCTGTTCTGGGTCCAAATGCCCCATTACTCCGTGGGTCACATAACACTTAGCAGCCTGGTAGACTGCGGGTTGGTTGAACGACAGCATGTTGTTCCAATTCTGGACTTGGTCGACTCCTTGCGTATCTCGGTTGGCTACTTGGAGTTTGCTGTGTCGAATGTTTGGTGGACCATTCATTGGAACTGCAGGGCAAAATCTCAAGCAGCTTTAGATAAACGCCGGGTGTGTATTAATTGCTTGTCTAACACTGATTGGCTAAAAAAGAGAGGAGCCCTTGAATACTTCTCTATTTCCACCCCGCTGTGAATCCCGGACCAGGCACAAACCTCTCCGTTTCAAACACTTCCGTCGTGACTCGAAAGGACAAACGCACTCCCAAAACTCGCAAAGTCGAAGTCGATATTGGTTGAGCAAATGAATTTTACTGAGGAAAAATATCTTAATCTCACAATATTTGAACCAAGTACAGGTTATAGACGGCACCTTGAGAGGTGAAAACGGACAAAATGAGGGACTATCTCATTCGCTTCTCTCAGTCTCACGAGACTTTTCGTCTGCCTGAAATTCAGGCATTGGCACTGATCGAGGGTATTGACATGAAAGTTATCTCGTACAGCCTCGATGTAAGCCAACACCACCAAGAAACCATCAACAACTTTCGCATCTCGTAACCCCTCCATTACCCCGCCCCCTGAATACCGTCAACAACAACAGCCCTCCAGTTTACTGACCCCCCTGCATTACAGTCCCCATTCTGCATAGTCAACCTCCCCTCAGAAGCGGCCGCGCGCCGCCTGATCCAGCGCTCCATCCTAGCCATGTCGATCCACGAGCTCTGGGGCTCCGGGGCCGACCTCTCAGCGGTGCACGCGGCGGTGCACGAGTCCACAACACACCTCTGGCCCCAGTACCTCAGCTGCTCCTTCAAGTTCACGATCGACTCGTACCAGGGGTCGCGGGCGGCCGACGACAAGGTGCGGATCATCAACTCGTTCGCCTACCTGGGCTTCGCGGGCCCCATCGTGATGCGGCGCCCGGACGAGGAGTTCATCCTGTTCGAGGACTGGGAGTTCAACTCGACGCCGCTGGGCATCCCGGACCCCAAGCACTACTACTTCGGCCGCTACCTGGCCACGGGCGCCCGCGACCTGCCCAAGAAGCTGGACCTCAAGAAGCGCCGCTACATCAGCACCACCTCCATGGACGCCGAGCTGGCGCTGGTGACGGCCAACATCGCCCTGGCCGCGCCGGGGAAGATCATGTACGACCCTTTCGTGGGCACGGGGAGTTTCCCGATTGCGTGCGCGCAGTTCGGGGCTGTGGCGTTTGGGAGTGATATCGATGGCCGGAGTATCAGGGGGGATGAGAAGAAGCGGACGCTGAGGGGGAACTTCCAGCAGTATGGTCTTCTGGCTGGGTTGGGGGGCATGTTCACCGCGGACCTGACTAACTCGCCGATTCGGAGGGCTGGGCTGAGGTATGACGGGGATGGTGTTAAGGGGAGGTTGTTTGATGGGATCGTGTGCGACCCGCCGTATGGCGTGAGGGAGGGGTTGAGAGTGCTGGGGGTGCGTGATCCGGAGAAGTCACCTTGGGTGATACCCAAGGGGAAGGAGATGTACAAGTGAGTTATCACAACCTGGGCGGAGTGGAAACGGAACGACTAACCTGATACTTTGCTTTGCAGGGACCCCGATTTCATTCCGCCAAGGAAGCCTTACGGCTTTCTTGCCATGTTGGACGACATCCTGCACTTCTCAGCCCAAACACTTGTCGACAACGGGCGGTTATCATTCTGGATGCCTACTGCAAACGATGAGCAACAAGAGGTTCCAGTCCCAACACACCCTTACCTCGAAGTCGTGGCGGTCTGCACACAAGTATTTAACAAGTGTATGTTCCCCGCCTGTCGGTTTCCTAGGCTCCCCTGACCACGATGTGCACAGGGTCCCGGCGTCTCATAACCTATCGCCGAATTCCCGATGCAGAGGTCGACCAGGAAGCGATGAAAGCACGAGAGGAGATGAAGCCGGTTGGAAAGACAGTGGACGAACTGAATCCGTTCCGCAAGGCGTACTTCAACGGGTTTGAACCGGTTGGTGGAACAGCCGACGATGATGCGCCTTAGATACCCATACCCAAGCATGTACAATGAAAATTTCTCTGCCGGCCTTGAAGCGGCCGGCGCACGCCCTTTCGCCTCCGGGCGATGCTCCTTAGTTGGTTGCGTTATCCCATCCCAGTAACGATCCCTTTCCCAGTACCGTCCGTGTTTGTACTCATAGCTGTTAAGCAACAGTTAATATGCAACGCTATATCCACCCAAACCCAAAACAACGGGGACCCCTTTATCCCCCGAGTGCGTGTATGCCCAGCAATCCAAGACCCTCCGCCGTAGCCGACCGTTGTGTCTACCGAAACTCCACGGCGCCAAAACACCCCCTATTTTCCACATATTTGAGCTCTAGCTGTTGAAAGCTGCGATGGGGTTAACTCGGGTCTAACTTCAGGAAAGGGGCAAAAGACTCACTTCTCGCTTTTACGGTGAAAGTAGATACCACTTATCTCCCCCTTCGCTTGGTTGAAGCAGACGTAGTAGAACCCCTCAAAACTTGCGTTCCTGATGGTCCGGATCCGGTGGTCGGGTACGAGAAAGTGCTCCTTCCACCTCATGAATATGTTCTCCTTCTGGTCCACGTCCTTGATCGCCGTCTGCGTGCCCTTGCGCATCTGCTTTTGGTACGGCCGAAACGCGGTGAACTTGCTCCAGTGCGAAAAGTCGATTTTCTCGCTGGCGCCCCACTCCTGATGTTGGGTGACAAAGCCGTATTTGCTGCCGATGATCTCCCCCTCGAAGTAGGTCGTCAGGGTCGGGTGGTCGTCGGCCAGGCCTGGCAGGGGACGGTCGGTCAGCGCCGGGGACTCGAGACACTGGGATGGGGTAGAAACATACCTTGGATCGTCAGGTGCCCGCACATGAACGACTCGCGCATGTCCACGTGCTTGATCTCGACCTCGACCTCATACCGCTGCCGCTTGGACTGTTGTGTCCCGACAAACCGGCTACCGGGCTGGAGATATAACGACGGGGCTGGTGTGATGATTCTCATGTGCGAGTACTCCAGGCCCATGCCCATGAGGCCGCTGTCCTCCACCCAACGCGGCCCCTTGTCGAGAGGGCCCCACACATCGGCTTCCTCCTGTGTTTCCCCGGGGATTGGCGATAGTTGCTCCGCTCTTGATTTCGTGTCGCCCGGGGGTTCGCAAACCGTTGTTCTCGTTCCCTCTCGGCTCCCACTCGCCATGCTGCCGTTCCCACCGACGGCGCCCCCGCTCGGTAGCTCGTCGGCCGCGGGGCTCATCTCCTCGTCCACATCAGTTGGTTTCTGCCTCTCTTCTGCTATCGCGCCGTCTCGCGCCACAGCCGTCCTCTGTGGTACGTGGCCTATATGCACGTCGCGGCCGTCGCCGTCAGGCTGCGGTCCCGGCGACATCGTAACCGATCGCGAGTCACCGCTTGCAGCTGTATCTGGACGCGCCCCGTCGTCGGTGGGATACGCAGAGGGGGAATGGGGACGCCAGCTCGACGGTGATTGCGGGTTTGGGGAAGTCGGGCTGCTCTCGGAGGCGGGCTGTAAAGGATGATGTTGCTCCTCTTCAGGGTCGGGACATGACGAGAATGAATAGAAGCGCGGTGACGGCGGATCGGGCCTGTTAGAAGAGGGCGTGGGCATGGCAGGCGGTATGAGTGACGGGGCGGTTTGATGCTCGATCGCCAAGCAGACGTGGGTCGAGTCAACCGTGATGAACAATTGGAGGCGTCAGAGCGACGAAGGCGGCTGAGGCGAGGAATTGGAAGCGGAGGCGATCTGTGCCGCAAATCCAATAAAAATATACCGGAACTGGCACGTCTTACGCGATGGGCACAATCGAAAGGGAAGGGGGGTAACTACCCTCAAGGGCTGAAGCTCAAGATGTTCTTCCTCGGGTGGCAGTCGGCGATGGTCTCGTGGGCGATTCCGTCTCGGTGGAGCTCAGCCAAGCGCCATGGGGCGGCTCGCGGGGAAGAATGCGGGCGGTGTGTCTCCGAGGGCCGGCGCGCAGTCAGTGCCGATTTGGAAATGAAGCGTAAACGATCCCGGAAATCAGCGCCAACAAATTCGAGTGCAAGGAGCTGTTGGTTAGTTGTCTGCAAGTGGAGAAGAAGAAGGTCAAGAATTGAAGTTCAGTAACAAATGATGTCGCCATTGGATAATCGCCCCATAAAGCTCACTAACTCGTTAAAGCCACCATGCGCTGTTCTCGGGACGGTCCTGAGCCCAAGCTGCCCAGTGTCAGTCTTGGCATTTATCGTTCCAGGCGGCTTCGACGATCTCAAGCAGCTTCTTGGCTCTGCGGTTCGAGAAAACCCCACATATGAAGTTACCCATCAACTCGAGTGTTACACGACTTTCATGGTCTCAGATTCCATCGCTGCGGCAGTCGCTGTTTTAGTCAAAATTCGACAACAGCAATGTGTTCCCATGATGTGCTATTGTAAATCGATTCTTGGAAAATGCATGCCGAGCACCTCAAGCCACACTCACATGCAGGTGGCACAGATGTCAACGAGTGATTGGCTTCAAGAGACTGTCTTCACTGTCGGCCGTTGAGCCAACTGCGGGATTGAGAAAGAAGCGTGGCCTGCGAACAGCCCGCCCGTTTCTGCCGATTCCCGAAACTTGGGGTCCATCCATGGTGCGGTCTCCGCGGGAGTCCGGCCACTGTTTGCTTCCACGCCGATGGCCCCGTCCTTCGGCTGCCGCCACCGCATGCGCACCACAACAGCAGTGTCATAAAAATACTCAGCCAGGGTAGGCTTGCATCCATCCCTTCCCATAACTATTGGTTGAGTAGGTTGGTCGTCTTAGGGCAGTTTTGTTAGAACTGGATGAAGTCGATCATGATTTTCTCGTGCCAATGCCGTCGCATTGTCGGTTGAGAGACGGTTATAAACTCAGATCGGCTTAATCTTGAAGTGAAGCGCGATGAGGCTGAAAACTAGTGCCTTGAGATCCTGCACAAGGTAGTAGAAGACACGGAGACCCTCCGGATCCGCAGACTCCGTCACGTCGTTGATCGAGCCGATCTTAGCCGTCTACTCAGAGTTAGCGATTGACCAGACGAAAGGAGGGAGTATATGGGCCCCTGAACCGACCTCGAACGAGATATGGTCATTTCCAACCCGGATTTCCAGCTCCTGCCTCCCGTCCTTATTCTTAGTCGGCCATTTTGCGTCATCCTCCCTGCAGGCCATGATTAGCCATGTGCCCCCAAATCTATCCGAGTCTGCCAGCCATACTTCAATATCTCGCTTTCTTTCACGATCCTCTTGATCTCGTCGACAACCAAAGAGCTCACAAACACTGCGATAAAGCTCAAGCGTCAGTCGGTTTCTGGCTCGGCGTTGTGGGGTGAATCTGCTTGTCGTACTCTCTTTCCGGATCAAGCTATCATTCCGGTAGTTCGAGTTGTTGGCATAGCGAGCAGTGGCACTACGGCCATCCCCGACGACTCTAAAGTCGAACTCTAGACAACACAATGCGATCAGCTGAGTTCGAGGATTTGCGTGCCGGGGCGCGTCGGAGCATACCGAGGAACTCGTGGCCGAAGCGGCCTTGATGGCCCGAGCTGGTAAAGAAATAAATTAGCCTTCTATATCGGGAGCATGGAGCAAAGATGCCGCATACTAGTAGCGAATGTAAAATGGTTCGTTCAAGTTTGACATGGCGGCGATAGATGTGGATTGCGACACAATGTGTAAATGGGAACCCTCGCGGCTGCCGCGTCGATTTGAGACCAAGCAAGCTCGAGACCACTCCCGCCATGCAGCGGGGCAGCAACCCCACCAGACCCTTGCAATCTTGGCATTTACACGTGACTTTGCCGCTCCTTTACAGCTGGCAATCCAAGGCTGCCAGCAGGCCAGTAATGCCACATCTCCCATGCACGCCTGCTTGTTCCTTCGATATTGACGACCCTGAGCGACCGTATCGGGGTGGACTCCTTTTGGCTCTCACCACGAACACAGCAGGTGATGCTTCGCTCTCCCACGCTGCCAGCGGCTCACGAACCACTCCCTCCCGATCTGCCGACTGCGCATTCCAGGTTCCCACAGCCGCTCGCCTGAGGAGAACCTTACTGCGAATCTTGGAGAGCTCAGGAGTAGCCCCATCGACCCATCCACCCCTCAGCCAATTCCCGTTTCGAGATCGATCATCGCCGCTGCACGCACAAACCCGCACCCCGACCCGAATACACTCTTCACCACAACCACCACCACCACCACCACCACCGGCTTGTCGCCATTCGCCGCCCACCATGTCGTTCCTCGACAATGCGTACAGCTTGGTTAAGGACAGTGCCACCGAGGGCACACCGACCCTGGCCGAGCTGCGGACACAGCTCGAGAAGGGCACCGATGACACCAAGGTCGACACCATGAAGCGCATCCTGACAATCATGCTCAATGGGGACCCCATGCCTCAATTGCTCATGCACATTATTCGATTCGTCATGCCTTCCAAATCGAAACCCCTAAAGAAGCTCCTTTACTTCTACTACGAGATCTGCCCCAAGCTCGATGCCCAAGGGAAGCTGAAGCAGGAGTATATTTTAGTATGGTAGGGGCGCCTCTCTTAACGTCAAAGACGTCGCCTTCCGCTGACTGGGCCCCGCAGTAACGGCATCCGGAACGATTTGCAGCACCCGAACGAGTTCATCCGAGGCAACACGTTGCGCTTCCTCTGCAAGCTCAGGGAGCCCGAGCTCCTTGAGCCTCTGCTCTCTTCGGCGCGGTCGTGCCTCGAGCACCGTCATGCCTATGTACGGAAAAATGCTGTGTTCGCCGTAGCTTCCATCCACCAGCACTCGCCATCGTTGCTCCCCGACGCGCCTGAGCTCATTGCGACGTTCCTCGAAGGGGAGAGCGACCCCACCTGCAAGCGGAATGGTTTCGCTGCGCTGTCCAGCATCAGCCACGACAAGGCGCTGGCATACCTCAGCACGGTCTTCGATGGAATCCCGAACGCGGAGGAGCTCCTGCAGCTGGTCGAGCTCGAGTTCATCAGGAAAGATGCCGTCCAAAACTCGCAAAACAAGGCGCGGTACCTGCGTCTCATTTTTGACCTTCTCGAGGCAAACACATCCACGGTCGTCTACGAGGCGGCTTCCTCCCTCACGGCACTCACCAGTAATCCTGTGGCCGTCAAAGCCGCCGCGAGCAAGTTCATCGAGCTTGCGATCAAAGAGGCCGACAATAACGTCAAGCTCATTGTGCTCGACCGGGTCGATCAGCTCCGCCAAAAGAACGAAGGCATCTTGGATGACCTCATCATGGAGATTCTGCGCGTCCTCTCGAGCCCCGACATTGACGTGCGCAAAAAGGCCTTGGAGATTGCGCTGGAGATGGTTTCTAGCAAGAACGTGGAAGAGGTGGTGCTCCTCCTCAAGAAGGAGTTATCCAAGACGGTCGACCAGGAGTATGAGAAGAACAGCGAATACCGCCAGCTCCTGATCCACTCCATCCACCAATGTGCTGTCAAGTTTTCCGAGGTTGCTGCCAGCGTGGTGGAGCTCCTCATGGACTTTATTGCCGACTTCAACAACACCTCTGCTGTCGACGTTATCAACTTCGTCAAGGAGGTGGTTGAGAAATTCCCGGCGCTGCGGCCGGCAATCGCGCACAGGCTCGTCGACACTCTTAGGGAGGTCCGTGCCGGCAAGGTCTACCGGGGTATTTTGTGGATTGTCGGCGAGTACTCGCTCGACGAGAAGGATATCCGGGATGCGTGGAAGGGGATCAGGGCTAGCTTGGGCGAGATCCCTATCCTAGCGTCGGAGCAAAGGTTGCTGGACAACATGGACAACGACGAGGAGAACAAGGACGAGGAGCAGGTTAACGGGCATCCCAAATCGACCGCCGGCGGTTCGCGGAAGGTCCTCGCCGACGGGACATACGCCACTGAGACCGCCCTCACTAGCCAGTCTGCGGCCGCCGCTAAGCTGGAAGCCGTGAAAGCATCTTCGAAGCCTCCGCTCCGACAGCTCATCCTGGACGGCGATTATTATCTCGCGACTGTCCTTGCAGCAACGCTCACAAAGCTGGTCATTCGCCACTCCGAAATCTCTTCAGAGGCTGGTCGCACCAATGCTCTTCGGGCAGAGGCCATGCTCGCCATGATTTCCATCATCCGAGTTGGCCAGTCGCAGTTCGTCAAGGCGCCTATCGACGAGGATTCCGTGGACCGAATTATGAGTTGTGTGCGGTCCTTGGCCGAGTTCAAGGAGCACAAGGAGCTGGAAACGGTGTATCTCGAGGACACCAGGAAGGCTTTCCGGGCCATGGTACAGGTGGAGGAGAAGAAGCGCGAGGCGAAGGCGGCGTTCGAGAAGGCCAAGACCGCCGTCCAGGTTGACGATGTCGTTTCGATCCGCCAGCTCTCCAAGAAGAACGCTGTTGACGGCGCCGACGCAATCGAGCTCGACCTGGAGCGGGCGGCTGGTGGTGATACCAGCGCGGATGATGACTTGTCAGGCAAGCTCAGCCGTGTTGTCCAGCTCACCGGCTTTTCGGACCCCGTATATGCCGAGGCGTACGTCAAGGTCCACCAGTTCGACATCATCCTCGACGTGCTCCTGGTCAACCAGACCACCGACACGTTACAGAATCTCACCGTCGAGTTCGCCACGCTCGGCGACCTCAAGGTGGTGGAGCGGCCGACGAGCCAGAACCTGGGCCCGCACGACTTTCACAACGTGCAATGCACCATCAAGGTGTCGTCGACGGACACGGGCGTCATCTTCGGCAACGTTGTGTACGAGGGCGCGCACTCGACCGACACCAACGTGGTCATCCTCAACGACCTTCACGTCGATATCATGGACTACATCCAGCCGGCGACGTGCACCGAGACGGAGTTCCGCACCATGTGGACCGAGTTCGAGTGGGAGAACAAGGTCAACATCAACAGCAAGGCCAAGACGCTGCGCGAGTTCTTGGACCAGCTCATGGCGTGCACCAACATGAACTGCCTGACGCCCGACGCGAGCTTGAAGGGCGACTGCCAGTTCTTGAGCGCGAACTTGTATGCGAGGAGTGTATTCGGTATGCTTACCCCTATTTTTCCTTTTCCACACCGCACAGTGACGGGATGACTAACAGTCCCAATAGGCGAGGACGCCCTGGCCAATTTGAGCATCGAGAAGGAGGGTGACGACGGCCCCATCACTGGCTTCCTTAGGATACGCAGCAGGTCGCAAGGGCTGGCGCTGAGCCTGGGCTCGCTCAAGGGGCTGAACAAGATCGGCTCAGTAGCTGCTTGAGGGGGGCGCGCGAGCAAGTATCTTGGCAGCGATAACAACAGCAGCCCTGTAGTGGGTGGCGGCAGGCTTATGAAGCAAAGGTCTTACTGCCGTCCCCAGCCGTGATGATGTTCAGAAGCGCCTGAGTCGCCGACTCAGCTGACGTCGCCACATCCCTAACGTACCCGGCGCGATACCGTGTTGTTAGGCTTGGTGGGAGGGAGATGTGTATGGAGTTCTGGTCGGAAGAGGAAGGAAGTTGGGGGGCCCGAAAATAGCAGGCTGCGAAAAGGGCGATGGGGGATGGGGGGTCGGTGGTGTTTAGACTACTACTATACAGCCTGTGAATTCACCGTTTATGTTTGGACCACGCACAGAGATCGAATCGTAAGAGCCACCATGAAGGCCTAGAACCGAGGTCGGGAAACAACCCGCACTTAAGGTATACTTGCATCCCTTCTGTACCCGAGCATGTATTCCCCCCATTTCCCCAACTAGGTACGTCACTACATTAGTGCACTCTCAACCCAACAAGACAAACGTTACATTCTACGCATCACCCTCGGCTCCTGGGTATACAAGAGCTAACACTAGTCCATGACAAAATAGTTGTCACGAGAGGGGGCAGATGGCGAGGGATTAACATTTGGGCAGAACGATCATCATTCATATAGAAAGTAAATAGGCAGCTCCTGTTCCCCGAAACCCTTTCACCCCCTAGCCTAGAATGGGATCCTACTGCCATCCCATAAAAAGAACGCCCCATATATCCTGTGGCGTGAACCCGTTAAGAAACCTTTATGAGACCGGCCATGCAGGTATTCATGCCATCCCCACCATCCTGGCCCGCCGGCTGCGTACCTAGAGAGAAAGCCGGGTTCCACGCAGATCAAAGTGAGTGGGAGACCGCCGAGGTTGACGAGCATGTCGAGAGGTCTGTCCCCGTGGGCAGCGGCCACGCTTTATATCCCGCCTTGATCGAGGTAGTTGAGCTCTCGGACTCTTGGATGTCAATCCGTGAATGTGCAAAGTGCGGTATCAAACATACTGATCTGATCCCCTCGCACTTGGTCCATTATTTCGAGTGTCCACATCGCGGCCAAACTGTCCTCGTTATCTCCCAGGATTCTGCGAAGAACGCGTTCATTGGGTGCATGCCAGTCCCACCGTGGGCTCTTGATGCCGAAAGAAGCATCATACGTTCTGATTCTTCTGGACCTCAGGTTGTGGAGGTTGTGGTTGTGCACGATGTACCCTCCACTAATGATAAAGTTACGCTTTTGTGACATTATCATTGTGACTGTTGTTTATTGCCAGTGGCTCCCTGTTAATACCAGTTTCAATGGTCTTCAGTGGAATCGGAGATTGCGCTCGGTAAAGGAGCACGGGAAGGTGAGAGTGGTATGTACCCAGAGATGTTTAACTTGTTAAAGAAGATGGGGACCGGTAGCCCTTTTATTCGGACGGATCCTGGAACTAGAATTACAGTCCCTTTATTTAGTACTGTACACGTCCAATGGGCTTCTCCCAGGGATATCATAGTATTTCCCAGAAACCTGTTCATCTTCACCATGTTTATGATGTGTGTTTGGGGTGGGTGCGCAATGTGCGACTACCTAAATTACGGTTGGCAGTTTCACACTCCCGCTAGACATGTGACGTGGTTTACCATTTGCTCTTTCCTCCGAGCCTAGTGATCTAACAACAATAGATCCACAATCAAGCCACGGCATGGAAGTGAGTTAGTAGTTTCAAGTTCTTTGTGTGTTAGTGCACCTGATTTAGGACATCCCCTCCTTGCCTAAATTACAAGTCTACCAGGTCTCTGTCCCCGACTACTAGCAGGAGCGCTCAACCCTTGAAAACCCACCTTCTTCTTGCACCCAAGACATTATCCAGCTTTCCAATATTGGTTCTCGCATTCTAGATTTACGCAGCGTAAGTTCCAGTCCCCTCAAATCCGGCTATCAAGAGACTAGAAAGGAGCATCGGAACCCTGCCAATTGACATAATAATAAGCCGCCATAGCACTCCATAATAATTAGAAAACAAATGCCCCTAGACAACGTCGTCGACAACATGACGATCAACATGCCAGATAGCGCCCCTCCAGGAGATAGTGGAGAGTCAACGCCCGAATCTGACGCCATATGCCGACTTTTACCGCAATGTACACCAGCACCCCGAAGTTTCTGGAATGGAGGAAGAAACGGCCAGGAAAGTGGTAATGCATCTGATACGTCTGGGGTTCACAGTCCACTCGGGTATCGGCGGCCACGGCGTTGTCGGTGTATTCGGGAATCCAACATCAGAAGGCTTCCCTCCGCGTGCAGTTCCACGCTGTGAGTTACATCCATCTACCTCCACTTTATAGCATGTTACACCGCAATACTAATAATAATCCACATTAATGTCAGAAAATCAGAACCCCTTCCACCCGACGTCCAGCCACCCCCCTCCCCCCCAAAAAAAAGACCAACCAACAAAAGCCCCACGCTCCATCCATCCATCACCCAGCCATCTCCCACGCCAGCCTCGCCCCCGGCCGCGGATCCGGCGCCTCCAGCATCTGCGGCCGACTGCCCCCGTCGAGTTGGTGCAGGTCCTTCAGCCCAGTAGGCGGAGGTGGAAGTAAACTCGTCGTGTCACTCCGAGCGGGACTCGTGATGCCGGCACTACTGCTGCTAATACCGGAACCCCGAGCCTTGCGCCGCCGGTGCTGGCGGAACAGGATGGCGGCGATGGCGAGGAGCACGACGGCGCCGACGGACCCCAGCGCGAGGCCCACTATGGCCGCGGTCGGTAGGCCGCTGGCGCTGCTGCTGCTGCTGCTGCCGTTGCGGGCGGTTGGTGGTGGGGTTTGGTTGGCGGGTGTGTTGCTGGTTGCGGTCGCGGGGAGGTTGGTTTGGGTGTTGGGGGGCGGCGTCGTTGTGCTCTTCGGGTTGGCCGGGTTGTCGGGGTTGGTTGTGCTTCCGGGGTTGGTCGGAGTGGTGTGAGTGCTGGTTGGAAGCCCCGTAGCCACCTACAAACACACACGGTCCTCCTGTTAGTGTCCATGGGAGAGAGAAGTTGGTCCGGGACAGTGAACTTACCGAAAGCAGCTTGATTCCCCAAGCTTCGTAGCCGTTGTGCTGATCGGGCGTGAATGTGATTGGCTCTTCGACTGATTGTGCGAGGTGCGTTAGCACGCCCGTCCAGACCGCCCCTGGTGTTGCTGTTCCGTGGCAGCCGTACTCGTTGTTTTGGCACATGAACGAGTAGGCGTTATTGGTGACGCTGCGAATGTGAGCCTCCTGAACGTGGTTTTGGGCAAATTCACAGCCGTAGCGAGTATGAGATGGACGACGAACCTTGGGCAACAAGTCACTAGACTGGCGGGCTTTCCGCTGATATCGGGTATGCCAGTAGCACAGGCGCGCGTGTAGCCCGCAGGGCAGCCGCCGTCGGTCAGGTAAGGGACGTTGAGAGTGGTTGATGGGGGCCAGCAGTCGCCTTTCGGCAAGAGGTCGCTCGCCGGCCAGAGGTCTGTTTTAAACGGCGTGGGCGTTGCGAACAGATGCATGAAATATGCGCCGGTCCCGCTCGGAAACACCACCCGGTACAGGTTCGTCGATGCAAAGCACGATGCTGGGGCCGTCCATGTTGTTGGAATGCGTGCCAGCGTTTCGATATTTGTATATGTGGCCATGGTCGACCCGAGGCTGGACAGTATACGCTACCTACCTACTTACATAGAAATTTTGATCACGGGAAGAAGAGAGCAGGTAGACTAGAGGTCAGCACCGAAGGGGGCATCTTCAAAACTTCAACCTCATTTTAAGTTGAGACTGAGCGTAAGCTGGCGGCCCTTTTGGTCAATTTCATTATGTCCAAGTTCCTGCATGGTTGTTTGGCAGGAGAGGAATGAGGATAATTACGGCCATGCGATAGCGCGGCGTAGTGGCCTCCCGACATTCGATACGGCGAGGCATGCGTTCTATTCGCCAATGCCTCCTTGACATTTGCGCCAGCCGCCTGTATTCCCCCAGAGGCGCCCCTGATATGGGGGCCATGTGGATTTGATAATCCGCCACCGAGGTTGAGATAGGGGCCGCCTTAAAATAAAATGACGTTAAGAGTCCAGAGACACCGTCATTGAGGATGAAGTGGGTTAGGTTAGCCTGCCTCGCCTGCCCATCCTAAATCCATGCTTTCACGCGCTCCACAGTATGTATTCGGACAGAGTCAGGTAGGAACTCAAAGAAGTTAGATCGTCTGACTGTCTCACTGTCAGACAGCCCCAGAACCACTGAGCCCCACGGCCCCCACCCTCTGGCTGGCCTCTCGTTGGTGCAATGTTTCTGGGGCCGCTAATCCTAACTGCTTCCAGAACAAAGAGCAGGATCTCGTATAGATTGCGATTCCTTCCACAGGTTTAGCGGGCCAGTCAGTGGATTCCCAGTCAGCCCCCTCCTGGCTTCGTCACCTCCTCCAAAGCTTAATTTCTGAACTACTTGTAACTGGGAATCCCCTTTCTCCACCAGCCAAGCAACTTCCCGATGATAACCCACCGCGTCGGCGTCGCGAATTGCTTCTTTTCGCCCCCATCATGGCCCAACAAAATGAGCTAGTCGCGAGCTCCTCTTGGCCGGCGCAGTTTCTCCACTATGTCTCGCGACGCCGCCAGAGGTTCTACGGCGTCATCGCCGTCGCGCTGGTGATGCTCGCCGCCGCCACCTTCATCTACGGGGGGTTCGCGACCGGCATCGATTTTGGTTCCTACGTGCCGCGCCCGAAAGCCGCCCTGCCACCGGCGCATAACGACGGCGCGGCCGGCACAGTGGTCCCGACCGGGGCGCACGGCGGGGATGCGGTCCAGACGCAGATCCCCACGGCGCCGGTAACCCAGACGCAGACGCAGACGGGCGACGACGCCGGCCACCCGGCGCAGACACAGACGCAGACGCCGCCCGTGGCCGTCCAGCCCGGCATCCCCGCCAAGATCTGGCAGATCCTGCTGCCCAAGAGCTCGAGCAAGTCCAAGGAGAGCTTCGTCGCGGACCCCCAGATCCTCTCCGACACGCCGACCTGGCTGGCCATGAACACCGACTACGTCTAGTAAGCACACCCTTACCTTGGCCCCCCCGACGCGGCCCGGCCCGCGCGGCGAACAACCAACAAGCCGGCGCGTGGCCAACTGCATGCATAGCAACAAGCAAACAAGCCACGCGCGCGGCGCCCCCCCAATCATTACCGAACCAACCAAACTAACCAACCCGCGAAACCAACAGCACGCTAGTGGGCCAAAAGGGCGGCGACGAGTTCGTGCGCAAGCACTTCGGGACGGACCAGCGGATCGTGGACGCGTACACGGGGATGCCCAACGTGGGGATGAAGTCGGACCTGCTGCGGTACCTGATCCTGTCGGCCGAGGGCGGCGTGTACACCGACACCGACACGGTGGCGCTCCGCCCCATCGACGAGTGGGTGCCCGAGGGGGTGCGCGACAAGGCCGCCGTGGTGGTGGGCATCGAGTGGGACCGGCGGGACGGCCCCGGCTGGACCGACATCTCGCACTGGGTGCAGTTCTGCCAGTGGACGATTGCAGCCGCGCCGGGCCACCCGGTCTTCGGCAAGATGGTGGAGCGCATCCTGGCGTCGCTCGACGACCTGGCCGCCGCGCACGGCGTGCCCTTCGGCCAGCTCGCCAAGCTGGACAGCTTCGAGGTCATGAACTCGACGGGCCCGGCCGCCTGGACCGACGTGGTCTTTGCCCAGCTGCAGGAGTACGACCCGTCGCTGACGGACACCAAGGATCTGTCCTACATGGACGAGCCGAAGCTGATCGGCGACATCCTCGTGCTGAGCATCGACGGCTTCGGCATGGGCCAGCCGCACTCCAAGAGCACCAACGATGGGACCGTTCCCGAGGATGCCTTGGTGAGGCACCTGTTCAAGGGCGCGTGGAGAGGCGACAAACGGAAACGCAGGATATAAACATGTTTGGGTTGGAGAAGTTTAATGATAGACTTGTATTATTGACATTTTATTTCGGCAGCTGTGGGGCGCCGGGGGTGTTCGGGTTCTTGGAAGGGGCAGGGATGTAAATAGGGGGACGGGGGTTGAGGTTGGATGATATGATATGTAGCTGATGAGTGTAATTTCTCGTTTTAGATGGGACGGGGAGAGGTTGGAAGTGGTTGTCATGAAAGCGGAAAGCAAGTCAAAACTGAAAGCTGGGTTTTCCATTTATCTGGATGGCCTTGCAGACGGCCCTCTTCGAGCCGGCAGTACTCGTCCACGTGCTCATCGAATCTTTGGTATATTCCAGAGGGGCAGGCAAGAAAGGCGCAGCTCAAGGCAGGTAACGTCCTGAGCGGTGCGGCCGGGTGACAATTCTCTAGGTCGAGACCGCGACCTCAATGCAGAGCGGGGGGGAATGGAAAGGCAGAAACCAGTGATGCAACGCAACTACATGCCATTTGTTGCAACGTCCTGTAAGCCAAATATAACGCCGGTAGAACGGGGTATGTTAAATAAGTAGAAACAGGGCCGAGTATATGTGAAATGTGTATTCAGTGAAATGGTTCGCTGCCCTCGGAAGCTCAATCAAGCTTCAACGAGGGAGCGAGGTAGTGCGGGGAGCAAAAAGGGCCGCTAATCCGTGAAGGCTCAAGAGAGGCTTGGTGGTGGCCAAATTCTGGCGCCGCCGGTTCAAGTTTCGAAGCCTGTGGCGCCTGTTGCATAGAATCGTCAAACGACCATGGCTGCAAGTAACCAGGCAACGCGGGCATTGTAGGCGACCGAATCATGGTCTTGCTCACCCGTCTGCTGCCGGTAGCCGCGATGTAGCCTGGAAGCACGGCGTGCTTTAATGGTGGTAACGAACCGCGAGAGAATGTTTGCCTTCCTCTCTCCTTCGGGGAGGGGGTCATGTATGTCCTCATCGAGCATCTCATAGCGGAAGCCGGGGCCTGTGACAAGCCTGGTGTTTCGCAGAGCCGAAGCCAGCCGGTCTCGTCTACGGGTGCGGGGCAGGGACAAAAGAGGCGCGGTTTCCGTTGGACTGGAACAGGCTGAGCCGCCGATAGGAATATAGTTGGTGTCTCCAGTTGCCGATGAGGATGATCCGAGTGGCTGATCGTCCAGCAATGGTGACCAGCGGTTCTAGCGGCTGAACACCAAGGCGTTGATGACATGGCCCTGTTTCCAGCCTTGAGTCATGAGGGGGGAGCCATCCTGGAGAATCTTCCCCATGTAGGCGATCCGTATCTTCTTGTTGGATTGGAGCTTGGAGTAGAATTGTCAGCACGAGAAGCTCCTGTAGCTGGCGGGAAGTGGGCATACCTTTGCTTTCTCTGCAATAGCCCTGGCAATGCGCCGAACAGAGTCTTGCTCGCTTACCACAACGCTAACATCCCGAGACCCGTCACTGAGTCTTGCCCTGATGGTGATCTGATCCCTGATATCCACAACGGCCTTGCCTTTCTCCTCGCGCCGTCGCTCAACTTCGTCGTCGCCGTACTCTCGTTCCGTCTCCTCGCCAGCTGCCAAGTCGGCCTTAGCATCGTCCAGGTCCTCGGTTGAAGTCGGGCTCCGTAGCAAATTGGAGGGGTCTGCCACGATTTGGTGTGACAGCTGGTAGTAGTTTCCAAAGGCATCATATGCTCCGTTGTACAAGTCTCCAGTGGGAAGCGTAATGTCGGCCGCATCAATGATGCTTTGCGCGGTTGCCAGAGCTACCACGGGGTCCTCTTCGCTTGGACCTCCATCCTCGCTCGCCCGTCGGTGCTGCTCATTCCGCGCGACCTCGTCGGCGGCCCAGAGGACTTCAAGCGCGGCACGCAGAGTCTGCCATATCTCCTCTCTGCCGGTAACCCGCGTGTCGAAGAACTCGATCCTCTCCCTCCGCAGGGCCGCAGGGGTCCATTGCCGGTCGCGACTGACCCATTCGTGTCGCCGCAGGGGTTTGTTAATGTGTTGGTTCAGTGGTTGATGGGATCGCCTCCGCCGGCGCTGGGAGCCCGACGGGAGAGATTCGTCGACTCCGGTTTGCGAGCTGGATGCGCCGGCTGTTTGGGTAGCCTCGTTGATCGCTCGACCGGAGCCAGTGGCGGCGCCGCCTGGGTAAGGCGAGTTTGGACCGCCGTCTCGGGAAAGACAACAACCCTGAGCATAGTTAGTATCATGAGTAGGGTCGGGGGCTAGGTAGGGTGTTGGTCGAGGGAAGAGGGGCCGGAATGGGAAAATAGCAAGAAGCGAGCTGAAGAAGGAACGGTCGCTGTGGCAGTGGTGACACAAAATTCGAGATCGACGACCAATCTCAAAAAAAGAGGTATCATACCATTGTGTTCGATCTACCGCGATGCCGGTATCGTGCTCGATTTCGCACACGTTTGGCCGCTCGATCCAGCCGCTTGAATAACTAGTTCATGACGGCAGCAGGTCCGGGGAATTTTTGGAGAAGCTGGGTATCGCAGCCTCTCTGGTCGGTTGCAGAAAAGTTGCGTCACTCAGGTCGCGGTGGCTTGCGACTTGAAACTTGCGTGTTCCTCCAGCGCACCACTCTGTGCTGAGATTACCGTTGTTTTTAAATGCAGCGTTACCTGCCCCAACGATAAGAGCTGAGCGAGTGTGTGGAAGAAGGATGATGTTTGTCACTTCTGGAGCTGTGTTGCGCAGGAACCCCACTGGCGGTTCGATGGTCAGTGGGTTCGTGGCCCGGTAGGTCTCCGCTTGGTTTGTCTTGGCCAGACCGCCCCGGCCGCTGTGGGGTCGGGTCAGATGGATCCTGGCCGCTCGGCGACGATGCCGAAAGTTCTTGGGCGAGCTGAAGCAGAAGGGACCTCACCCGGTTGACCACACGAGCCACGTTGAGTAACTCTCAGTTATATCACCCTCGTCTGAACTGATGAGGGGATTGTGGTTTCCGGCAAAGGTTTAGTTAGGCATTGAACAACTCTGTGGAGACCGAGAATAGGGAATTTCGGTGCTTCGCAGGGGTTGTGTAAAACGCATGAGAGAAACACCGACAAACACGAGCCCGGGCCGCCAAGAAAGGCCGAGGCCAACGATGGGGGGCAATACCGCTAAGGAAAATGAGGAAATTATACGAACAAGCAGCACAACGTGGGCATGTTGGCGGGATCTACGAAGTAGATCTGTACGAATATATTCGTAACCTTCTCCAACTGTGACTCGTTATCACTCCCAAGACACGATTCGCTCCTCCACGCATACATGCAGGATGCACACAACTGTACATATGTTTCGGGACCTCGTCGTGCAGAGCACCCCACTCGTAATCCATGCAGCCCAGCAATGCATCCCGCCACCATCACCACAAGAACCCTCGACAGCGTTTGGTCCCGCACTTGCACTTCGTCATATCCTTAATTTTTGACGGGTCGTGCGCGTCGCTATCCATCTCCTCCAGCCCGTCGACGTAGTCGAACGTTAGCTCTTCTCCCTCAGGTATATCCCGAATCGCGAACAACGCCAAGTCGTGGATGTGCTTGTCTGCATGATCGCCAACCCGCGCAAAGATGCGCATGTTTGGATCACAGCTGTGGTTGATGAACCGCGTCGGTCCACTCATCCACTCCCCGTCCACCTCGAGCGGCGCTCCAGCCAGGAGTGGGTCTAGGGAATCCGGGTCCGAAAACTTGTCGAGCGCGAAGAGGTAGACATCTTTACGCCGGGAGATAGTTGAGTCTGCGCGGCGCCTGTCGGCCTCCTCGCTCGGGATGATCTCGCCGAGGTACCTGTCGATGAATTGCCCTTCCTTGATGTTGACGGGGCATTTAACACCCCACCCTCGATCCTCAGTCCGGAAAATCTGCAGCGGTACCGTTCTGCCCCGCTCTACCACCCTGTTGGGGCATTCGAGAGAGCAGTTACAACCGTCGTGGCACTCGTAGATGGGCTCGCGGCTCATGAGGATCCTACTCCTCAATAAGCCCGCCTTAGGTCCACTCGAATGGTAGGCAAACCGTTTCCGTCGCGGCCGAGTGGTCGAGTCATCGTATTCGTCCTCGTCGCTATCCGGGGCCATTTCATCGAGACACTGACATGTGTCGTACATGCAGTGCTCATCGTCCGTGCAGTTGCATCCCGTGCGGAAGGAATCTTCGGCCACGGGGACATCATCAGCGATGATGGAATGGTCGATAAAACGGAAGTTGGGGTTCACAACTTCGTCGTCCTCCTCGTTAATTATAGTTATTGGGGTGGTTTTGTGTGTTGCGAAAGATCGGATTTGGCACCAGGTGCAGCTTTTCTCCTCGTCTGGGTTCGACTGACGGGTGATATTAGCTACCTCTCCACAACTGCAGATCAAATGTGCTCTCCTACTGTACCTCGGGTAGCCCGTGTGTGAAAAAATGGGAACGCATAGCAGCTTCCATTTTCAGGACTGATAGTTCGCGATGTGAGATCCGAATACTGTGTATTGGGGCAAGTTGGGAGCCCGAGCAACGCGTCGCGACTGTGGAAACGCGACTGTGGTGGGGGTTGGCTCTTAAATCTTTAATTGAATCGGTGGGGGCCATGGAGAAGAATGGGGTCGACACGGTCGATATGTGGGGCGATGAGAATCGCTCCCCAAAGAAATCATTCTCGGCTTTGGGCTCTTTCCAAAAAGAGGTCAGGTACGAAGGTTGCGGCCAAAAGTGAACCCCCAGACCCAGGTTGCCCGTGGTCCGTGCTCACTGTGCGCCTTGCACGTGCAAGGCCTGAAGCTCCAGTGCGCTGCTCGCTAAAGGTTTAGAGGCGAGCACCCTGAAGGCTAGCGCATCTCACGCTAAGCTGGCTCTCAATTAGCGAATAGAAAATACAGTATGGATAATTTCAAAGCCTTTATTGGCACGTTGCTGACTCAGCCAAGGTACTTGTTGGTGGGTGTTCACTTTTGGCCCCAACCTTCGTACGAAATAACTACTTAAACAGCACAATAATCCTATTGAGAGAGAGAGACGATCAAGCTTGCTTTTTAAACTCAATAACCGGTATCGGTTTCTATTTCTTGAGGAGATACGGGAAAATACATGCCGCCTATTGCGAAGACGTTTACCTGGCCCAGACATTTACCGCCGCATTAACTGAAAGTTGGTATGTCCCGGATTGCAAGGCTTCGCGGAAAACGTCCAACGCCCGCGCCCCCAATAATAACGGAACCTTGATCCTCCCGGCCTCTTCCACTGCCGTTTGCAGCTTCGCCGCGACATCGTTGAGACTCAGCTCGCCGTCCGCCGCCGTCGAGAGTTTGGACTCGGCGCCCGCACGAAGCGCGTTGATGAACCCGGGGCCATACTGCTTCAACATCGTGCTCGATCCCGCTGCGTTGGCGCACAGGTCAAGCACTTGGTCGAGATCGAGGCCCACGAAGTTAGCAAACGCGAGAGACTCTCCAGCAGCGCAGAGGTTGATCGCCTTCAGGAGGTCAACCACCAACGCGAGCTTCTCCTCGTCTGTCTTGCCGGAGCTCTCTGTCGTCTCGTTCCTCTCCGCCTCGGTATACAATCGCAACAGGCTGCTGTCGTCATCCTGCCCGTACCCCTTGTCAACCGCCTGTTGGTAGCCCTCCTCGGCCTTGCCCGTCATCGGGACCCGGAACCCACTCCTCTGCGCCTCGGCCGTGATAATCTTGGTATCCTTGACGATGATGTTCACCGCGCTCGCTATGGGCTGGAACTGGGTCAGCATCCTCGGGGTGCGGTGCTCAAACATCCAGTTCCACGCCTCCGAGGCCAGCACCGCCTGCTGCGCCTTGGCCAGGTCCAGTCCCAGCCGCTCCGCGAAACCCATCGCCTCGCTCGCGGCCAGGATCTGACACGCTGCCAGCACCTGATGCACCATCTTCATGTTGCTCCCAGCGCCCACGCCTCCCCTCACGATGTACAGCTTCGCGGGGTCCGCCATCTCGGCCAGCAGCGGGCGGGCCTTCTCCAGCGCGGCGTCGGACATGCCCGCCATGATGGAGAGCGTCCCGTCGGCGGCGCGCGCCGCGCCGCCCGACACGGGGCTGTCGACCAGCAGGATGTCGTCGCGGCCGATGCTGCGCAGCTGCTTGTCCAGCGACTGGACGTACTCGCAGGGGACGGTGGAGCAGAGGAGGAGCGCGGCGCCCTTGGGCAGGGCCGGCACGGCGGCCTCGGGCCCGTCCAGGAGGACCGCCTGGGCTTGCTGCGCCGTGGCGACCATGCACACGCAAAAGTCCTTGCCGGCCACCGCAGCGGCCGGGGTCGTGGCCGTGAGCCCGCCGGCGGCCGCGAAGCGCTCGAGGGTCGGCCCCCACACGTCAAAGCCTGTTACCGCGTAGCCCTGCTTGACGAGGTTCGTGGCCATGCCGAAGCCCATGGCACCGAGGCCGATGAAGGCAATGGGAGTCTTGGAGTCGGCCATGGTCGTGTAAGTGTGTTGCTTCTCGGTGTGGTGACAAGTCGAAGTGGTCGTGAGATTGGTGGGATAAACGGGAGCCCCTGAAAGCAGCAAACAACATTCTACTCTTGATTAACCAGTTTGTCAAGGTCTACGGATATCTATCCACGGGACCAACACAAGTCGAGTGAGCGCATGGCCACGGTCAACCGGCAGCAGGTCAGCCCGCAGACCTCACCTCGCCACAGGTAATGCCGAAGCCGGCGGCCGGCCGGGTGAAGTCAAAAGCGGGCTCTCGATCCTTGAATGCCAACCCTCCCCGCTTCCCAAATTCCATCGCGCCTCGAGCTGGTGATGCCCCTCCACGGAGGAGGGCCAATGATGACGTTACCTGGACACCCCACCGAGCCACTCAGTGCCACTCCCGTATTCCGGCTAAAGTCTCGCGCATCAACATCCCGCCTCGCATCTTGGCGCGCGATTTGGACGAACCTGGATTGGGCAAGCCGAAGGGGCATCTTTTGACCTCAGTGACATATGCCGCCCCTTTGCGATGTGTGAGAATCTGTTTGCATCTGAGGTATTAACTGAGCGTAGCAGTCAGCGACGAATCGGAAAATCTTAACCACGAGTTGTCTTCTCTCATCGCGGTTGGTTGAGCTGTATTTTCGTATACTACACACTGCACATTAACGAACTCTGTTGCTCGCTATCAAACATCACATTCACCATCTAGTCAAGGACCCAATCACTCCATCACAAGCACCACCACAATTTCCAGCAAGTCAACCCCCACCACCGCCACAATGGTCCGCCCACCCTTCGCCCAGAACCGCACGATGTCGATTCTCAACAACGCCAAGGCCGGCGGCTACGCGGTGCCGGCCATGTGCTGCTACAACATCGAGTCCATCATCGCGACGGTGCGGGCGGCGGAGGCGGCGCGGTCGCCGGCCATGGTGCTGCTCTTCCCCTGGGCGATCGAGTACGCGGGCGACGCGCTGGTGAAGGCGGCGGCGGAGGCGGCGCACTCGGCGTCGGTGCCCGTGTCGCTGCACCTGGACCACTGCCAGACGCCCGAGCTGGTGCGGCGCGCGGCCGACATCGAGGACGGCTTCGACAGCATCATGTGCGACATGAGCCACTACGAGAAGGAGGAGAACCTCAAGCTGACCGCCGAGCTGGTGAAATACTGCCACGCCCGCGGCATCGCCGCCGAGGCCGAGCCCGGCCGCATCGAGGGCGGCGAGGACGGCGTCGCCGAGACCGCCGATCTCGAGGGCCTGCTGACCACCCCCGAGGAGGCTGAGGAGTTTGTCGCCACCGGCATTGACATGCTTGCCCCCGCATTCGGGAACGTGCACGGCGAGTATGGCCCGCGGGGTATCCAGCTCGAGTACGAGCGGCTGCAGGCGATCAACGAGAAGGTCGGGGAGCGGGTGCGGCTCGTGCTGCACGGCGCGGACCCCTTTGATCAAGAGATCTTCAACAAGTGCATGGCTGGCGGCGTGACCAAGATCAACATCAACAAGGGCATGAACAACCACTATGCGCAGGTGCAGGACGAGATGAAGGGGAAGCCGTTGACCCGCGTCATCGAGGCGGGCACCGACGCTATGCAGAAGGCTATTGAGCGGTACGCCGTGTGGCTTGGGAGCGCTGGGAAAGCCTAGGGTTGTAAATATTGCCTTGTATGTACCTAGTTAGACGACTTAAAAGTTCATTGATTCAAACCACCTGGTATCTTTTGAATGAAGGCTAAGGATAATCTATGATGAATTCCACATAAAGGGGACTTGTAATCTTTTTCTCACATCACACGAATTCTTTGGGTTTTCTTTTCTTTTCTTTTCTTCCTTTTTTTTTTTTTTTTTTCAAATCAGAAGGTGGCCATCAACACGCTCAATCAACCTCGGTGAACCGGAAATATCAAAATGATATCCGGGAGCTCTGGATTCTACACATCAAGTTCTATGCGTGCTTTGCAACTCAACGCTCCATTTAAAAATTATACGCGATTACCGGCTAAAATACAATACAACGGTGCAAACCTTTTCAAGTTTCCAATCATACATCCCCGTCACATGTATGCGAGCAGACCCCGAATTACCACCATGGCACCCCACGCGCCGGGATCGGGAGGGAGCTCCTTCCCTTCCGTACCCGCGCCGACGTAAGTCGCTCTTCCCAGTCTCGGCTTGAGCGTCTTGGTCCCCTCGGCACCCCTCACGGCGGCCGCGACGCCTTCCTGAAAACTCTGCGTCGCCTGCATGGCCTCGGCAAACGGGATGATGGTATCCATCACGGTGCGGTCGCCCACCTTGGCCGGCGTGTAGTGCGCGAGGTGGCGCACCGCAATCATCAGCGCCTTGGACCACACCGCCACGGCGCCGCCCTCGGTCTGGGCGAGCGCGATGTTCTCCTGCGCCGCCGTCCGTAGCGACACGAAGAAGATGCCCAGGATCCCGCCCAGCGTCCCGCCCATCTTGCCCTCGAGGATGTCCTCCAGCTCGGTGAGCACCTCGACCACGGACCCCTTGGCGGTGATGCCCTTGGTGTTGATGGCGTCGAGGAGCGCCTTCGCGCCCGTCTCGAGCGTGAGCCCGCAGTCGCCGTCGCCCATGACGGTGTCCCATTTTGTGAGGTCCGGCTCCGCCTTGATCAGGTCCTCGGCGGCGCCGCGCAGCATCCTTTCCAGCAGCGCGGGGTCGACCTTGAGGTCTCGTGTGTCGTCGATGGTCTTCTTGGCCTCGGGCGGTGGCTGGACGAGTTGGTCTGCCCTCGCGCGCCGTCCTGGTTCGTTCTGACACCCGGCAACGGCCTCCCAGGCGGTATCTGTTTTGACGTCAAAGAAGCCTTTGATTTGTTCGACGGAATACGGGGTGTTGGCAGCGATGCCGGAGAGGTTGATGACGGAGACCGAAAAGGCCGGGGCGTTGAGCGACGTCTCCAGGCAGCCTGAGTACACCCTGACCGGTTGCATGTTCCAGTCGTTGAGTAATTGTTGGAGAAGCTCGTCGACCAGCCCACCAAGCTCAAGATTCGACATGCCGCCAAAGTTGCTGACGAGCAGCGCTGTCTCGTCCCCGGGCTTGAAGTTGACGTAGCCCCGCTCCGGATCGGTTTCGTCCAGGCAATACGTGAGGATCTCATTCACGAGCCCCTCCGCGGTGGGAGCTGGCGAGAGCTTTCTGTATCCGGGCTCGTTATGCGGCCCCGTTCCAATCTCCACCTCGTTCTCCGCCAGCGTACCGTGCTCGGTCCGCCCCGGGACGTGGCAGTGGTCGAGGGTCGCAGCGATGCTGACGATCTGGCCGTTCATGGCGGTGCCGAGATCGTAGAGCTCGTCAAGTGACGCTCCCTGGGTGGCCGCCGCGCCGAGGACTTTAAGCACGCCGATCTGGCCGGCAAGACCGCGCCGACCGACCAATGACCCTCCCTTCTTGCCGATGGAGACGTCATCGCCGCAGATCAGCATGCGGCATGCCTTGCCCTTGGCCTTTGTCTTCTCGGCTGCGAGGCCGAAGTGCAGGCAATCGCCCGTGTAATTGGTGATGACGAGCAGAGTACCCTGGTCCGACGGGACGGCCTCGACCGCCGCTAGGATCTGCTTTGTACTCGGCGAGGCGAACACATCACCTGCCACGGACGCCGCGAGCATGTTGGTGCCTACGTATCCCGACCATCCTGGCTCGTGGCCGGAGCCGCCGCCGCTGATGATGCTGACATTGGTGGGTGGTGAGGTGGGATCGAAGACGACTCGGTTGGTCTCGTCGAGGTTGAGGCGCGGGTTACTGGCGACGATTCCGCGGAGGGCTTTGGGCACGAGGCCGTCGAGTGTGGAAAAGAGATGTCGGTTCGACATGTTAAACGAGAGTATGGATGTGTGTGTGTGTGTGTGTGTTGACCGAGATCGAGCCCGTGGAGGGGGAGGACGAGAGGGATGATAAACAGGAGGACGGTGCCGAGGAGGAGGATCACGAGGAGTCACGAGGAGGATGTCACGAGGACGGCTGCAGGAGAAGCTCCGAGCGATGTCCGGCTGTGGCGCACGCAGGGTGAGGTGGTGAGGAATGAGATCAGCGTTGATGTTCTGGAACCCCCAAATCCGTGATGCGGTGTACCTCTAGTTAAGGTGTTAAGCAACGACAGTGACACACTTGCCGGGGAGGGCGGGGCCGGCTTTGCCAATGGTTGCACCGAGAGGGGCAGTGCATGATGGTCTCGATCTGTCTATCACGAATATCCGGCTGGCACCCTGACGATTCCTGGGCTCGCCGGAATACCTGGAAGGGAAAGGCGCGTTGGATAAATGCTCAATCTCCCACCATGCCATTTAAACTCGCACCCATGGCATTTTGTTCTCTCCCATGTTCACAGCCAAGCCCGTCTCTGTCGCAAGCCCGTCTTTGTCTGGACCATCAACGAACACCTCAACAATGAGCTCACCAAAGTGGCGTATCGCTGTCGGCTGCGATGTGAGTTCTGTGCTGTCCCTTTGTCGGCTGTCAGCAGTCCGACCTCGCTCCTTACTCGCTGCTAACCACTCCGTTTCCAGGATGCCGGCCTCAGCTACAAGAACAAGATCAAGGCGGACTTTGAAGCGGATGACCGCGTCGAGTTCGTGACTGATGTCGGCGCGAACGACAAGACGGCCTACCCGCACGTCGCCGCGGCGGCCGCTAAACTGGTCGCCTCAGGAAAGTGCGACCGGGCTCTCCTGATCTGCGGAACGGGACTCGGGGTGGCCATCTCGGCCAACAAGATCAAGGGCATCCGGGCCGTCACGGCACATGACAGCTTTTCGGTGGAGCGGGCGGTGCTCAGCAACAACGCGCAGGTGCTTTGCATGGGGGAGCGGGTGGTGGGGCTGGAGTTAGCTCGGCGGCTGGCCAAAGAATGGTTGGGGTACGTGTTCGACGAGAGCAGCCCAAGCGCTGCCAAGGTCGCGGCCATTCATCAGTATGAGGAGGGGGAGGGGGGCTTGTCGGGCCATGAGGAGGTGAAGGGATGTTGAGAGAGAACGGGAACAAGTCCCGTGACGCCATACAAATTTCACTTCCCGGCACTGCTAGATTCGTTATGTAGATCTTTCACTTTCAAGAAAGTTTTGTCAAGTCACGGGCTTCCTTCCAGCGACTTTCGCAGCTGTGCAGAGTGAGGGCTGCTGACATGTTGCTTCCCAAAAGGGAAAGCCGAGACGGCTGCAGTGGCAACCCGAACTCTCGGGCTCTGGGCTCCATCTCTCCCGGCTTGCTTCTCTGATATTTGCGGTCGAGACCACGATTGAGATCCACTTTCTCTCCACTTGTTCTTTCGTGTGACCGTTCTCGACCGCCATCTTTTTTCGAACCCCGCGAATTGGGGACCATCGTGCAAAGGAATTGGGGTTGGGTGGGGCAGGAGACACGGGAGCTCAGGGACAGCAAACCTGGAACGTGCGCCAAGTGATACGGCCACACCTTCAGGGTTGCACGCACACGTCAGAACAACGTCAGTCACGATCATGCATTCATTGAGTTATGAAATGTACATACCTAAGGTACTCGTACATGGTAAAATTCCATGAGCTGACACACATTGCACACAACGTACCCTAACCCCCTTCCCCCTTCTTCCCATCAACACAACGTGACAACACAAATCAACCCAACCTCAATTCCAACCAACAACCCTCAACATTCCAAACCAACAACCCTCAACATCCCAAACCAACAAAACCCAAGTCACCCAACCATGCCTCCCTCCCCACCCCCAGGGGCAACCACCCGGCCCCTATCCGGCCACCGCCCGCTCCTAGGCGTCTCAACCAAGATGTACTTCAGCCACGCGCGCACCACAGCCTTCACCACCACCCTCCTCAAACTCCTCACCTCCACCCCACAAGCCGCCACAGTGCTCTCCACGCTCGACGCCTTCCTCATCCCGGACTTTGTCTCCTTGCCCGCCGTCCTCGCCGCCGTCGACACCTCCCTCACCACGCGGGGCGGGCGCGTGCGCGTCGGCGCGCAGGACTGTGCCGCGAGTGATTTTGGCGCCTTTACCGGTGAGGTGTCGCCCGCGGTGCTGCGGGAGGTCGGGTGTGGGATGGTGGAGCTGGGCCATGCGGAGCGGAGGGCGCTGTTTGGGGAGACGGATGCGGGGGTGAGGGAGAAGGTGGGGGCGGTGGTCAGGAATGGGATGGTGCCGCTTGTTTGTGTGGGGGAGAAGGAGGTGGGTGGTGACGGGAGGGTTGGGGATGGGGATGGGGAGGGTGGTGGTGGTAATGATGGTGGTGGTGACGGTGGGGAGGGCGGTGTGCGTGTCGCTGCGGAGGAGGTCGCTCGGCAGGTGGCCGCCGTGTTGGAGGGGTTGGACCCGGAGGCGGAAGTCATCTTGGCGTATGAGCCCGTTTGGGCTATCGGGGCGCCCGAACCGGCCTCCGCGACGCATGTGAAAGGGGTGGTGAGGCGGATTAGGGAGAGTGAGGTTGTCAAGGGGAGGAGGGGACTGACGAGGATTGTGTACGGTGGTGCGGCCAAACCGGGGTTATGGGAGCAGCTGGGAGGGGAGGTAGATGGGCTATTCTTGGGGCGGTTCGCGCATCAGCCGGAGCAGTTCGTGAAGATGCTTTATGAGGTTGCGGGGGTGCCTTACGAGGGTTCGTCATGATATATATTGCCAAGTTAGGCAGCTTAGGCTGCACTCAGCGCAAGGCTGTGAAGATAAATTTCAGCACGGCGATCTCATGACCCGACACTCGTCGGAGCAAAAGCTCACCTTGTTCTGAAACGCCGGGCCAAGAGATAGCGCTTGCCTCGTTTCAATCGCCTTGCGCGCACTGGCTTTTTATCCCTGGCGTCGCTCAGCCGCACACCACTGCCCTCATCGCGCATCTCCGATACCTCACCGCTCTGCGCATATTTAAGAGCGCCTGAGGTACCATCTATGACCTCTTCAGAATACGAATACGATCGCGCCATTGAATTCAACATCTCACCAACCAGACGATCAACCACCACCTGAACAAACTCGACCCTGATTTACCGAAACTCGACACATCTTCAGCTTCAAGAGAATGAAGGACGTCCTGGTGCAAAAGCCGGAAGCGATAAAGGTGACCAAGACACAGGCAGTGGGGGACGAATGCTTCTCGCCGTCAGCCAATACCAAAGAACTGCCCTTTTTCAAAACCGTTGGCGGGTTAAAGCCATCACATCGTCGTCGGTCCTGCGGGGATCTTATCTCGTCGACTTCTACATATCTGAATAAACTCCGTGATACGGTCTTCATCCCGGCGCTCAGTATATATTCCTTCGCTCAGAGTCAGCTGACGAAGCGTGCGGCCACCGTTACCAAGTTTGCCGGTCTCGCGGGCTTTGCCATCGCCTGTGTTGCCCTGTGGTCGACACTATCCGCCATGGAGGACGGCCGAAGGGCTTTGGCACTGGCCCAGTGGACAGCGAGGAAAGACTTCTTGGGGTATTGCCAATCGGTGCGACAAGACAACTTATCTTAACCATTTTACAGACGTGCTAACCGGTTTCTAGGTCAACTACACCGCCGCTGGTTGTGAGAAAGCGACGAAGACTTCCCTCAGCCCGCCGCCGATATTCGTCGCCAGTGACACGCCAGTAATAACAATACTAGGCTGCACTGATGTCTCTTTCGGCCTCCCCGTCAAGGATCACGCGCAAATACCGACTGCCGGGCTGTACGGGATCATCGAGTTCGCCGACCTCTTGCCTCCCCCGCTTCCAATCGCCTAGCGGGGTCCTTTCCTTGATGTATTGTGCATAGTTGGGCGACGGGTCATTGTGGAGTTGGGTGATTTTGGTAGATTTTCGGGGCGTTAAGGTGCAGCTTGCAACGGTTGCTTGGGTGGACGGACTGATCAGGGGGCGGATGGTGATGGACACGGATGACGGAAGCAAGGAAAGGACCTCTTTTTTATTCACCAGTTGTTTTCGCAGGGTCTCTAGTATTCCCATTTAATAGATCAACTTCAGGTCCTCAAGACATAATAAACCAGACAAAAATACGATCACCGTTTATAGACCTCGAGTCCCACTTTCACCCTAACTGCTCCGCAACTTCTTCTTCGGCCGCAGCTCGCCGGCATAGTTGCGGAAGAACTCGTCCGGCTCTGTCGGGTGTTGGCCCGTGACGTCATGGAACGCCGTCGTCGAGATGTAGTTAGTCTTACCCTCGCGTACCAGGCTATAGTAGTTGAGGATGTACTCCTTTTCCGAGTCGTCGAGGTCGGTCTGTGACTTGAGAACTCGCTTGGCCTCGCGTCTGGAACCAGTTAGTATGGCGTCTGCGAGAAGAATAAGGAGGCTGGGCTTACTCGGAGATATTCTCAAACTCCATGGTCTGACCCAGGGCCTTGCTGGCCGATTCGGCGAGTTCCTTGCCCGAACAGAGCATAGGGCCGGTGAGGACCATCATCTGGCCGCGATGCCGGTCGTCGAACCCGTGCGGGCCCTTGCCCGTGAGGACGTGGGCGGCCACAAGAGAGACGTCCTGTCAAGTCAAACTTAGAAAGGAAAGGCATCATGACCAGGATGTGACTTACACCAAGCGCAATAGGAGCAAACTTGTGATTCTCGCCGATCGGAAGCGGCAGCAGGCCTTCGTTGCGAGCCTGTTCGGAGTAGAGGAGGAGGTTCTCGGCATAAAAGCCAGCCCTATCACAATCACACGGTCAATAACACCCCCAACTGAAACCGACCTCCAACCCTCCCACACAAGCAAGCAAGCAAGCCACAACTAACCGAATCACACAAGGCGAATGCCCCAACGCGCTCCCGGGATCCCCCTTCGCACTCAACACCACGCTCTCCAGATCCACAAACTCGCGCAGCCGCGGCTGCCCATCCCGCTCCGCATAGTCACACCCGGCCGCACTGATCAGCAACACATTCGCGACCCCGGCCTTCTTGGCCGCGCTCGCCAGCTCCAGCGCCACGTCCAGCTTGTCGGCGCGCGCCGGCGGCACCAGGCAGAGCGTGTCGCAGCCGGCCTCCTGCAGCGCCGCGGCCACGTCGCGCTCCCGGCCGGGTCGGTGAGCTACCACCACGGCGCCGAGCGCCTGCAGCTCTTTGGCTTTCGCTGAGGACGGGTCTAGTGTGAGTGCTGTGAGGCTGGTGAGCTGCTGCTTGAACTTGTCGTCGGTTAGGAGTAGCTCGGCGATGAGGAAGCCGGTTTGGCCGTCGGCGGAGGTGATGCAGATGTTGCGGGTCATGTCGGGTGGTTGTTAGTGGTTAGTGGCGGTGGTGGTGGTGGTGGTGTGTTTGGCTGGGTGAGTTATTGGTGTGACTGTGTAAGTGAAGTTGATGGAGTGAAATGATGAGGGATGGTAGTGTTGAAGAATAGCTTTTGAAGACTTTGAGGTCCTCAGTTTTGGAGAACAGTGCAAACTCTCCTCCATGAAGTCATCATTCCAGGTTGGTCGTGGTTTGGTTGTACGGCGTTCTAATTACATCATGACTCTCCGGTGTTACAGGGAGGTCCTTCACCATGGACCATGGCTGGTTCCGCCAGACGTCTTAACCCAACCCAGTCAGGTATTTCCCCCTTGGTCACTAACACGTAAATAATCAATTATTATCCTCTGAGCCAAGATCTCGGGATCGAACAAGTCACAGTTGCGGATAGACCCGCTAGCAACAATGCCATCATTCACGTATTAGCACCGCTGTTTCGTTGGGTCCGCAAGTTACTTAACCCCGAGCCTCACAGCCCATATAGGTAAGGTCCCTAGGTAGTGCCAAACGGAATTTGAAATGAGTCAGACAGGAAAATTATGGTGAACTCATCCTTCGTTGGTGCGATACGCGAGGTCGGCTGTCCCAAAATCTTCGCCTCAAAATTGCCATGCTGAGCCTTCCCCGTTCATCCCTCGAGCTCTTGCTTGACCACGATTACGCCTGCACCAGCCTCCGCCGATTGTTCCTCCTTCATCGTGTAGCCGTCTTCGGCGCTCATCGGCGCCTCTTGCCCGCCCCTGTGCACTTGTTGCTGCGTTCCATCGTAGTGAAGAAGTTCCAAAACGGGTCGTAGGTTGTAGAGGGTCTGGAGTTTGACCAAGACGCGGTCTGAATTGTAGTTTGTGCCGTCGGCACTTCCGGTCTTGAGGATGCCCGGAGAGACGACCAGGTCGACAACCGGCATGGTGCCTTCCATTGTGACTAGTGGCACGTCTTTGAAGAGTTCCATTGTCTCGGCGTCAAACGGGAATCCGAAACTTGGGGGTGTGACGAGAGGCAACTTGATTCGGGTAATGAACACCTGGAAGTCTGCTTTTGAAGCTCGAAAGATGCCGGCGAGGTGAGCGGCGTTCTGAACTATGTCCAGTAGGTCTTGCTGCATCCCCGGCAGAGCATCGCTTCGTGTAAAATACGTCGATGGTATAGCCAGCTCGAGTAGGGCGACCATTTCGCGTACTAATAAGGCGGTCGAGCTCGCTTCATCATGGTTTGAAAGCGCGGATATCAGGTCGGCCGATCGAACTCGCCAGTCATGAAACTTCTCAGCCGCAGCATCGCGGGAGGTTGGAGAATGAATGTTGGCGATCGTCTCTAGATATAAATTGTCATCAGCTCAGAATCACGAGTACGAATTCTACGTGACGCTCTTACCTCGGAACTGATCACACTGGATCCTAAACGCCTTGCCCACTTCCCCAGCCCAGAAAGAGGAATGAGAATCGAAGATGCGAAAGCACAGAAAGTGCCAGATCCAAGACTCTAGGGTGACTTGGTAGAGCATTGGAGCCTGTAAGGTCATGGCTGGCTGCGGTAGCCACGTGAATAATCTTTTCTGAGCAAGCAGATGTGCAGTGTGCCCGTCCAAGGGTTCCGGAAAGTATTCTGACACAAACTGTCGAATAGAGAAACCGAGCATCTTCCACTTGGTTTGAATTTCAGTGTCGGAGAGCTTCACACCTTTGGCAAAAGCCTTGTCCCTCAAGTCATCCAGTTCCTGCGCAAATTCGGCTCTCTGTTTTCGAATCTGACTCGCTTGCTCGGCGACCGTTTGGGACATCTCACGGTTTTCAGCCGTGAGTTCTTGAATCCGCTTCTTGCACTTGGTGTTTTCCGTGAGCAACGCGTTCACCCCAGTGTCTCTAGACACCTGGCTGTTTCCTGTGTTGCGAAACAGGTTTCTAGGAAACCAACCCGAATCTTGGTTGGTGGCGGCAGTCGGTTGGCGCATTTTGTCGATACTCTCCTTTGGACGGCCGCTTTTTTGCCCCATATCCTCGACTACCCGCCCAAGGTCGTCCAAGCCGCGACGCAGCGATGTCTTTGTTTCCATCAGCTCTTCGTTCTGCTCTCTGAGTATCTGGTTCTCTGCCTCCAGTCGCTCATTCTCGCCCTCTAGGATCTTGTTCCCACGGATACCGTCGGAAATTCGGCCGAGAAGTTCTTGCGTGCGCGGTGAACTTCCGTTCTCTTGCGAATTGAAACTCCGGGACAAATCAGGTCCGGCGTCGTGCCTAAAAGTAGTCATCGGCTCCGTTTTACTGCGGCCGTCGTAATGGCGTCTGTATTGGGCGCTTCCCTGCACTTCAGAATTGGTTCTTATCATCTCGACCGACGACTCACGCCTCTTCTGGCCATGGGGCGTTCTCGATCTGCCCCGGCGACGGCCGGGGCTTTCCATCGGTTGACGGTAAGGCATCTTGTCTCTTCAATAAACTGTTTCCGTAACCAATCGCGTTAGTTATGTGAGGGCGAGCGACGGGACAGACACATTGGAAGAAAATAGAGGGGGCGTTGAAGGAATGAATAATCGAGGCGCGTACTCACGTTCGGTAGTCGAGTTCGCCTCGTTCTCTTGCGAGGTTGCTTTACAGCTTTGGTCGGAGCCTCGGTTATGTTGCGCCAAAGGCCAATGAACATGGCACGATCCCAAAGGTTTCACTCGAACCCGAGAATCGGATGGCGGAAGAGGCGCTTCTTCGAGCTGGTTGAGTGGAAAGTGTAAATAGAATGTCCAAGTCCGTGGGGGGGTTTCGCCGGTGGCTACCGGTAAGGAAGGAACCGGGTCGTGCGTTTTGAGCAAAGTTAGAAGAAAATGACAGTCGATATAGAAGCGCCAAATCTTTCGGGAAGGTAATGGATGAGGATCTAATTAATCAGTCTCCGCGCTAGAACCGCAAGTCCAATTGTTCGGGAGTATAATGCAACCCCGAAATGGCGGCGAGGATACGGAGGTCGTAGTTGAGAGAGAATGGTAAGGATGACGGTCTTTATTCATTATCTACCTGGTACTACTGTAGACTTTACGCATGATAACACAGCTGCAAACCCAGCAGCCCCTAGACCTCCGCATGGCCATCGACGGAACCATGACCCCACAGGAACTCGACGTCTACAGGGGCGCCGCCGAACGAAGGGTCATCTTGCACTGCGGCCCGAATGGCGTCGAGGTTCGGACCGATCGGAGAGACGAAGTGAATGCCGCTGATTGCCAAATGTTTCCCGAAAGACGGATCATCGTCATCTTGTCCCCCAATGTAGATGCCGATGATTTTGCCCTCGTAATTGAAGACCAGACTGCCGGAGTCGCCTTTGCGACCAAAGGGATCGACAGAATAGCTCGACACATCGTGCGATCGGGTATACTGCGGAGGGGCGACGACAACCAAGCCCTTGCCCTTGATGATGACCTCGTCGCCGTAGTCAAATTCATAACGCATCCGAATGCTCGAGTGGATGCGATTGAGCTCCCCTCGGGTCTTTCCTGTCGATCGTCCGCATTTGAACACCGCGAGCGTATCTATGCCGTCCGGGTGGGGTATTCTCATTGTGGTCAGCTCGTCGAGTGATGCGATGCCGCCGTGCTCGTCGAGCTCTGTGGTATCGGGTTGACTATGCTGGAGATAACTAATACCATCAGGGCCAAGTGCCTAAATCCACGTTAGACAATTTCGCGGGGCGATCACTTGGGACGGGGAAGGGTCCTTTCTTACACTCGAGAGGTTGTTATAGGAATGCACCCGACCTGGAGCCAACTCGGCCAAACCCTAGTCAATAATCCAAGCATCCTCGGATGAGCCCACTCCAGACGTGCAGTAGACTCGGGCGAACTCGTTCTGGAAACCGAGGAGTTTCAGACGCCTGTCTTGGTACAGATGCAAGAAGTCTTCCTCTTGCTTGAGCAATTCCTTCCGCCGCTCGCTGGGCGCCTTGGCTTCCGTCTTAATCCTGAGAAGAGAACGGGCAATTCTCCGGTTAGTTTCCTTAATATGCTGCTCGATACCCGTCTTCTAGGCCTGTATCTCGCGCTCAGAAGGGCATACGACCGCGAGGTGCGGCAAGTTGGATGGCCGGATCGCAGCTTGATCCCCTGAACCAAGTTAGCAGGAGTGTTTACCTAGGTATGTACTTATGAGGGAAGCGGAAGGCGCCCTACTGCTCAGAACGTGGTGGCAAGTCAACGCCATGTATTTGAAGTGTGGTGCCGTACCAACGCGGAGGTACCCGCCCAGGGTCCCGGCCCGATCACAGTTCAAACGACCAACCAAAACACCAATTTGAGGCTTGTCGCAAAATGCTTCGTCAAACTCGAATCCTTTGCAGCCGCGCTCTGGTCCAAGCCAAGGTAACTTGTACCCGTGCGGTATGGCGTCGGCTTCAATGATCTCAATGGCGACATCGTGAAGGTCGGGAAAACGATAGACGGATTAAGCAGTCAGGTTGAGCTGCGTGACGGCCTCGTCCGAGGTCATTGTGTTCGGTCGAACTCCCACCAGGATGGTCGCAGGGCTCTCCTCTGGTCCCTGCATCGAATAACCGACACGGCAGACGGTGATGTAAGACCAATCCGCTGCCGAGAAGATGTTGTGCAAGTCATCTCGAATGCCCTGCGGGTCGAATAAGTCGACAATGGGATGGTCGTCAATTGCAGTCGCGATTCTCATGCATCGACCGCGCTCCGGGTTCTCAAGCCGCGGTAAACTATGGCAGATGCGCGCGAGAAAGTCACCTTTGCCGTCAGCCTCGGTTTGTAGAGATTCCATTTTCGTGGGGTTTCAAGTTGATGACAATCAAAGTGATCCGAGAGTGTTGCGTGAAGATCTAGGGGCAGCGGCGCTAGCGAGGAGAGAACCATTTTGTACCTACTCGGAGGTCTGATGACTCACCGAAACAATTCACTGATTACCTGGGTGTTATTCACCGAAATGACCGGATGGAAAGGGTGGATGTTCCAGGAACAGAGGTCACATGTGGTGAGAGTAAGTCACCATTTTCTAAACGCACAAACCGCTACCTGGGAGACCAGAGGAAAGGCACTGGCAGCTATTCGGTGGAGCATATAGCTTTCGGTAGGTAGCAGCTCATGTCCCTTTCCCTGTCCTTTCCCTTCCGCCCTGTGTCCGCCAAGTATCTCCCTTAATCAGCAAACCCGTGTTGGTTTCTGGTCTTTGGCTACCTACCTAGGTAGTGACGGCCGCTTTCCTCCCCGTTTCCCCTCCCATCCTTAAGAAGCCTCAACATTGACTGAACGTCACAAAGAGCCTGCAGTTTGACCAAAACCCGCTCACGGTGGTAGTGGGAGCCATCAGAGCTCCCCGCTTTGAATAGTCCCGGAGAGACAGCGAGGTCAACGATGGGGGCAACGGTGTTATGGCGGGGGACGAGAATGGTTTTCGCTTGTTCCATTGTCTCGGGGTCGAACCGAAACCCGAAACTTGGAGGGTTGATCAACGGTAGTTTGACGCGGGTGATAAAGACTTGGAAATCGGCTCTTGCCAGGCGGAAGAACTCGGCCAGCTCGATCACCTGGTGCAATATCTCGTGGGCATCGCGATAGATGCCAGAGTTGGTATCTGTCTGGGTTTTGATGCACGAAGTGAGCGGTCCCAACGCTTCCAAAAGGGCCCCAGTCTCAACCTCGACCACATTATCCAGGCTAGGCTTTGCAATTGTCGACATGAAGTGTGTTGATCGCACTCGCCATTCGTGGAACTTGGTGACAGTGTCGGCGGATGTCGGTGAGTGTCTGGTGTTGGAGAGGTTGCCTGTCACTTGATCAGCAAAAGGAAATCGTAACAATATCAAACTCTCTTGCGGTTCACTCACTCCGGAATCTGTCGCAAAGAATGCCCAAAATCTTGCCTTCCTCTCCGGCCCAATGTTTGGAGCGCGAATCAAAGATCCGGATACACAGAAAGTGCCACACCCAGGACTCCAGAAGAATAGGGCAGAGTAGAGGTGTCCGTAATAGCGTATCAGGGAGCCAATCGAAATGTTCCACATCCGCAAGGCCTTGGATGGTTGGAAGATCCAGTGACTCTGGTAGATGCACTGAGACGAATTGCCTAACTGAGAAGCAAAGCGCTCCCCATTTCCCTTGGATCGCCGTATCCGAAAGACTTGGCACATTGACGAAGATGTTGCTCTTGATGGCCTCTAATTCCCCGGAAAACTGGCTCGTCTGGAGCTGCAGCTGTTTCTGATGCTCAGCTACCTCGCTTTGGAGCTTGTGGTTCTCGGCTTGCAGCCCCCCAATTTTCCACTCGTCGTTAGCAAGCTTCGTCTTCAGCTCAGTGATGAGTTGCTCAGCGGCCCTGTCGCTGTTTCTCGTCCCCGAGAACATGTTGAGACTCCAGCCCTGGTTTTGGGCGGTGTTAACGGTGTTGAGCTTCTCCATCAGGCCGCGAACATTCTGTTCCAGAAAGTTGCACTCCGTTGACTTCCGCTCCAACTCTCTTTTCAACTCGTTAACGTCATGATTTAGCGCTTTATTTTGGTTCCACAGGATGTTGCGGTCTTCGCGGAATCCGTTGCGCTCGGCTCTCAGCCGTCCGTTCTCCGCATGCAGAGCTTTGTTTTCGGTCACGACTGCAGCGAGCTCCTCTTTCTTGCTATTTTCTGCCGCGGATAAAAAGTCCGCCGGTAGCTGATGTTTTGGGTTGTTGTTCTGGTGGGTGAATGACTCGTGGTCATGCGTGGGCTGGGGTTTGCCATCATCGTATTCGGTCAGGATTTTGGACCTCATCTCGGAGGCTTCGTGCGCTTCACGGTCGTTTGTAGCTCGCGCTCTGGCCTGATAACGGGTTGAGTGGGACATATTCCAAGTTAGGTCATGGATTAAGGTGAGATGGCGCCTAATTGTGTCAGAGCATATGGTCGTTACCATGAAAAGTAGAGGAGCATGAAGCCAGTGAGTAAATCGTGATAATAATAATAATAAATGCAACTTACAAATCGACGGATCGGTTACGGCGAAGATTGGGATCGCCGTCGCAGATGAACTCCCAGAGTAAGTCAAGGGCCGACTTTGGAAAACAGAAAAATCAAGGTGGCCAAAAGAAAATGGAAAGTTAGCAGCGCAAAGGTAGGGTGCGGAGTGGCCCTAGCGCAAAACAAAAACCAGGAAACTGTTAAATATAGGGGAATAAAGGCGGCTCGTGCCTGGTACTTTTCATGGCGCGCGTTGCAATTTTCAACATCAACCAGAGCACTGAAAGCGGTGTTAGTATTTCCCTCTGGGGTAGGTACTCATGCTCGTCAAAGCGAAGGACCTAGAGGATTACCAATCCCTCGTCACTTCTGAGATCTATTAGGTAATTATGACGAACTTGGTTGGGAATATATGTGGTTCATTATAAGAGAACAAGCAACATACTACATCACGTTTAACTTGTCTCAGAATTGTGCTTTCTCAAATTCAGGTTGGCAATATGCGAGGCGTAGCTCTGGAGAACAAAGAAAGAGCTGGAAGAGCTCTTCTCCCGCAAAAGCTATCGTCGCCCGAACCTGATCACATCCCGAACTTAGACCGGCCACACGGGTCGATCCGTTAAACCAACAGCATCGGCTAGAACAGAAGGGCCCTATCCCCCTGCATCTCAGAAGATATGTGAGGACCTGCTGCTCTCGTAGTCCACCACAACGTTCTTAGAGCCCTGGCGCTTCCCATCGTGGTAGACGGCGAAGTCAAGTGATCCGCCGGCACACGTCATCTCGACCTCGAAATCGAGCGAGTGATAGACTTTTCCTAGACAGTTGGTGAATGTGCGCAACGACGACACAGCGATCTCGCTATCCCATTTGATGGTGCAAAGCACCCGCATACTGGCATCCCATCTATCCGAGACTTGCCCGGCAGTGTCAGTGCAGAGGATCTTGGTGTGTGCCATGGTCGCTGCTTCGCCTGGCTCGTAATCCAACGCGAACGCGTACCTCACAGGTTTGGTTGTCGATATCTCATCGCCCTATTCGTAGTTAGCAGGTGATTGCTTTGCGCATACAGCTGGCCTTGCTGTTTTGCGTTTGGCGGTGGGGGGGGGGGGGGGGGGGGGTTTACAATTTTGAGAAACCACTGCATTTGGTTGTCGGCCATCCAAGTCTGTCTTGGCTCATTCCAGACCTTATCCGCCTGGATGTGTTTACTTTTGGACCAGTAACTCATTTGTTTTATACCGCAGTTGAGGCGGGAAACCCTCGCCTGGACCTGAACTGGGAAGGCAGAGACGCCATTCAAAGTGGCAGCATAAATGACAGCCCCGCGGCAGATTGCCGTCCACCTACCGCACTGGTTAGTTGATTACTTTGAGTGTAACCTCTGTACAAAAGGTTTAGATGGCTTACGGCTTGGAACCACGGGATTGTAGAACTTCAATGCCACGACCAAGATGTTCCTTTAGGGTGGCCAACAAGTACGCACTCCTGCCGAACCCTCCAACCAGAATCACATACTGATACCAATGACTTGTCAGTAATGCATGGCAATTAACTGTAGGTCGTGGGGAGGTTCTCATACCTTGGGACCTTTGCCCTTGATCGCATGGACGGCGGCAACTTGTTCATCGACCATTAGGTGTATTTTGTCGAGCACAGGATCGAAGGCGCCGCGCACATCCTTGGTGGTCAGTGTAATCCTCGGGAGGAAACCGTCTAGCATGAGTGATCTCGGGTTGAGGCACTCGTAGGGCACCATGAGCTTCCAGATCTTTTCGCGACCATCAAATGCCGATTTGATGCCATTCTCCCATTCATCATGGAAGAGACGGTGCCGAGTCTCCGCCGACATCTTGGACCACATCTTCGAGCCGAACTTGCGCTCCAGGATCTCAGCGAAGCCTTCGTCAACAAACACGGCACCGCAAAGACTGCCTACGTCAACATTAGCCGGCTACGTTACACGAAACAAGGGGTCGAGAATAGTGGTGCGTACCCTGGCCCTGGACACACTCTTTCACCACCATGGGCGAGATGCTAACCACTTCGTAACTGATGATGTCGGCAGTGCCGCCGCCGCAGTCGGCGACCACGAACGTGTCGCCAGCCTACCAAATTGAAGTCAGCAGGGAGGTAAAAAGCAACAAAAGATGCTGAAATCGTACGTACCTTGATATCACTGCGGCCATCCATATCCGCGAGCGTAGCCAAGGCGGCAGCCTCCGGCTCGGAGATGAAGAGCAGCTCAGTTTCACCGGCAGCGCGCGTGGCGAGCATGCCAGCCTGCTTAGCAGCGTCTCTCATTCGGCAACGGGCATACTCGGGCCAAATAGCGGGCAGAGTCATGACGATCTGGAATCTGCTGTACTGGACGAGGTTGCGGCTGACTGTGTCGGAGATGCGCTGAACAGCATGGTTCCACAAGTGGCGCAGGTACTGAGCAATGGCTTCGACCGTCGTAATGTTGTACTTCTTCAAGTAGGCACGAGCTTCGTAGATTTTGGTCGAGCATCGAACCTCGTCAGGCAGGTCTTGGTCATCGATGAGCAGGAGCTTGAACCACTTTGCGTGCTCCTCGCCAAAGGGGATGTTGTAGCCCCAGCTCACCTTGCCCTTTCGGCTCAATGAGATAGCAGTCGGGGTCTTGTCTTCGTCGCAATTCGAAGGCAGCTCCGAGTCCCAGCTTGCGAGAACCTCGATGTTGTCAACCTTTTTCGACCAAGTGAACGCGACCCCGGAATAGGTGGTTCCAAAGTCGATTCCGATACTAATCGTGTTGTCAGGCCCGGGGCCCTGGGACGCCATTGCTGCGATTAACAACCAAAATGAAACGAGGCTTGAGTAGGTACAGAAATGGAAGAAAACGAAAGATAGAACTGGTGGCTCGCGATAATGCCGACCTGATCGGCTGTTGACGGGAAACGGAGAGTTCCAGTTTGCTAATTGAACGGAAAGTCGAAAGCAGAAGGAAGGAACGGTGAGTTGTGGAATAAAGAGGAAAATAGCAACCTAACTGGAAGTTTACGCGGAAAATTCAGTGTGCGTTGCAGGTAATTAGGTAGATTCCATCCTCGCTATTGACGGGACAAAAGAACAAGCAGCGGGGGCCGAAAACCCAAAGGCAAACTAACTTGGTCAACTCAATTCTACTTTTAAAAACAACCTGGAAACTAGACTTCGGAGAAAGCAACAAATACCCGAACTTTGTAGGTGACCAGCCGGCGGTAATTTGCATAAATACCTAGGCATGTGAACAGTCACGAGTCTGGTGTTGGCGTTGCATTCGCCCAAAAGGGTTTTATTATTGAGGTATTCACGACGGTGGATATAATTACTATACTGCTATAAACTTTATAAACATGCACTTCTACGCTGTCTACCGGATTAGCATGTCACCACCCTTGCTCGGCTTCCCAAGCTTTCAGGTGTTTCATTGCTAGAATAATTCAACTCCAAAAAGTCGGGCGTTCAAGATTTGGGAGCCGAAAGAGCACAGATACGAATACAAAAGGGGCCAGTCATGTTTATTTCTTCTTGGCAATCAAGCGGGGCTAGTCTGTCTAAGGCGGCCGCGTCACATCAGCAGCTGATCTTTGTTCAGGCAGGCACTTCTTGGTGGTGCTGTGCTACATCCGAGATTCACTCATCTTCGGACCTCCGTGTGGAGAAGGCAAATAGCGACATGGCATGACCCCTGGAGGGCAGGAAGTAAGAACGATCCTCGAAAGGGCTTTAGATCAACGTAGCTTCCTTCTCGTCGACGGTATTTAAACCACAGGGTCGGCAACTCTTGTACCAACCCATCTTCATCTTCAAACAACCAACTTCATTCTTGCTTCTGTAGGTATTCATCATGCGTATCTCTGCGTTTCTTCTCACCTCCCTCCTCCCCATCTGTCTTGGGGCGGCAACATTTTCCCCGCAGACCCAGCCCGATCCCTACGAAGCCATCCACCAGAGGGAGTCGATTCTTGCCGAAACTCTGGACACCAAGGACTGGGACCGGCTCGACGAGTCAATGACACAAGACGTCGTCTACGACAGCAGGCCTCTGGGTCCGGCCTACGGCGGGCTCTCTGTCGGCCTCGAGGAAGTCATCGAGAACACCAGGAACGCGTTCGGAGATGCGTTGGTTGCACACCACGTCTCCAATGCAATCATCAGACTGAACCATGACGCATCCAAGGCCAATGTCACCACCTAGTGCGTACAGTCCAGTCCCATGCACCAAAATCTTGAGGTTCGGGACTAACAATTAGCAGTATCGTCTGGTCTCGCTGGGAACCGAATGCGCTCCACGATGCGAAGAAGACGTTTCGGATATACGAGAGGTGTGACGACGAATTTGTGGTAGATGAGGGGAAGTGGAAATTGAAGTACAGCCTGGTCACGAACCTGGCCCCCAAGGTCGAGAACCCTTACTTCAACAATGGACAGGGTGTGTATTAGTGCATGGAATTGCAAGTCCCACGTCCTTCTCTGAAGCGCGACTACTGCATATGTTCAGCGGCAACCCCGGCCGTTTGGAACCGTGGTTGGGGGTTGAGCGTGTGGCTTTGTTGACAATGATGGTGTTGTCCGTCTCGTTTTGGTGGATGCGATCGTTATAATTCTTCAATAAGTAACGTTTATTCTAATCAGATAATACATGGCCAATAAAAAAAGCTGTGCCTAGCGCCTCGATGGGATGTTGCGAGGTTGTTTTAAAAAGATTGGAGGACTTTCTCGGCCTCGACCGCTTCGAAACCGCCCTATATCGACCAACCCGGCCGAAGAGGATGCACTTTGTGCCAGGATGCGGCTGCTCGGTGCCGTATGGTGTCACAGTGTAGAGAACAAATCCATTATGCCATGCGATTGGCACTCTATGGGAGAAGGGCTAGAGGAGAAGGAGCGTTTCATCGGAGTCACGTCCCTGGGGTGTGTGTGGGTTTTGGAAACAGACTTTGAAGACAGCTCAATCAGGCAACTTGGGAGAATCAACAACGCCAGGGATATGGGGGAGAAATGCAAGCCGATTGAGAGGTTTCGTGGCACCTTCTGTGCCGACCCTAGTGACTGTCCTCTTCTCGACTTCAAATCTCCCGTTCCAGAAAGAGCCGCCTTACAGATCCTGGTTGTTGACAATAACGCCTATAATCTGAAAGGCAAGCACCCGCCCGTCCCGCTCTTAAGGGTCACGGGAGGATCTGGCTTTCGGGTTCCGGCGGCGATGATTCCCGCTAAGCGGCAGAGGGCTGGAGTTCAAGTGGATCATGGGTAGGTAATTTTGGCAACCCAGATATATAGGGAGATAGGATGTAAAGATAGCGTTCGTTTAATTGCTCAAGCGTGATCGTTGCAAACCAAGCCCAAGGAAAGGGGCTCAGGGGCAATGTTTACTTCTTGGCAGTCAAGTGGAGCCAGCCCCTGAAAGCAGCAACAGCACACTCTCCGGAGAAAACCTCCAGCTGGAACAACTGCCGTCGGGAAGGAAAGCGCAGTTGCGTGCCAATCCTCTAAACGCCATCGCAGTTGGGCAGTGGCTCGCCCGACAGTGTTTGTTTTCCCCTCCCCCACCTCACCTAGTGAACCTTTGCGACCGAATACCTATCCAACCGCCCCCGCCACCTACCTAATTACTATGCAGTAATCTCAAATATCATGGGCGACTCATTGCGGTTGAGCGAAGAACAGTTCCGCGAGATCTACGAAAAGAGTCACACAATGTGGCTCAGCCTATACCAGATCGCGACCAGGCACCCATCCCTCCCGACCCAGCACCTCGCCTCCCACGCCGCGTTCTTTCGTCATCCCATCTTCCCAAGGGGCCTGCGACTAGCCAACATTTACACTCAAAACAATCGGCGATACGCAACCGGTGATGCCGTCTGGGGGTTGACGAACTCAACAAATACGCCATGTCCCCAAACGCCGCCCACCTTCCATCTCCCACAGGCATTTGCGATCGGCATGCGGAATCCCGTCTCAGTCCAGCTAGCCATTTCCGAAAAGCCCGAATCCGCCTCACACTAGAAGTCATGGTTCGTTGAAGGGGAACAAAACTATCTTTCGATCCTAATCCTGGCATGGGCATACATCATGTCGGCACGTTGGGCTGAAATGATGCCCGGGGGGTGCAGAATTCAGTATCTGATCCAACGGGCCCAAGAGGTTGAATACATGCCGTCGGGGAGGCAAGGGGCAGGCCAGCTCAATGTAGTTGTGGACATTGGTGACGCTACTCCAGCCGAAGCTCGCTGGTGGGCCGCCGTTCTGGCACCAGGCCGGGGCTGGTTGGCGGCCACGACTGAGGGCAACGAACCGTTCTGGTCTCCTTGGTCTACCCGGCTCCAATCGGGGCCGCGATTCTTTATATCGCGAAGGCCGAGACTGGAGGTGAAGTTTCCACCGCCAATCATACAGACTCCGCCATCTCAGTCAGCGCTCTACTTCCTCAACAAGTTCTGCCTCCGTCACAACATGGTGGCCCAGAGCCATGCCGCGCTCGCCGCCGTTCTCCTCTTACCGTCGGTCCCAGATAGCACAAAAGTAGTGCGTTTACCAGCCGTCGTAGTCAACCAGCAACCAACGTCGCCAATCAGTAGGGACTCGACGTGTGGCCTCAGCCACGATTCGCTGTTGCAATCGCTGTCCACGCTCGACAGGCTTGTCACCCTGGGCTGCAACGTCCATTGCACCGAATCCATGCTCCTCAGCGTCTTCTACGAACCCGGCATCGGATGCAACGCAGTCACCCCATAGCTCGGGGGCGCCCTGGCCGTTATCGACTCGCTCGCCTTCGACAAACCCTTGGTGCTTGGCCGCATGATGATGGAGCGGAAACCCCAGGTAGCCTTCCTGTGGATCGGCGCAATTATACTGGGCTTGGACAAGGAACTGTTGACCATCGTTCGGCGCGGTGACTTCCGCGCCAACCTAAACGCCGCAGCATGGTCCGACTCGGAGCAGAGCTTCGTTCAAGAACCCGTCCGGGAGCCGCTCGTTGTGGACGGCATGGTGACTCGGGCGGACCAGTGCCGATTGCTGGCCACGTGGCAGACATTGGGCCATTTCGTGGCACCGGGGCCCCCGTGGGTGCCGCCCGGGTCAACATGGTTCAAGCATGTCGACCCGAGCGTCCTGCTCCATTTTCGGTGCGGCGGGCATAGGCTGCGGTTTCTGAAGTTCGTTTGGCACCCAGACCCGACGGTCGAGCCAAGAAACGCCCCCGGTATCACAGGTATAGAGGCCGGGTTCAGCAATACCCCTACGGCCCCGAGGGAAGTATCCGTCGACGATTGGCGGTTGTTATATTTCGGGGGTCAGTCCGCGTCGGATGAGGCTATGGGGGTATTAACTATTTACATTGTCGCGACCTGCGCCTTTTCAGCACATGAGCAAGAGATATGGATGGAGGATTGGCGAGCGATGATGGGGGACAGCGAGGACGACAAGGACACCGAGGACGACAAGGACACCGAGGAGGAGGAGGACCCTGGGAGTGACCCGAGTTCGGAATCAGACTCGGAGTAAAAACAGCCGGTGGCCTATTAACGGGTCGTCCCGATTGACGCTCATCATTTCCTTCTGGTCCCTACCCAGCTGAGTCCCTAATGTTCCCTTTCCCCAACCCATTTCCGGTAATCCATCCCCCTGGAAACCCTGCGCCACCCACAAACGGTCGTATCCGGTTACCTCGAATGGCACAGGCGTCGTAGGGATTGGGAGCGTACGCGGAAACCACGATACAATACCCACCAAGCGATAGTCGTCGGAGGTTGATTTAGTCCAACCCTCTGAAGCGGGGTTCAGCAAAATAATACAAAATGGACCCAACCAGAAAGTTTGCCGTGGCCAGGGTGGTGATAACTTGCCCGCAGCCCATACCGATGGTGAGTTGAAGCACTGGCAGCCTATGTGGTGTCTTCTGCCGTGGGTTGGTTGTTTGAACTTTTAAACCAATAGGTCCCCCGTCGGCGCGTCCCTTCTCCTCACCTCGAGCTGAACAGACGGATCAACCATAGCGTAGAAGCCGTGCTGCAGGTTCTTAGGCTCGCAACCTTTGGCCAGTCGTATGTCGTACTTGCAAAGAATGTGAGCCAGCGCGAGCTTCAACTCGTTGCTCGCGAAGAAGCGTCCGGGGCAGATGTGCCGGCCACCGCCGAACACATTGTAGTTTGGGCTTGACTGGACGAACTGGCTGGCCGTGTCGCCTTCTTGACGCTTGCGCAGGAACCGGCGCCCGTCGAATTGGTCTGGGTCGGGGTACACGGCGGGATTCCACAGGTCGGTCGAGTCGACCATGATGTGGGAGCCACGGGGTATCACTCTGCCGTCGGGAAGTGTTGTGTCTTTGAGGGCTATGCGCTCGAGGACCACTAAAGCAAATCTGTCAGCGCAGGCACTCACTAGAACGAGAGAAACAAAACTAGACACGCACCCGACCCGCTGTTCAACCTCTGCGACTCCTTCATGAAACTGTCAAGCAGAATCATATTAGACATCGCAGCAACCGACACCCCATGTTTCGCAACCTGCTCCACCACCTCCTCCCTCAACGGCCCAACCAGCTCCGGATGACGCGCAACCTGAATCAACAACGCCCGAAACAGCTCCGTCGTCGTAAACAGCGCCGCCATCGCCAACGAAAGCTGCACATCCCCCGCCCTCGCCCTCCCCCCCGACGCAATCTCCGCCCACTCCACCGCATCCTCATACCTCACCACCCCCCCACTCCCCTCCCTCTCCGCCCTCCTCTCCCGCTCCACCTTCCTCTCCCGCAGCATCCCGTCCATCACTCCCCTCGCTTGGCGGACATACCCGCGGCAGGCGATCGCGTTGGGCAGGACCCAGTGCACGAAGGGGCGCGCCCAGCGAGGGTAGCGGTGTAGGTCGGCCACGCCGCTGAAGTAGGCGAGCACGTAGCCCTGCACGAGGGCTAGCCACGCGGCGTCGGTGGCCTTTTGGGGGCCCGCGAAGACGGAGGTTGCGGTGCGCGCGATGAGGGCCATGGTGTCGGTTTGCCAGTTGAGGGCGTGCCAGGTGGGTTTGGTGGTGTTGGTATTGCCCCAGAGGGTGTGTAGGGCGTGGGAGAGGGTGGTGTTCATGGTGGTGAGGGTGCTGTCGTTGGGGCCCATTTTGGTCTTGATCAGGTCGATCAGCATGGAGTCTGGGTCGTGTAGGATGGAGAGGGCTTCGAAGCCGGGGATGCCGGAGAAGAAGTCTTCTCGGACGAGCTGCTTGTGGTCGAGGTCTTTGTTGGATTTGACCCAGCTGGTGAGAGAGGAGGGGAGGATGATCTTTTGGCCGTGCGGGATGGCGATTGTGATGGGGCCTTGGTGCTTGGCGAGACCGGCGGTGATGAGTTCTTTGGCATTTTCGCGGACTTCGCGGTATGCCCTTCGGCGGAAGAAGTCGCCTGGGTATTTGTTGACGATGGGGAAGGTGGGCTGCTGTCGTAGACGGAGGAGGAGATGGTATATGCTGGCTAGAATCGCCAGAGCTGTCCATGTACGGACGCTTAGAAAAAGTTCCACCAACATTTTTGTGTGAAGGCTATAGATATTGGAGAATGGTACCCAAGTTCAAGGAAGAATCGTTAATTACCCATACTGAAGATATTTTGGAAATACTTATAGGACTTAGATACCTACCTTACGCCAAAGTCGAACGTCATTATAAGAAATTGTGTGGGGCCCAGCCCGGAATGGTTCAGTATGAATCATCGCGACAGGGAGAGGCCCTGTAATAATTCCAAGCACCGCTAGCATATTCAGTCGACCTTCGATGCGGAATGTAGAGTTATAATGTATGGTGTACTTCCCAATCCTTCCTTGTCCGCACTACAATGGGCGTATAATCACGGTAACATCCTAGAAGAGGAAGAGCAGGGAGTCTTCTTTCTTCGGCCGCACGCCAGACTTATCGTGTATGAGGACCCCGATCGTGCCAAGACTCTATAACTGATCGTGCATCAAGGGCTGTCAAGAGCTGAAATGGGAATTGCAACACAAGGGTGGCTGAGAGTATCGATCTAACGGGGTTGTCATGGGGCCGAACGGACAGCAAACCGTCACGGTGCCACCGCATATGCATGGTTCTTGCACCCAAATTGCTTGGGTACCACTCTGGGCTCTAGTATAGTAGTACATGATGGCAGTGTAACGGGGTCGTGCAACAGAATCCACCGAGATCAGGGGCACAACAAGCAGAGCTGAGGCCTTGTACACGACGGATAAATTATAGGCTCTTTGGAGTGCTGCTGATCTTGCCCAGCGCAGGGTGGGGTTGGGGGCTAGAGGGTTACGGCTTTGAAAAAGAGGAGTTGGGGAGTTTGACGGAAGACAAGAACTTAACCATCAACAGGCGACTTCCCTCAGCAGGCCCCATCTCTAGGCAACAGTTCGTTTACCTGAAGCGCTCGTTCCCTGTCAAAATCGACTGATTCCTTTCAAGTTCGATACAGAGCCGTTTGGTCTTTGAGTCGGAGACGCGGGACTCAACTGCCATTCAGATAAACAGGTAATGACTCGGGGCTCATGAGCCACGCCAGTTCCTCCCTTGCATGGTCAGCCGAGAAAGTCTTACTCGTCCAACGAACTGTATCGCGCTTCTCGATCCCCCCTTTTCTCCGGTAAGATATTTCGTGCCTATCTTCAAATCTTGATATTTAGACGCCTCGAAGCCTGGTCCAGGTTGGAATCTAACATTTAGCAACATCTAGACGTGCTCAATAGGTACCTACCTACCTAGAGGCAAGGAGATGATGGCATCGTCCGGGACTTCTTTCCCCTCATACCACGCCTTGGCGCCGCCGGAACACCACGGACAAAAAGTCGAACTGCAGTCTTCCCATCCTTCATCCGATGCGGATCCGGCCTCGCCAATCTTTGCAGGCGTTGAGCTGTCATGGCGGCCGTTCTATTTGCGGCGCCGCATTCTCTTTCCTTTTGCCGCCATCTTCTCTCTAGTCATTGCCGCTACAGAGACGCTGCTCGCGGTTTCGGACAAAAACAATGGCATCGCTTCGGCCTCGTTTGGCCAACACTACCTCTGGGTATACACCCCAACAGCCGCCCTAACGCTGATCGCCGCTGTTTGGGGCCGAATTGAATATCAAAGCAAGCTGGTGGCACCGTGGATCCGTTTGTCAAAACAGCCGAGCAATGGGAAACGCACACTGTTGCTCGACTACATATCCGACTTCCAGCTATGTGTAGTATTCAAGGCTCTCCGCAACCGCGACTTCACCGTCTCCATCGTTTCTACTGTTTCCATGATGATCAGGGCCATGATCGTTATCTCGACCGGCCTCACTACCCTCTCTTGGACCCAAGTCCATCACCAATCCTGGCCTATGATGCTCCAAGACCGCTTCGTTGATAGCAGCAGCCGTCTCACTAACCCGGGGGACCTGGCCCCGTATATTATACGAGGGCTGCAAGAATATAACCTCACCTACCCGGATGGCCTGTCCGACATCTACGCTTTTCAATCAGCGCGGGCCGACCTACCTGACATAGCCGAGACCCGTGTTACCGTTGACGGATTCGAGAACTCTCTTGAATGCAAAACAGCCGAATTGAGCCTCGTGAGCTCTAGGGTAGCCGGAAACAGCCCTCCAAGGACCATTAACTTGGCCATTGCATCATCTGATTGCAACGTGGAGCACCTAGAGCTTGGTGCGCCAGGCATGAGGGTACCACTGGCACTTAGCTGCCTTTCCAGTGGCTCGTGCACGCTGCTCTTTGCACGATTCATCCAGATACAATGTGACGGAACAACAGGCGACCCAGGAAGGAGGGCACTGGCCGTGTTCGGGAACATAACCTATTCCGTCGACCCTTCCAAGGATGAGATGGACGGTTTGCGTTACCAGGCGCGGTTACACCGATCTACGCAGCTGTTATGTGTTCCAACTTACAAAATCACAAAGGTCGACGTGGCCCGCAACGGAACTCAGACCCTAAACGTAACTGCATCCCCTGGCTCCACAGTCAGAAACCTTCATTCAGTCACTGCCTGGAATATTATGCAGTCTCATCTTTTCGCGTATGCCTGTGAACACGGCTGTAGCGGAAACCTCACCGTTACTGGAGTCTATGTTCCTCCAACCGATCCGATGAGTATCGCTATACCAAGCTATATCACAACGATTGGTCCTGTCGATTCTTTGTTTGACGCTGGGTTGCTTCAACAGCTTGTTACCAGCTATTATCGGCAGTTTACTGCTATAATAGCCAAACATCTCCTAATGGAACCGGCATCCATAGACACCAGCGGGTCCGTTGTCACGCACGAAAACCGGCGTATCGTGCAAAATTGGGCAGCCCAGTGGATGGTTGGCCTGGCTGCTGCTTGCCTAGGGTTTACGGCCTTGACGATGTTCTTCGTCCCACGGTGTGGTATCCTACCCTGCGATCCGACCACTTTACCTCAAGTGGCATTACTAGTTTCGCGGAGCCACGGCTTGCTGGCGACACTATGCTTCTCAGGTGCGGCAGATACGAATCATCTCAGCCACCACTTGCAAAATTCTACTTTCGAGTCAGGCGCCGTTCTCGACCCAATATCCACCCAGCCGCACTTTGCCGTCCTGGATATACGAGATCCTTCAGAGGAACCACAGCCGCTCCGACAAGTCGATCTAAGGCAGAAGCACCCCTACGTTCTTCATCCTGCTTCTCGCCTAGCATTGTGCATTCTCCTAGCGGCACTTATCTCCATCTTGGAACTTACACTCCGCCAGTCCAACAGCAACGATGGAATCAGAGATGTGGGCGATAACATCTACATTCACTATACCTGGACTGTTATTCCAGCTCTTCTCCTCGGTGCATTAAGTCTTGTCGTTTCCACGGTCGATTTTCATACTCGGTCACTCGCACCCTACGTTACTCTCAAGCGACTAATCACAGCTAGGGAATTCTTAGCCCTCGACTTCATGAATATGTCGACTCCCCGGACTATTCTCAGGGAGATCCAAGGCCGCAATCTTGGGGCTCTCGGAGGCACCTTGGCGTTCTTAGTTGCCGCCGTGTTAACTATCCCTTCTACATCTCTCTTCCAGCCACTTACCATTCCTATAACTACCCCAGCAATACTGAGGGCGACGAAGTCCTTCCCGATACACCTGTATGTCGCAAATTACGGCAACATGCTTGCATCCCTTATCCTCGAGGGCAATTTATCATACCCCAGACTTACCTATAGCGATCTCGCCTTCGCACAACTCGCCTTTACGCCATCGTCACTAGTTGACGACCGTTACATCAACATCTCTAGCGTTTCCGTCGTCGCGGACGTTCCCGCTGTGAGGTCCAAGTTAATTTGCCGCACCTACAATACGTCAAGTATCCATACCAACCTCGCGCTTAATGACACAGACCCACGGGATGGGACTACCCCTCTTGATATTTATATTGAAGGCGAACAGTGTGGTGTGGAAACCTCGAGAGGAATGATATATTATCGCAACAGGTTTCCCACCTTCCCAAGCATGACCTACTTCGGCGTCGCAACCCCCGAATTGTTTGGCTGCAGCGATCTCCTCTACGTCTGGGGCAGGCTCGAGTTCTCCAAGAACCCCATCATCCAACATATCTCGGCCTTGGGATGCAACGAAAGCTTTGAGGCCCTTTCCGTATCCACCACCTTCATCGGCCCCACGCTCGACATCGACACGCACCATCCCCCTCAGCCGCTCGAACACACAGCTCACCCGTCCACCACCATCTTCCGCGCCTCAAGCATCTACACCGACTTAGCCTGGACCAACACGGACCCGCACTACCTCACCCCCTTCTTCGCCATGCTGACCTCCTCCCCCTGGGCCATCCCCGTCCCCTTACTCGGCGACCCCTCCGCCACAACCACCATCATCAACGCAATCCGACAGCAGCACGGCATCATCCAAGCCCAAAACCTCGTACAACAACTCATCCCCGCCAACACCACCAACACCACCATCCCCCAGGGCTACCCCCCCGGCACCACCGACGACATCCCCCTCTACAACGCCACCATCACCAGCGCCCCCGGCTCCGGCCGCCGCCGCGTCGTGCAGGACACAACTTCAACCCGCATCCTACAGGGCTTGCTCGCTATCATCCTTGTGCTGCTGCTCGTCAACTGGGCGTGTATGCCCAACACGGATGTGCTTCCGCGGTCGCCCACGACGATTGCGAGCGCGGTGGCGCTGCTGGCGGGGGGGAATTTGCTGGAGGAGGGGATGGCGGGGTTCGGGCCCCTGAAGGGCTCGGATGGGGATTCGGGGATGGGGGGGTTGGATGGGAGGGCGGGGTTGCTGAGGGTTTTGTTGGCGGGTAAGGGGGTTGGTGGTGGTGGTGTTGATGGTGATGGTAGTGGAGATGATGATAGTGTGTATTTGAAGAAGAAGGAGGAACTGTTGAAGGGGGCTAGGTTCTGGATGGGGTGGGGGACTGTGCCGGATGTGGAAGGGAGGAAGGTTGGAGGGGGGGAGAATGAAGGCGGTGCGAGTCGGTTTGGGATTCATGTTGTGTGGCAGCAGGAAGTAGAAGAGGGATGGGAGAAAAAGGGGTGGAAGAGGAGGAAGGATGGGGGGAGAGAATGTACGGAGTATCGGGCGTTGGATACTTGGGAAGGTTGACCCGTGTAAGCATATCAGAGGAGTTAATGGCGGAATGAATGTGGTAAGATCTTTTTCATTGTTGGCTTTGATGTTTGCGCAGTCAACTGAAAAGTTGCTTCGGCACTTCATCACAGCGGTAACAACACGCAAACATCACAACGTGACACGTTGTGGGACTGCGCAGAGATAAGCTAATTAACCTACAGCTTCAATCAACGATACCCAGTAACTCCGGTACATGACGCGTGGGTAAATCATACGAGAGGTGGCGTGTGCGGGGAAGACCATTGAGATTATCAGATGGTCGTCACCCCATTGTTCGGGAGGGGACTACTGAACCCCTGACTGGCCAAATCTATGGCGTCACTCAACCAGATCGTGCTCAATGAGCACCCAGCGCAACCCAAGTTAAGTGGCAACAACCCGATAATACTGAGCATTTGATGAGTACCGGCTCCCGTTGAGCATGACGTTTCCCTTGAAACCGACACTCGTAAAAACGGCAAAGGCTGTTACAATGAGCGGTTCAAAGCAGCTCGCTCTCAAGGCCCTCCCTGCAATGGGAACTACAACCATGGCGGGGAGATCACGGCTGATCTGCACTTCAGCTTTTCGGTCTGGAGCTCTGACTTACCTAGCATCACGACCATCTTCATGGAGAACGCCTCTCAACTCCTACCGCCACTTACCTGCAGTCCAATGTTCACCTCTCACCACCTCATCTCACCGCTCCATCGAGGCGGCCAGGGAACCACACGCACCCAAATGGCGTCCGCCCACTGATGAGGGCCTCAAGCAGCGCCCTGTCCTCGTCGTCGGAGCGGGCAACATCGGCCGGCGGGTCGCCCTGGTCTGGGCATCCAACAAACGCCCGGTCACCATCTACGACATCTCCCCAACGGCGCTCCAGTCGGCAACCGAATACATCACCGACAACCTAGCCGCCTACTGCACAGCGCGCGGCACTCACCCAGGCCACGTGTGCACCACGAGCGACCTGCGCACGGCGACCACCACCTCGGGCCACCCGGCGCGCGACTCGGCGGGGGCCATCACGGCCGAAGAGCACACCAAAGCGCCCTGGCTGGCGATCGAGTGCCTACCCGAGTCGCTACCGCTCAAGACGTCGGTGCTGGCGCTGCTGGAGCGGTCGCTGCCGTCCGACTGCGTGCTGGCGTCCAACAGCAGCAGCCTGACGACGGCCGAGATGGCCGCCGAGGGGCCCCTCGACCACCCGCACCGCCTGCTCAACACCCACTACTTCATCCCGCCCCGCAACCGCATGGTCGAGCTCATGTCGTCGGGCGCCACCGCACCCCCGATCTTCTCGTTCCTGGCCGGCCAGATGCGCCGCGTCGGCTTCGCCCCCGTCGTTGTTCCGCGTGATATCCAGTCGCGCGGTTTTGTGTTTAACCGCATCTGGGCTGCCTGCAAGCGTGAGACGCTCGCGGTGCTTGCTGAGGGTGTGGCTGAGCCTGCGGATGTGGATGCCTTGTTTAGGGACTTTTTCCATGCTGAGAAGGGCCCGTGTGAGAGGATGGATGAGGTTGGCTTGGATACGGTTGCGCGGGTGGAGCAGCATAACTTGGAGAGGAAGCCCGAGCTGAAAAGTGAGGGGCCGTTGAAATGGTTGAGGGAGAATTATGTTGAGTTGGGAAAGTTGGGAGAGAAGAGTGGTGATGGTTTGTTCACGGGCGAGGATCGGGATCGGTTGAGGGAGAAGCACTATTTGGAGAGGTATAAAGTTGTTGAGGAGACGTCCGGGGCATAGATTGTCCGTCTTACGGCGGGGTTTTGGTGTTGAAGGGCGCATGTTGTTCCATGGATATGGGGGGAGCAAGGGCGTGAGAAAATGGCGTGTGGAGGAAGGGCGTGAAGAAAGGGAAGGGAAGCCGAGGAGAACTGGGTCACTCCTTCCCCAGGCGTGCCTGCCTGTGGCGCCAAGTGACGCGAGCCAAGACGCCCTATCTGGCTTTGTGGTGCCTGCCCGGGTGCGACTCATAAGCAGTGTAACTTCCATTCCCAGATCATCCCCTCGATGTCAATCAAAGGCGTACCGGATTAAAGCGGAAGGCAGCAAGGAGTCACGATGATGGGGCAGAGTGTCAGACTGCCAATGCTAAGGGCACAAGCCGTATGAGGAATGTGCCACCCAGCCGAATGCATCTTACTTACCTAGGTAGCAGCTTAAATTCAGAACTTCTTGCCAGTTTCACTCGGGGTTCCATCATCAACTTTTGTTCCCCTCTTGCCTCTCCAGATACTTAACACTCCAGAGTGCGAAGACCACAAGCTGCCCAAGCAGTCAAGAACCACCACAAGTCAAGCAACCTCATCATCCTCACCATCACCATGGCGCCTTCTTTCCCCACCCCCAAGTTCATCACCGGCGGTTGCCTGTGCAACAGCCTCCGTTACCGCGTCGACTTCCCCGCTGATCATGATTTCAAAGCCTCGGTCAGTCCCGGACTCCCCCCCCACCCGCACCCTTCTGTGAGACTACGGCACCACGGGAACTCAACACTAACGAACGCACCTCGTGCACCCTGTGTGTAGTCCAGCCACTGCCAGTGCACCCAATGCCGCAGGCAAGGCGGTGGCCTCTTCTTCAGTTCCCACGGGGTCAGCCCGGCGAGCGTGCACTTCAAGTTCACATCACCCACCACTACCCTCAAGACCTACCGCTCCAGCACGAAGGGCGAGCGCGTCATCTGCTCCGAGTGTGGCTCGTGGATCTACTGGAGACCGATCAGCGAGGAGCAAGAGGACTACCTCTCGTTCACCGTCGGCACCGTCGACCCGCTGTACCTGTTCGGCGAGGGTGCCGACGGCGTCGAGGTGCCCAAGGAGGGGTTCGGATACGCCCTAGCGAATGGCGAGGGCGGCTGCTGGTTTGCGGAGAATGAGATCAAGGGGATCACGGACTGCATGACTATTCTGGCGAATAAAAAGTAGTGAACGGGAAGGAACAGGGTCAACTCCGAAGGGGAATTCCGGGGGTGATGGGTGGCAGCTACAACGGTGGATGGCGGCGATGTTGAAGTGGTTTAAAGGGGCTGTGCCCTTGGCCAATGCGATATCTTCTACAACACCAAGCTGTGATTAGGTCACCAATTGCGCTAGATCGTCTCCAATACCACACCTGGGTGTCCTGCAAATCATCATCCCTCGTCTGCCTTTGTGATACGGCTAGGTGATCGCACAGCATGACTCGGTGGACCCTGTGATCCCTGAAACTGGTCTCTTGGTCTGAGCAATCTCCGGCGGACATAGTGCTCGGGAGATTGCTCTTGCCCCGATACTTCGCTGCGTTGTGTCTCTCTTAAACATGGTTGCACCAGGAGGCGGAGCTCTTTCCGGTCTCGCCAACGACGGTTAGGCCAGCAAGGTCTGGGTTTGTCCAAACCTAGCATGACATTCCAGCCACAACACCCTCAAAAACAGAGCGCGGGGAGGGCAGAGTCAATGGAAGACTTACGAGACTCAAAGTCAGGGGCACTCGGCAGGATCATGGTCGAGAGTCTGCGATGAAGAAATATACATAAGTTGCTCTTAGGGGCTGTTGCAGAAACAAGTAGAGAATATTTTAATGTTTAACAAAACGAAGGTAAAAAGAAATTGGGATGCGACAAACACGACTCGAACTGGTGGGTAGGTGGCTGAGTGAGGAAAACTCCTCGCGAGGGATTATGTTAGGGTCAGGTATCTTAGACTTAACCGCACGCAACAACCACCCACCACTGCGCCATCCACTTGAATTTGTGTTGAATTTGGCATTCGAAAGCAAAGCCTATAACCCCATGGCACACAGTGTGGGGCACTAAGCATAACATCCATCCATCCGATGTCAGTGCCACCAAGGTATTACTGTGTAGCCTTGAACACTCAACCTTTTCACTCCACGCCTTTTCCATCCGGCTGGTTAGTAAGTAACGAGGCAAACCCTCGCCCTTGATAAAGCCCTTGATGACACCAGTATCATGATAGCAATCACATGACTACCCGCACTCGGGCCCCTGAACAAAACAGACACCCGTCAACAAAAGCTATCTATCTTGACATCAACAAATTAGGAGACTTATACCAAATTCCCCCTAAGGATAGGGAACTCTAAAACCCCGGAGTACTGGAGAGGGCATTAGACAAGTTGGTACGAGTATTACGAATCATATATAGCACTAAATACATTCCTCGGGGCTCTATCGGTGCATCAGGTATTTACGGCGGGACAAAAAAACGGAACAGCTCAACAGCAAAGCACCGTAACTACGTATATGAGCCCAACCACGCCCACCAATACCCGCCTTCCAACCTCACACCTTCATACCATTCTCCTCCACCTTCCTCCCCCTCTCATCATACACAATACTACTAAACGCTTCGAAATCCCCCTCATCCACCAACCTCGCCTCATCCTCCGTATCCGGCGGCAGGCGCGTATACATGCCCCTCCCCGACCTCGGCCACAGCGCAGCCAGCGGGTCATACTCCTCATCCTCCTCACCCACACCCTCCTGGCTGCCCTCCTTCTGGCTGCCACCCTTCCCCCCTTTCCCAGCACCAGCAGCAGCAACCTTCCGCACAAAGTTGATCTGCCCCGTCGGGTGGGCATCGGCGCGCGGGAACAGCCCCTCGGTCGTCGTGCCCGCAAAGATCGACCTCGTCCCGCCAGCCTGGTAGGCCTGCTGCTGCTGGTGCTGCTGCTGCGGCGGCGGCAGCTCCGGGGCAGGGAAGATGGGCAGGTCCGGGTGCGCCTCCAGACAGGTCATCAACAGCCCCACCAGCTCCTGCTGCGGCAGCGTCGAGAGGTACGCGCGCTTCTGCTGGGCGGGCTTCCCCGCCCAGCTGCCCTTCTCCCTGCCACCACCACCACCACCCCTCCCCTGGTGATGGGTCTGGTTCTGCTGCTGCTGCTGCTGGTGCAGCTCGACCTTCTGGCGCTTGTTGGCGGCGTGCCTGTCGCGCTTGGCGGCGCAGGGGGCGCAGAACCAGACGCGGCCGCGGTCCTGGACGACGTCGTCGCCGATCCAGGGGTCGTGGCACAGCTGGTGCCAGCACTCGTCGCAGCCGTCGCAGAAGACGATCTGGTTGGCCGCGGGGCTGTGCATGCGGCTGCACTTGAGGCAGAGCGCCTGCTCGGCCGTGCGCTTGCCGTAGTGGTGCGCCGGCGCCCGCGGCCGCCGGCTCGCCGCGTCCATCGCGGCCGGGTCGTACGCGGCGGGCTTGAGCACCTGCCGGCCCGACTTGGTCATGGTCAGCGGGGTCGGGGTGAGCGGGGTGGTCGACTCGGGCGGTGGTGCGGTGAAGGAGGGTTCCGGGGAGGAGAGGCCGGAGGTGCTGCTTGCGTCGTTGTCTCGGTCCTCGTCGGGTTGGGTCTTGGTGCGTTTGCGTTTGACGTGTGGGCCACGGGGGCCGGTGACAGGTTTTGGCTTCTTAATCTTGCTCTCTGAAGAGAGGACTTTTGGGGCCGCGGCCTTGATGGAAGTCGGCTTTGATGAGGTCGTTAGGCCGGCCGTGACTTTCCTGATGGCGCTCATGCCCGCAGTGCTACCTGTGTATTTCGGGGCTGCCGGTCTAGGTGCGGGAAGTATAGCAGGTAGTGATGGGCGGGCAGGGGGTGCGGCGGGCATCTGCATGGTCATCTGAGTCGAAGTGTTCATTCCCATGACCAAACGTCTCTTGACGTCCTCGTATGTTGCGGAGGGGATGTTCGCTGTAACGGCCGGCGAGTGGGAGACTTGTGACAACGCGGCACTTAGACTACTAGGCTCGCCCTTCATCCTCTTTAGAATCATCTGCGTGGCCGCGGTGAACTGCGGGTTGTAGAGGTGCCGAGTTGCCGAGAAGGAGGCGGAAGGCGCAGGGCTGGGTCTGGGTGGGCTGGGTTTGGGTTCTTGCTTGGGACTGGGCCTGGGTTCTGATCCGACAACAGGTCCAGGTTCGGGTCCGGGACTGGGAACTGGGGCCGGGCCCGGAGTCGGGGGCGGCCCTTCCGTGGAGTTGTCAACCGCATCGTTTGGGATCTCATCATCGGCCATCTGGAAAAAAGAGGTCAATAATAATAAAAGATAGTCCGGATATCTGCGACGACTGGCAGCTAGGTGGCTCTTTTCGTGTCCTGGATCAGGTCGATGGCTAAGTATTGAGGGATAACAAAACGTTGTGTGTGTGAGTTGGTTATCGGGGTGTTCGCCTCTCTTGTAAGTTTGTAAAAGGGTCCTGGATTTGCTATCGCCGAGCAGAAGTTACGAGGTTGATGTTTTTAGATGAGCGTCACGTGAGTTTCACGTGAATAACCCTAACCCTTTCCATGCTCCAAACTCGAAAAGGGGGTTTCCCGGGGGGGGGGGGGGGGTTATTCACAAAGGTTTCCACGTGCCTGTCGTCTATCTTATTAAGCGCAAGCTTTGACGTGCTGTTTTTACTACCTAACAACGCCTTTCTGCCTCAGATCTTGCACCTGAGCCTCGTCCATCCCCAGATGTCCCCGTAGAATCTCGTTCGTATGCTGTCCCAGAGTAGGGGGAGGACTGCGGATCCCGGGCTCACTCTCCGAGTATTTGACGGGCGTGTTAAGCAGCTTGATCGGCCCACATTCCACGTGGTCTACCTCCACGACCATATTCCTCGCCTTGGTCTGCGCGTGAGCCAAAGCCCCTTGCACATCGTTGACGGCAGCATAGGGCATGCCCTTGCCCTCAAAGGTATCGAGCCATTCCTGTGTCGTTTTGGTCACCGTGATCGCCTCGATTTCGGCCTCAAGCTCATCACGGTGAGCTACTCGAGACGCGTTGATTTGGTATTTGGCGTCATCTTTCCACTCGGGTCGACCCAGGCCATCGCACAGGATACCGAACAACTTATCGTTACCTCCGCCAAACAATACGTCGCCGTCCTTGGTTTTGAAGGACCTGTACGGGACGATAGAGGCTACAGTTGTCAGTACGAGTACATCAAACCGAGGCGTGCGTGTTACATACGATGTGCGGTGCCCCATCGACCAGTGTCCTTCTCACCACTGATCAGACAGCTGCTGGCGATATTAGCCAGCGTTACCGTCTGGCAGTCACTTAACGCGGCGTCAATATGCTGGCCCTTCCCGGTTTTCGCACGTGCGAGCAGCGCAGCCATGATGCTGTTGCTCGTATACAACCCCGTGGTCAAGTCGGTAACTGCAACACCAACCTTAACCGGCGGCCCATCTCGGCTGCCGGTGATGTGCATCAGGCCAAACTCAGCCTCGACGATCACATCATAGCCAGGGCGCTGCGAGTACGGCCCCGTTTGGCCATAGCCGGTGACGGATGCGTAGATGAGCGCCGGGTTGATGTTGTGGATGGTGTCGTAGTCCAGACCGTACTTCTTCAGGGATCCGGGGATGTAATTCTCAACCAAGATGTCGCACTTGGCAGCCAGCTTGTGAAGGATCTCGACGCCGGCAGGATCCTGGAAAGACAGGGCCAGCGACTTCTTGTTGCGGTTCACCTAGATAACACAACTTAGCAACGGTCCGGGCCTGCATTCTTGGGTTGTTACTTACCCCCAGGAAGTAGGCAGACTCACCGGGGCCCTCGTGTAAGGATCCAGCCTTGTAGGTAGCATACGGCGGCCCCCAGGCTCGAGTGTCGTCACCCCTGACCGGGTGTTCTACCTTGATGACCTCAGCCCTCAAAGGGTATCAACAACTAAAGCCATCCTTTGAGGGGCCGGCGCATGATGCTTACCCGAGGTCTCCCAGGATCTGAGTGCAGTATGGCTGGAAGGGGCCGTACGGTTAGTCGCGGATTGAGGCTTGAGTTGTACGTGTGGCGGCGTCTTACCCCGGCAAGTACTCTTGTCATATCCAACACTCGATACCCCTTGAGTGGCAGCGACCCGGGCGCCGAGGCCGTAGCCGAGACAGAGAAACGCCGATGACCCGAGACATATCGGACCGGGACCCGCCCGAGTAATACTGGCCGAAACACACCAAGACGGATACTCGTCCTCATGGCAGGATTCATTGAGAGTCGATAAAGAGAGAGAAGAAGGGGAATGAGGGACGAAAAACAAAGTTTCGGGAGCTTCGTAAAAGTGGGTGTGTTGTGTACATGGAAACAAGGAGCACACACGGCCAAACTGATGCCCGGCTTTCGTCCGGCTGAGCGTATCCGAAGCCAAGAAAACAGGGATCGCCGTTCACTGATTCCACAGAGCGGCCGGGTCCGGGAGGGGAGAGCGTGAGTAAATAAATTACTATTCAAGCCATTGTGCCCGGTATGAGAACTTGCGTGGCTCTAAAGGGCTGTAGAAACACACAAGAGTAGGTTTTGGGGAATGTATTGAGGAGAAGGCTGTTAACAATGCAAAGTGAAATACCCGTATTGGCATGTACTCGGTTACCGCATTGGCAAATGGCGCTCGGACCTGCCTGCCGCTCGACTGGACGAGAAACTTCGAAGCCGCCTTTGTCTTGCAGCCGCGCCAAAATAGTTATCTGAGGACCGCGTTCAACTTCCCGACTCCCACAACCATCATCAACCACTTCACCTCACCACAACCACCACCGCCATCAACCGACGATCATCGAGATGGACTACCAAAACCGCGCCGGTTCCAAATTCGGCGGCGGCGGCGTGGCCTCGCACAGCGCCTCCAATGCCGACCGCCGCGAACGCCTGCGGAAGCTCGCGCTGGAGCAGATCGACCTCGACAAGGACCCGTACATCTTCAAGAACCATCTCGGCTCATTCGAGTGCCGGCTCTGCCTGACCGTGCACCAGAACGACGGCTCGTACCTAGCACACACACAGGGGAAGAAGCATCAGACCAACCTGGCGCGGCGCGCAGCACGCGAGCAGAAGGAGGGCAAGGGCGAGGTCGACCCGCACACGGGCCTGCCCGTCGGGGTGGTGGGCGCCGGGTTCGCGGCGCTGGGGCTGGGCGGGGCGGGCGGCGGGGGCCCGCGCAAGAACGTGGTCAAGATCGGGCGGCCGGGCTACAAGATCACCAAGGTGCGCGACCCCATCACGCGCCAGCAAGGGCTGCTGTTCCAGCTGCAGTACCCGGACATCGGCACGGGCGTGGCGCCCAAGTGGCAGGTCATGAGCGCCTTCTCCCAGCGCGTCGAGGACCCGGACCGCAACTTCCAGTACCTGCTCGTCGCCGCCGAGCCCTACGAGACGTGCGGCTTCAAGATCCCCGCCCGCGAGCTGGACAAGCGCGAGGGCCGCCAGGTTGAGTACTGGGATCCGGATGCCAAGGAGTACTGGGTGCAGATCATGTTCATGACGGAACGCGAGGAGCGCTTCAACGCGGCGCCAGGTTTGACGGGGAGGCGGTGATGGGCTGACGGGCAAACAAACCTACCATCGGGCGAGGGAGGTGGACATGTACGATAAGGGAGGCGTGAAACTGAGTGTATGGGCGGCAGGCAGGGAGCGCGGACAGGGAGGAACAGCAGGACGGTAAAAGCCCGCGACATCCGACCTCGACGAATCGCGGACATCACGCCGAACCGACAGCGCGTCTCCAGGGCGGATTATCCCGGGCTTATTTCCTGTCCCAAAAATTGCAGAACCCGAGAGGCGCACAGGCGGGACATTGACATCAACACAGGAGTGCAACGGAGCTCTGTAAGGCCACCACAAAATTTGGCAACCCATCTCAGAGCTAACAGTCGGGTAGCGGAACCATAATTCGGGACCGCAGACACGTTGGCCGCCCTAACGGTGGTCAAGATTGAATATACCGCGAGGCCACACATTTGTTATGGGAATTTCATACAAGGCGGACTTCTCGCCGGCAAAGGCTGGGCGAATGATGGACTCGTGTAGAAGCCCTGGAATCATGAGGACAGTTTTCTGACACGCAATAAAAGTTGCCTTCCAAAACACTCTACATTGCCATTTCTCTATCTCCCCTAGACCGTGACTAATCGACTATGCCATGCTCATACCCCCCCCACCGACCAACGCAACAAATTTTCGGAAGGAACCGAAGCAGACGGAAAATCCAGCCAAGTTACCACCGCTACGGAACGTCGCCCCAGGGGCAACCCAACACCTACTGCGCGTGACAACCAGTGCAGTCCACCCATCAAGCCAAACCCCAGCTTCACATCCAACCAAGCCCATCTTTTCACCCCATCTCGCTCGGCAGGCAGAGGAGAAAAATCACCGGAAGTTGTTATCGAACCGCTTGAAGGTGTAGCCGATGAAGGGCAGGCTCATCTCGGGGCTCTCCTCCTGCTGGCCCGGCGGGGCGCCGGCGGCGGCGCTGCGGGCCTGGGCGGCCTTGAGCACGGTGGCGTTGTCCGTCTGGTCGATCTCGTCGGTCGGGAAGTAGGTCGTGTCGATGTTGGACGTCAGGCGCGGCTCGAACGGCGCCCGGATCCGCCGCAGGCTGTCGAACTCGACGCCCCGGAAGAAGGAGTGGCTCTTGATCTCGTGCGCCCCGCCCCGGCCGAGCCGGTTCTCCGAGTTGCAGATCAGGCTGGGGGTCGAGTGGTTAGTTAAGAGGGTTGGTTGGGTTGGGTAGGGGATGGGAGGCTGGTGTGTCTGTCTTACCTCCGGATCAGGTTCTCCGCTTCCACGCCGAGTTGGATGTCGTCGGGGAAGTAGAGTGATTGCCTCCAGTTGACGATCTTGCGGTACGTGTCGTGGCTGTCCTCGGCGCAGAATGGCGGCCAGCCAACCAAGCACTCAAACATGATGGTGCCGAGCGACCACCAATCGCAGTCGAACGAGTACCCGTGCCCAGTGAAGATCTCAGGTGCGATGTAGTCGGGGGTGCCAACGGTCGAGTACGCCATCAGTCGCCTCGACCGCCTCCAGTCGTTTATCTGGGACCGGTTGCTGACTGTCAGGTTGATCTGGTCGATGGCGATCGAGTTGCGGTTATCACGCGGCTTGTTCGATTTGCCCTGGAGGAGCTGCTGGTAGTAGTTGTTGTCGTGGAGTTTGTGGAAACCGGTCGAGAGGCCAAAATCCGTTAGCTTGACGTGACCACCTCGGTCGAGAAGGATGTTGTCTGGCTTGATATCTCTGGTTCGCGTTAGCTCCGGGTTTACCCCTTTCCCACACTGCCAAATTGCGCGCACCTGTGAATGAAGCCCAGCTTATGAACAGCGTCGATGGCCAAGACGATCTCGGCGATATAGAACCGGGTGATGTCCTCCGAAAAGATCTCGTATTTGATCAACATGGTCATCAAATCTCCGCCGGGCAAGAACTCCATCAGCATGTAAAGGAAGTTGGTGTCCTGGAAAGTAGTGAAAAGCTTGACGACCCAGGGGCTGTCGGACTCGGCAAGAATATCACGCTCTGCGCGAACGTGGGCGAGCTGGTCCTTCTTGAACATCTCTGTCTTGATCAACGACTTCATAGCGTAGACTTTCCCGTCGGCCTTCTTCTGCACCAGCTTGACTTCACCGAAGGCGCCCTTTCCGATGATCTTGATGGTGTTGTAGTTCTCGGGCTTATCCTTGGTTCGCAAGAAGCGCAGGTAGGAACCCTCCCTACGCCCTCCGGTAGCCCAGATCGATTCCCGGCGGCGAGGGTCGGTGGTTTCGGCCAGCTTCTGTTCCATCTCGCTTTGCCTGTACCATCGACGGTTAATACGAGACTTCTCGGTCAATAAGTGACGGCGCCACCCACCTCTGGTTGCGCTCGCGAGCCCTCTTGACACTGTCCTTAAAGAAATCCGAGGCGAGCTGCGAGCACTTCTTTTGGTTGTTGTTGGCGTTCGGGCCGTACTTGTCGGGGTTCCGCTCGGGGGCCAGAGCAAAGTAGTCGAGTTGGGCGGGTTGAGTCGGCATCGGCGGCGCATTTGCGTAACTCCCGTATCCAGGCTGCTGGCCCCGCGAATCGGCCGTCCTGGGTCGCTGACTCGAAGACGGGCCACGAGCGGCATAGGGGGATGCCCGACCGGCGCCCCCTAGGTTCTGGTGGGAGAATTGGTGGGCGAGCCCCGTGTTGGGGTCATTGTTGGCGCCGGGTGTCGTCGACCGGGCCTGGCCATAGCCCTGGCCAGCAGAGCCGTAGTCGGCAGCCTGAGCACCGAGCTGCGAGGAGTACTGGGCGCCGTACTGGTTGTTGCTACCAGCCTGCTGGAAGTATCCGGCAGGCGCTTGGCCTCCTTGCTGGTAGGACTGAGGCGGCTGCGCACCACCCTGTGATGCGGCCTGGCCGCCTTGGAAGACGGGTTGGGGGAAGGTCGAGGGCGTGGTGGGATATGTGCGGTCGGTGGCGGCCAGTCGCTCGTTGTTACTCCCAAAGTTGAGGTACAGTCGGTTGCCCCGGTCGTCCATCTTGCCGGCGTGCTGCAGGTGTGGCCCTGGCGAACAATTGCTATTTGCTGGTATTCTCTGCTTTGCAGCCTTCTCGCTCGGGCGGACTGCAGGTGTCAACGGGCGACGTCGAGCCGGTGTGTGGTTGCAGAAAGGGGGACGACTGGAGTGACCCTTGCGTTTTAGGACCAGGGTCTAGCGAGATCGAGGGCCTGGTCGCGTTCCGGCTGTCAAGCAACTCTTCGGATCACCGCCCCGCCTATTTGGACTTGTTCGGGAGGTGGGGCACGGGGCAGGGGCAGGGCAGCGACTGCAACACGAGACCGACTGCTCAAAATATCGAGCCAGTGCTGTGTACCTAGGTAGGTGAGGATGTTTTTCCTAGGTAGGTAGTTTCACGGTAACGGGTTGGTGAGGTGTAGTTAGGTCTGGGTGCCCAAGTGTATGCTGAAACAAGAGCCCAAATAGGGGTTGTGGAGGGTAATGATGGCGGGGCCACTTGTTTGTGCTTTTGTCGGTGCAGCCCAGCGCAGCCCATTTCAGACCAGTGCAGATTCACCGTGTCACCAAAAGAGACGCAACAAATCTCGAGATGCCAACCGCAAGTGGAGAAAATAAAGAGGGGTAAAGTAGCCGCTAGCAGCGAGTTGCCCAGTCGTTGCCCTGCTTAGCCGACACACTTCAAACTCAGGGTTGGGATAAAAGCTGTTCAGACTCTTTACATGCAACCCAGAACTGCAGCGAGAAATGTTTCTGGCTCGGAACCCCCTGAAAGGCGGGGTTGCATTCGATGGGTGTTGACCGCACTTTCCAAACCTCTCAGCCAAGCGCTCTTCCCGCCTTCCTCTCCCTCTCCCGATTTATGTCCCTTTGCCGATCCGATTTCCGGGTCAGTGAACCGGATTCTGCTGTGTAATGGGACTTCGAAGTGTGATTGACTTGGACCAAACAAAACAAAGCTTTGTTGCTCGTGAAAGACCAACCCACAGCTGTATCCCATAATACGTGTCACATGTCACACCGATACAGTAACAACAAATTCCTGCAGTCCCACAGCCACGTCAACTGAGTCCAAGAATTATCATGAACTGATCTAATTTAATTAACAACAGTGAAGTTCATATCTCCAGTTTATCCCAAGAAAATCAGTACATGGTAGGTCGTTTCAACATGCTGCTGGGACGGAATCCTTGCTCTGGACTGCCCGTTTGCACGTGCTCCTCCGTACCTCGTCGAGCGATGCAAAAGGGTCCGTGCATAACTAGCCAGTCGCTTATCGCGATAACAGCACTTGGAAATTTGAGCCGTTTGCGACTCCAACATCGACGTAGTTCAGTGATGAGGTGATCATAAACTCGACATTTGGAGATTCTATTCGCACTTTCTGTTGTGAAAAGTGGCGAGGCCTATCGACCTTCTTCCCAAACCGAAAAGCCTTCCCAGAGGCCGGCGCAAGCCCAATGTGCTTGTAGTGCCGTTGAATCTCCCTCAAAGGAAATTCAGAAACAGACTCGGAGCCACCATGGCCGATCCGACGCCTACACCACCACCGCCGCCGGCTGCCGATGCTGTATGATTTCCCGGGGGTTTCGCCCTACCGTCTATTTCTTTTTCTAACAGACCCCATACAGGCGCCGAAAGCACCCCCTCGAAACCAGGCTCTGCGCATGCTGGGTCTGCCTGCCCTCCCCCGCAAACTACCATCTCGGAACTGGATGATATTCTGGACCATCTCGGGCGCGATAACGGCGGGGATAATCTACGACAAGCGCGAGAAGAAGAGGGCCATCGCAAAATGGTCGCATGCAGTTGAACATCTAGCTAGGGAACCGCTACCCGACAACAGCCTCGGCCTCGCGCAACCGCGCAAGCTGACCATCTACCTCTCAAGTCCGCCCGGCGACGGCCTGCGCGTTGCTCAGGACCACTACACCGAGTATGTGAAGCCAATTCTAGCTGCCAGTGGGCTGGACTGGGAGTTTGTGCAGGGCCGTCGGGAGGGTGATGTGCGCGCCTACGTGGCTGAGCGTGTGCGTCGGCTCCGCCGCGGCTGGGAAAACGGCGACGAGCTAGACCCGACAAAGGAGCCCACCAAGGAGGAGATTGTTGAGGCATTCCGCAAATCGCGGGGTATCAAGGACTACGACGGCGTACGGGGCGATGTTGTCATTGGGAGGCACACATGGAAAGAGTACGTCAGAGGCTTACACGAGGGTTGGCTGGGTTCCCTTGCGCCGCCTCCAGAACCGCTTCCGGTAACCCCCACTGCGGAATCGATCACGGATGATAAGTCCGCTGAAGGCCAATCTTCCGAAGACAAACCCGCCGAAGACAAGCCTGCCGAAGAGAAGCCCGCGGAGGAGGCAAAGAAGCCCAAGAGGCCGCCTCAGCCAAGGCCCCACAACACCACAGCCGACTACTCTACGGCATTCCTCCCTCCTCGCGCCCCTAACGAGTTCGATCCCTCCGCACCCATCAACGAGCCCCACCTCCTCGGTTTCTTAAACACACCAACCCGCCTCTACCGCTTCTTCAACCGCCGCAAGCTGGCCGACGACATCGGCCGGGAAGTCGCCGCCGTGTGCCTCTGCACCTACCGCGAGTACCAGCAGCTCGCGGCCGACGCTGACGCCGCCAGCCCAACAGACTCTAGCGATCAGCCACAATGCGAGCAACAGAAGGAGTTGGCGTGGGAAGAGAAGGACTGGGTCAAGACAGTCTGGAAGGAGGATGACCCGAAAGATACCGAGGCCGCCGAGGTTACCGAGAAGATTCACGCGAAACCCATCATCATGGACTCACGCATCGCCGAGCGCATGCGCCGTTTCCAGCTGCTGCCCGAGGACGAGGAGCGGATCGGCAAGATTGTGGTGCCCGAGGAGGAGGTCGAGGGGTGGACCAAGGGGAAGTTGCGCCAGCTGTACCGGTGGGGTGCGAGGAAGGCTTTCGAAAAGAAGAAGGCATCGCCTTTGGACGGCGAGGATGTGGACTGAAGAGCGGGAGTCAGGTGTTGTTGCATGAAGGATGTACTTGTATGACTGCTGGGTTTAAATGTTGGAGTATCACGGTGCATAGCTGTGGTCACAGCGCCCATATTGTAAGACTAAATGATAGATCTCAACGGGTGGGGACAACGGATGTACCGACTCGTGTTAGCATAATGAAACCCCTCTTGTCATTGCATTTGGCCGTAACTGTTGTAGTCGCACCAGATCAGTCAACTGGACAACGAGACGCAAACCAGACCCGTCTGCGAAAACTCCCTTCCAGGTCCTGCCTCAGTCATCCTCATCATCGTCAGACCCATAGTCCACCAACAACCCCCCTGGCTTTGCCGTACTTGCGGCTGCCACCTTTGCCGGTGGTATGGGCGCTGTCGTCGTTGGCGCCATAGTTTTCTGTACCACTTTCGGTACCTCCCCATTGCCCCCAGGACTCAATCCCACCCCTTTCTCCCCGTCACCCTTCTCAACAACCACCTCCCCTTTTCCATCACCTTTCCCCTCCCCATCCTTCCCCTCCCCAACCCCCTTCCCCCCATCACCCCCACCAGACTCCCTCCTCCCCCCACCCACCACCACCCCAACCCCCTTCAACCTCTTCCTCCCCTCCCCGCCCTCCCCCCTCCTCCTCTTCCTCCCCACACTCCCAAACCCCCACCCGGCACCGCCCTCCCCCTCCTCCAACTCACCCCCCTCTTCCCCATCCCCATCACCACCCCCACCCCCACCTCGCCGCTGCCTCTCCCGAAACGCCCGCAACCCCACCTCCACCTCCCTGCGCGCCTGCTCCTCCTCCTCCCGCTTCCGCAGGCGCACCTCGTCGAGGAACTCGATCTCGCCGTCGTCCAGCGCGCGGAACTGGTTGCGCAGGCGGTGCGCCTCGTCGAAGGCGGCCTGCTTGGCGGCCTTGTTGGCCTGCAGCACGTCGTAGAGGGACTGGTTGCTGTTGGCGCCTCCTTGGGCTTGGGCGGTGCGGGCCTCTTCGCGGCGGCGGCGGTCGGCTTCGAGTTGGGCGGTGGCTTCGGCCCAGGCGGCTTGTTTGGGGGTTTGGGTTTGGGGTGGGGTGGGTTGGGTTGGTGGTTGTATGGGGGGTTGTGGTGGTAATGTTGATGATGTTGTAGTTGATGATGGGTTGGGGTTGGTGAGGGGTGCGGCTTCGCCCGTGGCGGCGTCGATGGCGCCGGCGGAGACGAAACGCGAGGACATTATGGTTTTTTTTGGGGTTTTTTTTTGTTGTTTTAGTTTATTTTTTGAGCCGGAGGGGACGGTTGGTAGGGAATAGGGGGTACGGATAGGATGGCTTGTAAGAACAGGACGTTGAAACAAGTCTTTTTCGCTCTCGTACAATGGGATTCCTCCTCAACCTGGGCGGTGGCAGATACTAGGTGCAGAAAAGAGAATGTGCCAATTGCCAGAGGTAAGCTCTTAGAATGTGTACATCCGGTAAATTCGTTGGCAATTGTTGGTCGTTGCGAGAGTAGTGAAAGCAAAGTGACATGCAGACGAAATAAAGGTGAGACTGCTGGCAGCTGCCAACAGCGGATAACTCCAGACTCGCCCCACCTCTCCCTGAGTGAAGCTCGGGGCTTCGTGTAATTTCAACCTCGCAACACCACCATTCCCAACGGCATACAAAACGACCATGGCACGCCAACTCTCCGCTCTGCGCTCAATCCAAGCTCCCGAGTCGCAAATCGCAAACACTTCTCACACTACGTCATGACATTCGATGAGATTGATTTGGGTTTTTATTGTTTTTTGTATCAAGGTTGGCTCCATGACCCAAGACCCCGCGCAGCCCTGCGCTGGTCAACTGTCTCGACAAGGAGACACGCCCGAGACACCTGGACTCCTCATCAAGTCTAGGCCCTGTAGCATGTCCGCCGAAAGGAGAGCCGTGGCTTGCCCAACCTCTTCCATTCCGCCCACTCTTCCCAAACCCTAGACCCCTAGCTTCATACACTCCTGCCCTAACATCCCAATCTCAAGTCATCCATCTTCTTGTCCCTCGCCCCGCCCCCAAGCTCGTCAAGTCGTAATGCTAGGTGATGTAAAAAGACAAAGGAAGCCTCATGCCTCTCGGCGATGGCTCCAAAACTCCGAAACAGGGACATGAAAAAAGGGCTGTCCGCTGTTCCTCCTCTCTCGTCATCCCCGAATCCAAACCCCCTACCATGAAAGAGCCGCGAACTTGAAAGGAAATCCCCTCTAGCCGCCCCTCCAAACGAAGTAAAGGGAAAACAATCAGCTGCGCCAGCTTCATGGTAACGTCTGCCTTGACCATGTGCTGCAGTCACCAGCTCCCCAAGAAAAGCGCGATCGCTGAGCAAGCCTCAGCCGGTATAGAACTCAGAAGGGGAATTAGACAGACAGACAAAGAGAACAAGAAAAACATGACCTTCCCCCAAACCACACACAGAAAGGGGGGGAAAAAACCGTGGAAAGGGGATAGGGGGGTCGCAAGCCCAACTTTTCAGCTTCATGACCCAATCCCGCAGAAAAACAATTAGCACCCGTGGAAATAACACCTTATATGTACTTGTGAATCAAGCAAACTTTTGATAAAAAAACACCGCGGCAAAATGATCGCTTTTTGAATCGCACCAAGTCGAATGACCTTCTCAGCAACACATGGGTAGGCTACCTTGCCAGGTAGGTTGCCCGTAGGTGTCCTGAACGAGAGGGTGCCGCCATCTTTTTTTGCCGGGATGCCGCCACCATGAAGCATCGTCTTGTCGGAAAAGAGCCGAATGGGGGGCACGGCCATGGATCGAACGAGCGCCTCCGGGTTCTGGAACCAGGAAGCCTTGCCCATGATTAGCCGTCGCCCTTGTTGTCAGAGGCCCACTCGGCTCGAACTTCGGACAGGTGGAGCAGACTGAAAATTTCGAAAGTGCCGAGGGAAAAAACACCGTTTCGCCGAATCTATGATGAAAGCCGGAAAGAAAAACACGATGGTATTGGAAACCAAAAACGCCGATTTATGGAATGAAAGGGACCGGTATACCGAAAAGGGAATCTCATTAGTCGAGGATGACTGGGTCCGGACCCATTGGTCGAAATGAGGGAGATGCAGCTGTCCATGGAACACCGAGCCCGGCCACCTTGTGACAGACCTTTGATGAAATGCTGTCTGGTAAACAGGAGAAACGTGGGCGATAGGCTCGGCTGTTGAGGCAGGGAATCATGGCGCTCGGCATGGACAGATGATCCCTCCTGTCCGGACAGTCCCTCGGGGTATCTGAATGCAAATGTATCGAATCTCCGATGTGCCCTGAATGAAACCTGGGTCCAGGTAGTGATGCGAGGGAAGAGCAGAACTGCGCCCCGCAGAAAGTCCCAATCAAAAGATGGCAGCAAGAACGCCGAAACGCGCCGATAGATTCATCAACCCAATGTCGTGGCCGCTGGGGCTGTCCCATTAGCCAACAACGGCTTGTCCATAGCCGTGGCCGCCAAAATACCCGGGAGCCTTGCTGTGCAGGCCACCGCAGCTGCCGCAGTTGCAGTCCGTAACGCCCGGGTGCTCCCAGATGTTGTGGCCGTAACCGTAGTAGTTACCATAGCTGCCGGGGTTGCGAGAGGTATGGTTGCCATGGCGGAAGCCGGCGTAGGGTGGTGATTGATAATGTCTCGAGCTGCTGTTGCTGCCAACGAGTGCGCCATCGAACCACTCCGCGTAGTTCGAGTTGACCAGCGCGGTCGAATTAGCGTACTCCGGAGTACCGTACCCCGAATCGGGGGGCGTGAGCGGAGCCGCCTGTGACCACGAGGCCAGAGAATACGACCACGGGGACGGGTCATGCCGGAAAGAGGTCGTCGACGGCGCCTGGTTGCGCTTCGAACTGGACAAGCGCTCATACTCGGCAACCTGCTGCTGATGCCAGGCGGAGTACAGCTGCTGAGCGCGGGACCGTGACATCTCGGGTTCGACGGGCGACACAATGCCAGCCAGGCGGTCGCGGCTGGCTTGCTGCTGCCTCTTCTTCGTCTCCTGCCACTCCTTCCAGTTCGACAGCCAGGCCTGGTAGTCCTTGCTCCCGTCCAGGTTGACGTAGAGGCACCACTGAATAGCACCTAACCACTCGTATTCCAGAGTGTTGAGCTCCTGGACCGGGATGCCACTCACTTCCGACCAAGACTTATTCTGGAACGTATTGTCGTCCAGAAACTTGCTCCCGAGAAGCAATGAGATGGTGAGCATGCGCCAGATCTGGCCCTCAGTGTGGTTTGCCTGCCCAGCGGCATGCATCATGTTGATGCGCTTGGCCAGATAGTTCATGCCAAGGAGAATGGTAGTGCTCGGAAGGCGGGTCGAGGTCAAGATCTGCGACACGAACTTTCGGAACGCTGGGTTGACTTGGCGCTGAGGCATCACGATCCGGGTTGCCATCTCCGAAACATAGTCGGCCATGGGCTCGACTTCATAGTCGAGCACGGCACATACGCCACCCGGCATTTTGGCGGCTGATGGATCGGTTCTGGGGATCGGGTAGGCGGCGAGGTACGAACTGCTTCGAGCAGCTGGAGGACAAGTTGGACGGGGGGATGATCCGCGCCGTGCCAGTGCTTCCAGAGCCGAAGAGTCGGGAGATCTCGAAGGGCGAGGGGAGTCGAGATCTAGTATGACAGCTGAGCCATAGAGTGTAGGTTTTGTCGTCTACACAGGGAAAATTTTGCGACAGGGCGGAGCAACTCCAAGGACCTTTTTTAAAATATCAAACCCACACAAAGAGGGAGTTGGTGGCTCTTTGTATGTGACTGATAGAACAAGCGCCTGGTCCAGACAATGCCGGTCCTGTTCAACGTATGTCGAAAATCGACGGAAAGAAGCGGCGCGGGATTATGAGATACGAAAAAAGGAACGTCTAAAGCACTGTTGTTGTGTTAATGTCGTTAGCCCATGTTCATCCGTCTATGATGCGCGACACAAGCATTCTGTCGGCCGAGACTTCAAAGATTCAAACTGGGGCGGCTGGGTGGGTATTCAGCGCGTCGACAAAGCGAAGACAAGCCGAAGGAGGATAGTCGGAGTCGGCGCGGTTGCCATAGAGGTGGAAGGTGGTGTCGGGGCAGCCACAACTCGGTGCCGAGGAGCTGAGATCGCGTCGAATAGTGAATGTTGTCGGGGTCAAAACATCGCGAACCGTCCAAGTCGCGGTCCAGTGTGAATCGTGCAAATCCCGGCCGGGTCGAATGCAAAATCAAGCAAGAGATGGTGGAAATACGAACCTCGCAGAAATGAAGTCGAGATCATGCAATTCCTTGTGTGGAGTGGTGGTGGGCGTCCTCCAGGTCGTGTCGATGGTGGATAACCAAAGGCACAACAGCACCCAGATCGGAAATACCGCTCGCGTGCAGGCGCTGTTTTGCTGTCTCCGTTCGAGTCAACGAAGGGTGACAGATAGCCGAATCCTTTTGTGAACGACACAAAAATGAATTTGGCCGCTCGTCGGTCGCTCGATGCTCGGCGGATTCAGAAATGGTCGAGGGGGAGGAGGAGAGAGCACGTCGTGGAGGACGGGAGGTGGAAAGGGAAGAAGGGAAAAAGAACGGGATTGCTTTGCAGAGCGGAGCAGTGATCAAAGTGGCCTGGCTCCTCACAGCAGGGTGGGTAACGGTAACGTGAGTGGATCAGTGCTGAATGGGGCGAGGGACCCAGGCGATTTTCGCGAGTGACATGACCATGGAAGGGCCCACATATGGGTGGTCCGGCACAGGCGGGCACGGTCGCCGAACAAGTTAACCAGGCCTTTGTTGAAGGATGGATGGTGAGACTGCCGGGGCCTTTCAGGGTACTAGTTAGGACATAAATCAAAATAGAATATACACTCTTACGAAAGATTCAAGCTTGTAGTGTACATACGTTGGGATGGGATGCAGCTCGCAGGTCTCTCTCTTGAGAGAGACGCGTTCTCGCTTCGGTCATTCACGGTTACGGTGTGGGAAACGCTGAGCTTCCATGCACAGCAATTTCAAAAACGGCGGCATCCTGTGTTCAGTGGAATTTGGGGGTGGACAGGGTGACAGGGTAACGGGACAAGATGACGGAAATGACGGGGGTCATCGGCGCTGTCGAGCCTTCCAAAAATCTTGAGGGTGGCCAGTTTCCGCCAAGCGGTCAAACGAGAGTGCCAAGGGGTCCCACACGATGGGACGGGTAACCAAAAACAGGGAGCAGGCCCCAGGGGATTGAAGCGGGTCCAAACGGGCGTGGGTGATTCTTGCCAGCCTTCTTCGCCCGCACCCCCCACCGCCCCGTCCGGGCTCCTGCTGTTTTCGTATTTCGAGGGACCTGACAACCAGATCTCGGAGACAGGAGACCGACAGTGGAAACTGATGGTCTTTACTCGTTGGTTGAAAACACAGTATTGAAGAGGCTGCATCGGCGAGTCGAGAAGGCGGTTTTTTCGTTCACTGACTCGTGGTTTTCCTCGAGCAAACTCTGCAAGACGGTCTCCATTCCACGTTTCCGTGGCCAGCTTGTTTTGAAAGCCAGGCCAAACCCTGTCTTTCGCTTTCGTTTCTCCATCCGAAAAGGGTTGGGGTTCAAGCGGAGGAATCTCGGAAGAAAATTGTTGACCATTACCCTGCGTCTGATTGACGTTTCGATCAAAGTATCTCATTCCATAAAAAGTGGGCAGCGGCGATGCTCTTCGATTGATCAACCCGGGTTGATCGCGATGATGGCAGCCAGAAAGGTGACTGGGAGAGCCAACCCCCTTCCATCCTCGAAAGCCCGCAGACGGCGGTGATGTTTTTCATTGGCCTCGGCCGCCAGCCCTCAAGCCACAGTCATCTTGGACAGCCTGACCAACACAGCCAGATCCGAGTGACGATCCTTTGGTTCTCCGATGGACGTCACTCCGCAAAAGTGAGAGGAGAAAAAGAAAAAAGGGAAAAGTTTAAACAAAATCGGATCCACCGTAATCCCGACGGGGACTGTTGTGTTGGTACACAGGCTGGAGAAGAACATGGCCGCTCTCGCCGCTCTCAAGAGTTCCGCACTAACAAACCACACCAAGGTTGCACTGTCTGATCTTGTTCGGTTCCACATTGGAAGCGCAAATCAGCGGGCAGATCTGGCCGCAACCCACAAACCACGAAGCGCCTTCGATCTCGCAATATCGCACGGTGAAGGTTGAAACAGTCTGACCCAACCAATACAATTTGCCGGCCTTCCAAGATTCTTTGAGTCAAGAGTCCAGTCCGCTGAAGGAAGGCGTCCGTGGTCAGGTCAGGTCATCTTCTGCTGATGCTGGACCAGCCTATCGGAGACGCAGGACCGCTCGCTGCACATGACCACTCCGGGGTGACCTTAGCCACCTGAAGGAAGCGGTCAAGGCCAACTGGAACCATGGTGCCGGGAGGTGCCCCAAAGAACAAGAAGCACCCGCCTCCCAACCGCTGAACGGCGGCGGCGGCCACCCGTCGACTCGGATCGCCTTTCGGGACAGGCAGGCGCTGGCAGGCAACTGCGAATGCTTAGTTGATAGCAAGCTCCAACATGCCCGAAGGCGCGGGCTGATGATTCGAGGACCGACTGGGCTATCTTTCGGTTCGGACGTCGCGCAGACTGCATCCGGGCATGACCCGCGTCGAGGGTCTGAGACTTGCCCTCGGGGTTCGGTTGATGGCCGGCTATGACGACGAGCCCAAACCCACCTCACCTGTTGCGGGTTTCCCTCCTACACAGGAGATTTTTCCCCCATCACAGGGGAGTCGAAAGCTTGGCGGTCGGCAACGTGAGGTGAGCAGTGCAGCCCACAAATGTTTTTGTCAACGGTGTTGCGTAACGCCCTCTCGCTTCGCCCGCTGTGTTGACAGTGGGATCCCCCCGCCAGTTCCACCGTCTCAATCGGCAAATCAACAACAAAGCCCGCATCCAATTTGAGCCCGCGATTCTGCCTCTCAATCCTCCACTCGGCGCAGCCTTCGCGGCACGTCTCCGCTCTCGTGACCCCAGTCCGCCTGCGAGTCTTTTGAGCCGGCCAGCTCAGCCTTTTCGAGGCTCCGCTCAGGGCTTGGTTGGCCCGTCGGCCCTGAGAGGAGTCAGCCCAGGCGGCCAACCAGAGGAGACTCGTTGGCCTGAGGAAAGGTGAAAAGAGTGTGAGTGGCACAGCCCGGTCGCCAGTTGTTGTTCCAGACCGCCTTCCCTCGAAGCCGGCCGGCCTCTTCGCCACGCGAAACGACCTCTTCGCCGGCTTCCGGCGCTGATTAATCGGGAGTGTCCAGATTGCATGGAAGAGTGTTTTGTGTGTCTCCCGTTCCGAAAACAGGCAACCCGCCCCTTCGGCTGCGAAGCTGGCGGTGTGGTCAACGACCAGTCACAACGATGCAAAAGACAGCAACACATCTCTCGACAGGCCCCTCTCTCCGGCATGCTGCACTCCGGATCAGGGAACTCTCTCTGCGGTGGCGTCCAACATGACTCTGCTGCAGCTTGTGCGAAGAAAGGCCAGCCTCGGGTTTTCTATCCGCCCCCAAACCAATGAGTCTTCGTTAACTGACGGGGGGGGATCCTGCCCCGCGGTCTTCCACCTGCAAGCCCCTCATGCAGTCATCATCCTCTCTAGAGTGAGCACCAGCAGCAAAGGTACGGTACAGCACCCCAGTTTGGAGTCTTCACGCCTCCGACCACCGGCGACCATTGGCACTGCCTGGGACTCGCAACATTTGATCTTGATGCTGCCTACCCTTTTACTCGACAACGCGTCTTTGATCACCACCAAGCTGGAGGGGGTTGCTTGCCTCCCGGCCTGGTCACCCGGAAGCATTGGAAGATAGCAGTCGTGCCGACGATGCCATAGCCCCGGAGCATGAACGAACGTGTCAGGCTTCGCCAGTCATCTCGCAGGAGTTCTTTGCTCCAAGTCGATGGCTCCCACGCGCGCCCCGCTGGAAAGGAGAGTGGTTACCCTACCATATCCACCCAGCGCTGAAGGGCCGGGCCATCGAGAGCCAATGGGACTGGGCCCCTCATCTCTGCCCTCCGCGTGTCGAGATTTCTCGGCGGCTGGCGGCAGCTCTGAAGATCTGGCTAGAATCGGAGTTGGGCAGGGACACAGGCCATCCCCGCGCGGCCATATGCAACCCGCGTTGCCATGGCGGGGTTCTCCATGTCCAAACCCTCCAATTTCAGGACTCGCTCAAACGTGGGAAGCGAAAATATACCGCAGTCGCATTCATCAACCGCCCGATCACCCCTGCCCCTCCAACGGCGATTGACCAGACACGGTTAAGAGAGCCAAGAAGAAGTCTTGGCCGCATGTGCTGAATGATTTTTCTCTCGCCCGCTTGGTCCGTCGAGGGAGGGGCGCATCTCTTCCAGCAGGAGAGCTTTCCTTTCCATTACTCGTCTGGTCTGAGATGGTCCGAAAGCGCTCAACTCCGCAGCAACAGCACTGCAGGTGCATGAGTTTCCCGATCAAAACCGGGATGGGAAACGAGAGACAGAGAAGAATGGGGGTTCAACGCACAACTTGGTCCGGGCCAGGTCGCATTGCATCGTTTTGACAAAGTCGACAGAGGCAAGCCCGGCCCGGAGAAGAGCTCGGCGGAGACTCCATCCCCCCCCCCCCCCCTTAGAGGCGCATCGCGGATCTCTATTGAAAGAGTGAACCCCATATTCGGGTCGTATCGGCGCTTCGGTCGTTAACGATGCTAAATTTTCAGGGTCCTGTTGCAGAACCAGCCTGAAAAAGATGGCTCCCTTCTCTGCTTGGCGCTCGGGGTTGGCGGCATTCACTGGAACGGTCTGGTGGCCACCGTTTCGGCGGCCGTTTTGGAATCATCTCGCATTCCACACGGCCGGGCGAGACCAGTCTTCCAAAGAAAACACCATCATGGCAACGTACCCCCACCAAATCTTTCAGTGTAAAGTGGAGCATCGTCACTTCGAGACCCGACGCCGATCGAGCGGTGTTCGCCGCCGCCCCTCACCATCGCTTTCCATACAAGGCAGAGCAAGGGTTGAGCCGGTTCTCGGTGAAACCATGGATCAGAGACTTTTGTGTGTCTGTCTGTTGAGCCTGTGCCAGACACGGGCATTAATCATCATCTCATCGGCACCCATCAAGTGGCTCGGTGGCGCCTGCTAGTTATTGCAATGTTGGAAACAAACCCTGGTGATCAACGACTTGACCAAAGTAGCCAAGCTCCCAAGCACCCAAACAGCCGTTCGTGACGCAGCTCCCGGCACGCCACAAGATGACACAGAACGGGCCTGCGACGGCTTTTTGCCATCCAGTCAATTCAAGCTGTGTCATGATGCAGGCTACAATCGGCTGCATGGACCACAAACCTGCTCATTGGTCGTCTGCGTTCCTGCTGCCTCGGCTCTGCACACATGCATCGTCCGATGGTTTACTCCGAGCCCGCCGTGATGGTGTGAATGTACGTACGCTCACAGGCACGCTTCTGCCACCGATGCGCTGGAACCATGCTCCCATGGTCTGTCAACGGCGCCGCCGGATGTGCCTGGAGGTGGCCTGCGTCATTCTAGATGCCTACCTTCCCCAGTGACGGGGACGTTGGCTTGTTCATTCTGGGTGCCGGCTTAGTGATCGTGCCGATGGGGATGCCTACCGTGTAACACGCATCACGTTACGAGTCACATTCTCTTGAGCGACATGAGAGGTGATAGAGACAGTGTCACATTGGGATTCACGCAGCTGCCTACTTGTTGTCTCTCTTTGTGTCAGTTTATCTCCGATATCCGATCCAGCGCATTTTTTATGTATTGACACGTGCATCAAGACTCTTCTCGGAGAGGGCCCTGCCAACTTGTCGACAGCCTGTTTGGGAGGTATTGCTGTGCGTGTTCAAAAGGGGTATTCCGAGGCCATATTAAACCAAAGATAAATAAAATAAAAAAGATAAAACATCATGCACCTCAAAACAAGCCCGTCAAACCCAAGACCGACCTTGAATGAGAAACATGCTCAAACTTTCGGCCCACAACCCCCGAGCCCCTCTTGCGAGCCACAGAGAGTATGACTGTCCAGAGGGGTAGTTACATCCCCGTCCAACAACACAACCAAACAGACGGGGCAGACGGGGACACCGAACCCCCCACCCACCGCACCAACTCAACCTCCACCCTCGCGATGTCGTACATACAGAAAACGGGTCTCGCTGCTGCTGCTGCGCGCGCGTATCCCGCAACCCTTTTTTGCATCAACGCTTGACGCGGCGCGCTTGCGAGAGGGGGGAAAAGGGGTTGAGGTTGAGAGGGGGGCTTGCTTTGGGTACGAACGCATCTGGCGCTGGTGACCAATGACACCCACACCACGATGGGGTCGACCGCATCGTGCGCATCCAACCCAAGACCCAAGACGCATCGTGTCTCTTCTCTTGTTGCCAAGTGAGGACTCTCGCTAAATGAACGCCGCCCCCATGGCAATATGGAGGAGATAATGCTCTATCCCGCCGTTGGCGAGGCGGGTGCTCGTCGGGTTGGAATGGTGTAGAGGCTGTGATGTGAGTGGAGGGGTTGGTTTTGACGATTGGATTGCATGGCGTGCGGTTCTCACTGGCTATGCAGCGGGGTAAACGGCTTTCCTGATTGAGGTGACGGCTGGTATTTGATACTCCGCTGGCTCGAGGTATCTCGTGTGCTGTTGTGTCGTCCTCGGCTGGGGAGGTGAGATGTAACGTCCATTCCGGGACGGGTAACAGCGGCAGCTTGTCTGAGATCGGAGTGATACCACCAGGATCGTCCTGCGGAGCAGTTCAACCCTCAAGAGGGTCATTTTTCGGGGTTGAGAAGTTTGAGCCCTCTGACGAGGTGTTCATCACTCAACGGGGTCTAGCACACGTACCTTCGAGTGTTTTGGGGGGGAGGAAGCAGACCTTGTGGGAACCGAGGTGGGTTGTCTTGTGTCTTCATGCTAAGACAGTGTTGATGGGACACATCCCGTTCCACGGCCCTGTTTACCCGGTTCGAAGTTGTGGTATGTAAAGTAGACAAACCGCAACTCGGTGATAGTGCTACAGACGTTGTCTAAGATGGCATCAATGTTTATATACCAAAAAGTCAATAAGCGGTGAACATAGATACAAATCTTAACTTTATTGCACCACGCCCTTATTTTGTCCGTTCCTTTGGGTCGCTTGCTGATTGTTCAGGGGCTGAACTATACTCCCGTAACATAGTATGACTGACATATTACACTTCCTTCATATCCAAGAACCTGGTAACAAGGCCACGAACGCCCCCCCAGCCATCTATTGCTGCTAGTTCGTAACTCTCACTTGAGGAAGCACACTGCCAAAAGGACGACCGCCCCAACCCAGTGCTCAGAGCAACCACCTTCCGTGTTCCGATGGCATCATCCCCAGCCTCGAGCATCCCATACATAAACCATACCGTTGTGACCAACATCTCACCATAAAAGCTCAGGCTAGATTGTTATAGCATTAACTAACACGCCACCAAGTCTCCCATAAACGCCGCCGGACTCCCAGAACCAAGTCCCCTATCCCCCGTCTCAGCCAGGAAACGCCATGGCTAGCAAAATCCTCCCCCTTTTCTCTGCCAATGCTGAGTAATATCGTACATACAAGCGCATACAGAAAACCATCCCCCCTCCCCCCCGAACAAGCCTCCATTTCCGCCTTTGTCCTTTTGTCGAGTCCTTTATCAGTCGTACGCATGGTACAGTGCATCGCATCCTTTGCTCACTCGAGCCTGGCAACTTTGTCGCGGTCGAGGTCTTGAGCTCGCCTTCTTGCTCATCACAGTAAGTCGCTCTTGACCGTGGCAAACCGGACAGCCGCAGCGGCAAGGGAAGGCGAAGCCCGGGCGCTAGCTCTCTTGCGTAAGGAAACAGGGGTATATTTCTTGGCCCTGGCACTACGGGCCTTGGGTGTGGTGGTGTAAACCACGTTTGTATCTTCCTTGGCCTCGTTCGGCAGAGGCGGGTGCTTGGACTCAACGCCAGTATAACAGGTGTGGATCTTGAAATAAGAACCTATGGAACCCAAAAGGAAATAAGGGAGCACGAGTCAGTGAAAAAGAACCACCACCCCCCTCGCTTGCAAGGTAATGATATTTTTTCAGGCAATCATCATCGAATAAGGCACGATGGCCTTATCCACGACTGGCTCACGTCTCGAAGTCACCTCGGCCTCGTTGCCCCACCTCTCGAACCAGTTGTTCTCCTTGTCTTTGGCGTCGTCGAAGGCCTGGCGGCACTCCTCGGGGAGCAGGTCACGGATGTCGTCGGGCACGGAGCGCAGGTCTTTGAAGGGCGCCAGAAAGTCGGCGGACGCCGAGGGTTCGTAGTCGGTCCGCGAGGTGCGGAAGGGTACGTCGTAGGCCGCCACCGAGACGCCCGCGGGCGGCGTCTCGAGGTGCATGTCCATGACGAGGAAGTTGCGCGAGATGGATGGCTTAATGGCAGGGAAGATGGTAGCGGAACTGGCGGACGGCTGCTCGGGTTCGCCACCGTCCACGATCTGCTCGATCCGCGCGTGCGTCGGTTGCATGATAGCGGGATAGTGCATCTGGTTGGTCTGGATGTCGTAAACGCCGTTGCGGTTGTTGCGGCGTACGCTCGAGAGCATGCTGTTAAATTGGCTACGGGATGCGGTCAGTAAGGGCTTGATTGGAAGATGAGACTCAACTCACCTGGCCTCCCTGGCGTGCTCTAGCTGCCAGTTGACGTCGTTGACGGCGACACGTCGCTTCTTGGTCTCGGCCTTGACGTTCTGCTGGGGCACTGAGGGCCCCCCTGCGTGGTACACCGCGCTGGCACCATGCCAAGCGACGTACTGATTCTTGTTGTACGGTACGTTGGCGTCGTAGACATCTGACGGGTCGGCTAGCTCGCCCTCGACTGCACCTTCCTCGCGTGCCTTGGTGACCTCATAGTCATCAATGACCCGGCGCCCACCGACAATGATGAGGGCACCAAACTCGCGGAAGACTGAGCGGGCAGTGACAATGCCTATTGAGCGGCCCTTGTAGCTGTGCGGGATGATGTCGCGTTCAATCATGTCGCGCTTCTCCTCGTCGTTGACAATGATCTTGTAGAGCTTCTTGTGCTTGGTGAAGAAGAGGTACGAGTCGCGGAAGCCGACACAGCGGGCGGGCTCGGTAGAAAGCATGTAAAGCCGGTCGCCGCGGTTAGCCAGCGTGAAGGTTCGGCATCGGTACTCGCGTCCGTCTTCGAGATTCCCCAGCTTGTCGACTTTTTTCTCGCCTTCGGGATCCTGGGGAAGGTCGACCTCGTCGTTAACGATGTCCAATACCGTGCCATCCTTGTCGATCGACTGCTGCGTGGGTTGGTAGTGCTGCCCCTTACGTCCACCACGCCCACGCCATCCTCCGCGGCCGCGGCGGCGCGGCGTGGCATCAGGGTTGGGAGGTTCGATCGGCAATGTGTCCCAGTCCGGTGGGCGGTTCTTGGGCGGCCTTCCTAGCCGGCGGCGACGGATGACAGGTTCGGGTGGCGGTGTCGGAGACTTGGCTTCCTCCTCTTCCTCCTCCTCCTCCTCTGGGACATCTTCCTCCGCAACAGAGCCGTCGTCCTTCTCGGCCTCCTCCTCTACTTCCTGCTCGGGTTCGGCATCCTCGGGCTCAGCCGCATCTGGCATGCGCTCATCTTCATCGTCGAGACCATCGAAGGTTTTGGGCGTGCTCTCTGTAGACGGAGGTACACGGTTAATCAGTTTGATCTTGGGGGTACGGTGTGAAGGGCGGGGTGCCATGGTGCAGGAACATGCTACTTTTAGGAGAGTGATGAAGTCCGTTCACAAGGGAGGGGTCTAACCCCACTTGAAGTAGGTGTTGAACCACATGGAGTGGAGAGATCTCGGAGTTCGAGGGCAATCGCATTGGGGGGTGCACGGCCGGCCGGCTGTTGTGCGCAGTCTGTTGCAACTATCCGGTCCGCAGACTGCTCCTGTTCTTGCGGCAGCTGCGTTGATGCTTGTGGAACTGGCGCATGTCCCAACGACGCTCTGCTGCAGGCACCTTGTTGCAACAGCTTGAATGGGAACACTCGGTTCCAGGAGGATTGTTTTGTTTGCAGGGTGCAGCTGGTCGCTAATGGACGATGATGGGATGATGATGGGGTGATGCATCGAGGGGCAGAGCAACAGGAGAATCAAACTTACCGAGTGCTTGTTGAGCGCGCTTTGCAGCTGCACGGCTGGTTCGTCGAGCGGCCATTGTAGGCTGTTGCTTGTCGTGGTGCGACGGTGCTTCCTCGACCGGTCAGGGCGGTGTGCGAGTTGGCGCAAAATCGATGATCAATCTATATTGGTGCAGCGGCAAGTGGGTAGGGTCGGTGTCGCGAGACGCGATTGCTCGGAGACGTGGATTTTGGCGGTTTGGAAGGAGACGCTCGGACCAACGCTCGTGAATGGAACCAGACAGTGCGAAGTGAAGCCTCAGTTTGAATGCATACTGTACTTTGACCGTGCCAACTTAACTTATCACGAGGACTTAAAGGGTGTTTTGTCGATGGCATTAAAGATAAACAACGAGAGGGGGGTTAAATTTCATATATTCATATATTGCGCTACGTGTCTTTTTAGTTACACGAGTGCTAGCGCTTCCATGATGGTAGGAAGGAATCTAGACAGCAAAACAATAACCATTCCCCAGCCGTGAACCCACCAAGATCCTTTGTCCTTGGATCCAAGAACGAGGCCGCATCGGATCACCTTCCTCCTCAGCCTTCGAAGGCGACTCAAAGGGGATCAGCCTGCCCAGAGAGAGCAAAAAACGAGACCGCTGCCAATCTGTCGAGCCCTGCCGCTGTCGTTACATATTCCAGTAAGGACGCCCTGTCCATCCCGCCATAGATGCCCATCAGCTGTCACGCCGCATCATCTATGCCATAGGAAACCAAGTGTAATATGCAGTCTCGTGGCGTAACATAGTCTCGTCCAGATCCACGTTCTTCCTATGCGTGCCTGCTAATTTGCTAGTGCGGCCGGTGCGTGTATCAACACCTGCGGGGTCGATATCGTGGAACGGGGAGATTTCCGAGGTAGCGTGTAAATGACTAGTTGACCGGCACCTTCTCGACGTTGGCCAGAACTTCGCCAAACATCTCCTCGGAGAAAACTTCTTTGGTCAGGATGGTGTCCTTCGCGGCATACAGGTATCGGTATGCGGTCTTGACGGTTCCATCGCTAACGCTGGAAACGACCGAAATCTGCTTGGTGCTCCGCGCCTCCCCGACAAGGTGAGACGCCATGTAGATGCAGGCGGCGGCGACCGAGAGTGGGGAGCGGCCAGCTAGGTCCGAGACCTCTGACGATTTCTCGGCGAGGCGTCGAGCGACGCTCTCGACACGAACGGCGTTGCGGAATCCGAGGTTGCTGCAGTAACGGATGCAAAGTTCGTCGGCTGTCGTGGAGCCCTTGGCGGTGTACTGCTGGCTGTACCCCGTGGCCTTGGCGATCTTGTCCTCGCCGCCCATCTTCTGCAGGAAGGACTCAAGCTGTTTGAAGACGCGCCCTATCTCCTTCTTGGACACCTTGGTCAGGCCATAGACCTCCCGGAAGGTCCGCGGCACGTTGGTCTGCCGGCAAGCGATGAAGATGCAGCCAGCAACGATGGCCTCCTGTGATTTGCCCTTGAGCGCCTTGTTGTCGTCGACCAGCTTGAAGATGTGTTTGGCGGTGTTGGCGACCTGGGTGCCTGCATTGATGCTATCGGTCAGAGCCTGGATGTCTCTGTAGGCCTGAAGGAGGACCTTGGTTCCCTTGTCCTGGTTAATCTTGTTTTGGAGATGGGCGAGGTTCTTGGCACCCTTGCCGTCGAAAGCAATGGCCGTCTGCAGCTGGTCTCCGTCGATCATGAGGTTGGGCGCGTCGCCGACACGAGAAGGGTCGTCACTTCCATTGTCGTCGCCGGAGAAAGTACGCCATTCGGACCGGGTATCGATGATGCGGTCCAGCACGAGGCCACACGTCCCGCAAACCATATCACCAGAGGAGTACTCCTCGACAAGACGAGGCGGATCCTCTTTGCATTCGGGGCAGATGAGAATGCGGTTGAGATCTTCCCTAAACTCCCCCTCCTTGCTCGTCTCTTCGAATGGGGCGAAACCAGTCGCCATCTTGGCCAATACTGCGGAGCGAATGCGAGGTTGGTGATGGGAGCCCGGGAAAAACCCGTTGGTCGTATGGTAGAGAAACGGATATGGGGCGGGTTGCGTCTTGTTTAGCTAACTATGAACAAGCGGCAATTGCGAGGGGGAAGCCGAGATTGCTGAAAAAGGCTGGGACTCGAAAGAATCGGGCTCGGGAGGTCGAGGAAAAGTGTGGTCACGCGCTTAGGAACGGACGTTTGGTCATGCAATCAACAAGTGCAAGCGGGAAATCGTGTGTGCCTTGATGCGGGCGCCTCGAGCGACTGTTCTGAAGACCAGCGAAGGCGTCCGAGAGGGCTCCTCTCAGAACAAAGAACAGCACTGTCGGATAAGAATGGTCGTCGCGGGTAGTCTCGAAACCGGCCTGTTTGTAGGGTTCGATTACGGCGAAATGCTCGGAGCGTCCAACACCCGAAAAATAATTTCTGGGAGCTGTTGACAGTTCCGAGGAAAAGTAGCGAGCGGCGGCTAGAACGAAGGGACGAAGCCAGCCAGGAGGGGAGGAGGAGAGAGGAGACGAGGTGAACAAAAGCGAGAGAGGGAAAGAGGCGTTGCTGTGTCAGCCAGGCGCTGCCTTTCCCAGAGCGGGCTGTGGGGCTGTTTCGTCCTAGCTGGGCTGGAACGAATGACTCAGCTGGGGGGCCTGCAGGCTCAGCCTTAACAAAGGGACTTGTCCCTTCCATCCTGAGATACCGACTCATGGCTCACAGAGCCTGCCGTTCCATTTTCAAGTATGGTTTTTCGAGACTCAGTCGTGTTTTCAGGAAGATGGGCAATCTAAGTTACGTAATTATTGATGACAGACTGCACTCGATTGCTACCCGTATCTTACACGTTGTTCCCATCAAAATCGTACATACACACAAACAACGCGGATTTCGCAGCCCACGCGTTAGTAAGACTTTCGGGCCTCGACTCTCCATCCAACCAACCTTGGAACCACTCATGAGTTCCCAAACTCGAATACGGCGTCTTTCCTGCGCTGCTTCCGCGTGGCGTCAAAACAGACGAATCCCATCAGCGTGTCAGTACCGAAGACCTCCAATTCATGGGTAATAATCATGACCGAACACCGGAGGCGCCCAGTGCCCGTTGAACGAGCACACTCGCCTCGTAACCTCCCAGAGCCCGAGTTGTATTCCATCATCTATCGTCCTCCGCATGATGACTTCAACGCTTGCTGATCACAGGTAGGTGGATGGGCCTTAATGCGCCGCAACCCATGGCTCCTAGGCCGATCGGGGGGCCATCCATTCTCGGCTTGGTGAGTCGGGCGGCCTAGGTTAGGTTTTCTCGACCCGCGGTTCTCTCTTGATCCTTCTCCTTAGCTGCTTGTTCAAGTTGGAGGGCGTTGTTCAGAGGGCGGTGACGGGGGGCTGGTGGACGGCGTCTGACTAGGTGACTTGTGTTTCGCGGGCGTGGGGATGCTGAGAATGGGCGCTTCGCTGGCTGCAGTGGTTGCGGGGTGCCGGCGGCCTGATCGTTCCTGTCGCACTTTGGCTTCCCACTTCTTCCAGTCGTCCTTCAGCTTGGTCGTCTCCTGCCGTTCCATCTCGGCCAGTTCGCGGTCGATCTGGTCCGCCATCGCGGAGAACCCGCTTCCCGCAGAGTATGAAGACCGCGTCGCCAGCGACTTGTTGATCATACGCTTCCTGTGCGACTCTAATTCCAGGAACGGGTCGGTGTTCTCCATCTTTCGCCTCTTGATGATCTCGCTTTTTGTCAAGTACGGGTGGAGTTCCTGGTCCCTCCTGAGCTGACGGCGTTTGGTGTACTTGATGAGAACGAAGGCGACTACACCCCCAACAACGATGAGCCCGCCCACGACAGCGGCCACGATCCAAACCACCGTGTTGGTTGTACTGGGGGCCGCGTTATCTTTACTGGTCTCACGCGGCGGGTCGGGCCCTCGGATATCCAGGCTGGAAGCGATGGCGGGCATACTGGCGAGCGCTGGTTGCAACTCAGCAAAACAGACGGTTATTTGCACGCAGTCAAGCAACCGCTAAGAGCAAATAGGATGCATTCCGTTCAGGGGCAAGAGGCTCATGGTTTGAGGCGTCCGGGGAACGGCCAGCCTTATACCGCGGCACACCCTCCTCGGGTCGGGAACCAAAAGCCACGCAGGGCAGAGCACCGCCGAGAATCAATCTGGGACAACGGTGAGGGTGCGGCGCAGAGGAGGGTCTATAATTGGAGGGAAAGGCGCGCTTCTCCCGGATGATCTGCACGCCGCCTTGGACGGAGCGCCGGAGTGGGGGAGGCGGGTGAGCTGCTCATCCCGTTCATGTCCTTTGCACGACCTGCGTTTGGTTGTCGAGGCTGCCTTGTCCGACTTCAAAATGGACCTTTCAGGTGTGCGAGAGGCGCAGCGCGGGGCTGCAACATCGGCAAATACCACACCACCACGCAGCTGGCCATCGGACGACTCGACCTGGTTTATCCACTGTCTCACGAAAGTATGGCGTTATCCAGCTCGGTATCGAGTAAGGCGGGTTGAGGATCAACCGCTCTATGTCCGCTGACTGTGTTGTGTGTGTACATACGTATGTGCATCCTTTCTCTTTCCGGTTGTTCCATTGCTAGTTCGACTTCGTAAGTCGTGTTGGGTCGGCGTTCTACCCCCATGCTCGTGTTGCTGGGAACCGACCCTCACAAAAATAGCAAAGACAAACACATCACCTGCTTGCTACCGCCGATCTGTTTGCCCCGAGGAGGAATGTATGTACTTGCTTAAGGAAACCGTCATTTGACCATTTATGTCATGATTGTCGGACTCCACAGCTAGGTTTGCATCAACCATGACTGGACTGTGGCGATGCGAGCCAAGACGCAGCTTGATCATTACGAGTTCTTATCCCGACATCATACAGCTGGGGCCTATCGTGGCATCGAACTGCAAGGGAAAGGTCACGACACTAAAATAAGACGGACCTACTTTGATGCAGCTGGACTCGGCCAAGAATTATTCTCCACTCGGGATCGTTCGGAGCTCAGTGAGCTGAACGGTATTGTACATACAATATCATTACCAGCTGTATCTACCATTCTTACATTACTACTAGGAATAAAACCGTTCATGGGTATCCAAACGCAACCACAACCGCAAGTATCACCCCCAACGCCAGTGCCATGCTCCCTTGTGCCACAAAATCACCGTCCACCGTCTGCCGTGCACCGTCCGCCCGCGGTCCAGCGTCCACTGTCCACCGTCCACCGTCCACCACGCACCAACCACCCGCGCATCTCACCGGAGAGGAGGACCGCGCGGCCCCTCGGACTTCTCCTCACACCACTTCCCCGCCTCCTTCCCACAACCACCACCACCACCACCACCACCACCACCACCACCACCGCCCCCATCCTCAAGCTTCCCCCCAAGGCTGCTCGGCACGCGGGAGCTGCCGGCCTCCTCGCCGGGCCGCTCGCGCAGCGTCAGATCCACCGACGGCTCGCGCCCCGCGGGGGCGGGGGCGACCGCCGCCGCCCCGTGCACGAAAAATGCCGGCTCGGGATCGTCGCGGCCGCTGCTGCACTGCGTGCTGCTGCGCGTGCGCACCCAGCGCCGCCAGGTGAGGCTGATGGACGAGTGCTCCGTGTCGGCGGCGGAGAAGCGCGGGTTGAAGCTGGTGCGGTTGTTGGTCAGGGTCGGGGAGGGGCTCGGTGGGGGGGCCCGGGTTGTTGTTGTTGTTGTTGTTGTGGTGCGTTGTCCGAGGAGGGCGCTGCCGAGTTGGTAGCGGCTGGCAGGGATGTGGAGGAGGTTCCAGAGGCTGGGTTGGACGGGGTTAGTTTTGTGTGTGTACCTTAGGGACGGGGGTGGGAGGTAGGGGTTGGGACTCACGCTTCTACGCAGAGAAGGATGTATACCACTAGTGCTGCGAAGCGGGTGGGTAGACCCCAGTAAGTGTATCCTCGAGGGAATGGGTCGCCTAGCCCGACGTAGACTAGAAATAGGGCGATGTAGGCAATACCGCAGGTGAACCGTACCCCCAGGCCCCAAGTTGGCCACGGTTTCTTCGCCCGGAAGATTGTCACGGTATCAAGGGCAACGTCCGTGAAAAGGAAGCAGATGAGAATAATCGCTTCGATGCTGAGTAACACGGTGTCTGGTTAGCATTATTATGGGACGGACGACCCCCATCCAAGACCGACCCCGGACACAACTCACCTCATGTAACTCCCCAGATCGTCCCGCAACACACGCATGGCATACCCAAATATCCCCAATAACACCAAACATGGGACGGCGTGCAGAACCCCGTTTGCCAACCGCAGCCACACCCTCCAATCCCGACCCTCGTGTTTCGCTGGAGGAGTCTCCACATCTGGAGTCGGGGAGGTGTTGGTGTTGCTAGTATTGGGATTGGCATTGACGTCCTCTGCTGAGCGCCCATACCAGTAATAATCCATAGACTGCTCGGAGATGGAGGCCGCTGGTGTTCGTTCTGACATATCCTCGGTGAAACGGGACCGTATTCTTGGGCCCAGCCGTGGTCCTCCGGTGGGAGTGAGTGGCGACGAGGTGAAGGGAGTGGAAGGCGTCGGTAGTGATGTTGGACGCGGCGTCATGGCTCTGCTCGGTGGTTGGGCCATGACGGGCGCTCGGTGTTGAGTTGGTAAACGGATGTAAGCAGTTGTATCGTCGCCTACCGGGGTCAATAACGAATGGAGATTCGATAGCCGGCGAGGTATCTGAATGCACAACGCATCTCAGAGTGGTGGAAAGCGCGGCCGAGTCAGCAGTCGAGGGTTTCGAGGCCGAAAGTCGGGGCCGAAGGAGAGCGGGATGGAGCCCCTCAAAACATGGGATGCTCCGCCCTGCTGGAACTCAGAGAACCCAAGCTGAATGGAGGTTTAAAGGTCCACTGCGCAACAGAACAACGTGAGATCGGTTCCCTTTTCCTTTCTCAGGGGGGCATCAGACGCCAGCGTGGTGTTGGAAGGCTATGTGCGGCACAAACAGAGGCACAGGCCTCGCCCCGATATCATCCAACAGCGGCGCTGCAAAGAGGAGCCAACACACGACGCTTGGCCGAATAGGCAGCCCCACGAGCTTAATTCGGGATTCAAGGGCCTGGCATCATCCCAATCTGGCGAGGAAGGACGCAAACGAGGGGCTGGCCCAAATCTGGGCCTCAAACGGGGCCAATCGGAAGATAAAGAAACTCAGCAGAAAAAATCGAGCACCACGAGGCAAAGGAACAATTAAAACACGTTGATAAGAGTTCCATTGTTGCATTCGCTGGCTAGCAAGGCGGACTTAGCCAGGAACCAACGGTTCTGGCTCGCCTGGGTAAAGGGAAACCGGGGCGAGCCGGGCGTGTTCATCCAAACGGCTGCAGGGATGGAAAGCCGGTCCATCCAGGTTTTTCAGGGGTCCCAGGTGGCCCTGGTCGGGCCGCTGAAGGAAAGTCCAGGGGAGCAATCCGGGGAAACAGGGGCTGACCCATGACGAAACCCACGTTCGACCATAACCACCATCCTTTCGATCCCCCGAGTCTTGCGACTCTCGAACTGGCACTTGTCAGTGGGAAGATAACATTGCGAAAAAAGGAGCAAATGGCCGATCAGAAGCTTCCATGCAGGACCCGCGAGAGGCGCGATCCGCGGATACGACTCCATAGTGGATCTGAAACGTGGGCAACGGCACGGATGGAATTTGCGGCGTGGTCAGGGGAAGGATCGAAAGGCTCGATGGTGGGGAGCTAGTGCCACCAAAAAAAGATGTTAAGCGCGATGCGCCACTCCGAGGTTTAGCGATGGCTTGACTCTAAACAGCCGCCACCGCCAGGTCCCGACACTGGCTCAGATTTGCCTTTTAACTTCATGGTCAAAAAGGACGACGCAGACCGGCAGCTAGTGCGCAAGGGCTTCCGAGGAAACCACAATGCGAACTAGCCTCCTAGTCTGTCATCGCGACCGTGACTCAGAAGTATCTGTAATGTATCATCACCGCCAGTGTCATCTTTGGGTTCCTGGGTTCCTTATGATATCAGCGTGGTGCCTTTGACTTTGCCACTTTCCATCTTGGCTGTCCTAGCGCCGAACTGGATCTGCGGTGATGTTAGTGTGGGCAATCCTGGGGAGACAGACAGGGACAACTCACAGCGCGCTTCTTCTCCATTGCCACCGTTCCCATGCCCAGCTCCAGTGCCAGCAGGCGGAGTACTCTCTTGCCGGCTTCAACACCGCTGACATCTTCACCATTCTCGAAATCGCACTTCTCCCAAGCTGGGGTCCCGATGGCCGAACTCACTAAGCGCTCATCTAGAAACGGAAACCTCACCTCCTTACCCCAGTGGGCCAACACCCGATCGTCCCGGCCTAGGTTGCGCTTGCCGAGCCGCCCAACGTCAAGCAGTAGCTCATCAATCAACCCGGGGTAGCCCCGCTGTTGGAACGCGGAGGGATGGCGAGAGTACCCGCCAAAGAGCTCGTCGGCACCTAGGCCGGACAGGAGGACTCGGGCAGGAGACCGATATGGAATCGGAGGGGACCCGGGGGTTTCGTTGGAGAAACCTTGGCCACGAGAAGCAAAGTAGAGTGCGTATGCAATGGAAAGGTCCATCTCAGTATTGTGAGGACGGATCAGGGAAATGACTTGCTGGCGGTGTGCCTGTGTTTCAGTGTAGGGAACGTTTACCTAGGTGGGTTAGACACGCGTCTGAGGAGGGTGCAGAAGTGAGAGCCTTACAGCCACGAAGTGGAAGGCTCGCCCAGGACAGACCTTTTGCAACTCTGCAAACGATCGCCTTCCGGTGATTCTGTCCGGGCAAGCCTCGTAAAAGTCGGAGAGGTCGCTATTCTCCTTCTGGAGCTGAGCAACCACCCGAGGGTTCTCGAAGGCGACATTGAGTAAGTCAATGGCTTGATCCGCATCGAGTATGTCGTGGCACAGCCTGGCCAATACGGTACAGTCAAGGCCCCCGGAGAACAAGACGGCAACTCGAGTTGTGCCGTCAGTACTCGATAATGGTGGTAGCGGAATATTGAGAACCCTCAGCCTCAACGACTCGAGCAGTTGCTCCTTGAGGGTCACCACCGAGGGTGAATCGGGCGTCAACTGAAAGCAGCTAGTCGGCAGCGCCCGATTGAACATGCCAATGCCGGAAACCTGGAAAGAGTAAAGTAAGTCTGACAGGACGGCCGATCACGATCGAACGCATAACCCGCAGCCGACCAAGCAAGCGTACTCACGAAATCAGCGGCGTCCTCTCCAACAGCCCAGTCGTATCGTTCCGGGCTTGCCTCTTCGCCCACCGTCACCACATAAATCCCATCAGCCTCGACCTCTCGCCACCCCTCTTCAGCCTTGCCGGCGACACTGCACAGCGCCAACCCGCCATGACCCGTCGGTGCCATCAAAAGCGACCGTCTCCCCAACCGGTCCCGACCGAAGAACACTCTCCCCGCAGCAGCATCATAATACACAAACGCGAACGGCCCCTCAATGCCGCGGAGAACATCCAGCACCGCATTCACCCCACCACCACCACCACCAGCCCCAGCGGCGGCAACGAGCCTCGCAAACACCACCTCCCCATCATTCCCCACCACCCGCTCCCCACCACCACCACCACCATCACCACCACCAACCCTCCACGCCTCCCCATTCCAACACAGCACCGACCCCTCCATGGCACCAGAAGACCCATCCGTAATCGGCTGGGGCGCGACCCGGTCGCCGCGCAGCGCCAGCACGGTGGACGTGAAGCGCAGCGACCAGTCAGTGGCCGTCCCGCCGGCGCCCGCGCGCTGCTGCACACGGCGGCGGCGGTCGACCTGGCCGAAGTGGTCTGGCCCGCGCGCGCGCAGGCAGCGGCGCAGGTCTGGGGGGAGGTTGGGGTTGGGGGGTGAGGTGGTGGGGGAGAGGGTGGCGTGGATGCCGCACATTGTGGTGTGTTGTGTTTGTGTTGTTGTGTGTGGGTGTTGGTTTTGTTGTGTGTGTGTGTTGGGTTAGAACGGATGGGCGCTGGGAATGGCGTGTTGGGCGGATTGGGAAATGGTAGGAGTTAGGTGGTTAAAAGGTGGTCATTAAAAAGTCAAGGGCAAAACCCGCGACGCGACGTGCAGATCTAAAAATGCTTGGCGATTGATTGATGGTGACAGGGCAGGTGCTGACTCAGCGGGTCACCACCAGAAGAGAAGTCGCTCCTTCCTCGACGGCGACCTCACTCGGTAATTTGTCAGGGGTCTTCCCATTTAGCCCCTGATGGCCCCTGAATCAAAAAGAAGATGTCTCAACACCACAGAATCAAAAGATTATGCTTCACACTAGCTTCTGCTCGTTTCGATCGAGCGACCTCCGGGTTATGAAAAGGATTAAAGAAAAGTTGTCTACCCCCTGAATGCTGATACTTACATAGATAGCCCTTACCCTAACTTGCCCAAGGCGTCGAGAGAAAAAAGGTTCTAAATGTTGATCGCAAAACACCAACGATCACACATCCTCATCAAAATTGAAGCTAGCGATTACTCGTTTCGATCGAGTGACCTCCGGGTTATGAGCCCGGCGCGCTTCCGCTGCGCCAAATCGCTTTCCCCGCTTCCGCTGATGCTTGTTGGAACTCGGAACCGGGGGGGTGCTTGATAACCGGTCCGAACTGAGTGCGCAGGGGGACTGTGAGTGGCCGTGTTCGTCTTTTGTCTGTTGTGACTCATTCCAGTTCCACTGCCGCAGGGGTGAGACAAAGCCGGGCCTGGATCGCTTGAACCTGTTATTATTTACACCAATCACGTGGCAGGGTTGATGAGGTGAGTGCAAGCGGCCCACAGTCGAAGCCGGGAAACAAAAATTCAATTTACATATTAACTAATTAGTCTGTAGTCATCTATGTCCTTAAATTAACATTCGTTCATAGGTACCTGCTTATTGTGAACTTTACTTACAGCATCCTCTTGCTCCTCCTGACCGGAGGGGAGATCGGCGGAGGGGGGCTCGGCCGGGGTGTTGGTGGCGGCATCCTCGCTGCCGGCGGGCTCGGACCCCTTGGCGGCGGTCTCGGCGACGGCGGGCTCGGCGGTGGCGGCCTCGGCGGCGGCGCCCTCGGCCCGGTGGGCTTTCTTCTTCTCTCGCTGCCTAGCGCGGCGAGCACGCTGCTTCTCCTAATGATATTCATTAATAACGATATACCTATAGTGGTGAACCACCTACCTTCTTGGCCTCGGCGGCGGCGGCCAGCTCCTCTGGCGTCTTAGACTTGAGCCCGGTTAGCCCCGTTGTGAAATATCGAGGGAACGCGCTTACCTTTTTGCCAGCTCGGCTGGCGGGCCTGGTGGTGGTGGTGTTGGTGTTGGTGGTGGTGTTCTATAGACACATTATGATTAATGCCATATTGAGACAGCGGTTCGTGGGCAGTATGGCAGTGAACTAGGAACCGGATGCTAGAAATGAAATGTAAACGGCAGAACCTACGAGGTTGCGGGCATAAGCCGCAGCGAAGGCGGCGGCGACACGGGGCGTTCAGCGGAAGTCGAAACCCGACAGAGCAACTGCTTCAGTCTCGTAGTAGAAAATTAGAGGACTCAAGTTTCGACCAATATCGCAATGTTTGAAGGTCGGAAACACACTGCTTAAACGTAACGACAAAATTCCATCCGATACGTACCGAAAAGGGGGCGGCGAGGCGCGTATTTCGACGAAAAAAAGAAAAGGAAGGAAAGGCAGAGGGAGATCAGTTAACTCTCGAAGAGTAAGGAGTGTCCGGCCAGCACCCAGACGCTCCTTCCGTCATGCTCTCTTTCTCAGAACGCGAGAAATGTTTGCCTTAACCAGGCAACATCACGCTCATCAAGGAAGGAACTACGCCTGAGGTAGGCTAGATAACTCACAAGATGAACACGGGAGGTTTTTGTAACTTTGCAAACAGACGTCCAACAAATATCTTGAGAATTTGTGTGGAAGACTTGTTGAGATTGATATCGTGATACACCGTACTTTTAAGTACTTGATTCACTCGCCTAGGAACTCTCAAGGGCAACCTCGACGATAAGGATTGTCATCTGTGGTTGAACATTGTCGAGATGTACTTCTGCTTAATGTTTCAGTCTCTTCAGTCTGGAACTTTGAGTCAGTATCTCGAGGCTGACTCCCTAGACACTCGCGATTCTGGGTTGAACGTCGCCCTCCCGCTACACCAATGGTACAGACACAAGACAATTGGTTCAACTTGTGTCTGCTTGAAATCCAGCGATCCCGAAATCGTCCGATACGCACAGGTACGGTTGGATTTCGGCCTGAGCGCTGCTCGCGAGAAGCTCAAGGCGCTGAACTGGGAGCCTTCAAGGCGCAATCTCCCCCTTAGCTGACTGAAGCAGCTTAACTGGGACCCTACCGCGTTCGCCATGCGTAAGGTGTCGGCTCAATGGAAGACAAAGTACAGGGACCCAGTTCCCAAATGGGGCGAACCGACTGCTGTGAAAGTCTTTTGCAAGCAATGCGGATTTACTACATTGGATACTGCACCGGTCTTTCACATTCACACTGGCGCATATGCCGTTAGAAGACGACGATGCTTGCACTGTGCTCCGTCAGCTGCGGAGGCTAGGCATCGGCTGAACCACGTACGGCGAGCTTTGTATCCGGTGGAACCTATGGCATTCTTCGTGCTTAGGTGAAGTCCGGATTGGATACATTCTGTGGAAACGGTGAAAGCTTCGGGTTTCATCTGTGTAGAAGAATGTTTGCGTCTCATGGAAACGGTGAAAGCTTCAGCTTTTATCTGTATGTGAGACTGTTTTCATCTCATGGAAACAATGAAAGCCTCGGCTTTTATTTGTGTATGAGGTGTTGTGTTGTGTGTCTACGGTGACAGGAGAGGCCTTGGCTTCACCTGTATGTGTGATGCTATTTCGTGTCCCATCAAGACAGCAGGGGCTTCGGCTTCGGTCCGGATGTTAGGGCATCACCCGGGGAGACGATGGCAACTTAGTTTTCCATTTTATACCGGGCCATGGGGACGGAGGAAGGTTCAGCTCTTATCCGTATGTGAGAATGGTGTGTGTTCTGCAGATGGAAGGTTCCGATTTCCGCTCATATGCGAGAACACTAACCCGATGAACCTCCAGAAGCAACGATGGATCCTGCTTCGACGGTTCGCCTTGGTGGCCTTGAAAGTCCATGATAGCCCGGCGCGCTTCCGCTGCGCCAAGAAGCTTTTCTTGTGTGAATTGTTGAGAAAGTAGCGTCGGGGGTAGGGCCTGAGTAGGCATTCTCACGAGGAGGGCTATGTAAGTATTAGCATTCAGGGGGTAGACAACTTTTCTTTAATCCTTTTCATAACCCGGAGGTCACTCGATCGAAACGAGTAATCGCTAGCTTCAACTTTTGGTGAGGATGGTGTCTTTGGTGGTTTGGGATCAACATTCACCACCTTTTTTTTCTCGACTCCTTGACACCCACACACCCTTATTTGGCTCAGGGTTAGGGTTATGTAAGTATCAGCATTGAGGGGGTAGAGTACATGAAATAACTTGGCTCTTGTTTGTTGCTGCCATCAGTTTTATTATTAGCCTACCGTTCAAGTGCGTGTCTGTTTCTCGAACCGGTGACTGGCCATTACCTGTCTTCAAGTTCGTCACTCATCAGCAGAACGATAGGCCGTACGGATACAACAGTTACGGATACAACAGTCACATCAATTTACGCAGAGGCTGGCCACCTTGAGAGTCACTCTCCAGGTCGAGAATTGCGAATTACTGACAACTACCCGGGCAATGCAGATACACCAAAACATGCAGCCAGAGAACCCACCCATTCCGCCCGATGCCGCTCGCAAGAAAGAAAGGAGGCAAAGGAGACGAGGAAGAGAAGAATTAAGGCAATTAGAGCATAACGCGAAACCCACGACCAATCTAGCCCTCGGATTCCCCTACAGCGCTGAATGAACCCTTTCGACCTCCCGCCATTAAACCAAGACCAGCCAGCTCACGTCGACAACGCGAGGCAAGCATCAACCGCCAACCCAACCCTGCCCATTGTCAGTCAGTAAACCTCCTACCACCCACCCCAGAACGGACAAACACATACCTCCCCTCCTTCTGATACACCACATCACTGATGATATCGCGGTCCAGATCCGGAAACATGCCCGCCAACGTCTCCACCACATTCGCATGCTCGGCGCGGTGGAGGCGCTGCGCCTCGGCAGTCTCGGCACTAGCCTGGCGGGCGGCCGCTTCCTCGGCCGACAAGCGCTGGCGCGCCCGCAAGTCACCACCGCCGCCGGCGCGGTCTGGCTGCGGAGTGCGCGCGGGGCTGGCGATACTCCCGCTGGCGCCGGCCGCAGACGACGACGACGACGAGGGCTCGTCCGAGAAGATGCGGCCGATGGTGCTGAGCGGCTTCTGGATGGACCGCAGCAGGCCCGTGATGGCGGCCTTCTCGTCGCTGCCGCTGTACTCGCCGCTGTCGCGGGCCTCGTTGGACGAGGTGGAGCGGCGTGGGCTGGCTGGGCGGTCGACGTCGATGGAGGGCCGGGTTGACGAGGGCCCTGATTCACCTAGGTGTGGCGGTCTTAGGGAGGGTGACTTTTCTGAATGGGATGGCGGCGGCGGGGGGGACTCGGCGCGGTGTTTCTCTGCGATGGCCGAGACGGCGGCTTCGACGTTGTTCTCGAATTCTTCGTCTGTGATGGTCAATGTGGTGCGGTCCATGTTCTCGATGAACTGGATGGCGCCCATCTGTGATGGTCAGTACAGCTCGGGAGGGGGAAGTGTGCAACGCACCAGTGATGAAAGATAGTAGCCGGCCTCCCCGCCCAGCTTCTCCTGGTTCCTGAATCTCAGAATGTACTGGACGTTCGAGACGAGATGTTCCGGATTTGCCTGCAGCACGACGTAGATCAACATCGGCATGAAAGAATCGGCAGACGAGTCCGACTTGGTGTGTTTGAGCAGGCCTGGAAAGGTTAGCCCTGGGATCTCAAATACCAAACTATCCAAACGCTCTTGAGCACCTACCAAAGATGACTTTGCAGCAATTGAGGACGCATATGATCTTGTCTCGTGGTGCGCGATAGGACTTGATCTTGAGCAATTCTGGACAGTGTTAGCGTGGAATTAGGCGGGGGCCAAGCTACTCACCCTGCTGCGCGAGCTTCAGGAACCGCTTCCCGCTCTCACTCACTTGGGGGATATCTAGATGCTCCTCCCTCACCCAGCCATAAATGTTGATCTTCTGCGCGAGGATCTCATCTCGCTCCACATCCTCTTGATGTTGCCCCCGCCGCCCTGGGCCCATCACTCGGTCTGCCCCCCGCTTCTTCTTCGCTCCGGGGACCGGCTGGGGTGCTGGAATGGCGGGGGAAAATGTCTGGGAATATAGACGATTCATGACGAGCTTTTCCATGCCCTCCCGGGCGTTGTCAAACTCAGTGTCCGGCACGTCCCTCCATACCTCGCACTGAGCCATCTTGTTCCCGATGAAGGCAAGAAAATCACCGATGATCTTGACCTGCTCGTGCACCATCCACTGCCGCTTCCCAAACTCGGACAGAAACGACTTTAGATATCTTGCTACCGGATCGGCCTTCTTATTGCGCAGCTGCTCCAAGAACCGGTGGAAGTCGAACGGCAGCGTCGGCTCCGGCTCAGGCTCCGGCGGGGGTGGGCGGTGTAGCGAGGCAATAGGAGACATGGGTGAATCAACGCTGTCATCCCCTAAGCGCCCTGAATAGCCAGACTCGTCCTTGGGGGGGACTGGGGGCCCAAAGTCTTCGCCTTCCGGTTTCGATCTTGTATCCCCCGGCGATGAAGTCGATACCCGAAGGCCTGGCAAGTCTTGGAACTGGTGTGTGATGGTAGGGGCCAGGGGCTCCAGGCTTGATTTTCGAGGAGGGTGCTGGATCGGACCCCCCAGAAGCGGCGACGCTATCTCTAGCCTGGGACTCATGACCTCCTCGGCATCGGGACCGCCCCCGAGCTCACTAAACTGCTCCATGATGCTCTGAATTTCAGACCTGGACCCATGTTCCTGCTCATCCTCGCTAGTGTATCTCTTCTCGTCGTAGGCGGCATCGGATCTCGTGGGGGAGGGATCTTCGGACCTCGGCCGGGCAGACGAGGGCGCTCGCGAAGGGGGTCGGGAACACGTCGGTGTGGGTGGGGTGGGATCAACGTAGGTTTTTGATTCGGCCGTCAGGTATTGCGTGGCTGCGGTAGTCGTGGGGAACGTGGTTGGTTTCAAGGTCGCGATCGAAGAGGACATTAGGTCGCCATCGTCAGGTTGTTTGTCCTGTCGCGTAAGTCCACCGACAGTCTGCGATTCGCCTTCCGAGTTCTCGCCCGCTTTATTTCCCTTCCCATTTCTAAGGTTCGGCAAGTCATCCTCCTCGGCATCCCCTCCCTGTGCCGCATCGGAAGTCGCACCCGGAGAGGTGTTTCGGGGTGCCTGCTCTGAAAGGGAGGATATCTCGCTATTGGTCGGGACCGCTACATCTTTGCGGATATCGGATGGGCTCGAAGAAATGGCTTCCTGGTTGTGGGGAGACATGCAAGGGGACCGTGAAGCACTGGCGTAAGGTGAATTCGTTTGGGAGAGCTTCGGGTTGGAAGTCTTGAGACGAGGTGTGTTGGTGCGGATGGGAGTCGGGTTGGGTTGATGAGAGGTTTATACGGATGTGGTTTATACGCCTAGGTCTTCGCAAACACGTCGAAAGAGCTGAGATGACGGTGGGGGCTTGTTGTCGTTGTCTTGGTCGGCAAGGCTGTTCTTGTGTGTTGAGCTGCCAAGAAGTACTTGGCTTTGGGCCGTTGACATGCGTGCATGCCCCATGCCACCCCGCAATACTCACACAGCCCACTCAGGGTTCGCGATGGTGGGGTCATGCTGCTCCGAGCATCCGCACAGGAACCCCAACCCCGAGAGGTACCCCAACCACCCATGTACATTACATATTACATAGGTATGTATGTACCTACATTCAGGCTTCGTCTTCACACCACTCTTCGTACGAAGTAGTGTACATTGACTGCCTAACATTCATATCGTCAAACGAGGTTGAGCGGACGGCCAATTATCTAAGCGGTAACTTTTCCAGTAACAACAAGGTGGTTATTCCAAGGGTCCATTGGGTAAAATCCGTCTCACAAGCAAACCGGGTCGAAAATGGCCGAGGCCAGGACTGTTGGGAGCTTTGAACGAATCTGGGCAGGTTTCAGGGAGGTTTCCGGGTGGTTTCCCAAGATCGAATCTACCACCACCAATGATCAGGCCTGCCGGGCGGGGTCCTACGCAGTAACTTCGCCTGGGCAACCTCAAGAACTAATTGCATACGTGGGGGAGAATCTCAGAGTTAATTGTTGCTGATACTTACTTGGATCCCTAAGGTTCGACTTGTCTTGGTTCCCGTTTCGTCGTCCCCGGAAAATCGGTACGCCAAAGTCGGCGACCAAATCCCGGGCCGCCGGGTGAGTGGGTCCGGCGGCTTCGGGGCTGATACCGGTGAAAGCCGGAATGCCGTTGTGGTTATCACGATGAAGTGAAAGCAAGAGTTGCACCCCGGGTATTAGGAGTAAATTTCTGAGGGGCCAAATACAAAACGGGCCGCCTCCAATTCACCAGAGGCTTCTTGAGAAAGACGGGAAAGCCGAGTCGACAGCCCCTGAGGCTCCTATGTTGAGCAAGACACTCCCATCAGCACCGATGCCTCTTATTATATTGGATTCTCCCCGGCGCATTGAGAAAAGGATGTTGCTAACGTAATAGGAAGGGTGGTATCTCACACCTAGCCTTGCGAATACATGACCGGCCTGAGGGAGGGGCTGGCCATCGTGCCTGTATGTTTGATTGGGCGCCACCGGGCCTGCTTTTCTGTTCCTCTTGACTTTCATTCCTCGCCAATTTGATGATCCCGGCCTAGGCTATTGCTTAACTGCTTTCTTCATCGTTGCGTTCCAACCCTCTCTAAACGCCATACCACTATCTAAGTTCCATACCTGGGCCGATCATGAGCGAAAATGACGACGGGACGGGCAGGACTGAGGTCGGCAGTTTGGCGGTTGCCATCGTGGCCTTGGTGGTCGCCCTCGTGGCTTTAATGGGCACAACGGCCCAAGTGGTCCAACAGTACCTAGCCACCGCCGTGGGCTACTCGAATTGCGGCAAGAGAGTTATGGGACCTTGGGCTCGCCACACGAAGCTCGTTTTCCATCCCTGGGAGCTGCGCTTCGAAGTGGTCTTCAGAAGTCCTGACATCACCATCATGTCCCTCTCCCCCGATAAGGCCGGGGACGTCGATGACATGCAAAGCTGGGACGTGGAGGAACCCACAGTCCCCCGACAACCGACACTACATAACAAGGACAACGAGGACGTCATTGCCGACTACTCAGCAACCTGGCTGGCTTTACTGTCCACTGTACGGAGGATGCTACGGGAAGGCGGGCCTTCCCCGGGCTCCCAGGGTGAGATGGTGGCGGTGAAAGTGGAGGCCAGGCTTCAAACGCTGGACCTTATGCCGGAAGGGGTGAAGAAGCCATACGCAACGACCACGTTGGGCAGCATCGTGGTCCTCGCCGGAATGCTGGGCCTCCACTGGAAGCAGTTTGACCGGACCAACGACCGTTACGTAGCTGATGGTAACGGCATGTTGTTCACTGGATTTTCAGTCCCTCATCTCGGGATCATGTTCACCTTTACCCGCCACGACGTCCCCAGGTTCCCACGGATTTCCCGTGTTATCCCTACAATCGGACTTCTCGAATATTGCTTTGGTCTGGTCCCTACCATTTGTCGGTCGAGCGATGCCCCGCGGCCCATATACCTCACGGATGTCCCCCGGGATCTCGGTACCTTGCGACTCGGGAGTCCTTCAGAGATCGCGAGCACGCTGGCGTTGCTGCAGTGCGACGGCCGGATTGTCGAATCCATCGGTTCGACTGAACATGTATTCCCAGGCAGGCACCCATTCTCAAGCCATCCGGTATGCCCAACACGCGGCTCGTCTGACCTCGTCTATTCACAGTCCTCTTCGAGCTTGTTGGGATGATCGCACAGCCCATGCATATGCGAGGCATCACCGGTCGCACGCTACCGAATCCACTGCCGTACCGTTGGGACGACAAAAGATTCTCCCCAAGGAGGCTTCTTGCCGCCTGTGCCCACGAAATCCAGAAGCGTACGGAGACCATTTTGGTAAACGATGCGGATTTCGTGGAGGTAGTCTCTTCACTCATGCCACCCACCTCGTCTTCACCTGACCCCCAGTTCTGCCTTTTGCCAGAATCCGACCCCAGTTCCATACACAAATTGCACGATGCCGTGGATTGGTGTGATAAGTGGCTCCGCTTATGGGGAGGCGGCGAGTCTTATATGACCCTCATGATCGTGCGCGCACACATTGACCTGTTCTGGGGGTCGTTGTTGAAGAACCGGGATGTAGAACAACGGAGTGATTTGTACCACTTACACCCGTTTCGCGCCAACATGACCAAATTCGGCCTCGAGGACCGAGAAACGGAGCTCGTCGAGATGTATTTCGACGAGATTTGCGAAAAACAACGGCTGTGGGCGGACCAAAACCACACTTTTCAACGGACTTGGCATAAAGCTTCGTCGGACACCCAAAGGCAAATGATAGCATGGATGGTCTTGATGTTGCGCATGGTGTGTTGGTTAAATCTTCACACCTTCCACGCGGCGGATGTGCAGCTCCCCAAAAGTGATCTCATGGGGACGCGGTTGCCGGTATACATCAGCTAGTTAGCGAGTTTAGGCGGGATCGAATTAGGGTAGACAGGTAGTCAGATGCCAGAAGCACACTCGTAATTTCATGATTTATTTCGAGACAGCGACTACCTAAAACAGACCGCCAAACCCGTTCTTCTCGGCCTGCTTCTTCTCCTCCTCCTTGATGGGGAAGTCCTTGCCCGTGGCCTTCTTGTACTGGTCGCGGATTTGCTGGGCGATCATGCGGTCCTTGGCCTGTTCGGCGGCGCTCTCGTTGTTCTGGGCGCCCTGCTTGAAGACCTTCTCCTGCATCCAGTCGATGCCTTTTCGCAGCAGTCGTCATTAGCTGATGTTCTAGACCGATGACGTCACAGGGGTACTCACCCTTGTCAAGGGCGTCCTCCTTCTTCTCGCCCGCCGCGCCGCCGCCGGCCAGGCCGTTCAGCTTATCCATAAAGCCACCGCCGGAGCTAGACTGCTGTTCCTGGGGCTTGTCGCCCTGCTTGCCGGTGGCCTGGTTGGCGACCTTGTTGAGGAAATCCATGATGTGATGTTGGTGTTGGTTGAGTGGAAAAGAAGAGTTCTGCCAATTGTGGGTTTGTTTGGAAGATGGTCGAGAGAACACAGGATGTTTAAGGTTTGGAAGTGGTCGAGGTCCCCGGAGATATATAGTTGAGGGGGAGAGGGGTAAACCACTAAGGAGGTGGGGGTAGTTCAGCTGGAGTGGACAAAGAACGCGTGAAAGCACCTTCGGGTGACGATGACGCGGGCCAATGGACAAGAGATGGCGTCCTTGGCAAGAACGCGCGATGCAGATGCCTTGGTCACCGGGGCAGTGCTTGTTTCTTCTTGCGGGCTTCCTGATGCGTGCGGTAAACCGAGATCGAGCTGCGGGGGCGGCGTCAATGGCCTCAGCTTGTCAGGGAACCTCCCCGTTCGACCCTTCAGCCCATTGCATGAAGGAACTCTCACAGTACATGTATCTGGCTACCTCATCTTTTAGTGCTAGTCGGCCACAGGTCGCCCCTTTTAGACCCGGTGCCTTGTACCCCGTACAATCGAGGAGCGCCATACATTTCAAGCTGCAGGGTACTTCTTGTGTACTCCGTACTTGGTGTGTCAAGCTCAATGAGATCGAGGCCGCCAATGCTTCCCTCTCCTGCCCAGAAAATCCTTGGTACCATCGGGACGAGTTTCTGCATAAGTGGGGCAATATGTGGCCCGTGCTTCTCTAATCTGTGCTCTCAAAGGATCAAGCCGGGCGAGTCTTCGCTGTCCCCACTTCGGTCCGGAATGCTGTGGAGAGCGAGCGGATTGCAATTCACCGACGAAGCCGGAGCCATTGTATTCGTAGCCTTCTCCATCTCGACGCCGGCAAGATTAGGGGTATCCATTCCGCAAGCCACCACAGCAATTTGACAACGCCGATTTCAGCTTCCCCACGTGGGCTATAGTCTCACTCGGCTTTCCGGATACTCCAGAGGAAAAAATGGATTACGTGCAACAGCGCATGGCGCAAGCCGCCGCCAACACCGACACATCCTCGAGGTACGGACCTTTCCTTAGGCACACCTCTTTCCCCATCCAAAAAAGTAAGAAACCAAACTAACAAGCCCCTCCACCCTCTAGCACCCTTTTCACCCCGCTCAACGGCCTCCTGCTCTCCATCCTCCTCTACACGGCCTACACCTTCCTGCTGCGCCCATCCCCACCGCCACAGCTCCCCAAGGAAGAGCCGGCCGTGGTGTTCCGCACCTTCACGCCGCCCACCCTGCGGCCCTACAACGGCGAGGCCGGCATGCCCGTGTACCTGGCCGTGCGCGGGCGCGTGTTCGACGTGTCGCGCGGCCGCAACTTCTACGGCCCCGGAGGCCCCTACGAGAACTTTGCCGGCCGCGACGCCTCCCGCGGCCTCGCCTGCGGCAGCTTCGACGAGGACATGCTGACTAAGGACCTGGAGGGCCCGCTGGACAAGCTGGAGGGGCTCGGCCCGTCCGAGATGGAGGCGCTGCAGGGGTGGGAGGAGCGGTTCGAGGAGAAGTATATGGTGGTTGGCAAGCTGGTGGCTGTTGGGGAGGAGGGCAAGGAGAACTGAAGGAGACTGTTATATGATGAGTCGGTGGCATCAGCGGGAGAAAGGGCGATTTTAATGCGGGAGTTGAAGGATGGAGGGCAGGGCATGCGTTATGGCCGTCCCAGCAACAGAAAGACATCGACATGGTTAACTTAGACCCGGTACGTAACGACAATAGACAATCTACCCAGTTCCTCATTCCCAATACACACCTTCCCACTCCCAACAATCACCCTCCCCTTCCCATCCCTCACCAGCTTCTCGCCCCTCACATACACACCCCATCCCAGCCCCTTCACAACCCCGCCCTAATCTCCGCCGCCGCCTTCTCCGCAATCCCATACACCGTCGCCATCGTATCGCCCCTCGTAATAAACGGCATCACGCTCGCATCCACCACCCTCACATTCCGCGTCCCATACACCCTCAACCCCTCATCCACCACGCCCCCCACCCCCCTCGGCATCATGCTGCACGTACCGGCATACAGCGTCGACGCCCCCGCGGCCTCCCTCAAAAACCCCCCCTCCTCCGCCACCGACTCCAAATCCAAATCCTGCGCAAACCCACCCCCCCATCCCTCGGGCACCCGCCCCGCCCCGGGCCCCGTCCTCAACCGCCCCGCCAGCGGCGCCGCCCGGGAAAGCGTCTGCGTCACGAACTGCACGTGCCGCGCCAGCGTCGCGCGGTCGACCGGGTGGGAGAGGTAGCGCGGGTCGATGGCGGGTTTGGTGGCGGCGGAGGCGCTGGTGATGTGGGCTGAGCCACGCGAGAGGGGGCGGGTGAGCAGGACCGCGATGGTTATGTAGGGTGAGGTGGCGCCGGCGGGGGTGTTTGGTTGTTGGTGGTGTTGCTGATTGGTGGGGTTGGGTTCGGGTGCGCGGCAGGGCACGAAGACGTAGTAGCCTGATGCGGAGGTCGGGGAGGTCAGGGTGGCGCGGGTGAGGGCGGTGGCGGCGGCGGTGTAGGCTGGGGTGGTTTTGGTGGTGGTGGTGGTGGTGGTGACTTCGGAAGGGGTGGTGGTGGTGAGGGCGGCGAGGAGGGCGTCGGCGTCGCGCTTGCCGGCGGCGGTGGTCAGGCCCGGGAAGGGGAGGTGCGCCATGGTGTTGCAGTTGGTGCGGGACAGGGGGCCGCGCCCGGCGGCGTAGGCTGCGGTGGCCGCGGCGATGGCGCCTGGGTCCTGCCGCGCCAGTGCGTCGATGGTGTCGAAGCCCGGTTCGGCGTCATCGATGGCTTCGAAGGACAGCACGCTGAGCGGGTGGTGTTGCAGGTTCTCGCCCACGTATGGGTTGTCGACGACCACGTCGATGCCGAGGGACTGGAGGAGCTTGGCGTCGCCGACCCCCGACAACTCTAGGAGCTTGGGCGAGTGGAAGACGCCGGCCGAGAGGATGACTTCCTTACCGGCGGCGACGGTGGAGGTCTTGCCGTCCTTGGTGTACTGCACGCCGGTCGCCACCGCATCGTCGCCAACCTTGTCAAAGAGGATCTTGTCAACTGCAACGCCGGTCCAGACGGTTAGGTTGGGGCGGTCTTGGACCGGAGCGAGGTACGCATTGCTGGCGTAGCTCCTGGTCTTGGTTTCGGGGTGGACGGCGTCGGGGTACAGGACTGCACCGTGGATGTCGCCCGAAACGGGGTTATTGTAGGCGGGATATCCGAGCCCGGCCAAGGTGTCACGCCAGATCTTGGGCCACTTGGTCTCCTCCTCAGGGATGTTAGTCTTGATGGCGCCGTCGTTGTCGGTCTTAGACCCGTCTGTCACGGTGTACGTCTTCTTGAGATGCTTCGAGAAACTGTCCCAATCCCAGCCTGGGTTGCCGAGCTTCGCCCAGGCGTCGAGGTCCTCCTTGGCACCGACAACGAAGTTCATGGCGTTGAGGGCACTGGATCCCCCAAGGAGGCGACCCTGCGGGATGGGAATCTCCCGGCCGCCCAAAGCGTCCTGTGGGACACTCTTAAGCTGCCAGTCGGACTCGGTGCCCTGGAGCCGCGGCCACATACCAGGGACATTGACTCGGGGGTCGGCGGAGAGATCCTCGCCCGCCTCGAGGACGAGAACCTGCGTATTGGCGTCTTCTGACAGGCGGGCAGCCAACACCAGGCCGGCAGTGCCGCCGCCTACAATGACGAAGTCGAATTGGGAGGTCATGATGGCGGGAGTGGTTGGTTGGGTGATGGATCAAGCTGCGAGGCCGGAGAAGGGAGTTCTAGAAGACTCGAGAAGTTTGGGGCAATGGAAGGTGTCTGATTGAGGAGTTGAGAAGTTGATGGGCGGCGAAACCAGGCATATTTAAGCTACAAAGACCACCTCCCTTCAGCCATGCGCACGCCAATCCGCCGAGATGGACCAGTCCACGATATGTGGACGCGCCTCGATTGACAGGACTAGTCGAAGCATCTCGACGATTCTTGATGTTTCCAGATACTTCCAGCTCCTTCGAAGCTGCGATCCTCCTTCGCATTCTAATTTGTGGGGATTGTTGGGGGTGTCATCATGCGGGGAGGAGGTGAGATGAACGGGTAAGGGTGTGTCACACAGACGCGCCCCCTGAAAATGATTCATGGACAAATGCCCGGTTGGATGGACGAAGCGAAACCGAAGGACGCAGGCACCAACAAACTCAACACGCGGTTAACACGATCCATACATGCACATGGAGTCGGAATCTTTCTTTGGCTTCACCGTCCATATCGGGTTTCGCTCAAAAGGTATCGAACTCGGTCAATCACATCGGGGACGGGATGAAACGACGAGTCGCAGTTTGCTCTTTAAGAAACGAGCGTCGAATGAGTCGCTTGACAGGACAGAACAACGGGCCCATCTGAAGAAGAGAAGGGCGACTGAATGTCTGTCGGCACAAACTCGAGGCAACTGCGCCGTGGTTCCTCTCATTCACTTGAGACTAGGTAACGTACCAGCCGCTACTTTGTTTTCGCGGTTCCTGTTATAATAAAAGCATTAGGGGTGGGTTAGCATACAAGTCTAGATCGTATGTCCGAACCCCGTCAGAACAGTCGCACAACACCCACACCAGTGTCGTGGCACCAATACAAGGCCAATGAATACGACCAATGAAGCATATTTACATGCAAGTCCCAAAGCACAACCTCCCCCCCCCCCCCCCCAACCCCTCGCAAATACCGTGCTAGCTGGCAGGCAACTCGAACACCCTGCGCGGCTCCTCGACAACGCCCAGCTCCGCGGGCTGGTAGTATTTGGCGCTGCCGCCATGGCCATAGGCCGCTGGCATGGATATTCCTGGCCCATTTTCCGAGTACTGTCCCCACTTCTCCCCAGACACGCCGTTATAGGGGTTGTCGTCGTGGTATGTAGGCGCGGCCGGGGGCTCGTTCATCCTCTTCCGCCTCCTGAAAATAAGATAACCCGCAACGACGCCCAAGATGGCGGCACAGGGGATGGCGACGCCAATTCCGATCTTGGCGCCGGAATCAAGGCCACTTGGGCTTTCGGAGGAGGGAGCGCTGCTGGTCGCGGCGGGGTCGGTTGTTGTTTCGGCGGGAACGGTGGCTGATGTAGATGTCGGTGCTATCCTAGTCTCACTGGAGGCACTGGAGCTCGCTTCAGCCGCGGTCGGCCGGGTGTCGCTATTCCTCGTGAGGTTAAAGTAATGGCTGTTGGCGTCGGCGTTGGCTTTCCCTTCCTCAAAAATGCTCAGGAAAAACATGTTGGACACCGACAGGTCCTTGGTTGTGGCCACAATCCAAGTGAATGTCGAGACATCCACGACCTTGCCTGCGAACTCGGTCATCAGAAGATGTGTCAATATCAAATACAGGTATGGAAATGACTCACGGGTAACGTATTGCATCGACCCAAAGAATTCGGCCGTAGTGGCGTTCAGTTGCCACAATGTCAGGGACGTTTGTTTCCCTTCACCCCCCGGAGTCCAAGCCACTTCCACCACGCTGCCTATCACGTATGTTGGGTTCTTGCTAACATCGCCAACGGCCCCAAACGGAGGCGGGTTGATGAAGTCCATGTCGGCCAACACGCAGGGCAGAAAAGCCGTGAGGAACCGGAGAGGGCGCATGGTAAGAGAATGATGAGAGACGGTTCAGATCGAGTTGGATACTAGGTAGGATACCGCGGGCGAAAGCATGAGAATGCTGGGGTGTTGAAACTTGAGGTGGAATTCCGTGAGGGCGGAGAACCCATCGTCTGGTCGAGGGCTGCTGGCCGCGCGGGCACCTCCCTTTTGCAAGTGTTATACATATTTCCAGCTGAGGGTGTTGGTTTCAGGTGCTTGCAGCAGCCCTTTATTTAGTCCTTGGCCCATTTAGCACTGTGTTAATCGCAGGTTTCTGGGCTGGTTAGGATTTAGTTGGCGCTTAATAACAGCGTCAACTGCGAATGAGTCGAATATTTTCTCACCGCCCCGACTCGGTTGATATGAATGGCATCCATCCGCTGCTGGCCATGCCCGAATTACACAGTAAGCGCGCATTCGAAGTTCGGTGCAAGCCCCCCCTGCGTTCCCGCCAATAGCGCCGTGAGCGACCAAGTTGTCGGGTCCAACACCGCCTCTCGATTCGCCCATCGTCAGCGCCAGGGGTTGCAATCTCCAATGCTTCGCTTCCCCTTGCCGCCATGCCACGTCCCCCGATCTGTTGGCGCGGCTTGCTTTAAAACGCGCCATCCCCCCTCTCGCTCCATCATCATGAGAGGGGCTGCGCAATTCCAAACAACCCCAGCGCTGAGCGCCGGCAACCATGCAATCCGTGCACTGCTTATTGGCGTCGGGAAAGCTCTCCCGGTCCATCATCATCGTGGCCCTCTTTCTCGCTTGTCTCCCTCCCTTGATCGTGTACAAGTTTTGGAACCCAAGCGAGCGTTGGGGCTTCAGCAACCCGTTACCCCAGTGGCGGCCAGCCCAATCGCATCCTTCAACGATACCGAGAAAGTTGTGGTATAAACTGGGGCCGAAGGGCCTGAACGACGAGACGCGAGCATGGACCGATAGCTGCATCAAGAACAATACCGACTACGAGGTTGAGTTCATGACGGAGTCCTCGGGCGACAGTTATGTCCGGAACAAATTTGGGGCGACTGATCCCGACCTCGTCGAGATGTATCTCGGCTTGACGGGTACGTACCTTGTGGCCCGATGTGCCAGCCTGCCTTCCCAGGCTCCACGATACTGACGGTAGTTGGTATGAGCCAGTCCCCATTTTCAAGGCCGACATTCTTCGATACCTTCTTCTCTTCTCCGAAGGAGGCGTCTACTGCGACCTGGATGTCTCGTGCGAGGTGCCGATCAATGAATGGATACCGCGGCAGTACGAAGGCAACGCCAGCGTCGTGGTAGGCTGGGAGTTTGATGTCGGCTGGCCCGGCAACTTCATCCGGCAATTCACGACATGGTCCATCATGGCCAAGCCGGGGTCGCCGCATATGTGGATGGTGGTCCAAGATATCCTGCAGTCATTTCGAGACAAAATGGAGGAGGAGAACGTGACGATCGAGGGGCTGACGCTTGAGATACTCGGGGATGTGGTTGATGTGACTGGCCCAAGGCGGTTCACACGGAGCATCTTGAAGAGCGTGGAAGCGGCGTATAACACGACGCTTCAGGACATGCAGGAGCTGCTGGAGCCAAAACTGGCTGGAGACGTGCTGGTCCTCCCGGGCTACGCGTTTGCGGCATCGGCAAATACTTACGACGAGGCCATGGATGTGCCTCCTCCTCTGCTCAAGCATCACTACGCCGGCACTTGGAAGAATGAGAAAGGCGGGGAGACGGTTTGATAGTTGTTGGTTTGTTGGTTTCGGAACTGGAGTCGGAGTTTTGGACTGTCGGTCCGTTAACGTGTTGTAATTAATCGATGATACCCCCCCAATATTACCGAGTTCAACTTTTGCCCTCTTCTGTGGGAACCTTGGAACGTAACAGACCCTAACCCTCTTCGTGTCTCCGTTACCCGAAGCTCCAACCTCACCTCACTTTTGGAGGTTTAATTCACTTTTAATTCCTACAATCGCAGCTCCTCAGCCTCGAAACGCACTTCAAGAACCGCCGGGAACCACAGACTGCCAGAAATACATCAGCTGTTTCTTCAAGTGTTTTGAGCCGAGAGTCATGAGTTTTTGACAAGCATGAAGAGATGAGGTCATGAACCCTGTCTGCCTGGCTCGATCCAATCCTGGATCAGCAAAACATCAACACACCAACCAACCAAGGCACTGAGAACTTCTGTTTCCGGCAATCCATCTCCAATCACCCAATCCATGATCCAACCGAGCCAATCTAATCCCCCCCGACCTCAACTCAACCCAAACCTCGGTCCCGGCTCAAATCCTCTGCCGAAGAAACGTTACCATCGCTCCAACTTTTGGGAAGATCAATGCCTCGGCGGTCATCCTCCCCGGCGCGCCGTTTCCCCAATCGCTCTCATTTGCTGCCCGCGCCTTGTAGGCTCGGCGATGATGTCTTCGCCTCTGAAGCGTTGCTTCCCTCTGTGGCCGTGGAGCCGTGGTAAGCTGCGTTGCTTGCCGTCATGCTCATCGTGCATATTCACCGTCCCTTGGCCTTGAGCCCCTCCACATTTTGTATTGCGCTGGAAGGGCCGTCACCAACCGCGCTTCTGGAACCCGGGCCCGCCGGGCCCCCGGTCTCGCAGGTGTGATTGTGGTGACATGATAGACCGGCGAGGATAGGTGTTGGGCTTATTAGATGTTGTTCCCTACTGTTCTATCTTGACTCCTCTCTTCGTTCATCACAACTACATCATTATCACCTTTGGTTGAGACTCAGGGGCACCCTGCGGCCCCCCCTATGATCTATTTACTCTGCATACTCCAAGACATGGTTCGCCCCGTACCGTAACTTCATTGCCTTCTTGCTGGTCTTGCTACCCACCCTTCCGCTTGGGAGGTGGCGAACCACTACACACAAACAGCCTTTGCACGCCCCGTTCGATCACCGCCAGTGGCTTAGCAGAGCAGGCTCCTGCCACTGTTGTCACCATGTCTTACGCCCAACCGCCGAAGTCATGCTCGAACCCTGAAATATCCCCAGGTCGCCCCGACAGGCCCCGATTTCACCACAGATGCACTGAAGACCGCATTCGCGAAGGTCTGGAAAGACCTCCATCCTTCTCCATGTCCAGCAAGCTCGCCAAAGAACGAAAATCTATCTTCAAGGAGCTCGGACTGGACACAACTCGGCCGAAAGAGCCCACTTCAAACGAGAAGGAAGGTAGCGAGCCCAAGAGACTCGCATCACCCGCCAACGCTCGTGCCCCTGATTCGGGTAACGACAACGCAAACGGTAATGGTCAGCTTGGGGAAGCAAGACAAACAACACATCAAAAAGAAGACGGACGAGTAGAACCCCAGTCCGAGCCAACGTCCCCATCGTCGTCCCAACGGCCATGGTACTCCAGATTACCCAGGGTGCGCCGGCCTAAGATGAAGACCGTCTCAAGCGCCCCTCCTAGCATGTCTACCCTCGCGGAAGCCGGCGTAATTTGAACCGGGGCTACGGAATCCCGCACCGTGCTCCAAAGGGAAATCACGCCGACAGAAGTGTGCAAGAGATTGGCCCACCAGGGTGGGTGTAGTACGTGTCAGTCAAGGGCCTAAGATATACTCGATTTCTTTTACTCGTCTTCTTTTTATCTTTGCTTAATCTCTCGCTTCCGGGTTTCCTTCTAAGAGTCCAACTTTCTTTTTAAATAGAGGACGCGAAACTGCATTCTCTAGGGAATAGACTGAGAATATATGGAGTAACTCTCCCTACTGAAACAGAAGAAATGCTGTGCCGTGCTAACACTTAATAGACAATAACTTCCTAGCTTTAGACGTAACAAAATCTTCAGTTCACCACCCCGGGCTGATCCAACCAGACCGACCGGGTGTACCTTAAGAGCCTCCTCGAGTTCACACATCCGGGATACAAAATGACGGCGTCTACTGGCTGGCTGACGGGACCGGGGCCGGTGAGGGCGGGGCGCGTACCGCAATATCACTGAGGGCGGTCTGCAGGTCATGGATAAGTTTCCCTACAGAGCACACAGTGTTTTGGCTTTTGTCCCTGGCTGGGGTGAAAGGGGGGTTCTCGTTGGCCTGGTGGGTGGCAGTAACGACACGTTCGTCGGCTATCTCTCAAGGTTTACTACATCGCGAGGCCGGAGCGGTATCAGCAGAAACCCACCGGAGACGCACCAACCAATGCGCGGTTACCGCTTCCGTGTCAGCCGCATCCAGCTTCCAAATCTACCTCTACGGCGGTCAGAGCCCACAACCTTACGTATGGCTACCTACCTCCCCTCAACCACCCTAGAACCTCACCCACCAACATACCCACCTTCAGAGCCGACAAACCCAATAGGTACTGCGACATATACACCTTCACCATCCCCACCTTCACCATCCCCCCCTTCACCTGGCTTCACCACACCAACGACACCTACCCACAAGCAACGCGGTGCTAGCAGGCTCGGCAGTGGGTAGCGCGTGCCCGTTTCGCCACGCGCACGCCGCCGGTCTTTTACCGTCGCGGTTCCCGCGCGGGCGCCGCGACCGTGACGCAGTGGGGACCGGGGGCCGTACCGGGGGTAGTGGGTGGTGATGGTGATGGTGATGGGAGGGGGGGGGGGGCGGCTGGGCGGGCTGGTTGGGACTAGCGGCTGCGGTACCTGCCTACCTACCTACCTACCTGGGGTACTGTTGTGCCTGGTTGTACCGGCGGCGGTGGGTGGCGGCGGTACGGGAGACATCTCGCGGTCGCGAACCGGTTTGTATACTTCCGGGCCGGGGGCGTTGGGGGCGTGGGTTCGTTGTTGGGGGTGGCGGGTCGTGTTCGGAGAGAAGGAGGTGTGCCGGGCTGCGGTTCTCGTTTGACGAGGAGCGCCGTAGGCTCGGGAGTGGAAGTGGGCGTGGGAGCGGGCGTGGGAGTGGGTTGGGGAGCGGTGGTGGCAGTGGTAGTGGCACGGTGCGTGGGACTGGGACTGAGGAGGCAAAGCTGGCGCCTTGTCGTGGGAGTGTCAGCGGCGGGAGCACGTCGTCGACGGAGAGGTTGCTGGATGGACAGGAGCCGAGTTTTTTCAGCGTTGTGCTGAGCCCGAGGAGGGCTCTGGGGATTGTTAACCGGCTAGAAGGGGACAGAGACAGCGGTGGCGAGGAAGGTGAGCATCTCTTAGTTTCACACGACAGAGATGTGCGCCATAAGTGGTGGCTTGAATACACTGTCTCTTGTGCGCGTCTAGCATGAGTACATACATGTGTATAACAGCAGATGATAGACTGAAGGCGATGACCCGTGGCAATGTAGGCACCTTGGATCGGGTGTCGCGTGAATGGTATCGCCCGTAGAGCAGGTGCTTGACCCAATCTATAAACCGACCTGCCTACTACTTTTGGGGAGGTTGTGAACGTGAACCCGGCACACGAAGTTCGTTTGTATTCCTGGACAACTTAAGGTTCCCCACCCCGCGGGGTGCACGCCAAACTTGCTCGAGCCGACTTGAGTTTGGTCGGATAAACCGTCGTCAAGGGAATTTCGTTTGCTTCCGTTTGCTGAACCCACCCGCGGTTCCGAAACAACGCCGCCTGAAAAACATACACTAGAGGGTGGCATCTGTGCTCATCGGCTATCCCGTGCAAGTGAAACGAGGTTGTTTGGTGGCTGCCTCCTGCAATGGATGCTTGGTCTCAAGCTCCGGGCTCAGGCAGGTATTGCATCTGCGGCGCAGTTAAGCCATTTTGTGTTCGCATGCAAGCGCATGTTTCTCCCCAGGAGGTCCAACAAACGCGATGCTTCCTCAGCGTTGCGGGTCCGTATCAGGTGCCGGACTGTATCGATACCTAACTGATAGAGGTCGAGAATGTACACAAAGGGTACGTCCTTTTCCCTCCAACTTCTCTGGCTTGAGAGCAGCTCAACGGCAAGGCTCGGGGAAGGGTCGACGGGATGCTGTAAGTTGAGAAGCGCCATCACAAGCGGGGCCGACTTGGCATGGAGGTCCCGTCCTACGGCGACGAATGGATCGTAGAGATGTGTAGGCAGCTTCATGTGTCCGGTGGATTGTGTTGTAGCGTGATACGCTAGCCAATTCCACGATATCTGCAGGATACCCACAGGAACCTTCATCTCCCTGACCATGGTATCTGCTTTCAAAACGGCAGCGAAAGCAGACTCGACGTCACCCCCAGAGTATTTCTCGGCCACGAAATCTCGGAGTAGTTGTCGGGCCATAGTGTAGGTATTTGTTGTGGCGTGTTCTTTTAGAAGGCGCTTGAACCAGACCCAAACTACGCCATCAAGCCCCTCGGCGACAAGGAAGGGTAGAAGGGTCCTGACGAAACCCCGATTAGAAAGAAACTTGAAGTCCCGCTCCTGGCCAGAAGACCGCAGCCATTGCAATACGAGCAGACCGGCACCGATGTTTGGGGGGGGTTTCCTTGGCGACGAGTTTGCCGTTGAAGGTGACGTCTCAGGCGCCACAGGATTGATGTGTATCAGAAACCCATGCGCGGTCGTCAGATTCACAAGCCCCCGCGAAACGGCTTTCTCGAAAATGGCCTTGTGTGCATCCAAGCTTTTCCGGGAGCCCTTAGACGCGGCCACGGCAGCATTATTAAAGAGCGGGTTGTTGAGAACGGCGTGCATGTGCCGGTCGGTCGCCCGGGTGTGTCTCGGTTGGGCAGGGGCGGCTTTGGGTTGGGTGGGAGTCGAATTCGTCAGCCGCGACACCGTGCTAGAACCTGGGGAGATCCAGCCATGTTCTTGGTCTAGCTGTGTGCGGAATGATGTCTTGATGGTTTCGAGGAGTCGCTGGGACTCGCGCTGGTTCAGCGGTAGCGGTTGGTGGATGCGAGGGAAGATGTCCTTGAGGGACCCGAGTGGCCTTGATCTCTGCATCCTGGCGTCGCCGGGAAGGGCCGTTCGATCAATTCGCTTCGGCGCTTCGTAGCAGCCCGGGCCGAGTCAAAAATAGCGACGCGGGCGGGGTGGTGGGGGGGAACAGTTTGGCGATGTCGTGAGTCGAGCAACGGAGTTGATTGATGGCTGCTGTGGGACTCCAATCAGCTTCAAGGTGGGTTGCCATTGTTGCCTCCAATGAGTCGTCTCAAGCATGCAAGATAGAAGTGGGCCTACCCAATCGAAGGCCAAGGCGTGGCGCACAAAACGGTCACGTGCCCCAGTTTGCCGCCTGGCACCAGTCCCGTTCGAAACTTGGGACCAAACTTCCATGCCAAGCAACCCAGCTGACGTTTTTGGGTTTGAGCATCTTTTGAGAAGCGGAAGGCGGCAAGACCCAAGACAGCTTGAGTTGGTACTAATCTCAACAGCAGACCCAGCTCTTCAGTTCAGTCCGTTGGGTATTTGCTATCATGACAATGATACTGTAAAATCTAGGAGTTAACAATCGGCGCATTGGATTGTCGTCACCTCTCCCACCTGGGCTGGGGAGCTTTCAGGCTGTTGCAAGGCAACGCCAACTTCAGCAAGTTTGCGCATGTGCATTTTCCTGCGAGAACCCGCAGGCGCCAGCTCAGGCGCGGGAGAGAAGAAGCTCCTTTGCGCCCTTCTTGTTCGGCCCCGATACTACCTCAGTACTTTTACGAGCAATTGGACTTTTACACAATAGGTAGTATTCCTTGATCGAGTGAGAACAAAGGTTAGAAATCTCGGCAGCTGCCTTGAATAGGTAGATACCTAATTAAATAAGATAGAACTTGCAAGTGACTCGAGGTACCTCACTACCACTTCCACTCGGTGTCCCCGAGGTGTGAAAGGGAGCCAGCTGATCGCTGGACAGCCCTGTGACGCACTGAATAGGGACCCACAATCAATCGGGGCAAGGCTGGAGCGCCCTGTCACAGGCTCGCAGCTGCCAGCGGTGCACTGAAACCTTGGGTGACCTCGACTGCCCTTTTTTGGGCGGGCCAATTCTGAATCGCTAGGCAAAAACTCAACGCCGCCTCCGCCTCGCTTTTCCGCTTGGACTTTCCTTCTCCCCATTCCAACCACCACCCGGATCGATCCATCCAACGGATTGCACCACGATTCGATTCGCCCTGCGCGAACCCCCATCTCCCTTCGCAATCCGGCATCTTTTTTTCGATTCTCTTCCGTTTTATTCCACACCGCCATTGTTCTGTGGTCTGCCGTCGACACCGCGATCCGTTCGCCCAATTTCTTTGATCCGCCACAACTCTACACTCGCACACACACACACACACACATATACACACACACAACTCAGCAATGTCTGAGGTACAGTCCAGACCGTCTGCCCCCCGCGGCAGAGGTTCTGGTCGCGGCGGTCGAGGCGGCTTCGCTACTCGGGGAGGAGGTCGCACCGGTGCCCGGCCTGCTGCCACCAACGGTGATTCCAAGCATGACACAGATTCCTCCCTACCGACACTGGAGGACGAAGGCGAGATCGGCCAACTGAAGCAGCAGTATGGCGGCAAGGTTGCAGTCATCAAAGAGATGTTCCCCGACTGGTCCTCGGTCGACATTTTGTTCGCCCTGCAGGAGACCGACGGCGACGAGAACCTTGCCGTCACCCGTATTGCTGAGGGTAAGTTGGAACGTTGCTTTGTTCTTCCACGCCGGTGCAGCTTTTGTACCGCGCATGTCATTAATCCTTACCCGCTTCGCTGGGATCGCCTGAACGCCAGATGGTGTCACACTGTTGATACCTTGAGGGGCCCAACCCGCTAACCTGCTCGCTTCTACACAGGAACCATTTCACAGTGGGGCGAAGTTTCCAAGCCCAAGAAGGAGCGTGCGCGTCCCAAGGGAAAGGCCGATACCTTCGTGACTACCAGCGGCGATTCAGTCCCCGCGGGTCCGCCCCGGAACGTCCGAGGCGGCCGCAGTGCCGACAGCGGTCGTGGCCGTGGTAGAGCCACCGAGCGTGGCGGTCGCGGCGGTGCGCGCGGCAAGTCGACTCCTGGCACAACCAATGGAACTCGAGTCAAAGACACTGATCCCCTTTCGGTACCGACCGAGGAGGCGGCTGAATGGAACACGCAGCCGGCTGGTGAACCGACTGCTGAGAGTGAGCCTGCCGCAACAGAAACCACTCCTGCTCCTACCCCTGCCGCCTCCAGCACCACCACCGCTGCTTCGAAACCCGCCGCCGTCCCTGGGGGAACAAAGACGACCTGGGCGAGCATGTTGAGACAGTCAACTGTCCCGAAGCCGGCTCCAAAGCCGAAGGATGTCCCCACCAAGGCCGCCGAGCCAACCTTGGAACCCATTCCCGCTACTGAGCCAACCGAACCTGAGCCCGAGGCCCCCGCCCCTGCCGAGGAGCCCACCCCCGAATCAGAGAAGGAGGTCGTCGCGCCTCCTCCCGCTGAGCGCGTTACCCCTGTCGTCCCCGTCATCCCCGCCGTCCCTGCCGTTCCCGTCGTTCCCTCCGTCGTCCCCGAAGTCGCTTTGGTACCGTCGCAGGATCAACTGACCGAAACGAACCTTGATAAAATCGTGGACGATTCGCACCCGCCGGTGACCGAAACCGCCGCCAGCGAGGCCGCCGATTCCTGGGATCCGCGTGGTGCTGCAGCCAGCGCGACGGGCACTCCTCTCTCGGCTGCGCAACAACAGCACCGAGCAGCCGTGGCCACAAAGGCTTCGAGTCGCGCCCCTATCCACCATCCTCGGCGCATGCTTGATCAGCGTGAAGCCGTTCGCATGCCTGGTAACCGTGACCAAGTTGACCGTGCTGCAGTCCAATTTGGTGCTTTCAGCTTGAACGGCCCGATCGATGACGATGTTGATGGCGATCGTGAAGAACCCGAGACTCGCCCCCAGCCCCCCGAAGACTCGCCAGTCACTCACCCCCGAACGTCTCTTCCTCCGGCTCAACCTGCTCCGGTTCCCGATGCCTTCCCCGCACAGAAGCCGGTGGCTTCTCAGATCCCGACAGGGCCTGCCGGTATGAACCCTTATCGCCTGCGTTGCCTGAAGTTTTCCCACCGCTAACCATTTTTTAGCCGCCGCGCCTGTCGCACCGCAGGGCAGCACCCCTTCTATTTCTCAGGGTACGTTGGATCCCCTTCCCGCAGCATCGTTTACAGGCCAGACCCTAACAGTATCCCCTCCAGCCACCGTACAACCGCCTGCCGCGCAAAACAACCAGCAGTTTGGTCGCTTCGGCCCCACTGCTTCCCAGGATGCCTCGTCATTCCCCGCTTCGAAACCCTTCGAGCCATTTGGCCAGCAGCCGGCCGTCGCCTCGGCCACACAGAACCAGTTCGAGGGCGGCTTCCAAGGGCAGGGACAAGCGGCACAGCCACCGAGCCAGCAGCAGCCTGGTGGTCCCTTCAGCTCCGCCCCCAGCGAGTTCTCTTCTTACTACACGGCGGATGCACAGAACCGCTTTGGTTACTATAACCAGAATTTCGGCCAGCAGCAGGCTGCGCAGGGTCAGCAGGATGCCCTGCCGTCGCAACCCCAGCGTTCGTTCAGCGGGTATAACGCACCCCAGAGCGAGAGTCTCAGCCAGTACCCTCAGAGTGGTGCCCAACACGCCCAATCGCGTTTCGGGGGTAGCACCACGGCCGACTCGCAAATCACCGGCACGCCGACGGCTACCCAAGCCACTACCCAAGCCCAAACCGGCCCGAGCACCCAAGCCCAGTCGCACGGCCAGCAGCCGCACGACTACCCATACAACAGCCATCCCTATTACCAGAACCCTTACTATTCCGCCTACATGGGGTACCAGGGAGGGTATAACCAGGGCGCTTATGGCGGCCCATACGGCAAGGGCGGTCTTAACTACCAGCCCAGCCAGTATGGCATCACTCCCCAGGGCCCTCATGCATTTTCCTCCCCCGCCGGAGCATTCGGCCAGTCTGCTCTCCACCGGGACAGCGGTGCGGGCGCCGGCCTGGGTGATTATGGCCAACGCGCTGGTTCCACCCCTTCAGGCCAGCAGGCTCTCGGAAGCGGATTCGGTGGTGTCCACGACACTTTCGGTCGCGGTGGTTCCACTTACCAGTCGCAGGGTGGACAGTCGTTCAATGCGCCCGGCTCCCAGCCCGGCGCCGGCCCGTCTGCCGCTGACGACCTGAAGCCCTTTGGTGATACCAAGGCTGCCGGCGGCCCGAGCCCCTCGCTCGGCGCTGCCGCCCGCCCCGGCTCTGCGGCCAATAACGGCTCGTCGCAGACCGGCCTCCCCCCTCCCCAGTCGAACCAGCAGACCAGCCTCGGCGGCATGGGCGGCTACGGCTACCCGAGCCACATGCAGCAGCAGGGCCACGGCCTTCACGGCACCCAGTCCGGTGCCGGAGGCTACGGCATGAGCGCCAGTGGCGGACAGAGCCACCAGAACAGCTACGGCGCCGGCGGCTATGGTGGCCAGGGCTTTGCTGCGGGCGGCTACTACGGCAATCAGCCTCGCGGCTGGGGCAACAACTACCACTAGGAGAATGGCAGGGATGGACCCCGTGCTTCCGCCTACGAGCCAAACGAGCACAGCTGAGGGGACGACGCGGCGTATTATGGGTGGATTTTGACGGGAGGAGGATTACTTAACCAGGATGGGGGCGACAATGCACCGGGACTTTTATTGATTGCCCCGCCGGAGTTCACGCAGTTCAACGCGGTTTGCGGTCTCGCCTTTTTGCGAAAACAGGGAAGCTTTTCCATAGGCGAAGAAATTCGGGTCGACGGGTCCTGACTAAAGCTCAGGCTCTCCTCCGCTCTCTCCGTCTCTCCCTCTCTCTTTTTTCCCTTTTTTGCATCTGTGTACGATTCTCGGTGGTGGCGGCAGCGGTGATGGTCAATGACGGCGTCGGACACGATGGGGATTACTATTATGCTCTATGTTTTGTGTGTGAAAAAAACAATCGCGTTAATGATCAATGGGGGGGTTGGCGAATGGCTGGGGCGGTCAAACGGGGGGAGGGGCACAGAATGGGCAAGAGACCGTATTCTTTCTACACCCGCTCATCATCATCTGGGACATTGGGAATGGGAAAAAAATGGGCTCTCTGGTTTTAGTCTGGGTCGGCGTCGCTTTGTTCGGGTCCGCCTCGCTCGTTTGCTATGGGAGGGTCGCCATTCGTCGTTAGCAAATAATCGATCACTCGGGGGCATTGAATTGATGCAGCATCATCAACAGGGTGGAAGTTGGGAAGGGCGCCCAACAGATACCATCAAGAAGACCATTCGTTCGTTGTGCTTTTTTCCCGTTCACCATCGCTAACTACGTTGCTTTACCCAGCAAGAGACATGCGTATCTATCCATCCCATCCCATCCCATCCAATCCCTCCCCCGTCTCGCCCCTCACAGGTTGGCGTACGCCTTGAAGGCGCCCAACAGGCCGCCGGTCGACCCGTCGTGGCCCGTCCCGGCGCCGGGCTCGTCAATCTCCTTGAGGATCTTCTTGGCGAGCACCTTGCCCAGCTCGACGCCCCACTGGTCGAAGCTGTTGATGTCCCAGACGGCGCCCTCGGTGAAGGTCAGGTGCTCGTAGTAGACGATGAGGGCGCCCAGCTCGGCGGGGCCGACGGCGCCGCCGACGAGGATGCTGGTGGTGGGGCGGTTGCCGAGGAACACCTTGTGCGGGACCAGGTGGTCGGGCACGCCGCCCTCGGCGCGCACCTCGTCGGCCGTCTTGCCCACCATGAGGGCCTCGGCCTGGGCGAGGTAGTTGGAGGCGAGCATCTTCTGGTGCAGCTTGTCCGACACGGGGTTGTGCGACCGCGCGGCCAGGATGAAGTCGGTCGGGATCAGCTTGGTGCCCTGGTGCACGAGCTGGAAGAAGGAGTGCTGCGCATTGGTGCACGGCTCGCCGAACAGGATCGGCCCGGTCGTGTACTTGGCGGGCGAGCCGTCCGATGTGACGGTCTTGCCGTTGGACTCCATCGAGAGCTGTTGGAGGTAGGCGGGGAAGCGGTGCAAGTACTGGTCGAAGGGGGCGACGAGGTGGGTCTGGGCGCTGAAGAAGTTGGAGTACCAGACCGAGAGGAGACCGGCGAGGGCGGGGACGTTTTGGCGGAGAGGGGTCTGGCGGAAGTGGTTGTCCATGGCGTGGGCGCCGGCCAGGAACTTGTGGAAGTTGTCGTAGCCGATGTACAGGGCCACGCTCAGGCCGATGGCGCTCCAGACTGAGTACCGGCCGCCGACCCAGCTCTCGAAGCCGAACATGTTCTTTGCGTCGATGCCGAACTTGGTCACCTCGGCCTCGTTGGTGGAGAGGGCCACAAAGTGCTTGGCGATATCCCCCTTGCCACCTGTCTTCTCGAGAAACCAGGACTTGGCCGTGTTGGCGTTGGTGGTGGTCTCGGCGGTGGTGAAGGTCTTGGAGGCGATCAAGAAAAGGGTTGTCTCGGGGTCGGAGTTGGCGAGCGCCTCAGCGATGTGGGTGCCGTCGATGTTGGACACAAAGTGCAGAGTCATGTCCTTCGCGCCGTAGTGCTTCAAGGCCTCGGTAACCATGACGGGGCCGCTATCATGGCATGGCGAGTCAGCAGAGCACTCGGGGCCACCAAACGGGGAACAATACAACTCACAGGTCAGACCCTCCGATACCAACGTTGATGATGGTGGTGAGCTTCTTGCCCGTGTAACCCTTCCACTCGCCGCTGCGGACCTGCTCCGAAAACTCGCGCATGTGCTTGAGCACGTCGTTGACGCCGCCCGCGGTGTTCATGACATCGACGCCGTCGACCTTCATCTCGGCGTTGCTGACGTTGCGTAGAGCAGCATGGTAAACGGCACGGTCCTCGGTGAAGTTGATCTTCTCGCCGGCAAACATGGCATCGCGCTTCTTCTCGACGCCGGCCTGTTGGGCGAGTTTGATAAGCAGGCTCAAGGTGTCCTCGTTAACGATGTTCTTGCTGAAGTCGAACAGAATCTCGGTGCCATTGGCCTCGGACGAGATGTCGGCGGGGAGGGTGAACTTGGTCGAGAAGCTCTCGAAACGGCTCTGGTCGGCCTTGAAGGCGTCCTTGAGAACGAAGGACTTGCCGACCTTGTTGTGGTGAGCCTCAAGCTCGGCCCAGGCGGGGAGGGTGTTTGCGGGGGCCATCGTGAAGTCGTGATTTGAGTTGAGTTGGCTGCCGTTGTTCTCTTCGGTCTGAATTTCGGGAGAATGCAGGGCCTAAGCCAGATTATCCTGCTTGCTGCAGTTCTATTCCGTTAGAGTGCGTGGATTGTTGAGTCCGGAGAAGCATTCGGGGAGGGAAGTGGGGTGATTGATATCTTGTGTTAGCTGCGAGCTCGAGTGCCCCGCATGCGGAACCAGAACGGCAGCTGCGCGGCGCTGACTGACTGACGTATCGGCGCCACAGGAGGGAAGGCGTGGGAGGTGGTGTTGGTTTCAGAAGGACACAAAAAGGAGGCACGCACTTACCAAAATACACGGTAAAAACACACACAAAAAATAAGGTAATTGATAAGAATGGAAGAGCGTCGGAGGGGGGCTTCTGAGGGGTTTTAAAACTGCAAAATAAAAACCAAAAAATAACATCAATGCCATGAACCACGTCGATCAAGCAGACGTGACTTCGGGGACGTCACTATACATGCTCGGGCTGCCCCACCTTCGCGACAACTGCGTCAAATCCCTCGTCTGCTGCTCTCCACAGCGGCGGATTTAGCCATTTTGCCTGGCGCGCTGAATAAGAGCCTCAGATAGCAAGCGCGGGGGGTTGGGCGGCGGGCGGGAGATGGACAGGAGCAATGGTGACAGGGATGGCATCACAACATCGATCCCCTGAGTACCAGCGGGCAACAAAAGGCACATCGGTACCAAGCAGCCCACAAGTGCTCAGAGGTACCCCCCCCCCCTCCCCCCTCCGAACCCACTCCCCCACTCCCCTGCAAGCCGGCTTCGGACGAACTGACCTGGTATGCAGTATGTGATCCAATACAGATGTCGCTGCTTGTTGCTGCTTGTTGCTGCCAAATCCTGATATTCTTTTTTTTGGCTGGCTCGGCCCTCGTTGAAGTTGAGGCTGGGCGCATTCTACACTCTTCAGTCCCAATGACATCGAAACAAAAACCGAAGAAGGAACAAGTAACAGACAGAAAAATCCCGTTGACCATGCCCAACCGCCAAAATGTGAAAAAATATGAAATGGTAGTAGCCGCTTTCCGCTTGCAAGTCCAAAGCAAAGACCTGACTACCTACGCTAGTGATGCCCCGGGCCTTCTCTGCCAGATGTGCCCCCACTCACTCGCTTTGGCTTGCTTGGCCCAGCGTGTCGAAGAGTCGCCGTGAGCCGGACAAACATCCCTTCTCCCACCCCGGTAGCTACAACCCACTCCGTGTCGCTACAGCAACTCTAATGCGGCAATTTCCTTATCTCAGGCTGCCCTGGATGCTTCCCACGAACGATGGGTCCCTCACGCTACCGCCAGCATCTCCGAGACCGGCGATCGGGCGGTTGTAGCTGAAACCGGTGAACTGGTTTTGCAGCGTCTCGGACAGGACCGGCCCGTCGACGTACGAATCCTGGGGCAACTCAGACGTGAACTCGGGGTCAAAGTTGGCCGTATCCAGGGCGTCGACCTGGGAGTGTTTCGTTAGTTTCGTTGGCTTCCATTGTATAGACGAGGGGCGTTTTAAACATACCACACTGGGCTTGAACGCAGGTTCATACTTGCGCTGCAGCAACTTCCGCCAGTCTATGGCATGGAAGAAGGGATGCGCCTTGATCTCGGCAGATCCGTTGGCCCCCAGGCGCTGCTGCGGGTCGCGATTCAGCAGCTTGGTCAGGAGGTCCTTAGCCGCCGGTGGCACAACGTCGTGGGTGGGGAAGTGCAGCGGCTCGCTGAGAATCTTGCGGTACATCTCGTTGGTGTTCTCGTCGTAGAACGGCGGGAGACCCGTCAACATCTCGTAGAGCAGCACACCCAACGTCCACCAATCGACCGTCTTGTTGTAGCCGTTGCCCATCAGCAGCTCGGGTGCCAGGTACTCGGGCGTTCCGCAGAACGTGTTGGTGCGGTCCTCGTCCTTCATGTCGAGCTTGCAGAGGCCAAAATCGCAAAGGGCAATGTGGCCCTGGTAATCGAGAAGTATGTTCTCGGGCTTGAGGTCGCGGTAGATGACGTTAAACCCGTGGAGACATTCGAGGGCGCACAGCAGCTCGGCGGTATAGAAGCGACTGCGGTTAACATCAAAACGCTGCTCCTTCTGCAAGTGATGGAACAGCTCGCCGCCGTTGACAAAGGCCAGGACGAAGTAAAGTTTCTCCGGGCTCTGAAACGTGAACTTGAGCGGCACGATGAAGGGGTTGTTAATCTGGGCAAGCACGGAACGCTCCGCCAGCGTGTGAGCCACTTCGGACCTCGAGATGATATGAGCTTTCCGGATCGTCTTGAGGGCGTAAATCCGGCTCGTGTCCTTCTTCCGCACCTGCATGACCTTGCCGAAACTGCCCTTCCCAACCACCTTGAGCAGCTCAAAGTCCTCGATTTTGAGCTTGCCAGCCCGGTTTTCGACGTACTCGACGCCGATCTTGAGCTTGCCGGTGCCGTACTGCACGTCGACGAACTCGACGCCGCTGTGACCTAAAGAGCGCTCACGGCTCGCGTGCTCGGTCGCGGCCTTCTCGCGGTCTTTCTTGCTTGCCTTGGGATCCTCGACGTACGGCTGCTTCTCCTCGAACCTGGGGTTGATGCGGACCACGCCAAGGAAGATATCCTGACTCCGACCGGAGCCTGGTGGGGCGTTGGGGTTCCGGATGTAGAGATGTACCACAAGCTCCGTGACTCTCGAAACGTCGAACTTGTATTGTGTGTTAGATCCCGCCCAGAGGGGATTCTCGGGGTTGCCCTCGACCGAGTTGACGAAGACCTGCACCTTGTCGAAATCGATCAGGGCGTAGGGCATGTATTTTGTCGAGATGCGGCCGTGGTTCGTGGGGATCCCGCTAAATCCGCCCGACGTCTGGGGCCGGCCGCCCATAAAAGCCGTGGTCCGGGACGACGACTGGGGGCGCGGCGAGCCCACCATGCCGAGAGCGTTGCCCGTAGACAGCGAACTGCCGCCGTGCGACGGGGTGAAGGCATTCCGGTGTTGTTCTGGGAGTGAGAACCCTTGGCCTTCGTGGATAGTAACGACGAGGATACCGGGTTTGGGTGTTTTGACGACGGGCGCTTGAGAGAGTGCTTCCGAGGCGGCTGGGAGACAACAAGTCAGAACACGCGGCGGGGGGAAGGGGGTAAAGGATCGAGGGACAAAGTCCACACACCGATCGTGCTCTCGTTTGTAGGCGTCGCTGTTCCAGAGATGGCCGCCCCCTGGGCCTTATCGTCCTTTTCTGTGACGGTCGCCGTCGACGGGGATCGGGAGAACGTGTTCGCTAGGGGACCCAGATGGGTCTCCTTCAGCTCTAACGTCACGATGCTGTCAGCAACGCCACATTCACACACACACACAGAGCCCGCAGCAGCGACATCGAATGCGAAGTGGCGCTGGAGGCTCTCGGACCGAGCGGGAATGTACATACTCTTGGTTAGTTTCCACGACATTGCGAAGGGAACGGGAGAGATCCGCCGCCCGGATGTCGATAATCGTCGGATGGAGGGTGTTTTGAAGGGGAAGGACGGAACCCGAAAGAAAAAAAAAAGGGAGGATCCGATTCTAGGAGGGCTAAATAATAGCAAAAGCGATGGTCGATACCGCGGCAGGGGAATTGCCGCCCAAGTTGGTTCAGGTCGAAGTCCAAGTTAAGGTGACGGATCGGGCGGCCTGAGCAGCAGGAGAGTTGTGGTGCGGGCCAAGCTGGGGGACGCTAACTTCGAAACCACCGTAGTGGACTCAGCGTGACCGTCGCACCGCCGGGGCAGCGTGGGGCGGACATCCCTTGACGAAAGTAACGAAAAAGCCCCGCAGATTGCCCGGGCTGGACATGCCGACATACGTACACAGGAAACAGCCAACGGCCCGTCCCTGCAAAGCGCAACACCAGAATCTGAGACGCAGGCCGTGGGTGAAGCAAAACATGCAACATGCGAATTCCCCGGCGAGCCAAATTTAGCAGCGGATGTGTCAAGCTTGGAGACCTATTCATGACAAGAGATTGCCTTCTGGCAATCTCTCCGAACAGAGAGACGCTGGTAACCCGTTGGGGACGGGACACAGAGATTGGATAACGCTTCCCCTCGAATGCCCCGGAAAGGAGAAATGTGCATCCATCCATCAAGAAGCAAACTAACCAATGTGCCGTGGATTTGGGCATCTGCTGCTCTGGCGCCATTCCCTTCCTATCTGCTCACTGGAGCCATGCGCATGCAATGGACGCACTCTCCATCCCCTCACCCCACTTCGTCGTCCGTGGAGCTGAGTTGCAACGGGAGCGGGAGGCCGTTCCGGAGTTGGCGGCATCAACCACGAGGGAAACCACCCTCCACCCATTGAAGCACAGCCTCGTGGTGGCAAATTGAAGCTCCCTCTTCATGGGAGCGAAGGGGTCGAAAGCAGGGGCAGAAAGGGGGAGAGGGGTTCCAGAAGGTCGGTCCCTGTTGGCGCTCGGGCCGTCACGTGGCATGCATCTTCACTCCAGCTGTCAATCGGGCGCGTTCCTTTTCAGGGTTCTGTGCTTCTTTTGGGGCCTCTTTTTTCTCTTTCTTTAACTAACGGGTGACGAAGCCGAGGCCGGGATTTGGGTCTTGGGGGGGAGTCGAGCGCTGATCGGGCTGTTTGCTCAACGCTTTCAATCAACCGCCACCCCGGCGGTTCGAAAAGGGGCTGGCGACAAGGGTGTCCGGCTTCCAGAGAAGAGGAGTTGAGATGCAGTTCTGGGGAAAGCATTTGCTGATTTGCTGGAAGCTTTGGTGGCCACACAAGGAAGACACACCAGTTCAAACTACCTGACTAATCTGTATTCTGTACACGTTCAGATGTCTTTCACATCCCGTTACACAGTAGTTACCGGCCACATCCGTTCAACTCACCCCGATAAAGCATCTGGTGAAGGCATGCTCACATCAAGTGCCGAGCATTGTGCCTGGAAGCACAATGATTATTACCGGCTTGTTGAGGTTTGACCAACTATGGGACATGACTGACGTGATTTTGCTCGTAAGGATCCCATGATTGCCATCAAGGACTTGACCGAGCAAGACAGGAGGAGGCCAGAAATATTGTGGGGAGAACTTATCCGTAACAAAAACTCAATTCCGAAAGAAACCAGCATCCAAACCCTATAGTTGGGGTCCGAACATGGGCGAGGTGCATTGCCCTGTCAATCAGGGACGAGGTAGACTCGACGGCGACGAGGGCGGGGAGAGAGATGTTGTTGTTTTAACCCAACCACTGCATCCATGGTGGTGTCGGATGTTGGCCCGCCAGCCCGAGGACAATTCTCTGTCGGATGTCCGCGCTGTTTGGTTGGCTACAGTGGATAACTATTGTGGGGTCGTTGCGCGTGTGGTTGCGCGCCGATGCAGCACAGAGGATGGAATGGGTCTGGGGCAGACTTCATCAGTCGAACGAACCATCCCGGCAAGTCCCCAACGAGCACGTGTGTAGATTATACAGACGTAACAACATCCACATACGCCCAGGGATCTCTTAATTCACCCGCGGTTTCTTGACTGCAAAGCCCAGATTGATGGAACCCAACGAAACGTGGAAGATACCGAGGCCCCAAGCCGCCCCGCGCCTGCCGCCGCCGGAGGAATGGGTAATCTGTAAGAATGTACCTCGATATTCATAGCGGTGCCCCGATTCGGGGAGTTTGCCTCTCGGCCATGGTTTCCTTTTTGCGCTTGAAGAAAGACGAAGCAAGATGCTGATGGCAAGATAACCATAGCAGTCGGGCCATGGCCATTCCAGTCAGGCTGAGCGGTTCTAGGCCCTGCCGTTTGCGGGCCGAAGGAGAAAAACACAAACCATTCGTCTAGTTCAAGGGCGCCCGAAGAAAGACAGCCATTGCACGGCAACCCGCAACCGGTGCGAGCTTTGCCGTTCGCGGCCTCGACGCGAAAGAAGGTATCCCATCGACAATCCCGATTTCGGCAACCATACACGGGAGAGGGTCTTGTTGCGGTAGTGCCTACGAAGGACAACAATGAACCGAGCCTGTTCTTCCCGGAACCCGACACATGGCAGCCGGTGGCTCAGCGGATCTCTCGGTCTCGGTGCTGATGAGGCGAGGGTCACCCGATGTTTGATACTTCCACCTTCGAGACCATAAAGCCTCCCCCATCTGCTGGGCTTCCTGTCCTCGGTTTTCCCTCCTGCGACGATTCGAAACGTTCGGGTTGATAACAGACCACGAATCCAAGCAATCCAGCAGTATACCACCAACAAGATGGAGAGGTTTGCAGAGTCGTTGGCCACGGCGCTCAACGCTGCCGGGATTCCTTGCGTCTTGTGGGGTCAATATCTCTTGCAAGTTCACGGCGCTTCAACGATAGTTTGCGTAAGTTGACTGATCATACCATTCCCATAGGGACGGGCGATGAATGTGACGCTAACTCTTCAAAGGCCATCGACTTTGTTATCCCGGACGAAAGTTTGGAGGCCGCAAAAGAGGTCATCAAAACGGGTCACTTCTCAATCCCAGTTTATGCATGCGCGGACACAATGACTTGCCTCTCCGGAAACTCCCCGGGCCGGACACATCCGCATCCCTCGATTCATATGCATATGGATCTAGGCACCACACAGAGCGTAGGCCTCTACGTGCAATCCGAGACGCTCTGGTTCCTTCCACCGCTTAGCGCCACTCTCGCAAGCCCCAAGACGAATCCGCTCCCGCCGTACTTTGCGCTTGCCTCCGACCGGACAGCTCTTCCAACCGACGAAATGACTACAGGAAGGGGCATCTTTAACTCGGATGAGACTGTGGTCATTGTCCCCAAAGCGCACACCATGACGGAAGCCTTGATGCGCATCATGGCCCGCGACAATGGCAAGACAGTTGGCGGGAATTCAGTCCCACACTTTTGCTATATTTTCTTCTTCATCGAAAGACGCGGGATCCTGGATATCAACCTTCTCCCCGAATCACTCAAGAAGTTCTACGAGGAGTTCAGGGATGGGCCGGCGGCGATTGGACAAATCGAGATAAAGCTAAAGCGCGCTCTTGGAATACCAGTCCCCCTACGCTTCTACCACTAGGGGCTACCGCTTTGCATTTGCAACAGAAACACGGACGCTCGAGGTCCATATTGACAGTCTTGGTATGGTAGCCTAGCAGCTGCGAAACATCAATTGGGATGCTGCTGCACTTGTTTCATGACTTTTTCTCGGCTTCATTTTTCCCCTTCTGCTTGTTCTTTAGGTTATTTGGCCTTTCTTTCTTTCGGTGTGGCGGTTCGCCACACCTGTTCAAAGCCACCGGGGGTACCTGCCGGTTGGGGACGCCTCAGGGCTGAACCTCCGGTCGGGGCTCCTCTTGGGGCGCTTAGGCGGTGACTTCAGGGTGTTCGCGCCCCGCTCTCGCCCGCCGGCAGCGCTCTAGGGAATTTAGGAGGGGAAAGATGTGACCCGCAGCGAGACCGGCACGTGCCGGGCGAGCTGCGCGGCCACGCGGGCCCAGCTTAGTGAACTCTTCCGCCCTGACATCGGACGTTACCTAGTTTCGGCTTGTCTTTTTTTCTGCCTTTCTTTCTTTCGGCTCGTCTTTCCTCGACTTGTATTTTGTTCCGTTCAGAAGTGGCACATTTGTTCCCCCATGGATATCGTGTTGGTTGGTGAACCGGCTTCCTTGTGAGAGACTGCATGAGTTACAAATTTCGCTCCTTGATCCTCCCCAGCCCTGATCTCGCTACTGACAGCAGACATGGTCGAAACAAAACAGATCCATTTTTGTTGCCTAGTTGGGATGGAGGCTTGAGCCCAAAACAGGCGGCTGGGGCAGCCAGGAGGAGAGAAGAAAGCCGCCGTGGGCATGGTCGGCGATTACCGGGCAAAACAAATGGACCGCCAACGCTGGCGAAACGACTTCTTTGTCTCTGTCCCTGGTGAGGCTGGTTTGAACATCAACTATTGGATAATGGTTGGAACCTTGCAGTTGACCACCACTGGTCTCTTCCCGCCCACCCATCGTTTTATACAAACATGGACCATGGCCAGTCTCCAGCACACTCTCCTCCTCATCCCACATCAACTCTAAGGCAACATACCTGCTGTCGACGGTTCGACTTGTTATTCAGCTCATCCTCTCACACCCGACACCATGACCCTGCTCCATGTGATCCGCCCGACATGCGTTCCCCTGGCTGAGCTCGAGCAAACGGCTCGGACCGTTGTCCGGGCCCTCCGGTCCAGGCGCCCCGACCTTAAAGTCGCTGTCATCGGCGGGCTTGCTCGCATTCATTACAGCCCAGAGGGACGTTTCACGACCGTGAGTTGAACAGCGGCCTCGGTTCGCTTGCCGCTTAAAGCTGATGTTGCTGTGCCTAGGATGTGGACTTCCTCATTGACGACAACGAGGAAGAGACGACACTGCTCAAGAATTCGATCGCGGGCCCCATCGGCTTCGCCATCGACGGAGCCGGCGAGTTGTACCGCGACTCCAAGTCCCTGCAGGGTGAGGCTGCTCGCATGCACGTCCATCTCATTGCGAGGGAGCTTGTAAGTCCATTCCTCGCAGAGGGGTTCATTATCTTCTCTGGTCTGCAACAACCGTGCTAACCTGTTTTACTCAGTGTCCTTACGTACCCATCGGCACCCTGGAGCTACGACAGATGCCCACCACCGATCCCGATTACATTCCGTACATTGCACTCCCAGATCTTATCCTCTTCAAGATCCACGCCTGCCCCCGACGGGACAGGTATAAGCGCGCTGTCGACGCCACCGACGCCGAGGTTTTGCTGACGCTTGCCAACACGCCGCTTACCCTCACGAGCGACCAAAAGGTTGTCGCGTGGAACGGGCTCGAAGCTGTGCTGGAAGAGCGGCCGCTGACAGAACGGTCGTGGTGGATGCGGGAACTTAATCTGCCCTAGAAGGTGGATGGCGAGACTGACGATAACCACAAACAGGGGGCGGCGGAAGGACAGACGGGGGGGGACAGGCAAGAGGACGGCGATGCGGGCCTGGAGGGGCCCGATGAAGAGGACAATCTGCTCCCTTGCCCTTCCTCTCCCTCTCTGGTCGGGTTTCTTTTGTTGGACACGGGCCAATACAGATTGCTAGCGAACGACGGCCGACGGTTCATGCACGTTTCATTGGATACTTTCTGAATAGATTTCTCATTGCGCTGATCAAAACATTTCACTGCTCATTCCGGCCAGGTCCCACTGGACTGGATTCTCCTGAGCGCGCGCACCAGAAGCTGAAGTGTTGATTGATCTGACTGATCTCCTGGTGTAAGTGCCATGCGACGTCGTTGGGGCTCGGGAGTGCGGGGCATGGCACATGCATGGATAATTTTGGGCCACTCGGAAACAACCGTTGTGGGGCTCAGCCAATCACTTGACAGCACAGATTCATCTTCGTCTTGGCTCTTGCATTCTAGAAGGCGGGAAAGTTGATCTGTCTCTTGCTTCCTGTGATTGCTGTCAGTTTCCGCGACACGGCACCAGTGCCAACACTGGGCTCGCTTCCAGGTTGTTCTGCCTGGACGGCCCAACCACCAAAGTTTAGGGTGTCCCCAGGATTTATCGAAAGAGCCTTGCCATCATGAATTTGCACGTCTTCAATCGCATGTTATGGCTTGGTTGATGCCAACATTGCTGTTGAAAATGCGTGGAGCAAGCTGCGTTCAGCGACGATTTGGGGTTGTGCAGGTGTGCCGTGTTCGTCACCCCGAGCACAGGGGGGAAGCTTGACGACGATCCCTGGGGTTTCATCCCCTGCTCTGTCTGCTAACTCCGAACAGGGGGCCAAAAAGCGACGGCTGCAGAGCTCCGGAGCTTGCGGTTTGGTCTGCTCGTTTGCGCCTGACTTCAAGACCGGCCTGGGGTCATTGCTAAAATTTCCAACTCAACGGCAAAACAGTCGTTCTTTAGCAAAGGGAAGTCTTATTTGGAATTTCCTTCACAAATGATCCCAAATGTTACTTTTTGGGGGATGGGTTTGAACGGTTGCCCGTCTGTCAAGAGAGGGGATCTCCGACTTTGGGCCAAGCACGCCAAGGTCGGTACCTGTCAAGCGTAGGCGCGCTCGCGGCTGCCAGGACGGACTGTGTAACCCGAGCCCTGACTCCGCCTCATTTCTCTCGCCTTCTATGATCGATTCATCAGTTCAGCTCACGGCGCAGCCAAATCCATTAATCTCTGAGTTCCGTAAACTTCCTTGTGAGCCCTGTGCCACTGCGGGAGGCTCGCCCTTGTCATCGTCATCACAGAGGTGAGCTTGTGCACACTCATGCTGGGACGGAGTGCCGGAAGGCCACATGGAGGTCACCGCCTCGCCACCACAGCCAATCCCTCTCTCTTCAAAGGCCACGTGCGGCTCTGCAACGCGTTCACCTCTTTCGCCGGCTCACAGCAGGAGAGGGTGGTGGTTTCATTGAGGCTGGCATGGCAGGCTTCTGGAAGGTTGATGTGCCTAGCCTGATCGGGACTAGCACCCATCCATGAGCGAGGCGCCCAATGATTGAGCGTGTAAATTTGGGTACCGTACCAGGGTGAGAATCTGTAAAATACATCACACGCCGTGTGGTCGCGGGGATTGACGATGACTGTTGATGGCCTTGACCGCCGCTTCAAAGGAATTGCTGGGTGATCTTAGAACTGTAGGTAAATCGATATATTGGAATGTGTTTCGGAGGAACTCACCATCTCTAATTCATTTCGTCGTAGGATTTGCTCCTTCGCGGGCGAGCAGGACGGATAACGCCGGTACAGATCCGTATGGGTAAGTTTACGGCTCCATGGGGTCTTGGCGCCAAAACTTCTGCCCTCAGAAGGATGTTTCCAGGAATGGTGCCATGAGATTCGCGCCGTCGGATCAAGGCCTCGGACTTTTACATAGCGATAGCACAACGCTCATTTCCGCACCAGCACCCTTCGATGCGGCGGGTAGAGGCTGCCTAACTCATACGACGCAAGAAATGGGGGTGGAATTGATAGTTCGGTGTGTTTCCAAAATGCTTAAAGAAGACCCGTGTGACTTCCACGCAAGATTTGCCGCCGTCCTTTCCACCTCTCACGCAATTTGCAACTCTCCCGCTTCTCAAAGAATCCCCATCAACGGGATAAGTGAACCATTGGACCACCCACAGCAACCCAACCTCTCCCTCCTAATACCACCGCCACCACCACCACACAACAACAACAACAACAACAACAACCCAAGATGCGCTCCCCTACCCACATCCTCCTCCCCCTCCTCGCCCTCACCACCACCAGCAGCAGCCACATCGGCGCCGCGGCCCAACAACAAGAACAACACCCACCAATCCGCTGCGCACCACCCTCCAACGGCGCCGCCGCCGCCGCCGCCGTGCCGGACAGCTGGCCGGGATACGCCTTCACGCTGCGGTACGGCCTGAACTACGAGTTCGTGGCGGCGCAGGCGGCGGCGGCCGCACAGCTGTGCCAGGCGGGCGGGTCGGTGGTGGACCACGCGACGGGCAGCTCCGGCGCGCAGACGTGGGGCATCGAGGCGGCGGCGCCCGAGGTGGCCGACGCGCTGGGGTACGTGGCCGGGGTGCTGGTGGTGCGGGCGCCGGCGGGCCTGCTGGCGGAGCTGGGCGAGCAGGTCGGCAACGCGACGTCGCGGCTGTACGGGAATCCGGATGCGCTGGCGAGGCAGGTTGCGGAGCAGATTGATGATGCGTTTGATGTCGTCTTGAGTGAGTTCCGCCTTTCTTTTTTGTTTTGCTTCGGTTGTGCGTTGGTGGTGTGGCTGACGAGGTGACTTGGTAGGGGAGGACTTGTAGGCTGCTGAGGAGTGGTTAGGTGGTCATCAGACAACCTACATCACAAGTCATGCTGTCTGGGGTGCATTTCATCCGACTGGTCATCACCGGTGGGGATGAGAGAAAGCTGTGTGCACTGTGCACTTTGGGTCCTGCAAACTGGGAAGCCATCTAAATTCCGAAAGCCAAACTCCTTCTGCCCAACCTTGATATACACAGACATCGACTCCGTAACCTGATGAAGTTGAGCAACATGCCTGTTCTCCTCAAAGCAAATTTTCCCTCATCTACCGCTTCGTATATTACGTCTCATGAAGCCCCAAATCTGGGCCTGTCGTTGCCATTCATGGGGGGTCAAATTTAAACCGGGGCGTGGGTGAAGAGGTACGAAACCGACTCGCCTGAATCAGGGTTAGTATCAATAGGAAGGGAGCGGGTTTGGGTTGGGAAGTACCATTGTGAGTGCGGCGGATGGCCTGTGTCGGGGATCAGCATGCATTTAACACACAAGGACAGTCAACAACACGGAAACATACCTCTGCGATGGTGGGGCTAATGTCAATAACACGCAGCTTGGGGCACTGAGCGGGGTTAGTCAACATGCGAGGATTGAATGCATTGGCAACCACTTACTCGGTCGACCTTGTCTCCAAGTGGCACGGTGTTTGTGACGACGAGGGCCGAAAGCACACTGCCATTCAGGGTCTCGATGGCGCTGCCGGACAAGATGCCGTGCGTGACGAGTGCGAGCACCGACTTGGCACCATTCTCCTTGAGCACTGCTGCTGCCTTCACGAGAGTGCCGCAGGTATCCGCCATATCGTCTTGGAGATGTTAACAAAACATCCCTGGACGGAAACCAAAACCAGGGGAAGAACTTACCAACCAAGATGGCAACCTTGTCCTCAACATTCCCGACAAGGACCTGAATTCTCTTGTTAACCACTGTTCTCCACTTTGGCAATCCGTTTTCCCCCTTACCATGCGGCCAACAACGTTGGGCCGGGGGCGCTCTTTGTGGATCAGAGCGAACGCAGTGTTAAGGTGATCAGCAATGGATGTCGCACTTCGCATCGTCAGCAACAGCGGTCCACTTCATCGAGGATGGGCGACTCACCGCTTCGCACCACCGGCATCAGGAGATACAATGACGCAGTCCTCGGCGTTGAAGTTTTCCCTGATATAGCGGAGGAAAGAAGGTTCGGCGTACAAGTTGTCCACTGGCGAGAATTAGCCATGAGTCTACCGAGTGGCTGGGACCGGCACATACCTGGAACGCTGAAGAAACCTGCACCAAGTCTGGGTCAGCGTCGCATCTTCATTGGATCGCCGGACCGCGACGACGGAGCAGATGGAGGACGACATACCTTGGATCTAAAGGTGAATGTCAGCGTGGTCACTTACTAACGGCGGCATTGACTTAACTTACCTGAGAAGCGTGGAGGTCCACGGTTACAATATCTGTGTTGTCGGTCAACATCCAATTGGGAATTGGGGGTTGAAGCAGGAGGCATACGGTTGGCACCGGCCGTGGTCAGCATATTTGCGACCAATCTTGCGCTGATGGGAGCTCTCGACTGTGGCCCATGTTAGCCGGGGATTTGCACCCGCGGGTGATGGATATGGCGTACCTTGTCCTTCTTGTCCTGCCGAGCATAGGGGAAGTTGGGGCTACCAAAGTCAGCACCGGCTCCCACGGTGAATCAGATGGCGTCCGAGGCTCGACGGGGAGCTCACATAACAGCTGTTATCCTCCTGGCACTACAAAGGCAATGTCAGCAACCGATGCACTCGATGCCGGTGTGCGCCATCCTACCTAGCAGTCCGACAAGCCGAGATCATGATCAACAACTCCATTAGCCCTTCGTTGACGTCGCCCGTGGCGGTGGATTGCACGATGAAAACATCCTCGTCGCGGACCGATTCGCCGACGGTGAAAGAGGTTTCCTGGTTCGAGTAGTTGAGGGAGATCGTTCGGGCGACTTCGATGCCGAGCCTGGGAGCAAGTGCACGTTAGCGAAGCCGGACGGCGGCAGGTAGGTCGGGTCGTTCTCGGAATTGAAATGGTCTTGACGGTGCTGGTGAAAGAGGGGATCGGGTTCTATCGTACCGCTTCGCAATCTTGTCGCTCAGCTGGGGGTGGCTGCGGCCGCTGATCAATTTGATCTCGTTTGCCATCTCGGCGGACATGGTGAGAAAGAGAGCGCGCGGCTGCCGGACGACAGCACGGCTTTGAAGTTTTCTTTGCTGCTTCCTGCAGCTGTTAGCGGGGAACTGATTGCGGGGCAGTGACAAGGGCTGTGGCACGTACAGGGGTTGACGGGTTCACAAGTCGTTCTCGCTTCGGGTGGAAGCAGGACCGGAGTTCTGGGGAAGATGGGGGTGGTAGGAATCCAATTCGAGGTCGGAGAACCACTGGCGGCGACTGGAGACACTCGCTTGCCCATACCGGCAGAAAAAGTTGAAAGAAAGCCGGGTGGAGATGGTCCAGGCCGCGCTCCTCAAGGTACCTGGTCGGTGTACCCGCTAGCCGAGAGTGACACCCATGTGGCTCTCCTTATCGTTATCGGCACAGGCGTGTTCTTGGCCGCATGTGGATCTGTCAGCGGAGCTCAGTTCCCATGTTCCATTGCTGTGTCGTCATGACATGACAGACCTGCAGGCTTACACAGTCGGCGCTCAGTCACCGAGAAAAAAAAAAAACACACACACACGCATATTTGTCTTGGCATTGTGTTTGTTCGTATCACCTGCGTACTGCGGTAGACAGGCAGGTTAGTACTTTTACTGTGTAGGCGGGTAACGAAGGAAAGCGGTTACAGCTCGTAACTTCCATTTTTCACTCTTGACAGCCGACGACAGATGTGTTGTACTGAGTGTATACCCGGCCAGTTCGATAATCTACACAAAGGCAGTTCATTGCCATAAGCTAGAGAATGGCGGGATCGCGGCCTTTAATCTCTGACTGACCGCTTGATCCCTGACCATTCCCGGCCGGTGCCTCATCCACATCCAGAACATCCTCCCCCGTCGGGCCGCTAACCTTGACACCTTCAAGGGAGGCTCGGTCATCCCCGTCTCCATCCTTCTCTCCTTTTGGCGCACCGCCGCCAGTATCTCCAACCTCCTGACTCTTTACGCTGCTGGCCTTGCTGACCTCCCGGCTCTCGGGATCCTCCACCCTCAAGCCAAGGTGCTTGTCAGCCGTTGGGTCTTCTTGATTTCCCCCCTTCCAGTCGGCCGCCTGCATCTGTGGCACCGGGCTGTCCTCCCCAGGCTCGTTGATCGCCACCCCGGAGGTGACCTCCTCCGCCCCGGCCACACCAGTGCCTGCCACACGCCAGACCACGGCCAACCTGTCTAGCGCCCTGGTCCCTCTCCGGCTCGAGCCTTTGATGCCGTCCATCTTGTCCCAGTCGATCTCGAACACGCCGCTGTCGTCGGCCTTGCCGTCTTGCTCGGGCCCGTTGCCCTCGAAGAATGCGTTGAACCACACATGTGCGACGGCCGTGACCATGGTCAAGCCGACGCTGGCGGGGGCGCGGTTTCTCCTCTCGACAGAGATGTTGATGTCGCTATTCGGGACGCGGATCGAGCCGGACGGTTTGAAGATGACTGCCTGCCCACCGGGCTCGGAGGAGTCGGCAAAGGAGAAACCGTTTTGCAGACTCGTCGTTGACCGGGAAGGCGATCCGCCTTTCCCCGGGGGCGGAGTCCCGGTGGATGAGACCTGCGAGGCGTCCGGCATGGCAATGGTCTTGCTCCTCGGGCCCACCTTGTCTAGCTTGTTGAGGTCCGCAGATGAATCGGGTTTGCGTCTCGATAGTTTTCTCATCAACCCTGCCGTCCGAGACTCTTTCAGCTTTTGCGAGGGGCTCTTCGAGGAGCTTCTCGAGGGTGTTTCGCTTTTGCTGTTGTCTTTGCCGTTATCCCCCTTTACAATCTCCCCGTAATCCGCATCTTCTTCAGCCTCACCCGTCTCGCCCACGGTGGCGCTAGCTCCATAGCCAGCCATATCCTGAACCATGTCCACAACCCCCCCACCGCCTGGCGCGCCCGGCTCAACCACAATCCGCTCCTCCTGCTTGAACGTATGGAAGACGCGTATCTTTTTACCCTCCTCCACAAACCCCTCCACCTCCACCTTAACCCCGTTCCTCAGACCCCAGACATGAATCTCGGCAATCTCCACTGGCCGATCGAGATACTTCTTCCCGCCCCTTGTCCAACGGTCCACGTAGCTGATCCACCGCAACTGGCTGGGGATGGACACGCCGGCCCCGAAGCCGGGCCTCATGCGGCGCTCAGTGAACCTGGCCAGGGCGTCCTCGGGCGTCCACCCGCACTCGGCAATGAGGTAGCTGCAGGCCATGGTGCCGGACCGGCCCTTGCCAGCCTTGCAGTGAACGACGATGACTCTGTCGCCTTTCTCGTCTTTGGTGCCTTTTTCGTTTCCCCCCTCCCCGCCTGCCTCGCCGTCTTTTCCACTGCCCTGCCCACTCTCCTTACCGTCTCTTCCCCCCTCCCCCTCATTACCCTTTCCCCGGCGCCCTTCACCATCCTCACCCTCTCCCACCACCCCATCCCCATCCCTATCCTTTCCACACCTCTCCCCACTCCCTTCCCCATCCCCATCATCCCCCTCCTCCCTCAAAACCCCAGTACCCCCCTCCAAAACCCCACCCCCCACCCACCTTCTCATCCCCCCCACAATCCGCGGCACCAGCCCGAACGGCGGCGGGTGGTGGTCGGGCCAGGGGAAGTGGCGGACGCGGCCGTGGACGGCGGCGTCCGGGTAGCCGGTGCCCTCGGCGCGGAACTCCCAGACGGCCCAGCGGCTCCCGTGGCGGGCGTCGAGGAAGGCGACGAGGCGGTCGAGCGGGGTGCGGTAGGCGCGTTGCGGGTAGGTTTGGGAGGGGCCGGATCTGTTTTTTGGGGGAGGGTTTGTCTTTTTTAGTGATGGGATGGGATGGCGGGGATTGGTATGGTATTGAAGGGGGTGAGGGGGGTGGTTAGGCTTTTTTTAAGGGGGGGGTTGAGTTTGGGTGTGTTTGCTTGGTCTGGTCTAGGTTGGGGTGAGGCGGGAGATGGTGGTTGACTTGGGAGGGTGCTTATTGGGGTTGGTCACAAAAAAAGAGGGGGGTAGGGGGGAACCAACGTTGCGATGATATTTTCGGTTACGTAGCACAGGTCGAGCCCGGTTTCTTGGTGTTGTGCGCGGGGACCGGCGACGAGTTGACGGAGCAGGGAGGCCATGATGACATGAAGGGCGGTGTATTGTCTCTATTGTCTCTTTGGTGCCGTGAGTGATAAATAAGATTTAAGTATGAGCTCCGTGTGTATCGCTTTACAAAATATCAGACATGCCCAATCGGGCAATGTTCTATCAGTGTTCAGTGAGGACAAGGACAGAAACCGACCCGCGGGCTCAGGAACGGGAGGTTTATCAACCCGCTGCGACGTCATTGCTGCAGGGAGGTGGGGTTTCGATAAAGCTTGGCAATGCCGTCTCTGAAAGCAAGGAGAGCACGTGGAGGGTTGGCTCCCTCTCAGTTGGGTCCGCTATTGCTGCAATGCGCGGGGGTACTTGACATTGGCTTTGAAGGGTGGGCGCCGTTGCTTCTCAGCCAACCTCCGGCGGTTGGAAGCAGGCGTACATACATCACCGAAAAACGCGGTTGTCCATCGATACTGGTTAGATATTGTGATACAGTGATAATAAGACCAATACCAGGAAACCCATCCGTTTCTGTCTCACCAATGAATTCCCCAACTCCTCGGAAACCAGCACCAGGTCCAAGGAGAAGCTAGTAAAACAAAGAGTAAACACCGACCCCTGCCGTACCAGACGAGATCGCCAGCTGCCGTCCCACAACACCCCTTTTCCTCCACCGCGAGTCAACCACTCCCCGCCTACTCCCCCCCTTACAACAATTAAGTACTGGTATTGCGTGACCAGAACGGTTCGCCATGCGCAAACATCGTTGCTAGACTGGATTGTCATGCTTCAGGCCGCACGAGCATGCATGCGGAAAGCCTTCTTGTCGGGTGATCAAACATCCCTCGGGCATGGCCGCTTAGGACGTCTTCTTGGGGGCAGCGGCGCCATTGGCGTACTTGTTGACGTCGGTGGCGCCGTGGAACTGTCTCGCAGTGCCCTTCACGCCGTCCCACACCTGGCGAGCGACGGGCGGGGTGCCCTGGGCGCCAATGAGGTTGTCGATGCGGGCCTCGAGCTGAGCAAAGGAGCCCTGGACGTGGCTGCTCTGGGCGAAACGGGCGCGCAGGAAAGCAGTGTAGAGGGCAATCAGAATCCATGACCGGCGCTGGAAGAAAACGGCGGCCAGCAGAAGGCGAATCCACAGCAGAATCTCGAGGCTGGAGACCACCGACATGGACGAGTCGTAGTACTGCTTGACGAACGACTTGATGGCCTCCGAAGCCGGGTGTTGGGTGAACTGCGGCTTGGCGCCCGGCGACGCTCCGGCGGGCGGCGTGACCTTGGCCGGGGGGAAGAGAGTCGGCACAATGGTCGCGCCGAAGTAGGTGGCGACGTGGAAGACGGAGTAAATGCCATACGGGAGGAGGGCAAGCGGGTATTGGGGCATAAAGAGCCAGATCAAGGCCATCACTGAGGCGAATTGGTCAGCACGGTCTCATGCTGCGGAGGGTATGGGAGGCGGGGACACATACCAAGATACTGAACGTTCTCGTCAGAGAGGTAGCCCAAGACACCCCCGGGTTGCTTAGCGCCGGTCTTTTGACGGGCGCGCCACGTCTTATAAACTACGATCCCGTAGGTCCCAGCGGCCGAGAGGAAGGCGAGGCGGTAGCAGAACTGGGCCACGCCTCCGTAGTAGTTCATGCGGATCCATGAAAACGAATATCGGAAGATGCAGAAAAGGAGGACCGCATGTCTGTGAAAACGACAGTCAGCCACAGATACGACGTTATTCGGGTCGGCAAGTTGAGGAAGTCGGGTGTTTGCGCCCCAGCCCCTTAGCTTGCTGCGATGGGTCGCCGCTGAAGAGCCGGGAAGAAATCGACGTACCCGGAGAACCAAGCAACTAACAAAAACAAACTCGGTCAGTTATGCGATTCGTGCCAAAACGAGGCGTTGCCCAGGGGTCACAGGTGGTTTGTCCCTGGCGATGGAGGCTGCACACGTACATTGCAAGGTCATAGCCACCCGCTGCAGCCGTTGGGCGAGCGGCATGTCTGCTGGCGGCGGCGGAGCCATTATGCGCGGCTGTATGCTTCGGAGATTGTGATGCTGGTCGATTGATGCAATACGATTATCGTGCGTCGAAGCGCTCTGGATTGCGGTGTCTGGTCGTCACAGAGCTGGCAAAGGGTGCTCGGTTTGCGTTGTGGAGAATGGGAAAAAGGTGGTCGCTTTGAACGCCGGGATGGAATTTGGCGATGGTCGGTGCGTCACTGCCAACACTTCGAGGGAGCTGGCTGCAGGGGTGTGACGTCGCTTTTTTGGCGCCGTGGCGGTCAACCCAGGCGTTGTTTGGCGTTCAGTTGTCTTTGCGATGCCACCGGAGTCGTTGGCACAGATTGTGAAACATACACGGGCAGTACAGTAAATAACAGAAACTGTTCCAGTGATGGGAGACGGGAGAGAAAGATGCGGGAAAACTACCTTACGAATAAAAAGCCCCAAGTTCAAGTTGACAGCTTTGCTCAATCTCCCAGTGCACAAAGAGCTGCCTTGGCTTTGTCAGGTGCAAGCGTCACGGCTTGTCGTCATCAGCCGCCGAGCTCTCCCCAGCTCCTCGTGAGCCCCACACGAGGTCACCTTGGCACTCAGCTTCCAGGTATTTTTGTACCTCGGCGGAACGAAATGGAATCCAAGTTTCAACTCCGAGAGAGCTTCAACCTATCGCTTCAGCAGATGGATTGCTAACATAACTACGACGAGTATTCCGTTCCATCCTTCCCTTTGAGTCTTGAGGTGCCCCGCTTTGAACACGATTTCTTGCCGAATGGCTTTTTATCATTTTATGCGCACAAGCCAAGCCGGGCAGTGTTTCCTGGCAATGGCGGACACGCAACACCTTCTTTCTTATCGCATAACTGGGCTTGGCAGGGAAAAGGATATTTCACCCCGGATAACAACCCAATCGCCATATTCCATCAATACCCTACGCCCGTAGGCCATGGAGAGAAAGGGAACCGGTTGTGCCTTGTCGTTCACGAACGCGGGCGTCATCAACACAGACTGCCAGCCACGTAACGTCGTTGTGCAGCGGGAAAGCTTGCGGCCTCTTCATATTGATTTTGGGCATTGCCTCTTTGCTGAGGATATGGGCTGGCAAGAGTTTGGGGAGACCAAAGTCCGGTTGGGCAACCAGGGCGCGATTGGAAGTACCATGGTAGGGAAGTTGCGAAGAGCAGGCGTCGATGTGCCTGGTGTTCGATATACGAACCGCGACTGGGGGTTGCTGGGTAGCATCCTGAGCCGGTTTTGCCTCGCTTTAACTCATCCTTGGGCGAGGTTTGGGTATGGTGTTGGTGTTGGCGTGCTTGCCTGGGTAGTGGTTCGTGGCATTTCGGCCTTCCGTGCCTGGTTTTAACCCGAACGTACTCAGTTGAGTCGTAATCACCCCTGGTTGGAAGACAGTAAAGAACTCGATCACTAACGGTTCAATTACAAACTACTACCAAATGCCGGTTACCGACAGTCACCAATAGGAATAACACGAGAGTTAAATCTAAAACTGATCCATTCTAAAGCCCGATTCTAAATAAGCTGGTATGGCCATTTGTTTCTTTCTAATCGAGCCTCCAAGCTACATCTTCATAGCCAACCCCCCTTGGGTGCCAAGGGCCAGCCGACATCATCCCGAGGCGCCGGGCTCGGCGTGGACCAGGTCCTCATACGCTCTAGTGGGCTCGCGAGAATGCACGCGTAAACCCGTTCGGCGCTGTCCAGAAAGTGTGAGGATGCCGTCCTCCTTAGCGACCTCGACGTGTCTGTCTCCAACGTTACTGTTTTTTCAAGTGCCTGTCCTTGAACCGCGGTCGGGGCTGGGAGTTCATGGATTGATCGGGGCGAGGGTTCCGCAGGGTTGTCAACCCCCGCGGAGCCCAAATTTGCGTGGATTGCCGTCGTCATTGCCGGCTGGGATTTCTGTGGTCCTTCCGGTGCTGACAGCCCTGGCGGGTTGGACTGCTCCTTACCGGTGTAGCTCACAATAGCTCGGTCAAGAGCGGCGTTGCCATCCTTCTCTTCCTCATGAGCTCGTTGCTTTACCCTGCGCCGCCAAATAGTGAAGAGGTAATACCCGAGTAAGGACAGCAGACATGTGCCGACTGCTGTGACCACAATGGCAATGGTAAAGGTGCGTGAGGATATTTGCTTCTCCATGCCTCCGGAATTAGTCTGTTTATGTTAGTTGACAATTTGCAATTTAGTGAGCAGGAACTCACCTCGGAGGCATCAGTCTAATGTGCGGTAGGTCCAGCACTAGCCGTCGAAAGTTGAGTGGACGAGATGGCCTTAAACGCAGGGGCCAAGAAAGGTAATACTAGTGATTTTGAGGAGGTAGTTGCGAGAAGCAACGACGGTGTCGACGGAACAAGATGAACCGAAGACTGCGCGTTCGCCGGCATCCCGAGATGAAATCCCAACTTTCAAAGAAAACCTCGCAGTGTGGGTAGCGAGTCGCTTGACAGAGCCCCCGCGGGCAAAACCGCTCTGCTAGTGGTTCCCTACATCCTACCACTTGCCTAGCAACCGGTTTGCCTCCGACTATATAAATCAGACGAAAGAAAGCCAAGCTTGACATGTGTGAGGCTACCGAACCGACCGAAGACCGGTGGTGGGTAAGTGGATTCACCGTGGCAACGCCGGAATGACGACAGGGCTGTGGTTGCCTCTCGACAAGGAAAAGCCCGGTTCAGTACGGCATTGCCTTCGAGCCCGACGTCACAGCGCGAAGCGACTGATAGGAGAATCGGAGCTAAATCTGGGGCCCATCTTCAGAGTGGGTGTCGTCGACTAAATGATGACTTGCTCACGCAGGGCAGATTCTATCAAGGTAAAAGAAAGGGGGGGGGAAGAAAAAAGAATAAAAAAGAAAGAAAAAGAAAAAGAAGAAAAGATGGCAAAAGGACTTGATTCCTCGTGGGCACGTCGCGCAACTACTTCTGCGTCGAATGGCATGGCCGACAACAGCATGGATCGGGTTTGATGAGTGGGAGTGAAGTGAACTTGTGAAGTCAGATGTGTTCAACAACCACCCCACCCGCGGACTCAGCTCACTTTCGGGCTTCAGCCGCGCCAGCCGTCTGCCAGCTGGCAGGCTGATGAACCCGGGCCGTCAAGGTGCCCGCCGGCAGCCCACCTGAAAGCACACCATCGACAACCACGAGTCGTCAGCTTCCCTTTCAACACGCTTCCAGGCAAACCAACTCAACCACCACCCAAGCAATCTCCTCCATATACCCGGCCAAAATGGCCACCATCGGCAGCCTCGAACGCGTCTCGGCAGCTTCACTCTCGCAAATCCTCCTCGGCGCCAAAGAACGAGCCGCCTCGGGTGACCCCACCATAGCCATCATCGACGTGCGAGACGATGGTATGAAAACCACTCCCTCATCCAACCTATCCAACCCCACCCCACCACCTCCCCAGTTTTCTCTACTCAGGCACCCCGAGAGCCGTGTAACCACCATTACCACCACCACCAACTAACCAACCCCCCCCGCTGCCCCTTTCTGTAGACTACATCGGCGGGCACATCAAGGGCTCGGTGAACGTGCCGTCGCGCACCCTGGACGCCATGCTCCCGACGCTGGTCCGCCAGCTGCAGGACAAGGAGACGGTCGTCTTCCACTGCGCGCTCTCGCAGCAGCGCGGGCCGGCTGCCGCGCTGCGGTATATTCGCGAGAAGGAGGCTGTGGAGAGGGCGGCGGCGGAGAAGAAGGAGGCGGCGGCGGGTGCTGACGGGGTGGATCAGGAGGGTGGTGGTGGTGGTGGTGGTGGTGGTGGTGGTGATGGGAAGGTGCAGAAGGTGGTTGTGTTGGATCGTGGGTTTGTGGGGTGGCAGGAGGTGTATGGGACGGATGAGCGGTTGACGGAGGGGTATCGGAAGGAGTTGTGGGAGGATGGGTATCAGGGGTGAGGTTTGATGCTGGGTGGCAACCGTTATGTGCGTTCATACCTTAGATCGTTATGTTGAGGAGCCCAAAGCATAGACCCCTCCGAGGAGTAACACCCCTTTCCGGACATTCAAAGTATCAGAGTGGCGCGCCGTATGCCATCTAACTGGCACTTGACAGACGCAAACTTCACTTCAGGGGTCAACGGCAGCATTTTGATCACGGCATGGTTCGGCTACGGAGCTCTTCTGCTACAAGCGACACCATCAACATCACACGTTGGCAATCATAAACGGAGGTCCAGGAATGGGCAATATTGCAACGACGCGAGGGTCGTTATTGAATTAAAATTATCTGTGCGCCGGCCCCCATCATGAAAGCATAACCATCTTCCAGAGTAACCCCTGTCTACATGTCTTCCACTTATCCTTGCCCCGGATATCTGTCGACCTGTCTTCCCACTCATCCACCACATCTCGAACTTAGAGGACGGCAACGACGCCAACGAAGGCAGCGATGGCAACAGCGGCGGCGGCGAGGCCGGTGTCACGGTGGCCGGCGTTCTCGTCAGAGTCGGAGTCGGTGTCATCGTTAGCCTCGCTGTCGTCGTTGGACTCGGAGGAATCGTCGCTGCTGTCGTCGGCGTCATCGGCGTCATCGCCGCTGGTGTTGCCGCTGCTGGCGCCGTCGGTGCAGCTGGGGAGCTCGATGTTGCCGGTGAGGCTGGCGAGGTCGGGGCACTTCTCGGCGGCGGAGGCGATGCCGTCGCCGTTGGCCGCGAGCCACGACGAGGCGGCGCTCTGCAGGCTCGACTGGGCCGACTCCACCGCGGGGGGGAGGGTCATCTTGCAGGGGTCGGTCTGCGTCTGGGTCGCGTAGAAGCTCACCAGCGCGGGGGCCGGCGTCGGCATGCCCTTGTACACCGACTGCATGGCCTCGAGGCACTCGGAGTCCTGGCGCGCCTGCATTTGGCCGGGGAGGGCGCTCACGGCACCGGCGAGGGCAAGGAGGAGGGTTTGGGAGAGCATGTTGACGGTTTGGTTGGTTGGAGTTTGTTTTGGTTGGAGTTGAGCGAGGTGAGCGATGTTGCAAGGAGCGTCTTGAAGATTGGAAGAGCAAAGGAGTGACTGTGGTGTGATGATGGGGAAAAGGGGGCTCGAACGGTCGATGGGAGAAAAGGAGGACTTAAATAATTTCTTTCCACCTCACTCCCTTCGGAACCGCCACAACGGTTTCCCTCCTCATGGCCAGTCACACCACCGCCTGTTCCAGAAGAAATTGGGTCCTCCTTGTCCTCAGTCCCGCCCCAGCTTCCATCTTTGGAAGATTCGGCCCACCGAGACACGATCTGCCTGGCACCAAGTGGGCGGTGGGTCAGGACCCCTTCCCCAGCTCGCTCACAGCCGAGAGCTTGATGACCCGAACGCTTTTCCAGATCCAGGCTGATGCTCGTCGGTGGTCGGTTGGGGGTCCGCCGACGTGGGTTGTGATGCTGGGATGTGGTGATCAGCTCAGACTTCGTCCCTCAGCCCAGTGGGCCCCCAGGAAATGAGCCGCTTGGCGGTTCTCGCAGTCGTGCCTATTTCGGGCAAGTTGAAGGCTGCGCGCGCCACATCAAGATGCGAGATACACAAATGGTGTCGTTTTTCACGGGCTTGTTCAGCTTTGTTCTTGGTCTGAGCATCTCTCCACCGCAGGATATCTAACACGGTAACGGCATCTACACAGTATCAACGCTTGTCTGGGAATCGTTCACCATCTTGAGAAAAGACCTCGTGGGTCTTTTAGCCGCCGGCACCCGGAGGCAGCGAGCGATCCCCAGTCACTCGCCGTCTCCACTGCCGGGGTCGATCGAGGTACAAATAAGCTTCTTCAGGGGCATCCTGGACCCGCCCCCCATTCACACCGTCGATCAATTTGCAGCCCAGCTGTCAGACACGGCCTTTCTCTCTCCGGTTCCGACAAATACGCTTGAAAAATCCTCAGCCCAGTTCTGTCCCGAAACGTGACAAGAGACCATCACAATCTCCATTCCCAAGGGCGCGTGGGCCAATCGAATGTACAGGTGGAGGAGGGAGGCTTCATTCTCGTCTGGCCCGCGGTCACCAGCGCGACGGGTCCCTTGGCGATGTCACGCGTCTGCTGTCTCACACAACGCCCACCACGCGAGCCGCTCAATCTTGTTGCATGGCCTTGGCCCAGGCCGCTTTCCCTTGCCAGTGAGCGAAAAAGGGGGGGGGTTAAAGTTTGCCAGGACACCCAAGGAAGTTGTCGAACACTGTCGAGAGCTTTAGCGTTACATGTATTTGGCCGTGTTGGTGGTGGTTTCGTGAAGAGATGGGCAACCGTGATAACTACCTATGTAGCGAAGACTTGGTAGTCATGTACCACACAGTTCACGCTGCGCAAAGTCAATGCGTGGTTGTTCAAGTATGTCGTATAAAGCACGAGGCAGGCCATCTCGGCATGCTTTGGAGACGAGCTACGCCTTGCCAAGGTCCCATTTCGAAAGGAGGTCTCGTTGATTGGTTGATTCGATGAATCGATAAACTGACAGGTGGTATTCGTTCTTCGTACTTCGTAACTCGCACCAATAAACATAACAAGCCGGTGTGGTCGCATGCATTGAATGCTTTGTCCGAGTCCGGCAAAGGGGTCGCTGCCCGTTTTCAAACGCAGTATCCGGCCGGAGATTGGGCTGCAGTGGCTTGATTGAGGCCGCAGTTTCGGCGACGAGAAGCAGGTGTGCCACAGGCGTTCTTCTCGCAACCCCCAGTGTTCCATTCCATTGGACCTTGAGCGTGTGTCTGTTGCATGTTGGCATCAGCCACCTGCCCGTGGCCAGCCTCCCGCCGCTGCCCTGCGTCAACTGTACCTCGGAGGCTTATTCTCCCACATCTCACCCATGACGCTCTTTTCTGGTCGTGGGGTGTTACCCGGCCAACAGGAGCAGGCCAATATACTGCTCGGATCACCACGTCTCTAACTGTGACAGGCCGGGACCGTCCATGAATGAGAAAGAGAAAACGGAATCCATTAGTCTAAGGACCTCAGTTCAGTCCAACAGCTTTCCAGTGGCTAGCAGGTGGTAGTCGCCCTTTAGCGCACTCTGCATCGGCCTTTGCCATTCAGCAAACACCTCCCGCCGGGCTAACGCTTGGCTCCGGAGGACCATGTCCCATGCGAGCACCTGCTGTACCGCGCCGTTCGGCAACGGCTGTTCAACGACTTGCTTTTCCAGTATAGGCCAGTCGATGTACTCGGGGGCGTCCGTGTAGACGGTGATTTGTTTCCCATCCTCCCGTGTCTTCACCCACGCATTCAAGAGTGCGCGGTACTCGGAAACCGGATGATCGAGCGTGACGTCGGGATGTTGTGCCCATTCGATATCTTGTATCGTGGTCACATCCAACGCCCCCCAGTCCTCCTCCCGGAAGTGGAAATCACGCGTGATCATCTCATAGACGGTGAATATGACGGCTCTCACGTCGTCCCGAATGTCCCTAGCGTGAAGGTCAGTATCGGAGTGCGGGCCGGGGAGGCTGGCTTGACGTACCAGTACGAAAAGAAGGATGGCCCGCGGCGACGGCCGATTTGCGCGGACCAGTCGAAATCAAAGAGCATGAGGTTGTCGGTGGCTTCATCGACCACTAGGTTGCGCGGGACGACGTCCTGGTGGGCGATGCCGTACCGCAGGTTCAAGTCGTCGACCAGCTGCATGAGTTGCTTGCACCACTTGAGCTTGAAGGGGCGAGACACATTGTCTTGGAGGGTGCCACCGGGTATGTACAGGGTCGTGAAACCGACAACACCGCCTCGCACCTCGTCGAGCACGAGGCGATCGAAGGGAACGATGTTGGGGTGATGAGACAACCGCATCCAGAGATTCATCTCTTCCCATGTTTTCTCCAGGAACTGGAGTTGCCAGTAGTACTTGAAAACGACCTGTCTGGTTTCAAGGGGGTTGGTATCGGTCTGATACGAGACAAGATCGACGTTCCCGACCAGCCGGTCCAACTCTCGCAGCTCTGAGCGGAGGATGGTCTGTACTCCCGCTGGCCGTTCGACGAGGTCCAAAGGAGGGTAATACATATAGAAGGTCTCGTCATGGGCGGGGTCGCTCGAAACGGAGATCAAGTCGCCATCAAGCCCTACGTGAATCAGAGTTACGTTAGGGTCGAGGTTGTCGACGTATTTCTTCAGGTGCTCAAGGGCCACGTCTTCAGACTCTTGCTCTTCGTCCATCCTGACGGCGATCAGGCGCCGCTGGTCAGTTTCCGAAAACCTCCACTCGCTCATTCCCTCCTTGATGCTGCCACCTGTACACCATAGCTTGAAGTCCTCTTTGATTGGCATTGCGAGCGCGATTGGTTGGGCTGAATCCTCAGTCAGCAGCGTTCAGATATCCGGAGTATGTGCTGCCTCGGTAGGCCGGGTAAATTTGAGCGATGGTTGGATTGATGGCCAATGGCGTAGGTACTAGCGGAGAGAGGCTGAAAGCCGCCGTAGTAAAGAAGCAGCCACGCTGAGTGACACTGTTGGTTCGAGACAGCCCAGGCCCTCACATGCGGGCGCCAGTGGGCCACATGCGGCTGGTTGCCAGTGTCACATTCACAAACGCAGAACGCCGCCGGCCTGCATGAGAAACGTCAGGGGGTTACACCGTTGCACCAACCGAAGGGGGGGCGATAGTGCGGCATATGGAATGGACAGAAATGGCTAATACCACCTTTTTAAGACTAAAACTACCTACCTTATCAAAGTTTATCAGCTATCTAAATGGGGCAACATCATGTATCAAAAGTTGTGTTAAATACTACAATTACCTGGTACCCGATGGAGACGCTGAGAGCGAGGCACTTTTCATGCCACACCTGTCTGCTGCTGAGTTCGCACGCCGTGGTAAAGGCCCGAGGCCGTGTGGTTTCAACAATCGTTCGCCCCAACGACAACCCCGGGGTTGCCGACTGCACGCCAGAGTTAGCGTCAGCCATTCATCAAACGACGGGCCCAACCCCTGGGTGTGCCTCTGGGCGGCCGTTGGCGTAGTCCAGCGGCCCGGTCCAGTCTGATATCTAAGGTCTTGAGGCGGTCGGTGCACTGATACTGTTTTGTCCAAGTAACTCGTGGCCAAAGGGAGGGCCCCGTACAGGGAGCTGTGCCGGTCTGCTGGGGAATGGGCAACATTCTCTGATATATGATATACATATGGTCCAAGGCCAGCGAGTGTCTCCCAACTTCCCTTCCTTGAGCAATGTTTCTCCAAGTCCCTTCTTCTAGTCTACCTCTCTTGCTATTCCCCACATCAGTCGAAAACACAACCACATTTCCCAATCCTGTTGTTCAGCCATCGTCTCACCAGCGTCCTCCAACCCCATCGCCGCTCGTATCCCAGAAGCGTTGCAATGGCTGACAATCACGAAGAGGCTACCGTCATCTTCCAATGTGAGATGATGATTAGGAAGCCTTCCGCCCTCGTCTACCATCCAAACAACCCATGCGGGTGCCCTTGCGGTTGGTACATATGGAAGAAGATATGCGGCTGTCTCTCTACCAAGGACGAGCACAAATGCGGCGGGCGGCGATCCAACACCGGAAGATTCACATTTTGTCGGAACCCTGCGCCCGTGCACCAAGTAACGCAATATGTAATCAACGAGGCATGCTCGCAGCACGCGCCAGACATCCTGTGAGCCCTTCCCACTCACCAACCCCCCTCCACCTCCCCACGACTAACCCCACCCAACCAACAGCAACCCAGACCTGCTCCAGGTCAACCTCCCAGCGGCCGGCAACTCGCGGCCGGCCTCTGTCGCCCCAAGCCGAGAATCCAGCGTTGCTCGCTCGATGCCCGCCGCCGCCGGCAGCCCCAGTCGCACCCCTAGCAGATCCAGTACCCCCAGCAGGTCCAGTACCCCCAGCAGGTCCAGCACCCCCAGCAGGTCCAGTACCCCCAGCAGGTCCAGTACTCCCACCCCGGGCTCCGCCGCCAACAGGTCTCGCCAGTCGACGCCCCAGCCGGCGAGACAGGCGAGTGGCCAAGCGCCGGCGAGGAGGGGGCCGTCCGCCACCACGCCTCCGCCGGGCGTGGCTCGAGTGGCTAGGTAATTACGGCAAGGCCGGGGTTGTATGATGGGAGCGTGTGATGCGGGGAACGGGGAACGGGGGACGGCGTTGTTGTTGGTGTTGGTGGTGGGCGTTTGGCGTTTGGCGGTCGGCCACGGCTGCGGTGGCGGTATAGTGTGGTTGGATTGCTGGGAGGAGGGTCTTTGTTTCCCTTGCGTATTTTCTGTTTGATTTGCGGATTTCTCTTTCCTTGTTGGCGCCCGTTTGTAAGAGTTATGGGAGGTAGTTCGTCTGCCGTTGGTTGTGTCCATCACCTAATCTACGTGTGTTTCTTTCCTGTGGAATTCCGATTCAAGCTGGCACTCAGGAGCCTGCGACTTTGGGGAAAGTCGGGAACTTGAAACTCAACACAACAAGCTTTGGCCGACCCTGGAGACCTGCTTCTGGCAGCTTTGGAAATCTCGGCTGTAGTACAAGAAGTAGCAACGACGGAAGTCATATGGATGCCCGTACCTCCCGATTCTGTCAAGGCACATGTCATCTTTTTCCTCTCGGGAGGCTAGAGTGACCGGCTTTTCCCTTCAGACTGATCGCAGCTCGGCATGCCACTCCTCTTTACTGTAACTTTCTTGCTCTCGCCTTCTGATAGTTATCTCGTAATGTCCTGAGTATTCCCGAGATCTTAATTCTGGAGTGATTCGTCGCCAGGCTCGCCCTTTTCTTACCCAGTCTCTCAGATTTCCAGCCGAAGCAGGAAGTGCGGCGAGGCTTGGGCTCCTCAAGCCTGAGTGGTTGGAGAGGCCAGATCCCATCGTCTGAAGTGACTTGTGCGCGTCCCCGGTTCAGGGTCGTTGACGCTTATGTGGATTGTATGGCGTCGGATGGTAGAACATTTTGTTGCCACTTACCCGTCGTGGTAAGCTTCTCCTCTTCCTCCCTGAGAATTGAGCGAAACTCCTTCCTCGCCTCGGCATACTCCTTTAGCGCCTCGTCTTCAGGCTCACCGACCTCGTCGATCCCCTTGGACGTGATCCAGTAAGGGACATCGATCATCTCAAGAGGGCGAGAACACATCCACTCGAGGCCCACGAGTGCGGTGATATTCCAGTCGTCGTCCACAAACAGGTTGCTCTGGTGGAAGTCGGTGAACTGCATCGCGAACAGTTGGGAGCGTAGCCCGGGTTGACGGCGGTCCGTCTCGTCCTTGACAGAGTTTGGCTGGGCCGGCAGACGGCGGTCGTGCTGGGCCAGTAAGTCGGAAATGTAGGGCTCCGCGCACGGATAGGTTTTGTCCCTCTCTATCACGCGGGAGGCGCCGCTGTTCTCGAGGGTTACGGTGCTACAAGACAGAGGTCTGTTTGAAAGAGAGATGGTGCAGTCATTGCGGAACGTGAACGACCCGATACGGGCGTGCGGGATTCGCGCAACGGAAAGTATGATGCGGGCCAGGCCGCGGAAGAGGTTCCGGCGCTTGGCTAGATCGTGGCATTTGGCGTCCCATGTTTCGGATAGCATTCGGCCCCCTGCGGGTTCGATGTATTCGAGGAGGAGATACCCGTGCTGGAGGACGGAGGGGCCCGGTGGTTTGCGGATGCGGACGTACGACGAGGGGACCGGCAGGTGCAGTAGCGTGCAAACAAAACGGAGAATAGACCTCGCCCACCGCTGGTAGAAAGGCCGAGAGCTTATATGGGTAAACTATCGGAGCTCGCACGAGTCACTAAGGGATAAGGAGCACAGGGGAGCCTTAGGCGTGGCGACCTACGTGTAAGCCGCCGGGGAAACCAAAGCCTAAGAGGTTAGGGATGGGAACCTCGGGGCAGTTCTCCTGCATCCACACATACGCGCCGACTTCGCACCGCATTTTCTCCTCAACGGTCCCGGGATAGCGGTCCTCGGCGAGCTTGTGTCGCAATGGACACCGCATCAGCACCGTGTACGGAGTCTCTTTGGGCGACCGACGAACACGGATGGGAATGCACAGGTTGAAGCTGCCGAGAATCCAGGTGTCGGGAGGCCGGATCGAGACCAGGTCGGGCTCCAAGCTTCGAATCCCAGCTCGAGGTTTAGCCCTGGCCCTAGTCTTTTTCTTTGATTTCCCCGGGAAGTCATACTTGGCGCTCTTCGGGACTCGGAGGCCGAGGTGGTGACAAACGATGGCGGCGATACCCAATCGCTGAGGGCGCTGCCAGAGCTGCGAACGCAATTCATGCGTTGCGGCCTTGAACCGCATCTCTTGCAACACATCATTTTCGCCTTGTGCGGTTGCCTCGTAGGCGACAGACGTGTTTTCACTCATGCAGGGCGCGTCTTCCCCGGTAAGGCGGAAGAAGATAGATTTAATGATTTAATACTTCGTAGAATGCTGAGAGCCCGAGACCGAGAATCACGGATTTGGGTTTGCAGGGAATTCATTTACGAAGTGGAGACCGGCGCGCGCTCACGTGATGAAATTCAAAGCGATTTCCAAATCACAGGCAGCAACGACACAAAATCCGATCTTTCTCGCGAACTTCTCGTCCGGGAGGAAGTGACGACCGTGACGGAACGGCAAATTGACGGACCAGCGCCCATACCCAACCTTCCTTCGCGTCTCCATGATGCGGCTCAACTATCACAAATTCACAATCATTGTCGATTACAAACGTAATTAATTCGTGCCGTCTCCCGCGGAGCAATCTTGATTCATCAACCTTTCAAGGCGAGGTGCAGGCAGACCTAGGCAGTCATCTGCATACCTAGTGACTCAACGCAGTCCATTCCTACCTGCCGGCACGCCCTTAGCAAACAAAGTTCTCCGGTGCGACTCGGCCGATATTGAGCAAGATCATCATCACTTGAGCCTCATCGGAGGTGGGTCAAAGTCAAGTCCCATCGGACTAGGCTCGTTAATTGGCTGCTTAAACGACCTCGTCTTGCTCTCCTCTGTATGTCGACTTCGTCCCCATCGGCCACTCGGAAGGCGGCCCACGTTCCAAATCAAGGCATTCACTGGTACTGGAGCCACTCGGAAAGTGTGGCATCGCGTCCTCCTTATTGCCTTAGTCATAGCGCTGCCGACGATTGGGTCTTCCCCCACGGCTGGCTAGGCTGGCTTCCGGTCTCCATGTCCGGGACTGGTCTTGTGTGATCTGCTCATTACGCAATCCGCGCAGAGCCGCAACACCCCGGCTTGTTTTTTTTTTAAACGAGACGGGGACAATTCACGCCATGGGGTTGTATGAGACACCTCGAACCAATGGTGCTCGCGGTAGGTTGTCGGGCAAGTCCCAGATTGGTCGGGCTCGGATGCAAGGGAAACCAGATGACCTCGATTTCCCCAATCAGACATACAGAACTTATCTGCACGTCTTTAGCCTCGTCATTTGCACTTTGAATGGAACTCCGGCGCCCGTGGGTTGAGATTGAGGCTCTGCGGCTCTGCGGCATTGCACGGCCTCGGAGCCGATGAATGATAGCTGTTCCCGAGTCGACTTGGTGAAGATGAGGCTCTGCGGTGGAAGGATATTTAATCAGTGGGAGTTCAGGCGGAAGGAGATGTGGGCTTGGGAGCAAGAAACCCATCACACAACGCCTTTTCCGCTTGTGCGAGCTTTCAGAACCCAGTTTCAGTCCTTGGTTGCCAATCAACACTTACACAGAAAACCCATACCTTTAACCCTAACCCCTCCCCTGAATCCCCCCTGAACCGACATCAATCATGGACAACACCTTCGGCTACACCGAGCCTGCCGTAATCCAGACGGCCGAGGAGGAGATAGATGAGGTTTCTAGACCCGACATCGCATGGATCCCGACATTGAAGACGTTTAAAGACCGGGTTGAAAATCTCCAGGCTCTCTATCCCAACCGGCGCACCACCGTCCCCCCCGGATGGCCTGCCGAAGCCGATGCAGGCCGAGATTGGTCCGGTGCCGACTTCCCGTCTGAAGACAACTATGTCATCCATCTTAGTCCTGAAGACATCGACGAGATTGAAACCGCGCTTGCCTTCTTCAAAGGTTAGTACTTCATATTGCTCTCTACTCTCGTTCGGGGAAACATGGCTAATTCATAGCCATCAGCGCTGGATGGCAGCCTCGGTCCAGATGATGTTCGCCCGGACACCTTCCCACTTCCCGACCTATGCAACCGGCTCTTCGAGGCCTCGGAAATAATCCACAATGGTCAGGGGTTCGTCGTGCTGCGCGGCCTGCAGCCAGACAACTACTCGTCCTTGGACAACATCCTCCTCTACCTCGGCGTCACAAGCTACATTGCCGAGAAGCGTGGGATGCAGGACTTTGATGGGCGGATGATTCGTGCGTCTGAATACTTCCCATTACCCCTCGAACGTCTACTAACTCCGTCCAGTCCACATCCAAGCCGTCGCGGAAGATGTCAAGAAGCACGGCGCCATGCCCAACTCGCCCTACGTCACTCGTGCGCAGGTAGTGGTCCCCTCGACCAAAGTCAAAAGTAACCTGCCACTCTTACTAAATTCCCTGTGCTACAGCCCTTCCACACCGACATCTGCGACGTACTTGCCATGTACGCGCTGAACACAGCCGCCTACGGGGGCGAGTCCTACCTAGCCTCGTCGGCCAAGATCTACAACGAGCTCGCCCGCACCCGCCCGGACATCATCGAAGTCCTGGCCAAGGATGATTGGATCTTTGACGAGTTGGTCTCCCCGTTTTTACCTCCCTCCCCACCTACCCACCCTCCCCCCTCCATTTCTCATCTGTATGTACCCACCCATATGCTTACCAAACACCACAAACAACCAGATTCTGGGAAGGCCAATACCACACCCGCCCGCTGCTCTTCAACTTCCCCGGCCACGGCCCCGCCTTCCAATTCTCCCGCCGACCCCTAACCGGCGCCCACTTCTCGCCGCACCACCCGGCCGTGCCGGCCATGACGGAGCTGCAGGCCGAGGCGCTGGACGCCGTCTACTTCCTGGCCAAGGAGCACGCGGTGGAGGTGGCGCTGCAGAAGGGCGACATGCTGGTGTTCAACAACTTCGCCATGCTGCACGCGCGCAGCGGCTTCGCCGACGACGCCGCCGCCGGCCGCTCCCGCCACATGCTCCGCCTCTGGCTGCGCAACGAGCGCCTCATGTGGAAGACGCCGCCCGCGCTCGAGCGGATTAGTTGGGAGTGCTACGGCGACCACGAGTGGCGCCGCGAGCTGAGCGTGTGGGATATCGAGAGCAGCCCGCCCGAGTTGAGGGTTAAGCATCGCCGGGCGAGCTGTGCTTGAGAGGGGAGGGGTGTTTGGGGTTTTTTTTTTTTTTTGGCTCGCTCGTTGACAGTTATGTAGCGGTTCTTGTCTTTTTATTTTCTTCTTTTTGCTCTACTTGGCGGTTGTTTCTCCTCGAGGTCTGTTAGTTTGTTTGAATCTTGGCCCTTATTATTATTCCCCTTTGAGAGGTTACCTGTACTTCCTGGGCGCCATCTTTTCCCTTGCACACATACCAGGCAGCCAGGCAGCAATGCCCTTGGTGCCTGGGTTATTGTCGGGGGATCGCCAAAACTTAGGCAGAACACCTTATCTTGGCAATTATCGAGGCATTCAAAGCATTCAATTTGACCGCTTCTGGCAATCTCGTCACTCGTGCATTGAAATGTTTGTGCCGAGCAATCCCCCTGACCCCTTGATCTGCTGAACATAAGATCCTGAATCCTACAATTGATAACCAATGGCTCAACCCGTTCCTTCCATGGCACACTCCCTTGATTTCCCTTCTCACAACTCCAACCACTCAACCCAACGAATACCATCCAAGTGAATATATCTTATCTCAAGCTTGACATCAAAACCGGAAAACCATGAGTATGACTACCGTGACGACACCGCCCACGGCTGCAGCCCAATTCTTCAACATACCCGAGCTCGTGGCCTTCGTTGCAGAGTATGCCTTCTACCCGCACCAATACGGGATCATCCCGACCTTGGCCAGCCTGCGACTTGTGAACTGGATATGCTACACCGCAGCGACACCGTATTGCTACCAAGAGCTGCGTATTTCTGCATCCATAGCCTATACCCGGTCACGATGGCGTCTCAACCCGCGGCTCGACCTCGTCAAGCGTGCCTTCTTCAGCTTCTATGACGGTGTCCGCAAGGAGGAAGAGGCCCTCGGCGCCATGATGTCCCAGATGTCCCGCTTAGAAAGCTTTGTGTGAGTTGCCCCCCATATTTTGGACATCGGCGTGTGCTGGAGCTAACGACGGCTTCCATCTAGATACAACGGCCACCCGCTGACGCCGGCTCTGCTCCAGACGCTGAAAGAGTCATGCCAGAGCCTCAAGGTGCTGCACATGAATTACAAGCGCCGCATTGGACCCTCACCAAGCCTCGGGCTCAACTTTGATGGCTTCCGTGACCTGCGAGAGCTGATGCTCTACAACCTCCCCTTCTGCGCCCATTTCCTCTCCGTTCCCGACCACGAGTGGTGGATCCCGCGCCTCGCCCGGCTCCTGACCGGCTCCCCAAACCTCCAGAAACTAAGCCTCGGCTTCGAAGAAGCCATCACCGCCCACCGACAAGCCGAAACCATGCACATCTTCGACAAGCTCTGCCACCTCTACCACGCCGCCGGCGGCTCCCCCCTCCCCCTCCAATCCCTCGAGCTCCTCGGCGGCCTCTACCCCTGCAACCTCACCACCCTCCAGCAACTCATCAACCTCACCCACCTCCACGACGTCTACATCGCCGACCCCGCCCGCCGCGACCCCACCACCCCCCCGGGATCATCATCGTCGGAACCACAACCGTGGCGGCGCATCGCCTACGAAGCCTTCACCCCGCCGCACGCGCCCAACCTGCGCCACCTCCGCACCGACGGCTACTCCCGCGACCTCCACACCCACCTCGCCTCCCTCGCCGACCCCGCCTTCACGCAGCGCCTCGCCATCGCCTGCAAACACCGATACGCCGGCACGGGTCTCGACACCTCGGCGCTCCTCCGCCCCAGCCCCCATTACCCCTCCCTCCCGCTGCAAGTCCGTATGCTCGACCTAGAACTCTTCCGCGAGCGCATCTACGGCAGCGAGCGCGAGGTAGCAGTGTCCGCGGCGCAGGTGCTCTCCGATCTCGTCGCGACAAACGGCGCGACGCTCGAGGGGCTGGCGGTGAACCTGTTCGGCGGTCTGGCTCAGGAGAGGGGTACCAGCCTGGCAGAGGAGCGGTTGGGCTTGCTGGAGCAGGCGCTGGGGGGCTTACCGCGGCTGGAGCAGCTGAGCATTGGGACGCCGTGGCGGTGCGATGCGGTGTTTGCCGTGGCGGAGAGGCTCGCGGCGGCGGCGGGGCCGCGGCTGCGGTATCTGAGTATTGGGAACTCGTTTATGCGCGTTAGGCGGAAGGGGGGTGCTGGGGGTGGTGGTGTGCTTGTGATGGAGAGGATCGCGCCGTTGGAGGCGGATGAGGTGGAGTTGTGGAAATATAGCTTGATTAATCTTACGGATATTACGAAAGTGTATACGGAGTAGCGCTTGAGGGCATTGGTAGGGTACAGACACAACAAACAGGGGCCGGAGCCCACACTTTGCGTATTGTACTTGGGCATAATTCATCGTTATGATGCTTGTCTACAGTGTGTAGTTTTGTAATATTATTGTATCTAGAGTTTGAAGTACCCCCTATATCACTTTCCACTTTGTATACTTTGCCTCTTGCCCCGCTACGCCTTCGCCCACTTTCTCCTCTGCCTCTTTACCATCAACTCTTTTGCCCCCTACCACTGCAGCGCCCGACGATTATCATGTCCATCGTTACCTAGATAATGTAGTTTAACGCCCTATTATACCCCAAAGCCCGTCAAGAAAGCCCTACCATGCCCAATCCAAAGACGGATTCCGTCAATACAACACGCCGATGTCTATTTACAATACAGAAAAGTAATTACCGAGCTCAGCCAGCACGTACTTCCCAACAACCCAAACTCCTATTCAGACCAATGGTATTTTCCCCTAAAACGCCACTGCAAACCCGGAAATACGCAGCCGCTGCGTTGGCGCAGCATCCTTTTATTCCTCACACTTTACCGCTAACTGGCTCTCCTCCTCTGCTGCGTCCGTATCGTTCTCGTCGAGTTCCTCCACGACATGTACGGGGGAAGTATCAAAGTTTTCGGTAAACAGCTGGCCAGCCCAATACAACGTCTTTTCGTACTTATGGGTCTTCCTCAAACTGAGGACATCGGACTCTGCGCCGAAAGGTTAGTTGACGTGGCCTGCAAAAGGAAGGCTAGGGTGGGAGATGATACCTCTTGCCATGATCATAGCCTGGGTTGTTTGCATGAATTCAACCTGTTTCGGTTCGAGTTTGGCCATGGCCGCCAGGCTGGGCGACGTCCAGTCCATCTTCAACGGCACAGATCCGTTACATAAAAAGTGGAAGCGGGCGAGGATAGACTTGGCCGTATGGAAGGCTGCTTCGAGGAACTGGATGTTGGAGTATTTGCCCTGCCAAAACTAGGTTAGCGCTAGATCCAATCCTGAACTGATGACTACCGCCGCTCACCGGCATTGTGTGCGTCTTGGCGTGGGCGACAGAGTGTCTGGCCAGCCGCTCGATGTGGTTGAGTAAGATGAAGGCAGAGAGGTAAATTTCCCACCAAGCCTCGCGCTTGACAGGGGTGATCAGGCGCTCGAATTTCTCAACAAGCCTCTCGCGCAAGGGTGTCAGGATAGACTTGATAACGATCTGGTCCAGGTGCGTATCCATGATGGGCGGAATCGGAATCCTCCCCTTGTGAGGACTCGTCGCATCTCTTACCGGCGAGACGCCGAGGGTGTCGGGTCCGCACATCTCCCAGGGAATCTCGATCATACGTGAAATAGCCCAAAGATCGAGGGAGTCGGCAACTAAAGATTTCTAGCAAAGTCAGCAGAGGAACGTGAGAGTTTAGCACCACGGCACATACCGGATTTCGTTGAGCAAACTCCATGGCGACAGAGATCGTCATCCATGCCAGTTTGTCCTCGGTCTTGACCGAAGCGAGGTACGCCCATTTGGCCGAGGCAATATACTGGCAGATATGGCGACGTATCTTTTCTACATTTGTGAGGCAGTAAGGTGGCATATTTAGCTCATGTAACTTTCCTGAGCGATCTGTCCACTTGTACGACACGACATCGCCAGGCGATGGCACAAACTCGGAGGCGTAGACGGTTAGCTGATGGGACCCGATGCGTTGTGTGAGCTTCAACATCCTTGCGGAGACGTCTGGCTTGGATAGGTCTCCGAGGTCGTGCAGAACTGCAAGTCGCTTGGTGAAGAACGGCTCGTTTGGTGCTGGACCTTGAAGGTCGTCAGTACTTTGACGCATGGTGGAATTCGCAACGCCGCAAGGGTTGAGAGACACGCCAGGAGGCTCAAGGGAAGTAGACAGCCAGCGAGCACAGGCGCAGGATTATAGAGGGGTGACTTACCCGACCGGAAGAAGAGGATGTCTGCCAAAGTCGTTCCGAAACAAGGGAGTCGAGGGGCGTTCTTGTAGATCTTGTGCTCTGTACAAAGGGTACAGCTAACGTAAGGACTCTCTTTCTGGGCGAGATCGCACTAAAGATGGGTCAACGCCGGCTGTTGAGGCATGAAGCGAAGGACAAGTACCTGTCTTTTCGATTTCTTGCACCTCGGGCAAACCCCTTTTCGCCTGGCTAGAGCTGTCTGCAGGCGCTTTTCCTCGGTAAAAACAGCCCTCGACTTGAACCGGTTCCCGAACGTCATCATGGTTCCCTTGACTTCTCCAGAGTCATCAAGCACCGGTACTTCGCGAAGAGTTTGGGAAGCCATCCCCTGGGGCGTGATTTCTTCCGGGGCTGACCGTTTCTTGGACGACTTTGCCCCCTTGCTGTTGGGTGGTTCATACTGAACAATTGCCAACGGCGTCGACGGGGCTTTCGGTTGGCGTGTTGACGGGCGTTTCTTTGGTGGTGAGGGATCCGGAACGGTGGGGTGAGAGCCTGCAACATCTATGGACACTGTCGGACTACACCGTCCATAATAATCACGATCAACGGTGTTGTGGACGACGGCGTTAGGCCACGGGGGGTTGTTCCCCTCGTTCGGAGACACCAATGCCCGGTCATTAGGGATGGTATTGAAGGAGTCGAAGGCATCGCGAAGGTTGGAAGAAGGGAGGGGATACGAAGAATTTGCATCGGATAGTTGACTCAGGCTTGGGGCGGCGGGCGCCATTAACTGGGCGAAGTATTCTGTTGAAAGAGGTAGCACAGGGTTGAACGAGGATTGTGGCAGGCCAAAGGTTGGAAGCGATCCAATATTAACCGGGACCTCCGAGCCCGTGGAAAAGGAAGCCCAGTCTGCGGCGCTAACGGGGCCGGCGGAGTGAAACATGTCCGTTGGGGACGAAACCGGGGTCGACAACGATGGCCTCCGGGACCGGTCTGCGGAGCGGGAGGGCACGTTGGGGGCATAATAATGTCGGGCGGCGGCGACCTGAGCGGACCATTGCGGATGTGCGCCGGGAAACGGCATGGAGTTCAAGTCGAAGCCGGGCCGGACAAGCGGGGTCCCGCGGACGGCCTGGGATCGGCAGGTCGGTGGATTGACGGCCAAGTCAAGGTTGGGATTGGCGACGAGATTGCCATTGTGGCCCAACTCGGCGGCAGGGGTAAAGAATGATGTGAAGTCCCAAGGAGCGTCGGTGACGACCTCTTGAGGCTCTCCTTCCCCATAGCGGAATGCGCTGTCGGGTTCTGAGCTGGGAACCTGCCTGGGGTACGCCATGTCTCAGGCAGACTGTTGGATCATGGATGCCACGGACTGTTGGGAAGGACAAACAAATGAGACCAGAGTCGCATCGGTAATCCCGCTTCCGGGCGTGCATCCAAAGTCCGTCATATGTCTGTGGGATGCTTGTGGGATGCTTGTGGGATGGATGTCTTCGGGGAAGTTTGCCGCAATGCGGGAAGGAAGTGCGACGTCTGGGGCTGGCTGGCGCAGCTCTGGGTCACCGAGGGAGGGCGCCGATGGCCGCGGTTGCTGACCCAATCATCGCGCCTGCCTCCTGAGCACCGCATTCCCTTTTTCCCTCACCGTCATTCCGAGTTTGGTTAGTGCCCTGCAGTCAACCAAGCTGGGGCGGACCTGTCGTTTTCCAGAGAATGCACCTGGCAGACATTCTTTTCCATCTCGTTCGCTTGTCGGGTGAGGGGCATGGAATTGCCAAGATGGGCAGTCTTCCAGGTTTCTTTTCCTCCTCCCGCGAGTTGGAATAATACCATAGGACTTCCAGATTACATCATACCCAGCTCGTCAATATCTACATACATGTATCTCCGGAGTTTGCCGGCCCCCAAATGCAGGCACAGCCCCCAATGAAGACGCGGCTGACTGCGTGGACGAGGTACGGAGAGGTACGGAATTCCAGGGCCAAAAGCCGCAAAGCAACCTTGTTGGGCACCGGCAAGTCGGTACTTAACACGATCTGCACCTTCCTGAAATTTCTCTTCCATCGGACCGTCCTGTTGCGGCGTTGGCTGTGGAATTGCGGCGAGCCCGAAGCGTTTCACATCATGACCGCCGCGTCACGCACGAGCACTTTTCATGGCATGCATCACGATGCATTGGCAGCACAAAGCGCAAAGCCAACAGCAGTATGCGGGCGAGGCTCCGAGTGTGCCCCAATAATCTGTAGTCATAGTTAAGGCTTCCTCGCCCGCCTTGGACCCCAAGTTCGCCCTGCGTTTCCCGGGACGCCAGCCAAGTTCGCCCTTCTTGCCTGCGCTTTTAAACTAAACTCTTGACACCCAAGCCAGTCAGCCTTGCTCGACCAATTATCGCAATGAAACCCCGATTGGGTCTTCCGGCTGATCTTGAGGCGGTCACCAACGTCATCATCAACACGATGCCGCTTGACCCACAATGGGACTACCGCTTCCCGTATCGGCATCAATACCCGGAAGATCACTACAGGTACACTCGAATGCTTTTCGAGTATTTCCTCGACCCCGCATATGATGACTGGGTGGTCATGGTGGTCGAAGACAGTCCCAAACCGGAAACCCCAAGCGAGGTGGTGGCGTTCGGGGTTTGGGACGTCTCGTACATCAACAAGCGGCGGTACGGCCCCGGCTACAAGACGCAGGACCGCAAGTTTAGATGCTCATGGCCCGCAATGGCTGATCCGTAACGGTGACATTTACTGACACCAAAACAGCCGTGACCGAAGTGGAAGAACGGGGAGGCAAGACTCGTAAGGATGCCAACCACGAGCACTTCAACGAGTTCTGGAAGGGTCAGATCAGGGCATACAAGAGATTCTTTGGCTCGATCGGCCCCGAGCAGATCCACCTTCAGATCCTGGCTACCCTTCCCGACTTCCAGCGTCGCGGTCATGGGTCTTCGCTCTGCAAATGGGCGATGGGGCTGGTGAAGAGGGATTCCCTCAACGACATGTCCGTGATGGCTAGCCCGATGGGGAATGAGCTCTACACATGGTTGGGTTTTGAAAACGTGGGAGCTTTTCACATCCAGGTTCCCGGCGAGAGCGAGCGGCTATTGCTGCATGCCATGATGTATCGGCCAGCCAAGTTGCGCATAGCAGCAGCAAGAAAAGATACACGTGGCGATTGTTGTGTGGTGATCTAGACGGAATAAGGTACTGGGGGTGTCATTTGGCGTACGGGGTGGGTGGAGTGGGATAGGCTTGGTGGGAGACGGGCAAGGGACAACTCAAGGGATGATGAATTTATGCAGACACGAATTTCCTAGGGCAAGCCCAAAACTATCCGTGATTTTTCTTGAGCATCAGTTAGCCCAAGGGATCTTGCACGCACCGTGAAGCATGAACCGGATCGGATGCCACTCATACAATTATACAGCTGAGAATACGCCAGTTTCACGCTCAAAATCAAAACCCGAAAGTAAGACTCGGGAGCGGAGCTTGTCTGAGCTACCATGTTCCGACTTGCACCAACGGCCTAAATTCGAGTTTGAGTCTCCAAGAACTATGTTCTGGCGAAATATTTGGAAGTAATGTGAAGAGGATTGATTTTTTAGGTGTGCTAATGGCCAACTGAAGACGGGATTCTATACACATTGTAACACCCTTACGGTCAGTCCACTGTGCACATGATAATGCCTCCACGGAGTGCTGTTGTGGAACCGGGATAAGTCGGTTCGGAGACACCGGCAGCCGGGCCCCGGTTCGGCCCGGGGACAGGGCTTTTTAGCGCCCGCAAACCCGGCGGGATCGGACGGAAAGAGTGGGACTCAGTGGGTCCTGCCCCTCTGTGGCATCATCGGTCGTCTGCTGTTCGCCTCAACAAGACCTCACCACGGTGATTACACAAGATGAAGCCGGCGTCTTAGCTTTCAGTTTTTATCAATTTCGTGTAACTCTCTCCCCATTATGATGGAGGACCACCCAACCCTCGATTCCCTACCCAATGAAGTTAGCCGGTTCCGTGCCATCCCCTTGTTTCATCCCTCGCAGTCACTGACAGCCCCGCACAGCTACTCATCTCCATCCTCTCCCAGCTCCCCATCGCCTCCCTCTTACCGCTGGTATCAGTCAGCCGCCGCATCTACTCAGTAACCCTCCGCATAGTCCAGCAGCGCCTGAACCACGCCACCTCCCAGCCAGACCAGCGCCTGATGCTCGAGTGCTACCACCCAAGCGAGAAGCTCTACACGCCCTACCTCTACTGCGACTACCTCTCCACGGACGGCTTCACCGGCGGCGGCCGCGGCTTAGCAGGCATATATACGCACTTCCGGCCCGTGGAGCAGGACGAGGACAACAACCAACCGCGCCGCGCGACGCGGGGCTTCCGGCACCACGTCAGTAGCAGTAGCAGTGGACGGGAGCAGCGGCCGTCGACGGACGTCTACCTGGACGACGATGAGTCCTTCGCGCAGCTGTGCGCCGTCACCAACCTCGTGCGCATGGGCCCCAAGCCGGGCATCTTCCGCAGCCACGTGAACGTGAGCGAGGGCGTGCTGCGCGTGTGGCGGGACTGGCTGGCTGCGCGGGTTGCGGGTGGGGTTGTGGATGGGTATGGGTTGGGGAGGGGTGGGGAGCGGCCGCAGCGGGGGATGGGGGAGGAGGAGGGGGATGAGCATGGGAATAGGGGTGGTGATGGTGAGCGGGGTGATGGTGGTGGTAGAAGTGGAAGTGGAAGTGGAAGTGGAAGTGGAAGTGGAAGTGGAAGTGGAAGTGGAAGTGGGAGTGGGAGTGGAAGCGGAAGTGGAAGTGGTGATGATGACGTGCTCTGGGCCGACGCCTCGCGCGATGTCGGGGTGCGGTTCCGGGTGACGGAGAAGGACATCCGCGGTCAGCACCCCGTGCTTGTTGCGAGCGACGAGCAGCTGCCCGTGGCGTACCGGCTCGAGTTTGAGGAGCTGCTGGTGCGGGCCACCACGCTGCTCCTCATGGTGGAGAAGTCGGAGGTGCAGGAGTTTGCTGCTGAAGGTAAAGCTATCGTCCTTGCGTCGTTTTGAGAGGCCGGCATACCCCCACGCCCCCGCTCCGCAACACGCCTAGGCATGAGAAACTCGATCAAACGATTCCTCGGTGGGCGCCCGGGTTGTGGCGATCCGGGTGGAGAGATATAACTCACTTGCTAAAGGCATAGAAACGTCGTTTCGGTTTTGTTTTGTTACGGCCGTGTGGCATGGAGACGCTGCCGTGAAGTGGATATCTTTCAAACATGCAGGATATTTACTCTCGATATCTGTCGTTTGGTCCGCTGATCGAACCGGGCAGAAGTTTACAAACGATGGAAACTCCCAAGCCTGTCGCAACCGGGGAACATCACTTACACGCACCTTTGAAGAACGACTACGCACTGTTACCCCCCCCCCCCCCCCCCCCCCCCCAAAGGCTATTGAGGCCTCTTCTTTAAGCAACGTCCGCTCATCTTGCACCTCCCCGCCGCCCCGCCAGGCGTATCTGAGAGATCGGTTTAACTGCCGTGGATACCCACCGCTGAAGGTGATCGGTGATGCCCGAGAAGATGCTCATGGCAAACATTGTTCGCGGCGCCTCCCGGAGCGAACGTGCCCAGTCGGGAAGACGGTGCTCTGGTTGAGAATGACGAAAGAAATGTTGGGCGGTACAGATATAGGCCAGGGTTGCGTTTCTGGGATAGCGAGCAAGTGGAATGCAGTTTCCGGAGGCTCGCCTCGACTGAGGCGTGATGTGTTTCCAGTTTTGTTGGTATGGTAAAGGATCGAATCAACATGGCGGGCATGGTGTCTAAATTTGGGCTCAAGCCCGTAGTTCATGCGGCGAAAGATGCTGCCGGCTGCAGCGTTGCCTGATCGGCTCATAGCTTTGGTACGAGACCGTCACGGGTATTATGCGTTCTTCGATAGCGTATCCCTAAAACCTGGTTATCAGAGGCCGGAGGTCGGGTACAACTGCCCCGCCTGCTGGGAGAAACGTGGAAAGTTGAAACATGGAATCACGGCCGGGTTTTGGCCGAGGTCGCTGAACCGGCCATTCCCCCCCTCAGCTTCACTGAGGCGGGGAAGCCTCTTCCAGCTTGAGATTATGTTCTGTATGTATCGTACATGGTAAACTGGCCAGAGAGCCATGACGGCGGGCTGTTGAACTTGGGTGGGAATATGGGTTGGATCTGGCCGTTGTCCCTGCCAAGCTCGTTGTTACGCCATGACCCCCTCAGTCCCCTGGCTGTTGGACCTCAAACGTCACGAGCAAACTCTTTTCGGCGGTCTGTAACCAAGGTTTGACGCATGCGGAAGAGGTGCTCTGTCTGTGCGTTTTTACTTCCTTTTTGCGCGACCGTCCCATCTCGCGCGAGATCGGACGGTCTCCATAGTTAGAGCAGGGATGGCTGCAGACCCCCTGGGCTGCGAGTCTCGGTTCAGCTTCGAACGATCGAAACCACCTGCTGATTTGGGGAAGCAATGGTGATTGTTGAACATCTACAGGGTACGAAGCATGTAGGTATCTGGCGGTGAAAACGCGTCTTGTTGGTCATGCTGAACCCGTCATGGCAATTCTCATTCCGGAACCCGACGTCAATGGCCGTGTCCGGGCTTCGATTGAAGAGAGCGCCGCTCGGTACGCCGAGGTCGGCCGCCTACTCGCGTCCGTCGGCCACCATGTGGACATGCCGCTGCTCCAAAACCCGGAAGAAGATCCCCTCCCCTGTCGCGAGGCCGTTGAGGAGACCACCGCTGTCAGCGCACATTTCTCGGCGCAGATACCACGCGAGAAGCGCAGCCTCGCTGGGAGAGGCAAAGCTGGCGCCGATAGACGCGGAAAAGGGTGTCGGGGTCGAAATCACGGTCGGGTGCCAGTCCTTCACCAGCTACCCGCACTGCCAGCACCTCCTCTACCACGCGCGCCGTCTGACGCTGCATAACCCAGAAACTCTCCCTACGCTACCGTTTATACGCAAGCTCCGTATCGTACAGGGCGCCGGGTCCCGCTACGACCAGACGGCAGCTGGTATTTCGTCGGCCCGCGAGGTGAGGATCCCCACCCGGAGGGCTTCGCCATCTCCGAAGAAGACTACTACCCGCCTCTGCAGACCACCGCCGAGGATGAGGCGATGGACGAACAGTGGGACGAGGATCCCCAGGGCGGCGAAGAGGTCGACTTTTTCCCGGACATGTTCCGTACCGAGCCGCTCGCCGAGCGGGTCGAGCCTCTACTCTCGGGGTTTCCCGCGGCAGTGAAAAACATGGGCGCGCCCTCGAGGATGCCGAGCTCTTTGCCTACCTGGCGTGGCATCCTTCCGAAAGCAGGGCAGACGAGGACGGAGACGGGGCGCCGTACGACTGCGAAAACGGCGTGCATAGGTGGGGGGTGCGATACCTTGCTGGTGGGGATGGTGGAGTGGTCCAGTGTGCAGGTCGGTGATTGGAGACGAAGTCAGACCGTGCTGGACCTGTTTGGAGACCTGGGGCGACAGGAGTGGTTGGACTTTGAGTTTGGGCATAAAAGACACATTAAGCCCTATACTGGCGCTTCGGTCGGTAGGTCGGAAGGTACCCGGAAGAAACCGTCGCACATCCCGCGCATCCAACCCCACTGACCCCGCCCCCCCCCCCCACTTTCCCTTGCTTTGCGGGGCCCCTCAGCCCTACGCAGAGCACAACTTTTATTTACTCTTTTGAGGACAGCTTCAATTGGGACAAAAATGAGCTGTCAACTACAAAGTACAAATCCCACAACTTGAAGTTTCCAGATCGAGGGCATTCGCAGTGGGCTCCTCCGCCGAAATGCAACGGCCACGATGTTACCATGGAGCAAACCCAGGTCCTGCGCCAACCCCCTCTGCCACTCTGCGTCACCTGAAGTTTCAGCCTCTGCTGGCCCCTGCGCTCGCTTCTGAGAGTCCGCGTCGCTCGGGTCGAGAAAAGTTGTCGTCATGGGTCAGAGCGGGCCTGATCACCGTACCATCCAACCGGGACGCGACCAGCTGTGGACCATGGATGCGACCCCGATGTCAACCTCGTGCAATCCGAGTGGTCAGGGGGGGATAGCGGGCCCGAGATCTGGCTTCCGGTGCACCGCTCCATGTCGTTGGATCCACCCCGGATGCATGAGGGAGGGTTGTGATGGCTTCCGGGTCCAGAGTGATCCAGTCCCCCTGCTTTATGCTTAGGGCTAAGTCAGCAATCACGTTTCTTTTTGAAGATGCAGTCATCGTCACCGCCAAGGAGGGAAGGACGGACGCCCTATCGTGCAGATGATCGACCATGGCTCTCCTCCCGGGAGAGGGGCTCGGGGTGCTTCTCTCATCGTGCCCTCTGGGACTGGTTGATCATCGAAGCGTTCCACAACCGCAGTTCTTGCGCATCTGAGGTCAATGCTTGTCTGATTGCCCCCATGCCCCCCACAACTGCGGTTGCAGTCCTTCTTTTAATGTTGATACATACCCTCGTCCCTGCCCCTGGCGTTCCTTTCCAAGGCCTCAACCAACCTTCGTCTCGTCTGCTGGGCACGACAGATGCCACTCGTTTCCCAGATTACATCTCCTCTGTGAGTTGAGGTGTTTCCGGTCGTTATGATGGACTTCACGGGTACCGGTGGGGATCTGGAGAAAGAGTTGAGAATCGGAATATCTCCATTGGGAGACGGTGAAAGCATGAGGGAGATTAAGAGAGGACCGAACATGGCCGTTCCACCAACCCCTCCAGCAAAGGACTTGCCTCCACCGCCGGCGCTGTTAAGGCTGGACCCCTCAACTCCTCTGGGTAGCCCATCCGAACCGCCAAATAGACCACTGCCACCGAGACCGACGGCAAAACCGCAAACTCCCAAGGTCCCGCAGCCGTCAAGGTCACCACCATCCAGGCCACAAGCACCGCTCGGTATGAACCCGCCAACTCGGCCGGGGACGGCGGCCAGCCAGACCACAGGGACAACAATCTCTGACAAATATCCCGTGTCGTCAAAGCGGCTCTCCTGGATATCGGATGGCTCGAAAAGACCTATCAAATACGGCCAGGGAAAATACGGCCGTGTCGAGCTGGTACCACAACCGAGCGACGATTCGGATGATCCTCTGGTATGTTCAGGCCCTTGGCCTATCGGAATCGATACTGACGGTTTACAGAACTGGTCTCGATGGAGGAAGGAGCTCAACTTTTACTCGCTGTTGATGATGGTTGCCATGTCCGGCGTTACGAAAACGATGTTTATGACAGTTAATGCCCAGCTCGCTCAGACATACCAAGTTTCTTATACGGCTGTTGCCGCTTTAACTGGCGTTCCCCTTATTCTTTCGGCCTTCTCTGGCATGGCTTGCCTGGTGGCCTCCAGGATATGTGGGAAACGGCCGCTTTACCTAGCCTCTTTGCTGCTTATGTTTATTGGGACGGTCTGGAGTACCAACGTTGCAAGCAGCTACGGTCAGTGCATGGCTGCTAGGATATTCCAGGGGTTGGGTTGGGGTGCTTTTGACACCCTCGTTCTGGGGTCGATCCAGGACACTTACTTTGTAAGAGCAAACCACTCCGTTGTCTAAGTTTCATCGACTGATACCTTTCAGGAACATGAACGTGGCCTTCGCATCGCCATACACTCCATCGTTGCCGTAACGACAACCTGGGGTCCCCCGTTGATCGGCGGCGTCGCTTCTCAGGGCTCGGTCGGCTTCAGCCTGCAACCCACGATCCTAAGCGCCTTCTTTGTCGTTTCGGTACCAGCCATTGCCCTCGGGGCCCCAGAAACGACCTTTGACCGAGCCCTGGCATTCCCAGAAACACCCGCCACGGCCACGAGCCAATTCAAAACTTCCCCGCCGCTCACACCACTCCGCCTTCCATCACTCGAAACCGTTACCGACTATGTCGTCAAGCTCAAGCCCTACGCTTACCGCAGCTCTGCCGATCTCACCATCCTCCTCCAAGCTCCGCGAGCCTTCATCACACCCACATCGGCTCTTCTTGCGATCGTCTCGATCCTCCCTCATGCCTCCCTCTGGGGCCTCGCCGCCTCCATCTCCCTGCTCTTCTCCCCCCTCCCCTTCGCTCTCAACTCAGGAACCATCGGCACCCTCTTCCTCGCCCCATTCCTCCTCTCAGCCGTCGCCGTCGCGCTCCCAGCCCTCACACCGCGCTGGCAAACCCACTTCACCCCGAAAGTCCACATGGCAGCCCTCGCAACGGGCACCGCCCTCGCCTTCATCGGCATCCTCACCTTCGGCCTACACCTCAACGACGCCATGACCCCCCCACAAACCACCACCACAACCCCCGTCACCAACACCAACAACGCCCCCGCCCCCGCCCCCGCCCCCCCAATCTCCGTCTTCGCCCTCGACTACCTCGCCCCGCGCGCCAGCCTCCCCGCCGTCTCCTTCGTGCTCGGCCTGCTCGCCGCCGGCGCCGCCCTCCTCGACGCCACCGCGCCCCCGCTCATCCGCGCCAGCACCGCCTTCACCGGCTCCAGCCTCGCCGCCGCCACCCGCAGCACCGCCGACATGAGCGCCGGCGTCGCCTGCTGGCGCGCGCTCGCCGCGGGGGTGTTTGTCGTCGCCGTGCCGAATGCCGTGTGGTGGTGGGACGGCTTGCGCGGGTTTTGTTTGGGAGTGGGGGTCGTGCAGGTGGTGGTGGCGGCCGTGGTGGGGATGGTGTGGTGGTTGTGGGGGGAGGGGATAAGGCGGTGGGACGGAAGGGTTATGGGGTTGGTGGATCTGGAGGGGTTGAGGAGGGCGGGGAGCTTTTTTGATTTGGATTGAGCGAGAGGGGGGGGATGGGGTTGGTCTTGGGTGTGGTTTGTGATGAGGTTTTGGGCGGGCGTTTATGGGTTCATCGTGGTGTGGTGGGTAACCACTGCTCGACATGGTCGGTATTGGATGGAACTGGACATGGCTGTGTTCGTTCGTTCTTGGAGGGACATGATATGATATGATATGATACCAATGCCATTCTTTTCTACACCCTCCAAAGTTCAACACGATCTCGTTTTGCTTTCTTGGGCTAACCAGCCCTCTAATATGCCCATAACCTGCCCGGTCAACCCCCAAATTCCAGTTTCTCACAGCCGCCAGTGACTCTTCCGTTCAGCCTGCGCCGTCTCTCGTCACAGAAGGCCGGCGGGTAAAATGGAACAAGGTGAGGCTTCTGGAAGCCTACTGCTTCCGACGACGGTAGGCAACGATCCCGGCCCTGGGCCGTGTCGATCAAACGCGGGAAGTTGCCAGAGAGACATCAGGTGAACTAGGAGGCAGTGTAATATCCCGTAGTCAGCCACCGGCTTGGAAAAAGTGCCTGGCACGGGAATATTTGGCTTGATCCTTGCCTTCGGCATTGGCGTTAACTTGACTTGCAGCCCCGAGGGAATGGATGCAGAAGGGCTCATGATAGCGAGCAAGGGGCAAGATGTTAGGAAACAATTCTACTCAATTTCAATACTGCGGCAGACCATGTATGCGATGCCAGGATCACCACCTGCTTCGCTATTTGACCCCCATGTACGCCTAATCCGCGTGTGACGGGAGGGACCACTCAGCGTATTCTCCCTGGTCTCATCATCCCGTTGGTATCTTCACAAAATTGACGCCTATGATCTCCCTCCAAAGTCAAATTATCCACACTATTATCCGTCCATTCAACCCCAAGTTGCGCAGAAAGCCATCCTTAGACCGACAAAGGGACAGCTCGGTCTCCAACATAAAACCCGCTCAGCGTCGCTCAGTGACCGTCCATCGCCGTTTGGAGGCGCTGACGTCCCGAAAGCGGTCCGCGTCATCAGGCGGCCGTGGCGTACCCCACAGTCCGCCGGTCCCGGCGCCGAGTTGCTCCTGCTCGGGTTTCGGCGAACGGCTAGTAGACAGGCCTGATCCACCGCTTGCTGAACGGTCCAAAAGGGTGTTTCCGTTTGTCGCCTGAGGAACACTATTTGGTGCGGGTTTGGGTTCCGGCGCGGGAGCGGGAGCGGATGCTGGAGACTCCGTCGTTGTCGCTTTCTTTCCATGATTCCCAAAGTTAAGGACGGGGCTATCCTCCTCTTCATCCTCGTCTGCAATCGGTGACCACAGCCCGCTGCTCCCGATGCGTGATAGATTTGACGGCCGGGTCGCTGCGAAGGATGTCACACCACTTCCAACTGTGATACCGCCGGTGCTGACGGCGAACGAGAGCCGAGGAACGGACGAATCGTTCTTCAGGCTCTGTCGAAAGCTACCCAGGCCAGCGCTCGCGGGCGTGTTAATCCTACCGGGCCCGTCATTCCATGGGACGCTGTTAACAGACGTGGAAAATGAGGCGTGGCGTCCCCGGATACCGTCCGAGGGGCTTGCCATGGCAGGAGCCCTTGAATTGGTCGGAGTGTCTGTAGGGGATCGTAGGTGCTCGGTATTAGCGAATAGCTTGAGATCGTAGAGCTCGTGGACGGGTAGCGTCGTCTGGGGTCCTTGCAGGGAGCTCGAGTTTTCTGTGCTCGGCTTGCGGACTGCCATCGTGAGAGACGCCATACCGACATCCATCAAGACGGGTTGGTGGGTTATGGCGCCGATCAGGGCATTGCAGCCAGCTCCGTGGGAAACCATAATGACGATGGATTCAACCTCGACGTCCTCATCGTTCGAATCGTCATTGGGTTCGGACCTCACACTTTTGGTCACCGGCCGGGTTGGCCTGTCCGCCGTCGAGTACCAATCAACCAGACTTTGGGCACCGGCACGGAACCGCTTGTGCATGGCTGCCCACTCTTCCGGGAAGGACCCGCCGTCGCCCCAATCCAACAGGCTTCGGGTGGAATGCCATTGGTAGTCAACCATGACGCAGGCATCCCGAGCATGTGAGACGTATCCTGCTGGGATGTTGTTGTTGCTGCTGATAGCATAATGGGGAACGGGCGAGACATAGCCAGGTCGTTCTACTCGGACCGGATGGTCCCTCCGACTACTGGCGCTTGAAGCGGTCGCCGGGGAAGCGGTCGGGGTTGTCATGGATCCAAATTCCTCCCTTTGGCCGTTGCTGAACGGAGAAGCGGAACTCTCCCTGCCCATTGGGCTCCAGAGTTGTCCCTGAGAGCTGGAATGGGTGTGCGAAACAAAGCTTGGGGAATGAGTGTAGTCTTCGCGACGGAGGAGGTCGGCCTTGGCGCTAGCTAGCATCATGACGGACTCGGGCGGTGGGGTGATGAACTCGAAGTAGCTCGGCGAGAGCCATTCTCCGAGGAACGCATCCAGCCGTAGCACGGACTTTCGAATATTAGCAGCGGGACGAATATCTGGAATAACGATTGGCTTGGGTCGGCCGTCTGTGGTGGGAGCCGGAGTAGGAGATGGAGCTGGGGTGGGACTCGGAGACTCGAATGGGGTTGGATCCTGGGCAAGGCCCGCGCTGATGGCGATCGAGGTTTGGATACATCGGAGAAAAGGCGAGCTGTGCAGCGCAACCTCGTATCTTTTGCGTTTCCGCTTTACCGAGGGATCGGTATTGTGATTTCCGGCACGCTCATCGTCTTGGACTCTTCTTTCCTTTATTATCGATGCGATTCTGGCACCCAAGCTCTTTGCTTGCTGCCAGCCACTGTAGGTCAGAGGCGGGTCGTAAGGTGTCGGGGACGTGAGATGCCATTGTTTGTCGGCGGCATCCAGTCGATAACCGTGTCTGAAAACTTGTCAGAACCACTAGGTGGGAACAATGATTTGCGACTCGTGGAGTTGCTCACCTGACGACAAAAAGGTACGCTGGAGGGCGCCCCATCGTAGCTCTTCCGCCGTACAGAAGTCTATAGCCGATGGATGGGGAAAGGAAAGAAAACCCAAAAGAAAAACGGATTCTCGGGCTCGAGTCTAGACGGAGACTGTCAGAGTTGTAAAATCCGAGTCGCGTCACAGTAGCACAGGAAGTTGAGCTGGCCGGGGGTGATGAGGATCCTCCAAGGTCGTTGCGATGTGCAGTTCTTTTGCGTTGGTTGCGACAGGTCGGAGGTTTGATCGACAAGGATAGGATCGAAGATATGGGCGCCTATTTAGGAGCTCTTAAATCATGAATCATGAACAATGGAAAAGTGGCCAACAGAGCATCGGATGATCAAGTCACGCGCCCATCGGGGCAGGTCGATGCTTTCGCGGCCGCTTGCGTTGGTAACGGGCGCAGCGCGGGGGATGGCGGGGGAAGCTGCTGATGCAGCAGGGGTTCCAACGCGCCGCTTGAGAATTGCCATGGTTTAAGCAGTCATCTCCACTGCAGGTGGGCCCACTCCCCCCACCGTCGAGGTCTGTCTCTCTCCGGATCCGGGCTGTCGGCGTCGGTTTCTTTCCAGCTTCTTCTCCCGGAGTTATCATCAGATAGTCACGTAGCTGATTTGTTGGTAAGTTGAAGTCCTTTTTGATTTTGCAGGCGCAGCGGTTCCTCCATTTCTCGAAATATATCTCAGGTTTCTCAGGTTTGCTCGGTTCCGTCCGTTCCGCTGAGCTACCTTCATCACCAACCGACCTTACGATTATGTGTGACACCATCAGCCCATGGAAAGTTAGGACGATGATGTGGTTTTGTACTACCAATGGTCATCACATCGTCAGCACTTAATTTGCTTGTTTTGGTCTAGGCTGGTTGACAGAACACAATCCGGTTCCCAGCTCATGTCTTTCGATGGTTGCAGACTGTCACATGCTCGCCTCATGCGGGCCTGCATGGATGCTTCTTCAGCGGGGAACGGGCCGGAGGGGCCAATGGGTCTGTGTCAGAAAAAGAATTGCCGATCCGCCTCAATTCCTGGGATCGCCCAGGGACTGCTTATGTAACCACTCAAGCCCCATCTCCTCCTGTCCCAGCGCAACGGCTGCGCCTGACAGGACCGAGTTAACCCCTGTGTCGATGACAAACCACAACTCACCAAACCAACTCGCGAATTGGCCGTTACAATCGATGGAGAGCAGCAACCCCAGGTGACGCCTTCGATTCCCAAACCAAGAAGCCATTCTTTCTCCCCACTCTTGCGATCACCAAGATGAAGTTCTCGGGCCTCCTCGGCCTCCCGGCGTTGCTGGCCACTGCGCTCCTGGCGCCCGCGGCGCTCGTCGGAGCCGAACACACGAGCAACTGGGCAGTGCTGGTGTGCACCTCGCGATTCTGGTTCAACTACCGCCATTTGGCGAACGTCTTGTCCATGTACCGCACCGTCAAGCGGCTCGGTATCCCCGACTCGCAGATCATCCTCATGCTCCCCGACGACATGGCCTGCAACCCACGCAACGCGTTTCCCGGGACGGTGTATTCGAACGCCGACCGCGCCGTCGATTTATATGGCGACAACATCGAGGTGGACTATAGGGGATATGAAGTGACGGTGGAGAACTTTATCCGGCTGTTGACGGACCGTGTTGGGGAGGAGATGCCGCGCAGCAAGAGGCTGTTGACGGACGACCGAAGCAATATCCTGGTGTACATGACGGGCCACGGTGGGAACGAGTTTCTCAAGTTTCAGGATGCCGAGGAGATTGGTGCGTTCGATCTTGCCGACGCGTTCGAGCAGATGTGGGAAAAGAAGAGGTAAGTCGCAAACACCCTTCCGTCTCGGCGCACTGGATGGCTGACCCCAGCAGATACAACGAGATCCTATTCATGATCGACACTTGCCAGGCCAACACCATGTACAGCAAGCTCTACTCGCCCAACATTATCGCCACCGGCTCCTCCGAGCTCGACCAATCGTCATACTCGCACCACGCCGACAACGACATCGGAGTCGCCGTCATCGACCGCTACACATACTACAACCTCGAGTTCCTCGAGACCGAGGTGCGCGATACGAGCAGCAAGAAGACGGTCGGCGACTTGTTCGACAGCTACACGTACGAGAAGATCCACTCGCACGCGGGCGTCCGCTACGACCTGTTCCGCGGCGGTGCCGACGCAGCGCGGAAGCGGCTCGTGACGGACTTCTTTGGAAATGTGCAGAACGTCGAGGTTGACGCGGCTAAGAACACGACGGCTCTGGACGAGGATATACTCTCGCTCAGCAGGACCATCGCGGCCCTGAACCGCAAAGCGGAGGAAGAGGAGGCTGCCCTTAAGAAGAATGCCAGTGGGGAGGCCGAGACGACGCACGTCAGGCAGAAGAAGGTACAGTTCGCGAAGCCCCTGACGGATGAGAACTGGTGGACCAAGAAGATTCTCGGGGCCGCCGCGGTTGCGGGGTGTACGGTTCTTTGGGGGTTGAGTTCCCTTCTCGAAGGGCCGGGGAAGTGAGGGTTCATAATGGATGGTTTGCATTTCAAGAAATAATCACATACAAATATTACTAAACTCCCTAGAGACGCTGGCTGTAGTGACACACCACCTGTCCTTGGGACCACAACCTGAGGGGGGTACTACCCGAGCTTGGAGACGTACGCATGAGCGCCGAACCCAACGTATAAAGTGACCAACTTGTAAATGTAGGCTAAACATGATATTGCCAGCCTTGACAAAATCCAAGAACGAAACCGAGATATCAAGTCGATCATGGGGTTGAACTGTCTATGAACTGGCTTGAGGGTTAGGGTTAACTACCTTCCATCGACCTTGTCTTGGTGTGGAACTGGTCCTTTTCTTTCAACACCATTTCCTGCGATTGCATCGACAACTGAGATACCAACTCTCACATCAAAAAAAATAAAAACATGCACCGAGTTCTGCGCCATAATTTCATTGAACCACATTTACCCATGCACGATAATAACCACCCATAATGAGTACGATAACTTCAAAACCCAACAAACAAAAAGTGAGTGATGCTTCTTTACTTCGTCCCACTCGGAGTACCTTCCCAACACAACCCCCCTCTCATTATTTGGCAGCTGAATTGGGCATCTCCGAGTGGAAATGTGGCTTCCACAGGCCTTCTTTGACGAAATGGCCTATATCCATCATCAACCCTTCGATATTGGATCCAGCTCCATCGATGACCATAGCAGCAGCTGCCCTCTCTTTGTGCAATTAACTAACAAGAAAACTACCAGTATCTCCCCCTTCGGGAAATCACTGTCAACTCACGGCCACTGGTCAAGCGGGCGATACAATTCTCATGCGATGGTGACCTCGCCGTCACTGCCGACGATTCTGTCCATGTCTTTGTCCCAGAGTTCCCCGACTTGTCAAGGCGCCGAGAAAGGCTGAAGGCCCGCGTAAATGGTCAGCAATTCAGCGCCGACGATACCTCCTCGGATGAGGAAGAAGACGAGAATGGGGGCCCGAGAAATTACAACCATCAAGCCCTCCGCGCTCAGTACTCCGAGGGTAGCAAGCACATGCCTGTATCCTTCCCGCCTTTAGACCCGCGCGTCAATCGAGAGCTCTTCATGGCCCAAGACATTCGCTTCCCCTACGAAGGGGCGGCTGACGCCGATGTTGTGGATGCCGACAGCAACGACGACTCTGCGGGCTCCGACGGTGCCTACGACTCGGAGGATGAAGACGACCAGGGCACCGGTTTGGGTTCCAACCGGCCCTACGGCGCTGGTTATGGGCCCATTACCGGAGTTGGAAGCAGCATGAATCACGTCGTGGGCATCGGCTGGTCTCCGTCCGGCCTAGGTGTCAATCGCCGCCCCATTCTAGCCGTTTTGACGGGTTCGGGGACGCTCACCATGTTCGGAGATGGCAGTGAGTTCGCTAACATTTTACCGCGCGCCAACGAGGGAATGCTCCAGCGCCGCGAACTCAACTCGTGGGTTGTCCTTTGGGGCGTCGGTGAACGCTTGATCGTTCCCGGCCAGCAGACCGATATCAGCGAGTATCTCCGCGGCTTCGCATGGGCCCGTGAGGTTGCGCCTGGGCAAGCCCTACTTGCGACCATCAACGACTTGAACGAGGTGGCTATCATCAGTGTACAGTGTGCTTTCGTGACGGACGACACCAACTCCAGGGGGGACTTCTCATTCCGGACAGAACCGCGAGAGAACGTGGTTTGGTTGGTGCGTGAGATCGCACGCTTCAAAGCGGAAGGGCCTCATAAAACAACCAACGTGAGTTGCCCGTTATTAGCCACATGTTGATATGTTAACACGTCCTAATCAGCCATTGGACCCTGACTATGTCCCCTTCGGTACCTCGTTTGGTCTGAGATGGGGTCCTTGGCTCCAAACTAATGAGTCCCGGACCTGTGCGCTCTCCTTTATTGACCGAGGCTACGTCGGCTTCCGGAGTATCACAATCAAGGAGCCATGGGTTCGAGGTGAGCTTCCAAGCCTGGAAATCGGGAGCGACGACATCTATGGCATGTGTGTGCACCTTTCCGTCGACGCATTTGTAGAGTTCGAGGATGCTGTAAGCTGCTACCTGCCTGGGTGACGAACGTTCGGCTTCAATGCTAACAACACAAACTTGTAGATATGGACGCAAGGTCCCGTCAGCTCTTGCAGGGGGCTGATTGCCACTGGATTCGACTTGAAGCAGTTCGAAGTAAACCTCCTCGGGGGGCCGCGCCACCAAACGGAGAAACACAGCGTTTGGGACTGCGGCACCGTTTATCGAGAGGACGCAGAGCATGCGTCCCAAAATCCTATCGCCGGTATGGACTGAGTTCTGCTGAGGTCTTCGGGTCTTCGCTAATGTCTACAGACCTTGTCATCCATCCCCCTAATCTTGCCAACCCAACCCCGACTCCGCTTTACACACTCATCCGCTTGTCTGCCACGGCCACCACTCATGATTGGTATCAGACAAATGTTCCTGCTTACAATGATCCCGCAGTAGACCCGCGCCCGCAATGGGTACGAACTATTGCGCAGAAACTCGAAGTCCGAGTTCCCGTCGACATGCACCTGACACGCAACTACGACGACAGTGGATCAGAGGGCTCTGGTTCGGGGTCTGAGGAAGAAGACGACGAACTAGACATGGATGGCGACCTTGACTCCCTTGGTGATGAAGAGGACATTGTTGATAGTGCCGAGCCCACGGTCCTCGAAATTCCCGAGATCCACCCCCACCGCTACCGCCTCCACGGCTTGACCCTCTCCCCAGGGGGCGGTGTCGCCGCGGTCCTCGCTAGCAACCACAGCACACAACGCCCCGAGCGCGGCGGTTGGCACACGGTGAGGTCTAATGTGCTGTTCGGGCACAAACCCCGGCGTCAACACCAAACCACCGCAGTATTGCATCCCGACTACGACCTTCCAATCGACCCGCAGGTGATGAACATGAAGATGGACAACCACACCCCAGCGGCGAATCCCGACCACTACAACCGCCTAACAACCGAAGCAAAACTCTTCGAGAACCTCTACGGCGGCGGCCCGGAGGTACCCGGCGTGCACTACCACCCCATCACCAACCCAACCACCAACCCAACCACCACCAGCACCACCACCACTTCCCCCTCCTCCCCCTCCCCACCCTCCAACGCCACCGACCGCCTCCGCGCCCTCTTCACGCCAGCGCTAGCCACGCAAAAGTGCGACCTGTGCGGCACGCCCGTGGACCGGCGGCGGGGCGGGCTCAGCGGGTGCCGGCACGGCCACTTCTTCGGGACGTGTGCGACGTCCGGGCTCGCCGTGCAGACGCCCGGGGCCACGCGCAGCTGCGGCGCGTGCGGCCTGCGCACGATGCGCGCCGAGGTGCTCGTCGCCAAGATGCCCGAGGCGGAGCGGCGGGAGGAGGTGAGAAGGTTGGTCGGGGAGGGGGTCTGTGGTGCGTGCGGGGGTAAGTTTTTGAGTTGATTTTGTGGTTTTGTTGTGGTTGGCGGACTGGGCTTTGGGTTTATGGATATGGGGGAGGGGGCTGCTATACGGAACGGCTCTCTTGTTTAGATGGGCAGACATCAAAGCCCTGCCTGTCCGCTACCCCTGAGCTCTATGTAGTCTATGTTACATGTCTTGCCGAGCCTCCCCGCGGTTTAATGGACTCTAGAACAGGAACTGCAAAGCGACGACATGAACCGGAGAAAAGGACAGTAAATGCCTCAAATCTAATGCAGAATATAAACCCAAAACTCCTCCCGCTCTCTTCGGCATGCGAAATCCTTTGCAGAACGAGGTATCCGTGACACAAAATCCCGAACCCCACCGTCAGAGTAAAACCACACGTGAATCAACAGCGCAACCACGCAAGTCTATCAGCGCACAACCCCCACCGACACCTAACACCCCCGCTCAGTTGAAAGCCTTATTCATAGCCTGGTGCGCCAGCTCCACACCCAAGAACGTCGCCGCATTCGCGGGCACCGCCCTCGCCAGCGCGGGCCCAAAGCCAGGGAAGAAGGCCTTGTACCCGCCCTTCGCATACAGCCCCTTGACAACCCCACCGATCGTGACATTCTCCTCGGCGGTCTGCAGCCTGCTCTTGACGGTATCGATGGGGAAGACGGGGATCCACATGGCAACACCGGCAGCGGCACCGGCACAGGTGACGGCGGGCAGGCTGAGCTTGCCGCTGGCCTCGCCGGTGACGGGGTCGCGCGGGGTGAGCATGCGCTTGATGTACTCGTAGGCGGCGAAGTAGGCGGCGGAGCCGGGCCCGTCGCGCGCCAGCGTCGCCGCCGACCCGCGGAACACGGACCGCACGCCGCCCTGCCGGTACAGCTGCCGCACCACGTCCATGCCGCCGGCGTACTTGGGCTTCTCGCCGGGGGCCAGCTTCTTCTGGCCCTGGACCTGCAGGATCACCTTGACGCGCTCGAAGGGCGCCGTGATGGCCGTCATGGGCACGGCGGAGAAGAAGCCCGCGGCGGAGATCTGCGCGATGGAGAGCGAGCCGTCGGGCGCGACGGTGCTGGTCGAGCGGACGATGCTCTTGCCGAGGTCGTAGCCCCAGAAGGAGACGGCGACTGCATGGCGGAGGAGAGCGTTAGCGGGGGAGGGGGGTGGTGGTTTGGGGGAGGGAATAGGGTGGTGGTGGACATACACATGGGGGTGACGCCGACTAGCGGGGCGGAGACACCGGCGTACAAGCCCCGGCGGAGACCGTCCTTGGCCACGCTCTTCCTAACGACGTCCATGGCGCTCGAGTAGACGCCCTTCTCAGCTGTTTGTAGGCGCACCTTGACCAGGTCGAAGGGGTGGCCGACCACGACGGCGCAAATGCCGCCAAAGCCGCCCGCGACAAAAGACCGGAGCTGCGCAAGGCCTGCCGACGCTACTACCTTGGTCTCGGCCTTGATCTCAGCCTTGAGTTCCTCCTTGCTTTCCGGGATGTGGGGCAGCTTCTCGGAGACGGCGTTCGGGAGGGACGACTGCAGCTTTTGGTTGACCGCCCCGGCGGCGGTCCCGGATTGTGATGGTGACGAAGTCATTGCGACGGTGCTGTGACGGTTTGTGCTAAGGCGGAATCCCAACGACGGACGATCGTCCCCTTCTTTCCTTCTTTCCCCTTGCCCCTCGCTTCTCGATGTCGCGTGTAGCCGAGGTGTGCTTGTATACAACAGTATTCAGGTGTGCTCAAATGTTTGGCTGATATTCGTCGTTACAAAGACAGTTGTATGGTGGAAAAAGAGGTAACTGTAGGGGCAAGAGAAGTCGACTTGGATTGGAACTGTTTTGTCTAAGAAAGTACAGTAACTGTAGGCGCTTTGCCTCGGAGTTTGGGCGATGTCGGTGGGGTTTTGAGACTCTCGGCCCGTCGCAAATGTTCAGCCACGAACGTCGCCCCTCCGGACTTGGAACCTCGGCAAAAAGGAAAACCAGCCCCGCCTTCGCTTGCGGGAGGAATTCTGCCCCCGAACCAAGAACGACTTCTTTTAACTACTACCACACGACCCCTCGTGGTCATGAATAAATCGCGCTCTTCTTTTCCATCGACCTCTCGAGAGAACTCCCCTTGCCTGTTAGCTCGCGTGGCCAACTGATGATTCGCCACTCAGTTGCCCCTCCACGCCCTCGTGTCCATCACCCCATCTATCCTGTCGCTCCACACACAAAACCAAAACGGTGAACCTCCTCCTCGCCCCAGGCGTTGAATGTTGAATGGGGGATTCTGGGCATCATAGAGTACAGTCCTATGACCTATTACAAGTGTCGTGTCATTCTACCCATCCACCCATCCAGCCGCTCCGGACGAAAGCATCTGCATCGGACGGGCGGGTGATGAGCGTGTCCGGGGTCCCGCGCCAGCTTACTGGTGTAAAAGCGGCAGTATCCGTAAAATAAGGTATGGGCGCCAAGACGGAGTGCCCCTGGTGATTTGCATGTGAATGCGCTATTTTGGAGAATGGGAAGACGGCATTTGCCAGAACCGAACTCGACACAAGTACGAAGTATTCGTACTGTACTTCGTTTGTTGCACCCTAACCCTTTCCCAGGGATATTCCATGTTGTTCGCGTTGTGATAACGAGGTCGAGACCAACAAGAGTCTTGCGGTTCCACAAGCCTTTAACTAGATAGTCTGAGACTTGTAACAACAGCATCTCCAGCTTAAAAAGTCCGAGAAAGATCAGCAGTGGAAGGTGCGAAATTGCAACATCATGTGCTAATTAGATCGGGCCGCAGTATGGCGAAGTCCAGGAGAGGCGCTCATAATGAGCGGAAGCTAGGTAGCTTATAGATACCATCAGCTCCTAGATAGATACGGTAACAAGAAACAGAAGAACTGGCTGCGTATGTTCCCGAGTTCGACCGTTAATATCAACAGTTCAAATCATCCAAGATCTGCCCACAAATCCCCCAACCACCAAACCACGACAGATGCGATGCCAGCTACCCAGACAACCAATACCACACCAATTAATTGTACACCCCCTATCCCAAACCAACCAACCCTCCCCGCTCAAAAAATACTAGTACTGTGCGCCGGCCGATGCCCCTGCGACAGCGGGCTGCGGCCGACACCACACCAACAGCTGGAATCGCCCTCGCGCTCCACCTGCAGGGTGGCATCGATGCCGTGCTGGAGCAGATAACTGCGCACGCGATCCCGCACATCGTCCACGTCCGCGCCCCGCGCCGCGACGACATGCATCACGCCCAGCAGCTTGTTGGCGGGCGGCCTCTCGCCGGCGGTGCGGTCGTCGAGCCAGAACTTGGGCGCCGCGTAGCCGGCGACGCCGCGCAGGCCCGTGATGCCGGACAGCGTGTCGCGCAGGCTGTACTCGAGCTCGGGCGGCACGGTGAGCAGCAGCCGCCGCGCGGACGATTTCACGAGGGGTAGGGCCGAGAGCAGGATGAGCACGGCGATGAGGAAGGACGCGAGCGGGTCCCACCCGGACCACTTCCAGAAGTGGGTGAGCACGGTCGAGGCGATGACGGCCGCGCTGCCCAGCGTGTCGGCGAGCACGTGCAGGTAGATGCCGTACATGTTTTCGTTGTCGTGCGAGTGCGAGTGTGAGTGCCCGCCGTGGGAATGCCCGTGCTTCTCGTCGTGCGAATGGTCGTGGTCGTGGTCGTGGTCGTGGTCGTGATCGTGGGAATGCTCGTGGCCACCATGAGCGTGGCCGTTGCACCCACCATGGGAGTGACCATGGTCGTCATGACTATGCCCGTGGTGGTGGTGGCCAAATGCCATCATGCCCACCAAGTTTACCAACAGTCCTAGCGTGCTGACCACAAACAGCTCTCCCAGCCTCTTGGTCTCCCTGCCCTCATATATCCGCTCGCACGCCTCCGTCATGATCTCCACACTGATGAGTATCAAAAACACCCCGTTCCCAAAACCACTCAGGGTCTCAATCTTCCCGAACCCATACGGAAACCTCTCACTCGGAGGCCACTTGCTGGCAACGGCTGCAAATAACCCGACCCCAAGAGCCACGCAGTCAAAAAACATGTGTACACTGTCACTCAGAAGGCCGAGTGAGTCCGTCACATAACCGTAAAACGCCTGTACCATCATAAACGCAAAATTCAAGCTGCACGACGAACGGTTAGCCAAACATCCCTCCGCCGTGTTCCGTGATACAACCGGTCACAAACCTCATAAAGTAGAATATCCTCCGCGAGTCCTTATTGGATACCACCGCATGCAACAACGGCCAACTCGGTGTGCACTGTAGTAAGAGCCCCGTAAATTTTGACCGCGGCCCCGAATGGTCGTGGTGGTGGTGGTGCGAGTGCGAATCTGAATGTGAATGGGACCTCGACCGTGCGGCAGCAGGCGGTTCGTAGACACCGGCCGCGTCGAAGCTGGCGTCTGTGGGCGACAGCAACGACTTGCCACCGGGTGTTGACTCCATCCTCCAATGCCCGTTCGGCCCTGATGGTGGGGGGACGTTGATCGGCATGGGGACGTTCGAGTTCGCTCGGAACGGCGTGTGGTTGCTGTCATGGTGGTGATGGCTCCGGGTATGGGATTGCGCCCCTTTCGCCCGGGAGTCTTTACGGCTCCGTGACGGACTTAGAGAGGTCAGGGATGATGTGTGAGAGTGCGAGTGGGAGTGTGAATGGGAGTGCGAGTGGGAGCCTCCGCCGTCCGGGCCATGATGATGGTGTTGGTGGAGCACCGAAGCCGGTAGAACATATGAGGAAGCCATTATGACCCGTCGCGAGAAAGCTCGGGAGGAGAACTATTCAGAGGGAATAATAGCCAGGGCTCGGGGCCTGGGTTCGTGGGCTGTAGGAGTGTCGGCACTCCTGCTCTAGTCGAATCACCTATCGGAGGTCATCGGTGGGCTTCGGAGGGCTTGTTGGACGCAGTCGGGGCAGGTAATCGCTCCGTATTGCTCGATGTCTGTCGGTGGAATGCGCGACCGATTCAACGTCCTAATTAACAACGACGCAAGTATTAGCGATGACATTCCGACCGCCGAACGCCAACAAGAGCGCAACAAGACTTACCCAGATAACGCTAAGAAGTCTCGAAAATCGCAAATTATCACCAATCGACGGTCAGTCCCATGGATCTGGGTCTTCGATGTTTCTCTGGGGCGCAGTTGGGGAGAGACGGCGCAGTCGTTTCGAGTTGGTGGTTCAGATTGCTGATGTTTAGTCGTCAAGAAGCGATGCCAACACCGCCCGCTGTGGGCCAGGCTTTCGCAAGGTTGTTCAACTTGTCCCCTCCCTCCTCTTTGATCATCCCCTGTCGCGGTCACTGTCCGCCGCTTTCCCCCTTCTGACCCCCTGAAGCTGGTGGAGAAGGCTGCGCGACCTGCAGATGAATTTCCGATTTTAATTGGCTGTATGCACGAGATCTGGACCGGGCCCTTGTCACCCCGGAATGACCTGAACGCCAAACCCAAAGATGCAGCCCGATAAGCCGCTTTAATATGGGCCCGAGATTAGCTGGCCACCATCAGAACCACCACAACTTTCATCCGAAGCTAACTCGGACGAGGCTGATGTATCAACTCTCTCAACTACAAGGCTGAACGGGATGAAAGGGGTTCGTAATACCGTCAAGGCCACTTAATACCAACCTCCCAAGTCTTTATTTGCGAACCCCGCGGATGAAGTGTTTTCTGATGCCACGTTGCTAAATTCGAATTCATCAAAACCGACCGCGAAAACGGGTTGTGGGTATGCAAGATGATTGCTTTACTAATTTACTCCCTTCTTTTTTGCGCCTTTGGTTCAGCCGTGTTTGTTGCGTACCTCTTACTCAGTTTCACAAAGTATGCGGGGCCTGAGCCTGGCTCGCCAAAGGAACCCGTCTCTGTCCATGTTCTTGTTCTCGGCGACATCGGCCGTAGTCCGCGCATGACATACCATGCCCTGAGCATAGCCAAACATGGAGGGAAAGTGAACTTGATTGGGTATCTCGGTATGTGACTTTCAGCAATGAGCAAATGGTGAAGACTAGATTGGCTAACGTGACACAGAAACCTCCCCTCACCCTGATGTTGTCAACAACTCCAACATCACCCTCACCCCACTCCCCACTCCTCCACGCAGGCCGCCGTCTGTCCCCTTCATTCTATTCGCACCCTGGAAGGTCCTGTATCAGGTCTACCACCTCATCTACCTCCTCGGCCGCACCCTCCCGCCAACCCAATGGATCCTTGTACAGAACCCGCCAACCATCCCCACCCTCGCCATCGCCAGCTTGATCTGCCGCCTCCGAAACAGTAAGCTAATCATCGACTGGCACAACTATGGCTGGACCATCCTCGCGGGCACCCGAGGTGCAAACCACCCCCTCGTCGCCCTCTCTAAGCTCTACGAATGTTACTTCGGCCGCCTGGGTCACCTTCACCTGACCGTAACCCACGCCATGGCGCGCCAGCTCCGCGAGCCGCCCTACTCCATCACCGAGCCCATGCTACCGGTGCACGACCGGCCGGCAGCCATCTTCCAACCCATCACCTCCCCCTCCACCAGGGAAGAAACCCTCACCCGGATCCTCTCACCCCCAGAACGGGACCTCATCCCCGCCATCCTCTCCGGCGCGACCCGGCTCATCGTAAGCAGCACAAGCTGGACGCCCGACGAAGATTTCTCGCTCCTCCTCGACGCCCTCGTCGAATACGCCACCACCACCACCACCACCACCACCACCACATCCCCCACAGCAGCAGCACCACCCCCCCTCCTCGCAATAATAACCGGCAAAGGCCCCCAAAAGTCCCACTACCTCTCCCGAATCGCCGCCCTCACCCACGCCGGACGCTTACCCAACGTACGCATCACCACGGCCTTCCTGCCCTTCACCGACTACGCGGCGCTGCTGGCGTGCGCCGACCTCGGCGTATGCCTGCACCGCAGCAGCTCGGGCGTCGACCTGCCCATGAAGGTGGTTGATATGTTTGGTGCGGGTTTGCCCGTCGCGGCGTATGCCGGGTATGAGAGCTTTGGGGAGCTGGTGCGGGAGGGGGAGAATGGGGTGGGGTTTGGCGCGGCGGGGGAGTTGGCGGGGGTTTTGGTGAGGTTGTTCGCGGGGGTTGGTGGTGGTGGTGATGGTGGGAAGGGTGGGAGGGGGGAAGGGAGTGGGAAAACGGAGTTGGAGTGGTTGAGGGAGGGGGCTGTGAGGGAGGGGAGGAGGAGGTGGGATGAGGAGTGGGATTCGAAGGTGGGGATGGTTTTGGGGTTGGTGTCGTGAGGTTGTGGTGGGAGGGCGGCAGTTTGCTGTATAGATATCGGGGGGTTAGGTCCCCGTTTCGTTGTGGCTAATTATCTGGTTTCCTCTCGGTATCTACTGGCCATAAATACCATGGAATTCACCCTTGCCATGCTTCTTGCTTCCCATCGTCATCAGGACAGACGGATATACAGCCTCCCGTTGGTCTCCCCTCGCAATTACTTATCCCCGCTGTTCAATTTGCTTCCATTGCCCCCTCGGGACTACCCTTAATCCTCCCCCAAGCTCTCCCGCACACACTTCCGACACCGCCTCCTGAAGTCCTTGTTCTTCCCCTCCCGCTCCTCGCGCAGCAACCTCGCGGCCTCGACATTCGCGGGGCTCTCGTCATTAGGGTCCTCAAACAGGCTGATGACACTCAGCAAGATGGTCTCGGGCGTCTGCACGGGGCTCCACCGCTCGCTGGCCGCCTCATAACCGTACTTGTCCTCCTCGGGCGGGTGCAGGATGCTGATGCACAGTTCCCCATTGGCGTAGATGTTTGGGTGGAACGGGATTGGTGCTTGGAAGACCATCTTGGGGGGCATGAGTGGGTACGTCGGCGGAAAGGTGAGGTGTGCGCGGAAGTTGCCTCCTGCGAGGGGGATGGTGTTAGCGGCAGGCTCGCGCAATTCGAAGGGAGAGTGGAATGGGGAAATGCATACCGCCGTAGTATTTGCAATCATCGTTAATCATTAGCATCACTTCCCACTGGAAGATATTGTTGTCGTTGACCAGGCCACACGAGATGCCAGGGAGGTCCGTGGCGGCCTGCATTTCCTTCAGCTGCCGACTCAGCAGGGCACCGGCAGCCGCTGAGCTTGTCGTCGAGCTGGTCATGATTGATCGCAATGCGATTATCCTTTCCTATCTGGTGCAGAGGCCCTCTTCCTTTGCTTCGCCGAGGGCACGTGGTTAGTCCGGTGTTGGGAGAAGAAACCGTGACGCGAAGGCAAGAGTGGTCCGGTTGCCTAACGTCGTGGGCCGCTAACTGCAGGACCGGGTCCGAAGCAGATTCGGTTTCGTGGACGCAATGAGCTGGTGGCGAAGTCAAAGATGCCCGAAGTGTCGTGCGAGCCGCCAAAGCGGGGCGGGTCAAAGCGGCAGGCGGCGCGGGGCAGCTCGCGGCGATCGGGGTTCCGGAAAGTGGGGCCGATCGCATTCCGCAAGCCGCAAAACTCTCAAAATGAATGGATGTCGGCATGGTTGACGATCTACAAACCGTCTACACACCGTACCAACCCATGTTTTCAGGGAGTGATCCAGGAGGTTATACGCGTTTGACTGGATAACAATATGAAAACAATACTTGGTTTAGCCTCAGAGAGTTGCGGCGAATCAATTGTTATTTTATTGATATTTCTAAATATAATTACCCCCATTCCTAATTTGATACACCATCACACACGAAGAATTTTCTTACGGGTCGCGTTTTCCTCCCCCATGAACCACTCATTCCACGCCTGTGGTTGGCCGATGGGCTGTTGTCAAGTTGAGGAAGGAACGGTCTTTTCCTTCCAGGGCTATCATCACACCTAAAAATCATTAAATTGTCAGACCTGTATGCTCCTCGGCGCTCCGCATAACCAACTACCCATCGCCCCAAGAGCTCACTATTTATTATAATACACAATTCAACGTGTTCGACAGAGGTTCACAAGTGAATGAACGATTCGGGGCCTCGGCTAAGAAACCTGTGTCTAATTCCTTGACATGGGAGCACTCATGTGCCGTGATTCTCGACCATTCACATCATTATCTCAGCTAAGTTCAATTCTCCTCTTATTGTAGGCCGGAAGATTCGAAACTGAAGGTGCTTCCTTTATTGGGTGAGTGGGATAGTGGCTCACGATAAACTTTCAGATTTGAGTTTCAATATTATCTCAACTGCGCATATTCCATGACTTGGGTACTTTCTCGCTGTCCACAACACATTATCCGTGGCCAACTTCTCAAGCCCAACACAAAGGGCTTACGGGAGGATTTTATTCATTCTCAAACCTCTCTGATAGGCGCGGGTAGTGTGCGATGAGCACTTCGAGCGAGTTACTCCGCCAACAAAACCCTTCGAACTATCAACGGGCTGCGAAGCTCTACTTTTTGTGACGACAGCCGGCGATAACGGGAGTTGAATTTATATTTTCTTTGGTCACACTGTTTCCGGAGGACACACCTGCGCCAAAGGAACGTCAACCTCCGTCCTGCTCCTGTCACTGCTGCGGTCGACCGACCACACGGCGAGCGTTTTGCCGGAGCGACGGCACAGCTTTCCGTGTCAACAGCTGACAGCCTCGACAAGGGAAACATGTGATACCCGAAATCAAGCCAGTTATGTTATGTCATCCCTCTGGGGGTTAACGAACTTCTCTGGACCTTAGGAGCAACGCACCGTCCGACTCGGTATTTTGCTTAAGCCCCTCCATCGAAACCCAACCGGGCCAACCCTCTGGACGGTACCTAGTTATTACCTCTGCGGTTTTCCTTTGCTAGGAGCGGTTTACCATTGCTGGCTTGCAGGGCCATAGACTATCATCCCGACTTCACGCGTGCGAACTCTCCCCATTCAATCTGATAGGCGCGCATATATGGCTAGCAGGACTTTCAACTGACCGATCTCTGATGGTTCATGGGTGAGCCAAGCATTCAATAACCATGAACCTTCCCGATCAGTTCTCAGTAGTCGCGGCCCGATACCCACCGGGATGCCTAAGAAGTGCCGGCGCCCCAAAAACGGCTAGGGAAGCCTCCACAATGCGACGGCGAAGCCGGGGACTCGGACCGCCCTGTTGACTGTTTCGCAAGGAGGGCCGATTCTCACGGGCGCCTGACGACGAGGCTATCTGATTGGGATTGGTGGCTTCAGGGAGGCAACATATGCCAAGAGAGATGCAATATAAGGTTCCCCAGTTTGGCCCGGCTACTACGCTTCGGTTCCGGTCTTTTGAGGCTCGCTTAACGCGTTTTGCACCACAATCCGCGGGGAAATGTTGCATCGAGTTGATCGTTTGAAACTCCCGATCCTGCCGCTGACTTGCCTGCAGACAGACCCTACCATATGTTCAGGGGCCAAAATCGTTGGGTCAACCGATCTCAGATGCGCGCCTATCGAGACGCAAGGAACCATCTCGCAATGGAACTCTATGGGAAGAGGAATATGAAGCCGCCTGTGAGTTGTTGATCTTTGACCGGATCAAGTGCCGCGTTTCGATTCCGACAATCAAATTGGGTTCTTGGAAGTGGTTGAAAATGGCAAGTAACAAAGTCATTCTCCGTATCTAGCGAAGATGCGGCGGCGACGCCAAGAGCAAAACGTCGTGAAGTTGCTGGTTTCCTATATAACGACTAGGTCCTTTTGAGGATGGGGACAGGACGAGCACGAGAGCGGCAAAGAAGAGGATCAGTCCTGCCTTTGAACCGGAACCTCCTCGCATCTTGACTCACCCCTCACCAACTTGTCAACATGCAGCTCACCAACCTCGCCTTCTGGGCGATGACGGCGGTGCAGACCGTCCAGGCGCACTACCGCTTCAGCAAGCTGATGGTTAATGACCACCTGACCGGCGACTGGGAGTACATCCGCGAGAACAGCAACGGCATCATGCCGACCAAGCAGTTCATCCAGCCTAGCGACGATTTCCGCTGCAACTCGGGCTCGTTCGCCAACGCGGGCCGCACGGGTGTCTACAAGGTCAACCCCGGCGACAAGATCGGCTTCCAGCTGTGGTACTACGCAACCATGCAGCACCCGGGCCCGCTCACGATCCACATGTCCAAGGCCCCCGGCGACGTGCGCGACTACCAGGGCGACGGCGACTGGTTCAAGGTGCACCAGATGATCATCTGCAAGCCACCATCGAACGGCTACCTGAACGACCAGGACTGGTGCACGTGGGACCTGGACACCGTCAGCTTCACGCTGCCGGCCGACACGCCCCCCGGCCAGTACCTGGTGCGCGTCGAGCACATCGCCCTGCACGGCGCCTCGGACGGCCACACCGAGTTCTACTACGAGTGCGCCCAGATCGAGGTCGGCGGCAACGGCAACGGCCAGCCGGGCCCCATGGTCAAGATCCCTGGTCTGTACGACTCCGAAGACCCCGCTCTGCGCTTTTTTATCTATGGCGTGCCGGAGTACCCGTACACCAACATCGGCCAGCATTCCGTCTGGACCGGCGGGCAGGCCAGCGGCGGCGGAAACTCGGGCGGTGGCGGAAACACTGGCGGCGGCGGCGGCGGCGGCGGTGGACGGGCGCCTCTCTATGGACAGTGCGGAGGCAAAGACTGGACGGGGCCGACGTCGTGTTCGGAGGGTACTTGCAAGGCTACCAATGAGTGGTATTCGCAGTGTGTCAACTGAGCGGAATATGTATGACGTGGAAGTCACTTGAGGCAGGGTGGTAATGAGAACAGTGTTTGTGCCCTTCAAGACCCCGAGTAACACTTTGCCTGGTATTGTTGTTTCAGCGGCCATACACCTTTGCCCCGAGGAAGAGTCACTTGCCTTTCCCAATCTTCAAGCCGCCCTGCCAGTAGTTGAACAACATAATCTCTCGCCTCTGGTTCCACTCTTGAACTCAACGTCCGTTGTTCGGCGGCCTCACATGGTTCCGATATCAAAATATTATTCCGTTGAGATAGACCTGTTTTCGTGCCATGTGGTGTTTTCGGTTCTCGCCTACATCCTGTCGCGAGAGATGCAACCATCCAAAATGAACTCCAAACGCCGCCCTATGGTTGGTATCTTCGCCACATAAGAACAATGCGACCTTTTATCCGCAAAAGCAATAACCAAAATTTGCCCGATCGATAGTCCTACTTTTTCGTGGCCCCGAATCCAGTGAAACCCATGGCGGCCATCATGTCGTCCTCGTCATGTTCGCCCTCGATCCGGACATCCTCGCCATACTCCGTCTTGACCTTCACCGCAGCCTCCTTCTCCAACCTCTTCCGCTCCTCCGCCTCCTTCCGTTTCCGCCTCTTCTCCTCCCTCTCCTTCTCCTCCTCCTCCTTGCGCACTTCCAACCTCTCGGCAAGCGAGACGACCTGCTCCCTCTTGCGCTCCTGCTCCCTCTCCCACAGCGCCTCGATGCGCGCGTGGACCTCCTCCGCGGTGGCCTTGCGCACCTCGCCCGTGGCGCCGATGCTCCGCTGGTGCTGCATGCTGTTGGTGTGCTCGATCCACTGCAGGTTGTCCTTGAAGGTCAGGTCGCAGGCCTCGCAGTAGAAGCCGGCGCCGCGGCCGCGCTTGCCGACGCCCGCGCCCGCCGGCACGAGCGTGGACGTCCCGACCAGCTTGCTGAAGTCCTGCGTCGCGTTGCGCGCCGTCGTGAGCGTCTCGCTCCCGTCCATCGGCTTGTAGTATTTCTTGCCCGCCATCTTGGCCTCCCATCGCGCCTTGCGCTCCTCCTTCTCGGCGGCTTCGCGGTCCTTTGCTTTGGCCGCATACTCGTCGAGGTCGTATTTTTTGCGGAAGTCGGTGTCGCCGGCCGCCTGGCCGTATGCCGATTCTTTTTTGGACATGATGGGCGGTAGCTTAGGAGCGGTTTAGTTGGGCTCGTGACTTTGTCGCGGTCTGAAAGACAAGCGCGACGTCTTGCCCCATGCATGTGCCATGCCTGCCCCCCTGTAGCTGGCGTCCCGATAACGATAAATAATCCCTGTCAGTTCACTGGAAATTTTGGCGGGGCAGCTTTGGCGGGGTAAATTTCCCAACGGCCGTTTCTTCGTACTCAAATCCCCCTTTCAATTGAAGATAACACGCATCTTCTGGGAGACAAAATGTTGTATTTGGTTGGCCTCGGCCTCTCCGACGAGACGGATATCACCGTCAAGGGTCTTGAGGTCGTGAAGAAAGCTTCCCGGGTCTACCTCGAGGCCTACACTAGCATCCTGCTCGTAGACCAGTCCGTGCTGGTACGCCGCCGAGTTTTCCTTTCTTCCTTCTTTCCACCAACCCCAGGCTCAGCTAACGCTAATGCACAGTAGGAATCTTACTATGGCCGCTCCATCGTAGTTGCCGACCGCGAGATGGTCGAGTCCAACAGCGACGAGATCCTGCGCGATGCCCAAAACGTCGACGTAGCCTTCCTGGTCGTCGGCGACCCCTTCGGTGCGACGACCCACACCGACATGGTCCTCCGCGCGCGCGAGCTCGGTATTCAAGTACGAACGGTTCCCAATGCGTCCATCATGTCGGGCATTGGCGCGGCTGGCCTCCAGCTCTACAATTTCGGCCAGACCGTTAGCATGGTGTTCTTTCTGGACAACTGGCGCCCGGCTAGTTTTTACGACCGGATCAAGGAGAACCGAGACATTGGCCTGCACACGCTCATCCTCCTGGATATCAAGGTCAAGGAACAGAGCCTGGAGAACATGGCCCGCGGCAGGAAGATATACGAGCCGCCCCGCTACATGTCGGTCGGCACCTGCGCGCAGCAGATGCTCGAGATCGAGGAAGAGAAGGGGCTGGGGGCTTATGGGCCGGATAGTCTGGCCATTGGCGCTGCTCGGGTGGGTGGCAAGACGGAGAAGTTCGTCGCCGGCACTCTGAAGGAGCTCTGCGACGCGGACGAGGAGCTTGGGCCTCCGCTTCACAGCATGGTGTTGCTGGGGAGGAGGACACATGAGCTGGAGCACGATTTCGTTCGCGAATTCGCCGTCAACAAGGAGAACTGGGATAGGATATGGAAAGCCGAGTACGAGGGCAAGCAGTAAGCCAGTCAATGCGATTGAAATCCTATCATACAAATTTGTTCAAGAAACAGCTGCCCCGACGCCAACTCGTGAGATATTCGTCCACCACCCGGTTCGTGTCCAATTTCCTTCCACAGAAGCCGATAGAAGCCCCCCTAGTGAGCCGATCTCCACTGGATGGCCTCGGTGGGACTAATCTCGCGCAACTTGTTCACCGTCGCCGGCTTTCCGGTCACGACCCCCTGGGCAACCTGGGCCATCTGCCCGATTATGCTCTTGGAGGAGATGGCGTAGTGGGCCGTGGTCATCTTGACCCGGATGATGCCGATGCGAGGGTCGTTCACTCCCCCGTCGTGGACGCCGTCGCCCAGGTCACCCAGCCAGGCCTTGAGGTGCTGGCTGTAATGTTTCTGGACGAGGGATCGGTCCGTGACGACACTGGCTGTGCCGCTTACCGACGCCCAGTCACCAGAGTAGTTGAGGAAGCTGATATTGATGTGCGCATCGCTGGCGAGGTCGACCGTCTTGCCGGATTCGGTGTTCGTGTGGAAGAGGAGGTCGATGCCGCCGCTTTCCTATGGAGCGCCCGAGTCAGTGGACCATTCTCCGTGTTTCCATTTACGCGGTGGCTAGGTACATACTTGGGCGGCCAACGCCATACACCTCGATACCAGATTTCCGGAGCCGGCGTCTCGGGTGGTCATCATCCCGAACTTGCAGTGCGTCATGAAGCTGCTGAGGTCACGGACCTTCTGCTCCAAGGACACTTCCTCGTCGAGGTTGGCCTCCTTGTAGGGATCGGGGTGCTTCACTGAAGCCTCTGTCTGTTGTTCTGCCATGTTGGATATATCGCGTTTCTACTGGTTTAGTTGGTTGTGAGATGTTGTGTAAGTTGTTGGGTTCTCAATCACCAAAGTTCAAGCACAAAGAGTCCAGAAGGGTTGCCGCATATGTATTCTTGAGTTGGTGCGGAGGAATCGCAGGTGTTCGCGTCATGATGTAAACCCTTTTGACGAACTGCAGGGCATGCCATCACCAACAATCTGGGTGATCGGTTACTGACGTCAGGGCGCAGCGAGGACAAGGCGTTACCGTGGTGGCGACACTGGGTTGGAAGAGCCCTGGCGAGCCATCTTTATTTCACAAGAAGGATATACACAGTACTACTAATTTGTGCATAAATTGTGGTCCATCCGGGTCCCGCCCCTGGCAATTGAGACGGACAGACTGGTGACCTGCTTGATATAAACGAAAGGGCAGACCGTATCTGTACCAGGCGAGATGTATTCTTTGTAAATTACATGTATTTATGTTATGGCTCGGTACTGAAAGCCATGTTTCTCAGCCCGAGACATTAAGGGAACAACAACCTACAACTAGGTGGTGTTCGAGATGCGGATAACCCGGGTTATCCTTTTTATTCGATTACGGTCCATTACTGCCCTCTGTTGACGCTTGCCACACCCTTTTAACTCCAACTCCAACTTCGCCAGCCTATTTGCTCTCGACAGGTCTCACCCTAACCAAGCAACGGGCCTATAAACTGCTCATTGCGTTCGTTTTGCAGTTGGTGGTCCAACTATGTGGATGCTTCTTTTCAGACCTGCAACTGCCTTCCTCCGTTTTCTTTCTGTTATCATGCCAGTATGGAAGCTCGGGTGTCGACTCAACCTAATGGGGTGGCGGCGCACTAGTGTCACACAGTGGCGTTTTGTCGCTGAGAAGGAAGGAAGGAGCCCCTGAACTTCAAATGATTCTGGAACCCCACCGAGTTGAACGGGTTAAGTATCGTACTTGGTGCCGTTTTCGTTGCCTAATTGGGTTCTTCTTTCCAAACTCGACCAAAGGCACACAGGGCCTCGGTTATTTTGTTTTTATTCTCTCGTTTAACCCTTTGCCGGGCAGGGTAGTCGGTCGTTTGAGTGGGAGAATTGGCGCTTTCGTTCTTCCCACACATCCTTACCTCCTCAGTCAGCAGTGGCTATTCTCCATCAGCCGATCCGGTTTCTGTGCAACCGAAGACTTTCCCCAACAAACCACAGACGACGCCTCCCATCCTCCGACGACACTCATTGCCTTTAGGTACCAACCCAACGCTTATTGCAGCGACCCCGCCATTTAACACGCAGACCGCGACTTTCCAAATCAAGCCCTCTGCCCACTTTTTCACGCCGCCCCATTTTCCCCTCACCGACGAAGATGAGCTGGGACCCAGACACCGTGAGTTCAATTTGCCCTCCACATGCCATTCGGGATAATATGTTCGGCCCATGATGGAACGCATTGGACCCGTACTGATATTTTATAGAGCGTCATGCCGGGTGAGGAACGTGATCAAGAGGAGCAGGCCAAGGCTTGGTATGACGAACCCACCCGAGCTCGCAGTCGGTTACTCGAGACGGAGAATGTGCGCCTCAAGAGGCTCTTGCGAGAGAATGGTATCTCCTGGGACCCCCGGTTGACTCTGGATCCGAACGATCGAACTAGAGGCTCCTGGTCTTCTCCCAAGCGGTCCCGGACTCGCAAATCCAAGGGCTCCGTATCACTCGAGCGAGAGAATTCACACCTGCCGATGCTTCCCGTGGAGATCCAACTTTACGTCCTGGAGTATGCTTTAACCAGCAAGACCCCCATTATCGACCCTCTCTCCAAGTCGAACCGAGACACCTTGTCGACCGCCGAAAGAACGGCCGATAACCAGCTTGCGATTGGCTTCCTCGCCACCTGCAAAGCCTACCTCGTCGAGGGCACTCGCTTTCTATGGAGCAATAACACGTTTGTCTTCACCAGCCACCTGGCTTTGCGCAACTTCGCCAACTTGGGCCTTGAGCACCGCAAGGGTATCAAGGAGGCGACCTTCCGTATTATCGCGCGCTACTACGATGACGAGGAGCGGAAGCATCTCGCCCCGTACCCTTCAATAGTCGACACCTACTTCAAAACGATAAATTTGAAGACGACTCTGCGGACCAAGGAGGACAGTCTCGCTCGCAAGGGATTTCGCAGCTACGCATGGGAGCAAGTTGTGGACTTCCTCGACGCGATGCGGCCGCCTTTTGACCCCCATCACCCCAAAGGGCAACCGCGCCCTCGTCTTTTGCCTGGGTTGGAATCTCTGAGGATGGATTTCGTCAACTTCCCCGATAGTTTCCTTAGCCCAGGTTCGGGATCCTTCCTCCACGGCTTTGCGTCGCACGATCTAGGCTGCACACTAAACGAACTGCAACTTACCGGCCTCCCGGCCTGCGATCTCGGAGATGAGCTGGTGTCTGAGTTGTCAGGCATGATCAAGGATGAGGGTCTCCTCCTTAAATCGGACGCTACTTACGTTTACTCTGGGAACCAACTCCGCCAGATGTCAAATCGCGCGAAATGGATGCCATCGTGGGAAGCCAAGGTAGTTCGTTCGTGGAAGGTCCTTGCAGACGAGTATGCACGCAGCAAGAGCAAGCCCTCAGTCCCACAACCCTCGCATCCCCACCACTGCCATAGCCACGCCGGGCACCACAGAATGCCACCCGCCCCCAAGGAGGAGGGGCACCCGGAATCCCCGTGGAAGGCACGCCGAACCCTGTTTAAGCGGATACCGATTGAGCAGGATTGTGATGACCGCGTTTGGGCCGAGTTCGACCGGCTCACCGGCCGTGAAATCGACCCCGCCGAGTACGATATAGAGGACGACGAATACGACATATCCGATCTCGTCTGTCCCCATTGCGATGTCATGCACCCCCCCTCCGGCGAGCACTAATGGATGAATTTGGTAGATCTCTCTGTTTTGCTTGTCCTGGTGAAAGGACGAAGGATCATTGCAGCAGTGCAGTCCCCACCCAGCCTAGCTGGGGATGCATTGACTCTGATGTCGCGGTTCCCATGTTACAATAGCTTGGCCATCGGCCTTGTTCATGAGTTCATGTCTTGCTTTCTTACAATGTCTTGAACGGTTTAGGGTCCGGAAAGGGAGGGGGCATCATCATTTACACGGGGTATTGCAGCATCTGAAGGTGTAATGAATGGGTATCGGCGTCAATGGGGAGGGAAAGGGTTAAGAGAGGTATCGGGGCGGAACTCCCAGTTAGATACCCATATTACCTCTAGCGTTGCTTCTCAACGGATAGCTTCAATGCACCAGCTTGTCAAACTCGAATGCGGCCGCGGGGCAACGTCTAGGGATGATGGACGGAGAGTATGAGGAGCGAGCGAGACACGTCCAATAGTTCAAGCTCGTCACCAACATTAACATTAGAGTACCTATTCCACCCATGTATCTCTCACATTCCCAACACATCGTATCCCTACCCTCCAAATTGACTCCCAGGGGGGCCCCTCTTCCACAAACCCGTCCCCGCCGTCCTCCTAACCGAACCATTACCCCCAGACCCAAACCCTTCATACTCCCCCAAGCTCGGTGGCAGATCCTCCACCCTCGTGCCCCACGCGCTCTCATTCCGCCCCAGCGTCAGCACAAGCTCCTTCCCCTCAGTAAAGAAACTGTGATCAACCCAGTTCCTCGTATAAGCCTCCCCATCAAGCGTGGCGCTCTGGATATACACAGCCTCGTACGCCGGATCAAAATTGACATTCCGCACGGTCGCCGTCCGGCCGGTCAGCGGGTGCGTGATGTTAACATGCTCAAAGAACGGCGGCGTGATCAGGTAGACGTCCTGGCCCGGGTTGGGGAACAGGCCCATCATGGCGAAGGCCACGAAGGAGCCCATCGCGCCGCTGTCGTCGTTGCCCGGCAGCCCCCCCGGGGTCGGGGAGAAGAAGGTCGGGATGTAGAAGTGGGAGCGCAGCGCGGAGAGGGCGGGGCGGCCGGCGTAGTGGTATTGGAAGACGGTCAGGAAGGAGGGCTCGTTGCCGATGTAGGTTATCGCGCTGTCGTGCAGGTAGTTGAGGCGGGAGACGAAGGCCGCGGGGCCGCCGTAGAGGGTTATTAGGGAGGCTTGGTCGTGCGGGACGAAGCTGTGGTTGTTGGGGGAGGGGGTTGGTAAGTTGTTGGTTGGGTTGTGGATTGGGGAGGAGAGGAGAAGTGGTGCTTACAAACCGTATTCCCAGATGCTGCTTTCAAAGGTCTCGCGGCCGGTGTTCTGAAGGGAGCAGACGCTGGAGGAGTCGAGGTAGCTGCAATTCAGGGGGTCTTGGAATCCCCAGGTTTGGTTGAGGTAGCGAGGTTGGAAGAAGCCCGTAAAGCCGGTTTCGGTGCCGTTCCACCAGGCTGAGACTTGATCTGGTTTGAAGAGATTCTCCCAGTTGCCGCTGGACTCGATGTACTTCTCCTTGTCACTGACTTTGCCGAGACTGGCGGCCATTTGGGCAATGCAATAGTCATTGTAGGCATACTCGAGCGTCCGTGAGACGCTTCTCGTCATGGTACCGAAGCCTTTGTAGTCGAAGTCCTGGACAGGGATATAGCCGAGCGATTTCCAGCTGTCGAGACCGCCTCGGCCTTCGCAGCACCAGTCGTAAGGCTCGACTTCAGCATCCTTTACGACGGCAGCATATCCATCGTCCCACTGTCCCGGTATCAGAATCCACTCATAAAAGGAAACAACAACAAATGGAATCTTACGTTGATGCCTTCTCCCAGGCCTTTAAGGTAGGCATCCGCCAGCACAACGTCGGCGTTAGATCCGCCCTGCCAAGGTTAACTTCAGATCCTCAAAGCAAACTGCGGTGCTCTTCACCTGAGTGTAACCCTTGTTCAGGCTCATACGGCAATCGGGGAGCCACCCCGTGTGACGGTAGGTGTCAGTGAGTGAGCGGACCATGTCAGTAACAGCGGTGGGGTCCGTAATGGTGAGAAGAGGGAGCTGTGATCGGAACTGGTCCCATAGACTAACTATCATTTAGTCACAAATGCAAGAACTTCCCAATTTGTGTATCATACCAGTAGAACGAGTCAAAATACGGCTCGCTGCTGGACCACACTGGATTCTCGCCCGTGTAATTTTGAGGGTTGATCATGGTCCGATAGATGCCGCTGTAGAAGTTTGTCAACATCGAGCCGTTAACTTGGTCTGTCGACACCTTGATGGGGCTCATCTTTTCCCTCCACACGTCTGCTGCAGCCTCCGAGACAGCAGTGAAGTCAAAGTCCGGTATCTCACGCTCGGCATGCTCACAGGCCCGCTGAGAACTGATGAAACTGGTAGCAGTTCGGACAAGTATGGGCTCGGCGGCCGAATTAAACCTCACAAACGCGCCACCTGGGAGTGGGTAGCCGTTGATCGATCTCGAGATGGTCAGGTCGTGGACCTCGCTGCTGGCCCGGCTGTTGACGAAGATGCCATTGTCAACAATGTCGGCGCCGGAGAAGTCGGTACAGAAATGCAAAACAAAGGTTCCGGTGCCAAAGCTCGGTAGAAAGCGGGCACTCCCGGTTATGCGCCCTGTCACAGGGTTCACGGCAACTGTAGCGTTGTCTTGTCTGGAATCAGCCAGGTCTGTGAGATCCTGGAGAATAAGGGGTTGAGCTGGTTCCTCGTCGGGCCCGACACTGGGGAAGGAGAAGCTGAAGAGCGCGGCGTGATGGGTTGTGGTCATCTCGGCTCTAACACCGCTGTTCAGCGTGATGCCGAAGGTTCCCGGCTTCGCGGAGACGTTGGTGTTGTTAAAGCTCCCATGGGCAGCGCGCTCCTTCTTGGGAAAGGTACACTGGTTGATGTCCCCTTCGGGGCAGTTGGTGTACGCGAAGAGGGCAAAGTTTCCCAGACTCGGGCTGCCTCCAGTTCCGCTGTCGTGCATCATGCTAAAGCCTGTCACGGGGGCACCATCCATAGTGAAGCCGCCCTGCCTGCTCTCGCTGTTGGTGTCGGCAACGGCCTTGGCCATACCGTACGGCATGGAGGCACCAGGAAATACATTGCCGCCGTTACTGGCCCCAATCAACGGGTCGACGTACGCAAGAGGATCGAAGGTGTCCTGGGCAAACGCCTTCCCCGACAGGGCCAACCAACCCGAGACGAGAAACAAGGCCATCGCGGTAAAAGGGGTAATGTGAGGGTGGGCGACGGTCGCCTTGGGTGCGAGGTTCCAGTCAAAAGGGTTCGACGAGGAGTTGTTGATGGCCGGGCGGTCACTTTGTTATGAAGGGACTTCGGACGGCAATAGACATGGTGATCACCCAATGACCGTGCTAGGTAAGGTATCTGGGTATCTGGTTCAGAGGTATGTTTACAAAAGGGTGAATACAAATTCGGAAGGTACCCGCGCGGATCGTGAAGTTGCCGTCCGAAATTAAATTGCGTCTCGTGGTCTTCTTGCACGACATGGCCAAATCGAGAAAAGAACCTGGAACCGGTGCATATCTGCAACCACCTTCCGGTTTGTGCGATCCATACGAGGTACATAATAGATGTCCATCGATCAACCACATTCCTCCCAACATCGGATCAATGTTTGGTTACCGAGACGAAAATATCGGGGGATTCGCGTTGCAGGATGTGCAGCTGCTGGAAAGGGGACGGGGAGGTGCTGGTACGCAGTAGGCCGATGCATCTGTAACAAAATACTTATTATCCATTGCGGTTGGGATCGAAAGTGAGGGATACCAGGTGGCTCGAGGACAGCCGGCTCGGGGAAGAAGAGTTCCTGAAGCTCGCCTACGCGATAGTGGGTGGGGGGAAAACGGCAGCAGGGTTGTAGTGCAGATGCACCACCCACCTGCCCGTTCGTGCCGTTCTGGCGCCTGCCTCTTTGCTGCAGGGGGAGAGGGGGATCATCCCGTCGGGGCCCACTGCCGAGAGATCCTGCTTGGCGATCCCCCGCCCCCGCTCCATCGCAAAGTCCCGACGCCACCACCGACCGACGACGACTCGACAGAGTACTCATCTCATCCCAACTTCATGATTCCAAACAATCTTGGGACGGTCTTACAATTCCAAGCCACTCAAGAACCTTTTATACCCACACCCAAATACCGAGCCAAAAGCCGAATGGTCCAGACCCCACACAGGCTCAGGTTGTGCTCTCCGTTGCACGCAACACAACGCAGCCATCCCTCGACCATGGCACCGAGCCAGCCATGTGTGTCACAGCAGACGCAGATGCCCGATCCCGAGTGAGATGCCGAAATAAGCACCGCAGAAGATGAACACAACCTCAGACTTAGGCCTTTCTTTCCACCCACTCGAACCACGATGTCTGATCACAAGGCTGTTGCGACTGCCATCATTGTACCGTACGGCTTCCATTAGTCGGGCAGCTTCGAAATACATCATGGAATCAGTTCTCTAGTCAGCCGGAGCAGGCATTCCGCCGGAGTTGCTTGCCCGCGCCATAACCCATCGGCGAAGCGGATACCGGAGACGGCTCCGAACTCCCGGTCACGGCTGTCGCGTTTGCGCTGGGATGCGCTGAGCCAACAAGATGGCATACCGTGGAATCTCTGCAAACAACGCCGCGGAACCGCGCATAATCGCGCGCCCAGACTGCTCGATGAGACGGATTCCAACGCAGCCTAGATCGACTTTCCGATTCTCCACTCGTTCTTCAGACCGCGCCACGCCCGCACCTAGGGGGTCGCGACTGTTCGCTTACCATGGGCGGAGTTGGCCGTGGGGTCTAGAGTACGAGTCATTGCTATCTAGGGGCATCTCTCCAGAGCATTCTCCAGTTCAGCCCTACAAATCTTCAAAAGAACCACGATGCTCCCCTTCTAAAGTTTGTCACATCGCGAAGCAAGTTGCAACACAGCTCTAGCGATCGTCTTTCGCTCTTTCAACCACCCCACTACGTATGGCGCAGAGTCCAGTCCTCCGGGGCTTCTACATGACGCCTCCCCTCTGACATCATGATGCCCATGAGGTCACATACGGCCGACTCTTTGCCCACATTGGGAGACACCCTCGGCAGGATCAGCAGCGACGATAACTCAAATCCGGTCCTGGTGCTGCCCCAACGATTCGATCGGCAATGCAGCAACCCCATCGTGACGGCGTTGTCACCGGCCCCTAGCCCCAGACCAGCCCAACCCCAGCGGGAAAAGTCCCACCTTCGACTAAGAAGCGATTCGGGCCTGGCATTGCACACAAATCAGCCTCCCTTCCGCCAACGCGCACACTCTAACTCGGGCTTGTCAGTGTCCAGTCGACCCCTCCCCTCCAGGGTATTGAGTTTCGATGGGAACAGTAGTGTGGAGGACTTCTCCTTTGGTTGCAGCCTTAGCCCAGATCTGGGCGGGTTCGTGACCAACGGCAAGGTCCTCCCAGACTTCTTCGAACCAGCCATGGTCAAACTGGCATTCTCCAACAAAGAGACGGTTCGGAGGCTTTGTGCATTTGCAGAAACCAGACACGACGGATCGGATATTGACTTCTTGCGCAAGGTCATTGCCCGCGTTTTCCCAGCCGCACAAACCTACCATGCTAACCCATCGCAGGTTGAAGAGTATTCTCGGGCGCTCGGAGATATCATTTCCTCCATGAGCTACATATCCTCGAATTTTACCGGCACGACCGCAACCTCACCGCTCGAGCTCTCGTCAGAGGTGGCTAGTGCTCTCAAGTCAAACATCAAGTACTGCGCAGGAGCAGCGCTGCCCGCCCTTGACAAAGTTTACCAGGAGGCGAAAGCTACGGCGGAGGACCGATTATCTCGGAGTCTTTACCCGGAATTTGTCAAATACCAGCTCTCTCGGTGTCTGACGACTTCGTTAACGCCAAACCGTTCCCTGACCGGCGAGGTCAATACTCCTTACCCCGGTCTCGCCGAGGCCTTCTGCCTTACGGACCCCCATAAGCCCGACAATCCTGTCATCTTCGCCTCCGACGGGCTATTGTCTATGTCGGGCTATTCGCGAAGACAACTGGTTGGTCAAAATTGCCGCCTCCTTCAGGGGATCGGTACCGACGGGGAGGCGGCATTCCGGCTCAGCCAAGCCGTAGGGGCTGGAAGAGAGGCTACCGAGCTACTCATCAATTACCGCCCCGACGGAACACCCTATTGGAACCTCTTATTTATTTGTCCTCTGATGGAGAATGGGAGTGTGCGGTATTTCCTTGGCGCTCAGGTTAACATATCGGAGAATCTGGGGTCCGATTACAAGGAGATCATGTCTGTCTTGAACTCTGGCCGACCTCTAGAGGAACAACCCGCGCTATCCCCCGAATCTCCTACATCCCCGGGTTGGCCGGCACAGCAGAGTTCCGACAAACTAGAACTCGTCCATGCAAATGACCAACAAAAAGAGAAGCCAGGTTCCCGCCGCCGGCGCTTCTTCGGCCGCTTCCACCGAAAACCACCGTCCTCGCGTGCCTCTTCCCCCTCGCGCGCCAGTACGGTGTCCGAGCCCGCAGACGACAGCCCACCACCCGTCACACCCTCCCGGTACTGCCCTCCCCTCAGTCCCCTCAGCCCACATATGGAGCTGCATCAGCCCCGCCCGTCCGAACAGCAACTCGACGAAAACAGCACGCCATACTCTCGCTTCCTAGTCATGCGCTACAGCGACTCCCGCCCACCCTCGGCGAGCCAACACCACCGCTCACAGTCCCGCAGCCGACGACTCACCCGCGACGAGCGCGGCCGCAGCGGCGGCACCCCGCGGCTCCCCGTATCCTTCTGCTCCTCGCACGCCCTCGCCCTGCTCGGCCTCAAGACCCAGTCGGAGCCCCAGCCCCACGACCCCGAGGCCTCCCTCCTCGGCTGCGACATCTTTGCCGTGCTGTCCTCGCACCTCGGCTCGCCCACCGTCAACCGCGCCTTCAAGGCCGACGTGCTCGCCCGGCTCGCCCGCGGCGAAAGCATCACCACCGACCTAATGGCGCGCGCGAACGGCAGCGGCGGCGGCGGCGGTCTCGGGACGGAGGGGTCGGCGGTGGGGGTTGGGATCGGCGGCGGTCGGCACCCGGGCGCGGTGAGGGTGCCGCCGCCGCCGAAGACACCTACTGCGGCGGGGCCGGCTATCCAGATTAATGGCGCTGCTGCTACGTCGGGGTCGGCCACGTCGTCGGGGGAGGCCTTGGTCGGGGAGGCGAGGCCGCCGAGGGCTGGTGCTGCGCTGGGTCGCGGGGCGGGGTTCTTTAGTCAGGTTTTGTCTTCTTCTTCGGGTGGGAGGGGCGTGTTGAGGAGGGTTGTGGGTAGTTGGGTGCCGTTGAAGGATGGGGAGGGGAAGGTTGGGTGGGTGGTGCTTGTTTTGGTGCCGGTTGAGGGGGAGGGTCTTTGACACTAGTGGAGGAGGGAAAATGTTAATTAACGCCTGTTGAGGGGGACTGTTGATGTGAGGGTTTGGATGGGGCGTTTGTCGATTGGGCGGTTATTTGGTTTTGGTGATGCATTTCTTGGAGTGAGGAAGTAAAAGCCCAAAATGAAAAGCATTGTATCATCAAAGGCTTGTTTACTTGAGGGTATAAACGTTGTTCAAACGGCTCGTCAATAGTTCCCACTCGCGGACGGCGGCGGTGCTTGAACAACAGGTCGCAAACTGCAATGACTGCTCTGCCTATGCCATGTACCAGTCCCTCCCCGCAAGTATTCAACAGGGACGACCAAGACCAGGCGGGTAGCTCAACGGTTACTGCCCGCGGTGGTCCCGCCCACGGGCAGCTAGTTCACCACGATAGGCAACCTGGACATAAAGGCCCTCGGTTCGAATCATGACGCTGCCTTGTGTTCCTCTGAGGAGGCGCCAGGACGCTGGCTCACCTCCCCCATCAGAATGGTCGCAGCCCCCATCGGCCCGACGGGGCATCACCGGTCTACATCACGGAGTAAACCCCCCTCGAAGGGGGTTTCGTAGCCGGCCACCTCCTGTAACGGGGGCTGGCCGGTGAGCTTTTGCTAGACACGGTGGGGTTGAGGGGAGGAGTTAATACTTTTATCATTTCTTTTTTCTGTAGTTAGTGGTTTGGGTATTTGATCACTCGACCTCTATTCCAACCTCCAACACTAGAACCCTAAAATGTCAAGTGGTTGTTAGGTAGTTAGGTGAGTGGGTAGTTCTGTAGCTGTAAACTTAATACGTGTTAAAACCATTATTGGGGGATCAGCTACAACAACATACCGTGGCGATAACGATACTCGAAACGCTAGCTCATGTTGTTGCTGAGTTTGTTGCACCGATCGATGGCTGGCCCGGAGGACATTTTCCGCCCGTCTGCAGGAAAAGGCCAGACCACTACCGACCCCCGGCCCCGAGTGGCGACGCGGGAACGGCCGGCCGATCAGTGGGGTCTGCCTCTCCCAGCACCGCCTTGTGGGGCACTCGAGTTTATGGGGGACAGGGCCTGATGGGGGCCGGGCACGCGGGGCGGGGGTGGGCAAGATCCATAACGCGGTGTCGGGTCTTTGCCCGGAGGGCGAGACTAGTCGCTTCTCACGAGGCTCGGGATGGGGGTTTTGGAGTCTATTTTACATAGGTAATACCTCCGGTTTTGGGCTAGGATAGATAGGGGGATTGGAAGCTGATTGCTCTGAAATCCAATATTACGACAAGCGAGGTAGGGATCTAAGTAAATTTACATGTGCTGGAACATGGAAAAATAACCGTGGAAGGAAGTCTTGCAAAATCGCCGAGAATATGTTGCATCAACCGTAGAATAGCTCACAGGTTGTTCCCCTGAAAGAGTCATGACTAAAACTCGCGCGTCTCCCCCACAGCACAGACGTCAAACACGCCCGTCTCGGGAAGGCCGCTCGTCTTGAGAGCCTCCTTCAGCAGCTTCGGCGGCTCCTCGACCTCCTCGCTCGTCAGGACCCAGGTGCCCCAGTGGATGCCCATGGCGCGCTTGCAGCGGGTCTCCTTGAAGATCTCGACGGCGTCGTAGGGGTTGGCGTGCATCCAGCTGAACAGCCAGCGCGGCTTGTAGGCGCCGATGGGGATCAGGCCGAGGTCGAAGGGCCCGCGCAGGTCGCCGATCTGGCGGAACTGCGGGCACCGCGGCAGCGCGTCGTACTCGGGCCCGTAGTCGTCCACCTCGAGCGGCACCTTGGGCACCCGCCGGTAGCCCGTGTCGCCGCCGAACCACACCGACTTGTCGCCCGACTTGACCGCCCACGACGCCCACAGCGTGTGGTCCCGGTCCCGGCCCGTCCGGCCCGACGAGTGCTGGCACGGCAGGCAGGTGATGCGCGCCGAGATGGTGCCGGGCGCGGCCTTGTCGTCGGCCGTTGCGGCGGCCTGATCTTTCTCCTTCTGCAGGACCAGGTCTGCGTCCTGCCACCAGTCCATCTCGGTCACGTTGGGGATGCCGCTGGAGCGGAACCACTTCTCCAGTCCCAAGCCGACGAAGAACTGGGCTTGGGGGTTCCGCTTCGCGAGCTCCTGCACGCTCGTGTGCGAGAGGTGGTCGTAGTGCGAGTGCGAGATTACCACGGCGTCGATAGGCGGCAGCTCGGAGAGCGAGCATGCCGGCGGTGAGTACCGCTTGGGGCCGAGCCACTGCACCGGCGTGCAGCGGTCCTCAAATACTGGGTCAAACAGCACCCGCAGCCCGCTGGGGAACTCGACGAAATAGCAGGCGTGGCCGAGCCAGGTAGCTCGCAGGGCTGTTGACCCTGTCCGCGCCGACAAGAATTCCGGCTTGACGACGGGGATTTTGACGTTTGAGACGTCGGGGCTGGGGAAGCCGCCCGTTAGACGGGCCCTGCGGGATGTCAGTAACCTCCACGATATGCTCGCATGCAGGGAGGAGGCAAGTATTTACCAAATGATCTGGCCGCCGACTACAAAGGGCGAATCAGGCGGGGCATCGCCGGCGGACGGGTGTGGGTTTTGGAACCTGGCGGTTTCCCCTTTGCTCCCTTTGACATGATGAGGGGCGAGACGGGCATCCTCCGGGACATTCGTAGCCTCCAGTTTGGAGACGGCACTCGAGTATGCGGCCATGGATGCAGCGGCGACAGCAACAGTCGAGAAAGAAACGGATGCGCGCAAAACAGTGGCCGTCGGCGGCTTGGATTTGAACGCGAGGGAACGAGCCAGTCTTGTTGCAAGCCGTTCCATGGCAAACGGCAGAGGCCACTGGCACGCAAGTCTGCAGATGACGGTCCTTTATTAGATTCCTAGACAGTCTCGGACTTTGACAACGCGTGGCTTTGTATCACAGGACGTCGGCTTCGGGCCAATGCGCTCGTCACTGAATCCTGCAACTCAAGCCTCTACTGTGTAGACTGCGCCATTCGCATGCCGCGCGTATGTATTTGCTGGCCTTCGTCGACAACATTTTGCACGAATCTCGGGCCGAGCGGGCCTAAACCGCCCTATCTCCGGCTGCTAGTGCCGGGCAGTTTTCTGTTTGGCGGCGGAGATTGGGGCCGGCTGGAAAATCTGCCCGTGGCCGAAAGGCGGGACCAAGTGTGGGACCTCCCGTTTTTTTGGGACTTCCGAGAGGATGGTAAAGGATGGTAACTTTCAGGAGAGGGCCGAATGATTTGGGCATGGCCCGAGCCAAGCTAAACTGACGAACGGACTGGAACCCAGAAAAGGCGAAAAGACCGTCTGGCATGCGCCCCAGTTTGTATGTGCCCCTCGCTCCGAGGGGTTGCGCTTTCCCAATCGCTGGAATCTTCCCGTCGGGTTAGGGTTCAACTGACGGTTCCCTGGCCCCTGAATCTGGTGAGTTCGTCAACCCCTGCATCAGTTGACCCCTGAGCCTTTATTGACTTGCTTGTGGTTTCCGAGGATACGCAACTCGGGGGCGTTCCTTATTTCAATGAAGCCCATGACTAGCTTGTTCCTCTCTCCCGGAAATCGATGCGCATTGCAATCTATCTTGTCCACTCAAGGGCTTGACCATTGTCGTCGGTGGGCGCTCAAGCCGTAAAGAGGTAGTCAGTCCGACCTAGCGCGGCGAGGGAGGTTAGCTACCTATCGGAATGCGGCATAGGTTTTGACTTGAGTGAGGGTATGGGCGACGGAGAATGTGAGTAAAATTAGGAAGCTGGAAGCCGGTGTGGTGGAGGGCGTTGTGGGTGCGGATGTGCCATCGCCGTTCGTTTGTTGCGGTGATGTTGTGTTCAATCGTTGGGGTGCCAATTTTAGGACGCCGCCCCCCAAATATCGTCAAAGAAAAGTGCAAAAGGGTTGAGTCGAAGTCGTGGCCTGACTTACGCACGATCCACATTTCTTGGTTTCGAAAGACCCGCTGCGGTTAACCACTGCACCACCACTCCTCCTCGGGCCGGCTTTGACTTTCGAGTTCGAATTTGAGGTGTTAGGCTAGGGACAAAGTGAGGGTGGCGGCCGGGAAAGCCAGAGTTGAGATAGAAATCCGTGTTATAGGTGGTCTTTGACCATGCTGAACAGCCCAGCATTCACTGTTGAAACTGGCCGCCTGGCGAGATTCCACACCCGCACAGAGACATTGTGAAGGCAATAGGTCTTCCGGTTTGGAACTACTATGTCTGAAAACAGTTGCTATAATTGAGAAAAACTACCATCCAGCAAGAAACAACAGCAGGAAGAGAGGCTGAGAGCCTCTAAGAACATGTAGAAAACCCAAGAACCAAAGGAAAACAATATTTACCACGGCACCGTAAAGACCACGTGAACTGAAAACGTAAAGAGAATGGCAGTCCTTCGCAGGGCTAACTGCTAAATCTCCGGCAAGCATCAACATCCAAGGATGAACACCCAACCTGGGACCCAGCTCCCCTGGAGCGCATCACTCCCGCCCGCGGCCCAAACCCCGGATGTATCCATCCCCATGCGTTGCCAAAAGTGAAAGCCAAAGAGCAAAAGCGAAGCCCCGAAATACCCTACCAATCCCCAAAACACTCCAGTCAGCACCCACCCATCCCACCTGCAAGAAACCAACCCCAAAGGAACACACAACATACCTCTTTAACATAACTGCTAGCACCTGAACCCTCGGTTACTCAAGGCGCGAGCCTCACCGGCACCCCGCCCATCGCCTGCACCTGCACAAACGGCGGCGGCGGCGGCGGCGGGTAAACAGCCACAGCCGTGCCGTACGGCAGGGCGGTAGTATGGGTGTGGGTGTGGGTATGGGTATGGGTCTGCTGCTGCTGCACGGGAGCGCCGAAGTAGATAGTCGGCGGAGGGGGAGGAGGTGCCGGGTCGCCGATGTAGCTGATGGTGGTGGTCGGGAGGACGACTGGGGAGGGCGGCGGGGGTACTTGGGAGCTGGTAATTGATTGGTGTGGGTGTTAGTGGTGGCTTTTTGCTGCTGGTGTGTTATGGGTAGGCTGGTCTTGGGAATAGGATCGGGCAGGTGGTTTAGTGACTGGATTGGTTTTGCTGCTTACCCGGAATGAGTGGTGACTTGGGGGACGAAGATGTTGGCTGTGGCCATGGCCGGGGAGTAGAAGATGTATGAAGACATCTTGGGTTGTCGTCAGGCGGTTGTTGGTCGATCAACTGGGGTTGAGGAATTGGGGCCGTGAACACGCTTGTTCAACCGGGCGATAATCGAAGTTGGGTTTACGCAAAGAATGGGCGCCAGCGCCAGGTGTTATAAGGTAGGCAGTTTGAATTTCTTTATGCTACTTTGCCAACGTGGGCACTAGGGCACGAGTGGTCGAATGACCAAATTGCTTTGGTTACCGTGACTCGGACTGTCTTCGGGGCGAAGTCACCGGGTAGACCTTTGGGACCGAGGGAGGCGGAGAAGGGATAAAACACAGTGAGAGCGGTCGTTTCTCAAAGTTCGGGCTTAGAGGTAGGGATATTACGAGGCCACCAGCCGTGTATCATGAGGCTTGAAAACTTGGGGATGCGAGTCCGCTCAGCCGAGTTGCTCCTTGTCAACGAATCACCCATAGGATGGCGGCATCGTTGAATGAATTGCTTTTCCATTCACTCCGGTCATTAATAATTTCATAACGGGGTTGTGCGAGACGCTATATCAATGTCGACGGTTACCTTCCGTTGTTTAACCCAGACTGGCCAGGCATGGGATTCGAGCCACTCTTCTTTTCCTAACGACATTACCTAAAGCCGGCGCTCTCCTTTCACTTCGAGTGTTCCTTCACCATTTTGTCCGCAGCCGCAGCAAGGCCCTTCAGCGCATCACGGCGCTTGTACTTGGCATCCTCAATAACGCCTGGAGAGAAATTAGCCTTGCATACTACAGCCAAACGACCGCAGTCGCTCAACACGGGGCTTACCGATGTCAGCATCGCTCGAGAACTTGGATGTCCAGCGGACAAAGGTCGTATCCTGCAGCTCGCCAGAGGTGACAGCCCAGCAGCGGATCGTGCTCACAACGCTCGAGTATGTCAGATTGGGCTCGGCGTTGATGACGCTGTACGTGATGTAGTGTTCCAGGTTCTATACCTCGTCAGCATGGTTGGTCGCATCATGGGCATCGAGGATGCTCACGCTGTGCTCATCCTGCTTCACTTCGACGACACTACCATCCTTGAAGGTCCACCTGACCACATCCGTTTCCTGGCTGGTGCCCTTGACGTGCTCGGCCTTCTCGATGGCGGACCAGAAGTTATGGAAGTTGGGCAGCTTGATAAAGTGCCAGACGTGCGAGAGCGGAGCCCGAATAACGGCGCTCTCGATTACTTCGTTGGTGGTGGCGATACCCTTTCCGCTAGAAGCCATGGTTGATACAGTGCGGGTAGGTAGTTGAGCAGATATATTCTCTTGGACTTTTCTTATGATTTCAGTGTTATGGGTAGGTAGACAGACGTTGATGGCGTTGGTCTGAGTCGACAAGAATGGGAAAGTGGTTGTGATTGTGGAAAACTAACTCGGAATTACCTGTATGGAATGAAGCAGAGGATCTCAACAGCTGTCTGGCTGCTTCCGCAAACAAAAACGAGACGTGCTTTCCGTTCCTACGTCATCTGGCAGTCATGACATACAAAGCAGGCGGGGTTCTTGCGAAGGAGCACTGGACAATTGGCTGGCAACGCGCGATGCGGCCCGATTGGGCACATTTCACCTGCCGACATGACGGGCATAGAGGGGTCACTGCGAGAGACCCGTCGGCCCTTCCTTCACTCGGGCAACTTTGAGCCGTTTGCCTGCACGGATTTCCCTGGCGTCCTTGAAGAAAATGCAAGGGCGAGATCATCTCAACACCGAAAGGTCAGCAGAGATGGCGCCTTCAAAGTGAGGTTAGTCGGAGCTAAATTGAGACCCTCACACAACTCGCCCCACAGCAGCTGCAGTGCCAAAAATAGACGGAGCCTGGGCCAGAAGTGTGGTGCAGTTTTGGTGGCTTGCTCTCTCGCCACAGACTGGCTGCACGTTCGTTCTGGGCTGAACGCGAATTCCCTGGCCCTTGGAGCACACCAGACATGCAATGCAGCAGGACCGAAATGTTCGACCAACGCCCGAGCGCGACCAAAATCAGCTGCCGTTGGTTGCTGGGCCTCTGGGGTGAGCACGGCCAACAAACCAAGTTCAGCCACAGCCACAGCAGTTATTTCGGTGGAGGAAAGGCGCGAATCCTGGCAAGGCACCGAGATATCGGCCCCTGCACAACGCAGGGTTGGCAACGGAACTTCTTGGTTGGACCTGAGCTCGTTACACAGTACACTCGACTTGCATGCAGACTTTGAGCTGCCCGTTTAGCCATCATCATTGTCGGTTGTGTCGGTTGCTGGCCTCGCCGACGAGGTGAGATGGCAATCGTTGCTCCTCCCCTCGGAAAGTAGGGGTTCCGGCCATGTGTTTTGTCATTCTAGGACTTTTCGATATCGCCGTTGTGATTGGAACAGGGAACGAGGCGCCGGAAGTCGACATTGCGGGGGTCAGTTTTTGCGTGACATGGCCTGAACCCTGAGCCCGCCCGTCTGTCACTCCGACCGCCCGACAAGGGCTTGACCCACACCGGACATCTGGCTCGGCTCAGCCTCAGGGCGCCTTGGGGGGGAGGAGGGCCGCTGATCCAAATGCTTGATTGCTCTTTAGCCGAGCCTGTCGCAAGGCTTTCGCGCTGGGAGTTCTCTGGTTTGTTTGTTTCCTTGCTGTCACACATCCTCACTCCCTCGCACGAGTCGGCACAGCGCAATTGAAGACACAGACGCCGAGGCCGAGATCAGGTCGACCATCGCATGTCGCAACGAGAGTAACCCGACGCGAGTTACCCGGCGGGCGCACGCAGGAACCGAAGTTCGATTTGCCAAGTCCCAAAGGCCGACAAGGTCTGGCCGCCCATTGAACACCAGATCGATCACCGCCGGGCACCCCCGAGGTACTCTGCTATACATACATATACACAATGGTCGGGTTTAGGCAAATACGTGTCCTCCCGGCAGCGCTTGTCGCGCTGATTCTGGTCTCCTCGTCGAGCGCCGCCGATGGTGTGGTCGATTTCAGCTTCTACCCGGCGGCGGCGCGAGATTGTCTCTACGACGCTGCCGACAGCTCCAAGTGTGAGTCGAAAACGGTGGCTGCGACGAACGCGTGTTTCTGCCGAAACGGCGGGGACTTCATCACAACAGCCGCCGCCTGCATTGGCCAGTCGTCCCGGAGCAACCTCAGAACGGTGTACCGGACGATGCGGGATGCATGCGACACCTCGGAGACGCCCATCAACGTTACCGAGGGCGAGTTCATGGAGGCCGCCGAAGATTCCACCTCGACAACCTCCAGCACGACCAGCGCAACGGCCACAGATGGGACGTCCACCTCGGCCACCACCACCGGCACGGCCACGCCGACACCATCCTCAACACCCCCGCCGGACGACGACGAGCAAGAAAGCGGGGCGTTGTCCACCGGAGCCATGGTGGGGATTATAGTTGGCGTCATCGGGGGACTGGCGATGCTCGGCGGACTGGGATACTACCTTTTTAGGCGGGGGAAGAAAGTGGGCGAAGAATCACACCCGATGTTGCCGCAGCAAGGGCACGCCTCGATGGCGCCGTCGGGACATGAATCGACCGCATACTACGGCAGCCCTCCAGATACGGGGGCGTGGCCGAAAAAGGACTGGGGCGGTTCTCCTGACCCCAGAATTAGTGGGCACACCAGCGGTTTCAACTGGGAGTCGCCGGCACATCTGTCATATCCCAGTGCGGCGCTGGCGCCGTCACCCCCAATGCCGATTCAAGAATTGGATGGAGCTCAGCATTTCCGTCCGGGGTCGACGGAGGCGCCGGCCGAAATGGGGGGTACACCCGTCGTGACGACGCCACCGCTAGCGAATAGCCAGTACCAGCCCTACAATTCCGGGCAACAGTACCCGGGGCATAGGTGGAGCCAACCACAACCATAACTAGCGGCGGCGGCGGCGGCTGGCGCGGCGGCCAGGGTGCAAACAGGAACCGGCGGTGAGGAGGATGCGAAACTCGGGACTTCCGAGACGAATCCGGGGTTAGATCAGGAAAAGTAATCATGACGGTGGCGATATGGGACGTTTCTGTCTTGCATGTACATCGGGGGGGTTGGGCAGCCGGCATTAGGTTGGGACGAAGGGGGGGCGGTCAACCGACCCCACGGCACCCTGGCACCGGTCGGCTTCTTTTTCGTGCAGCGTGGGGTTTAGGCTTTTGGTCACAAGGACAGTGGCCGGACGGCGCTTTGGTCGGACTTGACTGGCGGGAACGAATGGGTGCGTGGAGCAAAGCATCTGGGGAGTTTTGGAATTGAATACCCTGATTTGACCGTCACAACTCACCGGCATATGCGCGGACGCCCTGGGGCCGGGGGGTTTTTGCTCAATTGCAAACCTGCAGCATGCCATCTGAAGAACACCCGACCCGAGATTGGAAGAAGAGCATCTGCGATCTGCATCCCTGAGGCGGGCAATTTGTATCTGTAGGTGAAGGTATGGATGTCTGTATGTACCATGTACGGAAGCATCCCCGCCCCGAACACCTACAGGGTACAGAAAGCAGGGAGCATGGAGCATGGAGCATGGGTAAGTAACCTTACATTGGCACAAAGGCAGATGGAACCTCCACTCCACCATGATCTGGACAGTTTGCAATGCCGGGCCCTTCACAGCCAAGTCACTCACTCAGGCTCTCAGGGCAGGGCATCATCACTCACTGGCACCTAAAAATAAGGTGCCTACCTCAGACGGCCCGGTCCACAATGAAGCACCCACTTTATGCGGCGTCGGGGTAGTGGATCTCACCCCGTTGGTTCCATCTTGATCCTTTCTGCACGCACCTGTTCTGCGGCACCTCGTTCTGCACCTCGTTCTGCACCTTGTCCTGCACCCGCAACAGGTCCGAGTCGCCGGGTATATCTCCCGAGACACCCGCATCTCTGCATCTCTGCATCTGACATCTCACAACCATCAAATCTTCAACCGCCACACAAGCAGTCAAACCACTAAAGCAACGCAAACCACAAAAAGACTGCCGCTTTCCGGATCAACCCCGCGCGGGCAACCCACTCTCGATCGACCTGCATCCGGCAGTCCTACCTTGCTTTCTGTGGGTTGCACAGTATCCGAGACTCCCTTCTGCGTATGGCCTCTTTTTGCTCCCTAAACTGTCGGTGAAGGGCGGGCCAAGTGAAGAAAACCCGTCAAGTCGGCCTTCCGATCACCGGGTCCCCTTTCCGGCCCTTGTCGTCATCCCCCCATGCTATATCCCCCTCTTATAACCCCCCACCCCTGTTATATTTTTACCATGTTCTTTGGATAGACGTCTGTTCCCTTCTCAGTGACCAACCAACAACCCCCCCTTCCCCATTGACAATTGGGCCCCCTCCCCTGGCCTCGTTCGTCTTGAACATCGTCCCAGCTTCCCATTCCATGGCTGCCGCTTCGTTCGGTTTAGGCGGGTGGTGGGACGTTTTGTGGCCCTGTTACAGTTGCTGCCGCAAGATCTGGGTAGGTCCCGGGTCACACCAGATCCCTTCTGCAACCCCTCCACACCACCCATTCTCACCACTTCTTGCTGACACACATATTGCAGATACCTTCATCGGGACAATTCAGCCCCCAATGCCTCGGTGTCGTCGCCCACTTCCCTTTCTGGGTTGCCATCCTGACGGTAACCCTCCGCTACGGCCTTGGTCCGGCCTGGTCTGCCTACCGGCCCATCTGGCTGCGCAGGTTCGCCTCCGAGAAGGATGAGCTCTCGGCCAACGTACCCGACCAAGAGTCCGGCGCGGGGCCGGCCGTCCGGAAGTGCTGGACTGCCTGGACCCTGTCTCTCCTTTTGCTGAACTTGGGCGCCGCTGCTGTGGGAGCCATTGGTGCTTTGGCTTGGCCAGAGCACGCTCAGTTGTGCTTGACGCCTGTTGTCCCCTGCGTAAGTCACCCATTATCCTTACTATCCGGCGAATTCCCTTGAAATAGGTGCTAACGGGTTGGTTAAAGGTGATCTCAGGTCTCATTCTCTTGGTTGAGCGCCCTCGGACTGTCCCGGGGGCTGTGTTCGTCATCAACACCGTCCTGTTCTTTGTGGTGACGGCCATACTTGCGCTGATGCCCGATGCGCTCTCTGGCGGATGGCCACGCGTCCTTTCCTGGGTATCCGGAGTTGCCTTGCCCCTGGCATCCATCGCCCTAATGCTCAACATGCCCCTGAGAGACCCCTTGTTGGATAGCACGGGTATCGGGAAGCCGTTCGCCGAGCCAACCGCCACCCTCCGCAGCCCCGAAGACATCATAACTCTCTGGCAATGGATGTCAGTCTCTTGGATGGGGCCTCTCATCAAGATCGGCTACAAGAGGCAGCTCGAAGATGAAGACGTCTGGTTTCTCCCGTACGAGTGGCATCACAGCAGAGTTCACGTCCTATTTCGCGAGCTCACTGGCACCGTTTTTGTACGGTTGGTGAAGGCCAATGGTATCGATCTCCTGATCACCACGTTCCTCGGGGTCCTCGAGACATCACTCGAACTGGCGGATCCCGTCTTCCTCAAGCAGCTGCTCGGTGCATTAACTTCCAAACAGCCGGACGTCCGGGCCGCCATAGTGTATGCCGGAATCACCCTGTTCGCAAGGCTGGTCAAAACCCAGTCGGGCGTGTTCTCTCTGTGGTACTGCCGCCGCAACTATGAACGGTCTCGGGGCGAACTAATTACCATGGTCCACGAGAAGACCCTTAGGAGAAAGGCTTTCACCATCCCCAGCGGTCATGACCTTCCCTCGGAACAGCCAGGAGATCAACAAGGGGATTCCTCGCCCACGCCGGGCATCTCCACCTCAACCACGCTCACCGACGACGAGTCCAGCAACCACGACGACGCCGACGCCGACGCCGAGTCCACCAACTCGGAGCCCACCAAATTCCAAAAGCTCCGATCCCTCGTCCACCGCGGCTACAGCAGCCTCAACTCCGGAACCCCATCCCCCACCAAACAAGACCCCCCCTTCACCCCCGCCTCAACCGGCAAGGTCCTCAACCTCCTCCGGCACGACTCGTACGAAATCGCCCAGCGCTTCTGGGAAGCCCCGAACCTCACCACCAAGCCCCTCAACTTCCTCCTCTGCCTCTTCCTGCTCTGGCGCATCCTGGGGCCCGCCTCGCTCGTCGGCATCCTCATCCTGCTCGCGGGCATGGCGCTCAACGTGCTGCTGATGCGGCTGCTGCTGAGCATCGAGCGCGTGCGGCGCGACGTGACCGACGCCAAGCTGCAGCGCACCTCCCAGTTCGTCGAGGCCATCCGCCACCTGCGCTGGTACGCCTGGCAGGACGCGTGGCTGGATACGATTATGGAGAGTCGTCGGGCTGAGTTGAGGAAAAGGGTGCAGAGTAATGTGGTGGGGAAGGCGATTGCTATGGTTAATATGACGACTGCGTATCTGTTTCCCGTGGCTGGGTTCTGGGCGTATACGGTGGTGAGTGGGAAGGAGTTGACGGTGGATGTGGCGTTTCCGGCGCTGGATTTGTTTGGGATGTTGCAGAATAGTCTGAGGGAGCTGCCGGATCTGGTGACGATCTTTTTGAACTCGAGGGTGGCGATGGGGAGGATTGAGGAGTTTATGCTGGAGCCGGAGAAGGAGGAGGATGAGGGGGATCTGATCGGGCTGGGCGTCGGTGGGGATTTCGGGCCGCCCGGGGAGTTGGAGATCGTGCTCAACGATGCGACGTTTTCGTGGCCTGGGTCTGCGAAGAAGGTGTTGCGGGATGTGTCCATCACATGCGGGCCGGGCTTGACGGTGGTCTGTGGTAAGGTCGGCATCGGCAAGACGGCGTTGCTGCAGGCTATTCTGGGCGAGCTGGACCAGCGGCGGGGCGACCGCATCGTGCCGGCCGAGATGATCGGGTACTGCGCCCAGACGCCCTGGCTCGAGAGCATGAGCATTCGGCAGAATATCCTCTTCTCGGCCGTCTACGACAAGGCCCGGTTCGAGCAGGTCATCGACGCCTGCTGTCTACGCGACGATCTCAACATGTTTCGCTGCAAGGATCTCACGTTGATCGGGGAGAATGGTGTTGGGCTATCGGGCGGTCAGAGAGCCCGTGTTGCGCTGGCTAGGGCTATCTACAGCCAGGCCCGCATCTTGCTGCTCGACGACCCCATCGCGGCTCTGGACCACCATACCGCTACCGCTATCCTACGGAATCTCTTTGGCGCTAAGAACTCGCCCCTGATGGCCGGTCGGCTGGTCATGTTTGTCACCCATCGCGTGGACATCGTCACGCCCTACGCCTACCAAATCATCGAGGTTGACAAGGGAGGTCGCGTCGAGAGCTTTGACAAGAAGGACTTGGAGAACAACGAGGAGGAACTCGAGCACCTGGCCGAGATTGCTGATGCCGCCACTTCCGGGGATGACACCACGACTGCGGTGGAGGAGGACGAGCCGATCCCTGACAAGTTCATCGAGGACGAGCACCGTGTCCATGGAGGTGTTCTGGCTTCTGTTTACTGGCAATACGTCAAGGCCGGCAAGCTTCGCTGGTGGGCCACCATGGTTGGCTTCTTCACCTTGTTCCGCATCGTCAAGATCGGGTACTTCTGGTTCCTCAAGGAATGGGGCGAGCAGTACCGAGACACACCGGAGGGCGTCCACCTCGCTGGTGTAGGCGATGGGATGGTGTATGTGCCGTCTGTGGTTTCCTCACAGAGCATCATGCAGCGGCGGACCGTGACGGAGACCGGCTGGTTCGATCTCGGGCGTCGCCTACCCCCACCCAGCGAGGACGTCCGCCCATGGCTCCTCGGATTCTTCATCTTGTCCATGGTCCAGGTCCTCACTCAGACCATGTCGGATGTGGCGCTTGTGGTCATCATCTACAAGGCCGGCAAGAACCTCTTCGAGAGAGCCATGCACCGAGTCACCAACGCCACCTTCAGGTTCTACGACGTGACGCCAGTTGGTCGGTTGATGAACCGGCTGACGTCGGACATGGGCACCATCGACGGACAGATCGCAGGACAGCTGATGTCAGTAGCGTGGTACTCGCTCGGCTGGCTCTCCTCGATGGCCGTCATCTCCACGGCGACACCCACGTTTTTAGTCATCAGCATCGCCATGACGGCCCTTTTTGTCTTCATCTTTGACCGCTTCCTACCGACTTCGCAATCTCTGCGCCGCCTCGAGACCGTGTCATTGTCACCACTGTTCTCCAACTTCGGCACCCTCGTCGAAGGACTTACCACGGTGCGGGCCTTCCGCTCCGAGCCCCATTTCCAAAACCGCATCATCACGAGCTGCGACGCCTTCCAAAAGATGGACCACATGTACTGGTGCCTGCAGACCTGGCTGCAGTTCCGCTTCGACCTGCTCTCGGCCATCAGCACCTTCACCCTGACCCTGACCGCCATCCTCTCGGGTCTGTCGAGCGGCACCGTCGGCTTCGTGCTCGCGTCGGCCTCCAACTTCGTGCAGTCCACCCACAACCTCTGCCGGCGCTACGGCGAGATGCAGATGCAGTTCGTCAGCGTCGAGCGCGTCGTCGAGCTCCTCGACCTCGACCAAGAACCCCCCGGCACCGTCCAACCCCCGGCCTCATGGCCCCACTACGGCGACGACATCATCTTCGACGACGTCACGCTCCGGTACGCACCCAACCTGGACCCCGTCCTCAAGAACGTCAGCTTCACCATCCCCGGCGGCGCCAACGTGGCCGTGACGGGCCGCACGGGGTCCGGCAAGAGCACGCTGGCGCTCAGCCTGCTCGGCACGCTGCATCCGGACGCCGGCGCCGGCGGCGGCAGCATCCGCATCGGCGCGATCGACCTCGCGGGCGTCGACAAGCACGCGCTCCGCCGCAACATCACCTTTGTCGCGCAGGACCCCGTCCTCTTCCCGGGAACGCTGCGCGACAACCTCGACCCGCTCGGCGAGCGCGACGAGGCCGAGCGCGCCGACGTGCTGTGCCGCGCGCTGGGCGGCGTGGGCGAAAGCGATGGCGGTGCTTCCTTCACGCTCGACAGCCGTGTTGACGGCGGCGGCAAGAACCTCTCGCAGGGCCAGCGCCAGCTGGTCGGGCTCGGCCGTGCCATTTTGAGGCGCAGTCCGGTGGTGATTTTGGACGAGGCGACGGCGTCGATCGATGCCGAGACGGCGGCGTATATTCAGAGGCTGTTGCGGGAGGAGCTGAAGCATAGTACGGTGATTACTATTGCGCATAAGGCGGAGGCGGTGCAGGATTCGGATTTTGAGGTTGTGCTGGATCAGGGGAGGGTTTTGAGGGCGGGGCCGAGGGGGGCGAGGTTGTTGCGGGTTTGAGGGAGGGAGTAGGGTGGGTGAGTGATGGGGTTGGGGGTGTTGGCGCGGGCGGTTGGAGTCATAGGTATGGGATGATGCTTTGACTTTTTGCCTTTTCTTTTTTTTTGAGTTGCGGGGGGTTGAGTAGACTTAAAAGCATGTTAACTGGGAGCAGTCTTTGGCGTTAACGGATAACTACCTATGGTTTAGGATACAGCAAAATTATGATTCATTGGTTTAAGCAGTTCCATTGTTGACCCGGTGAGCCGTGAGCAGTTAAGGGGAGATCGAACTCGGGGAGGTGGAGGAACCATGGCCCCTGGGTTGTCCAACGCTGCCCCCCTTTCCCAGTTGTACACCATCCCATGCTGCTTTTTGGTTCTGGCTCAGATTGTCTCCGGGAGGATATGCCCCAACTCTCCCGGTCCTTAGCCGTGATATGGAAAAAGATCGAAACAGCCTATAGACCGGAAATCTCGTCGGCGCCTAGTTGGCGTATTACAGTATGAAGCCCGATTGGATGACCCTCAAGGCGTTCTGTATGTCCAAGTCCCTAGCCTTGTCCTCATCGTGATGACTTGATTCACGCCACTTCTCAACCCGCCCAACGGGGTCAATAGGTCACGAGTCCGGTTCCACGCGAAGCCTTCCGAACTCACCTTTTTCACTTTTTTGCACCCGGGTTGATAGAAACCGCGGGTTCTTTGTTATTTGAGGATTGATAACGTTGCCGAAAGAAGGAAATACCCAAAACGATGACCGAGTTAATACACGTGCTGGTCTCCATACTCCTTCGTAAGCAGTTGCGAACTCCGGGCTAATTATAGCTTCCAAAGGCACACCATCCCTGCTTAAAAGCGTCCGACAAGATGATGGACAAGAGAATTTGGAATCAAAGCAGATTTACGTTGGCATCCCTGTTCAGGATTCACAGTTGAAGGCGACTTCCCTGATCGGTCGCCAACTTGATCGACGACTCACTTCCAAAGTTGGGCGCAGTTAATTGACTCTCTCCGGCGACAAATATGCACTGCGTAACAGGACACACACGCCTCTTTTGTTTCCGAGTACTAGAAGCAAAGCAATAGCTGCTTTTCGTGTTTGTTTACGAGGGCAACTTGAAGCTCCAGACAACGAGCCGCCGTACTTGGCTCAAAATGTGGAAGGGCAGGTGCCTGGTCGTCTTCCATACAAGTAGGGACTGAGAATCAGCTCTCCAGACCAGACATGGGTAGCTCCACACTGGGCCATTAGCTCCATGATCTGGAAGCATGGTTTGGGAGGCAGGTCATCGCGTCGGATGACGTCGGGGATGGCCAACAGACACGACTCGGAGACTTGGCTGTAGGGAGCGTCGGCAACCAAGGCCGAAGACCCGCAGTAGGCAGGCGGTGACTCGGAAGAACGGCCAAGTCCAAACAACGAGCTTGACTTTGTTGGTTTGTTTGTTTTACCACATAAAACAGACGTCCTGGGAAAAGGAAACCCCTGCAGAAAGGAGTTCCTGGCACTGAAACGAAACCAACCGGAGATTCTTTGTTCTGGCCCGGGTTTGTTTGCAAGCCTGAGGTAAGAAAAGATGCCGCCAAGAGCTCGGGGAATCCAAACTGCTTTCCCGTCTGCGGGCACAAAGGTGATCGTGCTTCAGCGGCACGCTCCGCGACACGGCCAGTGTGAGATTGAGGGTTGGGCACCTCGGCAGCGGCGCACCAGGGGCCCGAGTTTTTGTGTCAGCGATATGCGCAATTCTGAATCCCATGCTGGGTCTGTGTGTTGCACCGCATTGTAAGATTCCAAAGCTAATTTCCACAGCTGAGAAGTGTTCCTATTTTTGCAGATCGTGTGTGTTGAGAAATGAAATGAAAAAAAGAAAGTCAAAATCCCCCAAAACCGAGCAAGGCCGAGATATCAACGTCAACAAGGCCACAGGCACGACAGGGTGGCGTCGTGTTCCAGCTGGAGTTTTTCAAGAGTTACAATCCCCATCCGTTGACATATCATCTTTGACGGGTTGTGACGGTTTCCCGGTTTCCGTCACAGGTGGGGATCTCTCCAGGGTTAATTTGATGGGCGGCAGGGACTGGGCCAATCAAGCCTCGCCGAGCCACACCATGTGCGGTGGTTGGGTGCATGTGGTCTCAGTTGAGTGGCTGATGGGCTGCAGTTCGGCGCCTTCCTCATTCGGGCACTGGCATCGAAAAGAAACTTCGACAGGCCCGCACTTGCCTTTGAAAGTGCAGGAGGAGAGCTGCGATCAGGCACGGAAAAGCAGGGCCGCTCCTTCTCGTCGTTCGGCAACGCCGTTGGGAAATCTGGATGGATGTCGGCTGCCCACTTGCGGGCCGTTTGGACCCACCATCCCCAGTTCTTTGTGTTTTCTGGTCCGTTCCTGACTTCCACTCGGTTCCTGTCATTTTTTGCACTTTCCCACAGGGGACTAGCAAAATCACTAGTTCGGATCAGACGGCTTTCAGGTTACACGGCTCGGTTGCCACCTGAAGTTGCGCTCGAGGTGCGCTCTCGCGCTCAAGCGCGGGTTGCGTCCGACGTTACTCCCACGTTACTCCCGCAATCTCCACGCTTCCATCGCGTCCATGCAAGGGCTCCCTCGGGAGGCCGTTGACTGGCACGACTGGTTTCCTGACCACCATCGTGGATGGGTCCAAGCTCCTCTGGGGTTTAGCCTGCCATCCTGCCGTCAGTGTGGAGCGCCCGCTGGAGAGATGGGTGGCGGCCCTGCGCGCCCTGGTCCGTTGCCCAGCGCCCAACAGCGCCGCATCGAGCTGTGAACCTCGTATTCATTCCCACGGGTTCGGTTTGCCTCCATCGCTGACCGGGGTTCAGTATCGGCCCCATCCCATCGAAGACCGATGTACCCCGGTCGCGGATCTGTGAATGATAAAGACTTCAGGCCGCCTCGAGTGCACCCCTTGATCCCTCTCTCTCCTTCTCTCACCACCACGTATAGTATATATATACATTAATACACCTTCGGGTTCCGTAGTCTCTCGCTTAGGTTCGCCTGCAGTTTTTGCAAGTACATTCGCTCAGCAAAACAAACCGCCACCATGCGCACCACCGTTCTCTCTCTCGGCGCCCTCGCCCTGGGCCTCGCCAGCGCCCACGAGTACCCCAACTGCGTGAGTTGATCTGCCTATGAGTGTATACCACCAGATACTAACTAAAGATTCAGGAGTCGGACAACTGCTACCGCAACCTGATCGACCCCCGCTTCGCTGATGAGGCTGTGTCTTGGTGTCCGGAGTTCCTGGCCGACACCACCACCGAGTCTTCGGCCATCCCCACCAACTTCAACAACTGCGACGGCAACGTCAAGGCTGTGAGCTCCGCCTGCTCGTGCATCACCTACACTGCCTCGGCCACCGCCACCAAGGAGCCCGAGCCCAGCTCCACCGAGATCCCTGAGACCACCGAGACTGAGGCCCCCGAGCCCACCACCACCACGGAGGCCCCTGAGACCACTGAGGCCCCCGAGACCACCGAGAGCGAAGCTCCTGAGCCCACCACCACCGCCACCGAGACTGACGATGACGATGATGATGAGTGCGAGGCTACCTCGACCGAAACCGAGGCCCCTGAGCCCACCACCACCGCCACCGCCACCGAGACTGATGATGATGATGATGAGTGCGAGGCCACCTCGACCGAGACTGAGGCCCCTGAGCCCACCACCACCGCCACCGCCACCGAGACTGACGATGACGATGATGAGTGCGAGGCCACCTCGACCACCGAGTGGACCACCAGCACCATCACCACCACCACCACCCGCACCATCACCTCGTGCTCCGCTTCGGTGACCGACTGCCCGGGCGGCGGCACCCCCACCGTCACCACCGAGACCATCGTCACCACCACCGTCTGCCCCGTCACTGACGAGCCCGAGCAGCCGGAGCCGACCGAGACCGACGAGCCTGAGGAGCCTGAGCCGACCGAGACCGACGAGCCCGAGCAGCCGGAGCCGACCGAGACTGACGAGCCCGAGCAGCCGGAGCCGACCGAGACTGACGAGCCTGAGGAGCCGGAGCCGACCGAGACTGACGAGCCTGAGGAGCCTGAGCCGACCGAGACTGACGAGCCTGAGGAGCCGGAGCCGACCGAGAACCCCTCCAACATCCCCAGCTTCGTCCCCACCCTGACCACCGCCTTCACCTCGGACGGCGTCGCCCAGCCCACCTCCTCCGAGCCCGTCACCGCTGGTGCCGGCCGTGCCGTTCGCGGCGTCGAGGGCATTGCTGCCCTCGCTGGTCTCTTCGCTGTTTTCCTTTAAAGGATTGATGCGGTAGACCCCGCCGCCTCTTGGAAACTAGAGGCGGCAATTGGATGGCACATGCCAGATGTGATGAGGAAATGATCTAAGCTTGCGTTTAATGTGGCGGGATGTATCACGACTCGGATTTAATCAAGAGGTATCGATACATACCCTACTTTCGATTCTTGTATATAGTTATATCGATACCTATAATGGAATACGGGTTGTCGTGCTTGCTCGTCCTGACGACGCCCGGAATCTCCACCTTTGCTACGCCTTGTCCTCCGTATCTTGTTCCACTTGCCCTTGGACTGGCCGACAGATGTGGCCATGTTTCTGGGTTTGTTAGTACCTCTACAGGGCGGTACGTGAGGAACCCGGCAAGTCCACCATGAAGGAGTGACTTGTGACTTTGGATTTGTTTCGAGTTCCACGCCTGAGGGTTCCCAGCCCCCCTGGTCTATGCCGGTGCGAACGCCCCGAGCGGCTAATCGGCGGTCATTGTTGGTCCGAGGACTGTTTTCCTCCCAACAGCCAACGAGAAACGCGGTCAAACTGTGACCAGCCTGAAATGTCGATAAGAGGTATCGCTGTTTTATCCCTTCCGTTTCAGGTGAAGTTTCGTAATTAGTGTGCTGTGCTGTTGCCTCCTACCCACCCAGTATATACCCGTTTTGCTAACTGGGCTCGTCCCACGCCTCAGACTTTGCCCTTGAAAACGTAGCCCTTCGCCTTGACAAGTTCCTCGACACCCTAACCGAGGAACAACTTAGCGATATCTTTCCCAAGCTGCGAAGACAATCCCTGGACCCGTGGTTCCAAGATCGGCCATCACCCGGACCGAAGTATGCAGTCAAAGCCATAAAGCTCTCCCGGCTACCAGCAGAATACCTGTCGACGCGGCCCTGCGTTTTCGACTTTGACCAGTCATTCATGGCACACAGCCCACCCGAAGGTCTCGCTCACGTCCCACCGGCGTACCTTGCTCCGGAATCCATCTTCTCTCTCGCCAACGGCCCAGCTGTTCTGGGACTTTCTAACCTCGGGTTCACTGGCCACCGCCATGAGAATGCTCGAAGTCTTGGGGGCCCATGCCTCAGGAATGGTATACATTCCCATTCTTCAATAACTATCCCGTTCATGGGCCTTTGCAGCCAAACGCCGAGTACCATAGACTCGAATCTATGCACATAGACGAACTTAGTCTCGAGGAGCTCGTAAGGCGCATTGTCGACCCATGCCGACCTGCAAAGAACATGTCCCCAAGAACAGGGGGTGAGAAGTATTGCACCAAGCTTCCGTTGTTGGATATCCGCGACAAGAAAGGAAAAGAATGAACTCAAGGCTGAGCACCCGACACCGATTCAAGCGCAGGATGCCGAGCGTTTTACCGACCTTCTCCGCCAGATCTTTACCTAATTATCATCCCCGCGACAAACGCATCGCTGCCAAGGAGCTCTTGAGGCACCCACGGCCGGTGGAACATGGTCAGTCGTGCATGACATAGGTGGCTCGAGAGGTGGATGATAGTAGCCCTCAGGCGGAACAACAGTCGCGGACGCACATCGCAAGGGCCCATGGTTGATCTCGCGAATCATAGTGCTATGTCCCTTAACCCACAGTTTTGGTAGCCATTATATCTTCCTCAGTAGGCGCTGGTCCTTGATAACGCCTCATCCATCTCCTCCCTATTAATGAAGATCCTTTTGAGTACCAATACTCCGGGGTTAAAATGCCGTGTATCAAAGCCGCCTTAAAGTATTCAGTACTGTACCCTTCTTTTCACGGCACTTCTCCCTGCCTATATCTGGGTGTTGTTAATCAAGGTTTCGAACGCCCAGCTCTCGGATTGATTAACCGTGTTGTCGATCTTCCGAACACGGTTGGATCGGAGAAACATCAAGGGCCCTATGGCACGAGAAAACACTGCCGGATAATTAATTAACATACGCATGCTATATGTGAGGCCTCGTCATGTGCGTGGAGTAACCTGGGTAGCGGTGTATACTGTGTACTATGTTAGAAAATACAGCCGCTGGTCGTGTGAATCTCCCCATCCCGGCGATGTCCAGACTCATTCATCATTTACGGCTCGATGACGCAAGGTTGAGATGATGTATTTCCTCGCCCTCCTCCTACTCCTCTGGAGCACCGCCTTCCCCCTTTCCACCGCTAACCCCCATAACAAAACCCTCCTACAACTCCTCCACGAAGCCGACGCCGAAGCCGACCCCCCAACATTCTCCACCCCTCTCCCACCGAGCCTCGACCCATGGTACCGTCCCCCCTTCACCTACGACTGGAGGCGAACCGAGCCAGGGCAAGTTCTCAAGGTCCGACGCGCACCCCTGCTCAACTACACCGTGCCCAACGCGCTGCGCGCCTACCAGCTCCTCTACCGCTCCACCGACAGCAACTACGACCCGGCCTGGGACGTGACGACGGTCATCATCCCCCAGCGGCACGCGCGCTGCCCCGACCCGAGCTCCAACTCCACCACCTCCACCACCTCCTCCTCCTCAACCCCCCCACACCCACACCCAAACCGAAAACCACTCACCCCCTGGTGCGCGCACGCCCTCCTCTCCTACCAGCTCCCCTACGACACCTGCAACGTCGACGCCAGCCCCTCCTACGGCCTCTACCTGGGCGACCCCTATGGCGAGATCGCCGACGCGCTCTCGCTGGGCTGGTTCGTCGCCGTGCCCGACTACGAGGGCCCGCGCGCGAGCTACGCGGCGGGCGTGCAGGCCGGGCACGCGACGCTGGACGGGGTGCGCGCGGTGCTGCAGGTGGCGGGGCATTTTGGGTTAAGGTTGGAGGTGGCCAAGGTCGCGCTGTGGGGGTATAGCGGTGGTGCGCTGGCGACGGAGTGGGCGGCCGAGCTGTCGGTGCAGTACGCGCCGAAGATGCGGATCGCGGGGTTCGCGCTGGGGGGGCTGACGCCGAATGTGACGAGCGTGACGGAGTATTTGAATGGGACCGGGGGGGCGGGGCTGATTCCGCAGGGGTTGATGGGGATTTCGTCGCAGCATTGGGATGCGCGGAGGTGGATTGTGAGTCGGTTGAAGCCGGCGCTGAGGGAGGTGTTTTTGAGTGTCAAGAAGATGACGGCGGCGCAGGCGATTCTGGCGTTTCAGTATCAGGATATCTACTCGTATTTCGTGGGGGGTTATGATGACCTGCACACGCGGGTCATGCAGAACATGTACGATGTGGACGGGTATATGGGGTATCATGGGGTGCCGAGGATGCCCGTGTTCATCTACAACGCCATCAGCGACGAGCTGAGTGATATCAAGGATGTGGACGCGCTGGTGGACAGGTTCTGTGGTGTCGGGGCCAACATCCTGTACCATCGGAACACGGTCGGGACTCATACGCAGGAGCTTGTCAACGGGAGACCGAGGGCGTTTGCCTGGCTGCGGAGTGTGTTGGATGGGAGCTATGATGAGCTCTACTCCACGTTGGGGTGCACCATCTACAATGTCACCTACAACATCGCGCCATGGGTTAGATAGGGGTAGGATAGGTTGACGATGGAATGAACAGCATGGTTCTGCCCTTTGCCGATAAACTTAGTCCCCATCACAATAAAACCCCCCTACTCCAACAACTCAAACTCCCCCGGTAGTTCCCTACCCTCAACCCAAGCCTTCACCCCCTCCGCAAACAGCTCCGGCATCTGCAAATCCCAAGCATGCACCGCCTCCCTCACCACCGCGGCCTTACACCCCTCCCTCCCCATCTCCCTCCAAACCCTCCCCATCCGCCTCGTCGCCTCCACATCATCCTGCTTCCCCCCGGCCACCGTCAAAACCCTCACCCTCCCATCCACCGCCCCCACCCTCTCCCACCCCCCCTCCCCCTCCAAAATACTCCCATACACCCCATACAACACCTCCCACCGCCGATTCCTCTTCATCTCCCCCCTCACCTCCCGATGCGGCCGCATCCCCTGCATCCCCACCATCCACTCATACACCCGCTCCGGTAGCACCTCCACCGCCCACATAAACCCATCCACCCACGCGGGCCGCGCCGCCATCCACGCGAACAACCCCCCCAGCGGCGCCGCCCCCGTCACCCACACACTGCAACACAAATCCGGGTGCCGCCGCGCCAGCTCCAGCGCGACATACCCGCCCATCGACAGGCCGACGACGTGGGCGCGGCCGTTGTGGGCGTGGGTGCGGATGAGCGGGGCGAGCGCGTCGGCCATGGAGGGGAGCGTGTAGGATTGTGGGAGGGGGGGCGTGGAGGCGGAGAAGGAGTTGGAGTGGCCTGGTAGGTCGACTAGTAAGAGGTGGTAGGCCGAGAGGTGGGGGATGACGTGGGTGTATTCGAGGTGGGAGGAGAGGAGGCCGTGCAGGAGGAGCAGGGTTGTGGGCTGGGCGGGGTTGAGGGAGAGGTGGAAGGGGGGCGGGTGGGTGAAGGGGGTCGTTTCTGGGGCAGGTTGTGTCCCGGTCCCGGTTGTTGGTGGAGGTGGGATGGCGGTTGGGTCGAGCCCTGTTGCGGAGAGGGCTGCGTCGGCCATGCTGAAGGGATGGAGGTGGCGCGAAGATGGGTTGTTCAGGATTGTATCCAGTTGATGAGAGATTCAAACCGAGAGCGGTTGCGTGGTGATGGAAACCTGGATGTTGGTCGTTTATGTATCTCGGTGTTCGGGTGGAATTTTACGCCGTGCTGATCGCGGCGCTAAGATCACGGGGGATTCTGATAGGGCTGACATGCATGCGGCTCGCAGTGAGGCGAGTTGGGGTGGGGGGATTGATCCTTGGGTTGATCCTTCTCCTCGGCGTCCTCGGGAGTCCCCTTGTTGCGCCCAATATAACTACCTAGGTACCGACAGAGCAACGGTGGTGGGTCTCTCGTTGCTCGCAGCCCGTTGGTTAACCACATACGCCACCATACCATGGTAGGAACACGGACAGGGACATCTACGGTTTAATAAGTCGCCTGCTCAATATATGAGGACTCGTGGTTATCCGGGCAGACTACCTGGGTAATTTCCGTTGTAAGATTTCAGGTTGCAAGCGTGTCACGCCTTGACCCCTACTGCTATAGTATCGCAATAGGAGGCAGCGTGTCAAGAAAGACTTCCCACTCGTGCGCCAACCCGGATTCCCACCCTGCTGGTAACATTAAGAGCTCCTTCAAGTTATAACCATGGCAGCCGAAAACACCAACTCGGCGAAACACGGCGGGACCGGCCCCTTCCCTTGCGCTTCCAGCACGAATTAGCACAAGACCATATACGGTACAGAGATATGGCTCTGAGACGGGCAAAAGGTAGACCTCTGGCGGTTCTAGGCACAAGTCTAGTCTGTCTGGTCTGATCCTGACCGTAAACTTGGCACGGGACACAGCGTCCGTCGTGTCGAACGAGGGCCCCCTTTCGGCCAGATCGTCGCCATATGATGCAAACGACCCCTTTAGAGCCTCGCACTGGACCAGCCGACCGCGGAGAACGAGAGAGGCGGGCCCCGCAGATTCCGCACCGCCCTCGTAGCCTCGGGGGTGGTCAAGCCGGACAAACCACCGTGACGGCGCCTTGAACGTGAGAAACGACACTTCTCCAGGGCAGCTAGCCCAAGACCACGACGGGAAGTGGCTGGCCAGTCCACGAGCATATTCGCCGCTGGCGCTTGTTCCGCCGTCCGATTCGACAGCCCAGACCAGTTGCTCTGCGAGAATCGGCTTCCACATGCCGGCTAGGTAGTCGGTTGCGATGGAAAGACGAAACCGGCGGGCCACGGTGTTGGCAATACCCCTGAGCGCCATCAGCCTGTCGCTGGGTTGTGTGAGCTCTGTCTGGGAGTAGTATCGCACGATGTCGCTCCAGAGCCGGTGGAGCTGGGACCGGAGCTCCTTGACGTTGTGGGTTGTGTTTGTCACTGGTTGACTCTGTAGCATCGCCTTCACTTGTGGGATACCACGTTCTGTGTTCTCCGGGTGCTCGGTTCCAAGAGGGAACGCCTCGGAAGCGTGGAAGGCGGTGCATTCCCAGAGTAGCTGATCCCCAAAGTGGACTGTCCGGCGGGACAGCAAGCGCTCTTGAAAGGTCCAACCCCTCTTGTACAGAGGCGCACGATTGAGTGCGGTCCCAAGGTGGTCGGTTCTGAAACACAACCAGTCCTTCATCCGGGCTACGGGTTCCGGTTCCGATGCGGCCAACAGACAGGGCGCCACTCGCAGTGGGTTTCGGGCGAGTTCGAGGCCCGGGGACCGTTCGGCTTCCATGGCAGCAAGATTCAGCAGCCCGCGACTGTATATCTTGTCCATCAGAGCTGCCTGGGTGGTCCAGTCCTCTTTATGATCCTGCATAATGCAGAGAGAATCGATCCACAAATAGCGAACACCCAGCTAGCGCGCGATGAAAACAGCATCTTGGTACACCTTGGGCCAGGCGTCAGTCGGGATGGACCGGTAGAAATCACGCTTGTTTAGCGTTGTGAGGCTTGTTCTTCCGGTCTCTGCCGTCCAGCGGTAACTGAGAGTGATGTACTGCCATCAATTCCTCAGCACGCACGCCGCTATCAACGTCGACGAGGTGGATGTTGTCATCGGAACCACACCCAATGTGAACGAGACGGAAGGCTGAGGCCTGTGAGAATCCGGCAGAGTCCTTGCAGTTAACGTGTTCTTCCATGCAGACACGAACCCAGTCTTTTATTTGCTGTATTGCCAGGGTATGAACGTTTGTGTCTGAGAGACTTTGGATTGCTGGAACGATGTGGGCGCCTGGTGATTGTAGAGTCCAAGCTTGCTGATCTGGCTGAGCGGTGGGGCATGGAGAGACAGGCATAAGGAACAGGGCGTTGTAATAGTCGTTGACGTCGTACTCTGCCTGCAGGGCAAAGAACCAAACGCTACGGCGCATTATATATATCTCGAACGTTGCTCCGTCGCTTCGGCCCTTTTGGGTCCCCTCGCTCTGGTCCATGCCGTTTAATATAGGATCTTGTGGACGCTGAACCTCCAGGAGCAAGGTGCATAAATGGCATTTTGTTTCGAAAGAAGAGATCCTCAACTGCAAGGTGGAGGTCTGCCGAAGTACCCGACGCCCCGCGATGGATAGGTCGGCTAATTCGTCGACCCACGGCCATCTCGTGTCGGAAGGGAAGCTTGATCGGCAGCTCTCGCAGAGATGGTTCAACCGAGGGGCAGCGACGACCTCCGGGGGCTGCTGATGCCTGGGATCCATCGTCGTGCTCGTTGGTGTCGCCCTGGCCTGATGGTCTGTGCCATCATAAACATTCACTGGGCAGGGGGGAACCTGCTGGGGGTCATGGGGTGGTTGGTCCCCGCTCCCGAGCTGCAGAGCAGCGTGGCGGCCCAACCTCGAGCCTTATGCGGCACACCATTTGCCGACACTGCGCGGACAAATGTCCTTTCTTCGACCTAGCAAATCACGGCTACGCGGGGGAAGTGAAATATAACAAAGGGAAACTTGAAACGACGACGAAGGGGGTCAGGCTTGGTTGAGTGTGGCCTCGGCCATCCTCGCGGCCCAAGACCCGGTTTGCCAGGAGGAAATTATTGTGTCCGCTGTTGCGACGGGCTATGATCAAGCTCTCAGTGTGCCTAGACGCCCATGGCAAACGTGAATAGTTTTACAGAGGCAATTAAACGTTTACTTTAAATCCAATTCTTGGTGGTGAACTACCGCGGCGTTTAGCTTCAACTCAAATATCAGGTTTAGACACCAGTATGACTGGCCGACCATGTATCCGAAGAGCCCGAAAGCTTCGGGTCCTTTTGGAATACTTTTCTGCCGCCGTCATCAGGCAGATCGGACTCCATAACCCAAGCCAGCCGGTCAATCTCGCCATTATTGCCACCGACGAAGTCTACGACGTAGTATTCCGCGGTATAGTATGTGACGGAACGACCTCTTCGGACGACCTCGTCGAAGGGCATAATCTACGTGAAGGAATCGTGATGGTAGTGCTGTAGTGTGTATGCTTGTGACGACAAGCCCTGGGTGGTCATGACCAGACTACCGGCCTGTTCTTGCACCGTAATGAAGAACGTCTTTGGCTCGTTCCAGTACGTGCCCGTGTAAGTACTCAGGGGTCTCGGTTTTGTCCCATGGGTTTTGTTGTCATCCAACTCCTTCTGGAGATTCCGCAAATGGTTGACTCCCCTATCGTGCCACTGCTTGGAGAGCGCCACGTAGTCGTTTGGCTCTTCAACGCGCAGAATGGCCTCAAGGACCAGTTGTCCGATGATGTCGGCTGTGTCAATAACCGGCATGGAGTTCTGGAGAACGACTACACCCGATTCAACTTCCGGAGCCAAGTAGACCACTGAGGTACTACCCGGCATACAACCATGATGCCAAAGTACCAGTGACGAGTTCCCCTTGCCCACGATGGGGCCCTCGCCAAACAGGGTATTTCCCGACAAGAGTCCCAGCCTCCCTGGGAGCTGAGACCTGCCCCAACCCAAGCCATAGCCTTGCTCTCTCCACGACACTCCCGGGAGCCGGGCATGATTGGTCGTGAGCATGCGGCAATTCTTCAGGGGCGAAAAGTCGGAAGCATCGGAGCCGGATGAGAATTGGAGATTCGTCTCATGCATGAAAGTCTTGTAGAATGTCAACATGTCGCGGAGTGTCGATTTGATTCCACCTGCCGCCTCCATCGCCGTCCCGTTCCCTAGAGCCGGCCTTGCAACCTCGACCGGCGAGAGGTCTTGAAGGATACCGTAGCATTTGCCCTCGTTGTCGTCCCCAAACTCCCACGCTGTCGATGTTCTTGACATGCCAAGCGGGGCGAACACCTGGCCATGTAGAAGGTCGGATATGGTCCGATTTGCAATTTTCTCCAAGACTTGGGCGGCGATGTCATAGCCCCAGTTGTTGTACTCCAAGCTCTCGCGGAAAGGTCGCGATATGGGCAGAGTCTGGAACGTCGGGAGGACCTGTGACTTGTTTAGGTAGATAACATTCTCGGCTCCCATCCAGAAATCGTCGAGACTTGCGAGGCCCGTCCGGTGGGAGAGCAAGTCAACGATGGAGCAATTCTCGTCGAGCTCTTTGCTGGCACTGGAAAACCCGGGCAACCATGTTTTGATCGGCTTGAACCAATCCAGCCCTCCTCGGTGTACCTCCATCCCAACAAGAGCTGAGACCAGGCCCTTGCTCAGGGAATTGATATTGTACCGCGTGTCATCATCTGCTTGCAGTTTGTTCTGAACGTCGCGGTAACCGAGGTGGTACGTTTCGGCGGTTTGCCCGTGTCGAATGATTCCGATGCTGACTCCCGGTGTCCCGGTAATTTCCATGATGCTCTCGATGGCGAGCAAGGCTCTCTCAAGTTCAGGATGCATGGTGGGTGATGATGGGTCGTGGACTTGGGTCTCAAGGTCGCGGTTGAAAATTCCGTCCAGAAAAGCTTTGCCGCACTTGACTTGAATAGGTAGAGTTTAAAGCAGCGCGGGAAGGTACCTAGGTAGGTACCTACGTAGTGAAATGCCTCGTAAATCCGCCGTTGAGCACACTCACAATCAGAACCTTGTGATAAAAAGCTAGATCGGCGGGAACATGAGCTGAGCGTCGAACAGTGGGTGGGGTTAGAAGACTGAATTTTAGGAGCAGTTCCCAAGAAGCCATGGCCATGGGTAATTATGTATGTGCTTGCTGCTAAAAGCCTGAAGGATGGTTTGCGTTGAGCATTCCAGTGACCGCTGGTAAAACCAGCCACGGCCTTTCCCTCAGCACAGTGTCTACTTCAACCAGTGCCCCTTAATAAACTCGACCCCCTCAGCCAGCCACTCATCCTGCAGCGAACTGACCGCATCAAACGCGTGATCCCCCTCCCGAACGGTATACCTAACCACCGCGCGCGGCCTCTCCCTCTTCAACATATCCACCAACTGATCGGCCGCCTCCTTCGCCACCAGGGTATCCTGCTCCCCCTGAATGACCCACACCGCCGGCGGCACCTCCTCGGCCCTCGCCAGCGCGTACCTCAGCGTCAGCCTGCCCTCGGGATCCTCCCCCAACAGCCCGCGCAGCCGGCCATTCTGCAGCGCCGCCACCGCCAGATCCGCCAGCCCCGGCCACGCCGTCGCCACCCTCATCGCGCCCGGCTCCAGCCCGCGCACATACCCATCCACCACCGCATCCAGCGCCGCGTCGGGCGGGTCCGGGCGCGGGTTGAACGCCGGCAGGTCCGGGAAGATGCCCGGGTACTGCGCAATCACGGCGCGCAGGCCGCGCGCGGGGCCGCTAAATTGCAGCGCCGACTGCAGCGCCAGGTAGCCGCCCGCGCTCTCGCCGATCGCCGCGATGCGGTTGAGGTCGGGGCTGAGGTGCGGAAATTGGGCGCGGATTGTGCCCGGCAGCGCCGCGTGCAGCCAGGTCCAGAAGTCGGCGATGTCGTCGAGGATTTCGACGGCGGGGGTTTCGGGCGCGAGGCGGTAGGCTGGGGAGAGGAAGATCGCGCCGGCGGTGTGGGCGAAGTCGCGCACCCTTTTGAGGGGGCCGGTGGGGTTAGCTTTTTGGGGGGGGGGGGGGGGATGGGGTCGGTGGTTGGGAGGATCTGGAGGGGGTGACGAACCAGTCTCCGAGAAAGAGGAGGTCGGGAGCAGCGCCCGTTATAAGGGCTCCGCCGTGGAAGTGAACCAATACCGGTGCGGTTGCGGCCGCGGTGCTTGAGGAGACCGTCTTCGGGATGAAGATGGCCGTTTCGAGCGCCGTGTTGTTTACAGTTTTGTAGGCCACATTAATGCGGTCAAATCTGGTTTCCAAGTCGGCAGCGACCCTTGCGCTTGCTTCAGCCAGGTCGGCCATCTTAATTGTTTGGTAGGCGAGTTGATGAGGTGTAAAGTAATATGGCTGCGGGCTGTGAAAACCAAAAGGTATCAGCGGTGGGCAATGGGGGGAGGTCGTTGTTAATGATAGATAAGTGAGGATTCAGTAGGTAGTCAATGGGTACAGCGCGCATTTCAAACCCACATGTCCCGCTTGACACTCCACGCATTATACATATATGTACAAGCATGACAAACCTCTTTGCCGAGCTTGATTATCAATCGTCGGAAGAGAAGCGTGGCGGCCGAGTCCCGCTCGAAGGGGCTCGACCGCAACCTTGTCTTCGTTCCTATTGGCCCCTTCGGTCCCTCGGCCGCAAGCCCAAGGCAGCCACGTCGTCCGTCTACACCCTGCGAGCAGTCGATGGCAAGGACTGAGAGGAGGCTTGTTTTAGTTAGTTAGACTAACGTAGAAGGTACATAGAACGCCGGCTATTGCTCGTCCCCATCCTTAAACCGGCCTATCTTCCCTACTCGGTCACTATCCCACAACACATAAGCGCGGTCGCGGAGCCAGGTTTTTAGCCCAGGTATAAACGATTCGGGCATCCCCGACCCTACATTTTCAGTGCGCCACGCTTTATACGGGCCCAAGTCTGTGTCCTCGTCGCTAGGATGGCCAAATTCATGCAGCCCGACTCGGTCGCACGCCTCTTCAAAATCCTGTGATATGCCGTCGCCGAAATAAACGTAGCCCAGGATCTCAGGCAGCTCTACATTGACCTTGTCGAGGACAGACGCCTCGAGGCCAGTGTTCAAGATGTTCTGCTGGTCCTCCCAAGAGGGGGCGTTTGTGAGCTTGCTGACGAATTCGACACCTTGAGCCAGCTACGGTTCGAAATGTCAGCAGTCTCCACCGCAAAGTACCAGGGGCTCTATAGTAACACGCGGGCAGCTCACCCAGCAGAGCTTGAAGGGCTCATCAAGAAAGTCTTGCTCATCTTTGTCGACGGCGTTTATATTGCGGTTAGCTAATACTACACGCCAATGTCAGATTACGTTCATCGGAGGGGTACTCGCCCTTCTTTTTCGGTAAAAGGCTGGCAAACCTTGGTCAAGCTTTGTTTCCAGATAACAACAGATACAACCGAGCTGCTCGTTCTCCCAAGGGGGTTGCCTCCAGAAGAACCAGCGGTTTGCATCGTCGGTGAAGGCGCGCCCCCGAAAGAGCGTATAAAACAGCTCGACTCGGTAAAAGGCGCGACAAAAACGAAAGATCTCGGATGGGGAGAGGGGCAGACAAGTCGATGTAGCTCCGTTCCTATCAAGAGAGATACGCTCCAGGGCGAGGGCGGCAAAGTCGGTCGCTGAGGCGAGTATAGCGCTGTGAGTATCGCTCATCCGTCGTACCAGGCTGGTCGGCAGTTGTTGCGCGCGGACGGCGAGGCGAGCTGGCCGGAAATAGAGGTCATTGAGCAGGTTGATAACCGGGTTGTCGGCAAGGGGGCGAGGGAGTTGCGATGCCTCCACCAAGGCGACGGCATACGGAAGGAGGAGGGTATTAGGGCTGATCTGGTGGGCGATGTTCGATGGCCCCATCCCATGGCCTCCATTGAAGAAATGCCGGCATGCAGGGGCGAGAGGGGGCAGAAAGCAGGGACGAGCCAACCTCATCGGGCCTACTTCCTTGTAGAGCAGTTTGGTGGCCAAAGGCATTGTGACAACCTCCTGGAATTCAAGAGGGGGGTAGCCGGGCACCCGCTGACCAAAAGAAAGAGGCGAACACCAAAAGGAAAAGGAAAAAGGAAAAGGGAAAATAAGAAACTTAGCAACAAGAATTAAGTGAAAGAATAATTCGAGGGAAATAGATCAAATAAAAGATGTCGAGTAAAGTAAAAAGTAAATCGAGTTGGGCTTTTCTTACCCGTGAGGTGACAGGAACGGCGAGGATGGGGGGGGGAGAAGTGATGGGGAAGAACACAATACTCGAGAGCCGGATTCGCACACCTGGTAAAATCCTCTAACTACCGTATAGTCGGCCTCCCTGACAGCTGGCTCTGCTGGTGGTGAGGTCATTATCCAATTATGAGTTCGGTTGTAGTGCTTCTGTATAGATGGTTGCGTCACCACTTTAGCTACCTACCTTAGCCAACGAACAACTACCTACCTAGCTATTATCCCTCCTAGAGACACCCCTCCAATCATTTGCTTGCGTGGCTATATTCGAGTCCGGCCGCTTCAACATCGACCCGGCCAAGCTCCACTGCAGTTGTAGAGCAGTTTGGTAGCCAAAGGCATTGTGACCACTGACACCCTCCTGGAATACGGGTGCCGTCTCCTTGAAAGGTGCATCGGTCTTGAACCATCCCCCGGCAGTTGTTCCCGATCTACGCGGGTGTTGTTGTCGGCGCCCAGAGTCGAGAACAACGGGACGGCAAGGGAGCTTAGGTAGTCGGCCCCATTTATCTGGTTGGTGCGAGCTGCATCTCCACAAGCGACTGGCCGGGATTTAAAGGAGGGGCAGTTTGGGCTGCGTTGCCAAGGGGACTTCCCTCACTCAGCATCACATATGACTTAGTAAGTGGGTGCCGTCTCCAACAGCATGCAAATAGGTGGGAGGAACCGCGCGGGCCAATGCACAGGTCCAGTTATCACTCATGCCGTAGTTTAAAAGAAGACACATCGCCAACCGACATCTGACTCTCTGCAACACCCTCAGCTGCCCACAGCCCAGCCGACAGTCCCAAAGTACATCGTCTTCCGACAGTCGCCAACAGTCGACAACACCGGCGGCAGCAGCCATGGCATCCCAGCAGGCGCCCTCTGTCCTCCCCGAGACAGCTGCTGACGACGAGCGCCGTCTACTCTACCAGTCCTACATTGACCACTGCAATGCGCACAACTTTGAGGCTATGGAGAAGTTCTACACAACACCAACTCTTAACGTCAACGACGAGCCCTGGCCTACCCCGAAAGTTACCGCGCAGTTCAAGCCACTCGTGGAAGGCTTCCCGGACTGGAAATGGGAGATTCGCCACTTCGCAATCGATGGCGATTACTTGTCGCTGCACTTCCGCGTATCGGGCACGCACCTCGGCATCTTCCAGGGCATTGCACCGACAGGCCGAAAGGTTGCCACAACGCAGTTCACGCTGTATCATCTTGTTGACGGAAAATACGCCGATGTTTGGGACATGACAGACATGGAGGCTTTGATGAAGCAAATTCAGTAGGCTGGAGACAAGTAGTGGAGCGGACCATGCAACCGAAGGTCAAATAAGCCTGCGTCAGGGCATTGCCCATTTCCGAGCTGTAGTTTACATTAAACCCTATATATTCTACTACGGCATTGTCGCAGGAGCCGTTCATAGTTCAGCCGATTCCTCTATATGCAGGTGCTAGCTGGCAGTCAGCGTTTTGCTGGGTAGCGTTATACTCAGCAGTCAGCCCAAATCAATGGCTGGCGATTTCGACTGAAATTTCGTCCAGGTACTTCATAGTTCTCTCAATGAAGCACCAGACAGGGCAGCATCATCATCACTTGCGTCTGCCGCCTCGACTCCGCTAAATCCTCGCTGTCGTCGTCCAAACACGTTAGGTACGATAGCACCAGGCGCGCGTACTTTTTACCCATGCGCGGTGCTTGTCTGCCCCCCCTCCTTCGGCTTCTCAGACATACACATCGCTTGATCCTCCGTCTTCTTCCCTATCCTGCCTGCCTCCAGAAGCATGTTTGGCTCTGTGTTGAGATTAGGTTAGCGCGGGATCAATGTTTAGAACATCCCCTTGACAAGGGTTTTGGAGGGTGGTCACTGCTCGGTAAGGATGTAAACAGCCGTGGTGATACCAACACCGAGAGACAGGTATACGTCTTAGAACAACGAAGTCGTGTTGAGACTTTCGGAATTCATGGCATACGGGCAATCTTATTGGGGGCACCGCCTTGGGAGGATCTCTACCTGATCCTTCGGATTTCCAGTTCGAGTACCATGCAAAGAGAAGTCAAGTGACTTTTTTGTCCCTGTGTCATCGGCATGAACTATCTCGTCTTCCATCCCGAAACCTCTAATCAGAGACGTAGAGCGTGTGGCAGACAGATCCTCGACACTCTTAGGACAGACAACCAACTACGGTACCGCGGTAGCCAACAACATCTCAACTGGCCGGAACGGCAGCAAGTAAGCTCCACAAGTGGTCCCTGGTCCCATTGTCCTCGTGCTGGACAACATCGGCACTATTCGCCGTAGACTCTCTGTCCACACCAGCCACGAGCCCACTGTTCATATTCAAGATAAGAAACAGCCCATTGCTGTTGGACTGCACTCGCCAGAGATGGTCGTCGGTCCCGCTGTCCTCGTACTGCTGAAGACGTGCACTGTTGGCCTTGGACGCGCCCTCCACCGCGAGCAGCAGCCCGCTATTGACATTTTTGATCTTGTACCACCCACCGGCCGTCTTGACGAACTGCCAGAGATGATCCCGCGTTCCGTTGTCGTCGTACTGCTGGATGTTGGCACCGGGAGATTTTGACTCTTTTTCGACGCCCATGAGCTTGCCACTGTTTTCGTTCCGAATCTGAAATATTGCCGCCGTCCAGACTTCGAACTCGGAGAGGCCCCAGCCCGTTCCGCCACCTGCGTTGGGGGCCACGACCCGCAATTGCGAAGCGGTGATGACTGGAAATGTGATCTGGGTTTGGGCGTTCGACGTCGAGGCGGCGGCGCTCCGCTGCTGTCCGGGGACCGTCGTCCAGATTCCGCTACCGGACAAGTACTGTAGGTCGTAGCGCAAAGGCAGTCTGACGCCGCCACCGTCGTCGTAGAAGTACAGGAGGACGTCGGACACGGCCTGTGGTCGTCGCAAATCCACGCCGAAGTAGTCCTGCGCATTGGGGCTGTTGTACGAAGTCCAGCGGCTGTTTTGGGGGACAGCGGTGCGAAAGATGATGCCATCAACGGCCCTCCAGACATCGTCATGCGGGGAAGTGTAGGAGGCAAAGGGCCTGGTCCCTTGAGCAAACCTCTGCGTGTTGGCCGCGATGTTGACCTGCGACGAGATTACTTGGTTGACGGCCGGGCCGACGTCAACTGAGAGCAAACCCAGGGTGCTACGGTTAGCCCTTAGGTTCCCGTCAACATAGACATGCAAGCCTGCGCCCTGCCCGTACCGCTGGCCAGTCTTGTCCCAGATGACGGTGATGGTGTGTCCGTGGTATGCAACGTGCTCCAGCGCAAAGTACTCCCAGATGGCAGGGGCTAAGGGGTTGACCTTGAGCGTGTTGTCTGCTTGCCCGCGCAGCCCGAGAAGTCCGGCGATAATGTTGTCGATGAAGGTGGAGTGGTTGTAGTCCTCGCTGTGATTAGGGGTGTCGTACATCCACCTATCAGCATCCGGATCATGAGCTTCGGCGACATATGGCTTGCCATCCTTATGCTGAGTGGCGACGTATCCACGAAGAAGGTTGAAGTAATCCGTCGCCGAGATAGATGACTGCGCTGGATAGTCGTGGAGCAGGTTTTCCACCGCGGCGAGAACTTGCGAAGTGGCAAACGGCCATGACGGGCCATTCCATTGAAGGCAGTTGGCACCCCGGTTCATGAACCACTTGCTTCGTCGTTCGGCGGTGGTAGGTCCGTAGGCGGATGCAAAGCCCTGGGGATCCTTGAGCTGGGCGAACGCGGCAGTGTCAGAAACTTGGGGCATGTTGAACATCCATGGCACATAACCCATGTACTCTCGCGTCGTGAGCAGCTCTCCGCTTGGGTTGTTGTCTCTGGCCCGGTGTTTGAAGAACTGGCTCTGACCATCCCACAGGCTGTTCTGCATCGCAGTGCGCAGGTTGTCGGCTCGTCTGGAGTACTCATCGGCCACAGCTGTCTGGCCGCTCAAGCCGGCAATGGATGCAATGGCCCGCGCATCTCCGTATTGGTAGGCGTTGATGGTAGGTCTGTATCCAGCGCCGCCGTGATAAGGGTCACTCGACTCGTAGGAGGCAGCCGAGCATTCTGTGGCATCCCAGACAGGAACTTGCCAATAAAGCCCGAGGTCCGCATTGAAGTGACTGTCCCAGCCGCGGTATTGTTTGACGAGATTGTCCAACTGGCCGATGGCAAAGTCTCGGTCACCAGTCACTAGGTACTGGCGCCAGACAGCGCTGGCTGCCCAGAAGCTGTACTCATGTGCCCAGTCCGAGGTATCGGGGTTGACTTCCTCGTTTCGTGGCTTGCTGAACTGCCCGGGGCCGGCGAGCCAGTAGTTGACAATGTCTTTACCGTATCTCTGGTCGCGCAGCCATCGGCCTTCGATAATGTGGTGTCCCGCAGCGGCGACAATGCCTCCGTACGGCGCCCCATAACTGACGGGCTGCAGGAACTCGCTGGACAGGTAGCCGTATTGCGCCCCGGTGTAGGTGAGGTGTTCCTTGTAGGTTTGAAGGCGGTAGTAATACAATTCTTGGATTTGGGAGTCGGGGACTTCGAGGAACGGAACGTTGTGCTCATACCAGCTGAGATCTTCGACGCCGGCCAGCAACTGGCCATGATTCAGGAAGCTGGTGCCTATGGAAGCAGAAGGGTTCGAAAATACAATGGCAACGGCACCAAGAACAGGCACGTTGCAGAACTTCATATTGCTCCACGGACTCTCGCTGACTCTGACCCGGGCAAGTCTGTGCGTGAGTGCGTTACTAAAAGAGTGATGAGAGCCTTTTCCGGGAGGCTAGCAAGGCTCGAGTGTGGGCTATGGCGGTGAGGAGGGAAAGGAGGACAAAGTTTGGGTTATGGGGTTTCTGGCCAGGACTCGGGATGTTGTGACCTGAGGAAAAGCCGCAAGGCAGCAGTCAATCAGGGTTGCCTTGACATGTCCGGGACTGGAGGTTTCCCTGTGTCTACACTCGCACAAGGGTTTCGTTTTGTCGTTCTGGACTTGACACGGTCCTCGTGCCTGGAAGAGCATGTCTCATTTGTGGATATCCCACGCTCTTTTCCACAGGTCCTATTTCTGAAGAATTTTAATCCAGTCGGTAACGTTACTTGTCTTCTTCAGAAACAAACCCCCAAGCATCCTGCAGGTGTGTGTAGCAAGAACCAACCGCATAATTATTTGGGGGCCAAAGAACTAACCCGAGGGAAAGATCGAGAACAAACAGGGGCCGGAGAAACTCAGTCGTATTCGTATGCGTATTCGTGTTTGCATAACTACTGGGGGCGAAAGCACTCGTCGCGTTACAATGAGAGGGCTAAAAAACCACGACAGGGCCGAAGAACTAACAGGATATCAATATTGATTTTGATGTACGGTGAAGTTAGGCTCCTAGAGGTTTGCAAAGGACGCCGAGTTTAAAGAGTGCGACCTTCGATGGCACCTAGGTTCTGTCCTGTTGCTGATATGCTTTTGACAGGTAGCTATTATTACAGTACGGTCTATAGATTAGGTTGCTTGCTGTGAGATTCAGCAACGTCAAAACTCCCGTCGGACTTGACAACCTGGAAGGTTTATGCACGACAACGGCAACGACAAGGGCAACGGAAAGGAAGCCAACGAGCTTGTGCGGGAGCCAAACGGCAGTGGCGAAGGCCCCCTGGGATGGGATGGTCCTCGGCAGCTGCTACCTAGCGCGGCAGATAGACATCTTGGAGCACATACTCGCCGTCCGCAGGAAAGGGTTGCGCTGGGGGCGTCGGCCTAGCAATGCGTTGATCAAGGACCCAGCAAAGCGGTGGTCGAGGCACAGGGTGCCTTTTCCCCATGGAGACAAACAGTAACCAACTATTGAATTCATTCATTGCGTACTGTTGCAATCCCATGTGGTGTCTTACGGAGCCAACATTACAGTGTGAAACGCCTAATGACCCTATATAGACCCGGGAATTACACACCCGTGGGTAGGTACTTATGGGTCGATGTCGCCAGGGCTGGTTTGGGTTCGTTCTCACCTACCTAACCCCAAGGGAAAACGAGTCCGGGTAGGTTAGACCCAAATGTAAATGGGTTTAGGTAGGATTTCTGAAGCATGCTCGTGTTTATGAAATTCCATAACGGTGAGCTGTAAAGAATTCCCACGGTCAGTAAACCGGATCACTGGGGTCGAAGGAATCCCCATTCTTTAATTCCCTTATCATCGCGCCGCTCTCATCCAAAATACGAAGTTGAGCGGTGGCGGTGATGGAGCTAATATACATAAACCAGGGGTTCCAACAAGGAGCTCACCGGCAACAATATGTACATGTATGGTTTATAAGAGGATATTCAATGTGGCAACCGATCCGAAAACCCGGACTAAAAAGCAATACCGGATACACCCTTCCTGCCGATGCTGCTAAGCTGTCCATGCCGTGGTCGTCAAGGGCAACAACCACGGCGATGACGACGGGCCGGCCAACGGACGACACACAGTCTCAACTTTGCCGTGCGTTACGTGGGTAAGGAAACCGGAGGTAGGAAAGGAAACCGCGGCACTGTCCGCCCTGACTGTCTGGAGGCCAGACCAGCGGACGTGGACTCGGCCCTCCCAGACCATGGCAACGCAATATACGGCCGGGATATCGGCACTCAGAGAAATGGTGGTGCTCCATGACAGTTCCGTCGACCGACCAAAACTTTTCTCATGGCTTTCGGTAGTTCCATAACCCCAGGTGGCGCTAAAACCCAAGTCGAGAACGCTGGGGAGCGATGTCATAAACGTCGTCTGGAGCGAAAAGTCGGTGCTAGATCCGATCGAGAAGGTCGTCGAGACGTCGCGGGTATCGGTGCCCGCAAAGTTCCAGGAGTAATCGGTGCCGTTCCACACCGCGCTGCCCTCTTTGAGAGTTACTAGATGGAGACCGTCGGTGCCGGCAGGTGTCTCGAAAACGACATTGTCGACGACCGAACTCGACAGTGTCTTGAGAAATATGGGGGCGATCTGGTCCAACCCATCACCTGCTCTCCCCTGAAGCCCGACCAGCACGCCAGAGCCCACGTCCACAGCCTTGCTAGAAAGCTTGGCCGTGTTGTCGATACCAAAACCCCACGAGCGCTGGCTGGTTGTAACGTCGATTCGGCCAACCCGCGCGGCGGGAGCTTTCCTCCCCAGGGAAAAGAAACCGCTCCACGACCACGAGGGAAGAAAGGCCCACAGAGTCATCCCTGTGATGAGATCGTTGCTGGACAAAGCGAACTCCGAGAACGAGAATTGGTCCTTGTGGGCACCGGCGCGCATCTCGGCCCCGTCGGAAAAGACGACGACGGCCCCACGGAGGTACCCGATGTTGCCATTGTTGCGGTATAGCCGCAGCATCCGCACCGACGAGCCAGCCGGACCGAGGATGGTAAAGGGCGCACCCCCAACGGCAGACCCAACACCGGTGGGTTTGACGAAGAGGTCAGGATTCCATGATGCCGCGGTAGACAAGCCGAAGTGGGTAGCGCAGAGAAGGAGGGAGCCCAATGAAAGTGGCGAAAGTCGGAGACGGCGGAGACTGTGACAGGAGATCAATGCCGTCGGGAGGTCCACAAGGAAATTGACAGCGACGGTGACGGCCACAAAGGCTGCGATGCAAAGACACCGATGCATTGGCGCTGCGAAGAAGGGTGAGTAAAAAATACCAGACAACAGCCGGGATGGGTAACAGGACAAGGGAAGGGACTTACAAAATGGGTTCTCGCGAGTAAACGAAACCAAGGTGTACTAATCGCTACACAATCGATGCTTGTCCAGGCTTGCGTGGTGATGTTTGGTCCATCGTCATGTCGCACCTACTGCAAGTTGGGTCATTGTTCGATGGAGGTATCAATGGATCTATCATTCGCGCCTACCTTACTACTCGCCTAGACATTCTAAAATACTCTACCATACCCCCTGCACCTACCGTGCCTGCTCTGGATCTCCCGGGAAATTTACGGCAGGGAGGTATAAACAGTGATGTCACGAAAGGAAGTTTATACTTTTTAATATTCTGGGCTCGCCTTGCCCTGGTTTCTTCATGATGCGAAACATTGAACTCGATCGATCAGTGTTTACTTTCCACTGTTCTTTGACGTAGAAGGTGGGTACCAGGTACCTTGGTTAGGGAAATGGCTTGGAACGCAAGTGACAGAGATTGAACAGAAAAGGGCGTGCCTTCTCAACGGTCCCAGAATGGAGCCAACCCGGACCATGGTGGAGCAAAAAGCAGCAAAAACATACAACACCGGGGATTCGCTGGTCGTCACCGACCCAACTACTGATCCGGCGGTCGCGAGTTTATCTAGGGGAGAGCGGACGGGATCCCGAGTTTTCTAGCGCCTATGGTCGTATGTGATAGATGAGGATTGGTGTTGTGTATATCAAGGGGCCACCCGGTCCAGCGCCGCCGGATGCTCACACGCCACCCATCAGCTGACTACACAAATACGATATCACAGATTTAGTGCTGCAGTTAGATTGGTACACACTCCTACCACTGCACCACCTAGGCGGTTTGCTGTGACTGTTGAAAAGCTAACTGGAACAGCGCAACCTATATTCCCTTCCCACCAAGTTACGATTTCACGAGCAACTTACAACGTACTCAGCACATTCAAACTTTGAAAGTACCATTTCAAAGGCTGTGACACCCTTTGATGATACGTACCTACTGACCTAAACTGGCTAAACCCGTCCAGCGAGAAGTTTTGTCTAAGCCTACTAGCTTTGTCTCATTTCTGTGAGTTGAGCAAGTGGGTCGAGGTATGTACAAGTTGGAATTTAATTTTCAAGAAAGGCCGAGGCAACGTGCCAAGTAGACTTAGGCGATGGACGGACTTGTTTGAAACTCGCTAAGTGTGTTGGTGATATTTGTTGTAGAACTCTCCTCCTGGGTACTAAACCTGGTTGGCAATGGAGATGCATTGCTCTGCATAAAAGCCATCAGTACTTCAAGGCAAGGGATGGCAGGTGAAGAAATCTTCCTCGTATTTGGAATTCCGAGCCAGGGCTACGCAAACCTCTGCGTTCGCCGTCAACGGCACCACATCCTGCCCACCACATCGCTTTTCTTCCCTCCACTCTCCCGCCCAAGGAGTCTAGTTTTCAGTTGTAGGCCCCACCCCCCTATATATCGTCTAAGCCCACGCGTATCCCCTCTCCCCCCTAAACACAAAAGCCTGCCGTCTCCCCAAACATTATCACCTCACGAACCTATGTCCTATGTCCGGTCGACACTCCACTGCTCCGTCACCTGAATGCTCTGCTTCTTCTGCCCATGCCTCTGCCCATGCCTCCCCGCCTCGACATCACTCACAGCCGTCTTCACCCTGGACTCCGACCCCAGGATCTCCTCCTCGCTCCCATTCCACTCCAACCCTCCGACGGCCGTCGCCTCGTGAAACGGACCATCCATACCCACCTTGGCGCCCGAGAGGGTCGCGGCGCCGGCACCGCCGGCACCCCCCTTGCTGTCGGTATCCGAGATGATATCGCTGGAGCTGTCGCCGGCGGCGTTGTTGTTGGGGTGGGACCCGGCTTGGTGGGCGCGGCCCGGCATGGTGCCGCCGCCAAAGGTGCGCAGGCCGTACCCGCGGTGGGAGTTGTCCTCGCCGCTGCGGCCCTTTTGTTTTTGGTATCCGCCCGACCCGACCCCGGACCCGTACCCGTAACTGAGCATCCGGTCGAGCCATTGCTTGTAGAGCGGACGGCAGATGGGGATGCCGATGCAGACCATGGTGACGGCGATCTCGGCGGCGGACCAGACGATCAGGCCGACTGTGTCATCTGTTTTTTGTGTGGTGGGGTTAGGGGGTGGTCCAACACGCTGTGGCATGGGAGATTGAGGGGGTGCTTACAGGGATAGTCGGCGCTGGAGAGATTGGGGACTTCGATTGTGCGCTTGATACCGCATGCCCCGGCGCTGTGTCACGGTGTTAGATGGAGAAGAAAGGCTGAACAACGGGGACGGGGAACGTACAACAGGCCCAAGCTCAGACTTATCGCGATGACCATCTTCTCGCGTTGGTTCATCTGGAGCTTCCACAGGAACAGCCACGGGAACAGGGCAAAAAAGAAGTCTGCTATGACGCAGAGAACTGTGTGTTGATCCCGGTTAGCAATGTGGGCGTGTAAATGAATGAGGGGATGGGCTGGCCACTTACTGCACAGAGTAAAAGATACAGGGGTCGTGTTAATGTGGCAGTAACCACCTGGAATGCGCCGGTCGTACAGGTAGGCTGGCGGTGTGCATTGCAGCCAGAAGACGAAGCAGACCGAGATGGAGGCCGCCATCAAACTGCCCATGGTGACCCAGATGGCGATTTTGTGCCATGCCTGTGTGACAAGACGCAGCAAGAAGAGACCCAGCGACCACTTCGCCACGGCCATACCGATGACGGCAAATACTTGTCCAATGGCCTCAAAGAGAATGGTATTGGCCAGGTCGTCCAAGTCGCCTATCTCGGCAACGCGTTGCCCGAATCCGTAGTGAGCCGAGACGGTTGTCATCGTGGTGTAGCACACAAGGAGGAACTGGAAAGGGCGGGGGAGTCAACAGCCGGCTCTGCGATGAATCCGTGGAGCCTGAGACTTACAAATGCAAAGTTGTAAACATGGTCGTCCACGCCGTAACTCTGTACTACCCGAATCCGTGTGTATGCGCGGAGGATCACGAAGATGAAGGTCACGGCCGTCACAATCCACATGACTGCGATGGCCCAAGGGCCTTGGCCTCCTATAGCCATCTCGGCGGCTGTTGGCGACGGGAACTGGAATGGAAACGGGGATGGTAACGAGAAGGGCAACCAGAACGGCGGGTTTCGAAACGAGCGGGTGTCGGTGCTCTAAAGTGGATTATCGGGTTGGAAAGAGCGCAGGCTTGAAACGGAGGACGTCGCTTGTCCTTGACTCCCGACTCCTTATAATACCACGAGCCAGCCTATCCGATGAAGTTGAAGAGGAGTATTCCAAGCCACCTACCACCATATCCGTCCAGCGATATGCACCCCTAGTTCGAAAGTCGAGAAAAAAGAAGCATAATGCTGCGCCGCCTGACTCCCATCTGGGATCAGCTGCATTTTTCAATCGAGGACCGAGACACAGGCGGCGCCTCATCCAGGTTGCCGGGCCCTCGTCAAGCGCTCGTCAACCCTCGTCGAGCTCGAACTCAAAGTGACACACACTCCTCCCGTCAGGGGGTTCCAGTCTCCAGGGAACGCAATTCCACCTGCTTCTTGGATCCTCCAGCCACAAAAAGCAAAAGACGGTGGCGATCCAGTCTCGAGCCAGTGATGAAGAGAGACGCGCTCCTTTCCCAATGCTGGGAGTGGCCCATGTCGAAAAGCCAAGCCACCACCGGCAGAGCTTCCGGAAACCGAGCGTTGGGCTCCGCCGTTAGACGAGGATGGTGAGTGGATTCGGAGACAGGGGGGAACTTGCCGGGTACCTATGCAGTTAACCGAAGAACTTCAGGATTGTGTTCCACGGGGGTTGTGCGAACGCATCGAGTAAATGATTGCACAAGTGTCGCAAGACGCTCCATCTTTATCGGTCTTGGGCGTCGAATTTGTGGATCCATCACAGCAACCGAAACCCGACGAGGCAACTGTGTGTAACGACTTGGCACTTCGTATTCTGTTCTGCTGTGGGAGTGTGCCCAGGTCTTGGAAAGCAAAGACTGCAAAATGAGTCGAGGCTTGGGAGGACTTGAGGAAGAAGTCGTCGTTCGCCATGCGGCGCGAGATATCACGACGACGAGCCGGTGACGGCAGGCTTTTCACTCTCCACGAGAGGGAGACAGGTCATGTTTTCCGCGCCTATCTCGGAAATTCTGAAGATAAGGAGGCAAAAAGGCCAATGAAAAACAGAACCAGGAGAACGGCCAAATCGAAGACCAGGCAACGATGCCGCCATTGGTAGGCGTCGAACCCGCCCCCCGCTCCTTCCAGTCCCGAAGCGACGTTGAACCACGAGAGTTCTTGTTTGCCGTAACACTGCGACGCGGTTGCAGGAACTTCCTGTGGGGCATTTCTCGGAAATAAACTCAGCGATTTGAAGAACAGCCAAACGAAACGTGGAATTCTGCGTGTTTAATCCTCTCCAGTGGCCTCGGGCGGCCTGCGAACACGGGTGTGCTCTCCCGTCCCGTCCCTTCCATCCCAAACTCGCATCGGTCGGGAGACTGAATCGTGGAGATTTGGCTTCTGGAAGGAACGGCGGGTTTTCGTGTTTTCGGTTTCGCTAATGAACAATAACGGCCTGACTAAAAATAACATGGTTTCCCCTTCCCCCCTTTCTCTCTTTTTCTTCAACCGTTGCCGAGCTTGAAGACTGCAACGGCGTCCGGGTTTACCGTATGTTGAACCCGACCGGCAACACACAGTCCCCTGTGCTCAGCCAAGGACTCTGCTTTCTGGACACAGGAGCCTCTTCGCTCCACTCATTCACGTCCTGACCCCCAAAAATGGCTGCGGTACTTTTCAGTTAAGCCAAGCCCAGTCGCGGGAGCATTCCACCACTGTAACACCAGCAACGACTCGGAACGCACCCTGTACCCCTCGTCTCCCCTCGTCCAACCCGACATGTTGCAACCAGACCTGCAGCAGCCGCGATCGGCAGCGAGAAACCGACGAGACCTCCCCTCCCTCCCAAAGTCCACTCCACCCTCCCCCCCGCGCCCCTGATCGTTCTGCCATGGAAATAACCGTCGCTCGATCAGTTGGCACGCGCAGCCAGACTCGTCCGCAGCGCTCGTCCGATAGCATATGACAACGACACCGTGGGTGAAATCCCAGCGACGCCAGGCAGCATGGCTGCTCCGAGGCCACAACCATCACTGGTACCGCAGCCGAGCCTGAGATCGGAGGAAGGGTGTTTGGCTACCAGCACCGACAGGAAATATTACCGCCGCGGCAACGCCTTCATCAAACGCTGCCTTCGTCCCCGCGAGTTCCTGCATGGCCCCCAAGGGACGACCCACTATCCCCGGTTACGGAAGGAGTCCCTCAAGAACGAGGCCGACACGCTACGTTTCATAAACCGGCACACCGAGATCCCTGTTCCTCTTCTGTTTTGCGACTTCGAGGACGATGATGCGTATTACCTCATCACCCAATACATCGAGGGTGTCAGCATGGCCGACCTGCCGGAACACCAAAAGGACGTGGTCATCGCCGAGCTGGAAAACCACCTGGCCCGTCTCAAGACCCTCAAGTCGAACCGCATGGGCGGGCCATCTGGAATTGTGATACCGCCTTACCGGGTACTGTGCGAGACGGAGAGGGACAACTGGGAACTCCGCCCATCTGATCACGCCGAGTACGTGTTTTGCCACAACGACTGCTCCCAGCACAACATCATCGTCAACCCGACCACCCTCAAGATTGCCGCCATCGTGGACTGGGAATACGCCGGCTTCTACCCGGAGTATTTCGAATTCCCCTTCTACAGGCGAAAGGGGCCGTCCGTGGCGCTAGGTGAGGAGGAGGATGATACGGTCAAGATGCTCAATTTCCTCAACTCGCAGTTGACGTGGGAGGTATGAACGACAGCGATCATCCCGTCGGCGGTTCCGATTGTCACTAACGCCTCGCATGATCCAGGCCCAACAAACTCACCCATGCCCGTGATATCCATCTGATTCCCACTCAAACGTCACCTCGCGCGTAGGTGTATTCAAGGATTTGGGAGAATTCTCCGCCGAGCCAGGTTCATGTTCTCTCATCCATAAATTTTGAAAATGAAATCAATGTTGATCCACAGCATAAACTTTATCCTTGCAATTGGTTACATTCACGGACATGCAACAAAACCGTGCCATGCAATAGACGGGGAGGATTCGGGGAAACAGGGGGAGAGCGCCCCGGCGCGGGAGGGTGAGTTGGTTTCTTGGCAGCTTGGTTGGTGCTTCTGGGGAGCTTCCCCATTTGGGGCTGCACGGCTGTCCCCATCTCCCAGGATGCGAGTTCTTCCATCACCTTTATGTATGTACAAGTCCTGCCGCATGCGGAGATCGTTTACCGAGGAATGTTTCAGCCATGATCAAAAGCGTCACCTGGGCATTCCTTTCTCGTTAATACCTGCCTCTTGCCCTTTCCTAATCAACACGAAACTGCATTCTCTTTTGTAATGAAGCGAGACGGTGTGAGTTGTGTGCGGAATCCACCTGTTGGTAACCTCGCGTGCCTCGTTGGAGACTTGAAGTCATGGACCCTGAAAATCCTTCCATCCTTTCCACTCTTACCCCATGCAAGGGTTAATGTGAGTGTCCCATTCGAGGATGAAGGCAATGATCTACGGGGCAAGAACCGGTTCCGCGGTGGGGAAGCAAATGATTTCCGAATTCCGACAATCCAGCCGTTGATGAACACGGCAATAGCGCCGCTAGCTCGGGCGGCAATTGCTTGTCGCGTCCGCGGCCGGGTTCCGTGAACCGGCTCGAACCGGGCAGACAACAACGTCCTGAGACAGGGGCGGCGTTCCTCGGGGTAAGGGCAGGGATGAAGACGAAGTCCTCCTCTCCATGCCGTGGTGCCGTTGTTGCTTTTCCCACGCACCGGGGGTCTGGACCCGGCTGGCACGCCTGCCTTGGCTGGGTCCTTTGCTCCACAGCAGAAATGATATTGTCGGCGACCAGCTCCGGCGCCGCACAAGTCGTCCGCCTCATCTGCTCGCTCGCCCCCCGGGGCCCGGGCATGCCTGATATTGCTTCTGTCGATTCTCATCACCATCAACTCCAGCAGCGTCTGCACGGAAACGATGGTGAGAGTCTGGACGTCTCTGTCAGTGGCGAAACGGGTTAGGTAGGTGGACTGGTTCATCGATCACAGTCCTCAAACTGCACTGCCTGCATTAGCGTCCCCCTGGCTGGGACCAACTCCGAAGGAAGGATGAGCGTCTTGGTGTTAAGGGGGTCGTCGGTGGAGGAGTTGTGAAGACATTAAAGCACACCGGCACTCCCCCGGTGGAAAGCTCTTGTGGCGCCCAGGGGCTCTCTGTCTGGTTCAAGCCGGCCACCCATCCATCACCCTTTTGACAACATGTCGTCCTCTCTCGAGTCACCGCTCCTGCTGCGACAGGGGCTGGTGTTGCTGAACGCCCCCGCCGTCTCGTGGCTGGCTGCGGCCCTTGTCCTTCCGCTCACGCTCGTCGCGTGGTTCACCGTCTCCTGGGCGTCGTCGCCCCTCCGAAAGTACCCCGGGCCATTTCTTGCAGGTATTGCGTGCTCTCTTCCCCATACCCGTACCGTCGGGATGCTTACTCGGCCCCCAAACTAGGGTTCACAAACCTCTGGCGCGTCGCCCAGGTGCAGTCCGGCAGCTATCATCTGCGGATGAAGAAGCTTCACGAGCAATATGGCCCCGTTGTCCGTATTGGGCCCAACCTGCTCGACCTCGACTATCCGGAGCTCATCAAGACCATCTACACCACAGATGGAAAATGGCGCAAGGTAAGAAGGAGTACGAGGATATCAAGATGAAGCGTTGGCTGACTGGTCGTGACGTGACAGACGGAGTTCTATGAGAACAACTCGGCCATGGTCAACGGCAAGCAAACCTTCCACATGTTCAGCACCACCGACCAAGCCGAGCATGCCCGCATGAAGCGTCCCGTCGCCAAGTACTTCTCTCTCGGCCACGTGCTCGCCCTCGAGCCGCACATGGACACTGTCATCACCGACCTGATGAAGAACCTCGATGACCGTTTCGTCAACCCCAAGAAGACGTGTGACCTTGGCGAATGGGTAGGCTTCTGTAAGTCTTCCTCTCACATCACACCCCTCCCATGAAGCCCACACCATCCCTGACTAACACCGGTTCACAGACGCCTGGGACCTGATCAGCTCGGCAACCTTCTCGCGGCGCTTCGGCTACATGGACGCCGGGCACGACTTCGACCAGACCATCAGCATCGCCGACAAGGCGCTCGACTACTTCAGCGCGGTCGGCCAGATCCCCTGGGTGGACTACCTCCTCGACAAGAACCCGGTCATGCGCATCGGCCCGCCCAACCTCAGCAACATCACGCGCATCTCGCTCGAATCCCTCATCGCGCGCATGCAAGGAAAAGACACCAACTTCAACCCCTCCATGCCCGACTACCTGCAACACTTCCTCGACTCCAAGGTCGCGCACCCAGAGCTCGTCGACGACGGCATCATCATGGGCTACCTGCTGGTCAACATGCTCGCGGGCGCCGACACGACCGCCATCACCATCCGCGCGGTGTTCTACTTCTGCCTGCGCCACCCGGACACCTACCGCCGCCTCGTCGCCGAGGTGCGCGCCGCCGGCTTCGACCGCGACCGTCCCGCCCCCTACGCCGCCGCCCGCCAGCTGCCCTATCTTGAAGCCGTCGTGCGCGAGGCCATGCGCCTGCACCCGGCCGTCAGCATGCCGCTGGAGCGCTACGTGCCCGCGGAAGGGCTGACGCTGCCCGACGGAAGGTATGTGCCGGCCGGTGCGGCGGTCGGGTTGAATGCGTATGTGGTCGGGAGGAATGTCGGGGTTTGGGGTGAGGATGCCGAGGCGTTCCGCCCCGACCGCTGGTTGCAGGGTGAGGGGGAGGCGGATGAGGACTTTAAGGTGCGGCTGCAGAAGATGCACGCGGCGGACTTGACGTTTGGTGGTGGCTCGCGCATCTGCACCGGGCGGAATCTGGCGCTGGTGGAGGTGTACAAGATTGTTGCCACGCTGGTGAACCGGTATGAGATCGATTTTGAGGATCCGAACAAGGAGTGGGAGGTGTTGTGCAGATGGTTTGCGAGACAGAAGGGGCTGGTTACGAAGATCAGCATGAGGGTGTAATTAATGGAGGAGAGAAGATGGTGTTTCTTGTGTCGGTAGCAGAGTACATGTACGTGTAGAGTAGAGATCCAGATTCAGATTGATAACACATGTTGGCGGAGGTAATCAAGAGGCTAAATAAAGCTAATGGTGTGTAACAATAACACAAAGTCGAGTCTTCGTGCAACCCAAACGCAGCCGCACCTCCGTGTTCATCTTTGAAGCTTCAGTTTAAAAATGGGTTCACTAATTTCATTTAGCCCTGATGGCTTTGGCAGCTAATAGGCAGCGCTTTCAGGTTGTTCCTTCCCTCTGTTAAGCACAGGCAAGTCCACAAAGTGGCCCTTCAAATCTGGTCCTTCCAGTCCAAAAGCTCAACCTTGCTTCTTCAATTTCCAACTCCTTCCTCACCACTTCAGGTTCGACTTAAAAAGTCAGAATAGCACCAGCCTCACCCGGCACCGTCCCTGCAACCGCACCCGACCCGAGCAGCGAGTACTCGTACCCAACCGAGTCCGTCGCCATATTCCCCTCCGGCGCATCGTTTACGCCACCACCGAGGTCGGTGTCAATAACCGTGGCATATCTGGAAACATGTCAGCCACTGCTCCTTAACGCAACCGCACGAAATAAATAAACCGCGAACTTACCCGACCTCGTCCGAGTAGCGGCTGGTAACGGGAGCCTCCACGTTCTTGAAGACGTTGCTCTGAACGAGCACCTGAGCGCCCATGCGCGTGTTGATGGCCGTGCCCATGCTAAGTGGTGGATAGTCTGTCAGCTTGCCTGTCGCATTTAACTGCGTGTATCGACACTAGTGCGGGCGCCTTACTTCTCAAAGTACGAGTTGTAGATGTGTCCCGTGCCGAACCGGAACAACGGGCCGCGCGAGTTGATGTCCTTCCAGTGGTTGTTGGCGTACGTGACGTGGAGCTTGCCCGAATCCTCGTCCCCGTTGCTGTCGCTGTGTCCGGCGAGGGAAGCCTTCCAGTGGTCGTGGAAGTAGGTGCTGGCGGATATCAGCTCTGGAACCCAGGCGGAGACAAGGGGAATAAACATACTGGGAAATGGTGACGAAGTCAGAGCCATGCGAGGAGTCCACCAGCCCGTCGTAAAAGTCCTTGTCGTCAACGAGCGCCGAGTAAAATTCGCAGTGGTCGACCCAGACATTGGTGCTTCCCTACCAGTCAGAGCGTTAGGTGTCGGGTAACCAGTCAAGGACAAGGCCGAGTATGTACCTCGATTTTCAGCGCATCGCCCTGGTCAGCCTCAACGAACGAGGAGACAAGGTTGCGCACGATGAGGTTGCTCTGGCGCCTGAAGTGGAGGCCAATGCCCTTCAAGCCTGAGGAGTTGTAAGTTTCAATCCATCACCGCTAATGCTTGAAAATGGTTAAGCTTACCCGATCCAGGCAAACCAATGATGCTCCTGTTGCTGCCAACCCGCACCTTCTCGTTGCCACTGATGACTCCCTGGACAAAGATTACGGCCGGGTCGCTGACCTTCTCGTTGACGGCCTCGGTGAACTGCGCTAGCGTTGACACCGTTGTCACGGTACCACCCGCACCTCCCTTCGTCCTAACCACGGGGAACCCGTAAGCACATTGCCTATGCGTCTCAGACGGTCGACTATCTTACCCGCCGTTGAGCGTCGCGAATCCTATGTTGGCCGCATCTGAGATTCCCGCCCTCTTTGCCATTCGAGGCGTTCCAGCTTCGGGCTGGGTAGGAGTCGGCGAGGCCGTGGCCAGGGCCAGAAGCGAGGCGACAGCGAAAAGCTTCATGTTGGGTGGATGTTGAGACAATCGAACGAAAATGACAGTCAAGTGAAGCTGTCTGAATGGCGTCGGTGCCAGAAGGGGTGGAGTTTGGCGAGTATGTGGCTGCTGGATACGAAGTCGACTTCTACGATGAACCCGGGCCTCCCAGCTTTTATGGACAGAATCTCTCCATGATGTCGTCAAGCTTTCCGGCCCCTCGGCGTCGGGGTGAGCACGATTCCACGCGAAGCCCGCAGCATTCAGCTAATCTTTGGCGGAGAATCTCCAAATCTAGTCACATTCGGCAGCCTCCCTCCGCCTCCCCCCTGGAAGGGCCAGGAGGGTCAGGTGCTAAACTGTTTCGACAAACACGACCAAGAGTGCCGGACCCGCTGTAGAGTTCTGATTATCGCCCTCTAATCTGCGATGCTCGTCGTATTTCCACGATGTGACACGCCAAGGCCACGTAGTTTGTTTCACGCTCTTCCCCACATTCTTCCTATGCAGGTTATACTACCGATGTCCCGAGGCCATGGTCGCAGCTTCGACGCAGTTATTCCCGCGGCGGTCCACACTGGACCGGGCAGTTGGGGAAGCTCGGAAGCTATCTTGCGCTCCTCGGTGCCCAAGATTCAATTCCCCACCAATCCCACGTTTTCTCCGTTTCCACACTGGAATACACGAGTCAAGTCGACAAGGTGAATATCGTATTTAAACCTCAGTCTCTACATGCAGAACGTCACGGTTGAGAATACACGGGATAATTCCTCGGGGTGGTCCTCATTCGACAACCCTCCAAGACAAGACAACACCGGGTTGGCGCGATTCCGGAGTCATTCTCGTCCGGAACCTACGTTCTAAGTTTGGAGCGCATGCCAGAGAGGGGAAATGCGGCCTGCTTCTGCCTCTGTCTGCAAGAGGGAACGCTGGGCTCCAGATGGGGAGGTATCCACGCACTAATTATGGCGTTGTCTCGGGAGTGGAACAGCCAGGCCCCGGTCTGACCCACGGCTCGGGAGGGAAAGGGGGCTCTCAGCATCATCGACCGCAACAGCTTACCTCACGCAACTTGTTTCTCGCAGACCAATGGGACATACGCACAATGTCTAGTTTGTCGCCTCGTCGCCTCTGTACTCCAATCCCGTTCAAGAGCTTCAAGAACTAAGGCAAACAGGTTACTAGTATTCATTGCGATAAGCTGAACATCAATACAACCAACACCAGTCTGAACCGGGAGACAAACGAGACCCTGTATCTTCTTACTCTTGGCTCACCCTTCCGCTGCCAGAAGGACCCTTAACAACCACAGGCGTCTCCTTGCCCTGCCGATTCTTCCTCAGCCTTCTCACCTCAGCCCAGATGGCAACACCCATCCACAACCCCCACATGACACCAGCGACAATGGCGTACACCCTCTTGTGGTAGGCCGAAGCTTCCGCAAGATACAGCCCGAGGCCACCGTTGATAATGCCCAGGCTGATCCCAACACGCCCGATGGTGAGATGCACGTACGACCACACCTGACGTTTCTGCACCTTCTTGAACACTCTGTGGTGAATGAAACCAACCACCGGCTGGACAACCAACAACACCAGCAAGACCAACCCAATAATGGGGTGGTACCTCGTCGACGGGCTTTCAAACTATTACCAAACCAGTCAGCACAACACCTCACCAGACCACAACCCCCCCTCCCCAACGAACCAAACCGCAAAAGAAAAAAGAAAAAGGAAAAAAACTTACAAACCCCTCCCCCGGAAACACCCCATCCACCAAACTAACCAAATAGATCCCGATCCCCACCGCCGCCACGTACACCGCCCACGCCAGCATCTGAAACCCGGCATGCACCCAGATCGCAAACCGGCCCGGCACGACCCGCAGGATGACCGACCCGACGGGGAACAGGATCACCATGGCCGACGCCGCCAAGATGCCGTGGATCCGCCGGTAGTCGAGCAGCTGCGCGAAGTCGACGCTCGCAGCGCCGCCGGGGGGGAAGGCGCCGCCGCCGGTGCCGGATCCGCTGCCGCCGGTCCAGGTCGCGTCGTCGGGCGGGGGGTTGTTGCTTGCCGTGTTGGAGTCCGTGTCGGTGGGGTCGGTCGTGGAGCTGCCGCTCCAGTCGCCGCCACCGCTGCTGCCGTAGCCGCCGCGGGCGGATACGGTGAGGACTGTGGGTGGTTGGTCGGTGGTTAGTTGGGGGTGTTGGGAGGGAAGAGGGGAGGGGAGTTGAGAGAGCGGCGTCTACGACGTACCCAGCCATGAGAGGGCCAGCAGCAGGGCTAGCTGGTGGTATGTGTGATGTTGAATCATTGTGCCGTTAGGGACTTTATCTCAAGGCGGGGTTCTGCGTGTGTGTGTGCCTCTGGCTCGAGCGGAAGAGAGCATAGAGTGGAGATGAGGAGCGGGACTCCGACGGTGGCACGAGGGAGGGGGGTTAGGGGAATTTATGAAACAGCCCGGACAGGCGCACGCCACATTCACAAGCCGCCACATTCACGAGTCGATACTTGCGGCACGAGGGGAGAGTTACACATAGTTGTGAGCGTTTGCCGGCTACTAGCAGGCGGCCTCACTTTGTGCTCAGGTAGGTAGTCATCGCGAAGACAATCGATTTTTTATGCTGTGCCAGCGCCACGACCAAAGTCGGTTGTTGATGGGGCCAATCCGGTAGCACGAACCGCGCGTCCTGGGTGGCAGGGCAAGAAGTTTGTCTTGCTTTGTCCATTCGTGGTGTAGGGTAAGACGGGTCGGGACCGAGCCGGACTTGGCTCCAAGCACGATCCCGCGTCGATGGGAGCGGGATTCGATTGATGGACCTGCAGCCAAGATGTCGTGCACCGACGGGACCACCAACTCATCAATATGCCACGCGGGCAAGGCTGACGGTCCACCTGGCCAAAAAATGCCGAACTCTGAAAAGAGGTGCAGACAAGGCAAGATGGTTTCGCGAGCCACCAAGGGGATCGAGCTGAACAGGGTCTTCTCCGTCTTTACTGTCGTCACCGTTATTTTAAGGCCCATCAGCTTCCTCGCTATAGATTTGCCAGCCTCTTACTATTTATTACCTGCTCCTTACATAGGTTGCTTCCTTGGCGTTTATCAGCTATGTCAACGCCACGTCAAGGAAGTTCGTCGTCGTTCTCATCAGTGAGGTGAATTGGTTGATCAGGCGAGAATGTCTTGAGCGCATCAGACCTTGGCCTCGAAGGTTGCGTGACAGCCTGAAGAGATAGTTCCTGCATTGCGGTTACTGCCGAAGACTTCGAAAAAGATGGGAAATGAAGGGCCAGCGTTGCGTTAGATTCGCGTCCTCGTACGGTCCCGCCGTGCCCGCCGTATAAATAGAGCCCCTCCTGCCCAACGTCCCTTTCTTATACTCTCGACCTTCTCTCCCCCCTTCATCGCCTTCGCTCGGTCCCTATCTCCTCATCTCCTTTGCCTTCCCCTACCCCCTTCATTCTGTAGCTTGCTAGCCAATATCGCTCGCGCTCCGATACCCGTTTCGCCACGCCGGATACCTCATCCTTGCCCTCTTTGGCGTCCCCTAGCTGCCCGCTGTCGCGCCGCTAATAGAGACATTCTCGGACTTTACCTCGTCTTATTACAACCTTTGGCTTGATAGGTTAAGGGCTGTGATTCGTGGCGATACGATATCCTACGGTGTCCGCCTTTTCTTGGGCTCCTTTCTATCTCGGTAATGATATGATTGGTAGAGTTACGAGGGACCGGTGAGCCGATACCTGAAACGGTCTATAAGGGATACCTAAGTAGGTATCCATAATTTATCCATGATTGAAAATTCACAACTGTGGCCTGCCCGTTTCATTGTTTTGTTGCCTGAGCTGTGCCTCCTTGATACCCTCCGATCGGGGCTCGCTTGGCGCCGGCCATGCAAGCATGCAAGTAGCCCACTACCTTAGGTAGATAGACCACACTCGGTGAAGTTGAATACCTATTAAAGACTCCCCATTTCACAAGATAGTCGCGCTTTCATCGCACAGCATCTACACAACAACAATAACATCTACACATCAACAGTGTCTACCTTCATCGCACAGCATCTAAGGTGGTTGGTTCATTACATAGCATCTCCAACTTTTATCGCCTAACATTTCCTAGCTCTTAGTACAAAAAGCCATCTACTGACTACCGACAAACGCTCACCATCGCTCACCATCGTTCACCATGCCGCCGAACACCACACGTCCCACTGCTTCTGCTCAGGCTCAAACCAGTACCGGAACCAGCGGCAAAGCCGGTACCGCCAAATCCAGTACCGGAACCAGCGGCAAAGCCGGTACCGCCAAAGCCAGTACTAGTACCGGAACCAGCGGCAAAGCCGGTACCACCAAAGCCAGTACCGGAACCAGCAGCAAAGCCGGTAACGGAGCTAGCGAAGCTAGCAGTTCAAGCTGTATATCTGTCTTCGTTTATGGTACGTAGAAGCTATACACCTCTTCGTACATGCAGCTTTTAGTGCTGTTTTCTGTCTGTACCCAACGGCTAACCATTTTCATATGATAGGCCCACTGGTATAGCAGCCTGGAGACTATCACCCCTAGATTCCAAGCAGGACACTACTTACTAACTAACCACTATATAGTCCATACAGGAAATCTTCTTCAAAGTCTGCTACGGAAATAAAAACCCTGGCCCGAGAACTCGCAATTACCATGGTTTCAAGTCCGCCACAATCGGTGGCTACCAGCGCCTCTGCGTTAAAAACAACGAGCTGCCGGGCATCACCCCGAAACCGGGCCTCACGACCGGTGGCATTGTCATTACGGGGCTTACCGGTCCGAAGTTGAAGAAGCTGGACGCATTTGCAGGTGACCGGTACGTGCGGAGGTCCGTCACTGCCAATATAACTAAGAGGCTCCCAAACAACATGCTCGCCGACGGCGAGAATGTGGCGGTCCAAACCTATGTCTTCAAGAACGCGAACGACCTTGAGATGTTCGAGGAGTGGTAAGCAACCCCGCTTTCTAATTCAGTACCGAGTATCTCGCTTTTCTTTTTATTTCTTTTGGATTTGGGAACGGGTTTGGGATAGTAGACTGACAAAAACAACCGCGTAGGGACCTCGAAAAGTTCTACCGTGAGTCCAGGGCAAAGTACACGGATTAAGTCTGGTGGCACCTGGGGACAAAGGGACAACCAACTTTGATATCCTACACCGTCATACAAATAACCCGCAGAATCGAGGCTGGCCCTTGAGATCACGTGGTGTTTTGGGGTACGGATAGGAGCCATGTAGTCGGAAACAGTGCCAGGGCCGCTTATTTGTCTTGCGGGAAAGGGTAGCATAGAGTGCTGGGGTGGGGGAGAATACGTGGTCCGGTAGTTTGGCCCTGGAGGCCAGTATTGAATGAAAAGTAAGGTACAAGAAGGTGCAAGCCTGAGACCTTGAGAATCCTGCGTGTCATGCCCCTCAAAATACTACCTGAGTGAGTTGGCGTAGATGCCTGATTGTATAGTGTGTTGGGCGCGTCCCGCCTGGCCACCTCACTGCCAACCAACCTCGATGTAGATGTCCACCCGTTTAACACTCAACAAGTAGGATGCATAATGAATAGACCAACAACAAGTACCTCCTTGTTTCATACCCAGAGGTGAGGTGTTTACTTCCGGGTATGTCAGCTATCAACACTGGACCTTCCCGACCGGCTTGGTGTCCGAGCGGACGTTCCTGCTGAATCCTCCGGTAACCCCTTACGATCCTGTTTGGTCGGCTTGGCCACATTGCCGCGCTTCTGTAGGCTCTTCAAGCTCTGGAGCCCTGTCCTGAGAATCGCTTGTTTTGCTTCCAGACGTTTTCTCTCTTGGGAAGATTCTGGGGTTTCTCCTGCGAGATGGGATAAGTCCTCATCACTCATCTCCGGGAAACCGCTCGATCGATAAAGTGTCGGGATCTTGTCAACGAGACGGTTCTCAATCGCCAAGACGCTCACGTCATCGATGAACCTTCTCAACGCTACCTGAAAGTGGAGTGAATACCTATGTCAGCACCATTTGGTTGGCTTTGATGGACTGAAGGAAACACTTGGGAAGTACCTCGTAGTAAGCCTCCATGTAGTCCACCGCTAAAGCGCTCCCGAACTGCTCCATGTCGAGCTCGACTCCCTCTCCAGTAATGTTCAAGAGCTGTATTGGATTCACCATGATCTTTTTGTCCGCATCATCGAAGGTGTGCAGTCCAAACGTCTGGCGGATTAGCTTTTGGACCTTGCGTCTGCGTCTGTCCTGCTGAATTCGCTGAACGGTCTCGGTGAGCTGGGGATTGTACGTGATGGTATGCTGCACGACGGAATCAAGCAGCTCGTGGACTTGAGCGTCCAGGTCGACCTTCAGCTCCTCGATTCCCTGGCGAACAGATCTTAGAACGCCTTCAGAAACATCGCTCGCGGTAATGTGCTCGACTATCTCCTGGGTTGTCTGATGCGCGGCTTCCAGTATGTCCTCCACCAGGAGGCTCGTAATCCTCTCCCAAGGCTCGCATTGCGCGACGAATAGGTCGCTAACAACTAGCGGGTTGAAGAGACCTGGAAGTTCTCGACCTTTGCTGTACTTGAGGCGACTCGCAACGTCCTTTACATATTCAGACCGGGAGATCCGAGGCGAGTCTCGGATTTCGCGGTCTCTGCTATCCTCATCCTCCGAGTCGACGATGAACTGGCTCTGGCCGTTCAGCCGCATCTCATCGGCGAATTCACGAAGTCGGCACTGCACCACGGCCCTCAACCTTCTTCGGAACTTGTCGATCTCCTTCCGCTTGCCAAAGAAATGATACGCGGTGTATGTACCCTCAACCGCCTGCGTCGCCAGCGACGTGTACTCCTCGCTGACGCGCAGCAGGTAGCTCAGCTGCTGCTGGCGGGTTTCCCGTTCTGGCCCCAGTCGCTTCAACCTAGCATCGCAGTCGTCAATGCCAACCTTCACATCCTGCACAAGGCTCTCGAGCTGGTCGAGAATCTGGTCCCTCAACAACGCGCTGAGCCTCGTCCTCAGGGCCGCCACTCCGCAGTGGGAGGCGTCGATGGAAGCCCACAACCCTTTGGAGAAGAACTCACTCTCGATCTTGTCGCGTTCGGCCGAGCTAACACTGCGCTTAAGCTCGTCGAAGTTTCGGTTTTTTAGAACGTGCCAGCCGAGACGAAGCTCCTCCTCCTTGTTCTGGGCCAGACGAACAAAGTAACTCTCCGAGTCGGAGCCGACGTCCAAGGTGTCAGGCTTGGTGACGAGGCCCATGGTGCGCAGCCCTTCTGGGTCGGCAAGTCTGGCCATCGACGTGACGTCCTGCAGGACGTACTCGTACTTGGCCGAGACAACGGTGAGGATGATGCTGCGCGGCCGCGCCATGTACCGCTCCACCATGTCGCGGACGATGTGGACGTCGGCGTCGGATTGCTCCTTGTTTCCCCTCCTGAAGAGGCCGGGGAGATCCACCATGGTGAGGTGAGGCTGCTCTGGCCCGGTGAGCTCGACGCGGAGGATGTCGTCGAAGAACTCCCTGCCTCTGCTGGTGCTTCCGCCAGCGGTGGCGGCAGTGGCGGCGGCAGTGGCGGCGGCAGTCGGGTCAGCCATGACGCGCTCCGCCTCTTCCGTCACTGAGCCCAGCCCTTCCGTGCCAATGTCCGCTTTAGGTTGCCAACTCTTGAGGATTTCCCTATCCTCTCCAAATCGAGTTTCGCTCGGAATGATGGACACTTTAGTGTTCGTGTCGGGGCCCCGTCGAAGGACCAGCTCGGTGGCGAAACGAGTGCAGAGACCGTCCTTGGTGGGGAATGGCATGCGGGAGATGGCCTCGAGGACAGAACTCTTCCCCGCAGACTGGTCCCCGCAGACGATGATCTCAGGTAGGTCGACATAGTGGCTGACTCCCTGCGAACGAAGGCTGTCGATGATGTCCAGGAGGTCCCGGTGGTCTCCCACGGCGATGTTTGTGTCCGGCATCTTTGCCTCAGGTACCAACATGAAGACAGCGTACTTCTATGGCGATGGATTGAATGCAACAAGTGGTCGACTGGGCGGCTGGACGATGAGGCGGTATTGATTTCGAGGGGGGTCGGGCACAAGTTTCCAATCCCGCCGAAGAGGTGCTGGTCGTGAATATCATGTACAATGCCACCCACATGTGCCAGGCCACCCACATGGATGAGGCCACCCACATGTGCAAGGCCAGCCACATGTGGTAGGCCTCCCGCAGGGCTCACCGAGACTGGCTGCAGCATCTCTGCACTGCTGTTGGCCCGCGTCTGCAGTAAACGGACGAATAAGGTCAAGGCTGCATGCAGCCTGTGAAAAGGTCCGACGTGCACCAGTAACATGGAAGTCATTGCATTCTATGTCCCGCGACCTTGATCGTCAAGCGCTGCGCGCGCACTCTAACCTAGTACCTAGGAACTAGGTACCCATTCCGTCGGTGCCGTTGCCGTTCTGGTCAAGGAGGGGCCTGCAGTCGAATCTTGTGTCTTGGGCCGCCGGGGAGCCGTCAGGGCGACCTTGAGCTCCCGCTTTAACAACTCCTCAATTCTTTTGCTGAGTCGCCAAAATGGGGTGTTTTTGTTGTATACTCCACGGACTTCTGTGTAGTACGGCGGCGGCATCCATGACGAGTATATCTTCTGGTGACAAGCCTCTACCTGTAGTCCGAGTGGATGACGGAGCAGATACTCGTGGCAGTCAAAGCAGGCCTTCTTGCTCGTTCCCATGAACTTCATCTGGGGAACCAAGCTCGGGTTCTCTTCGTAAAAGACGACGAGTTGCATTTCGGCGTGTAGGGTCAGTTCCTGGTGGCATGCTTTGCGCAGCAGGCCTTCAACATCCTCTGTGCCCAAGTGCTTTTTCAACAGCTCCATGGTCATCCCTGCGGCACCTTTGTCAACGAGGCTCTCGACAGTTGTCAGAAGGTGTGCTTTCTCTTTGGAGACAAAGAATTTAAGCGAACTCGGAGCCTTGACCTCTTGAACGTGAATACCTGCCAAGACTTCGGGCTGCTTCGCCGCAAGCTTTACCATGGACTTGACGGCGGCTTTATAGCGGGCGATCTTGTGCAGGCTGTCCAGCCAAGGCGGCATTTTTGTGTCCACAAGCCCGAAGAGTACTCTTAGCTCCCGAGGATAGTCCCACCTCGCCTGTGCTGCCCAGTTAATGAGGGTGGCAATGGTCCCAGGACCCCAGGCTTGCACACGTTCGGCCTTGAAAGGGCAACTCGCCAGCCAAAGTGTCAGCTCGGACGTTGCCGCCGTTGGCTCTAGCTTCACTTTACCGGCAAGAAGCCTGGAGTGCGCCTCTCGTACAACATCGCCGATCCGTTGCTTCTCAATCTTCAGTGCCATTGGCAAAATTCGGCCTCTGTCGAGTTCGGCTACCAGGCTGAGAACTTCGGACTCCCCTTGCAAGCATGGCTTTTCTGCATCGCAAGCTGCGTCAGCAAAACCTCGGAGTACTAGGTATTTCGGGGAATAGATACTTACCCTTTCGAGCGATTTCTTGGAGTATTTGCAGTACCTTTTGAAGGCCGGCCAGGTCCTCCCGCGACAAGCCGCGGTTACGGGCTACACGCAGGACAGCTCCGGACGGGACATGTTGTTCCAAGCAGACGGCCGAGGCTGTTTCCGCTCCCGATCCGGAAGTTGAACAGATAAGAGCAAATGAGGCAACGAACTTCTGTTTGAGCCGCTGGCCCCCTGAAGTGTCGCCATCTGGGTTGTCGTCGAGGAATGTTCTCGTCGGTTGCCCTCGAACAGGGTCGATCAAGCGAAGTAATGTTGATTGCACCACAAAGCGTTCGCGCTGTTGTTTAGGAACCTGAATCGGGCCTGCCTTCTTTGCGGGCGCCGACATCCTGAGGTGATACGCAGAATTGACTTCGCCGACGAGTGCGGCCCCGGCTGTGTGACTGAGTGGAATCGAGTCGTGAGGAGACGGACGACGACTCGGAGCGCTTGACTCTCTGTTGGAGTGAACGGCCATTGACCCCACTCTTTCTCGCCGGCTTCCAGCAGCCGGACCTCTAATCTGTAAGGCTCCAGGCTTCCAACTTCCTTCCGCAATGAACACAACTTGAACCACCAATTACTTCCTGCACCTCCCACACTCTGTACCGCGTTGCGTAACCGCACACGCCTGATTGGGCCACGTCGCGATGCAGAAGTGCAGATTTCTGCGTCATCTCGTATCGATGGATGATGCCCTCTGCGACTGCTCATCAACGGGAATGAACAGTATCAAACTGGGCGTCCCGACATTTGCCTCCAGCAAACCTCTTACTTTGATTGTTGGCAAGTCAGCTTGGAGGCTATGTTCTCCAAGTATTCAGTATCCTAACTTTAGTAGCTAAAGCGGGACCTACTGGTTGAGGCTGTAGAGTGTTGTTGGTTGAGTTCTTCTACTACTAGGTATAATTGCTCTATTTTCTCCTCTATCAACCATGCACCCTTCCTCTTGCTGCCCCCTCTACCCTCGTGCCAGACAAGTTCTCTGACCCATTCCCCCACCTCAGATGAGCGTTATATTCCTCCTCTCACACGTCTTCAAGAACTCGACCGAAAGCCGGTGGTGTCTAGCCGGATCATGTTCAAGAAATGGCTCCAGATAGCTTTGTGGAGCGCGTTCAAAAGTCCCGACGCGGAGATATTTGTCTTCGGCTCCCGTAGGTTGAATTATCAAACCGCACGGATCAGTCTCCATGAACGATCGACCCTGGCTTTGTCCCACTACCTCGGCTTCGACAGATCCAGTCAGCATCAGCAATAGATCTTGAGTCCACTCTTCATCGCTGGCCATCTTCCAGTCAAGGTAGCAGGCGAACATCATGGAAATGCCGTCAGGCCTGTGGAATTGGTATTCCCCGACCGACGGCATGTTCTCGCGAGGTATGTAAGAGAAAGGGGCCGACCCGAGGGGAAGTACGTATGCGACAAGTGACAACTCGCCAGAGGAGATCTGCCCGAACCGGTCAGGGCCTTCCGGGACGATGACCTTCCCCAGCTCGCCGTATTCGTGTCGAATTTTGATCGAGTGCCTCCCCCAAGTGAATCGCCGATCAAGGGTTCGGCGCCCGGCAGAAAAGCAGCTGACCAGCCCTCGCCCTGCCCAACTCCATGATGGCGCGACGTACGCCAACGATTGTTCAAGCGCCCGGGTCAGGCTGGAGAGCGACGTGTGTGGGGGCCGCCGCAGAGTCCAAGAGAGTTGCCTGACCAGATCCTTGGACCACAGGCCCGCAACATATTCGTCCCCCGTTGCGGCGGCAAACTGCTGGGCCAGTCCAGAGAGCGCCGGAAAGACGTCGGTCACAGACGTGAGCTCTCTCTTGGAATACTGGATGACCTGCTCGCACCAGACATCGTACACGTCAGCCTGGTTGTCGAGGTTCGATATTGTGCTGCCCTTGAACCAAGCACCAACATCTCCCTCGTCGGCCCCCTCGTGGTCGCACTCGGCCCGGGTGTATTCGCTGCAAGAAAAGATGAGGCCGAGTCTGGTAAAGTATATGGTTCTTGTCGACAAGATTTCCTCTTGGAACGTCCATCCGCGAGTTGTCCAGCGACTGCTATCCCTTGCCGACACAGCCATCTCGTCCAAACCCGAGCTGTCGTCGCTGTAGATGGCACGGTTCCCAATCTCGAAGGTCGAAACGTGTCCGGGCACATCCTCCGGGTAGGTAAATGGTAGCTTCACCGTGAATGGGTTACTTCCGCGAGCCAAGAAGCCTTCCTGGCACGAAGCGGATATGAGAGCACAGATGGTGGCATACGATCCGGAGTAGATCATGTGCATCTGTGACGATTCTCTTGCCCAGTCGTCCCTGTCGCCCTGGCGGATACAGAGCGCATCGATCCAGAGATACGGGACTCGAAGCGCCCGGGTCGTTGCTACGGCATCCTGTTGCACCGGTGACATGTCTTCGGGCGGGAATCCTCGCCTCAGCTGAGACTGGGAGTCAATAGAGAGCCGCAGTTGCGACTTGGCCTGTTCTGCATTACCCCAGCAGTAGCTTAACGTCAGGTATCTGGTATCCCTGCGTGCCCTCAAGCCGGCGGTAGGGCCAGAGGCGGCGGTCTCGATGACCCTGATCTTGGCTCCCCTGACGTCAAGCAACCGCGTGGGCAGAAAGGCGGGTTCGGTGGGGCGGGAGTGTTGACAAGATTCGGAGCAGGTTCGGAGGTTGGAGGTGATAAACTCAATACCTCCGTCTTCCAGGGCGTGCTGTGAGATCGGCCTAGCAACGGAAAACCAGGGCGCGATCGGGCCTGACACGAGTAAGCTTGGGCTAGTTTGCTGGGGACCTTGCGAGTGCCCATTTGGTGGCACCTGGTAGGTATTGGACACGCCTCGATGAACGGGACTTACCTTGGACAGAGGTGACTGGCCAGGTGAAAGATCCCATGGACGCTTCCGCAGTGTTAGTTCTTAACCCCCATGCAACGAAACCACGAGGGCGATCTGGATTCAACCTACGAAGCCTCTTCCAGGCCACATAACCTAGCGAAGAATCGGCAAGCGACTCAGGCGGAACATGGACAGGGAAACCAGGCGCAGGATCGACATGCACGATCAACTGCAGAGCCAGAACCCGGATGATGAATGGACGAGACTTGTTTGTCGTCGGCGTAGCCAGCAAGGAATACCGCAAGGCCAAATATACGCGACGGGGAAGCTGCAGCGGGAATATATCCCCCGTTCCGTCCGCTCCCCGTCCGATTTCGACCGCGTTGCCGTCTCTCGATCTGATTGCTAAGAGTAGGAACGAGCAAAACCGGCAGCCAGTCGAGGCGATGGACTGAACTAAACCGGGCATTCTAGGATAAAGATCCTGGTGAAGGTAGTCGCAAAAGTCGAGGAACGCCTTGGTTCCAACCGACCGGTTTTCGGGCGAGAATGTAAGCCCATGTCGACAATGGGAGCAAACATGGGCTACCTCGAAAGCATCATGTTGCTCCATGGGTAAGGTACCTATCTAGTAGGTAAAATACCCGTACTTAATAACCAATAATTATGCCCCGCTGAGAAGGGACTGGAGAAGGAATGACGAGCGAGGTTGAACGTGAGGACTGGCACCTGGACGAAGACAGACAGCCTCGCTTATTCAATGGTTGGCCGAGAGCAAGTCAACCACCACCGTCTACCTGCGACAAGGCTGGGGCATATCATCCCCCCGTCTTTCACCGGTAGTCCGACCACTAACGTTCAAATAGCAAGCAGTGGTTTCAAGTTAGCCGAACTCTCAAGCATGATATGCCCCAACATACCTCGCCGACGCTGGGTTGTTACTGTTGTCAGGTTGTGAATTTACCCCGCACGCCCAGTTCGCAACTCTTACCAAGGTACCCACGTACAGAAAAGGGCCGCAAACGCGTTTGGTTGGCTAATAACTAATAACATCTCCAACGCGTTGGTGGAATGGTCATAAGGCGATGTTAGGATCACACCCTACCTAGGTAAATAGAGTAAATCCAGTTATATGAGAGTTTGGTATTAATGTGGCTATCTAACACCCGCTAGACCCCCCAGAGTACCTAGGTACCTATATAAAGACGAACTAGAGGATGATGGTTTGGGGCAAGTGTGGCTCCGGGTCCTCGTACGCTTCGCGCAGGCAATTCCAGCACAGTTTCCCTCCCTTCAATATCGCAGCAGTGTGGCCGTTCCCCTGTTGGATCAAGATGGAAGCCGCAGCCAGTCTGGCGGCCCAGTTCTTCTTGGTTTGCAAGATGCCGATGCAAGGAGGCTGGTCGAGAAACTCCTCCCACGAGGAGATGGAGACGACGTTCTGGGCGTACGAAGATGGCTCGGACTCGCATTCACAACTGAAGGATATGATGTCGAGTCCATCCGTCTCGACGCCTAGCACGTCAATGTCGGCTACCCATTTGCCCTGGTCTTGGACGGACACGACAGATTCGATGAGGTGGATCTCTTGGTCAATATCGCCCGTGCTATCCCAATCAAGTGGGATTTTCCACGTTGTGAATGAGAGGTGTAGCGAAGTTCCCCGGAATTTCTCGGTAAGCGGACCGTCGTAAGGAGCATGCGACACCAGAGAGGCGTCATGTCCAAGAGACCGAATACGAGGCTCCGTGGGCGACACCATGCACACCATGCCGGGGACACCGACGTTTCCGATGATGTGTCTGATGCTGAGTTTCTCCGCGTCCATGCTGGGGTCGGAGAGCAGGATCTCAGAAACGAAGATGGAGTCTTCGGAACACAAGGCGATAACTTCATTGAGCTTGGCAGGGTCGATGTTGAAGCGGCCGGACTCGAACATGGCCACGCAGGCAAATGATTGGGCGCGTCCCATGGATTTGAGATGCTGCGAGGCCGGAATGCAAGCAGTCAGGTAAGCATCCGCGTTTGATTCGGCCCGAAGGGCATCTTGTATCGACAGGGGCAGCCAGTGAGCCTTGATCAGCTCCTGCTCTGTCACTTGTATCGACACGGTCGCCGAAGGAAGCCTATCGTAAACTTCGTTGGCAAGCTCAAGGGCCCTTAGTGATAGGAGCCAAGCAATGGGCGGGCGAAAGGCAAAGTTCATCATGAAGAAACAGTCGGCCGGCTCATGGTCTACTTCATCGTCGACTCCGTGGTCGTTCTCGAAATCAGTCATGGCGCGCTCCTCTGCGCGCTTAGAAGATGGCGCCTGTGGTGAGGCATGACGCTTTCGTTTCGTGCCTCGCTGTGGAAGTTTTGTCGAGAACTGCTCGCTCCACGGCAGTCTGGTGCTAACAGGGGACGGCTTGGGCTCCAAATCAGTCTCTTAGGTTTGCGGAGTCCATCTCGAATAACTTTACCTTCATCATTGCCGATAGATACTCGACGACATTGTCGGCACAATTCATGCCTTGGAGCCATTCAAGCCCACGTTCCAGAAACGGAGGTCGCTCAAAGTGAGCTTTGAGTCGGGAATCCAGGTACCGAACGCAGTCCGCGTATTTGTTCCCTCTGATCCATAGACCATAAGTCTTGTTAGATAAACCCCACGGGCCGAACAGGTGTTTGAAGCCCACCGGTCCGGCGAACAAGTTCGGAGGCTTATTCCACATCAGTTCCTTCTTCGCCCCGGCTGGGACATGAAGCAGGTTTTCTTCTTCCGTCACGACTTTGCAGATCTCGCCGCTGGACTCAACTTTTACCCATCTTTCCTGCAGCTCCATTTCAAGCTTGATATTGTGTCCCGGGATCCCTGTTGTTTCGCAGTGCAGCCATCTTGCGTAGCGTTGGTTTGTAGGTCTCCCATTGTTGAGACAATTGGCGGTACCACGTCGTTCAGCAAGATGCTCACTTATCGGACGGATGGAGGCCCATTCGCTATATTTAAGCCCAGCGATCTCCCCTTCATACGAGATGACGGCATCCTCTGCGTTGATCAGCAGTGCTGAGGCGATTCCTCTCAGGTACTGGATCCCGCTATCGACGTGCGTCTCCTGGCTCAATGCATCCATCACGTTCTCATTGCATAAACCGAAGAAGGCCAGCTTTACGTCTGGAGCAATGTTGCCGCCGAGGAAGTTTGCTCCTCGTCTCCAGCCGTACTTGACGAGCATTGTCGCTGTCTTTCGTCTCTCGCCGTCAAGACCCGTGGCCGCCGCGCAGAGGTGTGAGAGCCAGGACAGCTCGGCGCGGGAGCGCGTTGTTTGATGGAGCTTCTTGCCGAGCTCTTCGAACCAGCGGAGCGCGTCGTCGAATTTCGTGTAAGGGACTTGCCATTTGCAGAAGATGGCCCCGAGCGCAACCAACCAAAGCTGGGACATGTGCACTCGGCTGAGCTGCTCGTTGCTTCGGACAGGGACTGGGTTTCCGTAATACCTCAGATGTGACAAGGCAAGTGACCAGCGGATGAAGTTGTCGGATGGCTGCCCCTTGTACTCGAGCCCCAGGCTGAGGATAGCCGAAGCTTGGAAGAGGGGGTCTCGGAAGGACACCTTGGTAGCCTCTTCCTGGAACACTAGGAGATCGGGATAGAGATGCCAAGCCGATATGCCCCGGATCACTGCTCGATCGCAGGCTGCCTGGGGGAGATTGTCGAGGAGCTTTTCCAGCACCTCCATCGCTCGCGTCCACGTCAATGTGACCGTGTCGTACGTGCATGTGGCTCTCGGATACGGGATAGTCAGGTTCTGCGCGATGATGGCGAACTGGGTGCGCTGGACTTTCATTGAAGCCCCAGCTCGCCGCAGCCATGCACGCACACTCGCATCCCAGGACGCCAGCTCAGCTCTGGTGTACTCTTGCTGCGCAGCGGTAGACGTGTGCGGGTTGACGAGCTTGCTGGCATCCGCGTCCGCCCGGATCTTCTTCTTTCGTTCCTCAATGATCTCAACCCAGATGGACGTGGCCGTCTTCGCGTCCCATGCGTCCGCCAGCATACACGCGAGAAGAAGAACGCCGATGGAGGAGGAACCCGAGGTTGCGGCCGCCCAAACCGAGGTGCAATCGGCTCCGACGAAGGGTTTAAACGGCCCATCTTTCTCGGTCCCTTGTGGATTGATGCCTGGACGGGACAAAATCTCGGAAACGCGCCGGCCGAAGGCTTTGATGAGTTTCGGGGTGTCGGGGATGACCTCGTGGAATAGGAATCCAAGCTTGCAGGCCGTTCTATGCGTTGGGCCTGTCTCGGCTTCCTCCCTTCTCCTGATCGTCAATGCTGAACCGACGGGTAGGAACTCCTGAGCGGGCTTGCAACGAAACAACGAGAAGTCTAGGTTGATGTTCACAAGAGCGAGCGTGTTCTCATTTGTGAGGGAAACGGCCGAGTTGGCGATTCTTCCTAACGAAGTCATCATGCGAGCGAGACAGACAACTCGTTTTTGATGCAGGAACAAGGAAACCTGGGGTTAAACGAAACTAATAGAAGTGAGTTTTGCTTGTCATTATCAATTATGTGCTTGCCCATCCCCGCAACACAATAGCGGTGTGCATGAGGATCGAAGCTTGTGATTCCTGGACCTATAGGGGCTGCAGCCGCGAGAGGCGCAGACTTTGCCTGCCCCAGCCTGCTTTTCAGTACATGCACTCCATGCCTTGCGTAGGTGGGTTGATCAGGCTGGCGATGTACAAGTACAAGTACGCGACAAATCGAGGACCGGCTTCGCTTATCATTGCCGAAAAGGGTATGCCGGACTGCGGCCGGACACACAATGCAAGCCATACTGCTGAGAACCTGATAGCACACCTGACGCAGGAGTAGGCGGACCGCGACGGCTCTCTCTGGTCTTGTTGCCAAGGACACCCGCTGCAGAGTGAAGCTGGAGAGGGGTTCATGACACAAATTCCCGTATTCAAAATCAGGAAAGGGGCGGAGCAACGCCAAGCAGCGAGTGACAGACAATGACCGGCAGGAAAAATGGCAGAGCTGAACATGTCGGCGATATAATTATCAAGATGCACAAATAAATTTTATAACTCCAAGAACCGCCCCAGAACTAGTGATGAGAGAAAATCAAACTTCCATTGCATGATGCCCAAGAAACACAAGCGCTGTTGCCACTGTCCTAGACCATAGGTATATTAAGGGTTAAATAGTCCAAGTCACTCGAATCCAACACCGGTCTTCATCCCTTAAATTTACAAAGCGACCGCACCGAGGACAGTGAAGAGGAGGACGGCGCCAGAGACAAGGAAGGGAGCAGTGTCGAGGCTGGGGATGGTGCCACGCATGGCGGCGTTGGGCGAGGTCTCGGTGTCATCGCCATCGGTGGTGCCGCTGCTGGTGTCACTACCCTCGCTGGTCGAGGCCTGGTCAACGGCCCACTGCGAGCCGGGGCCGTTGAGGCCGGGACCCTTGCCAGCACCCTCGTCGAAGAACTGTAGGTGTGGGTTAGCGGTTTATTCAAAGGGTAAAGAGCGCGTGCGGGAGTGGGACAAACCTTGAGAGCGCCCTCGGGGATGTCAGGGAGCGTGGAGGTGCCGACGGCCCAGTGGTCAGTCTCAGCCGGGCATTCAGAAGCCTTGGCGTTCTTGTTGTAGCCAGCATCGCCAGTAGGGGCGGGGTACTTCTCCATGGCCTCGGCAAAGGCAGCGAACTCGTCCAGCTCCTTGCGGTCGCCGGTCTGGTCCTTGCCACCGTTCTCCTGGCCGCCCTTGATCTCGACGATACCGAAGTCGTTGCGCTCCATGGTGTACTCGTACATGAGACCACCCGAGTAGACCGAGGTCATGTTGCTGTGCATGAGCGACTCGAGTTCGCGGAAGTTGCGCTCGTTCTTGTTGCAGCCGTACTCGGACAGGAAGAGCGGGAGGCCATAGTCACGGAAAGCCTCGACCTTCTTGTCCCAGCCGGCAGTGACGAAGTCGCTGGTGCACCACGAGTAGTCGTTCTACATCAGTTAGTACCAAGCCTTCATGTCACGTCCCGTCGTTGGTGGAACCTACGAAGGCAAAGAAGTCGCTGCGCTCCTCGTCCGAGCCGCAGTTGAAGTAAGTGGCAGTCTCCATGATGTTGTCTTTGACATCGGCGGCCGAATATCCGACAAGAATCTTGCGGTAGTTGCGGGCCTTGATGTAGCGGCGCATGTCGCGGTCGGTGGCCTTGGTGTACTTGGCCGCGAGCGTGGTGTTCTTAAAGTCGTGGACGACCTCGTTGCCGGAGAAGAAGGCCATGGTGTTCGAGTACTTGGCAAAGGCATCGATGGTGGCGAACACACTCTGCAGGTAGGGAGTGTTGTACGAGCCGTGGGGCTCGTAGCGGTGGAGCGAGTACAGAGGGTTGTTGGCGTCAAGCACAGCGTAGATGCCGGCATCAGCGAGGGCGTTCATGCACTCATCGTGGTCCTTCGAGTTGTCGGTCGAGTAGACACGGATGACGTTGATGCCGAGCTTCTTGAACTTCTCGATATCCGGCAGGCAAATCTTGGTGTCGGCCAGGGGATCGATGTTAGCCGCGGCACCGCCGGGCTGGTAGTCGACACCGCGGACGTAGAACCGCTTATCACCCTGGAAGAAGGCATTGCCCTTCACGGTGATGGGCTCGAGTTCGGTAGCGCGGGCCCTGGTCGGGCCAGCGTTCACGGCGGTCGCGGCCGCCACCGCAGACAACAGAGCTGCAGTCCTCATTTTGTGGTCGTGCGAGATCGGATGATTTGTGGTTTGTGATTTGTTTGAATGCGGAAAAGCCGGAGTTGTCAAGGTTTGCAAAAGATGAAAATTAAAGCTTAAAAAAGTCAAATGGCCATCAAACGAGCGAATTGGCCGAAGGTTGAAAGACAGAAACAATCCGGGAGAGCGATTGACTGGAAGGAGGAAGCGACGTTGGTGGTCTTTGAAAAGTGCAAGAATTCAGACGAAGCGTGTTGCCGGGGGCGGCGACACTTAAAACACGACCCGGGCGACCCGAAAAGGGGCTCCTGCAGCATAGCCACTTTCCAAGAAGTCTTGGAAGTCTCGGAATGGCAACTCAGCACCGGCATTGCGTCTGCCAAGAGAGGGCGCCATCCCCCTGAAATCCAGGCGCCCAGACACGCCAGGGCCAATGATTGAGACATCTCCTGTTCTCCTGTGCCACGAAAAAATTGACTTCTCTCCCATTCGTGCAATTGTGAAACGGAAACAGGATACATGTCCCGCGAGCATAAACTTGTTGATGAGGACTTTGCTGCTCACTAAAAACAAACGACGGGAACAAGCAGACGAGTCAGCGCATCAGACGGGAGTTCTCCTTCTTTTCTTCACAGTGCCTCGTCGAAGTAAAATAAAATTGCAAGCGTTGAAGGTTGCTCGAGGTGGCATGGGATTGGCCAGCGCTTGATCCGAGATAAATACCAAGAATAGCCAAGATGGGCTTCCCCACAAACGTCGCACCGCGCCAGCCATCTCCTGTCGCAATCGATCAAGTCTTCAGAAGCATCAAAACCCCTGGCGAACCAATAATGTGACCTTTGAACGTCGGCCAGAAGTGTCGAAATGATCTCGGTTGTCTCAATAACGTTATGATGCCAACCCACTCTTTTCGTTAATCTCCAAGTCAACTGGAGCCGACATGGTTGTGCTGTGCCAAGCAGTCGGGTCAAATGCAGTCAAGTTGAATGGATGTGCGATCTCGAATGGATGCGCGCGCTTTCGTTGATCAGTTGATCTCACCCTCGCGTCTGGGATGTGAAACCAACCGTCCAGTTTGGATCTGCATCAAGTGGCCAAGTCCCGAAGAAGCCAGCTGCCATGAGCCCACAGCCAGGCTCGGCAGGTCCGATTAATGGTCAATTTGCAGCTGCCAATCCAGGATCTTCCCGGGCACGGAGACCCGATGTTTTACCGACCAGCGACAACCCAAAAAACACGACTTGTAACTCCGGGACACGTGTGGGATAACCAAAGGAACTAACCAACGAATGGAGAATCTCTCTTGGTGTACGGATACTTCATACGAACCGGTCGAGTCATCCCGTCGCCCCCGCCGTAACAGAGACAAACGGCGCCAGCGACGCGCCGACGAAGGCTGGAGGGTCCATATTATCACCGTTTACACGTCGTTCACACCGTCCCACCCTGGCGGCTCGGCGCTGGCTCGCTCTTGCCAGAGTCTCCCTCCCCTTTGTTGCTCCGGACACGTGAGCGTATGCGTTATAATATCGTCTACGTGGGCCGACTGTATCTTCTACCCCCCTCCCAAGCTTGAATCTCCGACACAAACCAAATCTCGACATTCTTAGGCCCGGGCAATGTGTTGATCATTGAAACCGCCATGGTAAGGAAAAGGAAAAGGTTGGTGGTCGTAGAATATCACCAGAATGCAACACTTGCCCCAACCCCATTGGCTATGACCTGTTGCTTCTAGGATTTCTTGCTCGTTACACAACCTCTCAAGATGTCTGCCACCAGCCGCAAGCGGGCCCGTCTTGCCGGCGCCTTATGGGCCGGGGTGCAAATTTCAATACTTGTGCACGGCATTTACTCGAACCAACGCCACAATGCTCCAGCTCTGAACGGCCAACGCTCGCGCCACGTTGAGGCCGTGCCACGATTGGTGCCACGATTGGCACCTAAAAAAAGGAAAAGAAGAAGAAGGGGTCAGCTTGGGTGTCGGTATGTAAGAGAATGGTCCGCGCAGGCGTCTTTACCGACGATCAGGGCCGTGGGGGGCATGGTGAAAGGGACAGTCAAATCGCCGGTCAAGTGTTGGGGTTTACCGGGAGAGTATAGGATGCTGAGCATAAACGCAAGGCAGAGAGGGATCTCGACTCAGGGAAGATGGGCGGTCACCTGGAAGGAACCAGATGAGTGGCAGATCTTCGGTGTGAGCCTGAGGCAATTGTCTCTATACCGTGTTATGCTAGGCCGCATTCATCGGTTTACCTGGACCAGAACCTAACTCGAGAGTCGAAGTCCTTTTCCCCGAGTCTTTCGTTCGCTGCTGCCAGCGGACAAAGCTCATAGTACATCTCTACAGCCCTCTCCCGGTCAGGAGCTTCGGCGGCCTCGAGTCCACACATGGCCTTCCTAAGATTATAGAAGCAGGAAATCTTGTATAGCGCCCTCGCCAACTCTGGCTTGTGGTACGGCGACCTTTTGAAAATGTCGATAGCTTGGATGAAATGCGACCTGATGATCCAACAACGTCAGTGCTAATTCAAGTTGACGTCTCAGTCGCCAGCCTACCTTGCCACCAAAACACCGCGGCGTCTCGACCAGCAATACTCCATGCCTAAGCAATGAAGCACTATGCCGAGTCTAAAAGTGTGGCGACATTGGTTGGTTTTTGTGAGTTGCTAAGAATTAAGGGGATAGATGACACTCACTTAATGGATTCTTTATCCTGTGGGCCAACCCTCTTGGATATGTACGTAGTACTCATAGCCCTAGGCAAGGCTGGTGTGGGATGTGGCGAGGTCTTCGCGGCTTTTTATCGTTCCGTCATTCAATTCTTTTCTCAGGTGATGAGACTGTAGGCAATAGCCGATCACGGTTTGCAGGTCCATGTTCGTCTTCTCGCCGCATCGGGCGTACAAGAACAAGGTGTCAGCCAGGAGGTCCTTCATTCCGTCGCCGTGATCATTGCAGATCTTCACTGCGAGCTCAAGGGCCGAAAGCGCGGGCATGTACTGCGCTCCTTGTACCAAGTACCTTCCAACATTTGTTAGCGGGTCTAGAGCGGGAGGGAATGTCAGCTTTTGCGATCTCAGCCGTACCAGCCTGTTTCTTGTAACAGCTGAACCAGCTGCCGCGCCTTCTCTAGCGGTAATCCCGATTCTCGCACGGCCAAGTCGTAGGCGCTGAGGATGGTCTGCACATGCGGCAAAACCTCTTCGCATCTCTTTCGGCGGAAGCTCTCCCGGCTGGACCTGTCTTCGGCGAACTCCCAGGCCCGAAAGAGCAAGTCGATGGCGACCTGGTAATGGATGTGTAACTCGTCGCGCGTCATCCTTTCCCGCACAACCTCTTGGACTTGCTTGTACCATCCGAGCGTCTTAGTCTCACGGTTCCTGCTCGTGAGAGAGGTCCGCAACAGTTCGGCCCGAGCATCGACGTACAAGTCAAGTTTGGGGTACGAACACGTGTGCTCGACCTCGCCTACCAAGGATCCTTCGGGAATTTCCACATCCTGGCGTAGGATTCTCTCGGTGACCGCGTCGGGATCCATAAATGCCATCACACGCATGAGGCTAATCGCTTGCGGAGAGAAGTCCTCGAACCTCCACACTGTGGAGACGGTGAAACGGTATCGCTCCTTGGGCGGGAGTGCCTTGACCTTGTTGAGTTCGCCGAGCAGAGAACCTTCTCCGTAGCGGCCAAGATACTCTTCGATGGTCATAAATTTTCTTCTGATCTGCGTGGCAATCTGGGAGACGGCCAACGGGATGTTACCAAGTCTTGTAACCAAACTCAGCGCCGCGCGGGATGCGTCCGGGTCGTTAGTTTCGGCCACCTGCTTCTGAAGAAGTAGCGCGCATTCGCTGTCGGTCATGGGCGGAAGATCAATCCCTTCCATAGCGAGATCACTAGTCTTGGCTAGGGGGTCGCGAGACGTCACCAAGATGGCACCGTGGGTGGTGGACGGCCAGAACTCGCTGACAATATCGATATTGTCAGCATCATCGAAGATGATCAGCCACTTGGCAAATCTGGAAGCACCCGCAGTGGTATCAGCGGAGCTCATCGCTGTCGGCGGCTGCTGCTTGCGCGGGTGGCAAAGCCACTGGAGAACTTTGTCGCGGCTCACGACCATATCTCCTTCATCGCCTTCATTTACGAGACCCAGGGATTCAGCCATGTCGCGAAAGCCATTGTAGAGTTTGTCAACATCACTGGCCTGGATCCAGAAGATGGCGTCAAACGCGTTCGTCCTCTCGAATGCGTAAAAGGTTGCGATCTGAGTCTTCCCAAGCCCTCCGAAACCGCAAAGCGCAAAAGAGCGGAGACGAGAGGGAGAATGGTTCGGGTTCGGATTGTCGGGGAGGAGCTCTCTATCGATCTGATCAATGATCTTGGATCTACCCACGAAGTTGGGGTTTTGGTTGATAGCAGTCCGGAGATAGATTGGCATCTCCGGTGGCTTGCTATCGGCGGCCATGATTTTAAACGTCGAAGAAGATAGTTAGATCCTGAAGCAGTCGGTCCCGCTAGGCCTATTTTCAGCAATGTTTGAGTTAGCTATGGCTTCTAATTAGCCATGATGCGAAAATGAGTAGGCGATGCCCATACTTCTGGGTGTTCGGGACTAGGATTTGCTTACTCGTGATCTGTTCCGATGAACAAATTGAAAGCACCAGCTGATGGACTTCGGCTCGTAAACTGTGAAGATGACGCCGATAGTGGTTAACTACTCGAACTTCTCGGACGGGTCAGCAAGCTGAGAGACTGGAACTGAATCCCCTCGTTTTTTCCAGCGAGTTGCGGATTGCCCGGACACGGGGAAGGCGCGCCACTGCCTCCTTGGCCGCAATGCCGCCGGATTCATATGCGATGAAACCAACAAACGGATTCCGCACTGTAAACAGGTTGGCAGTACGGTCCATCGTTTGGACCCGAGTATTGCCCACAGTACGCCATGGTTTAAGCAAACAGGTGCTGCAATGAACTCGGAATAGCATTTAATTCCGTCAATACCTGACCTACCTACCTAGGTAGTAGAGGGACCTTAGGTAGATAGCAGCAATAAGAAAGACTTCGGCTCTGCACGGCGAATCAAACATCCCGGTATAAATGATGGGAAACGGAATCAAAGTTTGTCGGCACCTAGGTTGGTTAGGTGCCCAGATAGTAATGACCTAGTCAGAAAACGAGATCGTTACATTCCATAGTCATCAGAAAACGTTAATACGAGAAAGTGCAACTTAAGTGATTTGAATAAATTGACTTCAATACCTAATTGATAGATTCATTGTCCAATTCCGTAAATTACGCCCTTGACAGCGTTCTAGCTCGCTCTCTTCTATGATGCTTCAAAAGAGCACGCCCGCCTGCGGCCAAAAGGTGCTCCCTTTCCAATGCTAACAGCGCTGCTACATGTACCGAGGCAGGTACCTAGGGAGGCAGATAGGTACCTAGTAAACACAGCCAGAGCCATGTCCCATGGCATCCTAAGATCCGATATTCAATCCTCCGAGGTCCATCCCGTCCGACTTCAATACTCCATGCGTGTCCTCGTGACGTCTTGTAGCCGTTAACGATTAGTCCGTGACATCCTTCGAGATAAAATGTTGACATCCCGAAGGGTTCACCCCCCCCCCAGCGCTGTTCGTCTCTCCCTGTCCGCCATACGCCGGCAAGCCCTCAACACAACCATCATCTACAGGTCACACGGATCACGCCCGTACCTGACTTCCAGCCCCCGCCGCCCCTGCAACAACCGGTAGGCGATCTGCGCCTGGCAGCGGAAGCTCCCGAAGCGGAACTCAACCACCACAAACGTCTGCAAGCCAACAGCGGTGACGCGGTCTTCGGTCCCGATGGCGACCTCGTCCATCTCGAAAACAAAATTGGCTTGAAACTCGGCGAGGAGCGCGCCCACATTTACCACAGCAGCCGGGCCGGTCACGCGCACCACGCGGGAGGTGTCGCGCGGCAGGGTGGTCTCGGCGACGCGGGTGCGGTTGCGCTCGACCAGGACGTGCTGGCCGCCCACGACGAGGGGCACGGCCTGGGGGCCGACGGCGCGGCGGCCGTACAGGGCCCAGAAGCGGCGGGCGGCGGCCTGGTCGAAGAAGACCAGCTTGGCGGCGGCCGTGTGCCAGCCGTGGGCGCGGCTGGCGGGCGCGATGACGGTGCAGTAGACGCGCCCGATGCCGCGCACCGCGGCGAGCAGGGTCGTGACGGTGGTGTCGGCCGGTAAGCGGCGGAGCCAGAAGCTGCAGTTCTGCTCCTCGGCGATGTTGGCCGACAGGTTGCGCGGGTTGTTGATGTCCCCCCGGTAGTTGCCCGACACCCCGGCCTCCCGCAGGTCCCGCCGCGGCGCCCGGGGGGCGTTCAGCAGCTCGACCTCGGCTACCTGCTGCATCCGGGACGGGACTAGGGTGCTGGGGCCGAAGTCGCCGTTTGCCGTTGGTGGGGGAGTGGCGTTGACCCCGTTGACTCTGGGCGTGATAGCCGGGTAACCCGGGTTGGCCTGCCATGCGGGTGTGGGAGCCCTGGCGGGCTCAAAGCCTTGGTGGATGTTGTTGTGGGTGATTATATTGTTGACCCCATTGTCTGCATTATAGAATCGGTCAATGTTGCTTTCTTTGATTACATTCAAGTTGTTAACGTATGACAGGTACCCACCAGCAACATTGCCCTCCTCTTCCTGTGCTACCGGCGACGATGCTCTTGATGGACCAAAAACGCCATTTGGCCCGAACCACCGGCTGCCCCTCGCCTGCTGGTCTTCCGCGTAGGCGGAGAGACCGGCGTGAACGGAAGCTCGGTCACCCAGCACGTCGCCTCTAGGCAAATTATGGTACTCGCTACTGATGACCCCTTGGTCCGAGAAGATAGGAATGTGGTCGTTGCTAGACATTTGGAATTCGTGTCGCTCCGATGACTTTCAAGATAACCCACAGAAGAGTGACTGTCCCGAGATGTTTGAAGAGAGAAAAGAGCGGGACGAAACGTAATCTCGTGAAGAGGAAAAGAGGTAGGTGCCTTTTGAAACTCGTCAGTTGATAGAGCTTTGTAGATGGTGAACGATGGGATGTGGTCTGTTTAACGAGAGTCGTTCCGTTTCTCATACTAGGGAAGGGGACAGGCAGCGAATGACGAAAGGCGGAAATAGGGTGTGGATTTGGAAGAAGGCCTTGCTGCTTTTATTCACCGTTCGAAACCGTGTCAGGCCTGAGACAAAGTTGGGATAGAAGGACAAACAAATTTCAGAACATGACCCATGCTCACTTGCTGTTCATCATTCAGTGGCCAGCGGCCCCTCCCTTTAATCCAGGCAAGGAACATAACAAACACAAGAGTGGTGTGGGTGCTTGGCTCTGTTTGGCCATCAACCTGTATGTTTAACTTTTCAATCTGGACTTCACTGGGTTACACGAGCCGGAACACGTCGTATAGGTAGGTAGGCACGTAGGTAAGGTAGTTTCGACAGAAATCCGCGATGGGCACGACGACTCTAGGTTATATATCCGGATTATTGAGTCTCTCACCCGCAAGAGAACCACAGTAGCCTGCCAAATATTGGCTTGTGTTGGGTGCCCAAGCCAGGTGCGTAAGCGTGAGTAAGGGGTAGGTAACTGGGTCCCTTGAGTGCGTGGTACATACCGTACATACCTACCTCCAGAGGTAAGTACCTACCTCGGCAGTCAAGTTGCCTTATAGCCGTTTCACAGTTTGATAGTTTCGAAAAGACGTAGACCAGGCCAACTGGTAAAGTGTACCTCCGCTTGAAACATGGTAGGCCATTTACGTCTCATCTACAGTGGATTTCATGTTTAAGGTTTGCTTTTGTGCCTCTCATTTTTACGATAACCCCGTACAAGTTACCATGCAGTGACACTGACTGGTATTAGTGTGTTTTCCGGCCTTTCTGTCATTAGGCCGAGAAAGAAGTGTTTAGATTAGGTATTGGGCAGACCGGATTCCAGGCAGATTGGCGGCCAAATGAATTCCAGTCAAAAAGACAAAGGGCTGTTTGTTGCTTTGGGTGAAGCGAGTGAGGTTTGCTGTGTTCATGAACAAACAGTTCATTCAGGGATTGACCCTAACCCTCTTTCTCAATGGCCGATGTGCCCGACCTCGATCGGTGGGTAACCAGCGGCATCGCCCCACCTGCACCCCAGCGCTGTGTTGTTTACACCTGCAAGGCTGAACCTGGGTTTCGGGGACGCAGTTGTCGCAGACCGCAGGTCCACGTGTGCAGCCACAAAGGCTCCCGTCGCGACTGACCGCCTGATGAAGCTGACACGCAGTGGTCAACTGCAATTGGCCAACCTCGCAACAACATTTCCCGACCGGTATCACTCAACTCTACTCCAACAATAGCGAGGTATTCGACATCGACGATGCCGTGATGGCGCATCTCAACGGAACCTCTGCGCTCAGCCGCGCGAGGTCGAATCGAGCTTCCGCAACCACTAGCAAGCCGGCGCAGACTACCTCCCGAGCGAACGCTCCAGGGGTGACTTCAACAACCACCGCTTCCCACTTGACCGTCTCCCCGACCGCCCCATCACACCTCTCGCTTTTCTTAGCCAACCTTCGGCTTCTCAATTTCGACCTCCACCCTCAGTGGCCCGACATTAGTACACTCACGTTCAGCACAAAAGATGCCGCGGGAGGACAGAAGAAGCGCGTACAATCCGTGGAATGGGCCCTCTATTACCTCTTCAGGCTTTGGGACCCCGAGGAAACCCGCAACAAATTGCAGCCCTTCTTCCCGCCGCTCGACCAGGTTCAGTCACTCAATCTCCGTGCCGCGCTCCTTCGGGGACTGGAACAGGCAAAAAAGAATGGCGTTCTCGGTCGGGATGCCGTTGTGCGCAAAACCATGCTCGACGAGTGCAAGGGAGAGAGGTTGGAGGAGGTCCTGGCCGTTTTCTCCTCGGCTGTTCTGAAAAAGGTGGTGGCCGAACAGCAGCTGAACGGAGGAGGATATCCTGCCCTAGCCCAGATGCTAGCTTTGGAGAACCGAGGGTATTCTGGCGAGCGGACAGAGCTGACGGCACTGGTATTGGCGCACAGGGTGTCGTTGCGCCGGACGCTGAACGAGAAGAATGCGTCGCGGGCACGGTTCAAAGAATTTTCGGGTTTGTTGGCAAATAAAGAGAAAGCCATCATAAAGAAGCGCGAGGCGGCCGAGGCTGCGAAACGAAGCAAGCAGGGCAAGGTCGTCACCGACGACCAGAAGCGTGAGGTCCGGCGCACTGTGCAGAACAACTGGACCGGCGATGAGCGCTGGATGGAGGCGCTTCTCCGTGGTGACAGCAAAGTGAACAAGGACGGGCTACTCGCTGCCCCTTATGACAGGGTTTGGAGGCGGGTACAGTCCGGCCGGCTTGCGGAACTCGAGGAGACATCTGCCGGGCTTTTGGGTCAGCTGGAGAGCAGAGTCCGGGACCAGCAGGAGAGGTTGCAGAAGTGGCAGGGTTTTCGCCAGAGGATGTTTGGCAAGTCTGGGTCTGAACCGGCAAAGCAAGAGCAAGAACAGAACCCCAAGCGAAGAGGCATCGATTTCGGGTTCAAGGCTCACGAGAGCCTACATTTCGACCGCATGAGTCCGAAGAAGCTGCCTCGCGCCATGCCCAACCAACTTGATAGCCACTACGAGGCGCTCATCACAGGCCTGAGGTCGGATTTGTCCAAGATCAGCCCAACAGTCCCAACCATTCCCTCATTCCTCGACAGGCCGCAGCTGGATCGGCCGAGAGTAAGAATGGAGGATATTGAGTCGGAGTCTGATGTGATATCCGACATTAGTGACCACGAGCAAGCTCAACTTGCCGCACGTCCGTCACCCTCTCGTCGAGAGCCGATCAAAGTGTCGGAGGAGCCTGCTTTCGAACCTGTTCTGCGGAAGGCGCAGACCTTTGACGATGAACACGCATTCCTCTACGAGGAGCCACTCACCCCATCGCGTCTTCAACGGTCATCAACGATCCAGTCCAATTCCCCTTCGGTTAGAAGAAGACAGATCACGGATTCCCCCACAAGGACGTCAGGCCGACGACTCAGTGGAACCCCAAAACCGAGACCACGCCGTCCATCATCCCCCCCTCCCCCAGCTCACTCTCCTCCACGACTGACCCCCCCCTCACCGGAACCTCCTCCGATCTCGCCGGAACGGCCGCTCTCCCCAACGCAGGAGATGGCAGACCAGATCCTCGCCTCAGTGAACGCCGCCTCCCCATCTCCTGTCAAGAAACCACGGCACCGGCTCTCTCTTGCCGAGCGCACCCGCCTGTCTATGGCCCGGCGGACCTCCCAGGCCAACCTCCGCGCCGCGGCCGAGGAAGACGGGTCCAGCGAGGAGGAGGATGTCGATGAGGAGGAGGAGAAGGCGGATGAGCTGCCCGCGCCGCCCACGCCCAGCCGCGCGCCCATCACCATCCCCATCGTGACCGAACCGCCGCAGACGGACGAGGATGATGCTGCTGCTGGTGAACAGGAGGAGGAGGGGTATGCATACGAGGACCTGACGGCCCGCACCCGGCGGAGCATGGTCGGCTACGAGGCGGCGCGGCAGAAGGCGCAGCTGGAGCGGCGGCGGTCGCTGAGGAAGGCGAATGCCCCCTCGACGCCGGTTGCTGGCGGGAAGGGTGGGTACTTTCCGTCGGTGGATGAGGAGGAGGGGGATACGACGCTGTTGCTGGCGGAGGAGCTGATTAGTGGGGGGCGGGATGATGATTATGAGGCGGTGTTTATGAGCCGGCCGAAGTTGAAGACTAGTCCGGTGGGGACGCCGGCGAGGGAGTTCTGGGATTGAGTTGGGCTTTGTGAGGGGGTGTATGGGTTGTTTGTTTTATGAAGGGTATGATGCGTGATGCGGGATGCGGCGTAAACGTGATTTGGAGCAGTACAGTAATAGTAGTATGATGATGGATGGTTGATGTTCACGCGAGTGGCGACGGTTATGATAGAGTTCATGTATTGGATGCCACGAGCAAACTATAAATACAGATTACCATGCGAACCAAGATCTAGTAACCCATGGTACCTTTTACACATCCTGCCATTTGACCTTGCTCTATGTCATCCCATCCACCCAACCCAACCACCAGTCTATGCACCACACCATACCCGACCGGCAACACAACACCGCCGTTTTCTCGCCCCCCCTGTCTTACCACCCCTGCCCCTTCAGCTCCATCGCCCGCACGACAGCGGCGCGGAAGCCCTCCTTGAAGCGGACTTGCCAGCGCTCGCGCTTCTGGCGCTTGCGCTTGAGCGCGGGCCGCTCGTAGAAGCGGGCCTGGCGCACGTCGCCCTTGATGCGGTTCTGGGCCACGGACCGCTGCAGCACCCGGAAGCCGCGCGCCAGGTCCACGTTGCCCTTGATGTCCACCGTGCGGCCCGTCGAGGGCCGCAGCCGCAGCTCCGGCTCCGACACGTCGTAGTGCTTCGGCAGGAACGCGTCCTCGTTCCACGTGCTCATCGTCCCCAGCGCCGGGCCCGCCCCCGTCGCCCGCTCCATGTCGCTGGTGATCTGTGAGGCGAGGTTGTACAGCCCGCCGCCACCGCTGCTGTTGCTGCTGTTGCTGGGGCCGTAGCCGGTCGGTGCCCGCCCCGTGAGCGTCGTGTTGCGCAAGAGTGGGCTCCTGGTGCCGCTGGGGCTTTGTGGTGTCGCCCAGGATGCGGGCAGCCGATTCTGGCCGTCTAGCATGTTGCTCGTGCGGAACGGCGGTGGCGGCGGTGGCCGCGGGGGCATGGGGGCGCCGCGGCTTTGCGCGAGCGAGTTCTGTAGCTGGGCGACTCGCTGGTAGTGGGGGGTCTGGGATTGTGGCTCGGCTACCGCTGCCGCTTCGGACTGTTGCTTTTTGTTGTTGGTGAAGTGACGCTGTTGGAGGAGGATGCTCGACGGGGAGGGCCGTGTGCTGGCCAGAGATGGCCTCGTTGTTGCTGCCGCTGCCGAACGGCAGACTGTGACGACCCGGCGGAAGTCCATGATTCTGAATGGAAGCGATTAATGATGGTTGGCAATCAGGTATGAGTCGGTGTCACTGCAAAACGTACTCAATTGGTCATGGATGTGCCACTTTCCACGATATGAACAACCGTGAGCTCCTGACGACGACTCGACTTCTCGACTTCTCGACTTCTCGATTTTCTGAAGTCGCGCTCCGGCTGCACCAAGTCAAAGTGGCAGGGGCCACTTTTACAGCTTTCCCAGGACGGGGATTGGTCGGTGAACTGCGGGTCCGCTCCGATTTTGCCCGTTTCCCAATGACCCAATGACGGGATATGGACGGAGACTTCCTTCCATCCTCTGCGAGAGGCTACTTGCATCAAGTGGACCGTGCACCCCGGTTATCCAATCCTGGCGAACTTTTGTTCGTCGCGATCGCGGCCATTCGACGATTTGACATCGCCTTCACCACCTCGCCCGATAACCAATCCCACAGCAACACGACCGGGCTCCTTGAACCGCGCATCCCTCTACTAAACGTCGACATATCTTTTCAGACGCCCGTGTATACTATACCACGCTCGCCGCCATGGCGTACAATCCTTATGGAGGTTGGTCCAGCCTTGCGCATCGCTTTTATTTTCCCTACGGCAGCCTCGTCAACGCCATGTTCATCTCTGGTTGCGCTGACACACTATTCTAGCTCCTCCTTATGGAGCGCCGCCGGCTTATCCATCGTATCCGGGCGCGTCGCATGCCCCGGGAATGGCACCGCCCCCTGGCTTAGGTATGCCCTCACCGACGACCCTCCACACCCTCCTCGCCCACTGACCCTGTTGTCTAGGTCCTCCACCAGGCATGTCCTCTGCCCCTGGGATGGCGCCACCTCCTGGTGTCCAGCAGTCCAATAATGCGACGCAAGCTAATCGACCAAGCGGCCTTCCTGCGTCCTTCCAAGCGCCGCCGAACCTGCCCAACATCAACTTCAACGCACCGGTGATCCGTCTCGGCGCCAGCATGCCGCCGGCGAAGCCCGGCTCATCCCTAGCAAGTGACCGCAAGGACTCATATACCCCGACATCCGGCCGGCCGGGACTAGGTGCGGAGCGTGGCATGGACCAGTCCCGCGCCCAGATGAGGGAGAGCATGCAGTCGCTGGTGCCGCCCACGACAGAAGAACGACTCAGAACGATATTCGTGCACAAGATCTCCGATGGCGTTGGGGGCGAGGCGGGCATACAGAGGCTACTGAACACGGTCGGTAGGCTGCGGCGGTGGGATTCAGGACAATCACATCTCTCAGAGCACAAGGGGGCTTTGTTTGGGTTCGCACAGTACGAAGACCCCGAATCGCTAGCTGCTGCAGTCGAGTTACTCAAAGACATCGAGGTGCCCCTGAAGAAACAATCACCGATCGATGAGCCACCAGCCGACGAAGACGACAAGTTTGACGGCATTGAAAAGGCGACGTTGAAGGTCGAGGTCGATCCGAGCACGACAAAGTATCTGGAGTCTTGGAAGGAGAGCAAGGCGGACGACTCGGCGGTTGATGCGCGGTTAGGCGAGGCGAGGCTTGCGCTGAGGCAGTTGGTTCGCGACTTGTTCTACCCCCGCACGGCTGGCGGCCGCGATGGCGATGGCGACACTGCTATGGCCAATGGGTCAAATGGTCTGGGCGACGTCGAGGTGATTAACATTCCCTTGGCCCCCGAAGACGAGCTAGCAGATATCCCCGCCGAAATGCGGGCAACAGTGGCTGCCGAGATTGCAGCCTTTAGAGACCGGAGCAATCAGCGAGACCTTGAGCGTCTCCGAAAAGAGGAGGAATTTGAAGAAATGGAGCGTCAACGAAACGGCGCGCCTCGCAAGTCAAGGCTAGAACAATCCCCTCCGCCGAACAACTCCAATATGGTACCGCTCGGGCCTCGCGGTGTGCCCAACGCGCCATCCGGCCCTCGAGGACAGAATCGGGGAGTGGACTTCGTCAACGGCGGTACCACAAATGGTCAGTTCCGGGACGAAGATGATACAGACGCAGACGACGACGAACTTCACGGCAGGGAGCTTGCAAAACAGCGCACAGAGGACGACAAGGTCTACCTAGAGGCGGAACGCAAGTGGGTCAACCGAGAACGGCAACGCGCGGCGGCCTTGGACAGAGAGCAAGAGCGCGAGAAGTCAGAAACGGAGGGCTTTGGCCGGAGGAGAGACGAGCAGCTCGAGCGGGACAAGAACTGGGACGACGACCGTGAGGCATCGCGTAAGGGCCACCTCTACTACCGCGACCACGGCCAATGGATCCGAGAGCGGACCGCGTTCCGGGCGGCAGAAGCGGCACGGGACGAGATGGACCGGCGCGCCGAGGAGGACGAGCGCCGCAGAGCCGAGGTGGAGATGGAGCATGCCAAGGATATGGCCGATTCGTTCCTGGAGCGGCAGGCCGAGGAGATGGAGAGGCAACCGGTGGCTCCCGCGGCACCGCAACGCGTTACCATCTCTTTCGGCGCGGCAGCTCAGAAAGCGGCGCAACGCACGGCCGGCGCGCGGCGGACGGTGGCCGAGGTGGAGGGCCTGCTGGACGACGAGGAGCAGGACCAGACGACCAAGCGGCAACTCGTGCCCATCAAGTTCGAGCCCATCACCGACACCAAGACCATGTCGGAGGAGGACATCCAGAACGCGGTCCGCGCGCTGGCTCACGAGATCCCCGTCGACCGGGACGGCCTGTGGGCGTGGGACGTCAAGTGGGACTACCTGGAGGAGTCGGCGATCCGCGAGAAACTGCGGCCGTTTGTGGAGAAGAAGGTGGTGGAGTACCTGGGCGTGCAGGAGCAGTTCCTGGTGGACGTGGTCGAGGAGCACCTGCGCAAGCACCAGAAGCCGGCCGAGCTGGTGGAGACGCTCAGCGAGGCGCTGGACGAGGACGCCGAGGACATGGTCAAGAAGCTGTGGCGCATGGTCATCTTCTTTACCGAGAGCGAGAAGCGCGGATTGCCCGCGTGAGTGCTGGGTTGGTGTGTGGTTTGGCTAGGATTAATCCACCTGTATATTGTTTAATGGAGGCGTCTCTGGCGTATCTAAAATCGGCATTCTTCAAGGTTGTACCAACACTTTTCGAGCTTGGCTTCGTATTTACACAGAAGTTGTATATTTGGCATCATACATACACGGTGTTTGCTGCCCCGTAGGGGATAACAAGGGTTGAATCCCGAGACGATGTTTTGTTGAAGTTGGCTGCGGAGTTGGAGATCCGGGGTGCCTCGGCCCCGCCAAATAATCCCTGCCGTTCGCATCCATTACCCCAACCAAATGACGATGAGGCCGCGGCAACACCGTGAGGGGAAGCCGTTGTGTTGCCGTTTTAGGTAGGGAGATACCGGGGAGCCGAAGGAGCGAGGGTTGTGTTTCATTGATTGCTAAGGATTTGACTGAATCCAACCCTTTTCTCAACTTTCGTTTTCCATTCCACGGCAAACAACTACCAATTCATCCTCCGCTCATTACACATCCACAACACATCGACAACAACGGCAATAACAACAGTCAACCAACCTTCAGCCGCCCACTCAAGCAATACCACGACACGCCTCTTCATCTCAACCAGGAACTCTCCCACACCCAACACCCCCAAATCAACGCAACTCAACTCGCCCACAATGACCACCCCCAACTCCTCCCTCCCGCCAACCCTCCTCCCGCCACCCCCACCCGTCCCCAACATCCACCTCTCCCTCCCCTCCCCCCACATCCTGCAGGTCACCCTCGCCCGCCCGGCCGCCCTCAACGCCATCCCCGCCGCCCAGCACGCGGCCATGGCGGCCCTCTGGGCGTGGTACGACGCCCAGCCGTCGCTGCGCTGCGCGGTGCTCACGGGCGGGGAGGGGCGCGCCTTTTGCGCGGGGGCGGATTTGAGGGAGTGGGATGCCGATCATAAGGATGGGGATGGTGATACCAATGTGAGGGGGGGTGGTGGAGATGAGGGGATGGCGGCGCGGTATCGGGAGCGGTGGTCGCAGGAGGGGTTTGGGGGTTTGTCGAACCGGGCGGGGAAGAAGCCCGTCGTGGCGGCGGTGAATGGGTTGTGTTTTGGGGGCGGGATGGAGATGGTGGTGAATTGTGATCTGGTGGTGGCGGACGGGAAGAGGGCGCGGTTCGGGCTGCCCGAGGTGGGGAAGGGGGTCATTGCTGTGGCCGGGGCGCTGCCGAGGCTGGTGAGGACGGTGGGAAAGCAGAGGGCCGCGGAGATGGCGCTTCTTGGGAGGACAAGGTATACGGCCGAGGAGATGAGGGAGTGGGGGCTGGTTAACTTTGTGGTGGGCGAGGGGAAGGCCGTGGAGGAGGCGCTGAAAGTGGCGGAGGAGATCGCGGGAAATTCGCCGGATGCAGTGATTACGTCGAGGGAGGGGTTGAGATTGGGGTGGGAGCCGTTGGGCCCGCAGATGGGGACGGAAGTGCTGGAGAGGGGGATGTATGGGAGGATGAACGCCGGCGAGAATATGAAGGAGGGCGTGAGGAGCTTCGTGGAGAAGAGGAAGCCTGTTTGGAAGGACAGCAAGCTGTAGTGCGCGCTCGGGGATTCGATAGGGGGTTCGTTTTGCCCCCTTTCTTGTTTAAGCCCGATATCGCTCGTTCGAACGTGCGGGAAGATCCCCACGACATGGATATACACAGCCGCGTCTCAAGGCCGCAAAATATGGACGGCGCCATTATCACAGTAGCTTAGGTTAGAGAAGCAGAGAACAGATGGATGTTGTGGACTAGATTATCCCTACTGGGCCCCCCCTATCTAAATAGTCAGTTGACGACTCCCCCAGATGCCGATCCACTTGGACTCTTGTCTCCTTTAACCACCGAGGGAACTCAACCCCCGACGCTCAACCACTCGCATGCCCTCAAGTCCGGAAGGCGCCTTTCACACTTCATAGGCTCATCATAGTCGTGTGCGAAACTGGAGTGAAGTGTAGTTCCTGTTTGGCAGGCTTGGTCCAGTCGGAGCGGCAGAACATGCTGCAAGTGTGCTGGTGGAAGAAGGTGCTGATGCCACCCGGGCCCAAGTCGGTGACCCCATACTCCCGGGTCTGGGAGAGGATCACGGGGTTGGACAGGACGACCTCATTTACGTATATGCCGCCCTGTAGGTCGCAGAGAAGGTAGGCCCCTTCGGTTACGTGGTAGCTAAAGTCTATGTAGCCAGCCATGTTAGTGATTTATACCTACCTAGTTGTTCTAAGAGTATAACATCCGCCATAGAGACTAGGTGTGTGCAGACGGAAACGGCTAACTGGAACTGTACTTACGGCTCAGAGCCTGCATGACTAATGGGCAGGTCTTAGTGCCGTCGCCCCAGAAATTATTCCTCCAGCCCGTGTTGCTGTTGAACTTCTCGTAGTTATGGATATAGGGCTCGCACAGTGCCCTCCGGCCAGCCCAGTCGGCGCCGCCAACGTCGTTAAAGTCCCAAGCCGCAGGGATATTTATTTTGACGGGTTTATCCATCACACCCAGTTCGTTGAAGCGGCCGACGATCTCCATGGCCTTGTCGACAGCCTGAGTGTCAAAAGCGAAGTAGTCGGCCTCGAACTCGGCGCCGGTGGTCTTGAACCACTTCACAACACAAGCCTCTCCTAGACGTGCACCGGTGGTGTAACTCCCCTTGGCAACCCAACGATTTGTGCCGGAAGCGAAAGGGTTCTCCAACTCTCCGGAGTCGAGAGAGCCATCGCTGGAGTTGTTGTAGCGACCGACCTCGGATTGAGACGCCCCTGGGGCGCAAGCGCCGAATCTGTTGACGCAGGCACCGCATCGCGAGCGACCTTGACCTGTGGACCACTGGTCAACCGAGTAAGATGCACGCGGGAGACTCCGGCTACAGCCAGCGCAGTTGCGGGCCATGATGTTAGATTAAATTGATGATTAAAAGTGGTCGCCGCGGTTGGTTTCGTGTGAGTTTCTCGTTGCGCGAGAGTGGGGAGCAGAGCAGGATAACTGCTCTTCGACGAGGTTTATGAGTCTGTTTGAGAGACGAGGGGTGCTGTAGACTGGACCAAAGCCGTGGGTTATCCGTATCAACAATAGAACGTGGGAGCAGTCAATGCAAGAGACACGCCAGTTGTTATTGTTCAAAAAAGAAGCACTCAGCCCATTACCAGCTCTACGTAGCCAACCAGAGGCTCCTATGACTTTGCGTAGCTAGATAGATAACAAACACTAAGATTAACGCACAGTCATCTAACATCTTTTCTCGCTCCATCACAAGAGGTTGACTCACAGAACAACAAACTGACACGATCCACACAACTTAAAAAGTACCGATAGGATATAACAACTGAAAACGATGAAACTCCCATCCCAATTAACCAACCTACCGGTACTCCCCAACAAACCCCGAACCGCACCCATTCCTAACTCCAGCCTCAAACCGCCCTCCTTTTCGCCACAATCATAATAGTAAATCCTCCATTAACCATCCCAACCACCACCATCACTACCCATCCACCCCAACAACAACCTCAAACCCTCCCCCTCACCAACTCCTGCCTCCTCACCTCCTCCCTAAACACATTCCCCTCCCCCACCCCATCACCACCATTAGTCCCACCACCACCACCCCCATTAGCACTACCACCCATCATCCGCACCGCATTCCCCCTCAACCCCTCCAAATCCGTCTTCACCACCCGGATCTCCACCGCCCGCCCCTTCAGCCTCACCCTCCGACCGCCGCCTTCCTCGCGCCGACGCCGACACACCCCCCAACAGGACAAACAGCCCGGCCGCCGACGGCCCCGCGCAAGCAGGTCGGGCCGGTGCCGCTTCAGCACCGCGTACAGCACCATGGCGAGGGCGGTGAGCAGGCCGAGGGTGACCGGGAGGGCGATGGCGAGGGGGTTGGGGGCTTGTGAGGGGGCTGGTTGCGGGGTAGGCGTGGTGGTGGTGGTGGTGGTGGTGAGGGGGGCGTTGGTATCGGTGATTGCGGAGGGGGTGGTGGTGGTGTTATTATTACTGGTGGTGGTGGAGCGGAGGATGTGGACGCGCGGGCCGGGGAAGCGGATGGTGGCGGCGCCGATGCGGACGAAGGTGCCGTTGGTGGTGGGGGCGTGGGAGAGGGGTGCGGCGAGGGAGAGGGTGGCGGTGGTGGTGGTGCTGTCTGGGGGGAGGTAGGTGGCGAGGATGGTCCAGGGGAAGGTGCCGGTGTTGGGGTCGAGCGGGGAGGAGGTGAAGCCGGCTGTTTCGGGGGGCCCGTTGGCGGTGAGGGCGAAGTCGGCTTGGATGAAGATTTGCTGGGGAGGAGGGCCGGGGTTGGAGGTGGTGAAGAAGTTGGGGTTCCAGGTGACTTGGCTGGGTTAGCATGGTGGTTTATGGGCCAAATTGGGAGGGATGAGAGCTTACTCTCTGCAATGTCTCCTACTTGCAGCTGAGCCCCATCCTGTGGTGAGCAGAAGGGAGTGTCCGGATCGTTATCGCACATGCTGAGGGTAGAGGCCCGGGGCGAGATGACGGTCGGGTTTAACACAATAAACCAGGGCTGAGGTGGGTACCACGACAACAAAACACAAAACAATTGCAGTTTCTGGGACTATGTTCAAAGGGAGCAAGGAGAAAGGGAACAGGGGAAGGAATCCTTGTCGGGTTGAGACTTGAGAGCCGTCGGTTGATATACACTTGGGAGGTCGCCCCTCAAACCGTCAACGGTTCTTTACCATTCTCACCCGCAGCGCTCCAAAAATGGACTTGCATGAGCTGCAGGGTGAGTTATGCATTCTATGTAACTGTTCTGGCTATATTCTCATCAACAAGTCATCGTGGTGGGTGTCACGGACCCCTTGCTGAGCGATTGAAACCTGGTTTGGCGATCCGGCCGTCGGGCCCCGAATCAGGGGCTGGACTAATGGTTGTCACTCTGGATTCTTTTCCCCGGATTTCCGCATTCCCCGCGTTTATTAGTACTTGGAACGAGTTACGTGCATTGTCCTCGCGGTAATTCCGCCAATTCGTGAGCACGGGTGGTGTTTCAGCAAAGGAGGCTGCCATCGGGTGTTACTGTACCATTCATATCACCACCTGCTTGTCCCACCATATGATTCACATTTCACGCAACTAAGCTAAGGTACCTCCCTACAATTACTGTGTAAGTTTCTTGATAAAAACTCCTGTCCAAAAGAAATCATGCAGCCCCGCATAGGATTGATCTTTGGCCTCCGAGAAATTCATCCATCAACGACAACACAAATGTTGACGCCTGGCAACAACCTAGACTGCGGTCGGGGGCCAAAAGGCGTCATGTATACGTACCGGTCGTACAAGACAGACCATGCATCCCTCGGATTCGGCTCAGGTCTGTACAACTCGCCGCTCGGTATAGTCACGTGCAATATCCGAGAGATGCGTCGTCGTTCGTCACAATAGGGCTGACGGCTGACGTTGCGCACCTAGTTATGTAGGTACGGGTTGCCAAGATCTGCACGGTTCCTTCGGAGCTATCCGAACTAACCAGATCGCTGGGACCTAGGCAGACGTAAGAGTGACAGTGATGGTAAGCGGTAGGATCAAGCTGTTGGTTCAGCGCGGCCTTGGGGTCTCCGGAATCCGCCTCGTGTCTCCACGTGGAATCTTGCATGATGCGGCCGTGGCGCTACGCCGCGATTCCGCGTCCTGTCAAAATAGCTGGAGCTCCGCCCTACTCGTGAGCTGGTTCAGCTCGAATCGGAGAATCGGAGATAGGGTAGGTAGTTGGCCTTTTGGGGTGAAGGGGATCTGGTGTGCAATGGATGTGTATAGCGAGGTGATGCCGTGAAGCAACGCTATGCTGTCTATCTAAATCTAATGCAGCGTCTAATGCTGTGATGAAAAAAGAAAAAATGTGAGCGCCAAAATGCGCCTCCTGACGTGGTTGTTCCCGTCAACCAAACCTGAGTTCTATGCCCTAGAGATCAACGTCGCAGACGTTTTGATATATCTTGAATCAAAGACCGACCCCCCGACGCCACCAGTACCCTGAAGAAAAGAGAAATCCAACACCATGAAGAAAAGACGAGCATCAGTCGGAAGCCCAATGTTTAGCGTTTTGTGCCTCCAGAGCTCTGCGGCGCATGTTAGTAACTCGACCAGCTATCAAGTGAAGAGAAAAGATAAACGTACACCGCCAGACGGGTATGTGGTCCCGCCAGAAGAGCTGCCAGAGCCAGACCCTGAAGAGCCACCGGCGGAGCTGCCGCCGTAGGGAGGGAAGGCAACATCAGGCTTGAGGATGCCGAGGGCGGAGCCGTGTTTGAGCACGTCGTCCCAGTTGCGAGACGAGTTTCCCGAGGTGCCAGACATGGTTGGTGGGCCGTGAGGGGATGGAGGATTGAGATTGTTCAAGGAAGAGGGGCGTCTTGGGGATGCCAGAGACTGGAGGTGCTGGAGGAGAGCTGAAGTGTCTGCTCTGATGAGGTCGGTGGTAATGTTGCTGTTGCTGTTGCTGTTGCTGTTGCTGTCGCTGTTGCTGTTGCTGTTGTTGTGTGCTGGTGAGCATTGTGGTGATCTAGACCCGGTATCCATGGCTTATATATCTTGGGGGAGATGACCGAGGTAGGTAGGTATCTTGAAAAAAATGCCTAATGATGCTTGTTGATGCTTCTCACAAGGCCGACTGAATGAGAACTCCTCGGTCCGCAAAAAGCTACCTTAGTTGCCTGGGGAAGTGGTCGGAACTGGATGCGGCTTTCTTACTACAGCCTATAGGCATAACGATACTTCGGTGTCATGGGTCAAGATCGTGAGCTGGCTGTGCTAGGGAGAGGTTGGGGAGTTAACGTGTTGGGCATGATTGGTGGGAGTCCGTGGGTCGCCGACAAAGGGGCGTGCCACCGTCCGGTGTATCATGTTGGCGGGTTTTGAGTGTGTGGCCAGATTAATTAGCTAATCGGTTACCTAGTTACCTGGAAAAGGATTGCGGCGGATGGTCGAAATTTCAAAGCACGGCCACTAGCACACGCTGCTGGCTGCGCAAGTTGGCACCGAATCTGTTTTTTCCCCCGACTGGAAGTTGGGATTGTGGGAAAGTGCGAGGAGAGAGTCCGAGAAAGTGGGCCCGCGCGTCTTGGAATTCCGGCGGGCGGAGGCTCGCTAACGGAGCGGCGCCGGGGCACGAACAACACCCCCCAGGTAAGATGACCCACAGCACGTGCGCAGCCCAGCAGCAGTGTGAAACCAACAATTTGAGCGCCTAGTTGGGCCCTGGCCGAGGAGCCGAGCACTGAGTGGAACTCGAGCAGAGTTGCCATCATAGGGTTCTGTGCCCCACTTGTGCTTCCCAGGGCGGTGGGTAGACATGACGTCGTCTCGTCGTTGGGGTTGCAGTGTTGTTGAATTCCGTAAAGTTCTGGGAGCTCGGTAATTTAACCATTGATAACCACGTGATAACTAAACTAGTTACATGATTGAAGATTGAGTTGGACCTGTGAACCTAGCCGACCGGGGAGCCCTGAATAACTCGGTCGAAACCGATGGCCCGCCCCATCCCAGCGCCGATATCGTGAGATTCAGATCGTGTATTCGTAAGGTGCACTTGTACTCTTTCACTGGTTTCCGGGGACGCCGTTGCGAAATGCGCTGTCGAGGCTGAACTTCTTGTCCTTGAACGGTGACCTCGCTCGGACACTCGGACACTCGGACTCGGTTGGTGTAATTATCGCAATGCAAGACGTGTCACATTACTTCTTCTCGGTCTCTTCGATTGCTCATCTAGGAACGGCTTACCAGCTAGCTGTCCGATGCATAAAATTCTTCAACGCGGGTGGCGGAGAACGTGGCGTGAAATGAGCGCACCATCTCACCCGGGCTCGCCGGTGACTCGCTTGTTGTCGATGAGGCTCAGCTGTCTTACAACTGAACGCCGTCTTTGGGAAGTTCCGATTCGTCGGTGCGCTTTGTAGGTGCCGTGATGCTGTGTTCCTCGAGATCTGTACAGAATCTGCTACGCATCATCTCCGCGGCGACTGCACGTGTTTCAAATTTCCTTACCAGAAACGAAGTTCCTGAACCGACTCGGAACTAGAAGGGCGCTTGTCAGTCCAGTCATTCTTGTCACAATTGGGACGAATGCCGCGGCTCGGGTGTAAAGTAACACGGTAGTTCGGATAGGTAGGTACCTACTTGGGTATCCCAGCGCCCTAAACCGAACATTCGGGGTAGAACAACTCGCGTCGCGGGTATTATTATGCCGAATATGCCTTGGGGCCCGCAAAGTCCATGGTTCGTTCTTCTGCATGTTTCCGACGTCCGTCGAGGCGCAGATTTGGCCCCGAAAATCTACAAATCACAAGCCAGTTTGGTAACGGCATCCAAAGTGAAATGCGAGTGGATCGGTCACTGAGCCCGGGTTGCAAACTGGAAGAGGAGAGCCCCTTCCATTTCATTCCAGTGACGCACATAATGCATACTGTGTGGTCGGCAGCCTGAGGTTGTAAGCCCCAAAGAGACAGGCGCGACATCCATCCAATCGTGACTGCCCAACTCGATGCGTGCATGGACAGCCAGAGAAGCGGGCCGAAGCTGCAGGTAGGTCGGGTGCCCGTTGTGTTTGACCCCAAAAGACCCAATCACTGAGCACCACCTAAGTTACCTTTCCAGTACCCGGGCGAGTCGCATCCCGTGCATCAACAGCCGAGTCGAGCCGAAGTACCTATGTGAGGGGCTGCCCAAGGTCTTAAATCCCCGATCACCACGGCCTTGACATTCGACCCTCCCTCTTTCTTTCTTCAACCACCTTTACACAGCTTCGGCAACTTGGAGTACTCGGGAAGAGGGCAGTGATGCGCGAAATCAGCACTTGCAGCCATTTCATGCAATCAGTACTCCATGAACACAAGTCTTCCCGACCGAGATTGCATGAGGTGGCTGCAAGTGCTGATTCCGCGCAGCACTGACTCTGGGGATTATCACGTTGGGTTTTCTTTTTACTCTCTTTTTCCAGTCGAGGAGCCCCCTTCTACGCCCGGACAAATCGTGAGATTGCAGACCTTCCGTTATGCGTGAACTTGTCATCAATGATGAATTCTAACAATTGAGAAAGGCTCCGTCGAAGCGACCTCGAAGGGGCTCGGAATTGCTCACCCGCTGCATCATTCTCAATGTCCTGTCAAGATGGTTGGAAGCAACGAGGCACAAGGGAAAACGGCCACAGGCCGTTTTCCCTTGTGCTTTGCCCACTTGTTCCATGATGTCTATCTTGGCAGACTAGAAGACTTGAGAATGATGCAGCGGGTGAGCATATCCAGGAAGCTCCTGGTCCCGAAGATGAGAAGCGAAGGAGGTCGGTGTCGGATAACTCGCCCCGTGTGTATCATGAACAACGTAGGTTCTCAGATACTGCGGATGGGCTCATACATTTCGTCTTACTAACAGGATACACCCGTCTGCAGCAGATTGAATGGGACCTCGATACGTCCCTAGTAAAAGGTCCCGCACGATCCGTACCGTCGGATCAATATACGCACTCATCAGCTCGCAATCTATTTGCCGCTCTCCCAAACAAAACCCCAAAACAAGACAGCCACCCCCCTATCGCCAAGGCACAGAACTATGAGCCGCCACCCGTCAATGAGGATGGAGGCAGAACAATATCATCAACTTGCCACCGGGGCATGGCCCTCCTGGAATGACGACAGTTTTAACGAACACCAATGGAACGACAACTCTGGTATATTCGACGACAGCTGCATTACCGCTGACTATTTCCTTCCCTTGATGCCGGATTTCTTAGACTCATCGCACTTCCTATTAACTCAAACGGACGGCTCAGCATTGGGTTCTGCTTCCAAATTCACTGATTCCATCCCACAGCCGGATCCTCCCGAGTTTGAGCCTGCGTCGGTGATGGATGTCATTTCTCCGCTCAGTTCAGGTGGTACTACTTGGACCTCACCATCGCTGGAATTTGATTTCAACAGTCCCGTCATCGGCACCACACAGCCACAGTTTGGGGCTGTCCCACTAGACAGAACGGCCCAGATGAGAGACGAGTTGAGTTCCAATGCGCCCGCTATCGCTCCAATGGACACCGTCCAACGGCCGCCGGCCCAGCCTGCCCCGGAAATCAACTCTTGGAATGGTGTCCAACAACAACCACCGCTGTGCCCCGCCAGCCCCAGACTGCTTACAATGGCAGACAAACCTCCCCATATTTCAGCGTACGTGTCTTTCCTAGCTCGTCGATCGACTGACGGACTACCGCTGACAAAATATGCCCAGGCGCCAATGGCGCATGGAGATCAGGCCGGAGAGGTGCCGTGTCTGCGGGAAGGGTCACACGTACCCGGCTGAGCTCAAGAAACACATGGTCGCCCAGCATCGCCACCTCGCTGCGGAGTATGGGCTTTCTACGGAGCGATATGTCTGCAAGTGGTGCGGCAAGTCGTATGCGAGAGATGATCATCTAACGCGTCATCGGACGAAAGAACATGGGCGGGAAAAATACGCGAAAAGAAGAAGGAAGGGGGAAAGAGGGGATGGGACTTGAACACGGAGCTGGTGAACATCAAGGGTGCGTTAATGAGCCGAGCTTTTGGGATTTCCTAGTTCCGGATGATTTTTCTTGAAGCGGACTTTTGAAATGGTACACAGGGGTGGGTGGGGTCTCCGAGTCGGAGTTTCTCCTGACTCGGGGCCGGGGGTTTCTCACTGCCTACTTTTTGAGACATACGCTACGTTTCATAGCTATCATGACTTGACGACTTCTCAATTTAGTATTATCTGTCTTTTCGAAGGCCTCTGTCCAAAAATAAGAATATATATATATATATATAGGTAATCGGGGAATTGCAGCCTTTGAGGATCAATCCTAAGCTAGCCCGACGTTTTTGTGAGGAGGGGACACCGTCCTCTCCTAAGACCGTACAAGCAAGGCAACAGGATTACCCCCATGGCTTTGTGCATGTTTTCTATTGCAAGACACCCATACAATACAAACAAACAGATAAACAACGCTCCGATCCTGAAGGAGGCTGGGGTCGCTGAGCCGCAGGATCACAGGCAGTAGCTCTTGGCCTAAAATGGACCGGGCCACCGGTATTTCACCGTGAGGTCACCCTAATGATCCTTCTGTCTGGTCTTTACACGCTGCCTGTTCCGACGTGTGGCGGGTGCTTACCTGATATCGAACGTCAATGCCGGGCGCAGCCGGAACACAACGCGGCCCCGACGGCCCCGCTTTTAACCGACCCCTCCGGATTCGGGTCGGCGTGTTTGCGGCCGAAATATCGCCCCGCTCTTCCGGTGTGGAGCACGGCCGGCGCATTCCAGATGGAGTAATTTTACGCCGTGCCGGCAGCGTAATGCAATCGAGAATAGCAAGCCATGCGGGCGTCCAACCTCAAGTTCCATGGCTGGCAAGAGATCACCATATAAAGCACTACCCAAATCGAGCCAACTTCTTGAGGTATCCAAATTGACCATCTGATGAGGCCTTGCAATGGCGGAATTTTGGCACTTAACTACTAACCAACAATCTAAGGCGCGATCCTCGGTTGGAATGCAGTGGGCTTTTATTCAGGTTTATTACACTGGACAACGTGCTTCGCGTGTATGTACATCGTAGGTTGAGAAAACTACCTACCAGTCGTGCTCCAAGCCAAAGGGCGCGACTTGGCGCGTTCAGCCCTGTAAAACGCCAAGCCTCCTGCGACACGCGACGTCAGTGCCAATTCAGAACCCGCATGGTGCCCCGCGTCCAACTTCAACACCACCCCGACGCCAACACCCGACACAATTCAGCTAGGTAGTCGACGTGCTCCGCATTGAATGCGACAAACCGCCCACAACAACCAACGAACATGACGAGGTGACATTTCTTCGAGTTCACCAACTACCAAAAAACACAATGGCGCTTCCTCTCCCTCCAGGCCTAACCCACGCCGAGGCGGCCTTCCTCGCCGAAATGGAGCTTGTCACAGTAGTTCCGCGCCAGCGACTAGAAAGCATCGACTTGCTCAGCGTAAGACCCATTCCACCTAGAACACCCCTCTTCCTCTCTTCCAAAACCAAAACAACCCCCAAAAAAACTAACCAACCCCTCCCCTCCCACCAGGGCAAAACCCCACCGCTCCGTCCCCCCCACCGAACCGACCTCCCGCTCTGGCTCGCCCTCCTCCTCAAAAAACAACGCCGCGCCAACATCCTCCCTCCGGCCTGGCTACACCCCACCGCCCTCTCCGAAATCATCCTGCACGAGACCAAAACCGACCCGACCGCCTTCTCCCCGCCGCCCCCACCCCCATCACGCGCCCACCCCTCCCAACCAGGCCACGCCCACCGCCAAAACACCACCTCCCACCACCGCCACCAACAACAAAAAGACGACGACCACCCGCTCCACCTCTCCGCCCCCTTCCTCCCGGCCTGCACCGCCTCCGCCCCGGCCCACTTCCTGCCCTACCACTGGCAAGAAGTCGCCGAGTCCCTGCTCGCGCACGCCGGCGACGACGTCGGCTCGGCCACGGCCGGCACCACAACCGGCGGCGGCGGCGGCGCGGGCGAGGTGCGCCGCCTGCTGCGCGACCTGGCCGAGGTGCGCGCGGCGAAGCTGCGGAGCAGCACGGCCGAGTTGGAGGGGTTTGGCGGGGGGTTGATGGGCTTGCGTGGGGTGGGCGCGGTGGAGTTGGCGGAGAGTAGGGGGTTTGTGTTGGGGGTCGTGGATGGGGTGAGGAGGATTGGGGCGAGTGCGGAGGTGGCGAGAAGGGAGGAGGAGGAGAGGGATGGGGGGGAGGGCGGGGAGGGGAGTGATGAGGAGATGGGGTTTTAGGATGGGGTTTTGGATGGTGGGGGTTGGGTTGGGTTGGGGAGGGTAAGGGGGGCGGTGGAGGTGGACACGGTTTGGGTGGGTGGGAGGGATTCACGTTCATCGTCACGCGGAAACGTTGCAAAGGAGTCAAAGGATCAGAAATGGAGGACCAACAATGAGCTATTTGATGCATCAAGGCTGCGGCGACAGCCGACGGAAGGGGTGCGCCTCCGTGTTGAGTACAAACTCGTCGAGGCTCACCAACCCCGGGTCGCTGAAGATCAAATAAAAGTATTTCAGCGTCTCGGCCATCCAGAACGACTCCATCGAGTCCTTCGCCTCGGGCTTCTCCGTCTTCGTGATGTCGCGGACCGCCGAGTTGGCCAGCTTGGTGCTTGTCGCCTTGTCGATGGCCGTGAACATGTCCCACGCCGCCTCCATCAGCTCCGCCTGCCCGGTGACGCGGTATAGCACGAAAACGCTTTCGATGGCCTCCGGGCGCAGGAGGTACGCCCGGTCATAGATGGCGGTGAACCCCTTGGGAAACCGTTGCTTTTTGATGATGGCCTCGGCTTGGGCGTCGCTTTCCGGACCGTCAGTATCCTTCTCGGCCTTGCGGAGAACCTCCTGCTTCCAAACAGCTTCGTCCCACTTGCAAGCATCGCCTGCCGGGCACGAGGCCATGACGAACGACTCGGGCATGATCCCGTGAGGGAACGCCTTGTATGTCCATACGCAACCGTCGGTGAGCTTCTTGCCAGCAATCACATCCTTCTCACGATCAAAGAGCCTCCCACCCAGCGCCATCAACCCCCCCAAGAAGCAGGTAAGGTGCTGGCCCCGTGCTTCGAACTCCAAGCCATGCTCTCTGACGTGGACGTCCCCCGCAATGAGGATGTCCTCGTTCGTAGGCGTCATGGGGCGGAACAGGTTGTGCTCCACTACCGCGTCCATGGCCTTCTCGTACATGGTTTGGTACATGGGCAGCTGACCGCCCATCATGGCCGACATCTTGGGCAGGTACTCATACGCCGAGTCGGCCATCGCGCCCAAGGTGAAGTCCGGACCCGCGTTGAAGATTCTCTCCTTCCCATTCACCTTGAGGGGCCAGAGACCGGGAACGGCGGTCGAGTCCTGTTGGGCGGCCATGTCATCGGCGATGCGCTGCACCAGGTCAAACCACTTGGGCTCGCCCGTCAACATGGAGAGGCGTGTAAACTCCATGGACAGGGTGCCCACTTCGGCGATGAGACCTTCACTGGCAACCTGTTCCGCACCCTTGATGGCGGCACGCATATCCCATCGCGTGATGGGCATGTGGCTTGGTGTGTCGAAAGCCTTGTACAGCATCTCGCCGACTTCAACGGCCTTGCCGAGCAGCCGCTTATCGCCGCTCAGGTCAAAAGCCGAGAGGAAGCCGCCCAGGTAGCGGATATTGGTCTCAAAGACGTTGACCCTCTCCACCTTGGTGTGGGTGAAGTTAATGCCGTCTGCCGCAGTGACGGCCTCGTCGAACTCGGTCTTCATGTCCATGATCCACAACGTGTCGAGCGAGTCGACCAAGGTGGCAGCCCATCCTCCAAAGGGGTCCTTGCGGCCGCCGGACACGGGCGTCAACTCGTCGGCGCCCCATGCGAACTTCCGGTAGGACTGCCAGCACTTGGTGAAGGCGTCTTTAACGGCCTTCTGGCGCTCTGTCCGCTGGGTGAGGGCATTCTGGTCCTTCTCTGCAGGAAAGGCGGTTGCCTGGATAGGCGGATATTGTACCGGCAACGCAGTGGGTAGCGGCCGGATAGAGGCGGGCGGATAATGGAACGGGACCTTGCTCCAAAAGGCATCTTCCCGCCCGGCATCGGGCCGCCCTCCTTCCGCTAGCCTCGGTAGGGTCACAACATCCCGCTGGAGATAAAACACCAAGAACAGGAGAATCGCCGCGGCGGGAAACAAGGTCAAAAAGCCTCTTCTCCTGACAACGAGCATTCTGAAACTTTGAGGCTGGCCGTTGTCTTGGAGCGTCCAGGTCAACGAGATAGTGAGTGAACTAAACACTCAACACACATTCTCGTTCACCATCTGTGAAAAAGAAAACCGTTTTCAGCTGGCCCCTGAGACGTCATTGCCGAGAGCCGCTAACACGCTGCGCCTCGCTGCTCCCGCCAAACCCCTATGGGTGAAGAGCAACGTGGATTCGTCTTGTGAGTGGATGTTCGTCGGTGAATTTACCCACCAAAGAGACAGGGGTAGTGGCGTGGTGCCAAATTTGCAGGCATCGTCAGAGCAAGGTTCTTCCTCGCTCAGTGCTTGTTCCTGAGTTCCATGTCCGGGAGTGTGAAGGAGCGCAGAGATGTTGGTTGCTCACAAAGGACGAATGTCGATTCGACATAGTTATTCGAGTCTCTACCGCCTGAGCCATGCAGCCCTTCTCCCTCCCCAATAGAGTTCCAGACGGCGTTTCATCATGGTCGCGGTTACCGCCCTGTGCCGCAGCGAGGCCGCGTCTGGTAAATGAAAATTGACACGTCGGCGGGGATCAGGGGGATGGGTGCTGATGGGTGCTGACTGTATTCAATGCAAAGATATTTATCCCCAGCCGCGACGGCTTCATGGTGCATTTCTAGCCTTTCCGTGACCTGCCTTCGAAAGCGCACATCAGACGTCTGCTCTAAGCATGGCACCCGCCATGGGCGCCTGGATCCTGACGCTCGCCCTCGCGACCTCGTGGTACTGGCCTGGCGCCGAAGCCGCATGTTACTACCCGAGCGGGCGGCTCTCGCCCAACGACACCCCGTGCCGGGACGACACACCGCACGCAACATGCTGCGGCCAGGGCTACGCCTGCCTCTCCAACGGCATGTGCCAGGCCACGGGTGAAGAGCTGGCGCAGTCCGGTGCCAGCGAGTTCGTCCGGGGCGCCTGTACCGACGAGACGTGGCGGAGCTCCAGCTGCCCGCTGTTCTGCATCGAGAAGGACGTCGACTTCCTGGACGGCGGGAACGGCGTCGCGAAGTGCGAGAACACGGACGACGACCTGTACTTTTGCATCAACTCGCGCTCGGCGGAGGAAGCGAGCTGCGAAGAGAACAGGAAGCTGCTGTTCTTTGCCGGTATGTGTGAGAGGAGAAGACCCCTCCTTCGCTGCTCAGAGGTTGACGGTCTTTAGGAACCCCGTCCGCCATCACGACCATCGGCGTCGAACCGACGACATCCTCAACCACTTCCGCGTCGTCATCCGAGACCTCTGATTCCTCATCCTCCACGACCTCTGAACCCGACTCGTCCACATCCCAGGACAGTTCGACATCAACCCCACCTAGGCAAAGCGAAACTGCGAGCGGGTCCGACACGCAAGACGAGGGGTCTTCAGGATCTACCAACCTAGGCCCCATCATTGGTGGCGCAGTCGGGGGGACGGTGGTTCTGGCTCTCATTGTGTTGGGCGGGTGGTTTCTCGCTCGGAAGCGGCGAGCTATCAGTGGGAGTAACAGCCAAGCCGGCTACGGCCACGGCAACGACCACGGCAATGCCATGAGCGTGGGAGTGCCCAGCAGCTACCAACCGCCGGGAGAACAAAAGCTGGCGTTCGGCGACACGCAAGTTTACCAAGACGTTTACCATGACGAAACGTACCAAGCACAGGTACCGCCGAGCGCTGTACCACCGAGCGCGTGGAGCTCCGAGGCGCAGAACACTCCGTACGGTGCTTACGAGCTAGGGTCACATGAAGCCCGGCCGCCACCTAGCAGGCCGCCGATGGAACTATCTGTGGACCGGCCCCTGGAGCTACCTACGGGGCATCGATGACACTTCGGGGTTTATAGGGGAGGATATGTATATACCACGGTAATGCAAACTATACGGCTCGAAATCTATAATATACTACCTCTCAGTTCATCTCCTTCACCCGCCCGTGCCCGTTTCGTTCACCTCAGCGTTGTTCAACCCCACAAAGACCACCAACACCGCCGCGTAGGCCGCCGTCCCGGAGAGGACTTCCATCGGCTTCTCCAGCAGGTAAGCCAGCACCAGCCCAAAAAACACCACACACACCGTCGTCGCCACCAGACACGTATACAGCGTCCGATGCAGCATCATCAGCCACATGGGGCCCACGAGGAACACCCCACCCAGCAGGGCCATGACGACGCGGTCGCGCAGCTGGGCGAGCTCCGACTTGGCGCGGTTCTCGGACCGCGTGCCCCCGATCGGGATGCTCTGGCTCTCCCAGGGGCCCGGCACGGGGATGGGCCTGGCGTTGCGCAGGGTCTCGTCTTGCTTGGCTTCGTCGTCCACCATGGCGTGCAGCACGTAGTCGTCGATGAAGCGCTCGCCGGTGACGAGGAAGTCGTCGCGGAGGCGGCGGCTGTGCTGGAACATGTAGTCGTAGTCTTGGAGGGCTTTGGCTGTTGTGGGGGGGGGGGGGGGGGGTTAATAACGGTTCTTGATATGGTATGAGAAGTAACTTGGGGGGTTAGGAATCATGGGCTCTTACTGTATGCTTGCAAATCCGCCTCCCAGTCGTCGGGCTCTTTGTTTCGGAACCGCATGTCCACGACGTGCTTGACGAGCTTGCACTGCAGCTTGCGGAGGTGCATCCGCTGCAGCTCGGCAAAGCTGATGCGGTAGCTCTTATGGGGCTCATTGCTCGGGCCTCCTCCGGGTGCTGATCGTGACCAGTTGTCGCCTTCTGCGCCAGTGGATGTTGTTCCCTTCGATTTGAACCGGCTTCTCAGGCCGGGTCGACCCAGCAGCGGCGTTGTTTCCTCCACTTTCTCGATCAGGTTGTCCCTGTGGTGCGAGACAGCAAAAGTATTGAACGTTTTAATGTTTTCAGGATCGACTCCGAGAAAGCTGGAGGGTCGGGTGCCGCCCATCTCACTCCCAGGGGCCAGAGTCCATGGTTCCTCCTCCCTCCCCGCATGTCCCGTGAAAGTGAACGGCAGCGAATTGGCTATAGCCGGGTTGTGTCGTTGCCCCCTTTCACTCTCAGAAATCGTAATAGATGGTCGCCCTACTCTCTCGCTCCTCGTCGATCCCGCATCAGATCCAGAATCAAGAGTCCACCGCTTCTCTCTCTCGTCTGGCGGTGATAAAAAGCCGTGTGTTCGGTTTCGACTGGTTCCCTTCGTCTCACTCATCTCTGTTCCGAATACCGACTGTTTCCCCGATCGTATCGAACTCTGCTCAGCTGCGGATAGCGAGGCCATGCCTGTGGCATTTGTTGAGCCACCCGTCCTTTCAACATCCATTTCCATAGTCATAATATCTATCGTATTATTCGGTCTTCGGGAACTGGTGAGGTTTGGCGCCAGCCCCTGACTTAGGATTCCACTCAACAGAGAGACCTCCAGATGCAAGGAACATCGCTCGACGTGTTTGGATCACAGATGTCCAACGGTGAGATCCCATGCTGCACGTCCTCGGCGGCTAGCGGCAGCCCCCGCCTGCAGTTGCAGGGGAGGCCTCGAGAAAGGGGCCTATGAGAATGAAGATCGTTGGCGCCTTGCATATTTATTACAGGGCCGACGCCTGCACCGATTCTGCACACCAAGACAGGACGGGGAGGCTGTGCCTCCACTGCCTCTTATATGACCAAAATTGAGGCCCGACCCCAAGTCTCGGCCACCTTCTGACACGATTCCATTCCCGAATTACAGACAACAACAAGAACAACAACAATAACAAGCCTTTGCTTCATCCACCATACTGAATTTATTCCCCGAACTCTTGGACCCAAAACACCATGTTCAAACTCGGCGAAGACAGCGCGATGTTGGGATTTTATATTTCTTTTGAGCCGAGGAGGCTGTATCTTGAATTCCGCACAGATACACAAGCGGAGGAATACCTAAAGCAAATCAAGCAGCGGTCGGTTTACAAAGCCAACTCGTTGGATGGCGAGCAACAAGGCAGAGTCTGTTCCTTGCGGCTCCCCTCGAGGATTGTCAGCGCGAGCGTCTGGGGCTCCGAGATCTACCTCACTTTCAACGACAAGACGTTCGCCAGTGACTGGGTAAACGGACTACTGGTCTGGGTATTCAGAAAGAACCAGGATGGAACAAAGAGCGAGACGGATGTCTGCCTCTACAGCGCCGCTACCACTAAGCAGCTCAACAAGGCGTTGGGGATCTCGGAACACGGGAGGGCACGGCCAACGACAAATAACAACAGAGGTGTCCCTCACAGGGTGCCTGAATCTGCCATTACATCAGCGCCTGGTACATAAAACGAGGAGTAGGGAGTGTTGTTTGGGGTTTCGATTTCTGGGGTCAGTATGAACCGGGCAGCATAAGTTATATCACGATGAACGACAGCATGGACGAGAGGAGGGTTAACAGTTGTAACTTTGTTTTTCGAATATTTGCCTAGAATACAGTCATATTTCTATCCAGTTCTAACAGCACATTATAAACTCCGTTAACTTACAGTAGCCGCACAAAGTGTTTTTCACATCACCCGTGAATTCATCATCAATCAACCTCTCCCAGCATTCAAGCACCCTCGCTCTCCCCATCCGCGTCGTAATCCATCTCAGAATCCTCCTGGGCCTGATCCTCCACCCCATCCTGCCCCAAATCCTCAACCTCCCCCTCACCCTGGTCCTCGACCTCCTCCGGGCCCTCGTCCTCCACCCCATCCCCAGGGGCCCCACCCATCGCGGTGTTGGCCAGGCCCTGACCGATCCCGGTGCGAAGCAGGATAGATGGGTATTCGTAGTCGCCGGAGCTGTAGTCGGGGCTCCCAAGGCCGTAGTTCGAGGAGTGAGGGGACCCGTCGGGCACGTAGCGGTTGGCGACTCCGTCGCTGCTGTCGGTGGGGTCGAGGGCCCCGCTGGTGTCGCTGCGGGCGAGGCCGTCGCTGTTGCGCTCGGGGCTGTCTTGCTCTTGGTCTGGTACCCAGGATCCTAGGTATTGTTGGGGGGTGTTGTCACGGTGGTTGTCTTGGTGCGGTTCCGGTGCTGCCGCCGGGGGGCCCGGGTATTGGGGGATGTCGGAGAGGCGGGGGCTGGATTCGGGGATGAACCAGTGTTCGGGGCTGGATCCGGAGTTGTTGTTGTCTTGCTGTTCCCCGTGTCCCGGGGACTGGCTTGGCGGGTTAGGGGTTTGATCAGGACTGTCGATCATCATGATGCTGTCCTCGTCTATGTCGTCGCTGGGCTCTCTTGATGATGACTCAGAAGTATGATTGCGGCTGGACTCGCTCTTAAAAATCACTGAACGGGGGGACTCAGCGATCGGCGTAGGTGAGTTGTCGACCCCGGGTCTAGGTTCGAAGGAGAAGTCCTGATTGAACATTGACTCGGGCTCTAGCGGTGGTGGTAGACCAGCAGTGTTATTGTTATCAGGACTGTCCCCGTTGGCGGCATCATCGACGTGCTCGTAGACATCCTCGTCCATGGCGTTCGAGCCACTCGACCGAGGAGAGTCCGGGATACGGGATTCCGGGCTCGGGGCATCCCCTCTTGAAAAGTCACGCGGCTCCCCAGGGGTGGCGGGAGGCGTAGGATGCCCGGAGCGGGGACTGTCCTCGTCCATGTGGTGCTCGATTGTGTGCTCCACTGGCCGGTATGGGATTTGGTCCGGCACCTGCTGCTGAACTAACGTAGCTACGTTATTGTCGTCTAAAATCATGAAGGGGGAGCCCTCACGCAAGGCTGCTTGAGCCCGGGTCCGTCGTGGTTGGTAGTTGGGATTAGCCCTTACGCGGCTGCGGTATGATGCCGAGCCTACCGACAGACGGCGGCGTTTCTTTGGCACTTGCTGCTCCGGTTCGGAGTCATGCTTCCTCTTTGGAGCCATTGCAGTGGTTGATGGTTTTAGCTGAGTAAGTATATATATGTAAGAAAGATTTAATGAAACGGTTGGATTAGTTGGATCGGTTGGAACGAAGACACGAGTTGGAGTAGGATACTAGTCGTAGCAAAGAGAAGAACTATGCTTCTAGCTCTTCTGGAAATCAGTTTGTTGGGCCTGTAGCTACAAGAAGACACGATTCAGGGGTTGGCACTGCCCAGGGGTTATATCCTGGATCGCCAGACAATGACATTCTCTTCACCCCATAATGCCCGCGTCTTCTGTTAGCAAGAAAGAAAGCTCATGACTATCGGGGCGAATGATCTAATCTGGGCATGAACTGAAAGGTCTTTGTTAGACAAGTGTCGGCCAACAATAGGCCTTGTTGAAGCCGGCTATTACTAGATTGTTGGCCACTGAGATTGCCACCTTCATAGTAGAGATATCCAAAGACAAAGAAACAAAGTCTCGGTCTCAAAACCGAATCTCGCGTTCTTTGATCTGTTAGAAATTCCACCACCTCCCCATAAACGTGCCCCTTCTCGCGTCTCATAGCGGAACTTGAAGCGAACCGGCGTACAGATTATTTCATCGCAAAACAGTTGCCGATATCTGTCCTCCCTAGACTCGAAGACAACAGACCACTGAAACATTACACCAAGTCCCAGTCGTTTAATACTTTTCACCATGAAAAGGAACAAAGTCACGCCCCAATGGGACGCCATGGACCGACGATACTACGACTTCATTAACAAAGACGACGGCGACAACCCCTACCCTGGCGTGAACAACCTCGACGAGGCCGCTTTCGACCCGGAATGGGAGGAGGCCAGCGCCGCCCGGCCCCGCGGCATCTACGAAAGACGCTACCGACCCGACGAAGACTACGCCAGCTACCTCAGCCGCTACAGCGAAGACGCCGCGGCCATCGCAACCACCGCAGCCGCCGCTGCCGCCGCCGTCGCCCCCCCAACGACCACCACCACCACCCCCGCGCTCCTCTCCCTCTCCGACCTCGGCAACCTCATCTCCTACCTCCTCACCCCCCTCTACCATCTCCTCACCCTCTCCCCACCCACCACCACAGCCACCACCACCACAACCCTCAACCCCCCGACCCACCACCACCCACACCACCCACCCCACCCACCCCACCCCCCATTACCCCCCACCACCTCCATAGCCCTCCCCCCCTTACTCTCCCCCTCCACCCACCTCCTCACCCTCCTCACCGCCCTCACCCTCACCCTCCTCCACCACCGCGAACTAGCCCGCTTCACACTCTACTGGCTCGCCCGCCTCACCAGCACCGACCTCGCCGCCTACCCCTCCACATCCCACCTCGTCCCCGCCGCGCTGCGCGGCAGCAGCTCCGACGGCGGGAACCGGTCGCGCTACTGGGCGACGCTGCACGCGCTGCGGTGGCAGGAGGGCCTGAGCGGGCCGGCGGTGCGGGGGTTGGGCCAGCGGTATCTGGGCGGGGTGGTGGTGGTGGGCGTGCTGTGTCCGGCCGGGGTCGGGGAGGCGGTGCTGGCGGGGTTGGGGTCGGTGGTCTGGCCGTGGGTGCAGTTGTATGCGCTGGTGGTGGTGGTTACGTCCGGGGTGCGGTGGGCGCCGCGGTTGCTGTGGTTCGCGCGCGAGGTGGCGTGGTTTGGGGTGTGGGCGGTGATGGTGGCGGGTAGGGAGGTGTTGGTGTTGTGGGTGGGGGTTTTGAGGAGGTTTTGGGTGGTTCTCTTTGCGTCGTGGGCGGCTTGGGTGTCGTGGAGGTTGGTGACGCAGGTGGATTATGTAGAGGTTGCGGCAGGGACGGTGGTGTGGTTCTTGTATAGAAGTGCTGGGCTGCTGTATTGGGTCAGCGACATGGTGAGGGATATGGCGGGCTCGGTTGGGTTGAAGGCTTGAAGTATCTTCTCGATTAGATTCGTGGTTAATGTAATACAATAGAGACTAATTGCTTGTCCAATATCTCGTTTCGTGTCCTTCAAAACGGGGCCAAGTACTGGAGCGTGAATCCGGTGGATGTTCAAAACAACGCTATGCGGTTCCGGCCGTCTTGATCCCGCTCGCCCCCGTCTCAATTACCGTGTATCCATCCGCATTCCCTTCTCCCACCGCGGCCTTCGCATAAGCCTCATCACTCCTGTCACACAACACATCCAAGTCGCCGTCACTCAGCACCTCCTTGTCCCCCGAGAAGTTGTACACCTGGCCATCCTTCAACAGCAGCGCCTGGAGCGTCTCCTTGTCTAGGTCCTCGCGCATATCAATCTTCTGCCCCATAGTCCGGAACCCGCCCTTCTTGATGACCAGCTTTTCCAGCCGGCGCTTCGCATCGGCACTCATCAGCAACCCCTCTTCCACAGTCCCCTTCGTTGCGAGCCGGTACACGACGACAGGCCGCGTCTGGCCGATGCGGTGCGCCCGGTCCTGAGCCTGCAGGTCCTGCTGTGGGTTCCAGTCGCTGTCGAACAGAATGACGGTGTCGGCGCTGGCGAGGTTGATGCCCTGCCCGCCCGCGCGGGTGGACAGCAGGAAGATTTTGAGCTTCGGGTCTGTGTTGAACTCGTGGATCTCCGCGCGCCGGTCGTCTTGGGCGACGCCGCCGTCGATGCGGCAGACGGGCCACTTGCGGAGTTCGGAGCAGTAGTCTTCGAGGATGTCGAGTTGGGTCTTGAATTGCGAGAAGATGAGGACCTTGTGGCCGCGCTTGAAGAGGGTTGGAAGCAGGCGGTCGAGGAGGAGCATCTTGCCCGAGGCCGTCACGATGCTCTCGTCAATGGGCAGGTCGGTGCCGCTTGCCCAGGGGTTGTAAAAGTTATGCGGACTGTTGCAAACGAGTCGGAGCTGGAGCAGCGGATTGCCGAGCTTCTTGTTCGCAATTTCCCGTTCTGTTGGTGGTTAGTAGGGGCGCAGTTCGACGGGCCACGATGAATACATACTCGCAACCTCGAGGGTCTGGGCCCGCTCAAATTCCTCTTCGTTGAGTGGCTCCTTTATTACTTCGGGTTCATCCTCGCCCAGCTGTTCAGCAAGTTTGGACTCAAACTCGTCGTCATCCAGCAAATCATCGTCCGAGTCGGACTCCTTGTACGACTGCCTGCCTCTCTGTGGCCGGCCACGGGTACTGGCTGGGGTGGACTGTCTGCTGGATTTGGTACTTTTGGTTGTAGGCGATTCAGCTGCCGGTGGGCTCTTTCTCTTAGCCCCTTTCTTTGCTGGTTTAGGAGGAAGCTCGGCAGCCAATGGTTCGACAACAGCGGGAACCTTGGCCGGCCGGCCTCGTGGAGGAGGTTTGCCCATCATGAGACTGAAGGCGTTCTTAACCGGTCGCTCGGCGTCGTTTGGCTTCGCGGTAGCAGGTTTCCCTCGCGTTGACACCGATTTACTCTCTGTGTCGGGTTCTTTCTTGACACTACTCGACCTGGAAGACCGCGTGCTGTGGCTAGGCGACGACGCTTTGCTGTTGGTGGCGCCCGTAAGACGCTCGATGACTTTGTTTTCCAGATACGCCCGCGTATCAATCTTCTTGTCGCTGATAACGTTGTACAAGTCCGTCTGCTCCTTCGTCATAGGCGCGTACAACACGTACTCGCGCTTCTTCGGGAGATATTTTGCGACATCCGCCTTCACCCTACGGAGAAGAAGGGGTTGCAGCACAACATGCATCTTCTTAACCAGCTCCTGCTTGGTCTTGTCGGCAATGAACTCCTCGGTGCCCTCTTCGTCTTCCAGATCGCTAAAATCGAACCAACTCTCAAACGCCTCCCAATCCCGGAAGATCTTGGGCAGCAAAAAGTTGAGCAGAGACCACAGCTCTTTCAAGTTGTTTTGCAACGGTGTGCCGGTGATGAGGAGACGAGTGGCCGAAGTAAAGGATTTGAGCTCTCGGAAGAGCTTCGAGTCGAAGTTCTTCATGCGATGGCCCTCGTCAATGATGATAAACTCCCAGTTAATCTTGGACAAGGCAGCCCGGTCTTTCAGGACCATCTCGTAGCTAGTGCAAACTACGGGGAATTTCTCGGTCGGCCTTCCCCCATGGAGGTGCCGCATAATCTTGGACTTGAAGATCTCGTTGCGCTGCTGCGGCGTACCGTGGTACATGACAACCGGTATTGAGGGAACCCATTGGTGGAACTCGTCTAGCCAGTTGGACAAAGTGCTCAAGGGGGCAACGATGAGATGCGGGCCGAGGTAGTTCTCCTGCTCACGGAGCAGCGCAATCAAAGATATGGTTTGTACGGTTTTACCTAGCACACGTCAGCTCTGAGGTCCCCGTGGAAGGGCTACCGAAACATACCCAGTCCCATTTCGTCGGCCAGGATCCCGCTCATGCCTTGGATGCAGATTTCGTACATCCAGGTCAGACCCTCGAGCTGGTAGTCCCTCATGGTGCCACCAACAAGGCACTTCGGCTGCTTCGCCATAGTCAAGTCGTGCTCGCCAATGGTCTTGCCATCCAGACTGGTGCCCACACGACCCAGAACCTTTGTCTTGTTTGTGAGGATGCTGCTGAAGGCGGCGCTTTGGGCCAGGAGCTGATCTAGGTCCTTCGCCTTGGTTTCGCGCTCCCTCTTGCTCAGATCCCGCTTCTTCCACTTCTTCCTGCGCTTGTCCTCGGCCTTGTTGTTTTTCTTCGCGCGCCTTCTCCTCTTCCGCGGCGAGCATTTGCTCCTCTCGCAGCTTGGTGTAGCTCATCTTGGACTTGTCCATTGCTGGGCTCGCAGGAGAGGCTGGCGGTGGTGACGAGGGGGCGCTAGTGGGAAGTTGTGAAGGGGAACTGGCAGAGTCGCCATCGGACGAGGAAGCGTGAGGCATTGTCGGAACAAACGGGGGTAGTCGGAATGGCGATTGGCCAATCGCCTGTTGATTGCGGAGGAGAGACACGGCGAGATTCGTTCGAGGACCGGTAAAGTTGGAGCTAGGTTTTGGACAAATACAGATTCATTGAATATGAAAGTGACCGCACGGGACCAATCTCACAGCCATGGGGGGTTTAATTGAGGCAAGGGCGGGTGTGGGTCCGTCAATGAAGGGCGCGCGATGCACGCGACAAGGGATCGCCACTGCAATCGAAAACGCGTCAGAGCCCTGCGCGCTGTCACGGGCCAGGGTTCAGCCCATTAAAAAAGCTTCAGCACCAGCCCCACATTGTCACACACCCCTGTCGGGCCCGATCTGTGTCTGCCCCTCGTCTTGACTCAAACAATTGCCCCGCATTTCCGTCAGGTCAAAATTGTTTGTCGATTTCACCCCACCATCGCCGAATGAGCAGATCAACACCAACATTGTCCAACATTGTGACCGCTTAATTTCTTCTATTCCAACCGCCCTCTCTCAATCCGCCAAACTGTTCTTCCTCCGAGCCGCCGCGCGCCCTGCAGCCGCCTTGCGAAGCGTCTCTCCGCTCCGCCAAGTCCCGATCAGGTCCCTCAACACCATCTCGTTGTCTAACCCGCGCATCATGGCAGCCCTCGACGCCCAAAAATACACCCCCGCTGAGGAGTCCGAGATCCAGACCTGGCTCGACAAGGCTACCTCGCTCAAGGTGGCCGCTTCCGATGCCCTCCTCGACACCCTCAATACCGATCTCGCGACCCGCACCACGGCCATTGGGACCAAGCCCAGCAAGGCCGACGTCGCCCTGTACGAGTCTCTCGCCCCGCTCGTGAAGGCCTGGACACCTGAGCAGCGTACCGGCCAACAGGGCCGCCCCAATATCGTGCGCCTCGTCGACTTCGTGCAGAACAGCCCGCTGTTCGGTCTCAATGTCGCCGATGCCGACAAGGTACAGGTCGACGCCGAGGAGATCCTCTACGTTAAGCCCCCCGTCGATGCCAAGGCCGAGAAGGAGCGTCTAAAGAAGGAGAAGGCCGCTGCCGCCGCAGCCGCTGCCGGCGGAGACAAGACTCTCGTGGACCGGACAAAGGAGGCAGCCGGCGCCGTGGCGGAGAAGGCGGCGGAGGCGAAGGACAAGGTCGTCGAGGCCGTTGCGGGCGAGGGCGGCGCCAAGAAGCAGAAGAAGGAGAAGAAGGAGCGCGCCCCCAGGCAGCCCGCCCCTCCCCCGGCGCCGACCGTCATGTCGCCCTGCCTGATCGACCTGCGCGTGGGCCACATCCTCAAGGCGATCAAGCACCCCGAGGCCGACTCGCTCTACGTGTCGACCATCGCCATGGGCGACGCGCCCGGCACCGACGACACGACCGAGGTCGACGGGCAGGTGGTGCGCACCGTGTGCTCGGGCCTGAACGGGCTCGTGCCGCTCGAGGAGATGCAGGGCCGCAAGGTGGTGGTGGTGTGCAACCTCAAGCCCGTCAAGATGCGCGGCATCAAGTCGTCCGCCATGGTGCTCGCCGCGTCGCCCAAGATCAAGGAGGGCGAGGTCGACGACCACAAGGGCCCCGTCGAGCTGGTCAACCCGCCCGCCGACGCCAAGGCCGGCGAGAGGGTCTACTTTGAGGGGTGGCAAGGCGAGCCCGAGAAGGTGCTCAACCCGAAGAAGAAGATCTGGGAGGCCTTCCAGCCCGGTTTCACCACCACCGACTCGCTCGAGGTGGCATTTGATGCCGGGGTGGTTGAGGCGCTGGAGGGCAAGACCGGCTTGGGCAAGCTCGTGACGGCGAGCGGCGGTGTGTGCAAGGTTGCCACGCTGCAGGGCGCTCAGGTGCGGTAAGACGGAAAACGGCCCGGTGTAGGGAGATACCAGCAGTACACCATCGTCACCAGACATGGACAGATAGATGGATGTGTCAAGGCGCAACAAAAACAACACAATAGAACAATTTTCTAAACGCTGGCCAAACCAACAACCACCCCCAAAGAAGCGAATTGACTTTTTCCCTCCCCCTTTCCACTTACTCACCCTCTCCTTCCCCAACCCGCGCTCTAAACTCCCGTCGGGCGAACCACGTCGGGCGTGGTCTTGCACCCGGTCGTGACGGTGCTCGTCGACGTGGGGATGACACAGCTGGCGGTGCAGCCGGGGCAGTCCCCCGTCGCGACCACCGTCGCCGTCGGTGTGGTGGGGCAGCAGTCGGTGCTGTTGGGGGGGGTTGTTAGCTCCCTGTCGTGTCTTCGGGTTTCATGCCCACGGTATCACCACTGTTGCGGGGTAAAAGGGACAGAAAGAAAGGGGGAGGGGGGGCTTTACCTGCACGGCACCTTGGTGGTCGTTATGTGGATGATGGCGGGGCAGGCGATGGGGCTGGTGGGCGGGACGCATAGGGCAAGCGGGCAGATGGCTATGGGTGGGGGAGGGAAAGAGATGGGTGGTTAGCTAAGTGTTATGCAGCCCTCTAAGGGTTGGGGAGTTGGGGAGTTGGGGGGTGCCTACTTGGGGAGACTGTCTTGGTGGTGGTCGCCGTGAAGCACTTGTGACCGATGCAGGTGGGCGGGAGCTCGCCGGGGAGCGTGACCGGGTCAATGTCCTGGCCTGCGGGAGCTGCTGAGCTGGATTGGGGGAGTTTCATGTGTTAGTACTGGCAAGGAAGGGCCTGTGTGTATGGGGGCTAGAGGTAGGCGTTGTGGTGGTGCTCTTACCTGATGCCCAGCAGGCCAAGGAAGACGAGGCTGTTGGAAAGTGAGAGCTGCATCCTGAACCGTGTTTGGAGTTATACAAATCTTTAGGTCAAGGGTAGAATGGATCAAATGTGTGATGTATATATAATGTCTTGTGTCTCACGTCTAATAAGTAGAAATTGATGTCCCTACCACAGCCTCTCGGAGGGGGGGCAACCTCTTCAAGTACTCTCTGATCCGCAACGACGCTGGCCACACAACCTTGACAGCTAACTAACGCCACCTTTCGGAATAACACGAACACTGACCTGCCACGACTCAACCAGGAAAACCGGAGGCCAGTGTGGGTTGCAGCGTCAGGCTAGGCAAGTCTGGCAGCCAGTCAAAAGCCTTTCGTCCAGGTTGGCGTCTGCAAGGTGAAGGAGTGTTTGCTTCCGGGAGAGACAGAGTCTTTTCGTTCGAGCGCCTTCTTCCATACTCTGGAGTAAGTGGCGTCGGCAGTCAAGGATGTCTTACGGAAGCCGAGAACGGGCCCCTGTCTTGTTCCCTGTGTTGACCCGAGGGTGTGTGGCCGTTGAGCAATATCTTTCGAGAATAAAAATAGCATCACCAGACCAGGAACCCGGTAAACCTTCAGAGCCGGCCTTTTATCCCGAGTTTCAACACTTGATTACCTCTTGGCCGTCATGGACTTTGGCTCGCCGATGTAGGATTTGGTACTATATCCTGATTAGCGTCATTACCACAATGGCTGAATTCGAACCGCCAAGCTGTCCGCTTCCGTGCCTTGCAGAAGATGCGAAGACTCGGCATGCACGGCAGCCAACCGGCCCGGCAGCGGTGTGGTAATCGCGGAGGAATCGACGTCCTGACACGAGAAAACATGGTGGCTCATCGGCCGCAATTCTTTCCACCATACCCGGGAAAGACAAAGGAGAGGACGGAGATCTTTAATGAAGTTTCAAATACATTGGCCCCGCGTACTATACAACACCCTCAAGGAGGAGTAAATACCTGTACCTGAGCATCACCGCCCGCCTCCATCCAGACGTTAACGTACATACACGCATCTCAAACAACCCCCTCTTTTCGCAAACGCCACGCCAACCATGCCGCCTCGTAAAAGACCTCTTCAGAAAACGCCACAAAAGCAACCAGGAACAATGCACTCTTCATGGTACAACAGAAAATGTCCCGCTCCACCGTGACCCGATGCCCCCGCCTTGACGGGTTGCTCAAGAGAAGAAGTACTTGCTCCCCTTGAGTTGCTTAACGTCAAAGTCGCCCTTCTGGGGGATCTCGGGGAACGTGAGCGGCAGCCAGAGCTGGATCTGGGGGTTCCGCGTCGACTTCGCCCTTGTTTCCTTCGACCTTTTCGGCTTGTCCATTTCCATCATGAAGTAATTGGTGCCGTAGAGTTCCCCCAGGTTTGCCGCGAAGTTTTGCAAACCATCCACGCCCTTACCCTCGACAGGGGGTTCATCCGCTCGGTGCTCTTCCGTGGCGATACTCTTCCCATCCCCGTCCCCTTCCCCGTCACCGAGCATCTCCTCGGGATCGACCTCATTCAATATCATATCGGGCGTCGCCAGGGATTCGAAAATGCTGGCGGGCGTGACCATCTCCTGGGCTTCCCTCACCTCCTCCGGGTCTATGGAGCGCAGAAAGAGTTGGCGCCGCCTCTCCTCCAAGAGTTCATCCTTCGCATTCATGCGGCGGGACTTGCGGAGTTCGATGATCTTCCTGCCGGCTTCCGTCTTCGAGTCGATCTTGGCCCGGTAGATGGACCCGCGGTATCTCGCCTCGAATTCGGCCTTGAGGCGGCCAATGACGTCCTCTTGATGGATACGGATGAAGGAATCACGGATGACGGCGTTCATGTCATCCACGTCGGCGGCGTGCGTCCAGAACGAGTCGTGCACGGCGGCAAAGGTAAGCCCGATGGCGTCGCATTCGAGGGCCGACAGCATCATGTGACTGGCGTCGAGCGAGTGGATGAAGTTGGGAGGGAACGCTTGGAGCTGCTTCCGCCGGTTCACCGGATCGTCCCGGTCCACGTTGGTCAAGACCAGGTCTTGCAGACACGTCGAGATCATCCGAGTTCCGCTCTTCCTATACGGCTGAACCACGGGCATCCGCAGGGGCGTTGTCCAAACGAGCGTATTCCGGAACTGGGCGGCCATCTCGTCCTCTACATCCAGCTTTTTGGATGTCTTCTTGGGTTTGACTGCTTCGCCCGACATCCCGGCGACCCGCTCGAGCTGTTCCGGTGTCATAGCACGGCACACGCGGCCGCCAATCTCGCCGAGCCAATTTTGAATGTCGTGGGCGCCGCGGAACATTGTCGACAGAGCCAGGAACACCTTGGCAGCGAGATACGACGCGAGCACGGTGGAAGCCACGCCTGTCTCCTGCTCGATATCGGGATAGAGCGAGTCCAGCTGCTTTTGCACCTGCTTCTTGGCGCCCACGAACGTGACACCATAGACGTTGGTCATGACCGTCTGCTTGACAACCTTCCTAGTGATCTTTCCGTCCACGGCCTTGGCGAAATCGTTGCCGGCTTCCAGATCCTTTGCAACCTCCTCCTGTACCAGGTGGGCGACGGCCGAGTAGACGTCGGCGGGGCGCTCTCCTGGCAGGAGATTTACTTGTTGCGCGCCCCAAGTATCACCACCAAGCGCGGCATAATGCTGCAGGCCATTGCAGGTGCCATCCTGGTGGACGGGCAAGTGCGAGACGTAAGCGGTGGGATCCGGAGATGACAAGGCCGCCTTCAACTCGAAGCACGCGCCAAGGCATTGCCAGGGGTCTTCGGCTTGGAGCCACCACCGCTTCCCCGTGAGCGGGTTATCGGCCGAGTCGAAAATGTTTTCCAGGTTTTCGGTCGCGAAGGCCTCGCGCTCCTGCAGACTGGCCTTGTCGAATCCGTATACGTTGGAAAGCTGGACCTTGAGCCAGGCCAGGCCCTTCTCACCCAGCGGCTTACCCTTGGCGAAGAGCAAGAGCCCACGCATGTGGTCGGCACCCATGTGGTTCAAATACGTCGGCATCGGGTAGGCGCGCCCGCGGAAGTCGATGTTGTGAGGAAAGTAAAAGGTCTGATCCCGGAAGGCCCTTGCGATCTCCAACTGAAAGTTCATGAAACACCGGACAGAGTGGAAGCCCGACTTCTCGTTCTCGGCGGCTTTGACCGACCTCAGCCACACGCGCCTCTTCATCGGGTCGTCTGTCGAATCCGGTTCGGGGGGGATGGTAATCTTGGGATCCAACGCGGGCAGGTTGGCGAACTCCTCGCCGCTGTTCCATGCCTCAAGCATCACGTCGAAGACGGGGCGGTTGATTCTCCAAGCAGTTTTGCCCAGCACATCTAAGCCCCTCATCATCTGCTCCATGTCTCCCCGCTCGATGGCTGCCTCGGCGTAGATGCGTTGGTCTTTCTCATGGTTCTTTAGCCGAACGAGAGGGTTTGGCGATGAGATGAAACCGCCCTTGTCGAACTTGGACCAGGGCACGGGCTCGACAACCATGGGCAAATGGCGAGCCAATGCTTCGCCCCTGGGCTCCCGTTTCATGAGCTCTATCAATCCACGGTTGGGCTGGATCACGCCTACTTTCCTCCCCTTCTTGAGTTGAATGGCGTGAGTGAAAGCTGGCTGGGTTTGGCTCAACTTCTCCTTGGTGACTGGGTGCTCCCGCTCGACGGAAATCTTTGCGCTGTCCATCAGAGCGGCGAGAAGAACGGCGCCGAACTTCGCCTTGATCAATATCGGCCAGCGCGCCTCCAAGGATTCTTCTTCCGAAGCGGGACTATTCGCTGTGGTCGCGGCGGAAACTGGCGGCGTACCTTCAGGCACGGCCGGGGTTTCAGGTACGGCCGGGGCGGAGTCGTAGAGCCGCATCAACTGCCGAGCGCTCTTTTGTTGATGGGATTTCGACTTGGCGTTTGGAGCACGTTTCTCCTGGTTCTGGGCCCGGATGTCCTCCTCAGCAATCTTGGCAAGCTGCTGTACCATGTTGGAGAGCGGGAGGCCCTTGTCCGCACCGTGCATTGCCAAGCTGCTAAGAGCACCGAGAATGGTGACGGCAGCAAGACGGTTGGCGGGTGACTGTAGCAGATGCGGTCCGTAGACGCAACGATCCATATCCTCTTTTGTTTTCTTAATCGCCGCCTCGGATGCCTCAACCTTAGCTTGCTCGTCGGCAAGCCTACGTTCCAAAGCCTGATGCCAGTCGTACAACTTGGAATTAAGGGAGGGGGTTGAGAGCTGCGTGTTTAGCCCCATACCCATGAGCGACTCGTTCTCGCTTCGCCATCTCGAAACGGCAGCATCCACGCAATCTTTCTCGAGCCTGGTCTGGACTTCGCGACGTTGCGATGCGGGAAGGGAGGCGATGTTTAGCCCATCCGGAAGCTCGGACAACAACGAAAGCGCCGATTTTAGGGATTTGAGCCCCATCCCCTTTTGTGGTGTGCCCAAAACTTCCGGCGCGCCGGTTGAAGGCTTCCCTGTCGTGTCGGAAATCCCCGTGCTCACTGGTCCATCTCCCTCCTCATCCAAGACAGCCTCGGCATCCGCAGCGGTGGAAATGTTCTCGGGGACGTAGTAGGACGGGCATATCTCGGCGATAGTTGCCAAGTCTTCGTCATTGAGAACGTTCCCTAGTTCGAGCGGCTCGGCAGGGTTCTGCTCCGGCATCATGCTCATGTAGCGGTCGATCCGAGCCGCCTGAGTGCTGTCTCCGGCTATGAGGAGGGTCGTCTTGAGCATGCATGCGATAGTGACCGGTGTTAGCGGTAGGCGAGCAGCCCGGATGTGTAGTTCGAACCACTTGTGAACCTCGTCGGCCTTGTCCTCCCGTGGCTCTACCATGAGCTGCGCGACGCGGCCCTGTAGGTATCGGTTGTGCAGCTCAATTTCTTCTTCGGGCTTTAGAACTTCCATCCTTCCGAATCGTTTAAGGACCAAAGCGGCTCGGTCCAGTCTGCCGACCTGGACACAAGCGTCAAATACCGAGAGCATCTCGTCGAGGTCGCCAGGAATGCCATGGGGGTTGACCCGCTGTCTAGCCGGGTATGGTTTCGGCTCGCCGAGGATCAACGTCGAATTGACATTGTACGGCTTCAGCAGATAGGGTGCCGGCTGTGGCTTTCGCGGTCGGTATTGGGTGGCCAAGCTAGCTGGAAGACCTTTGAACGGTACCTCGTCGCCGAAACGATGCTCGTCAAGCGCTGTGGCTAGGTTGCGCTCAAAGCCGACCAGGGCACGATACGACTTCTTCTTCCACGGCCGTGAATCGGGTTCTGTTGTGAGAAACCGCCGGCTCCCAATTAGAGACGGGAGAGAGTTGGAGACGGAACATCTCGACCCATTTCGGAGAGAGGCGGCGGACGAGAGAAGACGGCGTATAGGGAGGGGTTGTCGTGCGGCGCCCGGGCGGACAAGCATCTTGAGGGTAACAAAGAGAGCCTGCGCAGCAGCCGTGTCGTCACGCTGCCTCGCTGTTCTCGAAGAGTTGTGGTGAGGGAGGGGGAGAGTGCAGGCTTCAACAGACGAAAAAAATCTGTTGATGGTTGGGCGATAACTAATGCATTAAACTGAATAACGGTGCCAATGAAACAAAAAAGGGAGAGTTGGTGACCCTCTTACAAAAAAAAGAAGGCTGCCGTCAACTCGCTCGGGAATGGAGGACAGCGCATTTAACTCGAGTTCTGCTTCGCAGAGACAGCAAAACTTGAAGAGACTGGATGGCTCGGGATGTTCAAAAATTGGCCTCCTGCCCTGCATGGCAATCTTATCAGGGCGGGCCAGTCTGCTCGCGTTGGTGCTGGAAAAAAAATCCGACGAGCAGCGCGTTTGATTGGGCGATTCTATGTAACCCCACCACCTTCGATGGAGTGTGCACGTGCCGCTTCGGCCGCCAAATGGAGCGATAAGCACCAATTGACCCAATTGACAACCTGGCTCAGCACCTCTCTCTGGCTTCCAGTCCAGTTTACAAGTTTGAAACTCGGGAATCGGCCTGTCGCCACGGATACTTGGTTCCTTAACCTTACCAACACCCATCGACGCTGCACTATGGTAGCAACAGCAATGGCACCCGCTTCCATTCTGCGGGTCGCCCGCTGTCCGGCCTGCAGTTTGTCTGCCCTGCGTCCATTCATTAGCAGCTTTGCAGGATCCCACGCCCGCGTGTCAGTGGCGACCTCGAGAAGCCATTTCCTTGCTCCAAGAACGGCCGCGACGTTCTCAACTTTCCGGCCCACACCACGTCGTCTAGGGGGTCCCTCGATTATAGAGGAAGCAGTCGACGAGGGGCGTAGCAACGACGAGCCGAAGCCAAACGACACCCCGTCTTCAGAGTCCAGTGGCTCCGACGAACCGTGGTATTTACAGGTCGAGCCGCCGAGACACCCGACCCTCGTCCACGAACCGTCGCCGTTGCCCGACATACCCGACGATTCACCCAAGATTATGGAACCACTACTCAAGTTTGTGGCGGACGAACTAGGCTTGGACGACTTGTCGCTGCTCGACCTGCGGGAGATGGACCCCCCTCCGGCGCTGGGCCCGAACCTGATGATGCTCTTTGGGACGTCCCGCAGTGAGCGCCATCTCCACGTTTCGGCAGACCGTATGGTTCGGTGGCTGCGCGGCCGCGGCATCCTGGCCAAGGCCGATGGGCTTCTTGGGCGGAACGAGCTGAAGATCAAGCTGAGGCGCCTTGCGCGCAAGGCGAAGATGCTTGGAAACTCGGGGGTCATGCGCGGTGGCGACGATGGTATTAGCACGGGGTGGGTTTGCGTCAACCTCGGCATTGTGGGGGGATCAACCCAGGAGGTTGAGATGTTCGACGCGGAGGGCAGGTCGACGGGTTTCGGTGTACCACAGACGGGCACTAGCATCGTCATTCAGATGCTCACCGAGTCGAGGAGGAAAGACTTGGACTTGGAGGGGTTGTGGGGCGGCATGCTGCAGAGGAGCCTGGAGAAAGCACATGGGCTGCCGGCCCTTGGCGCCCGTAGAACAACCCCTTTGAGCTTGGCAACCTGAGTGGGAGAGTACCAGTTCTATGCGGGGTGCCGTATGCTCCAAGCCTACCGTCGAAACCCTCCGTCGCGAAACGGTAGCACTCGTCCTGACATCAGACGCAACTTATAGAGTCTCGACAACCCACGGGGTGGCGGTGCCCATACAAATTGCCGGTTCCGCTTGCCATGGCCACCAGGAGTTGTTGGGCCCGGCCCGCTTCGTGGTTTTGATCGACTCCATGCTTCGTTTCCGAAGGTTACCGCCACGGCTCGAGGACCCTCGCATTCGAATCGCACACGTCGGCCGACTCAGGTGAGCTGGGAGAAGTTGTGGTGGATTCAGCTCCTGCAATGCTCAGTGTCGGTTTACATAGCATGATAACGCCCAAGACAGGACCAAACGAGGGAGGCGCCAGCCGAATGCGCCGGTTGAGAGGGGTTAAAAGGACACAACGCAAGGGGAATGTAACACCGATGTAAAATAATGTACATGATATACAGAAATGTCATTGCTACGGCGTTTCAGGACGGCAAAAGCAATAGAAATACCCAACACCACGTTAAAAAGAATTCCTAGTTATTCCGAACTCTCCCGGCTCCCAGTTAAACCAACGACCGCCACCCCCCTTACCCATCACAACTTCGCCGACTCCCTCATCGCCTCCCTCAACATGGGCCCCACCTGCTTCCGACTACACGAAACCTCCTTCTGCCTCCAACAAACCCGCCACTCCCCCTCGCCCTCCCCCCCTCCATCCAACCCCCCACCCTCCCACGACTCCAACCCAAGCTTCTCCGCAAACCGCCTCCGAAACTCCCCCACCGCCGCCACCCCGGCCTCACTCAGCCCCCACACCAGCAACTCGCGCGTAAACACCCCGCCGGGCCGCGAGACCGTCATCACCGCCGCGATGTCCAGCCCCTGCTCGCCCGCCCACGCCCGCAGCGCCGCCACGAACGCTCCGCGCTCTCCTTCCCCGGCCGTGGCTGTCGTTGTGGTTAGGTCCTGCACTACGGTCGACATGCCGAGTCCGAGGCTGCCTTCGGTCCAGCGCTTGTAGTCCTTGCGGAGGACGTCGCGGTAGGGGAGGCCGGCGATTTGCTCTTTGAGGGTGGTTAGGGTGGCGTGGTAGGTTTCGCGGTTGTAGGGGGCGGCGTCTTCTTGGGCTGAGGGTTGGGTTTGGACCTGGGATCGGGATTGGGATTGGGACTCAAAGGAGGCTAGCTTTGACTCGGCGAGCTCGGTGGCGTGCACGTCCCAGTCGGTGGTCTTATCCTTGGACGTGAGGTTGATGGTGTCGATGAGGATGGGGGCCAGGGCGACGTGTGCGAGCTGGGCGTCGCATTCTGCCGCTGACGTGCCGTCTTCGCAGGCCGAGGCGGCCAGGCTGTCCCAGGTTGGCTTGCAGTGGTCGAGGACTAGGCTCATGCAGCTGCCACATGTGGCGAATCGCCGCGGCTGGCCCTCCGGGACGTCATGCGGGATAACGCCCTCGTCGACGTGGTGGTCGATACAGCCGACTACCTGGCCGGAAAAGGATGCGGCGAGGCGCCCGGTGAGGGCGTTGTGGTCGACGAGGAGCCAGCGGGTATCTTGCGGGTGGAGGCCCTCGCGTGGGAGGTCGCAGAGGGTGATAAGGTCGTCTGGCTTGAGCCCTGCGGGGTGGAGAACGGCCTGGAGTTCCGGGCGAAGAGCGAGGTCTGCTCGGGGGAGGTTGGAAAGTGGTATGTGCAGGCCGTGAGCGGGAGTGTGAGTGCGGAAATAGGCAAAGACGACGGCTGAGCAGAGCGAGTCGAGGTCTGGATGTCTATTAGTATGCTCGTTATATCCATCTTGAAAGGATATAATGGCCTACTTACCTGCCGATTCATTACCGACGACAAAGGTCAAGGGTTTCGGTCTTTGCGCGGGAGGAGATAAAAGGGCCTTCCTGGCAGTTGCTAAGAAGCCCTTGAGTGATGCCCGGGTTGGTGACATGGCAACTGGCGTCGAAGGCATGGAGGTTGCACTTTAGAAATCACGGGCCGTTCAAGGCTCAGTTCAGGAAATGCGTAATTTTAGTTTAAAAATAAATATCACTCACGCCTTCTCAACTTGAAAAGAAGTGTCTCGATTGATCGCAAATAATGCTGCAGCGCCCTCGACACCTGACAAGCAAGAGATATCGAGTTGGTAAAATGGCGAGCATGGACAAGATGTCGGCTACAAAATATTGAACGTCACTCCCGCTTTCGAAAACAAGGAATTCGGTCTTCAGACGGGTTGGTGTAACGAAAGCAACGGGTCTTGGCACAGTGCGGACCGGAGCCGATGTTGACCGTTGACGCCGCTTCATGCCGAGTGGAGTCAGTGGGCCGGGTTTCTCGGATCCGATTCTCGGATGGCAACCCGACGAGACCCTCTTTCCCGTTTCCTCGAAAGTGACATCTAATCTCAACTTTCCACTCCTTATTGTGACAACTCGATAAAACGGGGTAATTTACCTAACAAATAACTGATACATCGGCCGAAGCCAATCTCATCAACGCCATCCCTTTTATTATCCAACCAACACCTTCACCGACTAATCACGCAGCACACTCCCAACTCCCAACACTCCCAACAGTCATCACAGTCACAAACATGCCCCTCCGCCTCGCAATCCTCGAAGCCGACACCCCGGTCCCGGCAGCCAACGAGCGCTATGGCGGCTATTTCGGCGTGTTCAAGCACCTCTTCACCCGCGCCGTCGCCCCCTCGCCGCTCGAATCTGAGCTCACGCTTACAGGCCACGACGTCGTACACAACCCGTCAACGGCCTACCCGAACCTAGACGACGTTGATGCGATTTTAATATCGGGCTCCAAGCACAACGCATTCGACGACGACGAGTGGATCCTCACGCTCGTTGAGTTCGTCCGCAAGGCCCTGCTGCACGACCGCGTCCGCGTAGTGGGTATCTGCTTCGGCCATCAGATCGTTGCGCGGGCGCTGGGTGCGCTGGTTGCGCGGGGTGACCAGGGGTGGGAGGTTAGTGTCGTTGAGACGCGGCTGACGGAGAAGGGCAAGGAGGTGTTTGGGAGGGAGAGGGAGACGCTGGTAAGTTGTTCGGATGTGATGAGAGCATCACAGCACCTGGGGCGGTGAACCGAACTAACTCATGCGCCGGCAGAACATCCAGCAAATGCACCGGGACCAGGTGTTCAGCATACCCCCTGGCGCGGAACTGCTAGCGTCGACGGACAAGTGCACGAACCACGGCTTTATTATCCCCGGCCGTACCATCACCGTCCAGGGGCATCCCGAGTTTACCGAGGACATCATGGGGGAGCTTCTCGAGCTGCGGCACGAGTCAGGGCTGTTCACTGACGATCTGTACCGGAGCGGCAAGGAACGGAACGGGGACCATCACGACGGCATTTTCATGGCGCAGGCCTTCCTCAAGTTCCTGCAGGAGCAATAACAAATACGAAAGTTGTCGTCCCATTCCGGACCCGCACAATGTGACAAGTCGACGCCAAGGGGATCGCCTGGCAATCACCCGCGATGATCGCTCACGCGCGTCCCCAGACTGTTGGTCGAGCTTGCGAGCACGGAGAGTTTGTATGTACACAGTCAAAGACGATCGCCTGGCCCTTGCGGCCGATGTGCCGACGCACTTTTTATCCCGAAAAGGAATCGTGCCATTTGAGACGATGCTGAAAGACATTTTGAATGCTCCCCCTTGTCAACGCCGAGAGCCGCCCTCGCTATCTCTCATGCAACCTTAATCAGCCACAAGCCGCCCCAAATGCAGAACCAACCAGGGTATAGTGTAAGCCTCAACCGACTCCGAAACAATGAGAAAGACAGCCGCAAAGTGTATGCCCGCATGTATGCATGTAAACCAAAAACCCCAACCGCACAAACACCATCAACCCACCTCCCGCTGGACCTCCCCCCCTGGCCTCCTCCCCCCCTCATGCCCCCTTCCCCCCTCCCCATCGTCATCATCAAAATCATCATCATCATCAAACCGCCCCTCCCCCTCCGCCCACACATCCCACCACTCCCTCCCCCCAACCCTCCCCGCCGAAGCCACAACCCCCCTCTCCCTCTCCACCGCCACCTCCCCCTCCCTCCGCTCCCTCGCCAGCCGGCCATAAACCAGCATCTCCTCCCTCGTCCTCCCCACCCCATCCCCCCTCAGACCCCGCCGACCACCACCACCACTAGCAGCAGCAGCAGCAGCACCCCCACTCCACCAGCGGCAGCAGAAGCCGAGCCCCCACGCCCAGCGGCGGCCCAGCGACGCCCAGAAGCCGCGGCCGCGCGCGTACCGCCAGGGCGTCTCGCGCAGCAGGAAGAGGACGCAGTCGACGACGCCCTGCACGCAGAGCGAGATGATGGAGACGACGAGCAGCCAGTGCGGCGGGGCGTGGTCCTCTCGGTTGGCGGTGGAGGGATCGTCCTGGGGGTGGCGGACCGAGGAGTCGTCGTACCCGAGCACGTGCGAGACGAAGGGGAAGAGCCACAGGATGATGTAGACGAGCGGGTAGGCGAAGAGGGAGCGGAGCTGGCGGAGGGTTTTCTTTTGGTGCCGGGTTTGGGCCGGGTCGTCGTCGTCTTCGGGTGAGGTGATGGTTATGAAGGGGGAGGAGCCCGAGCGCCCCCCTGTGGGGGTCAGGATGGGTGATGAGTCGGGTGTGTCTTCGTCGTCGATGTCGAGTTGTTCCGGTGTGGCTTGGCGTTGGGAGTGGTGGAAGGAGACCCGGTTGTTGTGGTGGTGGTTGCTGATGTCCGTGTTGGCGTCGGTCGAGGATAGCAGGTTTGGCCGGGGTGTGTGTGCCGGTGCCGGGGGCGTGAGGAAGGTCGGCGATGTAGGGGAGCTCGGGGCGCCGGTGTCGTCCCCGGAAAGCCCGCTGCTCTCGGGCGATGGCGTGTGTGTGAACCCAGGCCAGTTCCACTTGACACAGCTGGGTGGTCTCTGAACGTCCACACTTGTCCTCGCGCTCGTGGGCCAGGCCGCGCCGATCGATGATGGCGGCCGGGACTGGTCTTTAACCGTCGGTATGGTATCGGTTGCCGAGCTTCGTCGCGAGGATGCCGTGGACGGGAGGAGCCCGTTGTAGCGGAGACGCGGTATCGAAGCTGCCCCCACCGATCCCCTGGGTGCTTGCGACTGCATGGCTTCCGACTGTCGCCTGCCGTAATCCCCCATCTTCCTCCGGATATAAAAGTAAATGGAGACGTAAATGATGACGATGCTGGCGCAGATAATATATCGCGGCACCCAGCTAAGCACCAGCCGTGCCCAACTCCGGTCGGTTCGCAGATAGCAGTAGGGCCCCATGTTCTCGTACCCATTCCCGCCGATAAACGCTAGGCACGCGGCCAGAGACGGGTACAAATAGAACCCCAAGTAGGCAGGTCGGCGGTACGGGTAGAGCCCAGCCCTCGGTCGGAAGATATACATGGCGGAGTGCAGGGCGATGAGCAAGACAGCAATGTCGGAGGATTCGATGCCGACAGCGAGGACGAACCCGCTGATTTGGCAGAAGGCCGAGTCGGAACGAATGCCACCCCCAACAAAGCTAACGATAGCGAAAATAACCAAGACTGCCGACTTGGCGAAATCACTTTGAATCAGGAGCAAGATCAACCTGCCAACGGTCAGTAACGCGCGGGCCACTCCGGGGTGGGTCGGGACTTACTCGTGTCTGAAACTCCGCCTCATCTTGACGAACCAATATAGGGCGGACGTAGTAGCCAGAACGCTGATGGAGGCGAACGTGACTGATAAGATCAACAAGATGTGGACTATGCGCTGGTCACTGTCGATGGCTGAAGGGTGCCGGGCCGCAATGGCCGGCGTCTCGGAAGCGGCGATTCCATCTGAGAGAAGATAATCGAGAGGCGTGCCCAGAAACATCCATCTCGGCACCGTCATGACTGTCTGTTGTTTCTTCTCCGGTAATGGCGAGACTACGAGCCTAGCCTATCGTTCCAGGGGTTATCCGCAAGACGCCCGAGCATGACGGCGGCCGTGTCACAGTTGTTCGTCGAGTCGCTTGAGGGGAGATACACCCCATAAGAACAGGGCGAGTGATGAGGGCCAGCGAACGGCCGGTGGTTTTAACTTGTCGATCGAAGCAGAGAGAGCAGGGAGTGTCTATCAAAGTGGTCCTTCGGCGGATTAAAACGGTCTGAGTACCCTCGGTTGTTGAGGTGTGGGACAGAAGCGGACGGTCAAAGAGAGCAAGCAAGAGACATTGGAATGGCAGAACGGAACCAACAAACAACAGGGGCGAGAACACGGGAATACATAAAAAAAGAAATCAGGGCTGTGGTGTAATCCAAGACCCTCGGCAGGCGAGCCGGAAGGTTAGGCCGCCCTGGGGAGGATCGGCATGATCAGGCGAGGTGCCCCGGATGTGCAGCAAGCCAAGTCGGGCGCCTGAGAAGCAAACGCAGCACATTTCCTGCAATTTTGCATTTTGTATTTTGCCCACTTCACCCAGTCGCGCAACTGCGGGAGACACACGGAGGGGGCTGTCGTCCACGTCACAACCCTGGTTGGCGGCGATTGTCCATGCAAAGGCACCAATGGAGTGAAAAAGCACCGCTTGGGCCAAGCGAAGGTGCTGTGTGAGAGGGAAGCGGGAGATTGCGGCTGTGAGAGAGGTCTTCCGTCTCCGCAGGATCAAGGCCGAGGTAGACCGCCACATGCGAGATGGATTCGGCGGTTGCAAAACGTCAGCCTGTGCAGGAATAACTCAAACGAGCACGAAGTAAGCCGGTCCAGTCGTGTGTTTTGTCACCGACTTGGCCGTGGAGGTTGGCTGCATCTATTGGTACAGAGTTATGGGAAAGACAGCACTGTGACCCGCTCTGTTGTCAGCTGTGATGCTGTGAAAGGACGAGACGAACCAGGGTGACTCGAGCAGGCACCCCAGGTGACTGCATCTCCAAATCACCAAGCCGATCACCCGCAGCGCAGCAGCCAGCGCTTCAAGGTCGCTTTGTGGGGACGGGCGATTCGATCTTGTGCGCGCACCTTGTGCATCATTAGCTGTCCCGTTCCCGGGCTTCCGGGTGCGTTGTCTCGCTGGGTTTCGGGTATCGGTTTGGCGCACAGAGGGAGGCGTCGGGCGTAAGGTTGTGACGCAATGGTTATTGGTTAAACTAGAGGTCATCCGTGCATCGCTGCATTTCGAGTCTTGGATGAAAATGCGGAATGTTGCGCGGCTGCCGATGGGAGAGAGTGGAAAAAGGCCCGTGTCATCCGATTCCTTGCAGCAGTTGGGATTGCCAGTGGCACCCGCGGGGACTGGCGGGACAGGGCCAGCGATGCCAGTGGGGCCATTTCCCCGATCGAGTCAAGCGACCAGATCTGCTGCAACCTTCGACCTGTGAGAGCTCAGATTGGGATTTTCCGATATGATGGGGGTCGGATGGGATGGATGGTCAGTCTCAACTCCCAACCGGGCTGAAATTGACGAGTCGCCTCTCACCGTTACGAACGGCGGCTCGTCACAATAAGCGAGCCGTTCTCGAGTCATCAATGCGGTCGCTTCCTGACGTTGGAATTTCTCGGTTAACCAGCCACCCGAAGAACCCTGCAAGGGAGAAGGGGGGAGTGTGGGTGAACTTGGCCGGATGCTGACCTTCATTCTTCGGAAGAGTAAAAATAAGTAAAAAATATCTTTGCGACAAAAAGCAGAGAGCACGGGGGAGAAAAGCAAACTGCAAACATAAATAAAACGAGGGGTTTCTCAAGACCAAACTAAGGGCAGATTAGGCAGGTCAGAATTAATCTGTACAATTCGCGTGTGTACTCAGGTACGAATGCATCCCGAGTGTTCCCAAAAACAGCATGCCCGAAACCATCTCCCCCATTACGCCGTTGTGCTGCCGAACCCCCAAGACCCCCATCCTTGTAGAGGTGCACCGGAAAATGCAACCAAGCCCATACGCCCTCGAACCCATCTCCCTACCCAAGCAAGTTGATGTACGGCTCGGGCCAGCGCCCCCATACCATCGGCCGGTTTCCTAAGCGGCCACTAACGGGGGAAAGGACTTTGAGTCGCCGCCTGTCCTCGTCCACATCGGCGATGGCTACGAATCCCATGACTGGCGCTTGACGGATTATCTCGGGCGGGTCGTTTACGGACGCGTTCATGACAGCAAGGGTCCAGTGGGACATCTCTGCGGAGATGTCGGCGCGCTCGAGAGCTGGTTTGTTGTCGTAGAAACCCGAACCTAATTCACTGTCAGTCATAGAGGCCGTAACCGTAGGTGGTGAAACACTACCTTCAGGTGTCCTAAACACGGCCACATCGTCAAAGCCGACCGACTGCGTAAACGGGCTCAGCGTCCTCTTGGCATCGCCAAAGAAATACTCCTTAATAGCGGCTTCGCGAGTAAACTTCATGAAGTCCTTATCCCGTTCTGCTACCCCATCGGATTTGTCGAGGAAGATTAGCGTGACAACTTCTCCATGTAACGTCCGCTCATTCTCGAAGCGGCGCTGCAGCTCGGCGTGTAGCTCAACCGAGCCGATAACAACCACAATGTTGACTGTCACCGTTAGCCGACATCCTCTGCTACTCCCGGCTTCTGACAACTCACCTGCAAACTCATGTGCCGCATGCATCAAGATATCCAAATCCCCTTTCGCCACGCTCGCAGCCGGCGTATCCAGCAGCAACCCAGCCTCCCTAACCACCTCATCCGCCGCAAACTTGGCCCTCGCCGAGCTGCCCAGCTTGCCCACCAAGTCCCTCCACAGCGGCACATCCTCATCCACCCTCTCCCGTCCGACATAATACACCATCGGCAGCTTAACAGGCACGGCACTGGGCCCGCTGCTGGGGGTGCCACTGACGCCAAACCCGGCAGCCGGGTCCTCCACATCCATAACCGTCCCAAACACCGCGGCACTGATCGTGCCTGGCAGCGCCAGCATGCCCTCGCGCGGGTCGACACTCCCGACCAGCGGCTGCCCGCCCGCGCGCGTCGCCAGCGCCGCGAGCGTCCGCGCCACCGTCGTCTTGCCGCTGTCCCTCTCCCCGCAGATCATCACCCTCGGCCCGGGCACCCCACCACCACCACCACCACCACCATTATCATTCGTATTATCACCACCCCCCCGCCCAACCCCCGCGCGCAGCTCCTGCAGCGCAAAATGCAGATTCAGCACCGGCAGCTGGGGCGAGGCCTCGGGGGCAGGGTACTGAGCGACATGATCAACGAACGCGCCAGCGACCTCGAGCGTCGCGCCCGTGTAGGTGAGCAGCTTGGACTGGGTGTTGCGCGGGAAGGTGTAGACGCGGTTGAGGGCGAGCTCGGTGCCGTCGCGCTCGGCGGCGCCGCTCGTCAGGCGCACCGTCGCGCCGCCGCCGCCGACGCTGACATTGCCGGGGGCGGTGGTGGTGGCACTGGTGGTGGTTGCGGCGCTGCTGCTGCGTGGGACTTCGAAGCGCCACTCCCAGAAGGGGCGGAGGGTGATGGTGCGGGTTGTGGAGGTTGTGGGTTGCTGTTTTGGGGCGGGTGCTGAGGTCAGTGGTTGGTGATGGGAGGAGGGGGGGGTATGTAGGTGAGGGATGCCGTACCTGCGGAGCAATCTGACCCAGGCCGGGGATTGACATGGTCGCTACTTCATCTGCAGTGTTGTGTGGAGGGCGTGACAGGAATTGGAAGCTCGAGCTCAAACAGCTTTGAGCTTTCGCGATTGACAATGTGGTTTGCGGCAGGCAAGGGTGGGGCTGCCAAGCGGAATGTCTGACCTTGGGAAGATTTCAAGACCTTCCCGTGCATGTGAACAGCCTGAGGACAACACAACACTCGAGTTAAAACATCGTTAAACCCCCAAAACGCTAAAATGCATGTTTTAAAACACAATCCACCGGTAGCAATGCTAGCGATAATAATTGAAAGCAACAACTCAATGCAAAAAGTAGGGTATTCCGGAAAAGCAATGCCACCTCTAAAGTCCTGTCCCTTTCGTCATAACGGGCATAAAACTCATAATCCATGTGTCCCCCTTCTCGCCGTCGCCATGCCGAATGCTACTGCAAAACCAATCCGGTTCGTCTCTTGTTTACTGAGCCAGCTCTTCGAAAATTTTGATGAGACTCCTCACCCCGAGTAGACTGTTCTCATCGGGGCCCTGTCCGGGAACCCACTTGGCATGGGCAAAGTCGATAAGCTTCAGGGAGAAGATCCGTGGCTGGCTAGACAACTCATCGTCGTCATCGTCATCCTCCTCGTCGTCGGTCAAGACATCTCCCATCAACTCGACCACCTTGAGGTCTCCTTCAATAGCACCGGAAATCGCCTGTACATCGATGCCCGCGATGGTCTCCTGGGCGAGGCTTATCCCGTTGCAATGCCGTTCCTCGCCTCGTTTGAGATCTTCCAAGAAGGAATCGTGCTCCCCCGCGATGGCCACCCCGTTCACTGCTCTCTCGGGGAGACTTCCGTTCTCCTTGACGAGAAGTTTCGCTTCCTGAGCGGCGTTGACCTTCTCGACCAGCGCGTTGTTCTCCTCGATCGCCGCTTGGAGCGCCTCGCCATCTCCTTCGAAGGTGAACAGCAAGCTTGCGGAGTACATGCGGGTCTCTGATCTGGCCAGGACCTCCTCCACCTGCCTTAGGTCCTCCAGGAAGGCCTGGACAACCGCCCTCCCCAGATCTTGGTCGATCCCCGCCCGTTCGTTGAAGATGAACTTGGCAAACACCTGTACAACGTTGTCCTTGTTGACTTCAAACCTGCCGTAGTCCTTGTTGTAGACATGAAAGTCGTCCGCGTTCCACTCCTCCGGATTGTCGGACCCTTTGTACACGCGCATGCCTGAAATGCGGAACCCGTGTGAAGCGTGCGTCGTCAGCTTGCTGATCTCGTCGAACCGCTTCCGCTTCTCCATCGGCGCATCGTCAGCCCAGAGGCGCTGGCCAAGCTTGACGTCGAGAATGTTGGGCTTCTTGAAGCCGTGCGTGCTATTTTGAAGAACGACAGACTTGTCGGTCAAGATCCTGCGGCCTTTGTTCGGCTTCCACGCAATGTCGACTGGTGGTTCGGCTTGTTCAGCCGCTGGTTGAGCCGCTGGTTGAGCTGCTGCTTCAGCCGCAGTCGCCTTGGCTAACGAAACCGCCTCTTCCTTTAGCTCCTGGCTTATATGGTCGGCCACCACAGGGAGTTGCTCGTTCAGGGATTCGATATTGGTCGCGTCGTTAAGCGCGAGAGTCCCGATGTAGTGGGGCATCAGCGAGGCAAAGTCGAGGTGGTCCCGGAAGGTCTTTTCGTAGAAATCTATCTCCTGCTGAACGCAGGGCTTGATAAAAAGCTCGCCGTCAATGTCGGAAAGTGTTCCGTCACTATATAAATTATGGTTAGAACCCAGAGGCGACCGAGGGGCAGCCGTTTGCGCACTTACTGCCCTGCAACCGCATGGTTGAAAGGCTGAAGATCAGCGTGGCTCGGGAGTTCTCTACTAGTCGCCATGATGTTGATCGCGGCTGTCGCTAGAATATCACCGGTCTCTGTAGCAAGAATAAGTGTCTCGGAATCGGCGCAGATCCTGCCAGTTCCAAGATCGTTCGGAACTTATGGGGGGAAGTCGGATCTGGCTACAGGCGACGGTTGCATGTGCATGGGCGTACAGGAAGTGATGAGTGAGCTTGTGCTGGGGTATCATGAACTAAACCATGAGATGAGAGTGTACTGTGTTTGCGGGTCGGACAACCAAATCATTTTGTCTTTTTTTGCGAGGAACGCATGCCGAGCCTCAAAGATAGGGATCCGAGTGTTGGTTGGGGATTCGCGGGGCGCGACACCCAGCACCCGCAGCGGGGCGAAGCGCGCTTTTGCAGCGCAGGTGGTGGGGGTTGAAGCGCGGATGGCCCCGCCCGCGCCCAAATGCTCGGGAGTCGTCAGCCCACCAGCCAATCAGGCCGTCGAACAACCCGAAGTGCCGGGCAACTCGGCAAGGTTCTCAGACAGGGAACCAAGCCCCTCCACCTGTCGTCACCCAACCGCCGCTTCATCACATCGGGCTGAGTGTGACCTGCATGAGATTTGGCTCCCTTGCAGTCTCGGACACCCGCAGCTGAATCGTAAGGCGGACTCAAGGGCTCATATCCTTTAAATCACCAGTCACAAAAATCTTCAGCGAATGTCATATATCTCACAGCCACGGAAGCCCCTCCTTCATGCGCCGTCCTCCATTCCTAAGTGTTTCGCATCTGCAGCCTGCCTTCGGCACCGCCGACATGTCGTGCCTCCTGAGTACGTATCACTATCCGACCCCGGGTTAGCCTTCCTCTTTTTTGCCTCTTTCTTTTTTCTTTTTTCTTTTTTTCTTTTTTCTTTTCTTCTTTTTTTCTTTTTTTCTTTTTTCTTTTTTTCTTTTTTCTTTTCTTCTTTTTTTCTTTTTTTCTTTTTTTCTTTTTTTCTTTTTTTCTTTTTTTCTTTTTTTCTTTTTTGCGCGGCTCTCTCGGAATGACGGAGCCTCGAGGTGTGGTCGTACACACCTTCGGCGGTCGTCCAACCGCACTCCAGGGGCTCAGACATGAACCGCTCATGGAAGCTTTGGAAGCTGTAGGTATGTACCACACAGCTGTAGCCGCCGCTAAGCTGCAGCCCTGTCACCTTCTTCGGTTGCATTTTCTACCAGGGAGACAGTCTTTCTTTTCCATTTCCATGTTTCGTGATACCGAGGTAATCCACTTCACTTCGGGTGCGAAGCTTGGCCCCCAAGTTGTGTGTCTTCCACCAACATCATAGCTACACATTTCTTATTCCTAGGTATTATACCAAACAGGCCGCAGCTCGTTCATTCGGTATCAGGATAACCAATCATAGTATTGACCAGAGCCAGAAACAGCTGCCACCAGCTCGCTTGCCGCTATTGTTAGCTTAAGAATTAACCCCCCCGAACATATCCTTAAATTACCTACGTAGGTATTGAGCTGATACTCGAAAGCATATCTCCATTATACGGCGGGCAAAATGCCGCAACAGCTGCTTGTCAGACCTTGATAACCTAGTTCAAGTCCTAAGTCGGGACCCCTACTTGGCGCCCCCGCCTACTTTTCGCCATTTTTACCCCACACATAACCCTGAAAACGCTAAATTTCAACAATGTATTTAACTGTACCTATAAGAGTTAGAAATATAAGAGAATTAGAATAACATTTCGTATAGTTATTTGATTTAGTAAAGGAATTTAAAATATATATTTTGGACTAGTAAGGTATTATAAATATAAGATTTCGTTTTATATAGTAATTTACTAATAAAGTAAATCTTATAATATCTCTTAACTAAGGTTATTTAAAAATATATTATAATTATACTTAGATATTTAGTATAAGTTAGATATATATCTAGATTATCTAATATTACTAGCTACTTTATAGTAGTAAATATAAAGGTTTAAAGTTTTCGCTAAATTATCCTATATATAACCCTGAGGGTTATAGGTAGGGAAATCTTACCTAACTTCAAGAATTCATAGTATAATAATAGAGTATACTATAATAGTCTAGCTATCGGTAGATTGTTAATATACTTCTAATATAACCTCTAAATTAATTATCCCTACTTTTATAAAGATATTAAGAAGTTATTAGCTTTTCCAATTAGTAGTAATTTAGTATATAAATTACACTTTTAGCTATATCTTAATGTTATGGAACAGGGCCTCAGAGCCCCAGAATGGATGATGATGTCATGAGGCTCAGCAAGGAGCCTTTTAAGCATGGCCGAGCCCGATCCTGGGGAAGCTCCCCAAGGATCAGTTCCAGTTGCTCCTCAGACCTAACCTCAGGTCCGAACAAGAGTGTTTAGCTAGGAATTGAATCTTTGTTCGCCTGTGAATCGCCTTAGTTCCGCAGCCCGTGTCTGCATCAGTGTGACGAACCTGTCTCTGGACCCGTCCTGTTAGGGTTCAGTATCGGTCGAAGGTATCCTCTCAAGGGTGCTTAGGTTCGGTGCAGCCAAAGGGTGCACAACAAAGACTTGTCTCAACAGTAGGCTCTCGAGCTTGTAGCGAACTGTAGTTGTGATTGCTAACTGGAGAACTCCCAGAGCTCTCCAGAACGAGTGACTATATACTATCTAATTCCTGAGCTCTAGACAGCTCTCGAGAGCCCTCTAGAGCTCGCCGCTCTTGATAGCTCTCGAGAGCCCATGAGAGCAGCTCCTGACTGGCCGCCCCCTTTCCTGGCTCCCGGGTGTTCCATAGAGCACCCTGTGATTGGTTCGTTAAACGACTGGCTCGGGGCGTCCCGCGCCTCGGGGGTCCCACTTGTGGGCATATTCGTGACACGATGCCCCTCCTCCAGGGTCGACGTCCCGTCGGCCATGTTCCCAGCCTTCTTCTGAAATAGTGCCAACAACCCCAGTCCAATCTGGTTGGTAATTCCTCCTCTCCTCCCCACTTCTGTCCTTTCATCATGACTGACAGTGTAAAGAAACGAAAGCGCGGAAGTGGAACGAGTACTGAACGCCGCGTCCGTCTCGCCAATACCACTTCCTCCTTCCTAATGCCCAAGTCTTCTTATTGTCTCGAGAAGGGGCTGGACTGCAGTGTCTCCGGCACTTCCAAGCGCTGTGGTCCCTGCAACCTTTTCAACCGTCCGTCCTGCGACGTCTGGGGAATTGATCCGGGTGCTTGTACGTGTGTTCCTTGTCGCCGATTTCTGGTTTCTGACCATCTTCCAGTTCGAGCGTTTGTGGCGGAGAAAAGTAAACTGGACCTTGAAGAGGAGGAGACGCTAGCCAAGTTGTTGCGTCTGCGCAAGCAGAAGCGTGCCTTGGAGGAGCGCGTGCAGAAAGCCGTGTCTCGCGAACTGCGGGACATTTCGGAGGTGGCGCAGGAAGAGGCATCCTCCAGTTCGGGCCCTCCGTCCTCCGCCGACGTTCCACCCGTTAGCTCCTCGGGCGTCGATTCTTCTTTGTTTGATCCTGCTTGGGTTCAGGGGTTTGTCCTACCCTGACCTCCTTCCGTCCCTGCCGCTGACTTGCTTAGTTCTTCCGACGACCTTTTCCTTGCCGGAGTTGACCTTTCGGCGGGGCCCTTCTTGGTCGGTCCGGGTTCCTCTGGTGGAACTCCTGAAGCTTCTCGGGGCAGTTGAGATTTGTAGCTGGTTGCCATGAATTGTCTTCTGGGCCGAAGTCCAACCATTTGACCAAATACTCCAACTGTCCTTCCGTGATGCGTGAATCTAGGACTTCCTCAACGTCCCATTCCTCCTCTTCGTCTTCTGCCTCGGCGTCCTTGTCGAGTCGTGCGCCCTTGGGTGCTGGTTCCAGAAGCGAGATGTGGAAAACGTTGGTCCGTAGTCGCATTGTCGAGGGTAACGCGAGTGCGTAATTGTTCTCCGAAATCTTTTTGTTGATTTTGAACGGCCCGATCTTGCGGAAGTCGAGCTTCCTGCTTGGTCGTTTCGTGCGAAGATTTCGAGAAATGAGGTAAACTTTGCCCCCCTCTTCTAGGCGAGGTCCCTCGAGCCTGTTTCTGTCGTAGAACCTCTTCATCCTGGTTCGTACGAACTCGAGTTCTTCCTTGAGCATCGCATGCAGCGAGCTCATTTTGTCGGCTTTGACTGCCGCTCTGGGCACCGAGACTTCGGGCCCTTGTCGCAAATCTGCTTCGTAGCCGTAATTCGCGAAGAATGGTGTGACCTTCGTGGTCTCCGTGACGGTGGTGTTGTAGGCGAGTTGTGCCGTTGGCAACAGCTCGACCCAATCATCCTGCTGGAAGTTGACGTACAACCGTAGGTATTGTTCAACGATCTGGTTGAGTCGTTCCGTCTGTCCGTCCGTTTGTGGGTGATAAGCAGTCGAAAGCTTACTCTTCGTACCCAGCTTCGTCATCAGAGCTTGCCAAAACTTTGATGCGAACTTCGTGTCTCTGTCTGTGATCCATTCTTCCGGCCATCCGTGGACCGAGGTGATGTTGCGATAGATCACGTCTGCGAGTTGTTCTGCTGACCATGTCTCCTTGTAAGGGAGGAAGTAACTCCACTTGGTGAGTCTGTCCACCATTGTGAGGATGCTGTCGTATTCCACTCCCGTTACTGAGTCCTTGGAGACTGGCAGTTTGGTGATGAAGTCCATCGTCACCGAGCTCCATGGTCGTTCTGCGACTGGCAATGGTTGCAACAGCCCATATGGCTTGTGTCGTCCTGGTTTGCTTCGTCCGCAGAGGTCGCATTCTGCTAGGACTGCTTCTGTCGCCTGCTTGATTCCTGGGAAGTCGTAATTCTGCTTGACTTTTGCAATTGTTTTGCTGATTCCCATGTGCCCTCCGAGTCTCGACTCGTGGATCTTTCGAATGAGCTCCTTTTGGTCACCAAGCCTGACGTAGGCCTTGTCGTGGTACCAGAGTCTCGTTCCATCAAGTCGCAATCCCGCGATCTTGGATTCTGACTTTTCTTGCCATGCATCGCGCTCGTCGTCCGCGATGACTCCTTGGAAATCTTGTTCCAATCGTTGTTCCCTGAAGGCCGCACAGCATTCTACAAACGGTTGCAGAGGCCTAGCTTCGGGATCTTCCGACTGTCGCTGAAGTGCTGCGATCTCGTAGTCTTCAGTCGGTTGGGAAGCGTGCCGTAGCGATCCGTCTGTCTGTTGATGTAGCAATGGTGGCGAGGCTTCAGATGTGTTGTCGTGGTGATCCGCTCTCCTACTCAAGGCGTCCGCTCGTGCGTTCTCTGAGCCTTTCTTGTAGTGGATCGTGAAGTTGAATTCGGACAGAAATTCTGCCCACCGAGTTTGTCGTCCGTTCAGTACCTTCGTGGTGGTGAAGTATCGTAAGTTCTTGTGGTCCGTGTACACCTGGACTTCGTGTGTCGTGCC